AATCAGCCGAAGGCTGATATACCATTCTTATGGCCCAAAGGGCCATCAACCCCAACCCTAGGGTTATTATACCTTCAAATTCTCCAAATTCTCCTCCGATTCCTCTAGTGACGTTCAAAATTGCCTATTTAGGAAGGTGACCCTAAACCTTTTTGAACTCTCATGAATGTTCAAAAAAACACTCATGAATGTTCAAAATTACTCCTTTAGGAAGGTGACCCTAAACCTTTTTGAACTTTCATGAATGTTCAAAATTACTCCTTTAGGAAGGTGACCCTAAACCTTTTTCAACTTTCATCAATGTTCAAAAAAACACTCATGAATGTTCAAAATTACTCCTTTAGGAAGGTGACCCTAACTCTTAGACTTAGGGTCGGGTTAGGGTCGGGTTAGGGTCGAGTCAACTCAACTTATTACTCCTACCCTATACTCAATTTCACTTGTTTACTAAGAATATTCAATATATTACTCAACTTTAAAATGAACTCTTTTAATAAAAATCAATATACATATAACGCTTTTCCTTATACTTCTTGCTTCGAAACAAACCAACTCTCTCTTTCTCTTGTTTTTATCTACTCCTTCTCTTTCTTTTGTTCTTATAAACACCCTACTAGCTAGAGTAACGCTTTGTCTAGTCAAAACACCCAACTACCCTACAAAACCCAAAACACTCTCTTAACACTCTCTTTATACTCTTTAAAACACTTAAAGTATAAAAAATACTCATTCTCGATTCACTCGACCCGAACCCGAACCCGAACTCTCAATCCAACCAACCCAAACCCGAACTCTCAATCCAACCAACCCAACCCAAACCCGACCCAGTCGACCCGAACCCTAACTCTCGACTTGACTTAACTCAACCCGACCCAAACCCTAACTCTCAACTTGACTTAACTCAACCCGACCCAAACCCTAACTCTCGACTTGACTTAACTCAACCCGACCCAAACCCTAACTATCAACTTCGCCCGATATGCCGCCTCTACGCTGCCCAACATGCTGCGTAGAGTATGCCGACATCCACGACCATATACGCAAAAAACATCCAACTACCCCTTACCGACAAGAGCAGCTCGCTCAAATCGGGCTTACACCATGCCCAATTTGCCGCGTAGCATGTAGAGGAAGTCACGGAATAAAAGTACATCAGCAAAAGATCCATAATATAAAGGGCGCTTCCAATATATCGACTCTAGCGCCCAATATATTACCTAGTCTTAGCTCACAAGGCTCAGCTGCCCCACTCTCCCAGACGAAACCCCGGCAAATCACAGCACGCCGAGCTTATAGCTCCCAGTTCAACCCCGATATTATCTTACCTCAAAACAGTCAAAATAATCAAAACCCTCGCAAAAGAGCAGCTCGACCACCCTCGCCAAGCTCCCAGCCGCTCTCCCAACGCCCCAGAGCATACAGCAGCGCAACCGCCCACCCAACCCCCGCACAGCGCAGTAGAGCCAGCTCAACCAGCTCAATCCACTCCCGAACAACGCTTACACAGCCGCTTCCAACTATCGACCTTACAGATAGCGCCGACAGCGGCCAAGCACCACCAAACTACGACTCCGACCCATTCGCAACGCCAGAGCCGCCAGAGCCGCCAGCGCCACTCGAGCGCCCGTCAAACACACTCTCGCACTCGCAATGGGCCTCCACACGCACCCAGCAGCCAGACCTCCAGTCTCTTCCGCCGTCGCAACCCCTCGACCTCCACGAAAGGGACCAGAGCCTCCAGGCCTCCATCTGGGCCCAGAATCCAAACCAGTCCCTCCAGGAGCAGCATGACGAGCTCACTAAGCCATTACTCGCCGACCCGGCTATGCAAACCCTTGTGCGCTACTCCACCATCTATATACCAACTAAAAAGCTACACCCGCGCCAAGCAACAGCGTTCAAAGAAACCGCTAAGCGCCTCGCCAACGCCTACCTTAACAAACCATCCGAACAAGCAATCCTCGACTTCCTACTACTACCGCGGATCCTCGGTATAGGCCTCCAGCAAGGCAACTTGAACCAGAAGCTGCGCAACTACCCACATATACTCCCAGCACCTCCAGAGCAAGCCAACCAAGCACGCCCCGAGCCAAAAGAGCTAAACAGCTCGCTGCGCGCTATAGAGCTACTCGAACAAGGCTTTCTCGGTCGTGCATCACAAGCGCTCGTCGACCAGGCGCCTCTCGCAGAGCTCACTCAAGAACTCAAAGCACAGCTCTGCCAGAAGCACCCAATCGGCCCAAAAGACCCCTTCCAGATCAGAGCCCGCCCACACGCAGGCCAGCCCATCAAGATCGATGCTATCCGTACAGCGATCCGTACCACTAGTAAAGAAAAGGCCCCCGGTCTTAGCGGCTGGACGCGCTCGCTTCTCGACATTGCGACAGCAGACGAAACAGACGGCTCTACACGCACCGGTGTGCTCGCTATGATCCGCCACATCGCAGAGGGTATCCGACTAGCTACAGCGAAAGGCTCGCATCTCCTCACAGCGTCACGCCTCATCGCGCTAGAAAAAGACGATGGCGGTATCCGCCCTATCGCTATCGGCGATATGATCTATAGAATCGCCATGAAAGCTGTTATTGCCACGCTCTTCCGCCCCGAGATGCTACTCCCGAACCAGCTCGGCGTCAGCTCCCCCGGCGGCGTCGAACCCGCCATCTTTGCGCTCCAAAGCGTCATTATGAGCGACTCTACCGAATTCGACACTATCACCTCGGCCGATGAAAGCAATGCCTTTAACAATCGCGACCGTACAACTATCGCAACAGCAGTCCTCAACTATGCGCCCACGCTGCTACAAGCCTCTGCCTGGGCACTCAACCACCCGGCGCTGCTCGTACTCTCAGACGGCACAGCTCTGGCCTCTGCGCAAGGCGTATGCCAAGGCGACCCGCTCGCTAGTCTACTCTACTCGATCTCACAGCGCCCAACTATCGAAGCACTCCAAAGAAAGCTGCCAAACTCCCGTATCTTCGCCTACCTGGACGACCTCTACGTACTCGGCTCGCGCAAAGACCCGGAAGTCAAACCAGTACTCTTAGAAACCTTCACCGAACACAACCTTGAACTCAACATGCATAAAACCAAGGAACACAAGATCGAAGACCTTCGAACCACAGGCCTGCCGGTACTAGGCTCGTTTGTGGGGCCACGAGCTGCTCGAAAAACGTTCCTCGAGAAGAAGATCGACAAGTATAACTCTATTCTTCTCACCCTACGCACGCTGCCTAAACAGCATGCATTACTGCTACTTAAAGGTAGCATCAACCACCTACTACGCCACTTGCTCCGCCAGCTCGACCCGCGCGGACTAACAGAACTATGGCAACAAGCCGACGCCGCCACAATCGCCGCACTAGGCCATATCGCGTCCCGTCGACTCCAGCCAATCAACATAGAGCATACTGCCTTAATTGGTATCCCAGCCCGCCAAGGTGGACTCGGACTTATACTACACGCAAAGGTAGCAAAACAGCTCTATGTAGCCGCTCGCGACGCCAATACTGCTACTACACAGTTCATTCTACGCGGTAAAACAACACCTACCATGCTACTACTAGACGAACCTGCCCACCCGGCCGAAACAGCGCAAAGCGTGCTCAAGAGCTTCTATATAGAACAGCTCAAGAGCCTCGACTCAATCTCCGAACCCGAGCGCAATGCTCTCGCTGAAAACGCAAGCTACTTGGGTCGTCGCTGGATCGAGGTTCTACCAACAAGCCCCAACACCATGTTCACCGACGCCGAGATCACCGATGGACTCCGAAACAGGCTCTTAATACCTATAAAGCCACCAGACTTACCCTGTACACACTGCGCTGCACGTACCGCCATCAACCACCAAGACACTTGCAAGGCTGCCCAGAGACGCTACCAAGCACGCCACGACCAGATCAACCGAGCTATTACCAAAACACTCTCTTGCCGGGAAGATCTTGAAGTTGCTCCAGAGGTAGCCATCCCAGGCGTTAACGAGCGCGTCGATTTCGCTATTACGCTCGGTTCGAGCAAATACTACTACGACATCCAAGTCGTAGCAGTCAACAAAGCGTCAGCGAAAGACAAGCTCCAGAACACGCTCGCCGAGGCCTACAAGGCAAAACAGCTCAAATATAGCTGCCTTGGTACGTTCTTCAAACCGCTTATCTTCTCAGCTGGCGGCTTGATGGAGAAGGAGACAGCACAAACGTATAAAGGCTTGCAAGCGCTTCTAAGCCCTTACGCTGCTAACCATCTCGACACAACGATTGGTCTTATACTAAATCGAGCCCGCATGATGGCAGCTATATCGATCGCCAACTAACAACCTCAATAAACGGCTCAAAGAAGGCTGAAAACCCGCTCTAAAACAACAATACTAAATAGACTACAAAACATACAAGGTCAAAGACTACCGCTACCATAATACTACCAAGACTACAACATCGCTCTCAACAACAAACTACTCTACCCAAGTCTCCAAGACTCCAAAACACTTCAACAGTCTTTTAACTTCTCAACTTTCTTTCTTTCTTTTGCTTTCTTTACTTACTTTACTTGTACTTTGGGTAGTTATTTAGAGTAGTATAACTTTGCTAGAATAAATAGAGACCTTTACCACCCTAGGCTGCTTTTATTTTCGGCGTAGCAAAAATCAAGATATAGAAATGCCAAACTAGAATATCGTAATTTATTATGATGAGAATTACGCAACCTGCAACCTTTTTAGAGGCGCAACCCGTGTTTCTATTAGTGACGGTAGGGTAATTTTATTTATTGGTGTTCGCGCTTGATCTGTGATTGTCTCACCACGCGTCACGTCTCGTCGACACCAACCCGGGCAAAATACTTGCAGTAAGATAGGAATAAGGAGAGCGTCTAGAGGGCATTCGTGTCTTCTGGTGGAAAAACACCGCGACATGGCCTAGTAAGTGGTGCTAATGCACACTTGGCCATTGACCTAGGGATACGATATGCGATAATACACTAGAAGCCTTATATTAAAATGGCTTCTCAAGGAAAAGTTTAAAAGAAGCATATAATGTTAGGCAACTAGTTGTATGTAAATAAATTAGCTATATTATTCATTCTAATATTACTTCTACTCTAGTATCTTCAATAATTTAGTAGCTTATGGTATCTCTTCTCACAATGCGTTATACTCACTAAGTATACCAGCAAGATTATTTATGGCTAAGATCGTGTCGGGGTGCTTGTCACCAAGGATCTGCCTCTGTTTCTCTAACACCTTATTAAGCATTACTATTGCTTCTTTGAGCTTGCCTTGGCAGCCAAGTGCCGTAGCAAGGTTGCTCATGGCTATAAGTGTATTGGGGTGCTCGTCACCAAGGATCTGTTTCTTTTTCTCTAACACCTCATTAAGCATCATTATTGCTTCTTCGAGCTTGCCTTGGTGGCCAAGTGTAGTAGCCAAGTTGTGCATAGTTGAAATCGTGTCAAGGTGCTCATTGCTAAGGATTTGTCTCCTTTTCTCCAATACGTCATTGAACATCGCTGTTGCTTCTTTGAGCTTGCCTTGGTTGGCAAGTGTAGTGGCTAGGTCATTTATGGCTGTAATTGTATCAAGGTGCTCGTCGCCAAGGATCTGTCTTCTTTTCTCTAACACCTTATTCTGCATCGCTGCTGCTTCTTTGAGCTTGCCTTGGTAGCCAAGTATACGTGCAACGTTGCTTATAGCTAAGATTGTGTCGAGGTGCTCGTCGCCAAGAATTTGTCTCCTTTTCATCAACACCTCATTGTACATCGCTGCTGCTTCTTTGAGCTTTCCTTGGTCGCCAAGTATACATGCAACGTTGCTTCTAGCGAAGATTGTATCGAGGTGCTCGTCACCAAGAATCTGTCTCCTTTTCTCCAACACCTCGGTCTCCAGTGGCAACGCTTCATACCAGCGTCCAATCTTCGATAAAAAGATTGCTAATATTTCAATCCCATCAACCAGGTCTATTCGGTCTCCTTCAACCCCTCTCATCAACCAGCTGGCTCTCTCGAAGTTCGCCTGTATGTGTGGCGCTAATCGTAGCTTGCTCTGGGGTGTGGTCCGGAAATATTTTGTGTTGGCAACTGCTCCAATTAAGAGCTTAGATGCGGCAATACAATATAGACTGATATTTTGCGGGTCAACAAGCCTGTCGTAGCCCCAGGCATGCACCAGTCGATGCATGGAGTACTTAGGCCCGTTTTGTAGCCGTTGAAGAAGCGAATACTTCTCCAACATCGCAAAGGAGTCCTCAAGCAGATGGAGGTCGACCTCGCCTTCTTGGATCAACCATGACCAGGACCGAGAAACGAATCGGGCAGCTAGAGACCTTTGAGCGAAGAGTTCAAGATAAATATCCTCGTAGTTGAGGAAGGTTAGTAGCGTTAATAGTCGACATGCTGCTGGCAACTTGTCGCCAACCGCTGCGTATGACATCTCCCACGTTGCCATTACACTATGATCATAGTGGTGGACGACCTTGGTTGGCTTCATCTCTAGTACCCGCTTTCGCTGCTTTCGGTACTCATCGAGATACTCATATAGGTGAGATGTTAACCTTGGCTTGTGTGACACATACGATCCTGCGAGCGTGATTGCCAAGGCTAAATATCCCAGCTCTCTCACAATCCTCCCAATTTCCTCTGCCCATTTTGATGCCAAGCCGTCGAGCCCAGAGCACTTGTAGAAGAGCTCCCTCGCCTGCATATCTTCAAGCTCGCAAACTTCCACTCCTTCGAACGTTGACAGGTCTCTCGCAATTGTGCTTCTGCTCGTGACTATCACATGAGCACGGGCGGACCCAGGGATGTAGAGGTCAATGTCAACGAAGTGTACATCATCCATATCGTCTAGCTCATCAGCGCCATCAAATACGAAGAGCCACTTTCCAGGCCTCCTATTGAACCAGCTATGAACCGCCAGAATAATTTCATCTGCAGATGGTTGGCCCTCAAGTTTCATGCCGCCGGGGAGCTGATGGGCGATCCTCAGGAAGTCTTGTTCAACTGATGTTGCCTGGCCAGCCTGAATCCAGAATGTTGCATCGTATTCGCCGCGGTACTGCTGAAGATAACTGAGAGCTAGCTGCGATTTTCCTGCACCCCCTAACCCATACACGCCGACCTTTTTCGTGTCTCCTTGTCTGTCGACGTCCAGCTCACGGCAAAGTTGTTCTCTGATCTTATCACGAAGCTGCCGTCGCTGGACGAATGTTTTGACTGGCATTATCGACGTAGCCGGATAGCTTGGGACATAGTTTTTTGAGGTATCAGACGGCGTATTTGTGGTGCCTTTCCAGAAATTAGCATATACACAGGGACGAAGGAACGCGAGCTACGAAGACGATGGAGGTTGTTGACGCTAGCTTTAAGTATCTTTGCTCCTTAATGAAGCTAGTCTTGCTTGCAGCCTGTCCTCATCTACAGAAACTCTCGTGCTGATGATAGGGGGTATAGCATTTAGCTCACCACTTTCGAGTGCGTTCTTGTAGAGGCTTTTGATGCTGCTTCGCACTAGCTTGAAGTTGTCTTGATCTGCCTGGCTCGGCCCGAACTTGCACACTGCACTATGGTCTGCGTTCAGCTGCACAATCCTCTCTCGGTCGCCCGGCATACCCAGCCGCGCGCTCTCTCTTGGAACAACCTGCATCAGACGGTCAGCACATGCCAAGCCCCGCGTACTATGAACATACGTTGTCCAGACTTCCCCAGAAAGAGACAATGCTATAGCGCTCCAACTGGTGCCTCCAATGCTCTTGCATGAAATCTGAGAAAATGTTTCCGGTCTTGAGGGTTTCCAGCACGTCATCCCCTTTCTGAAATCCCAAAGTCGATGCGACCTTGGCTGCAACGGCTCCCAGGCTTACCAACTTCCAGTCCCCGCCGTGGTGTGGTGTAGCGAAAAATGCCAGCCCCGTCGTGGCATTCTTGATCGGAGTGTAGTCGGGGTTATTGTGCGCGTTGATTAGAGCTTGCTTGATCAGCAGTCCGCCCATGCTGTGGCCTAGCAGGAGGATTGGACGAGATTCCGCCTCGTCCCTCTCCGCCCTGATTGCCTCTAGCAGTGCGCTGGCCTTGTCGATGAACGTGCTCCTATCCTTACCGTACACGGCCGTTGCGTTGTACTCGTACAAGAAGATCCGTGACGTAGGGACGTGTTCGGGTAGATCGTCGCGGAGCCAGAGGTGGCCGTCGCGTCCCGCGGGTGTGCGCCATGTGTCCCACGCATGGGCGGCATCATCTTTGCTTCGGGGATTCAGGCCGTGTACGGCGATGATGCTGGTACTGTTAGCAGAGCCACGAATGGCAATTGGACAACGTACTCGACCTTTGCATCGCTTGATGCGTCGCTTAGGGTCGACTTCGGGTCGGGATATAGCTGTCGCAGCGGCTATATACTTCAGTTAGCTGGCGTAAGTATACATTGGCGGCAACTTACCATTGTATATACGTCCTCCGTTCGATATATGCTTGCCAGTCACGTTAAAACCTCCGCATGGGGTTGGGTCACGGTGTTAAGGAAGGGAAGAAAAGGACTCGTTGAGCGCCCAGCTGACTTTGGGCAGCAGAGCCAGCGCCAATCTCGCGAATGGGAGCGCGCCACGAACGCAGCCTGCACCCTGATGCAGGCTGGCATTGTGGCACGGGCGAAACCTGGACAAAATGCTCAAGATCGAATAAGACGACGTATACTGGTGCAGATGGCTGAAGCTGAGTAATACTGTTCTTTTGAGGTTAAGAATTATGCTTACGATAAATCAGATGGGACTGTGGCGCATATAAATAGACTTTCAGAGTAGGGTAGAGCATCATACAGGGACAGGCCATTTCTGGTTATTGACGAACTTTAACTTATTAAGCAAGAATGATTATGACACCACTTTGGTTTTTAGCATAACTAATATATGTAAAAATAAATAAATAAATATAATATTCCTTGCTATCCATACCGAAACAGCTCCTACTTCAGTGCAGTGCTCGATTCGGTTTTCTAATGTCCAGCGCCAGATCCGCACTGGTCTGACGAATTACCGAACACGAAGTATAATTCGCGGTCGCTTAGTCTTCCTACTATGGTCCACGCCTCCGATATTTCCATGTACTGCTGACCGCTTCAACTTAATCCGAATCGGGTTGTGCATCTCAGACATCTTTGTTGGATGCAGCGTGAGCTTAATGCGCGGGTTTCCACAAGTGAGAAACTCGCCAGCGTCGCAAGGTAACTCATATGCTGAATCCTCAATGCTTTTTGGAACGGCATCGGTACTAATAGACGAGGGTGACTCAGAACAGCTTGGCTCAGCACTTGCTTTGATGGATGGCTCTGAGAACGAAAGTGACGGGCAAGGTGACGAGCCCCGTGAAGGTGGAAACTCGATGAGCTCCTCCATGAGCTTATCGATCTCGGGCTGGTGGTGGTTCACTCACAGGATCGTATTTGGCTAGCGCCATGCTGTGGAGTTCAACCTCGGTTTCGGACTGCTTGAGTAGTAGTGGTGGCTTAGTAATGACAGCCGAGGATGGTTCGTCCTTGATAGTTTGAATAATGCCAGTGGTCTCTTCATCTTTAGGACTTGTTTCCATGGTCCCAGGCGATGTCGATACTCTGTATCCATGATGGTCTGCCAAGTGGTATAAGCCGGATTGTTGATCCTGGGAAGAAAAGTCGCACTCAGCACAATACCATGTCCAGCCATGAGCATTTTCAATATGAGCGATAGCATCGCAATCTCTGCGCCAGTACTGGAGTCGCTGGCTGGCGGATAACGCCGCTGACTGCTTGCAGACAAGACAAAAGGCAGGTCGAACGAGCGTGCTACGATGCGTGAATACACCACATCGCTTGAATCTTAAGGATATATGACGCTGACAGTCTCGTTCCCACTCACTCTCTGTATAAAACTCGAAACAGAAGTAGCAGAACCGCAGACTATATGGGAGCACGTCAAGCGTTTTGGCCACGTCCTGTCTTCGGCAGCGATGGATATGGTCACATCGTTCGCGTTTTGGAAGTCTAAGCCTGGTTAGATATCAATTATATCAGTATTCAAGAACATACCCTTCAATGTCGGTGTTGCAGTTGCTACACCTGCCGCAAACGGGGCTCTCATTGGGGCGGTAAAACACTGCACCCGATTCCCGGAGTACAACTTGCATATCGTCCGATAGTTGTCCGAGCGATCTTCGATCGAATAGCTGGTCGCTCTGCATTGCATCTGCAATTCGACCTCGCTCAGGTAAGACATCTCTCAAGGGATCTGGTTCGTCTTGTGTTGGTGCCTGACCGTGGAGTAACTTTTCCTGTTGTAGCCTTTTAAAGCAGTCCTCTCGATATGAAAGCAGGGCTGCTCTCTCCAATCTGACTGTGGTATTCCTTTGATCGCGCTTCAACAATGCCAGCTCATCTCCAGTGCAACACTTCATCTTTTCCGCAATGTCGACCAGTTCCGAACTCAGTCTCACCTCCTGACGCAACGACGCGGGGAGTTTGACTGGCATGCCAGGCTGCCAGAATTGCCCCATACCTTGGAAATAATCAGCTGCATCGTGATTTGGTTTCTCGCCAAGAAAAGCTACAAACCCGTCACAAGATGAGATGCGCGCAACATAGCTCTGTCCAAAGACGGTTGGGTCACTTTGCACCAGATGCTGAGATCGTTGTGTTTCAGTGTAGTATTCTAGCGCTTAATTAGTAACGCTCTGGATCATATATACAATAACTTACTATCAATCATTTTACCAACCTCCCGTCGAATTTGGTGAATGCTTGCTCGCGCCGATTTATACTCCGCAGCGAACAGCATTTTAAAATTCGCATCAAAGACATCTGACGTCATGGGTTTTTTCGTGAGATTTCCTTGGCGATCCACGCCAGGGCATACTGGCAGTGTCTCGCTGTTTGGTATCCAGTTGATTGTTCCGTCTCCATTTCCATTTAGGACACGGAGTAGATGGTCGGCATCCAACGCTCTATCCGCAATAGCAAATTGAATAAGAAGCCACGGAGCGTTGTACCGAAGTATAGAATGCTCTTGGCGAGTGTATCCGTATCTAAAAATTAGCATCCGACTGATATAAAGTCAATACAACTCACCCTTTGTGTTCTGCATCTCGATTTCCTTTCACGCCACGTTGATCGACAGCGTAAGAGAAAGTTGGGCCCTCGGCTGTTCGCCGTAGCACTAATTTGTAATGCTTTGGACTCAGTTAGATTGTAGATTCAAAAAGTTTTACATATATAAGCATACCTCGTAGCGTCTGCCGCCTTTAAAGAAGTGGCCCTTGCGGCCACCACTGGTGCAAAAGTCCAAGAGTATGAAGTGGACATTGTACCTGATTCGCTCATGAGGTATATTGAGATCCGCCCGACTGTACAGTGATCGGAGGTTACGATCAAGATCCTCACGTTTGAAGAGATACTTCGGCCTCTCAATGGGTGCAACCCTGGATTCCGGTTCATATGGTATAACCCACCTAAGCCACTATCGCTCATGTTAGTAAAGCATACCGCTTCGTCATTCTAACTTCGGCTCACGTGGTTAATCTCGGCTGTAGCATCGTCGCTGAGTTCAGCCCCGGTAAGACGCTTAAGTCCAGCCTTGAGGCGTTTTGCAGAGGTTCTGAGCGAGACAGGCGTCGGTCCTTCACCAAGTAGACCCTTTGACTGGTTTATAAAAAACCGCCAGAAATCCTTCAATTCGTGAAGCTCAGGGAGCTCGCTGCCCTTGGCAAGGACAGAGCGTTCGCATTCCTCGACTATCCATTGTTTGCCACTTTTGCTCCATTGCCAGCTTCAAAAGTTAGTCCAGGGATTATCAAGGAGCGCAGCGAGCATACATGACATAGGTTTTCAAGATATATTGTTGCTGTTGAAGGTTCCCTTCTGAGGCCGTTTTAACTCCAGTCTCCTTGTCAGCCTCTGCATGATCGTTTTGAACATAGCCATTGGCTTTTGCTCTAGCAATAATAGTTGAAGGGTCGGCTTTGCTGCGAGTAGGGCCGCTCGTAGGAAGTGGCTGCCGTGCGCTCATGGTGACGGTGACTGATAGATACGGGAGAATTATCATGAGGGCTGTCTCTGCTATTTAATATCCACTGCAGCACCCTCCGTCCATTTTCCCTATTTTGCCTCATTTTTTCCATAAGCAGAATCCTGAAAGCTGATTTGTGAAAGTGGTTGGAGGATGCAGGATGGCGTGGTCGCGCGGCGGTCGCGCGACAGTCTCTCAGGCATCCACGCAGAAGTCGCTACGCACGGACCATCAACGGGAGACCGAAATCCCCAGAGTCACCTCTACCTATCGGGGTATTGCAAGACACATCCATCCGATTCAACAGGGGTATAGGCAGAATGAACAGGGAATTTACACGGAATGAACAGGGTATTTTTGCACGATCTGGGCGGAATCAACAGGGATTAAGCACGACAACCACCTTGAGGCTCGAGTCTCTGCGCGGTGTGTCGGCGCTTCACGGTTACACGAGGAGAGAGGCAACCGGGTGGGGTCAATGTTTGGCCATGTAGGCTGTGAGGCTTCTGCTCGTTACAGACAATAAACAGCCGAGGTTGTCTCGCTAAGTTATTGTAGTTCCAGCGTATTTATCTTATTGTAATCACTCAGCCAAGTTTTATACAAGACAGCAACATGGCGTCAGCGACCGGCGCCCCTGGCAACCAGGGAACTGAACCATACCAGCTTGCGAACGAAGATTATACTGTCGGCTGGATTTGCGCCTTGACGACCGAAAATGTCGCGGCGCAGGTCTTTCTTGACCAGAAGCATGCGGCCCCTACCTCCATCGCAACTCATGATAATAACGACTACACGTTGGGCCGTATCGGAAAACACAATGTCGTTATTGCCGTGCTTCCAGGTGGGGAATACGGCACAGCATCCGCCGCCGGCGTGGCGCGCGACATGCTCCATACCTTCCCCAATATACGAATCGGACTCATGGTTGGCATTGGCGGCGGTGCGCCAACCTCGAAGAACGATATCCGGCTCGGTGATGTTGTCGTCAGCGAACCTAAAACCGGACGCGGAGGCGTGTTTCAGTACGACTATGGCAAGAACATCCAGGATCAGCCATTCCAGAGCACACGCTTTCTGGCGCCGCCGCCGCCCATGCTGCTAACAGCAATTAATGGGCTAAGAGCGGAATACGAGATCGACGGCCATACTATTCGAGAAAGTATTGAAGCATGTCTGTTGGAGAGAAAGAGGCTACGAAAGAAATATAGCCGTCCTGATATAGCGACCGATCAACTATACCAATCAGACGTAGTTCATCTGCTGGGCGATGGACACTGCCTGGGTACTTGTGATAGTGACGCCTCGTCTATCATCGTACGCCGTACCCGAGACGAGGATGACGATGATCCAGTTATACACTATGGGTTGATCGCGTCGGCGAACCAATTGATGAAAGATGCCCACGTTCGAGATCAGTTTGCGAGAAAAGAAGAAGTTCTGTGTTTCGAGATGGAAGCAGGCGGATTGATGAATCACTTTCCATGCCTGGTCATTCGAGGGATATGCGACTATTCTGATACTCATAAAAACAAGGATTGGCAAGGCTACGCCGCTATGACTGCAGCAGCATATGCCAAAGATCTTCTTAAAAGAATATCACCAAGCAAAGTGGAGGCAGAGCAAAAGCTCAGTGAATTGTTTAAGAAAGGTTAGCTAATTTTCATTACTCTACATTGCTCCAAAGCGTGAATATTAACCTAGGACTCGCTCTGCTACATATATAGTCTCCGAGGCTGTTATGACAACAAGTGAAGCTATTACTCATATCAAGTCCACGATGTTTAAAGATGAAGACAACAAAATTCTTGACTGGCTAGCATCAAGTAGCTATGGTTCGAAATATAGCGATCTCTTGAAGGACCGACAGCCAGGAACGGGCCAATGGTTTCTAGACTCAGCGGAGTATCAAACGTGGCTGGGTACACAGAAACAGACACTGTTCTGTCCAGGCATTCCTGGAGCCGGAAAGACGATACTCGCATCAATAGTCATTGAGGATCTCTTTTCGCGCTTCGAAAGTAACCAGGAAATTGGTATTGCATACTTATACTGCGACTTCCAGAGGCAAGACAATCAGAAAGTCGACGATCTCCTCGCTAGTCTACTGAGGCAGCTAGCTCAGCGTCGGCCATCTCTGCCAGACGAGCTAAAATCTCTCTATAAGAAACATAAAGACATACAGACAAGGCCATCTGTTGATGAAATCCTCTCCGGTCTCGAATCGGTAGCTAGGATATACTCAAGGGTATTGATTGTCGTGGATGCGCTTGATGAATGCGAGATGAAATGTATGTTAAAATTTCTATCGCACTTGTTCAGCCTCCAAGCAAGCACTATGGCAAATATCTTGGCAACCTCGCGACCTATTGAAATAATTAAAAAAGAATTTGAAGGTAGAAGCGAGATAGTAAACATCAGTGCCAGAAACGAAGACGTCGAGAAATACCTGGATAGCGATATGAAAATGCTGCGATTACTGGACAAAGGGAGTGATGGCTTGTCAGACAAAAGGAGAGAAGAGCTTCAGAAAGAAATTAAAAATACGCTTATCAAATGCGTCAATGGCATGTAAGTTATATATATCAAATCATAGATTTAACTAAGGTTATTAACAATACTGTAGGTTTCTCCTTGCACGACTTCACCTAGCATCGCTTGTCGACAAGACATCAGAGTTTGCCCTATGTACCGCCCTGAAATCTCTCCCAAAAGGGCAGAATGCGTTGGCCCAGGCATACGGATTAACTATCAAGAGGATCAGAAGCCAGCCAGAGGGCTGGCGATCGCTTGCCGAGAGGGTTCTCACATTGCTCACCTGCGCTAAAAGTCAGCTCACAACCTTGGAGCTCCAAGACGCTCTTGCGGTGACAGAGGGTGATTCAAGACTTGACAAAACTAAACGAGAGCTCACGAATACTATCGTTCTTGTATGCGCAGGTCTTGTGACTGTCGATGCATATAGCGGTATTATTCGCTTGGTTCATGAGACGACAAGAGAATATTTTGCGAGCCATATGCATTGCATTAGACCTCAGAAAGCCGTCACAAATACAGAGGATCCTATGAAACTAGACGATGAAAAGAATGCCAGTGCCACAGTTGAGGCTCACAGGACCTTCGCGATCATTTGCATCAGTTACCTCTCATTCAGCGATTTCGACAGCGGGTTTTGTCAAACGGACGCCGCATTTGAACAGCGGCTACGGTCAAATCAGCTCTACAAGTACGCCGCATGCAACTGGGGTTACCATGCTCACGAGGCTTCAACATTATGTCCTAACATTACATGGTTTTTGGAAGATTCGCCGAAAGTGGAGGCATCGAGCCAGGCCTTAATGGCTACTGATTCATGGCGTTCCAATTGGAGCCAGTTGGTTCCCAAGAGGGTAACGGGGATTCACCTAGCAGCATATTTCGGTCTTCAAGAATCAGTGCGCATATTGCTTCAGGATTGGCAAAATATTGATGTCAGGGATGACTGGGGTCGTACATCACTCTTATATGCTGCTCGGAACGGATATGAGGCTACTGTCCAGCTGTTGCTAGCCACAGAAAAAGTCGATGTCAATGCCAAGGATAAGTGGGGTCGCACACCACTGTCATATACCGCCGAGAACGGGCACGAGTCTATAGTCAAGCTGCTACTAGCATCGGACAAGGTCGACGTTAATACCCAAGATCAGTGGGGTCAAACATTGCTGTCATATGCCGCCGAGGGCGGGCATGAAGCGGTTGTCAACCTGCTACTGGCAACGGACAAGGTCGCTGTTGATACCCAAGATCAGTGGGGTCGGTCACCACTTTCATATGCTGCTATGAAGGGGCATCAGGCTATGGTTAAGCTGCTGCTGATGACAGACAAGGTTGACATTGATACCCAAGATCGGTGGGGTCGGATGCCACTCTCATATGCCGTCGAGAACGGGCACGAGACTGTCGTCAAGTTGTTGCTCGATCGAGATGCTGATGTCAACATCACTAGTAATGGCGATTGGACACCGCTCAATTATGCCTCAAGAACTGGTTATATAAACGTCGTTAAGCTTTTGCTTAATAAAGGTGCTAATATCGATGCCTTGACAAAGTGTGGGCGGACATCATTGCACTATTCCTCTTACTATGGCTTTGTCGATGTGGTAGAGATCCTGCTTATCTGTGGTATTCATCATCATACCATGGATATTCATGGACGTTCGCCGCTCTTTATGGCATCAATATCCACAAATAATCATTCCGCCGTTGTCAGATGTCTGCTATCGTATGGTGTGCTACCCGATGTTGCAGATCGATATGGTACGACACCTTTATTTGCTGCTATCAAACATGAGAACATTGACGTTGCTCGATTACTGCTTGCAACCAAAGCTGTGGATTTGACTGTAAAAGATGGTTTTGGTAAATCGCTAGGTTACTGGGCAGCTAGAAGCAAAAACAGGCTAGTTATCGACCTTCTAAGTCATCATGGTGTGTTGGCTGGTGCACTGCCTGAACTCGATAGCAATGTGATCAGTGCGCCAAAGGAATATGGATCACTCTACTGTGATATATGCGTTGGTCGTGTTGCTATAGGACAGAGCTACCGTCGTTGCGAAATTTGCGATATAGATGAGTTTAGCATATGCCAAGAGTGCTACGAAGCTGGATTCCGATGTCACGAGGGAACACATGAACTTAGCTATATTCAATCGTATATAAGTAGTTAATAGCCTTTAATCAAATGACTTGGAACTTCGAATAGTAGCCTACAAACTCATTTAAATAATTCTCTACTAGTCTCGATGTCTTTGCTAGGCTTGATCCCAAGACTGAATAGGGCTCGGCCGGCGCACATTCTGACTCTGACTCAGCTTTCATCGTCTTGCGAATGGTAATCGTTGTGATCGCCATCAAGATGCTCAGCAAGTCCGATTCTCGCGGTGCCTCGTGTCTGCGCGTAATAATTATACATCAATGATCCTATCATGGCCCCGATGTATAATTCGGGCTGGGCAAAGTTGGACAAGTATTATTGCCTTACTGATGAATCGCCTGCCTACGTTGCAGCTACTATTTTGCACCCTTCACACAAGTGGCACTATATACATAAAAACTGGAAGAAGGAGTAGGTTGAGTCTTCAAAACAGCCTATTGAGGCGCTATGGGACGAATACAAGCCCGTGGAATTACCTCTTCTGCTTTGTGAAGTCTTGTCAACGACTACGAACGAGTTTCTCGATTGGAGGAATAAGCATCTGCAGCCATCATTGATCACAGATGAGTATGAGCGATATTGTAAGTCTGAGAGGGTTTATGGATTTACAAGCGCTCTTGCATGGTGGTTAGAGGACACACAGCAGAAAAATTACCCTAGCCTAAGCAAAATGGCTATAGATATACTGTCTATTCCTGCGATGTCTGCAGAGCCAGAAAGGCTCTTCTCTAGAGCGAAGATAATTATTACAGACCGCCGAAATCGGCTTGGGAGTGATGTAATTGAAGCATTGGAGTGTCTAAAGTCGTGGTTTGGGGCACAGGAGTTTCAAGAAGACAGCGATATAGTAGATTAATATCACATGTAATATACACAATATATCGTAATATTGGCAATACAATACAATATGTGCCTCCGCCATATTGTAGGATATAATACACGCTACTGCCATATTGCGTGATACAATATGTACTGCTTGGCAATACAATATTATTACGGGGTTCTCATATTGCCAATATACGTATTGTTTGTACTATTAGCAACACTGGTGATAGGAAAAACCAGGCTCTATTTACTGTTAAATCAACGGTGTTTTGTATTCAATTGGTCGATGTGCGGTAATGGATGCTATTCATTAAACATTCTCGCCCTGAAATGCTACTGTAGACATTTGATGATGTATAATTTGCAGCTAGCTTATACCGTATCGTAGTACCGGCTCGTTCTGACCACATAGGCTTGCTTAAGCCATGACCATCTCAAAGAGAAGAGGCTTCTTGTCGGTACTGGTGCTACGTGCTGGTCTGATGGTCCAGGCGTTGCCGACCTTCATTCCGGGCGAGCTAAATACCTTGCCGGCACCTACAAGAAGAAAAACAAGTTAGTTTGGCAGGATGCCCAACAGACATAACGGGACAGTATATACTTACTAGGGCTGGTACGGAAGGCAGGGGTAAAGTCTATAATACGGACGGCCTTCTTGGTGACGGGATTGCAGACGTAGCGAGCCTCAAAAGGCAAGGCCTTGGTCTTCTTGTTGCCGTCCTTCGGGTTGCCGGCGGCAGGGTAGAAGATGTTAGGGTAGTAATAGCCCAAGTCGACCTCGAGCTCGTCGCCGTCCTTGTCTTTAAAGTACATGACGTTCTTTCGCAGATAGAAAGCAACGCCCTTGCCATCCGTGGGAACCCAGTTGTCGCGGGGCGCACCATAAGCGACGCGATGCGTGGGACCCTTAAAGTCCTCAAAGTGCGCCTGTAGAAAGAACTTCTGGGGCACATCGGCCTGGGGGGTCAGGTCGAGGTCGAGACCAAGGCCGCAGAGGTTAATGTTGAGAGGGTCATCGCCCGCAGCAGGGGCAGCGATGGTACCGGTGGCCGCAGTGAGGAGGAGAGTAAGAAGTGAGAGCTTCATCTTGTAATGTGGGGGGCAAGGAGTTGGCGCAGAAGCAGCCTGGTGCCCTACAAGGACAGGCTGCTCTCTTTATACTTTTTATCTCTAGTTTATCCTTACACTTCGATGGGCAAGGTAATTACAGGCCAGATGCAGCAGCTATCCGTCTCACCGTAATATCGGCTTGGCTGCGGGCCGCCGATCCTCCTTGACCAGGCCGACCAGCCACAAAAACCACCAATGAAAAAAAGAATTTGCCAAAAGAAACAAAGTAAACGCGGCTCACTCGGCTGAGCCATCGATCCACTACGTCTTGTAAGCAAATAGCGCTCCCTTGTTGCTTTGCTTTGCTTTGATTAGTCTCAGTGTAGAGTGGAGTAGAGATGCGAGGTGAGGTCGTGCATTAGCCTCGCAAGGTCATCTCGATTCGGAAAGGCTTGTTGCTTGGTTGCAGCTGCAAAGCCAAAGGGAGACCCGGGCTGCAGCCAACTCCGGCGAGGTTGCCCGATATCCATGATCGTCTTTCTAATGCTGTTGGGCTCCTCGCCTGAAGTTGCAACTCTGTACCGGATTTTTTTCGCCTCGCAGTAAGACACCTTCCATTTGAAGTCATAGCATAGTAGATGCAGACCGGATTGTTTCGATCGTACGTCCGGTCGCTTTCGATGTCACTGGATCGAAATAGTGACAGATCGCAATTCGTCCTGTAAGACATTCTGGTAGCGATCCCATGCTTCTTGGACTCAACGTTGCCCCGTTGCCAACGACTGTGTTCTTGCAGTCTCGCAAAGGAGATAGACGGTGCAAGCGAGGGAACGTAATGAAAAGTGGGAAACGAACAGAAAAAGATGTTCAGCGGGGTATCTGAAATGCGTTGGTGCAATGGAGAATCGTTACGATGCTGGTTCAGAGCCTCAAAAGGCACGATCACAACGATAACAACAAAAATTCGCCATGCTAAACCAATGTTTGTCGTGTTATGGTGGCTCATTCTCTCAGCTTTTCGGATGGGTTGGCCTACTTTATCAGTCGTGGGCACACGGTAATCTGTTAGGCCGCGTTTGGCGTATTGTTCACCGAAAAACGACACAATGTGCGCTATGCAATAGTCTTCATTACCTTCTTTATAAATAAATATTATTATCGTGGTTCACGGGCGAGTGGGCCACCTAAATACACATACTGTTGGTTCAAGGATTAATAACATGTGTTATCAAAAGGTAAGAGGTTGTAGTAAAAATTCGTTGTTCTCTTCAAGTTCCATGGTCGGAACTGCTCTAGTTAAATACACCGAATACATCCTGTATTCACTTCCTTTTCCTGTGTCTTCCACTTCTTTCTCCTTCCGTGGCCACTTCCAGTGACTTAACCATTCCTTCACTTCTCTAGCAAAGTAACACACGTCCAGTGTCACAATAGTCACAACAGCTATAGAACCTCGAAAATGTCCGGTGCAGAAGTTCTTGGCATTATTTCTACTGTGATTTCCATCATCGATACTACGATCCAGCTAAGCATTACTATTAAAGACGAAGCTAGTCTGCCATCCAACTTCAAGACAGTAGCAGCAAAACTGCCTCTGATTGCAAAGCTTCTCGATAATACAGAGCGATATGTTGAAGAGGAAGCAAACAACGATCTCGCATCAACTTTCCTGGCTATCTTACGAGACTGTGAAGAGAAAGCTACAAAATTACAGGTATTGTTTGAAAAGGTTGTCCCGGCCAACGGTGACTCGAGAGTCGACCGGTATATCAAAGCTGCTCGAACCATCGGCAACGGTGGTCGCGTGGAGACCCTGATGAAAGCAATTCTTGATGGCCTACAGCTTCTTATGACCACATTCCCGAGGGTTACATCTCGAAGAGGACTGGAAAACTTGACAAAAGCGATTGAGTAGGTAGGTGAGATGGAGCCATCCCTACCTGACGGATTTGAAGACGCAGCGACGTATGCACACTACGGCAGTGGTGCTCCGAGAACGTCAATACTGGAGTTGGGATCCAATATAACAACAATAGTACAGGAAATCAGCTCTTTCGGTCGACTCTGTACGTTGTTGAGTGCTATTTTCCTATCTATTACAGGGTATCGCGACTCTTCGCGATTATTTTTTTTTCTTTCATACAACCCCATATCAATTCGTTCCTTCTTATACATTTGTTACGAGTTTACCTATTATCACGCGCGCCTCGCAGTAGATTATCAAAAAAGGCCATATCAACACCCTCTAGTGTCCAGTCGTCCACTCCATCGGCACCCTGCAAGCTAAAATGAGCCATGTGCTGCCGCTGCCGCTGCTGTTGTTGCATAAACGGATTGCTCGGATTGACGGGCGAGTATTGCGTTGATGATGCAGTATAGACTTCTGGCGACTGCGCAAAGGTGCTTGACTGCTCTACTATTGACACCCTCTCCGAGTTGCCCACGTTTGACGAAGAAGCATTGGCATGCCCACGTAGGCGCCGGTCGGTTTGCTGCGGAGTTGTCTGGAGTACGGCGTTTGATGAAGAATACTGGGCAGATGCCGGCAGTCCTGGGCTTAACGGACTGTTTTGTGAAGCCTCGCGCATGACAGTAGGGTTCTGTCGTGTGATTTTGATGCGGCCAATGTACGGGATTTGTAAGTGCAGCTGTCCCCGCTCGGCGTTGAGGTGCATTTCATCACTGCGGTCCGCAATGTAGCAATCTTCCCCCGAGGCCTCTATCTGCAGCAGGCTGTGGATGAGAGCGGCGCTGTTCTCGTAAATGGCATCATGGCTATTGAGGCTGCTGATGAATTGTACCCTCTCGAGCGTCTGTTCCAGCAGTGCGCGGTCCGTGGACCGATGATGGGCGAGGTGCTTGGCGGCAGCAGGGTGGTGGCGAGTATTCAAGTGTGCGAGAATCAGCGTCATGGCAGCCAGCAGCGCGAAAAAGTCGACGGGGCGTGAGCACAAGGACTTGGGGTTAAATGTGCGGTGGGCAATGAAGCGCGTGATGATCTCGCGACTAGCGTTTGCACAGGTTGTTTTGGAGTAGTCATCGTCAGAAGCACTATTCGCGGCAATGCCCTGTACCATGTAGGGCAGATGGAGCTGGATGAGCAAGCTGTAGTAGTAAACGTGGGCGGAGAGCCGCACAGTCTCAAGTAAAGTGTCTGGCGACCCTGGTGAGTGGCCATGAAAGCTGATGGGCCGCCAAAAGCTAGACGGCATGGCTATAGACACGGAGAGCAAATCATTGTCAATGGATTTGGTAGTTGCCGAGTCGTCCAGATGAAAGGGGCTTTCGTTGCGCTCGAGAATACGCGACGCAATGACGGTTAGCAGCCGTTCAAACTTGCCGAGGGGCGGCTCTTGTCGCAACGTAGCCGCAGGACCGATGCTCTTGTCCGGCGTGCCCTGGGGGAGACCGAGCAGCAGGCTAAGATAGCGGTCCATGTAGACGATGCGAAACCACATAAACTCCGGATCGGTATCGTCTTGGTCGTCGATACGCTGGACGGGGCCAATGTTGGGACGATGCAGGCCCATGAGCTGGGCGACGGTCATGGCGCGTCGGTAGACGGCCCAGGCACGCCGTAGATGGCCGCAGTTGATTTCGTAGACGGCTTCGAGCAGGATGCACGCGAGGCTGTCGATGCTTGTGTGCATGTCATGCTTGGTAGTGACCCAGGTTGTGGCAGCGGCCACGAGGCGGCGCATCAGGACGCCCTGGGGTTCGCAGAGACCGGCAATCTGATGCCCGCTAGGACTCTGTAGGGTAATTGCAAATGTGAGCATGAGCCTGGCGAGTGTGACGGGATGAGTCGTTGCGCGCGCGGGCAGTTGCACTCGGCGCCGGCGCGACGTCAAGGCCTCGCGTGTCAACTTGCTGTGCGGCTGCATATTGACAAGATCTGTGTAGAGAGCGACTCGATGGCTGTCTTTGAGAAGCAGCATGGCATCATCGTGGGTTGGAAAGGCGGCGTATAGATGGTGTAGAGCGGTTGCATTGCTGTCTGTGTGGCCGCTGGGCGGCTCCGGATACGGTGCACCATGTACGAGCAGCGACGACACGGTGGCAGCATCGGCAAGACTCTACTCAATATCGGTAAATGAAATCTCGCTTTTTGCGATTTAACTGATGGAGACAGCTCGAGTGCAACTTACATCTGCCGGCGTCGGAGGAGCTGCGCGGTTTGGCTGTGCCGTATCACAGGCGTAGGCTGCCGACTGCGTTGGAGAGGTAGCATTGTCAGACGCTGAGGTCGATGTTGGACGTGGACTATTGGTCAAGAAACTCTGTATCAAGTCCTCTACCTTTGTAATTCGGTCGCCGAGGTGGCGGCTGGTATGGCGACTGGACGGCGGCGGCTGCTCGGGCATGCTCTGGGAGACGCAGGGGACATTGCGGCGGAAGCAGTTGAGACAGGTGGAATCGCGGGCGGTTTGGAACTTGCAACTGACTTTGCGGCGCTTGCATTCCCAGCAAGACCGCGTGCCTTTGCGAATCTTGATGCGTTTGGCTTGATGGGGGATTGGAGTTGTGTTGTGCTCGTCCATGGTGGCGATGCTACAGCGGCAAGCCTATTGTGTGATGTTTTAGAGTATGCACACGTATATTCTGGTGCAGGGCGTATATACGAATCCAGCTGAACACTCTAATACAGTCGCATATTTTAATTGTATTTTCTAGATGTCGCAGGGCAATCTGCCGTGTACGGTGAGTGTCTTGTGAAAAGAGGAAGCATCCCCCGAGACGGCGGACAAACACGGTGCTTACAAAAACAGCCCGCGCTTGTTCCGCCGAGCCGGACGAAAGCAGTCGCAGCACCTTTGTAAGTGGGAGTGCATAGCCAATTCGGGGAACTCGGGATCCACGCTAACAAGAGCGCCACAGCCTAACCAACGGTGCCGCCCCCGCCCAAAAAGAACAAATACTCCGCCGAGACGGAGCAAGGCTCAGCTTATACAGCCACCAGGGTGACAAACTACACCTGTATCTCGGAGGAACAAACTCTCCTGAGCATGGCAACTGCAATGAAACAACTTCCGGGTCCAGGCCGGCCTGGCTTTAAAAAAGCATGGCCCCTATCCGTATTGGCGATTCTGATGCGAAACAGCCACTCGCAGCGCTTTGTTTGCCGGCTAAACAACGAACGCCTACAACCGAACCGAACTTGATCTCGGCGTTATTTTTTTTTGTTTATACCTTTACTCTTTGCGACCCGGCAGTGTTCTCTTCCAACGACTCTCTTGTCTTTCTTTTTACAATAATCCTTTTAATATTCTCCCCAGACAACTCTGTGGAAACGCAACCCGTGGAAACCATGACAACCATCTCGGAAACCAGCCATGACGGCGCGAATACCAACGACATGTTCCGTGGTGCTGACCTGGAAAAGCCCGTGCAATTTGACCGTGCTGCGCCTGCGGCTTCTACTTCTGCTGCTGGTGCTGGTGCTGGTGCTGCTGGGCCGCCACCTCCTCCTGATGGTGGCCTAGTTGCTTGGCTCCAGGTCGCGGCCGGCTTCCTGCTCTTCTTCAACACATGGGGCATGATCAACACGTTTGCCGTCTTCCAGACATACTACGAGTCCGGCGTGTTGTTCCAGGCATCTTCTTCGGACATTTCGTGGATTGGCTCCATCCAGTGCTTCCTGCTGCAGTTGACGGGCTTGGTGGCCGGGCCCGTCTATGACCGCGGCCACTTGCGTGCGCTGCTGGTGTCGGGCAGCTTTCTTGTAGTCTTTGGCTTTATGATACTGTCTCTATGTACGCAGTTCTGGCAGGCCCTTCTTGCCCAGGCCTTCTGCGTTGGCATTGGCGCCGGCCTCTTGTTCACGCCTACCGTGTCGCTGATTCCAACGTGGTTTAGCTCACACATGAGCCTGGCCATTGGCATTGCCTCAGCCGGCTCGTCACTTGGAGGTGTCATTTACCCCATTGTTCTCTACCAACTCATCGACAAGGTCGGCTTCCCGTGGGCCGTGCGATCACTGGGATTCATTGCCTTGGCCACCTTTATTCTACCCGTGGCCGTTATGAAGATGCGCATTCGCGCCCCCAAGCCCCGTGCCATGGTCGACTGGTCGGCCTTTGTGGACGTGCCCTTTATGGTCTTTACGCTGGGCATGCTGATTGTCTTTATTGGAAATGCCGTCCTCATCTTTTACATTTCATTTTACCCCCAGAACCGCGGCTTTACCGACACCTCGCTGTCCTTTTACATGGCCGCCATCTTCAACGCGGCCTCCATCTTTGGTCGCATCGTACCCAATGCCATTTCGGACTGCATCGGCGTCTTCAACACGATTGCTCCCGTGACACTCGTCTTGGGCATCACAGTGCTCTGCATGCTAGCTGTACAAAACGAAACCGGTATCATTGTCGAGGCCATAGTCACGGGCTTTTTTAGCGGCGTTGTTGTCGCGTTGCCGCCAGTGTGTTTCCGGATGCTGACGGACAACAAGGCCATGATTGGCACACGTATCGGACAAGGCTTTGCCATTGCCGGGCTGGGGTTGCTGATTGGAGGGCCTAGTAGTGGTGCAATTCTCGGTAGCGCTGAGCCACTAAACTGGAATGGTCTTTGGGCGTATGGTGGTGTCGCGGGATGTATCGGTGGATTGATCCTTGTGGCGGTCCGTGTAATCAAAGCTGGTGTATCAATGAGCGTCAAGGTCTAATCAATTCGGCTGTGGATGCGTCGGAGGAAAAAAAAGGCGTTTGTATTTGATAGCAGAGCCTCGTCTGGTTTTTCTTTCTTTCTTTTTTTTAAATCATTATTTGTGATTTCTTTTATTCAGCTCTTTGGTGGTGTAGTTTAGAAATTAGACGGCAAATATGAATGACACCCTTTTAATCCTTCCCCTACTCTAATGATGGCTGCTAAATATTATATGTCCGTAGATCCTCCAGCCGGAATTTCGCGGAACCTAATTAGCCTGTGGATTTTGTAGCTGCAACCAAGGAGGCGATGAAAAGCAGGCTCTCGGTCGAAAGCGCTCGGGCACATGTGGACCTAACAATAGTCCGTTGATAGCGCAAACTCAAGATCTCTTAGATTGAAAGACTCGGGTACCAAGACCGAGGATAAACTACCGGGATAGATATATAATAGTTAATTCACCTGTTCTATTCTACAACTACTCTTAGATTCAACTTTAAGCCCTTAACTACTCTATTAATTCTAAATTAAAGCCCGCTTTAATTATTTTTACAGCACTATATACTTTAAACTATTGAAACCCATTCTTAATCACTCTCGGGATGTCTCGCTCGTTGAAGCGAACGTGACAATTTTGTCCAACCACGCCGCAACATCAATATAGCCCGCAGCACGAGCTGCGTCGGCAGCAGTTTGCCCTGTCATATTTCTCAACATCAACCATGCTAGAGGCTTTTCGCGATATTCGACATGTAGCTCTTCGCTTTTGCAAATTCTGGCAGCGAAGTGTTATCCGTGATATCTAGACTATCGCGCGAATAGCCAGCGCTCCAGAATGCACGATATAAAAGCGTGACGGTTTTCTGCACGCCGCTCCGAACAGCCATGTGCAAGGCAGAATCGCCGGCATGGTTATGGTGAACCAAGAGTGTTTGAAGCGCGCTCGCGTGGTCCACGGCTGCGATCTAAGCCACATGATTTCTGGGCCGTTTGATGAATGACTCTCTGCACACCCAACCGTTCGCCCGTAAACGTAGTAGCAATGTGCAAGAGAGAATCGCCTGTTTCGGGGTCAATGGCCAGCGCCAGTACCCTCAGAGCATTCTTTTCAGGCACATCAGGAGTGCTGAGCCAAAAGTCACCAGATCGGGCGCGTCTTAGTATGCCTTGGACTTGTTCTGGTGTCAAGCCAACAGACCTCTTGCTATTCCAGTACAAGAGGTCTTGATCTGGGCTTACAGGAAGCAATGAGGCTAGCAGAGGCTGAGATGGGGTTGACATAGCGCAGTTTGGCATGGATTGTGGCTAATGCTGGTAAGTAGTAACAGGATCAAGATCCAGCGGCGAATAAACAGTCAAAGGTCCGAACGTCATACAGATGTGGCAAATATGGTTTTCTATGGGCACGTGGGTTGGGCAACAGCCATGAGAATTAGGCAACTCCTCCGGCGCGTGTTGAGTGTGTCTACATGGCCCTCCATGGCCGACTCTCATGGTTTGGCCGACACCGCCTTGCATCGTTTATATAGCGTATTAGCTAAATTCAATGTCCTAAGTTACTACCTCGAAGCTTTTTTCTCGTGTCTAGTTCTAGTAATTCACGGCACTCTCCTGAACTACCGCTGTATTGTTCTCTGTTTCTTAAGTCTTCTGGCTTCGTTCAGGCTCTCTGGCGCGCTATAAGCCCCACCCACAGTGCAATGTTTCTGGGCTCACCCAAGTTTGTAGGCGGTTTCTGGTAACCCCGGAGTAACTTTGCTCCATGTAAAAATAGATATCAAGTATAAATAAATTCTACTCTCACTAGAATAACTATCTCGAAGCAAATAGAAGACATTTACATATGCCATTGTCCTTCAAGCCATTTCTGGACAATATGGAAAGTCCCTTCCTTTTGTTCGCTGGTCACAAAGTGGCCCCCATCTTCGATGGCAACAAATGCTAGTCGTCCGTCATGGGTGGCCTTCCATTCGCCTCTTACACCCATGCCATCTTCTAACGGACGCCAAGTGTTTGCTTGATACTCCGCCAATCCAGCCCATTCTAGTCTATCATACTGCCAAATATTACCGGCTGTATTAACCACATAGTCAAGTTTACCATTCATAACCAGAACCTTAATATCAGCAAGTTGTGGCTTCTCGGTGTAAGCATCCAGGACCGCTGCCAGTTCCTTCGTGGTTGGATTCCAGGGCGATCCATAGTTGCGGAACGCAAGGTGCATTTCGAGGTTCACAGGGCGAAAAACAAAGGGTTCTGGAACACCTATGGCTTCCTTGATCCTCTTTTGTGAAAAGTATTCCGTCACATCGACGTATCCAGGTGGCAAGCAAAAAGGCCACTCACTCCTAGGGTCACATCCTTTTTTAACTAGACGTTGTGTTAATCACTCAAGCTATGCGCAAGCCAAGGGACAGAAAAGGAAATATAAACGTACTATTACCAAGATTCACCTTGTGCTGTTCGACCAGGTCATTCATAGGCCCATGGATATACTTCTGACCAAAGTCATACGATGTGCGGCATTCTTCACCGTGATACACATTTTGGCAGCTCCGGCCTAGCCGCAATTGCTCTGGCAGATGCCTTGCCATGGACTCACAAGCCGTCGCATTGAGTAAACCAACTTCTTCGCGGTCTTTGCAAACAGTAGCATAAGCGCCTGCTGCTTGGGCTGTGAAGTCAATGACAGCGTCGATCAGGATAAGCGATTGGATATTGCCCCAAAACGCGAAATTGGAGTCGTAGCGACGAGATCGTAGAATATAGTCAAGGTATACTGGCCCATAGTGTCCACCGTAGGAAGCAGTTGCGATATGCAGTGGTAGGCGATACTTGTCTGGGAAGACGTCCTTGAAGAAAATGTTGAGAAACTGCTGAAAGTCTTGGGCCGTGTCTGTTCTCTGACAGGCAGTGGAAGTTGGTCATCAAGCTTGGAAAAGCCTGTACCAGATGGCTGATCAATAAACAGCAGCGACGCGTTCCTGTTCCAGGCCCATGGATTGGGAGTCGTGGTATGATCCTTACTGGAGTTCAGGGAGCAAGGGCCCAATCCAGCCACTGCACCGTTCATAGACGAGGCCCCAGGACCGCCACTCATGTAGAGGATAACTGGATCATTCTTGGGATCGTTTCGACTGTCGAAGTACCAGTAGAATATCTCGTGTCCCTCGCTGACGCGGACAGTCCCAGTCCACTGGGCCTCACCGTACGATGGGCATGCTGTGTTGTCTTGCCGAAGCTTGGTAAATTGATTGTTGGTATCTGGGCCAATTGGTTTCTGGCTTGTTGCTATGCAAAAACTAAGCAGATGAGCAATTGCAAAGACCTTAACATAGGTGAACCACGTCATTTTTTCATAGAAGTATGGAAAAGTAATTGATGGTTGAGATGAAAGGGAGTGGGGAACTCTAGCTACTTGCAACGGTTGGTGACTTATTGGAGTGAGCCTGATCCTCCCCTCCATCTCAAACAAGGCTGCGCCTTCGGAGCCAATCGAAGATTAGCTTCATCGAGTAAATGGACCTACATTTATCCGAGGCCATCTCGACATAACTCACAAGCACAAACAAAAGAAATTCAATAAAAAACTATTTTCTATATCAATATATAATCCTATTTACTCAACACTATCAAGCAATAATTATTAACAATACAAATGTGATACAGTTGACTCATTCAAGTGGTTACTAGGCTCTGTCTGACGTCCACTCTGTACAGGGTAGTCGACACTACTCCGTAATACAAAGATAAGAGTACGTGTCGTTTTTCAACCCATTATTCAATTGGCCTTTTTTGTTATTATTAACGTACAAGAACCAAGTATAAAAAGCCTAATACTCCACGATACGATTCTATGTATTGTGTTTCTCGCTTGTCAATCTGACTTTGAATTGTCTGCGCCGTTTCGTGGTGTGGATTTTCTACCAACCACCCCCTCGTACCTGACCGGTGTGCAGATTCGAAACAGTCCCATTCGCGCTGATCCGCTGTTGACAGATGAAGTATCTGCCATCCTGTTTGTTGACAGATAGCTACAATAGCTGGAAGAGTAAGAACCTCATCGCCAAACAGCAACAATGCTTCTGGAGTTGGTGGTTTCTCCCAGCACATGTCGCCAACCAATACGCGCCCTGCGGGCACGATTCGCGCAAGCCTCTCGAGCATGGCACGCGTGCCTCCCAAGGCGTGTGATGACCCGATACATATAGCGCGGTCTTGTGTAGCTTCCCATTTTGACCCCTCGATATCTTGAAAGCTCGCATCTAGTTGGCGCTCCTCAGCTGTGTGTTGTGCTCGGGCAAGCAGGTCGATGTCTGTGTCTATGCCAGTTATCGTCTTGACATTATACTCTTGAGCCGCCCGCATCAGAAGCTCGCCCCAGCCACAACCAATGTCTACCAACGTCGTGAACGACGATAGTTTTAAAAATGGAAGCATTGCATCGGCATGGTCCTTCGACAACGGGCAGTTCCACACCAAGTCAGCGTACTTGATCTCAGGCGGGACGTTGTCCATTGTAAGTATTTGTAGCGTTTACCGAGTTTGTAAAAGATCTCTTAATAAGCTATGACGCTATTTGTTAATAAAATGTTTTTTCGAAAGATTTTAAACATCATGTGTTGCATTTTCTTTTCTTTTGCGCCCGTATAAAAACCGTGTTGTTGTGAGTCATCGTAGAGAGGGGGGCGCTTCAGTAATATTCAGCTTGAGTATTATTTCCTATTAATTTAACACGAATTGACAGTATAAATAATTGTATGTTCATGTCTTCAAATTTGTAATGTTGTCGAGAGTATATGACACCATAATCCACTGCAACTTTGTCTGCCGTGCGACATTCAGTTACGCTGTTAAGGAGGCTACATAGCACTGTGTGAACGACACTTGACTAATTGCTTATTGAACCTAATGCGATACTGAATAAAAGCCTCTCCAAAAAACCGCTGAATTTGAAGCCGGTAGAGCCTGGAGACTCTTCTATAAAACCCAATTTCTTGTTCCTCCTGCTGTGTCTGCTGTTGGCTCTCCTGTCCAAGTAACTTCTAATGTACATTGTTAAGAAACGGTCCATATTCATATTGGCCGTCATCGATTCCCAATTCCTCAACATAGTCCTTGTAAGCCGCAAGAAGCTCTGTCATCTTATCAGCATTGGCGTCCGAGATATCATTTGTTTCTCCAGGATCTTAGGAATAAAGGTTGCTTTTCACTTGTCCTGGCGCATCCCCATTCGACCAAACAGCTCCCAAGACATGATATGATCTTTTGGGTAGATATGGATCTCTCCTCGCTCATCCGAGAGAAGGTATGGAACCCAAGAGCGACCCCTCATTGGTGCATTCTCGCGCCCTCGATATCTGGCATCTGGGTGTTTGACGCCAGCAAGATCCAAGATGGTTGGGCATATATCCATGACGGTGCTGAAAGCACTTTCTATTTTGCCACGGCAACTGTCAGTGAATTGAAGGTTACGCATTATCAACGGCACCCGGATACCTCCCTCAGACGTAAATGTTTTGTATAATCGAGACGGTGCTGTTCCTGCTGAAGCCCAACGAGGACTATACTATGCAAATGAGTTGTAACGGCCCAGGTTTTCCACTGAGTTATCGTAGTACTTGTCCAGGTGTTCTTCAAAGTTGGCTCCTACCAAGGGAACGGCTTCGAGGAGCATGCCTTCAGCACCATTGTCGGATATGAAGAGAACGAGCGTGTTATCTAGTTCATCGGTCTCCTTTAAGTAGTCGATAACCTTACCGATTTGTGCATCCATCCTCTCAACCATGGCCGCATAAATTTCCATTCGTCGTGCCGACGCAGCCTGTTGAGATTTTGAAAGGTCTTCCCACTCTTGATACAACTCGAGATCGTCTGGAATCGCCAAGACAGGATGGGGTACCGCCTCTTGTGGTACAATCTTCAGTTTCTTCAAAGCACTTATACGCCCTTGACGCAGAACTCCAGGACCCTCATCATATCTTCCCCTGTAGTTGTTACGATTTTCATCGGGAACTTGAAGTGGCCAATGAGGGGCTGTGAATACGAGATATGCAAAAAATGGCTTCGCTCTGTCGTCAGGTGAACGCTCTTTGAAATAATCCAGAAGTTTATTTACAAAGGCATCGCTTGAGTAGAAGTTGGGACCAAGGTCCCTGGGGTGTACTGCTTTGTCATCTTCCACATAGATATTGGGGATTTGCTCAAGCCATTGCATTCCTGACGTATGAGCCGCCACGAGCCGTGGAAGAGTCGATCTTCACATCTGTCGAGCCCATGTTGCTAGATTTGCAGAAGGCCGTGCAGGATCAACTTAATCAATGACATGTACGGTTCTGGAGGCGGGCATCCCGTGCCAGGATATCGATGCCGCTAGCTTTTGCGGACGCATGTTATGCCGAGCTCTTTGAGCAGGATTTCTTATAATCCACCTTTGCGCTGCAAGACATTTCCTTAGACTCATACGAACTTGGCGCGGCAGCGCTTGTGGCGCGAGGCGGTATTTGTTTCGCCCCCGCGCATCCGCTACTTCCTGCCATATCATGGCGACAGCCTCTGGCACGCTTCGTGGCAGCAGCTGCTCAAGCACTGTCGCAGCTTGATGTCCACCGGAGATCTCTCAGCGAATTTGATGTGCATTCTGGCTGCTCGGTTGACTTTAGCTATCATCAACCGCAAAATGAGTGGCAGGATCCAGATTCAGATGAGCAGCTAGATACAGAATCTGTTGTGACTATTGTGACATTGGACGTGTGTTACTTTGCTAGAGAAGTGAAGGAATGGTTACGTCACTGGAAGTGGCTAAGGAAAGAGAAAGAAGTGGAAGTCACAGGAAAAGGAAGTGAATACAGGATGTATTCGCTGTATTTAACTAGAGCAGTTCCGGCCATGGAACTAGAAGAGAACAACGAACTTTTACCACAACCTCTCACCTTTTGATAACACGTGTTATTAATCCTTGAACCAACAGAATCAGATGACCCGCTAATGATTGATGATGGGGTCCAAGTAACTTGAAACTTCATACACTAGTAAGAAAGAACTTGTTATATTATAAACTATACTAGACAGGCTATCTAGAACGATTGATAGAAAATTCTAGTTATGTTTAGATTGTTACTTAGCTTGTTTTGGGGGTCATGAATTGAAAGTAAGTATTTATTTCTCTGCTTGGCAAAGGAGATCTAGAAACCTGCCTAGCGAAGACGCCAGAATGGAGCACGCGACAGCCACCTACGCAGTCTCCCAGAGTAGAGTAGCTTCAAGATACAAGCAGATACAGAAACAAGTGCCGAGTAAAAATAGAACTTGTTAATTACCGCATAGCTATCACTGAATATGATTAATCATAGCTTCTTGGCGGATTTAAACTCCTACCTTATTAGGCAGGTCATCCGAAGCTAAAAAGATAGTGGCATTACGACGATCCCTGAAAATGAGGGGGGCTTAGCTTCTGTGTAGCGACGTCTGGGGTATCACGTGTGGTCGGCACAGACGATGCAGCTTTGCAGGGGATCTTTTGTTTTGCATACTGTCACGCTCCCAAACAAGCATATTCTGTTCGCTACAGTTACATTGCATATCGAGCTAACTTGTAGTAGAAGGAAGCTTATCAAGAATGGGCTGTAATATCTGCCGAGTCTTTGTTCAACTCGCGATTTTCAACTCGCGATTTTCAACCTTCTTAATTCGCTTGGAAATCCCACCTACCTGTTCCAACATGATTGATAACTACACTATTGTGGCAGGTGGCCATTATAGTTGAATTGCTTCTCGGAGCATGTCGTCACATAGAACTATTATAAAAGCGACGAATAGCTCCCTCTTGTCATTATTTTTGTAGTATCCCTCCATCAGCCTTCACTCTAAAAGCCTTTTCCTCTTTACCTTCTATACACTTCGTTCTCACAGCCCATTATGAAGTACCAAATTGCCTTTACCAGCCTGCTCTCTTTGGCCGCAGCTGGCCGCCTCAGGCGCGGTGAGGATATTGTTGGCGGACAGGAAGTCGACATCAAGGACTATCCTTATCAGTCTCTGTCCCTGATTGATGGCCAGCAGTGGTGCGGCGGTACAATTGTCAACAAGCGTCACATTGTCACTGCAGCCCATTGTCACCAAGGTTACGAGAGCCATAAGTTTAGCGTTCGCCTCGGTAGCAGCAATGCCGGCTCTGGTGGCACTGTCTATCCTGTTACCAAGGTTAGCATTCATCCCGACTATGCTACGAAGGACAACCACGACGTTGCTGTCTTGGAACTTGGCAAGGATATTGTCTTTGGATCCGGCGTCCAGGCTATCTCTGGTTTCTTGACATCTGCCGCTGCTGATGGCACTGACGGTGTTGTCTCGGGCTGGGGCGATATTCAAGATGGTGGCCCTGGCACTACGAAGCTCCATGCTGTCCATGTCCCCATTGTCAACCATGCCCAGTGCGCCAAAGACTACCAGGGCGAGAGTGTCATTGACGACACCATGATCTGTGCTGCCGTTCCCGAGGGCGGTAAGGACTCTTGCCAGGGTGACTCTGGCGGCCCCTACGTCATTGGCGGCAAGCTTGCCGGTATCGTCTCCTTCGGCCACGGCTGCGCTGTCAAGGGATACCCTGGTGTTTACACTGATGTTATCAACCCCTCCGTCCGTGCCTTCATCAAGCAGTACGCTGGTATCTAAATACAATAGAGTCGCGGGTGGTCTTGGATAAATTCCGTTTACGAAGCTGTATGAAAGTGTTCAATGTAAATCTATATAAAGTATATATGCTAGGATTTCATGTAATATAACTATTACAATCTATTGAAGCGCAATATGCATTTTATAAAAATTATTTAAAGTACCAAGATTGATAGTCCTCTGATCGATACAAGAAAACGTAAATTTGGAACGCGCCTGGGTGGCCCAGCTAGTACAACCTACAGACCCACGTAGTTCAATTAACGCTACTGACGACATTTTCTTCACGACAACCTTAGAATTATTAAGACGATACTCTTCAAGACTTGACAATGTCCCGTGGGATTGCTCAATCAGAACTTAGTCAATTTTACCAGCCACCAGATGGATTCTCGGGTGCTCACGACGACCAATACTACATCAATCTTAGCTTCACTGTCTATTGAATATGCTACAGTTCAGATACTGATGCATTATGGGAGCAGCTAGTTATCGATCTTGAAACAGGCCTAGAGAACTCCATCGAGGCAAACCTAGGCGATTATTGCGAAACTGATGATGAGTTTGGCGCCGTTGACAAAATACTCGAGCTCGTTCGTATAGATGCGCGATCTGACACATCTCTCCTTGATAGCCTCGAAGATGCTCAGCTGCGAGAAGTATTTCTGAACAGCGTTGGGGGTAAACCGCTAAATTTATCTAAAATCAATCGACCGCGGGTCTTTCTTGTAGCAGATGCTACTGTCTTTCCGAAACTACGCCATAAAACACCGTGGAATAGGGCTGTCGAGGTGGACTATGACGCGGCGAGCCACGAAATTTGGTGCAACCCTCGATTTGCAGGACAGCCTCAGTACTTCTGGGGCTGGTTGAAGCTAGCCACAAAAGGGTTATTTAGTTTTTGGTCGGATTTATATGCACTGGACGTTTCTCAACTCGCTCCTCCAATGACTGTAGGAGAATCAGCAGGAATTCTGGATCGTGGTAGCGTAAATGATGATGCACCCTGATTAGACGGATTGCCGAGCCAAGTGCTCTGTTCATCATTTGATCTTCTTACTCCCAACTAAAATATTTGAATAAAAGTGAAATGCGTTCATCTCACTATATATCTCGTCATCTTCCACGACTTGGCAACCACTTATACCGAGACAAACTCCCACAAGGCATTATCTTCTCTAGTCAAAGCCAACTTTTGCCCCTCATGATCGACACTCAGTTTATCGTAAGACCATTTGTTGATCGCCATGATCTGATACCCGCCATCAGGATGCTGTCGGACAGTAAAGCCCCGATTCACACCCATCGTCGTCGCCTCAAGCGAAAGATGCCCCCAGCCACAAAACCCGCGGCCACGCCCAAGAAACTTGCCATCTTGCTTGAAGCCGAACCAGCCGTTTTTCTCGACACATTCCCATTCAAATCCTTTTATTGCGTCAGAGTCACTTTCCATAGGGATAGCCAATTGCACACTGCCTTTTCTGTCCACGCTCAAAATTTTGTTTGATCCGCAAAGTCGAATAATGAAGGATTTACCACCCCAAGGGAATGTTGTAGAGGCAGTGTCGTTCTTGGTGTAAGGTGGTGGGTGGCATGAGTCTCCCTCATGCTCCTCTAGGGATCCCTCAGCGATTCGAGGCTTTTGCTGTTCTAGTACAAGCATGGCTGCCACTTAGCCTGACGGCGATTTCTGGTCCAGATTATATTCAGGAAATGTTCTAAAAGGCGAGCGTCAAAATCTCGAATTTGGAGTGTTCTTTGCTAGCTGGCTTCTCTGATCGGTCAAAGTGTATTTATATAACATTCGCAGACGACGCGCGGTCGTCGCCTGCGGGATAGGATAAGGCAAGACCAAAAATACGCTACGCCAAATAAGGCGGCAATGGGCGAGAAGGGTGCCGTTTTGGGCATGCTAGATGTCCAGCCTCGCGCCCATGCGTCTGCAGGTCACGGTTACCGTTTAAGGATTAAGGTAACGTTAGAGGTTTGCTACACATAGTGGGTTTACATGTAAATGACGGTTCCTGCACCTTCTAGAATCTCTCTATAAGTTAGGTAGTAGATGGATTGTAATGTAAATTTGGTGTGTTTCTATCTTTATTTGTCATATCTACAGCGTTTGTGCGAGCTGGGTTCCGCGTCGGTAGATGATTGTGAACGCCAGCCCTCCTCCGCCTGACTGGCCTCATTGAGAGGTATGGCTGCATCTGAACCAGAGCCAACAGGTAGTTGATCTAGAATTGACCGAATCTCATTTAGATGATTAGGCGCCCATAATTCGTATATATTTTTGACAAATGAATATGATACCCACCGTTCTCTTCCGTTCAACGCCGTGAAGCTATATTTCAGGATTGTGTGGCGGTGATAAGTAGTTTCCGATGACTTCATTGCGACGTAATGTGCACAAAGGTGGACCATTTCGTGATTATGTGAAATGGAAAAACCAAGGACTTTTCCAGCTAAGCGAGCTTCCAAACCGCAGTGCTGATATAGATGAACAAGTGCGCGGGCGGCTACTGTCATACTATGCGCATTCTGTCGGTCGGCAGTCTCAAGAGCGGCATTGCTGCTCTTGACCTCACATGTCAAAAATGGAAAAAACATTCGATATGTTGCCATTATATGCGTTCGGTCCCCGGTCAGGTAGTCTCCAGCAAGAAAAGAAAGTTTTGCAAACTGTTCAGTTGTGAAAGCGTCCTTTGCAAAGCCCACCGCGACGTCTGGCTGTGGACTTGACGCTAGGAATGGCAAACAGTTGGTCCATCTCTCATTGAAGCTATCAACAAGACATTGAAGCTGTATTTTGCCTCGAGCGGCAAGCTCTTCGGCCGATGGGATGATTAGAGGCGTAATATCGCGAACAACACGAGCCTCATTCATCCGTCTAGCTTTGTGGCAGACTGTCTCGAACAGCCCATTTTTAAAAAGTGTATCTTGAGGAAGCACTTGTTTCGTATCAAGAAGGGTTGATATAATAAGTTGACTTTCTTTTGATAGACCCTCGGTTGAATCCTCTAAAAAGGATCCCCTCTGTTCCAATATTTCGTCATATCGTGCATCGACGTATGATGCGCTGGCTTCTCGGGATGTGTTTTGCGAAGAATCACTTGAATGAGATCGTTTCAGACCGCGGGAGCTTGTTTTTCGTCCTGCCACTGGTTGTGGCATTTTGAATCGTCTAGGCCAGCGTGAATGTGTCGTCCAGTACTGAACTGCTCTTGAGTGATTGGTTGTAGGTATTGGGTGCTTTGTGGCGTGTAGACGTTTTGCAATAGTCGCTTTGCAACCAGGCTGATCGTCTGTTTGTCTCGTCTCTGTAATTATAGGTAGTTCTACCCAAGTCTTAGCAAGTAACGAAATCATGGGTTTTGTGCGTCCATACCTGTACCCAGAGCATGTGTGGTCTGTGATGGGTCGTGGACCATTGTAACAGGCGATCAATCAGCTTTAAAGCGTAAAGAGTAGCGGTCAATGTTGGGTGCGTAGTTTCTAGGGATATTCTGCGCAAGCAAGGCCCATTGAATAAAAGCGGCTTCAAAGGAAACTATAGCTGGCCCAGACGTGCTTTTTTAACGTTGGCGGTTTGAGCTTGCTGGACAAAGTGAGAACAAAAGACCGAGGTGGCTGTGTCGTAGGCAGCGGGCGCAGTTGGGTGGTGCTTGGAACACTAAAAGCTGTGCGGCTGTATCCGGGTACACAAGTAGTCTATATTTCAACCAACGTATTCCAAATACATATTTACACAAACTTTATATATAATATTCATCTAAAAACTCGATAAATATAATGCATTTATACATACAGATTGACTACGAACGAGTCTACTTGTAACTTTTGTCTATCCACTGTACGCATCCCTCAAAGCAGCAAACATTCGAGACGGGCGCAAAGCACCGCCCGTCCGGATAAAACTTCTAATATTACTCAATGATCTTTCAGTAATACATTTCTTGTTAAAGCAAATGGGCGTGAAACTAAATCATTAGTCATAATGTGTCGAGACAGAATATATAACGCAGATCCGGGTGCGTGCCCTATCTATGAAAATAGTGAGATAATCCCAAGGGCACAGGAAGTATATTTTAGAAAGTTTCAAAAATCTAATGAATATATCCATCTAAATAGTACGAAGCATAAAATTATGCTGCAACCAGATGCAAATCTTCGCGCTCACCAAGTCATCGAGAGCGTTTGTCTTCCATCTTGGAAGAGTTGGCACTGACGACAAGAGAGCCTACGCTTACCTATTAGAACTATCTCATCCGTGATCAGCTTATACATTCATTAACTGCAATATGGTTGAATGCAGTATATGGAATTCATCTTAGCAGAAACATTTAGATTAACGTGGTGGTTACCGTGATTCATGGGCGGTTGATTCCCTGTCACGTTCAACTGCATGTGATGATCGAATCAGCTTCAGCCACTAAACCCCAAAATACACATCCAAAAAGATATAACTGCGCCTTGTACTAAAATTGCCCAATTCACTTCATTTAAATACGATCAAACCATATCAGCTTACCGTAGTCATCATCCAGCTGCAGACCCATTCGACTAGTGCATTTCTCTCCGAACTCAAACTGTCCATGCACAAAGCCCAAGTTTTCGCTTCCCAAACGCCTGCTAGAGCGCATGCTAACGGCATAATCGGTATTGTTGGCCAAATGATGAAAAGTAAACATTGTACCAAAAGACCTGTCACCGGCATCGATATAAAGGCGGCCTTTTTTAACGGTTACTTCCATGTCATGGTACCCGGTGTTCTTGTACAGCCCGACGTAGTCTGCTAGTGGTTTTGTTTGCGGATGGCCCTTGCTCCGTTCCACCTGAGATTGCAGATTTGATCTTTGGGTTTCCAAAATATCTCTGTTGTAAACGTTTCTTTGCGCTGCTAGACGTTTTCTCCCATCACCCTCATCGCCTTCAACCGATTTGGTCGCTTTCTTGTCGTCAAGAATGTAGTCGATGAGCTCGTTTGCTAATTTCTGAGCTGCCTCATCCGCGTTGCCTACGTTGCCGGTAAAGACGCCTGCGAATTCCAAATCAGGAACAAAAAAGTGGAATGAGCCAAATCCAGATACAGAGCCAGCATGGCTAACGATTTGATGATCTCGGTATTTGTACACATCGAAGCCTCCGGCGTACATCGTCTCGCAGGACTCCATCTTGAGAGCGTCAGCGTCTTGACATGTTCGGGGACGGAGAAACTCGTCGTAAACTTTTGCGGTGATGGGCTGCTCTCTATACAAAATCGCTTTAACCCATTTAATGTAATCGTTGGCACTCGTAATAATTGATCCAGCTCCTTGTCCCTCGGGCGTATCCACAGGCGGGAACCCAAAGCTGTATGTCTTCTCGCGTTTGCGCCAGACGTAACCGCTTGCCATATGGCGTTTAAACCCTTTTGAAATTGCCGATGACGGTTGTAGGCTTGTATGTCTCATATCGAGTGGCTTGAAAAAGGTTGTTTCGAGGAAGTTCTTGAATGACGTGCTGCTTAGGACCTCGACGACATGACTAGCCACTGTATACATGATATTATTGTAGTAAAATTTGCTACGTAGCGCGGCGGTAAGGGGTAGATTTCTGAGATTTCGCACAATCGATATAGCACTGTCGGGTCTATCAGGTCCTGTTGCGTTAGGGCCAAAGTATGAAAGATCGTGCCTGAAGCTGTTAGCATTGGTAGCACTACAGATGGGAGATAGAGGGTCGGGTAGACTGTACGCTGTTAATCCTGTTCTATGACTGATTATATCATCAATTGTAATCTGATCAGAGTACTCTTTCTGCGCCATGATAAAATCGTCCCCAAGAATTTCGCGCACGGGAGTCTGAAACGTGATGGTAGGATGGAGCTCCCCTGTGAGAAGAACACCAAGAGCTCCCACTGTCATGCTCTTAGAAGACGACGCAATATCAAACAGCGTATCTGGTGTACAGTTTCGGGGCGGATCGATGCTGGATAACCCAAATCCGGCAGATGCTATATGGCCATGATCTAACAGTGCCACAGCCATTCCTGGGACATGGTGAGTGGACATTACGCTCTGTACGCGCGCCGAAAAGGCTGGCGATGTGAGAAAGCCTAGCACGCCAGACATTGTGGCTGTGAGTAGATGAAAGGCGTTTCTTAATTGAAATGATGATTGTGAAAACTCAAAAAGGAAACAGTACGGTCGGCCCAGAAAGCGGTTAGGTCAACCGCGGGGGCAATGTGTTCAAATAGCGTGGTATACAGAACCTTGCGTTCCAATACCACCCAAGCAATTCGGCTGCGCCATGCTAGCAAACAAGGGAGTGGATGCGTGCAACCAAGCACCAGGACGCACTAGAGATTCGCTTAATGATCAAAATTATGACTGAATAGCACCTAACTATTGCCATGCGCATGTGACAAAGTCCATGCTGTTCGCAAAAGCAGGATCCTGTCCTTCGGTCCATTTGCCGCTGCACCGGTATGCTAATCCTGCAGCTCTCTATCCGGGCGACTCCCCCACCCAAGTAAAACCTTAAAACTGTCGGAAGAGAGATCCGTGCTTATTCTTCGATCGGCCAGGGTCGGCTACACGGTTAAATTGTACATCATCTACAAAGTGCATTCGCGCAGTAATGGGGCACTATAAATGAAGTGATTGCATTCTTCTAATTAATACCTGAAGATCACGCTCATTCAATCATGGTCTACGGATATGCAAGCCTTGCCATTGAACACCAAAGAGCCCCCCTCCTTATTTGAACAAAGTGACACATCAACTAGCGGCACGCATGCACGCACGGCCCAAAGACCGACCAGGCTCTGAGCCAACCCTCACATGGATTCGTGCCGCAGCTTCTTCCCTGCTACGTAGCCTGCAGCCGAATCGACAAACAATTTCCGACCCTTTGGATACGACACTGCCCATCCTGGGAGTCGCCACCCGCCTATCTGACCAGTCGCGTACTTGCGACCCATGGCAACAAATACCATGGGCTTATCGGATGGTTTGTATGGCTTGGGTGACAACTCAGTCTTTGCTAGTGCCACCTGTTCCAGTACCGAGGCAAGATAGATTATTTGGCCGTCAGTGCTGGTGATTTGTTTGGAATGCAGATTTCCCACGTCTCCCAAAGCCCATATGTTTTTGGTGCCAGACACCTGATGGGTTTCGTCAAGGCGGATGTTGTTGGCGTCGTCCAGAAACGTTGTAGGGACGAACTCGGTATTCAGTTGTATACCAAAAAGAGGTAAATATAAATCTGTAGTGATTTGGCTGCCGTCTGATAAAGACACGACCGTCTTTGTGTCAGCATCTTGTGATTCCTCGACTCTCTTGTTGAAGATGAGGGTGACGTTGAGCTTGCGCAAGTCGTTGACGATGGTGGTCTTGACAGAGTCAATTATCCCAGGTTGGTTAGCAAGAGGAGATTTTCCGGAAATTATCAGTGTAATCCTTTTTTCTTTGCCATATTTTGCTGCCAACTCTCCAGCGACCTCACAGCCAGTCGCCCCAGAGCCAGCAATAACAATGTCGTTTGCTCTGCCGACTTTTTCTTGGAGAGTATTGAACAATTGTTTGGACGCTTTGTAATCCCCAACCAATTTCAGCGGGACATTACTCTTCAATCGCGACCCAGTCGCAATAACTAGCTGATCGTAGTGGAGGTCGCGAGCCTCGCCGTTGTTGAGATCGATGTGGACGGTGTTTGCAGCATCATCAATTGAGCGAGCTGAACCAAGCACCAATTCAAACACATCTGTTGAATATTGCTGAAACTGGGCTTCAATAGGATAAAATAGCTGGTCATCTGGTATTTCCCCAGGTATGACACCTCGCGTGGCGGCCACGTTCCAAAAGAAGTGTGAGCTAGGTGTTACTAGGATGATTTTGATGGAGGCTTTTGGTGAAGTGTATTTTAAGAGGCGATGGGCCAGAGGTAATCCGGTCCATCCAGCCCCCAGGATAACGATAGTAAGCGCCATACTGTCGATGGAGCGAACTGCTGTGGTTCAAACGTGTTGGTGGGACTTGTGTTTGACACCAGCCGAGCTGTAGGCTATCTTTATATAACTTGCAAATATATCCTTGCATTACTGTAAAGATTATAAATAAGCTTCCAAATTTCTCTTTTCCATTCTACATCGGTTGTTGCACTTCCGTGGTCCGGCGTACAAGGCGCCCGGATCGGAGCTTGGCGCGGCGAAGAGCACCGAGCCTCAGTGGGCCGAGCTCCGTGGCCGACGCTGACGCCACCTAGTCTCACAGTCGTAAGCGCTACAGCACGACATCTGTACAGCCTTACGGTCGTGTTTTGATTTCTTACCTGCACAATACCGGACACGGAGCCCGGTATACACCTCATCATCTCTTGAAGACGCCACTACATGATGACACCTGCCGATGAAGACGTTCAGCCACACCGCAGTGACGACGGCACCAAGATATGGAACTGCGTCGCCTGTCGTCGGCGTAAACTAAAGTGCGATCGTCAAGAACCGTGCTCCGGATGCACCAAGAATGGCTTAGAATGCCATTATCCAGTCACAGGGCGCATACCCCGGCGAAGCCGAGCCCCTCCCTCGTGGGATTCACCTCATCAGCGGCAATCCGAATTGCTACATAAGTTGACGAGGCTCGAATCTATCGTGACAGAACTCTCTGGCCAAGTTGAGGACGGAAAATTGACCACTTTTAGCTCAGATGTCACTCCGGAGAGTGGCGCTGATGTTGTGGAAGATTTTGGTAACTTGATTGTGCGCAAAGACGGCAAACTAAAAATCGAGAGAAAATTCTGGTCCATCTTTTGTACAGAGGTAAAGAAATTTGATCTACAGACTATTGTAGCGCGACTAACAGCGAGGCAGGTGGACAGTATCTTCCAAGCTCTTCACGAGTCGGCATCGTCGGATGGCGATCCTTCAACCAACAGCGCCAACTCTCTGGATATATCCCTGAAGCATCAATATCTTCATACTTCACCAATTGATCATGAATATATTGAAATGCTGAATTCTAGGCGAGTGGAACTATGGGACATATTCGTCAGCAATGTCGATCCATTCGTCAAAGTTCTCAGCTTGGTCGACACAGCGGCCGCAATACATACAGGCGATATGCTTTTAACCACCGAGGGTCGTCTTCTTTTTCTAGCTATATCGTTCGGTGCGATGACATCAATGACCCCTCAGCAACTAAATACAATCTTTCCAACTAAGACAGATGAAATACTATCACAGGTGGCCGGCGAACTTGACGCGCACTTGACGGCTCTTCCGGTCCTAACAGCCACAAACGTTACAATACTACAAGCCACAACAATCTATATAGCCACTCTGCCAAACGGTTCATGTTCCGACAAAGGCCCTCCTCTTTCTGCTATTCTGCTTCAACAAGTAATGGCGTTCGAGGGTGCTTCCTCTGAGAAGGAACAGGAGCTGGTATGTCGCCTCAAGTGGCAATCCCGATTTCTTGCCACAGCATACCTGCCAACTGCATATCGATCTATCTGCAGCTTGAATTCGCATATTACACCCAAAGCACATGGCATGGATTTTGGCGGCACGGCAACTTCGGTATTGGATTTGCTACAGACTCGCTGTGAAATTTGGCGCCTGGCGACACAAGTCTCCCACTGTCCTAAGGACCTACGCGGCAACTTGAATTTCATTAAGAAGACGAAATGGACGATTGAAGTCAGCGCTTCACATAGAACGAAGGAAGACTTTGACAGCTTCTTAACCGCGCTATCCCAGTTCTCGCTTGCAAAAGTTGAACAAGCCGTCTATTTGTCCTTCCTCGCCCAGTCAAAGGCAAGTATGGACGATGACGCCATCGAAGATGCAAACTTCAATTGTTTTGCATCATCATTGGCTGTGCTCGATAGCGGTTTACGATTGATTAACAACCCAGACTGGTCTTCGTGGCGGTGGCAAATGCACGGCAGCTACCCTTGGTCATCTATTGGCACCATTAGCAACTACTTGACAGGCAATCCTTGGTCTCCAATGTCCGAGTGGGCTTGGGTGCTGATGCAATCATTAGTCACGACACTTCCTAGTCAACTGAAAGTATCGAAAGCACTCTGGGACCCTGTTGAACAAATGATAAATTCGTCTCGGGGAGCCCGCGACCGGGCAATGGAAAACACCATGGCTACGTCGATTGCTACTGGCGATATTTTACGCATGGTAGAAGATGGGAGTCGGATATTTTACAGTGAGGCAATTGGAAGATCATATCCAAATGAGTTTCATATTGTCTAAAAGTCTGAACCATTAGGGCCATTAATCAACTATCCATTTTTGACCCAAGGGCGCATCGGCTGCGGTAATGTCGTAGGAGAAAAGTTTGGCTGGCAGGACATACCAGAAATCGCCAATGTCCTCACCAAAACGTTCCAATGCGATCCTTTCCAAGTCTGGATCGCTCGCCAAAGCCTCCTTCATAAGTTCCAAGAGCAGAGCTTTAATCTGAGCGTTCTTCGTCTTCCAGGCGTCAGTGTCGTCTGGGGCTAGCATTGCCATCTCTGCCGTGAGTACGTGAGACGCAGCCTTTTTCGCAACCTGTCGAACTGCAGTGTACAACGTCACTTCTTCCATTGGTAGAATTGAGACCTGAACTGTACGTTCCCTGTGGATGACAATGGTATCACCAAGTGGGTTTCTGACAAGATCTCTCTGGTTGAGCGTCGATGCGTTTACAACTTGGCCCATGCACGCCAAAAACTGCGTTGTAGTTTCATCATGATAGTCCACCAACAAGACGCAACTTCCTGTCTGGATGCTGCGACTCAATGGATTATTCTGCTCTCTGTCGTAAGCCTTCTTTTCACTCGGAGTCCAGGTCGACAGTTTGTACGACCGGTATTGATCAAGCACTCTATACCATGTGTTGCGTTCTTCGTGGAAGAAAAAGATCTCATCTTCAGAGGGGTACAATAGATCTGACCATGGATTTAGGCTTTGACCCAGAACATGTGGTTGGGGTGTCAAGTAGAAGCCCCCAAGCTTGACTTCCAAACCAAAAGGTGTGAGATGAGCACGCTCATGCGTTGGCTTGCCTGGTACGGTAGAGCCTAATGGGAATCGCGCTACACGAGATTCATGTTTCAAAAAGGGATCATGGACCAAAGAACTAAGAAAAGTCCTAGGAGCCCAACGGAAACCTATGATGTCTAGTGTATCTTCCAACAACAAGATTAAGAATGATGTAATATCTTCTCGAGTTTCGACCATCATCTTCCAGAGCGCAGCCATTCTAGTTTGACTGCCTTCGGGTATTGCAACCTTTGTCTGATCAAACCCCAAGAGGGTAGCAATGCAAAGAGCTTCATCAGAAGGCATAGTGACTGTCCGAAAATTTAGAGCCCGCTGTAGTTGCCACATGTCTGCAGCAGGTCGTACCCGCACGCCATCGGTCTCTGGTTGTGAAAAGCACTGCATTTGATTGTACTGAGATGATTAGCGCATGGATTATAAGCATGTCGGTAAGAGTGAGTATACTTCATCCATCATATCGTTGCATATACACATTAATCGGACATCTTGAAGTCCCATCTGCCAAAGTTTTACTAGGAGGGTAGTCAAAGGAACCGCCTCGCCGTTGAACTGGATGTAGAGACTCTTCGCCAGAGCAGCTTCTTGCAGGGTCCAAAGTCGCCTAGGCCATGGTGAACATCCAAACAGTCGTATCAGTAGCTCTGCAGGTGCTGTTTCTTGAGGTTTATACATTGTTAAAGATTCATCAAGTACCAAAACGTGCGTCGCGTTGCGATATACATCTGCAATCCTTTGTAGCGCAATCAACTTTGGCCCCAGTGTTACTGGGCAGCAAAGTGTGTCGATCCAAAAGGCGTATCGATTGTCGGGTCGTCTTCCAGTGCTTTGATTGATGGCATCAATGAGCATTGCTAATCTCGCTAATTGGCACTTTGGGAGTACATTTCCTCTCGGATTACCAAGACCGTCGGCCCACACCTACTTTTTTGTGAGCAAAACATAATCCCAAGGACTTACAGTTCAACCTACATGAGACAGGGCAATATATTCGACATCAGCCGAATATGTCTCTACCTGAATATCTAGTGAGCCGAGCGACAAGCCATCAAATTTCATCCTCAAAACTGGAAACGAAGAAGTCTTTTGAAGAATGTCGACAATCATATCAGCATCAACAATCGCATCGCCGCAAGCGCAATTGGGTTCAACATGTTTCGGTTTGTAAGTTTCGGTGTCAATATAAAACGCTTTGCAGCAATGAATAGTACAGGCCGAATGGTTTCCATGCGCACGTCCTGTTGATCGCTGCATCTGACTCAGATAGTTGAGAGTGTTGAGGCGCCTAAATTCGGCTCGCATGTACTCAATCTCACTGGGGCACCAGCCTCGTTTAATCATGTCGCTTTCAAGCTGACTTCCAGCTTCGATAAATTTGTTGTACCAATTGTACCCAACGGGAGGAAGCTGGATAGGCGGCTGCATTAGATTTGTGCCCACGCGGAGAGAAGTGCTCAGGATTTCGCCTAATGAAGCAATAGAGAACCTAATCTCAAATGCTATGTCGACTTGAAGATCGCCCATAATGCTGCAAACAATATGCAAAACATTTCCAAGATAGACGAGTCGGTCGTACAGGACGGGGGCCAGTTTGGCTCGTTCCCAAATCAGGTCCTTCATACCGAGAATAGGCAACCCTGTCAAATATGTTTGTCCGCCTTGGTGGATGGTGAATTGTTGGTGTATAGATTCAATCTCATTTTTGCGTTGCTGAGCGTCCAGAAACGTCTCTCCGTCTTCCATTTCATTCAACGCTAAGAACTCGGCAATCACGCCAAAAAAGAACCACGTCTGGAGAAACTCTGAGACTTCCGCTCCTCCTGCTGGCTCGTGTATTCTTTTCATAGAGGCAGGTGGTAATCCGAACACTTCTTGTGACCAGGGAAACCAGTCACATTTATCTTTGCGAGTAGCATAATGGCGAAAGCTCCCGCCATCCCAGAGGTCGTTGCATAGGTACAGCGTTTGCTCGCACGGAGCGACTGGATCATCCGGGGACCATAGGAGGTCCATTTGGAGTTGTCAGGGTTCTAATTGAGAAACATTTGGTCCTCGGCTTCAAGCATAATGTTGGAGCAGAATTTCTGGTAGGCCGCGTAGCCATGGGCGGGGCTTCTGAGGTGAGGGACGGTGAGGCGCATCTTCGCCAAAGGTGAGGCTAAAGATGGGAGCTTGCACAGACATTTTGGTAGTGCAGGGTAGGGGCCCTGTGGATGAATGGAAGTGTGAATATTTGTCGCTTGTAATAGTTATTATGCCTCAATTGAACAAGAACTGTCTTTTTAATGATATTATTTTACTTTTCTGTTCTATTCCGTTGCCAGCTGGCGAACCTGGCGGTTGCCAAGTGCTAGGATTGTCCTGTTGTTTTCAAAGTACACCTGGCACTACCTGTGGACTTCGCACCTACAGCACCTTCGTCAAACAAACCAACACACACTTAGAACTGCGACCGAATCAGAAGACATTGGACGAAAATTTCCAGAATGTTTCCTACGCCAGCATATGTATATTAAAAAGCTCATAAGCTGTCTGTGTTCACTGTGACTAGGCAACACGCAGGTCTAGACTGGTATGGTGCCTGAGGCCTGTTGCATGCACGTGGCAGACAGAGCCTATGCCTTACCATGTGTGTTAGGTTACCGTTAATTGTATCCGCAGCAAAACACTGCAATGCTAGCGAAAACGCCCTGACGCCTAATGACTGGGTGAAAAGCCTTATGATGCAACTGGTGGGCCACACTTTGTCTCCCTAGGGGGATCGAATCCTTGTGAGCGCTGCTCTACTGGCCGAAATTTAGCGTGTCCGCTGTTAGCAAACACTAAGAAGCGTCATGCTAGGCGACGGTGGCGCGCCAAGACCACGCCGAAATGCTCGTTTACATCATTACTCAGACTTGTGCTTTGCGAGGCTGTGCGCTCTCGCACGGGGATCCCCTCGTATGCGCTGGGGCAAAAAGAATCCACAGCAAATCTAAATACAAGGCGGCTGAGCCTCCTTTTGGATCTGCCTACGGTAGCCTCTTTTCATTTAAAGTTGGCAGCCGCATCGTTACGCTTAAAGGAAGCGTGTTCGCCCTCTCCCAACGCTCCGCCTTCTACGATCTTTCATCTTTTCTTCTTGACAACTTGACCAGCCGAATCTTATCAACACAATGGCCGACAAACAGCAACAGCCCGAGGCAACTCAGCCTCAGCCTCAACAACAAACTCAGCAGCAAGCACCAGAGGCTGTGTCTTCGCATTCAGCTGCGCAAACCGACGCGAACAACAACGAGCCTCCCCCTCAATACTATGATCCCAAGTCCAGTCAACAGCCACAGCAGCAGACCTCCAATCAGCAGGCTGCCCCTGGACAGTACGTATAATTCTGAAGCTTCACCAGTGGTTCTCCTGGTTGCTAATTCAGCTGTCATACAGGGCTGCGCCAACCCAACGTCATCCTACAGTGCCACTTCACATGCTAGCGGACGGGCCACAGTGGATTGACTGCCCCTTCTGCCACCACCAATCGCAAACCGTTGTCACCAAGAGAGGCACTGACATGCAAACGTGAGTAAATATATGTTATCCAAAGAAACCAACACAAGGGAAAAAAAAAGCTAATATATATCCTCTTCTGCAGCATTGCTGGTGTCGTTCTTTGCTGCTTCTGCGTGTGCCTTGCTTGCTTGCCCTGCATCGCTGGCTGGTGCGAGGACAGAGAATACCGATGCAGCCACTGCAAGAACTTGGTCGCTGTGCATCCCGATGGTGGCGTTATGCAGATTTACACACCAGCCGGTCCTGCCCCTGTTGCTGTCCCAGTACAACACCACCAGGTTCCTCAGGGAGGTCAGAAGATGCAGCAGCCTCCGATGCAGCTTCCTATGCAATCCCAGCAGCACATTCAACAGCCGGCACCCACGCATCAACAAGCACAGGCTGTCCAACAGACCCAAGAGCAAACGCAGGGCATCACACCTGTCGCCGCAAACCAGACAGCACCCACAGCGAACGAGAAAGCCACCCAATAGTGCCGAAAGCCAACATTGGCGTTGCTTTTGTTACTTGCTTTATTGTTTCCTCTTTAGTCAAGATATACCACCCATTCGATTCCAAAACATCAATTATTTGTAGTAAAATTAATACATGTATTAATGTGTCGCAGCTATTGCTTCAAAGTAAAGGGTATTCAGTGATACATAATATTCGGTCTATCGGTCCCAAACACTTGCCCGAGCAAACAATCATACACTTGCACCCCAAAAATATAAAAACAAAACTCAATCGACATGAAAGAAAAAAAAGAGCAATCGCCTATAAACAAACCATGAACGTGTGAGAGGTAGTCCAGAAAAAAGCGACGCGGTTCTCGCTTCCAACGGCAGGACACAATCTCGCCTCAAGAAATTCCGAATCATTAAGTCATTTTTGTGTTGTTTCCAAATTCACAAGAATCTTTCGAGGAACTATTGTCCCCTCATACAAAGGCAGCGACTCCAACAGAGAGAGCACCAATCAACAGAGCAACGTTGGCCTTGGGAATGCTGGCAGCGCTTGGTGAGCCTGTAGCGCTAATGAGATCAGCGCCTCCAGTCACTTTGACGGGCAAGTATGATTCCTTGTAGTTTGTGTTTGTAGTTGTGGTGGTCGAAGTTGTTGCCTGTGCGTTTACTGGTACTTTTGTAATGGTCGCCGTGCAAGTCAGCCTGTTGCTAGCTGGCTGCAGAGAGCAGTGAAAGTCTTGCGAGCTGTATAGATGATGTATTAGCAATCTCATACGTGCAGGGGCCCTTGGATGATGGGAGTAGAAGTTTTGCACTTACAGGAGGCCATCTTCGGCATTGGAGTGGCTGTAGGAGAAAGCCCAGGTGGATGGACCCTGGATAATGGTTGCTGGTTCGCCGTTACCACCTCCGAGGCTGCAAAAGTCCAAGCTGGCAGCAGGGTTGCACTGAACAGCCATTGTGGTGATGTTTTCTTTGATAGCGACAACGGAGCCGACATAGTCTTGTCTATCGGCCGGGATAAGATACTGGACCATCTTGGTCACGGCAGTAGTGCTGCCAGCAGCGACCATTGGGGCCAGCGCCGCAACAGCGACGGCGATGAAGCGGACCATGATATCACACACAACGGACGGACGAGTGCTCGAGTAATGATGTGGGCAGGCAGCGGTCTACCGGGGTTTGGAGATCCGCGATCGACTCGTTGCTGGGTTAGGGAATCTGGGCCAAACTGGTGACGGTTACACAGCTGTATCGAGGACGAGCGAAGATGCAGAGTTGAAGATTCGTTTCGGAGTGAGACGGGCGCGGAGCTTTTTGGTGAGGAATGGAATTGGGAGGGGGCGGCGCAGCAAGCTTCCTTTGTATTCTGGTACGATCCAGAGGCCAAAGAATGGACTTGGTATGCAGACGCAGGCAGCTGAAGCAAGTGGGTGGTGTCCCACTGTGACTATTTTCTTTTCCCTGGGCTTGGACCTCGTCGGGTTGGGATGAATGTTTGTATAATTTCTTTTTTCTTACACGCTTGATATTGCGACTTGGCTGCAGCAATGATATCACGAGATGCAGTTTTGACCGCCTAAAGCAGGATTATGCAAACTAACTTGGGAGAAGGAAAAAAAGAAAGAGATTCAGAGGAGCAGCATAAGAAAAAAAAGAAATGCCCAACAATCACGGCAAGGCGGCGACAACGCGGTCGGTCGAGCCAAGGGAGGAAACTATGCTCTCCACCACGGCAAGCCAAGGGAGGCAACGCCGCTGGGTAGCAAAAAGGAAAAAAAAAACGGGTAGCCAACGTCTATGAGTGGTTAGCCAACACAGGAGGTGTGGTACCTGATGCTATTTTGGGTGCATTTCTGGGACATTTTAAGATTGGCGACCAAGACATTCCGAGAGCAAGACGAAAGGTGGTGTGGTGGGCAGACATGGGAAGAGCAAGCACGCAGAGGAAGAAGGGCCCTTTGGGGCGATGTTGGCATTCTGAGACGCGATCAGCTCATCTATTGTTTAGCAGCGTTGAATCGGCAGCATACAGAAAAAAAATGTTTCATTAATCTTCCGAAGAATGGCTCGATGCCGAATTTGCCTGTCGACGATAGGGGGCAGCCTCCTTGGAAGTTGTATGAGCTGCCGCCCTCGCCGTTTTAGCATTGTTTGATTAGCCTATTAGGCAAAAGACAAGTTGAGGAAGCCCTGGCACAGCACTCAACCCTTACAGTTGAGGAAACAGAGGTAAAACTTAGTGGCCCTTGAGGTTTCTTACGCCATTTGCTGTTACAGTATGCAAGTGCCATCGCGCAACCCAGACTGCTTACAACTTTACGGTACGATAACATGCTCTTGGAGTGTATGGTCAATTCTATTTCTCTAACAAAAGTAACTTTTTTCTATTATTATATCAAACTCTTCAGCGCCACACCGGCATTCGAGAGCGAAAAGTATATGCTCCATAGTTTTTGTGTCGCATCGTGTTCGCTCAGCATTCCAGACCTAAACTCAGTCGCATCCAGAAGCACTGCTGCCGAGAGGCAAGGTTGTCTCGCTAAGCGCCGTCCTGCGGTAGTAATGTGCGCCACCGCTTGCTTGTGTCCACAGTGTGAACATGGTAGTTTTCCCGGCTTCAGTGTCGGTGAAACATCGCAAGTTATCCAGCCTACTTTTTGATTTGCTGCTTGTCGGATTCATACTCAAATGTATCATACTTGCTCTTGGCCCGAATTCTGGGGCCATATTTGAAAAATACCCACGGTAGTGGCATCAAGGCAACCGTGACGAATCCAAAGAAACTCAAGGCCCATGAGATGTGAAGATTACGATACACTAAACAAAAACAAACCGCATGATTAGTTTCATGTATTGCTTTCAGGAGAAAATCGGACAACTTACTCTGAACAATGAATAGCGGGAATGCTCCTGCGAATATATATCTTGTCAAGACACCCGCGCTGGCCTGGCTAGCTACAACCGTTCCCTTGTAAGTCTCAACCATGTATTGCGAGAAGGAAACGACGATGCACATGGTACCCCATGCAAAAGGAAGAATACCAGTAGCGGGCACAGCCCATGAGATGTCTTCCCGAGCCGTCCATGCGAACCAGAAGCATCCAAGGGGCAGGCCAATGCTGCCAATCTTGGCGCAGTACAGTCGGTGCTCCGGAGCAAGTCTGCCACTCTTTTCTCTAGCCAGCATGGGCCGATGGATGGTCACATCGCAAATCGTAGCGGTAACAACGCCCAATAGAACACCAACGGCAACAAATAAGAAGATAAGGCCGGATTTCTCAATATTGAAATGATAGACAGTCCCAAAGATATATGGGATGGCCGCAAAGAAGCTAAACAAGATACCGAAATTGACAGACACATAGAGACATACTAGGCTGACGATTGGTTCTGTAAAGATCATGTCGATGGGCCGCATCAGACATATACTCATGATTGCGCGGAGTCTCGGCCAAAACGGTGGTTTCGGCGGGACTGTTTGTTCCTGGGATAAAGCCAGACGGCGTTTTAGAACCGGTGCATAGGTTTCCTGGGACGTGACAGCGAGGAGGATAGGAATGGCCGAGAAGATGACCAATATCCACATCGTCCATCGCCAACCAAGACGGTTGACAACGAAAGCGCCGATGACAGGTCTATAAAGAGAGAGAAATGGTTAGCTTACAACAAGCAATGAATAGAGAGGTTGATGGGAGAGTCATCCATACCCAATGCCAGGTCCCAGGAAGGCGGTCAGGACAAAGACAGAGACGACCGAGCCGCGGGTTTTAGAGCTAAATGTTTCTGAGATGGTTCCTGATGCCACTGCCAGCGCAGGGCCCCAACAGCAGCCTGCGGCAAAGCGCCAGAAGCACAATGCGCCAAAGTTGGGTACAAGTGCGGCGCCCACTGTAAAAAGGGCACCAAGAACGCTGGTGTAGCGGAAGATGGGTTGTCGGCCTACGATTTCAGAGAGTGGTCCTGCAATGGCTGGCCCGAGAGCGAGCGCAAAGACGTATAATGACAGTGGGAGTAGGGCCTGGAGATCGGTGACGCCAAATTCGGTGACGAGGGCATGCTGGGCCGGACTGATGATGGATGTGCCGAGGGATCTATTGGCAGTCACTCAGTCAGTCAGAAACCAATATTATGTATTATTGCACATACGCGAGTAGACCATAAGTAGATACCAGCGCCAGTTTGTGACATTTTTTCCATGTTGGCCAGTTCTGGGCGTTGAGCTGGCTTTCTTCCCATGTGATGGGCTTGCTTTCCTCTAGCCCTGTTTTGGTAGAAACGGGGTGTTAGTAGAGCGTGCATTGAATAGCACTCTGCTTTGGTAGGCGTACCCATGCTGGACTGTGGTTTGGAGGCGTTTTCCATCGTTGGTGTTTTATGAGATCTGTCGATGGTGGCTGTCAATAGAACAGATGCTCCCCAGAACGGTACAATGGGCCATTCTGCCATATATACAGAAGCGATTTTTAGCCCACCGGCTTATCTTGGAATCCATCATCGGGCATGCAACACGCGCATCAAGAAAAGTTCTTCAAGGCCAATATTGCCTAATTCGTCCATACTTGCGAATTTGGTGGGACTTTGCATCGCGTTACATCGCGGCTTATCACGAATCGGCAGGGCGGGTCAAACAATTGTAGCGCTCCTTTATAGCGTACCGTACATTATCAGAAGCTAGCGGGATCGGTTGGTTTTGGGCTTGTGCTTAGCCGCCGCTAACATGGATCAAAGGCGACGTCCGCTCACTTTCGTAGATATGGACGTTATTTTCTTGCTACTAGTTCTTGGATATGGAAACATATATAAAATGCTAGCAAATTGCCGGGGCAAATCTAGGATCTGCGAATAATAACTAGAGTTCGCCGAAGCCCCTCTAACAAATCGTGAGAAATAGCCCCTTAGCTGATACTGCTAAAGCCACTCCAGACAGGCTGATCCTTATTCCACAGTCGACTTGCACCCGTTTCCTGTCACTTCTTCTGGGCACGTGTCGGTACGAGCGGACTCCAATGTATGGCGTGCCCTTATCATAACATTCTGGTGGGCGTCTATAAGGGACGTTTGCACTTGCGCTGCAAGCGCTGTATAAGTCATCGCATTGACTTGGTCCATAAGGAAAGCCAACTCTCTCATTTGCTCGTCAGTCAAGTTCCGACGGCAAGGGGAATTCTTGGCCTGAGCTTTGATACCCATAGTGGAATCAATAAAAGGGTTGGCAGTGCTGATGGTGGAATTATCAGGACATGTCCTCTTGTTTGGCCCCTGACCATAGTCACCACTGATATAATTGCACTTGGTGGAGGCGTCGGTACTATAGGCGACAAGTGACAAGTTCGCATCTCTGCCGTTGAAGTACCCAAGAGCCCTGAGTATAAAATTAAACAGCCATTGTCCCAAGCAGTCGTCTACATAAGGGCTGATGTAACAATGACGTGCTATCTCTTGTACCGCAGGGTCACCCTGGTTGTAGTAGTAGCCGACGGCGATGTAGTTTGGCTGAACAAGACGGAAGTTGACTTGGTCGTTAGCCACTTTGGGGAACAACGGCTCTAGTTTCCCTTTTCTGGACGCAGGGGCTGTTTGGAGGAATTGGGTAGCAATGGTAGCATTCCTGGACGGGAGGCTCACTTCCTTTGCCCAAGTGTCGTAACCCTCATAAACGTTGGATGCCATTTTGACATGGTTAGCACTCACCAACCGGTAGCCTAGGGCTGAGTGGTCTGCGCTGGCCGCCGTTCGGACAGTGAACGCGAGAGCAGGCAATGTCACAGCCAGTGGGAGCAAAACGTGCTTTGTGCCAACCATTATAGAATGAAAATTAGTTGTTGCTTTAGATTTGATTGATTGAAGAAATTCTGTAGATGAGCTGAGGGCGGTGTAAAAGAGGGAGGATATTTGTTACACTGTCGCAGGAGCAATCATGCTCGGAAACTCGGCATAGTCGCTCGGAGATTTCTATTATTGTCGTACAATTTGAATCTTTTATATTTCTGTCTCTACTTTCTTCGATGATCAATACTGAAGAGCGACTTGTACTGAAACTTGCTGGGTGGTTACCCGTTTAGAGATCCTTTATTCTCAACAAGACCTATACCACAACTTGCTCGGCGATTCCTTGCCTGGGTGGGGATCCTTTATTCCTGACATAGTAGCAATCTATTTAGAAGAATTACAACGAAGTAAAAATGGTTAATTTATAAACTACTTGAGATGGTACAATTGAAATCTTTGGTAAATGTAGTATCTATTTGGTTTAGGATGTTGTCCATTTCAAGCATATCTTTGTATAGAGGTGAGATAAATTCGGCCAGCCCGAAGCTGAAGAAGGCTCAATATTTCAAATTAAATTGAGAGTTATTTTTCCATCCTTTATAGACTAATCATTATCTAGATCAATCAGACTTCACTAGAGAAAATAACTACATAAAATAGACGACACTCAGGACTTCATTAGCACTTGGTAGAACAAGAAAGCCTCGCACTACAGCACACACGAGGGGCTCTGGCACGCTAGTACTACACCTGTATGCATTTCGAGGACAACAATCCGTTTCAGCACGACTGAGAAAAAGCACTGAATGTAATACAGAGCGAATTGATTACGCCGAAATTAACCCTGCGGATTGAAGATCGCACTGTCCGCGGGGCGAGCACCCACAACCTCATTACTGGTCAAGATGACAACGTGAAGATAGAAGAACAGGCATGGACGCTGTACCAACGACTAGTGCGACCGTTGCCGGATTTACACTTTTGTCTACAAAGCTTTTCGATTTGATTTGGGATGCCTCCCTATGGAAAATTCCACCAACTACGGCAGAAACGCGAATGCATTCTAGAACAACGGGTTACCGGGAAGGTCTACGATATGCAATCAGCTAGTAGACTTGGACAGCTCCTTGGTAGCGAAGGCTATAGCGACCACTAATAATTCTACGATATTCAGATATACTGTAGGTACTGTAGGATAGCTCGGCCAGCCGGCTGCTTCCCAATCACAATAAATAGCGTTACTGACAACTGCTGCGACCCGGCCAAGTGGAAGTGGTGGTATATACCATCTGACCAATTCATACCACAGTGCTATCTATATCTGATCAGCAAAGGATATTATTATTCCTATTTTTTATAGCGCATGCACAGCAAAGCGAGCGTCCCTGCTGACCTTTGGCTGCCTCCTTACACGTGCTATTCCGCTGCTCCGGACTTTCCCCTAAAGCACCGCCCAGCGAGCCGCTCCGGCAAGTGGAGCCCTACAGCCTCGGCCCGGGTTGTCACGGCATCTCTTAAAGGTGCTGCCCGGAAACGTTGAATTGGATTTCATTTTCGTTGGGAAACAAAAAAGTCGCAGCATTCAACAGCACAGCACAACTTGATCCTTCATCAATCAATTTGAATAATCCACCATAGCCGCCCGCTACCGTCCACCATGACCGCCGTCACAAAGCCCGCGCGCGAGTCGCTAACCGTCATCGACAACCGCACCGGCAAATCCTACGAACTGCCCATCAAGCACAACTCCATTCTCGCCACAGACATCAAGAAGATCAATGCCCAGCCCCAGCCAAACGATCGCGCCGAGGATGAAACCACACAGGGCCTCCGCATCTTCGACCCCGCGTACATGAACACCGCCGTTGTCGAGAGCAAAATCACATACATCAATGGCCAGGATGGCATCCTCCGATACCGCGGATACCCCATTGAGCAGCTTGTCGGCAAGAGCAACTTTCTCGAGTCGGCCTATCTGCTCATCTATGGCGAGCTGCCCACCTCGTCCCAGTTCACTAACTGGCAGGACGAGGTCATGCACCACACCTACATCCACAGCGACATTGAGGGCATGTTCAAGTCCTTCCGCTACGACTCCCACCCGATGTCCATGATGACCTCTGCTTTTGCTACTCTCGGTGCCTTTGCCCCCGAGGCCAACCCCTCGCTGCGGGGCCAGAAGCTCTACACTGATGCGGCCTCTGGAAACGTGGCTGCTCTCCAAAACCTCGATAAGCAGATTCTCCGCATCATCGGTAAGGCTCCCACGCTCGCCGCCGCCTCGTACCGTATGCGCCAGGGTCGCCCATTCAACAGACCAGCCCAGGGCTTGTCGTACACTGGCAACTTCCTATACCTCCTCGACAACCTCTCCGGTACCAACTACCGCCCACACCCCGTCCTCGAAAAGGCTCTCGATGCCCTCTTCATTATCCACGCCGACCACGAAGTCAACTGCTCGACCGCCACAGTCCTCCAAGTCGGCAGCTCCCTCGTCGACCCTTACAGCGCAGTTGCTGCTGGTTGCGCCGCGCTCTACGGCCCCTCTCACGGCGGTGCTTCTGAGAGTGCCATTCGCATGCTTATGGAGATTGGCTCTCCCGAAAACGTGCCTGCTTTCATGAAGAAGGTGGAGAAGCGTGAGCGCGTGCTTGTTGGTTTCGGCCACCGCGTGTACAAGAATGTCGACCCGCGATCCAAGGCTATCCGCCAACTGGCCGAAGAGGTGTTTGAAGTCACAGGCCGCAACAAGTTGCTCGATACCGCCCTTGCCCTTGCCAAGCTGGCCAGCGAGAGCGAATTCATGCGTAGCCGCAACCTGTACCCCAACGTCGACTTTTACTCTGGCCTCATCTACCAGGCCATGGGTTTCCCTCTAGAGTGAGTTCATTTCCGCATCCCATACAAATGCAAAACATTGCTAACCCACAAACAGCTTCTACCCCGTCTTGTTTGCTGTCCCCCGCTGTGTCGGATGGCTCGCTCACTGGCGCCAGCAGATGCTCCAGGCTGGTGGTGTCAAGATTTGGCGTCCTCGCCAGCTATACCTCGGTGAGGGTGAGAGACAATACGTACGTCTCAACGAACGACAGGCCAAGGAATCCGACAAGTTTGGCTCCGCTGTTCAAGTCACCCATGGTGGCGACAGCAAAAGAAACCGATTGGCGACATACCGTGACGAAAAGGGCGATACGCTGCGCCCAAAGTTGTAAGCAAAGGTCCAATGTTATGCCGGTAGTCTCTTCGGGTAAATGTTATAGTAGCAAAATATGTTTTAATAGATGACCATCCATTTCAAACCAGCTGCATGCAACCATCCCACAGCTGCACTTGATAAAAGCCTGCTCCTGTATAGTGAATTGGTCTGGACCGCCATTGATCGGCCCATCAACAAAGGTGTAATCTCGTCGTATATGCGGGAATTCGCGCCAAGGTTTCCGAGCTGAAATCTGCAAGCCTGGATTCCCGCAATGTAACCAAACTTGCCGCGCCGCTAGTGCACGCTTACTTTTCAGCTCCAGCGGAACAGCCCCGAAGCGAAGCACTATAATTTTTAGCGTAAATCTTTGTTCCCGGAGATCATAAACGCCACAAGGCCCCCATTCCCCATCTGTCAAACACGGGCACCGATCTCTACCTCCCATCTGCCAAAAAGTAGTTGTCTCCTGTATGGGATCAGTAGCTGTCATGGTACGACTCTTCACAATTGCAGCAGCGACGCTTGTGGCCTTGGCAGAAGGAAAGCAATCCACTGCTTCTCGACGGTTTCTTTTCGAATTGGATCCCACCCATTCCACTGAGACATTCTTTCAGCATGTTGAACAACATGGAAAAGTCCAGACACGCATGCCGTATCGACTCTTCAATGGCGCATCCATCACCATCGATGACTCGCAGTCTATTGACAATGTATTGAAAGACCTTTCTGCTCTGCCTGGCGTCAAGCAATACTGGCCAGTCCAACATAATCAGGGTCAAAAAGCGTCAACCGCAGCAACAAACAAAAAGACCAGGACCAAAAGAGATGCTGAAGCTAAACCCATCTCTGAAGATTCTTCCAAGAAAGTTCCATACAGCCCATATGCCATGACGCAGATTGACCGAATGCATGCTGCTGGTTTCACTGGCAAGGGCCTCAAAATTGCCCTCATCAGCACAGGTGTTGACTATAAGCATCCTGCTCTCGGTGGTTGCTTTGGAAAGGATTGTCTCGTTGTCGGTGGCTATGACTTTGTTGGCGACCGATACAGCTACGGCGAAGATCCCCAGCCAAAGGCTGACCCCCTGGATATCGACGGTCTCGGCACCACGGGAGCTAGCATTCTGGCAGCACAGCCCAATTCGCGCCTAAACTTTGCTGGCGTGGCCCCTGGTGTAAAACTTTTGGCGTACAAAGTTTTTGGGCCATACCTGTACACTACATCGGATGTCATTGTTGATGCGATTTACCGGGCTGTGGATGATGGTGCTGATATCATTACGTTTTCTGGAGAGTTCCGCGACGCCTTCCCGTTTACTGGTATTGTCGAGGCTGCCACTCGAGCTACCAGCCATGGTATTCCAATTTTGATGGGAATTGACTCTCAGTACACCTTCAAGAACCTATTCAAGGTCGATGCTGCCACTAACACTGCTGATTTGGAAGCCACGGGCAAATTTGAGACGGATACCATCCCTGCACTCCTAGCCAACGGATACAGCGGTCTTGCTGGTAAGAACACTGACGAATTCTGGTATGAAAAGGTGGCTGTCGACGACTATCGCTTCAGCAAAGAGGGAGACTATGATCTGCCTGTATACGCCATCAGCTCCAACAGCAACGTTACCGACGACGCCTGCAGGCCTCTTCCAGACAGCACACCCGCCAACCTCAATGACTATGCCATTTTGGTTCGCTTAGGAGGCTGCACTATTAACCAAAAGGCCAACAACATCAAGCGCAATGGTATCGTCGAGGATACTCGCATTCTGTTTTACAGAGATAGTCCCAAGGATGTGTATTTTGGTCGTCCGGGGTATGATGACTCTACACTCAGCCGATTTGCTGGGGTCGTTTCTGCCGCGGTAGGAGAACGCTGGGTGAAGCAGCTGAACGCCGGAAAGAATGTTACGGTCCACCTCCCGACCCTCAAGCACGCCAACTACTCCCTCGCCAACGGGCCCAACCAGCCAAACGGAGGTGCCGTTGTAGATGGCCCTTGGGGTCCTACACAGTCACTCGACATTAAGCCCCTCTTTGGAGCCCCGGCAGCGATGAATGTGTATGCACAGCTAAACAAGGGATACACTGTCGACGAGTACTACGGCAAGCTCACTGCCATGGTTGCGGGTGCATACGCCTTGATTGCTGAGGCTCGCCACATCAAGCCCAACCCACACAACATTCAGGGATTGCTCACTAGCACATCCAAGGCACAGCTTGTGTTTGACGGACAAAAGTTTGTTCCGGGTGTGTTTGCATCAGTGGCTCAGCAAGGTGCGGGCATCATGCAAGTGTTTGACGCAGCGAATGTCAAGTCGACTACTGAGCCCGTCAAACTCACCTTTAATGACACAGAACATCGTCTGAAGAACGCCAAGGTTGTCATACACAATCACGGATCCGCGTCCGTGACATATAATCTACACCACGTACCTGCCAAGACGTTGTATCTTCTTGACAGTGACTCTGTATCTACAGACGCCACAGTTAATGTTGACATCAATCCCGGCAAGTTAGTTATTGAACCCGGAAAGTCGGCCAGCTTTACCGTTGTCACCCACTCTAACAAACTACCCAATCAGGACAAGCTGCCTGTTTGGTCGGGTTTTATTGCTGTCAATGGCACTGACGGTAACGACTTGACCGTGCCGTACTTGGGCGTTGAAGGCTCTCTCTCCAGCGTTTTGCCTTTGCAGGGATCTGGTGACGACAGTAAGAGCGTCGCCATGTATTACAAGGGCCATCGATACAGCGGATCGCCACCACTGCAGCGACCGGATCCCAACGGCTACAGCGCCGACCTGAGCATACGATTTACCCTCGGATCGCCCAAGGTGGAAGTATACTTTGTGTCACTGGATGCGCAGGATAAGCCAGACGGCAAGCTCGACGGTCAAATGTCTTACAGCCCGCTTCTGCAGCAGACTGGCCAGATTGACGCTACCATTTCGTTCTGGGATGGCCTGCTAAACGACGGCACCAAGGTACCTGACGGAAGATATCATGTTCGCGTTCGGGCACTTCGTCTGTTTGGCGATGAGAAGAAGGATTCTGATTGGCAGACGTTGACTTCTGTGGCCTTTAACCTGGTCAACACTGACTAAATGCACTATTATTAGATTGGTGAGATTGAACAAAACCACCACTGCCAGGAAATACCTGTTTATTGGCCGCCATATTCTTGTTTTAAAGTTTGGAGAAATTTTACGCTCACATGGTATGAAACGGGCCGAAAAGGAGCCTCTCTGCTAGGTACAAACACATATAAATTGATATGATCTAGCCATTGTCCCGGTTTTTTAAGTTTTTTTCGTTGTAGATGCAAGGTTTCAGCCAGCGAGGGGCCGATCCGTCACTTGGCAAACTTGAAACGGCCAGCTGGTGGTACAGGTGGCGCCACCCGCTGTGGGCCCGCCTGGAGCTTCAGCGCGATGAGCCAGTCGCCGTCCGCCTACCAACAACGTGAACACAGCCTTGCAACGCCCGAATGACCACGCCTGGAAAGTATGATTTGCGATCGTCTATTTTAAGCGGCGTCGCGCTTTTTCAGCTACAGTAGCGTGCCTATGACGCATCATATTTAAACCACAGCTCGCCGTTGCTGTCTGTCTCTCTCCCTCCCTCTCTGGAAGCAACCCCAGCACCAGCCCGCCTCTTTAGAAAATAACAAAAGCACAACAAGTTGGCGACCAAAGATGGTGCAAACACGCTCACAGACAGGCTCCCGTGCCTCCAAAGCTGCGCCGGTAGCAGCTACAAAACCCAAGTCTGGGGGCAGAGTAGCAAAGAAGCCAGCTGCTAAGCATGCCTCCAAGAAGCATCCTCCCAAGGGCAAACCTATCAACATTAGCCCTCTGCGACTCACAGCGGCTACAAATACAGAATCGCCTGACTTTATCGCCTATGGTTCCAACGACAAAGCACTTTTCAGCCTCGCCCTCTACCGCGGCGAGGGCATGTGCCTGGTCGCCATGAACTGGAAGACAGGAAAGCCTACCAATGACTTTGTCGGCTTCGCCATTGAGTACCAAGTTCCAACAGGATCACGTTTCTATGCCATCCCCAACCGCATCACCTTTCCAGTATCGACCATCAAAGTCTCTGCAAACTCGCTGTCCAGCCGAGTCGCTCCATTCCAAAAGTTCCGCTGGGTGCATTTCCCGTACTACTCCAACGGCCCAGGCATCTATACGTACCGCGTAACACCCGTCTTCATGGCCGACGACGACTCCCTTAGCTATGGCGGAGTCCAAGAAGCAAGTATAGAACTCGTCGCCGAGACCTACCCTGGGCACCTCAATGTCTGCTTCACGCGCGGTTTCATTTCATCCCAGGCATTTGTCCAGAAATTTGGAACCAATGGCGGTGTTGGCACCATTCTTCCGCAGACAGCAAACGCCGGACTCGACTTCAAGCCCAGTGACCCAACCAAGGAAGAGGAAGCGCTCTCTTGGATGGGCTTTGAGGCTCGCGATGCGATTCTGAAGACGCTAGATGCTGCTGTTGCTGATGAAAGTGCCCAAGTCCGCGTTGCTGCGTACGACTTCAACGACCCAGAGATTGTAGATCGCCTCCAGAAGCTCGGCAAACGTCTAAAGATCATTATTGACGATTCCGGATCACACAAGGGCTCGTCATCTGCCGAATCGCAGGCAGCCGAGCAGCTGACCAGCACTGCGGGCAGTGACAATGTCCAACGCCAACACATGGGCGGTCTACAGCACAACAAGGTGCTGATTGTCGATGGAAACAACATCAAAGTTGCTATTGGCGGCTCCACCAACTTTTCGTGGCGAGGGCTCTACGTTCAGAACAACAATGCCGTTATTGTACAGGGCGAGGAGCCCGTCCGCATCTTCACCGAGGCGTTTGAGAATCTCTGGGCCAACCCAAACAACGCATCTGGCTTCCACAGCACCGACTCTGCAACATGGAACGATCTTGGAATCGCTGGTGTCGATGCAAAGGTCACCTTCTCGCCGCACAGCTCCTCCAACGCCATGCTCAAGAGCATCGCTGCTGACATCAACGGCACGCAATCCAGCTTGTTCTACTCGCTTGCCTTTTTGTACGAAACCAAGGGCGTCATCCAAAACGCCATCAAAGATGTCACTGCTAGAGACGGCACTTTTGTCTACGGCTTATCCGATAAGAGTGTAGGCGGCCTCGACGTCCAGCTACCCAATGGCAACCCGCCCATTGCTTTCCCCGGCGGCCTTATGCGTCAAGTTCCTCCTCCCTTTGAGGCTGAGGCAACTGGTGGCAACGGCACCCGACTTCACCACAAGTTTGTCGTGGTGGATTTCAACAAGCCTACAGCCACCGTCTACACGGGATCCTACAACTTCTCCACGGCAGCCGACACAAAGAATGGCGAAAACCTGTTCGTTATTCGCGACCAGCGCGTGGCCACTAGCTACATGATTGAGGCGTTAGCCATGTTTGACCACTATGAGTTCCGTGACTTGGAGGCCAAGGCCAGCGCATTGGATGCTCAGCAGCCCATTCAGCTACGCAAGCCACCTGCAGATGGCCAGGTTGCGTGGTGGGACAAGTATTGGACTGATGCTACGCGACAGCACGATCGTGAGCTTTTTGGCACTATACAATAATAAATGGTCTTATGTTTTTTTTACTTTTGATTACAATTTTGTGACAGATAGATTAGTAAATAGGCGTTTGAATATAGGGAAATGCAAAACCTTTTTATTATTGAGTCTAGTCAATTTCTACTAGTGTCTCCTTCTCATCAGAAGTTAAATCGGCAGACGCAGTTCCCATGCGAAGAGTAATGGCCAGGCACATCGCAAAGCCAGTCAGGCCTACTCCCAGCCAGAAACTCGTCTTGTATTGATCCACAAGAGGGAAGTGGTCTGCTTTCCAGTTCCTTGCTGTAGACACAACCAGCTCGCTAATGGAAAGCCAAAACGAGCTCCCCAGGTAGATGAGTGTGTTGGTCAAGGCACCCACTGCTGCCTGGTCTCGCTTTGGCATGGCCGTAGTAATGAAGATGTTCATGACATTAAAGGCCAAGTCGATTCCCAGAGTGCCGCAGCACATGGCTGGGAATATGTAAGCCCAGTACGCAACCGGCGTGGCGGATTGGTAGGTGGCCGGGATAATGGCAAAGAGCAACACGGAAAAGAGGAATGCGGTTCCAGCCAAGAAGAGAAGAATCTCGCTTGCCAGCAAATGAAGAATCATGCTGCCCATAACTGCTAGTATAATACTTCCCGCAAGCATGGGGGCATACCAAGCAGCAGCGAGGATCGGTGATACCTTTAATACATCTTGGATACTATTTCACGTTAGCTTTTGCAGCAGCAAGCAGTCATTAGTCATAGGTGTTGCACTTACTAAAGACTTGTGTATAACAAGAAGAGCGCACATACGCCAAAGAAGCAAGTCATGCTTGCCAGCAGCCGTTTCATGTAGCGGATGCGGAAGATGACATTTGGTACTAGCGGCTGTGATGATGCCCAGCCTTGCGAGTAAACGGCCGCAGCCAAGAACACGATACCTAGTATCAATGTAACCAGCACGTATGGCGTTGCCCAACCCTGCGGTGCCTGTGAGCCTTCGGTAAAGGCAAATATCAAAAGTGCCAGGCACGGTACAATAGTGGTAAGACCGAGCCAGTCCATGTGAGCAGACGCCTGCTGATCTTGGAGATTGCGAGGGATGGCTAGCAGACCAAATACAATGGTGGCAAACTCAAAGATGGCACCGGTCCAGAAGTACCATTTCCAACTGATATACTCGGTCGTCAGAGCAGCCACGACAATGCCAAAGTAAAAGCCCAGGCAGGCGAATGCGCCGTAGATGCTGTATATCAAGTTCTTTCGAGGGCCAGGTCGGTATACTTGGCCGAGAAGCGACATGCCGGCCGGAAGGAAAGCGGCAAATCCAACGCCCTGCATAGCGCGGCATACAATGAGGATAATATGATCTGTGGCAAAGCCGCTCACGACAGACCAGGACAGTAACCACGCATGGCCGATAATGAAGACACGGCGCGCGCCAATGATATTACACAGTCGGGCAAAGGGGAGCAGGAGCGCAGCTGCCGCTAGATTGGGCACGGCAGTCGGCCATGTCCTCGCATCTTCTGGGAGGTCTATCGATTGGGCCAGACTAGGCAGGATGATATTGAAGCCCGAGGTAAAGTACTCGCTCATCATGAGCGACAGGACAACGGCTGTAACAAACGACGTCTCGAGAAGCGTGGTCCGAAAGACGGCTGGCCGCTGCCGAGCGAGGTGCTCGAGATTCGGCTTGTCGCCATTTTCCAACGGACTTATGGGCGAGTCGTAGCCCGACGAGAGAGACGCCGTGTCGAAGCTGTCGGTGGTGACCACGGTCAGGTCCTGGCGGTCCTTCATGCTGCGCCTGTTAGTTGTCGTCACTGGGTGCTCGGAGAATAAAACTCGACGCGGGGATTAAAATAGAAAAACATAGAAACTGGCATCTTCATATACTCCATCTCTTTTTCTATGCTCATCAGTTTTTTTCTTATTTGTTTCACTTTTCTCCAAAAAGCGGAGAGATTCTGCTAGCTATGCGGCAACATTCCTGGCCTCTTCGTAGACGTGGGAGGCGCCCTCGATCCATCATCTCCAAATCCACTCATCAAATTCCAAGTTGGGGAGATAGTAAGACAATTTGTACCAAAAGGAGAAGATCTGTAGTGTACTACTGTCGCACTGTGTGCACACACGTCCGCCTAAGCCTTGGCCACGTTTTCGTTTCTTGTGCCGAAGAGAAGACCGAAGCTGCAGCGGTTTAGTCTCGCCAGACCAGAATGCCTTTAGCATAAAGACCGCCGATGATGCCGGTCTTGCGTTTCGAATCGTGCGTGGCCATGGCACTGCTGGGGTACTCTGTATCTGTGTAGAGTGTTCGCAGGCCATGCTCGGCATCCCACTCGGCGACCCAGGACCCAGCTTGGGCGCTCTTGTCCTGGCAGTACTCCTTCATGGCGGCGTCGGCCTTGGAGAACTCGGCTTCATCGTTGCAGATGTGTCGCGACTTTGTAAATCTCGCTAATGTGGGGAAATAGGGATGGCCAGCCACCATGAGTGTCTTGCCGTCGACAGACAGGTTGTCAGGCAAGAAGGGGACTCGTGTTTTGGATGTGAATGTCAGACTTCCGTCGGGATTTATACGGTAGAAGAAGAGCCCAGGGTCTGTGGTAGATGCAACCACCAGCGTAGAATCCCCAATCAGCTCAATGCCATTGGCAAAAGGCACACTCGCGAGCTTTGTTGCTTGCACCTCGCCGCCATGCGTCTTGACAAGAACAACGTTTCCAAGCGGAGCAGCAGTAAAGGTTTCAAGACGAGCCAGGGGAATAGAGTCACGGGCCAAGAATTTGTGGTCATTGGTCAGGTAAAAGGTATCCTGATCGACCATAATCATGGCGTTGGGGCTGCGGATGAGGGGATGCTGGATGGTGGCCAGATGAGTGGCTGTGAGTTTGTCGACATCGAGATGGAACTTTTCGATCCGAGACCCATTCTTGGCGTGATTCACAGCCAGCAAGGTCGATGATGCGTCGTCAAACGCCAGGCCCAGGGTATGGAAGTCAGTCTTGCCAGCAAAATTGGCCAGTGTAAGCTGCTTGAGGGACTCGGAATCAGGGGCATTGGTCTTCTTGTAGTCGTAGATGTAGAGGTCCGCATTGGCAACAGGGCCATCTAGAAACACGCCCTGAATATCATCACTTTGCGTCAGGATGTGTTACAGTTTTCGTAGTTGGGGTATACATACCATGACAGTGTTCCATCGCTCACGGCCAGGATCGCAAGCCAAGACCGCCAGGCCCTGCTCTTTGATCATCAGGACATCTTCACAGCTGCGAATCTTATCGGCAAACTTGATTTCATAGCTCTGAAACGTATTGATCTTGACGAGCCGCGAGGGATGATTGACGTAGACGAGCGCTAGAGAGGGGTATCGATCGTAAACAAGCGCTGCTAGCAACCCCACCAGCGCCACGATCTAATCATGACATGTTAGCAAGTGTAGTGGGTGCGTGCGTGTGCGCACGCACTAATTCCATCACCTACAGAAAGAGATCGTACGCCCATTTCGAATTTTGGTAATGCGAATGGAGGGCGATGAATTGTCGATGAAGCAGCTATTGCCTCATAAAGGCTGTATATATACTGTAAGCTGATGCTCCGTTCACGTGATGCGGCGCACACAGTCAGCTCGCAAGTGATGCCCATTTGGAACAGATGGTGCTACCCTGCATAGACGAGATGTCAAAGTCCCGCGTAAAAACCCCTTTGGTGAAGAATGACATGCTATATTTTTCTCATTCTTTTACTATTAATCGTTGAGAACACATAAATTTCTATTCATTTTTCCCCCGATAATCTATTGTGTTATCCTTTACTGCGAGTGTTCACTACTACATATTTGCGTATTCAGCTTTATAGATTTGTGAATTGATCACAGAGGCGCTGAGGGATTGAGCTGAATATAAATATGTTCCTGATACGTCATTTGAAGTGCTAAATACGTGATTATATATATATAATCGAAAGAATGAATAAAAAGAAGTGAATAGCTCCGCTACCGGATTACCATTTCTCAGGCCCAAAATGTCCATTCTTGGAGATGGCCTTGTACGTCGCATCTAGCGTAGTGCCCGTAACTGTATTACCCCACCATTGAGGAATAGTGACCTCTGGAAGAGTAATGGCAAGGAAGATGATGGTTGTGCTGATTACAAGGCCGGCATCCAAGGCAGCCGCCGTGATATAGTTGTAGCTTCTCCACCAGTCGTTCCATCGTCTACGGATCCAGTAGTTGAAGATGAGACCAAACATGGCCCAAGATGAGAAGCTGAGGGGCGTCGCGGGAGGCAACCAGGCCATGCCTCCAAGCAAAAGGGGCGCAGAAAGATGGCGAAAGGGAGCCTTGGGAAACGCTTTGGTGAGGACATACAACAAGACGGGTAGACCAGCACCGAGAAGCCAGAACCAGTTAAACTGGACATAGTTGCTGCCTACACCAAACATGCGGCGAGGGCCAATGACACCCCATACGATGCTACTAGTGAAGAACGCTTGGCCATTGGGGCAAGTAAAATGGTTTGCCTGGTCCTGTTCGCATGCATTGGGAATAGTGCCAAGCGTCCAGTTCATGACGGCAATCTGTACGAAGCAGACCCAGATGGACGGGATAAGTTGGCACCAGAAGCTGACACGAGGGGGAATCTTCATGTAGTGAGCCATCTTTAGGTCACCCAGGTATGTTTGGGCCTGGCCGAGGGTGATGGTGCTGTAGACTTTGAACATCATGACGGCAATGGGTCTACCAGGAATGGCAAAACCTGCGATGAATGGCGACAGGACGTTCAAGCTCAGAGTGATGTTGGAGACGGCAAAGATCATGGTTGATGGAAGGATAAAGACAGTGGCGAGGATGATGGACAAGAAGAACCCCCACCATGGAAGCTGGGATGGGTAGGCGAGCACGCAGGCGAGGCCAAGTCCAAGAGAGCCTATGAAGATGGCAGCATACCACCACTCTGGCACCTCAGGATACGCCTTCATTAGCTTTAAATGGATATCAGCAGGCTGCTCACGGGCCTTGCGGAACCGCACCCAAATTTCTTTGCCGTGATTGATGGCGACGTGGATAATGCAAGCGGTGAGGGCGGCAAAGGACAGACCATAATTGAGAGCATAGGTCGGCGCCAGGAAAAGAGGAGAGTACTGTTCGTAGGCAGTCTGATTAAAGGTAAATTCAGGGGTGAGGATCTTGTGGACATTGTACGCTGTCTGGTTATTGTCGTATGCGCGCGTGGTTACGAGGGGCAAATAGGACGAGTAAATGGCTCCGGTATACACGATACCAATGGTGGGTAACAGCACAAACACACAAAGGCCAATAAGGACGTTGATGTGCGACAAGGTAGGTGCAAGGAGAGGATCCAAGAGGTAGGCCGTGACATAGGTCCAATCAAAGGTGATGGGAATCAGGGAGAGGCCAGACACGCCACCAAAAAGTTGGTTTATGGTCACGTTCTTGGGCCGGATCCAGGTGACGAATGAAAAGACAGAGAGGGCTTGGAAGAGGACACCGGGAATCCAGTAGTAGCAGAACATGGCGGCCGTGACAATGACGAACCATCGATAGCGGCTCATGGTCCAGCCGTTGTAAGAAGTGCCAAGGCTATGGCCCTTGTCGTGGAGCGCATAGAAGAGACTGGTGGTTGCGAATTGGCCAGGCCACATCATGGCGGCAGGCCAGACGAGGAAACGGCGAAAGAGGCCGGACAGAGCGATACCGATGAGCTGCGAGCTGAGGAGGAAGAGGATGGAAAAGCCCCAGCCCATGTTGAGATCGTAAAAAGGCTTGCCTTGCAGGGCGAGCAAGGCGTCTGTACCGTAGGCGTAGTTGATGGAAACGGTAGACATGAGAGTAATGACGGCATGCTCCTTGATGGTGAATGGGCCAGGGTTAAGGGTCCAAGTCGTGCCAAATGTGTTGAAGACTCTGGTTGGCAGGCACTTGGCCCATAGACAGCCAATTGGATACACGACCAGCTGGATGACGATTGCTGGAAAGTTGATGGCTGGGTATCTGAAACAGCAGTCAGGTTAGTATTATGTGGTAGGTAGGCCTATGTTTTGGGCGCAAAGAGTAGAGAGACGAACCGCATGCTAAGAAACATGTTGAGACCGGCGCCAACCGTGACAAAGATCATGCCCAGCACCCACGCACGCAGAGTGTTGCAGACACCGCCGGGGTCCGTGCTTCGGACGGCGGCGCGGACTTCCTCGTAGGGAGAGTCTTCGTCTCCAATCAGATCCTCACCACTGCCGGTGTCATTTTTCACGTCCGTGGCGGCGGCGACATCATCTGAAGACGATTGCCGATCTGGCGTCTGGCGTTTTTCCAAGACCGGTGGCTCTGTGCCGAGCGCCTTGGCCTCTTGGCCCAACGATTGCATCTCTGGCGACGCAGTAGGAGCAGCCATGCCTGCAGCAGAGTTGGGAACGCTGAAACGCTGCAATTGGCGTTGGGGAACGCGGGGGTTAGGATTTGGAGGGAACGTTGATGCAGGGACAGACGACGGTTGGATTTTTGTAACAATGTCACGCGGCCCAACTCCATTTGAACCGAATCTTAATTAAGTGCGGACGGACATAAGCCGAGTTTGCAGGACAGTGTATGCTGTACAGTGCATATCAGATGCACTGTGACGCTAACGTACCCCCACGGACAAGTCCCGTATATTGTCGCTTACATGCGATGAACTGGAGCTGAACTTTTTTTTTTTCGGAGAGTATTTATTAATACTTTCACCCTTTAAAGTGTGTTAGTAGAGCGGTAGCCTCGCCGGGCTCCCACCGCACTAGTTTTCGCTGCTGGCAATCTTCAAGCTTTCGTCGTAATAAAGGCATCATTAGTTTTCGTTGTCGAGGAGAGAGCCTATGCTGGCGCGTTCTCCAGAGAGGCAGTCCGGCCTAACGTTTGCCAAAAATCGTTCGTCTAGGAAATTCCAATATATAGCATCAAAGGCCCAGCTCTTTCTCGCAGCGTAGGTTAACCAGAATCGCCCAGTTAACCAACTTTCCTGCATATATTGCGAGGGAAGGGGAAAAGAGCAGTTGAGGCGCTTTTCAACTTGACGTACTGCGGCTAGCCCTACCGGCATTCGAGATTCGAAAACATTGCTCCAACATTTCATACCGTCTGCCCACATCTCTGGTTGTTCTAGTAAGAGCCACCATGGTGGATCAAGAGTGAACTGCGTCGGGGCAACGTATGCAAACTCGAAATCAACACAGGCCGCAACGTCGCCATCTTTGCCAACGAGAAAGTTGACGGGTCTACGGTCGTCACACCATATTCTAAAATCAGTAGATCTGTCCGGTGCTGGTAATGTCGCCCTGTTGTGCAACCCTTGTGCTGACCATGTGTCGTCAGAGAAGCCAAATGTTGATAGCTTGCCTTCACTAGCTAGATTTCGAAAGAGCTGGCGTGACACATATTTGTTTAGGCAGTCCTCTGTCGAGAATATAGTGTCGTTGTGTTGAAAGAGAAGCTGTGATAAATGCATTTCTGACAGCATAACGTACCAGTCATTTGCAGTTGTATATGTTTTGTTTGGCGGTGGTAGTACCTCTTCAGGGATGCCACCGAGTTGCATCATGACGTTCATATTTTGGGTGATTGGCCGGTTGCGGACGGAGTAACTGCTATTTACTTCTGAAAGGCTTCCGATTTGTGAAAATTTCAAGGTAGAGATGTGAAACAAGCAGGATGCTATCTTGGAATACGCGCCAAGAAGCGTCGCGTCAGATATATCAGGCTTGAGAACAGGCGGAATTGCTGGGTCAAGTCCCGGGATCGTTAGTATATTAACCATGTCTCCTTTATTTTCGATATAATCCATAATAATAAATGGTCCAAGTGTAGGATGCTTGTTGTTGTATTCGAGTTGTCGTGGTATTGGAACTGGCGTCGCTTCACGAATGACCATGGCCGTTGCAGCCTCGTATTCCATTTTTTCATTGGGAAATTGGACATAGTGTGGACGAGGTAAGCGCACTATGAGATCCGATCCCACGCTCTTGATTCGGATATGGATATTGAAACCCCCAATTTGTATGGGCTTAACATAGATCGCCGGCTCGTTCAAACGCCGCTGCACCGCATCGACTGCCAGCTTTACAACAGCTGCTAAAAACTCTTTCGTCTCGGCTGCTTCATGAGCCAGATCATTCGCGTCCCATACATCATTGTTAAAGTCTTGGCGATCCTCATACATATTGTCTACAGTTGGCCTTTCGAGAAAATAACGCCAATATCTTGTTTTCGTTGGATATAAGAATATTGTCGTAAAAAATGGGTGGTGGATCTAGGCGGTGGTTGTCAACAACAACAATAGTCTCACAAGAAGAACATACGTCTTCAAAAGAGATTCTATATACAAGAGCAACGTAATCATTACGAGTCAAAAATATCCAACACTCTAAAATACCACTCACAACTGGATTTATTTAGTCTGAAAATACAACAGGCTTGGACTGTTACATTGTCACCTCCGTTACCTGCACCCACATCTCCAGCTTAAGGCCGGGGCAAGTTGTGGGGAGAAGAAGTCGGTTCCGTTTTGGCTGTGCCGAGGTGAATCATTGGCTGGCTTAACTCAATTTGTTCCTTGTTTGACGGCCAGCAAGCATAGTCATCGTCTGACGACCATCTATTGGTGAGATGATGGCTTGCGTTGCAGCCGCCCAACGAACGAGATGAAACGTGCTCTGTAGCAGCAGCTGCAGCATATTCTGCATTTGCGAGTGTCCTGCACAAATTTGATGGAAATTTTCGGGTCGACGTTTTGTGTCGGACAGTCCAACTGTGCATATCTTTACACTTCATAGGCCTGTTTAGTTGGAAATGTCGTCGCAATGGCATTTTTATTTTTCTGGCTTGCGCGGCAAATGGCTGCCCCTTTTCCATTGTTTGTCGGCCGCCAACTGTCAGCTGGTTGGTTGAGCACGCAGCTGGCAGACGCACGCCACCACCTGGCACACACCTGGCAGAGAGGCTTGGCGCTCCGCTCGGAGCAGTTTCGACCTGACGGCCAATGCTCGAGACCAGCCAATTAGAGGGCTCGCAGCCCACAACTTTGGCGCTGAAGACGATCCACCACCTGAAAAGACGGGCCTGGCGGGATGTGCCAAACAAGCTTAGTGCGTGCCTGTGTGCCTGTAACAGGTGGGTGGGCGGTGGTGGTGATTCATTCACAGCGCGTAATAAAGTGTACAGTAAGAAAAGGATGACAGTGTATTTGCGCGCTGCCACTTGTATTTCAAAATAAAAAAAATTATTTTGGCCATCTCTATATTTCCCTCGTGCAACAGATAACAAACCGAGCTCTTCTTTCTTTCTTTTCGTGTATTCATGCGAAGTCTGTCCGAGCGCCACATCCGCAACACCGGCACTGCACAGCCCTGTAGCTTATTCCACAGGCACCCCCCATTCACCCACAGACTGTCGTCCCTGCCCCTGGATCTCTCAGCACACACAGGTCACTAGCTTGCGTGCTTTGCAGGCTGCTCGCCTCGTTTTCTAGCGGCGGGCTACGCTGAATATAATCCACAGGGCCATCCTCGCACCCCCCCGGACTCGTACGTCTCCGCTGATGCCAGAGTTGAACCGCCCGCTCATTTTCCATCTTTGACACAAACAAAACACTCTCGTTACTCTCATTTCTTGTCACCACTTGTACTGTACATTGTTTTCCGACAACCCGCGACACGCCGACCGGCTTCGCTCTTCGATTCCGCTACCGAATTCTCTTGTCTCCGAATCGACCGGCTATTTTTTTTTCTTTTTTCTCCCTCGCGGGCGGCGCTAATCCCCCGCTCACAACCATCTCGTGCGACCACTGCATTCCAACTCGACTCGACGCTCTTCACACACGCTCTCTTTTCGCTTCTTCATCATCACGATGCGATCGCTCTCGCTGGCGCTGGTAGCCGGCGCTCTGTCGCGCTCCGTGGTAGCCCAGCAATTCAAGCTCGGCACCAACGATGAGATCTTGGCATCGGCCAAGCTTTTGGCGGCGGATATGAAGGCGTACTACCCCGGTGAGGAACCCGGCAAGACACTGGGCATCTTGCCTGGCCCTCCCGCTGATGGAAAGGGCGACTACTACTGGTATATTGCCGGTGCCATGTTTGGCACCTTTGTCGACTACTGGCACTATACGGGCGACAGCACATACAACCCCATGACCATGGCTGCTTTGCAGTACCAGTCGGGCGAGCTGCAAAACTACGAACCCAGAAACTGGACATTGTCGCTAGGAAACGATGACCAGGCTTTTTGGGCCATGTCAGCGTTGCTCGCTGCCGAGACGGGCTTCCCGGATCCTCCCAAGGACAAGCCGTCATGGCTGGACCTGGCGTCGAATGCGTGGAATATGCAGCATGGTCGATGGGATATGACCACTTGCAACGGAGGTTTGCATTGGCAAGTCCCGCAAACCAACGGTGGTTACGATTACAAGAACACGGTTGCTAATGCCGGATACATGAACCTCGGCGCTCGCTTGGCCAGATACACTGGCAACAACACCTATATGGACGGTGCCGAGATGGCTTGGAACTGGATGTGGGATCACAACCTGATTGACCACGACAGCTGGTTTGTCTACGATGGTGTCCAGTCCAAGGCCTGTGGTGATGTTGTGAAGCAAGTCTTTTCTGCCAACGCTGGCCTCCTCATCGAAGCCTGCGCTTTCTTATACAACTACGTACGCACTTTGTTTTTGTTATATCAACGGACTTGTACCAGCTAACAACCGTCTCTAGACCAAGGATCAGAAATGGGGCGACCGCTTTGATAAGTTGCTCGCCAAGTTCTTGGAACATAACTTTCCCAACAATATTGCTTTCGAGACGAGTTGTGAAAACAACGAAATTTGCACTACAGATCAAAAGTGCTTCAAGGGTAAGCGCTGACGTATACGTCTAGAGTAAGATTTAAAGTCCAAATAACTAACACCTTGTCTCACTAGGCTACCAACACAGATGGCTTGCTGTCGCGTCGCAGCTTGTAGAAGGCAGCCGCGACAAGATTCGTGCTGTTCTCAAAACGTCCATCAACCAAGGCATCAAACAATGCACTGGTGGAGCCAGCGGCCGCAAGTGTGGCATGTACTGGAAGAAGGGCGTGTACGTTGACCCCGAACAACCTGGACCGAACAACAGTGCTCCCGGAACAACGGGCGCCTGCGAGACGATGAATGTGTTTGGCGCGGTTTCGGCTTTGCTGGTGGACAATGCCAAGATGCCCTTGACGGTCCAGAGCGGTGGCAAGGGTGAGAACCCCGACGCTATTGCTCCCAAGAAGACGCAGGTCCCGATTACCACGGCCTCCAAGGCGGGAGCGGGTATTATTACTATTCTCATCCTGGGTATTGGACTGGCGCCGTTTGTGTGGATGATTACAACGTGATGAAAGGCAGGCTGGGATTGTAAATTCCAACAACTCGTCGTTTAATGAATATGTATTTATGCTTTGTATATCAGTCAAATGTCATGTTATTTTCGTAACAATTTCATATTCTCCTTCAGTCTGTTCTTCCCTCGTCATACTACAAATTGTACGTTCCCGGAGCCGGACCAAAGCGCTCGCCCGTAGCCAGCGTCTTGAGGACGCACGATTTACCATCTTCACATCCCTGGCCAACGACATTGTTTCCCCACCAGTCGAGCTCAATGTCGTTGTAAGCGAGGGCAAAGAATTGCACAACACCAGAGATGGCAATGCCACACGACAGAGCCGCCGTAAGGACAAAGTTGTACTATAAATGGAATGGTTAGTCTTGTTTGTGTGGCCCACAAAGGAAAAAGCAATATAGTGGTGACTCACCTTGGACCATAGTCCGAGGAAGCGGGATCGCAGATATACCCAAGACATCCAGGCGACAGGCACGGCGGGCCAGACATAGCTCATGTTGTATGGGACCCAAGTTGTGCCGCCGTACATGAGAACAACGGGATGGACCTTGCGAATGATGGGGTTGTTGGGATACTTTTTGCCGAGATACCAGAAGGTGACGACGGTCAGGACACCAATGGGGAATCCAATGAGCGTAATGGTATACTGACCACCGGGACCCCAAAGGCGCTTCGGTCCAACAGTGCCCCAAATAACGGCAGCCGAGTAGAAGATAGTCTCGCTCGGGCAGTAGAAGCGGAAGGCAGCCTGCTCGGTGCACACGTTTTCAATGGTGATTTGGTAGTGTAAGATGCCGACGGCTACGAAGGTGGTGGCGAGCGTAGGCACCATTTGTGCAAAGAAGGTGACTCGGGGCGGGATCTTGATGTAATGGGCTAGCTTCAAGTCCTTTGCAAAGGCCTGGGCCTGGGTACTTGTGACCATGGCATATGTCTGGAAGAAGCAGGTGGCAATGGCGTTGCCCTGGAAAAAGGAGCCTCCGATGAACTCGGCAATGACATCAAGGGCAATCTGGACTCCGGTCATGGCAAAGATGATGCCCGTGGGGATGAGGAAGATGAGACACAGAATCAAGCCGTATATGACGACAGCGGGCGATGTGTAAGTGGGATAACTTGCAAGACCGGCACAGCCAACAGCCACGGACATGACAAGAACAACCATGTACCACCATTCGGGGACTTCTTTGTACGATTGCATGAGACGGTTGTGGATATCGAGCACGCGGTCGTTCTCGACGTCGTCCTTTTTGCGGAAGCTGTTCCAGAGCTCCAAGACGCCCATGCGGATCTCGGGATACGAGTAGAGGAAGCCGTGGGTGAGGGCGGCAGCGTACATGGCAAAGAAGGAGATGTACACTACAACACTGCCAGCAGACAGATAGGGCGGGGAGTACTGCTGGTACTTTTCAGTGTCGAGGATGCCATGCTCCGTGACAACGGCCGTGACGTTGTATGGCTGAGCCATGTTATCCCAGGGCTCGTTGGAGATAATGGGAATGTAGGCCGTGTAAAAGGTGTTTGTAAAGTAGACGGCAGCAATGACCGGCAGAGTAAGCAGGGTGCCGAGGAAGATGTTAAAGGTGGAAAAGAAGGGAATAGCTAGCGGGTCTGCAAAGAAGACGAGGACGTTCCAGTCAAAGGTAGGCAACGGGTTGAGACCAAGACCACTCTGCATACCGACAATGGTAGCCAGTGTTCTATTGTTGGGGTCGATCCAGGTCATCCAGCTAAAGATGCTGAGACCCATAAAGAGGAAGTTGGGGATCCAAAAGTAGAAAAACATGGCAATGGAGATGTACATGAAGAAGCGCAGACGGCTTAGCTTCCAGAGAGACTTGAAGGGCCCAAGGACAGGCGGGTTACCATCAGAGTGGAAAGACGCATTGACGGCAATAGTCACCAGAGACTGCGGCCAGGCACAATGGGCCGGGTAAACAAGAAAGCGGCGAGTAATGCCCGCCAGACTATAACCGATAAAGTTTGTCGAGAGGGCAATGAGGATCTGGTAGCCGAAGTTGACGGCCCAGGGCTGGTTGAACCACTGCGGCATAGCCTGGATCCAGACAATGAAGCTGGTGTAGCTGCCCGTGATGCTAATACTGGACATGATGGTGATGAGCATGTGTTCCTTTTTGTTGAATGGTCCTGGATTGAGGCTGTGGCGGACACCAAACAGTGTAAAACCCCAGTTGGGTAGGACACGCTCGCAGAACTTGCCCATGGGATAGGCGAGGAGCTGGGAGACATTGGCGCCGACGGTGATGGCAGGCTGGCGGATTTCAAAGAAGATGTTGACAAAGGCACATGCGACAGCCAGTAGAATGCCGATGAACCAGGCACGGAGTGTCGAGACGGGCATGCTTGGGTCGTCGTGGTTGTCGACGACGGCGCGGACTTCGGCGTATGGCGAGTTGTTGGTGATGAGGGCGGCTTCAATCTTCATCTCCTCGATGAGGTGTTCGTGGAGTTCGGGGTGTTGAAAGACGCTTTCCGTTTCTGTAGTTTTGACAAGTAAAATTAGTATAGAATATTGACGCTTGTTAGTGGACGACGACATATACCGAGCAGCTGCTGAATCTTGGCGAGAACGGTAGCTGGGAAGTTGGGATCTCGTCGGTGAATCTTGTACACACGCGTCATGATCTATTCCCCTATCGTAAGTTGCAATTCAATTCTTCTGGCCTGTTTAGTGGCGTACCGCGTGCAGCTCGTCGAGGGTGATGCTGGCAGCAAACTCTTTGGCTTCCAATAAATCGTCGGCTGTGACATCGAGATCATGCTGCGCCTGGTGAAGCTCCTGCTTCTCATCGAGGATGGTGTCGACATCTTCCACCGCGGTGACCTCCTATAGTAGCGTTGGTTAGCACAGAGATGCAATTGGGTTTGCTGATTGTTGTGAGTATACGAACGGCTTTGCTCTGCTCTCCCGCGGACGTTATCTTGGTCGCTGGGGGATTGTCTCCCGTAGCCGGCGTTTCGGCTGCTGCCGCTGCCATTGCTTCTTCTGCTGTTGTTGCTACTTCTGGTTATGCTGTTGTTGGTAGCTCAGGTAATACTGCTCATGCGAGTCGTGAAGCTGATGTTGGGTTTCTATAAAGCACCAAATGTCGAATTGACCTCTGCAGATCCCTGTACAATACTTTCAGCAACCAAAACCAGTCGATCTACTGCGAATTGCAAACGAGGCTGCGGACGAGGGAGGAGGCGCCGCGAAGCTTAAATGCCAACTCACCACCACCACCAGCGTCCTTCTTCCTTATCCTGGTTGGTGCCCGCACTTGGCGCGTACCCTAGCATCTCGGCTGAGAAAAGCTGCTACCTTGCGCCGTAAACTCACTATTCCAAAGTGTAACAAAGGCGCCGTGTTGCAGTCCAAGTAACGTTAGCGCCAGGAAGCCCCCCCCGTCCTTTCCCCCAGCTCTTGGGCATCCACACTTCCCGCTGAAGGACGCCACGATAGGCTGGATGATCGCTGTCTATTACCCCACGGTGGGTTTTCCTTTTTGGAACAGCGACTCCAGTTCGGCTGCGCCCGCGCTGTGGCAAGTCACGCGTGGCGCCATGGAAGCACACAGAGAGCCTGTTTGTTCGAGGGCATCGCAGGTGCTTAGTGATGCTTTCTTCGAGAAAACTACTGATTTGTCTTTTTGCTGGTGTGTGGCTGTCGAACGAGCTGCGTGTGTTACTTTCTTTTTTGCTCAGCCCATGCGGCTGAAGTGTAACCATGCAGACAGACGGCATGGGCCTGTATGTAATTAATAGTTTCTATTTGGATAAAAGAGATTGCACCTGTCGGTCGCTCTTTCGGTCCTTTGTCACGAGGATCCCAATAAATCGATCTTGGATCGAGAATCACAGCTGTCAAACTCTTTTTAAACCAAACCTTGTCCTGACCATCACCACCATTGCAAACAACAAGGATCGCGGCTTCGGTAGCAGCCAGCCCGAGAATGCGCTGGCAGACCCCCAAACTGCGATAGGTAATGGACACCATCCTATTCGCTAGCGCCGCCGCCTAGACAAAGTCCCGCTGCCGTGCATAGCTGTCGCGAATCCTTCCAGCTTGTTGTTTCTGCCCAGGGTTCACTCTGTGATCTGGGATTGGGTGGACGCCTGTAGAATGACGGTCTCTTGCATGCTTAGCCTCTGTGACTGTGGTCCTGTAGTAGACAAAATAGTATGGGTAGTGGTAGTAGCGAATCCTTGGAATCTACAAAGGCAGTACAGTGGCCCGCCCCCCCGCGCCGAGGGAGATTTTCTCTTTTTGTTTTGTGCTAGACGGATCCTATTGTACACGTTGAATTGTATAGTTGAAGCTAAAAGGCAATTAATTGCTATGGTTCGGACTGGAATGGTCCTATGGGCCATAACTGCAGCGACCGCTGTGGATGCCCTAAATAGCTTCATCCAACCACCACAGATCTCCCTAGTATCGAAACAAGACGTAAAGAGCAGCGACGGAACATGGGACTGGGCCAAGGTATTTTTTATCGGCTTCAGTATGCATGTCGAGGGACAATGGTGCTAATTGGTATATACAGCTCCGCCCAGCAAAAGACCTGCAATGGATGCCCTGCTACGATGGGCAGTTTGACTGCGCCAGACTCGACGTGAGTACAAAGTTATACTGCTAATCAATAAAACAATGTTCTAATGATATCAGGTCCCAATGGATTGGCTCAAACCTACCGAGGCGGATCGCGTCGTCTTGGGTGTGATACGACTCAAAGCAAAGTCGAATAACGGCATCGTGCCACCCGTGTTTATCAATCCTGGCGTACGAATCTACACAAGCTTTATTATGAAGGGTTACTAACATATTCTAGGGTCCGGGGGGTTCTGGCGTGGCGTTTATGAAGTCCTCTGGAGCACTTATACAGGCCATTGTTGGCGATTATCATGTACGTGTAGATCAACGCCTTTCAGTGCCGTTTCTAAGTTGAAAATAGGATATTATCGGCTTTGATCCACGGGGAGGTGAGTTATGAGTATAGAGTATGATAGAAAACGGAAGCTAAAGCGTCTTATAGTTGGCACGTCGACCCCTCGTGTGGACTGCTGGCAATCGGCTGCGAAACAGGCCGCATGGAATCAAGGCTACGTGGGTGGCATCGATCAATGGCAAGGACTTGCCTATGAAGCCTTTGCTCGCGGCCAAGCCTTCTCAAACGTATGCGAAAGGTCCATGAATGCATCAAGGCTACTCTCGCACCTGAGCACCGCCACCGCCGCGCGAGATATGCTGGCAATCCTGCAAGCAGCTGGCCACGAGAAGCTGCGCTACTGGGGATTCAGTTACGGAACCGTCTTGGGAGGTGTATTTGCAGGCTTATATCCGGAGAGAGTCGACCGGCTGGTCAGCGATGGCAATGTCGACTATAACGATTGGTTTCATCTGGGATACCAAAACTTCCTTGCTGATGCTGATACTATTGCTGACGCCTTTGACAACAACTGCTACAAAGTAGGCGAAAGCCGATGCGCACTTTGGTCCAACACGCCTCGCAAAATTCGACAGAGGCGTGAACACATTTTGGAGCATGTCAAGAAGTATCCCGTAGCAATTGCTCCAGATAGTCTCCCAGGAAGTGGTCCGGACATTCCACGGTTCGTCACCTACTCATTGCTTCAGATATTCACCCGTGGCTCGTTCTATGCACCAGTGTACAAGGTCACAGACATGGCGAGAGTGTATGCGGCGCTAGAGAAGAATGATGGGATGGTCTACTACAACATCTCAACACAGCCTGGACCCGTGATTGCCACGCAAGATGTTCCTATTCATGAACCTCGGGAAACCTTTGCCGAGGCAGATGCTGCATTTGCAGTATCCTGTTCCGACTGGCTCGGGAGAGATGATGCCGACTCATTTCTTGCGTATACAAACGCCTTGGAGGAGACGAGCCAATGGGTGGGAGGCACATCTACCTTTCAAAGACTTGCTTGTGCAGGATGGCCAACCAACCAAAAGTGGCACATCACGAATAGTAAGTTTAAAAGTAGAGAAAAACTTGACCCCACTAACATTGGGGTACAGAGGACTTTAAGACAAATACAGCCAACCCGATTCTGTTTATTGGAAATATGGCCGATATCATCACCCCTCTTCAAAGTGCACGCAACAATTCGGCAGTCTTTCCCTCCTCGGGAGTCCTCATTCAAAATTCGTACGGTGTAAGTGCAAAAGAATACTTCTTCTAGCATTGGACATTTCTTTAGAAGACAGTTTAATATTTGTTGAGGATTCTCTAACATAGTCTAGCATTCATCACTGGCCTCTCCGTCTACGTGCACCGCCAAACACGTTCAAACATACTTTCTAGACGGTAAACTGCCACCCAAGGACACCATATGCGAAGAAGACTATGCTCTTTTCAATTTTCCAGGAGTAGAAAACATTCATTCGCAAGATTTGCTATCTTCTACTATTTTGCAGCTCTCGATGAAGTGGGCAAATGGGTAAAGGAGAATATCCGCTGTTACTCTTACATAGCTTACATCCAAAACTGGTTACTTCTCCAACATGTTCCTAATACATGACAACTGACAGTATAGAGTTGACTCAACGAGTTTTGGCGCTGTGTCTGTCTTTCGCACATCCGATTGCGACCGTTTCTAGACGAGGAGCTGCTGCCAGAAATCAGGGTCAAATTGAATGTACAGGTTTGAGACACAACATAGACCTTCAAGACACGGCACAGAGAATTGAGACATACCAAAGACTACCCATTGTGGATACGTTCATTCCGATTCTAATCTGATGTAACTGTATTCTTTCACCCAGGAAATAGAACCGGGCTAACTTTCTATACCAACCCAAATATACAAAGCATTCCTTTGTTCTCCACAACATTATAAGTAATAGTGGTCAACTGCTCTTCCGCACCTGCGTCTTCTGCGAATCCATTTTTCTTCACCATTAACCACTATGCGTTATATCATGAAAATTACAACCATTTTATTGTCCCTTGGTGTTGCCGTGGGCGCGCTGAATGTCCAGCCTGCCCTACGAGATGTCAATGCAGCTCTGAATGTGTTTACACAAGCCAACACCCAGCTCGGTCAGATTAAAGGAGACCCCAGCAGCTATATCGAGGTGAGTTGAAATACATATACTCGGTTCTATAATTTCTAATAGAACTAGTCCATTATGCCCAGTTTGCAAAATAGTATGAAGGCTGCTGAAAAGAGTCTCGAGGACAAATCCGGCCCGACTCCGCCATTGTCGGATGTAGACAAGGTTGCTGCAGCAGTAGACCAAGTAAGTTACAATTAAGAAGCCGCATCATTACTATAAAGAGAGAAGAGTTAACATAGTTATACAAACAGCTGGAACTCGCACAGGAGCGTCTTTTGAAGCTTCTTCACGACCGATTTTCTCAGCTACCGTTTCGAAGCGTTTCTACAGTCAATGATGCCAAGTATCCAGCATCCATTAAGGGCATTATGAAGAATTGTATGAAGTGCTGCCAACCATTCTTTAATGGATTCAAGAGAGGGTTTAATGGTTACAGTGACGATGCCCTTGAAGAAATGAGAGCGGATGAGGCTCGACTTGAAAAGCTCATTAAACAATACTTCATCGAGTATGAGCTGTACGCATTGACAGAGTAGCCCAGCACATTCTACAAAAATAAAGACTACTTTGCCAAGTTTTAGTTGATATTTACAACGAGATACCATATTGTATCATATACAATGAACATAAAGCCTACAACCGTGACGGCTCACAGCTCAATCTATTACGAATTCTCGCCAGTGTTTCGATACGGTATCAGACGACCCAACATACAATAAAAAAATTAAAAAAATAAGTAAAATAAAACATGTCCGATAACGGGATACATGGTTTCCTACATGGTAAGCCGCCGCTCACGTGGCGGTGATGGTCTCCGAACTACTACTTGCCCAAGACCGATCACGTGGGCGCGAGGGCGGCTACTCCAACCGCCACGGCAATGGACGCCGAACCGTCTAGTCTAGACTCGGATAATCAAGTCTGAGAGGCCGGCGGCGGATGGCAGGGAGATTGTACTGTAAGATGACTAGTATATGAAGTCGGCGGGAATGCCACCCAAACACCACGGGCTGGATCATATAACCCATACAACACACTAGTGTATTGGCTTTGGCTCTCGTCTGTATAAGCCCAACTCCACCAATTACACCTTTTATATCTTTATACTCTACACCCATGGCTCGCTTTTTGGGAAGCTACTTCTTTGGCGAAAAGGCGGTGGAAAAGGACGACAAGAGCGCCGTCCGAGCACTCCCTGCATCATGGTATACTTCACAAGAACTCTATGAGTTGGAGCGCCGCGCCATCTTTTCCAAGAAGTGGCTGCTCATCACACACAAGGCTCGTCTGGGAACATCTGGCGACTGGCTTCGCTATGAAGTTGCCGGGTTCCAGTTTGTCATCTGCAAAGACCGCACAGGGTCGATCAACGCCTTCCACAACGTCTGCCGGCACCGCGCGTTTCCTATTGTCACCAAGGAGAATGGCAACAATAGCGTCTTTTCGTGCAAATACCACGGGTGGTCGTACGGCATGAATGGCAAGCTCGCCAAAGCACCGGGCTACCAGGACCTCGAGGACTTTGATAAGACACAGAACGGTCTCTTGCCGCTCCATGTCCATATTGATAACTGCGGCTTTGTCTGGGTCAACATGGACGGCGGACAGAAGCCCGAGATTGCTTGGGAGGACGACTTTGCCGGCATCGACAAGCAGGAGCGCTATGCTGCCTACAACTTTGACGACTATGTCTTTGACCACACGTGGGAAATGGCAGGCGACTACAACTGGAAGATTCTCGCCGACAACTACAACGAGTGCTACCACTGCAAGTCGACGCACCCCGATATCCCGTCTATTGCAGACCTCAACACATACCGAGTCGAAACCAAGGGTGCCTATATCCAGCATCTTGGAAACCCCAAGCCTGAACAGATTGCCCGCGGACTGAATGTAGCGGCGACGTACTTTTTCCCCAATGCGTCCATGAATGTTTCGTACGTCTATTCCATGCTTGCCTGCTCTCACGTTTACTACTTTGTATCAAAACTAACAACCGTATAGACCGCACTTTTTCATGATTCAGCGTTTTGAGCCTGCTGGTCCACTCAAGGCCACCATGCGCTACGAAGTATACCGCAACAAGTCGTCCAGTAATGAAGACTTTGAGCTTATTGATTCCATGTACAAGCGCATCATGTCCGAAGATAAGGTGCTCTGCACCAATGCCCAAAACAACATTAATGCCGGCGTCTTTATCAACGGCGAGCTGCATCCAACACTGGAAAAGGGACCGCTATACTTCCAAAAGTCGGTTCGTGAGCTATTGCAGGAGCACAATGAGCGCGAGACGGATGCCGACTGTGAGATTTGGCCATCTCGTCAGACACTTCCCACTAAGGCCGTGGTGACCAGACGAGACATGGACTTTTGCTCAGCGGTTGATGTCTGCCGGCTGAACCGTGTGGAAGCTTAAGTTTTATAACGGTGGTATGTGCATTGTATTACTGGGAGGATACTCGTGATTCTTTTTGCTTTGATCTTTTTTTACTTTTATATATAGCGCCCTAATGACTGTGTTTTTTGTAGCTTAACATGAGATATGATGAAATTGACACACCTCCCTCTCCTCCCACCAATCCAAGTCATGCAGCGCCACACACCAACTTTCCTAGTGCAAGAGGCCAAGAAAAAATAAAACATGGCGGTGGCGCCAAACAGAAGGGGTCTTTTTGCACTGGAACGATGGAGTTGCGCCCGCATCGCCAGCTGAACGGGCTGTAATCACCAAACGTAACGTATTGCCTGATATTGCAGTGCTGCTGCTGCTGCTGCTGTAAGTAAGTGGGTAAGTATCAATATTGCTCGGCAGTCAGTGGCCAAGTTGCGTGGCGAGTATACGTATACAAGACCTGTACAGTACAATACATACAGTACACCAAACTATGTATAGAACTTGGTTTGGAAGACCCCCACACTCCACTTACTAGGCAGTAGTAGTCTAGTAGCAGTATACTCCGTACTAGTAAGAGGGGGGAAGGGAACCTATGGGAGGGTGCCGATACGTAAACGACGCCCCAAGCAAGCTTCGGAACACCGCCGTAGCATCGTGCCAGAACGCCACGCAGGGGACAAGTTCTAGGCCCGTCCTGTCGCATCTTGGGTGCTGGCCGCTATCGCAGGATCCCCCGCACTCTATCCCAGCTGGGTCAGTTGACCCCCAGCCTAACGGCTTTTGCCAATACAACTTGTCAAGTTTAGCGGGTGAATGCAAGGTATTCTTGTTTTTTTTCTGCTCTCGTCTATCTGGTGACGTTGAATGGGGGAGACAGTCATACAGTGATTGGGCCACCACGGTCCACTGAGTAAGACGGATATAGTCTAACCACTGTTTTTACTTTTCTCCTTCTTATACTTTGTCTTCTTCATTCTCTTCATCGCAAAAGGCAGTATACGAGGCCGCTCTTGTCGATATGCCTCCCCCGGACGAAGGTAGTGCCACTGGACGTGGTCGTCGCCGATCGCACCATGCGTGTCTTCCTTGCAGGTTCGATTCTTTCTCTCCTTCTATTTTACATGACTCTACATTCAAAAATTAGAGAAAAAGGAAGCTAATATACTGGACTCACAGACGCAAGAAGACGAGATGCCCCGCCGAGAAACCAGCGTGCTCTAGCTGCACTCGCCTCCACCAGCCATGCTCCTATCCGCCTCCAAGAAGACCATCCCATAGCAGCCGATCCGTGCGTCATTGATGACATATGTCCAACGCCACAGCAAGAGTTGACCGTGTTCCTTGTGAAAACAGGAAGAACGATTAGTGCACCTAGAAGAGAAGCTCGACCGTCTCTTGACAGGCAGGTAAGCACCGGCAAACTCGCTGCCAATGCCAATGGGTGGCCATTATGTATTCACAGCAAATTTACTAATACGATTGGTTATGTCTTTAGGTCGGCAGCAAACGTAACGGTCCAAGACCCAAATCTCGACCATTCATCGACCAAATCTCTTTCAGTAACGCCTCCGGCAGCTACCACCGCTGAAGGCAACGCCTCGACCACCTCCCCGTCGACATCCATCTTCGAATCCGATCCCTTGAACAGTCGACCTGCCTCGGCCGATATCGCAGCTGGCATTGGCCTCTACTTTAAATATTGCCATCGGCAACCTGTGTGGTTGTTTGACCGTGACGAAGCCAATGACCACACGACGATTACAGATGAGCTGGCATGTAGCATCTTGGCCTTAACGGCACGATTTTCCCCAAAGCCCGAGCGATTGGCCAAATATGGTAACAATGCAAGGAATTTAATCATGGGCTGTATTGCCTCGGGGAGAGTCGGCCTAGCTACATTGGAGAGTGTATGCCTGCTTTCATACTCGTCCTTTATTGGTAAGTATACTGTAGTAACTATGAGCCACATATATATCCAACTATGTCACTAACACAGTGACTGATAGACGGCAATGTCCACTTGGGCCAGTTTCATCTCGGACTTGCTCTACAGCTTTGCCAGTCCGCTAGACTCGACCACGACACAGCCTACTCTGACGACGATCCGCTCACGGAGAGAAAGAAGCGGCTCTTTTGGAGTCTGCAGATTCTGGACCACTATCACGGCCAACAGCCTGGCATTCTCAGCGTGCCTAGCGACATATGGCCGCTCGAATATCATTTGAGCTCCGACAAGAAGCACCGTCTAGATCAAGACGTCAAGATGCCGCCGCCCTTCCCCCACGACGATATCGGCCATTCCCAGCGCAGCGAGCCTGGAATTTGGAACACAAGCGTATATCTCGGCTCGGTCTGGAGCAAAGTCAGGACCTATGTGTCCAATTGTTCACGGGGTATCTTCAAGGAGCCGTGGAGACGCGACTCCATGTACGCCATGGTGGTGTCGGACTTTATGGAGGTGGAAAACCGCATCCCAATGCGTCATCGGTACGACTCGGTCAAATTCTATGAACGCAAGGTTGAGGAGCTGCGAGTTAATCGCGACTACTGGACACCATGGCTCAAAGAGCAGTTTACCTATCATGCCATCCCAGCTGTATTAAACCATCCCTTTTTGTATATAGTTGGCGCGCAGCACAACCCAAATCTCGCCATCCCACACACTTTTTGGAGGCGATCGTCGGAGCTGGCCCTCATTCACTCGACCTGGATTACACGCCTCATCGATATGGTTATGGACAAGCAGGTGTTGCTTATTGACCCCTTCTTCGGTCACATTGCCGCCATTGCAGCCACAGTACATCTCTATTACTGCTGTGCAGCGGCCCCCAAGCTCAAACACAAGTCCAACACTGACTTTGCAAAATGCCGACGATTCTTGAAGAGCTTTTTGCCATTCTCTCCAGCATGTGCTGAGCTGGACCGCAACCTGGACAAAATGGCCAAGATTGCCGCCGGCTCTGAGAGCAACGATGTCGAGGACTGGATGCCCTCTCACATCTATCTCAGTGTACCACTTATGTGGAAACTGCTGCAATTCAATTGCACGACGGATCCGCAGGACGTATCTGCAGCGGGCCTCTTGACTGCATCCTTGGCCTCCACGGCTGCGGCTGCAGAGACGGACGAAGGCGTCACGCTGGACATTATTGTGGCCACATCGCCCGAAATTTCGGTCAATACGGCGGATGGAGGCCAAGATGCACCGACGCTACCATACTCGGCGGCGCCCGTCCCCGCTACGCCGCAGCCGAGCGTTGCTGCTGCTGCCTCGCGCCTCAGTAGTGGCGTGCAAGCAGCCCTCGGGGGGGACATTACGGCAGAGTGCCCTGACAGCCTAACCTTTAATACTACCCCCTGGCTATATGCAGAGGGTTTCCCGTCCCACTTTGACAATATTGGTAATATGGATTACGATATGTCTGATTCGGGCAGCAACACGGGAGGAGGAGGAGATCAACTGGCGTGGTGGCAGACGGAGTTTCATACGGGCTTTGTTTGAATTTCATGCAGCCGGCGCAAAAAGTATTGTTGATTCCTGTATAATACAAAGAAGAAGATGCATATCTAGGGTATATTTGTCATGCTATAATTTTAATAATTGATTGGTTGAGAAGACTTTGGTCTCATCTACACCAAAAATACAGGGAGTTGCCGCTTTAGGAAATTCAGGGTCTTTCAGCCAATCCATCACCCCCAACCCTGCAGGGTCCAAGCTATTGTAGCACTGGAAATGCAAGCAAGGGCCACTATGTCGCCCGGCAAAGAGCGCCCAATGCAACGCCCTATGTTTGCCCTCCTCTTAGCGTCCGAAGATCGGGTTTTGGGCAGCTTAGCGTGGTGCACCCCCACACGCTCGCTGGGCCACCCAGTTTCCAGGCCATCTGGGCGTTCTTAGCGCCCAATGTTGGGTCATTCGGCAGACGGGGGCTTGCAAGTCGTGCATGAAGGAGGGCAAACACTGCATGTTTGGCGGCGGGCACACGCTTCGGCCGGCCGACCTCGAAGTCTAGACCCTTGGAGTCGCTCCGTCGGTAGTCATTCATGGGTGTGTGTGAGAGGAAACATACACAAGAGAAAGTCACCGCATAGCTATATCCCCAGTAGAAAACAGTAAAACAACAAATAGTAACGGCAGTGTTGGTCTGTTATGGTAGGGGCTTCCTATGTATAAGTCATGGCAGACCACACAGCCAGCTATGTACCGGATAGTATATTCTGTTGCACAAGAGAAAAAATACAAGATATCTCTGTAGTACAGATAAGTAATCCGATTCGATACTACGGCGTATCGACGCTCACGCGGCGGCAAAACTGCCCCTACAGCGGCAACGGCCAGAATGCCGATCACGTGGTTGGGATATCGGCATCTTGTAAGTCAAACAGCATAGCTACTGCTCGGCACAATACAGCCTATTATAGTACAAATAAAACCGATATCTCAAAGACCATAATAAACCAATGCCGTGATTCGTTTTCTGCATCTCGTCCACGCGTGCCGATTCTCTTCCCACTCTCTACGTGGCATCGCAATCATTAGTTCACAACCACCACCCAACATGGCCAACACGTCGGCAAAAGTCGTCATCATTGGCGCCGGCATCGTGGGCGTCAATGTCGCAGACGAGCTTCAATCGCGCGGTTGGACAGACATCACCATTGTTGAGCAGGGTCCGCTGGCTATGCCTGGTGGTTCAACGTCCCATGCGCCGGGGCTCGTCTTCCAGACCAACCCGTCCAAGAACATGTCGCTATTTGCCAAATACACTGTGGAAAAGATGCTATCACTAACAAAAGACGGCGTACCATGTTTCAACCAAGTAGGCGGCTTGGAGATTGCGACGACGCCCGCGCGCTTGGAGGATCTGAAGCGCCGATACGGCTATGCCAAATCGTGGGGCATCCCTGCCGAGCTTATAAGTGCAGAAGCCTGTTTGGAAGCATATCCTCTTCTAAACAAGGAACTTGTACTGGGCGGCCTGAAAACACCCACCGATGGATTGGCCCTCGCAGCCAGCGCTGTGCAGGCGCTCATTGAAAAGACAAGAGCAGCAGGCGCCGTGTACATGGAATCAACACCTGTGACGGGCATTGAAAAGCTCAACGGCCGAGTTACTGGCGTAATCACACCTGATACCACAATCGCTGCCAACATTGTAATATCATGTGCTGGATTCTGGGGCGTCGAGATTGGCAAAATGGTCGGTCTGCCAGTTCCGCTGCTGCCCATGGCCCATCAATACGTCAAGACGACTACCGTTTCCTCACAAGTCGGAAAGAATGAGCTTCCAAATGGCGCAACGCTGCCCATTCTTCGATATCAAGATCAGGACTTGTACTACCGTGAGCACGGCAGCCAGTACGGCATTGGCTACTATGGCCACCGCCCTCTACCATTCTCAGCGGCGTCTCTACCAGCAACGTCGAAAGATGTCAGTGAACACGATATGCCATCGCGACTCGAATTCACAAAAGAAGATTTCGACTCGGCCTGGCAGCTATCTCAGGAACTGCTGCCAGCGTTGAAAGATGCCGAAATCGCAGACGGCTTCAACGGAATCTTTTCATTTACACCAGACGGTGGACCTCTCGTTGGTCAAGCACCGAACCTCGATGGTTTCTACGTTGCGGAAGCCGTTTGGGTCACACATTCTGCTGGTGTGGCCAGGGCTCTTGCTGAGGTCTTGACTACTGGCCATTCATCCATTGATCTGGCAGACTGCGAGCTCTGCCGCTTCGAGGACGTTCAATTGACATCTTCCTATGTCAGCGAAACCTCACAGCAAAACTTTGTCGAGGTGTACGATATTCTTCATCCTCTGCAACCCAAGGATTCGCCTCGGAATCTCAGAGTCAGTCCTTTTTATGTGCGACAAAAGGAGCTCGGCGCATTCTTCCTGGAAGGAGGCGCCTGGGAGCGGCCGTATTGGTTTGAAGAGAACCGCAAGCTGCTTGACGAATTGCCTGACGAGTGGAAGCCTGTCGACCGAGACGACTGGTCCGCACGATATTACTCACCCATTGCGGCCGCTGAAGCCTGGAAAACACGAACCTCGGTTGCCATGTATGACATGACGCCTCTACGACGCCTCGAGGTTTCGGGACCAGGAGCAGCAACGCTGCTAGATCGCTTGACTACGGGAAGCGTGACTAGAAAGCCAGGCGCCATCACATATACGCTGCTTCTAAACGACAATGGTGGTGTCCGCAGTGACATTACTGTGGCAAGACTAGAAGATGAGCTGTATCAAGTTGGTGTCAACGGACCCGTGGATACGGCATATTTCACTCGAGAGGCTCGCATTCAGAGCAAGCTCGAGCCTTGTAAGTTTGTCCAGATTCGCGACGTTACGGGAGGTACATGCTGTGTAGGTCTCTGGGGGCCCAAGGCAAGAGATGTGATTTCACTGGCGACAACAGACGACTTCTCTGACAAGGCATTGAAATACTTCCGGGTGAAGCGTGCCAACATTGCTGGTGTCCCAGTCGTCGCCATGCGACTGTCGTATGTGGGCGAACTGGGTTGGGAGATTTATGCCAGCGCAGACAACGGCGTCCGGCTCTGGGATGCACTCTGGAAAGCAGGCCAATCCCATGGTATCATTGCTGGCGGCCGCAGCGCTTTCAACGCGCTTCGTCTGGAGAAGGGCTTCCGCTCCTGGGGCGCCGACATGACGACAGAGCACGATCCATTCGAGGCAGGCTTGGACTTTGCCGTCAAAGCTGATAAGAAGCCTCATGTTGGCCAGGCTGCGCTGCAGGGCCGGTCCAAAGACACTTGCACTCGCCGCCTGCGCTGTTTGACGGTCGATGACGGCAAGTCCATGGCCATGGGCAAGGAGCCCGTGTTTGTCAATGGGGAAGCAGCAGGTTATGTCACCAGTGCAGCCTTCGGATACACAATCAGAAAGCCAATCATATATGCATACCTTCCAGCAGCAGTGGAAGATGGTGCTGGCGTCGAGGTGGAATACTTTGGCAAGAGGATAGCGGCCACCGTCACGCCAGAGCCAGTCTATGACCCTACCATGGCTAGATTGCGCGGTTAATGACCCTTTTTTGCTTTCTTTTGTTTTCAGCATGTGATGACTACAGTTTTGATGCAATTTAGCAAATACGTAATATTACCATTGTACAGTCAAACCTGTTCGTCCCATTGTTTGTGTTTGCCTCTCCCTGTAAGCATGTATAATCCCGGGAACAAAGAGTTCCGTAGCGACTCGGCGGGGTTTGTTCATTTGCTAGAAACACTGTCTTTGATGAATCTCGATTTCTTCTGAAATGACAAGAAAGCACGTCATTGTTAAAGGTGAAGAAGGGACCGACTGGCGCCTCCGCTATCCCTTTAAGATCGGGAATTTAGCCCAGATTTCCAACGAGATGACATGTCTCAGAGTTGACTGCACCCTGGCTGCAATGTTTAGATTGTTCCGCTCCGCCTGTGAATAAAAAGTTACAATTATTTGTCCGTCGGCCTGGCCTGAAGCCGAGTAAGCAGCTCTCTCTCGCTGGCCAACTTATGGAGCCCGCGTCTGTCCGGCTGATCGGCTCACATGAACAGGAACCACAAACAACAGAGTTCAGCCCATCACGAACCGGCCGTGGGGGCGCCCCCGAACGCGGCATTGGTCCTCCGGCTGGCCGACGCCATCTCGGTTCAAGGCCGTCACGTGAGCGGTATAGGCTATTGAAGCGGGTTGCTTGCAGTAGACCGACATCGGTAGCGAAGCTCTTATAATTATATGCTTCTTCGAGGACATTGTCTTGTTGTCTGTGCAAACAAGCTGCCGAATACCCCGCCGTTTCTACCCTGTCGCTGTTGCGGGCCGTGTCTGTGAAAAGATGGCGGATCAATCATACCTCATTGTCGGCGCCGGCATCTTTGGCGTTTCTACAGCATACTATTTGAAGCAGAAATACCCCAATGCTTCCATAACCGTTGTTGATCGTGACGCCTACGACGCCGATAGCCGCGTTGCTGCGTCTTGGGACTGGAACAAGGTCGTCCGCGCCGATTACGACGACTACACATACTGCAAGCTCGGGCTCGAGGCCCAAGACATCTTCGAAAGCGACCCGCTATGGCAGCCGTACTTTCACAAGACGGGCTTGTACTGGATGTGTGGCCGTGCATATTCCAAAAAGGTCATTGACAACTTCAAGAGGCTTGGTAGAGGTGACGCGCTCGAGGCAATCCCCATAGAAAAGGCGCGGAAGCTGTACGGTGGCCTGTTTGACGAATCCGACTACGAAGGTGTCGATGAAGTTCTTATTAATAAAATCAGCGGCTGGGCAGCAGCAGGCGACTGTCTGCGAGCCGTGACAAAGAAGATTATTGAGCAGGGCGTCAAGTATGTCGTTGCTGAGACAGTTGCCTTGAGCTTTGACGGCCAGCGCAGATGCAATGGTATTCACACCCGCAGCGGACGCACAATCAAGGCGGACAAAGTAATTCTGTGCACCGGCGCATTCACACCGACACTACTCGACTGGAGCGCCGTAACCAGTGGTATAGACGACCTGCGTTCTGGCGACCGAATCCTCGCGGGAGGCATCACGACCGGCATGGTAAAGCTTGACGATGAGACATACAAAAAGTATGAAAACATGCCTGTTGGCATCCAAGGCTATACAGCCAAAGAAGGTACTTACTGCAGCTCCTAGGATTCTCACCTTGGACTAAGACACACCGTAAGCTCAAGTACTAATACAACTTCACCAGGACCGTTTGTTGGCAGCCTTCCTCCCACCCCAGACAGAGAGCTTAAGTGGTGGGGGAACATTATTTTCAAAAACACCCGCGAGGTTTCTGAAGGGTCTCATTTATCAGCACCCCCTGGCCAGCCAGACTACGCACAGTGGGATGTGTCTCGGAAAATGCGAGACGACATCCGCTATGTGAGCAGCGTCTTTTATGGCAAGCGGGCAGCGAATTGGAAGATGAGCAAGCACCGCGTGTGTTGGTATGACTTTGCTGAAAATTTCTTTATAAAACGTATTATTTGTCGAGCTAACCATTTTTTGCTGCTACTAGGGATGCGTTTACCACGAGCTCCGACTTTATTATTGCGCCTCATCCGGCGGCGCAGGGCTTATTCTTGGCCACGTGCGGTTCGTTCCACGGCTTCAAGTTCTTCCCTGTCATCGGCAAGTACGTGGTGCAGATGCTAGATAATGTATTGGAGGAGGAGCTTGTTGGCAAGTGGGCTTGGGATAGGCATCGGCCTGACCCGAAGCTGAACCCGGACTGGCCAAGCACCGAGATGCGAGAACTTTTGGACCCGGTTCGCCCGTCCAAGTTGTAATGAGGAAACATGATATATCAAAGTACATACCATGTAGGAAGAAAACGTTATCATCTCGCCTGAAAGTCTGCCGCGTCTTTTTTTTTCTTTGCGTGTATTTGCTTCTGCGGATGCTACGCGACGTCTGGGCGAAGGTGTTGTGGTGTTGGTGTTTTGCTTTTTCTGGCTATCGGCAAATGTGCTCTTTTGCCATGGCGCGCCGTCACTCCTCTCTGGAGAGAAGCTTCTTTTTCATGGTGGTCACAGGACGTCCAGTAAAAAGTAAAACCCCTTTGACTTGAATGTTTCCAGCAATTTGGTTACTGCCGCCTCCTGAGCACGGCATTGGCGCTGAAGAAACTGTACAGCTGCACGGGCAGCCACAAAGAGGAGTCGCAGGCCGATGAACCCGCATTCGTCTGTGTTGAAGTGATTAATGGAGAATATTATGGCGTCCGCGGCGGATTCAGCGGTTGGCTTAGACGAGTTGGCTGACTGCCGGTACCGTTGAAACGCCGCAATATGAGAGAGGCTGCTTAGGCGCTCCAGGGCATCAAACACCATCAGTTGGCAGGCTAGTCTGTTTTGCGTGGCAGTAAATTCATGCAAGTTTTTGGGCTTCTCTCCTGTATTCTGAAGGCACTCCCCTGTTTGTTTGATAAGGATGAGTACCTTGTCATGCTGGAGGTCAAACTGCTCCATCAGCCTGGAATATTCCGTGTGTGTCTGTGCGGCTTCGCAAATTTGATTGCTAAGAGAAAGTAATTCAGGTACTTGGGACAAGGTATCCAAGGATGCATGCATATTGTTTTTAGCAACGCGCACCCAAGGCTGTTCCAGCCAGTCACGTTCCGCAAGGAATGATGGCTTCTCTTCCAAAATCGCAATGTAGAGCTGCAGAGTATGTTAGGTGATGTAAATGGATGGAGCGTGCTAAGACGACACTTACGAGTGCCACACGGGCATGTATAAAAAGAATATGTGGTGCAGCAGTTTGGAATGATTTTGGGCCTGCCAATTGGAGGAGGGTGGCTAATCCCATGCCGTGATTGAGCGTCTTTTTCGTTGATGCTAACGATGAGGGAGATAGTGACTAATTATGAAAAGTTAACATCTCATACACCCATAGATCGAAGAACATACTTCATATAGGAGTAGCAAGCTAACACCAAGCAACGGCCGGAACCAATTGGTCTTGTCAGCCGTATCCCAGAGAGCACGAGCATGGCTGAGAGCGTCGCCATATAGAGTCATGCTCTCATGCTTTAAATTTAAGTCTTCATTCTTCCTGGAGAGGAAAAGTGTCCCTAGGGCGCATGCAGTGGTGTCCAGGAGCAGGAACGTCTCCTTGTTCTCCGAGATGGTGGCCACCCACGAGTAGCTCGAGGATTCTAACAATGCCGGATTGCTTGGAAAATAAAATCTAAGGAATTGGTCAAAAATATTACTGCGCTTTAAAGATCCTGCTAGCAATGGGCAATTGGCAAGATCTTTAGCGGAGGGTAAAGTCTTCGATGACGTCGGTCGCAATACAAGCTGTTCGTGGCTTGGGGGCGTGGTGGAAGGAGGATCGACGGCAACAAAGATGAATGAAGCTTCGTAGGGTTCACATTGAAGTTTTGATTTCTTGCATGGGCCACATACTGGCGAAACATAATCGCACTATATGGGATATGAAACTGCATTAGCTCTGGCCATCCTCATTCAGCCATATGTGGCCGACGCCAGTTTTTACCTTGACTTTGCGATGCCGACAAGTTTTGCACCTTGGACTTCTTCGAGCCCGCGGAGGTGCACCAACTTTTGACATTGACTATATCGTTTGATGTTTTTATGTGTCTTGTTGATTTGAACACCCGCAAAAGTGCCCCTGCTGAGATGCAGCATTTGACAGGTGATTCCGGGGTAAGCGGCGGTAGCTGCCTTGGTTCGTGCAAGAAAGGGTTAGGGTTACCATGACTAATCCGGATTGGTTACACAAGACCTGCCACGCGAGTGCAATTTGCACGCTGCCATTTACAAAAGCGAAAGAAAATAAACATTCATGATCAACTAAACATCGAGATGCACGCGTATCTGAGTGGCAAAACGGGTGGCTAGGCTTAATTTGATTACTCTTTGTGGCGTACACTGTGTGAACGCGGCTGGAGGCGCATTGGCTTGGCTGCACCACGGCGACTCCTATCATTAATGTTCAGCTCGATGCTACAACCGACACCACCCCAACGACCAAGATAGATTAACTGGACACTATCCCGGGCTTTCATTAATCACGATCAGTACAAAAACATTAGCCCACGAATATCATCCAGACTGATACTTACCCGTCTTTGCGAATGGTGAAGTCCCCGCGGCGCACGCCGTCCCGGGTAGGCTGACCGTTGACGCTAAGTGGAAGCCACTGGGAGAATTTAGCCCGCCAAACGCACAACGGGCTACGCTACTGCGCTCTACCCCTGCATCGGTACGGTAGGTTACCGGCGGAAAAAACGCCAAGGTCCCCATTTCTTGGTTACTGATAGAGCTGATCACTTGCCTAGGTTGCGCCGCCGACCACCCTCCGCCCCGCGAGTCTGATGCGCCGCCGGGATGCAAGCATGCAAGCCCACTGGATGAACCCGTAAGTCAATTAGACAAGCCGGGAGATGGTGTTTCTCTTTAGGATGGTCTTGTGTCTTGGACGACCAGGCTACCGGGGGACCTTGAGATTGTACTGAGGAGCAAAGGGCAGCCAAGTATCCCTTTGCTTTGTTACTCCTCGGCTGCACCCCCAGTCATATCCCCGCGCAAGCAGTGCTGGCGTGAAAGATCAGCGCAGTTTTGCTTTTGGGCAGTTTGCTGCTGCGGCGTACATGGCGCGCTGGAACAGCCAACCAAGCAAACACTAAACAGTCTTTAGCTTAACGGTCGGCGCACTCTATCCCCTCCGTTGTGATGAAAGTCGCAAAAAGCAACGCTCTCCCCACTGGGGATCTTGGAAAAAAGCAAGTGCTGGCCGGTTGGCCTCTGCACATGCCGCTTGCGCAGACGATTAGCAGCAGGTTTGACAAAAAGAGGCTGGATCATCAAATTTACAGGGGAAACGAGTCAAAGACATGAAAGGTTTTTCTCTTTCCCGGTGCCAGCTCGCAATCGGTGGGTTACAGTGGAAAAACAAAGAAAAAAGCGAACACTTACAGACACGGCTTGGTTGAATGGTTGACTTTTTGGCGATGAGACCCCTTCGCCACTGTTTACTCATTTCTCGAGTCTTTATATCAAGCCTTTTTCCCACCTCAGTTTTGGAGTTTCGTCTTGGCCACCTATATCCTCTAGTATCCTTCTTCTTCACTCTTTTACCTTTTCCATCACTCGCCTTGCTCAGGTCTGGTATCTGACTGCACAACATGGAAAACCTCACTGTATACAACATGCCGCCCCAGCCGGCCCTTTGGGACCGCATCGGCATCTTCTTTGTCTCCTTTGCTAGCACTTGGACCTTTTTGGTTATTTGCGGTATGGTGTTTTGCTGGTATAACCGTAACTCGCCCGTCATGAAGGTTCGCGGCTGGGTGCTCGGATTCACAGCCATCATCTGCTTGCACATGTATTGGCTCATGGCGCAAATCGTCTACCCCGTCGGCCGCACTATGCCCATTGTCATTGCATATGATGTTCAGTACTTCATCATGGGTACCTGGTTCCCTCTTGGAATTGCTATGTTCCATGCCTCCAACCTTCGCTTCCTTCACGTGGCAAAGCTGCAGAAGCAATTTACACACCCTGCCTTGCAGCGCCACCACGACGGATGCAACGGTGCGAAGACGTCTCTCCTTTGCCGTCTTCGCAACATTTCCTACTCTAAGCGCATCATGGTCTTTATCGGTTTCGGAATGGTTGCCCAAGTAAGTATCTGATAACCACTGGTATAGACAAAAGCGAACAGCGGTATACTAACAACGACATAGTGTATCTTGACCGTTGGTATGTGGTTTGCTTGCATGAAGTACCACCCAACCTACGGCATCCCAGGCACTGAAATGAAGTCAAAGACTCTCCCCGAGCAAGTTATTGAGCTTGGTCGTGGTTGGGAATGGTGGCCCTCTGTCATGTGGCAAGTTCTTTGGACCTGGATCGTACGTATTCAATCCGTTGGGAACATCTTTTTCTCTGTGACTAACAATCCAACAGGTTGCTCCTATCCTGATCTTCCGCGCTTGGAACATTCGCGATACCATGGGATGGCGCGCCCAGACCATTGGGTGCTGCCTGTCCAGCTTGCACGCCACGCCCATGTTCTTGATTTCCTCGTATGTCCCAGCATTTGACAAGGTCAACGCCTACTTCCCTCCTAGCCAGTGGCTCCACCTGTCGACCATGATGTTTGAGATCTTCACCGTCTTTGTCCCTGCTTTCCAGATCATTCGCTCGCAAATCATTGCCCGCAGAGCCAAGGACTCCAACTCTCGCTGGGAGACTGCCTCGCAGACCTCAACTCTCCGATCCTCGACATCGGACTGGAAGCTCCACACTCTTGAGGTTGCCGAGAAGGGCAAGCCCATTGATTTTACCGATGCTGCCATTGGCGATCGTCTCATCACTATGAAGGCTCTGGACCACGTCCTCGCCGAGAACCCTGCCCCCTTACTTGAGTTCTCCTCGCTCAACGACTTCTCCGGAGAAAACATTGCTTTCCTCAACCTTCTCTCTCGCTGGAAGGCCACACATGCCAGTGTTGAGCATGCACGCTTCAGTTCCGAGGTCTACAGCGGTGCTCTTCAGTTGTACATTGACTTTATCAGCCCGTTGGACGCCCAGTTCCCCCTCAACCTGCCTTCCAAGAAGCTCAAGCATCTGCAAGCCGTTTTCGAGGTTGCAGCCCGCAGTGTCCGTGGTGAGGGCCGTTATAATGCTGCCACTCCCTTTGACTTTGACAATGAGGAGAGCGCCGTCGGTCTGTCCAACGTCCAGTACACTGGCCAGATCCCCGGCAGCTTTGAGCTGGAGATTTTCGACGAGGTTCAGGATCACATCAAGTACCTTGTGCTTACCAACACATGGCCCAAGTTTGTCATGGAGATGCAGAACCGCAGACGCTCTACCGATACTGGTCGCAGTGCCCTAACAGACGATTCGCAAGCCACGCTCAAGAGTCAAATATCCGCGCGCGTAAAAAACCTGCTTAAATCCATCTATCATTAAAAAAAAAGCTTTGGGACGGTTTATGTTTTATGTTTTATTTTCTTTGGGAATGGGATTATGCTTGCTCTTACGCTGCCAATGCCTGGAGCATTGACGACTTGTTTCATACCTTCGCTACTACTACTACATAGGAGCTACTATATAGCTCAGTACAAACACTCCTTAATTTCATAATGTAATTTACTTTGGAACAAATCATACGTATTCTTCAATCTGTCTATAAATGTCCTATCTCTGTAAGATTTATTTCAGCATCAAAACCTTTTAGTTGAGTGGTACCGAATTGATGAATGTTGTGTTGAGGTGGCCATCGGGGTAGCGGTCTCCAGCTAGCTCTATCTCGTTGGCGTACTGTCGAATAAGCTTCATCTCCTCGTCATTCAACTTGATCTCGACAGCAGCAGTGTTTTGCTCGAGATACTTGATGGTAGATGTACCGGGAATGGCAATAAAGTCATCGCCCTGCTGTGAAACCCAGGCAAGGCATACCTGCGCCGCGGTAGCGTTGTGGCGTGCACCAACCGCTTGGATCTGCTTGCTAAGCTCGAGGATCTTGTCAAAGTTGTTCTTGAGCTTGGGTACCTGCAGGCGCCAGTCGTTGGGGTCGACCTGATCGATGGATGTGATTTGACCAGTGAGGAAACCGCGGCCAACGGGGCTGTATGCGATGATGGTGATGCCGAGCTCGCGACATGTCTCGAGAATCTTGTGCTCGTCGGACTCGATGTCGAGGAAGAGAGGAGAGAACTCGACCTGGTAGGCGGAAATGGGGTGGACGGCATGAGCACGGCGGATGGTGTCGGCAGAGCATTCGGAGAGACCGAGGTATCGGATCTTGCCGGCGCTGTAGCGCAATGTTAGTTACGCGGTCCACCAAGTGAAGATGCGTGGTGACTTACTCTTTGAGCTCAGCCATGGCCTTGACGGTGTGCTCAATGGGGGTCTTGTCATCTACACGGTGGCAGTAGTACAAGTCAATGGTATCAATGCCGAGTCTCTGCAGACTCTTGTCGCAGGCCTGCTTAATGTATTCTGGGGAGTTGTCAATGGCTCTCTCGCCGTCGACGACACGGATAGCGAATTTGGTGGCGAGGAAGATATCGTCACGCTTGCCGGAGCGCTTGAACCAGGCACCGATCTTGTCCTCTGAGTCTCCGTAGATATCGGCGGAGTCCCAGAAGCGCTCACCAATCTCGTGAGCGCGGTCGAGGAAGTTCAAGGCACTGGCGTCGCTCTTATCCTTTTGCCCGTACCAGCCAGCAAAGGACATGAGGCCGAGGCCAATGGCGGGGATTTCAGGGCCGTTGCGGCCGAGCTTTCTTGTGGGAACCATTATGACGTAGTGGGAGTTTGTTATGTTTGAGATGAATTGTGTAGTTGAGTAGAGAGGAGGGGAATGGCAAGCTTTTATACAAGAAACCACCAGCTGCACATTGTTTCCAACCGCCTAACACCGATTCGGGCAACCCTGAGGGGCTTCGGACTTAAACCATAGACTTTCGCGACGCGGGGACGGGCACCATGATCGCATCAGGCGAATCGTGCGCCCCGCTCCGTGGTAGTGTTAACCAAGTAATTGAGACGGCGCTTGCCAACACTAGCGTGCTTTGGTGGTGGATGCGAGCGTTGGAGTTTAGAGGACGCATATGGTGGACTTTGCGCCGCTAAACCCCGCCCCAGCTGCATTTGGTGGCAATTGGGTCGGCGATAATTTGGCATTAACTCCATATTAGGTTCGCTGGTGTTTCTTCAAAGCCACCGGAATTACCGGGCGACGGAGTTGGAAAATGGGATCATGATGTTGAAAATTTTGTAATTCGGGTTCGTATAACATCTTCCACGGCGAAGAATCGTCTGATTGTCGTTGCGATGGTGTTGGTTGTGTTGGCTGCGGATGCTGTGTTTGCTGCCACCCGTCGCCTTTGCGGGGTTGTATTCATCGTCGTCAATTGTTGGCAGTCGAATTCTTTCAGTTTGTTTCATTTATATATCTTTGATAGCCTTCTTAGACGTTGTAGACAAAAGCAGGCTGGCCAATCATAAATGTTGTTAGAAGCCGGACCAGGCTTCGGTGGTGGTGGCCTTGTAGCCTGAAACCTAAACCACTGTGTCGTCACTGGAGACTTTCTCAACAGCACAAACAGCCACATACTTTCGTCATCATCACCACCTTTAAAAAAACACCGCAAGAATCCCAGCGCCCGCACGAGCCGAGCCAGATGGAGATTGGTACGCTTGCTAGCATATTCACCACCCTATACTTTTTCTACCATGCCGTCGTCCGACCAGGGAGATGGGGCACGTTCTTTGCTAAGCTGGGCGTTGGCCTGGCCCTCTATAGCATCCCGCTTGCATTGCTAATTGACTCAACCGAACGGGATGGCGATATCCAGCTTGCTATGGCCACCTCGCTACTCAGCAGTACTGGCCTCTTTCTCTTTATAGATTGGACAAGGCAGTGGCAGACCATCTTCCGCCATGCCCTCTATATGATCCTCTTCCAGAGCGCCACGACAATATACGTCCTCTACAGCAATCACGACGGCCTGAAGCTGCGGCATGCCACCTTTCTTGTCCGCCGATTTCCTCGAATGCTCATTAATTTCTGGATGGTTACGCTACCTGAGACTGTTCTGCCTGCCATCAAAATGTCGCTCCAATACCTCTATCTGCAGAATAAGTCCAATATCGACGAACTCCAAGCCGATCCGAAAATTACGTTACCTATTCAATATCCTGACGGCACTACGACGACAATCCTAATTTGAAGACGAAAAATAATAGAATGCTAAGAAGCGATTGCATTATTCATTTTATACTATGAGATACTCATACCGCTAGGCGGCTATCATATACAAATACCCCCAAACAGGGTAGCACCACATTGCCTCTCCCTTACTGGACATTGTTCTGCTTGCGTCCCTTAATGTCATAGCGATCGAGCTCCATGACCTTGACCCAAGCCTTGACAAAGTCCTTGACAAACTTGTCCTGGGCGTCAGAGCTAGCGTAGACCTCGGCAACAGCGCGGAGCTCAGGGTGGGAGGCAAAGATGAGATCGGCGCGGGACGCGGTGTACTTGGCCTTGCCAGAATCCAAGTCCTTGCCCTCAAACAGCTCATCGTCACTGCCAGACACGGGCGACCAAACAGTCGACATGTCCAACAAGTGGTTGAAGTAGTTGTTGTTGAGCTTGCCGGGAGTCTCGGTAAGCACACCAGTGCTAGAGCCATCAAAGTTGGCATCGAGAGCGCGGAGGCCACCAACCAAGACGGTTAGCTCAGGAGGGCTCAAAGTAAGCAGGGCAGCCTTGTCAACGAGGATCTCTTCGGTCAAGGAGCGCTTGGTGCCCTTGCCATAGTTGCGGAAGCCATCGGCAACAGGCTCGACTATACTATGTTAGCACTAAATATATTTGATGGGGGGAGTAGAATCGACTTACGGTAGGCAAAGGACTTGACATCTGTGTCGTTTTGCTTGGCATCGACGCGGCCGGGGGTGAAGGGAACAGTGACTTGGCTACCAGCATCGTGAGCGGCCTTTTCGACAGCAGCAGAACCGCCGAGCACAATCAAATCAGCAAGCGAAACCTGCTTCTTCTTGTCGTGGGCATTGAACTTGTCCTTGATGTCGTTGAGCTGTATACTCTGTTAGAATCCATGTGCATGTACAATAGAAGGAACTGCGGTATGCATGATTAGACTTACAGCCTTGAGAACAGTCTTGAGACGGTCAGGGTTGTTGGAAGGCCAAGAGACCTGGGGTTCAAGGGCAATACGAGCACCGTTGGCACCACCACGCTTGTCGGAAATACGGAAGGTAGATGCGGAGCCCCAAGCCGTGGTGATGAGGCTGGAAATGTTCAAACCAGGGGCAGCCAGGATTTGCTTCTTGAGATCGGCAACGTCTCTGTCGTTGATGGCCTCGCAGTCACTAGTAGGGAGGGGATCTTGCCAGAGGAGAGCCTGCTTCTTGGGAAGCTCGGGACCGAGGTAACGGCTAAGGGGACCCATGTCACGGTGCAGGAGTTTGTCTAACAAGGATTAGCATATTGTTACGAATTAATTGACGGCACCGCGCCAGTATGACAACTTACACCAAGCAAGAGCAAACTTTTCGGTAAAGTAGTCGAAGTCGTGCATGAAGGTGGTGGAGATGTTGTTGTAGATGGGATCAGCTTTGAGTCCCAGATCGGAGGTAAGCATGGTTGGGCGGCGGAACTTGCCCTTGATGAAAGGATCAGGGTATTCCTCCTTGGCGTCGAGGGCCTCCCATTGCTTGCCGCCTCCGGGAGCTGTGACGAGTGTCCAGTTGTTGAGGAGAAGAGAGTGCAAAAAGTCTACACCAGTGTCAGTCTCTTGTTTCAGCAAGTTTGTTGTCTTTACGTACCATTGCTCCACTTGGTGGGAGTCTTGGACCAGATGACCTCGAGGCCGCTGGTGAAGGAACTGTTGCCAGAGCCGGTTCCGTAGCCGTTCTTCCAGCCAAGACCGACGTTCTCAATGCTAGCAGCGTTGGGCTCGGGGCCAATCTTGTCGCCGGGAACAGCACCGTGCGTCTTGCCAAAGGCGTGGCCACCAGCAATCAAAGCGACAGTCTCTTCGTCATTCATTCCCATGCGGCCAAAGGTCATGCGAATGTCCAGAGCAGAAGCCTTGGGATCGGGGTTTCCATCAGGACCCTCGGGGTCGACGTAGATGAGACCCATGTTGGCAGCACCCAAGGGATCCTCCAGCTTGTTGGCGCGCTCATAGATGTCTTCGTCACCACCGTATCGATCGGCCGAGCTCTTCTTGGAGGGGAAGAAGTCTTGTTCAGAGCCCCAGTAGATGCCCTCGTCGGATTGCCAGGTATCGACACGGCCGAAAGCAAAGCCGTAGCTGGGGAAGCCCATGTTCTCCATGGCGACGTTTCCAGAATAGACAAAGAGATCGGCCCAAGACAGCTTGTTGCCGTACTTTTGCTTGATAGGCCAGAGCAGACGACGGGCCTTGTCGAGAGAGGCATTGTCGGGCCAGCTGTTGAGGGGAGCAAAGCGCTGCTGGCCCATGCCAGAGCCTCCACGGCCGTCAATGGCGCGGTAGGTACCGGCATTGTGCCAGGCGAGACGGATGAAGAAAGGTCCGTAGTCGCCAAAGTCGGCGGGCCACCAGCTCTTGGAGTCCTTTTGGAGCGCGGTGAGGTCCTTCTTGAGCTGCTTAACGTCGAGCTTTGCAAACTCAGAAGCATAGTCAAAGTCACCACCGTTGGGGTTGACCTTGTCGGCATTCTGGCGCAAGACGCCGAGGTTCAGCTCACAGGGCCACCAATCCTCGCTGCGAGTGCCTCCACCAGCTACCTTGCTCTTGCGAGGGCATCGACCGAAGTCGGGCCCGTCTGGCGAAGCTCGGCCGGTGATGATGGCCTCGGGATGGCGAATGCGATGCGAGTTGCCGACGGCGGCAGGGGCATTGCCATTGCCAGCAACGTAGGGGCATCCAATGGCATTGGCAGCAGACACGGCGCCAAGCGCAACAGCCAAGACACGGTGCAGCGGCATAGTAGGAGCGTCCGTCATGGTGATGTGGACGTCTTTTTGATTTCCTTGACTGGTGTTTTACAGAAGAAGGAAGAGAAAAAGAAAAGAAGACACGGATGGAGACAGATTCACAGATGCAGGCTGCGGATGCGCCCCTTTACTTGTAGTTGCAGTGCCGCATGGCACCTAATAAGGTTGGTTCGCTGTGGCTCGCTTGTGTATAGCTGGCTTGGGTAGCCGTCTTGCTTGCCACGGGGTGGTGGAGAGGTGCAGATGGGCGACATGGGCCCAAGCCGTCCACTAGATGCGAGGATAAACGAATCTAGCTTTTAGCCCTTGTGGCATCCCAACTGTAGATCGGCGCCCTCTTGCAGAGCAGGGATAGCGGGATGGGCAAGCCGACCGAAAACGGGAGGGTAAGCCGTTGTGGCGTGAGATTGCGGGTGTGGCAGACAGCAGAATATCGAGGACGAGAGTGGGGGTTTAGGGACGAATGGATTGCTAAGAGTGGCTGATTATTGGAGCAAAAAATATGTGGAATCCTCGATTGCGACGACACTGGGGAACAACATCTTCGAAGCGCTATTCTAGAGTGGTAAACAGGCCGGCGCTATGCCTGAAAGGGGGAACTGGAAATCATGGGGCAGCGCACCCACGCGGCAGTTGCATGAGGATGGGTATTACAAGGGTCCTTTGAGTTTTTTTTTCTTTCGGAGAAAAAGGAGAACAAGAAACTCCGTTCTACAGAAGAGCAAGTCGAGGAAGAACTTGGCAGTATCATTGCAAAGCGTTACGCGATGACGATGGGGATTTTGCTTGCTTGCCCTGTTTTGTTCCTCTGTGCTAGCGGGATCGACTTGGGCTAGCTACAGTAAGCAAGTACCATTTGTATTTGGATACGTTGTGACTGTGACACTGGGGTTAACTTGTAGCTTAGCTTGCCAGCTACTAGTCTCAAGTTGACTACTGTCGCAAGCGAGCAAAGCAAGCGAGGACCTGAATGGACAGCCCGGCGTCCCATGTAAGGTTTGCTAGCTCACCAATTCACTTACTTGCTACGGCTACGATACGTACCACAGTAGCATTCTGGACGACACAGAAAGCAACGCCAAGTACGCGGTTCTTGCAAAATCTCCGTCGAGTTGCACCCTCCGGGAACATTTTTCTCTCGTGGCACTCGCCTGGCGCAGCCTGCGCCAGCCTGCAAGAGCGTCACATTGTGAACGGATGCAAGCGATGATAATCGGAACAACTGTTGTCCTGGCGCGGACCAAAGTTGTGGCGGATCGGCGCAATTGCCTGTGCCTTACCTTGCCTTGCCACGCCGCGCTAGTAACTTTGAGGGTGGTGTCACTTTTTGCAGCAAGGTTCTTCTGCAGCAGCCAGGGATCCTTTTTTTCTCTCTCTTTTGTCTCCATCTCCTAGCATAAGGTTTGCGCCGCAGGCAGAATAGCACCAAGCATACCATTCGCTCACCTGCAGCAAGCTCATCTCCGGTTCTCTGCACCGATATGTAAGCTGAACGGGGGTCAAGTCCCGTTATTGGGGGCCGAGCGGAGTGGGCGAACCAAACAAAGCACTTGTAATTATCCGTGTTGGATCAATTGGAAGCGGCGGACCTTATTCTGGGCCTTCAATAGTCGCTATACGCTGCGTGCATGCATGATGGGAAGATGCATTGCATGTGCTGCTTCATTTACAGGCACAGCCAAGTATTGGAAAGGCGCCGGCAAGGCTGTCAGCTAGCAAGCCACCCTTCTTGTGGCGGTGTTTCACCGATTCAACAACAACAAAAGTAATGGCACCGCCCAAGCCAACGCGCATTTATCCAAGTCAATGAGACAAGTCCACGTTGGAGTCTGGTGGCTGCCAAAGAGAGGAAACAGACGAGATACTCTCTTGGTTCCATGTATATTTTTAGTATCCCTCAATTGGACGAGGGCATTTGCCAAGGGCGAAAACATAACTAAGGTTTCGGCCCCCAGAGCCTGTGTGGTGTTGCCGCAGCCCGGTATGCCCAGTCTTTGCATTCCAGTCAAGGGAGCAACGAGTAACAGTTGCCTTGATTTGTTTCTTCTTGGGAATGCCTTACTAGCCTTGAGGAGAAAGTTTAGCGACGGGGTTTAAGAAATGGCAATTGTATTTAAAAAGCAAGGATGCCAGAGCAGTTCTCGAAGCGTGGTTCTCTTCATCATTGCCTTTATCATCGCAAATTACTTCTCCAGAACAACAGTCGCTTCTAAAACACCAATCCAAGTCCATTAGTATAATCAGACTAAACAACAATAAATTCTACCATGAAGGCGGCCCTCATCACTTGCCTTGCTGCCTCGCTGGCTAGCTACGTGTCGGCAGAGACTCTCCTACGAAGCACCGATCTCATCCACGACCGCACCGACGGACCAGCTCGCCAAGGCGCTGGTGGCAACCAGGCCGCCCACGGAACTGCCTATCTTTCTGACGAAGACCCAACTGCTGTTGTCGAAGTCAAGGCTACGGCAACCAAGTCGAAGAACATCGTCAGCGCCGGCAAGCTAACCGATGCCGACCTGAAAGATATCATGGGCGACAAGTACGGCCGATCTTTCAAAGTGGTCCTGCAGGATGGCAATGGCAAAGAAGTCGGCTTTCTCTCAGGTACCTTTGACAATGGCCAGCCCAAGTTGAACCCTCTCAACTTTATCCCGTCCACCAATAAGGTGTACGAGACGACGATTATTGTCAACGACACAGACACCAAGGTCATGGACCAGCAGCTAAACAATATTGATTACCACGATGCGCTTAGCATGGTAGATTACCACTACGGCGATTATTATATTCACTTTACGAATGAGGCGCGCAAGTTGAATGGCTGGATCAATGGCACAATACAGCCCACAAACTATGGTTACCGATGGGGCTACAAGTATGTATAGAGAGCTATTCAATAGTATATTGGCCAACTTTACTATATATCTACCATAGACGGAGATGTTTTTTTTTCATTTTGTAATAATAATAAACAATATAAAAATGCAAAAATGCTATCAGTATACTGTTCGATTTAATATATCTATGCGTACAACCTCTACAGTTTTTTTTAGCCACCTGTTGGGGATACCTCTTACACAATAATTTAGAAGATGGCTTTTTTTTTTTCGTGGCGGGCGCCTATTACATAGCGCAACAGCGCGCACCTTCTCTTTTGGGACACTAGTATTAGATGAGGAGGGGTCGAAATACTGCCACGACATGCTTTTGTATAGAGAGCGTTTTTATTTGTATAGCAACCGAAACACTTTTTATAGTTAGTATATAGTTGTACAATACCATACACTATATACCTTGTATATATATCGATAGTATACTGGCCCCCCTGATTGGGTATCTCTGTCTTTTGAAACCACACCCTCTGCACCGCCAATACTCAGGCTGTAGATCCCGCCGCAGATATCCGAGTCAGTCGCCCGTGTGGGGGTTGCGGAAAGCTCGGCCGGTACAAAGACCATTCATTGAACCGTTGTTGTCGTCTGACTCTCGCTTGACCCCTCCTGTCCTCTCTCTTCTTCTCTTGTCCTTCTCCCTTCTTCTTCTTTCTTCTCTCTCTCGCTCTGTCTCTCTTTACGACGACTTTATTTTGTCGCCTTGGTGTTTTGCTGAATAGCTTAGCTTCTTCTCTTGTTGCAATCATACAACACTGCCGCTTACTGCCGCACCACCATGACTGCTACCCCGCGCCCGCGCCCCTTCGATCGCGAACTTGCACTGAAGCTCTTCAATGTGCAAGTCCCAAAAGACGTACAGTTTTCTCCCGACGGCAAACATGTAGTCTATACGACAGCCCTCCACGGCCATACTCATCGCGTGGGCAAGTACCATCTGTCAACGCTGTGGCTGGCCTCGACAACCGAACCAAAGTCTGCAAAGCAGCTTACCTCGGGCGAATTCGACGATGTTAACCCTGTTTGGCACCCCAATGGCAAGGATATTGCCTTTCTTTCCGACCGTGGCGCACAGGGAAAGCCCAAAGCTATTTGGACACTGAGCATCGACAATCCCGAGAAGCCAGTTCAGCTGTCCAACACGTCTTGCACGGCGGGTATTAGCATGGCACGCTATTCACCCGATGGAAAGTCCATTGCATACTTGTCCATGGACGAAAAGTCCCAGGACTACAAAGATAAGCAAGAGAGAGGCGAACCAGACCCCATTGTCTGGAATGGTACCGAAGACTCACTCCGCCTACGACTGATGGACCTCGAGACAAAAGAAGTGCGCGTTCTGAGCGATATAGGCAAGCATCAGCACGTTCTGCTATATGCCTGGGGAACGGATGGCAAGAAAATCCTCATTGCCACCAACGAGAAACCCGAATGGGAGGAAATGTTCCACTCCGGCACAACCGTGTCCCTTGTTGATTTGGAAACTGGTGATATCGAGGACTTGCACACCACGTTCCGCTACGTCGAAGACATTGCCTTGGGAGGAGATGGCGTTGCGTACCTGTTGCAGACAAGCACCGACTGTTACTGGTCGTCTGGTGCTGTGTTTGTGTTGGACCCCAAACTTGAGCCGAGGCCTTTGTCCGCGGTACCTGTCAGCGACCGCACTGGTAGAGACGATACTGCCGAAGTATTCAGAGTACGCAATGGCGTCGTGACTCTCCTACACATGACTAGTGACGGAGTCTCCATTCGCACGCTTGACGAGAAGGAGCTCTTCCGGCGCCCATACAACGCACACTTCTGGGATATCCATCACGATGCGCAGACTGGCGAGTGGACGCTTGCTGTCAGCGATTCGACCATCAACACGCCTCCGGAGCTTACTATTGCTAGACAGGGCCAGGACGACCAAATCCTTACTGAGTGTGGTAAGGCATTCGAGGGCCAAACCTTTGGCAAATTCCATACCCTTAAATGCCAATCAGCAGACGGTAAAATGGAGCTGGACGGCCACTTCATTGCTCCTGCGTCTAGTTTGGATAGCAATGGCGTTCTTAAGCACCACGTTCCGACGGTTGTCATGCCTCACGGTGGCCCTAGTAATCGTGATGCCGAGAACTTTTGCGCCAACTTCTACTGGCCCGTGTATTTGCTCGCACAGGGCTATGGTGTCTTATTCCCCCAATTCCGTGGTGGCTACGGTCGCGGAACAGAGTTTGCTGTTGTCAGCGGCACGGGCGCAGGCAAAGAAAGCTACGACGATGTCATTACAATTACAGACAATGCTATCAAAAAGGGCTTTTCCGACCCAGAGCGACTAGTCATTGCAGGTTGGAGCAACGGTGGCCTGCAGACCTTCTTATGTAGTGTACGAAACGGACGTCACGGCCTTGGTTGGCGTTTTAAGGCTGCCATTGCTGGCGCGGGCATGTCGGACCTGGAAAGTCTCTGCTTCTCCTCCGATATTGGCTCGACCGCCTTTGCAGAGCTCAACAATGGCATTAAGCCATGGACTTCGTCCCCAGACGAAGCTGGCGGTCGCTCAGCGAGTGGTGTCTGGCAAGTTGCATCAGCAGCAGAGGAGGCTAAGCGAACAGGACAGATGGTGATCCCACCGATGCTGATTCTGCATGGCCAAAGCGATGTAAGAGTTCCGTTTGATCAGTCTGTAGGGTTCTGGCGAGCCCTGCGTGAGCATAAGCTTCCTTGCGAATTTGTCGCCTACCCTGGGCAAGGCCACAGTATGACTCAACAGGTCTATTGGGTGGACTTGTTGGAGAGAGTATCGAGATGGTGTGATGTGTACACGGGCGCAAAATAAAAGACGTATTTATACTATTAGAATTGGCACGGCTTGAAAGAAAAGTCGTATCTATTGCTATATGCAGAATATATACACTATATAGAATGAAAGATATGTCACTTTTCATGTGCCATTCTCTTCACAATGAAGGGGGCCCATGCATCTTGGCTTAGAGAGCCTAAAGACGGCCAAAAGCTTAGGGTAATTGGGGGTTCCAAGACCGGTAGCAGGATCCCAGCCTGTGACAGCAGAGAAGCCATTGGCGCCACATCTACCAGGAATTTTACCGCGTACCCAAGTGCTCGTCACCAGAGATAATGTCGTTGAACATGTCCGGGTTTTGGTAGAGGGTAGGGTTGAGGAAACCTAGAGGGCCCATCTTGCCCGCTGTGATGCGCTCATTGATGATGCGGTTAATGAGGCCTGCAAAGATGGGAGCGGACATGGAGGTACCACCGCCCAAGGTAGTCCCGTTTCCTTTAACAATAACAACACCGTGCAGTCCGACGGCAGAGACGTCGGGGTATCCGCGACCAGAGCGGTTGTAGATGCCGCCATTGTTTGGAATAGTGCCGTTGGTTGTGTTGTAGAACTTGTATCCAGGGTCATACTGAGAGAAGTATCTAAAAACAAAGAGTTGTTAGCTCAGCTGCAGCTCAAGTCTACTGTTACGGGGGGCATTATATATTGAAACGTATAGACTCACGTAGCAAGGGCGTTTGCCTGATAATCAGGAGCGGCGTTGATATTGCTGAAGCCACCGCCAGGGGAGAAGGGTTGCATAGTAGCTGTTTCAGCGCCACCAGGCTCGACACCATCAGGAAGCTGGGTAGCCCCGACAATAGTAATGTAGGGGCATCCGGTCAAAGCACCGGGCACAAAGACATTCTTGCTGGAACCCAGACAGTCTTGCTCAGAGCTAGCGGTGCCAGCGTCACCGGAAGAAACAATGATAGACATGCCCTTGAGGCTAAGCTTCATCTATTCATTGCATAGACGCTAGAAACAGCCAGATTAGTACACTGCAGCAGCATCGCTGTGAGTCCTGTAAGGGACGACTGCGGCACTATATACTAGTCCTTTACCACCTTGCTCTTGAGATCCAATATATACTTTAAGAAGAGACGCATTTCTAATTCAATGACAAGTGAAGTTGTGAATATATCATTTTCTATCAATATGCAAATCTATATATATTACATCAGGTGCCTACACAATCAAGCTAGAGTATGATGGTCACTTGTCCACCATCGGCAAGTCAGAACTGTCTTGCAATGATAGCCTCAGATCAGTAGCTTTCATACTTTCTTCTTTCATTCATAATCAAATAGATCCAGTCATTCTCGTGGCCCGGCTCAGGGTCTTTTAAACCGTCACACTTGCCACTGTAGCATCGGCTCTTGCTGCAAAAGTCGGCGCCTGAGCCACATTTGCCATCAATGCTGCAACAGTCTCCCCATTTACCTCTACAACGGCTTTCATTATGATTTTCTCCACATAAACCGTCGGTAGTATACCACTTGTGGCCAAAGCATATGCCTTCGTAGCAAGTTCCTGGGGCGCAATCGTCACTATATACCGCGTTAGTCACAACGTGAGGAGAGAGAGCCTGGGAAAGCGGTCAGACATACTAGGAATCTCCACAAGTCCATGTTTCCGAGTTGCAGCATTGTCCAGCATTGACGCCGCGACAAGTTGCGTTCTTGTGCGGAGGGCCGCATTTGCCATCATAGGCACGAAGAGGTTCAATAACTGGCTGTTTGTTAGTTTGCCCTTCATGCGCAGGAAATACCATGTTAGCAACTTACATCCCTCCACGCAATACCCTGTATTGTACTTGATATTGGCGCAGTCACCATGGAGGTCAGGGTTCAATTTGAGGATGTCCGAGCTCCTGGATATGTGAGCAGCCTTTGCCAGAGCCACGCAGCGATCTCCAGTAGTTTCTCTCTCGAGCATCACAGAATATCGGCAGTTGATATCGCCTGCTTCAATTTTATTTCCTATGAGACGACCTTTGTCTTCCCAAAGGACGCAAACAGGGGCTGCCTCGGCGTACTCATAGACTATCCAACGATTTTGGTCATCCCATCGGACCGGCGCGCATTCTCGGCACAGGTACTTCAGAATAAGGCCCGTTACTGGCGCAATCGCCGCAGTACAAATATCTCGTCCCCAAACCATTGCGATTTGTTTATAACTGGGAGAGTTTAGAATAGGGGAACAATTTTGAGATCAGGCTGGGCGACTATTTCATGGGACCACCAGTTTGTGTTAGCCAATGACCCACCCTTTGTTAAATTAGCGTAACCTATAGGTATGATGAGGCTTCTATCCGCTGATAATACAATGCTTGTAAGAAGGAAACAAGAAAACGATATATATTGTAGTCTTTGGTGGACCACAAAAGAGATACTGTGTACGTGTAAGTCACCTAAACCGTGTACATGGGCGATCCCTGTGCCAAGCTGTATGATACACACCAGTAATTGTTTACTTTTTAAACAAACACGGAAACTCTCGGGATGTACTGAGTAAATATTTGAGAATATATATTTGTGAAGTAAATATGTACAGTCGAAGAAATATACAAAGAATAATAAATCATAAAGGCGTCTATACATAAATGTGCGACCTCGATGAGTACTAAACCTGTTTCGCGCCCGACTTGTAATGGGTTTACGCGGTTTAAAACTGGTCGTCGCCTGTTCAAAGAGAAAGGAAAAGGTCAGACGGTGCACGGCATAGCTTCAAGTGAAGGGGTTTACTTGCGTCCAAGCTTGATATCGAGGTGACCGCCGTTGGTCCAGCCCTGGCAGCCGCCCTCGGGCTGACCGTCTCTGGTTCCGTAAGTAGCACCAGGCTGGCTTCCGTTGGCGCAACCGTCAAGATTGTAGGTATCCTTGGCGCCACAGGTGTTGCCGCTCTTACACTTGAAGACGCACTTGTCCATGTTGGAGGTGCAGCCGTTGGCAGCGACACGGACGCTCATGGTGTTGCCGCCCATGTTGACCTCGCGCGAGACATCCACAGTGGCGTAGCCGCCAGTGGTGAATTCGCCCCAAGTGTTGTAGATCTGGCCGTACTGACTGAGGGTGGTGGCTTCGTTGACGAGCGTGGACCAGCCGCCAGAGATGCCGTTGTCGAGCGAGATGGTGACGCTGTCGCCAACCTTGGGAAGCGAGTAGGTGATGTGAGCCTGGCGAACATTCATGAAGCTCGACTGGTAGTCATTGGGGGCGTTGTACCAGAGGACAAGGGTAACAGGGGCATTGGATGGCTTGGAGGCAGAGTTGGTGAACTTGAAGGTGTTCTTACCGTCGCCGCCGATCCAGATCTTGTCCTTGTTAGACTTGCTGTTCTTGCCCTGGGCCTTCATGCCAATATTGGCCATGTGCTGGCAGTCGGCCTTGTCGAGACCGGCCACGAGCCTGTCGCAGGTAAACTGCGCGCGGGAGACGAGGTTGTTTGACTGAAGAACGGCACTGGATGCTGTTGTTAGTACTGTGTTTGTTTAGATTGGCTGGCAGTATGTGCGATTGGCTTACTCGGCGGGAGCAGCGGCGGAGAGGCCGAAGAAAGCGGCCATGGAGGCCACCTGGACAAGAGAAAACTGCATTTTGAAGGAGTGATTGGTGGTATAAAGGAATGTGTAGCTAGTTGAAGCGTCAAGGAAAGACTAAAGAGTAAAAAGCAAAAGTTCAAGGAGTGACTGGGTGATGCAGCGGTTAACGAGACAAGATCAAGAAACTCCTCGTTGGGCATCATGGCCAACTTATACAAAGACCGGGCCATAATCTATCCAGTATCCGTCCCACGATTCAGCATGAAAGCTTCGGATAGTTTATTTTCTGACTAGACAATAGTTTGACCCGCCGGCCCCGAAATGGGAATGGGTGTGTCTATGGAGGGCATATTGGCCATGTAAACGAGCCAAGACGAGGCGTCGAAGCTAGTTTCCAAGAAAGGTGTTGGCAGAGGTATTGCGATTGGACAATTGCAGCCATGAAGCCACTCATCTAGAACACGGTTCAGGAGACTCTGTAGGAACACCACGAGGTGCTTTCTACCGCTGCAGCCTCTGATTGGTAGTGTGTCTGAAAGAACGAGGAGCCTGCCTGTGGCTAGCGCTGATATCTTCAGCGTCTTGGGTTAGGCGAGACGACCCACGTTTTGGAATTTGGTAGTCGCGACAGCAGCAGACTAGAGCCCAGTGCAGAATTCTAGACTCGGCAGCCATCCAGGCACAATTACATTGTATGCGGGTGCAGTGGATTTTCGTTCGTTAGCGCTGATGGGGAAAGCCTCCGGCCCACGCGGTGCCTGAGCAAGGTTCCCTAGCGAAGCTTTTTACAGAAGATTGGCGTATGTGCTGCTGCTACTGCTGCTGATCATGTCTCAAAGAGAACCAGAAAAAGAAAAGCGATCTCGATAGACGGGAATGCTGATCATATAGTATAGAGAAGACCGCTGTAAGGCATACACCGGCACAGCGCGCCAATTCTAAGTCGGTAGACGTATAGGATGGATTGTGCTGACCAAGACTGAGCAGTAGCATACAGGCACCGTAGCGCATTTCTGACCGCCAAAAACCAATAATATTGGCCACTACCAAGGAACCCTCTTTTCCAGGCAAGGCGCCTGCCGACCTGGACAACGCCCACGGCCAGCTCATGTCCGTAAGGGGACGTTGCATCGCTGGATTGGGAAACCATTAAGTAATAGGCGTCCCCCCTTTCTGTCATTAAGAATACGGCGCTCACAGCTTGCTGAGATCGAAAACAGACTGGGCGGGCTGATACTTCGGGGGACGCCGATCCGGGCTTGCTCGGTCTGATCCACCCCGACTATGCGCTCCGGTTAGCTAGGCGCCTCAAAATATTGTGCAGAGAGAGCGAGATGAGACGTGGGTTTGCGAGGTACAGGAAGTAATCATCAGGTTGGCCGCCGAGTACTGGTAAACGATGTACATCTGTACTTCAAACAGGACTCCACGGTTTATTGCGAGAAAAAATTGAAATGCGAAATATTGGTGTTTTCTCTGTTGAATGCGCGAATATAATCCTGCTTACACCTCGCCAAGCCATATCGCTCCTATTGTTAAATGGCTGGCTAGCGTGAGGTGAGGCATTGTCCAACAACCTGCTTCTCCCCTTCTCTGACACCGTTATCAACTTGACATTGCTTCCAAATGCTGTCAGATAAGCATGCCAAAACTCTCCGTCGTCGTTATATACTCTCTTCATTTACGGCGCGTCTTCGGCGACTGTCATCTTGGTCAGCACAGGCCATTCTAGAACTTTGGCTAAACGGTGAATACTCAGATAAAGTCCCCGTTGTTCCCGGTGCACACGAGCAGCCCATAAAGGGCATTAATTAGTGCTCGAGCATCAGCCGCCAACGTGGACTTTAGCCTGATGTACATTTCGCATAAACTTACGCTTAAACATGTCTGCCCATAACTCATCCATGTAATACAACGTCGAGAGATGTCCGCCCGGCACCGTCTTCTCTGTTGCTGACTTGTAATTTGCTACAAGCCAGGCATTATTGCTGCCGCCCAACTCATCGTGCTCGGATCCGACTACAAGCACCGGCTTTTGCGCATGCTCGTCATCCAGTGTCGCCGGGTTAAACCCCCAGTCCGAGTGCAGCACATCGGACACTTCCATGAAGCCGTCCCAGTTCTGAGACGACTTGACAGCACCTCGGGCCTGACGGTCGATGAATTCGTCAACCGTGAAACCCTTACGAGCTGCATACTGGGCAAACTCGTCCTTCTCGTTCTTACTCATCTTACCAAAGATGGTCTGGTCCAGAAACGTCTTGGCGCCCTCTACAGAGCCCATCTTGGACCCAATGGCAGATTTGAATACCTTTTGCAGCATACGGAAGGGCATCTGTGATGGCGGCCCGACGGACATCCAGTTTTGCCAGCTGAGCGCCTTGGTATAGTTCTTGTCGTACTTGAACGGCGAAAAGCCTGCCAGTAAGAAGCAACCGGCAATCTTCTTGCCCGCGGGAAACAAGTCATAGGGGGCCCCGTACAGCATCTGTGCTTGAACGGTGCCGTATGAACCGCCTGCAACGTAGAGTGCATCGTAATCGTCCGATGGGTAAAAGTGCTTGAGCAGCGCCGAGATATCGCGAGCAAGCACAACGTGGTAGGCTTCCTTTGGATCGCGGCTGCTGCTGTTTCCCATGCCTGCAAGAGTGGGGGCAATCCACAACACGTTTTTATCGGCACAAGGTACCGGAACTTGATGTGCTGTACCGACACTAAAGAGACCGGCGAAGAAGATGATGACAGTCTTTGCATCGCGCGGCCCGTTGCAGGCGTACGCTAATTGGCGGCCATCAGCGAGTTTCAAGATGTGCTCTTCATCGCCTTTGACTCTATCGTAGGCGTCTGTCATTTTTGTCTATGTTTTGTTGCTTTTGGAGGTTGTGATAACAAGAGGTGATGTTCGTAGTACGCGCGTCTGTATACCAGCTTCAGCCTCACGTGGGGCGGCAACGAGACAGCTTTAACTACAAGCTTAAACTGGTGCCTACGACAACATCACCCGGTTTTCCACTTTTAGGCTTCCCATATTCTTCAAATCTATGGGGCAGAATTAGGCATCCGAAATAAAAGCAAGGAAAAGACAAAGACATAAGCAGACAAGGGGGCCGGTATGCAAGCGCACGGTTACAAGAAACATAATTCATTGACATTAACCAAGCTGCAAGGATATCACGGCGCTATAAATCATTGCAAAAATCAAGTCATCGAACCATCGATATCAACCTAAGCCAACGCTTCCTTCTCCTTGCTGCTAGCAATCTTGTCCGATTCATACAACTCGGGGCAAGGACCTGGGTTCTGGAACAAGATCCATTTCTTGATCCACCAGGGAAGAACCTCGAACAGCTGGTAGCCAGCGTGTCGGCGAGTGGAAACAGCAAACACCTGGTCCAGTTCCTCCAAACTCTTCTGCTTCGTCTCAGGGACAAACAGGAAGATGAGAGCCAACGCGATCAAGTTGAGACCGGCATAGAAACCGAAAGCTCCGGTGGGAGTCATGGCTTGAAGCATGCGAGGGAACGTCAACGACAGGACCGACGCCCAGAAGTTGTTGGTGGCAACAGCCCACGACATGCCAACCTCACGATGCGACAGAGGGAAGACTTCGGCCGAGTACATGAATGGAACAGGGCCTTCGCCTGTAGATTTCCAGAGTTAACAACAACAGATATGAACAAGACGATGGAGGGATGCAATACTTACCAGGAGAGTAGAATGCTTCAAAGAGGTAGATGAACGTGCCTACAGCAGCCAATCGGGCAGTGCTCTCCACGACTTCCTGCTGAATCAAGAAGCAGAGACCAGCGGCCAACAGTGTCCAGAACATGTTGGGGAAGGTGAAGAGCAGCAGAGTTCGTCGACCAAAGGTGTCAATGGTCCATACGGCGGGCCAGGCAAAGAGAAAGTTGACCACACCGGTTCCCCAACTAGCCCAGAGGGCAGTGAAAGAGTCGACACCAGAGAGATGGAAGATGGTACTCGAGTAGAAGGAGATGATGTTGATACCGCACATTTGCTGCGCAATCATGACAATACCAGAGGCGGCAGTGGCGCGACGGTTGCGTGGGATGGTGAAGAGCTCGACAAAGCGGGTAAACAGGCCGCCGTTGACGTTGAGACCAGACTCCTGGATGAGGTTGTGCTCATACTCGAGGAGCTTGTGGATGTAGTAGAGATCACGGCCGGCTTGTAGGGGCGTGTTTCGCAGGCGCAGCAGCGACTTCCAGGCCTTGGCGTGCTGTCCCTTCTTGAGATACCATCGAGGAGACTCGGGGCAGAACCAGACACCAGCCAGTAAAAAGACGGCAGGGAAAAAAGCAGAGCCGAGCTGCAGGCGCCAAGAGATCTCCGGGACTCGACCGAACGCCAAGTTGGCAGAGTAGCCCATGACAATACCGAAAGCAGTCCAAATCTGCCAGGACATGACCAGAGCGCCACGGATGGCAGTGGGGGCGTTTTCAGCCGAGAAGACGGGAACAGTCACTTCCTTGAGACCCATGCCTACACCAAGAAGACCACGGCAAACAAGAAGCTGGACCCAGGTCTGTGAGAGAGCCATACCAAAGGGTGACAGAACAGAGAAGATGGCGGCAAGGAAGATGACGCCGCGTCGGCCGAGCAAGTCGTTGAGAGGATCCGAGATCCAACCGGCACTGCAAATAGAACAAGTCGTGTTAGAGAAGACCGTCATCCGCGAAACACTCCTTAAAAGCGGGATAAGCCGACTGGCTACTTACAATAGGGCAATGGTAATGTAGGGCATGGCATTGATGACACCCACAATCCAACTGTTGCGCGCACAGTTCTCAGGGTTCACAGAGCAGTCGTCGACAATGTCAAAGGCTTGCGGGAAGCTCAGGTTGGCGCCGTTGGAGCCAGTCTGATCCCAACCTTGAATGGCGGCAGCAATCGAGTTGAGAACAATGGTGTAGTAGAGCGCCCAGGGGTGCTTCCAGCGGTCAGTGACCTCTTCGCGCAGAGCCTGTCTCTCGCTCTCATCGAGGTCTTCAATGTTGTTGAATCCGGCAGGATTTTGCGCCACGAGAGCTCCCTTGAGGAGATGGGGGAGGACATCGGCATCGAGGTTGTGGGCGGCGTGGTACTTTTTCACGTCGGCGAGCAGCTCGTCGCGTGGGATGCCCTTGAGAGGGTTCTTGACCTCACCGGCAACATCTTCGTCCAGAGCTGCCAGCTTCTCTGCATCAACGGATGCAGGCGCCGTGGGGCTGTTTATAAGACATCACATGTAAGCATCTCTTACAACACAGTTTGCCAAGAAGCTAGGTACATGGGGTGCGTGTGTGCCACAACTTACATATGTTCACGTTGGTCGATGGCGACCTTGTCGTCGGGAGACAGAACCGACACCTTTTCGTCGGCCATGATGTTGACTGGGGTACTAGCAATTGACACAGAGCAAGTTGCAAAGAAGGCAGCCGATGACGGGATGAGGGGGAAAGCTACAACGGCACGAGCGGGAATCGAGACCCCTTTTAAAGCTTCCACGCAACTAGCCTAGGGCTGCAAAACAAGTCGCAACTTGGGGGGATGGAAGGCATGTCTCGCCCGTAAGCAAAGACGCTAATTAACGAAGCCCGACTGCGGGCACCACCAACTGCGACGGACCCTCCCCGCCGCTACGGCGACAGGGTAAAGCGGGAAAGCCAGGCAGGCAGCAGTTTAAGCAAGGGTTCGGGAAACAAACACGGTGCGGGGGTCATGATTGTCCGCTGGCTTGCAAAGAGAAAATGAGAAAAAAGGTGTGAGACTGAGCCGTAACGGGGATAGCTTGTTGGCATTAGCGCATCCAGCTTTCACCACTTACACTCTGTAGCTGCAAGGCTAAGGAGCGGAGAAGGGTGGCAGCAGTACACTTTGTCGACAAGCTTTTGGGCACTTCTGGGCTCCATCCCCGGCTCCGAACGAGACCGACCATCGTGTCCCTGGGGTAGATGATGTCTGTTTTGTTTTCTTCGCTTTTGCTTACGCGTGGAGCGTGAGCCCTTGCTTGTCGCTGTAGCTCATCAAAGATTCCTCGTCAGCATTGCAACGACGGAGACCATCTCGACTTACAGCGCCGCCGACGCCATCGTTTCTGACTACCCAGCAAGCCTTCCCGGCACAGTACGTTCTGTGGCGTCTGTCAGTGCAGCCCCTCTCTTCCTCCCTTTGGTAGGCTCAGACACCAGCCGGGAATCCGAAAAGGCGCACAGGCCCGGGAAATAAACAGCCGATGCGATGATGTGCTGGCGGAGCTGCTGCCGCGTGACTAGTGTTGTTGTCTGCAAGAAGGAAACAAAAAACCTACGTCGAGCTAGGGATTCCACATCGTGTGGAATAAGGCCAAGACGGGAGTAGCGTGCCATTGCCAAGAACTGGAGAAAAAGAAGGGTCCAAATATAATTTTGCAAGGCTGATGTTTATGATGTTTCAGACGAAAAGAAAAATAGCATAGTAATTCACTGCAATTGACTAAATAGAACCACCTAGACAAAGGTATCACTGAATCGTTTTTCTTGGAACAAACCTCCACGGACAAGCCGGTGATGGAGAAACGCCAAAAGCGCCAATCATCCTCCTAAAACAAGCCCCGGGATATTGTTTGTGTAAGCGAAAGCCACAAAAAAGACAACAGAGCATATTTTATCAGGCGGTGGCAAGCAGCCACCATGGCTGTGATTTTAGGCAGCCGAATTAAAAAGGTGGAGGAGGCGGAAGAAGATGTGGATGAGATGGGACGAGGAAGGGTAAAGGTGAGCAAGGACGAGCGAGGGTGGTGTGTGTGTGGTTTCGGCGACAAGTTGTTCCCTGCGGCTTGTGTAGGCGGGCGACGGGATGTAAGTGCCGGTTGATCCGTGCTACTATCAACTGGCGACTATGATGCCAACTGACCTTATACAATCTATGATTTTACTAAAATGAAGTCATGGTTCTCGTTCTCGACAAGAGCCCGCTTCGCTTGTATAGAACTGCTGACTGACTAGACAAATACGTGCCTATGAGCACCAACAACACACGCTAAACGCGATACACATGACATACACAGTAGTTCCGTCACGCCTACAAAGCACTATTGGCTCTTCATGCAGCAGGTCTATTTTGCATCTAATTCTAGAATATGCCATGCTTTATATACTCTGTTTTGTCGACCGTCCGCCGTTTTGCTCGCCCCTCGTCGAGTGATTTCAATCGGAGCGCACGATGGAGCCGTCAGACGGCGCAAACAAAGCGACCGGCCGACCTATGACAAATTATATGCCATCTCAGAGTGAAGAGGGGGAAACAGACGAAAATGAATAGCGAAAAACGAAAACTCCCCATATAGAAACGAATGAAAGATGCAAAGTCATTAAAGCACAACTAGCTCACTACTCCTACTACCTCCCCAACGATGCACCCATTGCATCTAAGCAGAAGGGGTAACCTTCATGGGCTTGGTACCGAGACCGTTGGTGTTACGGAAGAACAAGACACCCTTGCCTTCGCCCTTGGCGTCGGCGCTGGGCTCAACCCACTGGCACCAGCGAGCGCTCTTCCACATGGCGTTGAGGAAGCCAAAGAAACCACCCTTGGTATCAGAGCGGTAGTGCTTGCCCATAACCTTCTTGATGGCCTCGGAGGCCTCGTCGGCGTGGTAGAAAGGAATGGTGCTGACGTAGTGGTGAAGGACGTGGGTCTCGACAATGCCGTGGAGGAGCTGGCGGCCGATGAAGCCCATCTCGCGATCGATGGTGGCGGCAGCACCGCGGACGTAGGTCCATTCCTCGGCGGTGTAGTGAGGCAGGCTAGGGTCGGTGTGCTGGAGGAAGGTGATGGCGACTGTTTGAGCTACAAGTTAGCAAATGAAATTCAAAATGTGAGAAGAAAAAGAAAAACGTACCGAGCCAGTGGTTAACCCAGAGATAGGGGATAAAGTACCAGATGGCCATGTTCTGGAAGCCAAACTTCTGGACGAGGAAGTAGAGAGCAGTAGCGGCAAGGGCAACACCAATATCACTCATGATGACAAGCTTGGCATCCTTGGCATCGTACAGAGGAGAAGCAGGGTCGAAATGGTTGACACCGCCAAAGTAACCGTTCTTCTTGCCCTTACCGCGGCCCTCACGCTGGCGCTCATGGAAGTTGTGACCAGTGACGTTGGTGATGAGGTAGTTGGGCCAGCCAATGAGCTGCTGGAAGACGAGGTGGACGAGGGTGTAGATGGGAGTCTCCTCACCAATCTCGGAGAGCTCGTGGACAAGACGGCCGATACGGGTGGCCTGCTGCTCACGGGTGCGAGGCAAGAAGACCATGTCGCGCTCCATGTGGCCGGTGGCCTTGTGGTGCTTGGAGTGGGACATTTGCCAGCTGAAGTAAGGGACGAGGAGGGCCGAGTGGAGGAACCAGCCGGTGACATCGTTGATGGTCTTGGACTCGGAGAAGGCGCCGTGGCCGCACTCGTGGGCAATGACCCAGAGACCAGTGCCAAAGAGGCCCTGGGCGAAGGTGTAGACGGCCCAGATGAGACCGCGGGCAACGGCCGAGGGAACGTACTCGGGGGTGTTGAAGTTGTAGGCGAGAGTGAAAGTGGTGGCGAGGCAGATGATGTCGCGGATGATGTACGAGTAACCGGTCAAGGCAGAGCGCTTGAAGCAGTGCTTGGGGATGGCTTCACGGAGCTCCTTGATGGTGAAGTCGGGAGGAGTGAATTCGTTGCCGTAGGTGTCGAGCAGGCCGGTGTAGTTGCCCTTGGGCTCAGCTTCCTCAGAGGCGAGCGAGCTGAGCGAGGTGGAAGACGCCGAGGGGCGAGGAGAGTCGCTGGGAGAGGCGACTGTAGAAGACTCAACCGAGTCTGCAGCAGCAGCAGCGGCCATGCTGCGGCGAGTCACCCGCTTGGCGGGGAGGGCAGTGGTAGCCATGACGAGAGATGAGAGTAGAGGAGAAGAGGTGGGAGGAGGATGTGTAAGAGAGAAGAGCAAGTCAAGGTCGAACTGTGAGGTTGAGGAAGAAAAGAAAAAGAAGAAGAAGGGGAGGAGAGTGGGAGTAGAATACAAAAAGGGCGTTTTTAGAAAATTAAGTTAGAAGAGCAGTAACAGAAGGTCAGAAAATAAAAAAATAAAAAATAAAAATAATAAAAAATGGGCGAATAAAAAAATAGCCTCTACGTTGGAGGGCTGCTCGTGTCAGTCCGCTGTTACTTACAGAGGGTGACAGTGTACCGTAGGTATAGTGGCTAGGGCGGGAGGGATACCAATTGACCCCTAAAGCTGCTTGCTGCTGAGCAGAAAAAAGCTACAGATGCATAGCTACAGCACTAACAGACACCGGTGGGTGTTTCCATAGCACGGTGTTATGTGCCGGAAGATTATCTAGTCTCTGTGGTACTCGCCAATTTTTTTCCCTCCTTGTCTCGGGACGATCGAAAAGGTGTCCGTTGTCCCCTGACGGCCCAAGCGGTGGGGAACGAGGCCAATTTTTACTGGCTCGGTTTAGCGGTGTTAGTGGCTGTTTTAGTGCTGGGCTGCAGGTGTTTCCAGGACGGTACCTGATTTGTTGGGGGTTTGTCTGTCCTTTGCGGGTAGGGTCCCCTAAAGGCCAAAAAAAGCAGGGCGGTGTCTGATCCAGGGTCCAGGGGCAGAAAAAAAAAAGTGTAAAACCATCCCACCAACAAAACGCAGCTTGTTAGCCATTGTATGCCCAGAAGGGTGCTCTCCAGATTATGAAGCCATGCCCATTAGTGTCAGCCGTTATCAAGACTCATTCAGCGGGTTTTTTCTTATTTGTACCAAGTGGGCTGGCTGAGGTGAAGGTGCAGCGAGCGCATGTCGTGTTGGTCCACGCTGGTCGCCACACTCTAGGGAAAACACGGAGCAACCCACCAACAACCGCAGCGGTGGCCCCCTAACATGAGAAAAAAACAGGCCACAATAGCGCATCCTACGCCGAGCCGGTGGCATGTGTGTGCTGGGCCCGGCGGGAAGTCCAGAAAAAAGTATTACCTGACAAGGAATAGCGTGCTTTTGCTCCGTGAAACTAGTGTTGCTTAAGTGGTTGCTTGCGTGCTGCTAATACAATCGGCTAGAACACCTGAAAGAAACAAGGACAGCCTCGTTGCTAAGCCGGCATTTTGATCTACACATGTCCCGCGGATGGTGTTTGATGCTCGTGAAGACTGTCACTTTTGCTGCCAACTTTTCATCTGATCCCACGGATAAAAAGAGTTTATCTTTTTGTGTTACATGGCCAGACTGACCGCTGCGATAATGGCGACATTGGCAGCGACGGCTTGTCGCTGAATGTGCAGATCAATAGTGGTGTCTCTGTCTGGTTGGTGCTCCGGCGCATGTGAAGCCGAGACGGCAGCCAGTGGTGGCCGCTGGGGCGGCTGCAGCCCGGTCACTCGCCTATAACCAACAGTCAACTATAGCTGTTGTCTCTGGTGCTGCAGGCAGGCAGGCAACTTGGCACAAATGGCTTGCAGCAGGAGGTCAATGGGAACAGCACTGATAGAACGGAAGCTGAAGCAGTAGTGGCACTAGTGGCAGCAGCACCTAGGAATTCGGGGACGCCGTGGTGTTGGTGGTTTTGCATGACAGGACGTTGGAAAAAGTCTATTCGTCGCCACGTGCAGGCTTGACTCGCCAGCAACTCAGCACCAGCTCCAAAACAGAAAACAATGGGTAAGAGCATCACGCAGAGATGTGTGTAATTACATGCCAACAACATGCATAAACCAAACAAAGGGGAATCCAACCTGATGACAGGGCGATTCTGGCGATGTCATCGGCATACATCTAGCGGGAAGGGCGCTGGCTGTCATGGGCCGACTCGCTTACAGCCAGGGGCAGCCGCCGCCGCCTCCAGCAACAACAGCACTAACTAAAACATGACACGCTACGCTGCAGCCTCTGGGCAGAAAAATAAGGAATTAAAAAATATGTGCTGTAAGTCACAGGGGGGAATGCAACATGAAAAAAGTACCGACAGATCAGTGGTACCGTATGCCAGTCCGCTATAGGGGAAGCAAGAATAAAAAAAAAAAGTAATAAAAAAAAGTGTTGGGAAATTTGTTGAGAGCTGGGCGGGTGGAAATGCGGCGCGGGCCCCGTTTTCCGAGCGGTCTTCTTTTCCTAGTGCTGTCCAAATCGGGGAAACACTGCCTATTCCTGTTGTAGGGGGATTTGTAGAGTGGGGGCTGTAGACAGAGGGTCGCCTGGCATACCTAATTTTTTTTTTTTAACTCTGGCGGTGACTGGGGTTGGTGGCCACAAGAGAAATTAACACGAAAAATGAAGTTTGGATCGGGGTGAGAAGGCGGGGGAGGAGAAGAAGAAGGGCCAATTCGCTAGAGGGGATTGGCAAGCATTGGCAACCAGTAATTCATTGTTAGAAAAGAGTATGTCATTGGCCAACGAAAGACACGGATCTGTGATAATCTTTGTGCATGGGGTATCACGAGACACTGGGAATGGCCGTTGGCGGTGATAGTGTGGCACCAGATATACTTTGCCATTTGTCCGGGCCTCTGAGAAATGGCATGTGTGAGAAAACAGACATGTGGTACACAATTGTTTGGGTACGGCGGTGAGCCTGGCATGAGAGAGGAGAGAAGTTGAGATGGTGGCTTGTAACAGGTGACATCTACAGCATACTGTGTCTATATAATGTCTGTCAATTGTGTGTGCATTGACAATACACAGACTGTACATGTATAGCAGTGCAAAGTGCAGTATTGTTGTTCGTGGTGGTGTCGCTGTTGGCGTGGGCTTGTCTCGGCAGTCGGCCGATGAAGGCATTTTGCTATTGGGCGCCGCACGCAACAAGCGGCTTATTCATATGTTTCGTTTTTATTCACGTCTCTAATTAGACGATATTTTTACAAGTTAATTACATAGTACTATCCAGTCTGTAGATCCCCCCTTTCATTACACAGGCGTAGCCTCAAGCGCTCGCCGCCAATGTCTTTGTATACTGAAGAGCTGCCGCCACCAGCCACAGTGGCAGCTGACAGCTTACAGTGCAAGTTTTCTAGCTGTATATGCACAAGCAGATCCCATCCAACAGTTTACATCTCCTTACCACTGGATATTAATACAGCACCCTGGCCAGACAGGCTGCTCTCACTCATCCCTGATTCGGGCAACACATGCCACACCACGTTTTCCTGCCATCTCCGCCGGCCGGGCCTCCCGGGCCCATCCCGTCTATCCCCCGGGATTGATACAGTAGCTCGGCTCCGCTCAGCACCACTCGCCGTAAGCAGCCAGCCAGCTTAGCCATAAGCGTCATCTGCAAAATGGCTGATGGTGATTTACAAACTTTGTAAAATTGTTGTTGTTACCAATTGCTGCTTCTCCGTCTCAAGTTTTCCATCCTCAAACACCAAACAGCAAACAAAAATTTAAAAAAAAAACGTGCGCCCGGTGCTTGTCCCGATCTAGCAAAACACGTGCTGGGCGACGCCACATCGGGCTGGGCTGGGCTGGCAGCGTGCACGCACCACTAAGTTTATGTAGCCGCAGCACTATCCAGTCCACTAATGTAGTCGCCGTAGCAGTAGCAGAGCTCCATGTTGGAACCGTTGTGCTTTTCCCCCAGCTTTGCTCCAACGTCTCTCTGTGCGTCAGCCCTGCCGCTCACGCTTTCACCAACTTGGCGTCGACACGCAACATCATCAACCCCTCACTTTCTTTTTTTCTGGTGCATCCATCTCCCATCCACGTGCACATTATCCCACGTGCTGTCAGCCATTATCCGATCTGATTCCACCACTTGGCTCACAATCCATCCATCTATCTATCCATTCCTCACCACCATTAAACCAACACACAAAATACGACTGCTTACAACCGACCTCGATAACCGACCACAGCGAGACATGCTCTTGAACCTGCCCGACGAGCTCCTCCTCTGCATCGCCGCTCACGCACCCATCCCTACCCTTGCCACCCTCACGCTCCTCAACCGCCGCCTCCATGCCGTCTTCGACCAGTACCTCTACACCCACGACATGCTGCACGACGACCTGTCGCTGCTCTGGGCCGCCTGTCTCAACCGCACATCGATAGCCTCCAAGTCCATTGCAGCCGCCGACTCACTTCCCCCGAAATGTCGCTGCATCGCCATCCGTCACGCCGCCATCAACGACAACCCGACCGTCCTAGCTCTACTGCTCCGCCGCCTGCGGTGCTCCCAGACACAATGTCCCCATCGAATATGGGCACTGCACGAGGCCGTCGACAAGGGCTATCTAGGTGTTCTAGGTGTGCTTGTTGACTCGGGCCAAATCGATATCCGAAGTCCCCGGCCCGATGTAGACGAGTCGGCCCTCCATCGAGCCCTCAGCCGGCTCGACTTTGAAAACAGATCGTGCGACGTTGCCAATATGCTGCTCGATCTTGGCGCCGTCGACGCCTCCAACGTCAACCAGCGCCGCGGGGTATGCCAAGCTACGGTGCTGGACGCTGCATGCCGCAATGATCAGCGAGCCATTGCTAGGCGTCTGATTGCCATCGGCGCCGACATCAACTGCGTCGACGTGCACAACGAGACGCCCGTCTACATTGCCAGCAGCGGGCATAATTTGCCCCTGCTGCGCTACCTTCTGACATGCAATGCTGACCCGAATGTCCTCACGGTGCGTAATAGGACTGCCCTGCACTTTGCTGCCGCCTTTGGCCAGGAGCACTCGATGCGCGAGGTCATGCATCTGCTGCTCGCGGCCCCGAGTATCAACGTCAATGCCCACACGCCGGGCTTTGGTACAGCGCTGCACTCGGCCGTAGCGCATGACCGCGAGATGCAGACGCAGATGCTGCTTGAGGCGGGTGCTAACACGGAGCTTCGTGATGAGCACGGAATGACGCCGCTGGATGTGGCGAGACAGATGCAAAATGATAGACTGGTTGCTGTCATTACAGCGGCCAAGGATAAGCGACGGAGAGAGCGGATGAAACTATGATACCCCCATGTAATGCTCTTTTTGAAGACTCTGTTTTTTTTTGTTTTTTTTGTATACATGTAATGAGGAGTACAGCTAGAATGATATTTTACAATGACAGCCACACAGATATACTATATAACGACCTGTGGTAGAATATACCACACTCTACACACACCCATCCGTCAACTTCTTTACTACACGGTGCACACATACAGATATTCAACCTTGCTAACAATCTAGCATCTATATACATAGTTTACATATAATACATACATCCAATCTTCACCAACTGACGAGTGATCCCCTACCACGCCACCATCTTGCCCTTCCCATCCACCACTTCCTTCAACCGCGCCGGCATAAAGTCCACCCACAGATTCACCCGCTCCATCTCAACCGCCTCCCACACCTCCTGCACCACTCTCTGCAGCGTCCCATCATCCCAGTTATAAGTCTGTTGCTGCTGCTCTCCTTCACGCGACACCTCCTCCTCTCGCATCCACTGCTTCCGCGGCGGCCACACCGAATCCAGCAAATTCAAATCCGGGCTCTCGCTACAGCAAAACTGCGTATCCAGCCCATGCACCGCCTTCCACGCCTGCACCGTATTCACTTTACTCGCGCTACCGTGCGCAAACGAGTCCGCGTCCTCTTCCAGCACAAACACCGTCTCCTCCGCTAGCCATGGCTTCACCACCCCGTCCAGAATCTTCGTCTTGTATTCATCCATACTCAAAACGCCGCTACTGTTCCCCGCGCCACCGTCTTCGTAAAACACAAGCTCGCTCTTGAAGCCGTACCCCAGCGCTCCCCACGCATGCACCCGCTTGACGTCGCGGCCCCAGCTGGCATCGCCGCTTTCCTTGCACGTTGCGCAGTGTGTCTCGCCTGGTTTTGGGACGATGCGCACTTGGCCGTCGAGACCAAACCCAAAGTGTAGTTCGCCGCTGAACCGCACTGTTCGCCAGTCCTGCGGTTGCGACCGACGCTCAAGCATGCGCCGCGCATATTCGACTCGCTTCTCTTTACTCTTTAGTCCGACGCTGCTTCGGCCGCAGCGACGACAGATTCTGTACCCGAGCGTGCCCATGGCGCGATGGATGGTCCTCGCGTTGCATGAGCTCGCTATGCCTGCTTCGCTGGCCAAAGTCGTCCAATTGAGACTCATTGCTTCGTAGCGTGGATCCCATAAGATGCGCTCCATCTTCTCTTGATCTTCTGCTGAGAGCTTGGCTGGACGTCCACGAGTCTCTTCCCATGAAGGGTCATTGCGCTGTGATGCTGGGACGACCATGGCTGAATAGCCCTGTGAGCGGGTGACGCCAAAGTGGCGGAAGATGGCTGACTTGTTTATGGGGAGGCCCTGTGATTCTAGGTACGAGATTGTGCCTCGTACCATGGCCTTCTTGCTCGCATCTGTGTGTTTATAGCCCGTCGGCATGGTAGTAGTTTGCGGTAGTGTGATGTTGTATAAGTTGGTGTCTAGTTGTTTTTGTCAAGCTGTGTGACGGAGACGAGTTGGTTGTCACTAGCCCTCACGTGACAAAATCAAGGCGTCAGTTCTGTTCATGCAACACACTCATCAAATAAAAGGAAAGGTACAATTGGTTCTCAAATTATAAGTACTCACAGTCCAGAGCGCCATTCCCATGAATACGAATGGCGCGTTAAAAGTCAAGATTTGCGAGACAACTCTCTTGTCCTAATGCGTAGCTTTCCACTTTGTTCATGAGGCTTAGACGAGAGAGCAAACAGGTGCTTATTCAAGTGAGGATTCTTTTAAATCCTCGATAATATACAATATAAATATCTTGCCAGGTATAGCCTTATAAATATAGTCCGCAACATACCTCGTCGCCAGGCACCGTCGCCTTTCCCTCACGCCATGTAGGCTATGTTTTTTTGTACAGGGTAAAACTATAAGAATGATAGACCTCCACAGCGAATAGCAATATCCAACGCCAAGTTATGTACTCCAAATCTATCCCATCCAGTTCTAATAAAAAGTGTTTTGTATGCGTAGAAGTTCTCCTTATATATCCAATGCATCATCAAGAAAGTCGCAGATCTTTAGGCCTTGCCAGCTTCACGAACAGACTGAATAAATCTGTCCTCGGCACCAGCTTCGCCCACGGCGCGCGGCGCAGTCGTGTTTGTAGACGCCTTGGCCATGACGCTCCAGACTTGCTCTGAAGTTGAGCTGCTGAGCAGATCCATCTCTCGGTCGAGCAAGACGGCCACGGCAGCGCGCACCAACAGCGAGTCGCCTTCAAAAACGTAAATGTCCCACAGGCGAGCTGCTTCGTCAATAGCGAGCAGGCTCGTAAATATGCTGGTGAAGATGTCGTTCAAGTAGAGCGATGCGCGCAGTTCGGGAATGCCCCTGGTGAGATGCTCATGAAGCGTAGGCGACTTGTGTAGCAGCGTCTGCAGCACCAAGTTGTACGCGGACGATTTTGCGCCAGCGTCGGACATGTAAAAGGACAGTGGGAGCGATCGGTTTAAGACGTTGGCCAGAGTGATGAATGCAGTTTCGGGATCTGGAAGGTTGAGGAGAAGAAGGGCGGCAATGGTCTTGGGAAGACAAAATTGTTAGTTGACGTACAACAAAAGGTCTTGATAAAATACTTACGTTGGATCCGGGAACATAGCCAATGTCGGCACGATACATGGCATACGCGCTCAAAACATCAACCAGGGATTCGTGAAGCGGCCCGCCAGTCTGGAAGATGCGCAGCTCACTCCAGGTGTTCTCATCTGCATCTTTTCTGATCTCGTTAAACCAGGCCGCCATTCGTACATCTTCCGAATCGGCCTTGTCTTCCTGGATGCGCTGCTGTATGTCCTTTACTCTAGATAGAGCGGCAGAGTACGAATCCACAGTGAGGCCCAATTCGTTACCAATGGCTCGAGGCCAGACGGCCGCACGGCTGCGCGGTGCCACGCCCTTCCACCAGAGGTCTCGGGTTCGTCGTTCTCGGATGGCATCGTTCCAGCGAGGGATAATGTCGTTTTCCCACAAGTGCATCAGACGGTCCGCCGCGCTATCACGCTTGGTGCTACGGTCCAGTCGGGATGCTTCCCGACGCTCGTCAGCCTTGATGCTCGCCGCCATCATCCTTTGGTATTCCTTCAGGTGGCGCTTTTCTTCCGCGGGATCTTTCGGGGGCAGCCATGACGGCCTCGTTCTGCTCAAAACGGCTTCCTTCTCCTTGGATGCGGGCAGCGGGTCGACGATGCCGTCGGTGCGACGCAGAGGTGGGAGCTCAGGTGTGGACGACTTGACGCGCTCCCTTTTGTCGTACGAGTATTCTGCTGTGGTTGTTGAATTCCACGTGTAAGGACGGGCCGAAGCAGATGGTCGTCGGGCCTGGCGTTCCACCTCCTCGTCGGCATGCTCCTCGAGCTTTTCGGTCAACATTCGTGCTTCGCTGCTGAGATCAGCGTGGGCGGCGTTCCAGCTATTTGACCGGGTCTTGAGCGGGCTTATCGGGCGACGGTCTACTTGTGATCCCTCGGATTTCCAGGTGGGAGACCGCAGCGAGCCCTGTGCTTGCGCAACAGCGGGGGTTCCATTGCCAATGCTGCGAACACGCTCCTTAGGCGCTCGTTCGGGCGATGGTTCGGCAGAGGGGGCGCGGCTGGGTGGACGTTCATGGGGAGGGCGCGGCGAGATGGGAACATTGTCTAGAACGAGGCCATCTGGGATATCGTCGCCAACATCTTCATCGCACTCTTGCTCAAGCTCCGAGACGGACTTGCGCTTTTGAGTAGACTGCCAGCTTCCGCGTCTTGGTCGAGGGATGTGTTGGGGCTCGCGGGGCTGGAGGGCGAGACCAGGGCTTATGCTTCGATTGTGAAGGACAAGTGGCATAGACGTAGTAGAGTGGTTCTTCTTGAGGGTTATAGACCGCGGGTCCGTCAGTCCGGCCGTGCTCGTGCTGCGCGGATTGGCAGAGTATAGATTGTTGCGGAGGTTTGGGAACGATCGTCGGGGTGCGGGAGCGCGTTTGTTGGCGGCCAGTGTGCGTCCGGCGGGAGCAGGCTGGAGAGCAGGACTGCGTGTGATGTGCCGCGAGTTGGTCGCGGAGATGCCATTGGCCTTTGGCGTATTGGTCGCGGTCAGGGAAGCATCGTCCTCGAGGCCAATATCTTCAAAGTGGGCGACATCGGTAACGGTGGCGCCTTCGTCGCTATTCGTGGAGTGGAAAGAGGAGGACTTTGAGCTTCGGGAGTTGGTCATGCCCGGGACAGAGCCCGGGGACTGCACGAGGGTGTTGAAGGATGGGTTGCGAATCATTGTTGCATTCTCTGGTGGTGGAGAGTGTCGCGAGACGGTGGCTTCGAGACGTGCTCACGCGAGAGGCGCTGGCCAGCTGCAAGTAAGAAAGACGATGCGACGGATTACTGGACCGGGATCGCGGGGACTTGCGATGAGATCGGAGGTGCAGCAGAGGTTATCGAGGAGAATACGAGAAAATGGACGATTCAGGGATGGGTCTCTGGGGCTTGATCGGCACAAAGGGGTGATGAAGAAGCAGCACCAAGCAAAGCAGTAAGTCGAGAGCGACAGTTGGACAAAGAGATTCGCGCGTTTCTCGATTGGTCTCGGCCGAATAGGGATAGATTCGCAGGGTGGTGGTGGCCGTGAGGAATGCAATTATTAGTATTACTTTGTTGTCGACAAGGGAAGACGAGACACCAGTGTTTTCGAGGTGGTGTGCCGGCCAAAAAGCGAGAGAGAGGCCGAGTGAGAAGAGAAGGTGTAAAAAAAATAGAAAGAAAATAGAAGAAGAGAACGAAGAAGAAAGAAAACAAAAAGAGAGAGGAAAAGCGTAGCGATGATGTGTTGAAGGTAGCGAGAAAAGAGAAAGAGAAGGGAGATGCACGCAAAGGAGGAGGTGGAGGAGCAAGGCGGGCAGCGGGCAAGAAAAAAAACGCTACAGTGGAATCGATGATGCCACCAACCAGGCTGCCCCTGCTGCGCTGCTAAAAGTACAGGGCGGCTGCTAAATTTACAGGCTGCTTTCAGACGGGTGCACACTGCCCAAAACAGCAGTGGTCAGGGCGCTGTGGGCCGCCTAACCGTTTAGGTACGTACTGTACTGTGCTGTGCTGTGCTGTAGTTCAGCTGCTATGAACACGCGCTATTACTGTTTTGAGTTTGCAGCCCGTAGCGAGAGCGAATCAGGCTCCAGCTAGCGTGGTGGTTCGTTTCGCAAAAAAGGGGAATAACGGCCAAAGCGGCAAAAAATAGTGGCGTGAGGGAAGAAGGCTTAGCAGCAAGGCACGCACGATGGTGGAAGGGGGGCCGGCAGATATCCAATGCCGCTATCATTGGACAGCTCGGATATAAAAAAGAGAAAGGCGCCGTTTATGCTACTGCTGCTGCTGCAGGCTGCATGCGTGTCTTGTTTTCCCTTACTTAGTAGCCACTCTCTTTTTTCTTGCGTGTTTGTTTTTGTTATGCCACTGAAATATGGTTATTACCCTATTTTTATTATGTCCGCCTTGGTCATGTTCCCGGCATAGCGTAGTGTTGTAGCCCACCGTGCGCGTGTCAGCGTTACTTTTCGGTCGAGCCCCCCTGGCGCCTGAGCGTCGTGCCCCTGCTTCGACCTACCCTTGACATGTGGCCTCGAGTGCTGGGTTTCCACGCAGTGGTAAAAAAAAACAGCCTAAAATTGATGGAGAGTAGCCTGTGTATAGACAAATGGTATGCTTAGTTGTTCTCTTAGTAGAGGGTTTGTTTGTTGCTCCAGTTCCTGTATAACTGGCATTCTGTATGTAACCCAGCTGGCCGGAGATGAGCTGAATGGGCACTCTAGCAACGCATCAAAGTGATCGGTTTTAATTATATTTCATCTATCAACATCCATGAATATCATTCGTGTAGCCACTCCCTCATTTCCATAATAGCTGTTCCGTAAACGCCCTTCAATCCATAGTCCTGCTCACACAGTATCGACACAACTAGCTAATTGCTATTTAACATGCTTCACCTCAGGCATACAGCTCTGTCGTCTCAAAAACAATGGTAAAATCAACAATAACAAAAAGATCCAATCTATTTCTCTTCACTGCAAATCTCTTCAAATCGGCGTTTTCTGCTTCGAAACAGCGTAGGCATCGCACCCCACGCCAGCTGTTGCACCTTTCGCCGACACTTAAACACAAATGCCTCGTGCTCCATGGCGCGGTATTCGTGAAATTGTCTGCAAAGCCCAATTTGTGCTCGCACCAATGAACTCTGCTCCCGAATTAAATCCAGATGTTCCGCTGGCGTCCAGTGAGGTCTCTGGCGCGAAGGACTAAAGTCGTGTGCCATTGTCATGGTTGGGCCATACTCCATGGGACCGATTTCCATACTGATTTGTTTAGGAATTTCTGATGGAGGTTCCCTCTTAATACTTGTCGTAGCATCACCAACATCCAAGTCAGAGCATGGCGGCGTTTGAGCGCTCGCATGCTGAACTGCAGCTCGTGGGGGCAGGTCAGCCTGAACTGCGCAGTCTTTGTAAACGGGCACACTGTAAACAGAGGTTTGAGAGCTTTTGCTGATTTCAGGCTTGACTTCGAGTTTGACTCTTTTTGCAGACGGCGTACGTTCGCTGCTGTCTGGGTTGCTGCGTTTTAGACATGACTTGGGCCGCTCGACAGTCGAAACCTCGCTTTCGATAGTGGTTTGGGGACTCTTCGGTTTGACCTTTTCTCTATTTACACTCTTTTTGTATTTCTTGTTCTTTTTGCACTTCTTGTCCTTATTCTTGGCTTCTCTCTTAGGCTCTTCTTGCTGTGGCCTGTTTCGGGGGCATTGTTGTGGCACGACTGGCTGTTCATCCGCATTGCTCTGATCGCTTTCATCATCTGATATTTCAATCGTCACAATAGGCTCTTGACCCTTTGGTCGCTGGTGTATCTCTACAGTTATCGGTCGTAGCGTCGATGGTAGAGGTTTCGGCTTTGTTTGCAGAGACATTGCCCTCTCCAAGAATACAATGGGTTTTCTGACTCCGACGGGAGGAGGAAACAACAGCCGCTTCGTAGTGCCAAGGGTGACGGTATCACGGTCTATATGACTAGGAATGTCTTCGTCGTCGCTACTGATGTCGTCATCGATGATAATGGGAGACATCCTCGAGATGGCTTTTGGAGTTCGCGCTCTCGATGTGTTGGCCACATTGAGCGATGTTTCTCGAACGGCTCGGTTCATCTCGCCCGTAGCAGATCGTGCATCGGGGCGTCGCTTTTTCTTGACCGTGGACGACTGCTGCCGTTTGGTAGTAGGGTGGCTCAATGATGGTCTGTGTTGGGTTGGCGCTCTAGTCGAAGCATTGTCGCTGTCCTCAATTTCATAGACATTCTGGGAGCACTCCTCCTCATCATCGGACAACAAGCTGATGTAGACTGTGGTTTTCGGTTTCTCCTTCTTCATCTCGGTGCGTATAGATTTCAATGTCCGCGTGTGTGCCACTTGAGTAGAAGCACCTCTTGATATATTGCCTTGGGTTTCAGGACCAGCAGGCATAGTGAGAATCGGCTATGCTATCACGAAATCGGTTTACAGACACAACAGAATAGTAGAAAAATAACAAAGTCGATGTTGACGAGTCCAAGTTTGCATCTCAAAATTGCATTGATGCTGGCACCCTCGCAGGTGACGGTGGTCGACTGTCAGCTCACTCTCACTTTCACCTCCGAGTCACCTTCTTCACTGTACTGCTTGCTGCATACGACATGATTACTTTGAGGCCCATTTTAGGAATTCCATTTTCTATGGTATCATTACAGCTTCATAATTTTGCCAAACATTGGTTTGCCAAATTGAGTCTTTTTATAAACTTCCTCTTCCAACCGCCAGATCTGTTTTGACTTTTTTTCTCCCCTCTCTTCCATCTATGCTCGCTCACGTCGTCTCGGGGCAGCGCGAATGATGTCGTCCACACGGAGTAGAAGCTGTTGAAAAATAGTTAGTTAGAATAGTACTTTCATAGTAAATTGTTGGATGAGGAACACATACCTCTGCAGCTTCGCTGGCAGACGAAACAACGGCGCGCTTCAGCTTGTAGCTCTCTACAACACCCAGATCGCGCATGTCTTCAATACCACCACCAGGCTTCATCAGATCCAAGCCGTACGTAGACAGACCCTTGTAAATGGCTGTGCGAAGACGCGAAACAAGGTCTCCAGAGTCGAGACCAGCGTTATCGGCAAGAATGGTAGGCAGCTGGCGAAGGGCGACGGCGAAGCTGGTGACAGCCATCTGGCGCTTGCCCTCAACCTTGGTAGCAGCACCCTCGACAGCCTTGGCCATGAGCATCTCAGCACAACCACCACCAAGGGTGGTGCGGGGCTCCTTGACGGTCTGAGAAAGGACAGCTAGAGCGTCGTGCAGACTGCGCTCAGCTTCGTCCAGAAGCTGCTCTGTAGCACCGCGAAGAACAATGGTGCAAGCCTCACCGGCAGAGACACCGGAGAACTTGATCAGGGTATCCTCACCGATAATGACCTCCTCGATGACATCGCACTGTCCGAGCTTGACCTGGTCAGGGTGGTCGAATGTCGAAGCAATCTCGCCGCCAGTGACGAGCGACAGGCGCTCAATGCCGTCAAAGTCGGCATGCTCGATAGACATGATGCCAGCATCAGTGAAGAGCTGCTCCGGCCAGTTGTAGATAAGCTGGCGGTTAATGAAGCAGTTGATGCCATGGGCCTTGATCTTGTCAACCTTGGCCTTCATCTTCTCCTTTTCAGCCTTTTCAAGCTCGGCCAATTTGCTGGTAGAGCCGACCTTAACGCGGGCACCGAAAATCTTGATCTTGTCCGTATCCATCGAGGTGTTGGCAATCAGGATCTTAGCCTTTTCAAGGCGCTTGGGCTGGTTGACACCGATCTTCTTGTCCAAAATGAAACCTTCGTCAAGGTAAGAGTCGCTAAGCTTTCCACCGGCCTTCTTGATAATCTGGATATGGCTGAGATCGGAAGAGGTCTTCAATCGGAGGACCGCATCGCAGGCAAGCTGAGCAAAGTGGTCACGGTCCTGAGAGAGGACCTTGGAGCTGAGGGTAGTACGGGCAATGGCGATCAAATCCTTGCGGAAGGCGTCGGGGTTCTTGCTGTGATCGACGGCCGAATCTTCGAGGGCCTTGAGAGCTGCCTGGCTGGCTATGCGGTAACCTTCGATAATGGTCTGGGGGTGAATCTTCTTGTCGACGAGCTTTTCGGCTTCACGGAGCAGTTCGGCGGCGAGGACGGTGACCGAGGTGGTACCATCACCAACTTCATCGTCCTGGACCTTGGAGATGTTGACAAGGACCTTGGCGGCAGCGTTGTCGAGAGCAATTGCCTTGAGAATAGTGGCACCATCGTTGGTTACCATGATTTCGCCGGTCGAGCTAGATGGAGGGGTTATCGTCGTTAGCCAAAGGAAGATCGGAGGCATAGCGGGATGCCGCCACCGTAACAAAAAACACTACTTACGCAGACTGGAGAATCTTGTCCATGCCCTTGGGGCCGAGGGTGCTCTTGACGAGATCGCCAACGGCGATAGCACCGACAAAGGCAGCGAGACGCGCATTCTCACCCTTCTCCTCCGTCGTGCCCTCCTCGAAGATTTGTGTTGGCATAAACGACTGTAGGAGTAGGCGGTTAGCAAAAGACGAGTGCCCAGCGATGAAAAAGCAATTAAGATAGATGGAATCATACCATGACAGGCTATTTGGCTGTGACTGGGCCGTATATCTCCTGTAATTACTATGGGATTGAAGTGACAAGATAAAAAAAGAGAGATGCGGTAATGGAGGGGGCATCAGGAGAAGAAGCTCATGGAATTGCTATCCCGCCTTTTTTGGCGGAGCTCCGTCCTAGGCCTTCCCAGGGTGGCGGGCGTTTGGGCCAGGCAGCCTTTACCGCTAGCAACAGCAGCACCAGTAGTGGTGACCAGCGCCACTACTGCACCACTACCCGCCTAACGTTAGCGCTTTCCAGGCACCAACAGCACCTGCACCTGCACCAGCACCAGCACCAGCACCACCTACGCTACAGTACACCACGCAGGCTCCGCCGCCTAACGCAAAACAACCCCACCATGGAAAGAGGGACCTCGCCGCGCCGCCGCCCAGCAGTTTGGAGGGGCGACTGGCTCCGACTAGACCACGTGACTTGCCCCTCGCTGAGCTCGACTGGCCGCACAAACTTGCAGACGGCAATTTTTCACGCGCCCCAGAAATTTAGTGGGCGGCTTTTGGTGGGCAACGCCTTTTTTGCGGCACAGAGCCCAGTCATACGCGGTGACTCGCAGCGCAAGAGAAAAAATTACTGCCCGTAGCAGCGTGCCGGCCACACTTTCTTCCATTTTGCGCTGGCCTGGGCTTCCCTGTCACCACCACCACACCCACTCCCACTTTTACCTTTCGCTTGAACAACCCACGACTCGACCCCGTCGGAGGATTTGTCGCCAGAAAACCATACACAGCAACCACCTTTGCTTTGAATAGCCGGTTCCTGTGCCTTTGTCTGCGAATACGGCCCTGTTTCCCCCCTGTGGCCTTTTCAACACCACGAAATTTTATCACGAAGCGATACAAACAAAAGCGGGGCATCTTGAAAGCACCCCTCGATCGAAGTCTAGAAATACAAACCACCCAATATGGCGCCCTCTTTCGATCACCTGCGCGAGACTGACCTCGATGACGATGAGTTCAACGAGGATGACATTGACGTGACGGATCTCCGCGAAAAGTTCGACATCCAGCTCGAGAAGGGCTACGATACCTTTGTCGTTGTCGACGGCCTTCCCAAGGTCAACGAGGAGCAGAAGCCCAAGCTTGTCAAGTTCTTGCTCAAGAAGCTCAACGCTGTTGGCAAGGCCCGCGAAGATACCCTCCACATGCCTATGGGCGATGATGGTAACTCTTTGAGGTATGAGCGGAAACCAGATGGAGCGCGCCGCGCCATGCAAAACTAACCCGTAATTATAGCTTTGCCTTTGTCGAATACTCTTCCGCCGCCGAGGCTGCTGCCGCCACCCGCCAGTTGGACGGCGTTGCCCTGGACAAGAAGCACACTCTCCGTGTCAACAAGATTAGCGATATCGAGCGTTATGGTGGCGAAGGTCGCGTAGACGACAACTACCAGGCCCCCGAGATTGAAGAATTCAAGCAGCGCGAGCACCTGCGATGGTGGCTCAAGGATCCTGCTGGCCGCGGCCGCGACCAGTTTGTCATGTACCGTGGCGACAACGTTGGTGTTTTCTGGAACAACGAGCGTGACCAGCCCGAGAACATTGTCGACCGCCCCAACTGGACCGAGACCTTCCTTCAGTGGTCTCCCCAGGGCTCGTACCTCACATCTATCCACGCCAAGGGTGTTTTGCTTTGGGCCGGCCAAAACTGGACCAAGCAGGGGCGCTTCCCTCACCCCTTTGTTAACCTCGTCGCTTTCTCTCCCAACGAAAAGTACCTCGTTACATGGTCTAACCGTCCCATCTCCGTCACTGGCGATGCTGACGATATCTTGACCGCCGATGATGAGGGCAAGAACTACGTCATTTGGGATATTGCTACACAGGAGCCTCTCCGTTCGTTCGCTAACCTCGAACCCCCCAAGGGAGGAGATGAGGGCAAGCCCGCCCCCAAGCTCTCATGGCCCATCTTCAAGTGGTCTGCCGACGACAAGTACGTTGCTAGACTGAACCCTGGCAACTCCATCTCCGTTTACGAACTCCCCCGCATGAACCTTCTCGACAAGACCAGCATCAAGATTGATGGCGTTGCCGATTTTGACTGGGCTCCCGCGACGGCTCAGCGTGAAGGTGTCAAGACTGCTGAGCAGCTCTTCTGCTTCTGGACCCCCGAAATTGGCAGCAACCCTGCCAAGGTCGGTCTCATGAGCGTCCCCTCCAAGGAGATTGTCCGTACCCTCAACCTCTTCAGTGTTAGCGACGTCAAGCTTCACTGGCAGTCCGACGCGACCTACCTCTGTGTCAAGGTCGACCGTCACTCCAAGTCAAAGAAGTCTCAAGCTACCACGCTGGAGATTTTCCGCATCAAGGAGAAGGGTGTCCCCGTCGAGGTTGTCGACACTATCAAGGATACCGTCATCAACTTTGCTTGGGAGCCCAAGGGCGACCGCTTCGCCATCATCACGACTACAGAACCCGTTGCCGCGGCTGCGGTCCAACCCAAGACGGCGATTGCCTTCTTCTGCCCCGAAAAGGCAAAGGGTGCCCACGCCGGTAACTTCAAGCACCTCCGCACGCTGGACAAGAAGAACAACAACGCCATCTACTGGTCGCCCAAGGGCCGTTTCGTCATGATTGGTACTATTGGTAACCAACAGAGCTCCGACCTCGACTTCTTTGACCTCGACTTCGAGGGTGAGAAGCCCGAATCCGACAAGGACCTGACAGCGAACCTGCAGATGATGAACACTGCCGACCACTACGGTATCACCGATGTTGAGTGGGATCCCTCGGGTCGTTTCGTCGCCACCTGGGCCTCTGCCTGGAAGCACAAGGTATGTAACTCTATATATTTTCGCTAACGCATGCGTGCGCGTTACGTTCTTTACTACGTGAGAGGAGAACCGATGATGATCTAACCAAATGTACCTGTAGATGGAGAACGGCTACCACATTTACGACTTCAAGGGCGAGCTTCTTCGCGAAGAGCCCATTGACGGCTTCAAGCAGTTCCAGTGGCGTCCTCGCCCTGCTACGCTGCTTACCAAGGACGAGCAGAAGCAGGTTCGCAAGAACCTCCGTGAGTACAGCCGTGTCTTTGAGCAGGAAGATGCCGACCGTGGTGCTTCCGCCGATTTGGCCGTTGTCGAGGCCCGCCGCCAGATGCTCGAGGAGTGGTACAGCTGGCGCGAGGAGGTCGAATACGACCTTGCTGAGGAGCGCGCCGCTCTCGGCCTGCCGGAGGACCCTCACGCTGCCATGCTCGAGGCCAAGACCAAGGAGATGCAGGGTGCCGATGCCGATGCCAATGCGGAGACAACAATCGAGGAGATTGTGGAGGAAGTCTTGGAGGAGTCTGAGGAAGTCATTGCTTAAATGCAACAGTAAGAATATGAGACGAGACATACGTACGACGCACATTACGCCATTTTTCTTTTCGGAGCAGGAGTGGGAAGAGAAAAAAAAGAAGAGAAGAGGTGCACGGGTCGACTAAATTTGCATGCATGACTGGGAGGAGAGAAACACATTGGAGTAGTATTTTTTTCCTATGTATGGGTAGAAAAAACGGTTCAAATAATGACGATTTACTGTTCAAAACATGGTAGCTATTCCGCCTGTGTCTTGTGTGGCTGACTGAGAGCTCATGGTTGCATATCGGCATATAGCTGGATGATGTGATGCTGCTCCCTTTTTTTTGGGGCGCCGTTCGATTGTCCGTAGGGGTTTCGTGCTGCCTGTCTGTATACTTACCGCCTTTTTTTTCAAGACGCAAACAACGATACAACCAACTTGCAAAAGTGCACAGGGTCGATATCGGAGTGGAAACATGAACGGAGACGTGTTGTATTATGCTATCTAGTCGCCTGAGGGCCGATGTTGCCTACAGTGCGACTTATACCGACTTAAAGGTGGTAGCGGATGGCGGGCGGTGGTGCAGGAGAAGATCCTTGTCGTTGGCAAGGAGGGGGCGCTGAATAGAATGGAAGAAGAAGAGATTTTCCTCATTGGCTGTCACTTTTCCCTTTGACGTGTGTATCTACGCATCTTTGTGTGTTTTGGCGAGATGGGCCGATGACACTCTGATGAGCTTGGCTGCGACGATGGCGTAGTGGTGAAAATTGGGTTGTGCTTTCGTGGTGCGGGCTACAGTTACAGGTGGGCTGGGCCTGCTGGCACCACCACTGTGCAAAGCTATTACAGTAGCTACTGACTGTAATTACCAGGCTACGCTAGGCTGGCGGAGTATGCATGAGGCCCGTGGGCTGGATGGAAGGCCGGGGAAGCGCAAGGTAACTTTGGCAGGCAGAGATTTTCCACACCCTTGCCGACATGTTTTAGAAATGAGCCGGGGCAGTGCAGATGCCAGGCAGGATATTAAAAAAAGAGAAAACAAGCATTTTATTGGCATGTATCTGTCGTCACACACGGTGTGCTCATTCTGCAATTGCGTCAATATTTCCCCTTTCCTCCCATTAAAAGAAAAACAAGAGGTATCAAAGCATCACCCCATCCATCGTTCTCTCTGTGGTGTATTCGCGCCGTAGCGAAGCGGCCTGTGCGCTGGCTACCGCTAAATACTGCTGCTGCTGTAGCTGTTTTCCCCACCGTCCCAGCACATCATCTGTGCGGGCGGCCCGCTATTGCAAAAAAAAAAAAACACACGCCAGCCAACCAGCTAGCCCGCTGTGCCGCCACCTGGAAAACCCAATTCTCCACTGAGCTGCCCACCCACAGTTAGCGCAGTAAACCCACTGTATCGCACGCAACAGCTACGGCGACATCCCAGGCTTGCAACCGCCACAGCCACCCGCCCGCCGGTGCTACAGTGTACTCTTTTAGCTGCCAACCACACCACACCCACCCACCACCAACCACACACTTGATACTAGAGGCGGCAGGTACTGTAGTGCATGTACTGTACCTCCTCTCCCTTTTCCGACTCATCACCATTTTTCGTTTGCTTCTCCTCCCACACACAACTTTATTTCAGCCTATCCTCGTCCGTCGGCATTTCCTGACTCTTTCATCTCTATTAGCACATCGACATTCATCTACGCATCATCATTTCACACACCCCGATTTAATCGTAGCGACACATCTTTTTTTATCCGTCATCGCTAGACACAGCGCATTTCATCCCACAAACACACTTACGCACACAGCCCGATTCTCGAACAAGCAACAAGCGGCCCGTCCTGCTGTCCATCGTCTCATTTTTTTTTAAATCCCGACCGGCAGCTCCAGCACTTCTCTACCGTAGAGAAGACTGAGCCGCTTTCCACCAGCAATCGCTCGTCGCTTGGTTATGGCATTTGCCTCCCGTCGCCAGCCACCCCCGGCTTCCCACCATTGAAATCGACACCCCCCCGAGAACTCATGATTGCATCTCATCCGACACGACCGAACAACATACATTAAGATGCTGCCGCGCCGCTCTGGCGACGGCCGACATACGGCAGGCCAAAATAAATTGTTGCTTGCCTTTGCCATCATCGTCCTGCCCTGGCTTCAGCTCGCCTCCGCGCAACAGCAGTCTGCGAATGCAGCGGCGCCCGAAGCTATTGTCCAGCAAGCAGAACAAGTCCGCGTTGCCCCTGCAGAACGGGTAGTGCCTGACTTGGATGCTACGCAAGTTGATACCGTGACTGGTACTAGAGAAACCATTGTCTCTCGTAGCCCCAGCCGCAATAACGAAAAGCGCCAACAACCTAGGCGACAAACCAACAACAACCAGAACGCAGTTCAATCTGACGATGCGAGCGCCATCGCAACTTTAGCTCCGGCCGATGCCGTCCGAGCACCACATCTTTCCCGACATCGTGGATCCAGCAGCAGCGCTGCCGGAATCTCCTCGCCGCAGTCTGCGCGGAGTCTGGGGGATTGGGAGGTAGAAGACTTTGTTCTTCTGGCGACCGTCGATGGAGACCTCTATGCCAGCGACCGGAAAACCGGCAAGGAGCTCTGGCACCTAGAGGTTGACCAACCCATGGTCGAGACAAAACATTTTAGAGTCAACAACTCCGTCCTCGACGAAGACTACAGCCCCGTCGATCATTACATCTGGGCCGTCGAGCCTAGTCAGGATGGCGGCGTCTTTGTCTGGATCCCCGACGCCGGCGTCGGCCTCGTCCGTACCGACTTTACCATGAAGCGACTTGTCGAGGAGCTTGCTCCCTACGCTCCCCAAGAGGATCCAGCGGTAGTGTACACTGGTGACAAGAAGACCACCATGGTCACGCTCGATGCCGCCACAGGCCGTGTCCTCAAGTGGTTTGGCTCCAGCGGCTCCCATATTAATGAAGTAGACAGCTGTCTGCAGCCCAACACATTTGAGGGCCAAGATGAGGAATGTAGCACCATTGGCACCATTACCTTGGGCCGCACCGAGTATACCGTTGGCATTCAGCGTCAAGATGGCAGGCCCATTGCGACACTCAAGTATTCGGAATGGGGCCCCAACAACTTCGACAGCGACCTCATGCAGCAATACCATACCTCTCTCGATAGCCGCTACATTACGAGTCGTCACGACGGCAAAGTCTACGCCTTTGACCACTCTCGTGCCGAAAAGATGTCACCCCTCTTTAGCCACAAGTTCTCGGCACCTGTCGCCCGCGTCTTTGATGTCTGCCGCCCCTGGGACGCTGTCTCTGGCAGCAACCCGCAGCTGGTTGTCCTTCCCCAGCCTACCATGCCATCACCAGACGAAGCGATTGCCATGAAGCGCAGCAACCGAATCTTTTTGAACCAGACTGAGGCTGGTAGCTGGTATGCCATGTCCGGCAGATCCTACCCGCTTATTATCCACGCACCTCGTGCCCAGGCCTCTGATCCCAACGGATCCCCATCCTGGGAAACAGCGGAACAAAACAAGATTAACAATGCTCTTGTTGGTACCCATTATTTGGATAGCATTCGAGGTACCCCCAAACAACTTCCCAGCCTCCCCGGTACCGTCCGCGGTGACGGATATGAAGAATCAGAAGTCGATCCGACTATTCCTCTGTTGCCTGCCTATGAGCCTCTCGAACAAACTATCGTGACCAAAGTAAAGTCTCTACCCAAAAGCGCGGCAAACAGCATTGTCGACTTTGTCAGCAACCCGATTCTCATTATCCTCTTTATCGGCACCCTCATGTATAACCATGACAAGTTACGCCGCTCTTATAGCCGCATGCGAGTCAAGGGTGTCATGCGAGAGCTCAATGACGTATTTGGCCAACCCCAACCTGATGAAAAGGAGAAGTTGGCCAAGACTGAACCCAAATCGACACAGGAACCAAATGACAAAAAGCAGACTGCGGAAGCAGAGCTCAAAGATGAAGCCCAGCCGCCAAAGGTGGAGGAACAAGCATCAGTATCAACAGCAGCCAAGGAGAAGTCTGTTGATGCCAAGCTGCCACCAACACCTCCCGCCGATGAAAAGGGGGCTGCTACTACTCTCATTGACACAGCGGACAAGGCTGATCCTCTAACACCGACTGAACCTGCAAAGGATGAACTGGCGATCCCTAAGCCAGAGGATGTTGCGCAGGACAAAGAAGTGCAGTTGGAGGAGGACGCTGCAGCCATGGTGGACATTGATGCGACTCCTACAAAGCCAAAGGCTGTTGTTACTACCGCGGCAGAAGCCCCTGCAGATACATCTGCTCAGGACGATCTTAGTGACTCGCAACTGACGCCATCCCCTGAAGGCCCAAGCACACCTGTTCCTGAAAAGAAGAAGAAGGCTCATCGCGGACGCCGCGGCGGTGTGAAACACAAGAAGAATAAGAACAACCAAGAATCATCACCAAAGGACGAGCAAAAGGACAATGATGCGGCAGTAGACGAAGCTATCCGCAACGCCAAGAAGCTAGGCGACCGTCCTCTTCTGGAACCCGATGTCATGACTGTCGCCAACGACATGCAGGCCGTCACCGGGCCCATCATCCGCATGGGTAACATAGAAGTCAACACGGAGATCCAGCTTGGTACCGGCAGCAATGGCACGCTTGTGTTTGCCGGTAAGTTTGACGGCCGCGAGGTAGCAGTCAAGCGCATGTTGATTCAATTTTACGACATTGCGTCGCAAGAAACCCGATTGCTGCGAGAGAGTGATGACCATCCTAACGTCATCCGATACTACTCGCAGCAAATGACGGATGGATTCCTGTATATCGCGCTAGAGCGTTGCGCTGCCTCGTTGGCCGATGTGATTGAGAAGCCACACGCCTACCGGGAGCTCGCTAATGCTGGCCGCTTGGATCTGCAGGGTGTCTTATTCCAGATAACCAATGGTATCAGCCACTTGCATAACTTGCGCATTGTCCATCGCGATCTCAAGCCACAGAATATTCTCATCAACATGGGCAAGGGAGGCAAGCCGCGTCTGCTTGTTTCTGACTTTGGTCTTTGCAAGAAGCTTGAAGGTGGACAGTCGTCCTTTGGAGCTACGACTGGTAGAGCGGCGGGCACATCAGGCTGGCGCGCCCCGGAGTTGTTGTTAGATGATGATGCCCGAGAGACAAGCATGGTCGATGCTAGTACGCATAGTGGCTCTGGATCGATTCTCAACGACGGCATGCCGAGCGGCCGCCGTGCGACTCGCGCTATTGATATCTTCTCGCTAGGCTTGGTCTTCTTCTATGTGCTCACCAATGGGTCACATCCGTTTGACTGCGGCGACCGGTACATGCGCGAAGTCAACATTCGCAAGGGCAGCTACAATCTGAAGGCGCTCGATATGCTTGGCGAAGTTGCGGAAGAGGCCAAGGACTTGATTGCGTCCATGTTGGATGCGGATCCAAGCCGTCGACCCAACGCCCGTGAAGTTATGGCACATCCGTTCTTCTGGCCTGCCAAGAAGCGATTGGCCTTCCTCTGCGATGTATCGGATCACTTTGAAAAGGAACCGCGCGATCCCCCATCTGCGGCACTTATGGAATTGGAGAGCCACGCCATGGAGGTTACCCGAGGTGACTTCCAGAAGGCTCTGCCGCGCGAGTTTTTGGATTCGCTGGGCAAGCAGCGCAAGTACACTGGGTCTCGTCTGCTTGACCTTTTGCGAGCACTGCGCAACAAGAAGAACCACTACGAAGACATGTCTGACAGTCTTCGTAAAACAGTTGGTGCGCTTCCCGATGGATATCTGTACTTTTGGACGACGAGGTTTACTTCGTTGTTGCTAGTATGCTGGAACGTGGTGTACAATGTTCAGTGGGACGAAACGGATCGATTCCAGGAGTATTATGAGCCAGCTGCGGTTTGGGCTGGGGCTTAGTCTGTGCATTATCAGAAGCGTCACTATATCGCTATGTTTTTGTTTTCTACTAGCCAATGTAGAGAGGGGTATTCTTTGTAGATTAGTATGAATTATATGAACAATGTTTTGTTTCTTCCACTATGCAACAGCAACCAACGTGGCATTCTAACATTATATATTTGATCCCATTTAAACGGGTACGGTCCGTGGCTTGAAGCTATCACCAAAGTAGATGAATACAAAGGGAACCAGTCCCATTGCTAAAGAGAGAAAGGCCAGCAGAGATGGGGCCCAATGGACGCCGAGGTTGGAATACATGGCACTGGTGGCCAATGGCAGCAGGACAGCGCTGATGGAGCGTGTGATTCCTGCGGCAGAGTGTGCGGAAGCAGAGAGCGTCTTGAAGGCATCTGTGATGAAGTTGAGGCCGCCAATGTAGATGAGCTGCATGCCAAAGCCAAAGACGATGCCGCTCATCATGGGCGTGATAGCAGGGATGCTGCCTGGGTAGCTTGTCCAGCCTAGCCAGAAGAGGCCAATCACCATGCTGTAACGAGCGGTTAGAATGAAGGCAAGAAAAATATGGTTGGTGTTTCTTACAATGGAGATCCGACGCAGGCAATAGGAAGTCGGCGGTATACTTCCTTTTGTGCCCATGGAGCGCCGTTGGCAGCCGCGTTGTCAAAGTACCATCCGTAAAAGGTGCCTGCTACAAAGGCAGAAAGAACACCAATAATGACTGCATAAGAGTTAGTATAGAGGGTTGGTTTGTGGGAGATGGTGGCCGAGTCAGAGGCAGCGTACTTGGGATATAAGCCAGACCAGCTCGAGCGGGTGATAGGCCGTAGTGTTCTGCAATTTGGGTTAGCTTTTTTTGTTATTGTATCATGGAAGATGAAGGGAAACGTACCTTGGAAGATGATGGGATAAGCTTGAAAAGTGAGAAACATAATGGCATAGGTCAGAGCCAAGTACAGAGCCATGAAGAGCAACACTGGCTCGGTAGCCATAAGGACGGCAGGTCGAAGGAAGATCTTTCTTGGGTCTAAGCCGGTGCTTGATACGCTTTCAATTTCCTTTCGATGTGCGCCATTCTCCTGTAACCATCGAACCATGGCCTTTTGTTTTAGGACGGGGACATAAGTCTCGGGGAGGGCGAGGACCAAGGGGATTCCGGGAGACGCAATAAATGCGGCAATCCAAAAGGGCCAGCTCCATGAGATTTGCGAAGCGTATCCGGAAATGACTGGTCCAACGAGAGGGCCGGCAGTAGTGATGCTGAGATAAAAGGACATTGCGATGCCGCGATGCGTCGGGTTATCGAGGACATCGGCATACAGACCACCAATAACGGCCGTGGGTGCGGATGCACAGATACCGCCTAGCGTGCGAAAGATGAGCAGCGATGCATAGTCTGGTGCAATAGACGAAGCTAGCAAGAAGATGAGGTAACCGGCAAACGTGGACAGCAACACAGGACGACGGCCCTTGTATTCACTCAGAGGACCCCAGAGCAACGGGCCGAGCACATATCCCACCATGTATAGAGAGTTTAGGAGGACGAGCAGCGGGCGTTCTGAGACGGAGAAGTGCTCGGAAATGGAGACGAGGCCGCCGGAGGGGAGGGAAGAGGCGAGGTTGCAGTTGAACGTGGCCGTGAAGCCTGCGACAACGACCAGTAGTTTGCGCGACTGTAGGTCGTTCATGGTCAGATGTGTATTCTTTGTCTGTTTGACGGTTAGATAACGCACCCAGGACAGTTTGGTGGGATCTTGGTAGTTGAGATCCGGGCCGTCTGCCTTTTCGGCATCGGCCATGTCGATGATGACGGGTGTCGACGTCGTATTTTCCATTTCAAAGATAGCTACTGTCTTTCTGCCCTTCTTAGAAGATTGGGGAGTTTTGCAGTATTTATTTTATACATTCTGTGCCCTTTTTTTTCATGCATCGTCTGCTTACCACTTACACCGACGCCGGTTATCGGCCGCTGTCGTCGCCCATTGGTCAGCTGCGCCGAGCCACCCACAGAGTCGCGCCGTGATTGGCTGAAGTCGCCGAGTTTCTTTCACAACGCCGAAGTTTGACTCCCAACGCCGAGCCTCTCGCCGTCTTCACCACCGCGATATCGCCAGAAAAAAAAAGGAAACCTTACGATTTTTCAGGCTCCCACGCCCTGTAGTCGCTTACAAATGTCATCTAGGGTTACCAAGCAGCGGGACCCTGCAGTGAGGGGAAGCAAAGGGCGCACTCATGATCACAACCCCGCGTGTAAGAGTCAGACCACCGAGTTTACTGTATTGTATCGATGCTAACGGAAGAAAATGCGGATAGCCAAGCAGGCGTGCAATCACTGTCATCGCCGTAAAGTGCGCTGTGACATCTCGGCGACTGGTAGCTCACCATGTTCCAACTGTCGTATGAAAAAGATTGCCGATTGCAAAGTACACGTCAAACGCAAGACGCTCTCTGCTGCGTCGGCATCGCCAACAAACACACTACCAGCTCTTCCTCTGCTGCGGCCCAAGCGAGTCATCGACAAAGAGAAACCCTCTTATATTCATCCCATATACACCGAATCACACGACGACTCGGCTCACGAGAGCGGCAATATTGCCGACTTTCTCGGCAAAGAAACAATACGCACCGCCAATCTCGACCACAAGAGTAGAGTCTGCTACATTGGCAACGAGCCGTCCAACTTTCAGTATCTCGTCCGGCAGAGCAGCCAGCTTCTTGATCGCGATGCTCGCATCCACCACTTTAGCAACAGACAGTATCATCCGCGACACACGTCCTATCGTCTCGATAGTCTACCAGCGGACTCGTTTGCCCGTCCGCCGCCTGCTCTTGAACAGGAGCTTCTCGACGCATACTTTACGCATATTAACTGCGGCTGGCCGATTATCGACGAGGAACATTTTCGTATACAAGTTTCCGGTAACGATGCCCGAGACCCCGTGTCGCTGCCGCTGCTCAACGCAGTGCTGCTTGTCGGCGCACATGTGCTTGTCCGCGAGAAGCCCGAGCTCAAGCATCACCAGGCCATCTTCTTTCGCCGGGCCAAGTCGCTGATGGATGCCCGTTCTGAGCAGGACAGACTCATATATGTGCAGTCGGCGCTGCTGTTGACTTGGTATGCTGATGGGCTTGAAGAAGTGATTGCCAACTCGTGGTACTGGATTGGCTTTGCTGCCCGTACGGCCATTGGCATCGGTATGCATCGTGATCCTACGCATGCAAAGCACCCGCCGTTGCAGCGGCGCAGCTGGATTCGTACGTGGTGGATGCTCTTTCAGTTTGATGCCCTCATGGCGCTGGCATATGGCCGGCCGCAGGCCATGTACGTTCTTCTCTTCTCCACGTCTCAATGTATTTCGCTTTGTTCTTTGCTAACACAGATATCTTCACAGCAACCTCGACGACTGCGATGTGCCTGAAATCACACTAAGCGACCTCGAAGGCATCCCCAATGCCCAGGCCGACTTCATCATTGCCCACTCGCGCCTCTGCATCCTCATCTCCCAAGTCATGCGCCATCGCTGGGCCCTCCGCCCAACTCCAACCCTCAACCACTCTGGCCGGTCTGTTGATCAACAGCTCGCCGACTTTGCAAGCCATCTACCTCCCTCCTTGGGCCCTCCCTCACTATTCCCATCTGCCTCATCAGGACCCAACAGCAGTGCCCCGTGGCGGGCGATCTTGCATCTCAACTACAGCACGCTCGTGATCCTGCTACACCGCGAGCCACCATCGTCTCCAGACACTTTCCCCCCTCGCAACGAAACCACCACAGCCAACCCTATCGTTGCTGCTGAGGCAACAACCCAGACTGCGGCGATGCTGCAATCACTGGATGCCACCAAGGCCTTGCAGCTGCTCAACTTCTTCGGAGTACATGCAGTATGGACGACGATGCTTCAGCTCAAGCGCGACATCCGCCACCCAAACCCGCTCATGGCTAGCAGCGCCTCGCGGACTCTGAAAGCGCTGCTGGCCACATTACTGGAGCTCTCGTACAGCTGGAACTTTGCGCAGGGGCTCGCACGGCTCTTTGGCGATGCAGATCGTGAGGCCGATGATTTGAGAGAGCAGCACCAGCAAAACGAGCAGACTCAGCAGCCTACGGCGAGCACAGATGCCGAGATGGAGCTGAGCGAGTCGCTGTTTATGGACTTTGGGCTGCTCGAGGACTTTTTCATGGGCTACGAGGACAATCTGGCGTAGATACTCAGTGATGGGATGTGATATATGTACAATTACGGTCATGATGCAATGTAATATGTAATGTATATAGAATGTATATGTGTTAATATGTATATAAAAAATTGTATTCTAGCCTTCACAGGGCTGTTTGATTCCCTGTAGATCAAACAAAAACAACATCTGCCCACTATGCTTTCGCCATGCTAAAATCATCCCCGCTTACCATGCATGCAAAATGAATGCAAATGTCGCTCTTTAACCCCACTGCACAAGAACCTTTTTACCCTTCTTGCCCTTTTTGCCTTTACCTTCTCCTTCTTCATCGGCATTACCATCGCCCTCAGTGTCCGTGTTATTGTTGGACGAGCCCCATTGGAAGTTCGACTGTGCGTGGCCATAGTCTCGTCTCACTGCACGACCACTGCCGTAGCCAAAGATTGTGGTCTGAGGCTTTGGTGCCGCAGGCAGAGCAGGGAATGCAGACTTGGACCGTGTGGACTCAATGGCACGGGCTGCCGTCGCAGTCGAAGATGCAGCAGTCCACGATGGCTTACTGGCCGCTGTGGTGATCTTGGTGCTTGTCTTGTTGGTTGGTGTAGCAGCAGCAGCCGACAAGGACGGGAACGACGACGCAGGTGGTGGACGCACAGCTGGCGATGACGACCAAGTTGTCGAGATGGTGGGAGTAGCCACGGCCGGGCCGCCCAAGCGAGTGCTGTTCTTGAGCTTGAGCACACGGTTGGAGGTCTTAGCTCCTGGGATACCGCCGAGCGGGTTAGAAGCAGCCGCACCAGCCCAGCCGCCAGAGCCCGAAGAGCTGCCTTGCATACCGCTCAGTCCAGGAAGGCTCGGGTAGTCTTCGTTGATGGCCCGCCAGTCCTGCCACGCCTTGCGCAGAGCATCGCCCTTGGCCTTGTTCTCGAAGAGATCAGCAACCTCGCGCGTCAACGTGCCCAAGGCATTCGACGATACATCAGCAAACAGGGTGAAGAAGGCGTCGACGAGCTGGGTGGCAGTGAAGCTGCCTTGGCGGTATGACGAGATGTGCTCGCGGAACTTGGCCACCTTGTTGCGGTCGTTGGCGAGCAGGTTAGAAGCGCGCTCAATGACTGAGTTGTGGCGCACAAGACGAGCGCGTTCTTCGGGAGCCATGTTGGCCGTGTCTGCAATGGTGAGGTTTTCGATGGACGCAGCCACTGCAGAAGCGTTGCTGGGAGCAGTAGCAGGAGTAGAGCCAGGAGGATGGCGAGGTGTGTTGGTACCGCTGGCATTTCGTGATGTCGGTTGAGAAGAGGCTGCAGCAGCTGCAGCGGCGGCAGCTGGTGTTGGGTTCTGAGCAGGCGCTGTTAATGAGCCGCCAAACGTGCGTGTAGATACAGACTGCGCTGAGTGAATCGCCATTTGTCGCTGGAAAGCAATCTCGTCGCGTCGTAGTGGCTGGTTGTACGGCGCAGGAACCGTCTCTTCATTCGGATCTCTACCGCGGCCACGTCCACGGCCAGTCCGTCCTCCTCTTCCTGCACCGTCACCACCACCTCCATGGCGTCGTTCTTGCTGGTACGATTGACGGAGATCGAAGCCGGACATATCTACTGTTCTAGCATCTCTGCCGATCGACTTGCCGCCGTGTTCAGAGATCTGATGTGCCTGCAGATCCATTTCTGACTCAAACACAACAAACTTCTTCTCCATACATTCACTGTCTGCGCAGAGATGGTGGTCCTTCTTAAAGTGCCTCTCCAAGGCGTTGTAGTCCTGATAATAGTGAGGCTGGCGCGAATCTCGGCGATCACACAAGAAGCAGCGCTCATGCTTCATGCGGCAATGCTCGTAGAGCTTGTCGTCGTCGTAGAATCGCTCACCGCAAAAGGCGCACAGCGGATGGCCCTTGAAACCAGTCTGGTCGGCAGCGCCGGGCTTGTCGTCGCCGCGCTTCATGTGCTTATCAAGCTCCTTTTCCGTAAACAATTCGTGTTCGTGTGTAAAGACGCGCTTGTTCCTCGTGCACAGGTCACACATACGCTTCTTATGCGTAGACTTGACATGGCGATGGAGGTCGGGCCAGCCCAAGCCGGCAAAGTCGCACGACGAATCGGGGCAGTTGTAGCGCAATAAGAGCACCGTGTCGCCGACAATGTCTTCGTTTGTGTACCGGATGCCGATGTTGGTGTCGGAGGTGGTGAACTCGTTGTCTTTGTAATCTTCGAAGCGCTTCTCGGCATCGTCTGTGAAGATGACATACGGCGCTGGTGTCTGTAGAAAGCAAATGTTTAGTATCACGTCATGTACAATCATCGTGGTAGCAAAGGACCACTTACTCGGCAGTGTGCACAGTCCTTTGTCTTGTAGAGAGCTCGCATGCGCAGGCCACAGATGTGACAGGTCGTGTGGTTGCAGGGCGCAATGGAGTGGTGAGCCACGGGATTGGCGCAGATGAAGCAGACATCGGCATCCGAAACCTCGCCGCCCGGGGCCGCCTGTGTCATCTTGGCCACGGTCGACGTGACGGTGGCTCCGGCAGCTTCAGCTGCATCTTTGATATCTTGCGCAGCTGGGTTGGCCGGTCGTCCACCGTCTCCTCCTCGTTGGCCTCCTCGTCCGCGTCGTTGGCCGCCTCCTCCGCGCTGGCCGTCGCCGCCACGAGATCCACGGCCGCGGCCACCACCGCGGCCTCTATTGCCTGATCTCTGGCCTCCTGTGTTGTTGTTGTTGTTTTCGCTGCCACCTGCACTACCACCCCCTACAGTTGCGCTATCGCCTTCTCCAGCTACCATATCCCTTTGATTTTGGTGTTTGCTGTCGTTCCGTGTGTTTGTGTATGTCTTCGGCAATATGGCCTTTGTTCTGTGCTCTCTTCTATGCTGTGTCTTCTCTCAAGAAACCGCTATTGATGACTCTGTTTGTAGTCGAATTCTCCTGCAATCTGGCAAACAGTGGGAAAGATTTGGTGGGATTTACGAGGCTCCAAATATTTTTCTTAGCGGGCGGGACAGGCTTAAGCTTCAGCGGGGCAAGTTTGCGGGTGAAGGCGAGGGGCAAGGCTCGATGACTCAGCTACTTCCTAAACAGTCACGCCGAAGCTGCGCCCCTTGTGCCTCGCAGGGTGCCTTGTAGTTTAAAAATCAAGTATAATTTTAGATGGATTATCTGGTAAAGACCCTGTTGGTATCTTGTTTCAGCTGATGAATCATGCAGGCAACAGTGCGGCCCGCTGGTGGGTAGTTCGTAACGTATACGAGCCCAACACCAATAAGACACAGCAGGACATCAAAGTAAAAACACTGGCCATGGAAATCTATCTTTTTATTTTCAAGAAAATAAAAGACTGAAATACAAAATACAGAAAAGCATAAAAAAGAAGAAAAAACAATAAAAAGTTAGCACCTTAAGACTATTCATATTTTGTTCCTATAGAAACTATCTATCATCTTCTCTCATCCAGCCACAGGCTTGTCTAGCTAAAAGTCGATGAAAATTATCAATACTATCTTGATCATGATAAGACTGATGAAATTGCTGTACCCTAGCCAGATTGCGCTCGATGCATGCTTTGCTGTACTTGGCTTCATTCTCGTAGACTTCCCACGGAAAGGTCGTATAAGAGCCATGATCTTGGATGTCACTCTATAATAGTAGAAACGCCCTTCTCAAAGCCAGCAGACAACACCCCCCAGCACTCTCTGCAAGAATATTAAGATATGGACCAAATTCTGATTCGTCTTTAGGAGGGCCTGCAAGCCGTAAGATCCAATTCAACCGGTTCTCCAGCTGATAGCTGGCATACTTGTGCTGAGAATGGAGACGTTGTACTACTTCCAGATGCTCGCGATCCGCCCAGTAAGAACCGTAGTCGACGAAAACATCTCGACCAAACTGAAAATAACCTTCTTGATAGAATCGACTTGTCTTATAGATATCGTCAACTTTATGCAACGAAGACTTTATTGTTCACATCAAGTTCAAATTGCGAGTAGTTGATGAATACAGTATCTGTGACGTAGAGCGGAGATGAAAAAAGTAGGCGTTAAAGGTATCACCCTGATGATCTCTCAAATGTTGACGTTGAGTAGATTTGGGTTCGTTTTTCCTTAGTTCCACCGGATGGACATGGTCTTCTGGTGTCCAAATAGGGTGCTTTTTAGCAGATGGTCCGTATTCTGCAACTGCTCGAGTACGATTAGGTTCGAAAATCGGTTCAGTGGGATCCGGCCTTGTAGAGAAACAACCAAAGCCATAGCCCATATGAGCCACAATTAGATTCCAATGAGTCGGAGAATCATCCCAAGTGTGTATGTTTCTTCTTCATATCGCGCCACTTCAATCCACTCAGTCGGAACAATATTGTTTCCCACTTGAATAATGCGAACATTAATAGTCAGTGTTTTGGAATGCTTTGGCTTGTACGGAAAGCTCATCCATGTCGGGAAAATACCTATGTCCTTAACAACCATGATATCCAAAATAGACGGAATATCTATATTTTCTGATTTGAGATCGTCTTCAATTCTGCGATTCGTTTCATAGGACAGTTGACGATTAGTACTCGTAGACCATTGCCATGTAGAAATCGATTCTTGTATCTCGCAATATAAATATTGGTAGTCTCTGGGAAGCTGGTGTCGAAACGATTTTGCAACCGTATGCGGCTTTCAATAAATCGCTTATTGACTGAAGGTTTACTTTTGCGGCCACAGTGCAATACTTCAATAACTATGAGTCTGCGTAACTCCCACGGAAGGCTGAGTAGCTGAAATGATGGCTTTGTATTCTCCATTTGAAAAGAGTATATGTATGTTGTCAGCGACTGCTATTATAATAATTTCTCTTTCCAAACTGATGTAGCAACTTATAGAGAGACGAGGGTTATATTTATGTAGTGAAAAGGAAAAGTGCTGAATGAGTGTGTATCTACTCAACGCTGAAATCTATGGTTTTGTTAAGAATCAAAGCGGGGCGGGTGAAGGCCCAGTAAAGCCTCGAAAGAACCTTAGCGACTGATTACAAGGGGAATACAGCTTATAAACGAATAAGATACCCATTACCCTTATTTGGGTCGACGTATATAAACGCACAGGACGTGGAAATCGTTGTCTTTATTTTTTCAAGGAAATAGTAGACAAAAATACAGATGCAGAAAAAGAGTATAGAAAAATAAACAATAAAAAAAATAGCGAGTAACCCCATATCTTACGCCGAGTTCGTTGGCCCTCCCTTTTCCCAAGTACATATATATTCGCACCTCAGCAAGCGGCCATCATGGCCTGCCCGAAAGTACAATACCCCCCGTAGAAATAACAATGTGACGTACGCCTTCAAGGACATAGAATCAGATTTGTAAAACACAAAATTCGCCTTTCCCCATCCCAAGTGCCGCTGAGGTTGACGCTGCTGCCATTGCAGCAGCCATCCCAACAGGACGCAAAACGATGTCGGTCAGACTGCCCATTTCTCGTCATGCAAAAAGAACAAAAACGCCAAGTTACTCTTCTTCGCCAACGGGGTACAGATGGGCGCCGATGTCCTTGTTCATCTTGAACATGTCCACTTTGGCCTGCTTAAAGACGGCCATCATCTTCTCGTCGCATCGAATCTGGCGCTTGTCACTGGGATCCTGCAGATCGTTGGCCTTGATGTGCTCCCAGAGCTTCTTGACGACTTGGGGTCGGGATAGCTATACACCAATTTGTTAGAATTTTCAAGTCTTTTGTAGTTGTAGCTGCAGTCCAAGATGCTGCTTACCTGTGTCTCTCCAACAAGCTCTGAGAGTGGCGAGCTGAGGTTGAAGGGCTTCTGGAAGCCACCGCCAGCCTTCCTCTTCTTAACACCGGATTCGCTGCCATCAACATCGCTGTCGTCGTCTTCTCGCACTCGCTTGGCGCTCTTCTTCTTGGGAGCCTTCTTCTTGGTTGACTTGGGTCGGTCGCCACCACGGGTTCGGGCTCGCGCAAGACTGTTCTCCTGTGCCTGGAGCTGAGCGGCGAGGCGTGCATCGGCATCCTCGGATGACGATGCGCGTTTTACTTGCTTTGAATACGGCTCTGGTGATGCTGATACGTCCGAATGGCGGTGCTTGCCGTTTGTAGTGGCAGGCTTGTGATAGTCGTCTGCATCGTTCGATTCATTGTCGCCGCCAGACATGGCATCGAAGCGAGCTTCAATCAGCTTCTTGATGGCCTCCTGTACACATTTGTTAGCAAATTCTGGCTCTGTTTTTATTAAGAGTAACAGCAGCAGCTGTTAACAGCCCGCCATTGTTCCGCCTGTAATTACCTTTTGCTCGCTCAGATCCTTGCCACCAAGCGACGTCTCGAGACCCTGCCGAATCTTTTTCCGCGAGATGGTTTCGAGGTTCGCCGTGGCAAGGATGGCATCGATGATGTCCGTGTAGCGCTGACGCTCTTCGGGAGAAACTGTGCCGTCTTGGTTAGTTATATCACATCGGTCGTGGTGTCAGTAAGCTGGGACCAAACATACGTGGTGCGCTCATGATGTATACAGTTTGGCTTCTGCCCAAATAGCACAAATACCCTTTCCAAGCTAGTAGTATAAACTAGATCGATGAAACAGTATCGGCTCGTCCGCGTGCAAGAGCCCTGATCAGCAACGGGCAGGTATCGGCAACTCTTCGTAGTCGTCGTCGTCCGCTCCAAGCCCAAGTGCTGTTACAAAACCCGCACAAGGTTATTGTCTAGATGCGAAAAAAACCGACGCCCGTGATGCTCGTTTAAACGAAGCTATCGAGCTGTTGTAGCGACGGCGGTGCTTCTGCAGTGGGTGCGGCGAGGGATTGCGCGAGACTGGTGCGCACGGCTCAAACGCAAGAGCTTAGAATACTAATTTTGGCAGCGAATTGGCGAGATGGCCGCGACAGCAGAGGGATACGTCGTCGGAAGTCGGGAGCGCGGGTGATGGTGCAAGTTGGCAGATGCCCAAGCGGTCGCCCAGCCACCAATCGTTTCGGGAAGAAAGCTAAATCGGAGCTTGCCCGTGGATATAAGCCGGCCTTGGTAGCAAAGCGATGCGCAGCGAAATAGACGGGATTGGCAGAAGACGCAAAAAATAGAGAGGAGTAGCGGCGGTCTGGCAAGAGATGGGAAAAGAAATGCTCGGGCCAAAGCTGGGATGAGGTTGAAGGGCGAGGGTTGTCGACGGAAGGGCCGTGGTTCTGGTTCGACACCCGACTCAGTCGTGACTTGGCTTGGGTCGTTTGTGGCTTGTTGTGTGGCTGATGTCCGCCGCCCGCGGTCTACAAGTACTGCCACCGGCCTGTTTTTCGGGTTTTGGCAGATCGAGGTTACATCACGTGGCAGAGGCCAGATGGGACAAAAAGCGTATTTTTCGTGGGGTAGGATTGCGAGATGCGACGCCTGTGTGGTGACGGCTGCGGTGGCTAAAAATAAAAATGCAAGGAAAATATTCAGAGGGGGGCTATAGACAGAGTAAAGGAGGCTGGGATATTTTGTTTGGTTACTGCAGACAATATACTAAATGAGATTTTTATCATGGTGCGAAGTACGTACAGTAGGTCCTTGTAAGGCGGAGACGACATTACAGCTGCCAAAGCCCCCTGTATTTTTAGTGCTTGAGGGGAAGACGTTACCAGTCATTCTGTGGCGGTGCGTAACCCATTTACCCTGGACCAGGATGATGGAGTGGCCAATTGCTATGTATTCTTACTGAATCGAATAAAATAATATCGAATACGGGTAGAAATATGCAATTGAAAGGAGAGGCAAAAATAAAATAACAAATACTTTTAGCATCTTCTTCATGTCGTGGTGAAAGTGACCAAGAATGCTAGCTACTCTAGGGGTATAACTATAAACCAAAACCAAAAAAACCCAAAGGTTAAACAAAAGACAGTCGAAGCATGCTAGCTTCGCAAAAACTTGCAAATAGGCTCTGCCCAGATCGTTGCCTTTTTGTACTTCCACATGCCCACCGCATTGCCACGCTGTAGGCCTTCAATGGCATCTGCCAGGTCCGGGCCTATGCCCTCGTCCTTGATTTGCTGCATGGGATACATGTACGTCTTGAAGGAGAAGAGAATGGCCTGTGTGTTGGGCAGGCGGGACAAAGTCTGAAGTTCGACACGGAAATACGACTGTCTATGAGTTAGAGTCGGCACGGCCAAATAAGACAAATGAGGCTCCCTTACCTTGGATGGATCGACGCTCGCGCTATCCTTGGGCTCTTGTAGCTCTGTGTTTGCGTCGCAGTTAAACAGCTCAGCATGTGTCTGAACCGACCACTATATCCAGTTAGCATTTTATGTTTGGCATCACACCCTTGGTCTACACATACGTTGGTGCGCTTGACGTTCTGCCCAACCTCAATCCTGCTAAAGAAGCGCTCCATACTCGGGCCAATTTTTTCGTAGGACGGAACATCGCCATGAATGCCGCTCAGAAGCTGGCCCATCTTGGTGCTGGGGTTGAATCCCGACGGGAAGCAGCAGACAAAGGCAACACACTGGTGGCCCTTCTCGGTGGCCTGGAGCAGGAACATGTCTTCTTCGACAGACACTGCCAAATTGCGCAGACACTCGAGAGGGTCTTCGGGGGCGCATATTGGGAACAATGATTCTGTTGCCGAGTTTTCCACTTGTCCACCACGGACGTGGAAGATGGACGGGTATCTGGACGGCAGATAGCGCGACATGAGGTACGAGTAGAGCTCTTTGACGGCAGGGACGCCTTGGGGCGTGACGCCATGCGCTGTGCGGGGGTACTTTGCTAGCGTAGCTCTACGCAAGTTAACCCGGCTGAGATAGTCTCTGTCCATAGTGATGAGGTTGTCTGGCGTGTCATTTTGTAGGCCTATAGATGAGGTGAGTAAAGATGGCTGACGGCTGGCTGACAACTTATGAATGGTACGCACCCATAGTAATGTAATAGGTAGACTTGATAGGGCGCAGCTGTCTAGGCTCTTGCATCTGCCACTCAAAGTCTCTGACGGGCTCAATAAACGACACTCGCCGCCTACTGGGCTCTGCGGGGGACGACTGTGAGGATATCTAGTGTGCGGTCAGTCAGTCGGCAGGCCTACAGCAGCAACAGAACGATACACACGTACCTTGTAATAAATCAAGAATAGCAAGACGGCGACTACAGCAATAGCCACGAGCCTGCTCTTCCCCAGCTGCTCTATCGACTGAGCGACATCAGCCAACTGCTCCTCCAACGGGTTCCGTCTTCTTGTGACGACGGTCATAGCTGAGAGCGGTGACAGTCACGCAGGCTGCACTAAGCGTGTGCTCTGCAGTAAGTATATCGAGAGCAAAGGCAAAAAGAAAATAAAAAAAGATATACGAAAGACCTCAGGGTGCGACAGCGAGAGAAGACAAACGCATTCCCCAAAAATAAATCAATACCAAAAAGAGAACACGACAAGGGACGATGCAGGATTAGAGTTCCGTCAGACAACGCAACGTTGACTACTGCAGCAGGCCTTCTTTTTCCTGCTTGCTCTGTTTCGGACCCGGATACGAAAAGGCTCTAGCGGCCATCGAGCGCTGTGCGGGGGCCACCCCAACCCACTAAACTTCAGTAGCCGCCGCCGAACGCACGCCCACCCACGTTTTTTCTTCTTCTCTCCCCTCGCTTCGTCGGCGCCCCCGCACAAAAGGCGGCCTTTGTAGCGCAAGGTTAAAAGAAAACATAAAATCCACAAACCGCACTCGGCATGCCACCAAAAATTGATTAGTCGAATGTTCACTGGCTGCGTTTGCTTGCTGGCGGGCTGTTTCTGCCGGAAGGGCGCGGGCATCTGGTAGGGGACTGAGAGAGCGGGCGGGTGGATGTCATCCGTCTCCGGTGCCGGCTTTCCTAATCCAAACATGGAAAAAAGAGTGAGAGAAAACCAATCTAGAGATGGAGATGCGACGATTCACGCGTGTAAGTAGCGTATACAACACATGTAATTGGTAAACAGACAAAAAAAGCACAAGCAACCAAGATATGACAGGAGAAGCCAAAGATTATTAAGTATTATATGTACCGTGGGTGACCGTAACTACATTGCATCAAAAGCCATTTTTCTTCTCTCCTCCAAAAGAAAATATCGTCCAGAAACGCCAATGAGGTATCGTAACGTGATTGCTCAAAAATGCCAAAAAAGATCACAAAAATGCAAGGCTGCCTTGAAAGGACAGGCTATACGTAGCCTCGTTTAGAGGACTACGCATGGATATGCTGGTGGGGGTTGTGCAGAGTATACATGAAAATAGAAGCACACTCTCAAAAAGAAAAGCTGACCAAAACAGAACACCCGAAACCAACAAAGAAAGAAAGAACAACAGAGGTTCGTAAAAAAAAAAAACGCCGGGGGCAGATCGAAACGAAAGATGAACAAAGTGCCATGCTAGATAAACTTCCACAGCATCTCCACCAGCTCGTCCTCGCCGTCCTTCCAAAACTTGTACAGCTGGCGATACTCCGTCTTGCTAAGCTCCTCCGAATCGATGATATAGAAGCTCTTCTTGTCCTCCCTTGGGACAAGGTCGCGGAACGGGCCCATGGACTCGCTAAACAGATCCACGGCGCCATCCCATGTCGGCTCAATCTTGCTCAAGTCCAGGTTGCCCGTGCCATCGCGATACAGCGCAATCGTGAATCCGTTGGTGAAGATGGCATCTTCACCCAGTCGCCAGCGCTGCAGGAAGCAGTCGCTACACTTCTTGTTAATTGCCGCCATGGACGCCACAGGCGCCCGGTGCCACGACTTCCAGTGGTGTAGGGAGAGTGGGAGCTCGCCCGACTCATAGAAGCCGTCCAGGTTGCCGGCTGTGTCGAGCTGGTGCATGCCCTTGATGCTGGTAAGTGTCGTGTTGGTAATGGCCTTGATGCACTCGTTAAGCAGGCCGTCACCCTCGCGGATAGGTGTAATCTTGAAGCATTCCTCGATATGCGGCTCCAGCGCCACAGCCAACGGCCGGCTGATGAAGATGCCAGCACCTCCAAAGGCAAAGTGGCCAAGCTGGTCAATGTGCGCCTTATTCTCCGTGACCGCGCCAGCATATACCATGTCTGACGGATCCAGTTTATCCAAAATGTCGCGTATCGGGTTGAGCGAGGGGAAAAAGGTATCGTCGTCCAGAATGGCAATCCATTTGGTGTTTGCGTCGGCGTTTTGAAGCGCCTCTCGAATCATGGTAAAGTGCAGCGCGCCGACGCCGACGGACGGATCATATGGGGGCGAAACAAGGAGCTTGACGCCGGCCTTGGCATAATCCGCGATAAGGCTCTTGTCCTGGTCGCCAAAGAAGAAGTTCTTGAGGTTGAGGGTCACGGACAATAGCTTGGCATTGGTGTTGCCGAGCCAGTGTGAAAAGGTTGCCAGCGAATCGCGCAAACGGTCCGCCGAGGTGGCAACGACAAATAGCACGTCCTTGAAGTCGCGAGTAGGATACGGCTTGCTGACTTTGATGTTTATAGTATGCTCGCAGGTGGGCAGATCGCGGCCGTGGGCGTCAATGACTTCGCATTTGTTGTTGAGGTCAAGGACCTTGCCGGTGCCAATCGGGTCTGAAGTAATATTGACCACCTCGGATCGGTCGACATCGTCCGAGATAGTAGCAAACACGCAGATGCGCTGGAATCGAAGCTGGCGAGTAAAGTCATATTTGGGGCGTCGGAGGTAATCGAGATCTTGCGGGCAGGGATTTACACGGTAGAGACCATTGTAGTCTGATATCAAGGAGCCGTAGCCATAAGGGAGATCGTATTGTTTTCTTCGGTCGGGGCTGCGAATTAGCAGGAAGGCTACGAGAGAGACAATGCATAGCAACACGACTGTCGGCAGCGACCGTCGCCGCAACAGCGCCGGCATGACGAAGACGCGATCTTTTCGTCAAGGGGGTTGTGGCGATGAATTAGCAGCAGCCAGCTAAGGCGGCGCGGGGCGGGTAGAATAGCGAGCGTAATCTTTCTCTTTGGTAGCGGGCGATTCGAGAAAAGAAGAAAAAAAGTTGGTGAGCAAGCCAAAGCAGAAATAAGTTGCTGCTAAGGGTCTTCTGAGTGGAAAAGACAAAAACCCGTGATGACGCACTACAAAGTCAAACTAGAGAGAGAAAGAGGCAGAAAAAGGTTAAAGGTTCAAATGAGGCTAAAAGAGGTAGAATTGGGGGAGGGGGGGCGTGTGGATGTGAGTGGTGTGGAGGCTGCTAGAGCTTGAACTACTGCTATTATGGGACGTGCATGCAGGAGCCCACTGCCGCCCGTCTAGGCGAGCAACCCCCTAAAAATGAGCCAATGTCGCTAGCGAGTAACGCTCTAAGTCCAGACACATCAGGGACCTTTGGGCGACCCACAGCGCTTGTGGCGAGCCCACCAAAAGCTTGATTGCGAAGCCTGCTTTTGGGTGGCTCGACGCCCTGTAAATTAAATTTCACCATTTTCGCGTCCCAAAGCCGTTGCAATGTAGTATTCCTAGCAATTTCTTCTTTGTTCACCTTTGTCCAATATTATGCGCTATGAAAAGCAACTACCAAACAATAAGCAGACCACAACAATATCCTGACCATACATCTGCATCCCTGTGTGTGTGCTTCTATATTCATATCACATCCACCGTCCCTCCCTTTTCCTCCCCTAATCCCGTTACCAAACCGCAGACGCCTCATTCGCTCACCATGACAAAGTACCTTTCGTCCGTCCTACCACGTTCATGTAACTGTGGATGTGGTGCTGCAGGGCGTGGTACAGCGCCCGCGTGGCCTTTTCTGGCCCTGCGCGTAGGCGCCAATTTCCATTTCGTCATTTTTAGACAATCATCTAGGCCTTTGTTCGCTGCATGCACCCAGACCTCTCTAGTCATGCCCCCCAATCCTTGCAGTAGGTCGATTTCTTGCCCACCCCTATCTTGCATCGAGTGTGGCGAAGCAAAGAAGTTATCAGGGGCAAGAGACATAGAAAAAAAAAGAAAACCAAACACATGCTGATAGTGTACAAGGCCATGAGATTAATGTGCCTTCATTTCATACTTGTTTCTCTCCCGTTTCAACCAAGCCAAGTCCCTCATGCCCCCCCGTAGCCTCACAAACTCAATGTAGAGATCCACGGCCGGTTTCGCGGCCCGCCACCTCGTCGCAGAGTACCCGAAGGCTCGCCGTTACACTCTGCAGAGTGGCTAAATTTAGCGTCCTCTCATTGGCTCCCCGTAGAAACGTGCACAGCGAGCGCACCTGTGTCGATTCGTCGGCAGTCTGGCTCTGTAATTGCTGAAGCTGGGTTTCCCTAATAGCTACGCGTCGCTCCAGGTCATCTACTTTGCACGTTGCCTTGGTACAGTCCGCACCGGCCTTTGCTTCTGTGTCAATACGCAGGCGCAGCTCGTTTGCGGTTTTGTCCAAGGATGCGGTGATCTCAGCCAATCTAGACGAAGTGATACTCGCCACGCGGCTCGTATTTTCTGTTTGGAGGGAGGATCACTATAACTGATCTGCTCCCGCCTCGCTCCGCCACTGCTGCGCACCAGTTTGACAGCCTTGCGCTTCTCGCTGTCAGCCACATCCTCGAGCGTGCGGCGCCGTTTCGGCTTTTCAGCGGGTTGCACAGCTCTAGCGCGTGGAACCGAACCCGGGTTGGTTATAGCCCCCAATTCTGCCTGTGGTGGCAGAAGCTGCGTTGCAGTTGCTGGACCGGGGGTAGAACAAAAAGTTCCTTGTGTGGATGGCGTTGTTGGCAAAGGCAGTTTGCGAGAGGCTGATTTGCTAAGATCATGGGCCATGGAACCCTGCCGGTGTAGAAGTGAGTATATATCTGTGACCTTCCCATAGGCAGACTCTGATCCATTCAGCAACGATGGCTGTGTACTCGGACCCGTGGACTCGATCGATGTCGAGGAGCTTGAGGTCTTCGGTGAGATCTGATTGAACATGGATTGCGTCTTTTCGTAAATGTTGGGAGTGTATTCAACTCCCACCAAATTCAGCAGCTTTCTGCTATCGAGAAACATGCCTGGGTAGTTGTCTCGGATGTGCTCCCATTGAGTAACTCGCTCAGACACGTCTATTGGCGCGTTGGTGTTGGTTGACACTGTTGTAATCTGAAGGTTAATGTATTCATCAACAAGCTTCACCAACAATCACGTACGAGGTTCTGGCAGAGTCGTTCACCAACAAGTAATGTTGTCTTGCTTTGACATAGTGTTCAGATATCACCTTGGCATTCAACCCGTGAGTGATATCCAGAAAGGTTAGACCCCAGAGTTTGTCCAGTTTGTAGCGGAATGCGGCGTCACGGGGGAGTATGTCCGCGAAGAAGATCAACATGCGAAAGAGGACCGTCAAGTTGGCCAGTTCCCTGGAGAGAAGACTCGGTGAAAAACAGAATCTACTTTGACTTAGTAGACTGGTGATTGCATGCTGCTTTAGAGGAAGATTCACATCGTCTAAAGCGAAACCTTCAATCGAAGGCATAGTAGACTGTTTTGGAGATCCCTGTGCTGATCCACTGGAGGGCCTGCTCGATGGTTCCCCATCCGAGCTATTCGTCGCTGGGCTCTTGTTAATGAAGACTGGTGGCATGCTCGAAGAATAGAAGATGATGACAAACGGAAAAGTTAAAAAAAAAACCCACCCGACATTCGCATTATTTATTTATGTGCACGAACACGTACCAGTCTGTGCCAACTGCCGACAGCTGGCAAAAATCAACCGCGCTTCACAATAAACAACATTCATATAGATAGAATTCACATAGATAGAGTTCACATAGATAGAGTTCACATAGATAAAGAGTTGGAATATCTGTTTGAACAAGGGCTGACAGACTAGTAGTATGTGGATGGAATAACATATATGTACCCAAATTTAGTTTGCTTTTCTGTATACCATCTAATGAACCTACTCCCAGACAACGCCCTGCCACTTGCTAATATTCTTGTTCCAACTGCTAATTAGCCTCTCCAGGCCGCGATCGTTGCCAACAAGTTCGCAGACGTCCTTTCCGTATTCACCCCCGCCGATGAAGGCCTTCAGATCAGGCCGCAGTACGCTGAGACTTTGCTTGAGATCCGGTGCCCAGCGGCTACCCTTCTTCGCAATCTTATCTGCCGTCTCTCGCATCGAGTTTAGCCCTGCAAGGACTTCCTTCGGCAGATTGCTCTGACCAGAACGGTCCTTTTCCTTCATGCGGTTGTTATAGTTGATTAGCCAAGTAGTGGTTTCGCGGACGGCAGCTGTGGAATCTCGCAGCATACCGACTTCGTGAAGAGAGCGAAGTCGCCAGATTGCTCCATCTACTGGTGTGGCATTTGCTGCGAGTGTTACTCGCTCGCTTTGGCCTTCTAATGTCGCTTTGACAGCTTCTGCCAGCTGCGGGAAAACTGCCAAGAAAGCTTCCGATTTGCTCACTGAGAGTGTAAGCACGCTGCAGAGCACGGAAAGCAGATCATAGTGTTCCTGTTCAGCTACAGTGCACTTTTCGGCAGTGTCTGGAAGGAACCGGGCAAGAGAGTTGGCTAGTCCAGTCACAGTCTCAAGGATATACGTCTCTTCATGAGACGATCCGGCAGCAGCTTTGTAAAGGGTTGGTGGTCGATAGCCAAGCGCATCGTGGAATGCTTCGCTGAGCCGGGCCAGATGCATGCGAGTGCTCTGTTATGTGTCAGTGGTATACTAGAGCTGATATTTAGACGTGTACTGACCGTAACATGGGGACCAAGGGCTAGTCTCTTGTGAATTGGATTTGTGCCGCTAAAGAAAAGCGATGGGAAAGACCCAAAATCTGTTGCCACAGCCAAGTCCATGGCATCAGTAATCTCAGCTAAAAGCCACATCGTTAGTAATTTCTCGTAGATCCATGCTGCAAATCACGTACTATAGCGGGGATCATCAAATATCTCTCCGTATGTCCGGCCAAAGAACCGCTCTCCTCGTGCTTCCTCAACCAAACTAATTGTTCTTGTGCAGCCATAACGCAGGTTGTCGATATAACGCGCCACTCCCATAACACTGCAGTAGTTTCCACCCTGGAATGCATCGATGAGTCGTCGAGGCATACGAAGCTTAAGAGAAGTTTCGTAATGCCCTCTGATGCTACTAATCATATCCCATCCAATATGATCTTCGGAGCTAGCAAAGGATGGTGAAACAGTAGAGACACGGTCATAAAAGAGAGGGCCAAGCGAGTCGAGAATTGTTCTCTTGACAGCAAGCGGTTCCCAGATCTGGATAGCCTCGTAGGATGAGCCGAACAGCATGTGCAGCTGAAAGGCAATGAGCGAAACCTGACTATGCTTGGGTGTGACAATCAACTGGCGATCAAGAATTATGAGTGCTTGGAGTAGTAGTTGAGAAGAATCCGATGTACGTTGAGTAATCTCGTATTGAGGCTCAGGCAACGCGAGATCTACCAAGCAGAATACCATCAAGATGGAAAGCTCAGCGGTAATCTCTTGGTCTGAAGAGCTCAAATCCTTGTTTGAGGATGTGATGCTCTTGTAGAGATCTATGCTTGAAGTGAGGATGCTGCGGCGATTGGGACTCTTTTCAGATGCTGCGTACGGGCCCGAGGCTAACAAATGTTGGAATTTGAGGGCGAGCAACTGCTTGCGTGATGATCCAGCGCCTGATTTTGTGAGATGCTCGTTGGCCAAGTACTGGATGGCATCCACATCAAGCGCTTCCACCCATAGTTTGACATCATCAAAGCAAGCAGGGCTTTCCGCCTGGTCATCAACGTACGCCAGAAGCTCTTTGAATCGGACTGATGATGGCTCGGAATCAACAACGTCGGAGGCGTCCGCCGAATCTAGCACAAACGCAGCCAGCACGCGTGCAAGGAGAATATTTCGTCGATAAATTGGCTTCACATTGTCACTCTTTATGACATTAAGTAATAGTTGGCGCACTTTGCCCTCGATACTGTACAACATGATTAGCCAAGACATGTCACGCGATGAAGCATAGAACTTACTCTTTGGTCGCCTTAATGTGGCTTGCTGCTTCGAGATATAACTTCCAAATTGCCCAGTCAGATGCCAGCATGCTGATTTGCTTCTTTTCATCAACAGACGATAAGCAAGATTCGCATACTTCAAAGAGGTCGTCCCATTTGCCTTGTGAGCGGTACCTGTTGGCAACAACAGTAAGTAGCTCAGTTCGACCCATATGGAACTGGGCGACTGGATTAAACAAGGGGCTCTTGATAAGCTTTTGATAATCATCTTCAGTGCCGTGGGTATCTATAATCTGGTAGAGAAGAAGAATCTCTTGTTCCGTTTTGATTCCTCTTGCCGGAAGATCTGAACCAGCTTCTTTCGCCTATCATGAAAGTTAGTGAGAATTGCTTATGATTCTGTGACTCGATTAGTCGTACCTGTTCTGATAGTTGAGCCGCTCGTTCAATCTGTTTTTGAGCCAATGTTCCGTACAGCTTGCGCTTTTCAGATGCAATCTGCGAGCTTGTGGAGAGCATGTGCGTTATGACAATGTTCCAAAACATGTAGTCTCTGTATTGGGGAAATGACCTGTCCATCAATGCTGCGATTTGCTGGGCATTAACCAAGTCCCAATGCAGCAGACATGACTCTAAGCATTTGGCAACGCCGGTGTGGTCCTTGGGAGAGGCTTTTGCTGCTCTGGCCCTCAACACGCCAATGGTGCTAGCGAATTCGCTTTCGGGCAGCAGTTCCTTTGTCGACCATTCCAGCAGATCAATGCCGTCTGCATCTTTCAAGATGGTACCGTCCTTGACATATTGATAGACAGCAGTCAGTGCGGCAAGCTTTGCTGTGGGATCGTCCAGTCTGCTCTCAGCGCAAAGCTTCACCACCTAAATGAGCATCAACCATTGGTTAGCACATGTTCAACAGCCTCACGTAGCGGTACAGCTTGGGAGGGGGCTTCATCTGGGCTATTGACAGGCTCTTAGATCCACCCAAACGTTGAGCAGCGGGAGGGACGTCTGCCAGTTGGTCCATACCTGATAGTACTCATCACCTGATGTCTTTGCACGCTTCTCAGCAAGGCGGATAACTGACGGCCAGTTCCCATCCTGAAACGCCGTCTGCAGCTGGATATCCACGCCGTTTTTAAGGCGAGGCGTCTGCTCTCGATACATTGTGGCCGCTGTCCGTGACGATGCGCGTTTGATGTCGGTTGTCAGGTGTTGGTCTGTCTAGTGTGTGGTTTTTTTAAGGCTGCTTAAATGGCGGGCATTGTCTGTGGGGGAGGAAGTGGGATTGAGGGGCACGGAGTTAGGCTGGGACTACCATGAGCCCACTGTAAATGACGCTGCGGTTGGTGGTGGCAGCTCACTGTAAATGTTTACACTTAGAAATTGCTCATAGGATATTTATATACTATGGTAGAATGTTGATATTCAAATTCAAATTCAATAAACCAACTAAGCTGTTGACTCCTTTGAACGCAATACTATTCGCCTGCGTTGTATTGTACATGTTCTCATTCACGTCGTTACATTCGTTTCGTATACACGGCCATCCAGGCCATCCAGCTCTTTATACAATACTGCTCTTGGTTGGCAGTGGCTCCAGGGGAATATCCTCCGTCATGGTCCTTTCGCTCTGACCATCTGTCTCAATCACCCGTGTGTGCTGTTTGCCCTTGAAATTGGCGTCGGAATCTGAGCTACCCGTCCCGCTATCAATGTCAATTTCCGATAGGTCTGGCAATCGATAAAACGGGCTAGTATCTGCATCATCTTGACCGTTTTGTCGACTTGGAATCTTTCTCATCTTGCCCGATTCTCCAATGGTCAGGTTGGATACGCCGTCACCAGACCTCGGCTGATTGGATGAGCCTTGCGACTTTCCAGTAAATGAAATGACGTTTGCTATTCCCATCTTGGTAGCTGCTGCGTGGACAACGGGACGCAGCGTCGGTAGGCATGCTGAAATGATGCCAGCGCACATCTCTATGTCAGACCACACAAGTAGGGGCGATAACGTGTAAGAAATATCCGACTTTGAGTAGTTGAACAACACCCAAGTGCGGAAACTTGAAGCGAAAACAGCACTGTCAAATATTGTTAGCAAAGTAAGTCAAGAGCCAAGATGTAAACAGTAAACTTACAAAAAGCCGAGACAAAATACAAACGTTAAGCCAATCTTTTCAGGCTTTCTCAGATTCAGCTTCCAGATTTGGGGGATTGGAAGACACAAAATCATTATATCAGAAAAGATAGTAGAGCTGGCATTCGCCAACCATACTCCAAGCTCACTGACACAACGCCCTTCTAGGTCTGGCTTCCATAGCTTCTGTACTGGAACGCAGATGAAAGTGAATAGGAAAGAAACTGTAAATGCCCATAACACCACAAATGTGCCAGCGCAGATGACAAGCTTCTTAAAGTACGGGAAGTGAAAAATGCGGTAGTACATGAACAGCAGACTGAGCTTCGTCCAGCACAAGTTCCAGACGTAGATAATCTCGGTGACTAAGAGCCACATTGTGATGTTTTCGACGCTCTTTTCTGACAAGTCTTTGGCGTGATATCCGGCACCTTCGATATACATGGCGAAACCAACGGCAACAACAGCCCAGTTCCATACCTATGACACAATTTGTTAGCCCTCTCTAGCTTCCTACAAGTCCCGATTCGTTCTTACCATGGAGAAGACAATCATGTAATCATCCCACCAAAGCTTCTGCTTGCGAAGTCTGCGTGATAGAAACCGCAGCCCAACAGCACTAATAGATAAAACCGACATAAACGATACACAAAGAATAATCCATCTTCGCATGCCTTCAGGCTCATAGTGAGGGACCCCTGAGACGTAGATGCCATCGAGTTCGGCGACGCCCATCTTGGCGGACTACACCAGCGCGGGTGGAGTTTGTGGGCGAAAAAAAAGACGTTAACGGCGGGAGTCCAAAACGGCGCGGCGCGGCGGCTAGCTTAAAACATATATGTCCGAGTCGAGAGACGAGAAGTAGACGCTCTTTGAACTGGCGGCTTTGTTTTCTCCCGGGAGTAAAACAAAAATTGAAATTAGATGTGGCAGATTCTGATTCAGCAAACACCGGCACCCCGCATGATCTGGCAAAAGCAAATGACAAGGACGAGGGCGGGTGCCTTGCCTACTTGACAGGCAGGGATTGACGTGCGTTTTGATAACGGAAATGAACAGGGCAAACCAGAACCTCGTGGCAATTAGGAAAGTCCTGCAGTTACGGGGGCGGGATCCATATTGACTATAAGTAAATTGAGCCTACCGGAGACCAAAAGAGTGCGGACAGCCGGCATGGCCCATCGACGAGCGATGCATAGGACGCACCCGCTGCAGGCTGGCCAGAGCGTTTTGCGGCGGCGGCGATGGGTCTAGTCTTGGGTTCGGGGCGTCGTTGCATGGGCTCCAGAGCTAGAGGCGCGGCCTGTATTTGGCAGTGGCTTGCCGCCGTCTGCCCGTAGCTCGGGTGGCCGTATCTTCACGTGTATCGGGAGGTGTCCTCTCGCGTGCATTGCATTTACACGACAAGACCCAGACCCCTGGTCCTTCAGCGTTGCCTACTCCCGACGACAGGTGGATAATTGAAGATGGCTTGCAGCTGTAGCATCGTTACCAGAAGAGGAACGCCTCTTGTTCTCAAGTGATTTTTGCTCTCCATGAAAATCTAGTAGCGCAATATAGGTTCGTCAAGCTCTGCTATTTGACTGAAACTTGACATGTGCCAGGGCATTTGAGTTCGCCGGCGTGGCGGCGAGCCGTATATCGCGCCGAAAGTAATTAAGACCGGGCCCGTTTTGGGCATCGATCACCTCACCTGGAGCAAAAAGAGCGGCAGGCAGCAAGCAAACAGAGTTTTGTCCGTGTCGCAGACCACCACAGGCGTGTCTGGCAGCACTAGCAAACGGCACGGGCAATTGGCCGGTGCGCGCTGCCGCTGTGTTTAGCGCGGCGTACAGCGGTGTATTTGTGTGGGAGAAATGCCTGAGCGGCCCCGTCCGAAAGTGGCTATTGTGAGCATGACCCTCGATTCACTGACCTGGAACGGAGGTAGTGGGACTGGTCTACAGCAAAGTTGATGCCCGCCAGGCCCAATCTGCCAGCCGAGAGTGACAAGTCCGGCTAGCTGCGATCCCCGCCAAGACGGTCGTGCGAGCATCGAGGACCTCATGAGTTTGTAGAGTTGCATTGCAGTCTTGTTTGCTGATTGACCGCTCTCGAAGCATACAATGCCGGTTTGTTACAGGTCTGCTGAGTGACGTACTGATCCACGCAAACGCTATTCGCGAATACGGCAGCAAAATTTGACTGATCGACACAAACGGGCGACCGAATTGGTGGCTAGGTGGCTGTTTGCTTGTGCGTGGCGTTTGGGTTTGCATTGCGCTGCACTGCTCCAACGTAACGTCCCCCGTTGCTCCATTATTTGCTGATATCTGCTATTGGTAGCAGAATTGGACACCGACTACACTTTTTTCAGAACGTCGCGTGGCTTTTGCAGCATCCAAACCGAAAAAATAGGACGAATTTGTGGTGGCTGCAGAAACCACAGGGCGGTTCGAGCGTGGGATACAGAGGGACGGAGGCACCTGGCAGGCTGGCAGCTGGCGCAGGTGGCAACCACGGACTGTTTCGAACGTGTCGGCCCCAGCAGCCAAAAGAGGTAGCGCGCGCCGAAACACCGCTCCGTTAGCGGCCTGGGATATCCTAGCAGCCGGCGATCTCGGCTTTTATTTAGCGAGAATTTTGCTATAAAACTTTAAAGTATTCGGCGAATATCTCCAAGAGCCATTAGCACCAGTATACAATTTGGTGTTTCAATGGTGAATATGGCACAGACTGACATCGCATGTGGGTGTGCTGGGCTCTCCAGCGGATGGCTTGTCCATCCCATCACAAGGCGCCACCCCCTTCATGCGTGACATGCTTTGGCGATGCAGGCTCTAGTGCGGCGTTGGTAGCACCGCAAACCTGCCAATCAAGTGCAGCAGTTACGTTTAGTGTGCTGGCCGGCTAGAAATCTGGATCTAGGTCGGCCGAGCCAACAGCGAGCTGTTAACCCCAAGATCGCCAGCCGCCGCTGTCCTTGTGCTTCCTCCTGCTCTTCGTTCAACCAAAACGCCTCGTTTTCATAATACCAGCCAGCTAACGCAGGGCACTTGCGCCCGTGGCGACGGAGATGCAAGAAACAAAGCCGTTGCAGAGAATAGCAGAAGCTTCTACGCCACAGCAATTGGCAACGAACTGACCTCGGGAACGCAGGGCTTGCTATAAGCTACAATATTGCCGAGCATAACAATCTCAACAGTTCATCCATATAATGCATGGATAGGACGTGTAACAATATGTTTATATAACCCTGACAAGTATTGTTTATGCGAAAATAACCTGGGGAATAGTCCCAGTGGACTGGTCTTGAACCGAGCCCAGACGCCAGCCCCCTCTCCACAAGCAAGCTTTGGCCAAGTCATGAGTTCCTTTCAGCTTCAAGTGGCCGATAGCGTGCTACCTTTGCCCCAAGCGTTGCATCACGCTTCGGACAGGCCCAAGCTTTGCATCGGAGGCAAAGCCCACGAGCTCTAGATGTGTCTAGCGCTCTTGTCGACCATTCTGTCGACCGTCGTCGTACGGCCACGCGGAGCCGGTGGCGGTGGAGGACAGGTCAGTGATGCGGGGATCTTGGTTAATGTTCGAGGAAGTGTTTCAGCAGAGGCGGTTTTCGCCGAATGACACTAGCGATGGGACATATTTGGTGTGATGGTGTGTGAAAGCAGGCTGGCGGCGGTCTTGAGATGCTCGTCCAAACTCGCCAGCCTCTTGGCTGCAGATCCAGCAAGCGCCACGCCCATTTTTGAAGCGAAGAGGTGAGCCAAAAAAAAACGGATGAGAGACTTTTACCGCATTGTGCCTAGGCCAGTATCGTAGAGTAGACCTCGTAGGTGCCCGCCAACGTTACAGGTATAAGAGTTGATGAAGAGACACTGAAACTACTTTGTCACAGATTAGTAGTAGTAGTATTGGTACAGGTGTAGTATACAGTATCATCCATCTTCCCCGCCCTACAAACGCAATGCCATGCATGCGGCCTGTCATGCGTCCAGTTTGCACAGACCGCTCCGCCTGCTTCTTTTCCCCGGGGTATCTCGCTCGTCGTTCACCGTGCAGTAGTAATTTGTAGCACAGATTATTCCGCCAATTACAAACTGGCGTAGCCGGTGCCTATCAAAACCAGCTCTTCTTTTCTTTCTTTCGTTTGTCGATCTGCAGGTCCATGCAGGAACTCGTTAGCAAGCTGCGTGCTTGAAGCAATGTCATCGTGGGGAGGCGTGGCCTTTGATAAACGTCAAGGCGCACCCTATTGTGGCAATCCGTCAATCGGCAGTTGTACTTACCCAAGCCTGTTTACAATCGCGATATGCCCTAGTAGATAAATGATTAGCCGATTGGCACGGAAGATGCCCGTCGATGCTGCCATACTGGAAGTATTCGCCACACATGGTCTTGTCGCCGTTGTTTCGAAAGAGGCACTTGTAGCTTCGCTGCGCTGCCTCTTGGCAGGGGTCGTAGAATTCGCTTTTGGATTTTCTAATAAGACTGTCAGCTTCTAGGTGCCAGGACAAAGCGCAATGTCACTGGCGCTGCGGCTTGCATAGGTTTGCGCGACCACCCATTCACCAGACCACAGGCGCATTCAGATAGCGGGATGGCTTACGTATCGAATTTGTCGCGGACCTCATCTGTCCAAGGGCCCTTTTGAGAGCCGGTCTCTTTTTGGGGCTGCGTATCTTCCGGCGTTGACGACATGGCTGCTCTGTGGTTGGTGGTTGAGTGGAAAGGATATTTTGAAGGAGCGTCTGTTCAAGACGTCACTCGGCCGGATCAATGTCGGACCCCACCGACTTATACAGACGTCGAAGGCCATTGATCTACTGGTCACAATTTCAATACAAATAAGAATGTTGACATTATCACATTATTTTGACGAGATTTGCAATTTGATTTACTTCTTCTGGTCCCAAAATCCATCATCCCACGCACCAGCGCTGGCGGACTCGCTGGCAATCAGCCCGTCCCTTGCCTTTACAATCTTCCGTGTTGTGTCCATTGCACAACATAACATGACGTCCAGTTCCTTAACAGATGAGTCATGTAGTATAGATAGAGCTGCGAGGCCAAAGTACGAATGTTGAACATCAGGTGGACCACCTGCGTTTTTGGAGAAGCCGCCAATAATGTGTTGTGTGATGTCAAGGAGATAGCGGCGCGATGGCTCAGCTTTCACGACAGATAGTCTATCGAGGATCTATAGCAGTCATGTTAGTAAATAGCTGCGAGTTGAAAATCTAGATGTAGCACATACTGAGAGACTGCCGCCATTCCACCAGGCATAGCAAGTATCTGCCTTTTTATTCCAGCGGCCATTGAAGCCAACAAACGGAGACTCTTCCTCGAGACTCATATTCTGCATCTCAGTTTCGATATAGTTTTCACTTTCTCCATCATCTTCAATCTCCTGTTCAGAGAGGTAGCTGAATTGTCGCATCGATAGGAACTTGAGCAACCCCGACGCATCGCGCACTTTTGCTTCCAAGCCGTCATTGTGCATTTCGTCCAAGTTGTTGGGTCGATCTAGCAGCGCAAGGGCAGAAACACCGCAGTACGTATATCCACCTATACATGTAAATGTTAGTGACCTATAATAACCGTTGATTTTGTTAACCGTACCATGTGACTCGTGTTGGTAAGATGATTCGCCAATACCACCGTCATATGTCTGTGCTCGTCGAACCGCTTCTCGTAACCTATCCACGTCGAAATCTTGTACCCAAGCAGGACTTCCCTGCTCAACATCTCCCCTTAACATCCATCGAATACCGGCTGCAATGTATCCGTGGCGCACATCATTTCCGCCAGCCGGGGCACCGTCCCATAAGACTTGGCCAAATGTACCGTCCTCGCTCTGCAGCTTCTTTAGCCAAAGGAGAAGTTTTTTTCGTTTTACTTGATCAAATGCGCGAGCCTGTTCTTGTTCATCATCGCCAGCGGCTAGCGCAAGCAGAACAAGTGCGAAATATGTCGCGGCAAGGTTCGCAGTGCCTTTGCTCGCTTGATGGCCGTCATGCGCATGCGTCGAGCTGCCACAGAAGCCTCCGTCCGGATGTTGCAATGAGAGGACCCATTTTCGTATTGATTGGCGTTCTTCGGCTGTGATTGGTGCATTCAGAATATCAAGTGACGAAACAATGAAGCAGGCGAGTGTGAGTCGTATGGAATCGGCCGAAAGATATGGTGCGGGGAGATAGGAGGTATGGCATCGCTTCCAGTACTTGACGTGACGCTGTATCTGTAGCGCAGACTCTTCTGCTGCTGCTGCCATGTTGGATGTCAATGGCAAAGTTTGGCCACTGAATTTTGCTAGATGTGAATATGCTGCTGCGGATTATTTTCGAGAATGTCGTTGGTGTTGCAGCCGCTAGAAGCTAAATAGCTACAGCAGCCTCAACCCCACCTCTTCCAACCAAACAAGCGCTGGCAGTGCAGTACGGGGCGGAAGCTTCCCGTCCTTGGTGTCCTTTTGGTGCCTGACAAGACCGCGCTAAGCCACCTCTGCCGCTTTCTAGGATGCCGTTTTTGCGCTACACATCATCAACACATTGCTTTTCCACAGCACAGCTTTGCAAGCTTCATAAGCGCATTTCCCCGTATTCGGACACAAGATATCGAATCTTTGGTGTACAAAAATCCCCGCATAGCCGCGACACGCGATTCAACAAGCCCTCTTGACGGCATCACCATCAATACCCCTTGTGTATTTGCTACACGCGACAGAACCAATACAACCGCCAAGCAATCAGTTGAACAGCTACAAGACACGCGCAACCATGGCGTTCATCACTGCAAACACCCTCATCACCTCCATCTCTCTCTTCCACATCACCATCGCCTACTTCCTCATCACCAACCCCCGCACCATTAGCGACCAGGTGTTTGTCTACATTCTTGGCGAGAGCATGACCATGGTACGTCCTGGACAAGTCTACCACTCTCTATATACTGCTAACATATCATCTTATAGCCTCCTGTCCGCGATTTCGACACACCCAGCCCGTCTCTGTCCTTCCTCGCCGTCTTCCTTGCCTTCTGCGGCCTCTCCGACTTGGTCTCGCTCTCCATGCCCGAGGAGCTCGGTGCTCTCTACTACTGGGGCACACAGGGTATGTCGCTTGTAAAGTCGGCCGTCTGTTCGTCACAATAACTAACCAGAAAAATCATAGCTCCCTTCCGCTGCTTCTTGTCCTTTCTATCCGTCACGTTTTCGTACCTCTTCAGCCCATTCTCGCCCCTCATGACCATGAGCCGAACATCGCGCAACCCGGCATATACTTTTAAGCACGGCGCTTCATCTGGCCTTGACGGCCTCAAGAACCGCGTCTTCTTCACCTTTATGTTCATCGAGATGATTACTTGGTTTTGGATCTGGATTACCTTGCGCGAGGAGCGTGCTGGTGTAGTGGATAGACTCCGCAAGAAGCAAAGCCGCGAACAGCACTAATGGTCCTAATCCATTCGTTGTCTACTCTGAATGATTTTTTAATGACAGCATGTTGATACCCAAATATAAATTAAGCAAATGAAAATGAGCATCATGTAGTTTGTGAATTATCGTGGCCTAGCAACCTTCGCCACGAATTGTATTAGTGTCTGTGTGTGTCTTCTCTGAAAATTTGGTATATATCGAAGGGAAAATTATCTACAGTGTAAACGCTCCTCAAATCTCTCTTTCTTCTTATTCATGCATAGCCTTTCTAAACCGCGGATATCGGACTAGGAAGCGCCTCTGGATAGCCGTCCTGCCCATCCTCAATAATATGCTCTTCAATAGTCTCACCTGGTCCGCCAATGACAGGGTTGAACACATCGACTTCTTCCACGTAGTCACCTGCCTCCTCCGCATAGTCCTCATCTTCTTCCTGGATAGGAAGCTCCCCCGATGGTCGACCGAGGGCAGATCCACTGCCGCTACGGGAATGGCCACCTGATGGTGTTCGAACGGGAGCAGCACCAGGGAAGTTGAACGTAGGACCTTTAAAGAGATTCTTCTTCCGCTTGGCAAACTGGACTCCAGATGCAAACGGATTAGGCGATCCTGGCGCACGAGCTGGCATTCCTTCTGTGTAGATTTGAAGAGGCGCAGGAGAACCCCGTACGAGCCTAATGTTGGATGGGAGGGCGTTCGCTGTTGGCGTAGCGGGAAGTACCTTGACCGAGTGATGGGGCGACTGTGTACGTGCAATCGGTGTCTTTATCAGAGTGGCAGATCCCGTTGAGCTCGTAGATGACGCCTTTGAATGAGAGTGTCGGTGGTGGTGTATAGAACGGACAGATGAGACGGATGATGAAGTCGATTTGCGGCCACGCAGACCGGCAGAGGACCTTCGAATCGCCGAGCGAGGGGTCATTGGAGCAGGTGATATCGAGTGTCTCTTTCTCGTTTGCGATGTCGATAGTCGCGGTCGGTATGGCTGTGTTGGTGTGGCCAAGGTGTTGCCGTTATACCGTGCAGCTTTTGTGGCAGAGGTCTGCGCTGCGGTAGCCTTGGAAACGTGGCCATTAGCCACAACGCCCTTGGGCAACGACGCAGTGCCAGGAGCACCGGGAGAGCTGGTATTCGGGTATTTGCTTGTCTGTGGTCGAGGGTTATGCTCTTTGCCGTTTTGCTGTTCTTTGTTATGGAGGTCCGGGGTGCTGCGGCTAGCATGACGCTCGTGACCCTTCTTGCGACGGGTCGTCGTTTCCACTACCCAGTGTGTCCAGTTCTTCCAGTGTGCTATAAAGGCCTGGCTGGGCTTCTTCTTGGGTTTCTTCTGTCTAGTATCCGACTCATTAGGGCGTGGAGGTGTCGCTTGCTGTTCTTCTGCCCCGACCGCGTCTGCAGTGGTGATGAGATACAGAGTTGACCCGCGAGATCTAGCGGCGCGTACAACTCCTTCTTTCGGCGGTGGGATAGGTCGGTGGCTATATGTCGAGGCAGATCGAATGGAGCGGATAGATCGCGAATCAGCTTTATCGTCACCAAGCCCGGCAAGGTGTTCCTTGAGCTGGGGTAGTTCACCACTAGCCAAATCGTAGTACTGAGCACTCCTTCGCTCGCTACGACCGCGTCTTTGGCTACCACTTTCCCCAAGCTTTAGGAAATGCATCGCTGCGTTGCCATCCTCGTCTACATCTTGTAGAGTGAGTGCTAGTCTGCTAGATGCCGCCGATAGACGGCGCAGACTCTTTTCCATTTCCTTTTCTCGGCGCTTCTTCTCCCTGCGAGCCATCTTACGTTGTTCTTTTTCAAGAAGTAATGTCCACCAGCCGGCCAAGGCATCGACCTTTTCAGCAATGACACTCTCAATAACAGAGTCAATATCCACGCCGGCGCTTCGCATTCGTTGTAAACAATCCTTCTCCAATGGTGTCGAGAATGGTGCAGTTGGCTTCACGTCCAGGATAGCTTTTTGCGCCGGGGCATGGTCCGACAGAAATGGGTGGGATAGGATTTCTGGTAGAGAGGGGCGTAGTATCGGTCGTTTGGATAGCAGAGATTTAATTAAAGCCGCAGCTTCAGCTGGTAAATGCGAGGGGTATCGAGGCTCGTCGCCCAATATGTTAGATCTTGTTACGTTATCGTCATCGTCGTCAAAGGGGAGCTCGCCGCAGAGCAATGCGTACAGAATGACTCCCAAGCTCCATACATCGACCTTTTCGCCGGCGTACTTTTCTCCTTTCAGCATCTCGGGTGCTGAATAGCATATTGTGCCACAGAATGTCTGCAAATGGTTCGTTCGTCCCTCGTATTCTCTCGTGAAGCCAAAGTCGACCAGCTTGACATTTTCGTGGTTGTCGAACAGAATGTTTTCGAGCTTCAGGTCGCGGTGGACACAGGACTGTTTGTGCACGTAAGATACAGCGCCAACCAGCTGCGCAAAGATCTTTTGCACTTTGGGTACGGCTAGCTGCCCGTGGTCGAGAAGATACGTGTAGAGCTCGGAGCCAGAGCAGTACTCTAGTACAAGCCAGACCATGTTTTCTGTCACAATAACTTCGTATAGTCGTGCAATATGAGGGTGGACAAATTGTCGGTGATGGTGGATTTCGCGAGCGAGGTTCTGGTCTCCGCGATTGGCGGACTTGAGAACCACTTTGGAGCCATTAGTGAGCTTGTGTGTGGCTAAGTAGACCTTTCCAAACGAGCCCTTTCCGATGAGTCGGCCGACGGCGTAGTTTCCGACCGATTTCAGTTCTTTGCTAGAGAATTCGCTGCATATTTCGTTAGGGGGAGGGCTTGTTTGCGACAATGGGTTTGGGGAGCAACCTACTCTAACAGCGCCTGATAGGAGCTAGCCAGCTGTCATGGAGCACAGAAAGTTAGCGCATAGCTGCTTAGGATGCTTTTTGCACATTAAAAACAACAAACCTTGGACTTGCGGCCCTGGGCCTCCATCATCTTGGCCTTTCCATTAGCCTGCATGTTGGCAAACGCTGCAGGCAGAGCGCGCTAGCAGGCGACTTGTGACGCGTCTCGTTGCGCTGCAATTGTAGGTTCAACGCGACCGATGATATAATATTTGAGCTCGGTCGTATTTCCGCAAGATCCGGGACAGTTGCAGGCGCTATGAAGCAGTCTCTAAATCCATTCGGCGGGAGGCGGGTGTCGATCGTGGCGTGTAATAGTGAAGCGCAGCGGTGACGCTTTTTTAGGGGGATTTGGGCGTGGCGCGGGGATAGTAGGTGAGGCGGCCGGGTATATCAGGGAATAGGAATGATGGCGGTACAGTCTAATGTTCAAAGAAATAAAATATAAAAGAGAATATAAAAGGAAACAAGAACAGGGGCAGGGTGGGTGAAAGATTAACGTTGCAATGGCGGAATGGTTGCAAGGACAGAGTGGCGGTGGTTCGTGTTTGCTGAAGAATGACGATGTGTCTTGCAGATGTGGCTGGTGGCGAGTGGCTCTTCTTCGGTGGGTGCGGGGGGGGAATTACAGGTGATGTACGTGTTCTGTGTGTGCACCGCTGTAGGGGGGTACCTTTATGGTGCGTGGCAGCCACTGAAGAATACAGTACAGTGCTGGAAATACAGCGGAGTTTACAGTGGCAATTACGCTGGCAACAACAAAGAGAAACGACACACAGGCACCGGAATGTAGGATAATTACGCCACCACAACATAATAAATTCTAAGTATTACACTGTCAAAGAATAATCACAAATCAACACTTTTCAAACTTCTCGGTCCTTTTCTCTCTCAAAACGTGGAGCCGTTATACATTTCAATAGTCATACAAACACCGCCCCTATCCCATCCCTCTATCCAAAAAGAACAAGAGAATGCGCCTTTGTAAAGATGCAAATGCTGCAAAAAAGAAGACAAAAAAAACACAATCATAAATACACCCTCACATCAAACCGCTCATCGTTTGCGAGTATCGCGCCCTTTCTTCTTGGCTTTCTTCTTATCCTTGGGAAGCTCCAGCTTGGTGTGTTTAAGCTCCTCTGCCATCGTCGCCAGCATGTACTGGTCAATGGTCTTGATACGCTCTCCCCATGCACTGTACTCAACCTCCTCCATATTCTCTTCATCTAATAGTACATCGTCGTCGCCTCCAGCACGGGCCAGTGGTGTGCCCTGGCACGTGCTCGAGGTTCCAGACGCCGGTCCGTTTGCCTTTTCCGTAAAGTCTGCGTCATCTGCCAAGATTTCCTTCTCAGCTTGACGAGCCGCGGCAACATCTTCGCGATCTTCGGCTTGTTCAAATACACGGCCGACGGCACGGTCACTCTTGGTATGTTCCGGGCCGCCCAGAACTCGGTCAAGGGCGGCATCTGCTGCCGAGACACCCTCGCTCATCATGTCCAGCTTCTCACCGAGCACATCGCGAACTGACGCTCGATTGAAATGTTCTGTTGTAAACTCGCCTTCTTGAATGACTACATCATCCAGCATCTGCTTCTGGGAGGCTTTGCGCAGAATGTTGGCCTCAATCGTGTGCTCGCTGACCAATCGGTAAATATGGACATCGCGAGTCTGGCCAATACGATGGCATCGATCCTGGCATTGCTTGTCCATGGCAGGGTTCCAATCTTGATCGTAGAAGATGACGGTGTCAGCTCCGGTAAGATTGATACCTAAACCACCAGATCTTGTCGATAGGATGAAGCAGAGAATGCGCGGGTCATGGTTAAATCTGTCAGTCAAAATCTGCCGTTGCTCAACCTTTGTTGATCCGTCCAATCGGAGATACTTGTGGCCGTGAATGTTGAGGAATTGTTCCAATATATCGAGCACCTTCGTCATTTGGGTGAAGATAAGCGCGCGATGTCCTCCAGATTGCAGCTTGCGCAGGAGCTTGTCCAAGGTTTGAAGCTTGCCGCAATCGTACTGTAGCAGACGCTTATCCGGGAACTGAATGCTGAGGCGCATACGAGCCTCATGCCAAGGATCCAAGGGTGGTTCCTTGGGCACAAATGGTGCCCATCGAACTGGCGCTGAGAGCTTCAGGTCAGCATCAGTAAAAGCTTCCATGTTCTTGCGTCCCATGAGGACTTGGTTCAAGTCTCGCGTAACCACAGCCGGCGTGACGCAGGAAAACTTTTCAATAATAGTCTTGTATGCATCTGCGCGTTGGCCCAGAGACGGTGTGAGTGAGTTGATCAGATGCGACTCCTGTTCAAACCAGCTCATAATGAGCCTTGGAATCTTGGGCTTTGGCCGATTAGGTCGCTTGTGTGCGTCAATTGTCACGAGATCAATGACATTTTTGCCATAAATTGGCTTTTGTTGGCGACGCAAGGCGTTCAAGTACGTTCCATGTTGAAGTTCTTCAAAACGTCCCCATCGGGAGGCGCTCTCCAGGTATGCCATGTTTGTACGGACAGATGATGGGTCCAACGCTGCGTATGCATGCTGCGCTCTGTATCGTTGCGTCTCACGTAGATCCGTCAGAATTCGGTGGGAGCTGAGTTGTGAGATTCGTTCGGCTGTGACGCTAGAGATGTTTTCATGCTCCGTGGGAATCAGGTTTAGAAAGCTTAGGCTAACCGAGCTCATGGGCTTTTCAGCCAGCAAAGTATTTCGGACTTTGACTTCGGCCATTTCATAATCGGCAGCAACTGAGTGTCCCATACGGAGGGATGTCATAATAGGTCGGTCCACAAACAGATCCGGATGATTGCACACTTTTCTGAGCTGCATCAAACAGTTGATAATAGAAAGATAATTGCCAGATGCAAGAGTATCCTTGGTCTCGGAACGCGCCAAGAAGCCGTCGTACAGTTCACGCTGTCGCTTTGATAGACGGCAGAACTCGACATGCTCATACTTTCCAGGCATCTGCTTCTCAACATCCGCCTTGAGACGACGCAGTAGATATGGGCGAAGCACCTTGTGGAGTTTGGAGATAATTGCGCGAGCTTCATCATCCATCTGGTCGCGACCACTTTCCAAAATTTGAGATTCAGGTTTGTGGAACCATTCGTGGAACTCTTGCAAATCCGCAAAACCACCTTGGCCATTCTCGGCGGGAGTCAAAAAGAACAAGAGAGACCACAGCTCCGTCAGGTTGTTCTGGAGAGGCGTTCCTGTCAGTAATAGACGGGCCTGTGTGTTGAATCCGAGAAGACTCTGCCATCGTTGGGATTTGAAATTCTTGATGTTGTGTGCTTCATCGAGAATCATGTAATGCCATTTGCGACGCTTAAAAACTTGTTGATCTTGGAGCACCAGCTGATAGGATGTGATGCAGACGTTCCAAATATCGTCATTATTCCAGCCTTGTCGCTTTCGCTTACGCTCTTCTTGAGTTCCGTAGTAGGCCAAGATCTTGAATCCAGGGCACCACTTCTTAAACTCCATTTCCCAGTTGAGCATTACGGAAGTCGGAACAATAACCAGATGCGGGCCCCAAACTTCATGATGGCAGGCTAGATGAGCCAGCAAGGCAATAGTTTGAATTGTCTTTCCCAGTCCCATTTCATCTGCCAAAATGCCGTTGGTGTTGTTAGCATACAGTCCGGCAAGCCAGTCTAGGCCATCTCTCTGATACTCTCTGAGGGTACCACGAAGCAGGAAAGGAACTTCGGTTTTGTGGCGGCTTGTTGGTTTGATTTCTTCAACGACCTCTGAGTCAGGAGTTGCATCTTTAGTGACGATCTCCATCGCCTCTGGGGCGTCCACCTCCTCCACAATGTCACCATTTCCGACGTTGTTGCCTGGTTTGGCTGCATCGGTTTCCGTCTCGGGGCTGATTAGCTTGGAGGGTTGCTCATCCATCTCGTTGACCACCGGCTGGTCTTCCATAGGATGATCACTTGTGGAGCCTTCATCATCAGCTTGTATTTCGCGAGGTTCGAGAGTAGGTGCTGCAAGCTCTGTGTCGGGAGGGCTTGTTACGGTAACCGTGCCGGATTCCATGGCAGCATGTGCTTCCTCTTGGATAACAGGCTCGACCTCAGCTTTGGCGGACTCAGCAGGTTCGGAGGCAGCGTTGGTCGACTCTATCGGTTCGACATTGGCCTCTACAGGCTTCGAGGTTTCGGTATCGGACACGTCGGATTCCGGGTATTTTATTAGAGAAATCTCGTCTTCAGACTTTGCTTCCGTAGCATCTTGGACACCAAAGTCTGGAACAGGCGCCGTTGGTGCCTCTCCCATGTCAACATCAACGTCTTCGGCTTTCGGTGGCGACTCTGGAGCCTCCTCCTTCAGCTTCTGCAGCTCACTTTTACCAAAGAACATGCCTAATAGACCACCTGCTGGGGCATCATCTTCAATATCTTCTTGATCAGAGCTCTCCTCTTCGGAATTGTTGTCTTCGTCGCTGTCGTCGTCGCTGGAGCCCATGTCGTCATCCATATCAACAGACTCATCACTGGAGGCACCTCCAATATCGGTAGTCTCCTCGACGGTAACAGCGCGGCTAATGTCTCGGGATGTCTTATCATCAGCCGTAGATTCGATTTCAACATCAGGGATATTAGCATATTTCAATCGCAACTGCTCCTGGGTGAGACCTTCATCGGCTGCGTCTTGGCCATTCGCTTCGTCGTTGTCGTCACTGTCCTCATCCGAAGACATGACATCGCTGTCCTCTTCATCCGATTCATCGTCGCTATTACTCTCGTTGGAAGCGAGGTCTGAATCGCGGTCTGCGTCTGCCATGTTACTGGTAACATCACTCATGTTATCCATGTCTTCGTCAGACGCCAATTCCGAGTCCATCTCGCGGCGCGCTTGCAGCTTCTGTTCCGACAAGTTCACGGCCTCATTCAGGGCTGCCTTGACACGTTTCTGCTCCTCTGCCTCCCATTCCGCTAGACGATTACGGTTGACCTGGGCGCGTACGTTTTCCCATGTTGCCGCCATAGCCTTGGTGACTAGTCGGTATCGAAGTATACAAATTTCGCGTGCTTCGGCTTCGATTTGTTCGGCGGATTTCGGTTGGCGGCGGATCCACTCATCACGACAAGCTTCAGCAAGCTTCTTCGCTGTTGCTCGATGCCTTTGCTGTTCTCCTAAAAGCAGTTTCCGAAAGTTGGCCATGGCTTTGACCATATGGTCCTGTCTAGCATATTGACGCGGTGGCTCTTCTTCTCCTTGTGGAAAGAAGAGAGAACATCGTCCCAAGGACAACAGACCACCTGGTTCAACCTCCTCTTCTACCCTCAGTATCAGCTTGGCATCGCGGGTAGCGAGTTCGTCGGTAAATAGAGGTCCTTCTTCGGAAGCGTAGAGGCCGCCTTCTTCTACAGGGATACCGCCCGCCTTGCTCCAAAAGTCCTCAAAACTGCTGCCAATTTTCTTGCGTTTGCTTACTTGGTCAGCATGGACCAAAGGAATCTCGTCCGAGAATGCGATTCGTAGCTTAATCCTCGGCGAGCGGCCTGTATCATAATAGGAAGAGCTTCGGTTCGGGGTGGTTTCGTCATCGTCTGCATGCCGTGATGGTCGATGCGCGCGTGATGACTGGCGTGTAGGCTGGGGTCGAGGAGAGGGGGTTCGGCGGCGAGAGGATCGGGAGGAGGATTTTGAATTAAGAGTAGATTGCTTTTTCTTTGCCGATTTTGATGAGGGGGTATTAGTTTCGTATGCGATTGAGCTTTTCCGCCCTGATCGTGGGTTTGTGGTTGGAGTTTTTGTAAGCTTCGATTTTGGAGTAGAGTCTTCCTTTTTGGGTGTCGCTGTCTGTGCGCCTCTTGTACCGCGCGTCATGCGCTTCTTTCCTTGAGGCTGCAACTCCAGTGGTACCAAATTAATGCGCCCAGATTTCCTTCGGCCCTCTTCAGTAAAGGATGTAGGCCCCTCTGCTGAGACCTTCTTCCATGGCGGGGATTCGGCCTTTAGTTTACGGGCTGATGGTGGTGGCGTCTCATCTCTGGGTCGTTTTCGAGTCGCAGATACATCAGCATCGCCATCATGAGTCGTACCGTTGGTTGTTGATGGCTCTGTGGCATGCGCCGTAGTCTCGTTAGATGCTTCGGGGACAGTCGCGTCGGGTTCGGCGGTGCCATTAACGTGAGATTCGACTTTCAATGGTTCAGGGGTTATTTCTGCCTTGACAACAGTATCCTGCTCGACGGTAATATCATTTTCCCCGTTGGTGGTGACGGCGCGGTCCTCAACGGCCGGTTCGTAGTTGGGAGACGCGATGTCCGTCATTTTGAGGGCGTGGAGCCAGCTACGGCGAACCGTGACACAGCAACAGCTTTCATTTGCCGCCCAGTCCGATCAAAGGAAATAATAAAATCACGTCTACAGAAATTGTAGCGCATCACCTGATCACTGTAAATTTTTTAGCACCATCCGAGTGAGTGGAGGATGGGAAATCCGTGACAGATGCGCGATGCTCTTGACTTTTGCGTGGTGGCGGACTTGGTTACAAAGTGAGAGAGAAGCTTGCACGGCGACGCAGCGGTGAAATTGCCCCCCTTGGCCCGCCCACAGCGCTTGCACTGTGGCCGCTAAGCTCGCTATGCTTTTTTTTAGGCGGCGTGGGACTGCCACCCCTTGCGCGGCGCGACTCTGGCTGGCGTGTGCTGTGTCTGTGCCTCAGGCAGCCACTTTTTCTCCCAAGCCAATCAACATCACGACTTTAGCAAAAGCAGTTGTCCACTACCTCTACCGTCAAGTCGTCACAATCTATCGCAATTGGCCGTCCACAAACACACCAATTCGCACAGGGTATGCTTTTTCATGCTCAAGGAAAATAGTCCACCAGATCAATTGATGCTCATGCGACCGATTATAGATGCTTCCCCAACGAATTGTGCGCACCTCAGCGCTGCGCAATACCCTCGCTGCTTCTCGACAAGCACCTGTCATGCAGCGCCGCGGCTTCCTCCCTTCCCACTATGCCGACAAAAAGGTTTTGGAGGAAAAGTATCCCGGTCCTCCTGAGCTCAGTGCTGCTGAGGACCCCGGCATGGTGCGTTACCGACACCACTACGAAACAGCGCGACATCCGTGGCTGCGGCTCAAAAGCGAATGCTAACATTTTACGATGATATAGAACGGTGGCTACATTAACCCTCCCCGAATTAAGCGTCAGTTCCGCGACCCCCACGCCAACTGGTGGGATCCCCAGGAGCGTCGAAACTTTGGTGAACCCGTCCACGAAGACAACGATGTGCTCGGCATGTTCTCGCCTCACGAATACACCTGGACAACAACCGGCCCTGGTCTGACCATGGTTGCTGCTTTCATTGCTGCTTTCGGTGCCGTCAGCGGCCTGGTCTACCTCAACTACCCCGATAAGCCCGCTTACCCCAGAGAATTCGAGGGTGGCTTGGAGAGAGAACTCGGCGGCCCTAACGCTGTTAGAGTAAGTTTTACACGCGCTCTGGCTTCTTGATTCAACTACTAATGCATTATTTCCCTTTATAGGCACGCATGGAAGGCGACGAAGACCCTTAAATCAATCAACACGACACAAACAATCATAGAATGTTTCATTTGTACATATCATAGGCAGGGAGCCGATGGACAGGCAGTTGTTTTCTTAACATCCGTTGGTAGAAGCTATATGCCCAATCAATCTTGGTGGTATGGCTCATCAACATAATAAAATTTATTCCTCCCATTCTTTATGTCTACTTTGACAAGATACGTAGTGTGTTCTGTGCGCTGCGACCCCGGCATGTACTGTTTCTCTAAATGCAAATGTCCAGTACCGCGACCGCGATACGTACTGCGTGTATCTATATTCGATTAATTTACTACTTGGAAGATAATAACCACTGCAGGTACATTTTTATTCCGTCTAAGTCTCTACTCCAACGGAAGATGGCGGTACTGTGCCAACCACGCAGCCTACCCTAGAGTCGGCCTCTCGCCAGCTGCAAGCACGAGACGAACCCGACTGGCAGGTCAACCGTACTTTCCTTCCCTTTCTGTTTGTTTCCAGAGCCTAGAATCCACTGCCAGCTGTAACAATTAATGACTTGCCAGCTGCTGAGTGCTGCCAACTGTCAGGCGAAAACCTAATCCCAATGAGAGAACGACTGAAAACACTTGTGCATCGACACGCACCCTCCAATCATCACCAGTGCAATTCTTGTTTAAGTACTCTTGTGACACAGTAGCAACTTGGAATATCTCACAAATAGTAGCTATCTGTTAGCTATGCGGTACGGAGACTGGGATGTGCTGTTATTTCCCAGAGACTGCAAAGTACCATTCAAAGAATTCAAGGTAGACTGTCACATTGTTCATGATACAGGTAAGACGAACAGCGACGAAAAAGTTCAATAATTTTCTCATGCCTGTTTTATAGAATTCGCTCACAGCTATGGTTCATTCTGCCTACCTACGGTTTGCTGCTTCGTCCCTGGCCTAGTTCCTGGAGAACCATTCCAGATATCTATTCATTCTTGGAACCCTCCGACATTCGACCCAATCACTCAGGCATACCCTCAATATCAAGATAATGCAGTTTTTGAAGCAAGAGTTTTCATAGATGGTCGTCTTATAGCGTAAGTTTTGGCAGACTACAATCGTTGGCATGCCCTAACGCATTGGGCTAGATCTACTTCCTTTGGTAACGAAAAAACGATGCAGACATGGCCATACGTTATCGAATATAGTATTGGTAAGTCTCAATATCTACCAAGTAAAGAGTGCATCTATTGATAACTGTCTAGCAAACTCGATGAAAGGCGACCTTGAACCTCTCCGATTTCCCACCTTTCGCAGCGAGATACTCGAACAAAATTATTGGAGCCCCGCAGACGACATTGGGAGAATCAAAGTAACTATAAGTGAAGGATTTCTTCAGCCCTATACGGATAGATCCGTGGAAAGGATCAAGAATCTTGTGTCCTTTTCGTTTCAACATGTTCCTGCAAGTAAGTCTACCAGTACCAAGCTGCAGTTTCATCATTAACGCCACATGGCTAGAGATACTTGAGTCTTCAGGGATAGCTTGGCCAAATGAGCGAATGTGGCAGGCTGTTCGATTCAATTCGTCTATGACCGTACCAACGCTGCCCTCGGACGTACCTGATTCCCACGCCCACTCTCCGCGAAAGAGAAGCAAACCAATCAAGACAGCCAAATTTCCCATGGCCCAAGATCGAAATTGGCCAACGAATGTGAGCCACTTTGAGGATAAAGATAAAGATTAGCAAGGAAGGAAGCTTGATCTAACATATTTGATACAGGATGGACCAATCGCTCATCAGCAGTTAGGATTCGCTGGAGACCTCCGCCTTGGCGATGGTATACATGGAAGGATGAATCATGATAAAAAGTCGAACACGGACTCTAGTATGCCCGATTATATGAGTCCTAATACGGCCGCAGTTCAAATTTTTGACAGCGATACTGGTGAACACTCTGATCTTGAACAAATGCTCAACGCCCCAACTAATACGCCTACGTCACGCCCATTGGTTTCCCAGGACAGAGGTAATGGGGCAATAAGGTGCCGAGGTACTGATATCATGCTAACTGCTTACTAGATCTCGCAAGTCGAATTGAAGGAGTGCGCAAGAAGCCATTTGAACCTCTAACAGAGCTGAGTGATTCGATCCTGAATCAGCCATCGCTGTTCCATCTGGCGAGGCATTATAACGGAGCACCGCCGTGGAATAAAGATATTGGAGATGAAGTAGTACCCGCTGAACTTGTAAATGATAACATGCCTCTGAGAATGAGACCAAGTAAAGACTTGCGTCTGGAGCCAGATGAAAAGCTCGCTTCACTCCATGGCCAACAAATTATTGATGATAGTGGTGAGTATTTGATACTGTGGATCGTGAATGATGTCTAATAGGCGCTAGATTCGGGTTGAGCGGTGCAGTTGCTCGATCTTTTATTGACGAAGATTACCTTGAGAGAAGATGAATGCCGACGATTGGCATCTCACGGAATATGCTACTGAGCCAAGAGTCACGATTGTATTATAGTTGCGAAGACATCTTTACGCTGTGTCACAAACTTAATGTTTCGGGACTATGAAGGAGAGACGTATTAATAATGACACCATAGCATGCTGTTACAAAGAGAACATCGTAGATTGAATATACGAATAAGTTCTAGTATATCGTTACAAAAGCCGCTAAAATAGTTAAGAGAGTATCCTGGAGTCCGTTGCCTGCGCTCGACTTTCGCTTTCAATCACCAGAGGCCCGCCGTTTGGTCCGCTTGCATCCAGGCTCACTGTAATGCCGGCTGTGCTGCTGATAACACGAACAGTCTCACCTAGGTTGCGCCAGTCAATTTCACAGCTGTGCTGATGCGATATCGTAGCGTCTGGGTCTTGGTCTCCAGGCTGAACCTCGCGTATTTCCACTGTTGGATACGGCAACCACCCATCGCGCTGGGGAATCAAGATCAACGGAATCTCTGCCTCGGTTTCCGTAGTAGACGAGAGACTAGCATCATCCTCGGCCCCGGGAATAATAAAATGGCCTCTGCGGCGACCGCCGATAAGCCAAGCATCCGCAGGAGCTGTGACATCGTAGCTAAATTCCAAGTCATCGCCTTGGGTTCCCTCGGTATCCCAAATGCGAGTCCATTTGAGATGTAGCGTGGCTGGGATAACTTGGTTGACGACAACAGCACTAGCTGCGTCACTAGTCTGTGATATGGCCTTCTTTGCGTGGTTGAGACGGATATCTGCCGTGTGGACGATGGTTACGGACGGCACCTCAACAGGGATCGAAATGGTCGATGGCGACTCTGTTGGTGATAGCGGGATGCGGTGTGTGCTAGCGTACCAGGCCTCTAGACACTCTGTGACCGCCGTGGCAGCAGGCGTTTGCGTCTTGGTTAGTAGGCCAAGACTGGTAAGGTGGTTTGCCCAGGAGATGTTGCCGAGGAAGCTCGTAGAGACTTCACCGAGGAGAACTGCACGCTCAAGGTCCTGGGGTCGGAGCAGCTGTTTGATCTCCGCGGAGACGGCGGCCATGACAACTCGAATATATGCCTGCAGGGACTTCTCTTTGAGAGCGGCTGTGATGGATTCTGAGATGAGTTGGGTAATCTCTGATTCCAGGGTGCTGTAGTATAGCTTGATATGCATAGTCCTGGATGTGGTCCGGGTAATCTTGATGCCCTTTTTTGGTTTGATTTTATAGAGGAGGTTTGCTGGCTGCTTCGCGAAGATGGTGACGGCGTTCTCGGGCGGCGCGCCAAACGAAGCCTCAAAGAGCTCTGTGTTTTGGAGCTCGCTCTTGTAGAGCCGTAGCGGGTTTGCGGTTGCTGTGGATATTGTGAATCTTGAAAAGAGTTGCTCTTGTTTGAAGACGTCTTGGACGTTGACGCCAAGGGCAAGGGAAACCGGGACGGTGCATGACTTTGCAAACTGGAAGGATTCTCCTGAAGCCGTGGTGTATGTTGCATCGACCTTGGCAAACACATCACCTAGATCCAGCTCGACAGAGTACGGGAAGCGAATGGTCACGCCAGTGTCTGCGGGGATCGCTTTGAAGTGGAACAGGCCGGCTTCTGGAGGCTTTGCCATTTGAATTTCGGAGTCGATAATGGTAGCCTCAGTGGTAAGCAGTCGCATACCACCTGTGCTAGGCTTAATGCGCACTTCACACTTGGCAACGTCGTTCCAACCAGTGTGAATTTGAATGTCGAGACCATTGTTGCGCCCGAATGTAGTGTGTTTGCTGGCGACGAGGCTAACGTCAAACGCCTCGGCGCGTTGGTAGATGCTAAAGCTGGCATCCTTGAATAGAGGAGATGTTGGGGCGGTAACGTCTCTATCAAAGTTGATGAGAATCTTACCAATTCTCATGGAATAGTGGTCGACTCGGAAAATGCCAGGAATTGCGGACTGCACTGGTTAGTATATGGAAACAGGGACGAAGGAAAAGAAACTTACGTTGGAGGAAAGTGTGATTTTGGTATGACCAGAAGCTAACATAGCACCTTTCTTCTGTTCAAAGACGAGTTCCTTCACAGGCCCGTTGTCGATACAGGTGGCTCGGAGATGCATCGAGTCGACAGTGAGGTCGTCGGGTAAGAGGCTATCAAGATCAACAGTCAAGATGCATGTGTCTTGGCTCTCATGATAGACAGGTGGCCCGAAGAGCTCGACGTTATTGAATAAGCTTAACAAGGGTACGCGCACTTCGCGTGCAATAGAACTGGAAAGCTCAAACAGCGTTTCCGCAACCTCCTTGATAGGTGCCATATCGAGGTCTTGTTTGATTGTTGACTTGCCTATTCTTAATGCCCTTTCGGCCTTGTTAGCCGCACAAGCCATGACAATGAGCTTGACAGCTACAATGACATAGTCGTCTTGAGACTGGCTCTCGCGAACACAATGAGCGTACATGATGAGCATTGACAGTTCAAGAATGCTCCAGCCTGACTCTCCAAAATGAGGTGTTGTTTGGCTAAAGGCTTGTGCTGCTTCTCTATACTCCTTGAGAAAGTATTTCAGAACGGCCATGTCGGCCAGACAAGTATGTACAGCCTGTGCCTGACTAGCCACGGCGTAGTGGTTCATAGCTTTGCATGTCATAATCTCGTATAGGCGGTAGAAATCTTCAGAGTTCTCGATAGCAGATGCCATGAGTTTGCTGTTGATTCCAAAAGTGGCAGATTCCTGAAGATCAGCAGTCATGGGCGATGGTAGTGGTTGATCGTCATCCAGGCTAATGTCTTCCATTGCTTCAATGCCGGAATCACCTACTAAAGGCGCTTCCTCCCATCCATTACTCCAGCCTCTCTTCTTGCCAATGTTGCGAAGAATGTTTCTCGAAATCATGTAAAGCTCTGCTCGACCAGCGGCGAGGTCTTCTGTACCAGCCTGTCCGAATGAGACGTTTTTATCAGCAGGGTCAGATGACGCTATGCGGCCTGGACCTGGGAATACACCAGGACTGACGGGCGTTGCAGGAATATCAGAAGATGCCGTGGAGGGTGTTCGTGGACTCCGCTCATTTAACGATGAATTGCGAGCTGGGTGCATCATGGTCTTTGGTTCGGGAATGGCCGACTTTGGTTCATCAGACAAGAAGTTTGCTGTTGAGATTGGCAGCGCGTTGGTCGAGGTCTGTGCAAGGATCTGTTGCGCGACGGCGAAGGAAAATGAGGCAACCAGGTTATCGATTGTTTGGTTTATAGAGGGAGCAAGTTGTTTGCTGGTATCCTTCACGGAGCCGCCCTTGGTAAGTAAAGCAGTCATTATGTCACGTCGCATTACGTCGGCAACAAGAGGTATGAATTCCAGGGTTCGTCGACAAATCTCGGCCAAGACGGCAAGGTTTTCAGTTTCATCCTCTTTTTGAGGAATAGCCTTTGCCATGGGAGCAATGCCGTGCATTTCCAAGATGGATTCCTGCTGCTCTTTAAGTCTAGATAGCAACTGTTCTCTCGTAAAGGACGTGTTGGCAAGTCGTAGCAAGAGAGCAATTTGGCGAGCAAATATGTAACAGCGAAAGTCAAAGACCGAGACTTTGTTGGCGAGAATCATGTCGCGATAGGCCTTCTTGACCGAGCTAATCGGGATCTCGTCGAACTTGGCGTCTTGGGGGTCTTTGGACTGCATGTCGACAGCTTCCTCTTCGTCCCCAGATGCACCAGAGATGGCTTTGCTGGCCATTTCTCGGAGCTCCTCTGTGAATGCAAGCATGGCGCCGCCGTGGCTTTCTGGCTCTCCTTTCTGTGCCTGTTCAGCCAGCACCATATCAAGACCGACGCTGAGTTCATCGTATCCAACAAGAGCATCTTCCACCAAACCGACATTCTCAAATCCACGCGCAAGGCCTTCTTTGAGAATGAAGAATGTACAAAAGTTCCAGCCTGGCAGGCTACGCTGCGTGTCCTTTTCTTTGATGTCTTCCTCGTATTGTGTTACTCGTTGGTCAAAGGAGCTAAGAATAAGTGTCTTGAACCTCGTCATAAGGTCCGCCCAAGCACGTTCTGCATCCTGCTCAACTTCCGCGTAGCCAGATGGGACTGCTGGAACAACGCGAGGGAGCAAATCATATGGAACATCGTTGATACCAATGCGGATCTGGCAGACTCGGTCGGGCGCACCCTTGCTAGTGGCATTGAAATCAGATCGAAGCTTCTCAAGCAGCGGGGTCGTACCGGGGCGCCATCGTGATGTGGTAGTCTTAATTTCTGCACCAGATGCATCCGTCTTGCCGCTGGATCTAGGCTGCGTGGCTGCAGCTGTGTTTGGCAGCACAACATGAATGACCATCCACTCAAAGGCATCATGGTTTTCCTGATTGCTACCCTTTTTCGTCGAAGTAGACGGCGGTGTATGTGTTTTGATCCATTCACGGACCTCGGTTCTTACTGTATTTTTATAGGAGTCGTTGTCGTCGCATCGAACCAGCAGCACCTTCAGGTAAGGAGTGTGGCGCAAGCCGGGGATTTGGTGTCGTCGAGTGTTTGGTGTTCGCGGTGTGGAAGCTACTTCGGAAGCACTATCTGACTTCAAGGTCTGGCCGCTGACTTGCTGTGTTTGGAAGCCATCGTCGCGCGTAGTGCTGCTGGCGAGAGATGTGGTAGAAGCGTTGGCGGGCGTAGCTGTTGGGGTTACGCTGTCGTCGCCTTCGACAAGGTCAATATGGAGAGAGTCTATAGATCGTAGGGGGCCTGAGTGCGACTGCCAGTGAAGATTATGCAATGGGAGCCGCGGGACAAGGCCAGGGGCAAGAAGTTTGTAGACATCGTGAGGATCGAAGTACTCGACTAGGTAAGGCAACGTTAGTCAACAACAGCGAGGGGGAGAATGGTGGCAGCAATTACCCGTCACTTTGGACGTCGAAAGCTGTTGTTCCATGACGAGCAGCAGGCGACTTCCATTGACTCTGGGCAGCAGAGAAGCAATAAATTGGTTGCGTGCCGACGCAAGGTAACCCAGATGCACGGGCGGGATGGGAGGACGTAGGAGCACGGAGCTTCGGTCACGACTGGAGCTGCTACTGTCGCCAGCTGCCACAGCTGGTAAACTGGTGGAGGCCCTGACCGCTCGGGGGGGGGGGGCCAGCGCTGCATTCTCCGCTTTGCGGGCGGTGAGACCCTTGAGGCACCGCTGTAGCGGGAGCACTGACGCCATTCTATGGCGCTAACGGTGGTGGGGGTGGCAGAATTTCTAGAAAGTTGGAGGGGCAAACCAGAGAGAGTGACAATCTCGCTCTATTTACAACATCCCATTTGCTGCGGCTCATTGCAATCATGTCTGCTTTACAAGCCATTCGCTACACTCGCGGCAAGCTTGAGGTCCTCGACCAGCTTCGCCTGCCTCACGAATTCCACTACGACAATGTGGCTAACCGCGCCGAGGCCTGGGACAGCATCTACACTATGCGTGTCCGCGGTGCCCCAGCCATTGCAATTGTTGCCAGTTTGGGTCTAGCAGTAGAGCTTCATAGCGGCACAGTTACTGGAAACACTCCTGTCGAGGTGATTGCTGGCATTGACGAAGCCCTCGACTACCTCAAGACTAGCAGACCTACCGCCGTCGATCTGACCAATGCCATCAACCAGCTCAAGGCCAAAATCCGCGCAGGCGGTGCCTCTGCCACCAAGGAGACTATCGTTGCTGCTTTTATTGAAGAGGCCGAGGCCATCTTTGAAAAGGATCTCAAGACCAACCAGGCCATTGGCGAATATGGTGCTGAGTGGCTGCGCGCTCAGGCTGGTGCCTCGTCCGAGAAGCAGGTTTCCGTCCTGACGCACTGCAACACTGGCTCTCTCGCTACCTCTGGCCACGGTACTGCCCTTGGTATCATTCGCACTCTCCGCGACAAGAGCCTTCTCAAGCACGCCTTTTGCACCGAGACCCGTCCCTATAACCAGGGCAGCAGACTTACTGCTTTCGAACTTGTCTATGAAAAGATTCCCAGCACCCTCATCACCGACTCTATGGCTGCGTCGCTGTTCCGCACTCGCGGCGCGGAGATGAACATTGCTGCTGTCATTGTCGGTGCTGATCGCGTCGTTCGCAACGGCGATACTGCCAACAAGATTGGTACCTACCAGCTGGCTGTCCTTGCTAAACAGCACGGCATCAAGTTTATTGTTGCTGCTCCCACAACCAGCATTGATCTTGTTACGGAAACTGGAGACGGCATCAAGATTGAGGAGCGCAAGAAGGAAGAGCTCACGCAAGTGACTGGCGCCGTCATCAAGGCTGATGGTACAGTTGACGAGTCTTCCAAGGTCAGAGTTGCTACTGCTGACCAAAGAATCGACGTTTGGAACCCTGCCTTCGATGTCACACCTGCTGCCTTTATCGATGCAGTTGTCACTGAGAAGGGCGCCGTCGAGAAGGGTCCTAATGGCGTCTTTGACTTTTCCAAGATTATGCCTGAGCGTTGGGCCCAGGTCCAGGCCCAGCAATAAGCGCCTGATTCGGAAAAGGGCTCATGAAGGGTGCCGCCTGTGCAGAGGCAAATTGGTTCATTTGTTTTATTGTTTGGGGTTACGTGTTGGGAAAATGGGATCATTCAACTAGATACAGGGCGCACATTACATCATTGCTTCAACGCATGAAGAATTAATTTTTGATAATCTTCCACCGCACGCTCCAGAGCCCCAACACTGACATTTTCATTGCGGCCATGAGCTGTCAAGATAGAACCCGGGCCGTAGAGGTAGCGTGTGAAATCGCCCTTAAGATTGGGAACGTCTGTGCCGTAGTTGACCGTGATTTTATCAAAGCCTATATTTTTGGTTTGTTAGCAAAGTGAATCGCGGTTAGGAATTGAGTAGTCTTACCTTCGACATCGCAGTTACAATCGACAGAGCCGTATCCAAGGCTGCAATCAAGCTCGAACGCTTCCGGGTCGACTTCATGTAGAATTTTCTTAATACGTTCCAAGACAATAAGATGGCCAGTTTCTTGAGGACCAATAGCGACACGTGCTGCGAACTGAACGGTGGACTTTTCAGGGACAACATTGGCAGCGAGGCCACCATGCAGGATGCCGGCGTTGATGGTCGTGTTGCCATACAGCTCGGAGCTTCCAAGATCAGCGTCTTGGATTTTTGCCCATGCTCTAACCATGATTTCGTTGGCTGACTTGCCGAGCCATGGGTATCCGCTGTGGCTAGGGATGCCAGTTGCTTCGATGGAACAGAAGAGGGCGCCCTTGTGACCGCAAGCGAGCTTGCTTTCTGTTGGCTCGCCAAAAATGGCCGCTTGAAACTGAGGGATCTTGGGCGGGTGCTCTTGAAGAGACTTACTGAACTCTTTCATACCCAACCCGGCAACCTCCTCATCAACGACAAAAACGAGCATCACATTGTCATCAATCTTGTCGGCCGCCATCAGCTCCTCGACGGCAATGACCATGGTGGCAACGGATCCCTTTGCGTCGTTTGTGCCGCGACCCATGATGAGGGTGTCCTTTGTAATCGATCCAGGAGAGATGGAGTACTCGATGTACGGTGGTACCACATCAATGTGACTGGTGACGAGGACCTTGGGCTTGGGGTCGTGTGTCTTACCGGGCCAGGCAATGACATTGAAGCGCTGCTCGCCCTTTTTGCCATTTTCAGATCGGGGGGTCACAAACTGAATATCCGCTGTGAATCCACGCTCGGTGAGATAGTCGACCAAGAAGCGGCCGACTCTACTTTCGTGGCCGGTGATGGACGGGATGTCGACGAGGCTCTTATGAAGCTCTAGAAGCTTGTCGCGGTACGTGGGCGCATCTGCATCGGCGGCGCTAACAGTGTGTAATGTATCTGGAGTAAGTGGAATCTGGTCATTATGGCAGAGTGCCACCGGCGCCGCTACAAGAGCAGCCAGAATAGTAACCGCACGCATGGTGTCGCTGAGTGATGATGTAGGAGCTGGAAAGGCGCGGTGGCTGGTGGAGCTTCGGCGCCGGTTCCAAATAAGTGACTTCACATTCACTGTTCCGCGCTTCGTGCTGAGCGCAACTGCCCTACCAAACTTGGAACAAAAATTGCTAGTACTTCAGACTTAGGAGGATATAGTACTTAAAAAAATCGCCAAAATCAACAAAAAAAGGAACTCCTAGTAAATGTGCCCTCACCCCGATTTGAACGAGGGATCCCCGCATTCCAACAGGAATACACTTGTGTTGGGTGCGAAAACAGACACGAAAATCGCTGAAATAACCTGACTGGCTAGATTACCTCTCCCAGAGAATGTAAGCTCAACAGTTAAGAGATCTCCTTGCTGCTGCAGAAACACTATTTGTACTGCTTCTTTTTCTGAGATCCTTTAAATGGCAATGCAAGCGAATGCAAGTATTAGCGAGCCTGGCGCATTTGAGATCGCGACTAGACATCTGGGTACGCAAAAGGAATGTGCGCTACGCATGAGATGGTAACGAGATACAATGAATCAAATCAATTTGATGTTTAACTACACCGGTTCTGCAAGTCTTCCATGATGCTCCTATTCTCTGCTCTCTCTGCTTCTATGCCTTTCCATTGTAGTTCTTGTGAATCTGCTGTGCTGTTCTTTCTTGCAATTGCTCCTCTGTTTATGCCATGTCTCAATTTAAAATTTCCATATCATGCATTCGATCAGATCGATGAGTTCTGCGGTCTTTGCTTCACAACAATAGCCGCATTGAAGTGAGGTACTCTCCGCCGTACCATTCTTCTTTATTGCATCGACCATTTTCGTCATCAACTTCATCTTCGCTGGCCTCATCGTATCCCTTCGGTGCTCGAATCAACCTCTCGCAGCAACATCAATGATGGCGATTCTTTCGACTATTTCTACTATCGAATAAGTAATAATTAATTCCACGGCCTTCGAGTATGTAGTTCAGTATCTTTACTATAGTGACAGCTTCTTCTCTTGTGTCGCTGTTCTATTGATCTCTCTAAGTGAATAGATGGTGATTGTAGGCGATTCAAAACAACAATGGCCCTATTGAGATACTCTTCACATTGTCAAATGGTTTCTGCAGGCCTGCCTAAGGGTTGCATGCAAACTCGAGCGAGGCACCATTCATTCACAGAGTCATCACCTCGGCCATCTTGACCAAAAGTTCACTTTTCCGTCTGCACTCTTCCATCTGCTTCTATACACTCTTTCCCTTTTCTATAAAAGCCGGCACTTTTCCCCTTCAAGTCATTCTCTTTCTTCATCATCAACACACTTCACTACTCCTATTATTAGAGAGGTATTGGAGCTAAGGAGTAGAGCAGAAAAAAAAAAGAAAGCATTATGTTACTCTTTAGCTCCAAGACATCCATGAATTACAAAACACTACAAAAGCAATCAAAACAATAGCATCTTGCTTCTCAACAACAAGAAATCAGTTGAATTGCAAAAGAGCATAAACGCAATCAACAAGTAAGATGCTATCGTTTTATACTTCCACTCAAACATATTCGAAGATTGATTCTTGCGCCCAAATTGTGAGTAATATTCTTATTTGTTATTCGTGTAGCCTTATTAACCGTCTTCTAGAATAGCCTTTCTTGTTAAATCGTTTTGCGTAACGATAAAAACTCGTTCTTAGTTATCATGTATTTCGTCAAATAGAGTACGACAGATGCGGAGCAGTACTATCGACAGCCTTGGGCATATACAGTCACCTGCCTGGAAGAGAGAATCAAAACTCGCCGAGGATGCCATGATGGCCTCACTCTCATTGAGGCAAACGCGGACGGCGTGGTCCAACTGATTAATAGCGGTTCAGAGATTGGCGAGAAAGGTAATAGTCGAGCATGGAGTAGAGGATAAAACTCTCTCCTAGGCTGCAACAGCTTGACGAAGCTTCCTGAGTTTAGTATTCAGCTTGGAGCTATTCTACTCTTGTTCCTTGCTGAACTCACAACGGACGACATTTAATACGGTCGGAATTTTATGGAATTCTTCCTGCGTTGGATCGAAATTCTTGTTTGTCTCAGCGAGAATAAAGTTCAATAAATTATATATTAAGAACACAAATATACAGAGAGCAGAGAATAGCAAAACGACATTACAAAAGACTCGTATAACCAACTTAGCTAAACAAAGAAATGAACTTGAGATTTATTGTATCTCATCACTATTGCATACGTATCGAACATTCCTATTTTGTGCCCGGGTATTCCCTTAAAGCTGGCTTTCCTCTCTAAGAAGTCGTGATCTCAAAGGTACCAGTCTTTCCAATCCTTGCATTCGCTCGCAGCGCTGTTTCCAAAAACAAAAAAAGACATCTCAAAAACAGAAGAAGTAGTAACATATGGTGTTTTCTGTAGCAGCCAGGAAGGCTCTTAGCCGTCGAGCTTGCACTTGCTGGGAGAGGCAATCCAACCAGTCAGGCGGTTGGCAATATCGGTGGCGTAGCATGCGGTAGCCTTGAACTTGAAGTTTAGATCGCCAGTCTTGATACTACCACTGTTGTAGCCACGGGCACCAGCGTAGACAGCCTGAGCACCCTTGGCGTTAAGCTGCTTTGCGCCCTGCGCAATGGTCTGCTTAAGACCGTCGCCAAACTGTGTGCCTTCAAGACCATCCTTGATCATTTGCTTGATAGTTGCCTGGGGGCAGGGAACCTTGCCAATACAGTTGACTCCCTTGTGGGATTGGAGCAAACCAGGGTTTTCAACATCGACCGCAGTGGTTCCGATACGCACACAGCCCTTGGACTCCTGCATCATGAGAGCGAGGCCGACTCGCTTATCGATACCGGCCTCTTTGGAGACGTCGGCAAGAGCCTTCTTGATCTGTTCAATCTCTTGAGGGCTGTTGTCGGGAGCACCAGTTCGGAGGTTAGTGCAGGACTTTTGGATGAAGGGCAAGTTGATCTTCCAGAGAGAATCGAAGCTAGCCCACTGCTGCTCGGAAGGCCAGCCAGCAGCCGTACTGCCATCACCCTGGTAGAAGGTGTAGACATCCTTGGCCTGAGGGCCCTTGGAATCAGAAGGAGAGCTTCCTCCAGCAGGAGCAGTAGCGCCGCCAGCGCTGCCGGCCGGAGCTCCAGCAGTAGCACCGCTAGCACCACCAGCCGGTGCACCAGTGGTGGGAGTCGTCTTGGGCGTGGCGGCTACGGGGCCAAGAATAGGAGCATCCGGGGAAGCGACCTTGGCGGCAATAATCTCCGCGAGGCCTTTGAGGGCAGGAATTTCTTTGACGAGCTTGATGACCTCGGCAATTCTGGGGTCTACAGCAGGGGCTGCTGTTCCGACAGAGGCAAGGCTGGCCAGGGTGGTGATGATGGCAATCTTGGGCTGCATTGTGAAATGAAAGTGACTGGTACTGTTTGTAGATTGAAAGATGATTGATTTGTTTTTGTGATGCTTGTTTGATTGGTGATTGCAGGTCGATTTTGATTGTCGTAGAGACTGTATTGATGCCGTGGTGTGTTGTAAGGACTGTAATATAGAACACTAACAGAGTATTGCTAACAGTTGCTATGTAAAGGAAAGGAGAGAAGACTGTTGATAATAAGGATGAGGATAGTAACAGACGAGACGAGATGGAAAGGCCGCCCCATTGTCTTTATATGCCTTGCACTTATCCCTTTCCGGCCTGTTGGGATTCGTTCTCCCATGGCAAGCTGACGCACTGGCTGCAACCGCCACTAGGACGAATTGGTCCAATTAAAACGTACTAGACGCTTAGTACATCTCGATTAGGCATCTCGCCGGCAGCGCTAACCCGGAGAGGTGGTCTCGTTCGTCGTGGAGGCTAAACGCCTGTGCGCTTCACCAGTGTATCAAAAAAGTGGCCAAGCCTTTGCTGGTAGTTGTGTGGCGTCTTGATATATTATTCACGGGAATATGAGACACGAAAGGAGATTCCCAAACAGTCTAAAGTTATTTTCTAAGCGCGAAGCAGCGTATTGCATCGCGGCATTTGCGGGAGCTTGGTTACAAGCGCATGGTTCGAGGCGCTTCTTGTACGACGCTGGCGGTGGCTAGTTCCAAATGGGTTTTGCTGTAACAGGATGATTTTCCGGAGATGGCCTTCAATTTTGTCTGTCATGACGGGTTTATCCGGTCAACGGTTAGGATAACGTTGTTGACAGGGCTAGTCGGGTTTAGGGTCCGAGAGCGGTGGTATCATCTTACCCGGGACGAGACCAGTATTCAAGTCATTGTCCTCCATAGTAACGTGAATGAAATATTATGAATAGTTTAAATATTGATTAATTTCCTAGTATTATAAATCTTCATTTACATGTTTTCATATGTGGAAAGATTCACAGTTTAAGCCATACATTGTGAAGTGTTTACAAGTTTACGTGGTGCTTTGAGTAATCGTAACATCACATAACCACACAACACGAATTTACAAACTACTAAACAAGCATAGCTTGGTTGTCTACATTTCTGTATACGTTTATAGTTTAATAGTTTGACAGTTGAATCGTTTGCAAGAGTATACGTGCTTTCCCTCTGCTACGATGTTGCATTGATGCCGTGTGTTGCTCCTACAAACTTCTGCCAATCCAACAATCTACGAGCACTGTTTATATTGAGTATATTTTCATGTAAAAACCTGTATTTTTAACAAATTCGTATATAAAGTATAGACTGCTAAACTATTCTAATTTTATCTATTGCTAGCAGTTTAGTTCGCCTGGGCTATGTTTACCGGACACTGTATAGGATGGCGACACAATAGCACAATGGCAAATTTGATAACCCGCCGATCACGGAGAAATAAAACAAAGGAAACAAAGAGAAGAAGAAAGGTTTTATTTTGTAATATTGAATCCCTTGTTTTTATTTTTGCCAAGGTAGTCAGTTCCAAAAACCTGTATTGGGAGCGCATTCACATGCAAGAGAGTGGAGGGCAACAAGTTGATGGGATTGTACTATTGCATTCAAAACTTAGGCTACACTATAATATAGCCCTATTATTCCGCACTGTTCTGAAATCAGTCTCAATCCAACCTGGGTGTATATCTAATGCTAATGGTGGATTATTGATGGTATAGGTATGGATGTGGCATGCTGGCGTCGCTCATTACAGGGACAAATGAAAGAGGCTATGCAGAAGCACGCGCTTACTTGCGCTCAGTGCCGGTGGCCTTCTTGCAGAGAAGACCCTGGCCAAGGATGGGAAGAGTAGCGCAGAGAGCCTGCTGGCCCTTCTTGGCGCAGAGGTCGCGGAAGTGCTTGGCGTTGCGAGGAGTCTCCTGGACTGTAGATGGTGATATCATGTTAGTGGACTTGATCTCGCTGATAGATGAAATATCTTGGAAGACAACTTACCGGTAGAGACGTCGAGGCAGGCAAGGCTGAGAATGTCAACACCACCGCAGACGGGGCTGGAGTAGAGAGTGCCGGGGCAGGCGTTGTAGTCGCGGCCGTTGTCGTTGTCGTCACCACCGTAGTCGCCACGGGCCTGGACGGGGACAGTAGCGGCAGCGACGGCAGAGATGAGAGCGGCAACAGCAAAGAACTTCATTGTGAATGTGTATGTGGGTGGTTTCTTTAAGAAGAAGAGTTGTAAGAGTTGTAAGAGTGGATTGGTTGTTGTAGTTGTAGTGTGATGAGGATGAAGGGAAGAAAGTTGAGGATGGGAGGGAATCAAGAGTCTTATTTATACGTGAGTGTGATACTTGATGTCAATACTCTGTCCTGATACTCCCCAGCCTTTCGTTCTATTGTCAAAGAATGGAAAGGCAGCACCGCAAGGGAGCATCACCACCATCACAGCTACCAGATGCCGAGAGTGTCACTGTAGAACAGGGCGGCTGGAAGAGAACCAAGGCTATGCGACAAAGACAAAAAGCCATTGTCATGCCGGTAGAGACATTGGAATATCACCGCCACGGTGGCCTTGTTACCCAGCCGGCCGGCCAACCTCTGCCTTGGCTACCGCACACCCACTTCCCTGCGAGGATTCCACCGCACCATACCCTCCCCAATTTTAGAAACCGTCAAAATCACGGCGATCAAGGTATCCCAGCCAATCGGGCATCGCAAGGGGCCGGCAGACTACATCGGGGCGCTTAACTGACAACGAGCGGCTTGCAACTGGGTATCGCCACGGAAGCCGGGACGCACTGCCACCACAGCCCCCCTGTAATGTGATGATAAATGAAACTGTAATAAAAAGGACAACGAGGATTTTCTCTGTAGATTGTTACCTCATAGTATGTGCAAGCTCCTGAGCGTTGCAGTGGTGGATTCCATTGTCGTCTCAACGTAACATCAGGCGATACGACAGTCGCACCGCCACGGGAGATTCACAGTCTAGATCCTATCTTCTAATCGGAACACCGCGGATATTATCACAAATATCTTCTTTGCGATGGTTGCGATGCGAAGGATTACCATCTCACAAACATAACGGTAACGTGTGATAGCGATATGCGTAAGGGCATTGTTCAGTTACAACACGAACAAACATGTATGCTGTTGAAAGATGTCAAACTATCAAATGAAAAAAGAGAGACTGAGAGAGACTGGGTAATAAAAAAAATAACTTGAAATAATCAAGACTCAGCGATACCAGTCAACCAGTGCATGCTTCTGCGATGATGTGGAGCTACGTTGTTAGTCCAAAAAAAAAATAGATGAGTGCCCTCACCCCGATTTGAACGAGGGATCCCCGCATTACTGAGAATTGTTAGTTGAGCTCGGAAAGTGGAACTGATTGAAAACCTACCAAGTGCGATGCCTTAACCACTTGGCCATAAGGGCGATGGTGGGGCTTCACTTATCTTAGAATATATTCTTACCAACTGTATACGCCTTCCTATTGTGGTCATCGCTCATTCCTCTTCCTTGCTGGCGGTTTTGTAATCAGCGCCCTAATAAGTCCACAACGACCATACTCTTCCACGTAAATTCTTCTCTTCTGATATTTAATCCATGCTAATAGAAATGAAAAGCCAACACAGCCATTGTGTTTTATGGTGTGCATCGTTTACCCTGGAGCTGCTGTTCACCTTATCTCGTCTTGTGTACCCTGGTTATTACGACTTCATGGTACCTTTGACGTACAGAGAAACACATATTCAAGCTAAATAAAGAGAACAAGTTTGCAGAGCAGAATTCCTTCATGTGACGCATCGTACCATGGAGAGAATATGGCAGCACTGGATACTGGATCAACTAGTAGTTACGAGTTGCATCATGACATAAACGAAGTACAATCTTCCCAGATGCAGTACCGAATGAATCGACTGTCCGTGCATGGACTGAAAAGCCGTGGTTATACGAGACATTTGAGCACCCCATAAATCAAGGGCCACTAAGAGAGGCAATTGCTTTCTTCTCAACGAAGCGAACGATGACCGGATTGAATAATTGGCTACAAACAATCCCCCAACAGTCTCGCTGGGTTCGCCCATTACTGCCTAGCTTTGAGATTGCACATGGTCAGAATGCGGTACTGTTTCTGTTGTTCTGCCCAAAGTTTAACCAGTCAATTGAGCAAGAGACTGCCGATAAATACCCTAGCGACATGGCATTTACTACGGCCTATTGGTGACTTTTTACGGGAATCGACTCAACACATTCCTCTATATATCAATTTTCGCAAGGAATGCATGCGTATCGGGAATCGCTGCCAAGCGACATCGAAGCACATATCTGCGAAATGAGTCGAACACGTCCAGGCAATTCAATTAACCATACCTCCAGTGGATCACTATGGCGAAATATAATTGCGCTATCTATTGAGACGAAACTCGGATCGAGACCAATGGATGAAGGGATTGAACAAATTGCAGCATGGCACTGTGAACAATGGAAGAACTTTCAGCATAGCCGAAAATCGGTTAACAATGTTGTCTTTCTTCCCGGCATCCTCGTGTACAAACATACATGGTACTTTCTCGCGATAACCTGTAAAGACTGCAAATCAACCACATGGGAAGGTGGAATTATTCTGGGCACAACTCGCAATGTTGCCGGCGTCATACAACTCGTCAAGTCTCTTAAAACACTGAAGCAATGGGTGGAGCAGGTTTTCTGGCCTGCAGTGGCCTTGGATCTTCTAGATGTAGACATCAGTACGTGCGATGAGTTACCTTGACGGTGTTTTAATGGTAGTGGTCTCGCTAGATGACTAGTGGTGTAATCAGTGTAATCGATGAAATGCGCTTTCTCCTTGATATTCTCTTCTGATCTGTTTGTTCATACCGTGACGCCGCCCGAGTCTGTCTCATGGGGTTAAGCGCTTGGCGACGGCGAGTCTTGTTTAACAGCTGTGTCTTGGGATAGGGAGAACTGGTGTAGAGGGTGTGTGTGTGTTCACGAGAATAACAGGGAATATGCGCAGCGCTTGGCGAGTCTGGGCTCGACGGCGACAGCGTTTTGGTAAGTTTTACATGATTTTAATTCCTCTTCTCCTGAGCTTATAAATCCCAGGATAATAAGAGAAACTGCTACAATCTGCTCTGCTCATTGGGTTCAAATAGTATGCCTACCCCCAAACCGGCCGCTCGCTTAGCACCTTGAGGGCGGCGAAAGCAAGACAAAAAACGAAGGACTGACGATGTCACAGCTAGCGCCGGAGTTTCTGTGTCAACTTGCAGACTTTGGTCACGAACTACCTGCAGCCAGGCACCGCATGCATGCTGGCACCCAACCGGCAGAGCGTAATGGACAGGGGCGTTGCATTGAAGGGCTGGGCCGCGGCTCGTGGCACGTTGTGAGTCTCGCGAAACGACGTTGCCTTTCGACAGGACGTACATTTTGGTGTCCATGCTAGAAAGGCAAGCGGTGAGAGCAACCCATCTATGCTGCTTCACAGGATATCATCTTGTTTTGCAGCGTGGGAAGGGGGAGACCAACGGCTGGCGTTTTTAGAGTTGCAATGTAAGCGATCACTTGTGTCGCCCCTCACTCTTAGTAGACGCAAGTAAAACAAAGGGCCAGTTCGGAACATGCCGCATAATAGTTTGCACGAACCAACCCGCGTCCAAGGAACAAAGCGTTCGTCGACTGGAGAACAGAACGGAACTGGTGCGTGCGTGCGTGCCCACTGCCAGATCTTCACATGATGGCGCAAGGCCCAGCGCAGCCGCGGCAGCCCAGCAAGTTTCCCCTCTCTTTGGCCGGCCTGTAGCTAGCTTCGACGCCACAATACTATAAACACCATGCTTGTTTGGGCTGTAAGCACGAGGTATGTCGATGCAGAGTGGCATCCGAAGCGGGCAGCGCCCGAGCTGGTGCTGCACAGGCAGAGGAGAGCACGCAGGGCCGCCACCACTTAAACTGGGGTTCATGGTTAGCGCTATAACGAAAATGGGCCTCGATTAATACAGTAGCGTGCGCGCCGCTAATGCTATGCGAAAATGGGGAATGCAAAAGACACCACCAGAGCGCGTTGTGTGTGCGTGTGTGTCGGTGGCTTGCGCGGGATTTCGTGCCTTGGCTTAACAAAATCCGGGGGAAATAAGAAGTGTGTGCCACTGGCCACTTTAATTCGCCTTTGAAAAACAAGACCCCTGGTTGGAGGCGTTTTTTCAGCTGCCGGCCTGAAATTTAGCGAGTGGTTGTCGCCTGGCCCACAGTGGACAGGAGTTTCCTTCAGCACCAGCACCAGCACCAGCAGCAGTAGCGTGGGCTGCTCCACTGTAGGCGGTGTTTCTTTCGGCGGGTGACAGGTACCGTTTTAGCGGAGACCCAGTTGGTCACTCAGCGTCACTCCAGGCTGCGTGAAGGAGGAGAAAGAAGAAATCGGCGTTCGGCAGTTCCCCTGCCCCATCTCAGCGATTATTATGTTCGTTTTTTGCTGTCTGTTATTCTTAATTGGCGTATTTTTTGCATTGAAGGAAATTCACTTGTGATTGTGATTGCGTCTTTGCGTGTAATTTCCACCAACGCATGGACGATCTTCATTCGCGCTCTCTGCTTTAGCGGTCGGAACTAACCCTTTACCACCGTTGCAACGCTACCAGCAGCCTATACAAAAGCCCACTATCGGCGCTATAACGCCTCCCACCCCAGAAGTGCAGCAGCAAAAAAACGCCACTAACCCGCTGTTGGTGATCCCTGCCCGTGCTTACATCCAGCCTTGTCCCAATCCGTACTCGTCCCCCGCGTTTGTCTCCAGCAAGGGTACAAAGTACATTCTGCGGCAGCAATAAACACCCTAATTACGGGGCATAAACCAGGTTTCTTCCCAATTCCGCGCTGTTTTGCTGCTGTAGAGTACCTAGTAGCTTACAGCCCCCCCCTCCACTCCCCAGGATCGGTGCCGCGTTCTCCGATTTCCCTATTAAAGAACTACCCACACCCACACTCGCATCCTTTCATCTCTTGATTTCCTCTAGTTTTCTACACAAAACCCTTTCCCAGCTTCCTCTTTCAACAAAAAAACCATGAAGTTCTCTCTTGTCCCCCTCACGGCCCTGCTTGCCGCTGCCAACGCCGCCAACTACATCCCCTCGGCCATTGCCGACATCACCACCGGCACCGTCGCCCTCAACCAGACCGTGGCCAACTGGTTCGGCGGCCCTCTTGGCCTGCTGCCCATTGTGGCCAAGAACAACGAGCTTCTCGACGCCATCCACGACGGCACCGACAAGGTCACTGCTTCGGACCCCCTCGACTTCCAGGGCGCCATTGACGTTGCCACCTCTGCCGTCGCCCTCCAGACCGACGTCAAGGACACCATTGACACCATCATCCGCACCAAGCACAAGTTCGACATCTACCTCATCGTCTCCCCCATCATCAAGTCCAACCTCAAGAAGCAAAAGGCTGCCACTGCCGACTTCTCCAAGGCCCTCATCTCCAAGATCCCCGTGGACCTCCGCCCCGTTGCTGAGGGTCTCATTGGCGAGATCAACGCCCAGTTTGACCGTGGAATCAGCGCCTACTAGACGAGTAGAACAGCAGGACAGAAAACTGGATGCTCAAATGTACGCCGCTCTACGATTTAGGAAAGCTACGATGAAGAACAATGAACTGCTACCGCGCCGCTCGTAAAGAAGACAACCAGTGGGCATAGCTTGTACATGAGGGTCCGATAATGTCGATTTCTTTGTACATACTTTATTTACATAGTCTACTACCCCTACTGCAAATACGATTTAAAACATCTTTTTGTATACATGAACTCTTCCAGACGTAATCCGTTTCTTCTCCTTTGTTTGCTGTAAATGGAATTTTGGAGTATATATCCTAAGCTTACTTTTTTTCAGCCCTTCATTCCACTACGCCTTGCCGTTAGTCTCGGCACCCTCAATCTTCAAGTCGGCCTCAGTGACGTTGCATCGCCAGTTAAAGGTATCATCAGCCTTGCCCAATTGGATCGCCTTGAGCTGTGTGAGCACCTTTAAGCAGACGGGGCCAGCATCGTCTTGGGAGTCGGAGATATAAGTGACAGTCTCGCTCTCGGCGTCGCGGGCAACGTTGACAGCGTTGGGCAGCTCAGCAGTGCCACGGCGGGTAATCGATCGAATGGGGACGAGGGCTGCTGCGGTGCCAGCAGCCATGACTTCGGTAAAGAAGGGGAGCTCAGTGTACTTGATGGAGCGCTTTTCGACCTTCCAGCCGTAGCTGCGGCCAATCTCCTGGACACTGTCGCTAGTGACACTGTCAATCACACATGCGCTGTCGGGAACCACAAGCGTCACGTCGTTGTTGCCCTTGTCAATAACGCCAACGAAACCAGAGGTGCTGAACTCGTCAATCTCCTCGTGACGCGCACTGTCGAGATGCAGTGTGATGCCGTAGCCTTCTGTGCGGGCCTTGTCACTCCATCGAAGAACGGGAGCATAGTTGCCGCCAATCTTGGCGTTGCCAGTACCCTTGGGCGCTGTGCGGTCAAAGTCGTCCAAGATGAGCGCCTTGACGGGGTGTGTGCCGTGGTAGACACCGGTGGGGACAACAAAGACGCAGAAAGTATATTCTTCGGGGGCAGTCAGGCCAAGCTGAGCACTGGAACCGTACAGCTGAGGGCGGACGTAGAGCGCAGCTCCCGTCTCATGGGGTGGGACGAAGCCAGCGTTGAGGGCCACAGCGGAGCGGCAGGCCTGGACGAACATGTCGACGGGGACGGGGGGCATGGAGGCGACATCGGCAGAGTGCTGGAGGCGGACGGCATTGCGATCGGGGCGGAAGATGGCGAGACCAGCATCACCAGGCATGCGGAATGCCTTCAAGCCTTCGTAGGCCTGCTGGCCGTAGTTGAGAGCCGGCGACATGCCGTGGATGCGCATGAATGGGTCGGCCACAAACTTGAGCGGCGTCCATTGGCCCGTCTTCTTGGAGTATGTGGACTCGATGTGTCCATTGACTAGTGCGCGATAGCTGTTAGTCGTTTGGCTGGGCACCGTTGGGCACAATGCTACTACTACGTACCTTCGCGGACAAGGAAGCCGACGTTGGACCAGTCGATGGTGTCGACCGGGGGAGCAGGGAAGGCGGTCATTATGAATGAATTGATGTAGATGTTCGAATTGCGTTTCGACTGTGAGAGAAATCAGTTCCAGGCGGTCTTGTTGGAAGAAAAGAAAAAAGGTCAACTCGGGGTTGTAGGAAGCCAGAGATGAGTCGACGGGACGGACAGCTACGGGTGGAGGGGGAGGGGCCAAAAGCATGTGGAGGGGCAAACTTACTCGTGGGCCGTTGAAAATGGAAGCAAACACAAAAGAAGCTTGCTGTAAAGCGAAGTAAAAAATCGATTGAGAAAAAGACGTTGATCACAAAAGAAGAAAGATGAAGAAGAAAGAGAAAAAGGCTAAAAACGGTGGAAGAAAGGTAAAGAGGCACGGCGCCGGGTAGAGGGTTTCTCAGCGGAAGCAGCGCTGTTCCAGCTGGAGAGGTGGGGCCGATGTCGGGTTTGCTTGCCAGCTGTCAGAGGCCTGGCAAGCCGCCCGAGACGCGGGACGCTCCGTTTGCGGTGACATCTTTTGAGACAATGAAACCCAAAGTTTTAACTTGCATCGGACTGTATTCCGTCAAGCTAAGAAAATAAAATTGAATAAAATAATTCGCGAATAAATGTACACCGATAACCAAAATAGAAATGACAATTGCTTCGTCTCGAGGTAAAATGAAAAATAATAATAATGTTACACGCTGGCTGCCCGCAGACAGCTCTCAATACCACGTGTACTGGTATAATTTGGATCAAATTTTGCCGCCCTAAATTTGAGCATAAGTCCTGAGTCTCCAGGATCCAGTCTTATACTATGATAGGCGTGCCATTAGCCTCATATATGATCCTCGCCTGCTCATTCTCTTGACCACTGGCACCATGCTATCGCCTTTGTCAAGAAACGGCCGATGCCGCTGGGCGACAGACCACCCTTTAGGTCAACCATTCTCGTGATGCCATCAAAGTGCATTATCGACGTATCATAGCTATTACAGAGAAACTGCAAGCCTCAATAGTTAGAAAACAAGATCCCATACATGCTGGTTGGCGGCAACACTCGCCTCATCAGTAGCCATGACCATTGTTTTGGCAATGGTTGCGTCACTGATATATGGTAGCTCCGTCACAATGGCCGTATTAACGGACGAAATGCATTCAATCTTATACTTGAGGGCAAGTTCCGACCAGTTGGCTTGACCCTCTCCAAGGGCATCTGCTCGTCGATTATGCAGCAGCATGTTTCGGCACGATGCTAATAAAACGGCTGCCAGCAGTCCAGGGTCTGTAATGATAAATGGGAGCCAAAAGGAATTTACTAGCTCCAGGAATAAGTCTTCTTCACCGCTGTGGTTGCACCATGCTGGCATTTCTGGAATTACAGAGGTCGCATCTTCAAAGGTTAGCTAAAACGCGGGTAGTTTTGACATGTGGGCTATGTCGACTAACAGTAACTCAGCAGCTGCTGCTCCAACGGGACCAAGGGTCTCACGCAGATTTGAAAAGTATGTGTTGAAAGTGAAGTGAGCAGAACATGGCGTCTGTCCTCGGGGTCTGCATGCCGTCGCAAAGCAAGGCTGCTACCTCGCGAGGCGTGAGCATGATTGGCCACGTGTCTTCGAACTATGGATAAAGATGTTGGTGATGTCGTCTCGCGCAGGTTAGATACGTTGACGAATTCCACCTCTATTTGTCGATTTGTTCTTCCGGTGTCTGTGGATGTTGCGGCATCAGCGGCGGGGTTTGGTGAATTTGTAACGGCAGGTTTGTAAGCGCGCCAGCGTCGGTTTGGCCGGGAATCCTTGGTAGTTGGCATATTACTAGACAGTTGGAGAAGTTGCAAAATTATGTGTATAGTTTCTGTCTGGGAAATTTCTAGATGCGCACGCGCCTATGGTCATCACGGTGGTTTGTCAGCCACGATCGAGGCGGTCGCAGCGGAGTTTGTACAGTGGGGTTACAACTTCCCAAACAGGCAATTTTTTGATCCTCACCAAATGTAATTACATATCACAAGCTATGGGAACAACAATACCACAAAATATGTTTTACTTAAATATCTACATTTATTCCCAGCTTTTTAATTCTAGCTACTCCAATCATACCATTCACCACAACAGCATATTTTATTGGCACGATTACCCCTATCTAAACTGCCACAGCTTGACCAGCCACAATGACCAAAGCACAAGCATTCAACCCCAAATTCGACATACCCGATCTCAAGGGCAAGGTAGCTCTAGTTACGGGCGGAAAGTAAGTTATTCCATTTCTTGGTGCTAGGCAGAACTTATGCTGACCTTCATCTTCCAGTGCTGGTATTGGCCTTGCCACAGTCAAACACCTTGTGACCAACGGCGCCAAGGTGTACTTTACAGCCCGGTCCGAGGCCAAGGCCAAGAGCACGCGAGATCACATCTATGCATATGATGCCACCGTGAAGCCAGAAAATTTGGTTTGGATCCCTCTAGACCTAGCAGATTTGACGAGCGTGGTGCAGGCGGCGCAAAAGCTCAAGAGCCTGGAGACTAGGCTGGACATATTGGGTATGTACAACCCGTGGGTGCAAGACGCCTTCTTCTTAACTGACCGTTTTTTAGTCAACAATGCGGGAATGGCCACGCAAGAACCACAAGCCAACAATGCTGGATGGGAAATGACCTACGCAGTTTGGCAAGTAGCCACATTCACTTCTGGCCTCTTAGCACGTATATGCTGACAACACAAATAGTCACATGGGCCATTTCACACTGACAAATCTTCTCCTACCATTGCTCAAGGCCGCCGCAACAGACTCAACAACCATACCACGAATTGTGACCGTCGCTTCCGCCGCTGCCGTCGCATTCATACCAGCAAATTACACCCTATCATTCACGAACCCGACTTTCCTCAGCGTCAACACTAAGACGCCTCTTGCAATGCCATTCCGTCTTGCCAGCCCAATCTTTGCCATGGACGTGATGCGCTACAGCCTCGCCAAATTGGCCAACATTATGGTCAACGTGAAGCTGCAGCGACTCCTAGACGACCAAGGGTTGAACATTCTCTGCATGTCTGTTAATCCGGGCGCGGTAAAGACGGAAGGTGGTGTTGGTGTTTGGGCCTGGCCTATGAAGTATCTGATGAAACGTGTCATGGTTAGTGAAGACGAGGGGTCGTGGAACTCGTTGTTTGCTGCCACAGCAAAGGATGTTCAGGCGAGCCCAGACAAATATCGGGGACAATATTTGGATGTGATAGGCAAGGTTACGCCCGTTCCTATTCTGGAGCGGAATGAGGGCCAGATAGAAGGGCTCTGGGAGGTTACAACAGACGAAATCAACAAGCATCTAGGAGGGCTTGGCCTGGATGCGCTGGCTTGAAGTATAGGAATCGGTGCGAGTGGGGCTACTACTTTGCTTTGTATAGTGTGAATTATAGTGCTATTTTTTGTTTTGCTTTTCGTCATATATACTACTTGGAGCTTAACCACCGTACGTGACGAATAGCTCCACATCGGTAAGAAAATTGCACTTCGCGATTGTGCGTCTCCAGTTGAAGAAAGATATAACATTTGGTGATATTTGGTCCACGGCAAGTTATACCCGCTCCCCATCACGCCACTCTTTGATACTCACATGTGCGCGCTGTCCTTTGCAAAGTTTCATTACCTCTTTGTACCAATTCTATCAAAGTATATCAACTTGCAACCCGATGTAGTCAGCTACTCTACCATGGTACTGAACCAGCTCCTTGACATCGAGGATGCGCTGGTAACTCCGACAAACCCCGTACGTGCTGATGGCAACCTTGACGTCGTGCGCTGTGCCAAGCTACACAACCATCTCGTGGCGCTGAGCTGGATGGAAAGGCACCAAAAGTCAGCCCACGAGTTGAACGAGCTCACAGACTCTCACCGGTCCTATTTTGACGTGTTTGGCCACGAGGCTGACGAGGTTCGCCAACGGTTGGATTCCCAGCTCGCGAGTTTCCTCGAGTCTATAATTGTACTACCTGTAGTAGAGGACAAGTCAGAGCTATTTCTTTGCATACAAAGGGTTGCTGAGCCTGACTGTATCCAGGATGAATACATTCTTGAAGCTTTCCACGCTGAGGACGATCGCACTGACTAAGACGACGATATCCCACTATTTGCCCTGTTATACACGATGGTGGCGAACCTCGCGCCTCACTCGCTTGGTATCGTTTGCCACCAGCAGTTGCGCCAAGTTGCCTTTGTCCCGACAATATGGGAGGTAGAGTCAGTCTTAGAGCACGACGATGTTTGGGTTCCTCTAGAGAGCCTTTTAAGCCATTGGATCAATCGAGTGCGGCGGGGTAAGGCCTCGCTCGGAGAGAAGCGCTGCTCTATCGACGATGTGATGGGCGTTTGACGTTTCGATGCATTTGGAGATTACCATGTAGCGAGCGCAGTTGCCGCGTTTGACAGGTTGGTCACATCGATAGAGCAGCGCATGAGTGCTCCCAATCTGCTACCCGTATGCAGCGACAAGCGCCTGCTTACTGATGCCGACTTGGACGCTGCTGGGGTGCCCGAGAAGTACTTTGCGAGAGCGTTCTTGACGCAGGCTCGTACGCCGCGCTTGGCTAATATCGCGCCTGGGATTGCGGTACCACACGACGCACGCGCATTTGCCGCTCGTCAGGTCTTCACGCGACTTCAACAAGGCGGTAACGACGACATTGACGACGATCATCTGATGGTTCCCCCGATCCCCATGTTTGCATCTTCCGAAGACCGCACGACCGGCTTTGAGACTGCTGATCGGTATATAAGCAAGAATCCGTTCCTGCGAGAGTTTCACCTCGCCCCTGGTAGTAACAACCATGCTCCGGCCGGCGTATATAGCGAATCGATTAAGCTAGGGTCAATGGAAGCAGCCGGCGATGGCTTTCAGCTCCTGCTTCCCTTTGGCCTCATTGGGGCCAAAGACGGCGCCAGGTTGAGTGATGGACTTCCTTTAGCTGAGGGTTCGGTGGCCGCCTTGTTCCAGCATGGGAGTTTCCCTCTGGGAGGCGTCGATCGGGCGCAAAGGCTGGAGAGATTGTTTTATGCCTGGGTTGGTCTGATTGAACGTGGCGTGTGGCAAGCAGGGCCAACTGGTGTAGAGGGATCTATAGAGGTGTTTGGAGATGCCGATACTGCTTGGCAGGACTACTGGATTCCCCTAGATTTAGATATTTAGCGATGTTAGATGGATGTTATTGAGAGTTCCGTTACATTTCCCGTAGTGTATTTTGCTCAACACTGTATATCACGAAATACCTCCGCAACAGTAAGAAAATTGGAAATGGCAGTTGTCTTGTGTTGACGTAAAAATAAAAATAAGATAATGTTACACGCTGGCGTTGGCTCCACGGCTGCCCGCAGCTAGCTTTCAACACCAGCAAAACAAAAGGCTGGGATATATTGCAAGACACATCACAGGGCTGCCCCCGTCGTCGTGACTGTCAATCATCAACTAATACACACACGGCTTGTCGTCATGCTGCATCATGTCTCTTGTTCTATGTTTGTAGCAAAGGAACCCAAAATCCTTTATGCCCATCTCCATATCGCCAATCTACCAGACACAAGGAAAATAAAAAAAAAAAAAACAGCCGCCTCCTTTGGTCCACTGCATCTGTTGTTATATATATTGCCCCGATGCTCATAAATGGATTTCTTTTGTAAATAAGGGGCGAAGAAACCACGTAGAAGAAGCGAATGTAGTAAAAGAAAATGAAAGAAAATGGAAAGAATGAAATGAGAAAGAAAAAAAGTCAATAGCAAATGCTCGCTCAATGGCAATGCAAAGTCAACACAGCCTTCATAGACTGTGCTTCAGTCGGATCTTCGTTAAACGTCATCTACTGGCTACCGGCCAGCTTTTGCAAAAATGTGAGAACGCCTACAAGCTCCAGTTAGTACATACAATCTCATATAGGTTCACCAATAAGAAAGGAAGATACATACCGCTGACGCCCTGGGTTAGAGTGGCTGCTGCCTCGGTGCTCCTGTTACCAAGGCTAACAGTCATGACCTCCTTGACCGATTTCTCGGCACCAAGACTGTTGGCCCAGTTGAAGACCTTTTCGTCTTCGCGGCCGTCACCAATCACCATGAGGTAGTCGATGGGCGCGGCGTGCTGGTTGTTGCCGTCAATGTGGTTGCGCAATCGCTCAAACACCTTTTGGGCAGCTGTGCTCTTGGACCAGTCAATGGGCTCGACAACAATGGAGCCCTCCAACTGAATGGCGTGGACACGCATGCTCTCGCAAGCATCGTTGACGTGGCTCGCACAGTCTGCGGCTAGGCGAGAGGCAGACTCAAAGTCCTCGGCATTGTTGAAGTGGAAAATCAGACTGCAGCGTCGCTCTTCCACCTCGGCACCAGGGGCACGTTCCAGATAATATGTTAGGATGGACTTGACTGACTTCTTCCAATCCTTAATTTGGGTCGTGTCAGCCATTTCCTCCCAAGTGCTGCTTCCAGAGTCACGCAGGAAGCAGCCGTTTTCTGCAATGAGCCCCAAGTTGGAAACACGCTGGAAAATGCGGTCAAGCTCTTCCGGTCTGCGTCCAGACATGACGTAGATTGTGTTACGCTGGTCGAGCAGCAGCTCGTTGAGTACGTCCACGGTGCGCTGCGGGCTGACGGGGATGATTTGGTTGACCGGACCCCAGCTAACAAGCGTGCCCTCGTAGTCTAGGATAAACAGGCGTCGCTCAGACTGGTTGTACTTGGCGGTGGCCGTCGGTATCGATAGTCGTGGAACTGACGTCTGGTCACGGCGGTGCTGCGTATCATAGGCGCGATCGAGGCGGCCAAGGAATTCGCTGCACCAGTGCGAGCCAGTGTGCACAACGACGGCGTTGTACAAAAAGTCCCACCTTGCCTTCTTCTCCTCTTCATCCATTTCAAGCGCCTGCTTGATGGCATCAGCGCACTGGCGGTAGTCCCAAGGGTTGACGGAAAGTTCACGCTTTGCAAAGAGCGACGAGGTGCCGGTGAACTCAGACAGGATCAGTGATCCGTATTTCTTCTCGGGGTAAATCTTGCCGTCCTGGCAAAAGAGATATTCGTGTGACGTCAGGTTCATGCCTTCGCGCTGGCTGGTAATCATGAGTGCGTCGGCAATGGTGAGAAGAGCGAGGTACTGAGCGTAATCAATATCCTGCTTGAGGTAGACGACGGGTTGGTAGGCCAAGTTGGCCCATGAGCTGTTGACCCGGGTAACAATGTCGGAAACTGTCGCATCAAGGTCACCCTTTTCACTAGAGGAGAGCGCTACCTGAATAAGGACAGTGTTTTCACGCCACTGAGGGTTCTTGTTGAGGAACAGTTCGTAGGATAGAAGCTTCTGGCGGACACCGCGGACATGGTCAAGTTTATCACGGGCGACAATGAGCTTCTTGCCCTTGTAGCGCTCCTGGAGAATCTGGAGCCAACTCTTGACGCCCTCACTTTCGCGATGCTTGTCTAAGCTAACAGGATCGATTCCGATGGCGAGATTAACGACATCAACGAATCGATCCTCGAGCTGAAGACCGTCTGGGGTGGCCTCTACGGTGAGAAGTCGGCTGCAAGTCTGCAAAAAGTGGCGGTTGTACTCGTGAATCTGGAAACCGACGAGGTTAGCGCCGAGGATGCCTTCTAGCAGCTCACGGCGAACAGCAAGACATCGGAAGACTTCAGACGACGGGAAAGGTACGTGCAGGAAGAACCCGATTTTCGCATCGGGCAGCTTCTTGCGTACCATGCCGGGCACAAGCAACAGGTGATAGTCGTGGACCCAGATGACATCTCCACGCTTCCAGTTCTTGACAATCTTGTCGGCAAAGGCCTGGTTGACGGCAACGTAGAATTTCCACGAGTGGTCCTCGTAGGCCTTGCTCTTGGGGTTATCCGGGATCTGATAGTGGAAGACGGGCCAAAGAATCTGCTTGCAGAAGTGGCTGTAGTGACCGTCAAAGTCCTTGTCGGTGCAGAAGACGGGAAGCATGTCATGCTCGGTAGCCAGGGTATCCTCGATATCCTGCAGCTGCTGGGTGCCTTCGAGCGCTTCTGTAGGCATGCCCAGCGTACCAACCCAAGTGTATTCTCCAATGCTGTGTTCGCGGCTGGCAGCCTCGACAGCATTGCGAAGACCACCGTTGCCTTGGTCCGCGCTGACGACGCGCCAGGGTGCCGAGGCGAAAACACGATCGTGGCTATCGCTGCGGGCATGGGATCGAGGCTGCATTACGCCGCGACGGCCAAGCTCCTTTGCCTTGTTGAGCGTGCGACCCTTTTCAAAGACCTCAGCGGCAGGCGGCGAGTTAGCCCGCGATCGCGGCTGGTTGTTGCGGTTGCCCCATGACTGGGAGAGCTTGGCGGGAGAATCCGTCTCGTGGGGATATTGAATGCTGAAGCCATCCTCGTTTGTAAAGATGTCGGGAGTGCGAGCTTCTTCGACAGGAGTCTGGGGTGGTGTCAAGTCGGGGCGCTGAGGGCTAAAGAGACTTGGCTGGGCTTCCTCTTGCGCGGCTGCTGGACGAGGCTTGATGGGTTCAACGGTCGAAGTTCGTCGTTTTCGCAGTGCCTTGAGAGACGAGGGTGTTCCAGGGAGCTGGAATTGGATCGTCTTGGGCAAGAAACTATACAAGACAAGACACAGCAAAAGTTAGTAGAGCTCGCGGGGTCGCGACGGGTTGGCGCGGCTTTAGTTTTAGAGATGACAGTACATACAGCGAAGCAACAAAGACAGTCATGCTGGTAAATAGTGATAGAGCGTGGCTCTACCTTCCAACAGGGCTCAATCTGGTAGAGACAGAAAGAGAGAAGCGCTGTGCTGCAAAAAGTCGGGATGAGGAGAAATAATTGGGTGAGAGACGGCAGCGGGGCGCGGGGCAGCTGGAGGAGAAGTAGCAGCTTTTTTGGTGGAGAGCTTTCCAAGGTTGGAGCGGGTGAGCAGGGCAGGTGGGGGGGAAGGACGACTCAGTGGCTACGCCATGGGCTGTGTACAAGTGGAAGATGATCTTGAAGATGATGAGAAGAGGGAAGAAGGACGATTGTGTATCAGCATGAATGCGGATGTTGAGGAGAGAAAGGAAGAACAAGACAAGGAAAATGCAAGGGAGGCTGTCAGCGCGGTTAAAACAAACCAGCCTGGGTGCTCGCTGGCCACTGCACAAAGTTGGAGGTACAGCACAGTACAGTGCCGAAAAGCAGCTGTGTGTGGGCTGCGGCCGAGGGGGGGGGTGCGGTGCGGTGGTGCAAAGTGGGAATGTCCAACGGACACTGTTAGTGGACGACTAGCACTGTACGCACTGGTGGTGGCCGCTAAAAGCAGCCAAAGACTTGCCTAGGTGCTGTGCCTTGGCCAGTCGCGCCACACGGGCCACTGTGTCTGTGAGCCTAGCGCATTTACAGCAGTGATTGTAACCAAGGCAGCCAGCCGGAGCACTGCGATAAGCCACCTAAGACAACCACCACTGGGACCAACCGCCAGGGAATAAAAAAAAAAGGATGACGATATCGACTCTCCTCACCCAATGAAACGCAACATAGCCGCCAAAAAAAAGAACTGGCTGTGCATCCCTCGTCCATGCTCTTTACCTGACACAGTGAGCGAATTATCTCCATACAACAACGTGTGCCTGTCTATACAATGCGTGTGGCAGCACTAGCAGATAGTGCCAGCAGAGCCCTTGTACGTACCCAATAACGGTCCCTGTTTTAGGCGCCTGCCAGCAAGCAATCACATCACATCACGCACGAACCTCTTCCAACAAAAAAATAAAAATAAAAATGATACTTGCCGTGTTCCGCCTTACAAGGGCCACGATGTCAGTCAGGCTTCACAGCTGAGGCACCACCAACCACCAACGCACCGTCCGGCTCCCGTGGACCAGCGAGCGAGGATCCCAGCTCCGCTAGCGCGTAACTCACCCCCCGGAGCAAAGGCGACGGCCCATGCCCATCCAGCCAACAACGTTAGCGCCTCTTACATGCCGCCTGCGCCCAGCTTCGCTTTTTTTACTATTGATGGTGTCATTGCAATCGTGATTGTCAATCTTTGCCGGAAAGCAGCACAACAAATAAGCCAAGGCCGTTGGAGGCGTTTCGACTCAGCCTGGCTGCCTGCGTAAACAGCTTGTCTTGTCACATTTCGACTTCTTCTTCTCGACAGAACGAAAATGCCATAATAATACCACGATCAATGCATCGCCCGCCGAAACGTGGGTCTAAAGCTTGCTCCAAATCGAAAAACAAAAAAATCGAGGTCCCATTATAGATGGTTGGGCCGCCTTGGAGTAAGACGCGCCGAGCCTAACCAACCAACCAGCCTGACCAATTCCCACGATGCAGCCCATGCTTTCTCTCTCCTCTTTTTTTTGTGACAAGCAAAAGGGTCTGCAAGACATGCAGGGCCATTGGCGAGGGGGGGGGGTTGTTTAGCAGCGCAAAAATGCCTCCTTTTTCTCTGCCTTGTGCGTTCAAAGATGCAGCGTCATATGCCGTTTCCTGCACAATGAGCCAACAGTGCAGCCCAGCAGCCACACACTATGTCGCCGCATCATCGCCGAGATTTCAGACTTACGTACAGTACTCGGCATACAGAAATACATGGCCTCTCCTTCTCTGCGGCGCGGGGCAATCAATCACAATCCCCTCACCCATTGGAACATTCTGTGCTTCAAGGGCCCCCTTGCCCACATGTGGCATTTGCCTCTCTTCTGATTCGGCCCGCTCCCCAATGCAACAATGCAATGCAGTGTTGGTCAGCGGGTAGTCCCTAGACGCATCGCCTAGGCCGTGCAGCAACAGCTAAACTAACTTCGATTCACCCTTTGTTGCTGGCTCCATGCCTATGGCCCCTCCATTCACCCTGGCAAACTAGCCTATACGCCGTGACATGCCAACTTAGCTGGCTAACTAGTTGCCCCTCTTGCGACTTATACCGCCGCTCTATGTCTGTGATGGGCCTCTTTGCCCAGCACCGGACGAACGCCCTGGTCTCGCAAACGGTCTGGCTCCATGGACCTAATCTTCAATCTAAAATACACACACATGACAAGCATCAGCAGCTCGCTCTTCCCCACGCCAAATCCTCTGGGCGCTTGCTGCTGTGCAACGCGCCTCTTATTACTCTTGAATGCGCTGTTCTCCAACATTTCCCCCACGTTGAATGCTGCCGGGAGGAACACAACAGCCCAATGGCCCAAGGGTTCTTTGCGGCGGCAGCGACCCAGCACCCCTCCAGAGCCGTCTGGTGCAAGATCCTGCGCGTAATATTGCGCCTTTCCGGAAAAGCCTCTCCCGCCTGGGGCCTCGGCGTTGTCTGGGCCCTTGTTTCGCTGTGTAAAAGCCCGGCGCTTCCAAAATCGAAGACATGCAGCGCCGCCGCCGCCGCCGTTCACCCCCTCTTGCGCGCATGATACTCCTCATGACCCCATCCGCTGTCACGGTTTTGTAAAGTTCTTCCCGTTTTCGCTTCTCTGATTCCTTGATTCGTTCGGTTATTGGCCCAGACCTAGACGTGCTAGCACCGTAAACCGTAGCCATTTCACAAGAGCTGCATACAGCACTAGCGTAGCGCCATGTTTGGCATCTCACATTGATGGTTTGGTAAGAAGACTATCATTGTATGCTGGGTTCTATCATTTTTATCCTATATACCTCCTCCAGTGTATCAATATCACATGCCATGGTTAAGCCACGTCTCACTTCCAAAAGCAGTCATAACATCGTCAAATAAAAAAAAAGGATGCACACCAACAGCAAGCGAGCAAGCAACACAAAACGGCAGCTCCGTTAATTCCTCCACAGCCGCACCGCTTTATCCTTGCCTCCACTGCCTACGCGCTGGCCATCGGGGCTCCAATCTACGGCGTATACTTCGTCCTGGTGTCCAGGCAGATCAGCTGCTAGCTTACACGTAGCCATGGACCACACCTTGAGCGTGGTGTCCTTGGATGCAGTAACGAGTAATCGCGAATCAGCCGAGAATGCGCATTGGTAAACCGGAGCGACGTGGCCGCGTAGAGTGTTAATAAATTTCCCGTCACTAAATTGAGTCGCCATTGGTTAGCATACAAAAAGAAAAATCAGGTTAGGTTCAGACGAACCGAGCATTCCATATTTTGGTGTGGTTATCCCAGCCTGAGCTGGCAATCAGGGTGCCATCGGGCGAGAATGTGACATGGTTGACCTGCTTCTGATGGCCCAACATTCTCGCCACCGGCTTGCTGCCTTGGGACGGATCCCACAGATACATGGTAAAGTCGTCGCTGGCGGAAACAAGACGCTCGGCAATGCGGCCTTGCATCTTGGCGGCCTTTTCAAAGCGCTCCTTGGCCTTGCTGCGCTTCTCCTCCTCCGTCGTCGGCGTGGGCGTGTGGTCAAAGTACGAGGTTCGTAGAGCAAAGTCGGTCGAGAGCGCAAGATGGTTCACCCAATGGGCATGAGACGAGAGCGTGTGCAAGAGCGTGCCTTGCTGAGCATCCCAGACCTTGACGGTCTTGTCGTGGCTAGCCGTATAGATCTGTCCCAATCCACCCCACTTGACGCAGCTAACACTGCTCTTGTGTCCCGACAAAACATGTTCAATGGTGCCGTTATCGACGATCCAGATCCGGACCGTTGCGTCTTTGCTAGCGCTGGCAAGACGAGGGGTTCCGTCGCGCCAGAGATGGTACGGCTCCCAAGCGATATTTGTAACCCATTTGGCGTGACCGGTGAGAGGGCCCTTTCCTTCCGGCTTACCGGTCTTGGGATCCCAGAGTCGGACAGACTTGTCCATGCTGCCAGTAGCCAGACGCTTGCCATCGGGCGACCACGCAACACAAAGAACCCAGTGGGTGTGTCCAGACAGAGTGTGCTTCGGTGTGCCGGTTTCCGTATCCCATATTCTCGCTGTCTTGTCGCCAGAGCCAGTTGCCAGCATACTGCTCTTTTCGGGGTTAAACTGTGCTGATAAGATGGCTTCGCCGTGGCCAGGTATTCTGTGGGACATGCGGGTAACTGCTTGGACTTTGAAGACGGCCTGCGGCTCGGCACTGAGCGTGATTGTTGTTTCGAAAGGGTTGTCAATTCCATGGCTCTTAAGAAGCTTCATGAGATCCGTAGGGTACTGGTCAACAATAATGTCGCTATCGGGGATATGGACGCGGAATCGGTACGGGACAAACTCTTCGCGTTCCTGTTACCATCTGTTAGCCCATGTGACCTTAATATTTTGCTTTGAATTGTACCTACTCTTGCCATTAATGTGTTAAGAAGTAATGAGAGGTTCTTTTCGGAAGCATCTGCCAGAGGAACTTCGACAACCCCAGTCTGGTTGCCATCGCTGTCCAGGAACCTGGCCTTGAAAGAGCCAGCCGGGCCGAGCGCGGCAGTAACATCCTGCTGGATTCGCTGTTTTTCGAGGTCCTCGCGACGCTGTCGCTTAGACGGTGGAGGTACTACAGTCGCCATCTTGTTATTGTGTTTGTCGGTAGGCGAAAATCGAGGTTTCGAATATCTGCATGGAATTTTCTTTTGCTCGGTCTGGACCAGACGCAAAAGAATTTGGTGGGGCAGACGGCAGAATCAATAAAATTTAGGCGGTGAAAATGGAGAGCGCCGCAGTGAAATTACCTAGTTAGGAAGTACATGCAGAGACGAAGTTCAGAGCACGAGCAGAATTGGTATAAATAAAATGAAAATTACAATAAAATCGGCAGTATTATCTATTAAGGCTAGTGAGTTTTTGATGGCAGGGTATCAGTTTTGGGGGAGGGGGGGAGTGCAGGCCGTGCAGGCGGTTTGCTGGGTATAATTGAGGGAGACGGGGATCGAATTTAGGCGATTTGCCGAAAGAGAAAACAAAGGCAAAAATTTCGTGAAAATTTATCAACATAGTGAAGAGACCACTAAGCACGTTCATGGAATGACATGATGGTGTGGTGATGGGACACTAGCCATCTGGCCTTGTCGTCCATTGCGCATGCGTTTAGGTGGTGGTTGGTAGTGCTCGAACTGAGGTATGACCATGCCGCCCATGGCTACTGTGCCAGTAGGCTGTTGTAATTGAAATGCAGGCTCTTGCATCAGCTGATTTGCAAGGTCATCGTCGTCATGCGACAGACCAGGCTGCAGTGTAGGTGGCTGTAAATGAGTGATGTCTTCCTCAGGCTGCAGGTTCCGCTTATTTCTATTTCGTCTTGGGGTTTGACTCGGTTGATTCCTGGCCTGTTCAATTTCGTTGTGTCTTCGTTGCTGTACATCCATACGTCTTTGACGCTGCATGTCTTCGTTTTGGACGGCGTAGAGAGCAGCAATGCGAAGTTGTAACGTGGCGAGCTGCTGCATTCGCTCATGCGGCATCATCTTTCGGTAATCCAATTTAAACTGTTTAAATGTTTCACTGCTCAGTCGTAGTGCTGAATCGGATACACCGGCGACTTGCAGAGCTGCTGAGGTTTCCACATCTGGCAGCGGCGCTGTCGGGTCCGCTGTGACGGATTGGTTAGCTGGGTATTTGCTACATGGTGGTAGAGCTTTACGTACCGTCGTCATCTTCCATCATGGATACCGGTTCATGTTCGCTAACTTCAGATGGCGTAGGAGGCTCTGGTGTCCCCGGCTGGTGGTTATGCTGGTCGCAGACAATGGTCAGGACCCATCCACCAGCGCTTTTTCGGTTGACAGCCTTTGCCTTCCACGGACAATCCGTCTTCTTGGTGCTCGTCTTATGCTTGGTAGCCTGGCATTTGTACGGCCTGCCTCCACGATCACACACCAAGTCTATCCGAATGATATCATTGCCTGGCACATCCGCGCCGCCGAGACGCGCCCTGTGCGATCGCGCCTTGACGACTTTGTAGCCTTCCTTTTCCATGCGGTCCTGGAGACTAGCAAACAAGTCTTCATATGTGGCCGATACTCCCGAAGAGGGAGTCACAGCAGCTCCGAGAATGCCAAACATGGCGGGCTGTTGTTTGTTAGTGACTGGATCAATTGCTCAACGCTGTGCCGATTTTGCGTGTGGAGGGTGCGAGTTCTGGTAGTGGGCGGGAGCGGGAAGCGCAGAATAGTGGCTTGATCTGGTTTAGCGTTTGAGCAGCGCGGCAGCACGACGAGTTGAGGTACCCGGTAGACGCTTATTGTTGGAGCCGTGTTAGCTTTGAAATATTATGATAAAGCTATCACAAATAAAATCGTTTTCTGTATAGACTCAGTTTTGAATAAATCTTCTTTTTTTCCCTTTTTGTAAGCAGATTTGCAGGTATTTAATAAAAATGATGGGTAAGGTCACTTTCTTGTGATGTGTAAGTGGCAAATCGCGTCCGAAGTTTGGGACTCAGATGTGTCCCAAAAAGCAATAAAATCAGCAGTAAAATATACGGTACAATTCTCCAATATAATAAAACCACTCTAAAAATTACTTATTCTACTTTTTGTAAAACTAATTAGCGCTCGAGCATTCTACTTCTTAACTGGGAAACGCCGGAGCGCGTGCCTCAGGCATCCACTCTGCCAGCTGTTCACCATCAATCACACAGCGCAGCAGCAAGTATAAGCTTATTCACCATCATGGCTTCTTCTACTCTAAACACTACTAAGGCAGGAAAGCCAGTATCAAGGACAAAAAGATGGGCGCCAAAGACTACCACAGGTTGCATCACGTGCAAGTAAGTGCAATTCACCCATCTTTGGCCCCCACGTATAGACTTTAGATTGATACTGACCAACATAGAAAACGACATGTCAAGTGTGACGAGGCCAGACCAACCTGCCATCGTTGTTTCAAGGCCAAAATAGCATGTGCTGGCTACGCACTGCCTGCAAGAGACTCTAGAGGCCCTTTACCAATAGCACCACGGGTTGGTGCAGCCTACAGTGATGACTATGGTCTACCACTGTGGGATACACCAACAGTAGTCCCGTCGTCAACACGCATGGACATTCGAGATTTGCTCTACCTGGCACCCACACTTATAGAAGCTCGCAGTCTGTTTGGACCTGCCCAGACATATCATTCGGAATACTCACGGATGCACACCCGTGAGCTTGCCACCTACGCCCAATATCTTCCGGCGCGTATAGACTACGATGAGACGCTAGACTGCGCTATTCAATGTGCTTCGGCGTCTCTTCGAGAGTTCTCAGCACACATAGTAACTCATGATACACCCTTTGTCCTTACAAATCCAGCAGTGCTCGCCGCTTATAGCCGTGCTCTGAATAGCCTGCAGAGAGCACTCAGACATCCTGAGCGGTCGAAAACAGCAGAGATATTGTGTGCCACTAAATTATTAATGATATTTGAGGTAGGTAGCGTTTGTTACGCCTGTTTTGTCAAGTGCTTTGTACTGATCTCCGTAGTGTACCAAAGGGACTACGACAGATGCAGCCCTCTTCCAGCATACAAGAGGTGCCGCTTTGCTGATCGAACATCGCGGACCAGAGCAATTCAATTCCGACTTTGACCGTTCTCTTCTAACGAGCCATTTACCATTACTGGTAAGCAAATCATTGCCTCTCCATGTGACCAAGTTACAAAAATTCACTCTTAGATTTGATTTTGTGCTAACAATTATTGTAGTATCTTTCCATGATTCGAACTGGCGAGCACAGCTTTCTCAACGAATCTCGCTGGCTAAATATTATTCAACGAGCCGCATCAACAGGTCCATCATCTTTAGATCGTTGCGAATTCTGGCTCACTTATTTCGGAAAAGCAGTGCCGTTTGCACATCATTGGATCAAAACAAATCGCCTAATCACCTATCCACCATTTACGCTGGCAACAAAAACGGGGCTTCACAATGCAGCTTTGGACCGTGCTAATGAAATCTGCGGTATATTAATACCGTGGCACGAATCTATAGTAACCGCTCGTCCAGCACAGGAACAGTTTCGCGAACGTTGGACTGACATGGTGACAATCTCGCTCGCCACTGTTATTTTTCAGTTGAAGCTAGCCATTGCCATTGGAATTGAAAATGCGAAAAAGGCAAATGAAGACGCTATAGAGCTGTGCTACAAGTTAGAGAGGCTGCATACCGCGAGAAAGAACGTCGCTAGAGCCACAGCTTTGGTTGTGGTGGGCATGTACAGCGCCGTGATGGCAACGCATGACGAATGGACCGACTATGTGGAACAAAACCCGCAACTCGGGCCAGGTGGGCAAGAAATCCCAAGATTAATGCCACCGGAAATATTTTGGAGGCTCTTCCAACGAGCTGGATTCATGCCGCCACCAGAACCATCATGATGCGTCGCTCATCGATATACTATACCAATTCAGAGACCGCGTTGATCCGGCATCCATCAACAAAGAGATGATAACACTTAAACGAATGGACCTGCTTTCATATGGTCATTTATTCACAAGTATTAGGAGTGCTACTAACATCGCGGCTCCAGCCAATGTTCAATATAGCCTTGACGCATGTATGATGTCACCTGCATGTACATGACAACACATTCACTCACTTTGCCTCTCCATACCCATATTAGAACCATTTTGTTTTTACGGAGTATTGTATCTATACCCGATTACTTGACGTATCTCAAAATTGGTATACCCTGGCAATCAAAACGCGGCGGGCTGCCTCACCAAGACACCAATCACTGACTGGCTGACTGACTCCAATGTGATGTGCTATAGGTATCCGCGGTCCCAGACGTACGCTTCCACAAGGAACGGCTCTCTGGCCTCTGGGGCGACGCGCACTCCAACGAGCTCGAGATGTTTCTACGGAAAAAGGGCCTCAAGACGCTGCTGTTTGCTGGGGTGAATACGGACCAGTGCGTGCTGGCTACGATTCAGGACGCGTCCAGCAAAGGGTTCGACACGGTATTATTGCGAGATGGATGCGGTACGACGAGCCCTGAGTATGCGCGGCAGATGGTGGACTCTAACTGCCAGAAGTCATGGGGTTTCATCTCGAGCTGCGAGGAGCTGGCGAGAGGGGTGAAGGGGATGGTCAAGGATAAGCCTATGGATGGATGAGGAAGGCAATGATGAACAGGACTTGATGACGTGTTATTTACTGCGCATGGGGGCGGCAGCGGGGAGGCGGTTGGCAGATAAGCTGCATGAGTTTAGCGAGAAGGCGTAGAGACAACGCCTGACGTGTTTTACAGACTGCGTAACTTACAACTGCATTGTTTACCTATTGTTGAGCAAAGGCATCAGCCGCCTGATTCTGAGTTTATATAAACTATTATCTCGGTAAAAAGAACAGAAAGAATTACAGGCTTGTAACTAAATGCACCTGCCAAATGGATCCTGTATACGTACTGAAACTGTTCATAACAAGCAAAAGCTCCATTGTTCATCTATAGCACGATAACTGATAAGATTGACAGTCTGATCCAGTACACCCTGAAGGTAAAATCGATGGTTACAAGTGCTCATCATAAGACCAAAGATTCCCTGGGTTAACAGCACACTGCGGTAGCTATATATGTCAATCTAATCATTGCTATGTACACTAATCTAGACTTGGAAGAATCTATAATGCACTACAGTGCTTTAACCTTCGGTAGGTCTCGAGTTACATTAAAGATGTAGTTGCCGTATTAATATGTGTCCATCTTTCTTACTCGCTATCCGTAACCACGTTTGCCAGCTTTGGCTTGATCGCGCCGCCCTCATCCCTTTCAACATCAGACTGGCTAGTCTGCCGTGCGCTTTGTTGAGCGCTCGGCAGCGATTCACTAGTCTGAGGCGCTGCTGTTGTAACGGGCTCGTTAGGTTGCGGCGCATTTTGTTGTGCGCTTTGCGGCGATTCACTAGTTTGAGGCTCGGCCGTCGTAACGGGTTGGCTGGTTCGATGTGCGCTTTGCAATGATTCACCAGTTTGAGGCTCGCCTCCCGTAATCGTTACATTGGAGTGTCTGTTCCCACCAGTCTTGACGGTATGCTGACTGCTTGCGGTGGAATCCGTTGATTTGCGTGGTAGGATGCCATCTCGCTCCTGCTTTGCCCTCCTTAATTCTTTGACCGAGCTTCTGACTTTGCGTCTATGGACAATGTCAGGCCTGTCTTGATCGGTCACGTCATGAGTCGAGCTCTCCGTTTCCGTCTCGTTTAGCCAGCGCTGAGTATCAGCAGCGCTGATCCAGCTGGCTGGCATACTATCCAGTCGTGGGGCGCGGGAGGCACGTTCCATTCGAGCCTTCGTCTCCTTCATCTGTACCTTTTCTTCCTCATCAAACGGACTATCATTTTCATCAGAGGTCTCCTTATCAATCTTTCGCTGAGCAGTTAAAAACCCATCGCTCAAAGTCAAAATTCTATCGCAATTTTCATATCCAGTACTTCGGTGGGATATCACAATGCGAGTGCATCCCCGGAAGGCGATATTCATAGCCCTCTGTACACGGCGATCGGTCTCGTAATCCAGACTGCTCGTTAGTTCGTCCATCAGCACAATCTGACTTCTGTATTGTAATCGGTGTAGCAGTGCTCGGGCAATAGCGATGAGTTGCTTTTGACCAGTCGAAAATTCCATGAGTTTGACATCAGCATCTAGTCCACCATGCTGTTCAACATAAGCTTCTAGACCAAGGTCTCTCAGAACTTGGGAAATGGCGATGTTATTAAGAGGAGCGTCGATTGCTGCAGCTGCAATAGCTCCTGCTTCAATATTTGCAGTCACATTGTTTTGATTGTTGGCATCAGCACCGCCGACCTGTTCAGCATCAGCCTCCTTTTCGTCGTCACTATCCATTTCACCGTGTTTATCATCCTCTGGTCGAAACGGAATCAGATTGTCACGGAGTGTTCCGGGAATTATAACCGGATCTTGGGGTATGGTAGTGATAGCACGACGCAGCTGTTGACGGGGAACTTTGCTTATGTCGAGGCCGTCAATTAAGACGGTACCCGTCAACTGCAGGAAGTTGAGGGTTGTTAGAAGAAAACTGCTCTTTCCACTATAGCAAATAAAAATCAGTAGAGTTCCAAACTTGAAAGATTTAGCACAACATACCTGCCAGTTCTTCCAGCTACAACTACCTTCTCCCCAGGTTCAATTGTCAGATTAACATTTTCCAAAGCCATGATAGGCTGATCACCCGCACTAGAACGTAATGTTAGCTAACTGTTATGAGCCATGAAAAAAGACTAGTGTTAGATACCTATATGTTGCGCTCACTTGTCGGAATTCAACAGCTCCTCTTGCTGGCCAGGACTTGGGGCGCCATTGTGCGTCTGGGCCGTCCTTCTCTTGAGGAGTAGTGCTGACAAATGTCTTGAGACGCATAATCGATCCGAGCGATGTCTCTAAGATAGTCCAACGGAGCACCAGCTCCTGACAAACGATGGTGAAGTTAATCAATCCTAGTAGAGCGAGCCCCAAACTCGCCTGTGATGTTGTCTTTGTCCAGTTAAGTGCAATAGACACCAGGATAGTCGCTGTCAGAGTGACCGTCATCCCTAGGACAACTAGAAGCCAACGCTGAATACTATACATGTAATAAAATGGCGTCTGTGTGTAATCCAATAGTTCTAGGCTCTCTTGTATTACTGCCTCTTCCCAGCCGAATGAGCGGATGTGCTCAATGCCAACACTGGTCTCATAGATCTTAGTGTAGAGGGGAGTCTTACTCTCCAGATCCAGTAGTCGCATTTGACGTGATGTGCGTAAATAGAAAGCCTGTACCATTGCAAGAATGGCGACGATAAAGGGGAGGAAGACAAAAGAGTACGTTGTAGCACTCGTGATCATCGCAACATTAGCGACGGTGGTGCCGCAAACTATTATTAAGGGTAAATATACACTTTAGGTAGAGTCGGATATTAATCTCTTACTTAAAAGGACTCGAAAGAGTGCCGATGGCATTTCTTTGGCTAACAGACTCATATCTTGGCCAAATCGGTTAAGAAGAGCTCCATTGCTTGTTGATGTAAGAAATGGAAGGGTAGCTTGCATGACTGCAGTTATATACAGACTATGCATTTTTGATGCTACCTTTGGAATGATAATAAGTTCGTATAACCTATAACGTGTCAGTTTAATAGATAAAGAGCGTCATGTAATTTAGCAAGTGCTCCTTACCATACAGTTGCGCCATTATGAATCATCGCTGCAATGGCCAAAGCAACCATCACCCAGATGTAATTTTTGTTTTTCGCGTCAATTTCGATCCAAATTCTCATAAGAAAGTCTAGAAGATAGTCAGTGATATTCTTCTGCAGGTGCAAGTGTAACACCTACCCGGGAACTTTTCAACTACCGTCATCACGACAACAGAAAGGAGGGCTAAAAAAAGGATCCAGGTAGGGACGCTTTGGAAATAAAAGCGATAGAGAGAGGAGTCTATAGGGCTGACTGAGTTTTGAACTACCGATGTTATACGACCGAGCTTGTTGCTTGCCTCCGTGGTTTGGGTCTGATACATTTTTTCCTTGTTTGGTGGATTGGTCTTTATGATAACTCGAGCTAAGTTCTGAATATCATCTTGAGTAGAATAGGAAGTGACCTCAGAATTCTGTAGCGAAATAACCTGGTGGGCGAATGTGAGCCATTCAGTTGCATGTGTAGCTAGAACGACTGTTCGTCCTTGCTCTTGGAGGAAACCAGCGGGACCAAATACAGCGTCAAAGACGCTTTTGGTTGTAGTAGTATCAAGCGAGCTGAGAGGATCATCGCAAACGACAATGGGCGCCAATGAGTAAATGGCTCGAGCAAGACAGAGCCGCTGCTTCTGTCCTCCGCTGAGTTTGGAACCATTCGGGCCTGTTATGGACTTGTCGCCGTCTTCCATTTGACCAATGTCATGGTCAAGCGCGCATGCTCGGATAACGTTTTGATAGCGGTCTTCATCAAATTGTCCTCGACCAATGATCGCTTGTTTGATGGTGATATTTGGAAGCCAAGCTACCTGGCCACAGTATGCTATATTTTTGGTCAAAACCTGGATCTTTCCGGATGATGGCTCTGCTTCGCCGATGATCGCCTTTAGCAAGGTGGACTTGCCAGCCCCGACGGAACCAATGACCATGGTGAGTGTACTGCGCAATATAGAGATGTTTATATTCTTTAGTATCAGAGTGTCATTCTCCAAAGACTTTATAGAAACATCGAGGAATGAGATACTTCTCTTCTGTGCTTCCTCTACCACATTATCGGCAGGTCTTTTAGACAAGTCATCCATAGATGATTTTGCCGCAAAGTTGCGCACCTCTCGAGTATCTTCTACCTCTGGTTGGGTGAGGTAAGTCTGGATACGTGAGAATGATGCCTGTAGCGCGCTGATATTTGGCCAAAGGTAGAACAAGTTATTGACAGGGTCACCGAGGAAATTGGCGAAGGCGAAGGCAGTAAAGACAGATACAGGCTCAAGCCCATCTCTCCAAATAGTCCAGTATTGTCCACCCACAACGAGTGCTAGGGGAGTAACCCAGTAGTTGAGCGGCACTACATCAGGTTAGTCTTTGCGGCGGCGAAAGAAACATTGATTTGACGTACAAAATGCGATCATGATCACACGGATAGTTCGCGCCATTTTAGACTTGGAAATTTCGTTCTCACGTAGCCCCTGGACAAAATTCAGGATCGGCTGCTCGAGGCCAATCATTTTGATACCTGTTATTTGCGAAAGGACAGCGGAGACGCCAGAGATTCGATCCTGGATCGCCTGGTTCCAGGCCAGCGTCGCGGGCCCCATATGCTTACCGACGAACCACCCAATGATGGTAGAAGCTACATGTAGGGTCAGCTTTTTCTTAATCCTAAAAATAGAGCTTCAAATAATACTCACCAATGATCGGTATTAAAGGAGCAAAAAAGGCCATGCCTACTATAGTCCATAAAAGATACAGCCCAATAGCGAGCTCTATGATACCAATCCAGAGATCATGGACAGTGCGGACGACATCAAGTACTCCGTCAATGTCGGCACTGACATGGGTAAGTGCAGCAGCATCAGCTGCTTTGTGAGAGCGCAACCGCAAAGTCTTTTTTAAAATTTGGCTAGAAATGATGCCACGTAGGCGCGTCGCAGTAGTATTTGACAACGAGCTCTTCATATTGGTGGCGAGCTTCAGACCTTGTTAGCTCAATACACTTCACAGATGATATCCTTTCCAAACGTACCGCCCTGCTGAAGTAGAGAACAAAGGTTGCCACTATTAACCATGTACGTTCTCTGTCAGTTGGATTTTCACTGTCGAGAAACTTGAGAAGACCTTGAAGTAGGAATGCAGCGCCAAAATTGAGTGCCGTGACGACTAGTTGAGGAAGCGCACTAAGAGAAAATGGCCAGAAAACTGTGTAGTAACATGCCTTGAGCAGCGCGTTCGGATCGTCTTTAGAAACTGCAACATGGTAAGCACAAAAATTTCCACTGGCTTCAACAAAAGTCATCGCACCTGTTTCCCATGATAACTCGAACCTTGCGGCGAGGCGAGCGGATGAGAAATTAGGCCCAAGACTCCCCAAATTTTCCATAGTCAGATTCTGACGAAACCCGACGAAGAAGGTTGAGTTTATCCATAGCAGCAAGGTACGGTTCCAAAAGCCAGCAATAGCATCTGGGGAGAGCCTCTCCGTGACTGCGCGGTTTTGCTGCAGAGATTTCGGAATTTCTTGCATAACTACTATTGTAGCCTTACAAAATCCGATTACCAGTGACAACGCGCCAACAGCAGTCATAGAGGAGCGTAGAAGAAATGTACGACATCTTATGAACTCCAAGGCGACGGAGAGTGTGCAGTAGAGGCTGATGAGAGCAGAAGATTGAAAGGCATGAGTATGATCGAAGTAGAGCATAGCGCCTAGGGCGAGTGTGGCAGAGGGAGACAAGATGGCAGACGAGATCCTGGTTTGATCCAAGGCTGCCGTCACTGCTGATTGACCACCTTGAGTATAGCACCAGACGATAGACCTTGCGAGTTCGAAGATTAAAAGGGAAAGAACGACAGACTACACCTTAGTTAATCCTGAATGAAAGTAGGTGATTGAATTTTGGGAGTACTTACTAGCTTGCTCCAGAACAAGGCGTCTCTAGACCCCAGCGTTGGTGCTTGACGGTAGTAGAAAATCCAGGCGGGCCATACCAAAAGAGCAATTGCAGCAGGGATTAGGCTGAAGAAGATGTTCTCAAACAAGATTGTGAAATCAAAATCCAGATTATACCCAGGCCCAAATGTGCCATCGTTGGAGAGGATCACGGGCGTCTCCAATGAGAATAACTCTCTGATTACAAAGTGAACCAGGTTCATGGTGGTGAGCATAAGGGGCGTAGGCCAAACAAAAAAAAAGTTGACAGTTTTGCAATGGTATGGGCTAGTGCTAAGTGGGAAATGCCAAAATTAACATGTTGGTAAAGAAAAGGGGTGAGGGCAAATAAAATAAGAATGGGTGATGTGTTGGTTGAAGACGTTTGTTGGCTGCTTCTCCATGGGGATTGATCGTAAGCCACCCCAGGATCCCACCCCACCACACTATCGTCCACACACAGAGAGCATGTCACAAAAGTCCCTGCAAGCCAGGTACCTGTTTCCACGAGCCGTACTGTGCCACACAGTGTCTGGCTCTGTACGTACTTTTTGGAAATGAACTACAAAAATGCATTATCCTGCACCAAAAGTGGAGTGGGAGTGTTCTTTTCTCTCCCAGAAACAGAGGCACCTACTTGGCCTCCTACATCCCGCAATCCCTCATATTTGTTCATAATGCAGACTTCCATCACTGCTCTCTGCCTTTTGCTAGCCCTGGCTGTCAATGCCCTGCCAGGTGAGGACCTCTGGTTCTCCAACGACATTTCAAGCTAATCAGCATTATCACTAGTTACAGAGCCTGCTAGTAGCCCACGGGATGTCGCTCACATTGACTGCGCTGCCGGCTGTATCCCTTAGCTCCTGGAAAGACATATTACCCGTATCGAGATAAAATAATGCGGAATGGAAGTAGGCTTGTTATTAATTAGCCGATGGTTTTTCTATGCATATTCATAGTACCTTTTTATTGCATGTTATATAAATTGTTTGTTTAAGCCGCTTTTGGTTGTTGTGTAAAGCGTCTTCAACTACCACAGGCACAATTATAGGAGTCAAATAAATGCTTACACACCTCTTACTTTGAGATGGGAAGGCGTAAAAGTAAAATGCGTTGATTAAACGATTAGGCAAAGACATATACGCAAGGCTATATACAATCAGCGCCAACAGAAGGATAGGCATAGGTACGTTGTGCATGCATTGTGCGGACCTTGGGTGCGTGATGAACCCCAAGCCATGGCTACATACAAATCGAATTTGTATCCTCGCTTTAGCGGTCGTCGTCGGTCGAGTCAACCGCTGCCGATACATCCTCGCACCGTGCAGCCCTTGCGTATCCTGCACTGCAGCGTCGGCGCTATCTCTCAACCTGGAAGGACTTTAGGTGAACAAACGCCACAATACGCTATCGAGCCGCGATAGGTCGCAGCGGTTCTAAATCACAGTTCGCCCCCGCTACTGTTGGTCAGCCGGACGGGAATGCAGGACGCAAGTTCAAAATCAGGCTCTGGCTATTGGGTCCGAGCTACTCGGTGTTAGTACACTTGTAATTGCCTGCTGAATTTGGACCCGGCCCATGAATCCGCGTGTTGGGAATACATTGGTGACAATGTTTGATCACCAACATCGACTGCTAAGAGCCAGTTGTCGATATCCAAACATCCATCCGCCTGAACATCTAAACGTAGCGTTATACTGGCGGCAAGGACGGAGGGGAAGCAGGGTGTCAGACCTAGACGCTCGCAAGGTATGATCCCGTTGTAAATCGGCAACGGCCAAAACGCTAGAATAGGATGTTATGACCGAGATCCGCTTCTCCACCTGCGCCGGGGAATCTCGCGCCTTTCCCCAGTCGCGAACCGAGCTAATAATACTTGTCACCATAGCTTGCGGCTTGTTGCCTGTATGTAATAATTAATTGACATGTCGGCGGCAACAAGTCGCTGCAGGCGGCTTGCGCCCCCTCTCTCGCCGCTGGCCCATCCATCGGTTTCAGAAACCGCAACGAGGTAAATCGCAAAGCCTGGTGCCGTCTTAAACAAACCACAACGCTAGAGAAAAACGGAGATTTCCGTCGAGACACGATGAATGGGCGTCAAACGTGGCGTCGTGGCAGCGCCCCATCGGGTCGGCCAAACAAAGGTTAGGAGTATTACAACCAACACTCACGCCGACTGCTTCTTACAAGATGTGCCTCGCGGTCATGCTCTCACGTACAAAACCGGCCTGTTCCAACACCTAGGCTGCAAGAGTTTACCAGCATGGCGATAAACAACCATTCGGCCATTTGTCTCCCAGGTCGACTGTGCGGTGGAGATCTTCAGTGGCACTAATAAGTGAATCATGCTGTCCTTTAATCTAGTATAAAAAAATTCCCGGGCATATTTTGCCCGAAACTGTACTCCATTATGGAAGGCACAGCTGTCTACGCTGTCAAGCGAATTAATGTGGTTTTTATCAACACTTTTTGTACTGCAGGGATTCCTTAAAATTATAGATACAAGGCGGGCTATTTATAGACAAAAGGCAAGAGGATTGAGACAGGCAAAGAAGAAGCAGAGCAAAGTTAGTGTATACTAAACCAAGCCAATCTTCCACTTTCCATCCATGTACCTTAGATACTCGCCGGGATCATCAACAGATGGCTTTAAAAAGGGTTAGTTGCTTTAGTCATGTACATATATACTTCAAGGCATTTATTCATCAGTATTTGAAGTAGAGCTAATTTAGTTGATCCCGAAGTTCTCGCTGTATTCGTCAACCAGTAACTTTATTTCCGCGTCAACGTCAGGCTGGCTTGTCGGCGTATGTCCTGAGTTGTCCACCACGTGCGGATCTGCCCCAAATTCCAACAATACTGTCGTTAGTGGCATATTTCCAGATGCCACTGCCTTGTGCAGTGTCGTCTGACCATCTTTTAAGCCGCACGCATTGATAAGGGCGCCATGTTCTAAGAGAAGCCTCGCACATAGCGCGCCCTTTTCAAAGGCAAAGTCTTTATCCTCCGAAAGATCCCATTCTGCACGATACGCTGTCAGCTGTAAAGGCGTACATTGGGCACTGGTAGTTCCATTATCCCCAGTTCTGTGCTCAATATTCTCCGCGCGATCGGAGTCCGGCTGCATTTCAAGTATTAAGCCTAATACTTCTGGTGGTGCATTTACCCCTAGATGGAATGGGCTATTCCCCCAAAAGTCTCGTATTGTTAGATCCGGTGAGTGCTGTAAGAGTACTCGGATCATCTCCTTGTCACGACGTTTAACAGCCTCATGCATTGCGACACTGTTTCGATAGTCAGCGGCGTTGATGTCTGCACCCTCGTCCAAAAGCAACTCCATCATAGGTATGCTGCGTGTATAAAATGTTGCTACGAGCAACGGGGTGAGATTATCATCATTCTTTACGTCGATGGCTGCCCCGTCATCTAACAGTCTTGTGGCCTCGGACGTGTTATTGGAGCGTACTGCTTCATGAAGCTCTGCTCTATCAGTTGTAACTATCAAGACACAATCAATTAGTTGGCAATTCATGAGATTCGTTCATGGCAAGTTACATACATTTTGCAGACACAATGTTCTGCGCCATTCGTCGTAGCCTGGTTCGAACTTTTTCGTATTCTTCATCTCCACGTGCAAATTTGACAATGTGTGAATGATCTCGAGTTATACCGCAAATAAAATCATCACTGTGGTCTGAGGTGCGAATATGAATAGCAGAAGTCTTGCTTACAAGAACCTTCTTGGGGCCGTTCATGCGCATGCCGCTACCTTCATTCTAAAAGTGCGCTATTAGTATCATGTTGCGAAAAATTGTAAGAGTTGATCGCACCATTAACGGCGTTGCCGATATCGACATTTCATAAAAGCAGAATATATCCACCTTGTCAAACCTGTCCAGTAGTCCATCAAAGTTCCGACGCAGTCTTCTCAACACTGATGAGTTTTTGTCACTGAGAGTCTCGATTAAGAAGCGATTGAGTCGATTTCCGGCCGCTTCTCTTAGTCCTTCAATATCCATACCGTCATGAGGAACTGCGAAAAATACAACAGCTCGCATGGCTCTAAGGATAGGTTTGTACATGTTGTATTTATCCGTTGCAGACGGGAGCATGGATATTAATGCCTGCGTAAAGTGTCAGAAGTAATCCTTTTGTTTTATATCCTGCCAGCATGAATACAGACCTGTTTCGCTATAAGTCCGCCGAAGCTATGGCCAATCAGCATTATGGGTGCGACTGGTAACGTTGACGACAGTCGGAGCAGAGCTTCGCGAAAGGAAAGCGCAACATCCTCGAGGTCTTGGAAAAGGGAGCTATTCTCGACAGCCGACTCATGGCCATAAACAAGAATTCGTGCCATTGGACGCGTCGTCTGCGGATCGATTAGATCATCGGGCAGCGAGTCCAGAAGCCACATGTGGTCACCGCCGCGTTCCTTGAATGATCCAAAGGCATGGCCACCGAGGCCATGCATAGCGATTACACTATGAAGCTATTTAGTCAAATATGGTAGCAATTAATTGACAAAAACATACTTGATTTTAACCTCCCTTCTCTTTGGCGCGTAGAGTGTTGTTATGCCTCGAAAATGAGAGTCAAAGGTCAGATATTCTGGCCGCGCCGTCTCGTTCGCTAATGGCAGGCGAAGCTCTCTGGGGAAATCTCCCCTGCATGTTGCGATTGCGGTGTAAGAATTACCCTCAAGCTCCACGGCAAGAGATTTGATGATAATAGACGCCGTACTACAATGCTCCTCTAGATAGAGGGCAAGGTCATTCCTGCTCCAAGTGACGGGTACACCACGAATTCTCCAACACTTGGGACGGCTGATTTCTTTCTTGATTGGAGCATTGTTTTGAGCCTCTTGCCCTTGAGCTGTTTTTCGGCGCTGAGACTGTCGCACAAACGCCAGGATAGACGTGATGGAAATCACAAGCGCCAGGAGAGTGCCTATAGCACCGGAGCCCCAGGTTATTGAGTCAAAATAACCCATTCCTTCGTGGCAGAGGATTTTACACAATAAACTTAAGCGAGATGTCCAACATTGAGGTTGAAAAGGGGTTCAGTCAGCCGCAGCCTTGTCCAGGGGTCTGATGCATGACGTGACCCTTTATCTTTTTCATCAACAACAAATTGCTCAGACTAGACGTATAATACTTTGTGGAAATCAACTGTACGCGCAAGTATTGCAGATTTTTTTCTTCTCAGTTATTAGGCTCTTTAAGAAACAATAATTAAATAATTCTACTTGCCCTTGCTTTGCCAAATTTCTGTGCTCATGCGGCACGGCTAAATTCGATGTGGGTGTGATCTACATCAGGCCATTGGTATGATGGCCCAAATCGGCACTAGAGCCTTAGAACAATCTTGGACTATATACGTATCTGATAGAAAGGGTCAGCCTTTTAACTGCTGTAGTGGTCTGGTGATACCAGTCTCTGATTCGCCGTCTGAGGTCTCAAAGGATGTCGTTAAATGTGTTTGGAATGCACCCTAGAATTTCCCAGTATATTAATTCTAACCATGGCGCTGCCAATAAGTAAGGCGGATCATATCAGGATTTTATTTCTATTTGGTGATGGAAAATCAGATAAAGAAATATCACCTATAGTACTATGACCTGAGTCCACCATTCGTCGGCTTCACCTCAACAGAAAATTCTATGGTACCACTCGAGCTCCTAGATAGAAATCGGCCGGCCGACCGAGACTAATAACTGACGATATGATGCGTGCTCTCTGTGAAAGGGCCAAAGACGACTCTACGGAAAATAGAGGGGAAAATATTGAATTTTTGAAGAAAAGGTTTGGTATTGAGCCGTCTCCTAGCACTATCAGCCGAAGCTGGCTTCGAGCAGGCTATCCGTGGAAGAAGACTCGCCGGGTGGCCCAGCAGCGGGATCGGCTGCTACGGAACTAGTATCTTCAGAAATTGATGCAGTTCCTGTCCTACCAGCTAGTCTTCCTTGACGAATCTGGCTGTAGTATTCTCGCCGCTCAACGTAACAAGGGCCAAGCTCGACGAGGAGTTAATCCGATCCAAAAAGGAATGTTTACTCGAGACAGGAAACGCCAAATTTTGCCGGCTTATGCGTAGGATGGCGTCTTTTTCTCACGCGTATACGATAGAGCAACTAACGGCGCCGTATTTAAGAACTACATAGCAGAACTGCTACAATATTGCGGCAGATTTCCGGAACCCAAGTCTGTTCTTGTGATGGACAACGTCTCCTTGCATCATTCGAAGAGGATTCTAGCTATGTGCGAAGCAGCAGGGGTAAAAGTATTATTTCCTCCCCGTATTTACCAGATTTAAATCCTATAGAAGAACTTTTCTCAGAATTGAAGATATTTATTAAAAAGCATTGGAAGCATGAAGGTATGCAGAGCTTTCGTTTGATGAATTTCTTCGACATAGCGTTCGACGCCTTGGGCGCCGCCACATGGATAAAAAGGGCAACTGAAGGAATCTCAATGCTGAGGGGCATTTCCGTAATTCCGGAATAAATATTGTGTACCCAAATCCGTAAAAGGAATGCAAACTATTCCTGCGCTGAAATATGAAATATCATAACTCGGCCAGAAGCGCAACCCAGAGCCAAATGCGAACCCTTGACTACGAATTGGATTGGTCGATATTCCGCAGGTAGCCAAAGAGAATCAGATCCATCAACCAGTATCCAGTCATCACCACCTCCTATGTCTAATTCGATATTATTTTGCAGCTCTAGAGGAGGCGTAGGGCGTCTATCTGGCGAAAATATCACCGATGTAACCGAAATGCCGTGACCCTCAAGAATATGCTTGCAATGCCCAGTCACAGAGTCCCATATTCGGACTGTCTTATCATGCGAGCCAGAAGCAATACTCTTGCTATCTGGCGAGAATATCACCAATGTAACCGAAATGCCGTGACCCTCAAGAATATGCTTGCAATGCCCAGTCACAGAGTCCCATATTCGGACTGTCTTATCATGCGAGCCAGAAGCAATACTCTTGCTATCTGGCGAGAATATCACCGATGTAACCGAATCGCTATGACCCTCAAGAATATGCTTGCAATGCCCAGTCACAGCATCCCATATTCGGACTGTGTTATCATCCGAGCTAGAAGCAATACTCTTGCCATCTGGCGAAAATATCGCCGATGTAACCCAACCGCTATGACCTTCAAGGATATGCTTGCAACTCCCAGTCATAGCATCCCATATTCGGACTGTGTCATCATCCGAGCCAGAAGCAATACTCTTGCCATCTGGCGAGAATATCACCGATGTAACCGAATTGCTGTGACCCTCAATGATACGCTTGCAATGCCCATTCATAGCATCCCATATTCGGACTCTGTTATCATGCGAGCCAGAAGCAATACTCTTGCTATCTGGCGAGAATATCACCGATGTAATCCAACCGCTATGACCCTCAATGATATGCTTGCAGCTCCCAGTCATAGCATCCCATATTCGGACTGTGTCATCATCCGAGCCAGAAGCAATACTCTTGCCATCTGGCGAGAATATCACCGATGTAACCGAATCGCTGTGACCCTCAAGAATATGCTTGCAATGCCCAGCCACAGCATCCCATATTCGGACTGTCTTATCATGCGAGCCAGAAGCAATACTCTTGCTATCTGGCGAGAATATCACCAATGTAACCGAATTGCTGTGACCCTCAATGATATGCTTGCAATGCCCAGCCACAGCATCCCATATTCGGACTGTGTTATCATCCGAGCCAGAAGCAATACTCTTGCCATCTGGCGAGAAGATCACCGAGTTAACCCAATCGCTATGACCCTCAAGTGTTTGTATACAAGCACTCCACTCCGGACTGATTGGCGAGGCTAATGATAGGCGACCAATTCTATCGTGATGGAAATTCTTTCTTGTAAAACTGTTGGTAGGACTGAACAGAAGCCCCGATACATATATTTGCAGCGGGGCCAACTCAACAGCTACTTTAAAGTAGCGCAAAAATCTCTCTGCATCGTGGACGGTGTCTCTAAGCAATACGTCGGATACTCTTAGCTAGTGAATATATTAGTGAATACGTTTAATTTAATGATGGAAACAACTCACTGTTAACTCTTTTAGTTTTGCGATGGACTGAACTCCTTGCGAAATCTTACCCAACAAGCCCAACGCCTCGATCCAATATAAATACTTTGCCTTCATGAATTGATTGATCATCTCTATAACCTCCGTCTCTTCGGACAGAGATAAACACTCTCCTAGATGGTCAACCCAATAAGCAGATAAGTAGCCCACTGATGCAAGAGGATCTGGATCTGGACGTTGAATATTCTGGAATTTATAGCCAGGATCAACCAGGTTGTATATGTCCCGTCTTAAAACAGCCGAAAGTGAATCCAGCGAGTGTATAAAGATTTTATGGTGTACATCTTTGGGACCTGCAGGGAAGATCTCGTCACTTGCCTGATCTTTCAGGAAGTCTACCGCTGATTGATGCACGGTCGCGATGACACCACCCTTGGTAGAAATGAAAGAGCCGCACGTGTTTAAAATCTCCTGCAAGGCGTCTGAATCTTCCGCCAAGTCATCGGGAAGATCCACCATTGATGGCAACTCGTCAATCGTAATAGGACGATATACAGTGCAGACAACCGCTAGAATCCGTATGCAAAGGTCCGCAAAGTCGGTACCATTGACCTGGTGAAGCATTCGCCTGTATAGATCTTTCAGTCCAGACGGGAATAATCCTCTCTTTATCGTGTCTAATACGATTCCACGAGGAAGGATACTAAGGTGCTGACAAACAAGGGCTACCCACAAGAACGTATCGCTGGCATTGTCGGCCAGGTAGATAGAAACCCTGTCCTGTTGATTCTGTGTATATCCTTTCAGAGCCTTCAGCACTCCCACTTTGTGTTGTATAAATGAGCGAACTGCCAAAGATACGGATGCAGCGTTCAGTTCAAGTGACAGTTGGCTTCCAATATTAGGCCGATCAAGACGCTCGGCTATTGCCAACTCGTTCCGACTGGAGACGAGCCATTTAATGCGTGGGTGTGATGCGTATTTGTCAACGAGTTCCAATAGAAGCGTCAAATCCGTTGTACACTCGTCCAGCGCGTCGATGAGCAAGTGCGTTTCCTCCAGTTGATGATCATTGACGATTTTATCGAAAAGCTGTGACAAGGTTACCCAGGCATTTCTACCTTCAACCAGCTTAGCCTCTTCATAAGCCTTTCGAAGATGAGGCATGAGCGAAGGTTGCTGTTTGACCAGCATGTGGATCAATCCACGCAGCACTGCTGTGCCGCTACTGATGCGTTCATCGGTTGCTTGGCAGAAAAAGTAACACACATTAACCATCCATGCAGATGCTTCTAGCTTATCAATGATGGCGCAGACAAGCATTGTCTTTCCTTTCCCAGGATCTCCTCTCAACCACAACAGCCCGTTGTCGCGCCTGCGCCACTGCTGAAAATCTTCATTAGTGAACACCCAGCGGTACGAATCTTCCAAAAGACCTCCTTTTTGAGACAAAATTCTAGCTTTATCATCTCGGGGATCTTCTTTGCTTAATGCCTCTATGCAAGCCCGATCTTCTGCCAGCTCCATACGTCGATCCATTCTGGCCGCGACGCCGAGCTGCTCTCGCATAAGCTGGACAATTTCGTCCATAGTACTATCCAGTCGCCTGCGCGACTCTTCTGCCTCGCGTTGCATCCACCTGAGGGTTTCCACGCTTTGCGCTGACTGGGCTTTGAAGAACTTGGTGTCTAAATCTTGTTCGGCGCTCTTGATGCTGGCTAGCGTGCCCTTCCAGTCATCATAGTGTATGGCTCCGCGAAAGAAATTCTTTGTCCTGCTGCGGTATAGGTGAATAACGCAGCGAATTTGAAACTCTATAACAAGAGAATAGAGATCAGTCAGTCGACTTGCCAGGTCTGCTCTCCGAACGGACTCCATGTCCTCAGGCAGCAGAAGCGACTCCATGGCAGCGTAGTAACGCATCTGCGAGGTAACATACGTGAAGCCAGTGCTACGAGCCTCTTCCGCCACAACAGGGTTCTTTAGCAGCGGCAGAACCAGCGATACGCCGACCATGACTATAGATGCATATGGTAAGTCCTTGACCGTGTCCTTGATATAATCCTCAGCCCACGAAACGACACCAGCTGTTTTCGCAATAGCCTCTTCAACAGTAATCTTCTGTCCGGCAATAGTTACGCTCGTCTCTTTGTCGGCCGCATGCTCTAGACCAAGTGCAATTATAGTATCCATCTTCTGTCGACGGGCAGCTGCGTCACCCTGGGGAATCACATTGGTAGCGTGGTCAGGATGGGGTGTCTGCGCTATTGGTTTTGTAAGTAATGTTAAATACATAGCAAGATTGCCCAGGGATACGAGTGTGCTAACCTTGATGCAATGACTTAGAGAGAAAGTCTTCATATACTTCTATTAGCTCACTATGCCTCACCTTCAACGCATCGTACGCGTGGTCCCAAAGTGAGTCTGCCAGTGGTGCGTCATTCTCGGCTGTTACTGGCGAGGCGAGAGCTGCTGTAGTTGAATTTGCTGTATTGTTTAACAAAGCCGTCGGGGTAGCCGTTTCAGCGGTCGTATTACTGATGGCAGGAGCTGGGTTGTCAGATGTTCCAGGGACAGAACGAACTGACTCGATTGCGGAGACGCTAGAGCGTGATGATGTGGCGCCATCAGGGGTAGACGGAGACAGTAAGTTTGGCAGTGTTTTTGGTGTCTGTTTGGCTTCAGGCCTCTTGAAAGGCCAAAATTTATGTTTACCCATCTTGTTCCATGAGATGGATGCTAAAAGTATACATACAGGAGGCGGCGCGGGGTATTGAGGCTGTGATACTGACGTGCATAGGCGGTGAGGATGAGCAAATCTCATGCATACTACGGAAACAGGAAGCTGCATCTGCGCAGAATAATTAGTTATAATCTATCGTTCTATTGTTAATTTAAAACTAAAACGCTGGCTATTTAACAGTGCAATGCTCCCGATTTCTCCCACCAGTGGGAACCTGTGGGCACCAAGTGGCTCTGACAGGGAGGCTAAGATACATGCATCTTGAGCTGGGTCTGTACCTGGGGCAAGTTTACCCACGTTTCTACTGAGCAGATATCATTTCTGACCTGTTCTATGGCATTCGCAGGCCTTCCACTTAGAAAAGAAAAGATCTGAGGAACGGTCTCTTCCATGCAAGTTGCAATGCCAGGTGTACAATAGAGGCTCCAGGGTATGTGTAATTAAGAGGTGTAGGGGAAAACAAGGACTTGGCTCGTCATATATATAAGGCATATGGCTAATTGCCACTCAATGAATTTTGAGTAATACTGGGATTCAACTAGGCAGATACCAGGGTATTTAAGGCAGGAGATAGCAGGAGGATGTGGCTCTATATACCAGCGAGGCTAGGTTAGGTCAAGATACCCGCAAAATAAGAGGAGTTAACCGTTTGACGGCTCTAGGAACCTCTTACCACAGTGCGCTATAACTAGGTGGTCCGTGCGCAGAACAACTACATGGCCGTTTTTTTGATCAAATATTTCGGTCGCGGCTGTATTTTGGCCATCTGCGTTGCAAGCTGAAGCACGGCAACTGTAGGCGACGACGAGAATTGCGGGCGCTAACAAAAAGCAATGGGCGCCCGCAGCGTGCACATACCCCTGGTTGCAGTATTTCCTAATCGGGGTTTGAATAGAAAACAACGATCTACAAGATGTATTGGCGTGATTATTATATTTTATGCGGAGACGGCAGAGGAAAAGCCAGTTCATCGGACTTGTGTAGCTGAAAAGCCGCACCCCGGCGTCTCGTGAGGGAGTGATGTAGCCTCAGATTCCGACAAGCCCAAACAGCCAGAACCAATTCTCCGTCAAACTGCGGGCAACGCAAAAGCGAACTACCCTACCCACACCGCGCGTCTCCCCACGTCCACGCCCAATTAAAAAAGACCTTGCGTTATTCAAGCCAACTGCCAATACGACACCTGGCGGGACTGGCGCCCGTTCCATTGTCGCCCACACAAACCTCACTTTCCTGGCCGCAGTTATGGCCAGCTTGCATGGCCACCATGCATCGACGCTTGCCAAACGAGGCAAAAGAGACAATAAGATGCAGAAAGAATGGACCAATCGCATCGTCCCGTGGTGTCTATTGAGCCGTTCAGGCTAACATCATGCCCATGGCTGGCTGGTATTCTATGTCGCCCGCACAGCATGGCTGGCTGGTGTTCTATGCCGCCCGCACAGCATGGCTGTCCGCCCAAGTATTGGGCATTGCTGGTGGAAGCGTTTCCATATCATGCCCTGCTACCCCGATTGCTTTTGATGATTTGGTGTTTGGCTCTTCATTTTCTTCTTCTTCTCTCTTGAATTCCCCTTCTACCGAATTACTAGCCTTTAGTTGGTTACCACATCTTTACAAGCCCACTGTTTACAAACCACCAACCCTATCATGAAGGTCAGCGTACCAATAGTCGCTGCCCTCGCCACTACCGCCGCGGCATCGCCATGGTGCTACTACCATGCCGGAAGACCTTGCTGGAAGCGAAACGCTCTGCCTGAGCCTGCTGCAGACGCAGCTCCCGAAGCCAATGCAGAGCCTTGGAGTTCGTGGAGCCTTCACCATCCTAATGGCCCCTACAAGAGATCTCTTGATGCTATTGTAAAGGTTGCTCGTTCAAAAGCCCCCGAGGATGTCCCTGTTGGCGACGCCGATGATGTTGCCTTTTTAGCCGAGATGGCCCTCCACAATCTTATTGGTCTAGCCGCTGATGCTCACGGGTCCCCAAAGGATTACTTTGACTCCATTGGTTTTACCCCAACGGATGGCAAAGAAATCCAGCGTCGAGCTGCTACGATTGATCCTCCCAAGGAGAAGCGCTGGTGCTACTATCATCCTAACCGCCCATGCTGGAAAGTCCGCCGTGCTGCCGAAGAGTTTCTCAAGGAGGCACGCGGTGTTGAGGACATGGGCAAGCTTGCCCCAGTTGCTCGAGCCGCACATGAAATTCTTGAAACTTTCTAAGGTCTGCTTTTTCTCAATTGTATGGAAAAGGGATGAAGAAAGGTTGCTGACGTTCGTGTTGTCAAAGTAGTGGATGATGATGATGCGAACCCTATTTGAACGAAACGGGTACCGGCCTGCCCTATTATGAAACAACGGACACAATTCCTCGTAGGAATTTACAATAACTTCCTTTCCCCCTCAGTAGACACCTGTGTCAAGGGTGTGTACTTCTCGCGGTTGTGGCTCGACGCGCAACCTGGGTTTTTGAATACCTACCAGGCGGGGAATCGCCCGCCTTTTTTTTTCTCTTCCACGTTACAAACGCAGCGGTATCCAATGCATGTATATAGTACTGATATAACATTCACTCGTATTTTCCAAGGCCAGGTCGTCTTTACACGCAAGTTGTGCAGTTTGTGAATCAGTGTGTGATTTAGACGGACGGATCGTGTGAAGGCGTGTGTGCCTGCAGCATGCAAGCAGCGTAGGTAGAGGGCCAACAAGAAAATGGCACAATCGGGGAGCCTATGTTTTCAGCATGGTACTACAGATATTGTGGCTGCATCTACGGTAAAGGCGATCACTGCGACTCGAAAGGGCCATAGCTTCCCGAAGTCGTGCACAGTCGCCTGGCTCCCAAGCTTCGGTCGAATAGACAAAATCGCAGGCGGCACTAAAAAGAATGACAAGTCATAACACAAATCAGGTGAATGCAGGTAGGCATGTACGTTCAATCATTGCGATCCTCCTCATTGGGCCACTTGGGACCGAGGAACACCGCACCCAAGATTGTTCGCTTCAATCTTCGTCTTATGAATCTCGGAAACCCAACAGTCGTCGGCAGGTGCCTCGAGCCGGATTGTTTTAAACAAGAAACGTAGACGGTTATTTTTGCGTTGTTCATAATGTAGAAAAAAAGAAAAAGAAGAAGAGAAAGCCGGCCGCGGCGAAGAAAAATATTTCAATGGGGGTGCTCCGGCCAGTGTGAGTTGCCACAGTGTGTCAAGTCTGTGCACGGTGCGGTACGCTCGCTATCTGTGGCCTGGCCTGCCTCCACTCACCGTGGCCCGCTGGAGCCTAGCGCTAAACGACTCGGGGCTCCATTTTCACGTAAATTACATAGTGTCCACCTTGGCAAGGGCCGTTGAAGATGATCTCCGGGGTTTTGGTGGTTTGGTTTGGTTGGAGGAGAAACTTGATAGTGAAATAATAATAGCAGTACAGCATGGAGGCACAGCTGAAAATGTGGCATATCAGGCTGACACGATAAACACACAGTGCATGCGAAATTTTTCAACGTCAGCCTCAGCCTCACAACTAATGCTGTTTGCTGCAAAAAGTACAGGGCACACAGCGCCCCCTGAACCCCTGGTGCTGCTGGTGTTGCTGTCGATTTTTTAGCGCACCACACGCACCGCACGGGAAAGCTAACTTAGCGTCCGCTGCCGCCCAACGCTTCACTGTGGTGTTGGCGCCAGCACGGGGCAACGTCACCACGTTTTTGACAAGAAAGCCCCTCCAGGCTACTGCCCCTGGCCTGCCAAAATCCAAATCTTGGATCAATCAAACTTGCCTTGCTCTTCTTCCCGTATTTGCTACTGCTGATCGTTTATCTTGCTTTGGTGTCTTGAGCATTGTTCGTCACTGCAAGCAGCTGTGACATCTCTTTCTCTTTGACAAACCTCACTGCTACAACCAACAAACTGCACAGTCACCTTCACAATCACGTCAAACACCATTCATCACAATCTTCCACCATGGCAAATCGGCTGGCCAAATGGTGGTCCAAGTCCAAAAAGAAAGATGATGAACCTTCCCTAGATGACGGCACACCACCCACGTTTCCAGCTCTTCCGTCTCAACGACCTAGCATACTCACCCCATCTTCCTCCCAAGAAAGCCTTGCTCTGGAAGCCACATCGTCCAGCCTTTTCTTTCAGAAACTGCCACCGGAGCTGAGGCGCCGCATACTCGAGGACGCCTTTGGTGGGCACCGAGTCCACATTGACCTTATCTACGATCACATCCCGCAACAACAGGCGACGTCTGTCTGTGGTCACGGCAGCCTGCCTCTGGTCAGTCGTGACGTCGGCGATACCGATCTCCTTCAGCTCGACACAAAATCACCAAAGAAATGGCTCTGGAGGGGATCCGTTTGCCACAGAGACTCACCCAATCCTGGCCCAGAAGGCCATCGCATACAGCCAGCCCACGATCAATGCCGGTTTGGTGTTACTGGCAGCGAGACCTGCAACTCGTGGCCAGGCACGAAACCTGGAAAATGCCAAATCGGAGTGCTAGGGTGGCTCCAAAGCTGCCGACAAGCGTAAGTTGAAAAAATTAGACATTTTATTTTGCAGTATATCTGTTGCTAACAGCTGTCCAGCTACGTTGAGGGGATCGACGTCCTCTACTCGACTAACACGTTTCACACTGCAAGCAAACCGATATTACTCAACGCATCCGACGTTTTACTAAGACAACGCCTCGAACGCATAGCTGCCGTAGAGCTAATATGGGAAATGGAGGAAGCGCCGATCTGGAGTGGTGGGGGTGGTCAGGCATACAAGACCATGCGCTCCTTTTGGGACTTCTTGGATGCAGCACCCAAGTTGTTCCCGAATGCGAGAAGCATGCATATATCAATCCAGTGGAAGCCACAATATAAAATACAGCTACCGGTTACCATGTCGGAAAATTACTTTGGATATGCAGAAGGCGGCATCCTGGACAGAGTAGAGACAATGGCACGGAGACTCGGCCCGCATGTCGAAGACTTTTCTCTTGCGATACCCAGTTCCATGTACCGGCCTAGGAGAGATCGGGCACGGCGAAACGGACAAAAAGTTGAACAGGCCTGGAAAGGCGGGCAGTTGGAGCGATATTTTCATCCAGTTCCTGGAGCACTACACCGTGACGGATACTGGATTCGACTGGGGCTACGAGATATTTTGATGCCGAGATCACAGGAGACGATAGATTCCAACAACGATCCGCGCTTATTGCAAGAAGATTGGATCATGTTTGAACCTGCCGGATAGAGGATGTACCAAAAACAACCAGTATGACGGATTACTACTGTACACAGACCACTGACGATATGACATACCATGATACGAAAGCAAAACGCACATATTTACAAAATTGCAATGAGAACAATTGTGCCTAATATCAAACTTGATATTTTGTATATTCCACTGTCAAATAAGAAAGCATAGCCGCTCCAATGTTCTGGCGAATCGGCCCACCACGCGACAGCGATCGACTCACCACCTCTTTCAGACGACTACACCGGCGCAACAAATACAAGTCCAACAAGAGACTCTCTATATTTTCAATCCCTTTAATTCCTGAGAATCCTGCACCGGATAAAACAGCGCCACTTGTTCTTGGCAAGCCCAAGCGGGCGTCGCCAATACTTAATTTAAGCTCCTCTTGGTGCGAGCCTAGCGTGGGGGTCGTGCAGCAAAACGCGGGGAAGGCGTCGGGTTTAGTGGCGCGAGGCGTTTTGATAACAGCCTCCGGCAACGGACGACGGACTTTGACCCGCGCGATGGTCGTCTCGTTTAAATCCCCTAGAATCCTCTTTCTCTCGTTTCCATATTCGCACTTAAAACACGACTTCACTCACCCCTCCACTGCCCCATCACCAGCGCCAACAGCTGCACTTAGACTGCTTTGTTCGCCATGGCGCAAGAGGACATTGGCTCCATCCACGAGGATAGCTTGCCTACAGAGAAGCCCGGCTTTTCTACAACGGCGCACCTCGACATCAAGTACGGCCAGACCAGGCGCGGTCTCTCCCCGCGACATGTCCAGCTCATGGCTATCGGCGGTTCAATCGGCACTGGCCTCTTTGTCGGCATTGGCAGCGTGCTCTCCCGATCCGGGCCGCTCTCTCTCTTCCTAGGTTACCTTCTCTGGGGTGTCTTTTTCGTTTGGCCTTGCAACCTGTGCGTCGCAGAAATGTGCGCATACCTACCTGTTCGAGGTTCCATTTTTGAACTGGCCGCCAGATTCGTCGACCCGGCAGTTGGATTTGCGATGGGCTGGACGTACTTTTACGCAGGAGTTATGCTTGTCTGCGTCGAATACAGTTCTATAGCGACAGTCATGCAATATTGGAACAAAGACATCAACCCTGCCGTATGGATCGCCATGGCCATGGTAGTGTGCATCTTTCTCAACGTTGTCGCTGTCAAGTAAGTCAATTTTTCTGGGCTTCATCTCTTATGCTTCTAACACGTCATAGATGGTATGGCGAAGCCGAGTTTGTCATGGCCTCTCTCAAGTTGCTCCTCCTTGTCGGACTCGTTCTGCTCACCTTCATCACCATGGTTGGCGGAAACCCGAAGCACGACGCATACGGATTCACACATTGGAAAAATGGGAATGCAATGCATGCATACTATGCTGAAGGTGCGGCAGGCCGGTTCCTCGGTTGGTGGAAGGTCGTGCTCTATGCCGGCTTTACCATTGCTGGCCCAGACATGATTGCTCTGGCATCTGGCGAAATCCAAAACCCCCGACGAACAATTCCCCGCGTTGCGAAGCTCATCTTTTATCGACTTGTCGGTTTCTATGTCATTGGTGTCCTTGCAGTGGGCATTATTTGCAGCTCCCGAGATCCTCGCCTCATTGGAGCCATCAAGGACAGCTCTGCCGGCTCTGCAGCCTCACCATGGGTTATTGGTATTGAGAACCTGGGCATCCGGGGCCTTCCTCACTTGATCAACTTTCTCATTCTCACTTCTGGCTGGTCGTGCGGAAACGCATACCTCTATTCGTCATCTCGAACCCTATATGGTCTCGCTCGAGGTAAGTTTTCTCTGCTTCGGATTCCATATTCATATCGTTAACAGTGAACAGACGGCCAAGCGCCCAAGTTCCTCATGAAGTGCACCAAGTCTGGTGTCCCGATGTACTGCGTCGCCGTTGTCAGCGTCATCACCTGCATCACCTTCCTTGTGTCGTCCAACTCGGCTGTTCAGGTCTTTTACTGGTTTGTAGACCTCACAACGACTGGTCTGATTGCTACATACACCATGATGCTCTTGGTATTTATTGGGTGGTACCGTGCGCGCACCGCGCAGGGCCTTCCCGCAGCTTCACTACCATACACTGCACCACTTACACCCTACGCAGCCTACTTCGCCCTTACCATGGGCTGCATTGCCTTGATCTTTATCGGTTTTGACACCTTTGCGCCGTTTAGCGTCCAAGGATTCATTACGGCGTACTTTTGTCTACCATACAGCTTGGTCTTTTTCGTGGGATGGAAGGTTGTTAAGAAGAGCAAATTCGTTAAGCCCGAAGAGGCAGACCTGATCAGCGGCAAGGCCGAAGTCGACGAAGAATGCCGACACTGGGAAGAGGGCGGTATCGAAGCGAACTGGAAACGCGCACTACAGGAGATGCCAATTTGGAAACGCTACTGGGAACGACTATGGTAAAAGGCTTTATGTATCATGTAAATTTCGTCAAGTTATTCGCTATGGATATCTAAATGTCAACAATCTCAAAGTTGAGCAAGACAGTACAGCTTGTCTCGCGGCCCTGCATATCCAACATGCGAACAAAGGTCCATCCAGGAATAGTATACTGTAAACGCACAGCAGCAACAGCAAACATGGGGTTGCGCGCCCACGCATCGTCACTCTTGATAAGCATGCGCAGGAACACTAGGTCTGTATCGTCGTACTCCCACTCCAGCTTCTCGTCCCAGATGGGGTCCGTAGCTTCAGGGTTATCGCCGCGGTGCAGCAAGCCGAGTTTGTGGTGCTTGTAGGCGGCCGTCTTTCTTTTGGGCGCATCGCCATGCATCAAGGGGCTGTATATCGTGCAAGTAAGATAGGGCTTGAAGGACTTGTCGCCGCGGTCGTCGCCCACGGGGATATCGGTGGCACCACCAACGTGCAGAATCAGCTTCTTCTTCTTACCGGTGCCAATTTTGCCGCTACCACCAATGCGCAGCGGCTCGGGCTTGAGCACGTAGCCGTCAGATCCGGCAAACAGAGCCTCGTTGAGCTGACAGCTAGTGCCAAACGTCTGCCAGTTAAGGGCGCAGATCTGCGCGCCGACGCCCCAGAACTTGACAGGCTTGAGATTTGATGAGCCGATGCGGGTACCCTTAGGGTAGACACGCATGAGATGCTTGGAGTTGTGGATAGCGACTTGCTCCGCCTTTTCAGGCAGATGCGAACCAAGACCGCTCTCGGACACATTGATCAAGTGATGATGGGGGCCCTCAAGCAGCTCTCCAGGATCAAACCACGAGTTGTCTCTAGGCTTGACTGACTGGGCGTAGACGCCTAGCGCAGCCAGTTCGGGGATAATAGGGCTGGCCTTTTCAGCTTGCTTCATCTCTTCATATTCCTTGTGCGCAGCCTCCTCGACCTCGTCCACAAAGTCGGCCGCGACGTACTCGGTGGCATCGACTTCCTTGACCTCGCCGCTCCAGTGGTACTCTACAATGACGACGATTTTGAATCCGAGTTGGCCAAGGGTGATGTGCTCTGCGGGGTCGTGTGAGTCTTCTTTGCCTTCAGGGATAATCGGTTCGCTTAGCAGGGCACCGCCAAAGACTTCCTTCATGATTTCAACGAGACGCTTCTGGCCGTACTCGCTGCAGTGGTTTTCCAAGCTAAGTACGATTGGGCCAGGTTGGCAATCAAAGAATGCTTCTGACTGTGCCTTTTCCACATCGTAGATCTCCTTGATAGTTTCGCAGACTTTGCGGAAGGGGATATGTGACACCAAGGTGAAGCCGTGGGTGACCTTGGGCTCGTCTTTATCGTCACTGTTATCCCACGCGTCAATCTCTACACAGCGAGACCCGGTCTTTAGCGCTGTCTCGTATGCTGCGGCAGACGACTTTCCGTACAGCTGGTGAGCCATGAGATATGTGTTGTGGCTGGAGCTGATGTAGTAATCGGGCAACGGGTGAGATCTGTCGCGAAGCTCCTGGGGAACTTCAAAAGTGACATTGGCAAGCAGCTTCTTAAGAGCCAGCGGGTGACCTTCAGCACCAACGCCGGCATCCTTTTCGCTGAGAATCTTGTTTTCGGCGATGAAGGAGCGCAGCGCCTGGCTCACGCGCAGCTCGTCCTTGCCGACGCGGAATCGGCTGCCTCCGAGGCCAACACTGTCGATGCCAAAGTTGCCGCCAGCATCTTCATCCTGGAACTTCTCCTCGTCGTCCGATTTCGAAAACGGGTTGAGGTTCTTGAGCTTGGCTGAGAGCTCCGACATGTTTGCTAGGGAGGGGTGGTTGTGAATATGACGTATGCGGGGTAGCTCGATCTGCAGGTTGTTTCTGTTGTGCGACGTGAGATGTGGCGTTTGTGGGTGATGATGAGAAATTGCAGGATATCAAGATTTGGACAAGCGGTAAAAAAGAAGAGCTATCCAGCGCGCAGTTGTCGATGTTGAGGGGGAAGAGAGGCTGTGCAGAAGCTCGGCAGCTGTAGCGAACCAATAGCGGGGAACTTGGTGTTGAAGCTTTGAAAACGGACGAGGTCAGAAAATGATGATGCGATTATTTGGCCACGATACAGTGTCGAGACAAAAGGATTTTTGAATTGGTAGAATTGATTAGATTTGTAAATGTATTATTTGTCTATTTGATTTGGTTTTTGGTTTCTGTCTACGCCGCGAGCTGCAGAATTTGAACCTGGAAGTGTAGGCACCTATATAGTGACTAATAAGCGGGCCTTCAAGCATCTAGCCTTCGCAGCTCTCGCAGCCTTTGTAGCTCAGTGGTAGAGCGTTTCACTCGTACCTTTCGCTCTTGCGTAATGAAAAGGTCTTAGGTTCGATCCCTAACTGAGGCATTCTTTTTTGTCAATTTCGACAACCTCAATTTTTTTTATGTATGGTTCCGATTTTCTCCCTTGGTGCTCCTTTTTAATTCATTTTTGATTCAATTGTAATGAAATTCGTATTTCGTCGTAATCTGTGTAGTCTATCGGGTACCATTTTGGGGTTAATTTACACACATCCTCTACGCCTGCCACTCATCCGCAGCACATCGCATCCAATTGAGACCAGCAAGGACGAGCCCATGCTTCTGAACAAAATCGGCAGCGCCAAACGATCGTCTATCGACAAATTCCTCGCCACCAACATCTTCTTTGTTGAGCGAGAAACCGGCCGGTTCGCGGAAGACGAGGAACAGGTACCGGTGGGGGTCAGAACTACGGCTTGTTAGACCAGAAGGAACACGACGATTCTCCAAACTTACTCAGGCCTGGGTCCAGGCGCAAGAAACTCAGTCAAGGTCTTGCCAGAGACGTTTTGGCCAGGCTTAAGTGACGACACGACCCAGTGTCTCCAGAAAGCAAACTTGGGGTCCGCGGGTGTAGGGGCATCGGGGTCAATGAGCATGAAGGAGTAGCTTGCATCTGGGTTGGCAGTATCAGCCGTAAAGGAGAGCACAGGTGGCTTTTGAACTTGTGAGACTCGCAAGAGATCTCCGTGGTGGGCTCTGGCATTCTCGAAATCGATTGTGACGTCGACGACGGGCTCGAAGTTGTCGGAGATGATGGACGAGGCCGATCCCGGGGCAAGACCTGCGTCCTTGAGAGATTGCAGCAGTGACATGATTACAGTAGAAGAGGTATCTGACAAAATTAACAGCGGCCGTAAATGTCAAGTTATATGAAGGAGAGAAAATCGAGGGTGGTGATAGGAGCGGAGGCAAGGCCGAGTATAAATGGGAGGAGTTGGGGTAGCTTGGTACTACCCCACATGCGTCATGGCGGGGAAGATGGGCAACAAGGAGCAAAAGATCCGGACAAATTGAAAAGGCAGCAAAATATGAGGGATGATTGATTTATATAGTTGGCATAATTACTCCTGTCAGTATAAAATAGTAGAAAACTGCCGGGAACAAACCTCACTAGTACGACATATCTAGAGCTACATTCTACAACACAGTGACTCAAAAAGGATGGGGGCCATGTATATATAATAAGACGAGTATGATTTTCTATTGTAGTGTTTTGGGGGGCAGTTTTTGACCTAGTGGTACTCTACTCTATGCCCAGCGTCATCTCAATCTTCTTTTTTCTTGTCTGATCCGAACCGTTGTAGTGTTTATCCAGCACTGAGAGCTATACAACGGCTACTCTTGCACTGCTCATAAAGAAAGTTGTTGACCGGTTCGAGGCACTAAGAAGTAGCGAGCAAGGAGATCGTTCTCCTCACCATCCTCACCGCCCTCGCTGTCGTTGTCATTGTCGTTCTCGTCTTCGCCCTCGTCGCCCTCCTGGGCAGTCTGCCAGCCCTTGCCAGTCTCCTTGAGCTTGTGGCACTTGAGCTTCTCAAGGGCCATCCAGTAGGAGGAGACCTTCTTGGCCTTGTTGTCAGAGTCCCACTTGAGGTCGGCAACCTGGGGAGTGGCGCCAGCAAGAGCACCGAAGAGCGAGGCGCTGGACCAGGTCTTGTTCTTCTTGCAGTGCATGTCCTTGTAGTTGGTGACGGCAAGGGTGGCAGGACAGATGAGGGCGGTGGCAGCGTTGGTCTTCTTGTCAATCTTGAACTTCCACATACCGAAACCGTTCTCGTCGCCGCCACAGAACTTGTCGTTGTTGCAGGCAATCTCGAGGTAGCCGCGGTGGGGCATGCCGCACTCGTTGGCAATCTTCTTGAAGTTCTCAGAGACCATCATGCGGGTCTTGCGGTCAGAGGCGCCGAAGAACTTCTTCATCTTCTTGGCCTTGAGCTCGAGAACAGGCTTGGCAAGGTGGTTGGCCTGGTCGTGGCAGACAAAGCCGACAGACTTGGGGCCTCAGATGGGAGGCTTGGTGCACGACTTTTTGTTGTAGATGCTGTCGGGGTTGGCCTCGTCGTCTGTATGAAAAGGTCAAGTTAGTACGTTGGTAAAGACGAAGAAACACTATTCTACAGTAGTAGAGGAGGAGAACGTACCTTCGTTGCTGGAGAGCTGGGGCTCGCCATTGGTAGACATGGACAGAGTGAAGCCGTTCTCGTTGTTGGCAAAGCGGTTGGAGAGACTCAAGAGGAGCCATGGCCTTGGTGTTGGTACCGCTGGCAGAGGCAACGGCGGCCATGGCAATGATAGCAAACTGTCCCTTCATGATGATGGCTTGGGAGATTTTTTGTTTTGGGGAAGAAGTGGTTGTTGGTTATTGTTGTTGTTGTTGAGATGAGGATGATGATGAAAAAGAAGGTTGATACTAAGGGTAACCAAACAACCATTATATATCTCGAAGTTCATCCCATTTCTGTATGTCCAAACTATGGCTCAAATTTAGTTGCAGCTGTCTATTGCTGATCTTACCTTTTGGTTTTCACCTTTTTGCACTGCGGCCCGTTGCATTGGAGGTTTCATTGCAGCACGTAACATTTGCTTTGAAACGCGCGGCGTCTTCTATTTTTACTAGACAGGCACCGAAATATTCCAAATGGCGTAGCCTTCTCATGTAGTCATGGTCTCTGCTCCCTGTTGAGGAAAATATATGGTTGACTTAGACAAGGGCATAGAGGCGCTCAGCCGCGACAGCCTCACTCGCCTATGCCGCTATTATTGATTGTGGGTGCGGGTGCTGCTGCAGACGCCGCTCGCTTGGCTGTATTTTCGTTTACTCTACTAGGACAGGTTATTTTGTACTGTTTGGAAACCAAACAAATAGCCGAGACTTTTGTGCTACTTCTATCATACAGTCATTCAAGCAAGTACGATTCACATGTCACAGAAAAAGCAGGGCGAACGCGTTACAGAATGTTTGGTTAAAATAGAATGGTATTGTAAAATGCTCATTTGCTAGCCTCGTGCCCGCTGCCCTCGAGGATTCAATTTTCCGTCAACTATATGTGAGAATACAGGGTTGAAAAAAACTAGTGAGCCTGTATAGTTGAAGGCACATGCAATACGAGAATGCATGGCATCATGTATAGCAGGGCTTGCTAGTTGAGGTTGAAATAGAAGAAAGAAGTTCGAAAAGTAGAAATTTGCGCCATGTAAATGTAGTTGGGAAAATAAAAACGTGTTTGTAAATAGTCGGGTACGCCCGTCGCAAGGTGGAAGCAATTCGTCAAAGTTGATTGCAGGCCAGGGATCCTCAGTCGGATGAGGTTCCAATCGTTTCCGTGGCAATCAAACGTCGTGAAAAAGCAAAGCAGCAGAAAGACCTTGCCCACTTCAGTAGTGTACAGTTGTTGAATAGATAAAGTTCAAAATAAGGAAGAAAAGCAGATGTCGAATCAATCGAGAAGAGGAACATTGTGAAAAACTACGTTGCTCCAACAGAAAGGACGGAGCATGTTCGCAAGACCTGAGAGAGCAAGGGTATCATGCCATTCAGTGGCTAAAGCTGCGTCTCCCGACTTTGCGGATGCCATGGATGCCAAAGTAACATTGAGAATATAGCCGCCGTCATGCACATCTTTCTCGCGTATACAGAAGAGATGGCTCGAGACAAGTGGCGGCTGCTGACGGTGGTGAAGATGAGCATATTTACTTCTTCATCCTGCCAGCCGTGGCAGTGATTTTGCTCGTGTTCATCAAATCGCCAATGTACTTTTGCAGGAACTTGTTGTTGTTATCGAGTTTGTCGTGCTCTTCGCGTACGGCCTCGATGCGGTTGAATATCAAAACAAGGGAGTCCTGCAGCGCTTTGGCGTTCCTAGGTGGGGTTGTTAGCTTTGAGTTACTTCTCGTTCGTTGATTGCCAATCCTTTGGACTAGAATAAACACTTACCGTCTCATCTCTTCTCTGGCTTCCTTGCCGAGCTTGTCAATATCTTCGCTCGTGCGGCGAGGGCTCATGGCCCTGACATCATCAGGTCCAAAATGAGCGTCAGTCGGGCCGACAGCAGAACTGTCTCTAGGGACGACCAGAGGGCCGCTGCTTTTCCGACTGGGCATGCGTGGCCTCGTTGGAATTGGCTGATGAAGGATGGGCTGGTCGTTGGTATCGGAGCCGGAGCTGGAAACAGCAGATGCCACAGATCTGCGGTCTGGTTCGTCTGACATGATGGATGGATGAGGGGGGGAGTATATGGCGAGGAGAAGGCGAAAGCGGTGTCAACGACGTTTGAAACGAGAAATCGGCCACTGGGGCGGGATGACACGAAAGTTTGGTCGAGGTTGGCGACGTTATAAACTCAATCTAGCACGGCGTGTGCGGTAGGTGATGGCCAAAGAGGTGCAGACGACTCCTCAGCGGATGATGTGAGACTGTACTGGAGGGCAAGAGTAGATGGTAGGAATTGGTCGTTTGTTGATAAATATTCGACAACGATGGAATCGAGGACGAAACAGACGCCGTATCGGATACGATTTAAAGGTTAGGAGGCGGTGGTCGTGGTGATGGCGATGTGGTGGTTGAGAACCCGAGGGCAGAGGCGGTGGTGATGGGCGCGAATAGAGAGAGGAGCAAGGGCGTGGGCCAAGTATATGGTGGATGGGCGTATCAAAGCGGACAACGTGTAAGCAAACGACGAGACTGGCGGCGATGGAAAACTGTCGATATCGAAGATGGAAAAGCAGACAATCCGGATAGAGAAGACGGTTTTGCAAAGGCCAAGTTTTGTGAGAAGTCTATGAGGAAAAAAAGGGTCCTGTTCGGAGGGGGGATGGAAGAGGCACGAGAAAGAAAAGGGCGGAAAAGGGCTGGTTTATCGTAATATGAGAAAAAAGGAGCCCTGCGATTCAAGCAGAGCGAGTCGTTTGGGTGGGTATTTTTTTTTCTGGGGGGCGACCCCCCCTAGAGAAGTTGAGCCATAGTGGATTTATTTTGGGGGGGAGGGGGGGCGTGTGGGCTTGCTGCTGATGGGTGGGATTTTGGGGGTGGCCACCTGTACCGTGCTGTATTTCTTCTACCTAGAGTACCATTAGAAGACACAAAGAAGTGAGTGAGAACAGTAAGTATAAAGAAATATGTGAAAGGCTGGAAGAGACTTGGTTTGTTTGTCTCCCTTTTCACATTATATTAAGCTTCTTCTTTTTTTTTTTTGTATCCCTTCTGCGCACACGCCCGCTCTCTCTCACCATCATCACCCTAATCATCGTCATTCTCACCGATCTCTGGCGCTCGCCCCAGTGACGTCCCAAGTGACGAAATTGGTCGGCGGGCGGGCCATCCGTTGCCCTGTCCCACTCACTGGTTTGCCGCACTGTGCGCGCACCATCACTCGCTTGCCCACCCAAAACACCAGGTCACGTCACTGGCCCGGGGGCCTGGTCAGGCGGTGCGACGCTGAAACCGGCCGTTGTTTTGGGGAAGCTCCCAGCGAGTCGCCGGCCAAGTAGTACAGTACAGTACAACAGCAGCCAGCACAGAAGCATCGCATGCCATTGGCTCAGACTACGACTTTTCTGAAATGTACACATGCAGTTCAGTAATTACTTTTAACAGTAGAAAGACAGACTAGCGCCGGGGCTGGCCTAGTGTGAAAATCGACGACAGACGCTCGCCATATGGTTGGTCGTCACGTTGTTAAATTACGTATAATACCGGCTTCATTCTCGTTGCAATGCTTCACCAGCAATAATAACAACAACCCGGCGCAGCTGCAATCTTTGCATGTGCAGAGCGCATTAAACACACCGATTATCTCGTCTATAAACGCCTGTATATTTCCCGATCTGCGACGCCATATTCCCTTTTGCTTGCTTTTCCCTTCATTTCTTGGCTCTCCTATTGCAGGCGATTGGCGTCTGTGTCCCCATCGCCTGGGACGCTGTTGCGCAGCTGGAAGTGGGATCTTCACTATTTTTGCGGGGACTGACCCTGCGAAATGACGCTGGGCGGGACGCGCACTGTGCGCAGACGACCTTGCGCTCCTACTGGGCCATGTGCACTGTACCGTACGTGCGTGCTCATCACTTCACTGGTCTTGTCGGTCTGTCAGCACTGTAAGACAAGCCCGAGGCAAAGAGAAAAAAAGAAAATGATGAATGGGGGGACTCAACAGAAAACATGAAAAATGAGCAAAGTTAACCACCCAAAAAGCAAACTAACCCGGTGTTAGTGTACAAAATATCACAGAACAACTGACTAGAAAAGGTGGCCCATTCCAAGTCGGGGGTGGCGTTCAATAGAGTCTTTTTTTGCTTTCTTCTAGCGCTCTTCTTCTAGCGCGCTATACCTGTAGCAGCAGCAGCACTAGCAACGGCAGTGGACGCATCCTGCCAATGGCAGCAGTGCTTGAGCGGTTCTTCCCGTTAGCCTACAAAAAGTATGTAAAAAGTCACAAGTATTAGTTAGCGGTTCGGCCCAAATGCGCTCAAACTCTGCTGGGGCCACGAGACGGCAACCACCGTCCAGAGAGGAGGGGGGTGCAAAAAAGCTTAACGTGTTCTAAAGAACCGCTGTGGCGGTAGCAATGAACGGATAAGGCTTACCCCTTTGCATATATTTTGCAAAATGCGCATTGTCACTGACCAACGGAAAAAAAAGCTCTCGTGATGGGGGCGAACGGCTTCTCTGGGCAGTCCAGCACGCGGCAGTCGGTACAAGCACAAACCAACGCTCCGCTACGCGACGGTGGTGGAGGCGGCGGGTCGGTTCGGTGGCAACATTGGGGCAAAATGCGTTTTAGTCCGTATAATGTAGACGACTTTGTCCGTATAATGTAGAGATATACGGCCCATCGCTTAGAAGCCAAGCCCATGACGTTTCAAACGCTGGGGGTGGACAAGTTCAAAAGTCTGCTAGCCCAGCCCAGCCCAGCTCAGCCTGCGGGTGCAGCCGAGGAATACAATAGGCAGGCTATCGAGCCGTGTGTGTGTTCTATACTTCAGGGGATATTAATCACGTACGTAGAAGAAGAACCGAAAAGAAGGAAGCGCCGAGGGAACAGAGAGCCGGTCAAGGGCAGGTAGCGAATCAACGCCATCAGATGCTGCCCTGAAGCTCCCACGCGGACGCCGGCTTGCAGAATGCATGCGCAGACAAGGGTCGGGGAACAGGGCTGCGAGAAAGTCGGTGGGAACCCAGAAGCTTGGTTCGCATATTGGGCTGGATTTGGGCATCGCCCAAATGTTTCGGAGGCAGCAAGGCTAACTACAGCTAACTATTGACCACTAACTACTTAAAATACTACCACAGCCGTGGATATTGTGGAAGACGACGATAGGCAGACAGACCTGGAAAAGTGAGGCGTGATTCACCAGATGTAGGCTGCTCGCAGTATGCGCTCTTTTCTCTAGCTATAGCTGTTTTCGTTGTCGCTGCTATTACTGTTACCGGCTGCTTGCTAATACTGCAAAAAATGCTGTGACGCAATCGTGTGCTTGCCTCTGACGTAGTGCGCATTCCAGAAGCCTGGGGAAAACTGACACCACCACCACCACCAGAAAGGTCCCCTAAATTGTTCTGTCGCACAGGCCACACTGTGCGTTCACCACCCCCTGTCCTGCGTGCAGCCAGCGTCAATAGCAGGCCCGCGGAAACACCAAAAAAGAAAGGCCCAAGGGGTGCAGACAGAAGAAAAGAAAAAAAAGGCAACGATATTAATTCAATCCTTGTCGCGTCAACTGCGCAATTAATAAAAAATACAGAAAGGAAAGCAACCAGACCATGTAAATTGCTGCACTGGCCCGTGTGCTGGCTGGCTAGCTTAGTTGCTGGTACGGTGGCATCCTCACATACTTTGTAGCTAATGGAAACACCATCACTTTTCGAGACTGGCTACGGCAGAACGTACAGTAAGAAACTCATAGCACGCGGTTCTCGCAGCAGCTCCGCCAAATTTCAAAAGGATCCTACAAAGCCACCGCCTCACCTGCAAACAAAACCGGTGTGCAAGGGGGCAAGTTCCCCGTACAGGGGCCAAGTTCCCCGTACAGGGGACCATCGACCACTATCTGGAAGCTTGGGCAGTGGGTGTGTGCGTGCGCCAATCCCGCTGACATAAATTGAACAGTGCTGTATTTCACTGAACGGGGTGTGGTGGAGTGAGGCTTACTTTTTAGTTGCCATCTTCCTATCGGCGTTGATTTTGCCCTCACTAGGAGTGGGCATACGGCGCTCGATATTCTATTCTATTTACCCCAGATTTCAGTGGATGTACGTAGTACTACCACAATGCATCTTTTCCTAACCGGAGAGCGAATAAGGGAAAAGGAAAACACAACGAGAAGAGAAATAGGTACAGCCGTCTTATGAAAAAGGACACGGTCACTTTCTTTGGGCGGCACTTCAAACGTGGAGTGCATACATCGCACCGCTGCCGATCCCACGGCCCGGCACCACCACTACCACCAGTTGCGCTACCACCTATTGTTACGTCCCAGCGCCGCACGCTATATTCTGGCAGCTTTACTGGACAGCCCGCTGGGTCAAGCTGCACACTGCACAGCTGTGGCGCGCACACTGGTGCTGCTGGCCCTGCTCCTCAGTAGTGACATCTACCAGCCAGTTCGTCTAAAGGGTGGGCAGGCTGACGATGCTGAGCTGACGACAGCACGACACATGCGCTTCTCTGCCTACTTGAAAGGGCTCCTTTCTGTTTCTCACGCCCACGCATGTACCCCATAAGATAGATGCATCAACATCACAAATACCCATAGCCTGCTGAAAAAAAAGGTCGCATTCTCACCTGAAAGCAGGACAGTCATGTGGCCCATCTGCCTGTCTACTTTGCCCCCAGTAGCGCCTGTCATCCCATCAACTATTCACTAGCGCCGCTGTCTGCTAGGTTGCCGAGGGCGGGGGTGTGTACTGTACAAGGAAGGTCTGCGAGTCAGCCCTGTCTCGTGCTAAGCTTTTTGTCCTTGCGCATTGTGCACTAAACTAAACGAATAAGATATAGCGCAGGTTTGTGTTATAAATGGCCCATTTTACTTTCTTTTTTGTTGGGTAAGTGGCGCTATGCTAGTCAAAACGGCCACAAAAAGGACGGACGCCTTAGAGATCGGCTGCGCAGGACAGGCACGCGACACCCACCGCCGTGCGCTAGGCGAAGAGAGTAATGGGGAGCTTGGGTGAGCTACTACTGCGCCTCACTGAGCGAAGGGGGGGTTGAAAGAATGACGTAGTTTTTTGGCGAAAGAGGCAAATGTAGACGATGATACGAGATGGGATTGGTTAAAATAGACTTCGTATTGGCAAGATGCGTTTGCGCATAGCATTGGGGGCGGTGCAAGAGGCGAATCTCTATCCCCTACCGCACAGTGCTGTTCGGTGCAGTTAGAGTGTTGTGCAGCTGGTAGATAATTTAGCCCCCGTGTGGTTCGCCTGTACCGGCGCTACAGAAACTCAGTTGTGGTGGTCGCCCGCCGTTTTGGAGGCCCCTAGCAATAGCGGGGAGAATACCTAAGCACCGATGCCGGCCGAGGCGAGTAACAGACGGCGCAAAGTGATGCCGTCTAATTTGGCTGTAATTATGGTTAAAAGGAAAAAGCCAATCGATATAGTTTAACCGTTCCACCCCCATACTGCTCATCTTTCGTCCATTTTAATATTAACCTTTGAAGCATTATGCTCGGTGAGTTGCTGCCAACATTAGATATCTCACAGTCTATTCGCTCACAAATAGTAGCAATGAAGCCATTTTATAAGTAACGAAATAGACCAATCATTGAAAATATCCACGTGTAATTTTATAGCTAGAATAAACCACCGAAATTACACCCATTTCCTTCTACCTGGCGCTCGCGCAAAACCACTACTTAACTACCCTGAACCACGGTTTGTCCCAAACGGGCAATCAGCCTCCCCCACGTTTCTGTAGCCTCGGGATCGCGGACCGCCCCACAACTCCGTCGGAGTCCAAAGGTCAAGCCTTCCTCTTGCCAAAGCTTCCCCTCCTCTACTCAAAAAGGGCCGCGATATCATCGTGGCATGCGTGACACAGCAGACGCATCGAATTGAATCAAAATACATAGAATTATCTTTCCAGCAGTCAAACAACCCGCTACAATGACGACCGTCTGGCACGCCTTCTACGACCTGCTTCGCCAGTATGGCCTCACCACCATCTTTGGTAACCCCGGATCTACGGAACAGCCCATGCTCAAGAACTTCCCTGCCGACTTCCAGTATATTCTTGCCCTCCAGGAAGCCTCCGTCGTTGGAATGGCAGATGGATATGCCCAGGCTACACGCAAGCCTGCCGTCGTCAGTCTGCACACCTCGGCCGGCACCGGCAATGCCATGGGCAATATCATGACCGCATATCTCAACAAGACTCCCCTAATTCTTATTGCTGGCCAGCAGACGAGGAAAATGATTATTGGCGAGCCGCTCCTCACCAACCGAGAAGAGACAACGCTGCCCAAGCCCTACGTCAAGTGGGCGTACCAGCCCACTAGAGCAGAGGACGTTCCGGCCGCCCTCATCAGAGCCATTGCGGTGGCCACTACTGCCCCGGCAGGGCCTGTGTATCTTTCAATCCCCATGGATGACTGGGATGTCGAATTGGAACAAGTCCCCATCCCTCGCAGCATTGTGTCCCAGGCGGGCCCAGACCCTGATGCCCTTGCCGCGTACGCAAAGACAATCCGAGGTGCCAAGAACTTTGCGCTTGTTCTTGGACAGGAAGTTGACAGAAGTCTTGGATGGGAGGCAGCTGTAAAGCTAGCTGAACTCATCAAAGCACCAGTCTTTCAGGCGCCTCTGTCTGAGAGGGCCGTCTTCCCAGAGTGCCATCCGCTCTACCGAGGCATGCTGCCGCTTGCCAAAGGACCACTTGGACAAGCACTTGATGGCTTCGATGTTGTGCTTGTGGTTGGCGCCGAAGTTTGGCGGTACTACCCGTACATCCCCGGAGACATCATTCCGGAGGGCACCAAGCTTCTGCACGTCACAAACGACCCAGACTTTGCTGCGCGTGCCCTCGTCGGCGATACTATTGTAGCGGATGCTAGACTCGCTCTGCAGGCCATGTATACTCTGCTTGCATCGTCGCCGCCCAACTTCAAGGCCGAAGATCGACCTGCGCAGCCGGCGTACAAGTTTACCGAAGGGCCAGTCATGTCAGCTATGGACGCATGGGTATCTTTGGCTGCGGTCCGACCACGGGATGCCATTCTAGTGCAAGAGTCGCCATCAAATGGTTTACAGCTACTTGCCGCATGGCCTGCTGAGGTTCCAGAATCCTATTTCACGTTTGCGAGTGGTGGTCTTGGATGGGCCGCTCCCGCTGCTGTTGGTATCGCACTGGCTGAGCGTCATAAGTGCACCAACCGCCCTGTGGTGTTGGCGATTGGAGATGGCAGTTTGCATTACTCTGTGCAGAGTATATACTCAGCAGTGCAGAATAAGCTCAAGGTCATCTATCTGGTACCGAATAATCAGGAATATGCCATTCTCAAGGCCTTTGCGCTGCTCGAGGATACACCCAATGTTCCCGCCCTGGATTTACCCGGTCTTGACGCAGTAGCCGTAGGAAAGGCCTATGGATGCCCGTCGTACAAAGCATTTAACCCAGCAGAACTGCAGGACCTGTTTAAAAAGGCATTGGCGACGGATGGTCCGACGTTGATTGAGTTTGTGGTTTCCAAGACGAACAAGTCCCTGCTGTAAATAGGCCACCGCTTTGACCTTCTCTGTATATACTACCAGGAATTGTATCCATATAAGCCAATGTTTCCTATAAACAGCTCACTGCAAGTCTAATCCCACCGTTTTATGATGAAAATAAACAAACATTCCGCGTCAGATCGTATAACAGAGCCGCACTCTTTCACTAGTGTGGTGGATACTGATGCGCCGCGGGTCCGGTTCCGGTGAGGTGTGGTAGGCGACCGCTATGATCTTCTACCAGCCAACTTTTTTTTTCGCCCGATGACGTCTAAGGGCGAGCACCCCGCCTCTCTGTTGCCACCACCGCTACATCACCAACAATCAGCAATGGATGATGCCTTGAGGGGCATGTCTTGACAGTGACAATGTACGCCGTTCCGCCTGCGACGCCAGAGTCGCCGCAAAGCGACAAGGCGAGGCGCTTCTACAGTCGCTTCTATGTGGAGGGGTTGGACACGATGCGCACGCCTGAGTCGCCAGAGACACCAGTAAGTGAGGTGACCGATCCGTTCTTTGCGTCGCCGACGAGAATGACGGGGGCCAAAATTCAGAAAGACGACTTTTATATAAAGCGGCCACAGAGGAATATTCAAAGCGAATGGTTTGAAGAGAGCACGATAGCCGCGCACGAGACCCCCGATGGTTCGGTGTTTGTAGCTCCAGCCAGCGACCTGACTGAAAATGTGGCATTGGAAGAAGAAAAGGAAACGAATCAGGTTTCAGAAGAACCTCTACCGGTGGTTTCGGCCAGAAATCAGAATGACGAAGGTGTAGATGTGGTCGCACGACAATCGACACGAGGTTCATTACCAAATCCTGACAATGGAGAAAACTTGTCTTCTCGAGACGCAGAAGGTGAACGCGCATACGAAACGAAACAATCGTCCGATATTTCTGAGCATAGTGAGGCCAAGACGGCTGGCCACGGGAACGCACCGACCACTGTCACGACATCAGACGACCACTCGCGTGAGCCGCTGGATGTGCTTGAGGACTTGCCCACCATCACACAAATATCACACTGGGACCATTTAGCACGGCTCCAAGCATGGGACGATGTGCAACAGACATCTACACTACTCGCCGTATACCTGGCGGCGTGGACGTTCGACCTGCTTCTGCCCACCTTTATTTTGTCGACAGCGACAATTATCATGTCCCCCTCCTTACGGGATGCATATTTCCCAAGAACGCCCCGAAAATTTGCGACGAATAATAACGGGTCGGTGACAACGACAGCCAAGATAAACGAACATCGACGGCCTCCTAAAGGGGTCACAGAGAGCGCCATAAGCTCGGCGCTCAGGTTTGCCCGGACTTCCAGCGCCACAAGCGCCCAGAAACTCACCACTCTAGCCTCTCTAGGACTATTTGCGCTGCTCCTCTCTCGGTGTGTAACGGCGTATGTCATTTACAAAACGGCAAGCGCCTTCTTTGGCGTCGTCTTTTTCTTTAGCGAGCCAGCCTGGCAAAGGCTGCACGGCGCTACAATTACAGGAAGCGATGCGTCGGGCGAAGAATGCCCACAAGATCCCGATGATCCATGTGAAACAGAGGGCGCAGGAAGCGAGGCAGCAGAAATTAGTTCGCACACTACGCAATGAGCATATTAAGGCTGAGAAAAGGCTGAGTGCGCACCGCTTCGGCGCTTCCGGGTTATGGGTAATCTTCCCCGCCTGTTGGGGGTGAAAAAGTTCGGCACATGTAGCTTCTGCCGTGTGGAACCAAGCAGAAAAGAAAACACACAACAATTCGTCTTTAACCACATTTCATGTCTTTTGCGTAGAGGCCCCTGTGATAAACGTTAGCGTTAGCGCTCACTCCACCCGCTGTCAAAACCCGTCAAAACCCTGTCAGCGGGGTAAAAACGTCCCCCCCACCAGTCGGGACAACTCTTTTGCTACTGTCAACTCGGCTTTTGTTGGCGCTAAGAGCACATCATCACTCGGTAATCGATTTTTCGTCCACTGTCCACCTTTATTTCACCGAGCATCGCCTCTCCACCCTTTGTCACCAGTGACTCAACACAATCTTTTAAACAGTTGCATCTGCGCTGTTGTGCGCCACAGACACTCATTCAAATTCACCGTTCAGGTGGCTGCCCTCCTCTTCCTTGTCGAGCAGCCACAACCCTTTCTAGCTTGTTTCTCGAAGAGGTCATGTAACCAGGCTTCCGATTACAAAACGTACAGCCTCACTCAGCCCTCCAAACGGGCACTGCACCAAAAGTGTCCGCCGTCTAACTGACCAATCACCGACTGGCTGCTCTGGTGACTCTTCTCAGCCGCCCGATCAGCCTTAACCTCTTCTTTCTGCGATCGCCTTCTCTCGCCCCTGGCTTCACCTTTCCTCTGCATCCTCACGGATCGGTCCAGCTATCATGTCGAGGAAATCGCCAAATGGTTCCCAGCTGTTAACCCCAAGTCCAGAGGCCACTGTAGGCACCCTGGCACTCCGAAAGCCCGCGCCTCGGACCACGACCGCCCCCCGAGGCCGGACTGGATGCGTGACCTGTCGGTAAGGCGAAAATGTCTGCGTTGCGTTGCGGGAAATAATCCCACAAGAACTGGCTAACCATATCTTTCCATATTCTAGCATGCGACGTGTCAAATGTGACGAAACAAAGCCCGTTTGCCGACGCTGCCAAACTTCAAGGCGAACGTGTAGCTATGGTATTTTGCAGCAACCAAGACAGCCAAACCCGGTAGAGATACAAGCTGCTCTACTTCGTCAAAGCCAAGCAGGCCCGTCGTTACGAGCAACGCCCCCTACAGACGCCGGACGCACTATTAGCATTTTTCACAACGAACACTCTCTTCTGCGGGCCAGAGATTGGGACTATGTCGATGCTTGGAGATATTGTAAGTGCATCCATTGCATAGTTCAGTCCTCATTGCATGCTGACAATTCTCTAGATGTCCAAGTCGTATGTCAACGGTTTGTAGCGGTCAAGGAAGATCTCGAATGTGTACACGACGGCATGCGCGACTACGACAAGAACGCAGTAATACTTATAACCCTTTCCGACTATGTCAGCACAGTTTCCAAAGCTCAAAAATGTCTACCGGAAGAAGGACAGCTTGTAGCCCTTAATCCCGTCTGGCGCACGCTTTGGCAGTATGTCCAGGCGACGCTGCAATGCATCAATGCGAATATGCAATCTACCAGTTATCGCAACAAGTCTACCGCTTTATTTCGAATCACGGATCTGACAGCAACTGAGGTAAGCACCTGAATTAACGGCTTCCGTCTAGCCTGATTCGTGTCGTGTACTAATTGCTTTCATAGTTTCGACTGCTGGGAACAGCGTGGCAGCCTCACATGCGTGGCTATTTTGCTCTAATGCAACATGGAGAGGGATATGTGCCTTTGATTGAAAAGTTTCCATTTTTGCGAGCATCGTTGAATTGGATGCTAAAGTATGTCAACGTAGTCGTCTTGGGTCAGGTGGTGATGCTAACCTCCTAATCAGCGCCGCAGTGGCTGCCAACAGCCATAGCCCACCGAATAATCAAATCACCGAAATATACAACTGGGATTTCGATACCCTTCGCGCCATTCGAGGCACACGAATCGATGGCTTCTTTCCCTGCCCAGGAAACTTATTCATTGACATAATACGAATCACACGGCTGCGGACGCTGTTGGCGAGTGGCGCATCATTGCGACGAACAGTTACTCCGGCTGCACAAGCCATTTTTGACCAGGCGGCAAGTTATATATCTGACGAATGGGTCGAGCTTTGTGGGCCGACGGAAATGATCCCTGAGAACCGGTCAATCTTCTCTCTGTTTCAAACAGCCGTGATTCTGTATGGTGTTTTGTCGCTATCCCCACGAAATGCGAGCTTCCAGATATACCGGCAGTCAAGACAGGAGCTTCGAGATTTGCTCATGGCCAAGATGCGGTATCACATGCAATACGAAAATGCAGCTGCTCATTTGAGTTGGGCTGTCTCAGTGGTAGTTGTTGCGCTATCTGACGGATCTCAAGCAGATAAACAGTTTATCGAAGGTCTGGTAATGAACGAGCGAAAAGACCGAGGCGAATATTATGTACCATTGGCGTTTTTGAAAAAGTATAGAGATTTTTGGGCTTCTGGTAAGACTCATTGGGATGACATGTATCCTGAGGCAACGGCGCCTTTAGGTATTTAGGTCTTGTGAAGTTGAAACAAAGGCATCGTCTATGTAGCAAGAGGCTGGCCTCTTACATGGAGTGACCTATTAATGCTGCCAATATTGGCGAGTTAGGCCGGCCATAGAGCGTGGTCGCCTGAATCAAAAAGTCAATTTAACGAGTATTTTCGTGGTGCTATACAATTCGAAGTTCTGTGAACGAGCATGCAAAGAAAAGAGATCCAACACGTCGCCAGCTGCCGGCCGGCATCTGCCAGCTGTCAGGTGTCGGGCCTAGTTGTTGGTTAGCACACATCATGCCAATTAACTAGTAAACCCTTGAGGTGTTCATGCTTATCATATGGTATCAACCGGGTTGATTAATAACTATGCCGAAACATCCATCCGCAAAACGACGTCGAGAGGACTCCGTTCTGTCCAGCTACGTTCCGGGCACTGTTGCGCCTCGTGGTACTTCATCAACAGTAGGTGGCCAGCGGAACTCATCGACAGATTTATCAACCGACATTGCTCTTCCGTCTATTGAGATCCCCCAGGATACCACACAGAGCGTGTATACAGTGTTTTCTAGGCCCAGTACTGCTTTATCAACCTTCTCCAGGGCCACTACAAGGCCATCAACAGCGGGCGGCCGGAAATCTAGAGCAACCACTGTCTCTGGATATGACAATGAGGTGGTATTGTGTGCAGTCTGCGAAGGCCGAGGGGTATCTCCGGTGGTAGGCATTGCATATCTGAATATTTCTCATGGTGAAGCCAATTTGACGCAACTCTGTGATAACCCGTCATATGTAAAGACAATTAACTCGATGAAAGCTAAGCGACCATCCGCGATCCTAGTGATGGCGTCGACTACCATTTCAGATCCTCCCAACACGTTATCTACAGTGATTGACCAATTCTTCTCGGAAACGAAGATTGAAGCATGTGACCGTGCTCTTTGGTCCGACCGAAACGGGTATGATTGTATCTGCAAACTAGCGACTGAGGAGGACAGCCATTCGTTAAAAGTGGCTCTCCAAGGAAAATCTTATGCAATCAGCTCTTTGGCAGCGGTAAGCCGGCTGACGCTGGGCGTAATTGTAACTAATACAATCAAATAGGTAATCGCGTATTATGAAAAGCAGGGAACATCGTTTGCTCCTAATACACTTCGCATGAGATACGAGCTACCAGACGACACCATGATGGTGGATGTTTCCGCTATACAGGCATTAGAAGTTATGCAGAATCTGAATACACCAAATTCGAAAGCTTGTCTACTTGGGCTTCTGAATCATACTATTACTCCTATGGGTGGACGTACGCTTAGAACGAGCATTTTACAACCTTCAACCCAGCCACAGAGAGTGATCTATCCTCGATACGATGTGATCAAAGAATTCATCGATAATGGAGAAATGTTTCGCGATGCTCGACAAGGTATACGCCATGTCACATTAATGGTATGTTTTGCGTTTGGGCTAACTGATGTATAGCTCTAAAGTCATTCTTTGACGTGGAACGACTTCTTACTAAAGTACGTCAACGTCATTGCTTGAATCTATAATCGTCTAATAATGGTCTAGTTTATTGTAATATCAACAGTTGACGATGTTGTCAAGTGCGAAGAGCAGATTGAACGAATATTAATGATCAAAGGATTCTTGGAGGCTATCCTTGAGTTCCATACAGCGCTGAGCCCTGCCTCGTGCGCTCTGCTTGTCAAGGCCAGAGACATTTGTTCACCCGAGATTAGCAGTCCCATCATCCGGAAAATTCGGACTGTTATAGAAGCAGACGTAACATATGTGAAATCTGCACTGGACTTGCGAAACCAAAGGTGTTTTGCCGTCAAGGCTGGCATTAGCGGATACCTGGACCTGTTGCGTCAGGCGTACAAAGAATTAACTGGCGATGTGCATCAGTTGGTAGACGATTTAAAAGGTTCGGCATCATTAAAGACATTGGTAGCAAACTCTAACGGACACAAGAAAAACATGAGATCACAGTGCAGCTCAAATACGACAACAGCCGCAAGTATTGGCTGAAGCTAAACGTCGGCGAATACAGTCGAATTACTTCGCCTTCTATCTTTATCAATACTATTAAAAAGCCGAAACATATCGAATGCCAAACATTGGAGCTCGTCAAATTGAACATGCGAATTAGCGAAACCTCGGAGAGCATCGTTGAGCAGAGCAACGATGTAATTCAAGAACTAGCTTGCGAGCTTCGACAATTTATTCCACAATTGTTTCGAATGTGTGAATCGATTGGCCTTATAGATATGTTAGCTTCGTTCGCTCACGTGGCACATGACCGACACTACGTCCGTCCCGAGTTTACGAGCACACTTGCTCTGCGAGCAGCAAAGCATCCCATTATGGACCGGACTACTACTGGCGATTTTGTGCCAAATGATTACTACGCCACCGATAATCATCGATTCAACATTGTTACCGGGTGTAACATGAGTGGGAAAACAACATACATCCGTGCCATCACCCTTCTTCAGATCATGGCACAAATCGGAAGCTACGTTCCTGCGACGTATGCTTCGTTTACAATAATTCGCTGTATTTTTGCTCGTATTACCACTAATGACAAAATCGAGGCCAATCTCTCTAGCTTTTCATTAGAAATGAGAGAGATGGCCTTTATTTTGCGAAACATTGACGACTCAAGCTTGGTAATTATCGATGAACTTGGTCGCGGGACAGCAACACAAGATGGACTCGCCATTGCAATGGCGGTGTCTGAGGCTCTTATTCAGAGTAAAGCCTTTGTGTGGTTTGCAACGCATTTTGCAGATATTGCAAAGTCCTTGCACAATTTTCCCGGTGTGCTGACACTTCATTTACAATCGCGAATCTTGTCACCAAACAATGGCATGCCAGAGCTTACGATGATGTATAAGGTGGAATCTGGTATTGTCGACGATTCTCAGCAGTATGGGTTACACTTGGCACGAGCGATGGGGCTTCCAAAGAAATTTGTAGATGATGCTGAGGAAGCATCGAACTATTTGAGACAGATGCGACTAGAGGGCGAAGTGAACTCGGAAGAGCGAAAGACGGTCCAAAAACGACAAGCTATTTTGAAACTATATGATTCATTGAAGCAAGCGAATGAATATGGCAACCCTGACGTGTTGTATGGCTACCTCAAAAAGTTACAAGAAGATTTCGTGGTGAGAATGGTGGCTATTGACAAAGGAACTCTCGCATCAGAATGAATCACAGTCACGAGGCAGATAACCAAGCACCTACAACAAAAGTGTAATTAGTTTGCTTATGATGATCAGAATTTAAAACATGCTACTGCTGAGATATCATTGATATATTTTTACATGAACTCTGGTCTGTGAAGCCTCGGCCAGTGCCCAGCACTGCAGCCCAGCTGTGGTCATAAAACGTCGACCCAGTCATTGCTCGAACTATAATTTTGTAGACGCAAACTGCATGGTAGACCGCTTTCGCAGGATGCCACTGTTGAGATGAAGTTCTGCAGACAACCGCATCCAGGAATCTTGTGCACGAACAGCCATTTGCTCCGGCACTTCAGAATCAGGATCTGCTAAATGGCGGCTGAATAGCTCAAAACTGAGCCAACCCTGGTATCCAACCGCATGTATGATGGTTGCCAAGATCTTTCGGACAGGTAAGTAACCACCAAGATGAGGCTCGCCGTAGAACAATCTCGTGTTGCGAGACCAACTCATACGCGATGGTTGGTCTGCATTGTAAAATTCGTGGCCTGGCTGAATGGGCTTTCGCATTCGCTCAGCGTCCGCCATCTGGACCAGAAAAACTTTATCGACGTCGAGCCAGCGGATCATGTTGTGCAGGCTTCGGTGAAGAGCCCGGCGGCATCCCTTGTTAAGGCCACCAACTGCTGCTGGATCTGCCCAGAGCCTACCGGCAATGTTGAAAGCATCCAGGCAGATGCCAAAGTTGGGGCGATTGACTCCGCGGACGACTTCCCAACTAGCTTCCCAGGTATCGATGGCTGTGCCCCAGCACAGAGCCTCGTATGCGAAGCGTACGACTGGTGTGCTCTGTAGACCTAGATCTGCTGCTTCGCGAAGATCTTCAACAATGACGTTGAATTCCGTGGATACGGTTTCCTTGCCTAGAAAGTTGCTTGGAAAGATGATGAGATCGGTGCCGAGGGCATGAACGAGGTCTACCCAAAACAGAAGCTCTAACAGGTTGCTCTGCTGCTTGAATCTATCGTTGTGTCCTTCAAAGTGCATAAAGGGCTGTAGGCAAAGGATTTCAAGGTCCAAATCGGCGCATAGTTGGTGGATGTATTCGGCAGCCAGTAGCTGGTTAGGTTTTGAGTCGTCGCCAAAGATCTTGACCGCAACATCGACGAGATCTTCGTAGAAGAGCTCAATGCCCTGGAATCCGTATTGGCGTGCTAGGCGAAGCTTGTTGTCCAGGGAGTGGCCAGCGAAGCAACGCCCCAAGGACATTGTACAAATGCTTGGTCTGCAAGCCATGATGGGTTGAAGTCGATTGAGTCGAATGCTCTGGGGATTAGCAATGTACCGAGCGTTTGAAGACGGAATTCGCGTATATTGGACTGAGTTTGTCCCTTGGTGCCGTGCGATTTGGGTCATGAGCACAGTTTATAGAGACCGGTCAAGGCTGCAAGGCACGACCCCCACGACGGCGTTTGTAGCAGGTGAGACTATGTGACAAGACGCAAAGCGAAGAGTTTGCAAAGCCAGATGAGGACCACTAAAAAAAGAAGTTTAAACTAGCGGAACGCTAAATGTTGCCTAGGGACGAAAAGGAAGAATCGGACGCTGATAAAGGTAAGACCTTATTTGCAATCGACTGGCGGCAAGTGGCCGGCCCACCATCTTTCTAGTCATGGCTGAGTAGCCATTCGCCATGGCAGCATTTAGCGAATACCAGCTGTCTGTTTTGAATATTAGGTACCTGTTGGCTGTAAAACGTGAGGTGGGAGGTCACAGTGTCTGGTAACAGCGTTGCAGGCGACGATGCGCTTGGGTGGTGGTGACTGTAACATCTGTGGCGGTATATTTGGCAGCACGTATGGCGTGAGTAGCGTCTGCAGCTGTTGGCATATCCGAGGAACGGTTCATGGCGGCTTTAATATAAACGACGTCATTTTCGTTCTACGGTGCGTGCTGCCGTGATGATGGTAAAGAAGACACATGTTGCAAGTTGCGTGTAAGTGGGAGGGTTGACTACGCAGCGATCTGTGTTTGTGTTTTATTGCCACGACTTTGGTGTGATTTTTGACACCACCGATGTGTAAGCTTTGGATTTGTATGAAATATCTGGGTTTATGTCTTTTTGTCTGAAACATGATTTAGTTTACTCCTCGCACTCGCAACAGCTGGCAGCCACCAGGCGCACCGTATCGCTGGGCTTGGTCGAGGAGTGCCACTTTTGAAGGGTGCTGCGCCACATTGGCTGCCGCCTTGACAGCCTCCACGCGGCGTCGTCATCGTGCGTCGTCACCAAAAACCAGATAGTCCCAGTTCGACTCGCACATGTTTTTTTGGCGGGCAAACTTGGCGGGGAGTGGCGCAGACGATGCAAATCTCAGCTTACAACTAGTACGATGAGGCGAATCAGCGCAGCCCAGTCCGCGCATCCTAGGGCGTGTGAGGCCGCTGTAATGATGGGGCCTAATAGGCTGCTATATAATGGCTGACGACGACCTCCATTGCGTCGCCTCGCGTACGAGTCGTTTCTCGGATACTGTGCTGTTTTGCTTTATAGTCGACGGATAGCCGAATTCGAAAATGGGCTCCATTTCAGCAGCTTCATACTACGCATCCCCCAGCCAGCAACAATACTATCAACGAGATATGAAGGTTTCTCTTGATTCCTCGGTCGAGGCCGCTGGTCTTGCTGGAGAGCAGCGCGAACTTCTCGATCTCATTGATAAATTACAATTTGCTCAACTCGACAATGTGAAGCTTCCCCAGATCGTTGTCGTTGGCGATCAAAGTGCCGGCAAGAGCTCCGTCTTGGAGGCTCTCTCAGGAACACCATTCCCACGCGATGCCGGCGCCTGTACACGCTTTGCAACAGAAATTCGACTCCGCCGTGCCAAGGAGGCTTCCTTAAAGGTGTCCATTATACCCGACAAGACTAGACCTTATGATGAACTTACACGGCTGATGCACTTTGGCGGAAGCGTCAGTGGCGATATGTCATTTGAGTCGCTTATGAGAGATGCCACAGAGCTGATTGCCCCCAAGAATATCCCTGGCCGATTTGCTGCCCGTGATATTCTCGTCGTAGAGCGAACTGGACCCGACATGCCTCTACTTACACTTGTCGACTTGCCTGGCCTCGTCCGCGTTGCCAACCGCGATCAATCCGAAGCCGATATTCAGACAATCGAGGCTCTTTCAGATCACTACATGAAGAGTTCACGAACAATCATCTTGGCAGTTATTGGTGGAAACAATGATTACGTTCAAGCCCCAATTCTCATGAAGGCTCGCCACTTTGATCCCAAGGGTTCACGCACCATTGGTGTTTTGACCAAGCCCGACATGACGGAAGGCATTGGACTGGAAGACAAATTTATCGAGCTGGTGACCAACAAGGATAGAGAAAACCATTTCAAACTTGGGTGGTTTGTCTTGTTGAACCCAGGTCCAGGTGAGCAGTGGGCTACTGCTCAGGATCGCGCCAGACGTGAAGCCGAATTCTTCACTCGTGGTAAATGGGCTGCTCTTCCTCCTCAGATGTGGGGAGTTGCCGCTCTACGCCAGAAGCTTAGCGGACAACTCCAGCGACACATTGGAAAGCATGTCAAGAGCCTACGCCGCCAGATCCAAGAAGCTCTGGAGCGCTGTGATGGACAACTCAGAGAGATGGGCGAAGGCAAAGAGACGGTCGAAGAGATGAGATTTGAAATGGGAGAGTTGTTTGCAGGTTCGCACAATCTTGTTACCCCTGCTGTCAATGGCAACTACAAGAACCCGTTTGGTGAGCGCTTCTTTGCTCGTCAGTCGCACCCCAAGGGCACACCATCACAAAAGCTCCGTGCTCGTGTTAGAGAAGAGAGTGAACGCTTTTCTCGCCGATTCCGCCAGCATGGACGCAAAGTTACTTTCCACAGCGAACCAAGCGCCAGTGCTAACCCCAACCTTCCTCAAGCCGGTGTGGTAGGCGACCAGTCGAAAAGAGACTTTGCTCAGAACGAGGTAGAGCCTCTGCTTCGCCAGATCCGCGGTAATGAATTGCCGCTCGACTCAAACCCTCGAGCCCCATACATTCTCTTCCAGGATTATTCACGCAACTGGCCGACCCTTGCTCAGGAATATAAGGACAACTTGAGCGTCATTTGCAACGAGTTTCTCGCCGACGTCATTAGCCACATCTGGCCGATGCGCATGCGCGACCCTCTACGCTACCACTTCTTGGAAACCAAGATGCGGGAGCTGACTGAAAATGCCGACAAGGAGCTGTCCAAACTGACTGACGATATGGAGCTTGAGGTGCAACCATATGACCCCGAGTACGAAAACCGTCTTCGAACATGGCGTGCCGAAGCCACTCAAAACGGCGGCACTTATACAGAGGCCGAGGAAGTACTGGAGAAAATGCTCATCTACTACGACCTCACTGCGCGAATCTTTACCCGCAATGTCATTACACAAGTTGTCGAGAGACACTTGCTGCTAGGCATGTTGCGTCTATTTAACCCCGTGGAGATTCTTCGCATGCCCAATGCAACCATTGAAGCCATTGCTGCCGAAAACAAGGAGACGCGCGAGCGCCGACTTGCACTCAAGCAGCAGAAGAAGGCCATCGAGGAAGCTCGCAACATTTGTGCTGGCCTGGCCATGCGCAGCGAACTCCGTGGCTTTGACGATGACACCGAAGATGACATTGATACGGACGATGAAGAGGCTCAACAACGACGACGCGCATCCGTTGTTCTCACGCCCCAGTCCCAGCCCAGCCGGCAATCATCTGGAAACAGCCGCCGGGAGCAACAGCAGCAGCAACAACCGCGTCTGTCTATTGACACACAAACGCAACAGCGCAAACCTGTCGTAGCAGCTCGTCCGGAGCCACCATCTCACCGCAACAGCGTACACGACCATCCTCGCGAATGGGACCAGGCATACTATACCACCGCGTCTTCTCAACAACAGGCTGCTCCTACCCACGCACCACCAGCCCCTCCACCTCGTCCTCAGAAGCTTGGATTCGAGGGATCTGACGACTTGTACGATGGGATGGCTCGAAGCGAGTCGCCTGCTCATGGCCGACAAAAGGAGACGGCTCGACAGAGACTTGCCGCTGTGATGAGAACTGGTGCATAAAGGAACCATTAGGGTAGCTGCTTTTTTGTGGTGTTTGGGTTTGGGTGTTGTGTAGAATGACGTTAAATTGTGTAATTATCGACTAGAAATTCCGCATATTGTATAAATATACTCTTGAAGTTAAAAGACACGTTTTAGTAGCTAAAAGTATGAAAATATGACCGCTTATGGGCGTGAAATCTAGCCAGAGTGAAAATAACGAGGTAGAGTTGAAGAGCCCGGTATGTCTGTCAACTTTCTATGTCGTTTCAATGCTTTGCAATTTCTTTGCTCAGAATCGCTTCAAGGTGTGGAGGTATCAATAAATATAACTGTTTAAATCTGCTCGCTATCTATTATCATCATCATCGTCCAGTTGGTTCAGCTTGATCTGATACTCAACCTCTCTCTCCTCAATCATATCCGCCCCATACGCCCCGAAAATAGGTGCTATTAAACCGGTCAGCAACAGCTCTTTCGCCACAAGAGCGACAATTTTGGGGAAACGCACCAACTCTATTTAACATGGCTGCTTGCAAAATGTGTAACAAAAACAAAAAAGAAAATAGACAAAAGATGGCTATCGCCGCTCGGGCAAGCGTTGACGAGCCGTCGACGTCTGGTGAAGGGGCGTGGTCAGCACCCGGTGCTCTGAGTGACAACAAAGAGAAATGATGACGCACTGCATTGACTGTCTGGTTGGTATGTGAGAGGAATGATGAAGAGAGGTCTTGTTGTTGTTGTGATGATGTAGTAGTTGCGGAAGAGGAGGAAGAAGTAGGGTGGTTGATTGGTTGTTCCGATGCCTTTTCGCGAAGGAAGAGGAGCATTTGTAAAACCGGCATTTTCTTTTTTATATTATGGCAATGGCCGTTATATATAGATGAATATGAGCTCGATTATAGTATAGTGTAGTATAATCCAGAATAGTAAAATGCAGGAAAACTTGTGTAATTTTCGTGTTGAGTGTCTCCCATCATCATCTGGCAGCTTCGTCCATGTCCATTATATATATCACTGTCAAAAGGCGTGTCGTACATTTTAGCCCACGACTCATCCTTCTACAACAATAACATAAATCATCACCACAGCCCCAACGCGTTGTTTCGTCAGAAACCCTCCGCCACACAGAGTCCGAACTCGGGTTCCTCGCATCTGCAGCCGCCCACTTTGTATAGTGCAATCAGCCTCGCTGTTACAGTGGGTGTAGCAGTGACTAGCAGCAGTAGAGCAGCCTAACAACCAGCGAAAAAAAAAATGGCCGGGCTTACGTACACCTCCTTTGTTCTGTGCCTCAGCTCTACGATCGCAATCTCTACGGTTTCTCGCATTTCACGTGCCCACAAACAGCCACCATGTGTGTACCTGATCGGAGTCGTCAGCCTCGATGCGCAAAGCCTCAGTCAGCAGCCAGCAAGCACTAACCAAGCACTAACAACCGCTAAAACAGGGGCGCCCCACACCGAGTCCGAGCGCGCCCGGAGCAGCGAGTCCGAGGCACCAAAATACAGAAGCTGGGGAGCGTGGGCGACGCCACAGGCCGGATCACACTAAGTCTAATTTATGCGCAGCCAATAGCGCTACACCAAGATGAACTACACACAAAAAATGTTACAAAAATAGAATCACAGCGGGGAAACTCTCTCGATTAAGTGTAAAACCATGTTCGTTTTTCATTTATGTACTGCTAAATATACAATTGTACGTATCACTATGTACGTAGAAGATTACGTGTAAGTTGCGCCCTTCAAGCGTCAACCAAAACCGCCAAAAACTTTTCAAAGTCCTTGGGAACTCCAAGGCCAGTAATGGCATCCCAGCCCTTCTTGGCAGGCCATCCACCAGGCTTTCCCGTGCTGAAAGAGCAGCTCTTGCTTGTGCCTGTTGTAATGTCTTGGAGCACAGCCCGTACCTTGTCCGAGTACATGATCTCGTTGAGGAAGCCAATGGACTGCTTGCCCTTTCGTAGACGGGCATCATTAACCAGAGAAATCAGACCTGAGATGAGAGGCGCACTAGCACTAGTGCCGCCAATGAGGCTCGGCATACCACCAAAGATGACGGCAAAGTTGGTGGCAACAGCCGAGAAATCGGGAATACCACGGCCGTCCTTGGGGTAGTAGCCGTCCATCAGCCCCCCAATAGCCTTTTGATAGGCAGGGACAACCTTGTCCTGCCATGTGGGCCGGGTAAAGTACTTGGAGAAGCCACCGGAGCTAAAGTCAACGCCAGAGGGGGGCTCAGCCGTATTCGTGACGCCGCCAATCGCAGTCACCCAAGGGCAGCTAGCAGGAAACGTAGCCATGGCAATCTCTGTGTGCTTGCCGTCCTTGGATCGACAGTTGCTGTCGCGGCCACCAGCAGCACCACCGTCACCCGACGAGTGGATCACACTGACGCCGCGTTTCGTAAGAAGACCATAAAGATCGCAAACACGCCTGGCGTATGTCTCGGGAACAGTAAGTTCGTCATCACCATATGACGTAGAAAGAACGTGTGGAATTTCGTCATCGCCCTTGTTCAACAAGTACTGGATAAACTCGAGGTATGGCTCGTTATCACTGGCGCCTAGGTTGCCGCTGTCGTCGAGCTTGCCACCAAGACCGCCTGTCGAGTAAAATGTTGTGGCGGACGGGTAAGCAAGGGCCATGGCATACTCAAGATCAAGCATGGCCTCGCCAGTTCCTGTGTGGGGAGTATCAGGGTTCTGACCACCATTGACCAGCTCGACGCTAAAATTGTAGCCGGCTGCGTACAGCTTCGGAGCAAATGTCTTGAAGAAGTCGTCATTGTCAGCATGGTTGCCATGCTCGTTGAGGTAGCCAGCAACGGCTAATCTGTTTTTGGGTTCTGTGTCTGGTGCTTTGTACTTGACGTTGTAGAGTGACTTGATGCATTCGGGGGTGACAGATAGAAGACACGAGGCGGCATTGACAGAATCCAACACGGCCTGGGTGGGTGCTGCATCTTGCTCAACAGCAGACCTGCGTACTGGGTCCATGAAGTGTGTAATGGGATATATGAAGTCAATGGCACCCTTCAGGTTTTCAGGAATGGCGTATTGGTTGGTGCGCAAGAGTGTGGCTTGGTTGTCAAAGTCGTAATGGGCAAATTTTGCCTCGAGCAGCTTCTCAGCCTTTTCTACCGAGGTGCTGACGGAAATAATATCGTTATTTTGCTTCACATTTGTGATACTGTTGGCGGCAAGCCATTGGAGGACGGCAGCGGCATCTTTGGCATCTGGCGCTTGAAGCGCTCTGACTTGATCGGCTGTGAGATGCTGGGCGCCAGGAGGGGCAGCAATCTGATCGGCGGCAGGTTGGCGCAGGGCAATCTTAAAGTTGATGTTCTTGCCAGTATCAACAGCCTTGTTGGCGACTGTCCAGCCTTGAGGGAGCTCAGCCACGTACTCGAGAATAAGGCTGCGGGCAGTGGCGCTGGAGACGAGCGCCGCCATGAGGAAGGAGATGGAGTACATGGTGGGAGATTTTGTGAGGAAGGTGTATAACAAGGAGAATATAAAACAAAAGTAGAGAAGTTGAGAGGGAGGAGAGTATAGAGTGATGGATGTAGATTGTGATAGATGGTAGAACGATTGATGTGAGGAGGGGTGGTAGCTTATACTTATACCCTGACAAACTTTAAAACGCTAACTTTGAAGACAATAACGAAGCGGTAGGGAAGGGGGAGGGGCAATCGTTAACGGAAGACAGGTGAGACAGACCACGAGGATATCTTGGAACTTTTGGCGCCGAACAAAGGCAGAATGTCGCACTCGCACCCGACGTGATTCTCTCCATAAAGGGCCATTTGGGGTGCTGCTGGTGCCGATGCCGGTGCAGCTGCGGTCCAGATTGCACTGGAACGCTGCTGCCAGGGCCTTAGATTACACGCTAAAGCGTCCAGATGCAGACTATCGTTAGTTGATACGCTAGCATGACATTTTGGTGGTGTTTATGGGGGCGGGGTGTGGTGTGCATGCATACCCGATAAGGCAGGTGAAGAACAATGCTTCTCACTACTGATGATATCCCCAGGTGCATGCACATTCGTTATGATGCACAGAGTATATGTTGTATACAAAGTTTTTATATTTCATCGCTCGCCATCAAGAAACTTCTGCATGGTCAAAACGTCGGCCTGCCGATGCTTCGTGAAGATGTCACGCGAGAATCTGAGGAAAGGAATGTTAGTGTCTCATGCTTGGTATGGGATCTGCAGGCACCGACGCTATACAAACCTTAATGCGGCAAACAATGGCTAATTGTGTGAGACATGCAATTTTAGATTACGGTTTTTTGTCCGAAGAAAGTATACTGCAAACGGAAGCTATCAAGATTTTCGATGCAAGATGAACATGTGTTTGTCGAAATTTGAGACACGGCTTTGCAAACAAGGCCGATGAATGTGGCGGGTGCAACGAGTTCAGACGGCGTACAATCCATAGAGCAAGTATTAAAAAAGATCACTCGGAAAATACGAGACGCAGATTGTTCCCAGTAGATGGCACAAGGAAAAAAAGGAGCCATTTCCAAATTACTGGTGCGCAGAAAATGTGTTGTACAAGACTGCCAGCTGGCGGGCATATTCTAGGCTGCCAACCATGTACCATGCCCCCTCACCAACAGCTTACGATAGCATGCAACAATGTAAGAGTCATACCAGCTCTGGTCTAGTATATATAGCCAACAAAGCGGCAATTTTTATCAATTTAATTAACTTGGCAATCATTCAAACCGAACTCTACAGCTAAATCTCTGTCGCCCCTCCTATGTGCCGCTCTTTAGAAAAGAAAATCGAGCTTCTTCCTGCGGAGCAAGTCTTACGGGAATTCTTGCTTGAAGCCGCGCAAGAAGTGCCAAACCTCGAGATATGGATTACCGGCGGCTGGGTGCGTGACCGGTTACTTGGCTTGCCTTCGTCGGACTTGGATTTTGCCCTAAACAACCTCACAGGCAGGGAATTTGGCAAATTCTTAGCTTCCTTCTCTACTAGGCCAGAGATCCAGTCCAAGTACAGCCAAAAGGCAGATAACCTGGGCATTCCAGGTTCCAGATCAGTTCAATTTACCATCATAGAACGAAATGCAGAAATGGCTAAACAACTTGAAACGGCTCGTGGGTCACTTTTTGGCCTAGATATTGACTTGGTAAATCTACGCAAGGAGATATATAATGGGCAGAGTCGAACCCCCAGGATGGACTTTGGTACTCCAGAGGAAGACGCGCTTCGGCGAGACGCTACAGTAAACGCCCTCTTCTTCCACCTTGAGAAGCAAGAGGTTATCGATCTTACAGGAAAAGGTCTCAAAGATTTACAAGCAAGAATTATGAGAACGCCGCTAGATCCATACCAAACTTTTATGGATGATCCCTTGCGGGTACTACGTCTGATTCGACTCAGTAGCAAACTTGGCTTCGATATCGACTCGCAGACTCAAGCTTCCATAGGGGATCACAGAGTACAGCAGGCGCTTGATAAGATTATCACGCGCGACAGAATCAACATAGAAGTATTCAAAATGATGAGAGATACAGATCCAGCGACTGCTCTTGAGCAAATATTCCAACTTAGACTTTTCGTCCCAGTATTCCTACGCTTCGATTCACCACTCCTTGCGCATATAAAGAACACATTCCCGTTCAAAAAGAAAACCCTATGGCCAGCAACATGGCCAAGGGCATATTCCCTTCTTACCAAACTGTTACAGTTAAATAGTCACCTTGGTTTAATGGTCCAATCTGCAGAAGATGTCGAGTCTATCTGGGTCATGGCTATCTGCACTCCCATTGCCGGGTTTCGACATGGTAGATTGCAAGAGGCCGTTCAGGATGTAACAAATGCGCTTCGACTCCCAGTTAAGATAACCAGGATACTCGAAAGTGCGCTTCAGAATTACGATTCTATTAGCAATGTGGTTGAAAGCATCGTAACCAACAGGGATAAACCCCCGTTGCCGAGCGTTGTTGGTATGGCGATCCGCTCCTGGGGTTCAACATGGCAAACGCAGTTGGTATATGTTCTACTTGCTCAAGCAGTTCATACACAGTCAACATCTACTCCACCTGGCTTCCTAGACTTTGAAGCATATTCGAGGCCTAAGGTTGAGGAGCACATACTTGACAGATTTTCTGTTTTTGTAGACTATATTTGGGCCATGGATCTACAAAATGCTCATCTGAAACGCCCGCTATTAGATGGCAATCAGATACAAAATCATTATGGGCTCCTGCATGGTGGTAAATATTTGAAGAACGCAATAGATGGTCTCATAGCGTGGCAGTTTGACCATAGCAATGCGAGCGTTGAGGAAGCAAAGGTCTGGCTACTCCAGGAACGAGACACTCTGGGAATACCTCCATCTGAGACTTGAACATGGAGAGAAAATGGCACTTTCCACGCCAGTCAAGCCTTCTCGGCGGCGCGATATGCTTTCTCGGCACTAATTAATTGCTAGTCTTGTTGTAAAACTGGGGAGACGGCAGCGAGTTTACATACACGCTAGCCATTAGCCTCCCAATAGTCTGAAATAGCCTGTTTATCTGTCTGTCAGCCTGCCTTTTTAGTCGAAGAACGACTTTTACAATGGCATAAAATCCCATAAACCAAACAAGTATTGGCCTTTCAGAATATCTCCGCACTTTTTAACGACATGTAGTTGTCGTGGGGCAGGTTGACATGCATCGTACCACATGGCCCCGTCTTTGCAGCGGGCGTCGCCTAAGCCTGCGGTTTACAAATGTGATTATTTATTTACAGGGACTGCACGGATACACATTAAGTTTGTTGAAGAAATGCGATAAGAGTAGATGTGTATTATTAATAGAGTGTCATTTTTTGCATTACGCCTTTCTAGCAAGCATGGGCTAACAATAAACAGAAAAATAGAGTCGTCAAAAATAAGACATATACACACGCTTGACAATGCCGCAAAAGAACTGTCAGCGATTCATTATAATTATCGTCCTCTGCTCTGTGCTCTTCTTAAAAGAAATTCCCTTACTCGGACCAGACACGGTTGACAGTGACGGCAGAGCAGCTGGGGTTCTGGGGCTTGGTGTTCTTGCCCATCAACCAGTTGAGGTTGTTGTACTGGTAGCCAGAGTAGTTGTTGAGGCAGACGTACCACTGGCTGAGAGCCTCCGTCTTGTACACAGCAGGGGAGACGGTGTCATCGAGGTAGGAGATGATGTTGAGCTGGCCATCAGAGTCGCGGAAAGAGACGTAGGTAGTGCCGTAGCCGGGCTCGAAGAGAGGAAGGGCGAGGTCGGAAGAAGGCTGGTAGGTGAAACTCATGGCCTCGGGGATGGGAGGGCCTGTAGAAGAAATGTTAGCGATTTGTGTTCCAATATTAGACAGACGAGTAGGGAATTACATACTGGCAGGGAGAGACCAGGTGATGAGACCCGAGGGGCTGTAGCCGTCCATGGCGGGCTGGGCACCCTCGGTGGTGTTGAAGGTGAAGTCGATGCTGTGGTCGCCAATGCAGAGAGACTCAATGGCGGCGCCGACGTGGCAGGCAGAAACGCCCTTGCCGTTCCACTTGGCATCGTCGGAAGACAGAACAAGCTTGAAGGGCTTGGACTGGACGTTCTGGGCGGTGGCAATGCCAGCGAGGGCGAGAGAGGCGGCGGCGATGAACTTCATTGTGATTGTTGTGGTGGTGGTGAGTTGTGTGTGTGTAAGAGGAGAAGAGAAGAAGATGGTGGTGATGAGGATGGAAGGATCGAAAGAATGTTTCACAGGGACGATCAGCAAGGTCTTATATATTTTTCAGACCAAACGCCTCGGGGGGCAGCACAAGCAAGCAACAAACCATCCAGCAAAAAGCGAGACAATGCGCAGGGAGACAGGGCCTGAAAGCAAGCCCGTATTAGTGGCGGGTCTCTCCCAGCGGTTCTCCATGTTAGCGCCGTTCTCAATTTCCACCTTGGTCGCTACAGCGCCGTGAAAGCCGCCTGGGATCATCATCGTCATCATCCGCAAGACCCTGTAAACCCTGGCTTTTGTCTCTCTTCTCGCCAGAAAAGGCGCTAGGAAAATGCGAAAGCGGGCAATTCGGGGATGCCCTAGCAGCCCGCTGCGGGGGGCGGCGAAAAGAAACACGAGCCCAGTACCACGCTATGACGTCTGCCGTGGGCGCTGGCGCCGCCTGTTTTAGTGCCGATCGACGATTTGTGGCTTGGGCTATGGAAACGAGAGCATGCTGACGAGGATAAATCAATGGAAGCAGAGGAGAATGGGAAAAAAATACAACATGAGGGAGAGACTTTCAAGAGAATGAAAGATGTGCGGTACCTGACAGCTATCGGCCGAGAAGATAGTCACAAAAACCGCGACATTTCGAGAGTATACTTGCGAAGTACAAAAGGCTTCTTTGCATGGCTACAGTTGATGAGGGTCAAATGGACAATATCGATCCATTCTACCGCCCATCCAGTTTACGCTACGAGCACATACACTGCCCATCCACACGCACCGTACCAGAGCATCATCCGGTCTTACTTAGTCCTACGGACTTTGTCCATCGGGAACTATATTGTCCCGCGTGTCGTCTGCCTAGCTCGTTGCCCTCCTTGTGGTTATCGAACAGTGCATGCCGCGGATGCAACCATGATGGTTTGGGATCCTCGGACCACTACCTCCCCCAACGGTGGATCATCCTTTCACCATACAATTAGACGAAACGTGCCCAGCCAATGACTTCATACTGGAGTTGTTACTCTTGGCTAACCCAATTCTCAATAGTCCTACAATGTTGTATGTTGTTTGTCGTTGTTTTCAAAACAATGGCTTGTTAGTCCAAACTCCGCGCTCTACACAAGCCCAAGCAAACAGCTCGTCTCTCTTCGTCCTTTCTGGTCATCCTCGTTCTCGTATTGTCTTCTCAGCTGACCAGTTTCTCTCTTCTTCTTCCTCCCACAACCGTCTCTTCCGCGCAAAACTCAATTTCTTTTCCCTAGTATGCCAAACTGCTCTCCCTTTCTTCCATTGGTGGAATTGGCATCCTTTCTCCAACTTCGCCCAGCCGCCCCCACTGTAACCCCAGTGAGTGCCGGGTCGGTGAGGCGCTGAAGCAGCCCGCTAAATCCACCTTTCCCGGCCGCCACAGATTTTGCCCCAACCCCCCAAGCTAATACGTTTCAGTGGTCCTTCTCCAATTCGCAGCCTCGTACTCGCCTGTAGGTTGCATCACGTAGCGTCATGCAGCAAGCTAGCAAGCAAGCACCCTGCACACACGCATTGCATGCATCGACCGGCATGTCTCTTGTGCTTTTGGCACCTTTCCCCTGTAGGAAAGTTAATGCGATGATGGGGCGAGGTTGAGTGTGTAACAGTGGCAAAAACAGCACTCACAAACAAGCAAGCAAGCAAGCAACCGTATCGACATCGACCGACAACCTCCCCTGCGCCCGAAACGACCGTAATAAATAATACCATCCTCTGAAAGGAAGCGCCTGACGTCACATCTCAGCATAATCCACCCCGTCTCTTAGGCAATGGTCCGTTGCACGCAACTCCCTGGGGGCCACCCAGCCCACTTGCGCTGGCTAAATCCACCAAAAACCTCGTATCGAATCTCCATATCTCGATGCAATGCACACACGGACCAACCCTAGTGTGATTCCAAGTCTTCCCTTTGGCGAGTTTTTCCCGCTCCTACCGCCAACATCGTCGCTAGGAACCGTTGTCGTTTTCATCCTCGGCCCTTTTTCATGGCAGCCCCCTCTGACTTTGGGTCAGCCCAACGAAGCGCCTCGTATTCACCAGCTGAACTGGATTAGAGTTCTCTCGTGCTGACCGACTAGCAGTGCACTTTTGTCGGACATTCATCCGGGTGCTTGCCCGTGTGATTCCAATTGGAGGCACACTCTTTGAACAGGAGCGCCGGTTGTTAGGCACGCTCCCACGAGAATCTTACCCTGCATCATCAACACTGTTCCGATGCTAGTAGATTGTGAGCTTGCACAGCATATACACAGCCTGAGATTTAATGGACTTCTTAATCTATGTTTGCCATGGCGGGGGCTAATACTGCAAAAAGCATAAAAAGTGCAGCATGGGCTGAAGTTTAGAGCCAATGAGACAAGAACAGCTCATCGCTGGTAGCACAAGAGCAATCAGCCCGTCCAATATTTCGGGTAGCTGAGCCATCGCTTGTTAGCCAGTCATAGTGTTGATGATACATAGTACCATTCAGCAAACAATATAAGATAAAACGAGCTTGTGCGGTGCTAATCTACACAAGCAAATCTAAACAGGCTTTGGTTTGCAACAACCTATTCCACGTATTCATACTCACAATGCATTCTGTATACTCCATCGCTCTCATCATACCAGCTGCTATCGCATCACAGCTGCGTCATTCTGCAATTACGGCAGTTGGCGATATATTACACCAACAATCACTACCCGTATGTGACCTTGGCTTAACGGCATGCTCAGACAACCGCGGCTGTTGCCCCTCTGGCCAGTCATGCACAACTTCTGGCAATGTCCCTATCTGCAAGGCCGACTGCCCAAACACAGCTCAGTCTACTGGGGGAACAGGCACTAGCAGCGAAGTTCCAATTCCCCCGACAGAGCCTGCGTGGCCGTCACACACTACACCAGTCACCAGTGCCCCCGAGTCGCCCGTGAGCAGTACTCAGACTACAACGCCAAAAGCAACCTCATCGCTCGGATCTCAGAGCCAAACCCAGCAGGCGACTTCCAGTTCGAAGACTACTACAGCAGCGACAGGGGCTGCTCAACGAGGTGCGGCATTGCCGTCGAAGATGGGGATATTTGGTCATGTATTGCTTGGAATCGTATGGGGTGTTTTGTAGATCAGTAAGATGTGAGTATTAATGAGCTATTGAGATATGAATAAAGAATAATAACTGCTTTTCTTGCGTGAAATACAGTGCCAATATATACTACAAACTGAGAACCGTTAACACCGCCTGATCCAGTCCAGATGCGATAAAAACCTACATGTAAAAAGAACTCCACAAGCACGACGGCTTGATGCTACAACCGCATTTTCCATAGCTTGCCAGCAAGCAGCCGTATTATATATAGGTCATGAGTTTGGGGGGAAGTTCAGGGTCGGTCAAGCTTGTTGTTTGTGCCCAGAATCTCGCCAATGGTGCTGCGGATATTGTCCACAACGGCCTTCACCATACCCTGGGGTTTCGAGACACTGCCGTCAAAGCTACGAGCAGGCTCTGTGCTCATGGTCGGCAAGACGTTGTCGCCAGCGGAAAGGCTGACAAACAAGCAGAACGGAACAAACCACACGCAGATGCCAAAGTACGACGCAATCATTGTGAAGCTCGGGACATCGGCAGGCTCGTAATATGAAGCTTGACGGTAGGACTGGATTTGCGCATCGGTAAAGTGTCGGAACCAAACATAGTGGTCAAGGAGAACCAAGACTAGCAGCCTACGTTAGCTGACATTCAGGCAAGTAAGCAGCACGCGACGGGGGATGCACACCACACGAGAGGATAAATAGAGGATCCGACAGCTTCACAAAGGGGAAGCGCCTCATGTTGCCCAGGTAAACGACATGGGAAAAGATGCCCAGCACCGTGGCCCAGAAGGGAAAGCTGTCGACAAGCCAGAGCAGCGCCTGGACGCCCATGATGCCGTATATAATGCGCGTCAGGAAGCGCTTGGCGATAACCGTATGCTCCTCGACCAGCTCAGAAAGATAGTAGAGGCCCGACGCGATGGCGAGCGTGAGGAAGCACATGCCAATGATGGCTCCCACGTAACCTAGGAGGGGCAGAATCCACATGGCGGCGGTGCGAGACAGACGAAGAAGAAGAAGTTTATGTTAGAAAATGTTGTTAAAACGAGTGTAGCTGAATGGAAAGTAATAAGAAGTCGTAGAAGTGGCGGAGGATGAAACGAAGACGAAAAAAGGAGGATGACGATTGATCCGCGCAAAAAAAATAGAGAACACGAAGCTTGACCGAATTTGGGTGGTGGTGGTGCGAAAATTGACGTTTCTGGAAAGGAGCTGCTGCAGTGGACACGCTTCAGGGGAATGACGACAGCTGCTGCTGCGGTCGAGGGGCGCTGTGGCGGAGCTTGTGCTGCTCGTGTGGCGGCGCGATCACTGTGGCTGGTGAGGGAGAGGACGTCAACAAGCAATTGACCATCAGGTGAAATATTAGAGAACGGTTGATCACTATATTTATACATGTACTCATGAATTAAAAGATCTTTTTTAAAGAAATATAATACCATAGGAAATGGTGCGTGACGACGCATCCAAGGCTCATCTTGGAGATACATGTATGTGAGATTCAGCACAGCTACTTCAGTAATCACAGAAGCTAAAGAATACAAATTTCGTACGCTAATATCCCATAATCTGTAACCAAATTGTTCTCCATCATGTAATTCCCAATTTTTAGACGACACCTCCTCCAACGCACCCATGGCAGTCACAGTACAAGTTACCCAATCAGGCAATCCAGCGCACCACCACCACGGCCTGCACGTTATCGATAAAATCCACAAAAAAAAGTTGGCTCCTCCCCGCCATTGTTCACTGGCCAAAAAAACCACCACGAGCCATCACCAAATCCCCTCCCAACCGCCCAAAAGAGCATCAGACACTCTTTTCCCTCTCACAATGTCTCGCCCTGAGGATACCCTGTACGTTTTCCCACTCCCATCACCCTAACCGCCGTGCCGAACCCTTCTCTAACTGCTCTACCAGCGCGGCCGACGTCCACTACGACGATGTCGAAGCCAGAAAATACACCACCAGCTCCCGTATCCAAAATATCCAAGCGTCCATGACCCGTCGCGCCCTCGAGCTTCTCGACCTCAAGTCCCCCTCGCTCATCCTCGACATTGGCTGTGGCTCCGGCCTGTCAGGCGAGATCCTGTCCGCCGTGGACCCCGAGGACGGCGGCCCTCACACATGGATCGGCATGGACCTGTCGCCGTCGATGCTGGACGTTGCCCTTCAGCGCGATGTTGAGGGCGACCTTATGCTTGCCGACATGGGCCAAGGTGTGCCGTTCCGCGCGGGCTCCTTTGACGCCGCCATCTCCATCTCTGCCATCCAGTGGCTCTGCAGCGCCGAAACAAGTGATACGTCGCCTGCCGGTCGTCTGACGCGCTTCTTCAACGGCCTGTATGCCTCTTTGCGCCGAGGTGGCCGTGCTGTCTGCCAGTTCTACCCGAAAAACGACACCCAGCGCAACATGATTACTCAGGCTGCTGTCAAGGCTGGCTTTGGCGCTGGTCTGCTCGAGGATGACCCCGGCACCAAGAACGTCAAGTTGTACCTTGTCTTGACTGTCGGTACTGCTGGTGGTGAAGGTGGTACAGGTGATATTACCAATGTCGTCGAGGGCATGGAGGGCGTCGATGTGGAGGATGTCCGACGCAAATTGGGAGCCAAGGCTGCTGGCTTGAAGAAGGGTAGCAAGGGCTGGATCATCAAGAAAAAGGAGCAGATGGAGCGCAAGGGAAAGATTGTCAAGGCCACGTCCAAGTACACTGGCCGCAAGCGTCGCATTGCTTTCTAAAGCACTTTTTAAAGCAACTGCCTGTGGCGCGCCACGTATCATGATGATGATCTAGAAGAAGACATAGCACGGCGTTTTTTGTTTGGCGGATTTCATACTTTCCTTCCTCTTTCTTTTTGCTTCATGCTCCCGAGTCGTCTACGTTGTGATGGACAAGAGGCTTTTTTGTTTTCAGTTTTTATGTTTGGGAATCACTGCAGATTATTCGATACCAGATTACACCAGACACGAGAAAAGCAGGTAGACAAAGATAAAGCATGCCGCTTAAAGACGGCAATTAAATACACATATATCAAATAACTGATTTCATATTCATCATTGAAGGCTATCTGTACTGCAGTCTTCTACATTGAAGGAAACGTAGTTGTTTCCCCATAACATCTTTCTCTTCATTTTTAATTTTGAACTGGACAAAGGCAAACGACAGACTCGCGTTTTGTTCGTGAGTGGTCTTACTCGGGCTTCATGGTAGGGAAAGCAAGAACCTCTCTGATGCTGCAGTTGTCGGTCAAGAACATCATCAGACGGTCCATACCCATACCCCAACCACCGGTAGGAGGGAGAGCGTGCTCAAGGGCCTTGCAGAAGGTCTCGTCGACCTCCTGGGCCTCGTCGTCACCCTGAGCCTTCTGGCGGGCCTGCTCCTCGAAACGGAGACGCTGTTCAGAGGCAACGTTCAACTCGGTGTAGGCGTTGCAAATCTCCTTGGTGCAGACGAAAGCCTCGAAACGCTCGCAGAGACCGGGGGTGGCACGGTCGCTCTTGGCAAGAGGAGACATCATCTTGGGGTGGCCAACAATGAAGGTAGGGCTGATGCACTGAGACTCGAGGTACTCGCCGGTAAGAGCGTCGATCATACGGGCGCTAGTAAGGGGAGGGCTGCATTCAACGCCAGTCTTGGCAAGGACCTTCTTGAGGAACTCGATGCTCTCGTCAGTGTGGAGCTCATCGGCAGGAGGGAACTTCTCGCCGGTGCATTCCTCGAGGGTGGGAATCATGGGGATACGGCGCCAGGGGCCCTCCCAGTTGATCTCAAACTCCTCGCCCTTGGCGTTGTGGTACTTGGTGATGTAGGTGCCGTGGATGTGCTTGACGAGGCCAGAAACGAGCTCCTCAGTCATGTCCATGAGGTCGTACATGTCAGCGTAAGCCATATAGAACTCGAGGGTGGTAAATTCTACCAATCAGTTAGCATTGAACCATTCATCATGTATACACACAGTTAGCAAGACTTACCAGGGTTGTGAGTCAGATCAATGCTTTCGTTGCGGAACTGACGGCCCATCTCGTAGACACGGTTAAGACCACCGACGACAAGCATCTTGAGGTATAACTCCGGGGCGATACGCAGGAACATGTCCATGTTGAGATCGTTGTGGTGGGTGATGAAGGGCTTGGCAGTGGCACCGCCAGCAATGACGTTGAGCATGGGGGTCTGGACAGAGACGAAGTCGCGGTCGTCAAACCAGCGGCGGATGTAAGAGTCGACCTTGGCGCGGGTGATGAAGACATTGCGGGCCTTGTCGTTCATCATGAGATCGAGGTAACGCTGGCGGAAACGCTGCTCGTTGTTCTTGAAGCCGTAGTGGTCATCGGGGATCTGGTGCAAGCAAGGAGACAGAAGGATAACCTCGGTGGCAGCAATGGAAAGCTCGCCAGAGAATTCACCCTCGCCCTGCTTGTTCTTGGGGTTGGTACGGGTAGGGAAACCCTTGACACCAATGATGTCACCACGGCGAAGGTTGATGTGCTGCTCGTCGAAAGCGGGAGTGTTCTCACCGACAAAGTCCGCCTGAGCCAGGACCTGAAGTCTGGTGCCCTGAATAGTTTGTTAGCCTTGGGAACTTGTCCAGTCACATGTGATTTGCAAACATACATCGGAGCGGATATCGTAGAAGTAGAGCTTGGAGCCAGCCGAGCGCTTGACGTATACTCTGCCACCAAGGGTAATCTCCTTGGTCTTGTCACTCTCGCCGTTCTTGAGGTGGGAGAATTCCTTTTCAAAGTTGCGGATGTCGTAGTTGACGTGGAACTGTAGATGATGTTAGCTTCGTGTTTAGGTATGGGTATCTGGTCGGTTATCATTCTTACCTTGTGAGGGTAGGCCTTGCCCTGCTCGTGGAGGGCATCGACAGCACGCGAGCGAATCTCAAAGTACTATTTATGAAACAGTTAGACTACATGGTCAACGGGCAAAAACAGAGACACAATGTCTAACCTGGTTGGGAGTAAGCTCCTTCTCAGAAGCTTCTGTGCTCTTGGGCTTAGCAGCAGCGGGGTTGGCAGCAGCAGCAGCCTCAGCCTTCTTAGCCTTCTCGGCCTCTCTCTCACGCTGCTTGGTGCGCTTCTTGAGCTCGGTCTTGGAAACCTGTTCGCCAGTGACTTCGTCAAGGTAGAGCTTGGCGACGGCAGCGGCAGCTTCTTCGACGGCGGGGGTTTGGTTATCCGCCATGGTGATTGCTATCGATTATTGGTCGGGTATTCGGGTATTGGTTTGTTTGTATTACAATTCGAAGGGTTGAAGATGGCCGCGAGCGGAATTGCGTCGTCTTTTAAATATTTCTTGTTTGATGCGTGACCAGAAGCGTCTCTGACTCAAAAAAAAGTCCTTCCGTTGCAAAAACCCCCACCACGCTTTCCATGGCGGGGTCGCTTTGCCCTGTGTACACAGAATGACGGCGACGCTGGTTGGGATGCCCCTCTGCTCGGAAAAACAGAGCGCCGATGGCCGGCGGACGGATTGAGTCACTATAAGTCAGTGGCTGTAAGTGAAATAAGTCAGTGTAAGCTGGTGGGCGGAACACGGTAATAAATAAATAAATAGAAAATTGTTAGAAAATATAAGTACAAGAAAGTTAATGATATATGTATGCTTCACTCTTAAATATTTTAAACCATTTGTTACCGTCTGCTCTTGGCTGGACTGGTGCTGTATAATCTTGGTTGTAGCCTTTTACAGCACCGTTTCTGTCAATTCACTCCTGCAGCATTTCGTGTACTTTGAACTAGGTGCATTCTACATATTCATCCTTAGCAAAACAATTAACCTCCACCCAGGCTATAATAATAACTAAGTCTGTTATCAACTAGAGTTTCTAGGCAGTAGCAGTTTATAAGTACTGGCAATAATTTAGCACGTGTAGAAATTAAGGTACCGCTTATTCTAGCCAGAGGTGCACGGTGCCGCTTTCCCCCATTGACTGGCTGCTAGAGGATTAAGGTATACGAAGAACACCAGAATATCTCGCATCCAACAGCCTGATGGTTCAATTACTAGTTAAACACGCCAATCCGCGCCCAGAAGCATCATGTCTCTCCTATCTCTGCCATTTGAGCTATTAATAGCCGTTATCTCTCACTTAAGCGCCAACCAGTACGACTTTGACAACGTCGACCACTACTATAAACCTGATGTGACACTATACCGGCTTGCGCAGACTTGCACGACTCTTGGAGATCTCTGTATACCCAAGCTGTATGAGATTATTAATCTCCAAACCTACGTATACTTCAGCCGCCAGCGCAAGCTGCTTCGGACGTTAGCGGCTAAACCCAATCTCGCCAGATTGGTAAAGCGCGTGATCGTTGACGGATCATTCAGCAACGACGCAAAGTGGCACCGTTATTCTGACGACGGACCAGTCATCTCAGTAGCAGACGCTAAAACTTTCAACGAAATTATGGAGAAGAAGGTTGATATGACGACGGTGACGCCGTTTCGCGAGATGCAGCAGGCTGATCTGACTGAACGTCACGACTGCAAATCGCTTGGGCGCTCCTTGAGCTGTCTTAGTCTTGCCCTCGTACCCAATATCAGGAGCGTCATTTTCATTTTACATTACGGCAGCCTCGGGTCTTTTAAGACCGACTCCTTTCCCTTGCTAAAGGACTTTTCGCTCCAGCATGCCGATACCGAATTCGGAGTTGCCTTTGAAGCAGCAAACGGCGTACTTCATGCTGCGCCAGGCGTGAACCGGTTCATCGGCCGGGCTGTTGATAGGTTCGCAGACAACATCTCGTACCCATCAATAAAGAAGCTCGTATTGGTCTACAGTTGTATCGACGATGAAGATATGGCACTTCTACCAACACTCGTTCCAAACCTCGAGTCCTTTTCGCATTCGTACGGTGGATCAATGGTTAGCTATGAGTCTCCAGCAAGCCCTCGGACAATTTCTACAGCGCTTCTTGCTTTGAAAAAGACTTTGAAGCATGTTGAGCTAGATATCTACTACCGTGGAGACGAGATGTGGATTAATATAGACGCAGACGATGGTATCATGGAGAGTCTCTCGCAAATGCAAACCCTGCAGAGCCTGATAATCCTTGCATCGTATGTTTACCCAGGCAAGGAGTTCGACGCCAGTCTCACCAGCCGAAAGTTGACATTGGTCAATTTTCTCCCACGGTCCATTGAAACGTTGCACATCGAAGAGCTGAAATCCGATCATCTGCAAGACGTCTTGGATCTAGCTGCAGCTGCACCAGCTAAATTTTCTAAGCTATCCCACGTTAGGCTGCCCGAGTTTGATACGTCTCTACATGACGATGTGTGTCGGGCATTTCATCAGCTTGGAATAGCGTGCAGCTTTGAAACAGTGGAAATGGATGAATACACCACCGCCGACTGTGCTTAATATTTCTATACTGAGAGCCCGCCTTTTTGGGGTTTGGTGACAGGGGCAAAATAATATCAATATATGTATTAAAATAAAGACGAGATAAAATTTATAGATAGATTTATAATTGAGATGAGCACCGCCTGCATTCTTGGTTGGCGGAAAATGACGGCATCAGGCGCCTCCACCTGCATGTCAATAGTTCACGCTCTTACGCCCTAGCGATAGCGACGGCTATTTAACCACAGCATCACTCCCATGTGTATTGGGAACCTTAGCGACTACCACTCACATTATATATCTTATTACTTTTTACAGCTACCACTGCAAACATGTCGCTGTCTAAACGGGCCTCAGCATTAACCAACCCCAACCCGGTCCTCGCTGCCCTCGCCAACCTCTGGGACGCCAAAACCAACCCGGACGGCTATCTCAGCTTGGGAGTCGCTGAAAATACCCTTCAACATGAATTATTATCCAAACACATTCATAAGAACCTCGCCGTTCCAAATGAAGCCTTTACATACGGCGACGGGTGCAAGGACCTAGGCGACAGCATGGCACGCTTTTTGAACCGCAAGCTGAACCCAGTCAAGCCGCTGGAGAGATCGCACATTGTGATAACCAATGGCTGCACTGTTGGTATAGAGCATGCGGCCTGGCTATTTACTGACCCTGGAGAGGCTATTCTCCTTGGTCGTCCCTACTACACGGCGTTCCTGGACGATGCTACGCTGCGCACCGGATCCAAGATTGCAGAGGTCAGCTTCAAGGGAACAGACGCTCTGGGGCCCGGCTGCGTAGAGCGCTATGAAAAGGAGATTGACAATATTGAAGCCAGAGGCGAGAGAGTGGGTGCCCTTATTCTCTGCAATCCGCACAATCCTCTTGGCCGATGCTACGCTCGTGACGTCGTTGTTGAGATTATGAAACTCTGCCAGCGCCGCAAACTGCATCTTATTAGTGACGAAATCTACGCCTGCTCCATATGGGACAATGTCGTTGATACAGAGCCAGCGCCAGAACCCTTTGTCTCCGTCTTGGCTATTGATCCTACGGATATTATTGACCCCGAGCGAGTCCATGTTCTCTGGGGCATGTCCAAGGACTTTGGCGCAAACGGTATCCGAATGGGCGCTCTGATATCGCAGCATAATCAGGAAGTTCACCAGCGTCTACAGCCTCTGGGACTCTTTGGCTCAACCTCGTCGCTTGCTGACCACGTCACCACAAACATCCTAAACGACGACGCCTGGGTAGACGACTACCTTGCGAGCAACAGCCGTGCACTATCCGATAGCTACGCATACGTCACATCATGGGCGAAGAAGCACCATATTCCCTACGCTCCTGGCGCCAATGCAGGCTTCTTTGTGTGGCTCGACTTTGGAGCTGCCTATGTCAAGCACCACCCAGAAGCACAGAACGCAGACCTAGACCAAGTGATTATGGATGCATTACTCAAAAATAGAGTATTTCTAGCAGCAGGTTTCCGTTTTGGAGCAGAAGAAGCGGGCTGGTACCGTATTGTCTTTTCACACGAGCGGGCGTACCTTGACGAGGGCCTGCGGCGTATTATCCAAGCCCTTGAGGGGCCAAGCATGGACCGACTCACAATAGCATAGACTAACTGACTGCCCACCATAATAGAACACAACCGTCACAAAAAAGAACTCTCTGTTTCCGTTTACAAACGTATATTGAGTGTTATGTATGTGCCCGTATTTGGTGTATTTAGTTGCCAAAGGCCTGCTCCTGCTTAGCATCCGCACAGGCGCTGAGGTAGTTGACACGGTCCTTGACATAGAATTCGACGCCAATCTTGTCACCGAGGCTAGCTGCACCGCCATCGAGCGAACCGGCCTTGACGCAAGTGACATCGGGCATGACCTCGAGCTCGGTGTACAAGCTAGAACCGCAGTTGCCGCAGAAGAAGTGTTTGTTGATCTTGCCAGACTCGCCAACCGCATCCCAGGTATTGGGCGAACCTAACAAACACACATTTAGCAAGCTGCACGCATCCCGTATGTATACCGTGCCAAATACTCACCCTTGGTCACCTTGAAGCTAGTTCGAGGAACAACAGCATTCGAGGTAAAAGCACCGCCAGTCCACTACATCGCCCGTTAGCCAATTCCATACCTAGTCTCATCTCATCACAACACACCTTTTGGCAATCCACACAGTGGCACAGAGCCGTTACCGCAGGCTCGCCTATGAACCAAAAACGTCAGTCACTTCGTCCCTCCACACACACGCCCCCGTCTTAATTAGCTCGATCTGAAACTGGATCCAGGAACAAAATGGCCCCCCAGGCCATCAAGGTCCGGCCGACGTACCGGTGTACTCATAAGTCACCTGTCCACAAGCGCAACTTCCGTTGGTAGTCATGATGGCGCTCTATCAAAGCGGCTATTCGGCCAAATTAATTCGAAATAAAATAGATGAAAAAGAAATAAGTGTTATTCGAGGGTATGTAGCAGGACATCAAGGTTGCCAGGTGGCGACGGACGCGGCCACACTGCCAGCTATAAATACTGGCAGACACCCCCTCCTAACCACCAGCTTACAAGGCAAAGCCGACGGCCCGCGCTGTGCAGTGCGGGGTGCTTCTGCGAAAACATCAGCGACTACCAACGTGTACGTGCCTCCAATCAGCTTCGAAAAATACACACTAGCTGGAGGGGACAAAAGGCGGGGTATATCCCAGCAGCAAGCGTCAGAGGCGCCGGCATGTCTAGACCAGAGAGCCCCTTCTAGCCGGCCTTTGGTCCGGATTGCTTGTGCGGAACCACGGCGCCCCGAGAAAGATGGGCTGGCGCTTCAATCGCCGATGTCTTGCTTCTCCAAATTGGTAAAAAGGACGGCGATATGGTGATTTGGAATCGTAAGCCTGGTTGCAAGTGGCGTCGGTGCACATCGAAACAGCGGCCCATTGCAGCTGTGGCGTGCCCTTCTTAACAAGTTGTGCTCCGAATTACAGTACATCATCTATAGTCACGCTTACAAGGTGCCCGACAGGAAAGATGCAGTTTTAAAGAAAATTCTATGCATTGATTAACGCATTGCTGCTCAGATATTCCTCCACTCGCTCCTCTATCCAAGTCTCTCCTCCTTCTCTTCTTCTGGCTATGCTATACGTACAAAATTGAGACGACAGCTTCTGTGTGTGTCGTCTCGTCACCGTTTTTCTTTCCAAACGCAAAGCCAAATATGCTCTTGTCCAGTTGTGCTGCCAAAATCCAGCTAGCAATGGGTTCAAGTTACTTCAGGCTCCAACGCCGCCCATATCTTTTTCTAGTGATTCTCGCCTCTATACGGTATCAAGGTATCGACAGGGGTCGGCGGCGCCGCCGCATCGGTATGGTGTATCGCGGGGGTGGTTATAATAAGGTTGACAAAGGGAATAAACTGAAAAATTGCACCGTCCCCAGGAAAACAAAAAAATCATGGTAAACTCATGTCAGCATAGCGGGTTGGGCTTGATGCCGGTGTCATGGGTCAGTTTCGCGTAGTTGTTGATTTGCCAAGCTTCAATCGCTTAGAGGGTCTCCATCTTGTCGAGGATGGCCTTGGTGAACTCATGGGTGGTAGAGACACCGCCCATGTCGCGGGTGCGGACCTTGCCCTCGGCGATGACGGCGTAAATGGCCTTGGAGATGCGGTTGGCGTGGTCATCGAGACCAAGGTGGCGGAGGAGCATGCTGCCGGACAGGATCATGGCAGTAGGGTTGGCCTGGTCCTTGCCCTGGATATCGAGACCGACGTGACGGCAGCCGGGCTCGAAGACGGCGACATCGCGGCCCATGTTGCAGCCGGGGACGATACCGGGGCCACCGACGAGAGCGGCACCAATGTTGGAGAGGATACCACCGTACAAGTTGGGCATGACCATGACGTCAAACTGCTGGGGGCGAGAGACAGCCTGCATGGAGGCGTTGTCGACAATCATGTCGTTGACCTCGAGGGTAGGGAACTCCTTGGCAACCTCGTGGAAGGTGCTGCGGAAGAGACCATCGGCAAGCTTCATGATGTTGGCCTTGTGGATGCAGGTAACCTTGGAGCGGTTGTTGGCAAGGGCAAAGTTGAAGGCAAACTTGGCAATGCGCTCAGACTTGGCACGGGTGATGATCTTGAGGGACTCGACGACGCCGTCGACGCTCTGGTGCTCGAGACCAGAGTACTCACCCTCGGTGTTCTCACGGATGATGCACAGGTCAACGTCCTTGTGGCGGGTCTCGTAGCCGGGGATGTTCTTGATCAGGGAGATGGAGGCGTAGATGTCGAGCTCCTGACGCATGGCGACGTTGAAAGACTGGTGGCCAGAGCGGCTGACGGGGGTGTGCAGAATACCCTTGAGACCGAGCTTGTTGCGGCGGAGAGAGGCGACACTCTCGCGGAAAGCAGCCTCAGCGGGCTTGCCGCCCTCCTCGATACCGGAAACCTCAACCTGCTCCCACTCAATGGGGACGTTGTCGGCCTTGAAGATGGTCTTGACCGACTCGGCAACCTCGGCACCGATACCATCACCGGGGATGAGGGTGACGGTGTACTTGGAGCCGTACTTGGTAGGCTTGAAGATGTCGGACTGGATGGTAGCAAAGGATCGGACGGCCTGGGGCTGCTTGGCGGCGGCGCGAAGGGCCTAAAATGACATTTGTTAGTTTCACTGCTTTTTTTCTCTTCCTGTTACTCATTTCCCTCTGCCCAAAATGCTCGCAACCTTCAATTGAGCCTGTTGGGCTAGCCCGCGGTGTAACCGGCTCCGTCTCCCTGGAGCTAACCAACGCGGGCCTGAGAAGGGAAAAAAACAACAAAACGTACCTGGGCGGTGCGGAGAGAGCTGCGAGAGAGCATTGTGAAATATGTAAGGACCTCTTTAACGTTGGAAAGATGTTATAGAAAGGCGACAAGCGGAGCGGAGGAGGAGGATGCTAGAAAACAAAAGCAAGAGAATTGGAGGATGGGAGGATGAAGAGGAGAAGGAGAGGGAAAAAAAAAGACAAGTGGTGATGTAGCCTGAAACCTGCTACTGTGGCCCAGATGGTAACGTTTCTTGAGCCGCGCTCCCACCCGCAGTGGCTGTCTACAGGGGGTGCTGTAGCGCTATGGCGGTCGTGCGCAGTGGGCGACGGGCCAAGTGAAAAAAAAAAATTAACGCGCCAACCTCGCCCGGAAAGTCCGAAGGGCTTTTGGCGTGTTCCGTTCGGAGGACCAGCGGAATGCGAACTTGCGCCGAGGCGAGTCCACATGGGGCGGGCTTGGATATCTACTTTGGGCTTAGCGCGGCTCTGTAGCGACAAGCAGTGGCAGCAGCAAAGCGGGACAAATTTGGTATAATAAACATGGCAAAGTAGAACGTCACTTGTGTTTTAATCACGATAACATTACGCCCGCAGCATATGAAAAACTTAACAGCAGTAAACAAAAAATGAAAAATAGCTGCTGCCGATAGACCATCACGGAATCGGTCTTTGGTTTGTCATTCAATCAATGCAATGCAATCAATCGCACTCCAATCAACGCCATCTAACGTAGCATGCGAAAGAACAAGATGCAAAACAAAAACTCCCTTTCGTTGCGAATTCCAGCTTCCTTTTCTCATAACCCAAATGCACAGAAGAACCAAACTTCTTAACCTCTTCAGACCTCCCCTTCTTCGATAGGCTCGACCCGAACCAACATCTCTTCCAAGAGACCCTCCAAGAAATTGGTTACTTCACGGCCCATGCCTACCGGCTCCAGCTTGTCTAGGTGATCAATCTCCTTGCACACATGTGCCATCTTATACACCAGCTTGCGGATCTTGTCGTGCGCTACGTGGGCTTGCTGATGGCGATGCGATGCAGGAATACCGTTGGGTGTTGGCGGGTACATGTCCAGCAGCCGTTGCTGACGCCGCTTAAGGGCCTCCTCGAGCGCGGGAAACATGACATCGTTGAGCGCATCCAGCTCGCCATTGGGATTGGCTGCAGCGGGAGATGGGAACGATATGGGTGACGGCGCAATCTCAGCCTGCTGAGCGCGGCTGGGCATGCCGTTCTTGGTTGGTGTGTATTGTTGCTGCGGGTGTTGCTTAGTCGGCGTAAGCTGCGATCCATGCCTGCTGTTAGCGCTGCCGCGGAAAGGCGGTATTTCCTGCAGCTGCATGGGAATGATTCGCGAGCTGGCCGAAGCAGCTGGAGATGCTGATGCCGCCGCTTGTACTGGTGGCAGCGGCTTACTGCTTGGGCGAGGAGGCTGCACTGCCTCGGGCGAAATGGATGGCGGCGGCTCGTCCAAGCTAAGCGTCAACATGCCCATATCACGTCGAAGCTGTGCTTGTAACTGGTCGTCATAATCCGGAGACATGGCAGCGGCTGCGCTGGGTGGTGCCTTGAGCTTGGGCGTCTCGGGTCGATCGATGCTAGCACCCTTCATAGGGCTTGCTGGCAGTGGCACCTTTGCGGCCGATGCTGCGGCCGCCAGTGCGGGCAGAGGCTTCCGTTGCGGGCTAACTTGGCGCGATGTGCCTGTCTGTGCTGTCTTGAATGTATCGTCGTGGTTGTAGGTGTAGTCTCGAGCTTTGGATGGGCTGCCATCACGGCGCCCTTCCCCGTAGTCACCACTGTTCTCAGCAGAGCGTGCCGCTCTCGCATTCGTAGCGCTATCCCCCATGTCATTCAGACCAGGTCGAGACACAATACCACCACGGTCGCCGACAAGACGAACGGTGCCAAAGTCCCACATGTCTTCATCTACGCGCTCATTACGCTGTAGAGGCGCTGCGCGGTCTCCCGCGTCCCAGTGGTCATCGTCGTTTGACTTGTGTGTCGCAGCCCATCTGCTATGCCTCTCTATAAGCTCGGTAAGATATGTTGTCTTCTTGGCGCGTCTAATAAACGGGTGCCGCAAAAGGTCCTTGGCACAAGGGCGTGCACGAGGGTCCTTTTGCAAACATAATTCGATAAAATCCTTAAACGCCTTTGTAAAATTACCCTCCAGTCTTGGGGGCGGGTTTTTAGGAATCAAAAACAAAACCTTCATGGGGTGGATGTCAGCATACGGGGGCTCGCCATTGGCCAGCTCCAAGGCGGTGATGCCCAACGACCAAATGTCGGCTGTGTGGTCGTAGCCAGATTGGCGAATCACTTCGGGGGCCATCCAAAAGGGCGTTCCGACAAATGTATTCTTCTTGGTCATGGTTGCGGAGAGCTGGCCTGAGACGCCAAAGTCGGCCAGCTTGACCTGACCGCTCGAGCTGAGCAGCACATTGGCGGCCTTGATGTCGCGGTGAAGCTTCTTGTCGGCGTGCAAGTAGTCCAGGCCCAGCAGCAGCTCGCGGATAATAATTGCAATATAGTCTTCGCTTATCAAACCGGGTTTCAGGAGATCAGCACAGCTGCCACCGGAGCAAAACTCCATGACAATCCAGAGCTCTGCGCCTCGCGAATACGAGCCATAGTACTTTGTGACGTATGGTGATTGGAGCTCGGAAAGAATGGCGATTTCCTGTATAATATCTTCGACTTCGTCCTCGGCGTTTTCGATATCAATGACTTTGATGGCAACAGCCTGTCCAGTTCGCTTGTCGACACTAGAATGAAACCCGTTAGCCAACCTGTAGTATGTGAGAACGTGCACACACTACCAACCCTTTGTAGACCTTGCCAAAGCTTCCGCCGCCTAGATGCACACGTTAGCAACAACAAAAAAGCTTCCCATTACTGTAACGCCTACCAATGCAAAACTCCTTGGTGTACAAGGTCTCCGGATTCAGCGCAGCCTCGCTGCCCGAGTCGGTGTCTCGACTGGATTCGCTCATTGTTTCGCGACGAGAGGGGCAATCGGCCAGCGATACGAAGCTTTCGTCGCGGGATGCAACAGCGAAAGAGTTGCTCTATGTATATCGTGCTAGCTGTTCGCAGCTTAGAAATCTCACGATTCTCTGCAAGCTCCAGAGAGAACTTGAAGAGCACAAAATCCGAGCGAGCGTGAGCAACGTTGCCAATGGAATGCGCCAGGCAGACCCAATCTAACAGACCACAGAAATGGACGTCGTATAAACTTGCCGGGAGCGTAATACAACAACAGCTGAAGAAACGAAAAGAGAAGAAAAAAGAAAAAGAAGAAAAAGGGAACAAAAACACGCCCGTCAGCAGCTACTGCAGGAGCTACGAAAACAAGGCGTTCGCTTTTTTGGTGGCTTTGAGCAGAGTAACGTTGGGGATGCATCCTGCAGGTCGTGTTTACAGGCCACCCACCCACCAAACACCCACCTTTTTTTCCCGCTGCACTGGTGCCCATTGGGTGGCGGCCGGCGCGGGGCAGGCAGGCACATCTCCCCACCAACAAAGCCACTGTGCATGGTAGCGGTACAGCGAGTTGAGTGGTGGCCTGCAGCCCTGCGCGTGGGCGCCACGCCAGACAGTCACAACAGTCACAACAATGGGCAGTGTAAATTATAGGGTGCAATAGTAGCAACAGTAGCACCGATCGTATAGCACCATTTAATTGCCTGTAATATTGCAGTTAAAATAATAGAAAGATATAACTCTCTAATAGATTTTATTTCAATCTTTCCAGGTATCGCTCGCCTGCCCTTGTCTCACCATCATCCCGCTGTGCTGACTTGCAAAGGGTCCTCGCTGGTCCACCACCATTCCAACAGCCTTGTATTTCATTAATTACTCTTGTATTATGCCGTTGCGCTTTGTGCATTGTGCATTGTGCATGGTCACAGTTTTTTTTTCCTTTTGCGTTTTTTTTCCGTCTTATGCCAGGGACTTTTGTGTTATTTATGTTCATTAATGCATATCTATTCCTGCATTTTGCTTGCCCAATTGGGTGCTTCGTCTATCTACAACGCGCGTCTAGTCTTATATAGCGAAATTGGCACGTCACAGACAGTCAGTAAACTGGCTGACCGCTGCCGCTATGTACCTAATCCTGAATGAATTCAATCATGACCGTGCCCTGCTTCAGACCGGATTCTTCAATGGAGGCATCCAAGCTGCCTAACAAGTCCTGCCCTTGAGGCATCTTCTTCAGCTCAAACTTCACCCCATCGTAGCCCTCCAACGGCTCTGCCTTGAGCCACTCAAAGATGCGACGGACAGGGTCGGCAACAGCGAATCGTCGAATCACTCGGCCAGTAGGGTGACGGAACTGGATCCTTGTTGTCGTTGCAGGGTTGTTATCTGGCTCAGAGTGCGGCTCGTCGGACGCAATCTGGGCAAACTCGTCGCTCTCATCAGCCTCCATTTCGGCATCCTGAGCTCCGTCATGCGTGGTTGCTGTTGCCTTGGTCAACGAATCCGGGTCTACAATATTCGGTGTAGATGCTGCACCACTGCTTTCGCCCGTAGACCCAGACGCTCCGGCCATGCTGTTCTTGAGAGCCATCTCCAGCATCTCTTCCTCCGTCATGCGGTCCACATCAATGACCTTGGGTTTTGGGGCTCCAGCTTTAGCAACCGGGTTCTTGCTGTTCGCTGCAAGACTGTAGCGATCAAGAAACTCTGCCAACTCGGCATGAAACTCGGCTGCCTTGGGAAATGGTCGGCCGCTCCAGACTTTGACTTGTTCTCCGGTTCGGGGATCGACAATAGACACATGAGGGTAGTTGTCGGGATTCTCGTGTCCTCGATTCGGAAAGTAGAATGTTATGTACTCTTGCGCATCAGGGTAATCCTTGTCGTACTGCAAAAACAAGAAGTTTTCTTTAACCAACTCTCTGATCGCTTCGTCCTTCCAGATATCACGATTCAGGGCTTGGCAGTTAAAGTCGCTCATATCCTGTAGGTTGACCAAGATCCACTTCTTGTCTTCTTTGCCAAGCTGGCGGGCTTCTTCCCACTCCAGCCGTGCCATAAGGTCGTGTGGCGGCCGGAATAGATCTTCAAGTCGTCTCGAGTGCGAGCTGCTGTCCCGAGAGCCAGTCAGCGGGTTACCGTCAGACCAAATTCCTTGGCTAAACGGGCCCGCTGCAGTTCGCTGGTTTGCACGTTGTCTCCGTCTAAGCTGCTCCAAAAAGGCATGCTGCATGTCTGCATCATCGTCATCGTCCCCCCACGATGCATTAGGAGCAATCAATGTTTCTGTTGTTCTGGCAATCGGCGCGCGAACGTCTTCGCCAGCCGGCCCAGCTCCTCCTTGTTGGTATAGTTCCTCCTGTAGCCGCTTAGCCATAGCAGCATCCTCCTCTTCTTGTGCCATGTTTGCAGCGTGGGCTGCTGCTACAGCATCATCATCATGGTTGTTGTCGCTATCGATATCGTCGTCCATTTCCATATACTCGTCGCCGTCGTCATCGTCATCGTCGTCACTAATGTGTATCACGCCGCTGGCGTCCTCACGGCCAACTTTCCTTGATGTGCTTGGCCCCCCTTGGCGTTGTGGGCGTCCACTAGATGCAGCTGCAGTAGTCGATGCACCAGCCCGCATGCCAGAGACTAGATCAGGGTTCTCATAGAACATCTCCACGGCGCGCTCAAAGTTACCACCTGCAAGTTCGAGGAAGCCACGAGCAACCTCATCGCTGGAGCCTGTGATGGCGACAAAAGTCGACGCCTCCTCATCCATGTTGCCCAATTTCCGACGGGTTTATCAAAATTGTACTGGTTGTTGAGGGTGTCAAGTAGCTTCCCGCGTCTCGTCGTTTGCCCCCGCGCCGTACGTTTTCGTTTGTTGGTCGGCGGCAGTGGTGAAATAGTCCCTTCTAGTGGTCAGACTGTGGTGAATGTCTCAAAAGTTTTGCAATCAACCAAACCGCAGTGCAAAATCTGCAGTGGCAAAAGTTCGACCTGGTGATGTGGTGGACAAGTGAAGTTCCGCCACAAGGGTAGCTGGTTCTGGTCAGGCACACAAGCAGCATGACGCAACGAAAACAGCCGAAGCCCCGCCATTTTCCTCCACCCGCGTAAAGAGTGCGCCCACGCGTTTCACCTCACGCTACCCTAGAGTCCCATTTCGCATTTCTGATGCAGCTATATATCGACGAAAATGAAATATAATAAAATAATAAAAGACTATTTAACACATATATCTGTAATTAAAGTGGAATCTTGGAAAGATTTTCCTGACCATAGCACAAATATCGAGTTATCAGGATGTCGCTTCGCAACAGATGCTACCGTCCCTGAGTCCCCTGCGAGATATCTTGAAAATGACGCTATATAATGTGGACATGGTGTCAAGTGATATCGTTGACTTGTATTTCTATTTAGTCTCATTCATAATTTCCAAAACTTTTCTCCAAGCCCTCTGAACATCCAGACTACGCTCTTCAACAAGTGCCTTTTGTACCAACTTCTCCGCCTCGACCAACCCGTCCTTCTTATCGCCAAATAGGCCGCTTGCTTTGGCATCCAGCATAGATAAGACAGCGTTAGTTCTCTCTAGTCGCTGAGATAGGGTGCCTGTTTCTGCCTTGTCCAGGTCTAGGCTCAATAAGAACGCCATAAAGCTACCCTTGGCGTCAAAGTTCACCTTGCCTAGCGTCCCCTTCTCGGTGCTCAAGTCCTTCATGAGATCCTTGACGCTGCCATACCATACTTCGCGTTTGATAGAGGCAAACTTTTCGTGTGGAAGGAAGTCTTGAACTACTGCGATGATGGAGTCGAGGATTGCAGTCGTATCTCGGCTCTTCGATCTAGTATAACCCCGAGCGATGGCCTCCAAGCCGTTCTTAGCAGCTGTGATGGTGGCATCCTCCTTCGAGTCGACATCCATTTTGTCTTCATCCTTTAGCTCGTCGAGATAAGGCTTGACGATATCGGTGATGTCTGCGAGCAAATCCAAGTCGGTTCTGGCAGCAGCGAATTGCCAAAGTGCTCTAAACGCGTGAGGTCTGTAGTCTTCATTGTTTCTCTTGGCTTCTCGAAGTGCAACCTTCTTCATTTGGCCTGCTACCTGATCGTTGCTGCCCCAGAAGGCTGATGATCTCTCAACAAATTTGGGGAACCCCTCCAACACTCGTTCCTTTCCAGGGAAAGTCTTGAGGGCTAAGGCTTTGTCGAAGACGGGCCATATTGTTTTGCAGTTGGCTTCTCCAATGTTGCCAGTAGCCTCGCTGGCGGAGGCAACGTCTGCTGCCATAGTTGCCACTGCAAATGCACCAGTGTGTCTAATGGACCACTGCGTCGTAGAAAGACATCGATCCACGAGACCTGTAATTTCAGGAACATACCGCATCACTGTGCGGCTGCTTCCTGCATGCTGATCCCAGACTTCACGGAATGCTTTGGATGTGTATTCGTCCACGTCCTTTGATCCAACGTAGGAGAACGGCAAGAGCGTCGCTTCTTGTGAAGTGAAATGATCGGGTGAAATCTTTGCCAGCGCCATAACGACATCGGCAATTTTTGCACGTCGTGCTTCGTCCTCAGCATCAAAGTACAAGTCGACCATACGCGAGCAAAACTTGAGCTTATCCGCATCATCTACAACGCGCATAATGTATGCCGCAGCCCTAGCATATGCTTGGCTGACTTCGTCGTTCTTATCCAGAGTTTGCTTCTCAAGTAGCTTCAAAAAGCGCGCCGAGACAGGCTTGATATCTGTAGTGTGACGGGTGAATAAAGTTGTCAAAACACGGCTGCACCCGATTTTCGTAGGCATGCCAATGGCTGTCTTGATAGTTCCTTCGAGACGAGGGGCCAGCTCATTGATAACCTCGGTATCAACGAAGCGGAGGCAGTTATCGATGGCTTCGGATATAGGAGATTGGTTAACCATTTGTGAACGAAGTTTGTCGATCTTATCGCGGCTTTCTTCGCCAGCTCGCTGGTAGTGGTAGTTAATCTGCTCGGGTTCAATCGTGCTGAGAAGTCCGAGCAGCTGAGGAACGATATCGGCAACAAACGGTTTCAATGCGACACCGCCCTTCTTCGCAATCTTCATGATAGTTATAGTCGCAAAGATCTGGACATCCTGAACGGAACTTTCAATGCCCTTATCGGAAAGTAGGAAGGGGAGGGCTTCATTCATCATCGCCTTGGCAGCCGCGCTGTGGTTTCCGTCTTCCAGCTGGCGTACCAAACCGTTAGAAAGAGCCATGCATAGGCGCAGTGCTGCTTCTCTGACACTGCCTTTGACGTCGTCAAGTACTTTCAACGCACTTGTCCAAATGTCTCTGTAGCTTTTCTCATACCGGACAAACGGTCTTCCCTGAATCAGGTCCGAAATGGCAGCACAACTAGCCTCTCTCATACGCCATTCTTTACCCAAGATGCTTTTTAGAAGGTCTCCAAGAATGTCATCGAAGTATGTTTCTATTGTAGCATTGGAATCCTTGACAAGCGACTTCCAAATATCGTCCATGGATCGCTGGACATTCGAGTTCGGGTCAAACCTGTATCTGAAGAGTTTAGGGTACAGTTTGGGATCAACTTCCGATTCAGAGAGAATATTGCTGAGGCCGAAGCGTCCGAAAGCCGATCTGGTGGACCAAGTGGCAGCGTTGGCCGCCAGAGACATGAATTTGTAAACAAGGCGCTGGTCACCCACTTCATTAGCCAGGTTGACAATATCTTTATACGAAGTGATGGATTTTCCCTCTCCTGTAGGAAGGGCACCCGCATCAAACAGCTCGGTATCTTCATCAACCTTGAGTTGCGTGCCCGATCCTGTAAACGCTGACACCAGGTCTTTAACCAAGGCGCTTTTCAGTTCATCATCACCCTTCTCATAAGCCAACGATAGGCCACGAGAAGCAGTTTCTTGGACGAGTTCGTCTCGGGCATTGAGAAGTCTCATGAACGAAGATTGAGCCTCCCGCAAACGCGACTGTACTTCATCAAGATGCGAACAGTATTGAACGATGCAGAATAGCCAGATTCCTGAGGCTTTTAATAGCGAAGGCTTGGTGGATTTGCAGTCGGTGAAAAGCTTTGTTAAAACCTGTGACATAAGATCCTTGTGTGATCGGTTCTGGAAGTGCGAACCACGGCAGTCAACATCCATGGTCAATTTGACACAATCAGAGTCCCAGCGGGCGATTGCGGCTGTAATGGCGTCGCCAACTGTAAAGTGCACTTCAACTCGCTTGATTTCGTGTAACGAAAAGAGCGCTTCAAGGATGGAGCCTAGTAAGCCTGCTTTCCAGGCCTCGGACTGGTGTTCTTCCTCTCCAGTGGATGCCATGGGGTCATTTAGACCAGTGGCTAGGCGGCCTAGAGCAGTGATAGCCTTCTCATTACCCTTCTTGGCGAGTTTAGCAAGAGCCTTGATAATATTCACTACGGAATAGTCACCATCGCTAGTAGGCAAGGCAAGCTGAGCAGACCACAGCTGAGAGGCAGAGTCTAGGGCAGCCTCCTGAAGCGACGCCGGAGTTTTATCGTCAACCAAGTGCTGGAGAGGAAATTCGCAGCAGCCTGAGAGCACTTGGCGATGATAAAATGTGCGTCTTGAATGCAGATATCCATAGGCTAACAAAGCACCTTCTGCAGCGTTTAGGTCGGGACCAACTGCAGACGAAGCGTTGGCGAATATAGCCTCCAAAGTCTTTGAGATGTTTGAAACGTAGTCATCGTGATTCGAGGGATGCGCTGCGAGAATACCGAGCGCTCTAGAGCCCAATGCTCTAATCCCCTTGTTGTTGGACTTGATCAACTTCAGCATATCGGTGGCGTCCTTGGCAAGATAACCAATAGCACCACCTGGCGCTAATGATGCTACATCAACAAAACATCTTATACAATCCTCAACAATCGGAGAATCTTCCACAGTAGCTCCTTCCAAACAAGCCTTCAAGTAGAAAACTAGATAGCTACTCTCAATATCGCGGAGATATGCTCGAATAGTTGTTTTTGTTGTGATGTCTGTCTTGACTTGGGCATCCAACTGCTGCATCCAATCCGGTTGAACGGTAAAATCCTCAAGCGCGGATAGGAACATGATCTGTTTGCAATATCGGAGTGCGGTTGGGAAAGCACTAATCCTGGAGCCTTGGAAGTTGCTGAAAATGGCTGTGTTTGGTAGCGTAGGTAAACCTCCAGCAGACTCAGGCGGAGCCTCCTGATGAGGCTCAATAATGGATTCGAAGAAGTTCATCGTCATCTCCTTCCAGTCCGGCAGTTTGGACTTACTCTGACTCTGAGCAAAATAAGTCCATGGATCAAGACCTTTGTGACCTTGTTCAACAACATCACTTCTCTCATTTGCGCGACCGCCAATGGCTAGTATGTCAATCCAGCGGGCCTGGACGTCAGAGAAAGGCAGACATTCGTTCGCCCATTTGACGACGGCGTGGCGCGTACTTCTCACAGCTGGCGGATCGTCCGTTAATGACATGTACGTGAGAAGCATGGATTTGAAGGTGCTGTTCTTCACTGCTTCATCAACGGGAATATTTGCTGTAAGACTGGAAAGGGCGCCGTCAATGTTAACTACAGCTTCTGCTGTGGTATCTTCCGATAGGGAGCGGAACAACCACGCGGCTAGGCTGAATCGATCTTCGAGAGGCATATCCGCGCTGCGAGCTAGTAGGCCAATTGTTTCATACGCCTTGGAGCGTAATACAAGGTCGTCATTGGTGTTGACTTGCGGGACAGGCCACTCTTGACCCTCAACGTATGTTTTCATATGTGTAATGAGCGAAGAGCCAATCGTGAACTTCTGTTTCGTTGGTCCAACCTGGGCTACCCAAGACAGGTATTGAAACAGGGCTTTATGCAGCTTTGTCTTTTCCAGTGCACTAACGGGCTTTAACGACTGGGTGTCATCGGTAACAAAGTCCAATGAGACCACATTCATAATATGTGTCGTCATTGTCGTAGAGAGCGCCGACTTGCTTAGCATTGACAAGATACGTGTGCGGTTCGCAGCTGGGAGACGCGAATGAGCCTGAAAAAGCTTGGTGACCAATGCCTCATCCTCCATAGAAACAGAGCTTCGCTTCAAGATCTCTTCTGCGGTTGCCCCGACTCTGTTATCTGGACTGGCGGCAGCAAGAAGAGCAGGTAAGAACTTTTCTTCATCAGTGAATGCGGCACTCGCCAACAGTGTGATTGTCTTTGATTTCAGTTCCGATACTCGTTTAAAGATTTTGTCATCTTGTGCGCTTTCAGCAGGGAAGAGAGCTAGCTCGGAAGCTGACAATGTCGGATTGCATTGGGCTAGAGTTTGCGTCGCTGATGGGGTTCGCAACCGTAGGAAGACGCCAAGACAGGTGGCCAGAAACTTAGCATCCGCCTCGTTCTCAAGACCAATGTTCTTTCTAAAGGCTTCGTCATCTTTGCTCCCCCTCGGCGGGATCCGGACATCTAGAATCATGCGAAGGATGAAGTTGAACATTGTTGCGGCACGAGGGTTTCCTTCGTCAGCAGCGAAGCCTGCAAGCGCAATAGGAAGCAGGTCAAGACGATCATAGACATCTAACCTATCAAGACTGTGCTGTATGAACGAAAGGTCGAGTTGTTTAATAATTGGCGAGTCGTTGGATTTATATTGTTGCAATAGGGCTTTGACAGGCAAAATAATTCTAAAGTCGATTAGCGAGGGGGAAGTGCACAATCTTGTACCAGACTTACGAAGGCGGCTGTATGAATGTCTTTAGACGACCTAAGATTTGAATGACCTAAGAATTGTTAATCAATGGTTTGCATATTTCCGTTAGGTCTGGAGGGGGACATACTCTGGCTCTCACTGAGGCATGTTCGCTCGTTGCCTTGAGAATTACAGGGGCTAGATATCGTTGTAACAAGTCATGTAACTTGTCTTCCTTGTTTGCAACACCGAGGATTTTGAACTCGACACTCTCTACAAGTTGCAGCTCTCGCTGCTCTGTCGATTGCGAAGCCATGGTGGAGGCGATAGTAGCTCCCCGTCACTTGAAGCTGATTTATCAGAGTATTGCGAGACAAACACACTGGATTAAAGCAGTGACAATACTCTGCATGACCGACAAGAAAAATAAGTTGTTGAAATCACAGCTAGAAGACGACGCCGGGCCGGAATGGCGGATGGTGTTTTTTTGATAGGCAGCTTCAGATGACGCCTCGTGCTGGCGTAGCCGTTAGGTGCTTGCTGGCCTACGACAGCACCACCAGCTGGCCTGAATTCGGATGACTAAGCTTTTTGCGCTATGGTCTCTAGCTCGCCATATGATATACAAGAAAAAAACGAGGATTTTAATTGAGAAATTTTACTAGGAATCCATTTAAACCAGTTCATGGGTCTACCAACGATATGGAGATCGTGGTGATCGAATGCCGGCATCGACAATTCACGTCACTGGCGGTGCAGCTGGGCTAGCGCCGCACCGCGTCCGTTATTCATCGCGGCACTGTGTTGGGTGAACGATTGAATAGCGTCTTGGGAAACGCTCCCCTGGGATGTCTCCACACCACCTCGCAATGCCCCCCATTTCGCATGTTGATAGATAGCAAGAGAGAAGTGTGCGCCCCCGCTTGTATCCCAATTCCTGGGACGGTTTGGTCAGGGATGTTGGGAAGGCGACGGGGTTTTCTCTTGATCAAAATGCCTGTTTGATGGTTGCTTAGCAGATGCTCATATTCACATTAGCAATAGCAATATAGCCAGATGCAGTCCCTTGCATGGCATCACGGGTACGCCAGCAATCCTGGTGTAGCTGAGGATGGCATGATCCGGCTTGTGGGCACCTGGCAAACCTTGCTTGGCTTGTATACGACACTTAGCTCGGAGAGATCTGTGATTCGCCCAGCGACAACTGCATGGCGTTCGTCGTCGATGCACGCTCGCTACATGTTGGCTCGTTTCCCTTTCCTAGAAGCTCTGCCAATGCGAAGCGAAAAACACGCAAGACGCACAAGGACAGTGACGTCGTTTGCTCCATCGTAACTTTAGCGAGCAGTGCAAAAGGGAGGATGAGACAGGGCGATTGCTTTTTTAGGTCATATAAGTTTGACCCCAAATGCAGCCTCCCTTGAGATGCAGCCTGCCGCAGCTGTGTGTGAGGCGGCCCTGGACTTGTGCCAACGCCCGTTTTTCGGCGACCACTGATGATAACGGCTACGGACAATACGAGAAAGGTAAAGAGAGGCAGACGTGACTGGTGCGAATAGGCTACAGGCAAGCCACGGGTGCAACGCTATGGTGATTCGATGCGCCAATTGAACATATAATCGGGCTACCGTAACCTGACTGGCGCCAAGACAAGACTACCAGCCTAGCATTTATTGCCTCACGGGCCTCGGGAAGCTTCGTATCGCGTTTTCTGATGCCGTACCAGCTGTGTTTAACAATTGACGGCGTCTGGGACAATAGGATGACCATGAACGTTTGCTGGTGTAACTGCAAGTCATCCACAGCGGACAGCCCGCTTGCCCACCCCTGACCCTAGTTGGCAGCTATCCACCCTTCCAGGATTGGCCTGATCCACCAGGTTTGTAGAGAGACGTCGCTGATGGTGCTTCAGTTGCTAAGGTGGCTTACACAGTTAGGAGACTGGATGCCGAAGTGGCTGATCGCTAAGGCGCCATTGTTCAGGTGCAAAGGATGGTGTGTGGTGGGTGCTGTTATCAGGATGTCGACATGCGCATCGTAGCCGTGAAGCAATGGACCTGGACCCCTCTCTGCCTAGTATTATTTTAGTTTCTTAAGCTTGCCCCGCGCTATTCGGCCATTTGTCCGTGCCAGCATTCCATTGTCAGCCCGGCGTTCGTTTGGCGAATGTCCCTTTGCACTGCAAACGGAATCGGATGGAATTCTCGAGAGGTGCCATTTGCCCCACCAGCGCAGCCCCGAAAGTGCGCTGCCAGAGCTAGCTTGAGGCAAAAAGCGACAGTTAGAGGCCAGCCTCTTAACACTGTGAAAATCCAGCGAGGGTTGCGTCTGTTAAGCACAGTGCCGGTAATGCTGCTGCTGCTTCAAGAGGCTCACCGTCAAGCAGCGGCAGGCCGAAATATGACACCACTTTGCTGTAACCTGCCAGAGCTGGTGTGGTATTCGCCGCCGAACTGTGCCCGTCACCGCCGAAGCCCAGTATTGACAAAAAAGATGACAAAAAGTAGAAAAGAGATATATGATAATTCTGTCCACTGTCCTATTCCTCAATACTGCCTTTTCCTGGATGAGGGGGAAAAGGAGCAGCAGTTTGTCCATCGGTGCATTTACAATGGCAATTATGCATACGGGTACTTTTGCCAGTGGGCATATGGCAACAGCAGCAGCAGCTTGGTGTGTGCGCGTTTCCGACAGCTCCGGCAAAGCGCAAGCTAGGGGCGTAAGAAGGCACACGCGTAACTTTTTTTTTATCCAGCCTACACAGTATTGATAGGGAAGGGATCTGTTACTGCGGAGTTGGGGCGTGCGTGCTGTGTCAATAGGCCGAGGTTTAGTGTAGTTTTGTGGCCATCATTCTGCGCTTCAGCTGCCATTGATGCCCATTGACAGCTGCTATCAACCAGAGCATACAGCAACGCACTCGAAGCTGAACGACGCCGTCTCGGAGTCTCCTTAAGTAGGGGGGATTTCCACCATGTTTCGCTCTCGATCTGGCGATCCCCTGCGACCTTGTGGCTGCGTCGCTGCAGGTGCTAGCGCCGCCCTCCTTCAAAAGCCGGACTCGCCTAGTCTTCCCACAGTGGACACCTTTGGCTGGGGGCGCTGTGATGTGAGGCCTTAAACCACCAGCGAGAGCGGATCCTGCTTGGACAATTGAAAAAACAAGATACGAGAGACGGGGACTCCACCAGGCAGAGGCTGGTAAGAAAGAGGATTGAATTATACAGAGAGTAAAGATATCTTCTGGATCTATACTGTCATAATGATGGAAAGTTGACAAGGACACGCCAAGGACATCCACACTAGGCGCAAAGGTCGTATGCAGGCCGTCCAGCAAGGCAAAAGCTTGATGGTAGTGTGCCTGGGCTTGGTGGGTGTTTGGGCGTAGTATAGTGGGCCCCCATGCCCCCCTCACCCCCCTCACCCTTCTATACAGTGCTACAGTTGGGTGCTTGCTGCCAGATGGAACGGATGAGCTTTTCTGCTTGGTGGATAGAGGATTGGGCTTGGCTGTAGTTGCGTCGGCGGATGGCTCGCTGAATTCGGGACGGTAGACGGCAGTTGGTGAAAATAAAAAACGGCTCAAATAGTTTTGTATGCGTGGTAATATTCTTGTATGTTCCTTTTGAGCCAAATATAGTCCCCCAGGCTAGGATCTCACAAAAGCTTCCACCAGGTCGGGTGCGGTGACGTACTGCAAAAAATCGAGAGCCGCGCCCGCCGCCGTGCGTGTGCGTGGTGTGCCAGGCCCCCCAAAAAAACACCCTGCTGGCTGTGTTGTGTTCTGTCGCTCACTGAGCCCGCCGCTGTCGTCCACTAGCGTGCCCCAGGGCGAACAGCTCCAGCCCACTGTGCTACTGTGTGCCTTTTGCTTCGGGGCATCTCCTCCAGCGTGCCCGCCCTCCTGGTGGCTCGCTCGCCCCCTCCCATCGCCTGAGCTTTTAGCACCACCAGCACCGTCCGCCGCAGTGGGTGGATAGCGTGAGCCGAGCCCGCCCACCCGCCAAAAGTCACTGCGCTGTGGGTGACCCATGCTGCCCCCCGAACCCAACTTTTTTTTATTCCTTCCCTCTCTTCTTCCTTCTTCCTCCTTCTTACATCCTTCTTTTTTCGCCCGTTTTTACCCCCCCTCCCCTTCTGTTCAAAAGCCACTTTGGTTTTCTTTCCAGTTTTCGTGCGTTTGTTTCGCTGTTAGAGTTAACGGTTCTTTTGCTGGTGCTTAAAAGTGAGTATTGTTTTTTTATTGCTTCTGCTTCGCTGCCAGCTATGCGCATGCTGCTCGCGCCTTTTCCCGAAATTTCTGTGGGTGTGGGTTTGCGCCGCTTTCAACCTGCTGTGCTCTCAAATCGACAAAGCCAGACGCGACACCTCTTCGACATGGCTCGATGACGAAAGACGACTGTCCAATCAATCATTCCTCCCAAACCGCCACGTTTCGATTCTTTTGGGGGCTTTGCTATGGTACAAGAACAGCCCAGCTAGCCGACAGTCAGCACCCGTTCTTCCAACCGCTTCCATCACCATCTGGTCACAACTAAGCGCAATCGCCTCTACCGCCTCAGAAAACGATCGAAACATTCTTTTTGATGCCATCTTGAGATGCGAGCATGCTGGTTGCTACTGCCTCATATCGCTTGGTTTGCGCAAACAGCTCCTGGTCACCGGAAAAGACCGCAACATGCGACAGCCGTATTGGCCATCTTCGACCCCTTTATCAATCAGCTCGGATGTTGCGCAGGACGAAAAAAAATCATGAGCAATAATTCGTGCCAACCAATTTGAATGGGAAATCTTGCGCATCGACCCCCGATTTGGTTTTCAATTGCTTCCTGACAGCTCTCCTTGGCGCTGGGTTATTCCTGGTTACACGGCGCTGCAAATACGGCAGCGAACCCTTGCGCATGCAGGACAATGAACTACCACGACACAAAAATAGAGTTGCAGTGATTCATCGCGGCCCGAGCCTACAGATGGAACCGAGCAGCAGAAGCGCATTTAGCAAACGAGCAGTGCTACCGCTGTATCCGCCAGTCACCCGCTAACCATCATGAATAGGTTCTCGTGATTTCGTGAGCGTCTGGACTGTTTTTACCACTTTCCCTTGGAATTTCTGGTAAAGCAATCTCAATTCACCGTACATATTCGGGCTTGAACGACTTTACACAACTTTGCGTTTTACGTTCAAGTTTAGGAGTGGCGTCTTTTCGATTATCTCGATTCATCTCCATCAGCATCTTGACATATAGTCTGGATCTTCTACCGTCTTTCGAATATTCGTCTGTACACCTTTTTTTACCACCGCCTTTGTAACTTGATGTAAGGAGGCCCTTTGTGGACGACTTTGCGCGTAACTACCGTACTAACTCCATCTAGTGTTTCTGCTTTTTCTAGCACATCATTACAATGTCTTTTGCCAACGGAACCCCTCCCGCCGCCGACCTTTCGGTCCCTCCCCCCTCTGGTGGCTCTCCCGACCAGTCCAAGACCACCCTCTGGATGGGTGAGCTTGAGCCTTGGATGGATGAGAACTTCATCAAGGGCGTCTTCCTCTCTACCTCTGGTGAGACTGTTAACGTCAAGGTCATCCGCGATAAGAACTCTGGGTACGCCGTCCCCTCAAATAATTTATAATCGAAAATACAGACTAACCGTATCGAAACAGAAACGCCGGTTACTGCTTCGTCGAGTTTGAGACTCCCGATGCTGCTAACAAGGCTCTTGGCCTTAACGGAGACTCTGTTCCCAACAGCTCCCGTCAGTTCAAGCTGAACTGGGCTTCTGGTGGCGGTCTCGTTGACCGCAGGTACGTTTATCTCATAACAGTTCTCACTTTTCATCAATGCTAATGACGTTTTCACACAGAGATGACCGCGGCCCCGAGTACAGCATCTTTGTTGGCGATCTTGGCCCTGAGGTCAACGAGTACGTTCTCGTCTCCCTCTTCCAGGCTCGCTTCCCCTCTTGCAAGTCTGCCAAGATCATGACCGATGCCATGACTGGTCAGAGCCGTGGCTACGGTTTCGTCCGCTTCTCTGATGAGAACGACCAGCAGCGTGCTCTTGTCGAGATGCAGGGCGTCTACTGCGGCAACCGTCCTATGAGGATCTCTACCGCTACCCCCAAGAATCGGTAAGTACCCTTTTTTCTAAGCTCTAAGATGTCGCAAATGTCAGATTGTATTAACACTTCCATTACAGCGGCGGCCACGGTTTCGGTCAGGGCCACAACGGCCAGATGATGGGCGGCGGCAACGGCGGCGTCCCTCAGCAGCAGCAGATGTGGAACGGCATGCAGGGCTTTGGCTACGGCGGCTTCAACCCTGCCAACCAGATGAACCAGTTCACTGACCCCAACAACACCACTGTCTTTGTTGGTGGTCTCTCTGGCTACGTCACCGAGGATGAGCTTCGCTCTTTCTTCCAGGGCTTTGGCGAAATCACCTACGTCAAGATTCCCCCTGGCAAGGGCTGCGGCTTTGTCCAGTTTGTCCACCGCCACGCTGCTGAGATGGCCATCAACCAGATGCAGGGCTACCCCATTGGTAACTCGCGTGTCCGCCTGAGCTGGGGCCGCTCCCAGAACAACTCTGGTGTCGGCACTCCCTACCGCCCTGCTCCCCCTCCCCCTCACTACATGGGCATGCCCGGCCACGGTCCCGGCCCCTACGGCCCCCAGCACTTTGGCGGTCCTGCTCCCGGACCCCAGGGTCTCGGCGGCCCTGCCGGTCCTCCTGGTGGTCCCGCTGGCCCCCCTCAGGTATGAGCAAACGTATAGATAAATGTTTGACATGGTGTGCTAACCCGACGGCAGTAAATCTGAGAATGTGTATCAAACTCAATTAGCGGCAAGATTTGAATAATTCGACAGGCGCAAGCGGATACGGCCCACGCCGGTGCGTTCGTTTCGGTGTGATGTTGTACGTGTGTTTTCCTTTGGACTTTTCGCGCCTCTCCAACTGAGAGAAGGGAGTTGGTAGAGACATATGCCGGGGCGTTGGAACTTGATTTGCTGCACAATGGAAAAAAAGGAGTATCGTTTCTGCAGGTTTGGACTCTGGTGTATTGTTCTACTGTAGCGCCTCTTTTTCTTCTCTTGTTGTTTTCTTTCTCTTTCTTCTCAACACTCATTTCTTTTGTCCTATGACCTTGTTCATATCTCCTTTGTCTCTTCTTTGTCTTTGTCCTTGTTGTCTTGTCTCTTTGCGCCTGTTTTCGCGTTCCATATTGTTAAAACGAGAGTGCCGTGACAAAGTGTGCAAGATATGCCACTATGGGCTCCTCAAGCATAGCCACTAGACACAGCCTTCTTTTAGATCTGCTCGTTTTGCCATTAAACGCAACATGCAGCAGCCATAGGGGTCTGTTATCTTTTGGTTCCTACATTGCTGGAGCTCTTCTCTGTAGCATATCCTTTTGCTCATTTCGATCTGCTCTTCCATGTCTATGTCTGTACGAGAGCTTGACTGGGTTTGATATCACGAAACGATGGGCGTTGGATGCTTTTTTGCGCGCGTCTTGCTGTTGGCGTTTACCATTGCCGCTGGACATTCGGCCTGAGCGTAGTATTCTTTTACCTCGTCCCTTTATTTATCCAAGTAGCGAAGATCGATATCACAAATTGACAAAATGCAAATATCTACAAATCCCTCTGCGCGCGATGTTAGTACCCCTCCACTCATCATCATATTACAAATCGGAGGGGCATTCCGCCGAATTAGGTTTCGGCGAGCAGTCACGAGTTGGTGCAACGTCAGCCTTGCTCGGCAACATAATACCACGTATCCAGCCTGTTTTCTTTTTTTAATTCTCCTACCTTTATCATCCTACTAATTCTCCTTCTTCGCTTCTTTCGACACATCAGTCAAACGCCAACATGGCCCCAACCCTCAGCATCTCGCCCGTCAAAACTGAGGCCGATTGGCGCCGCGGGGCTCAGCTCATCATCAAATCCTTCGGCGATTTGCCCATCGCACCAAGCATGTTTGGCAACGATACGCCTGAAGACATTGAACGGCTGGCTAAACAGCACCAGATCGGCCAGGAGGAGCACATCAAGCAGTACCCATCAGTACAGCCAGCCATCAAGTGCTCGTATACAGAGGCCGATGGCACAGAGGTCATGGTGGGGTTTGCCGAGTGGTTTATCCACGACCGCGAGCGGACCGAGGAGGAATACACGCGCGAGAACCACGTCCTTCGATGCGAATGGGTTGAAGATCCGACCAAGCAGAAGGAATGCGTGGACTTTATGGGGGGAATGGTCGCTGCGAGACAGCAGCTGTGGAAGGGACGGCCATACGGACTGCTCATGTTTATGTGCGTGGACGAGGCGCATCGTCGCAAGGGCGCGGCTACACAATGCGTGCGATGGGGCATGGAGAGGTGTCAGGAGCTAGGTATCCCTGCGTATCTTGAAGCTACGGAGCAGGGTATGAAGGCATACAAGACTATGGGATGGGAAGTTGTGCAAGGTACGGATATGCTGTTTCCTGGAATGGTATGGTGGCCAGAGGGCGTAGAGAAGTGGGATTTCAAGTCCTAGATAGTGACACCACAAAGGCGCAAGTCTTTATACACGACGATGAATCGGCTTTCATAAGATTCGTATTGTACATTTTTGAAGGTCTATATTTTGGTATATACGTAAAAATATTCACAGGGTAACTGCTACTCTGATGCGCAATACCACTGAGCCCTTTTTGCTTCTTTCTTTTTATGCGGATGCTCCTGCATTACAATCACTCGTGAACGACTCGTCAGTCCACATGCCTCCAATCTTGGTGGTATATATTTTTATTGATTTCTCTCCTCTTCATTACAGTGAGGCTGGCTCAACTGAATTGCATTCCCGTTAAAGTCATAACCAAACACTTTTTTTCATTCTCATAAAGTTGGTTTTTGTATTGATTGTTTTTGTTCGATCGAGCTCGATACTCTGGATTTACCAGCCACGGGTGGCAAGCTTCTCCTCGGGCTTCATGCTGTCACAGTTGATGCCAACCATGGCCTCACCGAGACCCTCGCTGCACTCAGCAAGGACCTTGGCGTCCTTGTAGTGAGTGGTGGCACGGACAATAGCCTTGGCGCGCTTAGCAGGGTCGCCAGACTTGAAGATACCGCTGCCAACAAAGACACCGTCGCAGCCGAGCTGCATCATGAGGGCAGCATCGGCAGGGGTGGCAACACCACCGGCGGCGAAGTTGACGACGGGGAGACGGCCGAGCTCTGCAGTCTGGCGTAGGAGCTCAGCATCGACCTCAAGGACACGGGCCATCTCGCGGATGCGGACAATGCCACCCTCAGCAAGAGCAGCCTTGGCCTCAGCAATCTGCTTGTTGACGGTCTTGACGTGGCGGACAGCCTCGACAACATCGCCAGTACCGGCCTCACCCTTGGTGCGGATCATGGCAGCACCCTCAGCAATACGGCGAAGGGCCTCGCCCAAGTTGCGGCAGCCGCAGACGAAAGGAGCCTTGAAGGGGCTCTTCTCAATGTGGCTCTCGTTGTCGGCAGGGGTGAGAACCTCGGACTCGTCAATGTAGTCGACACCAAGGGCCTCGAGGATCTGACACTCGACGAAGTGGCCGATACGGGCCTTGGCCATGACGGGGATGGTAACGGCGGCCTGGATCTCCTTGATGACGGCGGGGTCGGACATGCGGGCAACGCCGCCGTCCTTGCGGATATCGGCGGGAACACGCTCGAGGGCCATGACGGCGCAGGCACCGGCCTCCTCGGCGATGCGAGCCTGCTCAGCGTTGGTCACGTCCATAATGACACCGCCCTTGAGCATCTGGGCGAGACCAGCCTTGACGGCGAAGGAAGATTGAGCGTCGCCGTTGGGAGCAGACATTGTGACTGGGAGTTGTAGTGGTGGTGGGATATAGAGAGAGAGAAGAGAATGAGGATGCGGTTAAGCAATTGGAGAGAGAGGAGCAAAAGGACGATGAATTGAAGAGATGCAAGAATGAGGAAGAGAGAAGAACTAAGTAGAAAGGAAGAGTACGGAGGGACGAAAAGGTGTGGAGCGTGAGTCAGTTGCGGCAAATAAAAAAAAGAATTAAAAATTTATTGCGCAAAGGCGTGCTCTATTTTTTTGGTGGTCTTTTTTTTTGGAGGCGATGTGGACGAAAGCAGAAGGCGGGCGAGAATCGGAGCGGGGGAGGGGCAGCGCTGTAGAAGCAGATGGAGGGGTCAGAGATTTGGAGCTGTGGGCTGCTGTAGGGCCCGCTGCAGGCGCTGTAAGAAGCTTACTTCCAGCGGGTTGGTTAGTGGGTGCCAGCGAAGCTGTCAGGGCCTGCTGTTGGCTGAAAACGTGGGCGACAGGGGACAGCCACCGGTCCACTAAAAGAAAGGCCTTAGCTGTCACCTGCAACTGCCGGCAAGCGTCGGGTGAAGCTGGGGCCAATTACCCCCAGCGCCCTAAAGACTGCACTTTAATTTTTGTAGCGCACGAGTACCCTAAGGCTTTGGGGTCAAATGGTAAGCATCGGCTCTCCCACAGTGGGCGTCTTTGGGAACAGTGCTGTAAGTTGCTGCACCAGCTGGCACAAGTGGCACAGCTGGCAGTAGATTAGGTGTAAGTTGACATTGACGCGACGCTTCTGCCAGTTGGCAACACCAGGAGCGATTACAAAGACACTCCAAGATTACAAGCCCCATACAGTTAAACTCCGGAGACAAATGTAACATTATAATCAGGCTCTTTATCGCTAGCTGCCAGTCTGGTCACGATGTGGCATCAGCTCGTCTATCAATGGCCAGAGACCTGCGACAACAGCCTGGTGTGTTGTGTTGCATACCATTCCCCTGTCGTTTAAAAGCTGCTGCCTCTGCCCTACTATGCAAGCTGAATAATCCCCGAGATCTTTACTATGTACTACTCTCATCATCATGTTTCGTCTTGAAAATTTATCCTGGGAATATCTTGTCTCTGCCGGCGTCGCTGCTGTTGTCAGCGTGGTTGTATACAGACTTACACTGCATCCACTAGCAGGGTACCCTGGACCTCGACTAGCAGCGGCGACACGCCTCTATGAAGCCTACTACGATTTATTTCTCAACGGACAATATGTATTTAAAATACAAGAGCTCCACGACAAATACGGTACTTTAACTAGGCCTGTTTGGCGTTTGCATGTCCTAGTGTGCTAATATTCATGTGCAAATGTTAGGACCCATTATCCGCATTAGTCCTAACGAGTTGCATGTCAATGATGCCAAATTCCTCGACAAACTGTACAACAATGAAGGCAAATGGAACAAACATGCTTGGGCTAATGACGCATTTGGAGTCCCTAATGCAACAGTAGTGACTGTTGATCATGATTGGCACAAGCGTCGGAGGGCCGCTATCAGCTCCTACTTTTCCAGGCCCAACGTCGCCAGCAAGCAAGATATTTTGCGACGCGGCGCTTTCAAACTCTGTGATCGACTGAACGAATATGACGGTTCGGATAATACAGTAAATCTGAGCCATGCAATAAGTGCCATGGCGCGAGATGTCGCTGGAGAGTTTCTTTTGAATAGGCAATATAACAATCTCGACAGCCCTGGTTTTAACGCGGATATGACACTCATGTCACAGGGCTTTGGCACTGTCTGGCGCACTTGCAAACATATCCCGTTTCTTGCTCAGATTCTTAAGCTATTGAAACCATCATTTATGGTCAAAATCACGACGGATCCAGGAGCCAAAGCCTTTTTCGGTTTCGTTGCGGTGAGTGAAACTGTTTGCCGTCACAGGAGTGGGAGCAATTCTTACAAGTTAACTTATAGGGCATTTTAAACGTCATCAAAGAGGAACTGAATGCTGGAACGGACAGTGGGTCGGAATCAGAAAAGGAACAGCGGACTCTTATTGACCATATTGTTCACTCTAATCTCCCAGCCTCGGAAAAGGGTGCTGCACGCATCAATGACGAGCTCGCCAGCATTAGTGGTGCTGCCTTTGAAACGACGGCTAACGCCTTGCGATGCATGCTTTATTACGTATATGGCGATGCAAACATCTTGGACCAGCTTCGAGAGGAGATAAGAGTATTAAAAAAGGACAAGTCCATCACCCGCATCCCTGAAGTGGAAACGTCTAGTCTTGAGCAGCTACCATTTCTCAGTGCTGTGCTCACGGAATGCTTGCGCCTGGCCCCGGGAGTAGTGACAAGGATGGCGCGAGTTGCACCAGACCGAGCTATCATATTCAAAGACTATGCGATTCCTGCCGGAACTCCAGTAGGAATGACACCGTTCCTTATGCACATGGATGAAAATGTCTTTGAAGACGCGCGCGCATTCAAGCCTGAACGTTGGATGGACCCAGAAGCCCGCAGGAAGCTTTCCAAAACGTATGCCCCGTTTTCCAAGGGAACTAGAATCTGCCTAGGAATGCAGTGAGTACCCCTCCCGTTCCCGTTGCTGACATTTGATAAGGCTGTGTTGTTGCTGACTGATGCTCCTCAATTTAGCTTTGCATGGGCTGAGCTGTACATGGTGACAGCCTGCCTCGTCGATGAGTACGACTTTAGCCTGGTGGGAGCCGGGCCCAAGGATATCGAATGTGTCAGCGATCAATTCGTCGTTGGAGTAGCGGATCCTTCCGGAATTAAGGCGAGAGTAACTAGAGCTGTGTAAGTAGGGCTCTGGGGGACAGCTCGGTGACATTTCTTACACATACAGGGTGACAAGCTGCACCGGTTCTGTTTCCGTTTATTTGTTTTTAGTAAATGTTTCCCTAATTAGCTTAGCAACGTGTTGCAAATTTTTGCGCCTATGTCATTGATTCCGAAACCGCAGCCATTTGCTTCCGTCAAGCGTAGGGCGCCGTAGAAAACAGTGACAGTCACTCACTGTATACTTGTAGTTGGTATTAATACTGTGTAACTTATACACTATACACTAGAAGTCTAAGTGTTGGCGCGGCATCCGCTAAAGATGCGCTACAGCCCTAGCGCAGCATGGACCAGCCAGCGCCGGTTTACAACGGGCCATTCCCCGGGCGTGGGGGGAACCGATGATGGATAGAATTTTGTATTTTATCTGCAGCATGAAGGAAGATAATATTCTCTTAAATTAATATTCAAATACAAATATCCGCAATCCAACAGAAAATAATTTCAAAGATCCCATTTACCCCATAAAGCCATCCCCCAGCCCTTGATTTGCCTCCATCCTCCTCCCACGTCGGCTCCCGCCATCCGTTCCGAAGGCGGAGCACCGCACAATAGGCCGCCAGGGTCCTCGTTCTCCCCCAACAGCCCCTCCAAAAGCGCCCTAAGCCTAAACGGGTTATACTTTGCACCGCATGCCCTTCTAGACTTTTTTCTTGTCCCGACGCCGGGTGGTTGTCGTCGCGCCTTCCGCTTTTTCTTTGTCCTCTGCGCCTTAAGCCGATTTTAAACACAAGTCTCGTGATACTTTTCACTCTGCTCTCTTTCACTCTGTTTTTGGTTGTTACTTGTCTGTTCTGTTGCTGCTAATACTTCGACTTGTCTCAAAACACCACATAGCACCGCTTCCAACAATGCAGACCAACGTCTTCGTCATCGGCGTCCTCGCCCTGCAAGGCGGCTTCATCGAGCACGTCAACCTCGTCCGCAAGGCCGCCGAGTCGCTTACCAACAAGTCCGTTGAGATCAAGGCAATCGAGGTCCGAACAGTGGAACAACTTGATTCCTGCGACGCTCTCATCATCCCCGGCGGCGAGAGCACAACCATTTCCTTTGTCGCCGCGCAGTCTGGCCTTCTTGAGCCCCTCCGCGACTTTGTCAAGTAAGCTCTACTTCTCCAGAACCCTGCGCGCAAGAAAGTGCACCGCCAATCTAACACACTCCTTTCTTATAGGGTCCAAAAGAAGCCCGTCTGGGGTACATGCGCCGGTCTCATCCTGCTGTCCAACGAAGCAAACGCCACCAAGAAGGGCGGCCAGGAACTCATCGGCGGCCTCGGCGTCCGCGTCCACCGAAACCACTTTGGCCGCCAAATCGAAAGCTTCCAGGTCCCCCTCGACCTTCCCTTCCTCGGCCCCGACGCGCAGTTCCCCGGTGTCTTCATCCGCGCCCCTGTTGTCGAAGAGGTCCTCGCTACTGAGGGCGTCACCGTCCTCGCCAAGCTGCCTGGTCGTGTCGACAAGGCCCAATCTGGTGTCTCTCAGGCTACTGTCAAGGACAACTCTGGAGATATTATTGCTGTTCGCCAAGGCAATGTCATGGGCACCAGCTTCCACCCCGAACTTACAACCGATGCCCGTATCCACGCTTGGTGGCTGGGCGAGGTCATCGCCGCGAGATCGGCATAAGCCAATTGACATTGTGCACTCTCCTTTTACGAAATACATACATTTGGAACATTTGAACAGCATGACGAGGATATAGAGGGAAGAAAAAAGTTAGACAAGACGGCAGGCGCATACATTCATTCGGGTGTTTTATTTTTGATCATTTACAAAGTTAATATTACATGATTGGTTTAGTCAACTAGACATCAGCATCAAGCAATTTCACAGCAAACCAATCCCTTAAGCAGTTGCATACTTTTTCAAAAGACCAATTATCCTGGCATCACCCATGTCCTGTGCTACCTGCATCGCTGTGCGTGACGTAAAAGCGTCTTTCACCTTGGTTGGAGCACCGTTTGAAAGGAGCACTTCGATCAAGTCTACCTTGGAATCGTGGTCCATCTTTTTGCTTGTCATTGCGCATATAAGAACCGGCTGGCCGACCATGGTCTTTACTTTCGTCTTAGCCCCATGGTTCACGAGAGCTCGTGCGATATCCAGGTTGCCCTTTTCGACTGCTACAGCAAGGCAGGGGACACCATGCATATCTTGAGCATTTGGATTTGCGCCGCGCTCAAGGAATCTGAAAACTAAGTCGACCTCATTACGCGTAACAAGAATAGCCAGCGCTTCGTTGCCTACAACATCGCGGGCGGATGTGGTTGCGCCACGCTGCAACAACAAGTCAATCATGGCGTGGTTACTGCGTAGGATGGCGGTCGCCAACATGTGCTGACCGGTAATATCGGTAGCATTTGCGTTAGCACCATGGTCAAGAAGTGTTGATACAACATCCAATTTGTCGGCATGAGCTGCAAGAACAATCACGGGCTGCCCAGTGATATCCTCAGCATTAGCATCAGCTCCCAGCTCTAGCAAGTGCTTGATACCTGCGTAGTTGCCCTTTCGGACGACATCGACAAAATATGGCTTGCCCGTAATATCCGTCTCGTGTAGGTTTGCTCCGTAGTCCAAGAATATCTGAATCATTTGGATCTTGCCCAGTTTGGCGGCCCCAAACACGGCTGGTCGTTTATCAATAACCATGGGTGCGCCGGCATCCACCAGCAGTTTCACCATGACGGGATTACCACACATTACGGCTACCTTGAGAGGCTGGTCACCATTTTCGTTGTATCCGTTGAGTTTGGCCCCTTGTGAGATGAAGAGCTTGGCTTGTTCGACATCACCGCGCGCAATTGCTTCACAGAGTGCTGGTACGAATGGGTCTGGTTTAGATTTCATGGCGCTTGCAATTGCGGCCATGGACTTTTTGATGCCATCGATGCTAAACCAGCCGCCACTCTGCGTCTCGTCAGCTGCTGCCCCTGCTGCGCTGGAACCCTCTCCCGCATTATCCTGACTGGGCGAGTAAGGTGGTGGAGCACCATAAGTGGGAGGAATTTCGTGATCTTCGGCTGGTTGCTGCGAATGTGCGGCCTCAGACGGAGGATTCTTTTCTCTGATTGGTAAAGATATAGTAGCATCTCTGTCAAAGATATCTACTGCTTCGGATGCTTCGTCACTGGCATCAGTGGCTTGCGAGATTCGTTCGTCGCCGACTGAACTTTGCAGAGCGTCGTTTTGTAGCGTTTCATCTCCCCTATATTTGATTAGATATATGATAACAAAATTAGCAACAGATATACTTACTTGCGCAGAAGTTCGCCGTAAAAGTCAAACAAGCGCGAGTGTGTTGCTGTAAGTCGGCCGAGATGCACCCAAAATTCACCAGATGCGTCATCGACATTGGTACCATCCAGTCTTTGCAATTGCTTCAGCATTGGACCCAGGGCTAGCGAGCATTCTGATAATGACTGAGAAATCTGCGTATGAAGTACTGCCGTGCACACTGCATTCGTACCCGCCAGGTGGATTTGGATGTCGGCCACATATGCTGAGACTTTTTGCAGGCTCTGTATCACTGACTGAATCTGGATTGTATGCGCTTTGTTGAATTGCGGTGATGCCATCAGATTTTCCAGAGAATTGACTGTTGATGCGACATTGCTGCGAAGCGATGAAGCGAGTACTGGTACAGTTTGAGCCGTCATGATGGGACACAGGCGTTCAAATACTGAACTAGCGATGATTGTGGGCGAAATGCAATACCACGCTTTTCAAAGCTGTTTTAATTGCTGTAAAGGAATGGACGGTATAGTTGATTTAAGACGATCGTGATAGGAAAATAGACGTCCAGCTTCGTCACAGCTGACGTCGTTGCTTGTCGTCAGCCGCAAGCTGCTGGTGACGCGGCCGCCCCGGGTGCCACAGCCCTACCATATTTGCAGCTATTACTACCAAAATAATAGGGGAGAAAAAAGAAAAGTAATTTTTCATGCATTTTCGAATGTTTCTGAATGAAATTGCATTGTCCTGGAGTTGAATCGCCACGTGCGATGAATTGCTGCACAAAATCATAAGTATCATTCATCGCCAGCCAAGCATCTAGCTTCTGATTGTGTGGCGACGAGCGAGCGGAACGTCATTGCTTCAATTGAATCACGCTGCAATGTAAATATACAATATGGCTCATGCCTATTGAAGTGAATAAGGCCGCCATTTTGAATTCAGAGGCACATTTTATGTCGACACTGCATCGGGGCAATCATAGGCTTTACTAGACCATTTGCCACAGTAATGAGCCTCGCCTAGCAAAGGAATAAGCCACACTTGTTCACATTGAAGTGATCGACGACCTGTTATTCGGTCGGAACCACATTGGTCCGCCGATCGAGCGGCCAAGCCAAGTTGAGACCCCGCGTCGCACCGCCATTCCATCGGCCAACCTGTCTCTGATAGACAAAAGGAGGGGTTGGTAGGTTAGTTGGTGGTCACGACGGCTTTGCAGCACGTCTCCATGGCTTTGGTCCGCTTACTGCATTATGCAGCAGCAGCAGCAATAGCGGCAGTGGCAGCAACGCAGCAGCTGCATCTCCGGGACGGCCCAACTACAGTATTGAAAGAGCCGATCCTCGACGCAGCATGATGGCTGCAGATGTTTGGCGCTTTCTGCATCAAATGTGGGGGATCGCGTCGCTCGTTCCCCATGCTCATATGCAGATAACACAGCCTGGAAAAATTGAGAGACATGAACCAAGGTGGTGGGCCATCGAGTATGCCGCGATTCGGTCTGGTATCAGATTCGAAACATGTTCCTCCAAATCATGAGTCCAGAAATCAAATTGCCATACAGAGCCTTACACATGACGGTCATTGAGAAAGCACGCTGCTAGTGGCTCGTGTTCTGCATGCACGTTGTAAGCTTTACAAAGGGCCAGTGGGCGGCTTCTGGGCAATGACTCGGCCGTTACTCTCCCGCGGCAACTTTCCTCTTCAAGTTTAGGACGGAAGAAATTTTTTTCGTGCTTTGCAATGTATAGCGGACGGAAATATTTGGCCGAACGAATACAGTCAATATTGCCCTTTTAGCCGTCTGCAGGCTCCAGCTCGGTCATGCATATTTGGTCTGTCGCATAAGGAAAGTCGCTTGCGTCAGGCTGCATGAGGGTGTTGGCTGCTTGTCATCTACGTTGGTCAATATCAATTGTGACCAACCAATTACAGCTCCATCTGGCCGCGGCCCTCCCCCCAACTCATTTGGTGTAGCGTTGTAACATGCCATCCAGGGATATCCGCTCTCTTCTGTTGGGACGGGAAACGGTATTTGGAAGATGTCCTCATTGTTCTCGCGGATGAGCGGGATAATGCGCGTGGTCGACTCGATCCGATTCATTTGTTCCCAAAACTCTAACGCCTTCGTCCCGTTCTAGCGTTTCTTCCGCCTGCCTGGGTCCTCTTTTGCACAAACAGTACTCATTTCCACTTAGATCAGGCTCCTCTGCCCCCCTTGTAAATCCGCTAGTTTGTCGCCTCATCCAACGCCGTAGCATCCCCGGCCTCTTCGGCGACTACGACTTGTACTGTACAGTACCGCACTTGGCCATGTCACCTGCGCAGCATACAACGCTGGCGCGCTCAAATTGCAGCTTTAGTGTTGCTAAAACACACAAGTTATTCCAGCCCCAGTGTTTCTGGCGCTTCCAAGGAGATTCGATTCACACCGCTCGGTGTTCGATTCATTCGAACCAAGTGGGTTCGTTCGGACCAAATGCCCATTTGAATGTAAAAAAAAAACCGCCTTGTAACTGATGGGCCGTGGCGGCGGGACATTATCAAGCTAAAAGACAAGCCCGGATTTCTTCGCTCTAGCTAAGGTCCTCGGCCACCGCAGAGCCTCTAGTATGGCTGCAAGGTGTTGGTGGCAATGGTCCAGCCGTGCGCCCCGTGACGGACGCTACATTTCCCGATGTTTGGGTGAGACGACGTGCCAGAAGAGTGGTCAGGGACCAAAAGAAGATGGTGTACCGAGTGTCTCTCTATGCGCAACCAGCAGCGCCAGCTCATGTTGCAGCGCATCTTCAAAGGACTGTCTTTCTTTAATCAGAGGCCATACAAGTCAAGTGTGGGTGGACCGGGTCACGGCCCATTCAAATGTTGAGCGAATCTGACCCAATAGGAATAATAATCTTGCTTTTCTTAGTCGTAGGTTCTCCTCCTTTGGGAAGTGGCCTAGAGGCGCGAGCGCGCAGGCCATCCCCATGTCTCATGCTCTGGCATGACTTAGTCTAGCCTCGCAGTCCAAGCCCCCCTAGCAGAGTACTTTTGGTAGTCTTGCTAGTTAGTGTCTCCTGCAGGTTGTTTGGCAATTTCGTGCTAAAAGTGGTTTTGCCCCGTCGTGTTGAAAATACAAGATAGTATTAAGTCCGGTGTAGTCCGCGCCATCGCTACATGTCTTGGATCTCTTCTTTTCCACCGAATCTACACCGAGCAGGCAACTCGACTTGACGCTGGCAGTCAATATGCTTGACTTTTGGATATGGGCTTTGGCCATTATCCTGATAGCTGTTGTTCCCTTCGTCTACAATATTGCCTTTCACCCCCTCCGTCACTTTCCTGGGCCAACCCTCGCTGGTGGCACATCTTGGTGGCGCGCCTACGTTGAAGTATTTCAGGGCAAGAGTTTAACACATGAGTTATTTGACCTACATGAAGAATACGGTATTGCAAACTTCATATTGCGTAGACCAAGTTGGACATTAACTCGAGACAGGCGATATTGTCCGTATAGCACCAAACGAGGTATGGTTTTCCTATCAGCCGACTCGATCAACTTCTAACGCCAGAGTTAGCTTCATTTTTCAAAACCTACAGCATTTCATGAAATTTATAATTCGTCCAACAAATGGGACAAGCATGAGCATTTATACTCGACGACAGGTATCAAAAGTGGCTCTTTTTCTATCCGTGACTATGGGCAAGCCAAAGACCGTCGCGGTGTTTTGCAGCCCATGTTCTCAAAGCAGTCCATCGACAATATTGAGCGTCTCGTTTGGCAACAGGTGTGTAGAAATGGAGAAGTCATCATGGTCGGTATCGCTAACAGGTTGACAGGCGGAAAATCTAAGTGCAAACATGGCCTCTATTGACAAAGACAAGGCGTCAGTCGATCTCCTGCAGGCATTTCGCTCCTTCGCCCTGGACACGATTATGGCGTTTACCTTTGGATTCAACGTCAGCACATTGGCGTCTCATAATTTCCAGGATCCCCTCGTCATTGCCTTGAACTCGAGCCTATCGTCGATGCCATTTATGAAGCATTTTCCCAGTATTCGCAAAATCGCATACGCTATTCCTCCGTCCATTGGAATGAACATGATGCCTGGCGGCGATAAATTAGTCGCTCGCATTTATCAAGTCAGTGGTATCTTGAAAGAACAGCTGCAAAAGATTCTCATCGCTCCAGAGAAATTGGACGAGGCGCCTCACCAAACAATCTTCCACCGCCTCCTCGACAAAACCGCATATAAGACTGGCCGGCTACCGGATATAACAGAATTCATGGACGAAGGCATGACTCTTTTGACGGCAGGAGCCCACACTGTGGCAGACACGCTTGTCGTTGGTGCATGGCATCTTACGCAGCAGCCTGATCTGGTAGATGAACTACGAGAGGAGATCAAGACGGTCTGGCCCAACCTTCCAAGTGTCCCGAGTGCAAACGAGCTGAAGCAGCTACCACTATTGAGCGCCACCGTCAAGGAAATGCTTCGAATGGGTCCAATGGGTGTTTCCTTCACGCGAATCGTCCCCCAAGAAGGTGCCATCATCGCCGGAAGAGCTATTCCTGGTGGAACTGTGGTGGGAATGGGCATCAACCACGTGCATCTATCAGAGACGATATTCAAGGACGCTAAGACCTTCAACCCTAGGCGATGGATGGGCACTGATTCGTCTGGACTAGACCAGTGGTTGGTAGCGTTTAGCAAGGGGCCACGCGCATGTATCGGTGTGAACTTGGCCATGATGGAGCTCAACATTGCGACAGCCATGGTGATTCGCCGATTTACACTGAGTAATGATGGAACCACAGAGGCTGATATGGAGTGGAAGGAATGTTTTGCAGCATTTTTCCCGCGTCGTCATTTGCATGCATGGTGCAAACCAGTGTCAGAGTAAAGCCTGTGAGGGTTTCCTGACAGTACATTTCAGTACATAGCGGTTCGCCGTACGTAAAGCATTAGCAGGTATATTTTACGCACATTATTTAATTTGAACATTATTTCACGTTTTCAACACATGTCCTGTTGTACTGGTGAGCTGGTACAAGTCGTCATAATAACCCGGTTCTGGTGCTATGGAAGGTATGTCGTTGACTGAAGTCGTCGTCAGGGCCCCGATGCAACGCTGCAAACTTGTGCAGGGGTTCCGATCGATTTCTAGAAAAACGGCAACTTCCATTTTTAGTGCTGTTTTGTCGCACTTTCATGACATTTGTTTGCTGGTGTATCGAACGGAAATCTCCGTTAGCAAGGGTTGGGATGTCTGCCGCCCTCGCGTCCACCTGCACAGCGGACGAATCAGCGCGTGGTTAGACAGACTCCACCACAGCTGGTACCCAGCACCTGGTACACCATTTAATGACAGTGCAACGGCAGTGCCAGTCACGGGACCACGGAGACAGTATAATACCATGATGCAGATTTCTGTTCTAGATTTCGTCCATCACGCTTCCCTGCTTCTTTCAAATAAGGCTATAAGCTTGGCTGGGAGCCACTCTGGGGCTCATGGGGCACCTAGGATATATAGCATTGGTAGCAAGTCCAAGGCCAAGAGGTGGTCCCACGGCCAAGACAAGTCGGTCCGACGTACGACTTGCATAGCGATATACCTGGAACAATTCACTTCATGATATTGGACTAACTGGGGGAATCAGCAAGGCATGAGGCGCTAAGATGAGTTTTACCGACATTTCTCCCCGAAATATTGTCCGTAATGATTCCATAGCCTATCTCGACGTATAAGTCTGCCTCTCCACCTTGGCAATTCAGCCTCGATTATATGTAACGCCCATCCAATTGCACACGGAATCTCCTTCAAGGAAGTTGGCTATCATGGCCACAATATTGTTGACACCTCAACATGCAAACCATTTCTACGCCGTCGGCCATTGAAACGAAACGTCAAAACTCTGATAGACGCCACAGGTAGACAGCCGTGGCAGTCGCCAAGAATGCCGAGCTTAATGCCATGAACGACCCCAGAAAAAAACAAAAGATAAAAGTGCAAGAGCAAAGATGTAATCGTCATTGCGACTTCCACGCAGAAACTGCCAAGCTTCCCTCAACGAATTTTTCTCAATAACCGATCCCTTTCACTTTATCACCTGACACATTTCAGTCTTTTTTCATCGTCTGGGCGTTCAGGGGACGTCGTCTTATCTCTACTCGACTCTCGGTATCAATACATACCAATCATTTACTGTTACTTTTTCTTATAAACATCTGTATCTCTCCCTCTCTTCCCCGCGCTTTCTTATCAAACCCCATGGGCAACGGCTTGACTCGAGTTTCCACAACGTTGGTCAATGTCCTGGCATAGATAACAAACACGATATCCTCATCACTGATAACACCTTGCAAAGACCAACCAAAGATGCTCGGAAGAAAGTAAGACATTCTCTCGATGGTGTTTTAGACACCCTATTAATAGAAGTCTAGATCCATCAGGATAAACGGTGCCGAATGCGGCATTGAAGCACTCATTCTAGGCATCACCACGTCTATTGGAGGTTTCCTTTTCGGTTACGACACTGGCCAGATCTCAGCACTCCTTCTCTTCAATGACTTTACAAATAGATTTGCCCAGAATCCCAATTCGCTTGGTACAAAAGACTGGGTCCCCATCATCCAATCGCTGGTTGTATCGCTGATGAGCATTGGCTGTCTGATTGGTGCACTATCAGGTGCCTATACATCGGATTGGTGGGGACGTCGTCGCAGTCTTTGTTTTGGAGTGGCTGTTTTCATCGTTGGTAATGTCATCCAGATAACAGCCATGAACAGCTGGGTTCATATGATGATGGGCCGCTTTGTGGCAGGTCTGGGAGTTGGCAACCTTTCTATTGGTGTTCCCCTTTTCCAATCGGAATCCGCACCAAAGGAAATTCGTGGTGCAGTAGTCGCCTCATACCAGCTTATGATCACAATTGGTATTCTGGTTGCCAATCTGATCAACTATGGAGTTCGCGGCATTCAAGACTCCAGTGCATCATGGCGCATCGTCATCGGCATCGGCATCTTGTTTTCACTTCCTCTTGGTATTGGTATTATGCTTGTACCTGAAAGCCCTCGTTGGCTGGCAGGCCAGGGCAACTGGGACGGTGCACGCATGTCCATGGCAAGACTTCGTGGACTGAAGAACGATGCACACAATGCCGTAGTTGAGGACGATCTACAAGAGATGCGCGAAATACTAGAGGAAGAGCACGCTGCCGGTGCCAGCACTTGGCTTGATTGTTTTAAAGTTGATTTGCATGTCCCTAAGGTGCTATACCGCACATTGTTGGGCTTTGCCATTCACTTTTTGCAACAATGGAGTGGTGTGAACTACTTCTTTTACTACGGTGCCACTGTCTTTAGGAGTGCGGGTATAGATGACCCGATCCTGACACAACTCATTTTGGGAGCTGTGAATGTGGTTATGACCTTCTATGGACTCTACGTTGTAGAAAGGTATGGTCGACGATGGCCACTATTTCTTGGTGCAATTTGGCAAGCGGCTTGGCTTCTCGTCTTTGCAAGCGTCGGCACCGCCCTTCCTCCTGCGGAAAACAAGGCTACTGGAATTGTCATGATTGTTTGTGCGTGTATGTTTATCGCTTCGTTTGCTGGCACATGGGGGCCGATGGCCTGGGTTGTCGTCGGTGAGACATTCCCACTGCGGACTCGCGCCAAGCAAGCCTCTCTTGCCACTGCTGGCAATTGGCTTGGCAATTGTAAGTTTCGGAAGATGATGATTGATCTAAGCTAAGCTAATTTTTCGAATAGTTATGATTGGCTTTCTGACGCCACTGGCTGACTCTGGAATCTCTTATGCCTTTGGGTTCGTCTTTGTTGGGACCAACATTGCAGCTGCTGCGTTGGTGTGGTTTTTCTTGTACGAATCACGTACATTAAGCTTGGAGCATGTTGACCTCATGTATGGTCAAAAAGACCTAAATGCATGGAACAGCCATCGCTGGGTTCCTCCCGGGTATGCGAGCCGTGAGAAACGCGATGAACAACATTTTAGCTACACCAACAAGAAAGTGGGAGCAGGTAGCGACGGAATCTCTGAGGTCCGTACTGAGCATGCCTAGTGGGTGATGGTTATACGAGCGATGTTTGGAATAAAGTCGTGAGTGTAGGGATTAATTGGCAGATTGTATCTTTACGAGAATATGCTTACCGCTTATATGTTATCAACGCAAACCACTGTTGCTTACCATATTGCCTTGTATTTGTGATAGCCTTGTCAAGCATATCATAATTCAGGTATTCTATAACAAAGTTCGCATCACAGGATATTACTGGCATTTAATGCGCTGTTAAGCCAAGTCTTGTCCATTTGTACTTTGTTATCATATTCTGGCTGTACTTAACTTCACAGCACCTCATTAAATGCTACTCTACTGCAATGAAATTGCCCTTGGCCATTGCTACGAGGACCATTGTCGTTACAGTTAGATGAGCTATTACTGAGCAGTATCAATTGCATTGTATACGTGCAGCCGTGTTTATGGATGGGGTTCATATTTCATGGATAAAACAGACTGTCCATTTTCTCTGGCTGTAAAATCTACCTCCGTTTACATACTAAGGTGATATATGGCGCTCGTATCTGGAGATCGCAAACTTTCGCGGGTGATCCTGCTAGCGGCATGGCCGTACTCGGCGCAACAAAAAACGGTTCCGCTTATTTCCTTTTTAGCTGTAGCATCTGACTATATTTGGAGAATTACCATGGGCGCTTACCTAGATTTTGACGTCACTGGTTGGGGTTCGGCAGTGCACAGCCAGGCTGGGTTGCATCGCAGCCTGATCCGGATCTGATAGCACGTTCGTATCTGCAAAAGAAACCTTCCCTAGGATGCCTGCATTTCGTATTTACACCTCGCCTACCGAAAGAGAATTGCCGGCGTTGTACGCGCCAGCGTCTCACAATGATGCTTCGGGGTCTCGTCACCATGTCCATGGACTTGGTCTGTCGGCACCAATTGTCTATATAAGACGGCTTCTACCCCCATACCCTTCCTTCTTTTCTTCATCAGCAGCCCTGAAACCACTCAAACAATCACAATCAACCCTTTCTACTTACATCATGAAGCTCTTCGCTCCCGCTATCGCCACGCTTGCTGGTGTTGCCCTCGGCGACTTGTCCGCTCCCTTCCGCATCGTCGTTGATGCTGGTTCCTCTTCATGGGATAAGGCCGAAGTTGGTGCCTGCCACTATGGCGCTGGCTTTAACGCTATGTGTGTGTACCAGGATGAGAAGGGTGGCAAGGGAAGCGTCTTCACTTTCAACTACACGACCAACGGGCAAGCTCCTAGTGGCTGGACTCCTGAGGGCGTTGTTACCTATGAGACGAGCATTTGTAAGTTGCTTGAATGACGCCTATCCGGCAACTGCTAACATTATCATAGCTACTCCCCACGGTCCTCTGAACCAGACCCTTGTATTGGAGGGTACTTTGCTTACCAACATGGCTGCTGGTGTACTTTCTCCTGCTGAGAACGAATTCACCAGGGTCGGCTTCAGCGACAGCACCCAAGAGATTGCTCTCTACGACCGCAGCGTTGATGGTCAGACTTTGACTCCTATTAAGAGATGGTACATTTGCAACTTCCGCAGTGGTTGGTACCAGTACAACTACCTTACCTGGATCGTCGGTGCTGGTCAGCCTGATGAGCACAACTGCGTTCCTGCTCAGCCCAAGCGTGTTTTTGTTTAGATGGACGTCCTATAAACATTACACGAGTATCCATGAATATAACAAGAGCTCTATACTTTCTAAATAGTATATATTAGACTAGATTAGATGAATTTCAATAAGATAACTATGAAACAGAGCTGCGTACTCCTTCAGGAGTACTATTGATGTTTCAAAGCAGATACATAATTGCTACAGATGTAGTAACGGGCGATCTTGGGAGTCAGCCTTTCTCTTAACAGAGTGTAGAGCTCAAGTTAATCTCGGGAGACTGGACAGGTTCCTAGGTCTCGTTTCACGGGAGCATTCTCAATGGAAATATCAAAGTCGAAAATATCCATTGGTAAGCCGAGCGTAGTGCACACATTTGGAATGTCGACGATACCCGCGATTGCTCCTTTAATAGGGGCGCACGACAGAAGCAGGTAGATTTGTTCACCAGAGTAGCCTATTTCACCACAGTTAATAATAAGAACAACAGAATAAACGCAAGAGAAAACATGATAAAAGGCCACACTTACCAAACTGCTTCAAATATTCAATTGCTCTTAGACACGCCTGGCGGTATGCGACGGTCGCATCCATAAAGTGTTGTTTGCCCCATTCGTCCACGGAGAAGCCTTCAAAGGTCAAATATCGCGACGGTCCGAATAGTTGAGCGACATCACCAGGTCTGAAAACGGGGCTCTTTAGTCCTCGTGTCTTCATGCCGTCCTTGATGAGATCAAACTTGATGGTGATGATTCCAGCCTATTGGAAACTGTGTAAGTGAAAAGGTCTTGCTTGGTATTGAAAGCGCATCAGACTTACCATCTCAATTGCGCCGCAGAAGCTAATCTCGCCATCACCTTGGCTAAAGTGTAAATCACCAACAGAAAACTTGGCACCTCCCACATGGACCGGCAGATACGTAGTTGAGCCTCGTGAGATGTTGTTGATGTCGACATTGCCGCCGTGCTCCGGACGACCGGGGATGGTTCGCGCTCCTTCACGCGCAATCTTTGCCCTGAGTTCATCACCTTCTGCTTGGCCTGTATGTGCGTTAATCTCATTGGGAGGCTGCGCAACGATTTTATTTGGGTGGGAAGTAGTGCAGGTAGAAATGAGATCCGCCTCGCGAGTGTTCCATTCGGCGAGTACTTCTGCTGATGGTGCACAGCCAAGAATACCGGGATGAATCAATCCTGCAAAGCGGACACCTGGGATATGGCGACTGGTACAATAGATGCCGTCAAAATCCCAAATCGCCTTGGAGGCATGGGGGTAGTGCTCCTCAAGAAAGCCACCACCATTCTTGCTAGAGAAGATGCCGGTAAAGCCCCATGGGGAGTGGTCGAAAGGCTGGACATCGGTGATGTTGACAACGAGAAGATCTCCAGGCTCTGCTCCTTCAATGTCAAATGGGCCCGTCAGGTAGTGGATTTTGGTGAGATCGACGTCTCGAACATCATCGGCGCTGTCATTGTTTCCGATTTGCCCACCAGTCCAGTCTAGGCATTCGATTTTGACGGTTTCTCCGGGTTTGATTGAAGATATGGATGGGACTTAAATGCAAAAAAGGCCTAATTAGTTTTTTCTTCTTTTGCAAATGGGGTCGTGGTTTATTCGGCTTACTCTCAGGATGCCAGCGATTGTGTAGGCCTGGCTGGTCAGCGGCAGGGACATCAAAAGAAACAGTTTGAGCGGTGCGAATCTTTCCAGGCATATTGACTATAGTAGAATATTTCAGATTTACAAAAGATTAATGGTTTGGTTGCGTGATCTGAGCTAAGACGAGGAGACGTATGGAGTCAACGGTCACTAGCGTACGATGAAAGCCAACATCCGCTTTAAATAGAACGTTATCGGAATCTCGCTACCCCTCAATTTGCTATCAAGCTGTGACCCCCGCGTCACAAATCCGCCGGCAGTTCTTCTCTCGGGGCGGGATCGGTGTTTGTTGTTTGCAGAGTGCGGGGAAGCGAGCAGGCCAAGCATTAGGCTGGGGGATTAGCTCGGGCTGGAGGGTGGCTGTATAGGCGCTTCCGTCAACAGTTGATTGGTTACAAACATAACGAGTACGGTAAGTCGTTGCACGATTCAATGGAGGGGTTTGCATACTCCTGGCTGGGTATGTTGCTAAATTGACAAATCGCTAAATGGGATATATATACAGCAGACGCGGCAAACGAGTAACTATCTATCTATAAACAGGAAAAATTAAGCAAGACTGTATGAGTCCGTAAATGAATGATATTTGGTACCGCTTTATTCAAGTTGGCATCCTCTCCGCTTACGTCGAAACCTATTCCTTACTGCTTGCGAACAGGAGCAGGGCAGCCGACAACACCGCCCTTGAAGCCAGAGACAAGCTCAGTCTGAGAGTGTGTAGGCAAGTCGAATTCGCTAGTCGCGGGAGTGACTCGGCTTTGTTCCAAGTCAACCTTCAGACTGGGGACCTTGTCGCTGCTGATGGTAGTTCCATCAACCCTGGAAATGACGACCTTCAGGTTAGCCTTGACCTTGGCCAGGATCTCGTCGACGGAAATGCCACGGTTGAGACCGGAAGTTCGGATGGCGTGATCCAGGGGGAAGCCATCGTGAAGAATACCTTCAGATGGCTGCTTCATGATGACCATGCTGCCGGCAGATCTTCCACCAACGAAAATGCCAATAGCGCAGGGTCTCTCAGGAAGCTGCGTGACGTCGATGCTAATGTTGGCAAAGAAACGGACAGTATCTTGGTCGACGGTGGGAGTATTATTGTCATTGGAAGGAGGTGTGTTGTCGTCGGTGGAAGAAGGAGTCTTGGTATCGACAGGAGATGGTGTGTTGTCAACCGAAGAAGGTGTCTTGCTAACAGAAGAAGGCGTGTTGCTAACAGAAGATGGTGCCTTGCTATCAACAGATGAGGGGCTGGCAGTGGCGGCAGAGCTGGTTCCCTTGGCCGAAGATGGAATCTTAGTAGTCGAAGAGGGAGTCTTGGTGGCCGAAGGAGTGGCAGTGGGCTTCTTGGAGTTTTGAGACTTGGGGCCGTAGAGGTTGTTGATGATCTGAGCAGTGTCGCGCTTCATGTCTTCGGTTGACTTCTTCCAGTACTCGAGACCTTCGTAGGTGTATCCGAAGGTGCGGATAGAGTCGACCGACTTGGAGGTATGCCATGAGCCGTCAGGTTGCATAAAGGGCTGAAGCGGAGAGTTGACGGAAATTATGCTTCCACCAGGAGAGGAGAAACGGGGGAGACCGGCGTACTGGTAGTCAAAGGTGGTTGAGTCGGGTCGGAGAGCTTGCCAGTAAGCCCAGAGTCTGTCGACGTTGGCGTGGTGCAGCATGCTATTTGAAGGTGCATTGGTTAGTTAACAAGGATATTTTGTAGCGTGGGCCTGAACTTACAAGAGAGGCTCGAAGGCGGAGTACTCGGCGTTCAAGAATTGGCCACCACATCCAGCATCCCAGTGAACGGAGTTGTGGATAGACTCAAGACTCATGCCAGAGCTAGAGGTAGTGGCAAACTCGTTGAAGTTACTGGATCGGGTAAAGATGTCGTACTATAAAAGAAATTAGACACGTTTCGTTACCGATAGTAGAATGAAAACTTACAGTCCACTCCTTGTATGGGCGGCTGGCAATGTTGCGGCTCGCACTGAATGGGTAGCTGTTGGGCGCAGGGCATCGAATAGGGAGATCCAGTCTTGTGCGGTCAAACAGGCCATAGACACCATCAAGGGCTTTCTTGGGGTAGCTGAAGGCGTACAGAGGGTTGTTAACCTTGGTCTGGGCGACACTACCGCTAGAAGCCTTGTTGATGGTCACCATCTGGGGAACGGTAGCCTGGGGCACATGAGGTTCCAGAGACCAGTCCCAGTATGGGACACGGAGCTGGTCTGCGGCCTGGACGTACGTATCCCTCTGCTCAGCGGGGTATCCTTGAGCAAGACGCTTGGCATGGCTGACGAGGGTTTGCTAGAAGCGCAATCGTTAGCGTTGTTTGTCAGACGCTGAGAGGATAGAAATCATCTTACCTCGAAGAGCGCAACAAAGGGGCGGTGCCAAGTGAGGAAGAGAGGTTCCTGTAATCACATGTTAGATAGGTTATAACAAGAATTGCGCAGCGCATACTCCGTGAGTGCTGTAGCCTCCCCAGCCGTTGGTTGTTGAGCGTCCGGTGTTGTTCCATTCGACAAAGGGTCTTCCGTGAATACCTGGAATAGACGTATTAGTGCCTGGATAGTCTTTCCTTTTGTTCTAGAAAGAAATAGGGTATTATTTATATACTTACCAGCAATCTGGAATTGAGACAGCGGGTCAGAAGAGTCGGCATCGTACATTTCCTGCAGAGACTGGATGTAGAGATCCCTATATTGGGCAGATGTGTTAGCGTATAACCCACTTACACAATAAAATTGCTTATTGCTTACCACTGAGGACCGGCTTCCTCCTGAAGCTGGGTAATACTTCTTCTCACAGGCACAGAGCCATCAGAAGAGGCGGGAGCGCCAGTAACCTTGATATGGTCGGAGAGGACGCCTTGAACGGCGCCCAAAAGAAGGAATGCGGTAGTGCTGAAGCTGAGCTGCATGATGAACGAATGTAATCGGACAGACGGTCCGGGGAAAAAAATAACAGCTTAAGACAGGATGATGGCCAAAAGGAACACAAAGAGCAATCACCACGGTGGGTGGCGCCAGTGCCAGGCATATATACACCTGGCCTAATCTATAGGTCGGTTATACTTTTAGTAACAAGCATCATGATCCCTGGTAGCCGCCCGCTGGATTCCCGGAGCTGTGGTGGTGAGCATGGGCCTGCACCCATGGCCGCGCTAATTTCCGCCACCGCACAATATTGGTGGTCTAAGCCTAAAATAGGCCTTTTGAAACGGGCGGCGTTCTCCCGCTACAGCGGTTTGCCGTTTTACATAGAACACTGAGCCTCACCAATCCCAATTTCCTGGGGGAGAAGTACAAAAGCACAGCCCAAACCCCCCTTGTTCCTGCAGCGGTAACCGAACATTACGGTAGTTAGTTGCCTGCTGCCTGCTGCCTGCAGTATTTTTGTGTTTTTTACGGCTCCTGACGCTGGTTCCCGTATCCCAATGCAGTCGAAATAACAGTAGGATTTTTTGCTGCGCGTGATTATAAGGGGCGGTTAACTATTGGCTGTCGCTGTTTGAAGGATGTGGCTGTACTCCGGCTTTGGCGCTGGTCTAAGATTGGCCGGGGAGCGCCACAGTCTGTTCTTTGGTCCTTAATGGAGGATGGCTTGCAGAAAAGGTTCGCTGGCTTGACGCCGCCCATTTCGCGTACCGCATCGACGCTCTATTCGATCAGGAGAAATTGCGAACCCCCATCGCGAAGCCGAGCCACCACAGCGGCATCGACAAGCCCAGGTCGCGTGAGTGAGTACCCTGGTGACTTTAGGAGCAAAGGTTCCTGGTCGTTGATGGAGGATTCCGCCCAGGGGCAAGGCAATAGTCTCTTGGAGCGATAGAGATCCTGGGTTCTGTCCACGAGTTTGACAACTTTGTATTTCCGGCTATCCCTTCACCCCCTGGACAAACACGGCGCAGACGGATCCTTCCGATCAGTAATACCTGGTCCATGAAGTAGCGAAGGCGATTACGGGACTCGCCAGGTTGGCTATTGAGAGGCGATGTGTCTGCGCCAATTAGCTTGTCCCTTCCCATGTGCGTAGATTTGCTGCCACTTCTCCTACCCTGTAGCATCTGTCCGTGTCGAACTGAGGCTGTGGGAAGTGATGCTGTGGTGTTGTAGAAAGTCAAAAAGAAAATATGCATAATTTTCACTTTAAAAAGGCTTTTTTGCATGAAGTATTATCGTTTTAGATACTAAAATGTAATGCGTTCTTGTATTTTATGTGCACGTTCACCTGGCATAGAATGTTCTCTGCAGGTCATCAGTGCTGCACCCAATAAACAAAACCTTTTCAACGGTTCTATAAAGACTAACAAGAGAAAGCTATATAAATCATGCCTCGCATTATTTCCTATAATGAGCAATTGCTGTTTATGCACTCTTGATAAGCCACCTCCACGCCTTCGCCTGCTACTGTTAAGTCATCTCCCCGCATATAGCTCTATGAAACGGTGAATATAGGTTGGCAAAATCTTCATCAAGATATTTTAACGTTAAAATTTACCAAGAAAAAAACTGTTCATTGCTTGATAAAGACGGTAATAAGATACAACTAGATACAGAACCCCAACCCAGCCCACATCAGCGGTATCCGTAAAGTGAGATGCCGGGGATCCGTGCACCGCCAAGGCTACATAGCATATTGTTAGCGACTAAATGCATTGTTTAACGAACAATTCCACTATATAATATTTATATTTTCAATTGGCCCGGGATGATTGTACAAGTTTCCAAGTCACGTGTATTGCCAACCGGGTGCGCCACTTAGCTGACTAGCCGAACTACCGGAGCGAAAGCCGGTTTCCAGTCAAGCCATCATCACCACTTCTACACAAAACAAATCATCAATTGCAATTGGCTCCTGCTGAATTGCGATTATTTTTGATATAAAATGGCTATTTCTAAGCTCGCCCTCTTCGCCGCTGGCGTTTCTGCAATTGCAATCTCTCCCCATGCTGCCCAACGTCCCCTCTCAACACCAGCAATTGGTGCTTTTGGAGGGGACTTTACTTGCGATCTCGCCCCGGTGCTTGAACCCAAGGGCGATGGTGTAAGATCCGCCAAGGACTTGTTTACATCCAAGAAGGCGCTGGAGACACAGGTCCGCAGACACCAGGCCATCGTTCGTGTGCCGTCCATCTCATACGACGATTTTGGAGACTTTGACAAGGACGCCCGATGGAAGCCCTTTGATGAGCTTCACAAAGTCATCCGTGACACTTATCCCATTGTGTAAGTTTCTAAAGTTATTAATCGCCCTATACAGCAACAATTGGACATCAAGCTAACCCTGCTGCTGCTGCTCTCTAGTCACAAGAAGGCCAAGCTGGAAATCGTAAACAAGTACGGCCTCCTCTACACCGTTGAGGGCACCGATTCGTCTCTCAAGCCAAACCTGATGCTAGCCCATCAAGATGTCGTCCCTGTTGCCGATGAATCTACTTGGACTCATCCTCCCTTTGAAGCCCATTTTGACGGAGAGTGGCTTTGGGGCCGTGGTTCCAGTGACGATAAGAACTCGCTCACAGGTCTCATGTCGGCGCTGGAAGAGCTATTAGCGCAGGATTCTTGGAAGCCCCGCCGCACTCTCATATTTGCTTTTGGCTTTGACGAGGAATGCAGCGGTCCCCGTGGTGCGGGCGAGCTCTCCAAGGTACTGCACAAGCGCTATGGCGATGATGGTATCGCTACCATTCTCGACGAAGGCGGCCTGGGCATGAACAGAGTTGGAAACACCCTTTTTGCTCTGCCTGCTGTCATGGAAAAAGGACACATCGATATCTGGTTTCAGCTCAACGTCCTTGGTGGTCACAGCTCCGTACCTTTCCCCCATACTGGCATTGGCATCATCTCGGAGATTGTCACCAAGCTTGAAGCCAACCCGTATCCAGCTCTGCTGACCAAGGATGTCCCGTCGTACGCACACATGGTTTGTAACGCTCGCTATGCGCCCAATGACCAATCTGAAGTCGCAAAGATGGTCCGTGATGACGACCTTGAGGGTCTGGCTGAGTATCTCGTTGACTACTCTCCTCTTTCTCATTTTGCTATTCAGACATCGCAGTCTGTCGACATGATTCAAGGCGGACAGAAGATCAATGCCATGCCGGAATCCATTTCTCTTGGTGTCAACTACCGCGTTGCTGCTCAAAACAGCATCCTTGAAGTGCAGAAGAACGTCGTCAAGTACATTCAAGACGTCGTGAACAAGTATCACCTCAAGGTGACCGCCTTCGAAGATGACAAGGACTACCAGAACAGCTTGGCGTCCAGCGATGCCACTCCTAAGACTAAGGAGGCCGTTGACTACAAGGGCTCGCTTAGCATTACCGCTCGCGAAATCACTCAAGTTTCCCACATCACTCCGTCCACCGGCCCAGTTTGGGATGTTCTCTCTGGCACGCTACAGCACACGTTCGCTTTCAAAGGCGGCAATGTTGTCACTGCCCCCGAATGCATGACTGGCAATACCGACACCCGCCACTACACTAGTAAGCACTATTCTCTGTTACATTGACTATGAAGAGCAGATTATCTAACCATTTGAATAGAGCTGACGGAGCACATCTTCCGCTTCAACCCCAACAAAGTCAATGCCTCTGAAAACATTCACACCATTGATGAACGCATCCGCATGGACGACCACATGGATCTGGTTCGTTTCTACTACGACTACATTCGTAACCTCGACGCCGCGAACCTGTAAGAAGAAACTAGTTGATAACTAACTTGATGGAATATGACATGACAGACAACGTACATACTATCCTATTTATATACAAATTCTTGCAAAACACCTCATGATGATCGGGTCTGCAAAGACCATAAATGTGCATATCTTCCACCCTTGTCAACCAATTCTTGATGGGTGCCTCTCTCAATAATCTCGCCTTTATCAAGGACCAGGATCACGTCACAGCCAACGACAGTAGACAGCCTGTGCGCAACAGTCACGACAGTGCGTCCCTTACTCAGCTCCTTAATAGCTTCTTGGACGCTTGTTTCAGTGTCAGAGTCCACTGAGCTTGTTGCTTCATCCAAGATTACAATACTTGGCTGACGCAGCAGAACACGCGCAATGGCAAGGCGTTGTAGCTCGCCGCCACTGAGCCGCACGCCACGCTCTCCAATCTTGGAGTTGTACTTTTTCGAGAATTTCATAATCTGGTCGTGGATACGCGCTGCTTTGCATGCCGCATAGACCTGTTCGTCAGTGCATCCTTCCTTGGCGTACTTGAGGTTCTGCATAATGCTGAAATCGAAGACGGAGGGATCTTGGGGAACAATACCAAGTTCATTTCGGAGACTCGATATAGTGACGTCGCGCACATCTTGACCATCGATCATGATGTTGCCTGAAGTGACGTCGTAAAACCGCCAGAGGAGCTTCAGGATCGTAGACTTGCCACTGCCAGTTTCCCCTACTAGAGCAATTGACTGTCCAGTTTCGGCCGTGAAGGAAACATTGCGAAGGACGCAGCGATCTTCATTATAACTGAAAGACACATCTCTGAATTCGATGGTTGAGCCAGAAATCTGCAATTCTTTGGCGTCGGTCTTGTCGTCCACTGAGGGTTTGGTGTGCAAAAGCTGATACAACCATTCGGCGGAGATCAGGCTGCCCGATGCCCACGAGAACATGCGTACAATCGACATTAATGGTCGAGTGATAGACTCCCAGTATGAAGTTAGGAAAATGACATCGCTAACTGTACCAGATGCATCGGCTGTGCGGCATGCAGCAAGATAGATGGCCACAAGATAGCCCACATCCAAGATGATGCGCTGGAAGCCGTCGCAAATCATTGACATATCATATGAAAAGCAGCGGAGGCTGATTCCTTTCTCCATCATGGCAGCGTAACGGTCCGCCTCATATGAGCCTCTGTTGTGGATGGCAACCGTGTACCAATTGCTCACGGTATCAAACAAGCTCGTGGATTCCTCCTCGTAGCTTTTGTTTGTCTCTTCGTGGTGCTTCTCCATCATGTCGCTGGTTTTCTTGGAGACGTAGGCATTAAGTATGGTGACGATGACAATAGTGTATCCAACTTCCACGCCAATAGTGTTTGTGAGTACAAACATGCTCACGACAAAGTCGATGCAGACAGGGACAATGGTAACAAAGCTGTCATAGAGATAGGAAACGTCAGAACCCTGCTCAATGGCTCGAATGACCTTACCAGTGCTTTTGGAAGTGTGATAGTCCATGGAAAGACCCATGACGTGCGAAAATGCAACAATGTTTAGACGCATCCCACCCTGCTGCGATAATCGGTTCGAAGCCATGTCGCGAACAAGCTCAATGGCGTTGCCCACAATAAACTTTAGCAAAATGTACATTACGAGCTGTTGGATGGGAAGGGTACCTGCATAATTGTCAGCTTTTGGCACTCGCGCTTTGAGGATAACGAACCAGTGCCGTGCAACTTTGTGAGCGCTTCGGTAAAGTTACCGAGTTGGCGAGGAACGACTACAGCCGCAGCACGGTTGTAGAGCGTGCAAAGACCATATGCAATAAACCACCATCTCATGCGCCCTTGGTAAGGGACAATGTATGGAATGAAGGTCGTCAGAGTCTTCAAATAGTTGATCCAGCCGCCTACTTTTGCTACCCGCTCTTGCTGCATCTGTCTTCCAATCTTCTCTTCATCTTCATCATCGTCATCGTCACCCGCATCCTCGGTCCCACCTAAGGACTTCTCATCCAAATCAGTGCCATCAGTGGTCTCAGAAGAAGACTCATTGCTTTCGTCGTCAATAGTCTCTGTGGGCGAGACTGTCTTCGTGGCATCTGTTGTGGCGGAATCGTTGTTGTGACTTTGGAAGTTTGCAAACGAGTAAAGAGCAGCTACCAGCAGTGAAATACCTCGAATCAGAATCCAGACCTGCTGCGCGACTAGCAGATGACTGCGACGCTGCAGTAGAAATCCTAGGCTGACGACAGCTGTTGAGCACCATGCGGTTAAGAATGCAGCAGGATGGGGATTTTCTTGCTCCAAGAACCAGATGCTCAGAAGAAGCCAAATCAATACGGAGCTCGGTCCAGCTGTCTACGAGGCTGTAAGTACGACATCTTAACACACTCTAGAAATCTGGCAACATACCGATGTGTAGATGTCGCCATGGGTGCGTGACAGCCAGTGAACCAGCACCAGGTCGAAAAGCTAGTCGCTGTTAGTACTAGTCTGCTGGCTCTATGTACAACTTGACTTGCATAGGAAGCTGTCAGAACGGGCATAACCCAATCGACTCGCTTTTTAGCATGAGGACTGAGGCGCCAGTCACGCTCTATCGCAAGAGTTTTTGGTAGGACACTCGCAGTTGCAACACACACAAACGCCAGAACCGGGCTATAAGTCGACATTTGACCAGCGTCAACAGCGAGACGAAGAGACATTTTTTTAATATTGTGAAAAAACAAGCACAAGAAAAATGCGGGTGCTCTTTCGCTGGACAAACTGAGCCGGGCTGCCAACAGCTTATATAGGGCTGATACAACTACACGATAAGCTACAAGGCTACCGGCACGCACCCGAATAGTGGCGCAGGGACAACCAGATGCGAACCAGGCTACTAGGCTGCCATCAATAGGGAGCGCCTTTGCTGTGACTCTTACGGAGCCTAAAAGGCGCTGAGATCAGCGTTGTAACGCTGTCGTAGGGGCAGTGCCCTCGTCTAACTGACGATGTTTGCTTGCGCGCCTTGCCCGTTAATTAACAAACAGGTCTCGGCGAATTACCGTAACAAGTTAATAGCCCTCCACTTTTCAGCTCTTTTGGCATAGAAAGTACAGTGACTCGTTTCATTTGCCGTGAACTGTAAAAACACCGTGCAAGGGTTCATGTGCCGCTACTGCACACTGGAGAGAAGCACATGCGGTGCACTGCCACGCTGTTAATTGTAAAAAAGGGGCTGGAGCCTAAAATTTTCAAGAGAGCATTTTGTGAAAAAAAAGAAATACAGAAGCCTAAAACACGATTACGGTGACCAGTTTCGGAGCCTTGGGGCGGTGTACGTGACTCACAAGGCGTCGTTGTAACATGTAGTACGCACAAAGGCGTATAAAGAAAAATTAGCGGCTCCATTGTAACAATCTCAGACTCGCTGGCGCAACGGTAGCGCGTCAGATTCCAGTTTACATGGGATTTCCTGAAGGTTAAGGGTTCAAATCCCTTGTGGGTCAGATTTTTTGCACTTTGCAGCTAACAACAGCCTTCGTTGTATTTTTTATTTTTGTTCGGGCTACAAAGAAAAAGAAGAGGATTATCTTTTTGATATACTTGAATTGTATGCCATTTCAATGATAAATAAAGATGTATTAAATTGATACAGTATACGCCAATCCATGCAAATAATGCCCCAAACGCCGTGTGATGCAAAATATGATACCAGTCTGCGCGGTTTATAGCGCGACTGGCGAAAGAAAAGAATATTAAAATGAAAAGAGGCCACTGCGTCTCTTGCCGAGAGGATACACAATCAAAGCACTCATAAACAGGCCGACACTAATACCGATGGCAACTTGGATGACACTGAACAAGACACTAAAAGCAGTGCCATCAAGACCACTGCCTAGGGCCGCGTCCACGGCAGGCCGGGTAGCATTTCCAGTAATTTGATTAGCTGTAGTGACTCCAGCCAAGAGTGAACCGCCAACCGCAAGACCAGAGGGAACTTGGACGAAGATGGCGGGCAACATAGCCGCGGCAGCGAGGCTGTATCCGACATTGCGGCGTCTCTTGGATGCCGAATCCATGGACTCAGGGCGAGGTGATTCAGGGTCAACAATGGTTGGGATAGACCAAGTATTGTGTTGATGGCGTTTTGAGGAGGATGTAAATCTGTTGGTGACGTTGGTCTTCCACCAGTCGACAATGGCGAAGCGGATGTTTTCGAGATGCCGACCCAGTCGCGAATACAGATTAGCCAGAATACCAATTGTTAGGGCGCCGAGCATGTTTGAGATTTGCGTATTCCCTTCAAAATAGGTGCTGCAGTAGCTATTGACAGACCATCCTGCAACAGACATGATGAGCATGACGGGGAGCTGGGACCATTTTGCCTGGTTGATAATAGACAAACACAGGGTAAAGACGAGGACAGAAGGGAAGTACCAGCCTCTGTTTAGAGGTGCCGAGCAGTGTGTGGCACTCGTGGCATTCTTGTCCATCATACCATAGAGGGATGCACCAATGGTGATGCCGTAGCCGAGGAAGAGGGTATAAATCATGGCGTGCACCATGCGAACGCTACCGGCTACCAGATTGTGGCTTTGAAGCTCCAGAGAGCTACAGAGAACCATATAACCGGGCAAAATCAAGGCAATGCTGCTTTGAGCGAGGGCACTGAAGCAAAAGAGCTTGCCGTCGTTGATGGAGCCGAAACCTCGAGCGATAAAGGTCGTAATAATGGATGCTGTGACCTCGAAGACATGTGCATATAGCTCATTGCTGGGTGCAAACACCAACTGCAGCATGCCAACAATACAGCCGAGTAGAAATGCTATCGGTAGATCAATGACACGACCCTCGAAAGCAAAAGGTGCAACAGAAGCGGATGCAATGCCGTACAAGAAGACACGGAACCAAACTGAGAACTTGGGCGATCGTTGCATCACCTCATCTAGCTGGTCTGTAGCAAAGTCAACACCGACTTTGTCATGTAGGACGTCCTTGTAGATGTTGTGCACATCTCGAAGCTTTCCTAGGTCGATGCCTTGGGGCACACGCACAATCTTGACCTCGGTAGTGTGAGTGGAACTATCATCGAAGCTGATGAGCATGCAGGAAGGGATGTATAGAAATTGGCCTTCAATTTCCAGTACACGCGCCGACATGGCCATGTACTCTTCCAGCCGATGAGTGGGTGCGCCATACATCATGAGCGCACGGCATAGCTTGATGAGGTATCTGTGGCGTGAGATGATGTCCGCAATATGGACCGTAATTCGGATTCGCTCCTTTTTGGTCTTGGTAGGCAGCTTCTCGCGTCGAAGCGAGTCATTAAGCTGATCGGACACACCCCGAGAGCCAGGTGCTGCAAACATGGAAGACGATTTCAAGAGCTCTGTCAGAGCAAGAGACGAGGTTGAAGTTTGCGACTTGTGGTAGTTGAAGAGACTGCTTGCACGGCCTGATTTGCCCCCGGTAGCTGAGCCACGTCGCGAGCGTGGAGGTGATGAGCGAGGAGAGAGAAGGGGAGTAGCTGGTGCTGAAGGCGTGTTTGTTCCGCTGGGAGTGGCACTACTAGGATGCCGTCTATCATCGTTGTACAGCTTAAGCAAAGACGCCAAGATGCCACCTCGGTATTTTGCTGGCCGAGGGATGTAGTCTTGTTCTTCGATAATAGGAGTGCTGGTGCCAGAGTTGAAGCTGCGAGATCTGTGATGCTGGCGGTGGAATAGCTCTGGAGGCCCCGACTTATCGAGATGTGCCTGCACTAATGCTTCTGCCGTTGAGCCAAAGTAACCGTTTGATGCTTGATAAGGACTAAGACCTGCTTGCGGGCCTCGGTGTCTCAGATTCGGGTGTGCAGTGTCCTGGGGCGGGCTGATATCGCCATTTTGGAAAGAAGTGCTGCGATAATCTGGAACATGCATCAGTGGCTGGAATGAGGTCGGCATTTCGTCAGAGTTGCGGCGCGAGGTCGGTGCAGATTGACTGCTGCCTATCGACTGTGCTAGACGGTGAGCACGCTGCTGGGCGTCGGTAAGGGACTGTTGTTGTCTCTGAGAAGTATTCTTTTCTGCTTGATCGGCTGTTTCTCGCTCCGATGGTCTGTCGTAGCTGGTGTTGCTTCGAAGGACTGGTCGTCGGGGTCGAGCAGCAACGGGCGGCTCTTGAAGGAGAGTTGGTGGTGCTTCATTTTGGTGCTGTGTGTCATTGTGTTGGTCGTCTTCTTCAGATAAGATTCTAGAAAGTGCAAGGCTGAGCTCTAGTGCATCCGGGGCCCCGGGGGGAGCTTCTTGATGGCGATGGTGATCTGTGAGCTGTGTTTGAGTTGTGGGTAATGCTGGTCCCAAGAATGGCGAGACAGGCACATCGGTAGATACTGCCGAAGACGAATCCACCAAGGCATCTACTGCCGCTGTTTCATGGGTGATAGTAGTAGTAACAGTAGCATCATCAGACCGCCCTCCTGCGCTATCACTGCTTGCATGCCAGCCAACTCGCTTCTTGCCCTTCCGGGGCGATAGCATCTCATCTCCTCCAGCGAGGGCGGTTGGGGGTTGTTCTACAGGGTTTTGGCGTATCGACATGGGGGTCAAAGTTGTCGAAGATAGTAGTGTTCCAAGCCTTGTCTCAGAAACAAGAGTGCTCTATGGAGAGCTTGACAGAGGCAAGATAGAGTCCATACCAGCGGACGAGTGACGGCGGAGACGAGGACATTTTGAATGGCGGCCGCGGGCAGTGGAGAAAATGAAGAAGACCGGGCCGAAAAAAGAGAAAATTAAAAAAGAGAAAAATCCATTATTGCCCGATTTGCGTCTAGTTCCGCGCGGGAGGCACTGGCGATTAGTATGGAGAACTGAAGGAATACGGGTTTCATAGAGCGATGGGTGGTGTGTAGAGATGAAAAGAAACTGGGGGCGGCGAGAAGTGGATTTAGGGTCGGCCAAGAATAAAAAAGGATTGGACATGTACAAGATCTTTATTATGGATGTGTTTTTTTTTAAAAATTATATTTTTATTTCTTTGTATAATCCATTCAATATAATATCACATCTAATATTACTATTAATTTTAAAAAAAAATCAATTTTATTTCTTCTCGTCTACTACAAACCACAAAACTCACTCTCTTTTTACAGCGCCGTACAACTCCATCATCCATACACACCAAGGCGTTATCAGCATTGTTAAAACCGGGTCTCTGGATTTAGTGCTGCCCAGTAAAATATTGAACGAAGGGGGAATTTTTCACAGAAAAGCCTAAAAAAGTCTTTCTAGCGGAGAGCTCTGCGCTATCAGCAGCCCGCCACAGCGTCCGCCCACTGAAGCCTCGCCGGTCGGTCAGAACGCCGCCACCGACTGATACTGTACAAAAGTTATTTTTAATTTGCTGCTCCAGTGGTTGTTTAGCCTGGCGCCACGCGTTCTATCGCTACAATGGACGGCGCCTCTCAACGGGAAATTTATTGGAGCATTGTTTGATAGGTGATAGGTGCTGGCTGTGGCAAAACAGAAGCCGTCACAGAAGCTGCGCACCCGGAAGACCCTATCACAACTCACCACTCTCATGGATGTGATACGATAGTCGTCGCATGAACCCACGGCTAATTATCCGCATTAAAGCGGACAAGCCGGAGCCCCTATGGCGCCAGGTTCCCGGGAATAGCTGTGATCTTCACCGGTACTACATCATATCTGCCGTGGGCTCCGTATAGATTGCAACGGCCGCCCGGGATTTACACCACGCAGCCAAGTATGCATGAGCCAATCGATGATGATTAGTTTTGCCATGTGCGGCACGTTTTCCGGGCCCTGCTTTAGCGCTTGTTTTTTTCGTTTGTTCCCGAAAGCATGTGCCAAACAGCGACAGCGGATCGGCAACGCTGGGTTGATGTTGTCTGTCGTAGTCCATGCGTCACCAGCGACCACAAAGCTGCTTTTTCTATAGGCCAGCTAATACGAATAGCTTTATTCTAACATTTTGTAATTTGCAATAATTTACTGCATTTCTCTTCTTCGCATTTCTGGCAACAGTGGCTGGGTAACCATCGTTTGGCTAGACTGTCAAGGGCTTTCGCACGGAAACACCAAGCAAGTCATCATTCTCTTCATTCAACATGGTTTGTATAGTAATTCTACCTTCAATAGCTATGTTTCAACGCTTATTTTCACCATTGGGAATATCCTCTTAACCGTTTCCCTCAAGTGTTGTACCCCGCAAAACGGGCAGCCTCGTCACAAGGATATTCCAAGCCACGCAATAGATCAGCGCGCACCCATAGCCTTATTACTGTTGCTCATTGTTACTAGTAAGACGTTTGTTGGTCGCGCGCCCAAGATCAAACTCAAACCTGTTCATCCTATTATCGGCGTCGCACCTTCACCTATTCATCTATCGCACTACTATCCGTCTCTCACTTCAAGCACCCTGCACACAACTCTATACTTTCCTACCACGTCCAATGTCCCTGGAAACACCGCTATTGCGCCGTGATCCGCTCGATGGCTTAGGTACATTCATAGGCGTTTTATGCGGTGTAGTCGGAGCCTTCGTTTTAGGGTTTATTATCTGCTGCTGTGTCGGATGTGGCCGCTCCACTGGCTGGCCTCCAGAGTCAAGGCGGAATCGTGTTGCGCCATGGAATCAACCTAGCGCTCAAGAACTTACTTCGGTATCGCATCAAGATGACAACATGGCTCCAACGCAGGTAATAGACGGTCAGACTACGAGTCAAAACGGGGACAAAGGCGGAAATGTTACTCAAAATACAAGTACATGATGTAAATATATTCAACTTGAAACGCCATCAGTGTCTTATATATCCTAAATCATTAATCGACAACCTTTAGCATCTGATACGCCTTGTGGCTAACTGCTCGCTTTACCAGACTCAGCGGATCCAGTTTCGTCTTTTCTGCCTTCTCCTTCTTCTCCTCCTTCACCTGCTCATTACCCTCGTTGTCAATAATGGCCATGTCGTCATCACTATCCTCCGTATTCTCCTCCTCTTCCTCCTCTTCATCTTCAAATCCACCACCCTCCATAAACACCTTGAGCATCGCCTGCGAATAGCCGCTCACCAACGCAGTACCCTTGTCTGCCGCCGTGACGGGCTTAGCGAGCTTCTCGTCGGCGTTGGAGTTTCCCCAATTCGTGCTGCTATCCGCCAGATTCCAAAAGACAAGCTCCGGCATCTCATAGCCAGCCTCTTGGAAAGCGCTGACGATGCGCTCGTAAGAGCTCTTCCAGGGGCCAGAGTCCGTGGCGCTGTTAAAGTGCATATCGCTAAACACAAACACGCGCTTTACCATATCCTCTGGAGCGACTTTGTTTGTGATCGCCATTGGCAGAATCAGCTTGGTAAAAGCAGACACAAGATTTGTGCTTCCACCCCACGGGCTCCTTTCCATCACCTCTACCTTTTCCTTCAAGCTATCGCTCAACTTCACTCGCACGAACGATGGACGGTAGTCAAACGTAATGAAGCCTCCTCCAAAAGGGGCCTTTGTCACCTCGGCCATGAGCAGGGACAGCCCAATCGCGGAGTCCATCGGTGTACTTCCGTCACTTCTCGCGGGCCAAGTCATACTACCCGAGACATCACAGACAGCAATACATGACTCGAGACTGCCAGACTCCTTGATCCGCTTAACAAGTGTGTCCCACTGCGCACTCAACAGCTTCGCGTCAATAACTGCCTTACAGGCTTCAATCATCTTTGCCTGAGACATGCCCTTCACCTGGTACTGGTCGGGTACGCTTCTCATCTTCCTGACTGCACTGACCAGCGTTGACGGCAACAGGATAGCGCCAGAGGTCGTGGTCTTCCCCGAAGACAGTGCGTTGATGTACTCCAGGAACCGGTCAAAGTCCTTGTCGATAAACAGCCCCTTGTAGTTGTTCATCGCCACAGATGGTACCTTTTGGTAGCGAATCTTGTCAAGCTCCTTGGCGGTAATCTTGCGCTCGACCACATCCAAGTACTTTCGCAGCGTCGAGATGCTCTTTCTGTATCTCTCACGGGCATGTCGCAGATACGTAGTCCGGCTATCGCTGTCATTTAGCTCAGGGCCAAAGCAGTCCCGAGGGAACAGGCCTTCCGCAATAGAGCTGACAATGACTGTATTGCGGTCGTGGAGAAGGTCATCCGAAGGAGCCCACTTGGCACACATGGAAATACCTTGCTTGGCCTTGTGGTCATCTCCACTTAGTAGAGCCAAGTCGTCCCTAAGCTGGTGCACAAATAGTCGTGTGACTGCGGTATGAAGGCATCGGTAGAATGGATCTTGGGCGAAACGCTCACGAGCGATGGCGTGGCACTCCAGTCGCTTTGCCCTTCGGTTTCTCTCTGTTCCATTTGCCGCATCCATGGCCACTACCTTGGAGATTCTCTTCGGCGCAGACGCAGCCGGCTTAACATCAAGACCACGCCTCTTCATCTTGGCTCTTCGAATGGCCGGCACGTCGACATTGAATACAGCCTTGACATCTGCCGTAACAGTGAGCTCATCATTGGCTGCCAGGACCAATATATTGAGCAAGTCCTTCCAGTACCCATGTGAAACACCGTGTTGAACGTCGAATCGCGACATATCCGTGTCATCTTCGGGAGCATCAACTAGAACAATATCTTCATCACCTTCTCCTGCTTCCTTCTTCTCTGCCTTCTTTGCGATGATCGGTCTCGTCAACCACGGAAGATTTGCAAGGAGTGTGCGCGGATGATTGGACGCTAGCCAGCCTGCGCATCGATAAAACAGCTCCTTGTTGCTCTTACCAAGATGAATCGAGCGGCAGTTGAAAATGAGCTTCAGAGTAATCAACGGATCCTCCGCCCATGCGTCAGTCAGAAGCTTGTCCAGGCTCTCACCTGAGACTGCATCGCTGGCATCATGGAACAAGTCCACAAGGGCGTCGTCACTTGTCGCGTTGGTAACGTCTCCATTGTCTGTGAGATGAACTAGACCTCCACTTTGGATCTTGCTTATTCCTCCTCTATCGTTGAATCTGCCTCGCCTGTTAGCTCTGAATCTACCGCGCCCGTATCCTCTACCGCGCCCGCGCGCTCTAAAGCGCAGCCGCATTCTAGCGCGTTCCCCTAGACTGGCGTACCGTGAAAGCCCTTCCATGAAGCTGGCGTTGGGAATGGCCGTCCCATCTGCCTGTCTTTCGAAGGAGGCAGGTGTTGGGGGCTCATCCTTCCGGAGAAGACGGGCAACATATGCATCGAAATCTTCCTGGGATTCATTTATACAGTCACAAGACTGGAAGTCGACCGGTCTTGTAACCTTGAGAAACCACGGTGTGGTGGTATCTGATGTGTTCTCCATTGCTGCCATGTCAGTCTGTTTGACTAGCAGAGGAAGTAAGCAGATGAAGTAATGAATTCAAAAATCAGTTCTGCGTTTCTTCTAAGAGGAATTTTGTCAGTTTATATACTTTTCTTCTTTTTTTGCAAACCTTCTGGCTGCAGCCCGGTGACTCAAGCACAAAGCTTCGGCGTCCCAATGAGGCAGTCTGGGGCTGTGTCTGCCTAGCGCTAGCCGCCAATTACAGCCTCGCCGGTGGACACAGATGCAGATAATTGCATCAATAATCCTGCTGCTCAGCGGGGTGCAGAATTTTGATGCTTTCAGTTGATTGGATATTTGTATTGTCGGTAAAGTGGAATCTGCAGTGGTCCTGTCGTGGCTGTTCTGTTCTGAATAAGCTTGAGGCTGCGGCGGCATCGAGTCATCTGATTTTGAGGCACATGGAACCGCATTGTGTTGTACAGGTTGTATTATATTAGTGGCGATAATTACATATTTACATTATAAGCGGTGTGTTGAAGGTGGCTTCTCGCCACTATAGCCGTTTGCTGAGCGCCTCGAGAAACTGCTTCTCCTCTTCTGTCAGGTGCATATCCTTGGGGAGAACGACCAGTCCGGGGCGAACAATGGCTTCACTGAGTTGATGTTCTTGGTGCTCCACATCTTCACTTCTCTCCTTTTCCGGTGAGGTCTGTGATCCAGAAACGTCCGCACCAGCGGCATCAGGGCCCTTGGCTGCTCCATTCTCTGCTTTTTCCTGCTCATTAGTAGCAGGCTTGGTCTTTTTCAGGTCGGCTGGCGTCCACCAGTAGACAGGGAAGCGTCGTTCAATGTTGTTCACAATCAAGGCAACTGCCAGCATGATACTGACGGCCAAGATCATGACGGGAATCAAGAACCAGCCAGCACGCACCAGGCGGTCATCTACAACAGCCAGAAGCGCAGTAGCTCCCGCTGGTGGGTGAACCGTCTTTGTAAGAGCCATGATAGCGACAGTGCATGCGCAAGACAGAGCACCGCCAAGGTATTGGATTTCGGTAAAGTTGTCGCTGAGTTGGAACAGCTTCGCCACGGCAGCGCCAACAAAAGCGGCGATGAGCTGACCAAAAAAGGCATTCCTCGGCTGAGCCAGCGGCGAATCAATAGCGTAGAATTCCAGGACAGCCGTTGCACCCTACAGAAATAAAAGGAAATATGTTAGAGCAGCTCCAATTGTCCGCTGACGCGTGCTACTGCTGTACGTACCATGCTGCCAACAATCATGGGGGCATGGTTGGCAATGAAACCAGGGATGCGGACCGAGACAACCTCGATAATGACAAGTGCACAGAATACACCGATGAATGCCCAGAATGTAGGCATCAAGTTGCCCGTAGGCGCCGGCTTATCTTTGCGATAACCGAAGAATCGGGCGACGGGGTAAGGGAGATAATGCCATGGTGGCGGCGGCACCAGCGGATTGATGTAACGATCGATATCAAAATTCCATTGCTTGTATGCCATTTTTTAATTGGCCTTGCTTCCAGCTATGCAGTTGTACGCGACAGAGCAAATTCACGCGGTGCAATGGAAACAAAAAAAAATAGTGAAGTGCAGTCAGGAGGGGGGAAACGCCGGAAATAAAATGTAAGTGAGAGTGCTTTGTTTTGGGCATTTCCGCGTCTCCGAACGCCGAAGCATCTGCGGGTGACTCCCGCTTGGCCGTTGTCGGCTGTCCACTAAAGGGCGCTGAAAGCTTACTGTACTCTTCAACAACTCCAGCATTATTGGATCCCTAATAGCTAACTAAAATATATTTACTAATTGAAAGACGCCATGCATTGAATGATATATTATTTTCAATTCATCAGCCCATCATTGCGTTTCTCTTTGTTATCACTGGGTATCGCAGTCTCGGAGCTTTGAAACCAGCGTGCGGCAGCAAGAGTCGGACAGCAAAGTATTCGACTTGATTAATGAAATCCAATTAAAACAAAATAACAAAATAAAAATGAATAAAGTTTGCAATAACTGCTGCACAAAACTACCGGAGGCAAAAAAAAGCAAAAAAGAGAGAATGGAAACTATTATTCCAATAGGGCTTGAACCTATGACTGACTCGCAATCCTAACACTCGCTCAAGAGCATGGTATTAGTACGAAGCTCTAACAAAACTGAGCTATGGAAGACAGTGGCTTTTATTGAAAGAAGCGCTTTTAATTTACTATAAGACCCTATGTGTCTTATTATGCAGGCGAATCTTCACGGATCCTTCACGGCCACGGAAGAGTTGTTGGTCGGTCTTGAGAAGTGGAGTGAAACATCAGAGGGGCAGGCAATTGGGGGATCCGACATGGATCGGCCCGCCGCTAAGGCGTGGCTGGGCGATGAACGGGACCTGGGATCGGTATTAATGTGACATACATAGATGAGACGAAAATGGAAGAGAGCTTTGTAGTAATGGCTAATTTATCATTGTATTTCTTCCCTTGCGATATTGGTGTTTTTTTGGTGTTAGCATCACGGACGCGCTGTCGCTCCTCTGCCTGGCAGCTGCCTGCGCCAATACAGGTTGCTCCTCTGTTGCTTCAACCACTGCCTCTACAACTCCACCACATCACTTCAATAACTCACCAGCTGGCAGTTTACACACACGTTGCTTTTGAGAATTTATATTTAAGAGTACCATCTTCCCCGCTACATTCTCTTGAAATGACAGGTTCTACCACAGCCAGCTCAACTACAGCCATGGATGACGATAGCATACCACCTCTCCTGGATCCAACGCTGGATGTAAACACTCTCCGCGACATACAACGGCTAGAAAGCATTTACGCCATCAAGAAGACCGTAGACATCTACAACACGGCCGTGAACCACGCAGCGGCACTAGCTGTAAGTCCACCTGCCTCACACGATCACAGCAGCCGTCTAATCCTGTCCAGTCCGAAACCATCTGCCGCATCCTCGATAAATGCGACAATGATCTTCCGTCTGTTAGTGCATCAAGCGACAATAGCCTTCCGTTCATTAGTACATCAAGCGATGATAACTCCCCATCAGAAATTACAGCATGCAATGTTGACCTCGCGACACCACCCCTCGGATCATTATTGGATGAGTTTCTCAGATGCCAGTCTCAACCAACACTAGATTCAGCTTTGGACATCCTGTCCACTGGATCTACTGCCGAGGCAAGCTTACACTAATAAACCTACTAGTTGTAATATTACTAACTCTTTCGTTTCAACTAGATTGAGGAGTTAGACTTGTTAGCCCCGCCAATTCTGATTCCCCGCAGACTATACCATTCAAAGGCCGCCGAGTCAATCACAAACCCCAGTCCAGATTCAACGAAAGACGCAGCCGTCGATCCCGCACTGCTCATTTCACAAAATGGAACCACATTAAACTATACACAGGATGCCTTTGGTCTCAACCTTGTTGCCCACGGAGGAGCCAATAAAAGTAGGCGGATCTTGGTGACTGACATTCCACCAAACTGCCCTCCATCTCGACTAGTACACTACTTTGCAACGTTCGGTCAAATCATCACCTGTGCCGTACTACCTAATACCCTTTCAAGAATTAATAGCGATAAAAGCATTTTGATCGAATATTTATCGCCAGCAGCGGCTCTTGCGGCCGTGTCCTCGTCCAAAAGTAGTCCAATTAATGGAAGCGACTTGGAAGCCCCTATATCCGTCGAGTGCATCAAAACTGCTTCCTTCCCGCTTCGAAAATCGACATCTGCTACTATATCTGCAAAAGGTGTTACAAGAACCCTGTGTATTCGTGGGCTGACCCAAGATACATTGAGTAAACATCTAAGCAAGCTTCAGCCGGCAACAATCATCAGCAAGCGCGATGTCGCCGACAAGAAAGAGACCATCATAGAGACCACAAGTACATATATTGCTTTGGGCCTCTCTCAAACCTTCAGCCGTTGCTCTTGTTTCGTGCCTGACCCAACGTCGCCTTTGCCACATATCCCGTAGGCCAATACAGTTCGGCGCCACAATGACAAAGGCATGGTAACTGGCGATAGATATTTAGAACGTTTGGTGCTTGGTTTAATAAAGCTTTATCCTCATTACATGAATACATGATGTCTTTCGTAGGCCCAGGCTATACTTGGCCATAGCTATAATACAATTGACTTCCGTTTCTATGGGGCAAACGGCCATGACAACTTTGTCTGCTTCAGACCGCTGGGGGTATCTTTGGGTTTTGCAAGGCGCCTCGCCTTTTCCTTTTCCGCTTTCTCCTTGAGGAATTCTTTTACCAAGGCTTTGGGGAGATTTGCTTCTGGCTCCCAAGTCGGATTCTTATCCGGCGGCCAGTTCCCTTCCCACAAAACCTTGAAGTATCGAACCCGTCCTCTGCCTTCCACAATATACTCATTCATATCATCTAGCCGCTTGACAGTCCATTCTTCTTCCTCAGTCTCGGGGCTTGCGATTTTGGGAACGGGCTTTTTATAGTTTGGCTTGGGGGGATTGGGTTTCGCGGCTTTTGATGCGCTTGACGATGGAGGCTGCAACCAAGCTTCGTGTACCTCACTTGTAGAGTTTGGTACGCGACTCATCAACGGTGTTTCTGGTGGCATTATAAGAGGAAAGCTATCCTCATCGCTCTCTGAGTCTTCGACGAGGATGTCTCCATGCTTCACTTCCGCCCAAACCTGTGCATCAGCGGCAGCCTGGCTTCCTGCTGGGCTGCCTTCTGCGGTAATCGCGGCATAACCTGGCTGCTCCTGTCGTGATGAACTGCTTTCATCATCTACTACCTCTTCTAGGTCCTGTATCTTGCGTTTCGTCGGTGTCGAGAGGCTCATAGTCCCTGATTTTGGACGGCGCAAGTCCGACTCGGCTGTGACAACCACAGCTGATTCAATGTTGGAGCCGTGCGATTTCGGTGGTCTTTCTGGCCGTTTCTTGCCTGCCTGTTTGTCTTTCTCCAACGAGGCACGTCGTTCCTCAAGTTTCATCTCGGTGTCAAATTCAAATTGCTCAAAGACAAACGGCGACACATAGTCAAGAATATTCAGAACTGGGACAAGCAGTCTGGCTGCCGGCTGGTTCTTCCAGCCGACGATGTACGTCATTCGTTTCGGTAGAGGTTTGCCATCTCTGGCCAGCCCTGGGGACGGCAGCAAAATGCGCTCTATTATATAAGCTTCGGAGTCGCTTGGTGGTTGTAAACGTAGCTTTTGCAGTGGCGGCCCAGATCCAGGTGTGTAGGCATTCGGCACTGGTATATCGATTCGAGCCCGAGCGGTTCTGTTATTCGAAGTAGTAGTTGCTGTCACGGTTGCGGCCTCGGGGGCCGTACCTAAAATGACCATTGAAACAGCATTTCGCCACGGCCTTGCTTCAAAGCGAAGAGTCGGTCACCATAGCATGTTGCGATGGCTGTTTTGCTAGATCCAGTGTCGCCGTTATGGAGAGGCTGTGAAGGTTGTGAAGGAGCTACTAGCCACAGGACCAAGGGTTTTATTTTTTGTCGAATTAAAAAATCACTTGCTATCCTTCGCAAATGTGGTTTCTCTAAACAGCAAACAGAACGCGTTTTGTCGTGGATGGAAGTCAAACAACCATAACTTGCTACGGACACCCGCGACCAATTAGCGGCTGCTGGCAGTGACGAATGCGCCCGTTTGGCTGCTGCTTCAGCGCCCCGTGGTGGGGCACGGCACACGCTAATTATACAGTACAGCAGGGTCGGCAACTGATGCTGTAGCGCACTGTAGCCACTGCGGAAGGTACCGGAAAATCAAAGCTCCAGTCACCCGAGCGTCCAGCTCCACGAATCGACATGCAGACATTCCGAACAACCCTCGCGGCCCCAACTTCTTCGACAACCGCTGTGACCGATCGCGCGCCAAGAATAACGACCCCAGCGTCTTACCGGCAATTGAATCTCGCAGTCAAACTCGACATTCGAACGATACTGATATCGCGCCAAACACGTCCACCGCGCCAATGGCTGCCCCTATGAAGACGCTGGCGATGCGCTGGCCAGCTCCCACCATCGCCGCACGCCAGACGACCTCATCTGGTTTTGCCGCGCAGTGTCCCCGATCCTCCTTCTCGACCATTTGCCAAGCTAAGCGCCCTGCTGCTACCCAGATGCTTGAGGCTTCACGATCCTTCTCCCGCGCCAACCATACCATCAGCTTCCGCATCCCTGCTGTCTCGTGCCTCCGCGCTGGAAAGGCGCTTGGCGCCTCGCCTCTCGCCTCGTCCGGCCGATACTTTACTAGCACAACCTCCAAGCTCAACGATACCGCTGCCGCTGCTGCTGCCAAGGCCTCTGCTGCCAGTGCCTCGCTCGATTGGAACTCCTTCTTCCAGCTCCGTGTCAAGCGCCGACGCATCCAACTCTTCTTCTCTGTCACAATGGGTCTGGTCGGTGGTGCAGGAGGTGCTATCCTCTTGTCCACTGGTCTTGCTGAGCCCCTCGTTGCTCAGGTTCCCCTTGACCCGTTTGTCACCCTTGGTCTGATGACTGTCGCTTGCGCTGGCCTCGGATGGCTCGTGGGCCCTTCCATTGGCAGCCAGATCTTCTACTTCATGAACAGACGATACAAGTCGCAGATGCTGCAAAAGGAAAGCGAATTCTTTGCCAGAGTGAAGAAGAACCGTGTTGACCCTTCCAACTCGAGCGCTGGAAACCCAGGTATGTTGAATACGCAGTACCTTGCTAGAAAGCGATGTGTATGTTAACTCTAGATGATAATAGTTCCCGATTTCTACGGCGAAAAGATTCAGAGCGTTGCTGGATACCGCAGATGGCTCAAGGATCAGCGTGCCTTCAACAGAAAGAAGACCGCTGCTTTCGTTTAAAGCGGGTGCCAAAGGAAACGAGCAAAAGATTGTAGTGTATTGGGAAAGGCTACTTATGCGGAGAGACGCCATGGCGCTTAATGTAAGCAAGATATGGTCTTCTAAGAAACGTTCCGTACTGTAATTGTTCTTGCATGGGGAAAACCTATGCCGTTGTATCTATAGCCATACCAACTCCTCTTGTCAGGTCGACAGTGCAAATTTTCATTATGTTTTTATCTATGCTCCTCTATGTTCTAAACTAATTGTGCTTAAATGAAAGGTATCGATGGGTCGATATCCTTCTTCCATGCTTGCAAACCCCCTTCTATATCTCCGATATACCGCTTTCCTCCTTCGTCAAACCCCAATTCTTTGAGTTTTCTAACTGTCAGCTGTGAGTCGTTGCCAACCCTGCAAATAATATAAATAGGCGCATTTGCGTCGGTGTTTTGCGGGATCCATGAATCTGGCTTTCCTTTCTCAACTCGATGGCCCATAACTGTATTAATGGGAAGATTGAGGGAACCTTCAATGTTAGCCACACTGAATTGCTCTTTCCCTCGGACGTCGATTAGCAACGGTTTCGTATCTCCCGTCGTCCGTAAACGGTTCAACTCAACAGCTGAAACTCGTTCCTCGGCAGCAAGCTCGTTGACTGGCTGCACAACTCCGCAGAATTGAACATAGTCTAAGGAGTTGCGCAGGCTATCAAGTGTCAGTTGAGCGTTGGGTCCTGAGCATGCAAAGCAATCGGCCCGCTTGCCTCGCATCCGAACGGTGCGGAATGGTGTGTCTGCCATGGCACTATACAGAAGCATAGATATGCGATCAACCGGCTCCGGGCTCTCTTGCGGTAGATGTCCTCCTCGAATCATAAGTTTTATAGCTTCCATCGCTTGCAAGACACCCATAACGCCAACGACTGGTCCAACAATTCCACCCTCTCCGCAGCCAACGACACTCTCTGGAGGAGGAGGCTTTGGGAAGATGCAACGGTAGCATGGACCAGCTCCGGGAGGACTGTTCAGAACAAGTAGCTGTCCTGATGTTTGGAAGGCCGATGCGGATACTAGTGGTTTGCCTAGCAAAACACATATATCCGAGATAAGATAGCGAGATGTCGGGTGATCTGTGCAGTCCAAGACAAGATCATACTGCGAGACGATCTCTTCAGCATTTTGCGGCGTAAGATGTGTTGTATGTGCTTGATATGTAACGGTGGGGTTTAATCTGGATATTTGTTAGAATCATCGCCTCGCTAGTAGACCTTGTCGCGGTACATACTGTTTAAGATAGGTAATGGCGCTGAGAACTTTGCTCATACCAACTCTTTCAGTCGAATGTGCAATCTGCCTGTGTAAATTGGACACTTCGACTTCATCGGCATCAGCAAGGCCTAATTTCTTAACTCCGCAACCAGCAAGGTATGCAGCGGCAGGGCATCCAAGACCGCCAGCCCCAACTAAAAGAACTCTTGCTTCTCGTATGCGCTCTTGTCCTACAGACTAAGGTTAGGATAATGTCAAAGGGAACGGGCAAAAATGGACAAACCTTGGAGTCCAAAATTCGGCACAATCATTTGTCTGCTATATCTATTGTATTCTTCTGGAAGCAGTGGCCATTTCCAGTCTTCGGGTTTTTTTGGGACACTATTTGACGTTTTCTCAACTTGATCAAGCTGTGACTCTAGGTCTTGCAGCTCTACTCGCTTCTGAGCAATTTGAGCGCGCAAAGACTCCGCTGTAGTCATTGTAAAAGAAAGATGCTAATTCTGTCGCATAATAAAATAAGTTTAAGAAATATTTGAGCAGGAATTTTGATTCCGGATAGTTCTCATAACGTTGATGTAAGTGCAGGGTACTGTCAGCTTGTAGAACATGTGCCAGTCAAACCCCACCAATTTGACAGTGTCTTATCGATAGTGTCGAATTTCGCCGTCTTCCGAAATCTTTCTTGCCCAGTGACCAACACTTGTATACCAACTACTCTACGCAAATTCACACTAATATGGTAATAAGAAAATGCTATTTCCAATTTAATAACTTGTGCTATATTCTAACACTTGGAATATAGGCTCCACTGCCTCCCGGCTTGAGAAAGCCTTCCGCACGTTCGCTGCGAACACAGCGCATTACTGGTCAAATCCACCATCTTGCGCCTGACAAGGTCTTTCGAGATGATGCAGCTGTTACCGATGACTTTATCTCAAGCAAAAAGGATAAGCGCTTAATTAAGCACTCTACTTTCATGTCGCGCGTCGCCTCGTCTGCTGGCGTCACTAAGTCTAAGAAGCGAACCGGCCGTGGGCGCAGTAAGCAGCTTAAGACGAACCTGGAAAGTTTGGCCGATGCCCTGCCGGAGCTCGAGAGTGGAATGGGTGGCGAAGAAATCCTTGCGGGAAAGATTAAACACAAGAGTCTGCGAAGCAAGAAGGGTGCGCTGAAGAGGAAGGAACAGGTTGTCAAGGGCGAGATGGAGAGATTCGGTGTCAGCATGGCGAAGCTCTCAGAAACCAGTACGCAGGCAACAAGTAAAGCTGCATCGGAGCCTGCTGCCACCGGAGGAAATGCTTCATCAAGTCGTTGGGCAGCTCTACGAGGCTACATTTCTGCTACAATGGACCAAAACCCTGCCTTTGTAGGCAAGTAATAGCCTTGCCGATACTAGCATGAAAGAAAATGCATTGGGAAGGGAATCATGATTTACAATACCGGTGTTCTTTGGAGTTGGATAGCTATGTACTTTGCGCAACATATAGGCCAGGAAAAGCAACAAATATGAACGTTTCAACATCTGATGCAGCTGTACCGCGTATGCAGAAAATTGCTGTGATATTAGGGACTATTTCAGGCTCATGTAATGTATATAGATAGCATGTATATATAGTCCATGACCAAGCCGTAGACGAATTATCAAGGGTAGACCAATGCCGCCTTTGTCAGTACCATGTGCTGAGAGAACGCCAGTCCAAATAAACCCAACCCAACGCCGGCTATTTCGTGTAAAAAAGCAAGAGCAAACATTATCAAATCATCACGATGTCGTTATTTCATGAAAGAGAAGAGGACATCCAAATGGCGCTAGACATCGCTAGGAAACAAAGCTATAAGTGGTGCGAGGGATGCATATGAGCGTTACTCAATTCGAGGTGGTGTCTTTGAGGTAAAGGGACTAGCACTTCGCCTACATCGGGGAGCAGTTAGTATCAGATACATGTAGGATTTGCTGGACAAAAGAGCGGTTGGACTTACGATCGTCGACGCTCACCCTCTTTCCGTAAGCTTTCAATAATACGCATCATTTCTTTTCTGCCGCCATTGCTGTCTACAACCTTGCCGCCCATGCTCATCGAGACCTTCTCTCTGGCGTTAGCACTCAACAGGCGCTTAACAAGCAGGTGGCGCATTAGCAAACAGACAAAGACACCACAGTCGCTGCCATTTGATTGTTGCGGGGAATCCTCCAGGTTTATAAATCGCATCGGTCGCTTAATTATTTCACCCATGCGACGAGCCGCAAATTGGGCCTCATGGAAGTTTGCGCCACCAAGAGAGTCGTAATGAAAAGCGACGCCGTCAAGAATTGATACCAGGAGTAGGGACCAGTGCGTACCACCTTCAGCCACGGTGACGCTGCGGGCGTCGTTGATTGGCAAGAACACATGGGACACTTTTGTAAAGTCGGGGAGGGCATTCATAATCTGTTTCATGTCGGGCTCTTTCATGAGCAGGAATGTCATGCTGGGTCGAAGCAGGATAATGCGCGCCTGGGGATAGCGGGGGAGCGTTTCGCGTTCGAGGTATTCCTCCCAAAAGGCAATGTTGTTGTCGGTGAGCCAGTCATTCTTTAACGATTTGATATCTTCCACTGTAAGTAGCACATCGTAGTAACTAAGATATGCCTTCTCTGGGGAGAGCTGCATGCACGATTAGCAATGGGCTGTGGGTTAGCGCCCAACGAGCCGAACATACCGAATCGCCAAAGTGGCGTGCCATGCGTTGTCGGAAGGGCATGCTACCCTTTCTCTTGAGTTTCCTCCTTCTATCCACGGTGGGCGATGGTGAGGGCGGTGAGGGCGGGGGAGGAAAGGGGAAAGGAAGCTCGGTTTCGGGGGTGGTGGGCTGGTTAATAGGCGAGCTGGGCGCTGGGCTTCGACGCAAAAAAGAGAGGCTCTTGAAATAGTAGCGGTTACTGGCAGCGATAGAGACGTGTTAGAGAGAGCGCGATGACGAGGCGCAAAAGCGAACAGAGAAGATGAGGAGAAGCAGCACGTGGCTGATTTGACAATGGATAAAGTAATAGAAAACCTGACAGATGTCGCGATAAAGCCCCCAAATATGGTCCAGACGTTAGATGAAGTGTCTGATCTTGGGGGCTGGGCACAGCGAAGCAACAAAAAAAAAATCAAAGCTGGTAGCGAAACGGGGGCTGTCGCGCAGACCGAAAAGTGCGTGCAGAAAGCTAAAAAGTGGGGGGACGGGGGAACGCGGGGCAGGTAACGCAGTGGGTTTTCAGGTGCGCTACAGGGATAGGTGAGGCGCTGAAGAAATTCACTAACACGGCTAAGAGGGGATGACCTATAGGGATAGCGGCGGTGGGATGGATATGTAAATGTAGGAAGAGGAGGGCCAAGGGAAGTAGTAGTAGTAGGAGGAGCACTGCTCATGAGACTGGCTTTCTCCCCAGATATGCCACCTGCTCTTGGGTTCGATGGGTGGCCCTGGTAGCAGCTGGCGATGCCTAATGCGGTTCGCTGGAGACAGCCTGGCTGCGGCGGATGTGGCGCTGTAGCGAGCGCCGTCAGCACGCAGCCCACTGATGGGAGGCCTGACACTTGTCCAACCGTGGCGCCCAGCGAACTAGTCATGGCAGCCCAACTTGGGGAACGATGGCGCAGCAAAGCGATGATGTAATGGTGGGATAAAGGATAAAGGAGGAAGAAAGAGCGCGGAATAGGACGTATCAGCTTTATATGAAGAGAGTATAGACTTACCCTGCTACCGAGGGCGAGCTTGACCCAGATGATGAAGACGATGCCCGTGTCTGATCCAGCAAGAACGGCATCGTAAGTATTTGTCTTTGTTTGTAAATCGATATCAAGAAGTTGAAGACGCTTGAAAAGAAATAATAAGAATCGAATTTTAAAATAATTGACCGCAGACTGCTCGCTGTCCTTAAGCATTGCACTGCATCAAAACGGATGCCTGGCGTGCATTCGTCAGCCGTGTACGCGTGCAGAATACAGGCTTGGCCTATGCGCAACGTTCAGTAACCCCGAAAATAGAGACTTCTAGGCATGCAAAACATCCTTTTGTATAAACGGCCGCCAGGCTATTGAAATAGTTTTAAACGTTTCTAATGCTTGTTCTTCGCACGGCAGTCTCGGACCATTGCCCATCCGCTTTGCTTCCCCGCGTCTCAGACATGATACTCATGACTTACACGCATCTAAAACATCGGCAGCAACTCCAGCCAACCAGCTGCCGCCCATGCACCCCCAACGATGACGCCCAAAGACAGCGCCTATCCATTACCTGATTAGTTTCTTAAAAAATACGAGCGATCTGAGGATTCAAATTGTCCTTTTTGATTGTTTGCTGCGTCATTGCGCCATCCGTTTGCCCATCAGTTCGATCCCGAATCGCAATGCGCGATCCCACAACCTGCCAAACCCGGTGTCATCGATGCTGCTCCGTAACATCTAATGGACCCATCTCCAACTTAATCTGGCGAGATATTGTCGACTTGGCATTGCCACTGCTTCAAATACCATCGTCCACGTCAGCTGCCACTTGTGCCAAGGCGTCACGATAGTATTGCTTTCTCCGCTTCGCAACCCGCTCTAGTTGAAGATTTGCGGCAGCGCGTGTTTTTCGGCCCTTTATAATTTCCTCTCTTGCTCTATCAATGTTGGAACTGACTTTAATCATTTGCTTGGCTGATTTGTCTTTCGTTATTTGCTCCTCGGCGTTAAACTTGCGCTGTAGATTGCCTATGCAAAGGTTGAGCTGCCCTTGATAACGCCGACCAATATTCATAATTATATCTTCTTTGGAATTTAAATGGGCAATCATCCGCTAAATAAATTGTTAACTTAATTCATAATCGACTGTAGATGCCTAACCTCCGCAGTCCAATGTAATTGCTGTTCCAGATAGAGTTTAGAACTTTGTCCATTGTGGTTATCCACGGATGCTTGGCTGGCTGTGACTGGCAGACTTTTTATGCGTGTATATAGCCTATCACGCATTCCCTGCCCTGCAGTAGTCTTAGTGATGCCTTTTGTAAACTTTTCGACTTGGGGCTGACTATTCATGTTGGGGATGCTCCGTGACTGGGTGATTTTGGGATCTACCTGACTGGAGGTGTTCGTTCCCAATGGCGTATGGTCATCGTCAGTATGAGACGATGAAGACACATCTGAGGATATGGTGATATGACTTTTCGACTTTAAATTTGTCCCATAGTTTGACGGTGATGTAGCTGTTCGCCTGCTATTGCCTAAAGAGATACTCGGACTCAGATCTCTTAGTTGCTCTCCATCCGAATATCCATTTCCAAATTTAGTTGACGTCAGAAAATCGTCTTCTAGATCGTCAACAAAAGACTGTCTTTCTGGACTGGCCACTTCTGAACAAGGTATAACACTCTTGGCCTCGCGAAGCGAGTCGTCCTCGCTTTGAGAGTCCAGCTCTCGTTGCATGTCGATTGTGGCAAGCCGTCCCGGCTCAAAAGCAACTGAACGGTCGGGAATGGTAAAAGGAGATGAATTTTCAGATATATTACTGTTGCTCTGCGGGGTCTGAATGATTGAAGCGGATTGAAGGGATCCGTTGCCTTTATCCACTGTTGTCTGGGGACTGACATCTGGCGATTTTGACTCAGTAGACAAAGCCTTGTCAATCTCGTCATTTGTTGAATTTTTATCATTTTTCATCTTTTGACTTCTAGTGACCCGGTCTGTAGATACTACATTTTTTCCTGTAACAGTATCTTTGGCTGTCGTTTTAGCTGGCACGGGCTTTTTGACTTTGGACTTTGGGCGCGGTGGCTGAGGAGAAGCTATCGTCGCAGACTTCGCTCCATACCCTAATTTTTCAATAGATTTGACAGTCTGATTCCTGGGTTTGATTGTCTGGGTATCTTCATCAAACTGTAGTGGGCTTTTTGCTTTTTGTTTTATGCGGGTAGTTTTTCTTGCTATGGTCTTGGACGCCACTTGGTTCGGCTTTGGTGATGGCGATGGCGACATGATTTCGCTATTGATAGCCCGTTTCCTGTTTTCACTGGTGGGTGAAATCGTGATTAACTGTGTTGTATGGGTATTATTTCCACGATTAAGAGTAGAGTTGAGTTTTGTCTCAGCATCTTCGCTACTGGCATCGAGCTCAAAATCCCATGGGTACGAGCCAGTATCAGCGATGTCTCCAGCAGGCGAGCTGCGGCGACCTGTGGACGCCGTTTCAGAGAAGTCTACAAAGTGTGGAGAATTAGCAATCGTCCGAAGAGTGTTCGATGGCGGGATTTGAATCGTGTCAGGAAGTTCTGAATTCGCTAAGCCCTCGTTTGACGCCAATGGCACGTCTGTGCCATCTAATTCCCAAGGCTCGCTCATGTCATATGTATCAGGAATTGGCGAACTTGGCCGGACACCTGACTCAATGTCGGACCAAGGGAACCCTTTGGACACTGTATTGTTCGTAGCTTGAGGCTGTTTGTCGGTCTCCAAGAGAGCAGCATCATCTATACCTTCGTCGTCAAATGGACTAGGCAAATCAAACGCCATATCCATCGCTTTAGTATGAGATAATGAATTGCCCGCTGCATCCGTATTAGGTCCATTTTCTGAGTGAAGTCCCTGACGATCACGACTGGTTGGCGTAGTGTCAAGCTGGCTAAACTGCGTCGATTTCCTTGACGGAACCTTTGCCTTTGCCCTTGTCTTAGGGGCCATGGCTGGTTTCTGGTGTGGGAGACGGTAGAGGGGTGGGTTGGGTATATGTATCAAGTTGTATCTGGGCAATTTTGAAGCTTAGACTTGGAAAATAATTAAGAGCGGACACTGCGCTGCCGCGCGCCAGGTGCCAACTCTCACCTGCCAGCTGTCCAATGTTGACCGACAGAATGGACATGTTTCAAATTGCGAAAGTTACAATTCTCCAATTCCCGTGCTCAAATTACTGTGATTTCTCATATAAATGCCACAATGCAAGGAGTGTAAATGGACTACTCCGCATGATGTGCGCAAAACCTCAATGCCGTGGTAGCTCGGTAAGTTGAACGCCATTTCGACTCTCTAGTTTCTAAGCAACAGCCTAATCTTGTAGTGCCTAGTCTAAGACGCAAATTCCGAGCAAGGAATAAGTACGCTTCGTACACTTGTGGATTATGAAAAAGAACTATTGAGAGCGAAATTGTCCCGTTTGGCTTTACTAGCGACAAACAGTTTGAAACGTATGGTAATCCACCCATCATGCCTCAAGACTGGGATGGACTGGCTAGTATCTTTCAGAGACAATGGTTCCGCCGCTCATGGATTATTCAAGGGGCTGTAGTAGGCAAGGCTCTGCTGGTCTATATCGGTGAATCAATTCTACAGTGGTGACATCTTGGAGTTGCCGCACATAGTATCGAAAAGCAAGAGGCTCGGCTCGGCACATTTGCATCTTCGAGTTATGTTCCACGCGATGATGTTGCCACGTCCGTGATATGGAATATAGGCCAAATCCGTGACACTCGTGGCAGAGCAGCCGGTATGACTAATCTAGACGACCAGTATACCAGCTACCAACGCTTTGCATAGGATGGTCTACTCCGTGCCTCTTGTACATTCCTAGCTACAGACCCGCGTGATAAAGTCTTTTAATGCTACGGCATACTCAATACATCTTCTAGAACGAGGATTATGGCTGATTACGAGCTCACAGTGGCTCAAGTGTATGCTGCTGCTATTAGAGAGCGCATAGAAGAGCTAGAGAACCTAGGCCCGCTCGCGGAGGTCGTACACCCACGACGCCTACAAGATATCAAGGCGTCTCCGCACTACAACCCTCTAGAGATTTCAGGAAACCGATTAGATCCGGAGCTACATGTCAAAGGCGCACGGCTCGGCCTTGTAGCACAAGTGGCTGGTCGGCATGGCTTAGACGGATGGGAGCATTTCGCTTTTGATCGATCCTGGATTACCTTTGAACTTTGCGTTCATAAGAAAGGCAGCTATAGAGGTGGCAAAATCTCTTTTATTCTCTGGGATGTTCTGTGCATGGGCAAGTCGGTTGGAAATATTATAAACCCAGACAAGCATGGGACAAGGCCCCCAATTGAACAGGCCCACGAATTTCGCATGTTTCTTATGCTGTTTATTCTTGCGGAAGCCGACTCTAAGATTCGCGAGCACGTTGGTCGGCCTAAGCGAACTACAGATATGGAAACTTCCTTGACGATAGTGGCTATGATCCAATGGTAGTGGATACGGAGATGGAAGCTATTCTTACGGACCTGGATACTATTGCTGAGTGGGAGGGTACAGAATCCCTCGCGCCAACGAGAGAACCAATCCTTGAAAACTGGAACCACGAACTGTTCAATAGAGCGCGCCTTATTGATACTATGCTGGACGTCCCACGACCAGAACCAGATATACCGCTAGGACAACCTGGGAGGGTTGTCGGTAACGGCTCCGTGATCCCTACCTCTTTTGCCGCTGCGGGACTTCAAGGGTTCATCAACAGTTATAAAGGTTGGCACGGAGGGCGACAGCTAATGACATTTATCGACAACAAGTGGCTCGGCCTGGGTGCTGTTACAGTCCTACCTGGTGACGAGCTGTGGTTAATTCCTGGACTAGGTGCTCCAGCCATTCTGCGACCGCTTCCGCGAGATGCAACTGAGATTGGCCCGCACAGATATAACTTCTTTGGTGCAACGTATATCTACGCCTGTATGGGCTTCGAAGAAATTATAAAGGACCACGTGGGGGAAGATTATCTTGGTCTAGAAGAGAACACCGTGCCTTGATTTTGACAATGCTTACACAAGCATATTATGTTTATTTACCCGATTCGGACAGTTTATTAATACGGCAGAGCGGCGACTAAACCTGTCCTCGTCTGGAAATACGCGTTACCAAGTACGCGGCCTTGCCGGCTTGTCCGCAGAGTGCGGAGTCCGCCAGGTCCGAGATCCACCTGCCGCAGGTTGTGACGAAGTTCCGCAGCCTTAAATAAAAGACCATCGGGTCGTCGGCATCCGTTTTGCGTGCCAGACACATTCTTCTCTTGCACTACATTTTCCGCTCTTTACAACCCATTCTACCACCAGGAATTGTATCGCGATCCGTCAAAGAAATTCCGTACGACTTCCAACCTCGTTGAACACCACTCGCCAGCATGGCCCAACCGAACGGAAGCGCGCAGGGCGCAGGCATTGCCGTGCTGCAGAAGCTCGACATCACCGAGCACGAAGCCCCTAGCGATTCATACCCGCCTATTTCCTCTATCCAATCGACCTGCTCCAAGAGATTATTCGCAGCTGAAAACGAGCGAACAAGCAACTCCGATGACCTCGCCAGCGACACAGTCCTGTACCTGGCCTATGGCTCCAACATGTCGGCGCAAACCTTTCTAGGAATGCGCAAGATCCGTCCGTTATCTGAAATGAATGTTTCCGTTCCGACCTTGAAACTCAACTTTAGTCTTCCTGGAATTGCGTACCAGGAACCGTGTTTTGCCAACGTTGAATATCGCGAACCGTCGGAGAAGGAGCAGCTACAACTCAATGGAAAATGGGATGGTCGACTACTAGGTGTCGTCTATGAGGTCACAAAAGCAGATTACAGAAATATTATGCGAACGGAGGGCGGCGGTACAAGTTACCAGGAAATTATTGTTCCTTGTGTGCCTATACCTACCGACGGCGATGCTAGCAAGCTGCCGAAAACGTTCATGGCGCGAACGCTGTATGCCCCGAGACTACCAAAGGGTCAAGACCCATGCGACAGAAGCTGGTGGGAGAGACTCACAACAGGCCCTTACCGCCACGACTCGTACTATGCACAGCCAAGTCTGAGATATCTCAACTTGCTTCGCACTGGTGCCGAAGAACATGGACTGCCTGGATTTTATCAAGATTATCTGCAAAACTTGCAGCCGTTTACCAAGACAACGATGGCTCAGAGAGTTGGCGGCACCCTGTATCTATTGGCCTGGGGTCCTATTATTTTGCTCATTATGAAGTTGTCCTCACTGTTTGCCGATGAAAGAGGTCGTGCGCCAAAGCCCCTCGGAACCATGGCTACCATGTCGTTCAATATGGCTTGGATGAGCTATGACAGTGTATATACGCGCATGTTTGGTGAAGGCGAGAGGACGCAAGAATCAGAAACATCGTCGGCGGGTCAAATAAAGACGGAAGAGGGGAGCCAGCTTCGCTAAAGTTAAAAGACATCGAGTGTATTATTAGAGTTCTTTAGCATGATACAGACGTCACTAATAAATCGTCCACTTTGTATATAACGTTAACATTTACCCATCTTGACTGATTCGCAATTCACATGATGGGGTCTTCGGCGCTAGGGGTTGCCGTCACATCATAACGGACACACCCGTTCATTACATTCAGGGGAACAAGATATCGATCGGAGAATACGCTGCGGCCGGCAGACCGATTCTCCGGCCCATGATTCTCGCAGCCGTGACGGAGCCAAGCGAGTTGGCATATGCAGCCCTATGTCGACGGAGGAGGCGTGCAGCGCAAGCATGTGAAAGCACGTTCCTAGTTTATAGTGGTGTGGGGGCCACTGTAAATGGAAGAGCATGTGAAGACGGAGCAGCCCAAAAGGGTAATGAAGCAAATTCGAGTAATAAATTATAAGTGTATTCACAGAAAATATTGCTTTGTAAAATATTAATTATGTACAAAGTCAGTCAGTCCTCAGCATATGCCCCTAACTGGCATAGTAGAGAGTGGAATGGAGAGATGGTAGAATTATTTAGCACCCTTGCGGAACTTGTCCCACATGCCCTGCATGCGCTTCCACTGTCCTGGAGTGAACTCTCTTCGGCAGGGACTAGAAGAATACATCAGTTGATAATGATAATGAAATAATGAAATCAAAATGTACTTACTCGTTGGTGTAATCCATATGATTGTGAATGGGATCCAGGCCGCCTCCCTGGCATGAGTCTCTACCAGTAGGACATCCGGTGTTGGCGCCGCTTTGCGGAGGAGTGTCATCTACATGATCGCCCGGGCTGCCGCAGCCTCCGTCAAAGGTGTGAAAAATACCGGCCCAATGTCCGACTTCGTGGCTGGCAATCTTTCCCTCGTTGTTACCCTTGCGCGGGCCTCCAGGGACCGTCGTCCAAAGTACCTGGCAGCCATCACGAGTCTCGGCGTCTGAACCGGGCGAAGCGGTGGTAGGATACCAGCAGTAGCCGAGATATCCACGATAGCTGTGCACGATATAAATGTTCACTGCAGCATAGTTTCCTTTGCGAAGCTTCTTCTTCATACCCATCTCGTCACCGCCCTTGGCCCAGTTCGAGTTGACCGTCCAAGTGGCGTCCTTGAGAACAAACTGAAAGGCGCTTCCTTTGAAGTTGTCATTGATGACTCTGGCCTGAGCATCTACCATTTCACGCTATAATATCATTAGCCTGTTTCTATTCCTTTTTTGAAAATATTGTGTATAAGAAAAACAAAATAACAGTTGGTGTATAACACTACATACGCTAATGTAACCGTCGTCGGGTTTCTCAGAGTTGGCGACGACGTGAATATACATGTCGACCATGACATCTGAGGTAAAGGCGGTAAAGTTGCCATTCTTCTCATTCTCGATAACATCTTGTATGGATGCAATATATTCGGCGGAAGGGGGTTCGTTCGCACAAATTTTGGGATCCTCTATCGACATTGCGGTGACTAGGGGCCCGATAGCCAGAAGCCCGACAAAGAGGTTGCGGCACAACATGGCAGTGGTTCGATCTTGTGTTGTAAAGGCGATGAGAGACGATCTACTAGACTGGGATCTCGGGTCTTTATGAATTGGTCGCAAGTGAACACAGTTTTGGCAGGGCGGGCGGGTTTGCAACGGAATCTCCAACCTGACACAGACGTGACCAGCTCCAGATTGTATGATAGACAAAATTTACGATCTGGCTTCATACAATGCAATCATGGGAGTTACTCCGTATTTAAATAGTATACGTAATCTGGTTCGTGCGATGGAGCTGGTAGCTGCCCGGGTTATATGCTGTTCAAACGAGAGTGATAGCGTTCCGCATCAAGCAAAGATCTTATACCGGCTATAAATCTATTCTCTGTCCACGGCACGTTTTCGTTTTGCATGGCGCTTTCTTTGCTAAATTTTAATATTCACCGTTGAGACATTTCTGCCAATCATAGAACCCACGCGGATGCGGCCGCGACAAAGTTGGAGGAACTCTCGTGTTGACAGGCAGATGTGAGACGATATTTGGTAATGGTGTTGTTGACAGAACAGCGCAGAGGTGTTTAGTAGAGAGTCGGGCCAGCTGTCGTCTACTCAATGCATCGCTTTCTCGTATTCTCTTTGGAGTCCACGACGGCATCTTTTGTCGCTGGTATTATCGTAACCATTTTCGCGCCTCAACTTCGGTTCCAGCCATCATCGTCACCATCGACATCACTACTATCCATCGTCCCATCGTCCAATCTTTCGTCACAAGTCAGCGCTTCGGCAGCCATGTCAAACACGGGCCAAAAAAAAACGGGGAGACACGGGATCCCTCGCATCTCGGCTGGCCGGATTCGCCGCAAGCCACTAAACCCAGGCCTACCGTCTTTAGTGGTGTGCAGCTACTTTGTAGCTTGCGGGCCCTCTACGGCTGTCGCCCTCCAAAACAAAAACACCTGCAGCAAAATGGTTGAGTCGTGAGGGGTCGAGGCGCTGGCTGCCCCAACGGAAAGCGTGGGGCCACTAAGGCAAAGCCTAATTCAGTGCTGTCAGTGATCAATTTACAGCGGGGACCTCGCCTGGTCTTGCAACTGCTTGGGGGAGCACCACCCGCCCGCCCCGTCGGCCTTTTGCCTCACTGCCGTCATTTTGCAGCACAAGCACAAGCACCAAGCACCTCCACCTATCCGCTGGGGGGCTTTTTTTTTCTTGTTGGCGCTTGTCCTAGCCTGCAGCTGCATATCCATCACGCCTCACAGATCTCCGTTCAGCTTATCTTGCTGCTGCTACTCTTGCGCCCGCCGAGGTAACAACTTGGCCCTCCTTCCACCTGTTAATCATCCTTTATATTCTCATCGGCGCCCCTCCTTACTTCCCATCGCCATCTTCCTCCCATACTGCATGCTCCGCCTCTTTGCTCCTCGGCGACTCCTTTGCCCCTCTACCACCACCTTTCTGACTTCGATTCAAACTTCCCTTCGTCCTCAACAGCCGCTGCGACACTTTACTACTTCTCCCTTTCGCCAATTCCAGCTCTCTGCATTCAAAATGACTGGCGCAACTACTCTAGGCGGCCACAGCAAGAAGCACAAGGTCACCATTGTGGGATCTGGCAACTGGTAAGTTTTGAAAAAACTGTCCAAGCTCAACGGAAACCTAACGATCTTTTCTTTCTCTTTCTAGGGGCTCAACCATCTCCAAGATTGTCGCCGAAAACACAAAAGAGAACAATGACTTGTTTGAAGAGGAGGTCCAGATGTGGGTGTTCGAGGAGAACGTGACCATCCCCAAGGACTCCAAGCACTACGACGCCTCTGTTGGCGACGCTCCTCAGAAGCTCACAGAAGTTATCAACAAGTACCACGAGAATGTCAAATATCTCCCTGGCATTACTCTCCCCACAAACCTCATCGCCAACCCTTCGCTCGAAGACGCCGTCAAAAACTCCACCATCCTCATCTTCAACCTCCCTCACCAGTTTATCCACAACGTCTGCAACCAGCTTCGCGGCCACATTCTGCCCTACGCTCGCGGCATTAGCTGCATCAAGGGTGTCAATGTTACCGACGACTCTGTCAGCCTGTTTAGCGAATGGATCGGCGAGGACCTCGACATCTACGTCGGTGCCTTGAGTGGTGCCAACATTGCCAACGAAATTGCCGCCGAGAAGTGGTCCGAGACGACCATTGCGTACGATCCTCCACCAATGGACAACAGCCGTGCCCCGACTCCTCGATCCGGCAGCCCGAACCAAGCTGGTGCCGATATCCCCCAGATTGTCACCCACCGCGACGCCCGTGGCCGCGAATCGAAGACGAAGCTTACCCCAGTCCCCGCCGAGTACCCTCCTCTCGACCACGAGATCTTCCGACAGCTCTTCCACCGCCCATACTTCCACGTGCAGATGGTCTCTGATGTCGCAGGTGTTTCCCTTGGTGGCGCACTTAAGAACGTCGTTGCTCTCGCTGCTGGCTTCGTCGATGGACGCGGATGGGGTGACAACGCCAAGGCTGCTATTATGCGCATTGGCCTCATGGAAATGGTCAAGTTTGGCAAGGAGTTCTTTGGTCAGACTGTCCGAACAAGCACATTCACCGAATCCTCTGCTGGTGTTGCTGACTTGATCACGTCGAGCTCTGGTGGACGCAACTTCCGCTGCGCCAAGAAGGCCATTGAGAAGGGCATCTCCGTCGAAGAAGTTGAGAAGCAGGATCTCAACGGCCAGAAGCTGCAAGGTACCTCTACAGCCTTTGAAGTTTATGATTTCCTCAAGGCCAAGGGCAAAAATGCAGACTACCCTCTCTTTACTGCTGTCCGTGATATCCTCAAGGGTTTGAAGACTGTTGACGATATTCCTTCGCTTGTCTCCAGGGTGGAGAGAGCTCAGCCCAAGATGTAATTGCGAGAAAAGTAATAATGAATTATATCAATACCGGTTGGATGTGGGACTATATCACACTTTGTTTTACTCTTTACATAGCGATTTTGATTACTTGGAGTTTTTGAATAACCATAATTATTATCCATTAAACGATTCTATCGTATTCAAAGAGCCCATGTGACATCTTTGTAGTCGACATCACGGTCGACGCTGCTGCAAGCCCTGAGCATAAACTCAATAAAGCTGTCCTCCTTAACGTCCCATGTCTGTCTGATAAAGTTGGTCATGAGATCCGTGCCATTCAACAAAGTACCGCTAGTCCAGAGCTTGTCATCTCGCACCCAACGCTTTTCCACCCATTTCACTTGGGGTGCTTTCTGCTTGAGGTCCTCAAGCAGCATGCGTGGCGCGGTAGCCGTCTTGCCATTCAAGATACCAGCGCTCAGAGCCACCTGGAAACCACCACAGATTGTTATGAAACCGAGACAAGACTCGTAAGACTTTCTGGCATAGGCAAGCTCAGCTTCGTTTGGCTGGTACAGAGGGTTGTTAGCTCCAATAAGAACAATGTCGAGCGGTGGGCACGATTCAAATGAGTCCTGGACGATGGGCTAGATTAGCATCGAAACTATTTGTTTAAAAAAAAGCATTCATTAACTTACGGTTGGAGTAATTGTTAGACCGCTGCTCAGCTTCGCTGGTACAGCGCTCCCGTGCTCAGACACCCAATGAAAGGTAATATCGAGACCTTGGTCTTTGAAGTGTGCGGGAAACATTTCATCCGGCACGTCCTTCAAGAATTCTTTTGTGAGCCCGTTGAAAAGATCAACGGGCGCAACATCAAGAAGCTCAGTTATTCTAGATTTGTTAGACGATTATTATTTTGTGGTGAGGTAGTATTTACCCATTGGTGAGAATGACACCGAAATGAATGGTGCGGTTCAGAGTAGCAAGACTGAGATGGGCAGACATTGTGAGAAATAGAACGTTGTCAAGAATTTTTGTTAACTGATTGAAATAGATGATTGTATTGAACTGATTTTTGGTATATGAATTGCGCGAATGATGGCCTGGCTTTATAGTCAACTTTGAACCATGAATATCCGAAGTCATACGGAATAAAGCCAGATGCAACAGCAAGCAAGTATGCAGAGACGCGTAAGCTCAAATTCGCCAAAGAAGAATTTGACATATTTGTAACTAGTTTAAATGAAGGAAATTACAATATAGTGAAATAGATACTGCTCAAAATTCTCTTCAGGAGCTTCACCATGGTGGTTGGCTACACTAGCGATAGCGTCGGGGCGTCCGCCCAAGCACAGGATCGCAACGCAACATCCCACCAAGACTCGCCACCAGATGGGCGCTGGAACTGACTCGGCGACTTTTTAATGCCAATTCCGGCTACAGTACCACCGTTAAAACGCGAATACCGAGCACCATGTACTGTGAAATGGAAAAACGAAGCCGTGAAACTGGTTCTCAAGAGCCTTACGGCCGGCGGAGTTGCGGTGATTGGCTGTTCGGCGCATAGAGAGGCTTGAGGAGGGGCCGTTGGCATACGGAATTAGGCTGCGCTGGCGCCTGCTAGCGTACAACGGAGGAAGAATTACCAGATCAGGAACCGCGCAGATCGGCGACGATGGGATATTCCTTGCGCGGCGTTGCTCTTGCTGGGAACCGCGCGCGAAAGAATGAGGCATCGTGTGGTTTTGGAATAGAGATATACTCGAGAAAGAAAAATATATAAAGCTGCAGATGCCTCGCCTTGGTTCCCAGAGATCGTCTCGTTCTGTATCGAACAATATCCTCCATCTCTATAGACCTACCTATAACCAGCTACACACACACACAAGCAAATCCCTTAAGCCTTGCGCACAGCATTAACTACTCACATAACCATTCGTGCCATAAAGCCACGATTGTTTAGCACGACTGCTGCCTTGAAAATGGCTACTCTCAAATACGCCAAAGATCAGCCTGCTGGCTTCACCAACCGCATTGAACGTGTTGCCCTCGTCGGTGTAAGTGAGCGCTTCGTCATGTGTATGTGCCGTTGCTAACGCCATATCGTCTAGGCTGGCGGTAATGTTGGCTCACACATGGCTGAAGAGCTTGTCAAGACAGGAAAACATACCATGTCCGCCATTACGTGCATTGGGAGCAAAAGCATCCTTGTGGATGGCGTCCATTCCGTCCCAGTAGACTATGAAAACGAAGATTCGCTAGTCGAGGCCCTGCGTGGCTAGCAGTTTCTCATCATCACCATGTCTGTCAGTGCCCCTCCAGGTACCGAAGCTAAGATTGTGGGTGCGGCAAAGAAAGCTGGTGTCCAGTGGGTGATGCCAACATGCTACGGAACAGATATACAAAACGAAACACTGGCCAGGGAGAATCTTCACGGTGCGATTGCGCTGAGAAATATCAAGACTGTCGCTGATGCCGGCATCAACTGGGTCGCTCTAGTGTGCTCGTTCTGGTACGAATTTTCTTTGAGTGTTGGTGCGGACTGGTACGGCTTTGATATCCCAAACAAAAAGGTGACGTTCTATGATGATGGCAATACCAGAATCAATACATCGACATGGAGACAGTGCGGTCGAGCTTTAGCCTCGCTGCTCAGTCTGAAAGAGTTGCCCGAGGATGAGAATGATACTTCTCCCACACTCTCCAACTGGAGAAACAAAGGCCTGTACATTAGCAGCTTTCTGGCTTCTCAGCGCGACATGCTTGATAGCCTCCACAGAGTGCTGGGAGACAGCGATGCTGACTGGACCATTGAAACTGAGAGCACATCGGCACGCTACGCCCGCGGCCAGGAGAGGATGAAGGAAGAAGGCGCTGCTATTCGATCTGGATTCGGTCTCTGTCTGTATGCGCGCACGTTTTATCCCAACGGCGATGGAAACTTTGAAGCAAAGCACGGGTTGGCCAATGAGGTGCTAGGTTTGCCCAAGGAGGACATTGACGAGGCTACAGCGAGGGCTGTGGAGATATCCAAGAAGAGTGGCGGCGAGTACAACCCCGCCAAGGCCTAAGTTTGAAGGAAGGAAATCGTGTAGACCACGTTTTATGAATGGAAATTTTACCGAGATTGAAAATATGAGTCAATTTAATTATCAAATAGTACGTACCTGCTTACTTGTGCTGTGCATAACTCTTCACAGTTAGAGCTTATCAGCGGCTATCGCCTCTAGCGGTACTAGCGCAGATGTAAACTGTTGAAAGCTTATCAGCGATTCAACAAAAGCTACGGCTGCTGCAGAAACATGCGGTGAGAGGCCAAAAAAATATGAGATGTGGTCAATTGAGCTCCTATACACTGTAAGAGTATGTCTTAATTTTTACTTTTATTTTTAATTCATCTTATACAGCTTAAATTCACAATTTATTATCCGCGCAACCCGGATCGTCCGGAGCTTTTGTCCCCTCCCCTCCAGCGCTGTAGTCGCAGTTGTAGTGGGCTACGGCACTGTTCCAGAACCGTCAGAGCCCTGTTGCCGCCGCTTACGCCCACTAAAAAACCGCAGCTGCCAGCTCTACTTGTAGCGCCCACGTTTTTTATTCTCGCAGCTGGCCACTTCCGGCAGCTGTCGCTTCTTTGCTTCTTTTGTAGCTTTCTTTCTTGGTCTTCTCCTGAACCCCTCTTTGCTCACACCATCCATCTTCTTCCTATTCTCACCAACTCTGCATCCGCCCAAATCGCCGGCTTCCCCTCTGCCAACGCTCCTACAGGCCCCTCTGACAGCTTGTGCTTCCGCCATTGACTCCGCTACGGCCGGGGGTCCCCCCTGCGAAGACGTCACTGCACAAGCTCTTGCAGCACAGCACCCCCACCGCGCTAACAGCAAATCTGCGTGATTGATTCCCCTACCCACCGCGGGGCTGCCGTCTGATCGCCTGCTGCTTTTTCTTCTTTTCTTTTTTCTCTTCTTTCATCATGAGTCCAGGCACAATGACTTCCCAGCAGGTCTTTCTTCTGCCCCTCAACGACGATGGCTCGCCCCAGGTCGCCGGCGAGTACATCTACATTGAATCCGAAAGCTCAGAGGTCATTGTCCGTTTCGTCATCGAAGGTGCTTCTTCAATCTGTCGACATGGAAGCCTCTGGGTCAATATCCCGGAAAAGGGCGTTGCTTTCAAAAGGAGTCAGTTCCGAGAGTTGAAGTGCGTCGGTTTGTATGCTAATTAGAGCTTCGTCCCATTGCTAACCTGGAATGTGCAACTAGGTTGAGCGCAGACTTTACTCGCGACATTGAAATTTCCGTCCCCATTTACGAACCCGGCGCTTTTGCATTCTATACGACATATGCTGAGCTACCCGACCTCGAGGCACAAATATCTGCGCCTAATTATGGTAGGAAGGACGTCCTGAAGCAGACGCAAACCTACTACATCGATGTCGCACCCCGCCTGAGGCTTGACGGCTGCCCATTGCCGCTACCTGCGCTATCCATGTTTTCTGTAATCAGCAAATTCATGGGTAAATACCCCGCCGATTGGGAACGCCATCTTGCTGGAATCAGCTATCGAGGATACAATATGGTTCACTTTACACCACTCCAAATTAGAGGCTCGTCCAACTCCCCCTACAGCTTGTACGACCAATTGGGCTGGGATCCAGCCTGCTTCCCCAATGGGGAGTCAGACGTTGCAAAAATGGTAAAGAACCTCGAAGAAAACCATTCGCTTCTAAGTTTGACCGATATTGTTCTCAATCATACAGCACACAACACCGAATGGCTCCATCAGCACCCCGAGGCGGGTTACAACCTAATCACTGCCCCATGGCTAGAAGCTGCATACGAACTAGACACTGCACTACTTGAGCTAGGCAGCAAGCTTAAAGAACTCGGCCTCCCTGTTAATCCGCAAAATGATGAAGATTTATTGGCAATAATGGGAGCCGTTAAGAGTAAAGTTATTGCTGACTTGAAACTATGGGAATACTACGCCATTAACGTGGAACGCGACACTGAGGCGGCTGTTGAAGCCTGGGTTCAGGGCAAGTCCTTTACTCTAGTTGACACCCTCGAGGGGGCCGATATTGACGGCCTTCAGAGAGACAACTTGGATGCTCAGGCTGCGTTTATTAAGAATCATGGCATTCCTCATATGGGACGTCTCGGCCCCCGCTTCAGTCGAGCAGTCCACCCTCAAATTATGGCAACTGTCCTTGATCTTTCCCTGGGAAGATTTGAGGGCGATGGCTCCAATTCTGCTACTAGAGATGCGGCAAAACAAAAAGTTTCAAATTTGATCGATGCCATCAACGTTCCTCTTTACGAAGAATATGATAAAGATATTAACGAAATGATGGAACAGCTATACAACCGCATTAAATATGTCCGTCTTGCCGAAGATGGCCCCCGACTCGGACCCATTAACGAGGAGAACCCATTGATTGAGACCTACTTTACCCGACTGCCTCTCAATGATGTTACAAAAAAGCTTGACCCAAAGGAGAGAGCTCTCGTCAACAACGGTTGGGTTTGGGGCGGAAACGCCCTGGTGGACAATGCCGGCCCAGATTCTCGCGTCTACCTCCGCCGCGAAGTCATTGTTTGGGGAGATTGTGTTAAGCTACGCTACGGTAATGGACCAAGCGACAGTCCTTGGCTGTGGGACCATATGACAAAATATGCTCGCATGCTTGCCAAATACTTCAATGGTCTCCGTATTGACAACTGCCACTCTACACCAATGCACGTGGCTGAACATATTCTCGATGAAGCGCGTCTCGTCCGACCAGACCTTTACGTTGTTGCTGAACTCTTCACTGGCTCAGAAGATATGGACTACGTCTTTGTGAAGCGACTCGGCTTGAGCTCACTTATTCGCGAAGCCATGCAGGCATGGAGCACAGCTGAGCTCAGCCGACTGGTTCACAAACATGGTGGTCGTCCCATTGGTAGTTTTGAAGTCGACGAAATCTCCTATTCGGAACCTTTTACCAAACCTGATAGCACGGGCGCCAGTGGTGATCTTGCAAGAGAAGTTATTCGCCACATCAAGCCTACTCCAGTACATGCGCTCTTCATGGATTGTACGCACGACAATGAGACCCCTGCGCAGAAACGTGATGCCCGCGATACTCTCTCGAATGCTGCACTTGTCTGTATGTGCTCCAGTGCCACTGGAAGCGTGATGGGATACGACGAGATCTACCCGAAGCTCATTGATTTGGTCAACGAGACCCGATTGTACACTTCAGCGTCTTCAAATGCATCACCAGGCAAGGAGAGCAAATCAGGTATCGCTAGTGTGAAGAAGCTTCTGAATCAAATACACACATTGATGGGCAAGGACAAGTACGACGAAACCCACATTCACCATGAAGAAGAATATATTACCGTTCATAGAGTTCACCCAGAGTCGAGGAAGGGCTATTTCTTAGTTGCACATACCGCATTCCCCGGATATGGAAACGGCCGAGGCGCCATTTCTCCAATGCACTTGAAGGGTACAAGAGCGCGCCATCTAGGCAGCTGGATGCTTGAGGTTGATGCTAGCAAGGATACTACAGCAGAAGTTCTCGCGGATACTGAACATCTCCGTGGCCTTCCCAGTCGTGTTCACACCATAACCGGCATTACAATGGAACAAGAGGGTGATGATACAGTCATTACCGTCAAAGACAAATTCCCACCTGGCAGCATCGCGCTGTTTGAAACATGGATCCCTACGGCAGAGCACTCTGCTGGTCTCGATCGATTCGTTACTTCCAAGGCCAAGACCGCCCTTTGCGAGCTTGACCTGATTGATCTCAACTTCCTTCTCTTTAAATGCGAAGCCGAAGAGCGAGATGCTAGTGGAGGCAAAGATGGTGTGTATGACATACCTGGCCACGGCAAGCTCGTTTACGCTGGTCTGCAAGGCTGGTGGAGCGTCTTAAAGAACATCATCAAGAATAATGATCTTGCCCACCCACTATGTCAGAACCTCCGTGATGGAGCTTGGGCTCTCGACTATGTTATCAACCGTTTGGAGCGCGTTTCAGAAACTGCGGGTGGGGAACGCTTCAAAGCAGTAACCCAGTGGTTCAAAGAGCGCTTTGATGCTATCCGCGCGATTCCAAACTTTCTCCTACCGCGCTACTTTGCATTGGTCATGCGCACGGCGTATCGTGAAGCATGTGCAAGAGCACTACATCTTATGAACGACAATGTTAAGCAGGGTCAGTGGTTTTTGCAATCGCTGGCCTTGGTTAGCGTGCAGCAAACTGGTCTTGTTCATTCGGCATCGCTCTGGCCCAACAAGCTTGTGCCCTCCATCGCCGCTGGTCTACCGCATTTTGCTGTAGAATGGGCTCGTTGCTGGGGTCGCGATGTATTCATTTCGCTCCGTGGCTTGTATTTGGGTACCGGCCGATTCGACGAGGCTAAAGAGCATATCTTGGCATTTGGTAGCGTTTTGAAGCATGGCATGGTACCAAATCTCCTGTCAAGCGGTGATGCTCCTCGATATAACGCGAGAGATGCCATTTGGTTCTTCTTACAAGCGATTCAGGATTACACCAAGCTTGTCCCCAATGGTATTGATCTTCTTCAGACTAAAACTAAGCGTCGGTTCCTGCCATACGATGACACCTGGTTCCCTACAGACGATGCTCGTGCATACTCACAAGAAAGTACTATTGAGGATATCATCCAAGAGGCTCTCCAGAGGCATGCATCCGGAATGCAATACCGCGAAGCAAATGCTGGCCCACAGATTGATTCACAGATGAAGGATGAGGGTTTCAACCAACTTATCAAAGTTGATTGGGACACTGGTATCATCTTTGGTGGCAATCAGTCCAACTGTGGAACCTGGATGGATAAAATGGGTGAAAGCGAGCAAGCGGGCTCTAAGGGAGTACCTGGAACTCCTCGTGACGGCGCTGCGATTGAGATTACCGGACTTCTTTACAGCACGCTGAAGTGGTTATCGAGCCTAAGCGATGCAGGCAAGTACAAATACAGCGGCGTCAAGACATCTGACGACCAAACCATCAGCTACCAGGCTTGGGCAGAACGTCTCAAGGCAAACTTCGAAAAGTGCTACTACGTACCTCTGTCACCTGCCGAGGATGGCAACTACAACGTCAATTCAAAGCTGGTTAACCGCCGCGGCATGTACAAGGATTTGTACAAATCGGGCAAAGAGTATGAAGACTACCAGCTCCGATGCAACTTTCCGATTGCCATGACGGTCGCCCCAGACCTCTTTGACCCTGACCACGCCTTGGAGGCACTGTGCCTTGCCGACTCTGTACTCCGTGGCCCTACTGGTATCGCGACGTTGGACCCAGGCGATCTGAACTACAGACCATACTACCGCAACAGCGAAGATAGCAAAGACTTCGCAACAAGCAAAGGCCGAAACTACCACCAGGGCCCCGAGTGGCTGTGGCCGACGGGTTTCTTTCTCCGCGCTCTACTGAAGTTTGACCTCATGCGCCAAACTTCCGCCGAGGGACGCACGGAAGCCTTCCAGCAGGTGACAAGAAGACTGGCTGGATGCAAGGCCATGATCCAAGAAAGCCCATGGGCTGGACTGACCGAGCTAACACAAAAGAATGGAGAGTACTGCGATGATTCGGTAAGCTAAAATGATACAAATCCACTCTCGAGAACCTAATACTAAGTACCTAAACAGAGTCCTACGCAAGCGTGGTCTGCGGGCTGCTTGATTGACTTATACATGGATGCATTGCACGAACACGGCGCAAAAGCATAATTACCACCTGGACATCAGGACATAGCTTAGTTGCACATGACATAAACCATCTTTATTTATTTGTTATTTCGTCATCAGTAAAAAAATGTTCTTTTGATTGTGTGATTGTTCTACACCACTGCCATTGCCATTCCCACCACGCAGCCTCTACTACCAAAACAAAGAAAAAAGGGTGTACAATATATGAAGTCTCTACAGGGCCTTTTCCATCTGTCCCTTGATGCGCGTCACCGTGCCCGCACCGCCATATACCATGGTCGTATACACCATAGCCACGCTAGCACCAGCATTCAGCACTTGCAGTGCCTGCTCGCCGTTCGTGATACCTCCCGTGGCAAACAGAACCTTAGGCTCGCCCTTGGCATCTATGCTCATGGCGTAGCTATCCAGCATCTTGCGGTATCGTCCCACCAGATCCAGGGTGCGCGAGAACATAGCTGGGCCCGAGTAGCCACCCGTCTCCATGAGGTTCTTCTTCTCGCGCGCCGTCAACCGTGTGCCTTCAGGAACAACCTCGGCGCGCCGTCTTGTCGTATTGCCCACAATGATGCCGTCCACACCGCTGCGGTTCACGGCTTCCACGACACCTTCCATCTGCACATCGTCGTCCTCGTCCGGTGACACCTTGACCATGACGCGGGGTTTCGTCTTGCGGTCGGTCTTGCGAGCTTCCTCCACGACAGCCGTCAGCAGCTTCGTCAGCGGCTCAGTGGCCTGCAGGTCTCGCAGGCCAGGTGTGTTGGGGCTCGACACATTGACAACAAGAACATCCGCATACGGCGCCAGTCGACGCACACAGTAGACATAGTCGTTCGCAGCGTCCTTCTCGCTCGTTTCCTTGTTCTTGGCAATCTGCACAGCAAGAATGCGGCCCTCGCGCAAACTACCAGGTGGCACGCCGGCCTTACCGTCCAGAACGTCCTGCTCAGTGGCGCCAATGGAGCGGGCATATGTACGCAATCGCTGGCGCAGACGGATAGCAACGTCGTCGGCACCGCGCGAGTTGAGCCCGTAGCGGTTCACCATGCCCTCGAGGCCGGGGACACGGAAGACGCGGGGCTTCGGGTTACCTTCCTGAGCAAGGGGCGTGATGCCGCCAATCTCGACGACACCAGCACCCAGGGCAAACAGGACATCGGCAATCTCGCCGTCCTTGTCGAGACCCGCAGAGATACCGACGGGGTTGTTTAGTTGGTGTTCAAAGACTTGTGTGGTGAGCTTAGACTCGGCACTTGTTGAAGAAAGACCCTGGCGCTCGCGAGGGTGCAGGTTGAATTCGTAGAGCAGCTTGAGCACCGAGGTGCCAAAGTGGTGCGCATCCTCGGCGTCGGGGAGGACGGTGCGCAGGATCGGCGGCACGACGTACTGGTGGATGAAGCCGCGGGTGTCGGTGATGTAGAGGTATCCGGCATACGTGGCTGCTGCGAGGACTGTGCCGTAGAGAGCTGCCTTGCCGCGTCCGAGGGCCATGGAGCCGCCGCTCGAGCTGGATGCAAAGCGCGCAGATGCAGCTTGCACCTTTGGCACGCGGGGGCGGAGGGCGGCCTGGTGCAGGCCGGACGAGGCCAATCGCTGGCGCATGATGAATGTCGACATGGCTGAAGTGGTGCACAGGGCCCGTATCGTGCTCAATTGGGCCTGTTGTGCGGTCAAGTCGAGCCGTGTTAGTACGAAGAAAGAAAGATTGGAGCTTGCTGGTAGATCGTGATAGGTGCTGGGTCCTGACAGTGCCCGGGCGTACAGTGTGGGCGTTGGGACACTGTGGATTTTCGGCAACCACGCGAGTCTAAGCATCTGATAGCTTTATGTACGAATTTATTTCGTGTGAAATGAAACGAAAAGGATTAGGTTTTAAAAAAGTCATATTTAGAAGTATCCAAAAGAGGCTCAAGCAGCCAGCCTAGACTCCCCAATTAAATGTGCAAATAGCAAAAAAGACGCAAAGAACAAAAAGACAGCAACCCAGTAAATGACACCGACTACTACCGCTTGCTTTTTGCTATATAACAAAGATAAAGCAAGGGTAGCCGAGACATGCTGTCAATCGTATAAAACAAAAAGACAAGAAGCAGCGAGAGCTAATAAAAACACAAAGCGCCGTATTCTAGATGAAACCAGACAAGGAAATATCAGGGGTAAAGGAGAGCGAATTTTGCAGTTGAGATTCGCTCAAACTAAGGTGAGAGTTGGTCGACGGAGAGAGTAGTAAACAGAGGGAAAACGCCATGTATGAAAAGCCTTGAAAAAGATGTTATTTTGGTGACAGAGGGGGCCTGACCACGATCGAGCGGCGTTTAGGAAAATGTACGACGTCGGCGAAACGAGGCAGGTAGGCGGGAGCGCGTCGGAAAAGGAGCGAAAATCGTATTATCGATCAGAATGCATCTAGGTGCGCTGCATGGGGTTCCATCGCTTCGACTTGCGGGCTGCCTTTTCCTCGGGAGTGCCAGCGGCGGCTGTCATGTTGGGTAGCGGCTCTCGGGTGAACTTGGAGTAGTCGGCTTGTTCGCGGTCGGCCAGGCCACCACCGAGGGGAGGACCCCACGAGGGGCGAGAGTTGGAGCCGGAGTGCTTCTGGCCGAGGATGTTCTGGCGATCCTTCTTACGGAGGTAGCGGCGGCGCCAGATGCAGGCTCCGATCCAGATAGCAGCGATACCGACAATCAGAATGACAAGCATGACAACCCACTGCCAGTGGTTCGAAAGCCTATAAATCGTTAACAAAAGGGTTCTGGGGCTCATTCGGGTATTGCAAAAACGCACCAGTTACCGTTGGAATCACCCAAGTTAGCGTGAGGTGTTGTAAAAGGTACACCAGTGGACGTTGTGGCGGCAGTAGTGGGTTGAGGGTTACCGTTGTTGTTTCCTGGCGCAGTCTTAAATCCAGGGCCGTTGCTACAGGCAGTCTTGTACCATGAGGCTATCGATGTAGAGCCGGCTGGGTTACCAGCACAGGCATTCGGGCAGAGCGCAGCAGGGTTAGAGACCAATGCAAATAGGTTCGGTTGGTAGCAGACACACTGCAGCCAGTCGGCGGGTGTACCAGCCTTGACGGCTGGTGGCACACAGGCGCCATTTGCATCGTAGAGAGGACCGCAGCCTGCGGCACAAGCGGGCAGCTTGCTGATGTCGGTGAAAGGGATAACGGTATATTGGGCTGGAGGAGAGACGTCAGCATGGGCGCTTGTCAGTAGATTAGCGGGAGAGACGGTTCAACTCACCCATTTTGAAGGATTAAATTTGGCAAGACTGGTAAAAAGACGTGAGACCAAGAGTTTGCCAGATATCTGCCAATGGAGACGGCGTCGAGAGCGAGGGGGTCGCTTTGGAGAGATTAACGCGGATGTCTAGATGATGTGCGGGTTCCGGGCGGATAGGGCGGACGACAACAACAGGAGTCGGGGGGGTCGTGAGATGTATTGGTCGACGCGCCAAACGAGGCCAAAGTAGATGCGAGTTGAGGTTTCGAACGAGTGGAAGCGCGTGTCGATTATCGAAGCAGCACGCGGAGGCGGAGGCGGTAGGGTGGTATTGGGAACAAGGCCCTTTTGATTGCGGTTTGACGATGCAAGGCGACTTGGCTGGCGAGGCGTGATTTGGCGGGCGTGCAAGGACGAACAGAAAAATGCGGCGAAAGAGGCTCGCGATGGTCAGGTGATGACGATGGTCGCGATGGAGAGCAGGCGACGCGACAAGCGTGGAATTGATGGGTTGGTTGCAGGCAAAAATGTCTTTGCTGGTGAAGGTTTGCAGGAGAAGGAAGGCGAGTTGGAATGTGGCAGGCGGATCAGGCGATTAAGGCGGGAGACAGGCAAGGCCAGTGGGTGTGTGGTGTGTCCTATCTCTTTTTTTTTTCCCTTTTGGGGGGTGCTGTAGGCGAGTGGCTCCCCTGTACGGACGGGCTACAACAGCTACTTGTGTGGGCTTGTCAGCGGGAAGAGGGTGCTGATTGGGTGTGAGTGGATGCTGCGTGTGCGGGTGACTGACTCCACCATGGACAGGAGAGGACAAAAAAAAGGAAGAACAAGGCGAAGAGATTGATAGAGACAAGAAGGAAGCATATGGTAACGTGGGAAAAATCAAGCAGATGGAAGAAGATGGGAATATGTCCCAAAAATAAAGAGAGCTTATTCACGAATTATTTACGGTGTCCAAAAATCACAACATCTGGTTGCATCGCCACAGCAGTCTTCAGGCGTGCTTGTCACTGTACATACAGTACGTATAGGACTGATAAGTACGCGCTATTACGAGGAGAGCAAGTGCCAAGCATGCGAGCGAAGCCAAGCACTTCTCTCTGTTTTCTCTGTGTGCGCCACAGCACATTACACAATAAGAAGGACAACAAGAAAAGCATTACGCACACGGCAAGCCGGAGCGGCTGCTTTTATCCGTTGGTGCCGAGCTAACCTGGCGCGTGCATATTTTGGCCATCGTGCTGTCAAATGCTTCTATTTAGCGTAGAAGAATATGGCGCTGGCGCTGGTGGTGTGCTCGCGCGGGTCGCAGGCCACGCACGCTTGGGAGGTTGTGGCGGGTGGACTCTTTACGAGAAAAGCGGAGTCTGGTGGTTTCGTGGTGAACGAGCAGAGAAAAAGGCGAAAGTCTAAATGGAAAGCCTGATTAGGGAGTTTTCGGTGAATGTCTACTTGTGGCTGGTTCTGGTGTTGTTGTTGTTGTGTTTTGTCCAGTGCAGTTTTGGGAATACACTGCAGACAGGGGAGGCTTCGCTGTGCTGCGGTTGCACTGAACTGGTGGTTGAGGTGCCGCATCGCAGCGTGGGACAACTGTAGCGGTAGTGGCAGAGATGCTGTATTGTACTGGGACAACCGGGCAATGTCAACAATAACAAACGCCTTTATGCAGGCTGTCAGGGTGAAAAAGCCAAAATAAATCTTGAAAAAAGAGCACAACGAAAGAGTAGAATCCTATTGTCGTCGATATACTTCACTGCTGATTTATATTTATCTCAACAAAGGCTGGGCCGCTATGGCTCAGACATATCTCGTAATGATGTCCTGTGTCGGCTCGGCACCCGGTGGCCTGCAACGCTGGGCCACCGTCAGAGACGGCCCACCGAGAATAGCAAGTTGCCTCCCCGGATCGGCCCATTGCAGTGGGACTGACAAATTAAATCTTAAGAAAGAGAGAAGCACAGGATAAAATACCAAAAAAGATAGGTTAAGAGTAGACCATCAATACAAAGATATAGAATATCAAAAGAATTTACAAGCAATTATTTTCTACCTCTTAAGAACCAGATAGCTGGAAGAGCCATCGCTCAGATTTCAGGTCAGGGGTCGTACGGCCCGTCTGTAAAGCTAATTTACGGGTTGCATGTCCTGCATATAAAAGCAAAAACCAAAAAGCAGGTACAAAAAAAAAGCAAAAACTCCAAAACAAGAGGCAGATTTTTTTAAAACACGCAAGGAATATGGAAAGAATATGTCGCAGATGGCACCATTTACAAATGCCGTATTTCTTTTCTGATTTGATATGTGCTGCCGATGTGAGATGCTGTCGCTGCATAAAATGAATGCCCGTATTCGCAGTAGGTCAATCTCCGAGATACCGCCACACCACCACTCACCACCTACATCATCTTCGTCGTCTGGCTACCACAACGGTTGCGGCATACGCCATCCCAGCGGGCATTGCATCTAATCTCGCTCAGTAGAGTACACAAAAGGACCGACTAAAACACTTAGAAAAGGTGTACACATATTGCCAACCATAGACCGCGCTGGTTCTAAGTTGTCACGAGAGAGACTTCCGATCGGCGTCACCCTTCTCCCACTATGCAATTCAGCATCTACAGATCAGTACCGCCGGATTATCACATATCGATTCATTCGTAGCCATTACCTACATCATCTCTCTTCCGTTCAAGATGCTCACCCTTCATCACTACGCTCAGATTCCCAAGATCGACATCCGTCTAAGCCACCTCACCAGGTCACGCGTCCATCAACACCGCTCAATACCAACTTCAACATCATTCTAATCACTTCGAATCAGTGTTCATTGTCCTCAAGTCATCAATTTCTTTCTGATTGGCGTACTTTTCTCACTGGCCAGTCATATATTGTCTGGCAACTTAGCCTGTTCTTGCCCGTTGATGGATGGCATCAGCGGCTCGGCCCAGCCCGACCGCCCTCCCCCTTGCGTCCGCTCCAACACAGCTTCCTCTTTGAGCTTCTGCATACACACAAAAAGCAAATATCCGCGCCATCTTCTTTCAACCTCATCGCTAGTCTACCTGTTATCACCTTTGCCCCTACGCATTGGTGCTTATTCGGCACAGAATGCCGCTGCTGCGGCTGTGTTCGCCATGCACACTCAACGGTTGACAATGGGAGCAAGTATTATTCACTTGGAAGTGGCATCTATTGTGATTCATATACTTCGCCTCATGTCTATATACACCGAGCTTTCTTCCGCTGCAATCCCAACTTTACTCCTCATCCTCAGCACACCCTGACAACAGAACATACAAGCCGCCTGCCTAAAGAGTTTGACGCCCAAATAAACAGCATCCAGTCATCCGATGGGAAAGAGACCTGGCTTTCCATCATGTCTACAGCCGCCGTCCGACTCTCTTGCTCCGGTTGCAGCAGGTATAGTTGCAGATACTGCTGCCCCGTTTGCACAATAACTAGCTCTGGCATTGTAGCTGTTGCCCCGGTTCGCCAGCCATCCACGAGCTCTCGACAGCCCATCGTGTCCGCCTGTAGCGGATCCCATCGCCCTTCCGTCGGCATTTCATGCCGTCTGGTTCTCTTGGTCGGTTTGCTGCCCGGTTATCGGCTGTTGCTGCCCCAGTTCTACTGCGGCATACACCCCGTTTGCCATGAGCGAGTTCTCAATGGCCCTCGTGTTTGCCTGTACCGGATTCCATGGCTCCGCCTCTTTCTTCAGGAATCGCTCCAGTACATGGTTTTCCCCAGCGTTTCTCAATTCTGTTTCGTGGGTTAATTTGCCAACATCTTTACACAGCAGCTACCTGACCAACAGGAATACTTACCTTGCCTGGACCCAGTCTCGGCCACATTGCTAGACGAGCCTGGAATACCTGCTCTTCCCGTAGCCATGCTCGCTTTGGTCTGTAGTCGCCTGTCTGGTAAGTCGTAGGCGGTAGGTCCTAGTGAGTCTTAGTTTCGATACGTTCCTAGTGAGTCATAGTTCCAGTATGTTCCTACTGAGTTGTTGTTGCGATGTGCTCTAGTGAATCGTAATTGCAGTAGGTTGTAGTGAGTCGTAGTTGCGATTGGTTATCTTGTGGTGCTTGTCTTGCTTGCTAACAAAGAAACCACCTGTCATGGTTGACGAGCGTCGACCTTATTTATAACTAAACAACGGCAGCAACTGTACAAAACGTGTATTCTCATAATAATTAACACTGTAAACCATCATTTCCCCGAGTTAACTTGTTCGCTCACTCTCACAACTCTCTTCTCGCTTACCTCTCCTGTTGCACGTCTTTCAGCCTCTGGTGGTGACAACACCATCCCTGCGGCTGCAAGTATTGGGAAATAGCATACCGGTACTCAAAGTTGCAATCCTGTTGTTTAGGAAGCCAGGCCTAACGGTAGTGACATTCAACCTACCTGAGGCACTAACACATACACGCGCTCTCCAGCCCTCTGCTCGTGTCGGTGGTACAGCATGATGCGAACATGAACGGCCCCCTCAGCCTAACGGTGAGCTCCAAGACCCAGATCTCGCTTACAGATGAAGAGTGTGAATTAATTGGACAGCCATAATGTGTAAGTAATAATGGTATTGAGGACTGCATCGGAATACAAGCCAGTCATGTGGCTCGAGTCGAGACCGCCCTAAGGTTCTCGTCTTCCCAAGCTATTCCTACCTGGGCCAAGGGCATGGCTGATCTCGCCCGGTTACTTGCAGATGTCTCTCATAGCTTTGCATGAGATTATGCAGCAACGTCTAACTCCGTAGTACGCAACGGCCCCAATTCCTCATAACTACCGCTTCGGTCAGTCACGTTACGCCGAGCAAGAGTGTCATTCTTGCACCGCAAGCCCCTAGTCGGACGTTTTATCCTGGTTGCACCAGTACATTCTCCAACTGCGGTGACATATCAATAGTAAGGCTTTGTATCAACTTGACAGCCTTTACATGCGGCTCCTTCGGGGCTGGGGCTTGTTGTCTCCATCCTCTTCCCCCCTTGTCCTCTGTAGAACAGTGTGTTTCCCAGCATGGCGATTTCGTCTAGCCAAGTCGTTTTTATCCATTCAGCTGATACAACCAAATGCAAAGCACACCGTTCTTTTCTCAATATATTGTAAGCGCGGCGCGCGGTTGTAAGTCGGTGTTCGCGGTTTCGTCTTGGCCGTTGGCAACGTTAATACCCGACCCCTGCTGTACCTGTACAACACTTTTTGATAATTCCTCGACAGCCTTCGAATGGTCCGCGCGTCACACAGGTGTTGGCAGCAGAGTGCACGACCAAGTAGCCTATCTGATCCAGTGTATTCTGTACTAGGATACTGACACGTATAGTAGTAAATGAGGTATACCTGGTTGTGCAGGTAGGCATATTAGTTGAAGTTTTGCGGTTCGAACTGCAGACTTTTGATACTTTGAAGAAGTCGCATGTAAATTTGTATTCGGCAACCATTATTCTGCGCTTCTATCGAGAGGCAATAGAGAAGGTGCTTCATTGCTTGTACACCCACTTGTGCAATTAAAATAGCGCTGCAACAATACAACCCTCATAAAGTGTCCATATATTGATTATCCAAGACTTTTAAATAGCATTTACAGGTTAAAGTATTTAATATAATATTTATAATAATTCTTTTGCGGTTGCTTTGCCTTCCAATACAAATTGTGCGGCCTGCTTCAGGGTAGCGACCAGCCTCGCTCCTATTGGCTAGTCAAGCAACAGCAGCTACGTCACTTGACCAAGGCACAGCAGACCAACCCGCCTCCAAAAAAATCAAGGAGCTGTCGTCAACCGTCGTCGCTTCTCCTCCCCACACTTCTCTTCTCGAGCAACGCCGGCTGCTGTCTCCTCCCGCCTGTTTTCTCATTTGTTATTTACCCCGTGATTTACGGGACGGGACATGCGGCACCATGTTTGACGACGACGAAAAAGACAAGTGCAAGTATGGCTACGGCGTCGACCCCCAGGCGAAAGATGTGCGCGTCCAGCTCATTCTGTCGCTGGCCTTGGGCATCTCAGCCCTGGTTACATTTTGTGTATGTTTGCTTCTTCTTCCAAATCTACTTTCCCATGTTACACCGAGCTCCTTGGGCTAACTGCCGATTGTTCTACCACAGATTCTCCGCCCAAGATGGCCGACACTGTATGCCGCTCGAAAGCGCCGACTCGACCCCAAGATAGACTTGCCTGCATTACCGAAGACCTTGACGGGATGGATTCTGCCTCTGATCAAGGTTACTGAAGAGCAGATTCTGACATCGGCTGGCCTTGATGCCTTTGTGGTAGGTGCCGGGTCCCTCTCCCCTCTTCGAGACCTGTTTGAAGTTGCTAACGCACCATCTAGTTCCTTGCCTTTTTCAAAATGGCCATTAAAATCTTCTGCATCATGGGCTTTTTTGCCGTCGTTGTACTTAATCCGATAAACCTACACTACCCAGGATATTCAGGTATGCCAGGTATACCTGGAAACGGGACCATGGTAGCCCTGGAAGAAGACGACGGGGAGGATAAGAGTACTGAGAAGTCATATCTCTGGGCATATGTCGTCTTTACGTATCTATTTGCCGGTATGACTATGTATATGATCAACACCGAAACGGTCCGCGTCATCCGCATTCGACAAGACTACCTAGGCTCTCAGACGACAATTACCGATCGTACCTTTCGACTTACTGGTGTTCCCGCCAGACTGCGATCCGAAGCACGCCTAACCGCATTAATTGAGAAACTGGGTATCGGAAAGGTTGAGAGCATCACTCTTTGCAGGAACTGGAAGACTCTTGACGACTTGGTTGACAAGCGCCAAATCACTCTACTGAAGCTAGAAAAGGAATGGGCAAAGTACCTCAAAACTCAGCACGATCCTCATGATCATAGCCAGGGGGAATATCGGAATGATGGGGCTACTGAGAATGGTGACGAGGCTCCCCAACGCGACGAGGAGTATGGCGGCGAAAACGAACGACTACTCGCAAGCCAACCCAACCAGCCGCATGTGCTGGAAGGGCAGCGACCCCAGATATCTGTGTGGTATGGCCCATTCCACCTACGCAGTAAAACTGTGGACTCCATCGATTATTTTGAAGAGAAGCTGCGCCGAATCGATGAAATGATTGTCGATGCTCGTCAACAAGACTACGAAGCGACGGACATGGCGCTCGTCACAATGGACTCGGTTGCGTCTTGCCAAATGTTCATCCAAGCTCGAATTGATCCTCGACCTGGCCGTCTCTTGACCAAGGCTATGCCCTCGCCAGCCGATTTGATTTGGCGCAACACGTATACTCCTCGTGGCGTTCGCCGACTCAAGTCTTGGGCCATCACTGTCTTCATCGTCATTCTAACACTCTTGTTCATCTTCCCAACTGCACTCCTTTCTACCTGGCTGAATATTTGCAATATTAAAAAGATCTGGTCCAGTTCATTTGCGCTATGGCTGGGAGACCACCCCATCGTCAAGTCTCTCGTGCAAAATGGTATTCCTACAGTGGCTGTTTCGTTGCTCAACGTGGCAGTTCCGTACCTCTACAACTGGCTTTCCAACTGTCAAGGAATGATTTCACAGGGTGATATTGAACTCTCTCTCATTTCAAAAAACTTCTTCTTTACCTATTTTAACACCTTCTTTGTATTTGCTATTTCAAAGACGGCTGTCGAATTCATCGGTGCATTGAGGGACTTGCTCAAAGACACAAGCTTAATCCCCAGAACCATTGCAGACCGCGTCGAGTCCATGTCAACCTTTTACACCAGTTTCATTCTCCTTCAAGGTATTGGCCTCATGCCCTTCCGCATCCTGCAAGTGGGTGGCGTTTTTCTCTACCCGTTTTACAAGCTGTCGTCTGCCACTCCACGAGACTTTGATTTACTCAAGAAACCTGGCACTTTTCAGTATGGCTTCTATTTACCAACTGCTCTTTTGGTCTTTAATCTTTGCATCATCTACAGCGTCACCAAAGATGGTGCTGGCATCCTCGCGGCAGGAGTTGTGTACTTTACTCTCGGATACTTTACCTACAAGTACATGCTTCTCTATTCTATGGACCAACCACAGCATGCTACGGGCGGTGCTTGGCGTCTTATTTGCCGCAGAATTGTCTTTGGCTTGGTGATTTTTGAAATCGTCATGATTGGCCAGATTGCCACTCACGCAGCCTTTGTGCAGTCTGTTGCTGTTGTTCCCCTTGTACCCTTTACAATCTGGTACAGTTACTACTTTACCCGCCGATTCGAACCTTTGACAAAGTATATTGCGCTCCGCAACATTCACTCCGAGGATGCGGCAAGTGATGAAGCTATTTCCGACGAGGACGTGGACTCTGGAGCGGATAGTTCACGACCACAGACTGTTCTTCGTCGTGGTAGCACCCTGGACGAGCTCCGAGAAGAGGGTCTGTCGTTTGTCAACCCGAGCCTCGTTAAACCGCAAGTGAACGAACATGACTGCTAAACAGATTGAGCTGTGCTAACTGGTTACATTAGACTTGTCCAACCATGGATCTACAAAGATCCTCCTCCTCTGCCTAATGACGATACTCGCACAGAGTCAAGCTCGCAGTATGGCCAGCCCACGTTGGTCCTTCCTAATGCCGACAGTTCGCTCGGTATAGGAGAAGACAATGTGTGGCAGGATGCTCGCCGCTCTTGAAACATTCTTTTCATATTTATACAAGAAGCATTATTCTATACCCTCCTGCACCGGTTTTGGGTTTCAGTTGCCATTTAATATACCACATAGACAGTTTAATACACAATACCCCTTTTCGTTTTTATTCAATTATTGACTCTACCAAAACTGCAAACGTCAAGGCTGCTAAGGCGAGAAGCTGGCAGCTGGCAGCTGGCAGGCTGCACATTTCGTTTGCTCACCTTTTGCCCGTTGCCACTTTCACCACCCACTCACCGACATCATCATTTCTATCACGAAGCCAAGTCGTTTCATTACGGTTTTTTCATAAAACCTTGGTGGAGTGTAGATTGTAATTGTGTGACGGATTTTACAAATGACTGATCAGAAGACCACGGATGGCGTGGAGGTTTGTTCTGACTCAGTATTGCCATCGGATTTTCGTATACTAACCATCACTAGGCCGTGTATGAGGCGCTTAAAAAGTTGACAAAGTCTCATTCGTTTCAGCTCGTCAGCCTTCAGAACGAAATCGAGCGCCTTAAGTCCGAGCGGGAAAAGACTGTCGAGCAGATGACCGATATGAAGGACAAAATGAAGGAGCTGTATACTGAAATGGCCAATCTCAAGGGATTTGTGGCAAGACTTAGGATTGATGGCTTTATGCAGGGCAGAGCCATTAAAAGTGAAGATGACGACGTGGAAGAAACCAGCGAGACGGACGATTTCAATAACGTTGGAATCTTGGATGCAGTACGAAGCCATAGAGACCGCATCGACGCCCTGGTGGACGGAATATTGCGACATGAGAAACGTCGGCTATGCAGCACTCTAGTAGGTTGTGCTTCAACTTACACCATACACGTTTTTGGAAATGTAGCACTGACTCCATTTGGCAGACGACTATTCAGATGATTGCAAACAACATAGACTCAAACGCAAGCCGTCTACGACATGGGAGCAGCGAGTCGCTGAAGGACGAAGAAAACGATTCAAAAGTGAAAGTGAAAGTTGAGCAGTAAACAGAGGACCAAAAAGAAGCAGAATATTTGGTATGCTATGCTATGCTATCTGGTATAAACACCGCGAATGGTGTAGTCCTTCTTCGGCCCGTTAACGGTGTACTCGCAGCACCATCTAGCTAGGTTAACGCTGTTGAACTTGAAGCGGTACTTGACGTCGTAGTAGTCATCAATGCACAAATGGCCAGATTTAGCAGACCACCCTAATCTTGCGTCAGGCTCGGTAAACTCTACCTCATGGAAGAGGTAGTCTGCCTTTTTTTGGTCCTCAGGGTGAGCGAACCAGACACTAAGCTTATCAGAAGCCTCGTCGTAACGGTAGATGTAGCGTCTAGTTGCGCGGAATCCAAAGCCCTGTTCAGTACTAAAAGTTCCGTCTTCAATGTACAGATACTCCCACGCAGTCTCGTGTCCTGAAGGGGTTATATCAGAGGTAGATGTAGCACATTGAAGACCGTCTGGTGTCTGTTGTCGCACTAGGAACTGCGCTGTGCCGCTAAAGTGGCCGCTTGGATGCGACGGAAGCTTACTTGTGAGGTCGCGTTCGAGGTTCCAAGTGCCCAGCAGGCTGCGGAAGACGGCGCGCGACACAAACCGCGGTGATGTCAGTGCTTCTTCGGCCACCTTGGCAGCATCTGCCATGGAGAGCTGTGCTTGTTTATTATTTTCACCATCTTCATTGGCAACTGCGTAGCAGGATGGCGTGAGTGGGTGTAAGGGAAGGTTGTTTGAAGATAGATTGGGTGCTTGTGTAGGGATGGGGGCAGAAAAATCGATTGATAGAGCTTCTGCAAACTCCTGCATAAGAAATGCGTAGTCTCCCATGGGGAATTGAGAGAGTCTGGGGTCGTCTCGTAGAGAAATTGTGCGGGCAATAGAGTCATCTTGTTGAAGCTTTTGCTTGAGCGATTCAGACTGGTTGCCGGACCACAGCTGGGATAGGAATCTAGCCTGCATCTGCATTACACCCCAATAAGGCGAACGGTAGAAGCCGACGAAGCCAAGATTTGAAACCTCGGGGTGATGTGTTGCGTGGAAAGCGAGTGCAGCTATTTGTGAGTTGTGACTTGGAGAATGCTGAATTGTTGCGAGGACATCCTTTGGTAAAAAGTCAAGGCATGGAGAGGCATCGAAGCCAGCCGCTACTACGACAGCAGCTATGTCATCGATGGTAGAACCATCACTGAGAGTGGCGGTATTTGATTCAATCGATTCCACTCTACCAGTGGAGAGCTGGATCGCACCGGAGCGGACAAAGTCGCAGTGCCAGTCGCTGACAGCCAGATAGGCAGGCTCGGATCTGCCCTTGTCGTCAATCTTGAGCTGCTCAGAGAAGCTCGCCTGGTCTGACCCGAGAGACTTTTCGAATATTCCGTGGAGTCGCTTTGCTGCATCCACAGTGATGTGGCCCTGTGAATTTGTGAGTGGACGAGGTCGAGCGTTGCGATTGTATGACGATAGGTCCAGCGGCACGAACGGGGGCGCCGCACTCGATGGCTCGGGCGTTGTGTGAAGAGGGAAGACCCAAATAGGGCGTTGAATGACATGGTGGACTTTGTAGTCTGCGATATCTGCAATGCCTGAGGCGGTGGGGGAATGTGTGGCCGAGGAGAGATGTGACGCAATAGTAGCAGCGATTTCAACGCCAGACATTTGTCCACCAACGACCAGTATTTTACGCCCGCTGCTGTTGGCGCTCTTCAGGAGCTGCTGAATATCCCGGTATTGGCAACTGTGAATTACAGGAATTGTAGCTTTGGCCTTTAACGAGTCTGGTACAATTGGTTGTCCGAAGTAGCCGGTGGCAACGAGCAAGTAGTCAAAGCTGGTTTTGTCTGCACCGTCGGTGGTGATATCCCAACCGGTGGCAGTCTTTTCGGCTGCCTTAACTTTTGTTGATAAGTGCAACTGGTAATCAGGGCTGCTTTCAAGATACCGCTTTGAGTATCGTTGGAGATATTGGCCGACCATCCACGCTTGAGGCAATTGAGGCGCATCTTCGGGCCAGGCAAGGTCACTGAAGTGCATGGTATGCTTGCTTTGATTAGCGACCATGAGAGGATGAATTTGTCGACCTTTTTGAAGTTTAGACGTCGGCCAGAGCCCACCAATATCATCTTGGGCCTCATATACCGAGACTTTGAAGTTGCCTGCTGGTGCATTGTGCAGCAGGTTTTTAGCGGCCACTAGACCAGATGGACCGGCACCTTGTAGAGGGTTAGCGAGTAGCCAATTGTATTCGGATTACAGTTTCTTACCAATGATACAGACTGATTTGGCCATTGTTGCTGCCCGGGCCGTTGTGTTCCGTAGACTCATGGATGTGCTTAAGCTTGGAGTGAAGCTGACGCGCGGGTGGATGCGGCCATGAACGGCTGTGGGGATTGCGCGGTGTGTAAGAGGAGACTTGTTGGAGAGAGTGTTGTTTTTATTATTATTCAAGACATGTTTCAATTTGTAGCAGATGTTGGAGATTCAAACATCAATTGTTAAATTAATGGAAAATTCACAAGGCCATTTGTAGTGTAGGTTGACAAGTTGCCAGTGCCAGTGTAAAGTATACGGAAGCGGGATTGCACTGAAAAAGTTGCTGACATAAGAATTGCACCAACGCCAAATGGATCTGCCAGCAGTCGCGGCACCAGACACTCACCTTCACTAAGAATAGAGATTCTTTGTAAATAATAAATTTTGGGTTTTGTATGAGAGTTTCAGCTTATTTCTGAATAGGAAAAAGATTATTGCTGCGTGACAAAACCAGGCTTGTTGCCATATTGGAATCTCACCGCCGTCTTTTCAGCTATATCCTCCAGTGTGTCCAACTCTTCTACCTGCTCCTCTCTGCATAAATCGCCCTTAGTTTCATATAATAGCAGTGGGAGCACTGAACTCTTCCAAACCGGTCTGGTGGGATCTGTCTGGTCTGCTACAATGACCCATACTAGCAACCCCAGCCCAATTGCTGCGAGCACAATAGGGAAGATGAGCCACTTCCATTCAAACCGAATACAAGTTGTCGATATCTCGACGTTTCCCCTAGCTGCTGGCGCTCTCGTTCCTGAATACACATCAGCACCAAAGTTGCGCATATGGTTAGTTACAGTAACGCTCATGTTGTGAAACGTCTCGTTGATGCTAGCAAACGTCACACTGTTGTTATTCAAAAATGGCTCGAGCCAAAACGCCGGCGATGGTGTTCGTATGGTGCTGACGTTACCAGTATTCCCATCGCGTGTCTTCAAAGGATCCGTTATGCAGAACAACTGACCCGTGTCCCTGTTACGATAGCAACTGCCACCTACCACATACGATGTTATGGATGCTATATCCTCCAGATAAAAGCGCTCTACCATGTACAAACAGTCAAGAGGCACCGTTATGTTAGCACCATCCTTGTTCCAGATGACAAATGTGCGCCCTGGTATTTGAGGTACCTGCGCGATGTTGTCGAGCGTGTAAGTCTTCTGGTCAAGCTCGCATGGCGTTCGTAGACCTGTCATGTTCTTTTCTATCAAATTCCAGAAGTCAACGTTAGGCATGAGTGTGCTCATAGGCGTTGTAGAAACAACTGTTTCGTTGAGCACACCATTTCGGATGTTGGCCTGGTAGTCTTTGATGCAAGGATACATGATACATGCTGCCGCGACGGCCCGATCAAGAGCAATCTTGAATCGCCAGCCATCGTGGTCTTGGAGAGTCGTTGGAGCAGCTACGATGGTGAGATTGGTCATAGCGGAAGATCGCAGCGTCCACATCTCGGGCGGTAGATAGGGTTCCAAACTGTCAGAATATCGCCACTGCCATGTTGACATAACCGTGCTAATATTGTCGATGGTTGCATGATTGAAGGTGAAGTTGGTCTTGTAGTGTAGCTGGTCCATTTTCGCGCCCTTGGTCGTGTCGGTGCAGAGCGAGCAGGCGCCCATGGATGAGTAGGAGATGCCAGGCTTCGTTTCGGGGAATGAGCAGTTGCCCGTGGAACAGAAGAAGTCGATCTGCTTGTTAATAAATGAGGGATTGAAGAAGCTATGAATAATATTTCCTTGTAGCGTTGCGTTGGTCTGTCTCGTTTGGAACATGTTGCTGCCACCATAGTGGGTGATAGGCACTCTTGCACCATTAAGTTCCCGCATTTGGATGCATTCTTCAGTTTGTAGCGCTTGTTGCGTAAATGGACCAATGCCAATAGCTAGTATTGTGAGTACTGACGCTATCCAGGTCGGAGCGTGGTTCGGAAGCGTCGCCAAGAGTGAGACGGAGCCGATGATGCTGCTCTTGGCGTTCTCGAATAACTGGAATTGGTTCATAGGCCGTGGCTTCTTTGAGAACCAGATCCATTTAGATTGGGCAATGATAGTAGCAGCCAAAGCAACGAGGCAGGCTCTCAAGAGATCAGCCAGGATGGAGACGGAAGCGTTAATGTTGATATGCAACGGCCATTCTGGGAGAGTCTTTGTATCATAGTGCGACAGCATGGCGATTACGCTGACAATGATGGCGACAGCGGCCACGCCAGCGATGATTTCCCACATCCAGACTTTGGCCGGTCTTCGTTGACGCTGGGTGTGGACACTGCCTGAGTCTTTGGGCTCGTCGTCTTCGAGTAGCTGCTGATCAGACCATGGCGTTTCGGTCTGCTCTTGTGGAGCTGGGATAAGTTTTAGAGCGATTGTATTCATTTTGAGATAATAAACTAATTCTTGCAAATTGCAAGCGTCTACATTTGTGAAGGAACATGGCAGTGCTCACTTATAAGAAGGCGAAAAGAAACCTCCGTAAAGTTGTAAGTTAGGGAGGTGGCTGCTGTCGGTAACATAGCCAATCACAGATCAAGAGGATGTCTCCAAAGCAAAAAAAGACCAGACTTGGAGTAAAGTATCTCTCGAATTGTGTGGTTGTACTGCATGAGGATCTGTATTTCAGTACAGCTCAGCCTGGTTAACTAGGCAGACATCGGGCTCACCTCGGGCATACCATCCTCAAATAAAAGCATGAAACATGCACATATAATTTAATATATAACTTAATTAATATTATAGATTCCAAGTTTATAATTATTTGTATCAAAGACCTGTGGTGAATTTACCTATTCCCAGCAGCGATATTTTGGGGCAGATCGGGGATTCTAAACCGAGCTGGCGCATCGATCGATAGGCGATGACACTGCAACAAAGGATAACGAAATTGATTATACTTCGATGTAGTTATAGAATTATTATTATTATTTGGATCCCTTACAGACCACTAAGCTAGTATTTGAACCCGAAATCTCCTAAAATGGAATCAGTTTACTTCTGTCTACCAATCACAATCGGAGACGCGGAGAATTGAACTACCATCAACTGGCAGTTTCTCCGTCTAAGAAATGGTCTAGCGGGGAATAAAACACCGAAATCCCACAAAACCTCACCGCAAACTTTTCCGCAGAGCCTCATGGCCCGCTGGAGCTTACACGTACTTTTGGCCTTTTTCTATGAATTTAATCTTTCTTTATTTATGTGAGACAACTAGTACTATCGGTGTAATAGAATTAATATTGAATGATCTGTCATATACATCATACTAACATTATCTGTTCAATTGGACTTGTTCAATTACAAACCCATTGGATAGACTTGACAGGAGATGCCGCATCAATATTCGCACAACCTGCTGCCTGCGCCTGGACGACACCAATAGAGGCCCCGCTACAGTTGGTTGTTTCAAATAGCTGTACCGTGTAATTGCTTGGGCAGTTACCATTGACATAAACGGAATGCCAGCCATCTGCCCGTTTGCACATCGCCTCACCCACTGGGACTTCGTGCTTGTGATAATGGCCTACGTCTCCGTCACAGTGTGCGCCACGATACATGACGATGTTAGCAGCGGAAATGCCGGAGATGCAAGTAGCCATGGCTACTACAGTGGATATAGCCTTCATTTTTGTTGATGCTAAAGAACAGGTTAGTCAATAATTTCCCAGGGTAGGTGAAATAGTGCGAGCAAATACATCTGCACGTACACTATAAAGTAGAAGAACAGGTTGGGGAATTAGAACTATAGAATATAAACTATTCTGAACTTCAATACACAGGTCTTTTATAGTCTGATTCGGGATGATCAGGCTTTGTTCTGGAGAATGAACTTGTCACTCAGTAACGTTTTCGGATCTACAGTCGTATACGGCAGAAGGCTGCTCTTATTCGTATCAAGTCACAAGCCCAAAGACATACAGATAGTTTGTCTCACTGACATCAAATAGTTGTTCTATCGTGCGCCACAGCCTGATTTTCCATCGGAATAACTAGAATAACTAGATACATCGGCCGCTCGATGGCATGCACATAGGTTGCTTACTGATACGGCGCCACATTCATATTGGTGGTACAACATGTCCTTGACTCAACAGCGTAGTACTACATGGGCGCTCAGCACTTTTGTTTGCAATAGATCCACTATGAATACCCCCTACTTTTAGCTGCTAGTGACTCGGGGGACGTAGTTGATGTCGATCCGGCAGGGGCTATCACAGCCGGAGTGCCTCAATGCCAGGGTGGTGAGTAATAGCCCTGCTAACCCGGTGCCCGACATCGTCAAAAGTCGAATGTGGCGCTCAAGTAACAACATTGATTAAACAACGGTTAGATGTACCGCTCAACAACTGGTATGATGTTGCGAAATACAAGATGGAAAAAGTATATAAAGATGACCTCGTCGCCCCGGAAAAGACAAATCTTCATCTCCAGCATCAAGCAACTCAGACAGCTACAGCTTAACCACCAACAAACCAGTAAGATCAAATTTCACCTATAAATACAGTCTGCTGCCCTTACGAATACAAAGCTAACCATGCTACAAGCTCCATCAAAATGAAGTTCACTCTTGCCCTCACCCTTGCCACTACCGCCTCTGCTGCTGGTATCATTGGCTACAGCGGCTCTCACTGCGATGGCGATGCTGGTCACTACGACAAGGCTTCTCCCCAGGAGGGACGTTGTGCCAAGATGGGCGGACGCCACTCTGTTCAGTTTGACGGTAACTGCCCTCACCAGTACAATGTGCAGTTCTTCCCCTCTGGCGACTGCAGCGGCTCCTCTTCTGGTGTTGCCTACCCCCAGCCTGCTACCTGCTGGAACATCAACACTGGTGGCCCTGTCAACTCCATGTTCTGGGTCTGCCCTTAAAGAATTGGACATGAACATGATGGGGTATTCAGGCCGCAGGTATATACACAAGAGTGTCTAACAACGTACACAAGTATCTTGCGGTGATTTAGATAATAATATATTTTATTATTACCCCCATATATATGAAGATGTGATTGAGAATGTATAATTGTAAAAATTATTATCTGCTCATTACTGTAACGACTACTACAACAACTTGTATCTTTGGTGAAGACTATGTATGGGCTGTCTGTCTGTTCCTGGCGCAGTGGGTCGCGGCGTGCCATTCCGGCGGGCTTTCGGTGATGTGGCGCGATTGGAGGAGACCAAAAACCCCGGAACCCCGCCGCCATCTATGAAGCCATGTCGTCATAAGCACATCCTCCGCTTGCATCGAAATTGAAATCCAATTGCGTTCAACATTCATCTTTCCTTTTTAACCCAAAACAAACACTTTCCATCAACCAACTCCAATTCCACACCCGCATCAACACCAAAAAACTCAAAAAATGGCTGCTCCTCACCATGTCCTCGTCCTCGGCGGCCACGGCAAAATCGCCCAGATGCTGACCCCTCTGCTCCTCAAGCGCTCATGGACTGTCACCAGCATGATTCGCAAGCAGGAGCAAGCTGCTACCATTGAGAAGCTTGGCGATGGTCTTCCTGGCAAGCTCAACGTTCTTGTCAGCAGCATTGACGACGTAGACAGCAAGGAGAGAGCTTCTGCTATTCTCAACCAGGTCAACCCTGACTACGTCGCCTGGAGTGCCGGTAATTTGCCACTGATGCATAACCTTTAATTTCTATTCGGATTGCTAATAACTAATAGGTGCCGGTGGAAAGGGTGGTGCCGAAGCTGTGCGTACCAACTAACAATGCTTTTTCCAAGATGGTCGGTAGCTAACTTGTTTTCTTTCTAGACCTACAAGATCGACCGTGACGCCGCTATTCACTTTGTCCAGGCCGCTGCCTCCATCCCATCTATCAAGAAATTCCTTCTTGTCTCCTACAATGGCTCTCGACGTGATGCTGCCCCATGGTGGCAGCGCGACGAGTGGGAGGAGTACAACAAAAAGGTCAACTTTGGTATCCTCGCCACATACTACCAGGCCAAGATTGCCGCCGACGAGGCCATGTATGAGGCCTGTAAGAAGAGCGAGAACTTGGTTGGCATCTGCCTGCGCCCTGGTACTCTCTCTGACGACCCTGCTGGAAAGATCTCTCTGGGCAAGCTTCCTCACGTCAAAGGTAATGTGCCCCGCGAGACGGTTGCCCAGGTCGCCGATGCCCTGCTTGCTGCTGAAGGTATCAAGAACACTTGGCTGGATCTTCTCTCTGGTGACGACGAAATCGAAGCTGCCGTCGGCCGCTGCGTCAAGAATGGCGTCAACACTGCCGAAGGAGAGGCCGTTTACGACATTTAAGCAACAAACAAAGCAAATCATAGCCCGATATTCTAATCACTAACAATTTGTAATAAACAACCTTTTATATACTCCAGCTTCTGTTATCGTCAAATGCTCTTCGACGCACCTGGGCATTGCTCAAGGTGGCCATTTGATGTGGTGGTCCAGGAGTTGGTCTAGCCCACCGCCGCTTCAGACCTTCTATACAAAGGGCTGTTTCTTCTTTCACGATGACCCAGCCAGTTGTGAAATAAATGATGGCATTCCAAACTCCCTGCAGCGGAAGAACACACCCACTCGCTATGCTGAGATGGAAACTGACTTTTCCATCATTCGCCAGGCTGTATAGTCTATTGACAGAGCTTGGGATCCAAGTGATCAAAACGGAGAATCCGAAAATGAAGCTCGTGCGTAGGTATGCCATCTTAACTGGGTCCAGCCGCGCAAGCTTTGACTTTGCCTGACGCTTTAGCGAGATTAATCGAGCCTTGACTTTCATAATACCACTTGGATCCTTCCTGTGGCTCTTTGTGCATCGCCCTTGTCGGACATGGAGTGAGCTTACTGGTGTACCGCAGCAGATGATGGCTTCGTGCTGTACAGGTGGCAAAATGGGTGCGCCATGGACATCGTATCGCATGTCGTCCGACGTAACTTGTACTTCAGTAACTACAGTTCCATAACAGTCGGGCTGCATGGGCAATATCTTAGATGTTGTTAGCTCTTGTGAGTCGTCTCTAGAAAATGATCGTACTCACGCCCTCGGATGATTCTCCAAATGTGCTCCTCGCTTCTGATGCGGTGTGGCCGGTGTTGACAGAATCATTCTTGTTGAAATGGCGAAGCTTATTGCGATAGTAAAAGACCCGAAAACCGACGGCGATATAGATGACGGTCGAAGCCAATATGCAGATCCATATTGGTATGTAATATGCGTATAATCGGACATGACCCCAGTTTGAGCCTATCCAGCACCACAACTACAGAAAATTAGTACAATCACAAATATCTCATATATTCATGAGAGAGAACCATACTGTAGCATCACCAAACACAGGGCCTCTTGGATCCCCGCGGATAGATATCAAAACAACGGCTGGGATCATCGGTCCACCGAAGCAGGCAATGCAATATGCCCATGCGTATTTTCGAAAAATAGTAGGGTCAGTGTTGAAAAAGAAAACGAGAAAGACATTAAAGGCCATGGCAAAAGACCACCATGGATCGGATTGCATAAACCTAACGTCGTTAGTTGGTAGTAATGTGCAATGACACAGACGTCTAAGCTCACCATTCAAAGATAAATGCTTGCGCTTGACAGAGAGTCGATTTGTCACCACGAAACAGCCCATCGTAGCCCATCATGGATGCTATGCTTGCTCCAGCATTTGCAAGAGAAGCAAACACGAGAAACAAATTAGGCGTGGTTCGAAGTCGCTTAAATGCTGCAAACGTTGATATTGTCAAGATGATGGCCACCATGGAGAGGCTCGCTCCGGTTCTCTCTATAGTGATGAGAATATCTGTCTGGCGAGCAGACAGACTGTCTTCGCCTGTGATTTGCTCCATGATGAGAGTTGATTTTGATCATCTCCTTGAAAATTTTCCAGGGGATGCCTCCAATACAAATACGATCGCTTGTATCCACGTTTCACAGGTTTGCATGGCAGCTGTAGCACAGGTGTGGATAACAGAAGGCATTGTACATGCGGGTGAATCTAGTACAAGTCTGTAATAAAGTGAAGTTGTTTGCCTACTCGGAACCGACGCTGGTCTAAATTGGTCATGATTCACGACGTGTGACTAGGCAGTCGTCACGCTCTGGTAAACGGCCAAGCTAAGAACAGTCTTTTTTACGGACACTTCAATTACATAGTGAATCTTTTGCGGCAAGTTAGTGGATGTATATTTTGTTTGTATTATAAATCTACCAGTGGCGATGCACTTAGGCCTTGTTGCATGTGCCGCCGTAGCACTTCAAGCCTGCAGCGCAGTCACAGTGCCAATACGAGTTGCCGCTTCTCAACTTGGCATCATCTACGTCCATGTTAAAAGGCTATTCTCGAAAAAATACATAGAAATGGAGATTAAACTTACTGCAGAAACCGTCAAGCTTACCGAGAGCCTCGCAGGACTCTTCGCCCTTGACACTCGTGACACAGCACTCGCCACTTCCACACTTGCCACACGCCTATATTATATATTAGTATAAAATCTTCATCTAAGATAACTGTGACTTCTGTCTTACTGCGACCGCCATCAAAGGCATGATGAAAAAGATAATGTTCTGGAACAACATGGTGATGTATAATATGTGGATTGCGGGAGTAGGAACATCAACAAAAGCTCTTTTGTTCAGTACATGCCGTCCCGTTTACTTATAAAGAAAAAGTATTCCTGTTAAAGCAGTAATGAAGGGAGAGCCCTTCAATCGCTTGAGCTGGTCCACGATCATGAAGCGTGTCTCACCTTGTCAACTCCGCATACCAACTGGCTAACAAGCTGCGTTCCTGTATGGCGAGGATAACGTCCCTGTACCAGGGTATTTTCCATCATAATTCAGACTAGACGTGAAGATCTCTGACCCAAGCTTTGCGATTGGAACGCTCGAGGGCAGAGAACAAGCAATGACGTAGCAATCCCATGAAGCTGCGTCTGTAGAAACTGGGCATACATTACGAGACTGACGACCACTCTGGTCGGACTTCGACTTACACATATATATAAAATAGTGATTGAGTATACCGTGCCAATACAAGAACAAAAGAAAAGTCTCTACCTAATTCAATTGTTGTTTAGCCTTGTAGTGGCCTACAATATGACACCTGGGGAAAATGAAAACAACAGAGGCCGCCTCGGCGCCGTCGATTGTTCAACATTCCAGTGACGACAGGGTTCGGATACTCGGCTCACAGGACGAAGTGCCCGGGCCGTTGTCATCGAAACTTGGCAGAAGAATAAAATGCTTTGTTTAACAAAATTTCAGCGAATAGTACAGCCCATGGATAACTGTTATAAGGCATATTTCACAATAGGAATGTACAGGCTAGGATAACGTTTATGGTGTAATGATCTTAAAACAGTAGTTGTCTCAATTACAAAATAAACACGCCATATTAGCAAGTATGCAGCAGTAGTAGAGATAATAAGAAAGTCGATAAAAATATTTTGGACATAGGTAGTCACGTACTTTTGTTAGCGTCTTGACAGAAGCTTGGCCCTCGGCTATCGATTCAGCTACGCGGGGGTGGAACCATTCGTCCCCGATTCACCATCATCACCATTCGGCTGCATGCTGCTGCAACTATACCAATCCATAGCAGAGCTGACGAGAGGCTCGCTAAACACAGAAACAGATGGATTCTTTTAAGCTGGAAAGGCTCATCTGCCCTGCTCTCAACATCTTACCGCCAAACACATCGCCGAGGATATATGCCGACGCCATTGCGTACTTTGAAGCTATTCCGTGGACCGCCGCCCTGCTCAAGAAGCCGCGCACAATTGCATTCGTTCCACAAACAGTGAATCCGGCGGATGAGAATGACAACCAATTCTTCTCTCAGACGCTTCTAGGCGAGCGCGGTCTGAGACACATGCTTTGCCTCTTCACCTGCGACGACGATGCCCACGCGCGAGACCCGGAGCGACCAATCACCAAGGTCCACGTACTATACGCTGTTGGACCAGCGCTGGGCGGATATCCTGGCATCTTACATGGCGGTATGACCATGACCATGATGGACGAGGGCATGAGCGTGATCAACGAGCTGAACCTGGCGCTGGGCAAGACGAGCTCTGTCTTCCAATCTACGAGCGTCACGGCCGGGTTGGACATCAAGTTTGTCAGAGGGGTTCCCATTGATAGCTGCGTATGCGTGACGGCACAGGTAGATGGCTGGGAAGGACGCAAGACGAGGATAAGCGCCGTATTAACAGGGGCGCAGAATGAGGTGCTTGCAAAATGCACCAGCATGTGGGTAGCCTTGAAAGCAAAGGTATAAAAAGGCAGGGGTTGCATATGGCGTGTACATGTATATAGAAAAGACAGATGGGTATATTTGTGGTCATTCTAAAACACTAAATACATACAATAAAAAATGTCCTAAATCACTACTGCGCTCATTCGCGTCATAATTTACTGGGAAGGACCGCCGCTGTTTGGATGGCGCAGCTTGGAGCCAACAGCCTTCTTAAACGCCTTGGGGTCCTCGACAGCGTTAAATACCTTTTCTCTCTTGCTTTGGTGGCCCTGCTCCCAATCGTCGGCTCTGCTCTCCAGATCGCTTTCGTTGGAGCTCAGGCTGCTCTGGCTGCGGTTGAGGACAAACTGCATCATGCCGCCTTCATTCTTCTTGGCCTGGCGCTGTGCCTCCTTGAGGTCTTGCAAGTTCTGGTCCTCGCAATGCATCACTACAACACCGAGGCCAGGGAAATTATCTTCAAAGAATTCCTTTAGCTTGGGCAGCATATCCTTGTTTGGTCGGTATGTGCCCGAGTCGTTGTCGATAATGAGCTGGTAGTACGACGGGTTTGCTGGAGGCGAATCATCTGGCGGGCCGCCTGGAATAGGCTCGGTCGGATGCGTCTTCTGGTCGGGTTGCACCTTTTCCGAAGCATTCGGGTTCTCGAGGCGGCGGATGAGGAACTCTCCCGAAAAGGCAATGTATGTGGCCACGTCTGAATGCATGGTGTGTTTGCTCAGGAGGTCAATGCCAAACTCCTTGCCTGTTTCTGTGAAGCGAAACGTGCCGTCTAGAGTAAGCACGTAGGTAAAGGTACGGCAGCCTTCATCGTAATGGGCCATCTTGAGGAATTGGCGAGTCGCCTCTTCGGAGCGTGGCTCAAACGTGCCGTACTCGGTAGACTGGTCGAAATTGTAGATGCGAGCATGCTGCTTGTGCAACGCCTTGTTGAGGATCTTGCCACGAAGGCCCTTGGATTCAAACATGGAGCCAATTACGGGTCGGAATTCGACAAATCTGTGGTACAGCTCGGGAGGCACAGGACCGGCGAGCTGCATTTCGTTTGCTTGAAAGCTGTTGCACTGGTCAGCGAAGCACGGCTTGAACGCTGGCGAACTAGACTTACTCGTATTTCTGGTTTTCTGAGGTTGTTCCATTCTGGTTGCCTTGGGCCCTTGTGTCGTCTTCTTCATTCTGGTTTACAGTCATTCCCACCAGTCTTCCAATCATGGGACTAAAGTGCTTGATCCATTTCGTCGGAGATAGCGTGTGCATCTGGCCATGAGGCGGCGCGGACTTGCCCAGCACTTCAATGCTGATTCTAACCAGAGGAGCCATGTGCGTTCCGCTGGAGCACAGAACCATGAGTGCCTTTGCTACAAAAGCACGCTTGCTCATGACCCTCTTCTTAGCGGCAAAGACTTGGCCTGGGGGAGGGATGCCTTCCCAGTCTTCATAGACTTGGGGTATCTTGACCGTCACATTTCCAAGTCTGTCGTTTGCATTATTTCTATCTTCGTCGTAGAGTCGGCATTTGAGAGTGAAGCCGCTGGGCGGTACGTTAGCGACCACCCATTCTTCTTTCCAGTCGGGGTTTGTTGTAGTGTGATGGGTTCTTGTGCGGTACGTCAAGTCGGGGTCTTCTTTGTGACGCTTTACTCCGGGTGCCTTGAGCGTCGCATGGAGAAACGGATCAGACGAGGCACTGCTGATATCTGCTGGTGCCAAATTTCGTGCTGAATGAAAGGTGAAGCGAAGCGTGTAGCCGGGAGGAGCAGCTGGCAGTGGTGAAGAATCGAAGCCTCCAGGTGGCTTCTCGCTGGAATCTGGTTTAGACATCGTGGCTGCTGCACTAGCGGCGAATAAAAAGCGATGGGATGAAAAGGAGTAAAAAAGAAATCAAGCTAAGCAAGAGGAAGCTGCGATGAAATCTCTTGGCATCCGACGATTTTCTCTGGATTGGCGGCAGATGTTCTTGTTGTCTTGTTGCAAGTGGGAAATGGTGGCTGATATTCTGTAAACGCCATCATGACGACAGTGTGATCAGCCCCCAGCCCAACAATTAAAACTTGCTGAAATTAAATCAATTAAAAAAAATTGCAGATTAGACACCGTCTCGCTCCTCCTCCACACGAGCCGCAAATCAAGAAAATACCAAGCTTTTTTCTATTCTAGTGGCCGTTGGTGGCGCTAGTCCTGCCCAGCTATGTCACCTTGCAGCGCACGACTCACACCTTTGTCCCTGCTGTAGTCTCGCCCCCGTTAGCGGTCCCCACCACTGAGGCATCCACTGCAACAACGAGACCCTCGTGTTGACTCCCCTGACGTCACCACCTTGCGCCGATCACCAGCTATAGGAGACCGCCACAATGAGAATGAATCCTGTTTGTTGCATTTTTTTCTATTATTGGAGAACTACGCATTGTGTGTTCGTTGGTCACAACACAGTGCTTGGTATAGTTGACGCATGAATTCAATTACGATTGTCTACAAGTAGTGCTATAAATCTCATTTACAAGTACATCTTTTCAAACCCAACAACATGCCACTTGCCCGTCTCTGTGTTCAGCGTAACGTTTGTGTGCTTCACCTCTCCGTCCTTAACAGCACCGCCTTCAACACGGCCGTTGGCAATTGGGCGCTGCAAATGGTTTGCGTTGTGCGGCACGGTAAAGTTAGCGAGCGAGAGATCCCAAGGATTGCGAGTAGCGACAGAAGGCGAACCTGGAACTATGTTAGCCTACACTGATGCTCTTCAAGTTAAGGATTTCCATACAGACACAACTTACCATAGAACTTGGCTTTCACAGCATCTGGGCTCACGCTTAGATGAAAGTACCCGCGGTAGTATCCCTCTTGCCACATCAACTCCTCATTACGGTGAACAAGGCTCTGTGCAGCCTTGTCGCCAGCATTAATCGTGCCCTTGAAGCCACTTGATGAAACTGCAGTGCCAGCAAACTCGACACCGACAGCACCAGCACCGGTCTGGTAGTTGTAATCCTTTGTTCCCTGCCAAGCAACATCCGCTACCCAGTTCTGATGGGTGTCTCCTGCAAGGAAGATGTTGTTGCCAATCTTGTTGTCGTAGAGGTGTTGCAAGGTTCGGTTTCGGTTTGCCGCGTAGCCCTTCCCAACGTTAGCAGTTATTCGAGTCGATATCAAGTGCATGTATATACTCACATCCCAAGCATCACCATTGACCTTGCCCTTGTCGTCATAGTAGATGCGGGAAAAGACAATCTGGTTACCAATAATGCGCCACTTTGCTCCACGGTCGTTGGATTGGCTCAATGAACGGTAGAACCAGCTCTCTTGGCGGGCACCCATCAAGCTGCGACTAGGGTCATCCTTGATGCTATTGATGTATTGCGAGTTCCAGTCTGCAAAGTATTGTTAGAATGTTTCAGCACATCGATGTCGTCTAACTGTTTATCGCCTTACAGAGATCAGTGATGCTGCGGTCGTAGTTGCGAGTGTCCAAAATGATGAGATCCATGAGCTTGCCCATCTGGAAAGATCGCCATACGCGAAGACCATCATCCATGTCGGTTTGGCTATAGATTGCGTTATTATTAGCTTTCCATTATCGCTTTCTAAAGATTAGGAGGTCTTACCGAATGGGCATCCACTCAAAATAGGCACGAACAGCGTGCAACTTACGGCTGTCGACGCTAATCTTAGGACCCTTGTTGAGGAACGAGTCCTCTGTGTTGTTCAGGTTTGCGAAGCCATCCTTGTAACCGTTGTCGGCGAATTCTAACATAATTAGCTTACTGATTGAGAATAGCAAGCGACTTGTGGCTTACCGTGGTCATCCCAGGTGGTAATCCAGGCAAACTTTTGAGAGAGAAGCTGCAGATCAGGATCATTGCGATACTGTTTATTGTTAATTAGCTAAGGCATTGTCTTCAATGAGATAACGTACCTGGCCATGGCGCGTTCGATAGTCCTGCAAGGTAAACAGCAGACTGTTGGGCTGCGCAACGCGAGGTTTGCTGACGGAACTGTTGTACTCGTAGATGTAGTCGCCAAGATGGATCACGTAGTCGTGCTGATCCTTGCGCGCAGCATTGCCATACGCGTTGAAGTATCCGTTGGCTTTTGTTTTATTCGTTTAGTGGCATTGCGCCTTTGATTTACAAATTCTGTCTACTCACGGAAATTGCTGCAGGAGAAAACTGCAAAGCTGAGCTTGGAGACGTCATCGTCCTTGGTCGGAGCGGTCTTGGTACGTCCAATGGGGCTCTTGTTGTCAGATCCGCAAACGTTGAACTGATACCAGTACTTAGTCTTGGGAGTCAACCCAGTAGCCTCAACCTGTTCCAATCAGTTAGCAACAAGAGCAAATCAATGCAACAAAGCCTGTGACAAACCTTGACAGTGTAGTCGATATCGGACGTGGTGTAAGCCTTGCCGCTTGCAACGACATTTTGTGTAGTATTGGAGCACTTGCTCTTGAAAACCTTCCATTCCACACAAGTAGGGTTGGGATCGGCCTTGATGTAGCGCTCCGTCTCATGGCCATAGAGTGGTGCGCTGCCCGAGACAGTGACATTGCTCGCATCCGATTCGTTTGAAGGAGCAATACGAGTCCAGAGAATAACACTCTCGGCCCAAGGGTCACCAGAAGCTACGCCATGAGTGAAGTGAAGTTCAGACGGCTTATAGGCGACGTTTCCTCGTTTCCAAGAGCGACGGGCGACAAGGCCAACGTCAATGCCAAGACCATCATGGCTTCGGGATGGACTGCCATAGTTGAGGTTACCATCGAAGCTCCCCAAAACAGTCGAGGCTGTAAGAACAGCGCCGTAAATGAACTTTTTCAAAGACATGAGGAATTAGACGAAAGTAGCATTGCCCACCACATTAGCCTGCGGCGGCGGTGCACGCACCACCGCTTCCTTTATACATGTATCTCAACAAAGCGGACTTTTAACCGGTCGGCTTTAATTAAACTCTTCATCTATTGAGCTAGGCGATTTAGTCAGTGGATAGAACTGTCGTCATGAATCGCCTGTGGTCTACACGTGCCTGGAAACCTTGCCCGTAAATTCCCCACGATGGCTTCAAACGCCTATCAAAAAGGGCCACTCAGCAGCCTGACATTACTAGCTAATCGGAAAACGTGGGCAAGCCATCCGCAGCCATTGGCGCTATGCGGACGTTGGGGGTGGAGCTGCTGGTAAACTTTAGCTCATGAGCTTAATCTGTGCCTAGTTGGGATATAAGTCTACCCAGTGATCGTCGCTTCAGCTCACAAGAACCTATTACAAATAGAGAATAATATGGATGAAAGTGAAAAGTTCGTCATGTCGAATTTTTATTTGATACTATGTCGACGTTATTGTCGCTGATATTTGTTTCAGTACCCAAAGCGAGATATAAGAAAGATGGTCCCAAAACAGCAAACTCGTCGCGTTGCGTTAGTCAGGTATGCAGGGCGCCGTGGGTCGCTCTGAAGCCCTCACTAATATATAGCGGTATTATCCGGAGCAATTAAACGGCTTTCCCGGGCGAATACCCTTTCCGTGGTCTCAATGGAGATACAGCTGGTCGACAACGGCGAAGTCGGCGAGTCGGCGACGCAGGGAGTGTCTCTGCTGAGTGGTTGGCGTCAATCGTTTGCGTCTGCAGAGTGCATTGTTTAGATTGGTCCTCGTCATGACTTTCAATAACGAAGAGACTGTCATTTGTAGTGGTCAGAGAGGGCTGTGTAGAACAACACGCCTCCAATTCTTCGTACTTCCGCTTTCTATGCGTCTTCTTCTGTGGCTTAGATTCAAAAATCGACGCAGCCATACCCATCAAATCCGGTTTGATTTTCCCCTCGCCAACCAACTCAGCTATTGGTTTCAAAATCTGGGCTGCGTCGGGCGAAAGCTTGAACCTGTTCTTAGAAACCTGTTTGCTTGGGCCGACTGGGGTGGAATAGTCGACGGCTTCAAACTTTTCGCCCGTAGATAGTCTCCATTGGAGGCCGACATCATGTTGCGACTTTTCAGCGGATACTAGGTAGATCAAGAAGTGCTGGATATATGCGGTAAGAAGCAGATCAATGTCCAGCATAGATCGACTTGGGTAACGTAGCAAATAACGCTGTCGTGCTTTTAACATCGCCACAGCGATGAGCTGACAAGCATATTGGGGGATTTTGCTACCGTGTTTGGCCGCACCTTTGGAAACGGCTTTCCAGAATCCGCCATTGCCAGAAGAAGCCAACTGCTTGCGGTGTTTGTTGCACAGCATGAGGATCCTCGTGATTTGCTGGAAGCTGGTCCCAAACCCATTGCCTCCACTACAGCCAATGAGATATGTAATCACTCTATGATCTTCGTCGACATTTAGAAAGATGGGAACGCCTGGTGGGAAGTAGAGTCCATCTAGCTTCGACCGTACCTGTCGTAGCACCGCAGCTTTCTCGCAGGAGTATTCTGCAGCAGAGTCAACTGTCCTTGGAATAGCGGTTCTTCAGGTTGTCATGTTACTCAATATATCTTCATACTGAAGCTAATACGACTTACATCAAAGGAGAAGGCAGAAGACCATGTTTGGCTACTGTTGTAGATTCAGAAGACATTGCCCCGTTGTGTATATCGAGATTTAGACGTAGTTGAACGACAGGTGTGTGCTAAATGAAGCTTATTTTCTTAAAAAGTGGTACTGATGCAATCAAATATTTGGAAGATATATATACTGATTCAAGCTGACCTCTTCACTTGTATTTGCTTCTTGTTATAATTCACTGTATTTCTAGGTTGGGAGAACAGCGGCTTCCGAATAACAACAGGCTGCCAGCTGGCAGACGGCTGTTTGCATCTGGCGACTCCGAGCAAACGGCAAATATTCTGGCGTCATAGGAAGCAGCATTACGTGGCCTTGAATATTGCCTTGTTTTTTTAGCCATTCGATTTTATCTTTGGCTTTCTACGATGCTCTATCAGCAATGGACAAAGTTGGGCGTGAAGGAGCGCCTACCCTACGGCGCTCATAACAGACCGCTGATACATCCAATACAGTTCTATGTGCACTAATTTTATGAGTAATATTCTTTATAAATTTCAAAAGAATCTATAAACATATATTTGACTTAAAATGTATCTAGCTCTCAAGTAGTGGCGGTGTTTTTGTCCTGTTCGTACTCTACACTATAGGTGCTATATACTTGCCCATGACGCTGAACGGCGATGGCAAATAGTAGGCTCCAAGTCATATAGAACTCAGATAATGTTTATTTGTTTGTCAAATATAACATTTTCCTTCCCTCTAATCCTGCCATACGGAATTGCGCAATTTCTTAAACTTTCCCCAACCTTCTTTGGCGTCCCCCCAACGCAAGTACAGTACGTACCTCCGCCCCAAAGCCCGGCTCTCAATGGGACTGTGCAGCCAACAGCCCACCCACCGCACATCGTGATTGGTCGCCGCTGTCTGTCGTCATCGCCGCCAATCATAACACAGCTGCCCCGCCATTTGATCCTCTTCTGCCCCGCCAAGGCACAGCGCAAAGACAGGCAGTCTACAGGCTTCGAATCCAAGCTGTAGCTCTAGAAACCGCCGAATGAGAATGGCCCATTCGTCACGTCTTTTTTTCTCTCGGTTTTAAAAGGCCCCAGTGTCCACCCCGGTTCTGACTTTGCACTTCCCCTCACCATCACAACTCCAATCTCTTCCATCTCCCCGTCTTTTCTACAATCAATCATCATGGGTGTTACCAAGACCATCATCAAGGAGGGTTCCGGCCCCGTCGCTCAGGTTGGCCAGCGCGTCACCATTGAGTACACTGGCTGGCTCAAGGACACCTCCAAGCCCGACAACAAGGGCAACAAGTACGCAATCCGACCCATGAAAGCGCTTTTGCCCATGATCGCTAACCTGTAACAGGTTCGACTCTTCCGTCGGCCGTGGTGACTTCACCGTCCAGATTGGTGTTGGCCAGGTTATCAAGGGTAATTGAAATCCCCCGAGCTTTACAAAAAAACCATTGTCTAATAACCTCATAGGTTGGGAAGAGGGTGTTACCCAGATGAAGGTTGGCGAGAAGGCCACTCTTGACATCTCCAGCGACTTCGGCTACGGTGCTCGGTAAGTTCCTGCGCAAGCAAAACCAGATCCCAGATCTAAGGGGTTCTGGCTAACTGTCTTCTCTACAGCGGCTTCACCGGCCACATTCCCCCCAACGCTGACCTCATCTTGTAAGTACAAACAGCAAATCCTGCATACTTTTCATGCATGGCTAACCTGAAGTAGCGATGTTGAGCTTAAGAGTGCCCAGTAATTGTGCCGCCGTTACGGTCGAAATTAGCTAATGACTAGCATGAAACACTGAAGAATAAATGAATATACAATATCTCAAGACTGCCATAAGGGTTTCCCATGGTGTCAAATTTTCTTATTATTTTCTGTCTTGTGTTTCTATTGGCGCTGCACATTTTTCACCGTTCGCTAATATTCGCCCACTTACTATTCAAAGCTGCCGGTAGCATCGCATTGTTCGTTTTGGGCAACCCCAAATTAGCGCGGTAAATTCAGCGAAATAATCGCCTTGAATGCAGCCAAATATGTTACCAGGCGCATCAAAGACCACGGCTTACCGTAGCTTCCCCCAAGCTGCAGGCGACGCCATCGCCACACCAACAGCTCCCCACCATTAGCGCCGTCTGTTGCCCGTTGCCCCTCACTGCCTGGCTGCTGGAACATTCCCACATTAACCCGTGCGGCCAGCTGCATTACCTCATCAAACAGTCACAAGCAATCTGTCCGCCGCCGCCCAGCTTCGCCTCTTCCATCGTTCTTCTGTTTCCAACCTGTCCTCCTCACACCTCAAAACAACCACTAAGTGTCTGCAACCTGCTCTGCAGACTTTTCTGACCTCAACTCTTCTCAAATCAACCTCTCGTTCCGAAGCATCCTGTGGCGGGGTTGAGCTCGACGCAAGGTGCTCGACCGCGACTTCAAGATTTCGTCCCTGCCTATCGAAACAGGCACGCTGGCGAAGCGAAAGCTCTCATCTGGGGAATCCCAACCACATCTAAAACGAAATATGGCCGTAAGTGCTGATCGGACGCCGAGCAAGCGCTGGACTGGACGCTAACTTTACCCCAAAGGACAGCACCTCCATGCAGGTCGACTCTGGCGCTGGTGCGCCAGCTAACACAGAGATTGATGAGTCCCTTTACAGTCGTCAACTTTATGTTCTTGGCCATGATGCTATGAAGCGCATGGGAGCCTCCAATGTCCTTGTTGTTGGCCTCAGAGGTCTCGGTGTTGAGATCGCCAAGAACATCGCTTTGGCTGGTGTCAAGAGCTTGACTGTTCATGACCCTGCTCCCGCCCAGATTGGCGATCTATCTTCACAGTTCTTCTTGACAGCCGATGATGTTGGCAAGCCCCGAGACGAGGTTACCGCGCCCCGTATCGCTGAGCTTAACGCATACACTCCTGTCAAGATTCATTCCTCCGCTAGGTCCGTCGCGCCGCGAACTGTGGTCTAATTTTCACTAATATTATTTTAGCTTGGAGGATAACCTTTCTCAATTCGACAACTACCAAGTTGTTGTTCTTACCGATGCCCCGATTCAAACACAAAAGTTAATTGCTGATTACTGCCATTCCAAGGGCATCTATGTCGTGGTTTCCGACACCTTTGGTCTCTTCGGCTCTGTTTTCTGTGACTTTGGAGAGAAGTTCTCTGTTATCGACCCTACCGGAGAGTCTCCATTGAGCGGTATCGTTGCCGGAATCGATGAAGAAGGCCTCGTTTCCGCCCTTGACGAGACTCGCCACGGCCTGGAAGATGGTGATTACGTTACCTTCTCTGAAGTTGAGGGTATGGATGCTCTGAACAATGCTGAGCCCCGCAAGATCACAGTCAAGGGACCGTACACCTTCTCCATTGGCGATGTCACGGGCTTGGGTCAGTACCAGCGCGGCGGAATGTACCAGCAAGTCAAGATGCCCAAGATTATCGATTTCAAGAGCTTCACAGCCTCACTCCAGAGCCCAGAATTCGTCATGTCCGATTTCGCCAAATTTGATCGTCCTCAGCAACTGCATCTCGGTTTCCAGGCAGTCCAGGCTTTCCGCGTCTCCAAGGGTAGACTCCCGCAGCCCATGAATGATGACGATGCCACTGTTGTTGTTGAGGCGGCCAAGAAGTTTGCTGAGGCTGAGAAGTTGGAAATTGAAATTGACGAGAAGCTCTTGCGTGAGCTCAGTTACCAGGCTGCAGGTGATCTCAGCCCCATGGCGGCTTTCTTTGGCGGCATTGTTGCCCAGGAAGTACTGAAGGCTGTCTCCGGTAAATTTAACCCTGTTCAGCAATGGATGTACTTCGATTCGCTTGAGTCGCTCCCAACTGCTACCAAGCGTAGTGTAGAGTTATGCAAGCCCATCGGCAGCCGATACGATGGTCAGATTGCAGTCTTCGGAACAGAGTACCAGGAGAAGATTGCCAACCTTACCCAATTCCTCGTCGGTGCTGGTGCTATTGGTTGTGAGATGTTGAAGAACTGGGCTATGATGGGACTGGGAAGCGGCCCCAAGGGTAAGATCTTTGTCACTGACATGGATTCCATTGAGAAGAGCAACTTGAATCGTCAGTTCCTCTTCCGTGCTGCAGACGTTGGTAACATGAAGAGTGACTGTGCTGCCAAGGCTGTACAGCGCATGAACCCTGACCTCGAAGGTCACATTGTGACCATGAAGGACAGAGTCAGTGCGGATACGGAAAATATTTTCAACGAAGATTTCTGGAACTCCCTGGATGGTGTCACCAATGCTCTAGACAATGTTGAGGCTCGAACCTACGTTGACCGCCGCTGTGTCTTCTTCCGCAAGCCGCTTCTTGAGAGTGGCACACTGGGAACAAAGGGCAACACCCAGGTTGTCCTGCCTCACTTGACAGAATCATACTCTTCATCTCAGGACCCCCCTGAGAAGGAGTTCCCCATGTGCACGATTCGCAGCTTTCCCAATCGCATTGAACACACCATTGCTTGGGCTAAGGAATATATGTTTGAGCGAAATTTTGTCAAGGCACCACAAACTGTCAACCTTTACCTCACTCAGCCCAACTACATCCAGACCACTCTGAAGCAGGGCGGTAACCAGAGAGAAACTCTTGAGATGTTGAAGAGCTCTCTGACCACCGAACGCCCGCGAACCTTTGAAGACTGCATTGCTTGGGCCCGTCTGCAATTTGAGACTGAATTCACAAACAAGGTTCAACAGCTGCTTTATAACTTCCCCAAGGATTCGCTCACATCAAGCGGTACCCCGTTTTGGTCTGGACCTAAGCGAGCCCCGGAGCCGCTCAAGTTCGACCCTAGCAACCCTACTCACTTTGGCTTCATTGTTGCAGGTGCTAACCTCCATGCATTCAACTACAACATCAAGTCGCCTGGCAATGACCCCCAGATTTATCTTGCTGAGCTTGAGAACGTCATTGTGCCCGACTTTGCACCTGATGCCAATGTCAAGATTCAGGCTGACGATAAGGAGCCTGTAAGTACTCCCAATTCTATCAATCTTGCCTCGCCGTTTCTAACTACCATACAGGACCCCAACGCAAACAATGACGCAGACGACGGAGACGAAATGGAGCAGACTATTGCAGCTATACCCGACGCTACATCATTGGCTGGCTTCCAGGTTACTCCTGTTGACTTTGAAAAGGACGACGACAGCAACCACCATATTGATTTCATCACCACATGCAGCAATCTTCGTGCTGAGAACTACAAGATTGAGCCTGCAGATCGCCATAAGACCAAGTTCATCGCTGGCAAGATTATTCCTGCTATTGCTACCACAACCGCTCTGGTCACTGGTCTTGTCGTTATGGAGCTGTACAAGGTCATCGATGGCAAGGACGATATTGAGCAGTACAAGAACGGTTTCATCAACCTGGCACTCCCTTTCTTCGGCTTCAGTGAACCCATTGCTAGCCCCAAGGTAGAGTACAAGGGCCCAGATGGAAAAGTCACCTTGGATAAGATTTGGGATCGCTTTGAGGTGGAAGACATCACCCTCAAGGAGCTTTTGGACTTCTTTAAGGCCAAGGGTTTGAGCGTCAGCATGCTCAGCTCGGGCGTCAGCCTGCTGTATGCCAGCTTCTTCCCCGCTGCTAAGCTGAAGGAGCGCTACGACCTAAAGCTCAGCAAGCTAGTAGAAACCATCTCGAAGAAGCCTATTCCTTCACATCAAAAGGAGGTAATCTTTGAGATTGTTGCTGATGATATGGATGATGAGGACGTCGAGGTTCCTTATATCAAGGTTAAGGTCAACTAGTACAAGAGTTTGGTACATAGTGTTATAGAATAGAATGTGCTATGTTTGATGCAACATTATATCTGTCCCAATACTGCTATTTGCATGCAATAGCTGTTGTTCATATTTCTGTAAAAGTGTTGTCTGAGCCACGCTTCTCGACATATTCGTCATACTTTATAATAAAGTAAATCAAAATAGACGAAAATGAAGGCATCCATTCATGGCCCTAATCAAAATTTATTGACAATTAAAAACAATTTCTTTCGCCTTGAGATGGAATCAATGAGCTGGACGCAAATCGGGTCGTCGTACGCTGGGTGGCTACGGCTGGCGTTACGTGAAGCTTAGAAATTCAGTGGGCTACCCCACCACTGTACGGTTCCAGTTTAGCGCTGCTTTGCAATCATGAGGCGATTGGGAATGCTTAGGTCAGGATGATGTTATATGGTGGCGCGCGATTTGTGTTGGAAGGTGAAATCGATATTTTTATTTATTTAAGCTTCCTCTTTCCCAACAGTTGATCAGTTCCATCTACACAGCCACTCCCCATCTTTACGTGCACCATCTTCCCGGTACGCCCCCCAAGCACCTCCCTTGCAGCTGTGCCCAGAACACAGATGCTTCTGTCTCGTGCGGGGAACCAAGCTTCAAGACGCATCATTGCCCCAGCTTCACTTACTTCCACTTGGACTGCGTCATTGCATCAGTCATCTACTTCGCCTTCTTTCATCCCGCTTAGAGCTAGAACACAATCAATTTGGAATCCAATTCAAGTTGCAAACATGGTATGTGAGCTGTTGCTTGGCTACGGTTAGCTTCCATTGTGTGTATATACAGCTAACCGGAATATCAGTCTACACCCGCCAAGATTACCGACTGGGTTGACCGCAACGACAAGTCGGGCGAATTTAAACGCCAAGTTAGCTCGTTCCGCGACTGGATCTCTCGTGAGCAAGGCGCCAAGTATCCTCCCGAGAAGGGACGATACCATCTCTTTGTTAGCTACGCCTGCCCTTGGGTATGTTCATTTCTTGCTATACTAAACTCTCAGAATCTTTAAGGCTAACGGATAATACAGGCACACCGAACTTTGATTACACGACGCCTCAAGGGTCTTGAAGACCTCATTTCATTCTCTGTAGTCCACTGGCACCTCGGACAAGATGGCTGGCGCTTCGTCACCAAGGACGAGAAGGAACCGGGCGAAAATGTGATCCCCGACCCTCTTGAAGGCCACGAGGACTTTACTCACTTGAGACAAGTCTACTTTGAGTCTGAGCCCGAGTATACTGGCCGCTTCACAGTCCCCGTCCTCTACGACAAGAAGACCAAGCACATTGTCAGCAACGAGAGCAGTGAGATTATCCGCATGCTCGGAACTGAGGTGAGTTGAAACAGTAGTAATTAAGACATGATATCATGACTAATCCGGTTAGTTTGACGATCTCATTGATGAAAAGTACCGCTCCGTCTGCGTTTACCCAGCTGCGCTCAAGGATCAAATTGAAGAAGCTCATTCCTGGATGTACGATCTCATCAACAATGGAGTGTACAAGTGTGGATTCGCCACATCCGCTACTGCCTATGAGCCCCATGTCTTTGCTCTCTTTGAGGCGCTTGATCGTGTTGAGAAACACCTGAGCGAGCAGAAGGATGGACCATACTGGTTTGGCAAAGACCTGACCGAGGTGGACATTAGACTGTGAGTATCATCAACCCACGCATGCTGTGTCTGTACTTGCTTTGCTAACATGATACCGTCAAGGTATGTCACGCTCATTCGATTCGACCCAGTCTATGTGCAGCACTTCAAGTGCAACATCCGTGATATTCGCTCGGGCTACCCTGCCATTCACAAGTGGATGCGCCAGCTGTACTGGAACTTGCCTGCTTTTGGCGAGACAACACAGTTTGAACACATCAAGTGGCACTACACCCGCAGCCACACGCAGATTAACCCGTTTTCCATTACGCCTGTTGGCCCGCTGCCCAACATTCTTCCCTTGGAGGAGGAAGTGGCTGCTGTCGCAGGCGCCAACAAGGCATAAGTATGAGATATATGTATTAAAACATTTTTTATTTAATTGATTTAATTTTGATTTAATTTTCTCTATAATTAATAACTCCCTCTTCCCTTTCAACCTACACTCTAGAAACGCAGGCACCACCTTGATGATCTGATCTTGATCTCGTCCAGCAAACAATGCGGGTCAGGTGACCACGGTCACCAAGCTGCCTGCGTTTCTAGCGGCTTCCAGCGCTGCAGTATCCGCTACGGGGCGCCGCGCACCGGCCGTCGGATTGGGAAAGCGCACGAAAATTCAGTTGGGCCCGTCCCCCGGGCAGGTTGCCTGAGCGCTAAGAGCAAGTGGTTGAAACGCCTGCACCACCACCAACTCTCACCACGCACGCAGCTTCTGCACACATTTCCTCCACCACCTACGCTTACGCCATCCTCGTTTTGTATCATCATTAACGCTACCTCGCATCACCTTTCTCACCTGGCTACCGATTATACTTCTTCTCCAACGCCAATTCTCCCTCCTCAAATAACGCCTTTTGCATCGGCGACCTGCCCTTCTCCTCTGGCCACTTCTCTTCTCCCCCGCCACCGCTTTCACGCCCGGCCTCATCTCCTGCCCGCCCTTCTGCTACTCCGCCCAGCCTCCCTCGCCGTGGCCACGACGTCTACTTGACCAAATTCGAAAGCTATTCTGCACAGCTTTGTCGCGCCGAAGCCGATTGGATACTCGTTGTTGCCCTAGTGCACCACGTTACCGTAATAAACCCTTCTACCGACTCTCGCGCCGGACCACCACAACTATTGGCGCGCTTCTTCCCTAGCTTCACGCAGCGCTAGACGGGCATTGCCAGGCCCAACGATAAACTATGGCACTCCGATACACGGTAGATGACTTATTCAATCTACGAGCATCGCCGCTATGTGTTAAACCAGAGAACCTCCCGCCAGCGGAGGAGTGGATGGGGTACGTCACGTTTCGCCGCCGTTGTTGGCCGCCCACAACAGCCTCCTGAACAAGTGTGCTAACTTACTTCTGTAGAGCGACATTAGAACAGCTTCGTGCCCAAAACAAGGTCACCGTCGATAGAACCCGAAACAATGACGGCTCCTTGATTGACACATCAGCCCGCCCTGGCCTACCACGTCACACTTCCCGAAACAGCGCAAGTTCGTCTCGCCCATCTACTACTAGACCCAAACCGTATCTGTCAAATACTAACTTGTATATAGACCCAGATGACATCGTCTTTGGGCCTCCTAGAACTGCCTTTGCCTCATCCCGTGGCAAGGGGCAAGACGGCGATCGGCCAGTGCGCGACGGTGAAGGTCGATATGGAGTGCGCGGCCGCAGCGGCGATTTTGACGGCGAACGCTTACGAGACGGACGAGGTATGAACCGAAGAGGTGAAAATGAGCAGGATGAAGGATGGAGCACAGTAAAGCCGAGGAAGAGTTTCGGTGCTGAAGGCGCAGAACGCTTCTCTGGCAAGATGGGTGGCAACTACCGCGATGAAAAGAAGACGACTCGGGTCGGCGATGATCGAACTACTGCCCGTGGTGACCGAACTGGAAAGACCTCCGATGGCGCTGGCCGTGATAAAGACGGTGATGCTGATCGTACCCGCAACGGTCTAACACGAACCAAATTGGAGGCCTGGCAAAGGGGCGAAGGCAACGAATCTGCGACTCCCGACAGAAAAGAGCGTGACCGAACGAAGAGTTGGAGAGACCGCGAACAAGATGCCTCTGATGACCGTGGCGCCCGCCGTGGCAATGACAACCGTTGGGGACGTGATGGCCGTGACAACAACCGTGACAGTCGCGACAATCGTGACCGCGATCAAAAGGCTGAAAAGGATCCTGAATGGTTCGATGAGCCAGTGCAAGACAAGCGGGAAGCTCATACTCAACAGGACTTCCAAAAGTGGATGGAACAAATGAAGAAGGCTAAGAACGCAGCTTCAGGAGGTGATAAAGAATCCGCAGAAGCCATTGAGGCGAAGCTGCCTCCTGTCAAATCGGCACCTGCTGTTGAGGCTGGCCCTGACAAATTCTTCATGGCCTTTGGCGGCTCCTCTAGCATTGAGAACAAGCCCGAACAGGAGCAAACCGAAGCGGCCGCCGCAAAGCAAAAGGGAGCCGGCAAGTCGTCAAGATTCACGTCCTTCTTCTCGGCCCCTCAAGAGGACGGCCGACCAAAGACTGAATCATCAACGCCTTCCGCCCTTGCCCCTTCACAGCCGCCGCCCAATGCCCCTCCCGGTCTCAACATTTTTGTCAGCGGTACACCAGACGGAGAGAAGCAAGCTTTCCAACAACTTCTAGCGAAACTTCAGAAACAGTCTGTCAGCTCTACTCCGCCTGGCCTGGCTCTCTTTGCTGCACCTTCGAATCCCCCTTCCGATGCCCCTGCTCAATCGCAATCCCAAGCCCAAGGCCCAGAGGCCCCAGCCGGTCCAGGAAAGCAACAGCAACCACAGCAATATCGCGCTCCTCCTCCAGGACTCCAGCAACAAGAAATTCATGCCCCTCGCCCTCAGCAGTCTGCCCGCCCCGAGCAGCTGTTGCAAGAGCTTGTTAGCCAGCATCAGCGCAAAGCAAGCCAACCACCACCACCTGCTGCCCGTGAACGCGAGTCTACCGCCGCTCGTAACAACAGCAATACTGAGTTCCTTATGAACCTGATGCGCGCAGCACCCAAGCAGCCGCAGCAACCCCAACAGCAGGCTCCTCGACCTGGCCCCCCTCCTGGCTTCAACATGGACGACGGATTCCATGGAAACGATGATTCGCGTCCCAACCCAACCCAGATCCTCCAGCGTCCTCCCCCTCCCGGCCTTGATCAGATGCCACCAGGTTGGATCCCTGGCGGTCAGATGCCTCCTCCTCGGATGGGTGGCCCTCCCGGCATGCCCGGTGGCCCTGGACCGAACCGCAACATGCCCATGCCACCAATGTTCCCGCCCAACTTCCCTCCTGGCGGTATGCCTCCTCCACCTGAGGGCATGGGCGGTATGCCTCCACGAAACATGCCCATGCCTCCTCCCGGTTTCTTCAATGGCCCGCCCCCCCCTCATGGCTTTGCGCCTCCCGGATTTGCTCCTCCTCATGGCCATGATCGCCAGTATGGAAGTCCTCCCTTTGAGAACCGTGGTGCTCCTCCTGCTGCTGGCCGTGGCCCATACCCGCCACGTCAGTAATCTACAGTATTTCTACAGATATACTTTTGGGCGAAAACAAACTCCCTGTTGTCTTCTGCCTTACCAGCGCAAACCAACCCCCTCCTGTCCTCTTTTTTTGATGTAGCACTAGTTTGTGTATGCTACCTAAAGCCTACAATGTGGTTTCCTGTTGGGACTTTGAATTCCGGTCAAAGTGTACACTTGGAACCAGTAGCGTTTTAAAGCCAAACAATTCGACAAATGGCTTATTCTATAGTGTCTAGTTTGGAGATGCAAGTCTCCAGCTAACTAGCTATATAAATGTAACAAATATGCATCACTAAACCTTGAAAGTTTTTGACATCCCAAATTATCGTGACACGCGTGTTTTGGAAATAAATTATGTTAAATAGGTGAATCATTACGGTGGTTCCTTCTATGATGGGCGGTCTGCCTTGGTTTTGCCCGTCTTGATTGACGCGACTTCTACTTGATTATTCATATGTATCGTCGGTTTGCTAGCCTTACTTGTCTTTCGTGGAGGTATAAAGATGGTGTTACCACTAACGGCTCGCTTTCGCAGCTGATCTGCGGAATACCGTGTCTTGACAACATCTTCTCCTTTCAACGCCTCCGCTGCGGGCGAGCCCTTGGATCTGAGAGAACCCTACTTCTTCATACCCAAGAAGTTCCTTCGCTTCTTTTCCTTTTGTGGAGGGGTTGCTTCCGCAGCTGAGGCACCGGGAGCCGGAGCCGGAGCAGAGCCGTTATTCTGATTCAAGCTCATGTTCGACATGGCTTGCGTTGGTGGTTGTGAAGACGGAGGCGGAGCGTGACCACCGGGACGGCTTGGGAGACCACCCTGAGCAGGCGGTGCACGGCCACCTTTGGGTCCCGGGCCATGTGGTCCTGATGGAAGGCCTTGGACTTTGGGCGGTGCTGGGCGTTCGAATAAATGTGCGGGCGCTCTTGGCTTTGGTCGCTCTAGAGGCAGATCCAGCTGCCTCTTGTCCTTGCCCAGGTCGCTGACTTGGCGGATAAAGAATTGGGGCGTTAGCATATGTGACGTGGCCAAGACAATATCGCGGCTCCTTTCTTTTCCAACTTCGTAACAAACTCGGCTTTCGCTGTATGTTGCGCCACCGGCAATAAATACAATGATGCGCTGCTTGTTCTCAGGCTGGCGGCGACCTGCTGCCGCCCAATTGGGGCGTCCTGCGCGAAGAGAGGCTCCTTGTGCAGCAAGGAGATCCTCGTTGGGATCCAAAGGAGGTTTGACGTATGGAAACTGGTTCTGATCCAGAGCACCTTTGATCATGTTTTCTAGCAGTGGTTGAAGTGCAGGCTCAAAGCGAGACAGACCGTATTCCTCGCTAGTCTGAGCTGTGCGCGGATCTTTGGGGAATAGCGCCATGTAGGGGCGTAGAGGCTCCTTTAAGACATGATGCATATGTCCACCAAGGTGTTCCAAGTTGTTTATGACTTCACCGTCCTGTGGCGGGAGTGCAGCGTGATTCAGAAGCTTCTGGATATCCTCCATGATCACACCTCCCCTGAAAAGAACATACATGATAATGAGTCGAAGGCGGTCTGTAGACGTGATGGCCTCGTCATCTAGTAATCGTACGACCGATTCTAAAACGTTCTTTGGCTTTCTAAAGTCTTCGTCGAGGCCGGTTGAGAGGGTCTGTTCTACTTGGGCAACATCGGGAAGCTTATGGTGTTGAAATATGTTCATACACTCCTGTGCCATTGTTAGATGAAGGGAGTATGCCTCTTTCATCTCTTGAAATTCTGGAAGACCCGCCAGCATGTCTCTAATGGTATTGAGGTTGGTCGCATCGGCATTTTGGTCAGTGAAGTGAGGATTCTGATCGAGGAACTTTTGGAAGTCTCCCATGAGCTTGTCAATAGTATCCTTCATATGTCTGTGGCGGTTGTCAACCCAGACCTTGTCCTTATCCGAGAGCTCCATATCCTTGTCCTCGGCTTCGGGGGTGCCTTGGTTGATGGTGGTGCGAAATGTAACTTTGTCGCCCTCCTTAAGAGGTAACAAATCGTGGGCCATGGCCTGGTATGAGAACTCGTGGATAAGAGGGGCCATCAAATCCATGGAGCGGTCGGTAATAAGAAGTGTGCCCTGAGGGCGGTTCGAGGGCGGGGGAAAGTTGGAGTTCCATTGGGCGTAGCCGTCAAGTTCTTCTTGAACGAATCGCGCGAGATGGGTACACAAGACGCTAGCATCATGGGTTGCGTTTTGTGGTCTATAGTATCGAACCTTTGGGTATTCGCCTAGTGTGATACAGATACCAGCAATCTAGAATTATGTTAGCAACTCAAGCAGCGCCGGCCAGAAGAATGGTGGCTAGAGGTACCTTTTGGGCGAGCGTTTGCATATGCTTTGGAATGAGAGCGTTACATGAGGGGTGGTAGAGCATTGGGAAGCTCCAAGGGTCGCGGAAGACGACCAAGTTGGACTCTCTGGGGAAAAAGTCAATGAAGAGGGTCTTGGAGCTGGCTCGCATTTGCCGCGTCGCAGGATGATCGTCAATTCGGCGTCTAAGACCTGGATCCAGCAGGTTTGTCCAGACGAGAAATCCCTTACGATATCTGCGTTGCTCGAAATCAGCTAGTAGACAGTCGACAATATGAGGTTCGGGAGAGAGAAGGTAGATGGCGTCCATCTCATGGTTGGTTTCGCGACGTTCCTCGATGCGCTCGATAGTCGCGATGTTGTGGTTGAGAATGTCGTCTTCCTTGACAGCATTGTCGACGAGCTTCTTGGAATTTTCGTCAAGGACTAGACATTTCCAATCGCCTTGGGTGATGGCCTGGATTTCCCGAAGAATCGCTAGGAGAAAACGTTAGTACGGGGCTTGGGGAAGCCTGGGCTGTCGAAGGCAAGTGTATGCGTACCGTCATGCTGTTCCTGAACGACTGAGAGCGGCATCTTGACATTTGGCCAGAGGGGATCGTGTGTCTGATAGCCCGCGAAAGAGGTGTTGATGAGAGGATCGCGACGATGGAGAAATGCAAAGCGACTAAGAGCGGTGGGGGGAAGCTAAGGTGGCGGGCGAGACGATGATGACGCAGGGTGCCGAGCTTAGCGTGGGAATGGCAGGCTGGAGCGAGTAGTGGGCTTGCGGGCAGGTGCTGTGGCAAGTAGGCGGCTGTGCTGTGTTTTGGGGGATGCCGTAGTGAATTTAGAATCAGGTGGTGGTGTAACAAAAGGAAAGCAAAAAAGCAAAAACAGATGAATTGGTGGTGTTTGCAATGGAGTTGCAGAAAGTAAAAAAGACAGCAGTGATGATCAAAGTCGTCAACGTGTCGTCGGGCTGCCAGCTTTGTGCTGTACCTTGCTGCTGCTTTTCTTAGTTAGTGAACGGAGCCCACTGAAATCCAAGGTTGGCGGGGCTGCAGTTTCCCCTCCAAGGACACACAGAATATACTTGAGCTTGGGCCTCCCCGCACTGCATTACAGTGAGTGGGGGCCTGAGCACTCGCTGGAATTCAATCAAAAGCGAACAAACCCTGCAGTTACAACTAAATGCAACAAAGTATACAAATCGACAAAGTGCATTGTTATCTACAAGCAAATCAGTAAACATCATACTAATATACACAGACATTTTCATTCATAACAATAAGATGCAATCCAATGTTATCCCTCTTGAATCACCAACAAACGACAGAATACATACACCTCCTTCATCATTACTCCTCACGACCCGACTATGTAAACAAGAGCAACGCCTGTCGAGCATACGTATTCACCCCTTCTTTGGCCAAGTCGGCATCATCCACCGCGTCTGCCTGCCATCTTGCTGGATACCACTCTTCAATGCGTTGTGCATAGTAGATTAGCTGGTCACCTAGCCAGTCGAAGGATTCAGATCCCCAGAACTGAAGGGACCAAACGAACAATACCGACAGGGGCAGACTCACAAAGCATGGCACCAGCACTGCAACCTCTGGCCATCTTGTAATAATAAAATACAAAGCAACACCAAACGCTGCTGGGCCAGCCAAGATGACAATCACAGCCCAAGTAATAAAGATTGTCAGAGCAATCGCCGTGAGAAACAACAGACTTGACATGTACACTGCGTACTTGAGAATCGCCCGGTTCCCCAGTGTATTGAATCTCTGAGAAGCAGATCCTGGGCCTTGCTTGGAGAAGCGGTTGATAATGGTGGCTCGCGAGTGCATCATGCGGCTGCGCACGCTAGGGGAACGGAGCAAACTGCGAACAAAGTACGTAGCCAATGCCACCGCTGCCAACGTCACACCCCAGATCCAGATCTTTGGAGGCGAAGAGACGAGCTCTGTTACCTGCATTGAGAAGACGGATGTGATGAAAGATATCGGGATAAAGAAGAAGGCCAGCTCAGTCAGCTTATTGATACCGGACGTTTGGTCAATCACCATGGTTGATTGCGCTAGAGCCATGCACGAAGCAAACAGACTGAGCGTCTGTTCAGATCTCGCTTGCAAGCCTTGTATATTGGCCACCACTTGTTCCATTTCAGCTTCCAGATCTGGACCAGCACCTAGAATGCTCGAAGCACCCTTGATATGCGTTGCCCATTCAAGTAGCTCCTGAAGAGTACATCGAATCCAAGTAATGTTCTGGCGCGTCGAATTTCCAATAGACTCTACCAATTGCTCGTACAGGCCCGCGCTGAGGTCATTATCAACATGGTCCAACTCCAGTCTGATTTCTGCCAGGAGTTGCCACATGTCATCAAGAACGATATGGCAGAGCACTGACGACGCAAATTCCTTTTGGGTCGTCACCTGTGCGGCAGTGAGACGACGCAGATAACGACAAACAAGCTCTTGCGTTCCTAGAGAGTATTTCCGGGCAAAATCTCGATCTCGCTTATACGGCTTCGGGTTGCTGTATTCTTCACGGAGCATGTTTTGATAGTCATCGTCTAGCTCCCCATCACTGCTGTATTCCGATACTGTCGCCTCACTCTCCTCGTCGCCGTCTTTACCAGCAGACTCTGCATCATTCTGTTTCTTGGACGACAGCCTACGCTTCCACTTTCGACCCTTGGACTTCCACTGCTGGCGCTTTGCTTCAGCCTTTTGCTGTTTGAGCTCTGCCTTGGTAACAGGAGGAGGCGGAGGATCTAGGTATGTTTCCTCGGCATCTGCCATTCGCCATAGCTCTTCATCCGAGTACGACTCAATCTCCAACGGCCGTGGCATAAATGTGAGGGAAGGTGTGAGTTGCTTTGTCGTTTCGTCTCTCATGTATCGCGTTGGATCCAGGACCAAAACCACTATAAGCCGTCAGTCCACATCTCCCACAGAACATTTATCAAGCATAGAACGCACCTGTCTTGTTACCGTCTTGGTCGGCCCCAGACCAATAGCCCGCTCCCTCGGGCGATAAAACTCGGAGATCTCTGTTACTCCACGAGAAAACGTTCTTTGGAATTCCCTCGAATGTGCTGTAGGCTCGGTAAATGTTGGCTGCCTTGACACGAGAAGGTCGCTCGTCCTCTTCTCCAACTTCAGGAAGCTGAGGCTTGCCTTTCATCTTTTTCATACGTCTTTCTCTCTCTCTTTTCTGAGATTGTTTCTGTCTGGCTCGTCGCTTCTCAGTCAATAGCAGTCCATTCTTATCAAGAGCAACATCTCGCTCGCAGATCCATCGACCGTCGCCGATTCGCCTCTCTATCTCGTCTTCGTGGAACCCCTTTTTACCCAGGTAATGCATGAGCCCAAGTCGACCCCATCTCATATGCGCCCAGCTCCGACCACTAGTTCGTCTCGGTGAGTTCCATTCCGTTCGTTGGCCGATACCGGGAAGTGCTCGATGGCGGAACCGCGTTTCCTGTTCCGACCAGTTCATCCAAACGGCGTTTGATACCTTAAGCTGGATATCGCTCGCGGAATATCCAGATTGGACTAGATGCTCAAACCAAAACTCTGGATCAATGTTCAGTTGCTGTCCTAGAGCACCCATGACGAAGCGGCTCAAGTCTGTGACTACAACCACTCGCATCTGACACGTTTTGGGGCGTGCTTGAAGGAGCTCGGCAAAGTGCTTCTTCTTCTGAATGCTATATTCGTGAGGCGCAGTATTGTCGTCCATGTAGTCAAGGATGGTCACTGAAGCTGCATGTAAATCTTCGTAGCGCGCACGCCGTGTAACATTCAGCCAGCGCGGATCCCATCTTGCTCGGTTATCCAGGTTGTTCATATATATTTCGGACAGCGTCTCCAGCCAGTGCGATAAGTCGGAAGGATCTTCGATTTCTCCATGGTCAACATAATTGCGACCACTTCCGGCTTTGGACTCAGCGACAGTCGCTTGTTGAACCGCTTCTTCAGCTGCTACAGATGCTATTGAATTTCGTGGAACTTTGTACCCTGCGGGATAGCTTGAGTCGCCATCGTGGGGAAGGGTAAGGTGCATTTCGACGACGATGCCTCAATCAAGTCAGAATAGAAAGAGCAGCGCAACGACGACATTTTATTTTAATTTTGTTCATGCAAGCCATCACTCATTTTAGCCTGTCAGACAAATATGAAGCGGCTAGGGCTGAACAGGGGACTTGATTGGAGCAAATATGCAGGGGAGGTCATCTAGACTTCCAAAGTCGCCGACGCAGGAGACAGCCCCAGGATCATTTCTTCCGTGGCTGCATGGTCACACCTATAAGACAGCAAACAAGCGGTTTGGGAGATTAATCATGTATAATATTCTGTACATATTTCAACGCTGCAATAAAAATACAATGCCGGCCGTTCCATAAATCAAACTTTCATATCCAGCTACACAACACCACATCAGGGGTCCGCCGATTCAGGAATATTCTCATCATAAGACCTTCGTATCGTCACTGACTTGCCAATAATTTCCATGTTGCAGAATGTCAGGATTACAACGATAAACCCAAGTATTCCAAACCCAAAATTTGCCCAGCTGGCTCCTCGGATTCCTGATAGGGTCGCATCGTCATGAGGCTTCATATGAAAGGCCTGCTCGAGAGGTAACTCTCGTTCGCCTGCCATGACGGCTGACTGAATAGAGGTTACCACGGCTAAACCGATAGCTCGACCGAATTGGCCTATCGAGTTAATGAGTGCACCACCGACAGCCTGGTCCTCAGGGGGTAGTGATTGCGATGTATAAAGGGTAAGACATGGCCATGCTGTGTCGACCCCAATGACAGCCAGTATCATGGCGAAGAATGCCCAGGCGAAATACGTGGTCTCTGGGGGAATTGGTACCGCAAATAAAAGACACGCTATCGAGCCGCACAAGGTGCCGAATCCAAGGATGAATACCGTTGGCAAGCGACCCAGGAGCTTAGCCACAATGATAATCATAATGACTCCCAGGATACCTGTTGGCAAGAAGCGAAGGACTGTGCTGATTGGCGATAGGTCTTGATAGTACTGGAAGTAATACGTCGCGTATAGCAAGTAATTGCTAAATGATGTGAAAAAGAATGCGGCTATGACCATGACGGCACTGAAGCGGACGTTTCGAAAGATGGAAAGCTTCACAAGCGGTGGGCGGGAGCCGTTCTCGCCAGCTCTACGCTCGAGATGTAGCTGCCAGAATATGAAGATGGCTAAAACCATACATGACCCAGCAATCGCCCCCGATACCCACGGTGTACTCCATCCGACGATGTTACCTTCGGTCAAGGCATAAGTGAGGACGATCAAGCCAGAAGCGACGAGAATGGCGCCAATCCAGTCTACTGAAGGAGGTTGGCGCAAGTTGTGTACCAACTGTCGGGATGATAGCAACGGCGAGGATTTGGGGATCACAAATATTCCTGCTACTGTTATTATGCCAGCAATGATTGAGAATATGCCAAAAACCCATTTCCAACTGGCATATTGGATGATGACTCCGGATAAAATGTTGCCAAAGATGCCGCCCAACGGTGCGCCGGCAGCTGGGAGGACGTTAGCACAGCATTCTTTTGAAAAGAGTCACTTGCATATAAATTTAGCATACCGTATGCGCTGAATGCGTAATTCTTCGATATACCCGGCGGAAACGTGCTTCCCAGGATACCTATGGCGGTTGGTACATTCGCAGCGGCACCTAAACCATGCAAGGCTCGAAGAATATCAAAGACTACTTCGTGAGGGGCGAATATTGTCGCGGCGCATACTATGCTGACCCACAGAGATCCAAGAATGAAAATGAGGCGCTTTCCATAAATATCGGCAATTCGGCCCCAGAAGAGGAGGAAGCAGCCAAAAGTTAGCGAATATGAGGAGACCATCCACTGCTGGCTTGTCTCCGGAATTTTCAATTCACGGCTCAGTGTCGGGACCATTATTACTATGCTCTGTATAGCAACAGTCTATATATAACAGTTAGTAAGTTTGGTGGTCTCTCAATATTTCACTATTTCGCTGCGTTGTCGTACATTAAGGAACGATGCGCCGGTAAGCGTCGCGACAAGAGCGATTGCTCTGCTTCGAGATACAGGGTGAAGATAATCAAAGTCTTCTTCATCCTCGTGATCATCGTCATCTTCGTTTTCAAACTGGTGTTGTTCATCGTCGTGTTCGGCGACGGCGCTCATATGAGCTTCATCTTTTTCGACCTGGATCGTATCAGCACCAGCAGAGCTGGAACTGGCCGTACTGCCCAAACGAGACTTCGCGTCTTCGATGGGCGGGAGCTCCAGATGCTGAGGCGAGTGATTATTATGTTGTTCTATATTATCTTGCATGACTCGAGATCATTTCCGGGTACTGTTTTGCTGTAGTATAGTATAGCGTAGATCGACTAGACGGGTTCATCGTAGCGCATCGCGCGCCGGAACGGCCACGATGCCCCCTTTAACAGATACTGGGCCCATGTTTTCCAACGATATGGTAGCATCAAGCTAGCTGGCAAGAGGGTCTTCTTTTTTCTCAGTTGCTGCGACTTTGTCAATATCTAGTCGATTAGCGTTGCTTTGGCGCCTTTGCGCGGCGACTTGGGGCGAATGCGACGCTGGCGTAGCGTCAACTGAGGCAGCGGCGCATCCCAGCTCTTTGGAATTACGGAAAGAGTTACATTGTGCTGAAGAGTCCCACAATGCCTATTTGCTGCTGTGGTTACCGGTTTCTTGGTATCGCCTAACGATGACAGACTTGGGGCTATTAAAAGACAGCGTTCTAGATGCTGGCTGTGGTGGCGTGAGGGGCAACATGTGCAGCCATCTAAGATGAGAGACGAAGAAAGTTGATTCTGGAGATAACTCTGGTACATATTATATGAGAGACGAATATTCCAAGTCAAGTTAGATTTGGTAGTGCTCAACATTTCTAGCGCCAGCTGCCAATTGCCAGCTGCCACCACCTGTCAAATCGTAACGTGACCCTAACCCTACACTCGGCCGCCCATCTAGTAGCCTAGCCTAGCTTGCAACTCAATGCATCTGTTATCCGTACATCCACAACGCGTCATCGCAACTGCACCATGATACCGTAACCCTCAGACATCTGTAAACCACAATACTGCAACAAAGTAAACGGACGGGGCGCAACGTCTACGACTATGCGACGGTCGCGCGCCGCAGCGCGTCTCGATGATACCCATGACATCCAAGACGATGAGGGCCATCACCGCAGCGACGACGACGATATCCCCCTGCACCATAAGCCAGGTTTCGGCGCCGGCCTGAAGCGTAAGCGCGTGGAATTCGTCAAAGCACAAGAACCTGATGCCGGGATTACGGCGGTTAGTACCACATCATCGCCTGGTCGCAGTATCGGAGATATCTATGCCAGCATTGTTCTGAGAAAAAGCGACTCGAAAGAGCCCACAGCGAAGACGCCAGAGGCGCTTGATAAAGCCGAGTCATCGAAAGAGCCCGAGATATGCGCTAGTTGCTCATTGCCTATCACAACCTCACTTCAAGAGCATGAATCAACCTTGGCGCATCAAGTGTCTCTGAAGCACTCGCATCCACCATCATCGTTGGATCGATCGAGGATCGGTCTGCGGGCTCTAGCTTCTCAGGGCTGGGACCCTGATGCAAGAATTGGCCTGGGCAAAGAAGGCGAAGGCGTCAGGTTCCCAATCAAAGTCACTAGCAAAGACGACAATCTCGGCATTGGAGCCGCCGAGGAGATCAAGCGGCGGCAGGAGGAGGCAGCCAAGAAGAAGCAGCCTGTGGTGCAAGAAGAGGTGAAAGTGCTCTCAGCAAAGGAGTTGAAGGTACAGGCTGCGAAAGAGAGACAAAATGCAGTAAAACTACAAGCTGAAATATTTGGTAGAGACGATTTGGAGAAGTACTTGACACCTAGAAAAGAATGGGAATAGAGGAACCACAAGGCCGTAAATTTATCACAATCATATAGCAAAGATGGCATTTATATTTGCATATAGCTGGGAATTAAAAGTCGTTCATATTCGTTTCTCATGTATACCAATACTCTCATTCACGGTGCCTTTTGGAACGAGCCGTTCGACGAGTAGCTGCCTGGATTCTTTCCTTGTCCTTCGTCTGCCGCCAGTCGCAGTCATCCACAAACTCACACGTCCGGCACTTGAAAGCCTCTTCGATTTCTACACCGCGAGCCTTTCTTTCGCCACGCCACCACTCCATATATACTGTCAAATATGTCTCCAGCGCCGAGTTGGACACTGGGAAATCATGCATGTCTATACTCCGACCATCGTCGCGATATATATAGTGAACGCGGAGCATGTTGCCCATGGATTCTCGGCCATGAGGGAACGCAAGACCGACCTCCTTCTCAACCAAACGCAATAATTGCCTAATATTGTGATACTTAACAAATGTCGATTCTTCAGACTGTGTCGGTTCTGCTTCTCCAGATGCATCTTGAGGGCTAGGAGACCCGTCATCGAATATCTCATCGTGTAGGCTTCCGATTTCGGCGATAAAGGTATCGGAGAATGGTTTATCAGCGTCCAGCCCATAGCGACGGAGCACTTTGAAGAAGTCGAGGTTGCCTGCAGCAATATCGCTCAGGAACTTGTGATATAGCAGAAGTTGAATCTTGGCCGGCCGAACCAGTGTCATGGACACTGGTGCTAGCGATCCACGTGTTTTGACATCTGTCAAATACACCTTTTTCGTATCGGTGGTTGCTTTAGGTTTATTTTGTTGCTCTGGACTTGAAAAGAAGTCTGTCAACTTCTTTTTATTGTCGTCATCGTTCTCCTCTTGACTGAGCTTGAGTTCAAACTGAGGATTGGGGTTTTCATGGCTGACGCCGTCAATCACGCCGCTAACGAGATTGCCATCAATCATGCCCCAGACCTCTAATTCCCGAGTTAGGCCTGTTTCTCGAAGTGTTCGGATCCCTTGGATAAAGTTCCACAGGCGAAGGCCAAATCCATCCTCTCTGCTCTCGACTTCCACTTTGACTGTTGTATGGACTTCGTCTTCCAGCTCTTGGTGGAGTTTGCTGCCTTGACGCATGGCTGCTGTTCGCGTGCGCTTGCCACCAGGTAGTCGCGATAGGGTGTACCAATATTGTAATTCACACCACGCACCAGATGTGAGATCAGTAACCGTTAATGGGCGCCTTGGATACGAGCGAAAGCGTTGTAAAGGCGATCTGTCGTCCACCGTCTCAACATCACTATTCGACGCTGCCAAGTCTTCTGTATCTACGCGGCTGATGTCTGATTGAGGATTTGTTACTGGTCGCCTTTGTGTCAGTCAGCATGAATAGGGCGTGTGAGTAAGGCAGGTGAAACTCACGATGCGGATGCTCGACTGGAAACGCACTGTTGGTGCTCTGAACCAAGTCTGCCGGTGGAGACGGCGCATCAAGAGGAGGCTCATGGGATTTCGGTGCATTGTTACGCTCTTCGTCCGATATTAAAGCTCCAGTTTGTCCAGGCACTGCATCGACGGCAGCAGTAGACGTTATTGTACCTCTTTCGTGATCAAGGGCGAGCTGCAGTAGTAATTCGTCGTCTTCGGATAAAGCATCAAACAATTCTTCGTCGCTTAAAGACATTCTTCGAGTTTTAATTGTAGCAGATTGCTGTTACCGGCTATCCATCGTGATACGGTTCGTCTGTTGTTTTGGTCAACGTGTGGAATCGTGAATAGAAGAAGCGTGATTGGCGCCGCGCCGTAAATCAAGTTTCAACCCCCACAACAAATCAACGAACGCTGCGTCATTCACCTAAACTGTTTGCACATGATTAATGAACAGCCGAATAACGAGATATTCCAAGCTTTGTTGTTATTTTTTTGTATTTCAAATGGAACGCCTTCTAGGCATCCGCGCACCATTAAAACAATCGTATTTTAAAATACAAAGGGAGCGTTAATTCCTACAGCGTATAGAAGACTTATATGCCTGCAGTTATAGGCTGCCAATATACCCAAACTATCTACCAAGTTAGCAACCACCGAGAAGCGTATCCTGTGCGAACCAAGCATAACAGTCCGCGTTATCCAAAGCTAGGTTGCTAGACAATCCGATACACGCAGAGTACCCGTAGCCATGGTCACCAGTTCCCCGAACGCGCGGAAGATGGGTGGTTTCGTGAAGGAGACTCATTCCTTTGTCAAGAGAGCGGCATGAAGCTGCCTGTGGGACAGCCGAACTAAAATAGCGGTGGCAAAAGACTATGTACTTTTGAGACCCGTACGTAGTGGCGTAGATGGTGCCCTTGCAAACCGAGGCTAGAGGCGAACCACACTTTGCAGTGAAGCCCCCAGTGGCGAAGTTGCATTCAGTCTTAACCCCTTGATATAGGCGTCTAATCGAGTTCATGCTTGCAGCATCGCTGACCTTGAAAAACTTGTTCATTCGTGCGGCTGTGATGCCCGAGGTCGCCGCATTCGCAAGAGTCAGGCATCGAGATCCTGCTTGTTTGAGAATAGCTGTCTGACTAGAGCTGCAAGTAGAGTCGATGGTTGTTCGCTTGGCAATCTGAGCAGCCAGAATTTTGGCAGCCTCCACGCCATCAATGTAGGTGTGAATAGGTGCGAGCTCATATGGGATAGAGCCGGCCAGAGTCTTGCCGCCATCGGTTGTGTACGCGAGGAAACCAGACAGGTCAATATCATAGTCGCCAGTCTCGTTCAGATCGTACAGCTTGGCAATATCGAAAGTAGCTTCCACTGATTCTCCAGCAGGCAAGTCCTGCAGAGAGTCTTTGGGCTGTCTAAAGACGGTTCCTTGGGCTATTATACTTTTTGTAGACGAAACCAAGGGCAATGCTTAAAACGACTGCATATTCTTAATCACACTGATATCAAGTGGCAATACTAATACTACAGTGACAAATACCCGGAGTGATCAGACAAGCCGGGTGCTATATTTGGATCATGGACGCCTTGCCGGGAGTCTATCTTACACCAACTAACAATACAAACATTGGGTTCTTACTACCAATTACCGTGGCGGCTGTGGAGTCCCGACGATCCATCCCGCACATTCGGCAAATAGTTGATAACCGGCCACGGGGCTTACAGTATTTATAAAAATAGAGAGCCGGAAACCCGCCGTAATTACAATGCGAGGGAAATAAATATGAAAGTATACTAGACATATTTTGAGTTGTCTGGTGGATCCAGAAGTGCAGACGCGTTTAGAGTAAAGCGCAAACACATCAATGCTGCGTACTAGTGCACATGGCTTTTACATGCAATAGCTTCGATATTGCAGGCGTGAAAAATACAACAGTCGTACTTTATATTTATTTACACCCTATATTAAATATTTAAAACCCATAATACTCAGTATAATCTCATAAGTAAACCGTGAGTGTTGAGATAGGGTGTCATACCCTATAGCACTAAGTCTAACCCATTGCAGTGCCATAGCAGCCAACTAGTAGGGTTATGTCCTAATTTTAGCAATTGTCAACTGGTAAACGTCAGCCTGTACCTGCATATCATATCAGACTCTCTTGTTCTCCTCAAATTAACATAGCGTTAGATGCCTCTCGTTTTACAGCGCCACAGGTGGCTTTTGTTCAGCAACCCTGAGCTGCTAAATGGGAGCCTATTACAGTGGATGATGGCGCTAATCACCAACCGTTGTTGTGGTGACTCTAAATTTAGGCAGCTAACAATCGCAGTTGACAGTTTGCACATCACTGCCTTACACTCTTAGCATTCTTTTTGCTTCTCTGTCATCTATTCTTCCTCTTTATACAGGCAACATGCAATATTAAAAGAGATTTACAACCCACTGCTCCCCCAGACGCGCCTCGCACTGTAAGGCGTTCTAGACACATCATGCGGCCCAGCCAGCGCTTCTGCTGCGGCTGAAACAAGGCACCCTCACCCTACATAGCGTTGCTTTGTTCGTATTTGATCAGTCGGCGACTGCTAGGAATTCTGCTGCCTTGTAGGGGAAAACAGGGGTACAAAAGCAACCTTGCCGCAGATGACCAGATGAGGCGTCCGCAGCAAATGTCTGGCGCTTCGTCCAGGCAAACGACAATGATAAAAGAACCCAGCGTCCGTCTTCCTACAGAGTATTCCCTTCTCTCAGCAATTGTATCCGTTTCATCAACAAACCCTTCCATTCGACTACTTGATTGTAAAGAACGCAAAGATCATGGCGCTGTACTCCGCCCAAAAATCGATGCAAAGCGGCGTCGTCGCTGCTGAAAGCGACGACGACAAGAACAACGATCGTACAACACAAACCAACCTCATGTCTCTCCCTTTGGAGATTCATTACATGATTTCAGAACACCTCATCTATCCAGATGCGCTCTCGCTGAAACATGTCAATCGCCACTTTGCTGGCATTGTCGACACAGGCGTCAAGCTCAAGATTGCATGGCTCATTCAACGCCGACAATTGCATCTCGAGTGTCCAAATGATAGGACCTGTGACCTAGGCAGTGATATCCGGTTTTGCAGAGGCAGTGTCCCGTAAGTACAATACCATAAAATTTGTTCATCGCTTTTACTAACTTCAAGGTGCAGTCTTTTGATGGCGAGACGACGAGAACACTTTGAATGCGAATCTAGAGCCGGCTTGGGATGTCTCGTCTTTGGAACACCAAAGTGTGTACACAAGCCAAAGCAGCAGTACTGGTGGAAGAAGCGCTTCCAGTTACGATTAACTGTGGAGGTTTGGTGGATTGTTATAGCTGCTGTACCGTTGCTGCTAATGTGGCTGCTCTGTCTTTGATGTTTTTGTTTCAACTCTTTAACGACACATGAAATTAATGTTTAATGCCAGGCTCGTTATTAGGAGGCATCACAGTTGCAACGACGAGCCGTTGTTCAGATAATGTATAAATATATAGATGTACCATCCTGCCTTTCTAATTTATAGCATACAATCTGCACATCAAATACAGACTTCCATTTCTACAATTCCTTCATAAAACACCACTCAGCACGATGATTATCCTCGGTGACATCTTCACTGCAATCACCCTCCTGTACTTTGCAAGACAAAGTATACTTGCCCTTTACGAATTGGTAAAGGATGCCTTCTCAGCTATCAAACGCTTCTTGCAGACCCTGCGAGAATGGAAATACCCACAGGCACCGTCGTCTCAAACCCCATCCGACGTGCCTGCATGTGTTCTGGTAGAAGAATCATCATCTTCCCTTCAAGAAACCGGCCCCAGTTCACTTCTCGATGCTGATACTGATCTTAAGGAGCACTGGGGACATGATTTGCATCTCCCTTGGACTCCACAGGTGGTTGAGATTACCGACTACACAGAGTCTTTCACTGTTTACCGTCGCAAGGAACCTTACCCATCACGTCTACGCTCCTTCTTTTGCGGAATCATCGATGCAGCTCGAGGACCTCGCAAGACTCCTCCAACATACGCCAATTTGAAGGATGAACTAGCCGCATGTGGCATGGAGTGAGGCATCATTGGCTAACATTCATGTAGTTGATAGATATCTCCAGCTATTTTAAGAAATTGTACCCAACTTTCCCCAACAAGTCTTGGTGGCACTCATCTCAAATTCAATATTCTTTGCCCGTACAATATCTCCATGTTTCAATAACGGCGTGTGTACGGCCTTACCATCAATTACTACTCGCTTGATATACTTCTTGCCCTCCGTTCCAGCACCGGGAGCAGAGATTGTCAAGACGTGCTCCGCAAAGCCAGGACCAGATGGCAGAGTAATCTCGACACGATCAAAGAAAGGCGAGCCGATAATGTACTCATCACTGGCCGGATTGACGGGATAAAAGCCAAGGGCAGAGAAGACGTACCAAGCACTCATCTGGCCGAGATCTTCGTTACCGCTGAGTCCAGCGGCAGTCGCATTATACTCCGACCATCCGAGACTTCTGATTTGCTCGGCAGCATTTGCTGGGTATCCAATAGCAGAGTACAGATACGGGACATGATGGGATGGCTCGTTGCTGTGCATGTTGTGGCCTCCCGCAAAGTGCTCATCTAGCTTTGCTTTCATACCCTTTCGTCCGTCGCTGAAGAGAGCTGCAAGACCGCCAATGTCATGCATGACGTCAAAGGTATATACCCAATCATCACCCTCTGTCCAGCCCCATGTAGAATCTGCCCAGGAGCCGTTTGAGTTACGAGCTCTCATGAACTGAGTCTCGTTATGCCAAAGATTGGCATAATTCTTACTTCGTCTCATCAAATCGGCGATAGCGTCGTTGTCTCCGGCATGTTTAGCTACTATCGCCGCTGCGAAATCGTTGAAAGAATAATCCAGAGTGCGACTTGCACTCTCCGCCCATCCGTCATTGTCAACCCATCCGTGGTGGAGATATGAAGTGAGTCCAGCGCGTGCCTCGTGTGGCGTGTTCGGTTCACGGTCGTAATACAGCAGCTCGGTATCTTTGATTGGGGGCTCATATGCATCCTTCCTTACCGCAGACCAGGCTTTCTGAACGTCAAAACCATCAAATCCTCGACTGAGAGCATTTGCCAGCACCGCGTCGGCGTTAGTAGCGATCATAATGTTCGTTTCGACCGTGTTTGCCCACAAGGGTAGTCGGCCAGACCAGTCAAAGATTCGCAGCAGAGATCGCATCATGGAGTTGACCCTTTCAGGTGCAAAGATTGTTAAAAGAGAATGTTCAGCACGATATGTGTCCCATATAGACCACGATTGGTAGTAGGAATCATTGTCCTCGTGAACGCTGTCGGTATAGCCACTGTACCATGTTCTGCGGCCTCCATCCTTGGTTTCCATTGGCTCGGAGTAGTCACTAGGATATTGGAGGGAGTGGAAAAGCCCAGAGTAGAAGATGGTTTGCTGGCCATGGTCTTCGTCTGTGCTGTTAACTCCAGAGATCTTTACTCGATCCATCTTCTCCAGCCACGATGATTTGGCTGCATTGACTGTTGTCTCAAGGCTGGTACCGTCGGCAATTTCCAAATCAAGATTTCTTCGGGCTTGCTCAACGCTAACAAAAGAAATTCCTGTGCGAACCTCGACGCGTTCAACGGTCTTGCTGAATGTCACGTAGGCTCCGACATCCTTGCCCTCTAGAGAAGTCGTTCCATTGTTTCGAATGTCTCCGATTGTGGTTCCGTACGAGACAAATGGCTTTGAGAATCGGGAAACAAAGTATCCTCTAAAAGAGTCTGGGTGATCAGGCCCAAGAGCCCAATCTTGACGCTGAGAATTGCTACCAGAGACTTCTTGTCGCGCCGCATCAATATGGACATGGCCAGTCCAATTCGTTCTTGACGCTTGGAGAATAACAAATCGCTGTTTTGGTTCCTCATAGGTTGCTGATTCAAAGTCAATTCGAACATGACCAACATGGGGCGTTGCGCTAAACGCGATTCGGATTTGATTTCCGCCAGCTCCATTTGTTGAATTGGCCTGTTCCACATCACGTACCCATCCGAGCATCTTCTCGCCCTTGGATCTGTGCAACAAGTCACGCTTACGGATTCGGCCTCCTGCACCTTCAGAGACGGGATCGGGGACAGATGCTCCACCTCCAGGGCATGGAGGACATGACTTTCCCATAGCATCTGAGGCTGCCTGCTCGGTGAGATTCCATCCGAACTCGCCAACCGAATCTGCGTCGACAATGACTTCATACACGTATGCTGTACTCCGTTCATCTTCTTTCTGAAAGGACAATCCTCGGTGCTGGAATCGATGTTGAATCTCTCCAAGCCCTGGCATCAAGACCATCTGACCAGATTCCCCCATCCATATGGCCGGTTGATGCGTTGCCTGCAGGCCATGAAGTCGTCGGTCATGGTCAGAGTACGGCACTTGAGAGATAAAGTTTTCTCTTGTTTGTGGCGTCCATCTTGTCATAGCAAATGGGGGCGCGACTGACGGAATCATACCTCCGTTCTCGTTGGGCGATAGCCCCCGTGTTCCAATCAATGGGTTCACATGGCGCAGAACACCGGCATTGTCGTGATAAGAGGCGGCGTCGCTCGGTGGCGCCGCGCTCAACGCCACAAAAAGAGCCATTGCGATTCTTGACGTTTTCATAATCGGCGATTATGTATTAGAGTCCAGGTTACCTGTGCTGAACAAAATTAACCATGGGTCAAAATCTGCAATGGAAAAGGTCTTGGTAGACGTGCGTAGCGTTCCCCTCCTTTTGAAGTCGAACTAGTTGGCTGTTTACCCCAGTTTCTCCCCCACGTAAACCATCGCCCCCAATTAAGAGTAAACCAAATGCAGCAATGATGCCTATTGCTAGCCTTGGTGACCGCGTTTACTTCACCTCCTGGGTTTTGTCGCAATTGATAGTCTTGACAATAACAAATATGCAGAGTTACAGTGTCCTGAATTCATTGATGCCATAATACTTAATCGCGCGTACCAATATCCTGCAAGTTTGTCATGATGGGGCGAACGGAGGGAGATGAGCTTCACGTGTTTTGCAGAACGAACGGGTTGCATCCGGCTCCATCTCCCAGATATCTGCTCCCCCATGCCAGTCCATGAATTGATAGACAAGCTCCTTCTTCTTGTAGCAAGTAAATTATAGCTTCTCCATACACAGTCTGCAATGGGTCTTGTACAGGGCGGTGTGTATATAGCAACTTGTTGAATGATGTAAGCCTCATGTGTAGTACTGCGATCAGCAAGTTGATCATCGGGAAATGAGAGAGTCGAAATTCTATGCTCCGTATACGGTTTACTTTTTGTATTAACGAGAATATGTTGTGGTGCATCATCATCATTATTTGAGACAAGCTCTGGCGTAAGCAGTTAGGCCTGTCCGCGACGAGGGTCTGGCTGCGGGATGCCACATGGCAAGCTCAGAATCGGGAAAGACGGCACGTTTGAAGTTTGCGCTAGAGCTGACCAAGTACTGTAAGAAACTTAATGCCCGTAGGACTTTATTTGCGTTGCTGTGCGCTTGGTTTTCAGCGCACAGCGTCTCATGTAAGCACAAACCAGGCCACATGGCAAGGTGTGCGGCTGTGCTGACCTTGGCTTACTTGGGAGAAGATTGGCCACCGAGCAGGCTAGTTACCGAAATCATAGCACCACTGCGAAAAGCTGCATGCAAGCTGTGATAACAGACGCATTAAGCCAGGCGGTGGGCAACGAAATGCTAGAATAAAGGAGTAGGCTTGTGAAATGCAGCCAACTGTGGAGGTCGAAGACCCAAACTAGTGGATTCGCGGACGCGGACGGTAGGCTCCTAATCTCATAAACGCGCCGTGTGTCGTACCAGCGCTGCATTTGGCTGAGAAGGTCTGTCAGTTCTTTATTTGGGTGCGTTGGTCAAGCGGCGCCAACCGACCACTACGGCGAAAGGTGGATTAACGTAGCATGCCGGGTCGGGCGGAGCGAAGTGCTAGTCGTAACATGGGTCTCTTCACCTTGAGTGTCTGTTCGCGAGCGTGAGAGGTGAGGCCGGGGAATGGCGGAGGACATGAGTGAGAGCATCATTTGCAATGCAACAATATTACGCTCTCGTCACCCAACTCTCGGATGCAAAGTGCCGCGGGGCAAACTCTGGTCAGTCTGGGACTTTGTATGTACCAGAAAGGATTCAATGACGCTGAACATCAGTGAAGAGTAGCCTGTGCAACGTCGCTACTGAGCCGGGAGGAGTCCAATCCGGCGCACCCGCTGAATCACGGGGCAATTCATTGTCCATAGGCCGGATGTGAGCCCAGGATGAAAAGACAATAGTAAAGGGTACGCTTCCGACTCAGTGCTGCCACCCCCTCCTCTGAACGGCGCAAAGTGCCAGCGAATGAACGAACGACAAGCCCTGTGGTTCTTTCAGTGGCTTTGGCCTAGCTTACTGCTGGAGGGACGGGAAAGGAGGGTCCCTTTTGTGGCTATCAATTTTTGTGGGCTGCTCTTGTGTTTTGGTAGAGGCTTTAACTTTCTAGTTGAACCCGTGTTTCAGGTCATGCACATTAGGCTAGAAGTTTGGGTTAGCGCATGGCGCAAAAAGTCTCTGCTGCAGCCTTGTCCACAGAGTGGTGTTCTCATGTCAAACGCCCAACCCTTACCAGCTGGCGCGGTGCCGTGGACGGCCACACACAAGCAGCGCTATGCTTAACCTTGCAGTATGGAGAGACGTTGCCTATGTCGGTGGTTCTTGCTCGAGTTCGTCTGATATTGAAAATGCTGAACAAGTAGAAACTGGATGAGTTTTAGCGACGGGAGTCCAAGAAGCGCGATTCTCTCCCCCTAATCCCTTCCTTTGTGTGCCTCGGGAGTCCAGCGAGGGAACGGGGAGCACCAAGTGCACGCGTATCAATGAGGTCACCATGCTGCAAGCTGGGCGAAAACAGCAGTGGGCTTGACTATGGGGACCGGGAAAAGCCACAAGGGACTGTTTAGTGGCGTGAAGCTTGCCTATTCAAAGGGCCAACCAAGCTGAACGACACGGGCGAGGGCACCACTGGGACGCACGCCACTTCTGGCTCTTAGCTTAAAGACTAGCGCCAGCTTGGGGGCGTTCCTTGGTTCGGCATTCGGCCGTTTTGGCGCTGTTTTAGAGCGACGCGCTTTTGTACCCAGGCACTTCAGGCGAGAGCGAGGGGTGATGGAGGGGCGGCCATTTACATCACCGCAATGATCGTCTATGAGTTTCCAGCTAATTACTGGCTCAACGTCTACGCATGCATTTCAGGGTGGACTTGCATGCCTCATCCACTCGGCATTGAGGTGCCGTGTGTGCGTTGTTGTCAAATAGACCTGTAAATGGTTAGATATTTGTCGCTTACCTGGAGAGAAACGAAACCTGCATCCCGGGGAGCCATGCCCAATACAGGCAATAACTAAGTGGGCATTGCTATTATTACCTCTTTTTCTTTTTTGGTAGCGCAAGCGGATTTGAGACCTGCTTGGGTTGCATTGACGACTGGTCCATGGCACGGCGACGATATTGAGCTCAGGTCACGCCTAGGCAGAGTGTCTTCTCTCCCGTAGAGACAAAAGGCTTGCAAAGCAATAAAGACACTTGCATTCGGCAGTCTCTTTTTAAGGTCTGAGAGACGCTATGTCTGGTGACCTTGAGCGCGGCAAGTTTGCCGGAGCATCCACACATTTTCTGGGGGCGTAAAAGGCCTAGCTTGAGCACTGAGAAGAAAAAAAACCAAAAACTTGTAGCGAGTGGCGGCGGCATGGGTTTAGGTGAGCGCTGTCAGCAACCAAATACGCGGCCCTGGGATTCAGTCTGCACTAGCCATAGGCAGCACTTTCGTATTTTCTCTTGCATGGAGCAAGTAAGATGGATATTCGGGAATAGTCTGCATATAGGAGAGTGAAAACCTTTTCTACTGAAACAAATAAGATGAATTGCGCGAGCAGTTGGTGATGTCTTTAAATGTTGCGCAGTGAAGCTGTCTGATGTATGGCATGATGAATGACCACCTCGTGTGACGATATCTTAGCAAAATTTGCACCAATTTGACGTCTAGCAAGATGACGGGAATTACAAGCGTGTCAGAAGTTGTCGTCGAGAGCAAATAGCGCGCGGCATTGTATCCGTCCGTGAACGGTGAACGAATTACTAGAGCCAAGTTGAGAAAGAAAAAACCGAGTCGGTTGATTTGCGCTGCCCGGCAGACGGCGGCGCTAATGCGGCCCAAAAAAAGAGCAACGCTGCCGCTAAGAGGACGGCGAGGGGGCAGCACCCGCCCCAAGGCGCTGGCAGGTGCAACCCTGCACTAGGTCCCTCGCCAGCTGGTGGGCAGCTGTGGACAGGTGTCGGGCACTGCAACTGGCGGCGCAGCGCAGTGCCAGAGCAGTGCCAGAGCAGTGGCAGACAATGCACCATACACACCTCCCTGTCCCCACACCTCCTCTCCACTAACCAAACACCCCCAAACACCTTTTTCACTGGGGAGTGTGGGCACTTTGGCTTTTTTAGCTGCATAAGTGCTACTGGAAGGGAAAGAGGTGTGGGCCCTGGCTCGCTCATTGCCGGACGCCTGGTCTCCTGGCTGCTTGCTTTATTACATGCCGTCCCTGGACCTCAACAGACCATGCTTCTGCTGTCTCTGTCGTTTACCGTCTTGCTCAATCTCACCTTTGCATTCTTTTAAGAACTGTCAGCTCGCACTTGCATCATAGGCACAGGCTTTGTTGCCTTTGGTGCCTCAATCTCTCTCTCTCTTCCTCCCTCCGCATCGACCATTGCTTGAGCGCTCCAACCCGCCGCCACCATGGATGTCATTATGATCGACGAGGTCCTCCCCGAGCCAAATACTCCACAGGCATTTGTGAGTATATACTCGCTGACTAGAAATGACTTTTGGCGACAATTACTAACTGAAATTCTTATTGATAGCCTCAATTCTGCAATCTTCCCGCTGAACTTCGCCTACGCATCTGGAATATGGCACAACCTGGTGCTCGCATAGTGCCTATCCAATGCGGCTCCGATTCACTCTCCCGTGATTCCAGACGTGTCAAGTCATCAACCAACCTCAAAATCGAACACTACATGGCAACCGGGTGTACATCTTCTGCCCCTGTGCCTTCTAGCCTACACGCCTGCTCTGAGGCCAGGTTCGAAATGGCTAAGTACTATCGACCACACTTTGGCTTTGCAAGACGCCAAGGTCACGTATTCTTCGACCCGACCTCCGATATTCTTTACTTTGGTCCTCGCCCGGGCTTCATGGCAGCTGATTCCCAATTCCATACGTGCATGGCAATGTGTGACCCAAACGAACTCGCAAGCATCCGCCGCATTGCCATAAGCGACTCGCTCTTCTGGATCGACCACCAATACCGTTCAACGACAGCCGCAAACCTCACCATCCGCGTTCTTCGCCAAATTGCCACTCATATGCATGGCCTGAAGGAAATATTCTTTATCCCCCGCGACCAAGACGCCAGCGGCCCTGAGCTTCTCTTTGTTCAGCAGCGTATGCACATGCAGGTCTGCGCCGCGCTCGAAATTGTATGCGAAGAATACCCCGAGTGGAAGCCGCCCCCTTGCAAGATGACAACCTTGCAGGAGCTCTCTGCCGTTGAGAGGTGAAACAAGCTGGTTGGCAGTAACTGAAATGTTGCTGTCACCCAAGCAAACACATCTTACTGTCCTGTGCCTTGGTACACAGACAGTGCACAGCAGCAGCAGCACGCGAAAGAAACTATGCGTCTTGTTGAACTGAAATCATCAGCCCCATGAATTTTCGCTCCAGAAGCGCGGCTTGGTCGGCTCTCAAATCGCTGACTGTGCCGTGTGTGCGCCCACCAGCCGGACTCCTCTAAATAGACCTGCGACTTCTCGGCGCGACTAGGTTCACAGCTGGTTCCCGGCAGTCATTCACCTGATCGCCAAGAGGAAACGAATTCCCACGTTTGTTACCAAGAATAGCACATATCCTTTGGAGCACAAGCAAAACGGGATGGCGTGGTGTCGAACAGAGAGGCCACCAGCCTCTTGGCGTTACGGTATCCTTCTGGTAGGGCTACATCGCAACATGCCACGTTGATATGACTTTGTATATTTGCTCTACGACATAATGATAAAAATAGATAGAACACTACTTAATACTTGATGAATAATATTGCATATACCCTCTAAAGAACGCCGGTATGAAAGCAAAACAGTGGTTATCGTGTGATGGCTAGAGTATAAAAATCAACAAAAAAAGAAGACAAATCAAATGCAGACAAGGTCTGTGCTGACGCTAGCGTCTAAAATCCATCATATATGTAATTTTATCATTTTGGCCAAAGAGAGGGATAAAGGCACGAAAAGGGGCACCATGACAAGAGAGTCAGTCAATACGGCATGTTCAAGATCGTAGAGCGTCGATGCCCAGCCCGATACCCTTTCTCCTACCTCTGAGAAGCGCTTCGAGGGCCTTTCCCAGAGCGGGGAAGTCTCCCAGCAGGGTAATGTGGCCGCGCTCGGAGCTCACGCGACCACCGCGGACGGCAGCGTAACCGTCCGGCAGCATGGCCTCCTTAGCGAGGACGACGCCGTCGCCAGAGCGGAAGATGAGGTCGTCGTAGCAGTCAGAGTGGGCAATCGCCTCGCGGTTCTGCACGCGGACAGCAAAGACCGTAGGAATATCCTTGCCGTAGATGAGTGCTAGAGGCGGGTATGCGTTTTTCGACTCGTGCTCAGAGCTATGTGCAAGCTGTGATCGGAAGAGCTTGGTAGCGGCCAGCGTCTTGGCCAGGTACTCGTAGTTGCGGCGCTGCTCAGGGTCAGAAAGCGGTGCAGCCTGGTCAGCGGTAGTGGTAGAGGTGCCATTTGTTGTCTCAGCAGCAACGGCATTTACATCTGGGGTCGTAGTGTCCGCGGCAGCAGCGTAGCCATTGGCCGTCTTGTGCTCGCTCTTGCTGGCGGATCGGGACCGCAGGAAAGTGTTTGGGAAGAGCGATGTTAGGGGCGATGTAGTCTGCGAGGGCTTGTTGTAGGGCGGCAAGACATCCGCGACGCAAGGGCTTAGACGGCTCTTGACCCAGTCATCCGGGTTGAAGAAGTCGATGGGGTAGTCTTCGCCAGTGTTTTGGTCGACGAAGCAGAGCCCCGTGTCTGGGAGGAGGAGGAAGGACGTGCGGATAGAAAAGTTGACTTTGGCAGTGAGCAATTTCTCGTTAAAAAGTACCGGGTCGCCGTTGCGCAGAGGACCGAGGATGTTGATGCAGCCTTGGGGCACGCCCGCGTACAAGACACCGGCAAAGAGCCCAGGACGCTGGTTTACTGCGTGCCTCGTGATCAGGCCGCCAAGCGAATGAGCAACAACAATGGCACCTTTGGCATCGGGGGAGACGCCGGGCTGGTTGGACGGTAGCTTCGCAAGGAAGTCTTGCAGAGCCTGAGACAAACGGGCAGGGCTGAGTCTCCAGTCGTAGCCAAAGTCCCAGACGCGCAGCTTGCCGGCCTTTGCGTTTTCGCAGGATCGCAGCTTCTTGAAGAATTTGCGCGAGATGTCAATAGGACCAATGTTCTTGAGCATGCCCGACGGGATGATGGTCTGGGGCATGTTTTCCTCGTCTTCATCTTCGAGACCGACTTCGAGATTCGCCTTGCGCATGTTAAGCCCGAGTTTGAAGGGAGCCCAAAGCTGGTGATGAGGCGGCTCTGCGGAACGGAGAATTGATCCACGATATCCACCCAAAATTACAATATCACCCGTCAGATCTTGCAGGACCCTATCGAGTATATCTGATGGCTCGTCTGAAACTTCGGGGGGTGAATCGTGGCCGTTGAGATCCCTGGCGGGCGGGGAGTCGGATACAGGATCTGATGAGAAGATGTTGTTGAGCGACAAACTTGATCGTTTTGACAATTCCTGGAAACTTGGAAGCGTTGGCATCTTGAAAGAGGGGACATCCGGTAAGCTGTCGCGTATTGCTATGAGGCGGATATTCACCATGTCGCGGACGTCCTGGAACCTGGCGTCGTCACCGAGTGATGACGTCCGCGATAGGCTATGGTACAGCATGCTCTCGTCAGAAGTAACTCTTCGAAGAGCTTTCGGACGAAGGCCAGGGGCACAAGAGGTTGACGGTCTCGGCGGTAGGTCAGTAATTGTATCATTAGGTAGGAGGATGTGGTCGTGTATAGGTAAACGTGCTGAGTCGAGGAGCGTTGATGGCGGAGACCGTGTAGGCGGGGCAGCTTGTGGAGGGTCTGAAGCTTTTCTAGATCGCGGGGGAGACTTTGGTGGACTAGGTTTCGAGTCATTGAAGCGAAGGGCGTTGGGAAGCGACGGTAGAAAGTTTGATGACATGTTGAGTGATGGAAAAGCCTTTTGCAGCTTCTTAAGCGCCTCATGGCCGGCAGAGCGTGAGCGATTGCGAGAAGGACCCAGAGCGACACCAAGGACGGTCCTTGTGGTTCGTGTTCTCGTGTCTTTGGATTCTGGGCTCTTTCCACTGCTCGTCCATGTTGCTGCGTGTGCTGGAGAGCTTGTTTTTGGTTGTTGACTAGGAGAGCGAACAGTAAGCGGGGTTGAATCGCTGCGGCTAGGAGGAGAGTCGTCAATGCCCAAGTCAAAGTACCCTCTTGGGCCACCACTCTTGATAACAGCTGCCTTTTCGACAGCCGGTGTGCGAAGGGATGTATATCGACTCGCAACGGGACTCAATGCCGGCTGCATTACAGCCTGGACATCGTCGTGCGTGGAGAGAATGCTGTCGCCGTCGTCGATATCATCTTGATCCGGAGAAGCCGGGCGACGGTAGCCCTTGGCCGCCACGGTATCGATGCTGATACTCATTACTGTTGCCGTGCGCAATGTGAAAAATTAGTCGAGGTTTTATATGTCGAATCTGTAAGGCTGGATGTTTCGGTGCCTTAAAGGCCAAACGAGGCGGACTTGGCAGCAGAAACGGGCTTGGATAGCATTGCCTGTTTTGGAAAGGTGATGACGTCGACGAATGCAAGGCGTGGGAAGCTGTAGAGATCGAGGGACGGTATTATAGGATGGTATGGAAGCGAATTGGTTGTAAAAGAAAAGAAAAGAGAAGAAAAGGTCAGGGAGTCGTGGTTTAAGAGAGTGTTGGTGAAGAGAAGAAAAGAAATCTCAGCTCTGTGCGCCAGGGGACGGAACGGACGGGCAGGTGCGTGTGTGTAGACTTTTGTGTGTGTGCGTGTGTTTTTCTCTAGCAAGGCTCTCTCTCGCACCGAATGCGTACAAGTAGTTTAGCGGCGCTAGCGCTGTAAGTCACTGCTGCTGGGCGTAAAAGGGGCCCGCAAGTGCCGCTAAAAATACGTACAGTGGGTGGCGGGTCCACTGAAGAACTGGGAAAAGAAACGCCCGAGCGATCCGTAAGGCTTTGCAAGGCTGGGAGGGAGGAGAGTTGGAGTGCGGCCAGGGCGAATAAAATAGAAATGATTGAAATGGTTGGAGAGTGAAGAGTGCAGTTGAAGAGGAAGTGTTTGGCTTCAAGAAGAGCCGCTACATTTTTTTCTAGGGCGTGAATGAGAAAATAACTCACTGTATCGCATGGCCTCGTTAATATGAAAGATGCTGGCTGGCTGCCCACTGACATGTGAAACGCTCGATGGTACCGAAATAAAGATAGATTTACAAGAATATATATAAATTATACATAAATGATTATAGTTTAACTCTATAATTTATCGTCAAACTATTGTTGTTAGTTGTTTACTTGAATATAGCTACCTTGCGTATGTATTAGATACGTACCATATCAACGATAGGGATATCATCTTTAATACCCTTTCGTTTACGTATTGCAGCGACAACCTTTCCTGCAGTCGTCTCGGCGTGCAGAGGCGAGCCAGGACATATTTGCCAACCACTAAATGCAAGCTGTGCAAAAGACAGGTTTGATGCTAGCTCCTCCCTAATGCCAAGGGTCTCGCTAGCCGGTAGAGAAGCTCTTACATTGAAAATATTCTCAAGAAAATGCTCCTGTTCTGACAAGATACAACCGCGACGTCGCGAGAGAGTTGTACGAACTGCGTACATAGCGTCTCTTGGAACTTGGATATCTGCAATATATACAGGTTCCAACAGGGCCGGACTGGCGAGAAGCATTGAGGCATATAAAACGCGGCGAGAAGTAGGCATAATCTGGCCGGCACCGCGATGAATAGCATCAGAATTGAGTACAACGTCGATAAGATTGAACCGAACGGACCGAATAGGCTCCTCGGCTATCGGACCTGCACGTGTAGCCCATTGGAATCCGGCGGTAACAGAGTCGCGAATCTCGTAAAGATACTGGACCTGCTTGGTTTGGTCAACTAGCAAGTTGGCACCAACGTAGGCTGGGCTAAAGGCCCAAATCTTTTGACCGTCGATGATATCCCAATTAAATTCTTTCGCTAGACTAGATGCACGGACTTTGTAGTCGGCGCTGGCGGAGACCACGCCGTTTTCAATAGCGGTTAATAATTTCTCGCCCATTGGTTCTGCAGTCATATATAGACGACTGTGCTTATTTGGACTCTTAGAGAGCGCGACTCTACTGGAGACTTGTTGCACAGTTTCTTGATACTGTGTTGTAGGTTCAGAAACAACGAGGGTGGCCTCAGAGCACTGTTTCTTGAGGTACTGTAAGCAAATTTCCAAATGAAGTTCTCCTCGTCCCGCAATAATGTACTCGCCAGACTCAGAAACGCTTGTTTGAACATCATTATCAAATTTGGAGAGACATTTGAGCCCCTCGACTAGCTTTGGCAGGTCTTGGGCATTTGCTGTCTGAACGCAGTATTGAAGAGTCATCGGTGCAGTCCGCCGCGCAGCTTTAGCAGCCAGTCCGATGTCGCCGGTGGTAATTAAGCCATAACGTAGAAGGTATTGATCAAAGCCAGACAAGGCTATCAGGTTTCCTGCTGATACCTTGTTGACGCGTTTAAACTCTGTTCCAACGTTGAGGAAAAGTTGACTAATAGTGCTGCGAAATTGGTCAGTCCGTCCGCTGGGACTACCATCGGGGCACTGGATTTCGACAGGTAGCCCCGACATGGCTGTCCCAGAAAAGACGCGACCGAACGCATAAAAGGTGCCTGGTGTAGATGTAGGGATCATTTTCGAAATATAAATCACCAAGGGGGACGTCGCGCTGCATTTGACGACCCCAATTGCCGCATCAGTCTCCATGCTTCCGTCATATAATAGCTCAGTGCGATACTTCTGCGCCGTTGCTGGCGATGGAAGATGAATTCTTATCATATCCATTATAGCATCAGCTGCTGGGAGAAATGACTTCATAACTACTTTCAGCAGTTCCTTACCCTCCCTACTTCTATCACTAGGACTAAGTTCGATCTGTAGCCTATCAAGGATGGTGGCAATATCAGCAGCTGAACCATGCATGATAGCGGCGTGAATTTTGAAGATGGGGTCCAAGATAAATTTGTTGAATGAGCGTTCAAGAGGTTTGCCGTCATAGTATGGTTCCTTGACCCAGGTTTTCGTGTAAGGGTTAAAGTAGTGCTCACCCTATGACTCTTATGTTAGTGGTCGATTATAATGAACTCTTAGATCTGTACCGACCCAAAGGCGCTTTGTCACCTTAGCCCTGTCAATCCCAAATTTTGCTGCATATTTTGCAGCAAATTGATCGAGAGTAAAAGCCCAGTTGTACAAACCTGAACCAAAAGCTATCGAACCCTTGTTGGGAGATACCTGGACTGGACCGATAGCGATGCCCGGCAGAGAGGGCATGGCGGCATTAATTAGTTCAATATTTCTGGAGAGTGATTGATAAAGGTCCTCCTTGGTGACTTGTGTCTCTAAGAGAGCAAGATCGAGTTTATTCATCATTATAACCGGCTTGACACCTTTCATCAGAGCGTGACGGAGAATAGTCTCTGTCTGCATCCGGACGCCGTCAATAACATCGACAGTCATAATCGCGGCATCTGTTACGGTTATGGCAGCACTAACTTCTGCAAATAAGTCTGCATGTCCTGGGGTGTCGATGATGTTGACTAAAACCTCGTTTCCGTCTGGATTTGGCGCTATATCCCTGTTGTTTTCTGTATCGTCTTGACTGTGACCCAGAAAGGAAAACACAGCTAGCCTGGAATTCGCGCTACATGTATCCTCGTTAACACCTTCAGTCAAGCTGGAATGATTTCGGGCCGTCGCAATTACGCCTGCTTTCATCAATACTGAGTCCACTAGGGTAGACTTGCCGTGACCGATGTGCCCCAAGACAGCAATGTTGCGAATAACATCGGGTTTACGTATCAATGCATGAAGTTTATCGGCATCGTAGCTACATAGCAATTGCATTAGTTCAAACAGGGACTAAAAGCGAAATGAAGGGTGATACTGTGGGATAGGTCTTAGAACCACGAGCCATGAACTAGAACTGCACTCCTGTCTGAAATACACTGCGCTGTTGTCTAACCAACCAGTCATAGTAGTTATTTTCAGCGCTGCGAAGTTTTCGCAAACCTGGGACCCTCACTTACTTCTCCATCGCATCCATCTCTTGGTGCCGAGCTCGAGAACCAGCAGTGTGTGGCAGCAGTCTTGATTCTCTACGTGAAAGTATATGACGGTGTATGATGTTGGTATATAAAGGCTTAGTTACAAACTATTGAAGATAGTTGTTCGTCCTGAATATGTGCGGGGTATTTATCCTCGCATGTCCCCAGTGAAGATGGGCGCCCGCAAGTGACAGGTATTACGAACCAATCGGGGACGACAAGAGGTTCCACTGTAGCTGTAGTACCTGCGAAGAATGAAGCTACAACTTATCTAATGCCTATTTTATCTAGGCAAGGACTACTACCTACAGGGTAAAAAGTGGTGTAACGATCGCCATAATACCGCTTCACCATCTAGCAAATGATTAGGTATTAACTCTAAGTCGAGTAGTTAATGTATGGTGTATTTAGGTCCATAGCTTGTAACTCATTACAAGTGGGTGTAACAAAGCACAATTACACTACTAGAAGAACTAGACGCGACTCGATAGTAGGTAATTAAATATAAATAAAATAGAGAGACTAAAAGCATTAATTAATAAATAGCTAGCTTCTATACTAGTAAGACATTTCATATAATCTAAAGTATAGAAAATGTCTTATCAAAGATATTTTTTTCTTCATGTAACTTCGTATTGATCGTAATAGTGAATGAATCGCTGATATCGTTATAGAGCAGCAACCAACAAAGACAACAGCAAGGGATATATACATACCCTCAAATTATAGCCATTATACAATACTACTAATTAATTAGTGCAACAGTAAGTGCAATAAACACGAAATTACCACACTCCTGCAGCTGCTTTCCCGCATATTATTACACCGCATCTCATCCATCCCACCGCCGCTCGCTGACCTCCCCGGGTAAGCACGGCCCCTAAAACCAACCCCAAAAACCGCGCCCCTCCGGCCCCGGGGGCCCAAAACGAACAACCCCACTACACGCCCTGCGGCCACATTGTCACCGTCCAACCAATCCCTCACCGGTTGAGCCACGGCCGCTACGTTCTTCTTTTTTTGTTGTCTTTCCTGCGACAGCAATTCTCCTCTCTTCTCCAACGCACGCTCGTTCCAACTTACCGCATTGGTTTTTCACAAGACCAATTTCGGCAAGCCTCTCTCTTCTTCCTCTTCTCCTGGTTGGCTTGCCCTCAACCAAACCACCATGACAACCCACGTCCCTCGCGGGCCATACTCCGACACCGAGCTTCAATCGCTCTACCCGCCCTCTCTCCAGCTCCAACAAGTCCAGATCCTCCTCCGCCATGGCGAGCGCACACCCGTCAAGACACGCTTCGCCAATGCCGGTGTCCCCGTCTACTGGCCCTACTGCTCCGTCATGCGGCAGATGCGGTCTGCCATGCTCAACCCGCAAAAGGGCTCCGTGTCCACCATGGAATGGCGCCGGCAGCTCGAAACTTTTGGCAAGGACGACACCATTACCGCGGCAGCCGGTGCTGGCGGCGAGCTCGACGCCCTCTGTGATCTAGGCATGCTGACTGACCGCGGCCGCGAGACCACGCTCCAGCTCGGCACCCGCTTCCGAAAGCTATACATTGACCAGCTCGGCTTCCTCCCGGCGACTATGGACTCCAACGACCTGCTGTACCTTCGTGCGACGCCTATCCCGCGTGCTCTCGAGTCGCTCCAGCAGGCTTTCCAGGGCCTGTACCCGATCCAGACCCGCGCGCCTCAGCTTCCCTTGCCGACTATCTACTCCCGATCTTTCGACAACGAGACGCTCTTCCCCAACGAGACGGCGTGCCGTCGCTTCGGCATGCTTGCTCGCGAGTTCGCCCAGCGTGCCGCCGATACCTGGAACGACAGCAACGACATCAAGTATCTCAACGAAAAGCTCGGCAAGTGGATGCCCGTCAACAGCCCCACGATTGCCGTCGACTCTAAGCCGCGCCTCGTCGGTATCGTCGATTCAATTAACTCGACCGCAGCCCACGGACCCCAGACTCGCCTCCCCAAAGAATTCTACGACCCTAAGGTCAAGGCTATTGGCGAGAAGATTGTGGTGGACGAGTGGTTCACCGGCTACAAGGAGAGTCAGGAATACCGCACACTAGGCATTGGCAGTCTGATGGGCGACATTGTCGAGCGTATGGTCCGCTCGGTTGACCCTTTGCCCAAGACCACCATAAGACCGTTCCGCATGAGCCTTAGCGGATGCCATGACACCACAATGGCCGCCATTGTCGCCAGTCTCGGCGCGTACAACACCGAGGCATGGCCTCCATTCACCAGCCACGTCGCCATTGAGCTCTTCCGCGAAGCCGGTAAGCCACCACCAGCTTCCGTGTCGTCATGGGTGCCCTCCTACTTTGCTGGCAAAACTGGAACCATCGGTCGCAAACACACACCCTCCTTGTCTGAAGCCGAAAAATCAAAGTTGAAGGGCCACTATGTTCGCGTTCGCTACAACGACGAACCAATCACTATCCCGGGTTGTAAGCCAGCTGGCAAGCACTTGGAAGGAGACGAAACATTCTGTACACTAGTAAGTTCGTCGTCGAGTCCGAGCATGTAGCCCAAAAAGCACGACTAACAAGCCACCAGGAAGCATTTAAATCCATTGTAGACAAGTTTACACCCAAGGACTGGCACAAGGCCTGCCAATCCAACCTGAAAGAATCAGCATTCCCTGCCAAGATAGAGCCGGCAGGCTACTAAATAAGCCATATAGACACCGACCAAAAATGTACATAGCCTCTCTTTCCTAGTCTCCTTTTTCATGTTAGACACATCTATACGCCAAATCTTGCGATACAGGTAGCGCAGCTTAAGAGAATTGGAAAATCAGTATGAGTATTCGAGCTGGCGTCGCCGCCAGCATATGCATTCAACTATCCATGCTATGTGATATTGCTGCCCCTGTCCCGTTGTATATCTTTGCTCTTTTCCCAGTGCGCTCTTCTGAGCCTGCACATTTGGTATCCAAAAAAATGAGCATATACACCCATCCACTAACCTATCCAACTTGCCCTCTGTCCGCCTCACCTCCCATTCCAACAATCCGTATCAAGTCGATTTTAAGCCTGACAAAAAAGAAGAAAAGTAGGATATTAGGCATACAAGAAAGGAAGGTGATAAAACAAGTACTAAAAGAAAATACGTGAAAATGAAGGTAGCAGCCCGGGGAAAAATAGAATAAAAAGGAAGGAATTAAGCGGGCTGCTGGTAAATGAAGATGAAAATGAGACATTGCAAACAGATATAAACAAGAAATGATTAGCAGAGTCGTGAACACACGCCTCGAAGAGGAATTGTGCGCTGATACAAGCACACAGGAGTCGGAAGCTTAGTTGGCCACTTCTTCCTCAGCCCAGCCGTTGAGGCCGCCTTGGATAGCAAGGCCGAAGCCAGAACCGGCCATACCACCAAAGCTAGCTTGGTAGTGGTGGCCACGGCGCGGTTGGTGTTGCTGAGGCTCGTTTTCGCTGTTGTTGCTACCATGGAGGCTGTTGGGGCTGTTACCGCCGTTTTCAAAGCCAGGTCCGAACGCAGGCAGGCTGACAGCACGGCTGTGTGAGCCTCGGGCGTTGCTTGGAGCGAGAAGACCGCCAATGGTGGTGGCGCCAGAGGTGTTGCCGTTCATGGGATATCCATTGGAAATGCTTGCAGATTGACCGTGGGACGATAGCTGAGCTTGGTGAGGCACTTCGAGACCAAGCTCGTTGCCAGGCTGGCCAGCATACATGGCACCAGGCTGAGAAAGTTGCTGCTGGTGAACTTGCTGAGACATCTGGTTCAAGTACATGGTGAGGGGGTTGCTGCCTGCATTGAACATGGCCGCAGACTCGCCGCTAGGGGAACCGCTGTTCTGAGAGCCGTTGGGAGGAGGCGAAGACACGCCATCGCCACGAGGAGAGTTGCTCTGCTGCTGGGTCTGTCGAGGAGGGTTTCCGCAACGATCCTTTCCAAAATTGACCTTGAACTTCTTGTATTCATCTCTGCCGCGAATGGCCTCAATGGCCTTGATGGCGTTGGCAATGTTGGTGAAGTTGACAAAGGCGCAACTCTTCTCGCGAAGGGTGTTGATCAGCTCAATTTCGCCAAATTCCGTAAAGTCTTGTCGCAAGCGCTCCTCGGTCCAAGTCTCATCCAAGTTGCCAACGTAGACGTTTCTGGAGGCACCGCCACTGACGGCGAGGGCAATAGCAGGGGGGAGAGCACCAGAGTGCTTGCCCCATCCAATCTTTAGTCGGCGGTTGTGGATCATAAGGCCCTGAATGTTGCTGAGGGCGTAGAACGAGGCAGCGGCGGTAGGGTCGATGAACGTCACGAAGCAAATGTGCTTGTCAGGGATGTAGCGAATGTGATGCAACAAGCCGCCTCTAACGACATTGCAAATCTCCTCAATTGTCGTCTCGGGGTGAATGTTGCCTAGGTAAATTGTGCGGTTGCCGAGGTTGTTCATGCCACCAGCAGAGGTAGCAACAGCTGCTGCAGCCACGGACTGCTGAGCCAGAGCGTTAGAGATGACGTCGCGATCAGCACCAGTAAGCATGTGTGCATAGCCAGGAGCAATGCCCAGGTACTGAGCTGCATTCTGCTGCTGCGTCTTGGAGACGTACGCGCAACGATCCTTGCCGTAGTAGACACGACGAGGAGCTTGCCACTTGGCCTCTTGAGGTAGTTGAGACACGGCCTTGATAGCATTTGCAATAGAAAGATAATGAACAAAAGCAATGTTCTTCTCACGAACAAGCTTGATGGTATCAATAGCACCAAACTTGGCAAGGTCTTCCCTCAGTTCCTCGTCTGTAATTTCTTCAGGGAGGTTACCGAGATAGACATTGCGAGATGCACCAGATTGCTGAACAGCCAGCGCTACAGAGGTAGGAACCTGCGAAGGCTTACCCCACCCAACCTTGATATCTTGGCCCTTGATGCACAGCTTCTTCAGAATAGCGTCGGAGTGGAAATGGGTCGCGGAGCTGGCGTCGAGAAACGAGATGAAGGCGCAGTTCTTGTCGGCTAGCAAACGAACCGACTCGATTTGTCCACTTCGAACGTGTCCAAGAATTTCTTCCGCAGAGGTGTCAGGCGGGATGTTGCCAAGGTAGACTGTTCGGCTGGTGCCACTAACGGCGGCAGCGTTGAGGACAGGCGAGCTAGGCTGCATCGAGGACTGCATATTAAAGCTGCCGTTGGTAGGCGATTGAGGGGGGAAGAATTGAGGGGCACCGTATTGAGAAGGGGACACCATAGCATGATACTGCTGAGGGGACATGCCCTGAGAAGCATTGTTGCCGTTGTGCTGCTGGCCCTGGTGCTGCTGCGACTGGAAGGCTGAGAGTGACTGGAACTGAGGGCTGCCAAAGGCGGCAGGGCTTCCAGGTTGGAAAGGGCTACCAAGAAGCAGACCTTGTGGCAGAAGAGGAGTGAACTGCATATCAAAGCCAGAGCCGGGGCTGGCCATGTCGTTCATCCCCTGTGCGTGGTTCACCTGCTGTGTGTTGAGAGAAGGAATATTGCCACGGCGAGGGTGTCTCTCAGCAAATCCAGAGATGTTGGAGGTGAATGCGCCATGGGAGAAGCCAGTATCGCTGTTGGAAGGCTTGGAAGCGTGGCCGAAGCGAGAGCCTTGGTTGTTGCTGTTGGGGCCAGCCTGGCTCGCACCGTTGAGGTCCTGCATGCTGAGAAGATGAGGGGGGACGAACGAGTCCCGCCCGGAGTGCGAGAGAGTAGCCGTTTTGAGAAGTTTAAACGTGCCTGAATAGAGGCACGAGATCGATCAACAGAAAAGCGCTCGTGGGCAGTTGGTCAGTTGCGCTTTGGAGGAGCTGATGAGACCACCACAGTATAGTCTTGTGTAAAGAATGGGGGGTATATAATCGGCCGCGTGCGAGATGCAATGACGCGTCTAGAGCGTGCAATTGGCGCTAGGCAAAGTTTGCAGTATTGAAATAAACGAAGGACTGAGAATCAGAGCGATGGACTGGAGCCAACGAAAATGACAAATTCGATTTGATAGCGGCGCTAGGGGGTAGCCGAATAGTCGAAGATGTCAGCCGGTCGTCGGTGTGGTCGATCGAAGGAGAAAGGAGGAATAGAAAGTAGTTGAATGAAACGAAGGAAGAGAAGCGAGAAGCAAGGATCGTCGCCGCACAGCAAATCTATATCGGGTCTTGCGTGGAAGAAATGCGTGCCGTGAGGAGTCCAGGGGTTGGAGACGTGCCAGAAATTAGGCGGCGTGAGCGAGACGTCGGATTGGACACAGGCGACTCTGGCTAGTACGCAGCTAGAATCAGCAGATGTGTAAATGAAAGAAAAAATAAAGACAAGGTTATAAAAAAGAAGGGAAAAGAAAGGTATGACAGGGAAGAAGCGAAGCGGAGAGGGTTGGAGAGAAAGAGAATCGGGCAAAGGAGACTTGTCGCAGCAAAGGAGAGTCGTAAAGCTGGGGGTGGCTCCTGAGGGAGAGGCAGAGCGGGCGAAGGGGGGTGGGACCAGGAGAGGAGAGGAGAGAGCGAAGGAAAAAAGAGATGAAGGGGGTGGACGTACGAAAAGGGCGGCAAGGCGAGATCTGTGCAGAAAAAGAGGGATGAAGGGACACGCTGCACGAATAAAAAAAACAGTAATCTACGTAAAGAAGAAAATATTTTACGAAATTTAGACGAAGAAATAAAAAGATGTAATAAATTAGGAATGGGACAAGGTATAAAAAATTTATTAAGCAAGGGGTCTGGTGTCTAATGTATTTCACTGAGATTTGAGAGACATGCGCGTGTACTCTATCTGCACTGAAAAAAAAAAAAGGAAGGGGTCGCAGGGCGGGCGGCGGGGACTCGCCAGGTACCAGGTACAGTACAGTGCTGCTTCGGGGCACCATTACGGAGCGCTAGAGTACTTGTTAGTGGTACGAGCCGTCCCCGGAACACTGTATGGTGAGCGGCGTGGCGTGCTGGGAGTGTGAGTGACTGCGCTGAAAATATAGGGACAGCCTAGTATAGCGTAGGCTTCCCCTGGGGTTACAGTGTGCTGGCGTTGGCCGAGTGCGATGCACGTAGGGTACCCATACTGCGCGGCGCAACGTTAACACGACATGGCACAGATAATTATGTTGTTCCTAGACAAATCCCTTTTGCTTTCTTCTTAGTCCGTATACTTTTCCCCAAATACTGTAAATAGCAACAACAATGGGGCGTAAAACGTGACCAATGCCCGTTTCTTTGTTCCACACAGGAAGACGCCCGTTCGTGGGCTTACAAGCAAACAAACAAGCGCTGGCTTTGACCTGCTGGTGGCGGTTGGCATTGACAGCGGAGAACCTTTTCCGGTATAAAAGTACAGAATTAATACATCACGGTACAGTATTATACACACTAACTAATCTTTTTGTGTCTATCCACAGGGGCGGCCCATCTGTCTCTTGTATTGCACAGTACTCTACGGCATCCCCCGCTCTGTCCTGTTGGGGCGGCTGCACTTCACCAGCATACTGTACATTAGCGCACCGCACTGCATGCATTGCTTCAGTAGCCGCCCGTTCACGCCCGCGCTGCTCCTCTTTTTGTGGCCCCTCACCTACAGAAAGTTTAATGAAGCCCTCTTTTCAGGGGACAAGGGGGCACGACTGTTGAAAGAGGGGTAAATAAAGAATAGACAGGAAAATGCGATTGATTGAATTGGCTCTCAATAAAGTAGTCGTGAACAGGAACCAGTCTCCCGTTGAAGAATCAAACGATGATCATACAGTAGCTACACTTCCCCCATCATCCACCATCTACTACAAACAGCCTACTATTTCAACCGTCCGTCTCCAATGCACGCCACGCCCGCATCCCCAAAAGCAAAGAAAAAAAAGGCAAAGCCGTTGCACATGTAACTGGTTCATGCACGACACCACCTTCATTCACCCCCGTAAAAACGCACTAGAGCAATTTCAGCCCCCTCTTATGCTGCTAGTCGGGTCTATGCAACCTCACGCCATGAAGCACCTGCCCTCCCCCCGTTTAGCGAACGGACACAACCCGTTTGTGAGATTAGCGTAGCTGTTACCAAGCAAAATCCATCTTGCTTAGCTGGCCTAAAAACAGAAGCTATGTTTCAACTTGTTTCTTCCTTGGATGTTTGTCGTGTGCACGGTTATCGACCCGCCGGCAGCTATCCACACCAAGGTGCGCCAGCCATCCAGCCAGCCTGGTGGAGTCGCGTGCGCCGTAGGATCAGGTCGTTCTGGCGTCTAAACGCAGGAACCAAATCTCTCCGCTGGAGAATAATGTATGAACTGTTAGCTGCGATAGCAATGAAATGGATAATTACAAGAAAGAGGCAAAGTAGGTTATAGGTTTGATAATTAGTCGCATTGGAGTCTGCGTGCCAGATCTACCGCTAGCAGTATTTCCCAGATGGCCTCGTAGCCTTGTGCACGACACGACATGGGCACAGACGCCAAAAGTCATCCGCCCAAGCGCCGTAATAGCCACCTATGCCAGCTGCGCATGTTTCAAATTCACCTGTACATCACCTGTGCGCCGGTCTAGAATCTGTCGATCCCTGCCAAACATCTCTTCACCAATCCGCGCTTCAGGCAACCACAGGCTTATCGTTGAAACAAGCGACTGTGTAGACGCCGGAATGTACACAGCCAAAAACGAGGCGTTTTGCGCCAAACAGACACGGGCCGAAAGACTTGTTGAGACAGAGAGATAGACTGCACGTCCACGGAAGTGCACTATTCCATTGTGAGCTTGCTTTTATTTGTGGTATATCTGTGCTATGCATCTAAATATGGGATTTCGTTCTGCTATGCAAGCGTGCGTCCAAGTATACACAGCCACCAATATCATTCTGCCCTACTCTAATCATCATCTAAGGCTTGCAACGTCCCATGAAGCGAGGGTACAAGCAAGTGGTGCGGACAGTGTGCTGGTTAGCCATCCAGGCCAAGAAGCGCTCGAGACCGAGACCGTAACCACCGTGGGGGGAAGTACCATACCTGTAAAAAGAGGTCAAATTAGCGACTGTTTCGTATTATTTCAGAGACAAATGTTATTCAACTTACTTGCGCTGGTCAGTGTACCAGTAGTAGTCCTTGGCAGGAATACCTTCCTTCTCGTAGGCAGCCAGGAGCTCGTCGTAGCCCTCCATTCTCATGGAACCACCAACAATCTCACCAACACCAGGCATCAAGCAATCAACAGACTCAGTGACACGGCGGTCTTCGGGGTCCTTCTTCATGTAGAAAGCCTTGATCTCGGTAGGGAAATGTGTCAAGAAGATGGGGCGGTTGATGGCGTCCGTCATCTTACGCTCGGCAGCCTCAGCGATGTCGTCACCGAAAACGTGGGGGTTGCCATCTTCGTTGGGAATGGGAGGATCCTGGGCGTTGAGCCAGTCAATGGCATCGGTGTACTTCATGCGCATAAATGGGCGCTCGGGGCGCTTGAAGTCGGGGTTGAGAGTCTTGAGCAGAGCAGCCATCTCCTCGTCACCGAGGACGGTGTCAATGACACGGCACATAATCTCCTCAAGATGCTCAAGCAGATCGTTGAAGTCGATAAAGTCCAGCTCGGCCTCGACGTGAGTGTACTCGGACAAATGGCGACGAGTCAAACTCTTCTCGGCACGGAAGGACTTTTCAATGCAGTAGACGTTGCCCAAGCTAGGAAGAACAGTCTCGAGGTACAGCTGAGACGACTGGGTCAGGTAAGCGGGCTCATCGTAGTAAGGAACGGTGAAAAGAGTGGCACCACCCTCGACCTGGGTCTGAACAAGAGCGGGGGGAGCGACCTTGACGAACTTCATGTCGTGGTAGGTCTTGGTAAAGGCCCACTCGACGTTGGCACGGAGCTTCATCAAAGCAGAGGCGTTCTCGCCACGTAGCACAAGATGACGGTTGTCCAACATCTGCTGGTCCCACTGGTTCTGCGAGGACGACACCTTGTTGGTGATGGCCTCGTCGTCACCAGGAGAGGTACCAATGACCTCGTAGTAGTCAACGTGCAGCTCACGGCCACCTGGGGCGTTCTGGCCCTCGGGAACCTTGCGCATCTCGCCGTAGAGAGCGAGCGAAGTACCCTGGGCAAAGGTGAGAGCATCGTACGTCTTGGTCAGATCACCAGACTGAAGAATGCACTGGAGAAGACCGAAGCCGTCGATAAGTGTGATGAAGATGGCCTGCTTCTGGGGACGCAGTCTGTGGATGCGGCCAAAGACCTTGACACGAGCACCCTTCTTGTCGCCCTCGCCGAGCTCGACGTCCTGTGTACCAATGTTGATCTTGACGGCAGCAGGCAGAGACTCATCCTGCTTAATGACAATCTTCTTGGCCTCTTCAAGGTTGGCGAGACGCTGCTGCTTCTTCGCATCTTCAGCAGCCTGGGTCTGTGCCTGCTTAGCGAGCTTCTTCTTGTGAGTTTCCAATACAGCCTGGGCTCTCTTGATAGCACTCTTAGCAGGCTCCTTCCAGGACAGTCGTGCGGAGGGGTCCTCGCCCTCTGCCAGAGCACCGGTTACGGAAGCGCGCGAAACGTAGTCGAGGCCGGGGCTGTCAATGTTCTGAATGTACGCAAAGGCAAGAGACTTAAAAGGCTTAGTCTCGGAGCCATCGGCAGTCTGGTCGTCGACACCAGCATCGGTATCGATGTAGCACTTGCCCTTGACCCGCTCAGCGAGGTCTTGAGGAGCGGCAGCCATGATGTTTCGGTTCAGCTGAGGTGATAGAATTCGATTTGTATTTGTTGTAATTATTCGATAAAGAGTTGGAAAAAAGAAAAAAGTCGCTCGCTTTCGTCTCGCTCTTGAGTCGCGAATTGGAAAAGAGGGCACAAATGGCAGCTAGATAATAAAATGCTTTAGAATGGTGGGGTAGAGGGGTTGGCGGGTTAAAAAAGCACCCTGCCACCCGCCCAAGGTGGGATGTGTGACTCAAATCGGCAAGTCTGCCAGGGCGGTGAGACGCTGCGCTGCCACCCTGCCGCTCTTATCTGCGACGCAACCATTTTCTGCCACCTTACAGTGGCTAGTCACACCGGCGCCGACCTCGCTATGTCTTGGAACTTTCACCACCACCAAACAACTGCCGTAGCAGCATTAACACAAGGGGCAGGCGAGGTTGGCAATGAATTTATTTCACAATTATAAATGCGTGATCTTTTTTTCGTGACTCAATTCTTATGCGTAGCAATTTAGGGACAGACTTGTTCCTGTTAATCGGGAGTCTCAAATTCAAGCTCGCTTTTCGACGCCTCCTCCCACACGAAACAACAAACGCCTCGACCATGCTTCTTTCATCGTCATCAACTACATTTCTCATATTGTCTCCCAGATGTCCTTCTTTTACAACTCATCCTTCTGATGATCACCCTCATTCTTAGCCGTAGCCATGTCCTTCATGCCCCTCTTCACCATGGAGCTTAGGATCTCGTACACAACCTGGGCAGCCGCAAGGGATGTCTCTTCGGCGTTGCTCTGGTAAGCCGGGGATACTTCCACGACATCGGCACCCACGAGGTTCAAGTCCTCAATGCCGCGCAAGATGCGAATGAATTCTCGCGTAGTCCAACCTCCAGGTTCCGGGGTGCCCGTTGCAGGAGCAAATGCAGGATCCAAAACATCAATGTCAACAGAAAGATAGACAGGATCCTCTGTGCCGAGAGTCTTCATGATTCCGTCAATGATACCCTTGGTGCCAATGTCGTCGATTTCGTCCGCAGAGAAGCGAACCCAGTTCTGTGCCGTGTCGTCATCATTGTCATCCCATCCATCACCACTAAGACGTGTACGTAGTCCAGCATGAACAGATGCCTCATTGGATGAATTGGATAGGAGACCTTCTTGGTTTGCTAGCCAGAACATGGATCCGTGGGTGTACTGAGTAGATCCCCAATACGAAGGGTACTTGGAGGGGTCCCACGTGTCGAGATGCGCTGCATCATGTAAGTTCATATTTCCCCAGGGTAAAGCAACTTGTCACGTACCATCAAAGTGAAGCACTCGGACCGGTCGGCCATGAATTTTGGTTAGTGCACGCAGCGCCGGCAGCGTCAAGCTGTGGTCTCCTCCCAGAGTCATCAACTTGGGCTTAGAGCTGACCGAAGATACCGTCTTTCGGTTTCCCAGCTCTGTCAAGGCCTGGGTCATTTGCTCACGTGCAATGTTGTTGTCAAAGGGTGTGACTGGAATATCACCGCAGTCAATGATCTTGGCCCAGTTGCTGTATGGGTTGATATCAGCACGTGGGTTGAAACCTCTGAACGCAATTTGGCGTGACGAGGACTGGCGGATTGCGCGAGGGCCAAATCGGGCGCCTAGCAGATTGATTAGCAACTATCTTTTCCACATACACTTTAAAGATGCTTACCTGGTCTGTAGCTGACAGCAGTATCAAATGGAGCTCCGACAATGGCAATATCAAATTGCTCTGCCGGGTTGGTCAAGCACTTGACATACTCCAAATGGGCAAAGCTTCCAATGCCGGAAAAAGACCACTAGCTGAATGTTAACACTGCAGGCTCCATACTGTAGTAACCATTCTTTTATTCTTACATCTTGTCCCCATTTGTCTTCCAACTCTTGGAGCTCTTCCTTAGACCACTCTTTGTCGTCATGGTCATGGCTGCATCCAGCAGCGAGTGAGCTGCACAGAAGGAGGTTGAGAACAGTGGCTGTCTTCATGATATATAGAGGTATATAATTGATTTCTCTACAATGAAAATCAATCAAGAATTTCTGTCAAAATGAATACATTAGAAGTGAGGGGGCGCCGCTACTTAAATCCCGGCTTCGGCATCGTGTCGGAGTCGGCCGCCCGCGGTCACCGGTCAACGTCCCGCACTGACGGCGCTGAATGGGGATCGGTTGTGGGGGTTAGTTGGGGGCACGTCTTGGCAGCAGCTTGTTTGCCGATTTGCATAGCAGACGTCGCTTAACAAGGGGAAAAAAAGGATTCTATTGAATGTGCGAAAATCGTACTCCAATTGCATAAAGTTGCTGTTGTTATAGTTAAACTAGTTGTTTCAGTTTGTGGCACACAGACAAAAACAGGACATTGCGGCCTCAAAGAATTGGCTGACACACCCAACTTCATTAACAACCACCTTTCAAACGAACTATGGCACTGAACCGCAATCTTTAAAGTGTGTACAGTATAGTCTAGAATCAAATTTGCACTCCAATCGCCTAAAACAGTAAAAAACAGAAAGTAAAACGATCCTATCGCAATGGCTTCACCTTAGCTTTATGAACATGTCCGTCTTGAGAATCAACGGCAGCCATGGGCCGTAATTTGCCAACCGCACGCTCATCCTTAACCTCCCAGCTACATGATGGCGCTTCTATGCCGTCATAATGTCCGCCAAGGGTAGACACAAAGCCAATCCTGGCTGTCAACAGCAGAATCCTAGAAAAAGTAAATCGTATGCAACGCTGCTCCTTCTTCAATGCGGGCCAAGTTAACCCGACATCTCACTTCGCTGTGCTTGATGCTGTACCCTAACATGGGCTAAGCATCGCCTGTCCCATACTCATCCGCTGTTATTCACCCATCGCAGTTCCATCATCGGTTTTGTTCAATACGAACATGTCGTTCCAAGTGTCCCCCTGTTTTGCAGACAAATCTGCGGTCTTCCACGCATCGATATATAAGACCCATGGAACAGTGTATACGAAACCTGCTATTTATAGAATGAGACACTTGTGCGACTTCTTCTTCGGGGCAGGTGGCTCCAGGGCGGCGACGATGGCCTGTAATATAGTCAGCAACATGATCACACCGTGTATTCCAGTAGGTCCAAAACTTACCTCGTCGAAGACGTCTTTCAGCTTAAATTGGGTGAGGGCACTGCACTCAACATACTTAACGGCGCCTAGTTCCTTAGCCATGCGCTCGCCATCCTCTCTTCGAACGGGCATCATCTTTTGCTTCTGAAGCTTCTCTCTGACGCTGGGGTCATCACGCAAATCAACCTGCGTTCCGACAATCAGGCAGGGAACACCGGGACAGTGGTGATGTACCTCGGGAAACCACTTTTCTCTGACGTTTTCAAAAGACGCCGGCGATGTGACGCTAAAGCAAACAAGAAAGACATCGGTCTGGGGGTATGAAAGAGGTCGCAGTCTATCGTAATCTTCTTGACCGGCAGTATCGAAGAGACCGAGAGTGTAGGGCTCGTCACCAATCCTAGTAGCATTTATGGTTAGTAGCCTTGCTCGATAGTGGCAGGTAGAGCTCAACCAGGGTAGCTTTACACCGCCTCGGCCTCAACTAGCAGTTCCGTGCTACACGGCTACTTATCAACCGGCTAGCAGCATGGTGAGGTTGGCGCCAAAACCACTGGTACTCGTTTGCTCAGGAATAAATTGGGGGAGGACCTTACATGACTGTAACAGCATAGTTATCAAACACTGTAGGGACATATTCGGAGGGGAACTTGTTGGTTGTGTAGCTGATGAGCAAACACGTCTTGCCGACAGCACCGTCGCCAACGACGACGCACCTAGAGAGAGATGTGGTTAGAAAAGAATTCTTCAAAGACTATGATTTTGTCAATGACGCAATATCTTCGCCAAGGACAGATAGGGCAGCGTCAAGGCGCGCCTCGCAGCGCAAGCATGCGTCCGCTCTGCCACGGCGACAAATGATATTTAGAGGGACAAGGGTATATCGTACTTGATGGTAGCAACCACAGCCATGGTCGAATGTTATAAGGGACCTCGGCGTAAGGAGGTTATGAAAGGTGAAGAAAGTCGAGGAAGCTGTGAAGCTTAGGAGGGGCGGAGAGGCGTTAAAACGAGACAGTAGAGGGGGGCGGTGTTTTTGAAGATCGGTCGCAGAGATGCGTCGGGTGCTGCAGAAGAATAAGGCGAACGGCGGATCAAAAACCAGACAGGCGAGAGGCTATGCGGCAAACTGGCGATGATTTTGGTACGGGAGAAGGGGGGAGGCAGGCAACAGGCGTTGGGCGGATTTTGTCGAAGATCCAGAGGAAAACACCTTGGGCGCTGATTCTGCCTGTGACAGGCCAAAGCCGTTTGGGAGTTGCGCCAGCAGGCTCTGGTTTCAGTGGTGTTGTCCTGAGGCGGGAAATGAGGTCACTGGTACCTGTAGGTTACGCGATGTTTGCGGTGCTGGGTGGCTGGGATGCTGCTGTTTGCTGGCTGTGAACATGTACTGGGTACAGTGGCGCTAGCAATTTTTCTATTTTTCTTCCACGCAGCCCTCGGCAGCACTGTATTGCCGCTCCCGGTTTCAAGCAGCGTTATGTAAGCATATCGTGGCGTGTTAACTGAGACGGTTGATGTCATTCTAGATGGAAATTGGACGAGGTTGAGGATGATAACTTTGAATGAATAGCTTTTTTAAGAGATTTAATTTTATTAATAGTCGGCCTCATATTTAAAAGCTTGCACTGGGAAGAGGACGGGCTGACGCTAGAGACCAGTACCAGTATCCCCTATCACAGGCCAATCGCTCGCTGCTGCAAGTCAGTCTCGGATTTATTTTAAGAGTATATTATGATTCTGGTTATCTTTCGGCTTCTTAGTACGACTAAATGTCTTTTTATAGCCTCATCTGATATCTCCCGTGCAATACGGTAAATATGGTGTTTAAATTAAGTTGCTTAAGCTTGCTTTTAGCGTCGTAGCCTTAGAGGGCCCGCGGAGCCCTGTAGTCGTTCTCTGGAACCCTCGGCACCCGGCGCTCGGCAAGCGTCTTGCACAGTTGGCGACGAGTCGTCAAATCTGTACGTTTCTCTATAAAGTCATCAATGGAAACCTTTTCAGTAGAGAATATTCTTCAAAGTCGATAGTCCAGCAAGTGTATATCGTTAGAGAAAGCCGCAGTCGCGCAGTTTTCACCATGTGGCCCGTGTCAAGGAATACATCGACGCCACCCGCCTTTCTGGCCCTACGATCTAGTCCAAGGCTGATCATTTTTACTGTCGCCTTCGCCATATTTTCGGTAAATATCAAGACTCTCACTTGACTATAGGCCAATCTACTCTAACAGACTCTAGGATATATTCCTCTATGCCGTGGTTGTACCAGTCCTCCCGTTTGCTCTCACGAGTAGAGTTGGGATTGAGGAAAAAGATGGTAAGCATTTGGCATTCTGGATTTATATGTATGAATGATTATTGACTTACACTAACCAATAATAGTCCAAACTTGGGTATCAGTCTCCTTAGCCGTGTTTGGAGGCGCCTTGCTCATCGCTGCACGTAAGTCGTACACTTGACCCATGTCGGATACCATTGCCGATTGACTAACATTTTCATTAGCTATATGGGGTTATTTTGCAGATCGGTATCAGAACAGACGAATTCCTATGTTAATAGGATTAGTCATCCTCGTCGGGTCTACCGTGCTGCTTTGCCTGGTTATGAATATCCCAATGCTCATTGTAGCTAGAATCTTGCAAGGTTTTGCTGGAGGCATGACCTGGACTGTTGGTCTTGCATTGATTATTGACAGCGTTGATCCGAAAAATATTGGAAAAGAGCTAGCTTGGACCAGCATTGCTCACAGTTTGGCAGTCTTCAGCGGCCCTATCCTCGGTGGAATTATTTACAACCATTCCGGGTACTATGCGGTCTATGCCGTTTGCTTTGGAATTCTGGGTTTCGATATTGTTATGCGGTTGGCCATTATTGAGAGAAAGGACGCCAAAAGGTTTGGGCAGCAAAGCGAGCAAAGTACCAACGAGCTTGAGCCAGTCACCATGCAGTCCACTGCAGTCGACTCGCAAGCTAAAGCTGAATATCCCAGCATGGACAAACATTCGCCTGCTACAGTTCACACTTCCCCAAGAAATCCTAGACCCAGGAAGAGCTTTATTGGTGAGCTAGCAAACTTGTTGCGAAAGCCTCGACTCCTGGCTGCAATGCTGGGGACTGCTGTTCAAGGCATTGTCCAAACCGGCCTCGAAAGCACCATTCCATTATTCGTTGCCGGAACCTTTGGTTGGGACTCTACAGGCGCTGGTCTAATCTTCTTGCCTCTTGTTATGCCAACCATGTTGTCGCCGATTGTGGGTGCGTTGGGAGACCGGTATGGCCCAAAGTGGCTCTGCACCAGCGGTTTTCTTCTCATCACCCCATTCGCCATCAGCCTACGGTTTGTCACCGAGAATAGCATTGAGCAAAAGGTAAGGCTCTGCGCCTTGCTCGCCTGCATTGGAGTTGGTCTGGCGCTAGTCTTTTCGCCATTGACAGCAGAGATGTCATGGGCTGTTGAGGAGGACGCCAATGAGGATGATGGCTCTGCTCCCCCCTATGCTCAGTCTTATGGCTTGTTCAATGTCGCATTTTCTGTTGGAGCGATTATTGGGCCTCTCCTAGGTGGTGCTCTCAGAGAGCATTATGGCTTTGGTACAGTTGGTTGGGTTTTTGGTGTTATTACTTTTGTCACTGCTATTGTGCAGCTTCTTTGGATCGGCGGAAATCTGTTTCCAAGAAAACAGTTGATTACGAATGCCTAATCTGTTTATATATACCCATTTTTTAAATAATTAATACAGAAAAAAGTTGGCAGTGGAGCGGCTTTGCTCAAGATATCTAGGCTTCCACATTGCGGGACACAGCACGTTGTATAGCTGTAAACTTAACCCCCACCATAACGGCACCCCAACTCTACCACAACCACCAAACAACACATTCACCAGCTCACCATGTCCTCTGAGCAGCAACGAATAGACGAGCTCCTGCAACGATATTTGCTTCTCGTAGATGAATATTCACGTCTCCGAGAGAACCTGGCCTCATTGCAGCGTGGCGTGTTTCAAGATATCGCGAGAGCCAATTTCGGAGCAGAGCGCGGCCTAAGATATGGACAAGACCACTACGATGAGCGAATGAAGGCGTCCAAACAAGTTACAATAGTCGAAAGCGAGGGCTCAAAGCTCCCAATATTCACAGTATACAACAAGAAGCCTCAGCCTGAGACAGAAAAAGCCGACGCTACACCCAGCGACGATGGCGTTGATCATGACGAATCCGCATCAACCGCAGCATCACCGCGGAAAAAAGCTACCAATCCTCTGAGCTGGTTTGGTGTTTTGTCACCCCCTCAGATTAGGTCTGCACAAAGCCAGTCAATACAAGTCATAGACGATATTATACCTCGGCTCACTACCATTGATGCGGAGATGCGCCATGTGGAAATTGAGGTGCGCCGGGCTCGCAAACGAAGAGCGAAGGCTAAAAATGAAGTATAATGTATAAATAGAATGCAGTTTTTATTCATTTATATAGCTTTAAATTTTTAATTATTGGCTCCTATGACAGAGCTCTTAGTGTATCTAGGACATCAGTTATTTGCTCATTCAAGTCGTCCGCTGCCTGGATATTCTTGGCCACATGAGACGCAGCACCTGCAATCGCGGCAGTAGAATGTCGATATCTGCTCCTCATTCCTGAGTTGGCTCTGGTTAGCAGGGTGCAACACAGTTGTAACACCCCGACGTGTGCTTCCCTCGCCTTGGCTAGTGTCACACTATCCGGCACATCCCACGCCGCAAAAGCAGTAATTAAATCAAGCCAGGATTCTAGTGTTCCAGATTCTTCCTCTTCTGCGACCGTCAGAAGAACTCTAACCATGTCAATGACCAACTCTGCATTGCCCTCACTTTCATCCTCTGCATGGGTCCGGAGAATTTTCATCAGATCTTTCGAAATAATCGTCCAGCCGTCATGAAGCAGAAACATCTCACGGCCCTTTTTGAACGTAAGTAATCCTTCAAGAGCAACTAATGTTGGGGAGCGGAAGTCCAGTTCTCCCGCATCGCTGGCTTGGTATAATTCCAAGAAAACATCAGTTAAGCCTGTCGCCTCTTTGCGAAGTGTCTCATTCTCATCTTCTCGAAGCCAAATAGCCAACGTTCTAAGTGCGGATAATATAAAAGGATCCTTATCGGCCATATCCTTCATAGAATCCCAGGTCAAGGTTTTGTGTGATCCCATTGATGTTTCAGCGCTGCCTGTTCTGGCATCGGGATGGAGGCCCATGGCGCCTGCAACTGATGCGTCCCATCTGTCTCTCAAATATTCTACTGTGACTGACATGGTTTCGCCTAGATTTTTCCGCATTTTCAGAAGACTTTCCGGTGGCATAACCATGGTCTCCAAGCGCTCATCTTCTAAAGACCGTATGAGGAAACCAAGAAATATGCAAACGACGTCAAATGCAGATGCCAGGCGGCGGGATATCGCTGGATAAGCCGGATCGTTGAGCTTTTCGAGTAACGTAGGCGCTGAGGATCTTATATCAATAAGTAATAGGTTTATAAACAGAAACGTGAATGGCTTTTCTTCCTTTCCAGTATTAACGAAAAGAAGAGCCATGGTATCCTGAGGATAGCTTTGTAAAAGTGCGGCGGATGCATTTGTGTATGCCACGCGAGCATCGACAGTGGGTCGGCTTTTGACAAGATTTTGTATAAATCCAACCATAGCCGGCAGCCATTTTGGGTGCTTAGGCAAAGCCTGTGACTGAAGTGTTAGGATATTCAGCTGAAATCGAGAGAGTTGGGGGTGGTAACGTACCCTAAGATCTGCCTGTGGGAGAAAGGCTCCCAGAAATGAGAGCAATGTGACTGCATCGGTTCCCTTGAAAATCACACATAGATTCTGAAGGACCTTGTCCACATGCTGGCTAACAACATGTCTTTCAGAGCTGGTCGTTAGGCCATTCAGCCACGCATGTCGTAAGATATCCAACACAATGGCATGGGATGGTGCAATCTCAGTCAAGGACGAGATATCTTCATGTAAAATCAATGCTTCGGCGCCCTCGCGATTGCTGACGATTGTAAATAAAGTCTGCAGCAGGCGGTCCGTTGTTTCACCGGAGCTACAAACTGGTTAGCAACAGTGTGGTCTGCGTGTCAGGGTAGATTTTAAACCTGTAAAGCACTGCATCTACCAAACTTGGCACTCTATCTACCAGTTTAGACTGTCCTTTGCCAGTTGCTGGCAATAAAATAGCAAAAGTATGGAGGATGGAGACGGCGAGATCAAGCATATCCTTTCCATCTGGGTTGGAAGGCTTGGAACCCGTCTTGAGCAGCCGATCCAAGAACTTGGACGAGATGCATGACCAAAAGTGTTGTATAATGGCTGTATTTTGTCGAATATCTGCCGAGTTGTCCAGCACAGATCGTAACAGAGCTAAACCGACGAATCTCTGAGTGTCGTTCTTTGTTTTGAGGAGCTCTTCAATCTTTGCGAGGTTAGCGGGGTCAGCCTGCGCTGCCTGGTCGACGTCCATTCTGCTGATGATATGAGGTTATATTATAAAGTGAGCTTCGAAAAATAAATTCATAGCTTCAGTTGAAGGTCATCTGGACGGGTTGTTTGAGTATTTGTAATGATGTTAAGCTTGCTGTTTGGACAGAACACCTTGCAGGGTAGCTGTACTAAATTTTAAAACGGATGCGGGTGACAGTAGCTCTGGCAGTGGAGCATGCGCTGGAGCCGCCAGCTCAGCCTCCTTTGTTCTCGATTGGCGATCCACTGGCCAGCGCATGACATCAACCCCATCGACTCGTCAGGACGAGTGCTTACGATGGAATAAACTGCCTACCGACTGTTGGAAAGGATTTGTCACGGCATTCAGTGTTTCACAGCGATGGCCTCGAACCCCCTTGGAGAGCCGCTGGCTGGAGCAGCTTCGTCATCGTCGCAATCACCCCGGCCTCGAACGCCCCAACCCGATCACGACCAGGACGAGCTCGATTTTCTTGGCGACGATATCGGAAACGATGGACGAGTACTCGATGGCGATCCCATAGCGACGCCGATTTCATTCAAGCGCAAAAAAACCGACAATGTCCTCTCGACGCCCAACCGACTGCTGTCAACAATCACAGGCGGCAGATCTGCTAACGCAGGCAACGGTTCCTCGTCTAGGGATCGTTCGCCGTCGGGTCGAATGCCGTTTTTCGGTTCACCCCATAAAGGAAACGGAAGCGGATTGAATCACAATACAAAGGACGGAGCCCCCCTGGACTGGCATGTCGAAGGTCCTGGCCGCCGCGTAGGCTATGATGACTTGACAGCTATCGATTGGATTTTCGAGTATACAAAAGAACGCCAACGCATACGGACGCTGACATCTGGCGCCTCTGGAATCCTTGGTCGAGTACAAGTCTTGCTGGATGCTAGTCAGGCCTGGATAGTGCTGGTGCTCACTGGCTTGCTTGTTGGCGCTATCGCTGCCACGATTAACGTCACAACGGATTGGCTGGGAGACATTAAGCTCGGCTTCTGCGCCAGTGGCCCCGAAGGCGGCCACTTTTACCTCAATAAAGCATTTTGCTGCTTTGGATACGATCAGGGATCCAAGTGTTTAGGGTGGAAGACTTGGAGCGACTCTCTCGGTGTCCACAGCGCCGGAGGGAAATGGTTCTTGGAATACATCTTCTTCCTTCTCTTCTCAGTATGTGATTCGATGTAGTACAGTGCCGAATTTTCTTGCTGACAATCTACTAGGTTACATTTGCATACTGTGCCGCGCTGCTTGTACAAGAATACGCCATTTATGCAAAGCATAGTGGTATCCCCGAAATTAAGACTGTCCTCGGAGGGTTCGTCATTCGACGTTTCCTGGGCCTCTGGACCCTGATTACGAAATCTTTTGGTCTTGTAAGCATGAAAAGCATAAAGTTACCTTGGTAACGTACAAGGGAAACTAACCTGAGTCGTAGATTCTGGCCGTTGCTTCAGGCATGTGGCTAGGCAAAGAGGGACCTCTTGTCCACGTAGCCTGCTGCTGCGCAAATCTGTTTATCAAACTCTTTGCCAACATTAGGAACAATGAAGCTAGAAAACGTGAAGTTTTATCGGCAGCTGCTGCATCCGGTATCTCTGTAGCTTTCGGATCACCTATTGGCGGCGTGCTTTTTAGTCTTGAGGTATGTTGTGGCTCACATATCCAAGTGTTTCGCATTACTAACTATGATAAGCAACTGTCATATTACTTCCCAGATAAAACCATGTGGCAGAGCTTTGTTTGTGCCATGGCAGCCGCCGTATCTCTCCAAGCCTTTGATCCGTTTCGATCTGGCAAGCTGGTGCTATATCAAACCAAGTACAGCACCGACTGGCACGGCTTTGAAATCCTTCCGTATGCCATCCTCGGTATCATTGGTGTAAGTCACATGCCTTCTCTTTGACAATACTTCTCTAACATGTCATAGGGCGTCTATGGCGGACTCTTCATCAAAGCCAACATGATTGTAGCACGATGGAAGAAGGCTAACCCCTGGCTCCCCGGCCCTGTTTCCCAAGTTCTGGCCGTTGCTTTTCTGACGGCGCTCATCAACTATCCCAACTTTTACATGAAGGTTCAATCTACAGAACTGGTGTCAAGTCTCTTCTCAGAGTGCTCTAAAGTCCTGGACGACCCTATTGGACTCTGCAAGACAGGCGCGGCATCAGCCACCACGATTGTGCTCCTCATCTTTGCCGCTGTCTTGGGCTTCTTTCTCGCCGCTATCACATTTGGCTTGCAAATTCCTGCTGGCATCATCCTGCCATCTATGGCTATCGGTGCACTTATTGGCCGCGCCATTGGTATCATCATGGAAATCTGGGTTGACAACCACAGATCTTTCTTCCTGTTTCAAACTTGCGCCCCTGATGTACCCTGTATTACACCGGGAACATACGCCATCATTGGCGCTGCCGCATCACTGGCTGGCGTAACTCGCATGACTGTGTCCATCGTTGTCATCATGTTTGAACTGACTGGTGCCTTGACATATGTCTTGCCTATCATGGTTGCCGTTATGATTTCCAAGTGGGTGGGAGATGCATTCTCACGCCAGGGCATCTACGAGTCTTGGATTCATTTCAACGAGTATCCCTTCCTGGACAACAGCGAAGAGATGATAATACCTGACATCCCTGCTTCGGATGCCATGACCCGAATTGAAGACCTCGTTGTTCTCACTGCAACTGGTCACACAATTTCATCACTCAATATCATCTTGGAAACTCATCCGTACCGCGGCTTTCCCGTTATATCTGATCCGCAGGAGGCTATCTTGCTTGGATTTATCTCGCGTGCCGAACTCACCTATAACATCCGCACTGCCACTGGACCTCCACGATCTCTGCCCCTTGAAGCTGAAGTGTTCTTCTCGCACCAGGCTCTTGCAGACCCCAGGACCACGCTAGACTTGCGCCCATGGATGGACCAAACACCTCTTACTCTTCCTTCGCGCACCAACATGCATTTGGCTGTATCGTACTTCCAGAAACTTGGACTCCGTTACGTACTCTTCTGTGACCAAGGCGTGCTACAAGGCCTCCTTACCAAAAAGGATGCATGGTATGTGCTCAACGGCGCGGAAGAAACCCGCAGGACCACAGAAGTCCCTATAATGCGGACAGATGGCCTCCGACGACGCAATGTCGGTCCTACTCGCCGTACCGAGGACGAGAACTTGTCCGATTTGATCGACCCCGAAGATGACGAGCCAGCATTAAATGAAGCTCGAAGCCCAATGTTATAGTGTTTACATACGTTCATGACAAATTAATGTGTACAATATCAAATTTTTGCTACTTAAAAACATCGCATAATACAGTAAAACATACACCCAAGTGATTTCAAACGCCAAATGCGACAACCGTACAAAAACAGACCACATATCTCCCAATAACTAATACTCGAAATCGTCATCTACAGCAGGACCCTTGTTCTTTGCCACACTCTCCTGCTTTCGGTACATTTCCGCAACTTGTCTGCTTGATGTTGCCTCGTCGGGCTTCTTATCGTCTCGGACCTTGATGAATCTCGGGAAACGCAATGAGATACCCTTGCCACCCGCTGGATCAACGCCTTCATGGCTGCCAGCCTTGTAACGTGGGCTAAGAGTTAAATCGGCCGTCTTGACTTCCCAGACAAAGCGTGGCTCAAACCAGACATCAGGCTGGTGCTGACCACCCGTCGAGTGTGAGTAAAACGGCTTGGGACGAGCAATAGTGATCTCCGAGAGCTGCTTGTGCAAATCTTCAAGAACTTGTTCTGAAAAGCCGGTACCAATGTTGCAAACGGTCTCGTATATCTCTGAGTTGGGATTGTAGCAGGCGAGCAGGAATGCACCGTAGACTGATGTGCGTTTACCTTTGCCGTAGTATGCGCCGAGGACGACTAAATCCAGCGAGTCACCGACACCGGAGAGATAATCCTTTTTGATCTGTCATTTTGTTAGCATAAACGTTTCAATAGGTCAATACACTGGAACATCGACATACCTTGAGCCAGTTACGACTGCGCTTGCTGGGCTCATATCCACTCTCCGTGCCGTCCAACATCTTCACCATCAGGCCTTCGCAAGAAGCCTTGACACTCTCGTCTAGGAAGACTTGAATTTCATCCAATTCACGGCCATCCATACATGTGGCGAAGGCGAATTCGCCCTCAACAGGGTTAAACGCTGCGTGGAGCAAGTCTCGACGCTCGCGCAGAGACTTTGCAACAACAGCGTCGCCGTTGAGGTAGAGCAGGTCAAAAGCAAAGACACAGACCTTGACCTTGACATCCTCAACCTTGACGTCCTTCTTCTTGCGAGTCATGAGCTGCTGGAAAGGAAGAACCTTCTTCTCGTCGACATCCCAGGCAACAGTTTCACAATCGAGGACGAAGCTCTGTGTTCCGTCCTTGACCCAAGTAGACAGCTTGGCGAGAATATCGGGATACTTCTTGGAGAGGTCCTCCGAGTTTCGCGAGAAAATACTCGCGACACCATTGCCGACTTCCTTGTTAGCGTCAGGAGCCGACTTGCTCAGCTTTTGAGGAGCACTCTTGGCAACATAGTGAATCTGTGCACGCTCGCCATCGTATTTGTATTCGCAGGTAAACGTCTGGTTTTCGAATCGATCCAATACTTCGGTAATGGCCTTGGTCGGCTTTGCCAACATGGGCTTCAGTGGTACACCAGGGCGTAGCTTGCAATACTCTCGCAGGTTCATGATACCGTGCTCCATCATAGCGGGGATAATTACGTCGTAACTGGGGAGTTCACTAGTTGTTGTTAGCCAATAAAGCTCTTACTCTTGGCCCTCCCTTCACACATACCTATAAGTAGACTTGAGAATACTCTCGCCATTCTCAATATCTGTCGTGCTGGGCACCTTACCCTTAAGAGACGCTTCGTGGCAAACGGCAGCCTGTGCAAGAGATACGAGCACCGTTCGCTCTGCCAGACCAAGACGGAGCTTGCCCTCCAGGAAACGGATCAAGTACTTGGCCTCACTAGGGCCACCCTTGTCTTTGGTAATGTCGATTTTACCGGTATTATGGGCGTCAGAAGCAGAAAGGAGCTTCTTGATTCCGTCCACCTTTCTGCCCTGGGCACCATTGCCAGTCACAGTGGCGATGCCCATTAAACCCTGAAGTACGCCTCGGACAGTGAGTGGCTTAGGCTTGAACATGGTAGGCTGTGTCGATCTGCTCTTGAGCGCTACCAGACCAAGGTCACCAATTTCTTTCTGGTCTGCCTTGATGACCTGCAAGCTTCGGCCAGTACTCTCACCGATAGCCTTCATAATGAGAGATTCACCAATACCAAGTTCGATGCCAGCATAATCGGGAGCAAGCTTGTTAATCATTAGCAGTACTGTTGGCAGCAGATCATCTGGGGTCAATCGCATAACCTGTCGCAGGAACAAGGAGCAGTGTTCCATAATAATGAGACGCTTCGTCGTCAATTCGATGAGAGAGAACGTTGTGCATAGACCAGCATAAGGTACTGGTTCTCCGGCTTTCCAGTCTGGGTACGGGTCTTTCGTTGTGCCCTTAAGCTGAGTTTGGGCAAGCTTGCGAGCTTTTTCCACAACGGCTGGCTTTTCATCGATATCTTCATCAGAGGCCGATTCCGATTCGACTTCTTCCTTGACAGACTCCTCATCCTCCTCTTTCTTGATTGCTGTTGATGGTGGAGACTCATTCTCTGTCTTGGGCTCGATGCTCGGAACAACGTCTTCCATATCGGAATCATCCTCAACCTTTAATCGAGAACGTCTGGCGCGCTTCGGGACTGGGCCGTCGTCTTCGTCCTCATTTTCTGTTTTAATCGATGACTTGTTATCTTCGGTAGCTTCAGTTTTGCGCAGGCGCTTCTTGGAGTCTAGCAGTCGGTTAGATAAGGCTGGCTCGGGTGAGCCTCGAGGTCTTGCATACCTTGTTCTGGGTCATCATTTTCCTTTGCACTAAGCTCCTCCTCGGTCTCGGCCTTTGTCTTGAACGATAATGTTGCTTGTCTTACAGGCACATCGGACTTTGAGCCGAAAAACTTGCTATACGCGCCAAAGATTCGTTAGCAACAGGTCAACAGCTAGCTGGCAGCTAGCAAGGGTTCACACACCCAATTGTGCGTTGGGATGGCCCGACATACCCAAGAGTTGCTTGTTTGGGCGCCATGATTCCACGCCAAAGATGTGTACTAGTCAAAAAGATCGCTGGTGCTGTGGAATAAGAAGTCGTAAACGTCGTGAACCGCAGTGGCGGCGGGTAGCGAAGTCGTAGTCGAAAAGCCAGGATTGCGGCTGACAACAACGAGAAGCAAGAATTAAAACAATTGGATATGTTTTAACAACCGCCTATTTTTCTACACAGCAGGTATGGAACTGTTGCGATTGTTGCATTGACGTTTCTGCTGAAGCTGGGAAATGGCGCCGACTATAAAGTAGGTCGTGATGAGAACGCGCTTGGTCAGGCAGAACCGCGTTAAGTGGATGCGCGCCAGGCAGCTTCGCGGGACCAAGCCACCCGCAATCACGTGGCCGCGATCAATATACGAGCTTAAACAAAACGAATTTATAGCTTAAAAGAAAGATTAGTCGCGCGTAATATGACAAAAAGAAGTGTTTTATTAATTCATGTTTTAATTTATTCTGCTAGGATATAACAGTCGTGAAATTCAAAGCCCTAGTTCCATACACTCTATCCGCAGGAGTATTGTACAAAAAAGGCCAACTAGTCTAGACATGGTGGATGATTCGGGGGGAAAGGAGGAATTAGGATGGTAGAGGTTGGGTTAAGAAGCTTTTCGCCTTCTTCTTCTTCTCCAGCAAAATATGTGCTATCATGGTGGAGAGTCTGATCGTCTGTTGTAATCAGCCTGACCGGGAGAACACTTTACTGGTTGAAGTGGAAGTTCTCGGAGGTGGTGCGGCCACGGATGAACTGGGGCTCGGTGCCCTTGACGTAGATGTCCTCGAAGAGGATTTGGGGCTTGGCCTCAGGGATGGCCATGGCCTCGGCGGCAGCGACCTCCGCGGCGACGTGGTTGCGGGCCTCCTTGTCGATCTTCTTGAGCTCCTCCTCAGTGGTAACCTCCCACTCGAGGATTCTCTGCTTGAGTCCGGCAATGGGGTCGTTGGTGGAACGCATGCGCTGGATCTCCTCACGGGTACGGTAGGTGGTGCCGGGGTCGGACATGGAGTGACCACCGTAGCGGTAGGTGACGTACTCGAGGACCATGGGGCCCTTGTCGGCAGCGGTCCATTCCTTACCGTACTTGACGGCAGCCTTGACGGCGAGGACGTCCATGCCGTTGACCTTGAGACCAGGGATGTACTGACCACGCTTGTAGTAGTCGGTCAGAGCAGAGGAACGGGCAGCAGAGGTACCCATACCGTACTTGTTGTTCTCACAGCCGAAGAGGGCAGGGAGGTTCCAGAGCTTGGCCATGTTGAAGGCCTCGAAGACCTGACCCTGGTTGGAGGCACCATCACCGTAGAGGATGATGGAGGCGTTCTTGCGGCCCTCGTACTTGTGGGCGAAGGCAAGGCCGGCTCCGACCGGGACCTGGGCGCCGACGATACCGTTACCGCCGTAGAAGCCGGGGGAGAACATGTGCATAGAACCACCCTTACCGTAGGCGATACCCTCACGACGGCCGAGAAGCTCACCAATGATGGAGCGAACGGAACCGCCACGCATCATGGCGAAACCGTGGCAACGGTAGGCGGTGATGATGTCGTCCTCTGGGGTGATGGCATGCTCGATACCAGTGGCAACGGCCTCCTGACCGGTAGACAAGTGGCAGAAACCACGGATCTTCTTCTCCTTGTACAAGCGATCGGCAGCCATTTCCATCTGTCTGTTGAATTGTTAGTAAGGGCGGGTTTCTTCGATGGTATCGCGAGAGAGAAACGCGCGACATTCGGATCCGTACCTGATGGCGACCATGTCGTAGTACATCTGCTTCAACTCCTTCTTGGTGACATCGAGAGTGTAAGGAGGAGGGTCGAGCTCGTAGGTCTCGAAGCTCTCATCGCTGAGGGTGATCTGGAAGGGCTCGTCGTCGGACTAAACAAAAAAAAACACCATGTCAGCATGCTTATGGCCTGGGGCGTACATCGACACATTGGCCATCGCCAGACGAATTGAGGACGCCTCTAAAGCGTTTAAATTTTCGCTCAATGCGTGCTGAATCGATGTCCAATGCTGCCAAAGTCCAATTGACTCTTACCTCAGGGACCTTGTTGCTCAGAGAGGAAGAAGCCGCATCGGTGGTTACGGAGCGGGCTGCAAAAGGAGCAACAGCGCGGACAGAACGCAGAGGAGCGGCCCGGGGCACAGCTCGCACAGCTCTGGACAACATTTTCGCGAGTAAAGGGAATTGCCTTGTGATGCGAGGAAATAAAAGGCGGCAGTCGATGCGGTGGTTCGCGATGGCTGGTGTTGGAGAAAAGGTAGTAGCAAAGAATCCCCTCGCCTCCTAAAGATAACCAGCTCGCCGAAATTTCACGCTGTTGAGCGTTGAGCTTTGCTTGTTGGTCTGTGCTAGTCCCAAAAGGGTTTGGCGTCTTATGCACGTGATGAGATAATGCCGGGCCGCCCTGGGTTGGGTAATCGCCATACCTACAAATGTATCCACTTGGGTAAGGCGATAGGGGCGCCTCCCAGCAAACAAGGGACGGAATTGGCGTTCTTGGTCCTTGAATGAATTGGTTTGTGCGTATTTGCGAATTTGAGCAACGGTTAGATAGAATAATTTTGTTTATAAACGTCAAGACATTTAAGGGAAATTATATCCTTTTATCTTTGTCGGCTAGTGCTGTCCTCTATCAAGAGCGTGTAGTGTAAGCCTTGAATCAAGCAAAGCTACCACAGCGGCTAATGTATGGCCATCTCATATAAGCAAAGACACTCTAGCAGTGCGCCTATCCCCAGCCCATCAAAGCAATGTGTATCCTCTGTGGTATTATATCCCATAGGTTAAACAATGTAGACAGCTATGTATGATATGGGCCACCCGCAACGTCGCAAAACTCCCGTCGCGCTACATCAAAAAAATAACTTCCAAAAAGCACGCGGCACCAAAACAATACAAAAATATGATAGGCTCGCTAAATCAGAATATCATCAAAATTGGACAGCAAGAGGCATGCACCTTTTACACCTTTATTCGTCGTCGGGGAAAAATGAGCGGCTTGCTCCTTGAAGAGGAGCGGTGGACGGTCCAGCGTCCTCCATCTCAACGTCAAGGCCAGATGTCTGTCTTTCGGAAGCGTTTGAGGAGCTTGCATCTTTGCTGAAGCCGAAACCTATAGCGCTTAAAGGTCGCGTCGGGCCATCCTCTAACGCCCGCTGCTGCAGTGTCCGGGGACTGTCGTCATGAAGCATTTCGTCGGGTGGTGAGAAGGACCAAAGCTAGATATATTTGTAAGCTTCTCTCCATTTCATTCTCGTCAATCGAAAGACAATACGTACCTCCATAATTGTTCGCCCATGCCGTAAGGCCAAGGCAACGCACTTCTCTTCCTCAAAGGCAACGCGCCAAACGGCGTCGCCTTGAGCAATCAACTCTCGAACAAGGTGACCGGTCTTGAGATCCCAAATTTTCACTCGGCCGTCGCTGCCACCGCTGACGACTCTGGTGTCGTCAAACTGAAGGCTCGTAACGCTATTATCGTGAGCAGCAAGGCGGTGAATTGGGCACATCTTCTCAAGAGACCAAACGCGGACCGATCCATCCGATCCGCCGGTAACCAGGGTGTCTCCACGCATTTGCAGTTGGCCAACCAGTGACGTGTGGCCTTGCAATATAGCAAGACACTCGCTATGATATTTGTTAGCAGTGTATCGCGAATAATGACATAGCGAATTATATCTTACCCAGTAGTCGGGTCCCAAACGCGGACATTGGTATCCAAGCTGCCTGTGACAACTCGCTTACCATCAAACGCAATGGCGTAAATCTGACTGAAGTGACCTTGCAGGGTTTGCAGGCATCGTCCTTCGGAGATACTCCATACCCTAGCAAAAGTATCATAACTACCAGAAACGACAATGTCTCCCTTAATCTCCAGACAGCGTACAGAAGCCTGGTGACCCACTAGGACGTTGCGGCACATGCCTGTTCTGATATCCCAAACCCGCAATGTCATATCTCGGGAGCCGGAGATGGCTGTATTCTCATCGGCCATCTTTAAGCATCGAACGGTAGATGTGTGCCCACGTAGTGTGTGAACACATGCGCTGATCAAAGTTAGCTATGCCTCCATCATCATCCTCCAGTGCATTGTGTGACTTACCCAGTCTTGAGATCCCAAACACGGACATCGCGATCACACCCACCGCTAACCAACGTGTCACCCCAAGGCACCATAGCCCATACACCCATAACGTGGCCTTGAAGTGTTCGCTGTCCGTCGCCTTTCGTATCAAAGACATGAATCCTGGCGTTATCAAGAGCGACAATGATGTACTTTTGCGTAAGGTGAAGACTGGTTACGACACCGCCTTCTTGTGTGATATTTCGAACGGTGCTTATTCCTCCTGATCGCCAGGCCGCCTCGACTAGATAACGTTGTTTGAAATGTGACTTGTACGATCGCAGGGCTGGTCGAAGAGGGCTGCCATCGGCGCTGCGGGATTCAGCCATTTGGACAGAGGTAGGCAGAGCACCGGGAAAGCTGCTGGCCATTTCGCTATCGGAGATTGTGGTAGCTTGAGATGATTCGGGTACTGGGATAGGTGCGCTCCCAGATTGAATTTCTGATATGCGTTGTTGATAATCGTGCTTTACGCAAAGGTTTTTCCACGTCATGTCATCGCTAAGCAAATCTCGCCAGCGTTTTGAAACTTGTGCCGCTCGAACGAGAACTTTGGGGTCATCGATAAAAGATAATATCTGAGCAAGCAGGCAAGTTAGTCATATGCAGCAGCACAAGGGCGCAGACGCAAACATTGCACAGAGGTGCACACTCACTCTCAAACACAGCTCATCTGGCAAGCTGGTAAACGGGTCCTTTTTCAGAAGCGGGCTCACAAACTGGTGAACAAAGCTCAGTTGTTGGCTTGTACACAGGTTGAGCAAGTCGGCGAGGAATCTGGTTCGCTGGGGTCCGGAGCAGCTTTTAAAATGATGGCGGACCTTGGCGAGGAAGAAATCTTCGTCATCGGCAGCACCACTCCAGTCTGGTTGGCAGTGGTGATCGGGGCCGGGAGAAGCGGCAGGAGTTGGCGGCGGTGGAGGTGAGCCAGTCAGCTGCTGATCGAAGTCGGGTGCCGGCGTCGACATACTCGGCGTCGGGGGCCCCCTAAGCTGACGATGTTGAGCCGGCGGTGGCTGTTGCTGTTGGCTTTGGGGCGCCTTATCTGACGACTGAGGCCTTGCGTTGGATGCATTATTGAGCATGAGCTCCTCTGTCAAGAGGCTGCCTCTTCTCTCGGAGAAGCCGACAGGTCGAACGTAGCCGTCCATGTGGCCGTGGTTATGTGTGTCGGAATCGTCAAGCGTAGGCGTCGGTCACGCTTGCACGCAGCTCTAGCAGCAGCTGGAGAAGTAGTATAAAATGAATATTCAGAGAGGAAGCGGCTGCAGGCGAATGCCTATTTTGCTCAAAGGATTGCAGTCGGCAAGCGATGCGTGGACGGCTGCGTCTGCCGGAACGAGAATGGTTCAGTCAAAAAATCGGAGACGGCCCATAGCACAGGCGACAGCGGATCGAGCGAAGGTCTGGTGAAAATGCCACTGGCACAAGAGGAAAAAGCAAAAGACAGAGGGGCAAAGAAGCCGGTATAGTCACAGATGGGGATGGAGAGAAGAAGAGGAAGCAAAAAGCGACAATCAGGGCGTGATGCAGGAAGAGCAAAGGGGAAAGGCACGAGGCAAGACGTCACGGGCAAGGCGACTGGGGGTGGGTGGTGCTGCTGTGGATGAGAAGAAGGCGACTGTCGGATTCGGCGAGCGCAGCCAAAAAGAGGAGGATGAGGGGCTGGGCCTCTTTCTTAGAGGCGATCCGCACAGAGGGCAGTCCGCCGAGGGAACGCCTGGGAGGGGCACGCACCACTAATACAAGGGCTGCTAGTGGGTGGCCGCCGCCCGCCACAGGCTGGTTTTACAGCGCCGAGAGGGCAGAAAGGTGAGACGACGCAGACGGCGATTTTAGTGGACTCCAGGGCTCTGGGCCAGCCACTATCGTCGCAGGGAGGGCCCTGTGCAGTATCAGCGTGTTCAATATGTCTTGTATTTTTGGGATATATGGGTGAATGGCAGTCAGTTGGCAGCTCTGCTGTAGAGAAATTTTCTACGCGTATTTTTACTTTGTTTATTCTTTCAAAAAGAAAAGAAATAAAATGCTTCTTTGATGTAACTGCGTTCCCTTGCTGAACGGCCATGCAACTAATCGCGCGCGCGTGTCGCCCATAGTGCTAAGATTTACTTTTTCTTACACTAGCAAGGGGAGCCCTGGTGCGGTGAAGAAAAAAAAACAAGGAGGATGGGGAGTTTCAGTCTCGGTGGGTGAGGGAAGAATAATGTGTTCAATACTGTCTTTCTGCAAATTCCTGTGAATCAAGAGACACCGAAGTACAATGTAAATTATTTCATTCAACAATCTTTTCCAAAGCGTAGAATGGCGGCTGTCACCCAGCTGTCACTCCGTTGTAGGCGTACTACTGTACAATGGCAGCGCCCTGCACCACGTCCAATCCACCCCGCGTGGACTACACTGTACACTGCAACGGGCCAGCGCAGGGACACCCTGGCGATTGCATGTGGAGAGAGTCCCAGTCTCATCCAGCCGTGGGCCCCAGCGGGCGTTGCATCGCTTCAGGGAATAGGACCAGTGACGATTGAGCGATATACGTTGGTAATTAATAGAACTACATTTACTTCACATATCTACGACGGTTTCAATGAAGCAGCATCAACCCGATTGCATACACTTTCGCCCCCGCTACGGCCTGTTGCAGGTATTGAGTTGCAATAGCACACAGCACATGATCCAGCTGATGAGAGGCAGCCCGAGTCAGAAGGCCCAACGGGCGGCGGCGGCGGCTCATCTGTATCAACGTGTCGCTTGCTGCATGAGACTATAGTAATCAGTATAACCAAGGCATTCAGCCTTTAATGTTGTATTACCGTGCAATAGTGAGTGAGGCGGCTGTAGTCATATGCAATCGCACCGCCTTGCGCTACCTGTCTGGCCCTTGACCTGAAATTCGAGCCAGCCGCCTATTAAGACGCCATATGCGGCACAGGCCCTCTCTTTGCTGCAGCTGTCCACTGTGGCGTCCCCCTGAATCGGTAGCTGCCGCCAGCCCATCGCCGCTAAGCAGCTCGCCTCTAAAAGGGTCCATTGAGTGTTAGCATAGCATAGCATTGCAGCCAGCTGGCGACTCTTATTTATGGTGACTATGTTGATCGAGCCTGCTGTCATGCTTCCCAATTTATGCTCTTCTGTAGGAGCTTCTTTTAATTTTCATTACCTACACGCACATAACAGCACCTTTAACAACTCCTACGGACAGTATCTGGTGGTCCTTGTTCAGCACTCCACCCCTCTAACACTGGCGCTGCTTCACATTCGGCCCCATGCAAGGACCAACAGCTGAAACCACGCATCCTTCACAAGAAGGCCCCGACGCTGGCTCCGTAGCAGGCACAGGGAAATAACGCCGGATCCTGCATTGAATAGGAATCTTATGCGAATGCACAACACTGCAGCGAGGGTGGCTCAGATCTGCGACACATTAGATATCGACGCCAAGGGCGGGTTGCAACGCCCGGGATACTGCGGCGCGTGTTCCCTGCCTAGTACTGCAGAGCCCTTCCAGACGTGGACAACCTCTGCCCTCGTTCCTCAAATCACACCATTATACATGCATCACATTTGGATATATAGATGTACATTTTCATTGTAGACTCCCACTAAGTTCATCATCGTTTAATGATGGTGTCCAAACTGTGTAAGGAGAGGTAGAAGCATGCCTATCGTCGTAGCCACCGTATCACGCATTCCGTTTCCTTGGGCTTTACGCTGAGAACCGCCCTCACCAAAGCTTGCTGATCCGTTGGAGTGTTCGTGAGGAGGAGAGCCTGCCTCTTGCATAGCGTGCATGGCAACATAGCTAAAACCCCAAATAGTTAGAAAGATGTTGGCGTATACAGCAACATATAAAACTTACAGAAAGGTACCGCCCGAGAACAACAACAGCATGCCGGTCCACCAATGGCCAGAGGGTGCTGTCGGGTTACCACCCAGAATCGTGATTAGAAGCCAAGTCGTCAGTGCGCCAACTGGAGCAGCCAAACTAAAGACAATCAGATGCGCTCTGGCAGCTCGTTTCGATAGTCCCTGCTTGAGGAGTACAGAGGTTAACCCAAATGCAGCCGGTGCCTTGTGAATCATAATGGCAAAGAAGATGATAAAGCCAAGCTTCATATCAGCGGTGGACGAAGCACCGAGTGCAATGCCATCCGCAGCAGCATGAATTACAAGGCCAACAGTTGTCGCCATGCTGCGCGCTGACTTTGGAGTTGGGGCCAAAGCACCCAGGAAACCCTGCGCCTCTTCATCATTGCCGCCATTTTGCTCATCGCCGAGAGTGTCCATGCTAAACTGCTGTGTTTGTGGTCCTGATTGCAAGCTCTCGCTCGCATGTTGGGGCAATCGGTCGATAAGAAACATGGTTATAAAGCCAAGGATCAAAGCCAGACCAATCTGAGTACTTGGAAACTCGGCACCGTGTCCGTGGTCATCAGATTCCTCGGGTTTTTGGTCCGTCTTTTCGTGTTTGCTGTGCTCCTTGTCATGGTCATGTTCATTTTCAGATTTGACATGTTTGTCATGCTCTGCTTCATGATCATGCTCTTCCTTTGCCGCACGAGCGTCGAGTCGGGTAGCCGAGACCTGTGAGATTCGTTCGATCGTCTGTACAATTTCGGCTGTCGTATCACGAGATTCGAGAAGAGCCGGTTGAGCAAGAATCAGCTTGTTGGCCTCGGCAGCAATCGGCGAAGGCAGTCGTCGGAGCAGGCTTCGCGCCTGGTTGTGTTGAGCAACAGCAGTCGCGTGCGATGTCGCCGCTTCGATACCCTCTGGGATAATGACAATCATCGATGTACCGACCAGGACTCCTACACCTATGCTGGATATTAAGCGCAGCTGCGACGGCGACAGGGTCAATGACAGAGGGACAGCGCCAGCGAAAAACGAGCTGCAGCAGTTTTACAAATTAGTTTGAAAGAATCGAGGCAACGGGACCATGAAAGGAGAGCTTACGCGACAGCCATGACGACCTAAATAAACTTATATTAGCAACGTTCAAAGATAGAGCAATGGTCCATAGAGAAAACTCACGCATAGCACAATCAAAAGAAAGGCGCCAGCCATAGTGGTTGCAGGGGGGCTACCTCACGCGGCAGCGCAGCAGAGAGTTGTTCTTTGTCGTTGAGATAAGCGCCGTCCAATATTCCGCTGATGCTATCTCTACGCCGCACACACCGGGACGGACAAAAGCTCAGCGCTGTAAAGCAGAAACAATTGGCAATTGATGGATGATGGTTGGTGTTGCAAAGGGGCGGCTGGGCGCAACTAAGGCTGTGACGCCACTTGGGCATGTCCCTGAAGTAGACCGCGGCCCCACCATGACGGATAGACAAAAGAGATATGGACAAACACTTTCATGGATGATTTGTATGTCCTTCTATTAAGGTCGAATTTTCAATAAGATTTGTATTAATACTGTCGTGGTATATATTAAAATCCATCTTTCTCGTAAAATTGGTATTTATCCAGTACTATAAAATAGCGCTTTTTGCAGTCTGCTCCCTTCTATAAAACGATGAGGCCCATTGCCAACGGTCTACATGGGAATATTGGCCATCCAAAAAGGACCCAGATAATCAAACTTGCCCAGTTCAACGCCGGCATTGCGCAGAATAGCATATGTCATAACGAGGTGGAAGTAGAGGTTGGGAAGAGTAGCGCCAGTGCTGAACTGAGCAGCCGTCAAGTCCTTTGTTCCCATCTCAGGCTTGAATTCGACAGGTCTGACTTCGTCAATGAGCTTCTCAGCAGATTCACGGTCGACAGACTCAACAAAAGCCAAGGTTTCCTTGATTTTGGCATGCATCTCGGGATAGGTAGTCAGGCCGCCATCGTATGTTCCACTGCCTTGTGGAAGCTTCATATCCTTGAAGCGCATAGCTTGGACTTCAGCAATCTTGCAGACGGATTGGACCTGGAAGGAGAGGGGAAGCATGTCTTCAGCCAGCTTCTTGCTGGGAAATGAGGCGGCATCGGGATGCTGCTCAGCCTTGGTAAGGATCGCATCCAGAGCCGTCAGCATCTGCTTAGAAGCGAGAATGGTGGCGTCGTAGAGGGTGTAAGGCATTTTGATGAATTGGGAATGTGTTTTGTTTGGTGCTGTCGATGCTGTTAGAATACAGAAATGAGGCAAGGTTCCACGGGAGCTTATGCTGCCTTTTATAATTGGACTGCAGTGGTGGTTCAACAGCCTGCTCCCATTGGATACTACGGAGGGAAGCTATTGCCGAACAGCGGTTAAACGAACAAAGCTTTCCGTTTCCAAATACTGTAGCGGAACGGCAGCGGGTTTACAGGGGATAACCCCACTATAGGATTACGGTAGCCGGCGACGTGAGTCAACCGGGCTGGAATACAGATCAGGCATCACGCCGACAGCCCGACCTATAGCCTCATTTGTTTGAAATAAGCAGTAAAGTTTGATATCTGCGGAGCCTGATCTGACGTTGTAATTTTATTTGTATTTTATTTCCGGTCTCCGAGCCATGATACGTCCGACCTATTTGGAATATACTGGGCTGTATTGTGGTTCCTGGTAAAAGCCTGTAGCACGGCAGTGGAGCATTTCGCTACAAGCCTTGTCTTGGCGGCAACTCTTCCCTCCAACCTCATGCTCCAACTTCACACAAGCTTCTCCCAGACGGCTCTGGATATCAGGCCCTTTGCGTTAATTCCCCGGGTCAGCTGAATCATGGACACGCAATCATCGCCATTATGAGTGCGGAACCACCGGCCTCTCCTAAACGGCGTCACATCTTATCCTCCATCAACCCCGAAACCTCAAGGCGGACGTCGCCAGAACGTAAACATGGCCGACGGCGCCGCGTCTCTCGAAGCCCGCCCGATATAGATCAGGACGCACCGATAGCAGATTCAGCAGCACAGTCGCATCGTGATCATCCAACAAAAGATGACCACTCTGTAAAGGACGACCTGAGTCGGCCTCGGCGGACGCGCATCAGGTTGAAATCCGACAAACGACAACGCCGGTCCCGCTCACGATCTCGAGACAAACACTCCAGCTCTTCAAGGCGACATGGACATAGCAGCCGTAGACACAGACGCCGCTCTCGGTCCCCAACGCCGCCAAACCCACATGAAGCTGCGCCGTTGGACCCCGAGGAAGCCTTTCGCCAATCGCTCTTCGATGCCATGGCCGACGATGAAGGTGCGGCCTACTGGGAAGGGGTCTATGGCCAACCTATACACGTTTACAACGATCAAAAGGTCGGCCCAGAAGGCGAGCTCGAACGCATGACGGACGAGGAGTATGCCTCGCACGTTCGGCAAAAGATGTGGGAGAAGACACACGCGGGTTTGCTCGAGGAACGGGCGCGGCGTGACGCAGAAAAGAAGAAGCGAGAGGAGGAGAAGCAGCGAAATCGTAAACTGCAAGAAGACATGGAGCGAAGCCTCCGAAGAGGAGAAGAGCGCAGAGCCCGCAGGTCTTGGGAGCGCCGCTGGGGAGAATACGCCAAGGCTTGGGCGAACTGGGACGGCTCAGCAAGCACCCTTGCTTGGCCCTTGGAAAACGGCCGTGGCCAAGGTGATATTCGCCCGGAAGATGTGCATGCGTTCTTTGTGCATGGCCTTGGGCTTGACGCTTTAGGTTATGCAGCGTTTGTCGCCAAGCTCAAAGATGAAAGAGTGCGGTGGCATCCGGACAAGATGCAGCAGAGACTCGGCGGAAAGGTTGACGACGATATAATGAAGGATGTGACGGCCATTTTCCAAACGATTGATATGCTGTGGACGGAAATGCGCGACAAGGCTACCTAGAGACCCCCCATACAACACATGTATTTCTACAAACAATTCTGCAAATCTGACACTTTTAATCTCATAATATCACTACTGTCATGTCACTGTTCAATATTTAGGGTTCAAAAGGATTTTGTTTATAGAGTGTTTTGTATTTCATTGAGAATGTAGCTATATGAAGTAGAGCAGCCACGCTTCCCATCTTCTTCTTCATTAGGTATAATAGGGTATTTGTTCGTTGCTATCGTAGAACGTTGTCGTAGTCAAATAGTACATGATGCATTATATTCCAGCTCTTTGATATTTCGTTTTCTTCTCCGAGGGCAAAATTAATGCGCTTAGAGGTTGGCCATGAGGGCAGCGCCGCCAAAGAGAGCACCCATGGCGACAGCAGCGGTCTGAGCAGGGACGGCACCAGCAGAGGAAGAGGCAGAGGCAACCTTGCTCTGAACGGCGCTGGTGACGGAGGCAGCCTTGGACTCGAGGCTGGACTTGTCGGCACCAGTGGCAGTGGCAGCCTTGGAGAGGAGAGAGCTGGCCTCGGAGCTAGCAGCGGCAGTGATGGAGTTGACGGCGCTGCTGACGCGGCTGGCCTCGGAAGCAGCGGCGCTGGTGGCCTGGGAGGCGATGGAGCTGGCCTTGCTCTGGCCCTCCTGGAGAGCAGAGCTGATGGCAGAGCCGGCAGTGGAGGCAGCACCACCAACGGCAGTGGCGGCCTCGTGGAGGATGCTGGAGGCACCGTTGATACCGACATCAACGCCGGACTTGACGTCACCCCAAAAGTCGGGGTTGGGGGCGGCCTGGACGGCGACGGCGAGAGCAAGGACGGAGGCGACGGAGAACTTCATTGTGAATGTGGTTGGTGGTGGTTGGGTTGAGGTTGTTGTGTAAGTAAGATGCTTTTGTATTGTAGATGTGCTGATAATGAGATAGAAAGACTAAGAGATAGAAGATGGGGAGGAATGGGAGGGCTATATATGCACATCCCAACATCCATCGTCCGCCCCCTCCGCAGCAAGCCCGCAAGGTAAAGCACTCGTCATAGTGCATGGGTCTTCTATCATTGGCGCATGGCGACTGGCTCCCTCTCCTACAGTACGCACCTCATGTAGCAGCTGGCTTGCTTTTGCGAAACTGGGGACCCGCGTGCAAAGCAAAAAAGCTTGTTTGACCGTGCGCTGTTGCTGGTGGTCTTCGATCCAAGGCACGACGCAAGCTGTGGCGCAGCCCCCCACGGCTTGCCCAAACCAAGGATCAGCGGTTGCACGCCCTGGAAGCAGGAGCCACAGTGGCGTTGTTGCATGGGGCATCGTCGTCATTGACTGCAACTTTTGCTGTGTTGAAGCCACAGCGCGCCATGCAGTTTACACAGTACTTTGTTAGTCGGCCTTCCTTTTTCGCTTTCTCTTACTGACGTTAGTTCCATTTTTTGCAGGTGCATTAGTTTACATCACGCATGCAAACCAAGGAACTGCAACACCACTAGTGTATCAGCACACTCACTCCATGTGAGGCTGGTGCGGTGCTTCGGCTAGGCTGCACAAATATAGTAATACATATCACACCCTTGTGTTATGCCCGCCTGGTTTTTTGTTCAGCGGGGGACGATCATTCCTGCAAAAAGCCTTCTCCGTGCTGAATCTCACCCGGATAATGACGCTACTATGCATTCAATTCCCGCACGTTGTCGCGTTGTTGAGCAATTGCACCAGCCACACCGTCATTGCGTCAGCGCGGAGCGTTACAGCCGTTGGAGCCGCGAAAGCTTAGCACGTCTCGTGGCGGACAAGGGCAGTCAGCCTGCCTGCCCACCATTGTAAAACGTGGTCCTGGTAACAAATAGACAGGGCAACGAGTCTTGGATGGGCTCGCTTAGCCAGAGGCTGTATCATGATTAATCAACGCGAAAAGTGATTAATATATTTTAATTGAGCTGTTTTTTTGATTGAATTGTTTCAATTGAACACAAACAAGTTGTCCAAGTTTACTACAACTGCTAGTTGTTGGTTCGGCTGCCAGTGGCGCAGTGCGGCGAAGTGGTTGTCACTGCGCACTAAGCTGAGCCACATCACGTTCACTGGGCTGTACGCTGTCAACCAACAATGCCACCGACTTAAGCGCAGCACTGCCAGCAAAAATATTATATTTATCCAATTGTAAGGATAATCGGATTTGTAAACTATTCAGATTTGCACAGCCATCGCCTTTCTGTTTATTTTTAGAAATTGTATGCGCCTCGCGGCTAAACGGGTGTAATACCCGGCACCCTGGGTTGAGATACATCTACGTAAGCCAACCTACCTACCAGAGATGAAATTGTATATGTTTATATATACATAAATATAAATACACACTGTATTAATATGCCATAATGAGAACCTGCTAGAATAGAGGGTTATTAATATGTTGATGTGATACTCACGGTACAGCCATCCCCGATTGGCGTCCTCAGCTTTTTCTTAACCATACACAGCTTCACATCTAGACATCAAGGGCTTCACAACGATATACTATTATATCATTTAAACCTGCCATTATAAATTTCCCAATGCTATTGATTATTACACAGTGGCTAATCAACAGAAGTTCAGTGGACAAATGCCAGAAAAAAAAGATACCGCCGCCGCGAAGCGCCATTGAAAAAAACAGGCATTCGACCCGCGACATAGGTGCTAGTCAGTTTCTGGGCTTTTCCTTTTTCTCCTTCCAGAGAGAAAGCAAGCTGACACCAGAAACTTTGACAATCTTGAAACGAACGCCCGGAATGTCGCCCTTTGCTCGGCCCTTGCGACCAAAGCCAGCGAGAAGCACTTCGTCGTTTTCGTCTATAAAGTTAAGACAGCCGTCATTGGGGACTATTAAACAATCTATTAGTGCAACTGGGGAATCATTCAAGCATCACTATGCTGCAAAACACGGACCAAATGCTGTAACCTTTTTGCCATTCTTAATCAACTGAACGCGGACACACTTGCGAATGGCAGAGTTGGGCTGCTTGGCCTCAACTCCGACTTTCTCAAGAACTATGCCCTTGGCATGGGACGAACCGGTGAAAGGTGACGACTTGAATGTAGAGCCGAGAGCTACTTTTCGATAGTCCTTGTTGGCCCAGCGCTGCTCTTTCTGGTTCATGCGCAGCCGTCTAGCGGCGTTTAGTCCTCGCGGTCCTCTTGTCATTTTCAGTGGCGTCTAGTACGGAAAGGAGAAGTGAAAAGAACAGTAAGTTCGTCTGTCGAGATATCAGTTTTGAAGTTGATAAGAAGAAGCACTCGCACAAAAGAAGAATACAGGCGAGGATTATAAGCTACAAAGGCAGCCCAGGCGCAGCGACTGGATGCCCTGAAGGGGGCATGATACCCTAAATCTACAGGAAATTCTAGACGAAAAATACCAATAAACATGGATTTTGAGGACTTTAGCGACAAAGTCCTGCGCCTTCTTACGGCTTTGTCCACAGCGAGTGCTCGTCTCTCAGCTAGCCATCCTTGAGATCATAGCCCTGCTTTACGGGAAACAAAATGGCCTGATATTTGGATTGATCCCTGTTGGTGACCATTTATTAGCATGTAGATCCTTCCCAAATAGACCAGATGGCCAAAATATGGGGACTGTGATTGGTATCTCAATATCTGGGGAATGCTCATGACATATGCGGGATTTGTTATTGAGTATCCTTCAGCTCAGCCTCGCATGTGATAGAGATTTCAATATAGGTTTCATACCGGCAAGGTCTAGATCAACGCCCAAGGAAAAATAATATGGGCGGCCGGTAATCATCGGCTTCCTATGTCAAATTGCGAAAATTGCAGCTGTGCACAAAATAATTTTGTAGCCACAAATTGGAAATCGCCAAAAATGAGGCGACATAGACATCATGGCGCATACTTGCAATTGTTTGTTGTAGTATACAAAGGATTACTTTTATTGAGTCTTCTTATGTGGCCTTATCCTTTGTAATATTGCCGTGGTAGGGATATCGTGGACATAGTCGTGAAACTGATGAAGGCTACACAGTCTTGGGTATTAACTGTCAAAGCCACAAAGAGAAATAAATATCCTTAGGCCACAAAATGTCTCCCTTGGACACTCTTTGCGAAGTATATAATGTTCTCTATGTACAACGTTACCCCTGAAGCACTGCCATGTCATGTCGCTGGTCATCAGCTAGCCTTTGTTTTATGAATCCTTGGCAGAATTATGAAGGGACATATACTATCAAGCGCTCAACCGAGCGATTACGTTGGAGCTAATATCTCTCTTCCCCATGGTCCCTGGATACATCTCCTGGGCGGAGGGTAAGCAGCATTGCTTCAATAGCGACTCTCTTTGGATATGTCAAATAACATTTACCGCCAGAACTGGAGGACTAGCCGCATCTCTATTTACCACTTTAGACCTCAAAGTCTCACAATATCGGTCGGCAGTATTCAACTCATATTTCAAAGCGGCGTATGCGAACGATGTGCACCTTCTAGGTCCAACTACCTCATCGACAATTAGAAATACACCTTTAACATACTTTAAACGAGCCTCATCTTCCCTGAAAGCCAGATTTGCGAACGGATTGACCACCTTAGCGCCGTCTACAGCGCTGAGCTTCTTCATTTACGGCACGTGCAAAACATATGGTGCGCAAATACTCAAAATGGACGAGAACGCTGCGATGATTCATGCACAAGCTGCTCTTCTAGCAGGATTCGTAACTCCAGCCGTTATGAGCTCGATGCAAGTATACAAGAAGCAATTCCGCTCAGCCTACACGCATCTTAAGAACCCTTCAAAAATTCCGCGACTTAAGCTTATGCCCGTTCGCTTGCTGATTTCAAATGCTCTGGCATGTCGTGGCCTGTGGCAAAACAGCTATCCCGGCGCTGCCAAGCTGGTCATTCATATGACGCTATATGAGAGATTCAAAGCAACATGGCTTAGACGTTTAGAGGATGATCATTGCCAGGACTACAACACTATGCGTGCGATCAGAAGCTACATGGGAATTGGAGCAGCAGCAGGCTGTGCTCAAACTGCGGCGGTCATGCTTAGCCATCCACTTTATGTACGTCAGTGTTGCCGTGTATGCAGATCACAAGTTAACCAATTCTTTATTGCAGATATCTCAAGCAGTACTAAAGCAGTCGAGTTTGCAACTAGGTCTGCCTACTTACTGGATGCCGAATAGTTCACCGCTACCCGCTCGGGTCATTCATTGTTATGGATATCACTGTCACAGCCTGCTGCTCCATTTGATTACCTCGGTACCAGGCGCGATAGTGATGTTCGGCGTATATGAGCTTATTATTAAGATATAATGCGGAGATATGATGCGATAGGGTTAAATCTTCAGCTTACAAATTTTATCAGTGCTTTGCATTCTTCTTACTATATTCCAGACAGTCCATGTCCCTGGAGAGACTGCTTGGCTAATAGTGTATAACAGCATCTTGAGTACTATATTCTCTACATTGTTTGCTTTTGTTAAAACTTTACCAATCGTCACTTTCTAGAATCCAGCCATTCTCCATCCTGGCTCTTAAAATTCGACATTGCAGAATTTGCTCTTCATCACGAGGTTCGTGGGCTAGTTGTCTGACCAAATTTCGCTCTATAACCTCTTTCGTGTAGTATCGCTGACCATCTGGGAAATCAACGTCCCAGTTCTGGTCCTCATACGTCCAATTTGACCAATATCTGTCTACCAGAGTATTGGAATCCTCAGTATCATGTATAGCACCGACGTTGAACGCTAATATTTCGAGGTAGATAGCCTCGGCGGATGTATATATGTCGGGATAGTTCACACATAAGATCCAGTTTGCCATTGCTTCTTCCAATTGGGAGCTCAAAAATGTGCCATTGACAATGCTTTCTCGGTAAGAGTCATACTCGTCAATTCCCATGTAATCGAGGCTGTAGTCTCTAAAAATATCTCGGCCGAATTGCATATAGCCTGGTTTATAAAAGCGCCTCTCCTGATAGCTTTCCGAAACGCCTTTGGGTACGGAGCGGTAGATCGAAAGTCCCTTACAGTCTGCCGGTGGAGGGATAGGCTTGTTGTGTTCATCATATTCAAGCTTACAGAAGTTGAGAAACAATATATCTGTAACCCACGATGCAGACGAGAGACGGTAAGCATCAAATGTCTCACTGCAAAAAGCTTCAATATTCTTGAAATTTCGTTGGGTGTTTGAGTAACGATCTGTTGCTTTAGGTGTCGAGGTGTTGCTCTCCGGCGCCTTATCGTTCACAACAACTCTTTCTGTAACAGCCAGCTCTCTATAATGATCGACACGAGGTAGAGTAGGATCTTGCTTGATAGAGAAGATACCAAAGGCAATCATGGTGATTGCCATAAATATATGCCAATGAGTGTGAGAACAACTTTTGTCTTGATATCGTGCCATCTCAACCCACTCTTCAGGGACGGCAGTTGTCCAAGGGCGAATGATGCGTATGTTTATGGTAAGCTTCTGTAGATGAGTCGGTCGATATGGAAAATGTATCCAGTTTGGGAAGACTCCAATGCCTCTAACCAACATAACATCCAACGTAAACGGCATGTCGCAGGTGCCAGATTTCAGTTCTTCAATAACTTGATCGGTTTCATTGCGCAGCTGAACATTCGTCGCTCGTAGCGCTTGACCTCTCACATATTCATACTTATTCTTAGAGACGTAGAGGTTTGTCAATTGGGGGAAATTCGAATCAAAACAGTTGCGAAGGCGTACACGACTCGTAATGAATTGTTCATCAAAGCAAGGTAGAGCTGGATCGCTGCACTGTAGAATGTCAAGAATTATCTGGCGTCGAAGCTCCCAAGGCAGGCTCAGTATTCCCGTAGTAGGCTGAATTCCTACCATTTTTGGCGGGATGGTGTTGAATGTATTTGTTTCGCACCGATGGTGTTGGTGAAGAGATGATGATGGACAAGCGATTTTTATCAGCTAAAGTTACTGTACGCCCTAGTGACACCCATTAGACAGCAGACAGCCTCCCAACTGAAGCTCCGCAGTAAAACAGAATATTCTGTTTGTACTATGTAATATTTCGAATTCTAAGTTAATCTATATAGATATATTCGTCTATTTTAATATTGAAAAGAAGTATAACGTGGGTCACGGGTGAGCGGCGCACACGGGTGAGCGGCGCACCTCGCGTCATTTTTTAATTGATTATGTTTAAACCGTAATTCCACAACCAACAACCATGGGAAAGACTTCAAACGAAGCTGATGTTATTTCGGCTCTACAAGCTATAGAGCGAGACCCAAAATTATCAAATCGAGAGGCTGCTCGAATCTATAATATCGCCGAAACAACACTCCGCCGCCGACGCAACAAAATCCCTTGCCGAGCTGATACGACTTCAAAATCTCGAAAATTAACAATTGACGAAGAAAATACTATAATTCAATATATTCTCAATCTTGATGCTAGAGCTCAGCCTCCTCGCCTCCGTGACGTTGAAGCTATGGCGAATCGCTTTTTGGAGCTGCGTCACGACATTCCAGTTGGACGGAACTGGGTTGCAAGCTTTATTAGACGACACCCCGAAGTTGTTACGCGTTTATCACGTCAAATGGACTATCAAAGAGTCCGATGCGAGGATCCAGATAAATATCGAGCCTGGTTTGAGCTTGTAAAGAACACAAGCGCGAAATATGGCATATACGAAGCGGATATTTACAACTTTGACGAGACTGGCTTTGCAATGGGCGTGATTTCACCGGAAATGGTTGTAACGAGCTCAGAAAGATCTCAAAAGGGGCGCAAAGCACAACCAGGAAATAAACAATGGGCGACTTTGATTGAATGCATCAGTGCAGGTGGCTACGTGATTCCGCCTTTTGTCATTGTCGCGGGCAAAACCCACCTCTCGTCTTGGTACGAAAATAGCCCATTGCCCAGCAATTGGGCGATTGGTGTTACTGAAAATGGCTGGAATACGAATGAAAGATGCTTAGATTGGCTCTATTATTTTCAAAAGTATACAATTAAGCAAAAAAAAGGCAAATATCGGCTTCTAATTCTTAATAGACACGAAAGTCACCAATCGACGGATTTTCAGCTATATTGCCAGCAAAACGATATAATTACATTATGTATACCGTCCCATACGTTATATAAGCTTCAACCGCTTGATGTGGCCTGTTATGGACCTCTAAAACAAGCATATAATAATGTAATTAGTGATCTTATGCGCGCATACGTTACCTATATTACTAAGGAAGAATTCTTCCTAGCTCTTTACGCAGCACATAAAGCTACTATGACTGAATCAAATATACTAGGAGGTTTTAGAGGCACTAGGCTTGCCCTATTCAATCCAGAATATGTGATTTCACAATTAGATACGAAATTCTCGACATCTTCACCTCCTAGATCATCGGATAGGCTCGAGCTACCTTGGCTTCCCAAAACACCTAGCAACCCAACCGAAGCTCTATCGCAAACAGAATATATTGAAAAAAGAATCCGAAATCATAGAAGCAGCTCACCATCCGATTTAATTGAGAATCTCAATCAAATGTCAAAGTGCACAACCAGTGCTATGCGGAAGATGGTCCTAATGCAGCACCGAATCGATGAGCTTGAAGAGGCTAATAACCGCCTCTCACGACGGAAACGCGTTACGAAAAGACAATTACAGAGTGGAGGAACACTTACAGTAGATTCTGGCAAAAATCTAGCTGCTCAAGCCTCTTCTAGGGTAAAAAGAGAACGCGACGAAGTTGAAAATATAGATCGACGAAAGCGGGTGGAAACACGGCGCAGACGCTGTGGAAAATGCGGCGAAATAGGACATAATTCTAGAACATGTGAAAATGAAGTGGAAACCATTTCTTCAGATAGCTTATATTAAAATTTCTATTTTTAATTGTATTTGGAGTTGATGCACTATTTTTTCATATACCAAGGTCGGGAAGGGTGCGCCGCTCACCCGTGACCCACGTTAAATTATTTAATATTACCAGCGAATACTCCATACAGTCATCGTAGCCTCTTTTGTTTGCAAGCTATCTCAAAGTCATTCCGATTATACCACACCATATCAAACGGCAAATACATCAACAGGGAGTGGATACCATATATTTGTACATTATTGTTCACTTGTAATCATTGAAAATCATAAAGCCCCTCCTCGCTAAGCTAAGAGTAAACCCATCCCTTTCCTATATTTCTCGGTATGGTGAAATGCCCTTCTTCAGTTCATCCACAATCTCCGCCGCCTCATCTGCGCTCTTTGCTTCCAAATCATATCGTTTTGTCTCGGACGCTTTATAAACAACGAGCTAAAAAGAAGGAAACACAACCTTGTTAGTTATCTGGTGCTGTATGTGTATTTCAGTATAACATACCTTGATATTGGTGGGATGCTTCCTTGAAACTTTGCAGCCAACCACATGGCTGAAGTGCACTGTAGTTCTCTTGCCAGACCCATCTGGAATCACTTTGCCTCCTGATGCAGGAACAATATGAATGTATTCGCCGTCAATCGCGAGGATACGTTCACTCATTCCTACCAAGCGCATCGGCTGCTTTCTCCACACTGTATACTTCTTGTGAACGCCACTGCCTAATACGTCGTGGGTCAACGTCTCTGTCGCCAATGGATGCACTGTCGTGCTCGGAACTTTTTGGAACTTGCGTGCCCCATGACTTCCAGGTAGGGCTACTACTCTAGGCGAACCCGTTCCAGGTGATCCGGCCATTGACAGCGGACCATCCGTCGCAAATCGTCGTCGATAGAGTTCGAGATCGGAAACGTTGCCGATAGACGAAACAGGGCGATCAATCATAACCACGGCACCTGATCCAGGTAATTTTAGGACATGATTAGCCTTTTCAAGCTGTCTCTTACGACAAACAAGATCCAAGACTTCGGCAAGGTATGTGTCGGTAGTAACATCGACGGTAACCATTTGTCCTGGCGCTAGATCCGACGACATTATATGCACTCTAAGGAGCTTCTGAGATCCACGTGCAGTGTTTGGTGCAGCAGCTGGTAACTGTGGCATATCTGCCAACGCTGCGGATCTATATGTAGTGGTGACAATCGGGTTCAGACGTGGCCTGGCCGGTTCTACTGGTCCAGTTATCACGGGCTGAGGTATAGCGCCCTTGTCTTCAGAGTCAGCTTCAGATGAAGCCTCATCGTTTTCTTCGTCATCTTGTGGCGTGAGTCCTTGGTTGACTTCATGTTCCTCCTCGGAGGCCGGGACAAGAGCAAAATCATCGTAGGCTTTCGAATTGGATCGCATGCGTCCACCACCTCTCATACTGGCATTGTTTACGGTTGTAAACGAGGTCAGAGGTTTAGTACGCTCAAATGGTGGGAAGTCGTCATCGACTTCACCCCCTTCCTCTACCATTCGAAGTGTCCACCAGTTAATGTTCAACTTTGACGACGGTATTGACGGCTCCCGCTTTTCTTCAATGTAACGATACAGTCCTAGGCCAATCAAGTCGGCAACGGTAACCTGGCGCTCAGCACCTTGGCCATCGCTCACTCGTGGTCGGATGAGAACCTCGTACGGTTTTGTCGAGTTGGACGCAAATGCTGGATATATGCGTAAATTTATAGAACCAGGAGTACCCTGGCCACTGTAATGAGCAAATCGCTGGAAGGGTACTGCTGCTTTGCTCTGTTTAGCCTTTAAAGCTGCAGAGAGCAGACTTTGAGGCTTAATTAAGCTGAGTGGGCGAAGCGTGCTAACTGGTCGAGGCGGTGGCAGCGCTTCTAAAGCTGCAGGTTCGGCTGGCAGTTGTGATTTCCGTATTGTAGAATGACGGAGGTAGTTCTTTGGTAAAGTTCCGATGACTTGTCTGGTTGGTGAGAGTGCCTTGCGTTCGTCGTTGACGCCATCGAGAATGGAGGCCGAGTCGATCGACGCAACAAAATCGCCCGACATGAATGAGCCCTCATCAGAGTCTTCTTCCTCTTCTTCCGGAAGTAGTGTTGTATCTGCTCTCTTGAGCATACCCGGCGTTGGTTCTTCATTAATCTTTTCTTGCAACCGCAAAGACCTGGCTGCAGCTCGAGCTGCTTCGCGATGCCTATGAGCACCTGGCAGATCAAATTCGTTTTCGGATGACATTTCACTGCTAGTGACAGTATCCCGTCTTGTGCGTTCAGGCACTACTCCAAGTGTTGAATGTGAACCACGCCGCATAGCTCGTGGGGATGTGTTGACTGGTTCTTGCTGCTTGCTGTTGGATACACGGGTAGGCGACGAGCCTGCTCGATTTCGAAGGGGCATCTTGGAAAATTTTATTTGTCGAGCTGCCCTCTTATCCGGCTCTTCGTCGCTGTCATCGCTAAGGTCGCTGCTGTCGTCTTCCTCCATTTGCTCCCGGCGTCGGCGTCTCTTAACGGCTGTGCCGGGCCCCATGGTATCAGCACCACCGCCAGTGAGCATTCCACCATCTTCTTCCCCATCCTCCAAGGAGAATCCAAGCTGCTTTGGTGCCTGGAAGTATTCGGATGCAATAGCAGTCGGGATCGGTGGTGAATGTGTGCGTTTCGTATGCGAAGAGTTGGGGCGCCAACCGGCGGCTTTGAAGGGCGCAGAGTTGATGTAGGCTTCGTTGACGGTGAGCAAACGCTCACCTACACCATCGGCGATATCATTGAGATAACTAGTTCGAAGTTGGTATGATACAAGGCTGCATACGGGGGTCCAGTGTTAATGTATTGGTTCTTCGGTCCATATGGCGGGGTGACGTACTCTTCCACTTGCATCACCGACATCGTGCCGACGGGGAGATTGCAGCCAATGTCAGGATATTATTTGGCCACTCTTAAGCCATAGCCGATGTACAAAATGTGTGGTAGTCTACCGGCGACTGGTAAACTAACAGGTTCGTGGACGGGATGTTGGGTTGATGTTGGAGATGGCGTGGCGGGATGTGGAGGTCTGCGCGAAGTGATCGTTAGAAGCACCAGTGTCAAGCTTAGTGGGGCTCTGGCCATGGAGTGCCTGCAGCGGTGGTGGAAAAATCCCCAGCTGTCGTCACACCTCCACACGACATCACAACCATTTCATACTTCTACAGCTTAACCCATTATACATCTGCTAAAAATGGGACTGGTAGATTATTCCGAGTCAGACGACTCGGGATCCGACTCTGAACAGCAAACACAGCCAACAACTAAACCGGCGCAAACGCTACCGAACGGCAAGAAACCATTCCAAAAGCTAGTCGACCCTTCGAACAAGGGAAAACTCATAATCAATCTACCCCCTCCTGGGGGCAAGGCATCTACAGATACTGCAACAGATGGCCCTCCAGCCAAACGAACGAAAACCACGGGTAGCGGTGTCTTCTCCGGCTTCAACTCCTTTCTCCCACCTCCAAAGAACACGGGCATCGCGTCCGCACCGAAACCCTCCGCAACACAATCGAAGGCTCCCGGGATCGGGCTGAAAACGAGCAGCGCGGCAGCCTTTAGTCGAGGCACCGTTGACGATATATATAATAACGAAGAAAGCGGGAGTAGCCTCAGTCTTCCAGCGCCAAAGAGGGATGCTGAGCCAACAATACCAGAAGGACAAAAGCCTGCGCATGAGGTAAAGCTGACTGGCAAGCCTCTTATGTTTAAGCCATTATCTGTCGCGCGATCAAATAAGAAGAAGCCTACAGCAAAAGTAGCAGCGTCGATAACAGCTGCCACCACAGCGCCAAAACCAACAGCTCTCGGGTTAACATCTGCAGCACCAACCCCGGCAGTAGCTGCAGCACCGCCGCCTCCGAAGAAGGTGTCTCTATTCTCTATGCATACAGAAGAGCGATCAGAACCACAGGCAGTATCAGAATCGGACGGCACATATAGACCCCTCTTTGAAACGGAGGATGCATACAGCGCGGGCGTGACCAGCAATTACGAAGAATACGCTGCGTCGTACGCTCAAGTTAATCACCAGGGTGCATCCGCTGGCCCCAGTACCGATTCTCTCGGAAATATTGCGGATGATCTGAACCTATCTGCTGCTGAACGCCGCGAACTGTTTGGCCGCGGTGGTCACGCATCCATGTCAGCGAAGAAGGTGGTAAACTTCAACATGGACGACGAATACAAGCACAACGAGACAGTACGCGCAAGCGGCGAGACCCAGATTCACAACCCTGTTCGTGCTATACAGGGCGGCAAACACAGCCTGCGGCAACTTGTTCAGAATGTTCATAACCAGCGTGAGGCGTTGGAGGACAGCTTTGCACAGGGCAAAAACAACCGAAAGGAAGCGTCTGGGCGGTACGGATGGTGATGGAAGCTTATACATGATACCCTGCGTGAGGAAAAGTATTTTTTCACATCTATAATGACAAATGAACACTTGTTATTTAATAGACTGTATTACAATGCAAACCGTGCTATGCTGGAATTATGCGACATTAGGGTCATTAAACGCTAGGCTTGAGTTACGGCCCAGTTCATTAGTTGTACAATGGTCCGATTCATTATCGAACCTCAATAGGTGCTCTTTTCGCACTTTGAGACTCGTGGTTTCCCATTAGAAATCCCCACTCGCCTCTTGTTGTTGGCGAGATGTCTTCACATACGTTTGGGGTGAGCGGCCCGCTGTCTTCAGGAGGCATACCCACAGTCAGGTTCTCACCAGTGCTCAGGATCTGGTCAATCGACGTGCCAATATTCCATGGCTGCATCGGGACGACTGCATCGGGACGAGCCGTGTGATTCTGTAAACCCTGATCGTCATCGTCATTATCATCCTCGTAGTCCTCGGGCGGGTTCAGAGGTTTCAGCACAATGTCGAAACTGGTCTGGATTTTTAACACTGGAAGCTTGGGCGATGGCGTCGTCTTGATTTGTGCCCGTCTTGCATTATAGGCAATCGTCAGAGCATCTTCCTCAATAGACGACGCATATGCCGTGCTAGATTGTGTGTCCTCTGAAGTTCGAATCATTGGTTCGGGCGCGTCGTCTTCAGAAGGCTCCGGGATGCCTGTAATGCCGCTCATGCCGTATACCCCGCCATACGCTCGTCTGTACATATAGTCGAGATCTATGACAGCCAGATCCGAAACGCTCATCCAGTCATATGAACGCAAGAGGTCGGGTCTGGAAACTTGTCGTCGACCGTTTGCAAGAACACATCGCCGGAGATCATCTACCGCATCTTCGAGCCTCAACGGCGACTTCGTCTTAGAATAACTCGACAGGGCGCATTTAAGGCTATACAGTCGGTCGATTGAAACTAGTTGTAGTCCGTCGGAAGCAAAGAGGACGTCGTTTTGGGCGACAGAACTGTTGACTAATCTGTTGATTGGACCTGTCGCTTTAATTGGCGGTGCTAGCCATGCGCTCCTGGACGTTGTTAGCCAATGACGCTACATACAGCATGGCCGTCAGCTACTTACCCAATGCCGAACTTTCGAGCGGCTTTGATTAGAACATGGTGCAGAGTTCGTTCTGTTTTGGCTGGAAGGTGCTCTGAATAAATAAAGCGTAGCCCCATCCCGCCTCCATAGGTGGACATGCCGCCGTCGGTAGCAATAGACGAAGTGGCAGTTCCGGGCGTCATGGGAGGTGGAGACATTGGAAGCCCCGGGGTTGCTGGCCAAGGAGATCTTGGGCTCGGAAATGATGCGCTCAATGGCGTGAATGCAGGAGAAGATATGACACTTCTGGGTGAGCCAGGAGGGACATGTCGTGACGTCCATCTCGATAGGTGTCTGGCAAAGCGACTAGTCGAGCTGGCAGAAGGAGGAGGGGACCCGGGAGTAGTTGGGGTACCCAAAGAGAAATCCGCACTGAAGCCCGTAGGCGATGTAAGTGCCGGAGGAGGCAGTTGGTAGTCTCGACGGACAACCACGAGCGTTAGGTGAAGTGACTTTTTCGCCAAACGCGACGACGCATACTCCAAGGCCGGCTTGATCTGAGGAGGAAGATTGTGAGAATCCAGGATGGAAGTGCCAGCTTCTAGCGGCGACGAAATGAGATCTTTGAAAGACATGATTGCTGTTGATGCATATATATCTAGAAGTGTATAGGCGTGTCTGTATGTAAGACGGGAAGTGTAGTAAAACAAGAAGATGAGAAGAAAAGAAAATGCCGCTACAAATGCAATCAAGTAAAAGAGAAAGAAGAATGCGAAGGAGTGAATGGCCAAAAAAGGCAAAGGCAATCTCTCCTTTTCGTGGGTGAGCGTCAAGCTTGAAGAAATTCAGAATCTGCAAGTCGACGAGGCGAGCGGCGATGAGGCTTCATATACGCAAGACCGCCTCACACGACTCCAAACAAAGTCAGATCTGAAACACCAGGCGCCAGACTAGATTGGGAAATTGTAAAAACTCCTTGCTGCATGCCTTGTTCTATTTTAAAACATGGCCCAGGGGTACGCAAGCCCAACGCGAGCAGGTAGGGCGGCTAGCTACCGTGATGCTGAAACGGCGACACGCATGGCCACGAGCCCAGCCAAGGAACCAGCCGCCCACCCGACGTTCGAGATCCACGGGCTGTCATTCGACCAAGGCAAGCCCCTGTTTGTTTCACATCTGCTCGTTGGATGGGAACGCCGCCCGCCGCTACAGCGTGGTATCTACAAGGCGGGTAGCACTGCAAGCCTCAATCCACAGCTGACAGACGAAGGGGCAGAGGTTTAAAAAAAGAAGCAGCTGTAGAAAGGCTTCAACCAATAGTAGACAGCCTAGGCCCCCATTGGGATGCATGCATGAGCTGCAGCGGAGGCGGGAGTTGAGCTCGGCGGCTAAAACAGAAGCTTGTCTTTTGGTGGTGAAGGAGGGGATGTTCTATTGGCTGGTGGTGCCAGTGCGGGTGGTGGTTGTTATAGTTCAACTCGGTATCGGGATTATTTTATCTTGGTTTAAAATTATGAAAAATAAAATAGCAACCAAATGTATTCGAAAGCACCTAAGAAACCATCGGCATATTTTTAATCGAATTTCTTTGCCGGCATCGGCAATGCATCGAAAATCTCTATTGTCTGTGCTGCCCCTCAGACCGTCGTCTTTTAAGCGCCGGGCCCTTCTAAACAATAGGCGGAGACATCATCGCTCGGCCAATCCCGTGCCATGGCTTCGGCAACGGCTTGCTACCAAAGGGGCACCCAAAAATAGAAACAGATATTGGGATCCTATGGATGCGAACCTGCATAATCATTCTAATTATATCCTTTTTACACCTGAACCATGGAATGAATGGCTCTCATTCATGCTATATCATCACAGGCCACCACTCACACGGTTGCATCAGCGACAGGTTACAGCCAATCTCTTCTATTACGGGTATGCAAAGCGCAAATCCCTGTGTATTCAAATGCGGTAGTTCGTTAACATAAGTTCGTGTCTCATAATTATCCGAAAAGTAAGCCTTGGTAAGCAAAAGCAAATGTGCCAAGGTTGCTTCGTTTGTATCATCCACTGGTCATCAGGTGCCCCCCACTGTCAATGTCCATCTCGTCTTCCCATTCTGTATCACGTATGAGTTGTTTTGCTTGCAATATTCATATTCGGGAATACATACCAGAATCTGTCTCTGTTACCTTGTACACCATCACACCCTCTGCTGCTTTCATAATTTCTGTTGGTCATGTCAGCATCTCCCACACTGATCTTGTCTCTTGTTAGTTTACTTACTGCGTGTCTCCGATTCCATTTCCATCATCTCTTCGTCAGTCAGGATCCCCATAGTAAATATTCTCTCTCTGCATAAATCCACCATGGAAAACAGGTTTAGGCCAGCATCACGTTGTATCGCGGACTGTTCTTGAATATGTTGCCGAACCATAAACAATAGACATGAGCTGCTGAGCTTGCGAACCAAGTCGTGTGCTGCAGGCTTTTCCATTCCTAGAGTTTCCCAAAATTTGGCTGATGGCTTCTCACTGGCCATTCCTCCAAGTAACGATGTTTCGAGCAGCGCTGAAGCGTCAACCCGGAGAGACGCATCTTCGCAGACTAACAGCTGAGGAGCCCACGTCGGAGCAAGCTCCAGGGCTCTAAGTCTGAGGCGCCCTCCAAACCGATCATCGGGTTGAAAGACAACACGTAAGAAAGTTAATACAGCTGCTTCCTCTGACTGGCTAAAAGTCTGTGGCTGGTCCAAAATTGCGTCTGTCAGTTGTTCGGCGTGCTCCAAATTGGTCGTGCACGAAACGTAAGCAGCGGATGCCTCTATAAATGACCCCAATGAAAGCTCAGTATTGTCAGAAATTGCCCGTAAAAGAGTACTGAAAACTCTTGTTTCCATTGTTGACCCAGTTTGAACTAGTCGAACCAGAACCGCCATTGTTTCCTCTTCGCCCTGCCCAAGGATCAGGAGCCGCTCGATAAAAATGCTTGATTCCGAATCATCTGGATGGCATGCATGTGTCGCGGTGACTTCTTCTGCAGTCCATGGTAGCAATCTGGTATTTTCTACATCCTTCCGCTCACTGATATCGTCGACGACCGACTCTGGGCCAAGTGTGTCGGCAAGATAACCGAGGAGGGCATGGATAAACTGTATGACGCTACAAAATGATAGGCTTTGTGTCCCTCTCCGTCGTTGTAGAGCAGTCAAAATTCTGGATATGCCGCTTTCCTCATCGAAACTCGAGTCCAATGTTAGAATCCGAACAGTTTGAACTAGATATCCTTCGTTGAGAAGCTGCAAGGCTTCTGCCCTTCCCTGTTGTGCAAATTTCAACAAGAGGGTGAAGTATATATCCCAAGAGCGTAAACTGCTGTTCAAATATTGCCACATGTAGTCGAAGATGTCGATGGCAACTTGACAAGCTGTTGGGCTGCCCGTTTCCTCCAGAAGAATAGGCTGCTCGTTCCGACTGGCATCATAGGAGGCAGGTGCCTCTCGTTTGATTGTATCCAAAGCCGTCAAGAAGGCAGTTGCAGCCTTGGATCTTATAGCTGAATCTGGATTCCTTTGCAAAAGAATTCGGAAGGCTGATTTATCTTCAGAAAAGTAACTCAGGACCAGACCTGCACATCTTAGACACCGACTCGCAGCCCCAGTGAGCTGCTCCAAGAGTCTAATTGCACAGGACTTGTCTCTTTTTCGACATGAAAATCCACACAGATAGTTCAGAGCAGTGACAAGAGTTGTTCCATGTAGTGAATGACCAGACGATTCGTTGTAACTTTGTCCAACTGCGGTTTGTAAGACACGTTCAACAACATCACCGTATCCATCATCGAAAAGACAAAATGTGTGCATGATGGACGAGTTAATAGCGTCAACATAGCTCCTAAATCGGAGAGGTATCAACGGATAATTCCCACTACCTGCTTCATGTTGGCGTGATGTCTCAATCTGACTGCGAAATGAGGATAGGCGCTGGTAGAAGAGCATGTAGGCACTGTTCATCTTTTCTGAGGGCGGATCATTCGGACCGTTGCTTTCTACTCCTCCAAATGCAACATCGGCCATATTATCGGACGACCATGGGCTTACCAACTCGTCGTTAAACTCAATCCAACTGGCCACCTCCTTTCTCTCTTTTACAAGCGAGTAGTAGTGTCCAGACTCCGCAGTCCCAGTATGTATGAGCATTCCAACCAGAACAAACACATCTGCGGTTGATTGAGTTGTATTGCCTCTGAGGTGTTCAAGGGTAAATGGTGCCATGTCTATTTCTTCGGGGAACGAGAAACGGTCATTGATTTTGCTGCGATGCATTGTTCGCAGGTTGAAGTCGAACCGTTTCAAATGGAATATGAGATTGTCCGGAACTTGCTTCAAACAGGCCCTAAATATAATCAGCAGGCCAACAAGGTTACGGACCTATGTTCATTTACTAACCGTTTTACTGCTTTGACATGTAGATCGCATGAAGCGCATCTGTACTTGTTATCTAGACCAGTGTCAATAACACAATCAGAACTCATATTTTCTTCGTAGGGCCTTACCACCATCCATAATCTCGCCCGTAATATAGGATAACAGGCTCTCCTGTAAAGTGAGATTGCCCCTGACCTCGCACTGAATAGCTGAAAAATCCTCTATCTTCTCCGAAATGTGCTGACATTCTTGTGATTTGATTTGCTGTACCAGTTGGCCGCCGTAGAATTCACGGAGTGTCTTCTTTCCCGCGTCAGATGGCATATCGGCCTCTAATCTATCAAACAAGAGATTATAGAACTCGTCAACATCCATCTGATTAGTTTCATCGATACTGACATTTTCGAATGTCTTGATAGATTTGACAAGTTCATACGGCTTGATCAACTTTGCCACAGAACCCTGCATGAGAGCAAATATCTTTTGCAAATTCAACAGGACGGTGTAATCTGCATCCTTCGTGACAATACTCTGCGCAAATAGAATTCTTCTGAAATCAAGATTCATAAATAGCTGCGTCATGAGGGAGTTGAGATAGCACGTGTTGGACAAGTTGTACAGTCCGATGTAGCCGCACTCGCTCTTGATGGCACCGGACTGATCGACATTAAAGGATTGATCGAAGAGGACTGTGTCGTCTAGAGAGTTTCGTTAGCTGCCTTACAACTTTCAAGAAGACTGTTTCTCAATTACCTCGTATAAGAACATCAGCCTGCAGTGGTTTACTGAGTAGATTCGCCACCATTTCGCAGTTTCCATCACTCCTTCCGGCAAATGCGTGTAGTACATCGTAGGTATACTGCCGTGAGGTAGCACTGAATATTACGGATGTCTCGCGATGTATAACACCTGCACTCTGTGTTGGCACCAGCAACGGCCATAGCACATTTTTAATCGTCTCCCTACACCATGGTTAGTGCACAACACTGCTATGCGAAGAATATTGCCTACGCTGTGATGCAGCTTTCGATGAGCGATTCGTGGCTCAAGGAGCAGCTATGCGTCAATGAAAGCATTCCTTCCATGATGGCATCAGCATATAGGGGGTTCTCAATTTTCTAGTTAGAGTTAGTTCACTTCTCCTTTTATAGATACACCAGATCACTCACCTCTTTGGGCTCATAATGGTGTATCCAAGTTAAAATCTGCCGGAGCAGGTCCTTTGCATCAATCTGTGATGGGCAGTTCTCCATGAGAGATTTGACGACGAGATGGGCGAGTCGCATAAACTCCGCGGAACACGGAGCGCCGTCAACAGCAGATCTTAGCCCCTTGAGACTGAGATGTAGCAGGAACTCCAACACTTGTGATGACCGTTCTATGATAGACATTGCGGTTATTCTTGACACCTCATGTGTTACCATACGTTCAAGAGTCGCCAGCGTAGACATTCGCAGCTTCGGCTTTCCATCTAATGCAATAATGTCCAGCAAATTATTCGTAAAAGCACTGCTTTTTACACAGTTCCATATTTGGTAGTTCATTGTAGACAGTTGTACCATAATACGAAACGTGTTGTCTATGATGGCTTGGGTAGCGTCATTTGGCATAGTAATGCCTTTGGCTATTGCCGAAATAAGCTGGTCGACATTGATTGTTCGGCTGACCATACCACGTATAGTCTCATCACTGATGTCTGATAGCAATGTCAGCATATTATTCGTATGCTCCGGTTTATACTACCTTACCAATTAAGTCACACAAGGCCAAAAGCAAGGAGTCCAATACTTCAGGCAGATGTTGTTGACAAGTAGTATCGAAATTTTGAACATTACTCAAGAGCTCAAGTATGAGAGTCGCAAATAGAGTAATGGTTTGCTTGTTCTGAAAATCAGATCGACTGTCTGTATCAGTTAGTTTTGTCTTTTCGCGGCATTGGAGCTGGATGTGTTGCATAATGGCATGCGCAATGTACAGGCACTTCGTTGGTTGAGAGGCGTCAAATGATAACTCGCGGCGGCCATCGTCAGTGGAAACCATCTTTACAACATAGCCATCAGCTGGAAGCAATTTCAGGAGGTTGTAGGTCTATTATGGATTAGCATACGCCAATCTTCGTACGTGTAAATCAAGCAACACCTACTTCATAGGCGATCTTGCCCCCAAGAGACCAATTTTGCCAAAGGTCAGAGAATCTGGTCAAAAGGACTTGTTCCACGAGTGAACACCCTTCTCTAGCAAAAGCGGGATACGGTAGCTCAATCTCTTCCCGCTTTACTATAAGCAGTCCATCCCGGAATTGCAGTTCTTCCAATGATTTGCAGATATCGCTTTCTGTAGGTATAAACTGTTTTCCCTTATAAAATATGCGGTAGTTATCAAATCCAGTCGCTTCCTTCAATTGCGCGAGCAAGCAACGCGTCGTATTTTGAGATCCAATGATAAGAGACTTTACACCTGTTTCTTGATTGCCGTCAAACGATTGGTATAGTAAGCCAGTCGGCTCCCCACGAATATCGCTTAGCCGAGACGACATAAATGGACGCAAGTCTGGTACATTTGCGTCGTTTTTGGTTTGATACTGCGCCACAAATTTCGAAAGAAATCGTAATATCCGACTACATCTCTCCTGCAGGTCTTGTGAGTTCAGTCTGGGTATTACTGGGTCATAAACACTTGGAGATGTGGAAATATTCGCACGCAATCTCGTAGAAATGTCGCTCATCTCATCCAAACAAGACTGGATCACTGCCGAGTGAATTAGACGTCGTCTAGGTGAAGGGTATAAGTCGAAAAAGTCGTTTCGTAAATATACGTCGTTCACCATTGTCGCAATCGCTCGCTCACTCGCGCCTTCATGTTGGCTTTCTTTAATGAAACGCCAAATTTGTAAAATTTCATCACTTGATAGAGCATCAGGAGCTTCTCCATCTTTTAATGCTGTTGTGAATGTTGCAAGTGCTTTTACTCGAACCAATTCGAACATCTCTTCACACAGCTGCGAGCCATGTAGTTCTTTGGCGAGTACACGGACGCATGTATCAACAAAGGTGTTCAAATTGGGAGATTCGGTGTCGACTGACGTCAATATTTCCCAAACTTTGCTTTGATCCTTCTGAGAAATAGCCATCACTTTGACTAAAAGTTGCCAGGTGCGACAGCTAAATTGATCGTCAAAGTCGTTGCCACATGTAGCGAATACATTATGCAACAACGTGCATCTGGCTTCATTAGGTCGTCCGTGTAGAACATGCTGATAAGATGATGCTGCAGCATGGCCCATAGCATATTCCAGCTCGTCCATAGCTAATTCTGCAATCCTGTGCGTTTTGTTGATTCTCTGCAGTTCTTGTGGCCGTATTAAAACATTCAAACACCACATTATGCCGGTCACAGAGTGGTCTTTCCGTCGAATCGCGGTCAGGCATTCCTGCAGAAATATTTCGCGAAAATCAAAGTTCTCACACTGATCGAGGAGCTGGCGAAGACGCTGTCGTCCAGCTACCTGGATCTCGGTGTATCTAAAATATTCTTCGTCTACCATATTAGACGAATCTCGGACAATGCGGAACCATAGCTTAAGGCACTCCAGAGGCACTGTGCCTGTACCAGTTTTTGCCCTCCATATAATCTCTTGCCCTAGTGTATCCCATAGCTGCCGCAGTCGAGACGCAAATATTTCGAGTGACAGGTCATGCAGAGAAACACAAAGAGAAACAAGGTGTTCAGAACGGATGAATCGGATGATATTGACAAGCACCCTTGCAATGGCTTCTGCTTTATGATCATTCCCGGGAGATGTTGCCATTTCGAAGAGGATATTGAAATGGTCAGCAGATAGCAAATTAGCAACTGCTAAAAATCCAAAGACACCTATGCTTTCCGCAACGATTTCTGGATGAGAATTACTCCCCAAGAGGTATTCAAGAATTTCGGTTTGTATCAGCATTTGGCCAAGAGCAGCGACGATACTCTTATCCTTTGATTCTTCAAAATGCCGCCAAATGGCATTCAATTCCATGGATAAGAATGTTATTCCTATTACTTGAAGCTGCATGGAACTGCTCTTGATATATTTGGCCAAAGTTGAGAGTTCCCATTCCCATGTTTCTGTCGCTGCTGGTGATGGGACGCGATTCTGCATCGCCTGGTCGTTTTTGGCGGCGATCAGACCGTTGTTGCATCTGTCATTAACAGAAAGGCCAAAATGAAGCACTCTAGCAAGTATGGAAATGATACCCTTTGTCTTCTCTGGTTGTACGGATGACCCATTCGTCGTCGTAATAGTCTCTAAGCATGCCGATGCGTCGTGAAACACAGCTTGCGCCATCTCCCCGTGCGCCCGCATCGCATCACTGGGTATAACTTCTTTTGCATTCCTAATATCTTGAATCAAGTACAATATTATCGTACAGATAGGAACCAGGGCGCTCATTTTTTTTGTATCTGATGCTGATGCAAGAGCTACTGCCTTGATCAGTTGCTGGAGCATTTGAAAGCTGATGGTCGATATCAGTTTTGCACTCCGACGAGTAGGGTGTTCGTCCATGATCATATCGTATATAATTATGGGTTGGTAGGGTATCGGTTGGGTCTCTCGAGCGAGTACATGGTGCATTACCCGTAGGTATTGAAAACAAGATAGATCCAGGATATCACATCCATCCACTCGTCCCTTCGTTAGATCGAATAGATCGAATTGCATGATTTGGACAGTCAGGTCGATAAACTGGTCAATGATATGCTCTCTAATCGACGTTTGACAAGCTGTGCTCTGGTTCGATATCCTACGGTTGATTAGACTTGAGACCTAACTCTGCACAATAGCCATAGCTTACAAGCGATCTACTACAGCGTGAATGAGCTGAGGAAGATTTTTCCAAAATATCAAATTGTCCATATATGAGCGTTTTATCTGACGTGAGTTTCCGTTGTGAGCATATTTCAGATATGAATCGAGCCAACTGTGTAGGCTCTCAATGACAGCATCACAGAGACTAGGTTCTGTAAACGAATTTAGTGAAGACTCGATCCGGATCCCCACTCGACTTACCCATCTCAAAATATGTGAATACTCGCTGTAATGCTTCAAATGGGGTGTCGTCATTAATAAACGGAAATGCGTAGATGGGGTCTGCACTACATGCGACTCTATCAGATGTCGAGCCGGAGCTGTCGGAGCGGATCGACAAGGTCTCTTGAGCAATGTAATCATCTTCATCTCCTAAAATTACTGGTATATTATCAAATTCACCCCTTGGTATATTTGGAAACTGAGATTCTGGTGTCGAAGTCGTCGCCGTCTGTGGAGATGGGACGTTTCCTTGATCCGCATAGCTAGAAGGAATGGTTTGCACATTGGTAATATCCGAGGTCCCGCTGTTGTTTGATGATATCTGAGGCAATTCCAGACTAATAGAATGCAGTGGACCGACTTTGGGTGATCTAGAAGATGACAAGCACCGCCGTTTGCGCGAAGCCTGTCCATCACATTCATCACCGTCGCTCGACCGCCTGGGCCGGGAACTCGGCGAATCTGCCATATGGCTTGATCTTTTCGTCGCAATAGAAGTTGTGTATCACTATAGCCAGTGCAGCGTTCTACTTTGTGGGAAAGGCCGGCAACGCGGCAGCGTCGTCACTAACATGCGTGTTGTTGAGTAGGATTCTTTGGTTGTCTTGCTGTTTCCTATGGAGGTCGTTATTTGTTGATGCAGCCGCAAGTATTTGTCGTAGTTTTAAATGGCGTGAGACACGATTTTGGTTACGAAGATAGAAGAAAGTGTGGTTGCCTGGGAGCTGCCGCGCCTGATGTTGGCAGAATCACGCTTCGCTGCAGGTGATTCCGGGCAGTCTGGTAGCGAGCAAACAGAGGTGAAGGTGAACTGAAGAGTTATCTCGAGGAACGATACATCAGCACCCGAGGGGCTTAGATTTGGTTTGTCTGGTAAAATTCTTTCCAGATATCGAGAGCAGCATAAATTTTCAAATAAACATCGATTTGTGTGTGGATTTCTTTTACGTTCAACTTTGATTAACCTTGTTCTGGTTGAGTTGGAGCTCAGGCACCTGGCGTTTGCTGTGTCCCAAGTGAGGCGTACCACCTGCATACCCTGGAAGGTGACCAAAGTTTTGCCTTCATGCACAGCACCTTTTGAAAAAAAAAAACTTGTTTTTAGCTAAGAAATTGTAATTAATCGTATATTTACAAAATAAACTTTTATAAATAGTAAATTTCATAATCTCATGAGGTTAGATAACATTGGTGCGCGTTTAGAAAGCTGTCCCGCCTCAAACCACACGTGGATGGAAAAACATGCGGGCGCCTATTCTACACGTCGTTGAATGTTATCATAGTAGGGGTTTCCTTTTCACAAACTGCCCAAGCCCAAGCCGCCCCTGGTAAATAAGCAAACATCAGTCCAGCTTGGGTGCCACACTCTTCGTCGGGAAAGACTGTGCTGTCATTACGATGCGCGGCGGCAATTCCAGCTGGGGTAGAAAGAGCCAAGAAGTGAGATCTTCTACTGCCGACTGGTAGTGCACTGTAAAGAAGGTCTTAGTTGCTGTATTGTTACAGTTAATAAATCGAGTAGCAACTTACAAGGCATTTCCCAAAGTGCCATGGCAAAGATTTGGATACTTCCTAAGAAGTCCCCTATCCCATGTAACCTGTTCACCCTTTTGAATAGCCTGATCGATCTGATCTTTCAGTTCTGGAAAGTATGGCTGTAAAGTTTTGAGGCAAATCACAAAGCCAGGTGCTCCATGGCACCATTGGACCAAGTCGCTTTCCGCTTCGTTAGCAAATTTTGGCCAATTTCCGTCTCCGAGTTGTAGCTCAATAAGGCTCTTCACTTGCGCTGAGAGCTTTGGTGCTAGTGTCGGAGTACTGAGAACAAGTTGAACAATGATGCCAGTGTCACCATGCGCAGCACCAATGTATTCACGATCGAGCCAAGTCCACCGCGAACCTCCCTCGCTGTTGTCCCTCATGATCTTGGCTGATAGTCGCTGAACATGGGGTTCCAGACTGCTTTGAGAAGATGGCACCCAATGTGAAACTAGCCGTAGGATGTAAAGACTTCCAGCGCGGCCGTAGAGAATCTCAGACGGGAAGTCTTTCGAGGCCACATCAGCATCGTCGCACGGGATGCTCTCAATCAATGCTAGAAATGCTTGAATATCAGCAGCGTCACCAGATAAACAAGCTTTTATAGCCTTATGACAGAGATTCTCCTGGACTACACCGCAACCGGTGTCTTTTCCAATAGGCTCAACTTTACGTTCGCCACTGGTGTACTCCTGCGCCCATTGTCGCAGAGTCTTGGATTTCACCGTCAGCCCAGGCTTGATTTCCGAAAGCTGCAAGAACAACATAGCAAGACTTGTGTATCCCAAAAATAAACCGGCCAAATCATCTTCATTGTATGAAGCTTTAGGAGGGCATGTTTCCACAAGCTCCTCCAAGGTTGTAATTAGCAACTCGGAGGGGCTTTGGTCCAACGTTTGGATGGGCAAGGTGTTTGGAATGTATCGGGTAGCCATGCTTTCCTAAAGAATTGAAATGTCAATAAAACTATAAAAAATTATCAATGTGGTTTTCCACACATAAAGAGAGTATGAATATATAAGGATATACACGTGTACATAGATTCGCTGGTGCGGGGCTTGCTTGGCGAGGGCGCAACTAACACTTGACTCACACCGTTCAGCCGCTCAGCAGCGTGGATCTTGGAGATTTTCAAAATCGTGACAAAGTGGCTTTTAATAGCCTTGTGAGATTAATGCAGGTAACCAGCCTGACTAATAAAAATGTCGCGGGGCCATAAATTGCTATCCTGAATCAGGCAATGGCAGCCAAACAGACAGGCGAGCTTGGTTGTCACTCTAAGCTCTCCACCCGCTTTTGGCAGGCAAGCTCAACGGTAGCGAATTTTTAACCACCAGACTTCCACGCGCTCTGTCAACATTCCATCACTCAGACTTGTTCCCTTCAACCACATTATTTGTGACAAACACAATTGACAGTGTCATTTAGAATAAAAAGACAACTCAAGCATCATCCCACGACAAACCTAGAGGGCAAGGGATGTCATCCGCTGCGAAAGACCAGCCGGGTCGCAAGAAGATTGTTCACCATCTCGATACACCCTTTACAACATCACCATGGTATGTAGCGTATCATAAACGTTCTCCGATATAGTACCATATATTAACCATAAAATTCAAAGGCCAGTTGTAAGCCTCGAGGACCAACACATTATTCTTGAGCTGCTATGCGAGTAAGCCATAGTAACGCGAGTTTGATTAAGGCAGCAATGGCTGATTGATGACACAGATTACTCGGCCCAGTAGTGAAACACCGAAACCAATTTTACAAGAACTCAAAAGGAAAGCGAATCTCTCGTTACATCGTCAGAGAGGGCAAGAAGAATGAGGAGCTGCGTACGCGCCCTGCTATCTATGACCAGATAGACATAGGCTTCAACGTAATCAACCGGAAATTACAGGGATTGGATTTAGAAACGAACCGCAGGAACTTGGGTAAACCACCCAAGCTGCCGTATTCCATGATATTTGTGTCCCGCGGGGACCAAACGTCTGCCTTCAACAGCCACTATCCGCAGCTAGTTGCCACGGCTGCAAAGAGGTGCAAAACAGACAAGGATATTCGGCTGGTCGGGTTTTCGCAGTCCGCCTCCCGAAAGATTGCCGTCAGACTTGGTCTTGCTCGGGTATCTGTTATTGCTTTCCATACAACGGCATCAGACGCTGCCGCACTCTGGGATATGGTACAAAGCAAAGTTCCCCCGGTTAGCAGTCCTTGGTTGGACGAAATTCGCGATTTGGAATACCGCCCAACAAATATCAAACATGTTGAGACGGCTGTCGGGGCAAAGAAGACGAAGACGGCGCTTGACGTGAAAAAATAGATGGATATGCTTGAAGAGGCATAGCTGATGCACGCGCCATAGTGTATAATACCAATTAATGATAATGATAAGTACCCGTTATAAGAATTAAGTGGCTAAGCGTGTAAGCTCGTCAACAAACAGGCTGCAGGATTGAACGATTGAATGCCATGGTTACTGCCAGCTGGCAAACTGGCAAATAAACAAGTCACTGGCCAGTCCAGCCGCAGCAGCGTATCCGTTTTCTTCTTTAAGATTCTTCAGGTGAGAGACTTGAGAGCAACAAACTAGCCCTTCGATTTACACATTTGCTACTTATTGTACCTTACATCCTTGCCAACGACAGATAAAGCCAGATATGAACCCTACCGGATTCAAAGATGCAGCCAAGCTCAACGACGCGAGAATGCTAGCCGAGAGCTTTAGCAAAAAAGGAAAGGCACCAAAAGGAGCCAAATCCAAAGATCAGTATCACAAAGAGGTGGCGTATCCTGGTAAGATGACCATCGAGCAGCTGCACACACAGTTGTACTAATTGATAGGACCGAACAAACCAAAGTACTACGGTGCATACGGCCAGCCTCCCACTGCAACTACTCGGCCTACGCGCCTCCAGCATCCTCGACAAGCAACATCCCAGTACAGCCCAATCTGGGACATCTCCAGCGACGCTCCTGGAGTCCTAGGAAGCAAAGGCGTCAACTTCCTTCGCCGCGCCGAGGTTGCCAAAGAGAACAACCCACGTAAGCCCATGCCTTGTGGTGCCGGTTTGAATACTTCGGCTAATCTACATACCTCTTCAAGCTCCAGAGCCGCAGAAACCCATAATCAGACATGCCATTCTGCCTCCTGCAGCACAGTTTGACGTAAAGCCAACCCCACCACCACCACAGGCAGAGGTGCAAGAGACCACTCCTCAGCCAGCCAAACCGTCAATCATGGACATGTTTAACCTTGAGATGCAGATGGAACTATTGGCCTTGAACAGCACGCCAGGCGACTCGCCTGGACCCGACGCGGGGAGGGCCGCACACGCTTTCAGCAACCAGCTTGAGCTGGTCATGGCGACGGAAGCATCTAACAACTGCGAAGCTGCAGAGGCATCAGCTGGTACGGCTGGTTGCAAGTGCTCCAGAGTTTTGCAACCCGTCAAACATGGTTTGGCGCATTCTCGATTTGCTACCGCGCAGAGCGAGCCTATCTCGTCTGACGGCAAATTCACATTTAATCCGGCAGTCAAGCTCCATGATGCTACTTGCCCACTGCGAATCAGCGAGGAAAACGGGGGCAAATTTACTAACTTTACATTTCGCCCTGAAGCCGAAACTTTTGTGTCCCGCGGTCCGGACTAACTGGCCACATGAAGTTTATGGCATGATATTGGGTCAAATGAAGGAAAAGGGTGTCTGCCCTTTTATTAGTTTGCATGGTTTAACATGTTGTTTTATTCCTCATAACGCAAATGAGTAAATTGCATCGCTATGTTACTTCTTTCCCGATAACTCCTTTTCCAATAATTGCACACCTTCGCGGACCTTTGGTGAGAAATGCTTTCTCAGCAGTTCACCCTCCCAGACTGTGGTAGCAAACGGATTGCTTCCCTCTACACTGTCACCAATAGGGTTGAAACGACCATCTCCTTTTCGCTCCTCTGTGTTCCATAACGCCTTGATCTTTCTACCATGGGTGTTGGCCACGTCACCAAGCAACGCTAGCGTACCCTGGCAAGATTTCTCGGGAAGCTGCAGCGACGTTGTCATAAGCTGCTTTGTAAATGCAGCCAAGCGCAACGGCGGCACCGAACGGATGTTCCATGGCGGAAGAAGTATAGAGGTCAGGGAGCGGAGGAGGAGGACGGTGGTTGTCTGGACATTGATTTTTGTGGCGCGGGAAGTCGTTGCGGCAGGGCGGGTATTCTCCAAATCCGCATTGACAGAGACTGTGAGGAGTGACTTGTAGAGGTGGGTAATGAAGTATGAAAGATCGAGATGTAGGTCGTTGCGGGAGTTGTGGGCATCCTGGCCAGCAAGCAAGGCAAACGCCGTCACAGTGCAGAGCAGGGCCTCGCGAGTAAGATTACGCACGGGAGCTTCTTCTTCATCGTCTTCATTATCTTCTCCTTCTTCACCTTCGTCAGCTGCGTCGTTGTCGCTGTGGCGGATAAGGTCTTTCAACGCCTCCAGAAGATCACCAAAGAAGTCCTGGTTGATGAGTCTGGCGTATTTCGCAAGACCTTCGAGCACAGCACCCATAAGATGCGACTCGCGTTGTTTAAGAATGCGGAAATAGGTTGCAAACACAAGCTTCAGTGTCTCGGACTGCATGCGGTCTCGCTCTTCATGGCTAACAAGAGCGTCGGCTTGGGCCATATCCTTGTCCAACGCCTTCTGCTCTTTGATAGATTTCCTTTCTCTCTTTGTACGGAACTCGCGCTTGTTCTTTTTCAACTTCGGGCCGGTCTCTTCGGGTCGCTCGACGTAATCCTTGGAAGCCTTGCCACCGTATTCCGACAAGAGACGCAGGCTCAAGAATAGGTTGAGAACATCCTGATCGATTTGGTATTCTCGTACTCTCATCATCTTGGATAGAAGAGACACAGTCTCCATGGATGGTCGACCCTCGTCATCCTCTTTAAACAACGTGTGGAGAGCTTCTTGGCATTTGATGCCGTCGCTGTCAAGACGTCTCTTGCTTAGCCTCCAGACCAGAATTTTGATAAGCTCTGTTCGGAAGTTGAAGTGAGGTGCAGAGGTGAGGAGAGTGCAGGCGCAGGTATAGGCAACGTTGGAGAGACTCTGGCCGTTTCCGAGCTTTGCATATTCGGACTTGGCGCAGCGTGTAAGTTCCTTGACATAGTTCTGGTAGTTGTTGACAAGCGATTGCTCGAATTGTCGAAGAAGTTTGATATCCTTGGAAACCTTTTCCTTTTGCTCTTGTTCGGTGAGGGGTCTTATTCTGTAACCGGGAATAATATCTTTGTACACAGCCATTTGCGTAATCATGGCGAGCATTTGAATCGTCTTGATATTTGATTTGCTGTAGTCGCCGAGCGCCTTGAGGCCGGCAACGTGCTCTTCAGGGTTTTCGTTTAGCAGACCAGCAATTCTTGCCATTTCTTCCTGAGCTTCAAAAATCTGCTGCTCTTCTGGGATTTCTGGCTTCTCTGGTTCTGGTTCGGCCTCGTCCTCTTGGTCAGAGTCCAAGCCGTCCTCGTTGCCCTCGAGCCACTCTGTATCGCTGTCGACCGAGACATCGTCGCCTTCGTCATCCAGAGTCTTGAGAACCTCTATTCTTCCGTCGGCCGTTTTGATAGGGAGTCTAGTGCTGGGCTTTTCGGGCTTCTTTCCCTTCCTCGGCCGGGATTCGTAGTCTTGTTCGAGGTCCCAATTCGAGGCATTCTTAAAGAAATGCTTCTGAGAATCAGTTGCGCTTTGGGCATTCGCCTCCCCCTTGGAATGCCCAATTTTTCTTCTTTTCGTGCCTGTCACCGTCATTGCGAAACATAAATCCGTGCCGTTGGCGTGCAAGTCGGTTGATAGTTGCTTAGGCGTGGTCCAACTTTTTTTTTCTGGCTGGCGCATCTCAAAAAAACCGACCCATATTCACCTTTCTGCACCAATCACTAGCGCTAAATCGCCCGACCGCCAAAAGTTTTGGACTTTTTCTGCCGGATTTTTTTCTGCCCCTCCAGCGCTAGAGCTTTTGCCCAGCCATCAGCGCTTGGTCTTCTCCAACATTTTTACTTTTTCACCCACTTGACGTCCTAATCACTACGAATTGTGCCGCCATGGGATACAATAGCAGAGTCTCCGAATCGGCTCTCAAGTCGGCCAACAAGCTTCGCCGGCGCGAGCTTTTTGTTCAGCACAAAAAGAACAAGGACAAGGATCGCCGAGAAGAACGCCTTCGCCGAAGAAAGGAAGAAGATCGTAATCCCGAATTGAAGGCCGCAAGATTGTCGAAAAATGTCACCAAAACTCTGGATCAAAAGCGTGTCTGGGATGATGTCGATGATGACAGCCTAGGCGCCGTTGTGGATGTTGAAAAGCTCAAGCGCAGACGCATGGAAGAAGCTGAGGCAGAGGAACAGGCTGCTCTCGATGCCGCAAACGGGGACGATGATGACGATGATGATAACGACAGTATGTTAGAATCTGATGAAGAGGGCGAAGATGATGAAAAGAAACAAGCTGCTTTGGAAAGACAGCGCGAGAAGAGGGCCAAGAGAGACAACAGCGTTGCGCCGTCCACAACGAGCACTAACCTCGATCTGACCCCTACGTCTCTCGCCCTGAAATTCCCTACATTATTTACCGATATTCCTCCTCCAACCCCCAAGATTCTCATCACAACGTCTCTCAACTCAACTCTTCACCATGAGGCAGAACTTCTCTGTGGCCTGTTTCCCAACAGCAACTACATCCGTCGATCTGGTCACCGTTTCGGCCACAAATATTCTCTGAGAGAAATTTGCAAATTTTGCACAAACGCAGATTACACCGCCGTCGTGCTGCTCAAAGAAGATCTTAAAAAGCCTACGGGATTATCTATTGTGCATTTGCCTAGTGGTCCTACGTTCCATTTTTCAATCAGCAACTGGATCGAGGGCAAGAAGCTTCCTGGCCACGGTAACCCAACCAACCACTACCCGGAACTTTTACTTAACAACTTTAAGACGCCTCTTGGTCTGCTGACAGCGAAAATCTTCCAAACAATGTTCCCACCCCAGCCTGAGTTCCAGGGTCGCCAGGTGATTACCCTTCACAACCAGAGAGACTACATCTTTGTTAGACGACACAGATATGTGTTCCGCAACAAGCGAGCAACCGAAAAGAGCATTATCGGTACTGATGGCAAGGAACTTAAGGGTGTGGAAGATATCCGCGCCGGATTACAGGAGCTTGGACCTAGATTCACATTGAAGCTTAGGCGTGTAGACAAGGGCATCGGCCGCGCTGGAAGCGAAGGTCCCGATGCCGCTCAGTGGGAGTGGAAATCGAAGATGGAGAAGGATCGTAAGCGTTTCAACCTGTAATATGTACCTAGATGTACCCTTAGCGATAGCATATCTTTCAATATTTTCTGTTTATTTCTGTCTCAGTCACTCTTGGTGAATTAAATTGTGATTTTCATGCAAAATGGTGGCTTTTGACAAATTCTTGTACCCTGAAATAAATTCTAAATATTAAACTATATTTAATTTCTGAGTTTAATTGCACGAGTTGTCGATACTTTAGCTCAGGTACGGAAACCTAGTGACAGGTACTGGACTTCAGCGCTAGCCCACGTCAAGGTTCCACGCTACGACGATCAGTCTAGATTTTACATCCCCCAACCTGGCCTTTCTGAGCCAGCACTGCTTTCTTTTCACGCAATTCTGATTAGCGCAGCGTATAGATATCACTTTTGAAACCTCCTCAGTTCGTTCTTTACCAAGAACCACGATCAAAACTACCGAGAATACTCACAGCTAAGCAATTGTGTGTGCGCCCTTCAAACAGTCTTTGGTGACATCGCTCTACGGATACGAGCTTTCTAGTATATATTAGAAGTACATGTACAGTTTTTGAGTCTGTTACAATGACTGGTAAGCATATGATTTGTTGATAGCGAGAGGTAACCCACGTCATGCTAACGTACCTAGCCATCACAATGACTAACGGTGCTGTTTCGCCCATGGCTGCGGAGGCATTAATTGGCCATACCAAGTTTGAGCCGCTGCCTACTGTCCGAAATATTATGATCACAGGTGGTGCTGGCTTTATGTATGAAGTAATTCCGACATTCATCACGGATGCAACGCTAACGTTCTAATAGTGCATCCTGGGTCACACGACATCTGGTACTCACATATCCCGACGCATACAATATCGTCTCCTTTGATAAGCTTGAAGATTGTTCGACGCTGAAAAACACCGAATGCCTGGATAATCAACCAAACTTCTCCTTCTACCAAGGCGATCTCACCCATCCTGGGGAGGTTCTTGACTGTATGGAGAAGCACAAGATTGATACAGTGATGCATTTCGCCGCCCAGTCACATGTCGACTTGAGTTTCGGAAATTCGTATAGATTTACACATGCGAATGTGTATGGAACGCACGTCTTGCTAGAAAGTTCACGGAAAATCGGCGTGACCCGATTTATTCACGTTTCAACAGATGAAGTCTACGGCGAAGTCGACCATGATGCAGACGAGCTGGTCGAAAGCAGCGTCTTATGTCCAACGAACCCGTATGCTGCTAGTAAGGCAGCAGCAGAAATGCTCGTCCAATCATATCAAAAGAGCTTTAAGCTTCCGTCGATTATTGTCCGCAGCAACAACGTCTACGGACCACATCAATACCCCGAAAGTGAGTCGCCCTATCGAAACAGACAAGCCTCGCAGTCACTAATATGGCATTATAGAAATCATCCCTAAATTTATATGTCTGTTAAATCGCGGTCAACCTGTAGTTCTCCATGGTGACGGTACACCGACAAGGCGTTACCTTTACGCCGCCGACGCCGCCGATGCGTTTGACACAATCTTACACAAAGGCCAGATTGACGAGATATACAATGTTGGATCTACAGACGAAGTATCCAATATCGACTTATGCAAGAAACTGCTACAGGCCATGAAGATCCCGCAGGATACAGCAGACGATTTCCGGAAATGGGTCAAGTACACGCACGATCGCCCATTTAACGACAGGCGATACGCTGTGAACGCCTCAAAGCTGGCCAAACTGGGCTGGACACAGGGAACTACGTTTGACGAAGGGCTTGCTGCTACTGTATCTTGGTATTCAGGCTATGGAGAGACATGGTGGGGAGATATTGGCCGAGTATTGACCCCGTTTCCTGTTGTTCCTGAAGGCGAATTCGTCTTATCCAGGATTGGACATCTGATACGCGACGACCCCTTGGGTTCTGGTGATGAAAGTGGAAATGATGGTAAATGACACGTTATGAGATAGAATTCATATAGACTTATGAAAAATTAAATGAGTAGATTTGCGTGTAGCATAAATGGATCTAGCGCCGCTGACCGAGTGAGCTGTCCCCCGCACATGCTGACAGTCGAGGTACTGCAGGCAATGGCCGAACCATCCCCACCACCCTTTCCTGCAATCCGCATTTCTCGTTCATTCATCAATCCCAACTAAAGAATCAAGGCTAAGGCTAGCATTTTTTAATTCCTTAATAAAGAAATGGCAACCAACACTAGTAACAGCAACAAGTGCGAACTCAAAACTCGGTGGGTTGACCCCGCCTCGGCAACTTAACCAGTGTGATATAAGAATCATGCAAGGGTATCCTCTGCTTCTCGGGCCGTTTGCTATTACTGTGGTCAGACGACCAGGTTTACGGCACACTAATGTAGCCTGAAGCGCTAGTCGAGATCTCGAACTGTTAATTGGCCAGTCACAGTAAGCACAGCCTTGTGAGGTGCCATTCTATACTTGTCAACGTAATGGGAAAACGCCGGACTTCAGCTAGGCCCCAAGCTAAACAAACTTGTTTTCGGGATCCATAACAATGACCTTGAAAATATAACATCCTTACGACCGGCCAAGGGCAACTACATGGGCAAACTTCGATTGATCTGCAATGATTGGCAAAACTGTGGTAGCAACGGCTATTTTGGCCGCAGCGGCCGTCCGTGCTGACGAGACTACGTACGATGTTAATGCCGTCTGTAATAAGTGCGTATTCGACGAGTATATGCGGGAAATATTTGCCTAACGTTGTGTAGTGACCAGTTGATGCGATGGTTCGACCACGACCACGGCCTCTGGAAGGCTAATGACGGAGTATATTATTGGTGGAATTCGGCCAATATGCTGGCAACATTTGCAGATTTGGCCAAGGTAAACCCGAATGTCCTAAATGTGTACGGTGGAATATTTGATACTGTACACAACAACGCACCGAACCACCATCCTTTCGTCACCCTAGTGAAACAAGATACTGGTCAGGTCACCAAAAACTACACTTTCCCCTCTACGAGGATACGACAGAAGCGTGCAAGTGGCTTCCTCAACGACTACTACGATGATGAGGGCTGGTGGGGTCTTGCGTGGATTGCTGCTCTTGATGTCACTGGAAAGCATGAGTTCCTTGACGAGGCCATAACAATTTGGTATGATATGAAGGCTGGGTGGAACAAACACCACTGTGGTGGTTTGCCTTGGAACAAGAACGGCGCTGGTCCGGTTTCAATCGCGAATGGTATGTCGTAGTCGAATTTATAGTAGTTGCACAGACTAACTGTTACAGAACTTTACATTCAGCTGGGAGCTGCCATCTCGAACAGAGTAGGTCTTGACCAGAAGGACATCTATCTCGGTGCCGCCAAAGATGCATGGGACTGGTTCTCTAAGTCCGGAGTCATTGGTTCTGATCATCTCATCCGCGACGGCGTAGATTCGGACTCGTGCCAGCCCAATGGGGATACCTTTACATACAACCAGGGTGTCATCGTTGGCGGTCTGGTCGAACTCTGGCGGGCAACTGGCGAACTTTATTGGATTGATCAGGCCGAGCTGATTGCCATGGCTGTGACTCAGCCAGGTAGCAAAATGCAGGACAGAGATGGTATCCTGGCTGATGGCTGTGATCAGAACAAGTCTTGCCAAGGCATCAACGACGGAACCCAGTTCAAGGGCGTCTTTGCTCGCAACCTAAAGCAGTTACACGCAGTTCGTCCGTCAAACCAGTACAAAACCTTCCTTGAGCGGAATGCACGCACTATCTGGCAGAAGGATCTCCATCTTGAGAACGGAAACTGTTTCAATGGTGTGCTTTGGGGTGGCCCTTATGTTACTGCTAGTGCCAGTTCTCAAAGCAGCGCCTTGGACTGTCTCAATGCTGCCCAGGCTGTCGTTACTCAAGGCAAGGCTTTCAAGGCGCCAACTTATCGACCTAACAAGCAGCGTGCAGACGCTGTCAAGGAGGCTTTCAACTTTTCATGGAAGGGATATGTCGATCATGCCTTTCCTCACGATTCTCTGCAGCCCGTCGATAACACCTACAGAGACGATCGCAACGGCTGGGGAGCCACTGCTATCGATGCATGGAGCACTGCTATCATCATGGAGGACAAAGATGCTGTAAACAAGGTTCTGGACTACATCCCAACTATCGACTTTGACAGGTCTGCCACCGATGTTTCCTTCTTTGAGACTTCCATCAGATACCTAGGCGGCATGCTGTCTGGTTATGACTTACTCGATGGACCCATGGCACACCTCATCGATGGCAACAAGACTCGCTTGGCGCCAGTGCTTGCACAGGCAAAACGCCTAGCAGATAATCTCAAGGTTGCATACAATACACCCAGTGGCATCAACATCAATGGGCTTGAGTTCCACGGTCCCGGAAATATCGTTGCCCACAAGGACCCTGCCGCTGGTATCGCTGGTGTCACTCTGACTCTTGAGTGGCAGCGCCTGAGCGACTTGACTGGCAACCCCGAGTACGGAAATCTTAACAAGAAGGCCGTTTCATACTTCTTGACTCCTTATCCACAGTCTAATCAACCGTTCCCTGGTCTCATTGGTCAGAACTTTGACCCTAATAATGGTCACTCTCTCGACAATAGTGGTGGTTGGACTGGCGGCAGCGATAGCCATTACGAATATCTCCTCAAAGCATTTGTTTACAACAAAGATGAATATGAAAAATACAAGGAGCGATGGGAGCTTGCAGCCACGTCTTCTATGAGATTCCTTGCTTCAAACCCTAGCTCGCGCTCAGATCTCATCTTTTTGGCAGAATACTCGGGCCAGACTCTCAAATACAACTCTCAGCACTGTAAGTAATTTGCTACCCCCGATTAAAAAGGAAACAACAAACGACATAAGCTAACACTTTCAAGTGGCCTGCTTTGCCGGCGGCAACTTTATTCAGGGTGGACTGACTCTCGGCAAGCAGGAATATATTGACTTTGGTCTTCGTCTCGTCGACGGCTGCCGCTCTACCTACCAAGGCACAAACACTGGCATCGCTCCAGACTCCTTCTCATGGCAGGACATCGCGCACCGTGAGAACAACCCTCCCGCCGACCAGCAAGATCGCTTCAACAAGTATGGGTTCTGGATCGACTCCGCCAACTATGAGCTCCGTCCCGAGGTCATTGAGTCCTACTATTATGCGTACAGAGCAACTGGTGATACCAAGTATCAAGATTGGGCCTGGGAAGCTTTTGTACATGTCAACTCGACTTGCAGAACGGGCTCAGGGTTTGCAGCCTTGAGGGACGTCACTAACCCCGGACGTGGCTTCGACAACCATCAAGAGTCATACTTCCTCGCCGAGTTTCTCAAGTACTCATACATCCTTCAGGCAGATAATGCCGATTGGCAAGTCAAGGCGGACCAGACCAATCAGTTTGTGTTCAACACCGAGGCGCATCCTCTACGCATCGCAAACAACGCTCGGAATTAGATATGACGAAGAGTATCCGAAAGCTTGACTCAAGATATATACTGCAATTGTGGGTAGGTCTGGTAGTAGTAGTAGTCATGGCGATTTGATTGACTATATAAATACAAAATCAATTCCATCGCTTGTCTAGAATGAACATTAACGCTTTGTCATGCTTTTCTGTTATCCAAACAGGTGGGAAACTCCCTATATACGACCCTTGTCCAACACTTCTCGTTCTAAAATCTCAAGCTGCCCATTGGAGCTAATGCGGCGGCGCTCCATGACCCAGCGAGTTTCGCCACCCTCTTCTTCCTCCATGATATAGGATATGCTATCGGCCGAGCTATTATGTCGTCTATGGCCTTTGCCATGCTTAGATGTCGGTATTGTGCCAGCACTTGGCATCATCCCTTCTTGACCCCATGCCCATTCGTTCGAGTTGCGTCCTGGCATCGCTGAGCCCGGAGCGGACTCTACAATCTCGTCCTCTGGTACACTAGACTGCGCTAATCTGGATTCGCCCGGTCTGTACGCAGCTGGAGCTGAGTTTCCACGGAGCGGGTTGCCCGGCTGCCTCGCTGCTTGTAGGTTCATATAATTGGAGTTGTGCATAGTTTGTGACATGCCCATATTGGAGCTCGATGGAGATGATCCAACGTCTGAGTCGCGACTTTCGGCTGAGAAATTAGAATTCTGTCGCATATGGCCACTTCCATGCATTCCCCCAGCTGTGGGGGGTTGAGATATACCCCATGGGCTAGATGGCAGCTCGCCACGTTCAGACTGCGGTGAACCTTCCTTACTGGATGCAAGGCTGGCCTGGGAGCCTCCCCAAGCCTTGGATCGTAAACGCATCAGAGCAGAAAGTGACATGTCTTCGTCCCCGTACTCTGCCAACATAGCAAGTTGGGCAAGGCCCGGGCTTTGAAGAGTAGGTGTACCGGCTTGGAATCCTGGAAGACCCATACTCATGATCGAATTACGGTTAGAGTATTCGGAGCGTTCGGTAATAGGCGTCAAGTTTGGCTCGCGCGATATCAACCTTCCGCTAGCAGAACGAGCAAGATCAGGAAGTCCTTTTGGTCCAAAGAACCCGCCCATCTCCGCGGTCTTCTGTGTTGCGTTTCTGTGTGGCGATGAGTAAAACCCAAACTCTTGTCCATACCAGCCATCGGAATCATTGGCAAGAGCTGTCGCATTGGCTTCTGCAATTATTGCGTCATCATCTAATTCAAACTCGTCCATGTTCTCATATCCAAAATCATCGTCATTATAGTCATCAGTGGGCGTTTCAAAATGCCCAACCTCAGCACCAGGCAGCTCTGGAGACCCAGCTCGACAGAACTTACCCGACGCGGCGGCCTCATAAGCCGCCGCCGCAAGGGCAGCTTGATACACCGCCATGGGATCTTGCGTACCCGTTTGTTTGCTGCCGCCAAGGGCAGACACTATCTGGTTTTGTCCATTATTTTGCGGGAGACTAGACGGAGCTATAGTATCTCTATCGCTAATCGACGTGTGCGCTGTAGACTGCGAAATGGCCGAGTGTGCTGAGACGCCTGATGTCAAGTCAGATTCCCTATTGGCGGCAGCCGTGTGAGCTTCGCGCCGAAGCGATTGTGCCTTTGCAAATGCTCCAGGAAGAGGTCTTCCATATTCGTCTGTATCATCCAAATCGAAAATGGACTCATCAAACGGTACAGAGTCGTATTCTGGTTCCGCTGCCAGGTCCTCTGCGAATTCGTCTTCGTAGCCAAGTAGTCCATCGTCGTAATACATGTCGTCATCTCTATACTGCGAGGCTGGAGGAGGCTGAAGGGCAGCAGGTGCTGCGCTGGTGTCTGTCATGGGCGTACCGTGGTTGTCAATGCCTAGCCCAGAAATTTTGGTGACTAACGCATCATCCTGAGCAATAACATCTGTTTGTGCAGACGGTGGGAATGTCTCGGTTGTCGGTGTATCCTTGGTAAGTGCTGATCCAATGATATTGCCATTGGCATCCCTGGGAGTGGGTAGAAGACCGTCATTTACTTGAGGGCTTGGATGCAGAGAAGTAGGATTGGACTGCTGGAAGACAAACTGGGATAGCATGCTTTGCTCATGGCTGTCTTGCTGTCCTGTTGCCTGAGAGAAGCCTTTCTCGTCGTAGGTTGGCTCATCAAGATATTGGTCTTGCAGACCAAACCCGTCATCTTCATCGTCCGATGCGTTGACTCCCGGTATGCGCTCTTCCAACCCGTCGTCGTCCATCATGGCATCATAATCAAAATCATCATCGAATTCGTCATACCGCGAGTCAGGGCGGAAGCCATCGCTAGTTTCTTGCTTCTCTATTTCTCGCTGACGATGTTTCTCTTCCATAATCTTTTCCTGGCCCGTCGGACCGACAACAAAACTGAACCGGGACGAAGTACTCTTCATATGTTTCGGTATAGTAGACAAAGACACGTTTCTTGATCTTCTAATCTTTGAACTCTTGGAAGTATTAATCGAATCAGTGGAGCCAAGGCTGACATGGCCAGTTGTTTCGTCTTCTTCATGGATTGGCAGCGCATCGTATCGTATATGCTGAGTGGTTGGAATTGTGGTTGACGTGTTTTGATTATTCAGACCAGTACTAGGTTCCTCAGCAGACGGCGCCTGACTAGATCCACTATCTGTCTGTAGAACAGCGTTATTTGAGATGCCCCGTGGTTCATAAACTTGGCTATTAGCCGGAACTTGTGATAGCTTTGCAGTAGAATCTAGACGAGGCGTTGTGCTGCTAGTTCGAGGTGCTCCAAAGTCATGTACTCTTGTACCTTTAATGCTTGGGTCGTACAATGTCTCAGTCTGTACTCTCAAAGGCTGCTGCAGTGTCTCTTGTTGCGAGCTCTGCCCTTTTCTTCGCGCCAATAAAGTCGACATGGGATTTTTTAGAAACGGAAGGCCCTTTTTGGCGCGGTGAGGCTCCATCGGCAGGGCCGCAGCTGATGGACCGGGTTCGGGGGCGTTGTTCTGTGCTGAAGGTGACCATCGGGACGAAATGGGCGCAGAAATGGAAGGCTTTGTCGCCGGACTTGGGAGGGAAGCGACAGTCTGTGAGTAAGGCTGTGATGGTGGAGGCGGTAGAGAGGCGAGGTTGGGGATAGGAGTTGGTCGTTGGCGATAGTCGGGCTGCGGTGGTGGTGTCTGTCCATCACTAGCAGTCGTGGATTGTGCTGCTTTCAGACCTCTGCGGTAGTTTTCGAGAGCAACACCTCCGATAAATCCAGATCCAGCAGCATTGTAAGCTGAGCGATGAGGCTGAACAGGTACATAGTCGGTGGGAAGCTCTTGATTAGCAAAGGTGTCATCGGATGCTCGTCGTCGGCCATGGGAGGACTGATATGTATTCTGTGAATTCGATGAGGCTTGGTGCATATGATTCGGGCCAGAAAACTGCGCATCAGATGCTGATACACCGTCGTGGTATGGAGTCGATGCCGCGTTAAGGGGCAGTGTCGAGGATGGTTGGTCTGGAACCGGTGAGGTCGGGTTTGACGGTCCTCGCCGGAATCGAAGATGGGACAGCATATTCGAGGTATGCAATAACTTCAAACGCTTTGATTAGAAAGAAATGGCGCGAGTATCTACTTGGAAGTGGGAAGACGCAGTTGCGAGCTTCACCAAGCAAAAAAGTAGGCAAGGTTCGGATAAATCATCGGGCATGCATCGTTTCGCAGGCGCTCAGGCCGATAAATTGTGTGTGTTGAATTCGTTGCTCGTAGTTATTGATATATTAGCAAGCAAAGCCAGTCATTGCGATGGCGACAGCGTGGTGAAGTCGTCCAGAAATAACAGACAGAGCTTTGACGTTGCGACCGACGGACGCCAATCCAAGGCTGTGACGTTGAAGAATGGCGAATGGCTGGCTGGTGGGGCTGGCAAGGCACCGCGGACTGTCACTGGCGGGGTCTCAGGGGTTGCTTCAGGGCATTGTTAGCACTGCAGGTCCGCTACAGTACAGCGGGTTGGCGACCTACTATGGCGCAGCAGTCGTCATTGGTCTCCTTTGGCGAGCGCTACTGTAAAATACACAGCAAGGTCATGGTAATCAGCTCCTCACAGAAACTTGCCAGGGGCACGTTTATGAGTGGTTTAAAGGGCATCTCTGCTTACCATCCTTCAAACTCTAAGCTGCTACTTTGCAATCCATTGAACATCTAATCATATACAAGGCATTTACCCATGTTGACTTCATCGATGAGTATGGGTTGATAAAGACCGTCATCTACGACAGCCGCAACTTGATTATACGGGAATGGACCTAGTCGGTGACGATCACGTCTGATCTCTCGCGGAGCACCAGCGAAACCAGGTATTTAGCCCTCGTACAACCATATTCTACATATCCGCAGGCAGTTCCAAGAATAAAACTCCACATTCAGGTGGCGGGAAGAAAGTAACGGCCCGGCTGTAACCTTTGCTAAGCACGACGTCACAACATTTCCTTGAGGAATAGAGGTTCTACATTTATGTCTACAATACCAACTTCTTCCAACAAACGAATGACACGAATGACCTACGAAAATACCATCTCTTCAAACGCCCTCCACGCGTCCAGTTTGCTTGACATTGGTGGTCATGTCGGAAATTAGCCTGCTTTCCAGCGTCAGTAAACCACCACAGCTCCATTACGGAGCTGAAAGGAGACCACGACTAACTGTGGCGCTGTACTTCAGCAGGGCAATCCGCGTAATGGAGGGTCGCAAGGCTTAGGATAGCGGATCAATTCCATGCAGTGGGCAGCGTCGCGTGCTCATCTTTCAAGCGAATGAGGCAACGAATTTCCACCAAATACGAGAATCCGCTTCTGCCAGCCGGCGGAAATAACACTAGTTTACTTGGAGAGTCAGTAATTGGCCCCGCGAGACAAGGAGTTGGACCTTGTCCATAGGAATATGCAGCCCAGCGTGTTTCGCCGACATCCTGCAGCTCTTGGCCGTTCCTTGGCTATGTTCTCCCTTCTCTTTTTTTCACAAGAAGGAAATCACAAGGCGGAGCACACAAAGTCTATTTGTAACTCTATCCTCCCCTCATCTGAACTTGGCACCACCGCTTGGCAACCCCTCTGCTTTCTGGTACATGACCACTCCAAGCGCAGTCGCCCAAGCACAAGATCAGCGCTTCTGGCACCTGATAATTTTAATGGATTGATAATTCTGACATCTAGATAATCAGATTGGATATTAATTGATATACCAGGACCGTTGCCGCTTGCATACTTTTAGACAACGCGTCCACCTCGATCTTAAACAACCGGTCCGGCTGATTCGGTTAAATACGATAGCATCCTTCAACCGCACACTCGCTTGACATTGCCAACGTCACGGCTCGTCGCAACTGTCCAGTAGCATAAAATCCGATCTCAGACCGCCTACACTTTTATTCCGGGGCCAGATTTATTCTTTCGCATGCATTTGCGAGTCCCTTGAGCCATGTTTGGAGCACTACAATCGGCAGGTTATACGCGCTTACGGCCAGCGAACGAGAGAGGAGCGCAGTGCCTAACATGGTTTCAGCGCATTAGGGCGATTGTTATACTATTCGCCTCAAAAATATGGCGAGGAGGGCCTCGTTTTCTTCTTCAATTAACTGCCAGTATTTTGGCAATACTCTTGTTAGCAGGGCTGTTTCCGCAGCATATTCAGCATAACTACGCCAAAATTATAAACTGGACGCGCCCAGTGCCAGACGAGTTCGCTAACCTTCGAATCGTTGTGTTTGGTTCTCAAGATCTTTCTGGAAGCGGAATTTCAGCAGATGGAAGCAAATCACGGAAGTCATGGACAGAAGAGTTGTGCCAGCTGGTAAGTTTGGTAGTCGCAGCAGATGGTCATATTGACAAAGAATTGTACCGCTAACAAGTTACCCTTTAGATGGACTGCTCGATATACACTTCAGTCGTCCCATCTGCAAGCGTTGGTCCAGTACTCACTTCGAACGCAATATACGGCGGCCACTTGGCTGAGATTGCCAACGCCCACAAGGACGAGAATGTCGAAGAGCGGCCGTCTGCCGATATCGAATTTCTGTCGGAACACTACCCGAATAATTTCGAGATTCCCGATCTGGATGCGCAAATAGCCAGGTTTCTAACTATGCCTGCACCAGTCCCGGCGCCGAAACACACTCTGTGGATATTCTCGTTCGGAACATGGGACATTTGGAACCTGTCAGCCTTTTCCCGCAAAGCTGGCGAGGCCCAGATTGATATTATAGTCAATCATCTGTTTTCTCGCATAGAGCGCCTCTACATCCAGTCGTTAAACCCACAATCGCCTGCGTTTTCTGATTTCTGGTCCAATGCCACTTCGAATGACATTGGCAGACTCGCAAATCCAGACTCGGCTACCAAAGTAGACCCTCGGCAACTGGAAAACTTTCGAATCCTGATTCCTGAGCTGTTCGACATTACACTGACGCCCATTTGGGACATTCGACGCGATCCTCCATTCCCTCATACCAAAGGAGAGCAAATGCGCAATGCCGCTCATTTGACGATGTACTGGAACTCTAAAATGACCCATGAGCTCCAAAAATGGACTGAGAAAGGACAGCAGCGACCGGAAGGCGTCGAATCGGAGGCCATTGCGCAGATACTCCCTGGTAAAGCTGGCAGTCCTCCAGTCAAGTACTTACCACCTGGTGATAACTCGGCAGACGCAAAGGTGGTCTATGCGCCATATCCCAGACGCTCTGGTACTCAGTCACCATCCATTAAGACGATTCTCAGCATAATGACTGAGGAGGGCATGCAGCGCGCGGGCCTGCAAGATGCCAAGGGTCGGGGAGGCAAGCCTGCGACAGCGTCGATGCGATTCCCTGATGTATGGACGCCTTGCTTACCTGGAGGGCTGAATATGGATGGAATGAACTTTGGCACGAATGAGGAGTGCTCCATGCCCAACGACCACTTGTTTTATGACCGGTTCACAATGAACCAGAAGGCTATAGATAATGTGGCGGCCGAGGCTGCGAAGAAGGTTCGGGAAGATTTGTTCAAGTCTCGCTAGACCGTGGAGTCACACATGGGCTGCATGTTTGAATATGGTCAGCCTTGGAAGGCTGTGTACTCGGGGACATATACTCGGGTGTTGATCATTTGCATTGCGTGGCGTTTACCTGGGCTCGCTGGCTAAGACACGATGATCTTGGCTGCTTGAGTATTTTTTTGAGTAGATATACATGCATAGATTTATATGCGACATACGAGTTGTTTGAATTTACACTATTTTTCTTTTTGCCTATTTTTTGTCAATTATAATATGTCTAGCTACTGTAATCTAAACCAGGCTGTCGCCAAGCAACCTCCTACAGTGCACCTGGCAGTGTTTCATTCGCTAAAGGACCACTAAACGAAACAATCAACTCCTCCCCCACAAGTACGAGGCACCGTCGCCAAGGGCCGTTCCGCCTAACGGGTATTTAGGTTTCCCGCTTGAAACGGCTTGGAGTCATGCGATGAGCCACGCAACCTTGGCAATGACTGCCTGATGAACTAGAAAAAAATCTTCTCGTCCGTGTCATATTATTTAATAGCAAGAAGAGCATCACGGAGAAACCTTAAACTTTCCAAACTCACCGACCGTGAACACTAAACCGCCGACAGGGGCCTCCGCCTCCCATTAGCGATCTACAGCAGCCGAGCATGGTTACCTTGCAGCACTCCGCTATGCTACAGCACCTCAGCCGCCCCCCAGGTCGTGATCATCGGTGCGTGGCAGATGCAGGCCTTGCCTTTTAAGAAGCTAGCCACATGACTGGCTTCGCCCTGCGCTGGGAGAGGGGGCGTGCCCATCTTCAGCAAGCCCAGTGACCTCGCGATGGTGCTTTATTAACTCGTACTAATCCTACCACGCCTGCTGCTCCAGCTCCCGTTGCACGCGCAGCTTGTTCAGGCAACCAACCAGCCCTCCTCTGTGTATACTGACTGCCTCGCTATTACGTCGCGTGACACTCGCTTTCTCTGTTCAACTGACGCCTGGTTTTGCCTCGCCGATAGAGACGTCATACCACACACGCGTGCAACTACTCGCCTGCGTGCCTGTCTGCCTACATCCCTATACGACGTCAAGCAATATTTATTACTCGTCTAAAGAGTCGCCGGCGACTCACCCGCTAGCATCATGGCTAAAGATGAACCAGCACCAAACGTTCCAAACGCAGCAAAGCTCGCTCTCGACATGCAGATGCGAACGCGCAAAGAACACAACTTCTCCAAGGTCGAGGAAGATCTCCTCGACCCTCGTCCGATACAAACCAACACCCTAACCGTCAGCAGCTTGCGCAGTAAGCTCGGCTTCTTCAACCCGTTCGCCAAGAAGACGGTTTCTAGAGGAGATCTCGTCTGGCTCTTCGATAACACAGCATTCCGACATAGCCGCATGAGCTCATGGCAGGCCGAGTTTGTAACCGCCGTGTTTGAGAAGGAGAGTGCGAATAGACTCGTCGATTTGGCTGCTAGTATTGCGCGCATCGTGGGGCTGGCAGACGACGCGAAGGAGCGAGAAACTATCGAACAGCGGCTGCAGCCATTTGCCTGGGATATCCGGGTGGGAAGAAACGCCGTAATATCACAAGAAGGGTCCCGCAAGACTATCAAGTTGGGTGCAACGGGGTCAGAAGGCTGCTCTTCTGATGTTATCAACATTTCCAGTCATGGAAAGGGATCGTTTGTCAGAGCATCGGCTGTCGTAACTGGTGGCATCGAGGGCATTCTGGATATGCAGACGTATTACGCGGGCGAAGATGGCTGGGCAATAATTTCAGGTAGGTTGGTCAAGGAAGGATTTCAGACAACACATTGCTAATAATCGTCGGAACAGATATCGACGATACCATTAAAGTCACCATGACTAGTGATCCCATCGGGATCCTGAAAGAGACCTTCATCAACGAGCCTCGGCCGATTGACGGTATGCCCGAGTTATATACGCAGATCAAAGCGATGCTACCCAAGGATACCCCGTGGTTTTACCTTTCTGCATCGCCTTACACATTATATCCGTTCTTGAAAGAGTTCCGCAACAAGTTTTATCCCCCTGGTACAATGATCCTGAGAGACTCGAGCTGGCGGACAATTTCTGGACTGCTTGCATCTCTCACCATGGTCACGGAAGAATACAAAGTCGACCGCATGAAGAAGGTCAATTCTTGGCTTCCCAAGAAGAAGTTGATCGTCTTTGGTGACTCAACACAGTCCGATCCCGAAGCGTACGGAGAAATGTATGTATCCGCTTACAATATTTATATACTGTCCGCTCGTTTACTGACATGTCTGCAGCTACCGCACTTTCCCCGGCTGGATTAGCCTCATTTTCATCCGCAAAGCCACCGATGTGGCCATGTTTGGCATCGGTGAGAAGAATGATCCAGAACGATTTGAAAAGGCGTTTGAGGGGATCCCCGATGACGTGTGGCATGTCTTTGAAGACCCTAAAGACTGTGTTGCTACCATCAAGAACAAAGTTGGCAGTAAATGGGGGATTCCAGGTCTGTGATGGCAAGGTTGTCTACACACGTTCTTGATACCCACCAATTGGTGTGGCTGCTGCGCGCTCGTTGGTGTATATATTCTCGTCTTGTTTTGGATATAGAGCTCGTCTTGCGTTGAAAAGATATCCCTATCAGAGTAGTGTTTAATGAGTACTTATATTCTAGACTAATCACTGTACATTTAATCACAGGATGCACAAAGAGAGTTTTGTAATTTTTTTGTCATTTTAACCTTGGTCCTATCGCTGGTAGGAATCTAACCAACGACAGCTATATACATTCCGTCCAAAGGCCCAGGCGATGGGAGATCTTACAAGTAAGATACGCATCAACATGAGCAATCGAATGGAAAAGCTTCAAATGAAAAAAACATAAAGAAACCCTGCAAGGGGAAGCATGCCACAACTAGCTGAGTATGAATTGTCGCCAGTCAATGGGACGCACGTCCTTGTGTTGTTGAAATGTGAACTCCGAGCATGCTGGAAAAGAGAGGGGAAAGATTCCGGGAGGGGGAGAAGCGAGCCGCTAATCCGGAGGAGAAGGGGGGTGAGAAGGTTTCGAAATCCATAGCTGAGAGGGCGCAGCAGTCCTGCTGGTTCGAAGCAGAAGCATGGATTCCACATTATACAATGCTGCTCCGAAGCAGAGCGTGCTGCGCCCTTTGCAGTAAACTTTTGGTGGTGGCCGCTGGGGACCGCCAAGATGGTGGTTGGTTGCGGCAAAAAGTGAATTGCCTCTAGGAACATCGCCGTATTCCCTTTATTTGCTGTTGAAATAGTAATACCGTCCTCCGTTTGTTAAAAAAAAATCGTAAAACAAAAAAGTCGCGAGTTTGCCAGTGCTTGCACATACTCGCAAACGTTGCCAGCCACCCGTTTACGGCTCTTGACCACGTAGCGTCCAGTGTGAGGCGCAAGCAGCAACAAGAATCAGGCGGTTGAAGCAGACAACGTTTATTTAGCCGAGGAGAGCGGCACCGCCGGACTCAATGGCCTCGATCTCGGCCATGTCCATGGGAGCGCGACGGAAGCGGGCGGGGAGCTCAGAGATGTCGAAGAAGACGCCGGTGGCAGGCTCAATGGAGCCGAGCTGGGCACCAGAGGTGCCGCCAATGCCGCCAGCCGAGATGCGGATAGACTTCTGGAGAGGGCCGTGCTGCTGAGCGTGATCGCGGTAGGAGCTGAAGGAGCTGTGGGTGGAAGAGGCGGAAGCAAAGCCCTCGGGGAGCTTGCCGGTGGGAGAGGCAGGGTGAGGCTTAGGAGAGTGGTCGATGTTGGCTGAGCGAGAGAAGGGGCGATTGTTAGCCAAAGACGATTCCTATCCGACAATACACTATGCAGATCTAGGACAGGATGCTTACCGGGAATAGTGCGAGGGCCAATGAACTTGATCAAGGGAGTGCGGCTCTGGTGGGCAGCCTGTCGGAGGGCTCGGGTGGAGGAGAACATCGTAGCGGTTGGTTGTTTGGGGGGGTTTCGTTATCGACGTTTGCTTTGTTGTTGATAGGTAACGGGAGGTTGATGTCGAGATGAGACGAGACGGGCTAGGAATTGGACGAGATAAGGTAGAAAAGAAGAAGATGTGTGAGGGGGGTTGACGCTGGGTTTGGGGGTGGAGAGATAATATAAACTCGGAGCGTGAGAAAAAAAAAGAGCGAGCCACGGCAGAGCGGGACCCCCCAAAAGCGTAGTGTCCACAGCGCACGCGCAATGCTGCACGCGGCGTCCGGCGGGCGGAGACGGGGTTGGATCTTGCCTGAGGTTGCCGAATCGGCGCTGGACATTGGCGCCTGGCGGGTTAGCGTACAGTGGCTGCAGTACAAAGACATGGGCGACCCCCAAACAGGATGTGCCCGCTAAAAACACAGAAGGCTCGGTGCCTGCAGGGGCCGCTACGGCCAGCCAAGCTTTAGCGGCCGTTTATTACTCTCTGCCCCTACGGTTGTAGTGGAAATGCTGGCCCGAAGGTCGGAGGAGGCCACTGATAGCCGAGACTGGCCTATCTTTTCGCTACAGTACAGTAAATTACTGCGAAAAACGTATGACGACAGAGTCACCCGTTATTGTGCGCTGAATTGTTCGATTGTCTGCATCACATGTAACTACACTGGCATGTTATTTGCATATTCAATTTATTTTTTATTATTCCCAGCTTCTGTTATTATTTCACGCAATGCACGTCCGTCATGTCGTCCGGGCAGAACCGGAGCACCACCAGCTGCTAGTTTCGTGGTGGTTCCAGCGCCTCTCAGGATAAGACAATCTGCAAAGTGATGCCCAAAATTCCAGGGCATCCGCGCCTTGTCTGGGGCTGCCTTACTACCACTCTCTTATCTCTGCTGTCGCCGACCAATCACGGCGCAGCATCTGCTCTCCGCCTGGAGCTTCCCCATCTCACGCTTCACTCCGCAGCCAAGAAGCACGCAAGTAGAGAGTAATATTCTTACTAAAGAAACCCGCCCACCACGCAAAGAAAAGCCGTATGATGAGAGAAAAAAAGATGATCCGAGATGCCATCAGCAAGGAATCCCGTTCAAAACGTCGCTCTTCCCTAATAGAATTTCACAGTCACGCGCGGCCACTACCTAACAGTTGTTTATCCGAGATGAACCCTAACAAAAACTGCAGCACGCATACGCTTCTCTCGTTTTCTTATCTTTTGGCTTTTGACTTAGGTTTCGCTTTTAGCTCCCGTCTGTCCCGTCATTTGCCGCACGCCATTGCACACTTACATCTCCGATGGCCACCGCGCACCGGCCACCGGCCCCCCCTTGTCTCGCCTCTGCTCGCTATTTTTCCCCAGACGTGCGTTGTGGCCCTTGCTCTCTGAGACCTTGCATGTGCATCCCTAGCATGGCCTTGCACTCGCTCGTTTTCCTGGGGTAAATTATTTGGCATGTGTCGGCGAGATCTACCCGGGCTCTCCCGCTCATCCTTGCGCACGTCAGTGGCTTGGATAAGACAGGCCAGAACCGAGGGCAGCTGGACAAGTGGTAAGTTGATCAGACACCGTTACTCTACATAATGTAGCTGTATTAGTATGCCCGGACACTGCTCCCAGTCGAACCAATGCCACGCAAAATTACACCTTACACGCAAGGCCGGTCAGTGTCGAACACATGCAATTGAACACGATCCCACGAGCAACAACAATGATATAATGTACCCGGCTCTACGTAACTGTGATTTATTATCCCATTATGGAGAAAAGAAATACCCGCGTGTAGTATTATCAGGTTAAAACACTGTCTGGCTAGTTCCAGTCCACTCGATGACCATTATGGACAAAATAGTTGAAGACACCCCGGACCCGAGGCCCAAGAGACATGCAATCGCTCTCACACCACTTGAACATGATATTAAGCTCCAGCTTGGGTAACTTTTGCCTTGTATCTATCGCCCACGGATGGTCTTCATCAAACCTATCATGCTGCATACGTTTCGAGTCGTCGTTGGGAGCCCCGGTTGTCCTAGGCAGCCAAACAGTATCCAGCGTTTCCGGGGATTCGGCAACTCGACGTTCGTGCCGCCATCTCTGTGCGAAGAGCAGCCATCTTGCGCAGCTCGTCCAGTATTCCACATCGTATTGAAACTGCGAGCTCAGAAGATACTCAAACTCATATTCAGCCCTGTAGTCTCTTCTCCGCAACCCGCACACATCCAATAGAGACTGGTACTTAAGCAGCGCTTCCCTGTCGTTGTACGGAACCAGTTGCACCGGTGCATCACCAAGGAAGCCAAATAAGCCGCTTTGGAGTATTTCCGGGCGATGGGCGTGGATGTGCACAACCTTAAAGACAGCCGCAATTACTTGGTTGTCTGGAATCCACCGACTCAAGTCGTAGGTATAGTCTTCTGCCCTAACCGCCAACATGCCGCGTGTGTCCGTAATTATCCGTGGATTAAGCTCTATCTTCGTGTCGTAGCCTGCGGGGAATGGACAAAGTCGCTCGGCAGGCACGGAAATACGCATGCGCTTTACTACAGCCTCCGCCAAAAGGGAATGAAGTTCGGGACACATTGTATCGCTCCAGTGTAGGCCGCGGCTAATGCAAGGTTTCCTCCAGGCCAGATGAACAGTATCAAGATTCGGCTGTATCCATTCCTCCCATGTTGTCCCGGCCCCCACAAGACGAACCTTTCGCCCATACCGCAAGGCAACATCTCGCGCTTCCGTATTGATTGAAAGGAGAGCAGGCTTTGTAGTTTTTGGATGGCCCGGGGACCAAACTTCGTTTTGACTCTTTTCCGGCATCAAATTGCTGCATACCTCTCTATTCGTTGCCAAAACTGTTTTGGACACGCAGTACTCCCAGACCATGATACGGATTTCAGCAGGAAACCGCGCAAACTGAGGAAAGCCCTCTTCGATAGGTGTCGTGGTATTCATTGTAAATGTGTGTGGTGATTTGTTTAGTCTATAGGAATCTGAGTGGCATCTTACCTGGGCTCGAGCTTCATATATACTGTGGTGACAGAAACTCTAATGAACAGAAAAATTTGTATTATACTTCACCATACTCCTACCATATTCAAATCTAGCTTTTTATATACAGTTACATTACATGAATGGAGCTTAAATATGCACCAAATAAGGTTAAGAAAGACAAATTGAAAAGAAATAATCAGAAATCTCGTTGCAGCACAAGGTCTTAGCGAGAGTAGCGACGGTAGTAGTCGTAGCTGCTCCTCATACGCGCAATCTGGCCTGGAGTAAACTCGCTCTTGCAGTTGCTAATAAAAACCGTTAGTTGATTTGAATTACAAAGGTGCAGTGAAAGGTCTTACTCGTCGGAATAGTCCATGTGGTTGTAGACAGGGTCCGGGCCGAGCTGGCCAGGGCAGCTGCGACGTCCTTCCTGGCAGCCATACGCAGGGCTGGCTTCAGCGGGAGTATCGTCGACATAGTCACCAGGGCCGCTGCAGTCATTTCCATAAAAGGTGTGAATAAGGTTGTTCCAGTGACCAACCTCATGAACCGTAATCTTGCCAGTGGTGTAGGTGGTGCTTCCGCTTGGAGAAACACCACCTGGAGCAGTCCAGGCGCTCATAACACAACCATCATAGTAGAAGGCATCGGTACCGGTATATGTAGTAACAGGGTATTGACAAAACCCTGTATTTCCATTGCCAATGTTGGTGATGTAGTAGAGATTCAGGCTGCGGTAGTTGCCCCTGCGAAGCCTCCTCTTCATGCCAAGTTGGTCCCCGTTGTAGGCCCAGTTAGAGTTGACAGTCCAGTCAGTCTTTTTGAGTGTGTACTGGAAGCCAGTGTCGGCAAACCATTCGTTCAGAATGCTAATTTGTTCATTAACGGTGTCTCGCTGTGATTTTGTTAGTTTGTTACCCGGGAAACCCCGCGGCAACGTACAGAAAGGTAGCCATCGCTGGCACGGGTAGAGGCAGCCACAACATGAACATAGGTATCAATGTTGATGGTATCTCTGGTCACTAGAGGGTTTGTTGTATTGGCGGCAGTGGCCTCAATACCTGCCAGTTCTGCATGAGTATTTTTTTGCATGTCACTGGGCGGCTCAGTCAAGCAGGACATTCTGGTAGGCGGGATGATAGCCATGACAGTGCCTGTCAGGCTGAGAAGAGTCGAGATCGAGACTTGCATCGTATACAAAAAACGTTAAAATATTTGTTGTCCGAGTTCTGTGTTGAAAGTGATAATGAAGCAGTTCATGTTGCCAGATTGCGGCCACTCGTCGATTTATACACGTTGGGCTGGTAGGGCTCCATGCTACCAATCCGACGTAACCTTCACTGATTCCCGTCGAACTACGAAAACCATCCCGTGTTTTCCGATATGAACAGTTCTACCTGCATATAAGGTCACATCTGTGAGTGGAAGGATACGAAACACCATGTGGCTTTAGACCAGTACCTCTGTCGCCCCTTAGACGACGTTCTTCGTCGAGTGAGATCCGCGCCAAACACTAGGGCTCCAGGTGGTATCTGCCCTTAAGACTGTAACATACCATAGATCGTATGAGAAAACTTTGTGAAACAATGTGATGAGGTCTAGATTTTGTTTGCGTGTAGTCAATTTCGTCGAGCGTGGAGCATGGCATGATGTCTTGATCTTTCGTCGCCAGACTTAGTCTCAAAGAGACGACGACCGTAAACGTCACAATCCACCGATCTAATGTTTCCAATCCCCTTTCGTGAATCAGATTTCGAACCTTAAACAATAGCCATCTTTATTTTGGGGTGGTCACTGGCTTGGAAATGTTGTTTCTTTGATTGGTCAGAGACGATTACTCCGCGCGTGGCAATGCAAAATGGCGTCTATATTTCAATTTATTTCAACAAAGACATCCATATTCCTGATAGTAGCTAATCATTAGTCCTCTTCTATAATATAAACGGCGGCTTTCGACTAAACAGATTCCTGGTGATTCTTTGCCTGTCTGAAACAAGAATGATCTGGTGCTATATTGACTTAACAGGGCCAGGCATGGTCGTCATTGGCGTTGTATAAATTCAAATCCCCGTTTTGACCAGGCACATGCTTCGTTTTTCTGGTGTTCATGCATGAGCAAAATCCAGTTCGGCAAAATTTGAGAGTATCTTTGGGGTATATAAAGAGGTCGGCGTCGCCCTTGGGGGTACTGCATTTGGCGTGGGCTGTGGCAATGTCATTGCCGTTGGTATGGCAGTCGCTGCTAGTCGCGCAGTAAACACTTCCTAGGACATCATCTGACGGTAGGAAATCAACAGTGCATTTGCCGTTAACAGTCTCAACGCCAACGTTGACGCTGAAACGAGCTGTAACGAGCTGAGTAAAGGCTGTGAGGAGAAAGAACTGATACTTCATTGTGAATAGATTTGGCCAGTGATGAAGAACTAGATCTGAGCCTCCAATAGGAAGTTTTCACTGTATTTATACTTTTTTATTTGGTTAGGAACTCTTTTGCGGCATGATTGGTGCATTTTTCTGTATTCCCGATTTGGGCAAGCCAAAGCGAAAGTTCGTATCCCATGCGATAGTAAAATCTGACTAGTGCAGGGGTTTTACATTAGATGCCGATGAACTCTGAGATCGGATAATAGCACACAAATCACGTTACATGTTCTTGGTCGGAACGCCACCTGGCTTTTGCTGTGTGGCATTAACAAATGGTGTTGTTACTGCTGAATTATGTGGTATCGTGAGAGGCGGGGGGCGACACAAGCCAACTGTCTAGTTGAATCTGCCAGCTGTTGCCAGCTGCTGCCAGGTGCGTCGCCAATTAGCCATTATCTGCTATGGCTTTCACCTTATTATCTTGCCTAGTTAGATGTAAATATATCCTTCTCTTTAAAAATTCACCCCTTCATTCTCATTCAATACCATCGATAACATTATGCACGAGATCACATCTAGATCTGACTACTTGAGAAGACGCCCTTTGCTACGCTACGCATCACAATTTATTTAAAGAGCACAGCACGGATAATCATCGAAGAGGTACAAAACTTCAAAAGACATTTCGTCTACTCTGCTTCACACCCTATCGATGTATCTCACCGCTCTGAGTCTAGCAGCACAACGTTTGCCCTAATTTGATTCGCAGACCTGCACGTAAGGCGGCGCGATATTCAGCCGTCACCCACAGCTTGCCTCTACTTCTATTTCTCTTCTATGGACTGGCAGGGCACCATTTCTATTGAATTTTCTTGTATGAGCGGTACAGAAGAAAGCCTCTCAGAGCAGAATAAATCCTTTATGATATTAAAAACCAATGCATCAAGTTCACGATGGTATTTTCTAGTGGTTTCAGCCGCATGATACCCCTGAACATTCGTGGAGACGATGTTCAGCCTTAAAATTCTGCGTATTCCCGCGGTCCCCTCGATTGAAAATTCGATGAAATTTCACAGCAGCAACTAAAAATCACAGCCAGAAATTACCCTTGTGTGGTGCTTATCATCATGAAAGGCGACGAGCTTCGCGCGCTGTCCTTGGCAAGCGACCTGGAGGCTGAGCCAAGCATGGTGCAAAACTATTATGGCGTTTTCCCAAACAGCTTCACGATCCACCTCGTGCACGTCGATCATGAAGATATCTACGGACTATATCATCTGCGCGACGAGAATGGGTATACATTTCAAGCGTTCAAAGCATATCACTTCAACAACAAGCGAGCCATCACTCTTTACACCACGCCCCAGCTAGACTCTCCCATCCTGGCAACCATTAACAAGAACAAGGCGGGAGATTTCCTAGCAAAACGATCACTTACGCTGCCATCGCCGCCAAGCCAGCCCTCGACAGAGCCGCTTGTCTTACCAGTCTATCATGTTGCGGACGAGTACCAGTTTGAGGTCCCGGCGCCTACATTCGACAGCCCAGACCACGTGGAAAAGTATGATTGGCAAGAGGTGAAAAAGACACCGAATCCACGACCCAGACAGCTCTTCCGCGTTGCAGATAATGAGGTCATGTGTCGTGTCTCGCCAATGCTGCAGCCACAATCCAAGGTCATCAAGGACAACGATACCTTGCGCGCCACCGTTGCTTTTGAGGGCAAGGGCCTCACAGAGCTAGATGACTACGCCAGGTTGGCGATTGTTCTAGGCGCTTTGGATCTCTGCCACAAGGCTGCCAAGTACAGACTCATCTTTGCGAGCAAATGGAGCGGGCCTGGGAAGGATGTTGAGAAGCGAGCCAAGCACATGAAGAACACAAAAGATAAGATTGGTTCAGCCGCTGGCAAAGCTGGGGCTATCGTTGGCTTTATTGCAAATTTTGTGTAGCGCTTGGGACCAAAGAATTTGAAATATCTCTTATTTCTGGAATCATATTTTCGACAATTCAACAAAGAAGGACAGATGTCTTATTCTGTTGGTGCGCTGCAGGGTAGGGTTGGTATCAAACCTTATCGGCCAGGATCGCATCGATCTCGAGGTCACCCTTGCAGATGGAAAAGCGTCATTAGTAACAGCATATTCACCATAATATCATAATACGTGGCGTAAATTAATATCAGACTGCACACTATTTTTTCATTTCTTCATAGTAACATTGTGTTGGAGCATCAAATTGCAAATTACCGCACTGCCTACAACCACACTTCGCGAACATAACTGGTGTTTGGGCTCACTAAAACACTACTTTTCTCTTCACTATGAGGCATTAGAAACAACACTACCCGATCTATGCATTAATGGCTCCGCTTGCGACCCTGCACAAAAGCACAGCCTCATAAAGTCAATAACGCAGGGTGTGTTGAAACACCACGCAATCACAATGCATTGTACCCAGAGACTCGAAAAGGCTTGGGGACCCCACGACTACTGCAACGCTGGTGATCGGTGCCAAAGAACCTCGTGGGCTGTAACGCGGTCTCGCCTCACAGACGGCGCACAGGTGCATGCAGCGGCGCAAACCTCGTCGTCAAAAGCCAAAATCGGCATCATGGGCTAAAGGAGATGCAGAGGGATTTTCTCAACAGCCGGCTGGGCGTGCTTGTGGCGAGAGCATCTGCCATAAAAATGCTTGGCCCGCATAGAGCCGACGAGAAGCGCTACTCTGGAGATGGATGGGCTCGCTTGGGTGCGGATTTTCTGGGGTAAATGGGGCAAACAGTTGACAACTAGTGGGCTTTCCCCAGGATATCGTTTTTACTCCAGGCGTTGAGGCTTTTGACTCCGCTCCTACTAGATCCTTCTGCGCCGGGTCTTTTGCTGGTTTCTTGTCAGTTTCGTTTATACGCAGAAAAACATCCCGCTAGTTCCCCGGATTCCGGTGCGCGGATGCAGCCACTTGGGGGGGCAGTTCTCTCAGATTCAGGTTGGGAGAAGCTGCTCCGTCTCCAACGGCATAGCGCGGCGGGCAACGCCAACAAAACAAAGTTAGACCGAGGCGGGCAATTAGTTGCATGGCGGAACAGCCAACAGTTGGCTTGCGACGGTTTGGTTGGACGCCACGCCGCAAGCCATTCAATCACAGCGGAATGAGAGGGTGGGCGTCTAACAGGCAGAGAAGCACACTAGCGACAGTGCGGATGCGCGTGAGCGCGTAGTGCATGTAACCCCAAGTCCAATTAGGCATCGTGCAAGGGCGTGGCTCCAGTGCCAACGAGCCCGTTTGCTGTAGAATACGACTCTGCAACTGGGGTCTTGTAGCCTTGCCGGCTGCACATCCTAAATTCAGAATGCCAAAACAAGTATCCTATGCGTGTGTGATGTTGTCTGTACATGGAACGGAGCCTCAAAGGGGCGGACGCCTTCCATGGCGTTAGGAACCAGATTGTGCGTGGCACTATTCACTTGGCTGTAAAATTAGAAATAGAAACTCTTGGTTAACAGAGATCCGTCGTAGCTTGGCTGCCTCCCAAGCTTGGCTGCTTGGCGGGTTCTCTGTCTACACTGGTGCAATGGCAAATAGGGGATCCCCGACCAATATTCACAAGAGAGGGAACGTTAGTTCTCAAATGCGCTCAGGGTGGTACAGTAATGGACACTTCGGTAATTACCCTTAAGTTGCGCTGGGCAGAGCCAGTATCCGTCGGTGCGGGTAGTTTGCCATACCACAAGGAGTCGTTTACCCACCAACTCACCGTATTTCGCCCGTGGAAAGACTGATTTCTATTTCCATAGTTGCTTACTGTGGTTCAATGCGGCGCCATTATCCGACAGTTGGGGCGTCTCGGAAAGCTGTCAGTGTTGCCTTTAACCCGAAAGCCACGATATGTCCGCGTGAGCAACAACGTCAAATATCGCGCCGGAAGATGCCTGATGAACCAATCAGTTCTAGCCTCTTTAGTTTAAGTCGTCAACAAACTATGATTGGTGATTTGACTACGGGCCTCATCCGAGTTCCGTGAGCCGCCTCTTCCTGGCCACCTGTAGTTCGTCCTGCGGCAGCCAACGACGCCACGCATTCAAGTACGCGAGGGCTTGGTTGGCTTCCAGAAGGCGCCGAAGGCTTCGACAGGTGTGCTCAGCTACAGCCAGGCCAGAAAGGCGTTTCTTCTAGAATGTCAGAAGCAGTCTCATTCCGTGCCATTTCCGACAGCCATCCAGCGCCTAACACTTGATCCCGCTCAGTAAGTAGGGAAGCCAGGACGACTACGCTTATGTTGAAAATAACAAAAAATCGCTCTGTCCCCTGGGAAACCTCGCGATCGACCAGGGCGACGCGAAAGTGAGCGATGGAGTCGTATGGGACACCTCTTCTGTAGTTAATTTGGAACTGGACGTTGGCATCTGCATCTCGCCCCTTCCACGACAGCTTTGAGGTTAAAAACGCCACTCGGTAGAGGTGAAAATTTTGAATAACCGCGCATTTATCGATGAACCGTGCTCGCCAGTGCGCCTCCTTTCATTTAGGCAGCATGGAATTCAATCTCGAGACCCTAGAATATCCGGGCGCGACGGGCAGGTAGAAGATTTGCCATGCGGACCAGTTTTTAAATTGGGTGCCCTTCAAGCCATGTTTACTCATAGCAACGACATGCTGAGCTGGATGTGGCTTTGTAGAGCCCGGAGCAAATTGACAGCGAATTGACCGCCCTTAACCTGGTTCCAAAGTCAATGGCAGACTTAAGCGGGCGTAGTTTTGCCCACCCAACGTTCGTAGAACAGGACAGGCCCAACATGGCATCATAACCTCGATACTACTTGGACACGGGCTATGCACAAGAAGTGCCTGGCACGACTATAGACAACCGTTGCCGTGGATAAGCGCCTAGTTATAGACCTTATTTACCTGGAACAGCAGCCGTCATGCACAAACTGTTGTCGATATCGTACCACCTATCCATGCACGGCTATCTGACCACAAAAACGGCGGGCGCTATCTGTGGCTAACTTGGGATGCACACCCTAGAACAACACGATATAGCATTCATAGCTAGCAAGCCCGCTGTCTGCCCGGGTACAGTAAACCAACAAATTGCCTCCCCCCTACCACTTGTGCCCTCTTGAGTTGGCTCTGGGGTGTGTAAAATCCGCGCGCTAACGTTGGAAAACCTGCTAGAGGCTGAATAGCACCTGACACTGGTGGGTTGCTGGTGAACCGCCACGCTACTGATGTACATAGGAGTCTCTCGTGGTGTGGAGCATCCAGACTCCTGGCGGCGGCCCAAACCCTCTTTTCGAGGCTGGACTTGGAGGGTCGACGGGGCAGTGGTCACTGCATGATAGCGGTAGTAGGCCCGCCCAGATAGCTTTTTTATTTCGTTTGTTCTGCCGCGGTTCTGGGGGTCGCGCGACACTATCGCTTCCTGTCATCGCATGTGGCTGGCTCCCCCAGAATCAAGTGTCGTTTTCGGAGTTTCTTAGAATGCGTTTTGGTGTCGGGGCTGCCGGCGCCTGCGTGGCTCGCCTGTGGTGTCGCCACCATCCACAAAGACTATCTTCTTTTCAGGCTGTCGGTAGTCTCACAACGGCGTGTGGCTGGCCATCCGTGGCAAGCTAGCCCGTACTATGTGTTGCATGCGCCAGCGGAACTTACGCCCCCCAAAAAGAAATAGACCAGCTTGTTACTTGCGGAAGGTTGCCAGGATGGGCGCGCGAAAAAAGGGTACCCAGCAGTGTTGATCAACGGTCCGAAGCAGCTGGAGCAGCACCACTGGTTGCAGTAACCGAAACGCAGCATGCATTGGCCCTTTGTCCCTGTTGTCGATATCTCTTGGTCGCAAAGGATTATTGCAAGGGGGACCCCCGCAAGCCGTGCAAGTGGAGGCCAAAGTACATGCCCCCTGGACTGCAAGGGTGGAAGCCACCCAATGCGGTGCCGCGCTTTGCTAAGGTTGGGATTGTTCTGCGGAGGCCTGGAAACGCTTCTCTGGCTAAGCATGTGGGAGTGGCTCCGCAAACGATGTACAATGTAACTCACTGGAGCCTATCCATCCAGACCAGTGGGAGGGTCGTGGATCCCGCCTGTGTCTTGACAGCTCGGCGCATGCCCACTTCGCGCGGTGACGATTCATTGTGTGAGACGAAGTCAGGCCAGATATAGAACGGTAGTGGTGGTGCAGGTCAAAGAGGCGCCTGTATCGTTGGAGGCGCCCCTGGGGAAACACAGATAGGCTCAACGCACTACAGCGTGATTAGGCAGGTCGGCGGTCGGCTGGCTGCGACGCATGAGGAGACGAGACGGGGGAAAAGCCTCACGGCGGTCGGTAGCTGGTAGCCTCGAGTCGGGGGCATCTATGCCTCCCTTTGGACCACGGCGCGCGTGGTGAAGGGCCCCGAATAGTCTGCTTACCCGCAATTGTAAGGCAAGCCTCAGGAGACGCACGCTTCTGCCAAGAATCCAGGCGTTATGCACGACAGAACCAAACGTAACCAAACCCAAGTACAGCTGCCTCTTCCTATAGCAAACGACACCCCCTAGAAACCAAGACTCGCCCACTAACAGGGCGAAGTCCACCCCGTGTGGGTAAAAGATGTGCAGTGGAGATTGGGGAAAGCTGGGGCTCTGGAAGATAAAGACGCTTCTGCTGCGTGTTCGTTTGCTGCAACTTCCCCTCCCCCGCTCCTCGCAGCGCTGTCGTCCCCAATTTTCGTTGTCCGCTATGCAGCCTGTGCCCTCGGGCGCACGCCCCAAGACCCATCCTGGGCAAGCCACCTAAACGCCATCACGGCCCATATTCCCCAGCGCTTCGTTCTCCCCAACCTGTAAGACGCTTAGTGCTATTGGCCTTGCGCAACGCCACCGTTTCCCTTTTGCGCAAGTCCCATGCCCCTCACACCTCCAAATCCCCAGCTAGGCATGACTGTCCGGACCAGTTGCTGAATCCCAGAGAGGGGGGCGATTCAGCAGCAGTGTGACCAACGCTTGGCTGCCTTTTCCCAGTAGCTTCCCATGCATAAATGACCGCATGCCGTCCAACTGTAAGGTCGCTCCTTTCTTCTTAAATTCCAGCTTTTCCCCCAGACCCAAAAGTCGGAGATCGCCCTTCTAATTCCCCTTCTTTCTGGTTGTTGACTCCCAATTTCCATTTCCACTCTCCTTCAATCTTGTCTCTCCAGACCATTTCCCCTCTTCCTTCCTATTGTTGGCCAACGTGAGAATCGCACTTTGCCACAATGTCGAAAGACGGTGACATTACTCCCGAGAAGGGAAGTCATGTTGTTGACTATGAAAAGGCCGGCACCACGCAGGTCCTTACCAGCCAGGAGGAAGTCCAGCGTGACAGCAACTTCTGGACCAGAAACGGTCTGAATGCTGAGTCTTTCAAGAAGCGCCATTATGGCCTCGGTATTGTCGAGCTCGAGCGCCCGATGAAGCCTCGCCATCTCCACATGATTGCCATTGGTGGTTCAATTGGTGCTGGTTTCTTCGTCGGTTCGGGCAAAGCCTTTGTCAATGGTGTAAGTTGCTCTCAATCCCCCTTCTCGGCTCGTTGTTGGATGCTCGCAAACAGTTGCTAATGAGCTTTGATCTGTAGGGTCCCGCTAGTGTCTTCATCGATTTCCTCATCATTGGTATCATGATCTTCAACGTCGGTAAGTTCTCGTTCGACCGTCTCTCTCCCGTCCTGGGTCGGTGAAGACTAATGAAATGTCTCATAGTCTACGCTCTCGGTGAGCTCGCTGTTATGTACCCGGTCTCTGGTGGTTTCTATACCTATTCAACTCGTTTCATCGATCCTTCTTGGGGCTTTGCCATGGGCTGGAACTATGTCTTCCAATGGGCCATTGTCCTTCCACTTGAACTGACAGTCTGCTCGCTCACGCTGCAATATTGGTCACCCGAAACATCGCCTGCGGTTTGGATCAGCATGTTCATGGTCCTCATCATCATCATCAACATTTTTGGTGTTCTTGGCTATGCTGAGGAAGAGTTTTGGGCTTCGTGCTTCAAGCTTGCTGCCACTGTCATCTTCATGATCATCGCTTTCGTCTTGGTTCTTGGTGGTGGCCCAAAGGGTAGCCCGTACGACCACTATATCGGAGCTTCCAACTGGTATCCCAACGCTTTCCGCAACGGCTTCAAGGGCTTCTGCTCCGTTTTCGTCACTGCTGCCTTCTCTTTCTCTGGTACTGAGTTGGTTGGTCTGGCTGCTGCCGAGGCCAAGAACCCTGTCAAGTCTCTGCCTGGTGCCATCAAGCAGGTGTTCTGGCGTATCACTCTGTTCTACATTCTCGGTCTCACTTTCGTTGGCTTTTTGATCAACGCTGGCGACGAACGTCTGCTCGGTGGTGACAGCCCGCAGGACTATGTTAAGGCTTCTCCTTTCGTCCTCGTCGGCTACTACGCCAACCTCAAGGGCTTCGATTCCTTCATGAACCTCGTCATTCTTGTCTCAGTCCTTTCCATTGGTGTTTCTGGTGTCTATGGTGGTTCACGTACTCTCACTGCCTTGGCTCAGCAGGGTTACGCCCCCAAGCTTTTCACCTACATCGACAAGTCTGGTCGCCCTCTTCCCTCTGTCATCGCCATCATCGCGTTCGCGCCTTTGGCCTACCTCACTCTTGCTAGCTCTGGTAGCGTCGTTTTCGATTGGCTTTCGGCCCTCTCTGGTTTGGCTGCTTTGTTCACCTGGGGTTCCATCTGCCTCGCTCACATCCGATTCCGCGCTGCCTGGAAGCACCACGGCCACACTCTCGATGAGATTCCCTTCAGAGCTGCTGGTGGTGTCTGGGGCTCGTGGTTCGGTATCTTCCTCATTGTCATTGTCCTCATGGCTCAGGTATGTAGTTTTATCGTCAAGCTCATTCGTAACCCTGCTAACTGTAGTGTTTTCACAGTTCTACACCGCCGTCGCCGCTCCTATTGGCAAGAGTGGCCTAGGTACTGCCGAAAGCTTCTTCAAGAGCTACCTCGCCATCTTCGTCGTCGCCCTGTTCTGGGTTATCGGATATCTCTGGAAGCGTGAGGGCTGGATGTCGGTCGACAAGATCGATGTTGATACCGGCCGCCGTGAGCTCGATGTCGAGGCTATTCGCCAATACCACCAGGAGGTTGCCAACTACTCGACGTTCAAGCGCGTCCTTCACTTCCTTTTCTAAGCGTTGAGTGTGATTTCTCTCGGGGTCGTCCGGAATCGTGTTGGAGGGTTAATCTCAAGTAGTGAGATTTCGTTTGGTTGTTTATATTCGCTACTACTGTAAAGTATTAACATTTAAGATACCACAATTTGATACACATGAAACTGAAGATTCACGAACTCGGTATTGCTAAACATGTCGTCTTGTAAGCTTCAATTTTGTGGCCCTTACGTATTTTTTTGCACAGAGATGCTTGGCCAGTTTTATTGCACACACGCAAATTAAGGACTTTGTCATCTACGCCTTTCGTATAACATTTTGACATGCTCCATCAGCTGTGTGGAGAAGAGGCTTGGACATCTGGCTCCTCGGATAAGCAAACCGACAGGGCACGTGAACTGACAGATGGCAATTACATTCCACGCACTGCCAGAAACTGGCAGAAAAGGCCCAATTATGTGACTGTTGTAATTTAATAAGCTTTTTATTCTAAAACGCCCTCCCGCATTGGCATTATTTGCGGTTGCTAGAAATGTGATCGTTGACATCCTCTACAACCGTTCGCGCCATCTTCTTCAGCAGCATGCGCTCATCTGCTTCTCTATATCTGTCCCAAGAGTCTAATCCTTCTGATGCCTGAATACTAAGAGTCTCATAACCTTGCTTGATGACTTCCGTCACTTGGCCTGCCGTCAAGCTGCTCTTCTTTTTAGTTGCCGATTTCCCATGGTCAGCCAGGAGTTGTTCATAATGCGTGCTGACATTGATCAGTGTATCAATGGAGCTGCTTCCTTTTTTGCTCAGCCCATAGTTCTCTTTGAACTTGCTGAGAATGTCTCCAGATTCCACCACCTTGTAAAACAGGTCGTCGTATGCAGCCGGTGTCGGGAGAAATCCTTCTCCCGCAGAGAGTGACAAGGCAATAAGATTTACGACGTGGTCCACTAAAGTGTCAATATGTTCGAGATCTTTCAAGTCGGATGTATATGTCGTGAGGAATCGTACGAGCGAGAGTAGGGATCGGAAGAATTCGTGCCAGTGATATGTCAGACGTGTGTTGGAGCGCGAGAGATACGAGATGGCTCGCAGCAAAATTCCGAGACACAGCGTGTACAGGTTAACATCCAGTTTCTTCTTCAGATTATGGTTGATGCCATCAATCATGATGTCCAGAACGGCGCAGATCGTAGGTCGCTCCAGTTTTGCTAGAGGTAGGAATGGAGCACGGTGTCTGCAGAGACGGACAGTCATCTTGGACTCGTCGCTCGAGATGCGTTTGCAAATGGCGTTATCTTCGATGAGTAGCCTCAAAACCATGAGATTAAGATGGGCGTAATATGTAGATCGATGTGACAAGTAGGCGTGTTGGAGGAGATAGGATGTCAGCGACAGGTAGCTAGAGACAGGCTGTTCAATGTCCTTCTCAGGCGAAATCGAAAACAGCGTAAAGCAGAACAGCTTATTGGCGTGCGAAAAGTCGTACATGGCCAGCAAAACAGCTGCGCTTTTTCCGGGCCTACGAATGTTAGAAGACTAGCTTGCTGAGCCATTGGGGGATCCTTACAGTTGTGTGAATAGTTGCTTCGCAGTTTCAGCATCATAGACAGGTTTCTTATCAACCTTGCCACCAGGGGCAATGGCACCTAGTCCAATCATATTAAGAGTAGAGCTTATTGTCCATGATTCGGGCAAATCGTCTTGGACAGCAACGTACTCGTCTCGCGCCTTTGCGCAAATGAGACCAATAGATCGTATGACGGTTCGGATTGTAGGCTCGTTGACGAAGTCGTTTAGTCGTAACTGGTACGGGTTCTGGAATTCGAATTTGTTATAGTTTGCGAGAAGACTAATAAGCACGACTGGCTGAAAGACGTTTTCCCAGGACTCTGATTCCTGAATCAGCTACGACAGGCTTAGTCCAATTTCCATGGTGTCAGTTGCAATAATCGTACCTTCATAATGGAAGGAAACAAGTCTCTCTGAATCATATATGTCAACAAGGTTGTTTGGTATGCTCCCGCCATCAGAGCTAGGAGCACTTCAACGGCCTTGTATCGAACTTCCACTGTGGCTGTTAGCAACATTGCTCTCGTGCCTGGCGCTAGAGTGACTTGCGTGTTGACCCAGAGCGAATAATATTTTCTAAAATCCCGATAAATTTCGTGAATACCGTATCGATGTGATCTATTCCGGCAAGAAGGCTGATAATGGCAGAACTGGGATGCGTATATCGTTTCGAAAGCACGCACGCGAGAAAAACAGTTAGGGTCTATTCGGTCGTCAGCATCGTCGTCGGCGTCGTCTGTCAGGAACAGCCAAAGGGTGGGAAGCCCTACGTCGAGTGCATTTAGTTTCGCAGATTCCACTCCGTGGCTCAAAGTCTCTATCGAATGGCTGAATAATTCTCGAGAGCGGGCTTCAAAGGCTAGCATCTCTGCCGCCGGAATGGCTTGCAGGGTCTTCTTCAACGCTTCTCGATCAGGGTTAAGGAGGAAGAACTCTCTCCAAAACCCTTCGGACTTTTCAAAATCTTCTTCATCATCCTGTATTTATTTCGGTGGTCAGGGGCTGTACGGGGCGGCGGCGTATTCGGTCCAACATATTCACCTGGAGATGGTGGTTAGCAACGAAAGGGGCGGTGTTCGCTCGATCTAGGCGCCTACCTTGAATAATTCAGTATACAATTGGTGTATTTTTGGAGTGAGCACCTCAGGCTGAGCCAGCCTCGTGAGGGGAGACGCTTCCATCACTACTATGCAGCGTCTACAACTACGGACAGTAGCAAAAGAGTCTACGTTGGTGGGACGTTGTCGCTGGGCGGCGACAGTGCAAAGTCACTCTATGGTGGGGTTGCGAGAGCGGGCGCACAGTGCCACCACAGCGACTCGGCGCGATAAGACAACGGCATCATTATTCGACGCAAGCCATAGTGTGGCACATGCAAACACTTCGACAAGCAGGAGGCACCAAAACTCGATAAGATTTGAAATATATGTAAATAAGAACTCAACTGTTTACGGCTGTAGGGAGTATCGCCAATTAAAATAATAAACCAAAAACAACTTTGACCCGCTGTTTAAATACAAGCATTATACAACAACGTCAAGCATTCCATCCTTTAAGCAACAGGCTTCTCGCTGAAAGCAACGACGTCTTCGGCGGTCTCGTCGACGTGCTGGAGATCCTCCGCAAGAGTGACGTGGTCCTGGATCTTGAAGAGAATGAGAGGGGCGCCAATGACGAGAGAAACAGCGAGGAGGCCCCATGTAACGTAAAACATGGTAGTATACTCGAGCTTAGCAGTATCGAGAGCGAAGAAGACGGCGGCACCAGCAGATTGAATACCCTTGTAGAAGCCTATGGAACGTTAATAATGAGAAAATGAGAAAATATACAAGTATGACTTACCAGCAAGGTTGGCAGCAGTACGGCCAGAGTTGGACAGAGCACCCATGTACCAGTAAATGGTGGTTTGCCAGATGGCATCATAGAAGCCGTAGAAGAAGTAAAGGAACATGGGACCAATGAAGCGAGCGTTGGTCCAGTCAATGCGGTTGTCCTTAATCCACTGTTTGTCCTCAGAGGTGGTGTAACGATCAGGAGAGTCCTTCTGGAAAGCATAGCCACCACCCCAGATGACGAAAGTGAGGATGAAGAGGACAACAAAAGAGGCACGGGCTCGAGTGCTACGCTTGAATCGGGGGCTATCAAGGGCGTAACCGTTGATCATGGCACCAATAATCTGGGCGAGCCAGTAAAGGAGACCGTTCAAAGAGCGGCCACGGAAGTTGAAGTGCTGGCCGTTGAAACCGTTGGGCTGGTAGGTGTAGAAGCTGTTGGAGGCGAAGAACATGGGGAACAGGAGAATGACAGCGGGGTAGGTCTTGAGGGTCTCCCATAGGCCGAAGATTTCAGTCTGCCATGTAGGGTTCTTCATCATGATGACCTTGGATCCATCGTCACGAATGACCTGGTTACCGTTGCAAAGGAAGAGAGCGAGGACAAGACCAAGGGCCATGAGGACAATGAAGGCAACGTAGGTACCATCATTGGCTGCTTGCTGCTCGGGGTTGTTGATGCTTTGGCCGAGGGGGATCTAAAGAATAGGTCAGTTCAGGCCGATTTTGGGCTAGACGAGGGTGAACACTTACGAGCGAACCAAGAACAGCGCCGAAGTTGAAGATGATCCAGAACCAAGAAATGTACTTGCCCTTGTTCTTTTCCGTGGGGTAAGACATCATGATGGCACCCTGACCACACCAAAGGAGACCGGCGCACACACCCAAGAACGCACCGGCGAAGATGACGAAACCTTCGTTCGAGTTGTGGTTGTAGCTGAGGAAAGAGGCGGCGTACAAGGCGTAGCCGAGACCACCGAAAGCGACGGCAAAACGTGTACCGAGACGGTTGGTAAAGGTACCAGAGAAGAAACCAACAACGGAGAAGGTCGAGTACAAAGCAGTGGCAGCCTTGGTCTGAGCATTGCTGTCGACCTGGCCACCACCACCAAGACCACCGAGGGCGTTGAACATGCCCGGGCAGAGGAAGCAGACCATGGAAATCATGAAAAGCTGGAAGCTAGGCGAAGCATACCAAGTTTTGCCGAGGCCGATGCTGAAGACCTTGTACATCCAGCCGCCGGGAAGCTGGCTGGTGTCAAACTCATGGTCGGGAACGGGATCAGCGACATGGTTGTCAGCGTCAATGGCGACGTTTTCGATCTTCTTGTCGTCAGACATGGTGTTGATTCAGCGAAGAGCTTAATTGAGATCAGATGAGGAGCTCGCCGTCTTCGACTGTAAGGTGTGATACAAAGAAGGGAAGATCTCTCACGCCGTTGGAGCAAGAGAAGGGGGGATCCGGGGATATTTGAAGCTCACTCGCGCTACGGGCTGGGGGCCAGTGGTTGGAACGAGCGCCCCGGGATGGTCACTGACAAGAAAAAAAATTAGGTACCACGAGTGGAGGTAGGTTAGAGTGGAGGGTAGTATCCGCCGTGCGCTACCTTATGTCCAGGGGCCCCTCACTTCAACTGGGGAGCTGATGGATGGGTGGTTTGTTTGTGTGGATGGATGGACGGATGGGTCAAGCCGTGTTGTTGTGGGCAGCGGGAAGAAGGAGGGGGCGAGTCAGCGCAGTGCAAGGTGACACGAGACCCTGCTCCAAAAAAGCTTCTGGTGCCTCCCCCCGCCTTCTTCTTCTCCAGCAATGAGCTGCGCTTCCCGTCGCCTTATTTTCTTACAGGGACGCTACAGTGGGTGGGGTACCCAGCTTACAGCGCTGTTATTTAGGCGGTTCGCTGCAAGGGCCTGGAATGCTGCCCGTGTTCTCGGCCTGTACAACCAGAAATTTGTTTTCTTTTTTTGTTTGCTGTCATAGTCTCTAAGCGCCGGAAGAAAAGAAAAGAAATCAGGCTAGCTAGCTGGCTGGCGGGCTTCCTGACTCTTCTCCTTTTTTTGTGCCTTTCCCCGCGCCGTCTGAGACCGTCCGCCTGTCACGCGTTGGATGTGCGCTGGACGTGTGTTGCCGCCCGCTGGCGGGCCTGCTGTTGGAGGTCCTTCAGCAGTGCCTGTCACTACAGCAAGGCCCCGCAAGGATGCACAAGGGGAAAATAGAAGGGGTCCCCCCTCACCAGAAAGACGCCGCAACGCTACGTGACAGTGGGGGGGCCCAAATGTGGCAATCCCCAATGCCATTGATGCTGATTGAGCATGACCATTGGCGGGATGTCGTAGCCTTTCCATGCAAGCCTCGTCTGCGAGGCGCACTGGTAGTGCCGGCGCGGCGAGACTATGCCAGCGCTGCATGCCACTAGTACGAAGTAGCCTGCCTAGCAAGAGACACCGTTAATTGTTCCGCTCGCTCAAACGTTGTAGCTCGACCTGGTATTGTTGCAGCAATTTGCCATCTGCCATGCACCTAGCTTGTTTCTGTTATAGCTGGGCGGTCGGTGGCGTCTGCTGCTAAAACTAAACTACTATCCGTTAAGGCACAGTAAATTAAAACAAGGGCTTACAGGTGTCCATTCATCCAATGCCCTCTGTCCACGCTAGCTCCTCCATGGGGAAGCAACTTGCGTTTATGCGCCCCTGGTGCAGCTCACTATAAGGATTGAAAGTGATGCCAAGCACACCTCCCAACGGCCTCTCGAAAGAAAGAAGCATCGAATGGCGCAAACAAAAATGTGTCAACCCATCATCCCAGGGAACCTAACCTCGCCAAGGGCACGTGCCAACGTTGCAAGCAAGGGGCGACAGCCGCCAACCTGGCCATCACCGTCGCTTAGTACTAAAAAAAGGAAAAACTCAATTACAGACGACGACAATCAACGTTTAACGAGCGCGCCTTGTGGGTGTTGGACCGGCTCAATCCGCCCGTCCTCGTGATGGCATGGGCTTATACGGATGTAGCTTTCCACAAATAGCCTAGACATTCGCTGTTTCCCCTCATTTGCGCATCGCTTCGTAGACAGCAGACATCACAGCCAAGTTGGTTTACGAACTCGACTCGTATTATTTTGGTTGTCATGACGACAAACAGCTTGTTTCTAACCAAATTGTAGCACGAGATCCGTCTACTACCATGCGAAGCCGTACATCAATAACCTCAAGCCCAAAAAGACGAAAAAAAATCATCGAACAGGATCGTGGCGTCCATTGCCCCCGAAGCACGAGGCGCCTGAAATTCAGTGGAGTTGGCCCATAAGAAATTACCGTAAAGCCGTCGAACGGCACGCCACAAAGACAGCCATCACCTCAGCGACGCAATTCATATTTTTACAAGGCAAGAGAATATAAATCATCGCGAAAATCTATTGAAATGGAATATCTTGTTCATTTCTCCAGGCTGGCCCTGTAGAAAAAAATTAGCCGCACACTTATCTCTCTCCATCCGCCCCCCCCCCCCCCCCCCCCCCCCTCTAGGCGCTTCACGGCTTGTCGCTCTGCGGCTAGCGTCGTTCTCCCCAGGGGGCCCCTCGTGCGGGCAGTGGAGAAAGCCCCCAAAAAAGAACACACCAAACCAGGCTGGGCTGAAGTTGGCTGGACATGTAACGTAACCTCGCCCGGCGCAATATGGCAAGCCACCGCCGAGCGCCCCCCAAAAGTAGTGAGCAGCGCCGAAACAGATCTGGGGTGCATTTGGGCTTTTTTGGAGAAACGATGGCTTTTTTCCCACCCCGCTGACAAGACACCACCACCACCACCGCGGGTCACTCACGACCGTTGTGAATCGCAAGCATGTGCTGTGCGTACAATGGATGGGATTTGTGCTGCTGCTGCCTGCTGATCTTTCCTTCTTGTTGATTAACCCCTCCATCGTGAGGTGGTATTGACGCGCAGTATTAGCAGCATCTTTGGGAACACCTTGCCGACGATATATTGCAATGCTCATCACGCCCTGGCCCTGAGCTAGCGCTGATGTGAAATAACATAGCGTGCGATATCATCCCAACCAGCAGCAAGCTGTCTTGGCCCTTCCGCCCCCCGGCATATCTCCCTTTTGATAACCTCCGTCGGTAACGCTTCTCTATCATCCCTCCGTCCGCTGCTGCTGCTGCACCATGCCGCATGTCAATAGCAACAGCCCATTAATGATCCAACACTCATCCTGGCATGTAACATGTCTGCGCCAAACGTCGCAACCGATCCTCACAGCAAGCGCCGCCAAGCGCAGCCACGCCAGCGCCCAATGCGACCCAGCGACATGTGGTTGTGTGCGCCTGCATGGCGTTCCTCAGGTTACGTGCAATCTAGATTCGAGGCTCTCCTCAACCGTTTAATATATTCAAAAGGCTCCATCTACGGAACAAGCTTCCATCTCTTTGGAACTCGTCGATATTAAGCGCACCGTTGATGCTACCGTACGCAGCAGGAGACGCCCCCAAAATGTTGATTGCTGCATTATCAAAACGCCTCGCAATCTCCAGCCCGTTTCTCCTATCTATCGTTTCCCCAGCAAAAGAGATGCTTGCTATCAGAACAATCTACAACGATACCCCCATAGCAGTGCCGTCCCAACCCATTCCCCCAGCAAGCATTCAACATCCAGTTCACGACAATTGACAGTTTTCAGCCTTGTAATATTTCATTTCATCATTCATATATTTTCTATGTTGGTAATGTATCACTACAGGTGTTTGCTCCTCTAGGAGCTACGGATCAGCTTTCGAATTCCCAATCCATTCGCTCTTTGGAAAACACCAAAACACTTCGATGGAACCCATCGCTTCAAAGCAGATATACAACAGACCCAGTACTGCCATTGTCGATTGGTATCCCAAAACTCTGGCGGTTCCTTAAACCAAATGACGCCCACGCTTCGAAGAAGAAAAAATCAACCCAGGTATAGAAAATCCAATGGGAGCAAACGTTCGTTAATAAAAAAAAGGGGGAGGACGAGTAAGGCAAAGCATATGACCGATTCAGCCAGTAGAAGAAGTAGCGCTCATTGCATGAAGATGTCGACATACTTGAGCTGCCATATAACAAAGGTCAGATCAGTTGCGCATCATCGACAGAAGCCACTCGACGCTAAAGCGGTGGCAGGGCGAAGTAGTCGTCGTAAATAGTGCGAAAATAATGACGGCGTAAAAAACAAAGAAAGCGGAGAATGCGAGGTAGGGTATCAATGTCAAACGGGAAATGGTATCAAAAGTAGAAAAATGTGGTTTTTGGGAAGGGTGTCCTGCGCCTATACTGGTGCAGGGGTAGAAGAGTGTGCTCCTCGGTCTCGCGACATCCAGCCAAAGAGGTCACCACGACCACTAGTCGCGCTCGTAGCAACTGGGGTGGGAGGTTCGGTATCACGTCGGGCTTCTCTCGGCTCAAGCAGCAGACTTTTTCGATAGTTGGTAACTTGGACGTTGTCCTTGGTGCCTGTTTCACGAACTCGCTGGATCTGGGTCGTCAGCCACTCCTGCATGTCAGGCAGCTCGGTGAGTCGGTGAGGAATCTGAAATCGCTGCAATTCGCCAATGATCTTAGCAGTGCGTGTGTGCTTGTCAAAGTTGACCACGGTTAGTCCGCGCGATCCTTCTTCGACAATGCCACCAGCATGAGACATCTTCTTCGTAGCGGCATTGCCCATATCAATAAAAGTCAAATCTGTAAGATACATGCCGAGGAATGGCAGGCAAGGTGGGACGTGGTCCTGGAGCCTCATGCGGAGGATCTTGTTGTTCTGTGATGGATCGACAATTTTCTGAAGCATGCGGAATGTTTCCTTGCGCTTATCGGAAATAATGTCCCAGGTCTTGCGCAGACGGCTAATGGTACTGCTGTTCAGACTGCAGATTATTGCCATTAAACCGTCGTAGTTGTGCAACTCGTTGCAGTGGCTAGCGATTTTGATCCACTGCTTGATAACAGTAGCGCGCTTCTTGACTTCAGGGAATTGCAAAACCGTCTCGGCAACAAAATTGGACAGGTCAGTGGACAATGATGACATCGCCTTGACATTTGGGGCGTCCATCCCGCCGTTCTTCATCCAACGTGACCCAATCAGTTCTTCTGGCATTATAGCACAAAAGATGCCCATCTGTAGGAGAGTCAGTTGACGGGCGAGCTCCAACGGCTCAAAATCCATTATAGAAGGTATGCTTGTCCCGGCTTTGAACGCATTGAGAAGATGATGCTGGTGTTTCGAGATAGACGGGTGGGAGAGTGGGACTTCAGCAGGGACATACTGTCCAATGACGGTATTTGTTTTTCCAATGGAGAATTTCACCCGGCTGGCTTGCATGTTCTCGGTAGATGCGCGGATTGCAAGTTCCGCTAGGCGTTTGCCAGCAGATGGTAGAACTGCAGCAAGCTTGCCCTGTGCAAAAGGAACAATGTACGGCAGTGCACTCTGATCAGTATCGTCTCGCCAGTGGCACTCAAGCCAGCCCTTGAAAGCATTATATACTCGCAACCGAACAGGTCCAGCCATTTGAGGCGAGTCAGCCACATAATCAAATCGATCAATCAATGTGGTAGTGAGTTTAACCGGAGTGCAGAATAGACGGAATGTCAGGAAGAAAGTCGACACAAAAGTAGCATCTGGCGTCGATTCGTGGGCAGTCAACCGTTCAATCAAGGCAGGCAAGGTACCGCCAGTGATTTGGCCCTCTTTATTGAACATCAGCTCATGAGCGTACGTCTTCTCCAACAACTTCGACTCAACATCGTCTGGTTCTTCCGCGTTGGTTGCCGCGCTATCTGCATTGCTCAGCTCAGACATGGATGGCTTCGGACGGGGCTGTAGAGCGTTATCAGGGGTTGTGGCTCTCGTTGACGTTTGGGATAGAACGCTCGTTTCGGAATCTCGGCTCAGATACGTCGTGCTGCTGCCTGCGCTGGTAGCAGCCAAGTTCTCAAAACGAGCCGAGTGGCCTTCTTCACCTCGGCTGCTCAATGGTGTATGGTCGGCTGGTGACATGGCAGTCGTCAGCTTTGGTAGAGGTGGAAGCGAGCATCTAGCTGGGACCGAAGTGCTAGCTGGGCTGTCTTTGCTGGAGGGCGTATTGCGTGATACGGGTGGGGGTGAGTCCTTGGTAGGAATCATAATCTTGGGTACTTTCGGTATCAATCGTGTTGATTGACCCGGTGATTGCTGAGAAGAGGTGGTAGTATCAGATACGTGGGCGGATTCGGAAATGCTAACGGCTTCAGATGGGGCCGCAGCTGATGGGGTTCTTGAGCGGTAATATGGGGTGATGTCCAAGACAGACAAATCGATTCCAAGGCTATCGTCTTCCTCGTCATGCTCGAAATCACCAATTCGTTCAATAACGGCCTTTGCTTTGGCCACACACTCTCCAGTGGCTTTGACGCATGAAGTTGCGGAGGCAAGTAAAATGTTGCTGTCGTGTGGTATGATAACATCTGCATCCTCAGCCGCAACATGGGCTATTGTGTCTCTGGCAGAGAAAACCAACTCTTGTATACGCTCAAAGACAGCGGTTCGCGCGACCTGTAGTGTTACTGGCGCTACAATGCAGTTCGCGCACACACCGTCAATGACGCCAAGGAGCTCCCCACCTGATGCTGCGCACTGCTTGATAGCAATAGATAGTTCTTGTCTAGATAGTGACTGCCAGTGCAAGCGGCCGATAAAGGATCCCAGGTGGGATAGAAAGCGGTCGTGGCTGCGGTTTAAGCGATCTGAAATGAGAGGTCCGGAGCCAGTTGTCGGTGAAGGTCCGACTAATGACACTCTGTGTGACATGGAAGCGGATAGCCGCCTGTTGTGTGACGGGCCAGCCTGAGAAAGGCGACGTTGTTGGGCAGGGCTTATAGAACTGAGCGACGACATGCGCTTCGCCCAGGGTTGTAAAGCATCGCTCAGATCTGATGTGGCAACACTGGCAGTTGTATCATCGGTCATAGCACGCGAACCAGCTTCGCTTGCCGTTTCGTGACGCTGTTCTTCAAATCGTGTCCTATCGGCAGGCGGCGTCGGTGGCACATATGACTCTTCCATAACTGTTGCCATGACTGTCACAGATGCCGGTGCTCTAGCCCTACGATCGTCATCTAGTACGTCCAGAAAGCGCACACCGCGGTTGACGATTTTGAACGCCTTTAAAATCATCTCGTCAACAATGTCGTTGATATCTTCTGATGGCGGCAATGAGCCTCGTTGTGTTTCTTGGAGTCGCTTGGCTGATTTCACAAGCGATGAAAGCTCCGCCAATAGACCTTTTCTGCATTTTCGTAGGATCTCGCTTCTTTGGATCGTTGCTGATTCTCGGTTCAAACAATTTGTACGTTCCTATTCGTGTGTTAGAGCATTACAAGTGTGGTAAACAATTTGCATCGAACTTACCAGTAAGAAGCGTACTCCGGCGATAATACCCTTCATAAATTCTTGGTTTCTAAATAGTTCGCCGTCGTCAACTGAGGTACTTCGCAAGATATCCCAGAAGTTGAGCAGTGACTTGAGCAGGCTTTGCAGATCCTCGGGTTCGTATGGTTCGCAGTAGTTAGTGGGAAGCCAGCCACGAGCGCCAGAGGCAAGCAGAGTGCCGTCTGCCCATCCATTTGTATGTATCGAATGAACCAACACGACGTCGCCTTCTTCTAGAGGCAGCGTCACGCTAGAATCTGACATGGCATTGCTGGGGCTAAAAGGGTAAAAGGCGCGGAGAAAGTTGTGAAAGACTGGAGGCGCAGGAGGATCTGGTGCGAGGTCCTCCTGCGACCCATTGGGTGTAGCTGGAGGCGTCATTTGCGTATGTAGTTGCTGATTCGTTGCTGCGTGTATCTGGTACGGGCCATGGGCAGTAGGTTCAGGTTGGTGGTGTTTGCGAAATCCGAGAGGAGCCACTTGAAGACTGGCTCGTTGTGTTGATTCCGCAAGCATGACGAACGCTGTTTAAGTTGAGTTGGAAATCAGGCCGTCGAGGTTGGTAGCTGCTGTCCACTGACAACGAGCATGCCTCGAAGCAACCGTGAGGGTCAGGTTTGCCGCTCCTTTGGTTAGTCTGGCATTCACAGGCAAGACGAGACCACTCCACCCAAAAGAATTATCAGCTGAGGTCGATGATCGTAAACCGTATGTCGTCAGTTGGCGGCCACTGATGATATGGACCTTGATGTATCGTATTTTAGCGGGTTCTGTTTAACAAGCAAGAGTCATAGTTAGCAAAGGCAAGTTTGACAGCGCGAGATTGTTGATCGAATTAGGTCGTGGGGTTGTGGTGTCGCGTCTGGAATGCAAAGCACAAAGAATCGGGCAAGAGGGGAACAATGCGACACAGCTGGACCTGCGAATGACGTCTGACATCTCGAAAGGAAGGCATTCTGGATTATCCAGAAATCCAGATACGTTGTTCTTTCCATTTGATGCCAGAAAGGAAGCGTGGAAAACAGCTGTTGTGGTCGTCCCAAGATTCGTCCCGTATGTGCAGGCGGTGGCGCTTGCCTAACAGAGGTGGTGCGTGGCAGCGCTCAGGGCAGCTCGACTTACAAAACGAAGGAATAAAATAGACGTAGCCTAGAGCTTGCAAAAGAAAGCGAATGGAAAGCAGAGCAAAATAGAAGCAAAATAGAAGAAGACTATTAAAAAGAGTAAAATAGGAGTGTTGGGGCAAAAGAGGATGCAAATGAGAGAAAGAGCGGGAAATGCGCCTTTAGGCGGAGGAGACTGTGGACTATCTCGGGGGGGAGTGGGAGGAGGCTTCTGGGCGCCAGATCAAGTCATGGGTACCAGGAATAGCAATTAGGAATAGGACCAGGCCAAGCAAAGGTCACTACTGTACGAAGAGCAGCAAGACTCGGCTAGGGGGAGGGAAGCTAGCACGGCCGGAGTCCTGCAAGCTAAGATCCCGCTACCACTGTTGCGGGTCGGTCTTTTGGGTGTGAGCTAAGGGATGCCTTGGCCAGGGGGCAAGGATGTCGAACTTGTTTAGAAAAGCAATTGCAGGGAGCTCCGTACCTCTATAGAGGGAGACAGACAGCCCAAGACATCGACTAATTAGCGTTGGCTCATTGATCGAAAGCATGGGCCCCGAAAGCATCTGCCATTGCATACGCATGTACGCCGCGCTGCACGATTTACCCATATTCTCCTCTCGACGTGCATAGCCATGCTTGCGTCGGCAGCCCTCAAAACAAGCCCGCTAGTCGCAGCGCCTCCATTCTTTGCGCCACGGCGCCGCCCAACCTAGTCGGGCAAACGAACTGCGTCCGCGGGCTTCTTCCACTGGTAGTGAGCTAGCGGCGCTTTGCAAAAAAAAAAAAAAAAAAAAAAAAAAAAAAAAAAAAAAAAGACGAGGCCTAATGCAATGCTGGAACGCCCAACCCATATCTTGTGGCCACAGCGTGTCGGGAGTGCCTCTTGGGCTTAGCAATGGATATCATGATCCGCTCAGAAAGAAGGGGCCGCACGCCACCAACACCTTAAGCTGTCCGTGGGAGGCTCAGAGAGTGTGTGCATACAGAGGGTACAATGTACTGTACACAGTAATCACAGAGAAACTGGTACATAGTCATAGCCTATACTGCCGACTTCTCACACACCCGCTTCCAGGTTGCAATCGGTGGGTCAGCGCAGAGATTTGGGATGCCGGGGTGGGCAAAACATATGATGACCACCCAAGTCTCTTCTTCTCCGTGTGCCGGGCCCCGAGATGAGGCCACTGTGCCTGGGCTCGACGGCTGGGAAGAAGCTTTTCCAACCTGCACCGCTCGGTTCCTCAGAAAACAGGGATGGCTGTTTAGCTCGACCCACCGCGTCCCAGGAGGAAGGGAACAACAGGCACGCTAAAGCCATTGTGTCCAGGGCTTTGCCCAACTCGGACGCGCTAAAGCGTCAGGGGATGGAGGAACTGGAACAGTCCAGCCAGTCGGCAATGCCAGAGCACTTACTTCGCATCAAAGCATCGCGCGCCAGGAGCTTTGTGGCGGCGATGGCGGATGGAGCGGTCGTTCACAAGCGTGCTGCGAAGCGATGTCAAATAGTCTGCAGCACGGCCTGACCAACCACATGCCACGGATACGAGCTATTTTGGAACCAGCTTTTTTAGACCCGACTGCTATTCCGCTGATTCGGACGTCTCCGACGTGCAAGAATCACCGAGTTGGGAAAAGTCAAGACCTTTAGACTTTCTGTCCACGGTGCGCATAGTTAGTTTGTCGTGAACAACGCGAGAGCTGCAGGGAGGCGTTGCCCTGGGGGTGAGGCGCTCAATTGTTTTAGATGGAAACCTTCCCGTGGATACGGTCACAGTGCATCTCGGAAAGCAACCGTTTAATGCTTTTGTCTGCTTGGCTTCGCCGTTTTTTGCTTTTTGGTGGTAGACTGCCGAGCCTAACAACGGCCCTTATCGAGGGGGTCGCGGGTTGAACCACGTATGATCAATTTTGCCGCGCCGATGATAGCATTTTTCGATCGCCCTGGTCTTGTAAAAAGGAACCCATACAGTGTACAGACAGCAACTTTTGTCAATTACACGGAGACTCGCTTGGTCCATCTTCATCACCAGTTCATGCGGTGTGAAGCCATACACTCCGTGTCTGTTTTGAAAATACTGACGGGCAACCAATACGGTCGTAGTTGAATCCGAGAGCAGTCACTCTTCTTGTCCCCTCTTCAAGTGCAGCTACGGTCCGATTTGCGCCTCTGGTTGTTATTGTTTGCTTCGCTCTGTTATAATCCACCCGAGACTGTGCCGCCTCGTAATCCACCAAAAGCAAAGAAAACAGGATATATTCATATAGTGCATGTATCCGTTATCCACAAAAATATTTGCTTTGTATTGCGGGTTCTGAATGGAGGAAAGCCATGGCTGTTTCGAAATTCGTGACATTATGACTGCTCAATATATCGATTCAATACAACCGTTCGTAGGAAGGGGCATCATGTATCCTTTACGCCACCTCCACTCAGGACGAAGGAATATATGCTTAGCCAGGCACCGCTGCATACTACAGTATGTGGCTGGGGAAGCTATTGGGAAATCCGACGCACCGGTCAGGCCATGATGCAGGAACACCATTGAACATCGATGTACAGATCATCCAAGCAGCGAGGGCTCTATCCACAGTGTGCTGTAGCAAGTAGAAATGCTCACATTGCACTGGGGAGTTTGTTTCTGACGAGCTTCGTTCATCATCCCCCTTTGCAACAGCAGTTATTGAACTGGACACTTCAATTTTGTCGTTACGCCATCATTCATGTCTTGCCTGTCATCTTCGATATCGAAAGAAGCACTTAGTGTGCTAGCATGGTCCCTGATGAGATATTGTGTCAGCCCTCTCGTTATTGTCCCGGTGGCGCGGAAAGGCAACACCCTTCCCAACCTGTGGCGCTCTGACCCTGTTCTTTTGTCACCCTGGAAGAGAAAAAGTCATGCATCTTTGTTTTCTCAGAGCCGCCCAGTGCAGCAGACAAGTCATGGCGTTGCATTGTTCCCACCGCAAAAAAACAGAAACGGTGCCTGGCAGTGGTGGCGGTGGAGGAGCTGTGGAGGACAACGGCGGGGCTCAGCAGGCGTCGCCCCTGACAGCCCTCTGCAAACCCGCTGTGGTCCCCTTTTAGCGCCATCGGAACCAGTGGCCCTACTTTTGTGCTGACGCCATGCCACACGTGCCTCAGCGTCTCTCTTTCAACGCAATGGAACGTCTTAGCATCGTCTGCGGCAACGGCATCTCCAGCGCGCCCTTCGCCGAATACAAGTGCCGGATAGTGGGTTTTTTCAGCAAGCAAGCAGGCTATTTACGCAGCCTCGGGATCTGCCAGCGCCGGGCTAAGCAGTCGAATCACAGCCGCGACTGCTTTAAACATGCATCAAAGACATACAACAGGCCATCCATGGTGTTAGGTGGAACTCTATGTCACTCCACTGTTATGGCTGGTGGGCATGTACAGTGCTGACAATTCAAATGCATGTTTTCTCTCGACAGTCATGCAGTTTGTATAGCAGAAGCTGCAAGGTGCACGCCATGTACCTGCAACAGGCAAACCCATCTCAGGCCGAATTGCGTTTGATTCAAGACACCACCACCCATGCCCAAAGAGCAAGGTATTTCCAGCCGTGACAAACCGGGGCTTTCGTTCATCATGCCAAGCGCAACTGGCAGCCAGTGGTGGTCGACTCGCGCCCCAGTCTGCACACGACGTCGTTGGTCGACAATCCCTGCTACCATCCTACCTCACGGACATCGTATTTGCTAGCGCGGATGCTTGTTTCGACGCATCTCTGAGTAAAGTTTGCCAAAATCTTCCGAGTGTGTGCATGAGCAACATGTCACGTTATACGTCGGCATGCCTGACGCCTTTTGACCGTTAGCCAGCCAGTGCCAAGCCTATTGTATATTGGATTTCACAGAGATTATTACCGTTTTAAACCAGCAATGGGTAGGTCTGAGGGTATGTTCATCTGACTATTTCTCCTCATGAGTCTATAGTTTACCCTCCGCTGTAACTAAGATTGAAGAAGAGAACAGAGATACCCTCAACGATCTCGGGTCAGACAAGCGCATGGGCGCTTGAGAAGGAAGACTTTCGGTCCAACCGTCCTCCTAGGACTCAGAACTAACCACCTGTGTAACTCCGATCCGCCGCTAACAGTTGACAGCCTCCGCGTTCTTAAGGCTTTCCTGCATATGTACGGTTGACGGCTCCATTCAAGGCATAAGGCCTCAATTTCAAACTGCTGCTTCGACACTGGTGTATTCAATGCAACGCGTTGAACCGTGATCCTCAAAGTTGCAATGCATCTTCCAGCCGCTACTAATTACGGCGTGATGTGATGTACAGCACGTTTTCCATGATCGCCAAGATTGCCAAGTATTCGGCCATGCGAATGTTCCAACCTCGCCGTTTACATTTCAATTGATAGATACACGCCCATATACACCATCAAGTGTGCCAACAGAGTTTGTGTCGTATGTTGGAGATCGAAAGAAGTGGGAGGTCATTGAACTAAAGTCCGTAACGGCGAACTGTCGAATATTCGGCCGGTACTGACCCGATGCTGCTGAGTTCATGCAGGCTTCGGCTCTCTTTTGCGTTTGATGCCACAATATAAAACCCATGTTCTTAATATTCTCATATCAAAGCTCACCGACAAAACGTGTGAGCTACAACAGCCGACAACGGCACCGGCCCGAGAGCATCCTCCCTGTTGTCCCCAGTGAGGCGCTCATCAATCCCAACGGCTGCCAAAGCAATGGCACCATTTTCCACTTCATCCACATCAGGCCTTGCCTGCCCCCGGCTTCTACCCGCTATCCGTGGGTCTGGGGAGGGAGCGAGCAAGTTTGCGTTTCTCACAGTCAACCCGGCTAAACAGTGCCGTATGCACATACGAGAGACGCGTGCATTAGCGCAGCGATTCATACGTCAAAAATCCTTGGCAATGCGGCACTGTTTGCGTGCCTGCGCCTCTGGAAATCATTGCCCTGAACTCTCTCTCGCTTCGGGCAAACTTGTCGCATGTATATGAGTTTGTACCCACTGAGGCGGCGGCCGACTGTTTGCCGATTAATTTGATAACGGGCGCATCCCACACAACGGACGGCTGAGATACGCGGCAAAATTTAGCGTCTCCGAACGTGCTGCTGAATCAAGGTATTGCCACACACTAGATCCATGTTTGTGTTCCATTGCCGATTCTGCAGGTGCCATTATCGTCCTGCATGCAGTCAGTCAGGCCATCTCCGGCCAAAACAGCGGAGCGATCCCTCATTTACCAAGCTATTCCCACATGCGAAAAACAAAAAGCTATTTTTGTTTGCTTTCCGTACAGATCGGCGTCTTCAACGTGAATCGAGACCGGCCGGGACCAAGAGCGTGCCGCCTCCGCTGCTGTTTGATGGTCGTATTCCGCCTCACTGCATAGGAGTTGGTTGCCCAACCCTTTTTGTTAACCTTGTATCGGCGATTCCAGTGCGGCAACCTTTCCGCTCTGGAGTATTCGGAGCTGTGTTGTCAGCCGCTGGGAGATGCAACATCAAGGCCCTGTTATCAGGACAAGGCTGGCTGCTCCAGTGATATCTTTGTCAGACTAAACGGTCACGGCAGACAAGGAACGAGTTTCTTTCCAATGAATCTATTGTCTATCATGAAAACAGCTCATAAGCTCATAACAGATAAGTCTATATACAATACAGTCTCTGTTTGGAATATACAATTGGTCATAGATACAAACTCACTAACGTAGAAACAGCAACACTTGGCGTGAAGCTCTAGTTCTTGGGCTTGTACTGGACAGTGCTGGGGCAGTTGCCCTTGACACCATCAGGGGCCGCGGCAACGAACTGGCCTGTCTGAAGAGAACCGCGAACGTTGTAGTGGTACCACACTTCGTTGATGACCTTGTTCTTGCACTTGAGGGTAACAGCAGCGCCGTGCTTCTTGGTCAAGACGTCCTGGATAGTGGACAGGCTGTAGGTCTTGCTGGTAGAGGGAGTAATACCAGCAGCGGCCAGCCAGCTGTAAGTGGGAACAGTCTTGAAGAGGCCGACGGTGCGAGTGAAGAAGTCGGCAGCTTCCTGCGTGGTCTGGTAGTTGGAGTAGCAGCTGGGCTCCAGGGTGCTGATGCAGGTACCGTGCTTGCCCCATTCGTGCTCCCAGAAGGTCTCATCATCGCCCTTGTAGTCCTTCCAGTAGGTCTGCATGTAGCTGAGCGTGTCTGGGGCCTTGTCGGAGAGGATGTCGGTGATGTTGGTGTAGGCACGGTCATCATCGCACTGGGCGGGATAGGAGCCGTCACAGTTATCGGGCCAGAGACCGTGAATGGTCCATGAGTCTGCGGCATGTACATCAGCAAGGTGGTCGGAAAAGAATGTTGTTTTACAAGATATACTAACCGCTAGGGCCAGTGGCGGGGCTGAAGTCCCAGAACTGGGTCTGAACAAGCTGTCCGGTAGGGATGAAGCAGCAAGTGTCCTGAACAGCAGTGCTATTGTGGCAGGACAGAGGAGAGTTGGCAGGGCAGCTCACAGAGCCAGCGACGGCCACGGCGATGAGGCCGGCGGCGGGGATGAGGGTGCGGGTGACAGAAGGCATAGTGAAAGAGGATGCTCGTGGTCTATCGAGTCAAGATATCTGACATTTGGGAAGAGGAACAACGCGGCCTTTTATGTCCACTTTTGCAAAAAGACGAGGTCGCTCAGAAATCGGTGGATGATCAGCTAGCTGGTGTGCATGACACGCTAGTCGTCGACAGCCGTGGGGATTACAGCTGATTCGGGCAAGTCGATTCGGCACTGGGACCTGAAGCTAGGCCTATCGGTGGCTCCAGTGGGTTAGGCTCTGTCGCACCTCGTCCCAAATGGTACATGGCGCCGAGTTACGGGCAGGTCCATGCGTTGGATTGGACGGGCAAATGCCTGCGGCTGTCTCAGGCAAGCCCTGGAATCTACGGCGTTGAACCAATAGCAGACCAACGTGGGTGCTGCGCAGCCACTGTGCGATCTACCGATCGCCCTCCAGGCCACGGCGGAGTGCGGACATGCGCTGGAGCCGTGCAAAAAGACCCTGTTATTTGACTTTGATACGTGGAACCTCGTGTGGTCTCGAGACGACGCCTCCTGGCAACACCGAACCAGTTTTTGTCGAACCTGAGCCTTTGTGAATGGTGCAGAAATTCGATACCGTCTCCAGTTTACCATTCGCGAGCCTAATGTCCCTGCCTAGTGGCCCATGTCAGCTTTTAGAGGACGCATTCAAGAGCCAGTGGTGGCTGGCAACCTAGGGGCCGCTAAAGCGAGGACCCGTAACAATTCCAGAATGCCTCGCAAGAGCCCACGTTGCCTGGCTGCCGGATGTAGGCAGTAGCCTATTCCCAGCCATGCGATAGAGCCGACACGTCAGGCCCATTGTGCGTCTGACATTGAGCATGGTCACGGACAAGATTAAGGTTTGTGGTAGTTTGAACAAATGCCGTTCCAGCCGTCTGGGGAAGCTACTCAGTGCCGGAATGGCGTCTTACAGCTTCTAAAATGGGAAGGCTCTCCGGGGTTATTAGCTAAAGCGCCGAGCATAAAATTGGCATCATCGTTGATAGCCGCTGTTGGGGGCTGATCCTTAGTTGGGGGGCACTTGGCTCGGCCTGCATGTGATAACAATGACGAACCTGGAGTGCATCTGGCGGTGACGTCGGACAAGTTTTGCATAATGTTGACACGAACTATAATAGAACGCAGGAGTAGGTAAGTCGGCAAATGTGGACGCGTGATGCTATTGCAAGGTTCAAAGGTGCACCGAGTCTGAGACACCGGTGTGGGCAGTGGACAACTGACCTTTTACAGCTGGCGCTGCCTGGCAGAAGTAATACCCTATACCGAAATGTGCCGTAGATGCAAAGGCTAACCGGCTGCTAAAATGCGTTTGAGGCATTTTTTATGTCCTTAATATGGCACCAAAGCCTCTAGTGATATTTTGTATTTTGATATTGGCCTGAATTGTGCAAGGTACCTGTTTTTAGACTGGTGTCGTCTAAACTCTGGTCTACCAACTAGCCTGTGTGTGTGCGCTCTATCATTGGTAGAGTGAGCAACTATAACAAAGGAAATAAACACATTTATCTCTAATAATAACAGGGTTCTATTTTAAAAACAGTTGCAAATGTTTATTTCCAATTAAAGTATAAAATTTGTGTCTTTATAGATATAGACGCGCAAACTTCCAAGCTTCATAGGGCAGAGGCTACAAGTGGTCCCTGACTAATTCTCCGCTTCCCATTGGCTCGGCTTTGGCTGCAGCAAAGTCACGCCACCCGCTCCAGAAAACAGGCGGCCGCCTTTTGAGCCGAAGTCGCATTAGTAACCCATCACCAATCTTCAATCTTCAACCTGCAACACTCCCTCCAACAACATGGTCTCTGCGAACCAGCAACATTCAACAACATAATAAAAAGGAGAAGGACTGCAATAGCGCATGTCGAAGCAATGAACGTCTCTGTCGCCGTTGGTAGAGCTCTTGCGCGACAATCTCGCCACCACCTGAGGCAGTTTTCCAGCGCAAGAATACTCTACTCCTACCAGCCATACAGTCTCCCAACACAGCCTGCGACACCCCTCGGCAACGACAATGTATCGGAAGCATCCATATCATTCCCTCCCTCAGTACCAAAGGTCCACGAAACACGCCCGCCACCAGGACAGCAGAAGTCTACCCCTAGCCTGGAAAAGCCAACCCCAACAGCCAAGGCCCAATCCGAAAAGCCTGTAGATGCTCAAAAGGCTAAGGCTGCAAGACCGCGCTCGAAGCTGCGACCCCGAAAGGCTGCTATGAAGCTGACGCCTGCTGCTGTTGAGCAGTTGCGCGCCCTCCTTGACCAGCCTGAACCTAAGCTCATCAAGGTTGGCGTGCGCAACAGGGGCTGCAGCGGCCTTGCATACCATCTGGAATACGTCGACAAGCCTGGTGCATTCGACGAAACAGTAGAGCAAGATGGCGTCCAGGTGCTTATTGACAGCAAGGCGCTGTTTAGCATTATTGGTAGTGAGATGGACTGGGCCGAAGATAAGCTTAGCCAGCGCTTTGTTTTCAGAAACCCGAATATAAGTAAGTTTGCTACAGTCAGATTGGATATCTGATGGACATGGTTACTAACAACCTCCTTAGAAGAAGAATGCGGCTGCGGCGAATCTTTCATGGTATAGAATCATAAGTCTGTATAACATTTACAAGCATGTTGGTAGTGGCACAAGATTCCATGAAAAAATCATGGAAGACTACCAGAAGCATCGAAATCATATTTCCAAACCGATAAATCGGTCAGTCTGTTTTATAGGGCATTATTGGCGTTAAACATGGAGTTTGGGTTAGAAAGGTATACATAGCATGCCTAGTGCATTTACTCCCCTTTGTACATCTGACTTGGGACATTTTCTTTAGTCAATCGGAGCAAACGAATATGAAATATTATAAATACAAACACATAAACTACGCTAATTCTTTATTGATTACACTATCCCGCCCCATCGAATGGTAAACTTGAGTCATCTGGTATGTTCTCGGTGGTGGCAATAAGGTCACGTGAGCAGGCGTTTAATGCGTGTTGCTCTGGATGTCGTCGATTGACACCGTGAACGCGGTCTTATAAATCGCGTCATGGCCGTGACACTCTCCAAGTAAACGTAATATCCGACATCTATTTAATACCCATATACCCTCCCTTTACTACATTGGACTGGCACTTTCAGCATTTCCCAATACAAACTGCTACTAAACTAAGGATGGCACGAACTATTCAGCGTGAAGCAGCCTCTTCCTTGAAAGCCATCAAACCAACTACAAAAGTCAACTCCAAACCCTCAGAACCTAGCAAAAGTACAACGCCCTCTGTCAAAGGGGTGCAACCTGAAATGAAGTCACAAATCTCCCGCATCGTCCACTCTGATCGCACCGCCTTTGAGAAGCGCGTATGGACCGCCCTTTGCCAGATTCCACGCGGCGAAGTCACTACATATGGGCTCTTGTCCAACTATCTCGGCTCGTCGCCACGAGCTGTGGGCAATGCTCTACGAAGAAATCCGTTTGCTCCAGAAGTACCGTGTCACCGTGTCATTGCGACGAGCGGCAAGCTTGGCGGATTCAAAGGATTCTGGCCAAAGAATGGCGAGGGCATCACCATAACAGAGAAAAGAAGGCTCTTGAAGAGCGAAGGTGTTGTGGTCCAAGATGATGGAAAAGTGGTTGCGTCAATGTGGCAAGGATTCGTATGACAGCTTGTACGTTGTATGAATATAACGATTAATGACATCACAGCCCCAATGAAGGCCCAGCAAAGATTTATGTCAGTGTCATGGCTAACCTAAGAAATCAATTACAAAATAAACTCATTAGGCGTTAAATATCGCCAGCTACAGCAATCAGGGAAGCACAGCAGCTTCTACAACACGGAACCTTTTACCCACTTTGGTAGGGTTCCTCGCGACTCCAAATAGCATCTCTCCGAATTGCTCGAAAAAACCCTTTGTTTTCACTGGCGCTACTGGTGCCATTTTTGTTGTATTGCCCAGGGGTGCTTCGCGGAGTGTACCTGTCTTGTTCGCAGTGCCAGCGGCTGGTGAATCTGATACACTCTTTGTGTAGTCCTTCTTGGGGGCCGCGTTCTTAGAGTAGAAAGGATCAACGCGGAGGAGAGCAAAGCCTGGATCTGAACCAGCCTTTGATGATGGCCAGCACGGTGAGTTTGCGTTCAACCCATCGTTATCCTGCTTGTCGTGATCAAACTTGCCAATAGAGAAGACTGGCCGCTTGTCCACGTCGATCTTGCAGCGATGGATGGTGCTTTTGCGTGTAAAGGAGGTGGTCTTGTCACTCTTGTCGCAAGCAGCCTTGATAGCACCAGCATCCATACCTTGCAGTGGCCCTGTTAAGCACACACCGTCGAACATTCGGCTCGCCGCTTTAGCCTGTGCCTTGGGCATGAATCGAATGAGCTGGGCATCCTTTGTAGAACCACCTTGAAGAAACTCTTGCGACTTGGGGTCAATTAAGACAGATGGAGGGTATTCGCTCTTGTCACAAATCTCTGTTAGGTTCTTATCCTTGTCGGGATTCGTCTTTGCGTCTTGAGGAGCATCAAGCCAACCCTGTCCGCTGTGTTCCTTTTGCCATTTTGCTGCGGCAGGAGCAGGGTCTCGTTTGGGGTTGATGGAGCCAGCATCTGGGGCACAAGTCACAGTTGCAACCTTGGGATTCTCGCGGATGACGGAACTGTAGTGCTCACAAGCTTGGCCGTACTGCTTGGAGCAGGTGGCTATTACTTGGACAGTTGGCGCTGCAGTAGCCGTTGGGTAAACGACACTGGTGACGATCCAATCCACAGTGCTCGTCTTCTGCTGGTCATCACAGATAAGCTCGCGAACAGTGTTTGAGCCAACCTTTCGAACTTGCTTCTCCCTGGGGATGACGCAGGCATCACCGAGCTTTCCGGCCTTTTCTGCATCAGCTCTAGCCTTGGCTGGACCAGGAAAGTCATCACGGGGCAGTCTGTCACGCTTCAGAGGGTTGGAGGCGTCGCCTTTCTTGCCACTTCCTTTCTTGACACCCTTGGGAGCCTTGAAGGGGCGAATGTGGCCGCTGATGGTGTCGACAATATCAAATGCCTTTTGGAGATCTTGGGGGACCATAGATGTGTCTCCACAAGGTGATAGCCACCAGTCAAATGCACCTTTGGGATCCTCAGAATCATTGTAGAGGTACTGGTATGTCTGGATGGCGGTGGTAGCGGCGTCTGGTTTATCAAGTTAGCACCTAGCGCAGCATGATTGGAAGGATTAATGGTCACGAACCTAACGCGATGTCGATGGGTTTTCCAATCTCTGGAAACAGGGCTGTGCCTATATGAACAATAGACTCCAGAGTTCGCATCATGAGGAAGCATCCGATCTAAGTCATAGTTAGCACTGAACTGAAAGGCCATTGATGCTCAACGACGGACCTCGGCGGCCATTGCAAGGCCTTGAATCACAAACTCGGCAATCTCAGTCACGAGAGGGTTGTTGCATTGGCACTTTCCGACAGCGACACCGTGACCCTTAGGACGACCGTCGTACTGGTAGGGGATAGGCTTGTCCAAGGGGAAATGACCGACACATCCATAGTTGGTTGTGTTGCCAGCGGCGGCACCGGCGTCGAGCTGCGGCTTGCAAAAGTTGAAGCAGTCAGCAATTTTGAAGTCCTGGCTTTCTTTGGGATCCTCAAAGATGGCGCAGTTGTCGGCATTTTTCTTGCGAGCATCGCCAACAATATCCGGAGCTTTCTCTTTGCACTCTGGAGCTCCATGATCAAGGTCATTTGTGATGCAAGCGAATTGGTCAGAGTGCTCACGCGCAGCAGGAATGGGATCGGTATCACAAAAGCTCTCCGGGCAATGGCCATGCTTGCAAGCAAAAAGGCACAGAATGTTCATTTCGTCATTCTGATCTTCAAAGGCTCGGACTGAGAGCTTCGTCTTATCTTCCTGCGGGAAGGGCTTGGGCTTGCCATGCTGGAGACACTCGCAGGCTTTGGTAGGACAGATGCCAAAGCTGCACGAGAATTCGCATAGATCGCCACTAGTGAAGTTTTTATCAGTCCCTAGCGTGCAGTTGCCTGGTTCCGGGATCTTGATTTCCAATTCTGGAGGAGCTGCCTGAGAACTGGGTGGTGGAGGTAGAGACGTATCAATGGCTGAGCATAGCTGACTTCCACCCAACAACAGTGGTAAAATTGTAAATGTACGCATGGTGGTGAATTATTTCTTATCCTAAACTAGGCTTAGTTAAACATGATGGGAAAAGCTCGTTCTTTAATAGATACTGTGCCTTTCATGCCAGCACTTTTCAAACGCGCAGGTTACAGCCACGTTAATCCTGCGACAGCATCTTCTACCGTTCGGTATCGCCGTTTACGTATCGGATGAGGGGACTACAGGTGAAACTTTAGGTGGAAAATACCGTTGAACTTGGAATGATAGAGATGGATTTGCCTTTCTGACGCACGGACTGTATGTGTCGGATCTGTTCCGGAGTGGCATCCTGCGGCAAGCGAGGTTTTGTCGTTAAGCGACGACCTATAAAAAGAAGGTGTTGGATAAAGTAGAGAAACAGAATTTGAAAGAGGTTACTTTTGAACGAGATATGGGAGAGGAAGGAGGGCCGCTTCCAGAGTGTCTGCCTCTGGTGATGCAAAGTAACTAGATCAGAGCATAGCTTAACACTTGTACGCTGCCGACGCTGACTACCTCGATGCATATAGAGAAGTGAAAAGAAGCATAAAATAATTTATTTATGAGAATTCGTATTTTAAACAGCGTCAAATATAATCTAAAGACAATGGGATTGCTGGTATAAGGCTATAGGACTTCTCAATACAAACGAGCTGACGCTCGGACGTGATCGAGCGCGAGCCTTGTATCATCACGTCAGTTGTGCTGCATGTATGCTACTGAAATTCGGTCATTAATCTTTCTAATACAGTTTCAGAAACCAACGGGATAAAATTCTCGGCAGTTTCCCTTTCTAGAAGCCATAACTGCAGATCTAGATGGTGATATGCGCCGCTAAGGCAACCACGCTATGAGCCTATTAAATCCTATGCCATATATGCAATCCAAGCTACGCAAGATAGAACAATAAAAATCTATAGTATATAATTAATCCTCGAAAAATGCAACAGGAACTCCCTGGCCAGGAGTTCCGATGATGTCTGCTTGGAGCGTTTGCGCTGCCCAGTCGCCTCTGTATTCTAATCGATGGAACTGTTGAGCGAATCGGACCACTATGCAGTGTTAGTGGGAAATAAAGAATCATATGAGTAAAAAAGGGCAATACTTACAGCAGAATGCAATTTCAGTCAATGCAAAGTTTTGGCCAACGCAGATACGTGGCCCGCCATGGAACGGGGTGTAAGTCCAAGGCTTGGGTGTCCAGACCTCCCAGCGCTCAGGGCTAAAGACCGACGGGTCAAGGAACGTGGGCGACGTAGGAGGGTAAAGATCATGCCGCGTGTGCATACCAATAGTATGAATTGTTACCGAGTCGCCCTTGAGGAGGACAATGTCAGGCTCACCAGGGTTACCTGGTACAGACGTGTCTTGAAGAACTTCTCTCATGTTGATAGGGACAGCTGGATGAAGACGTAAGGTCTCATTAATGACACTTTTGAGATACGTCATGTCCTTGAGAATCTCATACGTAGGGCGACCAGTGGTTCCGAGGGCATCGAGCACCTCCTTGCGCAGGCGTGACCAGGTCTGCGGGTACGCCGACATTTCGTAAATTGCCCAGCTCATGGTTGCAGCAGTAGTGTCACGGCCGGCTAGAAGTACTGACAAAATCTGGTCACGGATGACTTTGGGATCTTTTGAGTACCGGGCGATGCTGTGAAGAAAGGTAAAGTCTTGGTCCGATTTAGAGAGCTCCTCCAGCTCCTGGTCTTGGAGGGCGACGGCTCGCGCAATGATGGGGTTGATGAAAGCCTCAATCTTGTCTATAGAAAGGAGGTAGTCCTTTTTAGGAATGATTGGGGCAAAGGGGCTGTACATGTTAGTCGTTTTTGGGAACCCATGAGTTGGGACAATTTCTTACTTGAGAACAAAGATTAACATTTGCTTGCGCTGAGCGACGCTCATGGCTTCGGCGACTTCGTGATCAGGGCTTCTTTGCGTTAGCAATACTTTTTAATCCTATCAGTATCTTTTAAAACCTACAAATCCAAGCTGTTGACGTTGTCACCGAGGAGGAAGTCGGTAGTTGTGTCCAGGGTCCATCGATAAAAGTAGTCTTTTACATCCAGCGTGACACCTGACGGAGGTAGCTTCGATAGGAGCTTGCTAGTACAACTGTCGAAAATATCTAAGTTCCTCAGCCTGTCCTTGACAAACATGGGTCGAATCATGGCGCGGCTGTCGTGCCATTGCTGCCCATCTGTTGCGAAGATGCCATCCCCAAGGAAAGGTCGCCAGAGGCGATGCCACATGGCGCCATGGCCGAAGTCGGCAAATTTTGTGGCAAGGACGGTTTTGATTTGTTCCGGGTCTCGAGTAATGAGAACCCTTTTCTTGTTTGTCAGGCTAAATTCACCAAAGTGCTGAAGGTTGCCGTTCTTCTGTCGGGGCAAGCTGTCGAGGATACGAGTACAGTTCTCAGCAAACTGGTTTTGGAAGTGACTCTGCGCAATGCCAAAGTATAGTCGAGTTGCTTTGTAACAGCGTCAGCATTTTCCTTTCGATTCCCCATGTTCGTGTAGCTCCAGCGATGCTTGTGCAGACTTACCTGTAACAATGTTGCCAGCAATGACAGGCGCTCGTGCACCGCCGGCTCTGCGGATGCGAAACTCAACTACAGCCTTGCGGAAATAGACGGTAATGAGGATCAGAGCAAGAAACGCGGCGCACAAGGTTGCGGCATTGGCGTTTAATATCTCATCTACCAGCGCCATAGCTGATATGGCAGTTGGGCGCAGGCCAACAGCACGAGTCGTAGTTGACCAGAAGCCGTACGGAGCGAGAAAAAGGAGAGCAGACGGGATAAATATGTGACCCCCCAAGATGTATCTTTGTTCTAATTGGCGATCTACTGCTAAGCTAGTTCGTCAGCAGCCAATGGAAGCTAGTCACATGAGCAGCTAGCTGAGCTGGCATAGCTGCTGGCTGTTGTTGGATATATATAGCGAGTAAAAGCTTGGCATGGGAACGGGCTCGGCAACGGGATTATCAGACGAAAGGAGAAGAATAAATTTGCATTTGGTCGGGATTGGACGAATCCACAAGATCGTTTGCTAAACGGCGTCGTAAGAGTGGTGAAAGACCGAGTTAGCCAGCGATGCCCACCGCCAGATCCCTGCTTGGCTCACATGTTGGAACGGAAATCTTTAAACGGTAGCGGAGCTGAACCACAAGGCCCGCCTCATCGTGTGTAAGCTGGAAAGCGAAAGTTGGGATGGCGTGCAGTGAATGGCTGTGTTTACGAAGTGGTTTGGAAGCTCGGCGAATTCTCATAGGCTGGCTTTACGCTGAAGATGCCCTGCAATGTAAGACGCCTGCAGGCGATGTATGGGGCAGTTTTGGGGGCAGTTGATAGGCTGGAAGCCGAAGCCTACAGCGGGTTTGGTATGGGCTTACAGGGGGCTGCAGAGAGGTGCTGACGGACGCTGCTGATAGGCTGGAAGTGCGATGGGAAGACCGGCAGTTTGGCATTTAAAGAGATGCGATTGTGTCTTAATATTTACTAAGTTATATGATAAGGCCAATTGAGATGCGAGGCTATGTAAGCCGATATTGGCAGCTAATGTAGTGTCTATTCTAGTAATGGTGCCACTGCAGTAGCCCACCTATCCTGCTATTCGATATCTTTTACATTGATCTTCTTCGAGTGATTTTGTTTTTGCAGCGGACGGACGACGAACAACGCGACGCCACACTTAAATACACAGCGCTGTTGGTAGGGCTATTACTGCTAAATCTACAGCAATGTCCCCTATAAGCAGCGTCTTATGGGGGAGAAGGTACAAACAAGTGTAAAAAAGCGTACAAAAATGTCCATCAAACCAACGCTAACCCAATTAACACTTGCCATTCACAATGCATAGTTTCCTGCCCCCCTTACCATATTATTATTTCCTCAGTATCCCCCTGGCACCTATTTTTTTGAGCCTCAATGCCACGCTCCAAAACCCCACGAGGTGTCGCTGTCCAATACGCTTGGCCCACGCGGAGCCCCCTTTCGGCGCCATCGTTTTTCCGCCTCCACCAACCGGCGAAACTCGGGACAAAGTTTCCTTTTTGCTGGCAGTACAGCTTACCTGGTCGCAAAGCTTCCTTTTCCCCTACGACCACTCTCCTCTCTTCCCTATCGTCGCCCATCGCGTAGCCTCGCGATCTTGCTCTTTTCCTTCTCCTCTATTTCGTTTTATCAATTGGCTACCCTGCCAATCCTTCTATAATAATGTTCAAGTTCGGTCGCAGCCGCGCTATTGCGTCGGCCTTCCAAGCCTCCAAGGTGCGCTCGTTTTTCTCCAATATCCCGCCACCCCTCGTAGGATCCGAATTGTCCACGAATTCGTCTGCTAACTCGCAATTTGTTTTGCTGCATCTAGCTCCAGGTTACCCCCTCCGTCAGACTTCCCGGCATTGCCCAGCAGAAGCGAGCTCTCAGCATCCACGAGTATCTCTCCGCCGACCTCCTGAGACAGGTAATTCAACACCCCCCCCAAAACAATCGATTCAACCAGCGATGCAATTGCATATATACTTACACTTATTTCCTAATTTTAGTACGGTGTTGGTGTTCCCAATGGCGCCAATGCCAAGACCGCTGAGGAGGCCAAGGCCATCGCTAAGAAGATTGGTACCGACGACATGGTTATCAAGGCCCAGGTTCTTGCTGGTGGCCGTGGTAAGGGTACCTTCGACAACGGCCTGAAGGGCGGTGTCCGCGTCATCTACTCTCCCCACGAGGCTGAGATGTTTGCTGAGCAGATGATTGGCCACAAGCTCATCACCAAGCAGACTGGCGCTGCTGGCCGTCTCTGCAGCTCCGTCTACATCTGCGAGCGCAAGTTTGCTCGCCGTGAGTTCTACCTCGCCATCCTTATGGACCGTGCTACTCAGACCCCCGTCATTGTCTCCTCTTCTCAGGGTGGTATGGACATTGAGACCGTCGCCAAGGAGAACCCCGATGCCATTGTCACCACCTACATCGACATCAATAAGGGCGTCACCGACGAGATTGCCCGTGACATCTCCACCAAGCTTGGCTTCAGCGAGCAGTGCATTGAGGATGCCAAGGACACCATCCAGAAGCTCTACAAGATCTTCCGCGAGAAGGATGCTACTCAGATCGAGATCAACCCCCTTTCCGAGACCAACGACCACCAGGTTCTCTGCATGGATGCCAAGTTCGGTTTCGACGACAACGCCGACTTCCGCCAGAAGGAGGTCTTTGAGTGGCGCGATACCACCCAGGAGGACCCTGATGAGGTCCGCGCTGCCCTGTCCAACCTCAACTTCATCAAGCTTGATGGTGACATTGGCTGCCTCGTCAACGGTGCCGGTCTTGCCATGGCTACCATGGATATCATCAAGCTCAACGGTGGCCAGCCCGCCAACTTCCTTGACGTCGGTGGTGGTGCCACTCCCGCCGCCATCCAGGAGGCCTTTGAGCTCATCACCAGCGACCCCAAGGTCACTGCCATCTTCGTCAACATTTTCGGTGGTATCGTCCGTTGCGACCACATTGCTACCGGCTTGATCAAGACCGTCGAGAACCTCAACCTCAAGATCCCCATCATTGCTCGTCTCCAGGGTACCAACAACGAGCAGGCTCACAAGATCATCAACGAGTCCGGCCTCAAGATCTTCTCCATTGATGATCTCCAGGACGCCGCTGAGAAGTCTGTCCAGCTGTCCAAGGTTGTCAAGCTCGCTCGCGACATTGACGTTGGCGTCGAGTTCACCCTTGGCATCTAAAGTGCTTGCTCCCTGCTAGCAGCACGCTGTTGAAAATGGAGGCGGATTGGAACGGGATTCCGTGTAATATTTAAACTTTTCGGCCGGGGAGACACTGGGAATATTGTGGAAAATTGTGTAGCATAGGTGACTCGACGCAGAGGGAGAGATGACTTTTCATTACATGCTTTTTCATTAGACTTGACCCTAAAACAATTGTACGACAATTTTTCTTGAGTAACAGAGCCGCCTTTTTTTTCTTTGTAGCTTTAATAAATGAGTCTCTAAATTGTAGCAGCATCGTTTCTATTGCCGTAGCGCCGTTCGACCGATCGACTTCCGTTAGAGCCGCATAATGAGGCTCATGCGGGCCGCTGAAAGAAACACAACCCTGTCTTGTAGAATTAGTCATGCAGTACGTACTTATCAACCTAGAATCAGATATTGCGCAACAAAGTAATTTTCTTCTTTCCCTTGTTCCGGCCGTCTCCGGAGTAGTGGATGCCGAACATTGGCCGACCTATCGGCGGCTTACACCAGCATTCACACTTAACGGTACTAATAAGTCTATATGTCTGTGTGTAATGGTAGACATCTCGTTAGAAGTTGCCTAAATACTATAAATAATTTGAATTGCAGCTTATATAGCATTAGAACCGATTAATATATGTGGTACTTCAATGGCGTCCTTGGCTGGGCGTATGTAGGATGAGCTACTATAACAATGGTAGCCCTAGGAGGAGAATTGGTATATTTGAAAACGCCACAGCTAACGGCCTCTAAAAGTAGAATTCCCGTTATACCCGCCTTTTATATGGAAAACGGTAGAACAATTGAGTCAGAGCGATGTCAAGGGCTGCAGCGGGTGGACTCCACTGATAGCGCTCCGTCGTGGATTTCCGTGATAGCCGTCCGTTCCGCTCTCCGGGAATGCTTCGTGCGGATAGTGAATGACAACGACAGCGGTGAAAATTTCGCATAAAGAATGGAAATATAAATAGGAGACAGAATCCGGTAGCTATTTTCTGTAAAATTAATCTGATAGACAATCTACTACTGTATCATCACTCTGCCACAAACCAAATCGATTGCACTTACACCGAGTCCAATCATTACTACAAGATACACACAATACCAACTCCTCTATCAGACCATACCGAAATCAAAACCATGCCTTCCGAAACCAAGAACTGGTTCTCTCGCCTTTTTGCTCCTCGCCCAGCGTGGCGTGTTGACCCAGTTTGCAACTGCACCTCCTGCTTTGAGCAGCAGATGCGTCTCCCTCCAACGCAACAATCTACACCGGCTTCTTCGAAACGATCTAGCCTCTACAATGGAGCCAATACTCATTCCGTGAACAATGTTCGTTCCTCGGCCGACTTTACCACTCTTTAAATTCGGCCTTAGTGCTTGAAACTGTCTTTCTTTGGGGAAGCGCAACGCGGCGGTTATGAAACGAATAGAGAGCTAATATAGACGGGGATGGAGACATTTTGTACTTTTATTCAATACATAGATACCAATTTACTTTGTTTTTTCGCACCATTTTTTTCTTCCACTGCATGATGTATATGTGATGTCATCTAGGCTTAGACGGGATCGGGGCGTGCGTAGCGGGGCTACGCTAGCCATTCACCTATCTCAGCTACATCTAAATGTATACGAACTATCTCTATCAAAAACTATAGACAGTTGTAAGATATGGATGCAGATTCACGGCTAGACCTTTCAATATTAAGGGCACTGGATCTTGACCCAGCCAACTCTACGATTTCATCCCATGGAGGATCTGGCTTCGCCTCAACTTTTAAGCTGTCGGGCACTCGTGGCGGCAGGACGAAGAATTACTTTATCAAGACAGGCAGCGGCGCCGATGCAGAAATCATGTTTAAGGGTAAGAAACAGCTCAGATTATACAACTCTATCAGGCTAACCTAGTAAGGTGAATATACCTCACTTAACGCCATCCACGAGACAATGCCAGACTTTTGCCCCAAAGCCTACGCACATGGGCAAATGTCTTCACCTAACAGGTACTTTTTGGCAACCGATTTTCTAAATCTGAGATCATCGGCTACTAAGGGTCCAGGGAAATCTCTCGCTATGAAGTTAGCTGAACTTCATAGCACCCCGGCGCCAATACCCGACGGCTACAATGAGCCCATGTTTGGCTTTCCGGTCTCGACGTGCTGCGGGGAAACCGTTCAGGATAATTCATGGAAGTCATCGTGGGCCGAATTCTACGCTGAAAATCGTATAAAATATATCACCCGGATAGCTATTCAAAATCACGGTTATGGGGATAGCCTCGATGCTCTGGTCGAAAAGCTTGCAACTACTGTTATCCCAAGACTGCTTGGTGAAGAGACGCTCGGCAGGATTCAACCCGTTCTCATCCATGGGGACTTGTGGAGCGGCAATCATTCTGAGGGCCAAATCGAGGGCCAGGCGGGCTCAGAACATTTAGTATACGACCCGTCATCAGTATACGGACATTCCGAGTACGAGTTGGGCATTATGAGAATGTTCGGTGGCTTCGGCAGTAACTTCTGGAAGGAGTATCATGAGGTCATCCCAAGAGCGGAACCAGTCAAAGAATATGATGACCGGCTCGCTTTATATGAATTGTAAGGTTGCCTTTTATCTTTTAGTCTTTTTAAGCATCTACTTATCAGCAAGCAATAGGTATCACCAGTTGAACCATTACGCCATGTTTGGTGGAAGCTACAGAGAAAGCGCCATGTTCATTATGGGTCCTCTATTAAGAAAGTATGGGGGCTAGCTTGTCTCATCACAACGCAGCGTACAAGTCGAGGCTAATGTCTTAAGAATAATATCTTGTAATGAATTCTGAAATGTGATACCTGCGCCGTGTAAATGGTAAACACCCAGTCTATATGCATATATACAGTGACCACACCGCCCGCCACCCAGGATGCTTGTTCGCCTGTCACACCTATGACGCCAGCGTAGCCTGTCTTTCCACCGGAGCCTCCTCCTGCACATCCTCGGCCACCCGCTGCTGCGGTAGTTGTGAATTTGGAACTGTCGGCAGCTTGGGTTCCTTGGACCCCAGAATCTCCCGCTCCAACGCTGCGAGCTCGTCCTCGACTTCTTCCTCGTCGTGATTTGAGATTCGGCCGCCAAGCATATCGCTGATTTCCTGTTCGCAAAGATTATGTCAGTATTCCAACAAGCTAAACAGGTTGAGAACGCAAATAGAGAGAAAAACATACCTGCTGGTACGCAATAGCGTCAGCCGTATCGCCCATGAGCTTCTCGACATGCTCTATGCCACCCATCTCGGCGTGGATCTCTTGAAGGACCTTTGTACCCTGCTGTAGACCAAAAACGACGTCCTTTTGTATTTGCGCAAACTCAACGTTGCTTGTGAGCTGCTCCAGCTGCTCCAGCTGGGCGTCCGTCTTTGCTAGCAGCGACTCCTGGTACTTCTTCCGTCGCAGAGCCAACAAGGCCCGCTTCTTGTCGCCTTTTGCCAGCATCTGCTTGGCGATGTCTGTTTCCTTATCGGTAAGAATCGTTATACGGCGCTGATATTGGTGTAGCTTGTCGCGCTGGTTCTTCATGTCCAGGATCGCCCTATGGTCTCAGATTAGCATGGCGTCGCGCATGGCAGGACTGGGGAGAGCTACTTGTCCTGGGCGGTGACTTTGCTTGCGTTGCCCCCCATGATGGCGATTTCCTGTCTCTCTGCGCGAGAATATCACGCCAACGACCGGAATTTGGTACGGACAGAGTGTTGCGAGGGCGGTTGTCGGAGTGGAAGGCGGTGATGACATGACGCATGCGACAGTGGGCAGCCCATTAAAACGACAACCCCACCAAAAAAACAACGGTCACGTCACTTGCTCCATCTTCACCATCATGTAGCTTCTACGGATATTTTCACACAAATCCAATATTTTTTACTTGAAAATTTATTGCAAAAATAAATATGTACTGAGAATATGTAGTTTTTGGAGTTTTGCTCTTCCGCCCAACAGACACTATATGGCACCCGGTTACAACAACGAGAGTGCGTACCACGATGCCTCTGTCGTTATCTACCAATCAAACGCTTCAATCAGCAGCTTTGTCACTATAACTTTACCATCCTGCGAATGACGAGAAATACCAGACACAAACTGTCGAACATCGTCAGTCATGCCGACCGGCCCACAGACTGTGATCAAAGTTCCGCCCTTGTTTGACTTCAAGTCTCTCTCAAGCAATGATCTCAGGTCGAGTCGCTGTCCAACAGAAAGAGTAACATCAACATCGTACCATGGAGTTTTCTCCTTGGTCTCAGCGGACGATACCTGAAAGCCGAGCATGTTCTCAAGCGAGTGCAGCAGGGGCACGGTACGAACGCCCCAGTAAAGCTTCTTTGTACCAGTGGGCTTAGTTAGCGAGTGGAAGCTTGCCAATGCCGGGAGGACACCAGTGATACCAACACCACCAGCAATGCATATGAGATTGGGAAATTCGGATGTGGGAACGACCTCTTCCACGTGGGGGGAGAGCATGCTGTGACCATATGAACCCTCTACCAGGACAGGCAGCCCCTTGAGGCCCCAGTTGGCAGTCATGAGTTTGGCAGTGATACCCTTTTGCCTCTTCACAAATAGGACAATGCCAAGCTCTTTTGGTGGTAGATCCAGTTCGGTATCAGAAACCGTAACCGGGGAGATTGGGCTGTCTAGCGTGACTGACTTTCCGGTAACAATTTCTGTTACGGAGTTGGATCTGCTCACCAAGGTAGACGAAATCTTGTTGCAGTAAGTCACTGCAGCAATGGAGAATGGGTGGCTTTCCCATATGCGCCACTTGCTAACAGTGGGAAAGTGAAGATAGGCATGACCGACTGCTGAAATTCCAGGAATATCGATGCGATAGTAGTCCTCGTCAATGTACGTCACAAAGGCACGTTTGACGCCATGGCGCGCGATACGAACGAGTCGGATGACTCTGTCAAATGCCCATACCGCGATAGATATAGTGATCCAATTCTGATATCCGTACGAATACTCGTACTTGTCCACAATGTGGTGATAGGATCCGTATAGAGCAACGATGCTGACGGCAATATGTGCAGCAATGAAGAGTTCATATGCTATCGCCCGAATAGGACGGATAGACGAGACGATGAGCACAGAGAACGCGACAGTTCCAACAGAGCCCCAAATCCAATACTTTTCCGTGGGTTCTTGCTCCCATCCAGGTTGTGTACGTGCAATGTACAAAAACACAACACTGTGTATGATGGCGTGAATGGTGCAAATGAGTGCCATCCAGCGATGCAGAAGCAAAAATGTTGTTCTTGACCAGTTGGTGGCCCAGAGAAGGACGGAGTTGCGACCGGCGTATAGTATGACCAATGGCAAATTGCACATTGTCAGTATACCGGTACGATTGGCCAGGTAGCGAAGAAACTCTGCCCGCGGGCTCGTATACCACGCGCTTGGGTTGGCGACCTCGAATCCAACAAAACTCAGGACAATGTTGATGATAAAGAGATATGCAATAAAGATGGCTTGACCTCGAGTTGGCATGACAAAGAGTTTTGACAGCAAGCCAACATATTTAGGATCGATGAGGGGAGGATCAACAATGTAAGCATTGAACTTGCTGATGACAGCCGATGGCCAGGGGAGAAGTCTCAGCAAGCTGAGAGCAATTGGTAGAAGTGCACCAGTGAAGAAGAGGATGAAGGAATAGTTGCCGCTGGTAATTTCATCTCTGATGTAAGCTCGGATGCTTTGGCGGTACGGCTCATAGGCCTCATCTGACATGGTCGCGGTGTAGTTGAGCAAGGCAGTGGCGTTGTATGATTTGTCTTGCGTTGTCTTGATGGATGCGACGACTTCGACGTAGCTGGCAGGAAGCGATGAGTTGATGCCGTACTCTGCAAACTCTTCCTTCCAGTGGTCGTTCCAAAATTCGAACAGTGTAACAACAGAAACATCGTTACATCTTGACTTGAGACACAGTGCAAGGGTTTGCAGATAGAAATCATTGTGTGCTTGGCATGCAGGTGATGGGGAAGCAACAACTTTCCATCCTGGGCCAGATGGTAGTTCTGGTGCATCCGATGCAGGCATCCCCTCAGTGGGAGGCAGGATATCTGCCTCTGTGCAGTTGAGGGGAGGAGAGAGCGCATAAGTACAGGCCCAGGCACAAGCCGGTTGCATGACCTGGATGCCCATTCCAATAAAGCCCGAGCCAGAAATAGAACTGGAGAGTGTGAGCCATGGGAACGACAGCCAAACCAGCAAGGCTGGTGTTGGCCATGGCTTGGACAAGTACATGACGTCTTTGTCTCCAACAGGAACTAAATAGTGCAAGGGGAAGAAGATGTATGGAAGAAAGACGCTGCAGAAAGAAGGGATGATGTGCAACGGCGGAATGTAACGGTGGAAAGGATATGGGCAGGATTGCTTGCTTTTATCTAGGTCAGGAAACAGGCTGAACGGTACAACTGGAGCCGGAGGATTGACCCATATGCGTTAGGGCCAATGGAACAACAGGTTATGGGTGTCGCTGCAAGTGCACATGCAAAAAGGGAATGCGGAAGCAACGCGAACATGGTGCACTAAGCGCATAATGGCCAGTTACAGTATGGATCATAGTCGGGACAATACGCCGTTGTATGTCCCCATATCTCGGTTAGACTACAAGGACAAGTCCGGTTACGAGTGGCTGGTCAAGCGGCTTCCCGTTGGCTGGCTAGTGGACTGGGTGGTGTGGTAGGTGCACTAAAGTTCGCATGTAGATTGTTTAGCGTCATTTAATGACATGGAGAAAAGCCCGAGGTGGATCGTCGTTGGTGTGGTAGTCATGTACCCTGCGTGAGGAGGGACACACGGGTCCAGGCTGATGGAAGGAATGGAAGGTAGTGAATTAATTGGGCTCATTGTATGCAAGGTTGGGTTATAGGAGAGCAAATGTTATACGACCTTGCTGCGAACCAGCATACGTCAATATGCACCAGCACGCGACGATTTTTGAGGGACAGATTTGGGCGACTGTCGAAACCGGGACATGTTATGGTGCGGCTGAAAAAAAAAAGAAAATGATACGAAACAGTAGGGCACAAGATCCATTGCATATGGGTGCCGACACCATGGACCCGTTGTGGTGGTGGTGGAGCTTTGATCAGATTGATAAGATGAAAATTTTACGGCGCATCTGGTTAGACCGCCAGTCTATCCCGCAGGACTCACGCGGAATCAGGCCGACGCCGGCCGAGGGAAATGGAGCTGAAGGACTTTTTGCCTCCTCCGAGTTTTACCGTTGAGGACTTTTTTTTTGTGTTTTTTTTTGTTCTTGCCGGCTCTGCGAATTTCTCAGCCGGCCGGCCGATGCAACTTGCACCATTCCATCGCAACCATGCAGCACATCCCCGCCTCTGCTCTGCGTGGAAGGCTACTTGCCAAGGCAAAGATGTAGATTGCCAAGTTGGATGATTCGACGCCATTTAACCGGGCCAGATTGGTTTGCACCAGTTTGAAATCACCAGATTGCTATCCGTCCACAGCTTCACCAGGCACGACGCAAACCAGAGTCAACGTTGCGCTTGTGCGCGGGGAAGCAGACACCACGGCATGCACATGTGTCCTCGTGCCTGCTGCACATCAATACCACCAAAGGGGAAGCCGTTCATGTAGAGTCGGGATGGCGGATGCAGCCTCCCCCACACGGCGCGCAGCTTTAGCTGCTTGGTTCTGCTTACGTGCTACTTTAATATAAATTGACAAGACCTGCCACTCTCCATCCACCGAGCCGGATGGGAAGATGGTTTACGTGCTACGTTTCTTACCTGTAAATGAAGCCTGGGTGCGTGTAGTATGTGCCGATCCAGCAAAAAGAGGGCTTGGCTTTGGGCGGAGAGATGCGTCGGGCTGAAAAAGCGACGAGAGGGGCAGCGGGGGACCAGGACTTTGGTGGCTTGTAGTGGATAGTGCGCCCTCTCTGACTTGATTTGGTCAGTGTGGAATACCGTTGAGGTATGAAGAAAGATTGTTGTGGCACGAGGGACAGCCTGAGGACGACGTGAGGAGAAACGGGATATTCCTTGATTGTGGAAGAGCTGTGGCTTGTTTCACGCGCAGTTCCCTCCGCGGCCGGAGACGAAGGGATCTTTGAGAAAAGGGATAGGTGCTGAGAAAACAAAGCTTCTAGATTAAAGTTAGTTAATGTTTGGTGACTGCATAAAGTGGATTCGTTGTAGTGTTTGTTCGCACAAGAGAAAAGTGTAGTACGCAGTGTATTCGAGCTACTGTTCGCGATGGGACCCCATCCAATAGTTTATTTGAGCCGCTTGGAGGATTTCCGGACATTAGCGGCATTTAGGCTGGGGAGATGTGATGACCCTTCGAAGGCTAAAACAAAATAAGCTCTTTTGAAAAAAGTCCACACGGTACCTTGCATGTAGACTACCTGGCATTCCGAGTCTAGCGTGGCATCATGACGGGGAGGTTCCGGATGAAACGCAGAGTGTAGAATTATGTAGGTAAGGGCGAGCGACTTGATAGAAACTTGATGACTCGATTTTGAAATTATTTTTACATTTTTCCTTTTTAGAATTCTTGTTATTAAACTATGTAAATGTGATGCTAAATGTAGAGGGGCTTTGCTAAGCTCCGTGCTATCTGTACGTGAGCAGAAGCTATCTGATTTTCAGACGGCCCAAATACAATCAAAATGCACTCTTAAAAACCTACTTATATGTTAAGATAGGTTTTGCGCTACATAAAAACGTATAATCTTGTAGAGTATGTGTGATTATTACTAATATTCTATAAAGTAGCGATGTTTTTGTTTGTATAAACAGATGTTGTTTTTATCTTTGAACGTCTAGCAAATTAGTACCTAGTATCTTCGTACTAACGTGGTTCACAAGCGACCGGGTCGCTTTTTGCGGTATTTAGTAGAGAGTTGCAAATAAAATTCTATTTTAATTCTAAATCAATTTCTCTACTATGCCGAATGAACGTGATATTAATTTGGCTTTATTAACCCTCGAAAACGACACTAATTTAAGTATCAAAACATGTGCTAAGATCTATAGTGTACCATACAGTACGCTACAGGCACGGAAAGCAGGCCGCCGTAGCCGTGTTGAGTTGATTGGAAATGGCCGCAAGCTTACAGAGCACGAAGAGAATTCAATTATTAAATATATAATTGATCTGAATTCTAGATCGTTTCCGCCAAAGCACAGCCAAGTTGCAGAAATGGCTAAAGCGTGCCTACAGTCAAGAGATCGAGGATCTAATGCGTGTAAGTGTAACTCATATTACCAAGGAAGACTTCTTTGCAGCCTTCCATATTGCACACAACAAAGCAATGACATCAGCAAATATACAATCAGGATTTAGAGCAACGGGGATTCTTCCATTTAATCCTAATTATGTGATATCGCAGTTAGATATCCAGCCAAGTACTCCATCGCCGCCAATACTACCAATAATATCGCCAACTTGGAGCCCCAAAACACCACACAATTCAATTGAAATCAACTCACAAACCAATGACATTCAAAATCGCATAATTCAACACCAAAATAGCTCGCCAATCCCGATTCTAAAAAGCGTTAATCAGCTGGCAAAAAGTACAACCAAAATCATGCATGAGGTCACCTTAATACGCAGTGAGCTTCACGAGCTTCGGAAGGCAAATACACGCCTTTCCCGACGCCGAATTACAAAAAAGAAACACATAAAAGATGGAGGATCACTTACTTTTGCAGACACAAATACAATTCAGTCACAAAAAGAAGTAAATACTCAATTACAAGCCGATATTCGAAGCTATAATACATTTACACGGCTGCAATCAACAACTAAACGGCGCTGTACAAAGTGTGGAAATACTGGGCATAGTTCACGAACTTGTAAAGTCACTTAAATAGAGGTAGAAAAATTATTTAGATATATGAATATATTCTTTTCTATACTACGAAATTCTAATTAATTATTTTATTGATGATATCTTCAAAAAGCGACCCGCTCGCTTGTGAACCACGTTAACTTACTTCTGTAAATCAAACAAATATACTTCAAATTTAAACATAACACTACTAAACCCACTATGACCAAATTACTAAACTCACTATAGCCAACCCACTAAACTCACTATAACCAAACCATTAGCCCTACTATAACCAAACTACTAAACTTACTGCAAACCAATTTTAGAGATAAAAAAAACTATTATAGTGGATAGAGTGATGTATTTGATTTCGAGTTCGTAAAATCCATTTGCCTGATCTATAGCAGCGGCGCTCTTTTATAGCGAGGCGACGCCCCCCCCGGACCGGCCCCAGCTACCGGCCGGCAGAAAATTTGTGGGGCTGGCAGCTGCAAAATAATTTTGGTTGTCGGTCTTGCCATTGCAAAACCATGCAAATTCCAACATCACCATCAACTACGATGGCGCCCAACATAGTCCGTGCGCATACCAGTTTGCGCACGGCTTTTGATCGCGATGTTTATACCGTTATCAAACGGCTTGAAGAACAACACAACGACGGGAGGCCGTTCAAAACGGTCAACATGGCGTACGAAGCCATTAAGAGTTCCAATTCTAGCCTCAGCCGCCAGAAAAAGCGCCCTCTAGAGGATGCCATTGACCGTGTGCTCCAGGTCCGCAGCCGAGAACGTGAGGACTCGGAGGATTCCGAGGCTGCTCTTGAAGAAGACGAGTCGGAGAAGCCACAAGACGAGAGATTCTTGCTCAATCGCCAAATGGTCAAGCACTGGAACGTCGAACCCGCGTCGCAACCTACTAGCGAGCCACCGTCAAAGAAGAAGAGACGAGTCGAGACCGATGACGAGGACACCAAGATGCTCGATACCCCGCAGAATGGCACGGCGCCCTCTGATACGAAATCGACTGACAAGACAACAAAAGAGCAGCAGAAGAAGACGCCCAAGGCGACTAGATATACTGTTGAAGAGAATGTTGCGCTACCGCCCGTTGGTGGTCTTAGTGACGTGTACCGCAGTCTGTTGGGTCAAACAGGCTTCCGTCTTCGCCGTCCAGAGCTCTACCGCGGCAATAGCGGCCTCGTACCAGGAATCCTCCTTTCTGGCCCTCCCGGCGTTGGAAAGAAGTCGCTTATCCGCACGCTGGCTGCCGAGCTCTCAGCCCCAATTGTGTCTCTGAAGGCATGCTTCCAGGACCCTGAGCGCATGGAGAAGAGTCTCACAGAAGCGGTTGACGCTGCGTTGAGTATCTCTCCCAGCATAGTCTTCATTGAGGATTTGCATTTGTATATGGGTAAACCAGGTGGATCTACACACAATGAACACCACCAAAAGGCCATATTTTTATTCGAGAGGCAAATGGAGCGCATAGCGCAACACGATATATCGAACGGCGGCGTTCTTGCCATGGCTACTACATCACGACTTACGGATATTGACCCTACCGTTTTACGCTATGGTCTGTTTGAGAGAACGGTTCCATTGCGCGTTCCAGACCGAGATGCGCGAGTTGACATTCTCAAGGTTCTGACAAGGGATTTGGAGCTTGCTGAGAATGTTGACTTTACGGAGCTTGCAAAACTGATGCATGGTTTCGTTGGTGCTGATATTGCCACTGTGATTAGACTGGCTAGACAGGCGTCTATCAACCGTATAGTATCCAGGCAGAACAACGACTATGATCGCTTTTTGCAGTTGGAGCTTGATGGCACGTCAGTTCGTAAGCTAGCTGACGGCGCTCTTGATTTGTGTACAATGCTTGCCTCATACCCCGAATCCAGCCCCGACGACACCATCTGCGCCGAAGACTTCAAGTCTGTCATTGGTGGTTTTGTTCCATCACTGCGCAAAGAAGGCTTCACAGTGGTGCCTAGTATTACATGGGACCAAGTTGGTGCTCTCCGTGCCGTCCGCGACCAGCTCAACATGTCCATCATTGGCCCTATCAAAGATCCGGAACTGTACCGTGCCTTTGGTATGCAGCGACCAGCAGGTGCACTGCTCTGGGGCCCCCCAGGCTGTGGTAAAACACTCGTTGCGCAGGCTGTCGCCAATGAGGCACAAGCCAGTTTTATTCTAATCAACGGTCCTGAGCTCTTGAACAAGTATGTTGGTGAATCAGAGCGTGCAGTGCGTGAATTATTCCAGCGTGCCCGGTCATCTACGCCATGCATCCTATTCTTTGATGAGATTGATTCGATTGTCCCTAGACGTGAAAATTCGTCAACCGACGCTAGTGCGCGAGTCGTCAATGCCCTGCTCACAGAATTGGATGGCGCGCAGGACCGCTCTGGAATCTACGTTATCGGCACTACCAACCGTCCCGATATGATTGACTCCGCCATGCTTCGACCAGGACGTCTGAGTGTCCGCCTCTTTGTTGATCTCCCGACGGCAGACGAGCGAGTCGATATTCTCAACACCATTTACAAGACATGCCACAGTGAAGCGACAGCTGCTGAGCTGGCAAGGCTGCCTGGCGTTGCACTAGATCCGCGCTGTCATGACTTTAGTGGTGCCGATCTTGGAGGATTACACACCAAGGCTGCGGAGTCTGCACTGCGGCGATGGATGACCAAGGAGAAGACGGTCAAGGAGATTGACGAGGTGGACTGGGAGACTGCTCTGGAGAGCACACAGCGCAGTGTTTCTAACCCGGAGACGTACCGCAAACTCAATGTCAAACTCGGTAAGGCAAACTAGACGTTTGATCAGGACACAAACTTTGTTTGTATATGCGATGGAAATAAAAGAAAACACCAGGATACAAACGAAGTTTGTATATGCCATTGAAATACAGGCAAACATGGTGACGGCGTTTAGAGAGAGATGTATTTGCTATAGAGTTAATATGAATGACGAACCACATCACGACATTTGAATGAATGGACCGTTTCAGAGGAATCGCGCAAGTAGCTGCCAGTATGGTGGAACGTGTGAATGAAGAGTCTTTTTGAGGTTGTGTAGCATCCGACACGGTCGATGCCGGTGTCAATTTTAATCTAGTAGTCTATTATACATAAAAGTGTTGCCGGCGTCCCGTCTATCAGTTCGTATCATAATACAGGGCACATCTGCATTTATGCAGTGGAGTCCTTGAGGTAGCTAGAAAGAGTGAAATGTTAGCAAAAGCTGTTGACCATGGCTGTAGGATCGACAAGTTTTAAACTTACGCAATGAGATCGTTGCGGTCCTTGTCCTTCTTGAGACCACCGAAGGCCATCTTGGTACCGGGGATGTACTTCTTGGGGTTCTCGAGGTAGGCAAAGAGGGTGGTCTCGTCCCAGGTGATGCCCTTCTGCTTGTTGGCATCGGTGTAGGCGTAGCCGTCGACGGAGCCGGTCTTGCGACCGAAGAGACCGTGCAGAGCAGGGCCGATCTTGTTGGCGCCGCCCTTCTCGACAGTGTGGCACTGAGCGCAACGGGTCTTGAAGAGGTTGGCACCCTTCTTGATATCGCCTGCGAAGAGAGATCATGTTAGCTTGGTGTTCCTAGTGGTTGGTTGTTCTGTGTCGTGTGCTGTGATGAGCAGCAAAGTTGTCATTGTAGCCCGCCAGAGGAGTAAGAGACAACGAAAACACGGTCAAGACCAGGATGGACCCCTTAGAATCGCTCCCAGACCAACTCTTGCGCATCGGGTTTGGCGTCGCAATTGCAGGCTGCGTCTGCCAAAATAGCGCAGGGCTGCAGGTCCTTTGCTTGTGACGGCAGCTTGCGACTGCCTCGGAAACGCCGCATTGCGCGGCTAGAGTGCTCTGGTGGCGATTGGGCTTCTCAATTCGATGTCCTCGATCAATGTATCGAATTGCGCAGGCTCAATGGCTCCGTGTTGTCATCTTTTTCGTCCTCGATTGGCGGCCAGCAAAAAACAACCTGCTCACAACTGCAAACAGACAGGCGCGAAAAAGAACTTACCACCAGCCATTTTTGGAGATGTGTGTTTTGTTTAAAGAAACGGTATTAAAATTAGTGAGGATTAGAAAACAAGAAAACTCAAAGCAAGTTTCTTGTCTATAGGGGAAGGTTGATTGAAGAATTGGTTTGGTAGCGGGAAAGAAGGGGAAAAGGAAAAGGGAGCCAGAAAAAAAGATTTATGACAGCATGGATCCAAGCCGAGTAAGCCATTTTCGTGGCTCGTGGCCCGTTGAGCCACCTGTGGCGGAGCCCGGCCAGCCAATCAGCGATTGAGAATTACGCAGTCTCATCCTGGGCAGGTATTATTTTGCGGGTAAAGTCGGACACCCCAGTGGCTGCCTCAGGCGGGCGGGCAAATCTCGGGGACAACGGCAAAAAAAAAAAATAAAGCACCCTCTTCAGTGAATGAAAGCCTAAATTACAGGGCCTCCAATCGCTATCTTGCACCGACTGGCGCAGGGCCACTGACTGCCCGTGGTACCGTGCTGGACAGCGCCTGGAGCCAAATCTGCACAGGGCAAGCAGCCACAGCAAGCTTCCATTGAGGAACAGACAAGCCTGCGAAGCTTCTCCAACGGCCCATCATCGTCAACCCCAACACCAGCCATGGCCTCCAAGGCAGTCATCCCGCGCTTTCTGCTGCCGCTGCAGGGCACGCTCTGGCGAACTGTGCGACTGCCTGTCTCGCAGTCCGTCCGCGTGCGATACGCCTCATTAACCCCCAACAAGCCCATTGTGCTCGAGAAGCCGGCCAAGTTCAACCCGCCGTCCCATGGCTCGCGGCTCAAGAAGAACACCATCCCGCGCCACTATGGACCGCAATTGACCAAGGAAGAGATTGCTGTCCAAAACACAAGGGACTATCCCGGCATGATGGCCCCCGCGGGCACCTGGAGCCACTGGTTCTGGCACAGCAGACTGCTGCATACTTTTATCACAATGGTACGAAATACTGCACATGTTGGGACTGAAGATGGATTGAGACTAACTTGGATTGATTCTATAGGGCACGCTTCTCGCCATGGCCATTGCCACCTTCTTCATGAACTACGCATACAACTCGCCGTTCAAGGACCTCGTGCCTCCCCTGTCGGACCTCTGGACGAACCCGACCTACTTCATCGCCGCGTGGAAGAATGTTATTATCCTGCACGAAAAGGACAAGGCTGAGAAGGCCATCGAGCACCGAACGCGCAGCCTTGACGATGTTGCCAAGCGCCGATATTACATGAAGATGCATGGCATCGAGACCAAGGACCCCGTCACCATGGTTTTCGGCAAGGATGAGGGCAAGTCTATTGACGAGCTCGAGGCTGCTGCCATGGGCCGTGAGTATGTCCCTACGCCGGCTGAGAAGGAGAAGGAGGCTGCTTCGAAAAAGAAGTGGTTTGGCATCTGGTAAAGCAGAGTGTTGCTGTGGTGTGCTCGCTGCATGTGGGTGCCAAAGTGTAGCGTTTTTTTATTGTACAATAGTAGTCATCATAGCTAGCCCCATCTGTATCGTTCTATGTACTAAATCTTGATATGTCATTTGTAATGTTCGCCCCCATTATGCTAATTCAACGCCATCGAGCCCGTCGAGAATATCATCCGCTACGCCACCCTTTTCCAAAACTGCCTGTATAATGGCATCCAGGACGCCAAACTTGGTGCCTCCTAGCGGCGCTTTCCATACACCTTCGGTGGAAGCAAAATCGGTCTGTTGCTGTGGCTGTTTCGACTGCGGCGTCGAAGTACCACTGCCAGATTCTGTGTTTGTGGTAGCAATGTTCATCGAGTTTGGTACACCGGGAGGCGTCAGTCTCGAAGGCGGGTCGACGGTGCGCATGGAGAGAAGTCTAAGCTGGCGCCCAGAGTCGACATCCATACGTGAGGACTGCTGCTCTTCGCGGACCTCGGATACAGACACTGCCAGCGCTGCTTCTGCGACTGCAAGCTCCTCTCTAGCGGGGTCGAATATGATGTTGTTTCCAATGGCAACAACGAGAAGCGTGATTGGCGGCCGCGAGCCGGCGATTCCTCCATCGCGAGGGTATAAGAATGTAGAGGCTTCCCAGTCGTCGTCAAACATGGGGTCTTCGTCACCTTCTGATTTCAGCTTGGGCAATCTTGTAGCAAGGAGCGCCAAATGGGTTGTCAAGGACAACAGAGGGAGAGGGTATGAAAGAGGAGGAGAGATGAGTAAGATCTAGTAGCGCGGTTAGTACAAGAATCTTGTAAAGAGTTCCAATCAGTAGTAAACGTACATCGAGGTAAAGACGCCAGTGGAAGCGGCGGTTGATCCAGAGCTTCTTTGCAAATTCTCCATCAGCGAGCAGCGCTTCTCGCAGCATCTCTGCCAAAAACACTGTCGACGCCTCATCGTCTCGCTGTCCTGGGATCTCCACAGTCATCTCGAGCCATTCTCCCTTTGCTTTTCGTCGCGCTTCTTGTCCATCACCGCTTCCTCGTTGCGGTTGCAATTCTGTGAGCTGGTCTTCTGCGCCGACGCTCGATTCGACCGTCTTTTCAATCTCGGCCTTTACGCCGACAATCGCTTCCGTGCCGTCTGCAAAACACACTCGAGCGCTTCCATTGGTTCCAGGGAGAATACCGGTTTCGGCTGTGAGAGGACGGAATTGCGTCGGCGATCGGCCGTCTGGTCGGATTGGTGGTTGGAGAGAGAGCGAGCTGTGCAGGTATGCGAGTTCTGCGGGGGAGAACAGGGCTTGTTGGGACGCCATTGTGGCGTGTATCTAGAGAGAGTTGCTGCTGCCGACTAATTCTATTTTAAGGAACTGCGAGGGCTGGCGAAACTGGAAAGATGCGTGTGTTTGGTTCTTGTCGAAAAGTTTGGAGCTCTGCCAAAGGTGAAGCGTTGAAGTTGACAGTGGGGCAGCAACTTTTTTTGCATGCTCGATGCGTGTGGAATCTGGCTGATCTCCAGCGACGGCTAGCCCGTTGCTGTCAACTGTCTTAAAACTATGCAGATTAAAAATCTATACTTCAATCTGGAAAGAGCTTAAAAAGATCAAAAACGAAAAAATCCGTGTAATTCTATGATACTATGCAAGATCTAGACATATATCGTCAATGCAATCAGGGCCCATGGCGGCCACCATTTCTGCCACCAGCGACTTGAGGCTCGTTCCATCGCTTACATCACTGGATTCCCAATCTACCAAGTCACACAGTTGAAAAAGTCGTGGAGCTCTTCGGAGTCGAACAGCAATGTGGTCCAAGTCAATATCTGCAAACTCTTCGAGACTTGTGATGCCGGGCATGTTCGATTCGAATAAGGATTGCGATGCAAAGTCGGAGTCTGAATCCGATGCTCCACCTGTAGTTGTTTCTGATGGTTTTGCAATTGGTGGTGCCGAGGGCGCAATCAAATCATCGTCTTCGTCAGCGGGCGGCGTGGACTGGCTTTCCAGAGAGAGACTGACAAACGACTTTTTATCCAGAAGCTTCAACGTAGTACTGTCAAGAGCATTCCACTTCAAGGATACCGGATCCAACATCCCCAGCGGCTGGTAATCGGCCTTGTACTTCATCTTTGGACAGTCATGTATGTAGTATCCCGGATACCACCACCGGTAGCCCTCTTCCTCAGCAAATGCCAGCTCCCGTAGTGCCGCCAACTTGCCTGGGGCATGCTTGTGTATGCTCTCGTGATACAAAAAGTACACGGAGCTGACGCAATCTGGCAACAGATCAAGCACGCCGATTGCAACAAGCTTTCCATCGATCCTATAACACTGGTGGAAGGATCCAACTTTTCGTTTTCGCCCATCATCGTCTACCACAGTACCACGACGAATAGGCGAGTTACAGAGGAACTGCTTGAAGCCGTCCTTTGTGCGGCTGTCAGGCTCGTCCTTATGCACAACCATTTGGTAGTTATTATACACCTCAAACTTTTCCTCGGTAAAATGGTCCTTCTCCAAGGTTACGACGAGAGTATGTGCTGGTGTGGAGGCTGTCTTGAGTCGGTCACGTTCGGCTTCGTGGATTCTCTCAGTTAAGACAAACTCGTTGTCTCTTTTTTTTGCTTCTGCCTTTGACCGAGGGTTCAGGCGGGCTTCTTCCGTTATAAACTGTTCACCAAGAATAAATTTATTAAATTTATTAATCACCTGACGCTGGTCTTTCTTAATCGCAAACGTCTTGGTGTCTGTTCGTATCGTATAGTGAGGGCAGCACATGCTCCGTTGGTTTGGTCGATAGATAAGCGTGCCTGAACGCCTCCAGCACCGATTGATGAGCTTCTGATAGAACTCCGGGCTTATGGAGGTGGCATGTGAGTAATAATTGAAACCTATCGATTGGTAATGTCAGTATGGTAGGATTCTTTGGCTCGATGCTATGCGTACGCTCTGACGTTCTTGTGCTCCGGCCTTTGCAGTAGCCACAGCTTGAAGAGCTAGCATATCCTACACAGCGATACATTGTTAGGATATCAATTTCTAAATCGAAATTATTCGACCTTGAAGTCTGTAGACATACCATTGAACATGACAAACTCATGCTGGTCATCGATTGGGACCTGACCGAGAGCAGTCATGTTGGTGGCGAGGCCAGAGTGCCTTTTCAAGAAGCAACAATATTTAAAGTCACCAAACACACTGTAATAGAATAAATAGAGTTAAAGAAGGGTCTTTCTAGATCACTGTGCCGTGTTGAACGCCGCGAAGCAACAGATGTGGTAGTGGTCGGAGTTTCTGAGTGGCGGTTTGGCGGGGTCGAAGCTTTGGCCCCCCACCACGGCGCCGGACCGACTTACACGGGTAATACTGCCAGCGTCCGAGGTAAATCAAAATGGCTCCCGAGGAAAGTGATTATTCTTTTTTACATATGATGGTAGCTTAGGATTATTTACTTGTAATCTCTCTTTGTTAAATATGTCCATTTATATTCGTTACTATATATACGACGTAGTCTCATGGCAACTTGGGCATCTTGCTGCAGAAGAATGCTTAGAAGCGACGAAACCGCGATTAGTCCCGTACCAGTACACAATGCTGTGTAGCAAACCGTCAAGATAGCTGCTACTAGCAATGGCTCAAACCAACATTTAGCAGTGAGCGGCGTTGGTGGGGTAAACGTTCTTGGTGTTGCAGGTGTTGGGAGGGCTGAAGAGAGGAGCGGTGTTGACACCGTAGTTCTTGGGGGGGTCGCGGACAATCTTGTACTTGCCACCAGGGGTAAGGTTATTCTCGCAGTTGATCTGGTTCTGGCCACCGCTCTTGGAGTTGGAACCGGTCCAGATATCAATGTGGAGCTTGCCGTTCTTGTAGTCCGAAGCTATATCATCCCAGTCAGTAGCTGTCTCGGGGTGGTAGTGACAAATGCTTTTCGCAACTTACTGCACTGCTCGCAGTCATCCTCGTAACGACCGTACTTGGTCAAGAAGGGGAGGTAGACAATCTCGCAGGTCTTGAGCTCGCCAGGGGCGGTAGCAATGGTGACGGGGTCATCGTAGGAACCGGTACCACCAGCCTTGTAGTTGCGGCCACCACAGTTGTGAGCAACACCAGCACCAGGTGGGGAGTTATCGGGCCAACCGTAGAACGTGACTTCGTAGTCTCCTGAGATATTGCAGGCTGTAGAAACACCAGCAAAAATAGATGCGATGGTGGCGATAGTTGTAGAGGTCTTCATTGTGGCGTGTGATTGCGGGTGGTGGAGGTAGTAGAGGTTGTGGAGATGTTGGGGGCGTCAAAGGAAAAAGTGGTAAAAACGAAAGTGACTGTTAAAAGAAAACCTCGAGGGGAATGAGTAGCCAATTTATAGTCAATAGCGTAAATAAAAACATGTACGGATAGACAATTGCGGTGCAGGGCCCGAGACCAATACTAGACGGAGCTAAGCGCTCTGTTTCCCCCAATGACATCGTGCATGCTGCCCGTAATGGCCCAAGATTGGCCATCGACATCACTGGAAAGCGTAGCAACGAGTCGATTTCAGCCCCTCCGTAAGCTGTAGAGTATCATCGTCTGGGATAGCTTCACGATCAAGGGTTGTGATTAGTGGATTATTCGCCAGAACCGCCACTTCCATCCTACTCTCCACATTTGGTTCGATCGAATGGCGGGGAACGGCAAGGTGCAGTTCTGCGGCACTTGAGCGCCTTTGGCGGCCATGTGTTTTTCCTCGGATTGCGCTACTCATGCAGTCATTCGACGCTTATAATTCTTACGTCGGCATTATCCAGAGTTCGTTAGCGTGAAAGACGGAGCCAGAATCTGGGTGCCTAGAGCCGCGCTATGTAGTAATAGCCCTCTTGGCTTGTTTGACCTGCAGCATGGATGCGGTCTATTCCGTGGATCACCGAAGCCGTATATCCGACGGCTTACCCGGACATTGTTTGCAGAAATAAAGAATTGTCTCAAACTGAGACCTATACTGCTGGGGTTGACAAAGGCAAATCCAAGGCGGCTGCCGGCGGTCTCGGGTAGGCAGGCAATCTACCCCGTTATTGAGTAGAAAAAAGAAAGATAATGTAACTATTATAGAAAATTAGGTCTTAGTAAACTAATTCATGTATTCATAAATTATATCCAATAATGCATTAAGTCATCTGGTGATTGAAACGGAAAGACAAGGTTGTCCGGCTATTGATACCAACCTTTCTACTATAGCACCTTCGTGCTACGTGAGGCACCTTCCCCCACCAACCACCAACCACTCAAGGGCCAACGTGCACCACGCATCCTGGAGCAACCACCACCATTCAGCCCAGGCTGCATATTCACATGCTGAGACATTTAACTACCTATAGTGGCTAGTATGCACTATCTACCCAATTCATAACACCCTACAGCTAATTACTGACCCGTTTTCTGGTCGTGGGCAAGGCAAGATCTTGGTTTCGGAGGGTGAGAGATCCGATCTCGCCTCTGGCCCTTGCGTTTCTGCAAGATCTACAGCAGCTGAGCAAGATGTTGCAAGAAACGACGCATCAACAATTCTAGACGATCACAGCCAATGTCTACTGCAAAATAAACGTACAAAAAGCGCTAGATCAAACTTGGCTCAGAGGCACGAGACTTGCGGCGCTGTGGCACGGCATCGCTTCCACTAGCAGCCCCCTCTGGCTCCCAGTGTGCCCCTCCCTCCCCCTCGTAGATCCCCTGTAACTTGGAACAGCACAGTGATCGTTGCGCAGACATCCCACTGTATTTCACTTCATCCGATGGACCTGCAAAGCTCGCCATTTCCATCTGCTCCAATTGTTCAGCCCACGTGGGGTACGCCTTGCGTCTTTTCTACTTGCGCGGACTGTCCACCGCCGTTAACAATTGCACTAAAGAACCGAGACCGGATTTCCTTATCTTTGTTTTGCTGGGACAACCACTTTCTTTTTATGTACAGGTGCAAAATCAAGGTCCCAAGTACCCAACCATTTGTTTTTCTCCTGCTCTATTAGCCTTGTGCCGTGCCGGCCGGAGGGAAGACTTGAGCAGCGGACAATACTCTGCCCACCCAGCCAATCTGCCGACCAAACGATGTATACAGTGCTGAGGCTTGCTCAATGGCAGTTGAGATCTGCATCATCCTTGATTTGAATGCACTTTGTAGAACATCCTTTTTGGTGGAATGTACTTGCCACCCCAATGCAAGGCTCTCTAAGCCGTCACTGCTTACAGAGAGGTACGCTCACTTGGCAACGGGTGATATCCGAGTTTACCGCCTGAAGCTCACCGCAAGGTTTGAGCAACCACCAGCACAGCACCACTGGAACTTTGAAGGAGGGGTGACCTGCAGGAGGCTCGCGAGATTCGGCAGCAGGGTTTACGCCAACAAAGCGCTAATTTAGCGTTTGGGTTGGCCCCAGCGCCCGCCACAGGTTGGTTAGCCAAGCTTGGGAGGAGGGGCACGACGTATCGCGTGCGCCCGAATATCGGTTTGTCACAAATGGTCTTTGCTCTTTTCGGCGCTGCGGTTACTTTGGGCAAGTCGAATTGGCTCATGGCCGCCATGAAAGCGGAGGTCGTGTGCTTCTGCAAAATGCGTTTGTAGCAGGCATCTCGTTTTAATTGTTTGTCTTGGGCCTCCCTTTCAGCACGTTTAGCGAGAACGTGGAAGCTTCACTGAAATCGGTCTCCCTCTATAATATAGTCCACTATCTTAAGGGCAGCCCTGCGTGTTGGGGAAGCCCCCCAGTAACTGTAAAGTAAAAAAAAAAAAGTCTCCTAGCACAGCGCCCCTCTTTCTTCTCGGCTTTCCAGCGCCTCCACCGCCGTAACTCCAGCACACTTTAGGGGCCACAAACGACCCAGTTGCCCGCTGGCCACCCTCTCCACCTCTCTCCTTTTCCACGTTCTTCTCCTCCTCCTCTCGACGCTCTAAAGTTTTCTTCTTTAAGTTGCTCGTGTGACTCCCGAGCAAAGTCGAATTCCTCACTCAAAAACTCCTTCTCGATATCCGCAATAATGAATCTTTAAACGATTTGTCGCTTGTCGACCTTTTTGTCGCAACTTCTGCAACGCTCCATCCGCTCCAAGTCCAACCAATTTTTTTTTTTCGCCCGCTGAAAGCGCTCCCCATCACCAACTCGCTTCAGCGCTGCTGTGGCTACCGCCCGCCCCGAAAGCGGACAAAGCAAAAGACGAACCATCGTTGCAGCACGGGACGATTAAAATAAGAAGAATAGGAAGAACAGTGAAGGAACGAAGCTATACACCCCTGATTTGCATATGGCAGTCATGTCGGGCTCCAGCAACTCCGAGTCCAACGGTAATGGGCTTTCCAAGGAGTCGAGGGTCGGTCGAGCCAAGCAACGTAGGTGCCTCCCCCAATCTATCCCTGCGCTTCTAGAAGCCACAACCACAGCCCTGGCTCGTCTGGCGCAAATCTTGGCTGTGCAGGGCAACCTGTCAAAAGCGGTCACTGTTTCGATGATTGCCTCTGTGTAACCCGAATATTCCGATGTTCCGTTTTGCCTTGCCTTTCGGGCGTCTTATCTATCGTGTGACGACTTTGAAGCTGACCAGTGTCTTTTTTTTCTCGCCATGCAGGGTATAATACGAAAGGCGATCGACTTGTCGCCGGAGTAGTTCCGCTGTCTCCCGACCTGGAATATGTGCTTATGATTCAATCGACGCGGCGCAAGGGCTGGGTGCTGCCTAAAGGCGGCTGGGAGTCTGACGAAACCTGCGAAGAGGCGGCTACACGTGAGGCTTGGGAGGAAGCCGGCATCACTATCCAGATCGACCTTGACTTGGGTGTCATTGAAGAGTCACGGCCTCTCAAGATGTCCAAAGACCAGTCACAGTACCATTTCTACCAAGGAACCGTGCAAAGTCAGTATGAGGAATGGCCAGAGCGCCATAAACGTGAGCGCCACTGGTTCACCTTTAGTCAGGCGTGGGAAGAGCTCAAGTCGAGACCAGAGCTGCAGGAGGCACTGGACCGCTCCACGATTAAGCGAAACTAGCTTGCCCAAGTTTGGCTGTGGACGGGCAATGCAGAGGCAGTGACCCAATGCCTCTCGTGATGGACAAGCCAGATGGCCGCGCAAGGCGATTCTGCAACTCGCCATGTTGCAGGGCCGTCACCAAGACACAAAAAAATATTTCTTTTCGCATATGTTGCATCGGGTTTTAAAGGCGTTGACGGCGGGAAAGTACATGAAATAGAAATCCCCGGATGGGCTGGATACGGTACAGGCGACTTTTTCAATAGGATTTACCGGGCATTTGGCCTCGGGTCATGATTTTGCAAGTAGATTCCATGACTAATTCAAGATTTATACACCTGCTTTCACTTTACTTATCCCACATATTGGATGCGAACCGATGGAATTGGGCATATATAGATGCGCTATTATAGAATCGCGACTTGCTTGGCAGAAGTGCCACCACCTCTTGCGCATGAAGAGGTCGATGTACCCATTGACTCGCAGTTTTACGGGATAGGCGGAACTAACACACTGAGAAAGACGGATTCCAGTTCAATTAAACTCATTACTAACAAAAAACTGTTCAAAAACTAACTATCTATGTCTGTTATTCTGTTATAAATCTGGTTGTCACTGCTTTTACGCCCCGCTTCACTCTTTTTGCCCCTCCAAACCAGAGGTAGCAGAAGCAGTCACGTGAGAGCGACCGGTTTCGCTAGCCTAGCGACCATCTACATGCAACTTGCGTTCAATATAGCACCATATTGCAAAACGCATCGTTGCAGGCTATATAACCGCACCAACCAAAAGGCATTGCCATACTTTTCGAAACCATCTAGCTTCAACTCTGTATTAACCAGAGAGGCTGAAACTCGGCCTCCGCCTGCCGCTCAACTCCAATTGCTCCTCCCTTCTCCCCGCACCGAATTCAACCGCACCTTCAAACAGCTATATATACTCTTCGCTTAAAATACGTTATGGAAAACCTTACAATTTCGGAAATGCCCCCTCAGGAGGCCCGCGGCATGCCTCAACCGCCAGCTCAGCTGCCCCCGCAGATGTTTACGACTGCCGCACAGCTTCTCGATCTGACAGATAGTATGTGGCCTACTACCGCCGCGCATTAACGGTCGATAGAGATACTAATCTTAACTCTACAGAAAAGTTGATGGTTGTATTACGCGATGGCCGCAAGTTGGTCGGTGTGCTTAGAAGTTGGGATCAGTTTGGTAAGGACAACAACGGCAGTAGTAAGCCTGGACTCGCGACTAACATGCACAGCAAACATTGTTCTTCAGTCGACAACAGAGCGTATATTTGCTCCTTCCTCGTCACCCACATCGCCTGGACTTTACGCGGACGTCCACCACGGCATCTTCCTAGTCCGTGGTGAGAATGTTGTTGTCCTGGGTGAAATCGATCTCGATAAGGACGACCTTCCCCCACCTGGTTATGAGCTTGGCGAGCTGGAGGCTGTCAAGAAGATCGCTGATCAACGAAAGAATGTGGAAAAGGTCAAGGAGAAGAACAGGCTCAAGAAGCTCGCTGGGTTGGGCTTCGAAGGCGACGTTGTTGGAGATGCAGTCATTTAACGGCCTCGGCGCTCTTGTTATGGACCAAAAAAAAGCGTGTCGTCTTTATCGTTATGTTTTTTATTTATGAAATTTATGAAACGCTATGAGCGCTTCACGGCTCTGTCTGGCAGAATATTGTGAAATGCCGAGAGTCGAGCCCAGCTGCTGCAGAAGGCGGCAGTGGGCAGGGATATCGGATGCGCGGGAACGAACATGCATGGAGGTAGATGCAGCGGTATTAATAAAGCTACAAAATGACGTTCTCAAACAATATTTTGGCATGTGATGGTTTGTAAGTTGTCACTAGTGGGATATATTATGAGGCTATGGTACAGGATGCCCTAGGTATGTAACATTTGTGAGGGCGCTAGAGGTGAGTTGATATCATGATACAAAAGGAGAGTGCGAGTCAAAACGCAATCCAATGAATAAAAGAAATAAGACCGAAACGCCATGGAGTTCAGCTTAACATTTGCTTCGTTGCTGTCGTGCAAATGCGGGAATGGAGCTGCCGCCTGGTTCACGCATGCCACCAAGCAGCCAGTCTGTCAGGCCTACAAACTTGGCGCCCACGCCCTTCTCCCAGTTACCGCTCTCTTGTACCTGCTCAATTGTGTGAGTCAAGATTCGGCCTTCGCTGTCAAAGTCGAAGATGAAGAGGCCGGTAAACGCCTTGTTTGGGTCGACGCCCCGAGCAAGTCCCAAAGTGCGTGCAATACCGCTACCGGACGATGATAGCTCTGGACCACGCCGTTTCTCGCACCACCTTACAACAAGCTGATCTGGTATGGCATCAGGGTGGCGGGGTAGGAATGTAAGCGGCTCCGATGTCATACGCTCAGCGAGAATTTCAAGCTTGACGTTGCCGATGATCGGGACGCGGTTCCAGGCTATCGGCGACGTCCAGAGCGCAGCATTGTAAGCAACTCGTCCGGATACGGTTGGAAGATGCGGGTGTGTAGAAGGGAATAGCTGTAGCGATATATTGGGAGAGAGGACATCTTGCGGCAGGGGGGATTGTAGTAGAGTTGGCAGTCGATCTTGGAGAAGGCGAAGTGCTATACAGGGTTTGTTGTAAGTAACAAGAATTCAAGATGAAGAAGCAATGCAGTTGATATGGCATAACGTACTCTTTCCTAGCTTGGCCTTGTTGGGGTCGCGAGGGCGTTCACTGTGGAAGCCAATTGCCAATGGATCGGTCGCTGCGAACCATGCTGAGCTTGGCTGTGATGAGGGGCCGTGGCGGTGGGAGTGATCTGATGATATTGATTGCTCTGTAGACTGTATCTCTTGCTTTGTAAGATGCTGTACGCGGGCGCGGGCTTTGCTGTTGCTAGATAAAAGGCAGCGATGCGGGCAATGTGTCGATGACGACACTTTGCTTGAGGCGCGCAAGGAAGAGCGCAACGGCGCAGCCATTGAGCCTGGTCAGTAGCAAAAAGGCATATGGTGTACGGTCGTCTTTATATTGTGATGCGAAACAGACACGCAAGGGAACTGCCCTGGGGCGCGATGCGGAGTATTGCTGCTCTTTGAGATTTATGAGGTTGTCATCAAACCGGATTTGGGCGCCCGCCTTTTCATGGCTGTGGTTGGTTGGACTGGCGAGCTGCAGGGAACTCTTTTAGCGGGCCATGGAAGCAAGCTACAGGCGCCAGCTTGTCTGCACCAGGCGAGGCGAGTGCCGGCTACAGTGTGCATAAGCAACAGTGCGTTCAGTGGGGCTTAGCTGCACAGTACAGGGCGTAGTGTATCTGCTACAGAAAATAAAGAGCTTGATGGCGATGACGCTCTGCAGCAAGACATGCAATACTAGCAATTGTGTACGTGACCCGTTTATAACGTCAACTGGTGTTTTTGATCTCGGGACAGGAATCGGAGTTGTGGCCGTAATTTTCGCCGACGTCACATGCCATACCAGTGTGGCGATAGCGGTGTTAGTGAGGGAGGGTGCCTGTCTGTCTCTGTTGAGCAGGATAACACTGACTGGGCTGGGCTGGAGCCTAACGCAGCAGCGATATCAAGCAGCTGGGACATCCGTTGCCTTATAGGAACTATCAGTGCATAAAGTAGGTAATAAAATAGAAAGAAAAATCAATCTCAACAGAATAGACATCTTCTTCCTGCCTAATACTTTATTTCTCATTTTAAATCTATTCCCTGCAGCCGAAACCTGGCCCTCAACTCGGACGGCGCCCCGAGCGTGTGCCCCGCGCGCTGTGCTGGAAAGGCTGCTGGGCATTTCTGTCCCCCCTGGAACGCGTCTTTGTAACGACCTTCACGTGACTGCCGCCGCCCAAGCTGTCATCCCACCGCTATTGGCCCGTGCCATGTCGCCTTTTCCCTGACGTACGGTAACTTGTTGGAACCCGGCCGACCTTCTATTCTCATCTTCTTCAGCAATCCCGCTTCCTCGCCTCCTTTCGTCCTCTTCTACGACGCCGCTCACCTCTTTTTATTCCACAAACACAACCGCCCATCATGAACCCTGAGTAGTACGTTGTTATCCCGAGGCCGCGTCGCTCGGTTGCTGCGCCTAGCCTGGCGGGCCTCTCCCCTGGATGCAAACCAACCCCATCACCGACAGTTGGAACTAACGTGCGACGCAGAGTATTCTCCCAGATCTCGATATGCAGAGTGTTTACTTCTCGAACCAAACGAGGCGGCAAACTATGCGAGCGGTCAATACGCCACCAAATACTCCGTACTAACGCTTGTCCCGCAGATACGACTATCTCTTCAAGCTCCTCCTCATCGGTGACTCTGGTGTAGGAAAGTCTTGCTTGCTCTTGCGTTTTGCTGACGATACCTACACGGAATCCTACATCTCCACCATCGGTGTCGACTTCGTATGTACCCCCTCGGCTAAGCTGGATACGCCTAGCTTTGTAGACATGCTTGCTAACTGTTTGGGCGCAGAAAATCCGAACCATCGAACTCGATGGAAAGACCGTCAAGCTTCAGATCGTATGTTTTCACCGATACTTTCCCAGTAAAATCACAACCGCTAACTCGTAGCAGTGGGATACCGCCGGCCAGGAGCGTTTCCGAACCATCACCTCTTCCTACTACCGTGGTGCCCACGGCATCTGCGTCGTCTACGATGTCACCGATATGGACTCTTTCAACAACGTCAAGCAGTGGCTCCAAGAGATTGACCGTTACGCCACCGAGGGTGTCAACAAGCTGCTCGTAGGCAACAAGAGCGATATGTCTGACAAGAAGGTCGTCGAGTACACCGTCGCCAAGGTACGTATCTAAAATCCAGCTGCCGGTCCTGCGCTTGCCGCCACTTTGCAGTTTATATTACAGGATCATCACCAAAGGTCCTCAAATACTGATTATTTCTATAGGAGTTCGCTGACAGCCTCGGCATTCCTTTCCTCGAGACCTCCGCAAAGAACGCCAGCAACGTCGAGCAGGCTTTCTTGACCATGGCCCGCCAGATTAAGGAACGCATGGGTACTGCCACCGCCAACACGAAACCCACCGTGCAAGTCGGCCAGGGCCAGGGCGTTGGCTCGTCCTCCAACAGCAGCTGCTGCTAAGCGGTGAATAGATTGAAGGAACTATAATGACCTGTGATTAGAGGGCCAACGAATGTAAGATGATGGACGGTGCAGCAACCACTTCCCCCGAGACATTTTGAGGCGTCCACGATTTGGCTGAGGCAGAGGATTGGTGACGACTTCTTGTTTTTTTCTTCCTTTTATTACCATTTTCCGTTTTACCAGTTTATCTACCTTTGGCCGCGAATAGAACGAAATCATGCCCTCCTTGGATGCCGCCCCTTTCTCAACCCATCTGAGCTACCAGTGGCTGCCTGTATCTATACCTGTTAATGCTGTTTTTGTACTTCCTTAATATGCCATATTGTGGTTGACTGTCTGCCTAGTTGAAGCCTGTTGTTATGTGCACATAGTTCATTTCTCCCTCGTCCGTAGCCACCAACCAGCTATGAGTACTAGAATTGAAATATGTACGAGATGAGCAGAATACGCTTCTTTTAAATATGTTTTTAAACAGAATTAAGTTTAAAATGCTATAAATTAAAAACTATGTGCTGGGTATCGTTACAGCAGATGTTCGATCCTGCGAATCAGCTATATCTAGGACAAAAGAAAATGGTCCGTTTCCACCCTAATTAATTCCGCTATGATGAGACGCTAATGTGGTTAGACGAGATAAGAATACAGGAAGGAAAAATATCATGGCAGGTTGTACATAAAAACAAAAATGAAATAATATCGACAAAGACTAAGGAGATCTTACTCAATGCCCAGAAACTTGAGCGCCTTGCGGGTATCAACTGTACGTGGTTTTTGATGCATGAAAAGAGGCATGAGCCTGCGCTCCTCTTCAATGTCATAGTCACTCTCTTCCTCGTACAGATCAAAGTTGGACAGAGAAAGACCATCGTCAGTGACAGAGCGTTTATGGAATGGGCGCTGACTAGGTCGGACACGGAGAGAGCGTCGTGCAGTGTGGATTGACTCTGGCAGTGATGGAGTCGGCGATGGCGGGCCATTAGTAGGCACAGGGGATGAGGCAAAGAATGTGCTAAGTCCAACTATGCCGCTTGGGAAGCGAATGGGATGGCGAGTTTGACGAGGAGGAGCGAGATCGCGGCGGGAGGCTGATCGTTCTGCCTTTCTCATGCTCGCTTGCTTAGCCTGCTTGCTGGATGGTCTTTGAGACGTATCGTTTAAGTTCCAAATGACACCGGCAAAGTCGCTTACATCGTCCACAGACGCCGTGGCGTTGATTAAATAGTTCGCGTTGGAGGTGGAATCATCCGAGTAAGCTGCAAGAGACGAGTGGATGGACATGACCGACTTGTTGTCATCCAGGTTGGCTGGGTCAACGAGGTCCAGTTGCTTAAAGGGACTTTTGTTGTCGTCAATGGCATTCACAACCTGTGCTACCTTGACAAAATCGAGACCAGCTAGCTTTTGCAAGGCCAACACAGTAGGTAAATGCTGCGGAGAATGTTCCAAGAGCAAATAGCGAATGTCGCTATGGACGGAGAGATATCGCTCTAGTTGTGGAAGAATCAGTATGGCGAGGAGAACGGGGTTTCTGAAAGGGTCGTCGAGGGTGTGTGTTGAATGAGGCTGAGGTTTGAAAGCTTGGATTGTAGTGGCCATGAGATATCTATAAAAACAAGTCAGTTACAAGTCCTTTGGTGCTAAGCGTGGAGAGAAGATGCGTGTCATACCTGAGATCCAATCTCGTGCACCGGCCAGTTTGGCTGCCCTTTGTGGCAGAACACTCCAACAGCTTGAAAAGTCGGGAGGAGCGTTCCTTGGACACATCAGGATCCCGGCTAATGGCCAAAATCTGTTTTAGTGAGCGAGATTCTGTGGCGTCAGAATCCACCTCATCTCCAAATATCGGCTGCCAGAACTCGTCCAGATCTGGTAAGAAGTGGAATGGGCACTGTCTATATCCCTGCGAATGCGGAGGGAAGTATGTGCTTAGCACTGATCTGATAGAGTTTTGGATGGCCACCGGTGTCTGCGTATCTAGGACGCTCATATGATGGAACTTATGCCGTCCTTCGTCTGCTGGCGGAGGCGTTTGCACTGGCGTCGGTGGTCGTGGGATACCAGACGGCGATGGAGTCTTGCAACTTTCTCGCTTCGACAAGGTTGGCGAGCCATTAGGCGACGGGTGTGTGGGAAGTGCAACGCTAGAACGGCATATGCCCAACGCCGTTTCCAGTATATCGTCTGACGTGCCCTCACTCAGATATAGGACGAGATCCGCAAAACAGGGGAATCGTTGTGTTGCAGACGACCTACGCTTAGGTCGTCGTTCTCCTCCTTCACTAATTGATGGCTTTTTCTTGCTCTTAGGCACTGGGCTAATCCGTACAACTGGCTGTTTTGACTTAACCAGAATAGTTCGCGGTTGGTCTATTGATTGAAGACGACTCGAACGAGGATCGACATTGTCTGTGACTAGGATGCATGACATGGGCCGCTTAGATTCAGACTTGGAGCCAATGGTTGGCGCGGTTCGGGGGCCGTCTGTAAGATGGCCAGGCTCAAGCATGGATCCAAGTCCATCCGTCTCTTCAATGGGAGTGTCATTCAAATTGAGAACTGACGCCTGTCCGTACTCTATTCCGTCAGATGTCGCAATACTAAACGCATCCGACATGGGAGAGACCGCGTCACCACTAGTAGTAACCGTTAAATGGATACTAGGTCTTTCGGAGGGGCCTTGGGCAGGATCGATGTCAACATGATCTTTGTCAGAAGCTACATTGCTGGGAGAATCATAGTTGATGACAGCGAATGTTGGTCGTTTCAAAGTTGAATCTGACGCCTTTTTGGACGGAACAGGTGGAGGTTCCTTCTTCGGCATTGGCACAGGAGTCATCTCGCCTTCACCATCCGAGTTATCGTCTTCTGAGAATCCGAGAATGGGAAGACTTAGGCTTCTGGATCGCCCTGGTAACGTCAAATCCAGATCAGTCGATTCTTGAAGGTCCGCTGTCTTGCGATCGAGGGCATCTGCTGCGAGCATCGCCTTGAGAATCGGATCTTTCGGCTCAGGCTTTTCGATACGCTTCCGAGGCTTGGCAGCTATAACAGAGATGCCTTGAACTTTGCTACTCGATCGTCGCGTGTGACCATCAAAAAGTGTTCTTAAAATAGCTTCTGCATCCTGCCGGTTTCCTTCAGTTTCATATTTCATCAGGGCTTTGAGACATAACGTCTGGGCCGTCGCCGAACCGCCAACTAAGAAAACAAGTCTTTTGTCTACTCTGGAAGCACCTCGAATAAACTCAGCAGCTTCCTCATTCCGTTTTGTCAAGGCATCGCGGATTCGGGTGAGATGTGTTCTCGGCTTCGAGGGCTGGCGCAGTTCATCGTAGTCAAGGTATGCCTCGATACTCGGTAACACCAATATCTGCGGGGAATGTGGTAGAAGTTGCAGCTGAGTAGATACTAGTTGGTGGCGACCTTCTACAGCAATGATGTTGCCAAACGACCCCTTGGCGCCGATGCCATCTCTTTCCATGGCTGACCAGCTGGCCGGCAGCTTCGGTAAAGTAAACGGTACTGCGTTTTCAACACCAGAGTTTGAGGGGGCGGGAGCTAATTATTGCAGTAGAAAAGAAGTTGACCGATCTTGTATGCCGTGTTGTAAAGAGAATAGCTGGGAATCGTAAATGTACTGGGAATGTTCGTATGGCCGTCGCGAGAGTAGTGGAAATTATCGACTTCGGAATTCAATGCACTGAATGGGGCGCTGTCACCGTTTCGTCGAATTGTTATGCAGGAATTAACGGTCAAGATGCACAGCCTCTAGACCAAAAGAAAAGGAGAAGAAAAAGCGAAACAGCAGCCGAGCAGCGATCAGATGCTGTCAAGACTCGATGACGCCGAAGGTGGGAAGAAGAAAAAGAGAAGAAAGGAGCAAGGGTTTGCTTCGACGCAAGGATCTAGAAGAAGAATCCATCTGTTTCCAACGACTCAACACCCGTTCACTTTTAGGTGTCGCTAATAATACTGGCGACCGGGGGCCAAGGTTGGCCAACTAACAAGGGTCCGTCTGCCTGAGCGTGTCAAGATGGATATGTCCGGCGTCCGAGCATTCTCTAGATTGTCTGTGCAGAGACTACTTTGCTTATTTCATCCAACGAACTTTCACAACGTCCTTATGCGCCGTACGCGCCGCGCTCGTCTTTGAGTCTCGATTCGCGAGTTGTTGCGACCAACATTTGTTCGCTTTACAGAGAAGTGGCCTTGCGCATCTAAACGACTAGCCAACAGCCATCTGCCGACGGCGGAACAACTGTGCACAATGGAGCTAATTCACGGTGGGTCAGCCCGTGCTAACCAAATGGTCATGTTTGTAGTAGGATCTTCCGCTGTAAAGGTCGGATCTACGCTCAAAGGGGATGTACCTTGTGGAGCGGTAGCTTTGACGACGCCGGGAAATGAGCTGCTGTGTTGGTTGGGCCAACGACAACATCAGCCCCTAGTCACCTGCAGGGATTTCGACGTTCTATGGCTCTAGGCTTTGTCCGTGTGACGCGAGAAGACTAGCCCTTGGGCTGAAATCTGCACCGATTCTGTGAGAAGCTGGTTATGCGAGGCGCTCGCTGTTGGGTTTTGGGCTCTGAAGACGATGGAGGTGTCGTCCCGCGGCACCGTGAAGACCTGAACTGTTGCATCCGTGCGGAGCTTGGTAGATTCTGGGAATACCAATTCGGACGAAAAGTCTTAGATGGGACTACTTGCCGCTACATGCGGTTAATGAATGCAGTGAAAATAACAGGCAGTTCAAAGACCAAAGCAAACCGTTTACTCTGCTCCGGAGAAGGTCAAATGGCGCTCGCAAGATCCGCCACATCTCGAAGCAAGTCTGCCCCAGCTTGCAGACGACTCCCGGCGGGTCGCCGCTATCCCCTGATGCTGATACATGAACCCGCGGCAGTTATGGGGAAGTTTTTCAAGGATGCGAACGCCGCACAATTCAACTGAATTGCCAGTTGCTATAGATGGTAGAGTTAGAGACAACGAAACGAGGTGCGAATCGAAATGCACAACGTCTTCCTCACGAGGATATGGTGAGATTTGGCTTGGATTAGACACGAAATGACACTTGCTCGAAATAGGCTGTTTTCTGAACCCCAATGCTGCACGCCACCAGCTTAGGGGCGGTCGGCTCCAACGCGAGGCTACTGCCCCTACTGTAAGGCTAACAACGCCCGTTGTGCAGACATGCAGCCCCTAACGTTAGCCTGTCGTGTGAAGTTTCGAGAAAAAGGAGCAACAGGGATGCCTCCGCTGAGTCAAGGCCAGCCCCAGACGGCTGTCGTAATCCCCCGTTTTGCCAGCATGGTGCAAACACTAGTGCCGAGCACAGTCCTCCAATTTGGAGCAACGGCGGTTGTAATTACTTTGGTGTATTTTGATTACCTCCGGCCAGAAACCACCGGTACTGTCAAGACCGATATCAAAAGGCAAATAAACAGCACATGTTTCACCGCCTCGAGTTTAGACGTCCCCCAACAAGGAGAACAGTTGTACGAGTATTCCGGTATCTTGTTTCACCGCATTTTGTCCGCTCTGTGAGATTTCGGTTGTGATATATTGGTTTTATTCTGTCGTATATGCATTGCCTTTTGCAGCAAGTAGTGCCATAAGGTGGATGCCGCCATGTTTCCATTTGCCAGTCTATATGATATCTTGCGATCTTTATAGCCAGCCAGTATTGTAGACTTCTGAATCGTGTGGCTATATGCTTAGTCGTCCATAAGCTCTGCAAGTTCTGCCTCCTCTTCCGCTGTCAACATGCCCTCCCCTTTCTCCTCTTCAATATCTTGGTTTTGGTTCTTTTCGGCTTCGTCAATTGCGCGTACGGTCTCATCGAGTCCGTTCTTCGCTAGGGGCCAAACGCGGATAGTGCCGTCGATGCCGACACTACAAACCTTCGCACCAGCTCCCTGGCTATTTTGTAAAAGAACAAGATCGGTAATCTCATCGAAGTGGCCATACAGCTTGCAGTACAATTTACCGGTAGCCCTATTCCAAACTTTTACATCTTCGTCACGACCAGCTGTTACTACCCACTGATCTGTTGTGACTACGCCGCGAACGTAGTCGCCATGTTTGAGAGTATCTGCGGTGGTGAAGTTGGTAGCTCGAGAAAGGCACTTGGCGGTGCCGTCAGCGCTTGCTGTCCACAAGTCAAGCTCGTCTTCAAAAAGATCAAAGTTAAGTTTGTAGACGCTCGTATCATGTTCCAAGATTGTAAGGCGCTCAGTCTCGGGATGATCTTTAAACGACTCGGGAAGTTGCTCAGCACTGTCCAACGATATTTTCCATCTGCGAAGGCTTGGATCACTGCTTGCGCTCACGACGACAATGGAATCGATGCTGCTTTCCACTGGGTCAATCGCCAGGTGCTGCACAGCTAACATTGTTGTGGATGCATCTTGCAGTGTGAACAGGCGTTTTCCTGTTTCCACATCCCAGACTAGGATCTTCTTGTCTGCACCGCCACTAATGAGGATATTCTTTCCAGAAATAGTTGTAGAAATGACAGTTTTGACAAAGTCACTGTGGCCACTGTATGTGAGGCGCGGCTCTGCCGTTTCGACGTCCCAAGACCAGATGTCTTTGTCCCATGAGCCAGCAAAGAGAGCCGTGTTACCCTTTCCGCCAATTGCAACACATGTAACGGGGGCTTTGGGACCACGATATGTTGTCTTAACCTCGGATGACTAGATAGGGCGTTAGTTGGTCCTCTACAATTAAGTCTGACAGGTACTGTACATACCTCAAGGGAAACTCGTCTCGCAAAACCGGCGGATTCGGCGATGAAGATAGAATTCAAGCGGTCAAAAGGGTCAGGTATAGCCGCTAGAATCTTAGATTTCATAGGTATGGGGTTTCCATGCTTGTTACTTGACTTGGCCGCCTTTCTCTCGCGGTTAGCAATCGCCTCACTACAGTCTGTTAATAAAGGCTACAAACGGATTCAAATGCCAGACGTACTTGGACTCAAAGAAATGACCAGGATCATGGGACTGCATCTTTATTAAAAGGGAGAATAGGCGTTATGTGATCAAACGTTGAAGAAAGGGTGTGCCGGTCTCTGGGGAAGCTGGATGGATGGAGGGGTGGTGGGGTGTTAATTTTCTAGTGGGAGGTTGTAGAACAGGTTGGAAGGCAGCTTAGCTGTCGATAGAGGAGGCACATAGTTTGTCCACGCTGGAAATTATTGGACTATCAAACCAGATAATGCATGGGACAGCTTCTTTAAATTTTAACATTAAATATTTTTGGTCTTAAATGTACTTATGCGTCGAGTACTGGGCACTCCTGTGCTATGTCGGTGGTCAGCCACAGTCGAAGTGGCTCGGCCACACGAAAGCCACACCACTTTACTGTGACGCGTCTTAACGCGTCTCCCGCGGGAGGAGACCCTGGCCGCCTCCACCACCGCGTGTGATTCTCTTTGTCAGTGAAGAGGGTTGGCCACGCCAGACTTGCACAACACCATCGCTAGACTCGCTTAACATTTACATTCGGTTTGAATTTGCGAGTATACCGCTATGGATTCAACACTTGCTCCTCGACCGCGGCCCCGACCTGCCCATACCCAAGGAACCACAAGATGCGCCTATACACCAGACGGTTCAAGACTGGTGACCGTTGGTTCCAACAACACTATTCGCCTATACGCCACGGGCTCTGACGGCGAACCTACCAATATTGACAACTGCCAAGAACAAAACACCTCCGTCTCTGCATCCAAGAACGAGTTTGTAGTGGGCTCTGAGGACGGTCTCGTCAGCTTGTATTCTCTGGAGAGTGCTGCATTCGAACAGTTCCTCGTCAGAACCTCCCTTCCCATCCGAGACGTCGAGTTGAGCAAGGACGGCAAATGGTGCGCGGTTGCGAGTGATGAATTGACGGTCAAGATTGTCAATACTCGCGAAATCAGTCAGATCAAACACCTTCGCGAACATGGACGCTCTGCCCGGCACGTCAGTCTGGACCCGGGCGCGCGTCTAGCTGCACTCTCCGGTACCGATGGAATCATCTACATATACTCTCTTACTGCCGAGCAACCCGAATTGATCAAGAGAGTTGACGGGATTATTGACGCATTGGACGGCGACGGTACTGCGTCGACCAAAGTCGTGTGGCATCCAGACGGACGGGCATTCGCCGTGCCCACCCCGACCCGAGATATTCAGATCATCTCAAAGAATGATTGGGAGAAGCAGCAAGCCTTCCCCAGTGGACATAATGCAGATATTACAGCGCTCGCATGGTCACCAAACGGAGCTATGCTAGCTTCTGCTGCCAAGGACGGCAAGGTTATTGTGTGGGAAACGAAATCTCAATCTGTCCTTCAACGATACGACTTTAGAAATGTCATCGATCTCAAGTGGCATCCTACGAAAAACATCCTCTCATTCACCACGACAGATGGTGAAGTATATATTTACCCAGACTTCCTATCGGATCAATTCGCTCCGCTGTTGAAGCTTCCAATCCAGCCTGCTCCGTTCTTGCACGATCCTTTAGGCGAGATATCAGGTAATAGACAAGCTCCCGCTCCTCAACGTCAAAAGGATCATAATTTGCCGACGCGGCCGAGACGAGACTCCCTTGGTAGCCTCGACTCGTTTATGAATAACGAAGCTGACGATGACTTCGTCGTCGATGATGATGGTGCTGGTTATGCCGGGGTGGGTCAAAAACGCGGTAATGATAACTCTCATTACGGCATGGACGCAAAGAAGGCGCGCTATGGCCCTGAGACTGTCAGTCATGCCGCTTTCCAACCTGGATCAACTCCCTGGAGAGGAAATCGAAAGTACCTTTGCCTAAACCTAATTGGCTTTGTGTGGACAGTAGACCAAGATTCCCATCACACTGTCACTGTGGAATTTTATGACCATGAATTCAACAGAGACTTTCACTTCACTGATACCTTCCTCTACGACAAGGCCTGTCTTACTGAACGCGGCACCTTGTTCTCCTCTCCCCCAAAAGATGACGCACCGGCCACAATTTTCTACAGACCACATGAAAGCTGGACTCAGCGCTCCGACTGGCGCACTGAGCTGCCCAAGGGCGAATCTGTTACTGCTATGTCACTGAGCGAATCCTTCGTGACCGTCACCACCAGCGCAAACTATGTCAGAGTCTACACATTATTCGGAATTCCCTACCGCGTCTACCGTCCAAAGAGTCTGCCAATGGTTACTTGTGCTAGCTGGAGGGATTACGTTCTCACCATTGGAAACGGGTCGATCGGAGCAGATGGCGCCACTCGCCTGCAATATACGATTGAAAACGTAAAGCGCGACGAAATCTGCCAGAGTGACGACACTGTAGCCCTCCCACCAGGAGCTACTCTCAAGAGCGTCTTTTTCTCAGACAGCGGCGTAAGTAATTGCATACCAAATCGTACCATGATAATCTGCTAACATGTTTCCAACAGGACCCTTGCATCTATGATTCCACTGGAACACTGTTAACCCTTCTGCACTGGAGACGGCCGTCTCAAGCAGTCTGGGTACCACTCCTAGATACCAAACTCTTGACTCGTCTCGCCTCTGGCCGAAAGCAAGAGACATACTTCCCCATCGCCGTGGCCGACAACAAGTTCCACTGTATCATTCTCAAAGGCGGAGACCAGTACCCGTACTTCCCTCGGCCTCTACTCTCTGAGTTTGAGTTTTCGGTGCCGCTGTCGTCGCCACCAGACGTCAAGCCAGCTAAGAATGGACAAGACAACGAAGATGATGAACAGAATGATGATGAAGACAAGATGGACGAAGATGATGAAAAAGAAGAAAATGAAACCAGAAAGCTTGAACAGGACTTTATGCTCCGAAGTATCCAGGCTGCTTTGCTACGCGATTTCACCGAAGCAACATCAAACAACCACACCCACAGATCGACGCTTTCGCGCCTTGAGCTTGATATTGACAAGACTCTTCTTCAGCTGCTCGCGGTTGAATGTCGTGAGAGTGAGGACAGGGGTATGCGTGCCTTGGAACTTGTAGAGCTGATGCGAGATCGCACTGGCCGCATGATGGAAGCCGCCGGCAAGGTTGCAGAGCGTTACAGCCGTACCATCTTGGCCGAAAAAATCCGCGCGATTGGAGAGAAGCGAGTTTCTGGGATGGATGACGATGAGGACATTTGATGAACTAGTGGTATTTGGATATTAAAACCGGAGTACATGTGAGGCTAGACGGGAAAATTCATTGACTTTTGCATTATTGATTTCATTTTCATTGCCGTCTATTGGCCGTATCTGGCGTGAAGCATGCATTCGTTCGTTAATTCACCCGACGGAAATAACGTGGCTCGTCAGAAAAAACATGTAGCTAGGGCGACGTACAGACAGGGTTACACTACCGAAAAGACAGTTTACGCTACACGATATCGGGCCTGATGAGGTCGCAACTAGAAGTGCAGAGTACCCCACCACCGGTGGTGCAATTAGAGCCAAGAGGTGTCCCCCTGCACTGTACAAAACGACCTGCCACAAATGGCTTTGGTCCTACAATAATCCAGGTAAATCGGCGCCAGGTTCTGCCGCATTCACAATCGCTGGAACCGAAAGCGAGAAATGATACCGTAGCCTGAACATAGTTGGGCGATGGAACAATCCCTAATACATCTCTTTGTGCACTCATTTGGCTTTGTATACGTGTGGCGAGGCTGAGAGGCATGGTGTCTAAATCTAGAGATGGTTTGCAGCCCTGGTATGAGCAGAAACCAAGGATGCAAAAAGTTATCATTCTTGCACAGTTCAAACTATTTAATGAATAAATTCAGTGCTTAAATCAAAGATCTCAGTTGAAGCCAGCAGGTTAGTTATGCTGGTGTTGGCACCAAGGTTCAACTCGTTCAGTCAGGCCTTCTAGACTGGCACCCCCAGAATTTCTCGAAAGCTCCGGATGGGATTCTGCAGTTCAATCTGGCCAACGAACCCAAGCTGATTCCAAACAGCGGGAAAATAATAGCCGTCAAAGCTTGGCATCGCTCTTGGTCGACGACCACAAACCCACACCCAGCCGGTGGGTGGTTCATGTGGATACCGCAAACAGGATTTGGTTTCCATCGCCCTTAGCTGGATGTTGTATCGCCGCCTGCCACCGTTCCGAAAATGAGCTTCTTTAATCAAATCGGTGCTGAGAGCTGTCGTAAAGCAGCCAACCGATTTCGCGGGACGGTGGCTTTATCAAGGGAATATGTCCCATGTTTTCCTGGTGGCGCCAGGTTCGGTGACTGGTGTCAGCATCAGACGAGATATCACTTCCCAGTTGTCCCCGCTGATGGCAACCAACGGAGCCAAGCCTGAGAAGAGGCGGCAATAATCCGTAGCCTCAAAGTGTTGCCACCTTCATAGAGCATTAATTACGGCAGGCTGGGCCATGCAACCATCAGTATGTAGTTGGGATGTACAGTGACGCGATTCGGCTGGCTAACAGCCGATCATCGTTAGTATTGTCTCCCAACTTGGGCATGTTTTGCTAGCCAGTTAGCCTCGTCCGTTGGCAATAGTCCAGAAGGGATGGTGTGCGACGGGTGGGAGGCCAGACCCAAAAGCCCGTAACTAACTGACCAGGGCCCGTTGTCAAAGGATAAAAGACGCCTGCACAAGTTCTGGAGCACCTTGAACCTCTGAGCGCTACGGTTCTCCATAGCACCGTAGGTTCAACTTGCCCAGGCAATAGCGTAGTCTTTGGAGCATCGAGACCAAGCTGTGGTTGCGCTAAGGCTGGGCTAGTGGCGTCGGCTTATTCCACCCGTACGCCAGCGGCCCCAGTGGTATGCTGTTTCCGAAAAGTCTTTTTTGATTCCCGCGCGCTGGACCGGTCCGACGACTTTGGCATTTGAGGCTTGTTTCTGAGGGGCGCCCAGCTTCACGCCTGGCGTTCTCAGAATGTTCTAGGTCGTCCCGATTCCGAAGTTTGCCCAGCACATGTGCAAAGTAGGCCGAGTGTACTTCTCGGCGCCAGCGAAGTTGCTGACCACCCAACGATACCTGGCTTCAAAACGGTAGCGTCGATTTCGACGTCCGACAGCAGCGCTAGAGGCTCCCCACTGAGCGACAAGGTACTCTGCGCAGCGTTGGGTGGGCGCATACAGCAGAGCGTGTCCCCCCTCCCCCCTTTGGCCGAGCGTAGCATAGAGTACAATGCTGGCGAACACAGCAGTTTCGTAAAGAGTAGAGTCGGAGGGGAAGTGAACACGGCGTCTGCATTAGCGTAACATTTACAAAGGAATTTAACTGAATCAAGCGGATCGTTGAAGCACCAAAGACAAAGAGCAATACGCCGAGAACACGACTCGGGCTAAAACAGGAGTGCACTCGACTGGTACCTGTGCTGCTGCGCGCAGTGAGACTGAGGTGAGCACTGGGCCGGGGTGGTTCTAATTTGTTCGAGTAGGGATGGGCGATGGGATTAAGAAAAGAGCACCAAAGGGGCTAACCTGAGAGAGAGAGGGCGCCATCCACTGAGCAGATCCTCCACGGGCACTGTTTTTTTTTCGGTTTGGGGCAGGGCCCAGTATTTTTTTTTTTGCCTCACCCTCCGCCCCCTCCCTCACCTCACCACCCGGGGCACACTGCAACTCTGGGCGTACCAGCGCTAGCACACCACTAGCGTCCACTGGCTACACACAGAACACGCTGTGTTTGAACCTGTTGCAGCAGGCACAGCGCCCCGGCCGTGCTTCCGCTGTCGCTGCCAGCTGCAAGTAGTGTAGCGGCCAAGTGGCCCCTGCGTCCGCTGACAGCCTACAGAACCTGCGTCTTGTGGGAACCTTCTCTTTCTCGCTTTGCCTTTCCCGTCGCTCCTTCCTTTTCTTTTCTCTTTTCCTTCCTTGCCTTCCTTCACACTCGTCTGCTTTTTTGCTGCCCGTGCACGCAAAGTAGCCCAACTTCGCCGCCCTCACGGCTTCCCAGTCCAGTTGCGACATCTCAGCACTGCTATACGCACGACTCCTTCCGTCTTCCTCATCGCATTCCGCATTTTGACTCGGTCAAGGCCTCCCCTCGGCCAATTGCGCCCATATCCTCCCGCCGCAGTAGCTCGGTTCCGATCGCCTCGCACCCTCTATCCGCTCAGCACAAGACACCTAGTCGCCATCTTTAACGATCATCGTTAATTTGTTTTAGGACGTTTATTCGTTTTTTTTTTGGTGTCAAATTTACCTTGCTGCAGTTTCTGCGCTTTCATTCCCTTCCCCGTCCGAACCGTCCCGCGAACTCTCCCCGAGTGACAAGAATCCATCATCAGCCAGCCCGTCACCAACCGGAAAAGGATATCCTTGCGCCGTCGCTGTCGAATCCACGGAATACGCTTCTAAAATTGGGTTCTAAATCGATGAAATGAAATGAAACCTTGCTAGCCAACACATCTGCGCATTTTACATTAATCAGTGGCCTGTTTCCGCTCGCCGTTAGACTTCAGCAAAATTCTTCCCGTCTGTCCACCTGAGTTAAGCGCTTAGTTGCAGCTCGCTCACATACACGATATAGCACAGATGGCTATGAAAACAGAACACCTTCACTCTCCCAACTTGGCAACTGATAGGATACACGAGCCCATTGGAGCTCGCATCATTCCCGTTCCAGACGACCGATCCGCCATGTCTGCCGCCCAAGCCGCCTCTACCGACGCTATGGAAGTTGAATCCCCGTCAAGCAATTCTCCCACGAATAATAATTCACCACCTGAGACTACGACTGACTCCGAAAAGAATGGAAAGGCGTCTGTCCCGGCAAATGAAACATCACCTCCAGACACAAGCGGCACCGGCTCTGGCGCGATGCTGGCGCCATCAGCAGCTGGAGCAGCTCAACAGCCGAAAATAGTACAGACGGCGTTTATTCACAAGCTGTATAAGTGAGTTGAACAGCTGTATAGCGTTGGGATATTGCTAACCTGTTCTGAAGTATGCTCGAAGACACCAGTATTCAGCACCTGATTTCCTGGTCTTCCACTGCCGAAAGTTTCGTTATGTCACCAACAGCCGACTTTTCGAAAGTTTTAGCGTAAGCCTCCTTGCTCTTGTCACAAGTGCAGCGCTGATTAACTAACGTCCGTAGCCAATATTTCAAGCACACAAACATCTCATCTTTTGTCCGCCAGCTCAACATGTATGGTTTCCACAAAGGTACGGGCTAAAAATGCAAATTGAAACGTTTTGAGGGCACATCTAACAATCTATAGAACGTGATGTTTTCCACACAGGAAATCCGGACACAACTCTCTGGGAATTCAAGCACGGCAACGGCAATTTCAAGCGCGGTGACTTGGCCAGCTTGAGAGAAATTAAGCGTCGAGCCAGCAAGCATACGCCCATTCACAAAGAAAGTGCTTATGTCAAATCCAACTCATCGCAGCCAGGAACGCCCGCTGAGCCCATGCACATGCCCCCCGAAACGACGGAAGCGCGCGTTGCCAACTTGGAACATAGCTTATACGAGCTGGCAAGCAGATTACAACGCAGCGAAGAGACTGTGCACTACCTCCAGTCAAAGGCTCACACTGCTATGGATACTCTTGGCAAAGTCTTGCATTTCAACCAGGAGCTCACGCGATCGCTCCTCTCCCTCGCTCCCGTCGATAGCGCTGCTCATCGCGATGGTAAGATATTGCACTTCAACTATTACTTGAAAGTGAAATACTAATGTTCAATAGTGATGACGCTGCAGAATATGATTCAACGGCAGGCAGATATGGTTAGAAACTATGATGAGCAACACGACGCTCCATATATCCCCAGTTCAAGATCCTATTTCGGTGGCGTCGAGAATGCCCCTGTGTCGCCGCGACAGCTCCCACAGGATGACTCTAGAAGATTAGCGCCGGGTATTCAACAAATTCGGGGACAGCCAAGCTACCGACCTTTGGTTCCATCTAACCTCTCCTCTGGCAGCAGACGACCATATGGCTCCATTGGCGGCACAAGCCCTAACCAAAGCTCACCTTTGCGTAACGCTGCGCCTCCTCCTCCTCCTCCCGGCCCTCATTTGCTTCCACCTGCTGCAGAAGCACTCACCTCAACCGGACGACGACATACTTCAGCAGATATCCGTGCCCATGGCTGGCAACCCGCACCATCGCCATTCTCTTCAAACCCTCCTTCAGCAGCATGGCCATCATCGCCAAGCAGAGTACCACCTGAAGACCAACACCAGCGCCTTCGCGAGTCCTTGTCGTCTTACTCACTTCAAACCGCATCCCATAGCCACCCTCAATCCCGCCCTACAACTCCTCCTCCTCCCACTGCTAATGGCAGTGGTCAGGGGGCCGATCCATTCAGCAGTTGGACTTGGAACTCTGCGGGCAGTCGTGAGTCAAAGGCCTTGGCTTTCAAGGATTCTTCTGCACCTCCTACACGCCGCGGAAGCATGGCCCATATTTTGAACCCAAGCGAAGCCGGTGCTCGAGAGGAGGATGACGACGACACACGAGGAGACGAAGATCGAAAGCGAAAGCGTATACAATAAGCTAGGACTTTGGCCTGCTTATTCGGTTAAAGAAACAGAAAGTTGATGTCTACATATTTGGCGCCATTGCTGTTATTGGGATTTGAAATTGTTTGGTGTTTTCATTGTACTTGGTCCGGGAATTGGCGTACACTACACGCTCTTGTTTGGGTAATAAAAAGGCCCCTTTTGAATGCGGTGGGTTTGCATCCTGGTGTATATTTGGTGTCGCCTATTTTGGTGCACGGAGGAGCATATGCAGCGGCCTACGAGAAGGAGTATGGACAGCGACTGAGTTGAGATGGGAGCAATGTGGTATATATGGCACAGTTGGCGTCTCAGTCTAACTTTTGTACTAATCATGAATTGTTGTATAAAGATAAAAAAACACGCTTGTTTGGATATGACTGATATATTTACATAGTGAATGGTGCACCAAAGTTATTGTTTTGCTTCACTGTCTTTTGTCTTCTGTTTCTTCTTATTCTTCTTCTTCATTGATGAAGCAGCGTCTTGTAGAGCATCCACCTTTGTAGTAGACTCACTCTCGACCTCGCGGTCTACAGGATCTATGTCACCCTGAGCGGCCGGATGTACTTCAGCGGGAGTGTCTTCCATCTCTGTAGCAGTCCGTTTAGGTCGTTTCCTCTTTCCCAATGCGCTTCGCCCAGCGTCGTCGTCGCTCTCACTTTCTGGCTGCTTCTTGGCCTGCCTCTGTGCTCTAGCATTGGCACCTTCTTTGCGGCCCATAAGTCTTCGTCTTAGCGTCATGTCCTCTTTAGACTTGTCTCCGGCTGATGGGCCCTCTTTTGGACGCTCATAACCAACACCTTCGTTGGGGCGAGGGCCGTTGAAAAGATCTTCATCGGGGTCGCGGTCGTAGTGTGTAGGCTGGACCTTGGGACGCCGCGACTGGTCTGATGGTTTTGAAGGGTTGAGGGTCTTGAGGATAGATGATTGCTTGTTAAGCAGGAGCGAAATGCGGTTCGAGATGGCTGCGCGGTCGGGGGCGACCGGGAGTGGTGTTGTATCTGACGGCATGATATCTGTAGAGCTTTTGTCGCATGCGCGACAGAGATAGAGATCCTATCGTACCAGCAGGTAAGAGAGTCACAACTAGTGTTTCGTGGCGAGATATATGAAGTTGTGGGTTTATTCTAGAATCTTATTTGTCGTTCGTTGCGACATGTGCATTGTTCAAACTTTTTTTTGAAAGAGTTGGATCTTACGATAAATCTTGAGGTTAGAGGTGGGGCGGTGACCTTTTGACAAAGTCTGGTGGGCGACTTAAGAGCACGACTGCTCACCTAACGACAATCTTTGGGAGATCTTCATGAATGTAAATGTAAATCTATATTATATATATACAGAGAAGTAGACTTGGGAATAAAATACATCAGTCTATGTCCAAATTTACGTTGTAAAGCGATATATACATCATGAAAATCGTAGGCTCATACTGGTACCCTATACGCCAAAAGTGCGAGAATGTGTAGTGGGAGGGCTAGTTTTCTGCGCCTTGCTGAGAGGACGGCGAAATAACATATGGCATAATATTACGCTCATCGCCGACAGCTAGGCGAACGACCGAGCCGGTGCTAGAGGTCGCGTGAGAGCGGAGACTGGCGTTGGACCGCTGATTGCGCAGGAACCTGAGCACCGAAGACTGATCCGTGGCTAAGCTATTGTTGCTTCGCTTGCGGGACAGCATACCCGTGCGACGACTGCCTGGCGTATTGGGTGCTGTAGCGTATAAACTCCATGCATTGAACGAGGAGTTGCGCCGCGGCGGTGAGGGGCGATGGCTCTCCTCGGACTCTTGCCCGGAGCCATCCTCAATGATGGACCGCGAGTAGTTGCTTCGAGGTGTAGTAGGGTTTGTGGCGAGGGGAGCATCGCTATCAATGTCCGACTCAGACGGTGGCTCTATGATGGCCTCGGCAAACCCATCGGGGTCGGGCCCAGTCATGTTTCGCAGAACGTCGGCGAAGAGGTTCATCATGTGTCGGAATGTCGCGTTGGGGATAAGGGTGGTAGAGAAGCGTGCATGCTCGTAGACGTCAAGGAATTCGGTTGTCGTTGCATCCATGTCCATAATACCAGCGTCTACAAGGTGGTTTAAGTACTGGCGCAGGCTCATGTTTGGCTGTCTTTGCAATAGTTCTGCTGCGTCGGCATCAATCATGGGCGGATCGCTTGTTGATAAGGGATCTGCTGGTGCAAGAGTGAGCGACTTGGCTTCCACCAGGTTCGGCAGTTCGGAGAGCACAGTGCTGTATTGTAGATTCGGGAGGTCTTCGGCATTGGGAGACGCCCAGCCATTCTGTTCAATGTCGCCCCAGAGCGCATGCTGAGACGGCAGCTTTATTCCAATGTCATGGCCGACGGACTCGACCGTCTTCATCCCGAGCCGCTGAGGCTGCAGATAGCCACCTACCGGACGAAACGACTCGTTTGACCGTGCAAGATCTCGAGGGCGTGAGAGGTAGGCGATGGCCGCGCTGCGGTTCAGGCCGCCGCTAATCATGCGGTAGACGGCATCTTTGACGTCGCTTTTGTCGATAGGGACCCATGCCTTGGGAATAGCAGAGAGCGCGGTTTTGTTGATGTATAGTCGAAGGGCATAGACGAAAGCTACTATGAGGATGGTTGCAATGTAGCAGATTGTGATAATGAGGATGTTGTAGTTTTGGCCGTTTTGGAGGGAGCGCTGGATGGCGTCTCCTGGCGTAATGAGCAGCAGGCCGACAAGGAGGATATAGCAAAGGGCGTAGGCTGATCGGTATATGATTCGAGAAAAGAGCTTCTGGGTCGCCATGGCGAGCAAAGACGAGCCTGTTACCGCCGCGCGCAATGCACCGGTCAGTTCGCTTTTCTTGTTATGCTGCCGGCGTAGGGAGAAGCCATGCTTTTGTTGTGGTGATGCGCGGGCGGTGGTCCAGATCACGACGACGCAGGGGCTTCCATGTAAGACGAATAAAAACAAAAGAGAAGGAGAACCAAAGTTCAATCAAAAGGTGAGGTGCAAGGGAAGCTAGAAAGGAGAGACAAACAAAGGGAGCGGATGCGGAATCAGAGACAAGCGTTTAGGCGGACGATGGGACGGCTGACCCGCCGCCTAGATTTTTGGCGAGGTTGGCTGATGGCTGGTGCCAGTTTGGGTGGGACCAGCCCGCCTCGGGACGGCGGCAGAGCTTGTGACTGCGGCGCGGTTGTCAGTGTATGAATCTATGTATAACAATCGGCATGAGCCGCTCGTGTATTTAGTTTATGCTCATTATATAAGTCCATATTATTTACGTTAGAATAATAATAATATGATAATAAGAGGTGTATCCTCTTGATAGGTCCACGACTCTATTCGTCGTCCAGAGCTAGACGCAAGTACTCGGGGGCCAATCGCTGGAAGAAACCATGCTTGTCATATTTGCAAGAAAGGTCTCGCAGAAACTGAATGTTTTTGTCGCCGTAGCTCTCCAGGGGGCACTGGGAGGGATTGGCGTAGTTGGCGTAGACCCAAGGGTGGCCTACCCCGATGGACTCGGCATAGCGCTGCAGCTCGTCCGTCATGGCGCGGCTCTTGACTTTCAAAAGATGTTCATACTTGGCGTCATCCACCGATGCTGCAGTGAGCCAGAGAAGAGAGTTCCCTTCAACATCATCTAAACCGAGAACGTTGCCGCCCTTGGCAACGCCAATATCAGCAAACGTCTTGGGAATCGGCTGGAAGAGACTTTGCGCAGCAAGACCATCTGCTGGCACGGTTTGCAATAGTTCGTGGACAAATTTCTTGTGCAGTTCGGAGGCCTTCTTTACTATACGAGCATCGTTTTTAAAGGTAAGGGTGTACCAGACATTTCTAATATCAGGCGGTTAGCAGAGTGGAATCCATTTCTCTGAGTGTTGGTCAACGTACCGAAGGCCAGAAGCGAGAAGGTAATCATTTGCGATACCGCTCATGGGTCGTGACTTGACATCGTTGAAAATTTCTGGTACATCAAGAATCTTGCTTAGGGATGGGGGCCTTTCGACATTGTCTGTATCAACGACCAGCTGGGCCACGATGATGTCCTTGGATGTCTTCGGCTGATACAAGAAGATGAGGATAAACGCAGCCTCGGGACTCTTGTGGTTGTCGTCGGTAAACTCGATGAGCAAGTCGATGAGTTTGTCGGTATGAGATACGTCGGAGGCACGCGAACCACCCCAGAGATTGCCAGCCTCGAAAGCCTGCATGTCGAAACGAGTGACAATACCAAAGTTGGCCATGCCACCCTTGAGACCCTTGAACAGATCTGCGTGCTCATTCGCATTGGCATTAACTACTGTTCCGTCGGCGAGAACGACCTCAGCATTAACCAAGTTGTCGCAAACGAATCCGCGGCGGCCAGTATAGTACGAGTTGCCACCACCCGTAATGAGACCAGCCACGCCAACATCGCCGTCGCGGCCACCAGGCACCATGACGCCGTCCTTTTCAAGGGCAAGGAAGACATCTCCCCATCGACACGCAGGACCAAGAGAAGCGAGCTTAGTTTCAGGGTTATACGTAGTCTGGTTGAAATGGGTCATGTCTATCGTGACGCTGTCGGCCAGTTTCTCGTGGCTGTAGTCGCGGTTATGGCCGCCGCTGCGAATAGTAATGTGTCCATGGGGCAGCTTGGAAAGCGTCTTTACGATTTCAGATACATCCTCTGTCTTCTTTGGCTGTACAATACAAGCAGGATGAAAGCGAGCGTTGGCAGACCACCACGAGTTCGTGCTGTGACGGTACGCATCGTCTCCGGGCCACAGCAGCAGGGATGACAGCGCAGTTGCTTGCAGAGCGTTGCACTGGTGATTGTGTGAGTTGACCATGGCACTGGCTTCGGCTAGGTAATCGGCTTTTTGATTTTCTCTATCGAAAAGAGAAGTGTTTACGAAAGCGGCGGGGGAGGGGGAATCCATGGCCTCATGAACAAGGGCTGCTCTATCTCATGGCCTTGCCCAGCCTTATTGCCAGACCGCTCACTGTGCGCCCATGTCATTTTTTTCTTCCTTCTTGATGGCCACGACACAATTAAAAAAGTGACGTATACAAATTATAGCGGGGAGGGATGCAGGAAGCGTGGATAGCAGCAGCCTACCTTGTTAAAAAAGGTGGTGTGTTCAGTAATGCTGGGAAATAATTAGGCTGTGGGTTCGGAGCCCCGAAGAGCCGCTAAACAAAACCACTGCTGCGAAACGCAGACCCCAAAGTTGCGGCTGCCCCACCAGCGATGGGCGCCGGGTCCGCAATTGGTGGCTGCACGAGGCGGCGAATCGAAGCAGTCAAGAAGGTTTGGCAAGGGGACGCCGAAATTCTTCGCGCAGATCGGCCCACGCTCCCACAGAACATGTGTTTTGAGACAATGTTGGGTTCAGTCAGGCCACTGACTGTCGGCGGATACAGGGATCTGATTTGCTGCTGGATTGCTGCTGCGGCTTTGCTCGTGCTGGACGCACGCAGGTACGGTAATGGTACCCCTGAACGACAGAGAGGAACCGTATGATATGCTTCTTTTTGTTCTATTTAGGCATGTTGTATTTTTTGATTTCTTTATTTTGCTCCTGTTCCTGCACTAGCTGGTGAAAGGGGGAGACTCACCCTGCCTCCTCAACAGGTTCGCCTCCCCACGCGGCCCGCGTATACTCCAGGCGGGTTCTTCTTGATTTTCCCGTGATTTCCCCACTAACTCAGTAGAGCTAGTGTACGGCACTGGGTGTTCCCAGCTTCGAATGGCGGGCTGAAGGAGCGTTGCGGGCCTTTTTAGCACCTAACTAGTCCTGATTTCTGTTGTTGCTGGTGCTGTAAAAGATGTGTGCTGTGCTGGGTGCGCATCTCCGCGCCGTGGAGTTAGTTTGCCTGCCCCCGGCGCCGCGTGCACAACAGGACCGTCCGCCACCCCTGGAGCAGATCGCTCCCCTCTGTAACCCGCCGCCATCATCAGCACTACGCCCGGGCCGACTAATTATTCACCTGCCCTCGGCGCATTACAACTGCTAAATAACGGATTTCAACCACCTGTCCATGCAGGCCAGGCCTCATCTCCGGCTAAGCAGGCCCCTAGTCTCCCGGAAGCAGAGGCCATTTTCCCCCTCCCGTGCCGCTCGTAGTTAACTTTTTTTAAAGCCTGCTAGCGTTTACGTTGGCGTGCAAGTCCCCCCACAACGGTGGTTCAGCTGCCACCTTAGCAGGGCCTAGCGGCCTCCTCCCGCCGTATTCCCCTTCGCCAGAGCCCAGGCCTGCTGCATTTGTCACGTCCTGCCCTTTTTCCTCTTTTCCTACTTACCACCACGCTTGTCATTCGTTTTGATCTTGTAATTTTTACGGTTTACCCAAGGATATTGCGACGACTACTCGAATAACCGAAAATCATGCGAATTGAATAATCTGTCGATACATCCCTTCTTCTCAGCACCTCGCTCCGGCGCCGACGCCATGTTCGATGTCAACGGCGTGCCTGTGGCCGTGCCGCCTCCCTCAGGCTACACGGTCAACTTTGAACACCCGCAGCGACAATGCGTCCTGGAATCGTACATTATCGCCGGTATTGGCATGGGTGTCGCCTCTTTTTTTATGTTTCAACGCTTCTACGTGCACTATCATTTACGCAACAACCTTAGCTTCGACGACTGTATGTATCCTGGGCACCCTGTGAGGCACGACGGCCCTGGTGGATGGATTGCTGACTTTCTCTCTAGTGCTCTTGTTAATCGCCTGGGTTTGTGCTATTTCGTCGATGGTAAACGTGAGACTCTTTTTTTTTGGCTAACACAAATCTAGGCTGGATCTATTACTATTCAAGCTCTTATTATTCGTACGTTAATCATTCGTCGATCACGATCGGCATCCCGCGCGCTAACCGTCTCATTCTTATCTAGACGCTTTCAAAGAACGAATCATGGGAATTCATGCCTGGGAAATACCATACAACTCGTTTAAACAGTTTGCTATTGTAAGCCAAGACGCAACTTTTATGAGGTACTCCATCTGACATATTCTAGATCGGTGGCTACACGACTTCCGTCATCTACACGATTCCAACCACGTTATCAAAGGTTGTTATTCTTTTATTTTATCGCAAGCTCGAAAGCCCACACATATGGTACCGATGGGCTGTGAATATCGTCATATTTGTGGTAGCCGCATCTGGGTTCTCCATCCTATTCAGCTCGCTCTTCCCTTGCCAACCTGTGGCCAAATCCTGGGACATTGATCTGGCAGAGGCACCAGGCTATTGCATCGATCGAAAATCAATGTATGAAGCGACTGCCGCCCTGGGAGTCATTACGGATTTTCTTATAATCCTTATTCCGATACCCATGGTTATATCTCTACGGCTGTCGCTCAAGAAGCGACTCGGGCTTCTTGTCATTTTTGCCGTTGGCTCAGCGTAAGACTCCTTCGATACTTTTCGCAAGGATCCCTTGTGGTTGTTTTCTTTTTTCTTAGACAAAGCCAATACTGACAAATCTTCTCAGCACTGTTGTTACATCTATAGTCCGACTAGCCTTGCTCATATCCCTCTTGAGCGATGCCGATCAGACATGGGGTGGTGGCCCTGTGTGCATGTGGATGTACGTATCCGGACTCCCATTTAACCTGTCGCAAAACTAACTTTAGTAGTTGCGTCGAAGCAAATCTTCTTATAATCTGCGCGTCGCAATTCACAATCCGGCACTTCTTTGCAGCCGTCCTGCCGCGCCGGTTTGCAGGCAATAGTATCCCGTCTATTAAGCGCTCTATGACACCCTCCTCTGGTAACCATGAGCTACGCACCTTTGGAGTTTCGGGCTCAAGTAAGCGTTATTATAGTCGCTTCGATGAGACCGATATATGCACCGATACCATCATCAACGTTCAAGGCTTACCGCCAGTCGAGGCACCACCATCGGACGTAGAAAACGGCAGCACGGTTGCAGGTGGAATTATACAGACCAAGGAGACGGTCGTCTTCTACGAATCTACGTAGCTGCTGCGGCTGGACCGCAGGGTTGGCTCTCAAGCGCGGCCATCGCATGATGGCGATGGCGCAGCTTGGGCCCATTCATGAGAAGAGATGACTTCATGTATTATACTAGATACCCCATACAAGGCTAGATAGAGGCATGATTGACCGCCTTCAGTAGGCGCGAACATGCCACATAATGTTGTGTTTCATGCAAGCTGGCGTTTGATTAATTAATTTTTTTTATTTGCTTTGAATTCAATAATACGCGCTGCGCCTTTGTTACCATAACCGTCTATCGTACTTGTTCCATTTCTGGCCTGCGCTGTTCCAAGCGTTTTCTAGGCTTCGACTCGTTCTTCTCTGCTGTTGCACTGGGCTTCCCAACTACGTCCTCAACAGCTGGTGCGACAGCCTTTGTCTCCTGAACGGGCTTAACAATAGCCTCTCTGGCGTGGCGGAGGTCACCAGCAGAGAGTCTAAGGTCGCTGCTATAAGGCTCAAACTTGGTAACAACCGCCTCAAGACCCTCTCGGAAGGCAGCGATGACTTCGTCTACCTCAGGGCAGTCCCTCGAGCCCGTGGTATCTGTCCAATGGAAGGGGAATCGGGCCTTGAGAGCCTCTGTTTTGGTAATCAGGGTTGTCAATGTACGGACAATCGTTGCCACGTCTCTGTGAACATGCCCAAACTGATCTTCAGCCAAGCTATGAATGGCAAGGTTGGCCAAGGCACTGCTTGCGTATGCATACAGCGTCGGTTCCGCAAATGGGCCTCCCAGGACAGCCGCCGCAAATTCAGTTCGGAATCGTCTCTGAAGCAGACCGCCAAATGAGTCCATTTTGAGGAGGCCAGATGCTGCAGCCTCGAACTTTTGCTTCAGATGTTCGGGTGATATGGAATCCTGTTGCGTCTGCGTCAAGACATGGTCCTTGGCGTTCTTCCAAGTTCTCTTCGCAATAGGGCTGAGATCTGACATGGGAGACTTGCCAGGACTACGGGCAATTGAGTTCCAAGTATTCTCTGCGGCGGTCTTTGTTCCAGGCATCTTGCTGAAAATGTCACCCTCCTTGAGGGGTGCTGACGTCTTCTGCTTTTGCTCGATGCTGACTGGCATGGGGCCTGGTGCTGCGACGGGCTTCCCATACGAATCAATACGATCCTCCATGTTCTTCAGCACCGACATGCAAATTCCGTAGATCTGCGACCACATAGGCCCATCCTTGCGGTCAATGTCGGTAAAAATGGCTTGGCGCCGGACTTCGACGTCGCGGGCAATGATGGAAAGCTCCCACATAGCAAAGCACTAGAACATGTTAATATATAAATGTCAAATAGTCTCCGATAATCTTACCTGAATGGAGAGCTTCTTGCTCTTGAGACCATTGAGCAAGCTGCCGTTGGGGTCCTTTGATTCAGAGGTCAGGGGCTTGCCGTTCTTCAATGGCGGCCTGGCCATAAAGACTGAAAACGCAGTATTGCCGGTGGCCCAAATGAAGTTGAGCATAGTACCGGCAAACAAGCATCGTAAAAGGAGAAAGACGTCAACTGGTCTGGAGGCGGGCAAAAGGTTGGCCTTGGGTAGATTGTAAAATGGACGAAGCCACATTAGAGCCCAGGACCACGCAAAAGAGCGAAAAATGAAGAAGTACAAAAACAATCCAACGACCAGTGACGCTGCGGACTGCTTCAGACATCCAGCAAGGACCGTAGGGAGTCGATCGAGGGCAGCGTTTAGAGGCTTCGAGCCAGTGGCTTTAGATCCTTTGTCACTACCCATGGTGAAAACTAAACGATCGAGGTCATAGCGGTAGTGGGCTATCGTTTGTACTAGTGCGCAGGACAAAAGATAATATGTCAAGAAGAGCGGTCGTTCGTTGAGCTTGGCGCGGTCGCCGCTGAGGTAGACGATCCATCGGAGGCTGGCGTTGTCGTCTGTGGACCAGAGGTAGATGGGACCAAAGATGCTGCTAGACAGGCCATACCAAAACAGTGTCTCGTACGTCTTGACGCTTAAAAGGGCCGATTGGAGAGTCTGAATTCCGGCTTCCGTCTGAAGCCCAGCATGGTAATGTGCAATTCGGAGGACGAGTGTCGAGAGGCCGCACGCAAAGATCATTAGCGCTCGAATTCCGGCAGGACCTAGGGGTAGCCACGACCAAAGAACTAAATAGTTAGTACACAACCAAATTGAAACAGCAGCACGTCATCATTGGACCTACATGAGCTCCATGAAGCTAAGACGAGAGCTTCGAGGTATGCCACGGCAAGCAGAAGTGTCGCTGTTGATGAGAAGCGTTTGTGCAATGCGGGCTGCAGAGTGTCCTTATAAGGAGCCCTGCGTACTGTAGCGCTCGCCATTGCGTCTTTGCAACCCAGATGTTCGTGGGCTGGGACGTTGTGTGATGCAGCAGTTGGGATGATGGGATGTCGACGACAAAAGTAAATAAATCTGCCAGCCAAACACAGGCACCAATCGCTGCGGGTCCCCGTCCCTGCGACGCGCCTTCAAGCCACCAAGGGAACTTCGCTAGCGATCACGTGGACTAGACCGGTGCCTGTCCAGCGGTTCGACCCGCTATAATTGGCTCCACGGCGGCGGCTGGTTACGTAGTGCCCGCCTTCCCAGGTGACCACCATTTGCCATCTTCACCATAGCTTGCAATATTCCACCAAGTAGCGCCAGATCTTTCTAGAGCAGCTGCAGACATAGCGGAAACATCATGGCATATGATAGGCTTTCAAACCTCGAAGCCGGCCAGGGCCCCAGCGGTTACACGGACGACCCGGCGTTCCGCGATCTCCAAAACGAACTCAAGAACAAAGTGCTGTCACTGCTCAGCAGCAACCGCCAACTCACAAGCAATATAAATGCGCTTGCAAAGAAGCCTGATAATGCTCGTGTCAGAGAGCGTGTTCATAATGCTATGGAGAAGTCCCGCGAGAGCTGCAAGGATATTGGCGAAGGAATCAAGAAGCTCATGGCGTTTGAGGACTTGACGGTAGGCGCTCGACCTTTTGTCGCTAATAATATAAAGTAGACTAACGTTGAAGCAGAAACAACAAAAATACGAGCAAGCCAAGGTATCCAGCGACTTCCAAACAGCGCTGGAAGATTTCCAAAACATACAGCGAATGGCGCTTGAACAAGAACGAGCATCTGTTTCCGCGGCACGAGCTGCCCAAGACCTGGGATACGACCAAGAAGGCAGCAGCGATAGTGCGCCGCTCGAACAGCTGCAGCGTCAGGAAGTCTCTCAGCTGGCTCCTCAGGAAGACGTCGATTTCCAGGAAAATGCCATTATTGAGCGAGAAGAGGAAATCCGCAACATCGAACAAGGCGTTGGCGATCTCAATGTTTTGTTCCGCAAAGTAGCTCAGATCGTGAACGAGCAAGGAGAAGATCTAGACACAATCGGCGCCAACATTGACAACACATACAACGATACAAGACAAGCCGATATCGAAACGAGACAGGCAGCACGATACCAGAAGGCCGCACGAAGCAAGAGCCTGTGCCTCCTATTGATCCTCGGCATCATTCTCACCATTGTGCTTCTTGCCATTTTCCTGGGTTAGCGAAGCAATGTTTAGAGTGTAATGTGTGTCAGACTATGTTTTGCATCGGCGTTTATGGGAGTTTCTTGGGACAAAGCTTCTTTTTAAGTGTGCACTAGCAGTTCTCTATTAGCCTTATTTTATTTTATACTATATTACATTATTTTACATGAGATTTCGACGCAGCCAAAAACTGACGTATTCCTTGCGTTGATTTTATCTGCCTCTTTCGGCCCGTAGTGTTTGCAGGAAGCATCTTATCCAGGATTGTTGTAGTGACGGCTGTGACACTAAACGATGAAGCCCAGTAGAGGAAGATGGCTGCCGGCAAATGCGTAACCATTAGAGGCATAAGGGGCATTAATAAAGACAGACGCAATAGGGTTTGTTGGACGCGTCCTGCGAGACTGACGGCTTGGTTGCCCTTGTCGAGAGAAAAGAGGCTTCGGAGCTGGTCCCTGCTGAGCCTTCCCCAAGAGCTTCGTGCCAGGAGTAGGGAGCATATGATGGGCAAAGCAAGGTATGGGTCAGCCACTGTAAGATCAGTGAACCAGAGGCAACCTCCTTCTACCATGGTTTTATCAAAGAGATCTCCAGTTTTGGCGATGGCTTCGCCAATAGACGCTGTCCGTGCACCATCCTCTTGGGTCGATTCGATCAATTTTATCCATCCAGATTGAGCACCACAGAGCCGTCGCAATGATTCGGATACTAAAACAAATGGAAATATGCTAAGGAGGGGTGTGAAGAGCTTCCATGTCTGGACGCCAAAAGTCTTGTAGATTCTGGACCGCGATCTTTCCGATAGTGCCGTCGCGTCCTTCTGCCACGTCGTGCTGTTCACATTGGGCGAGCTTTGAACTGTTCGCATATGTCGTGAGCGCCACGCTTGTATGAGAGGTTGAAGTTCGTTGCGCTTTCGCGCTATCTGACGACTATAATATTGGAAAGGGAACCTAAACGCGGACCCTACACCCACCGCCACGAGAGGGATAGTGATGTACCAAGGAACTCCTGAGGCGTGAATGGCAGATATGCTGTCTGTGCTCCATACAAGTGTTTCTGCCAAGGTAGGAATATGTATACATCTGCGATCCGTGATCTGAAGGGTTCTTCTCGTCGCATTGCATCGAAGTCCGTGGGTTGGTGATTGGTGAAGCAGCCGTGTTGAGGCCCTCTGTAAGCCATTCATTGTGTATGGCGCCGATCTGAGAAGCGTATTAGATCGACAATTGCATGGCTGTATCAACCACAGAAGGCCAGGGCGCCGAAGTCGAGTGGTTGCAGCAGATGATGCGAGCGGCGTGCAGTGTAGAGCGTCATGTGCAGAAATGTAGAGCACCTGCAACGGGGTCGTGGCGGATCCACAGGCACTCGTTCTCCAAATTTAGGCGCCGAAGCGCTAGCTGCCAGGAGGCAATGCCCTGTAAAGCTAGGTGGCAACAGCACGTCGTGAGCGTCACTGCGGGGCATGCAGGACCCTGGGGTCGGGACCGTGCTTGGCCAGACATTTTTCTTCCCCTTTTAGTATGGCCACCTGGTGCACCTGGCTGCGTTCACCAGGCTTCCTCTCTTCACTCGTTATCACCATTTTTTCTTTTCCTTGTTTCCTTATCGTCTGTTTTTTAATGGAAGTTGCCTACTTCTTTTCCGGCACTTCGTCTTGAAATTATATTCCCTGCATCTGCCCCATAGAAGTTTTCGAACCAGCATTACCGACTCCTTTTCACACTGCCAGCACAACAATCTTCGTCGCGCCGAGCCGATTCCCGTCCGCCGCCATGGCTGATATGTGTGTCGCCCCGGATGGGCAGAGACCATTTTCTTTTGGGCTCGAACCTCGCACACTGGCATTTGTCGCGACGACTCTTGCTTGCACCCCATTCGCGCTGATCATTCTGGGGCCGTTCTTGGTTGGCCTCGTTGGCCGCTGCATAGGATGGGTGCTGCTTAAGAAGACGGAAGGCCGCCGGTCCTTGCTCGTTGGCTTGATGAACGATGATAACAAAAAGAGTGCTGAACAAAGCAGTACTGCATCAAGCTCAAGCGAAGAATGGGAAAAAGTTCAGGCTCCCGACGCCAAAGCTACAACAACTGAGAAGTCGAGCCAGCAGGACTGGGACGGCATTATAGGCTTTTTCCACCCATTTTGGTACGTAATCAAAGTTGATACGCATATAATCTGCATCATGCTAATATTGGATTTCTGTCTAGCAATGCTGGAGGTGGTGGTGAACGCGTTCTTTGGGCTGCTATCCGAGCGACACAGACCCGCTGGCCAAATGCAAAGTGCGCCGTCTATACAGGAGATCACGAAGCTACCAAAGAAGAAATCTTATCACGTGTAAAGGTATACTTGGGATATTTTGTAAATCTCTTTCCACTGTCCGCTAACAACATGGTAGGCTAGGTTCAACATTAGCCTACACCCCGCCACGATTACCTTCATATACCTTTCGAAACGACACTGGGTTCTGCCATCGACCTGGCCACACTTCACTCTACTCGGCCAGTCGATTGGATCCATGGTATTAGCTTGGGATGCCTTCTCTCTCCTCGTACCTGACGTCTTCATGGACACCATGGGCTATGCCTTTGCCATTGGCTTGTGCAAATTCCTGTTTCCTCGAATCCCTACCGGCGCCTACGTCCATTACCCCACCATCTCGACCGATATGCTCGACTCTCTAGATGCCACCGCCGAAGCTGGTGAGAAAGGTGCGAATGCCGGAAAGGGAGCTGGAAATCTCGGCAAAGTCAAGCGAGCATACTGGCAATTGTTTGCCCAGCTCTATTCTTGGGTTGGATCTTCTATCGATGTCGTCATGACCAATTCCACCTGGACACAAGGCCACATCAAGACTCTATGGGGCCCATACAGAGAAGAAAAAGATAAGGGTCACCCCATGGCCGTTGTGTACCCGCCTGTCGCTGTGGAAGAACTAGAGCAAGAGGTTGAGGTGTCCGAAGCGAGTGAGAAGAAGGTTCGACAACCAGTCATCATTTACATTGCCCAATTTCGCCCAGAGAAGAACCACCAACTCATTCTACAGTCGTTCGCGCAGTTTTTGAAGACAGGAACCAAGGCTGCCCAAACAGCCAAGTTGGTTCTTGTTGGCAGTGTCCGCGATGATGGAGACTCCAAGCGAGTGTACCAGCTGAGATTGCTGGCAAATGAGCTGAGCATCAAGGATAGAGTTGAGTTTCATCTTGATGCCTCTTGGCCTGAAATTCTGGATTGGCTGAGAAAGGCATCCGTTGGAGTCAACGGTATGTGGAACGAACACTTTGGCATCGGAGTTGTTGAGTATCAGGCAGCCGGATTGATCTCCGTCGTCCATGATAGCGCGGGTCCAAAGCTTGACATTGTGGTACCAGTCGATGGATTGCCAACCGGTAAGTCATATTTCTCATTATTATAAATACTATTCACTTGCTGACTAGAGATAGGATTCCACGCAACATCCGCTGACGAATTCGCTGCCGGATACGAAAAAGCCTTGTCCGTTGAAAACCCGCTAGAGATGCGTCTCCGCGCTCGTCAGTCCGCCAAGAGATTTACAGAGGCAGAGTTTGCCAAGAAATGGATTAAAGAAGCCGAGCGACTCATTGCGCTGAGAAAATAGAGGTTTCAGATATGTTTGTGATGTAATGTTTTTCATAGATGAGGATATACCCGTTCTTTCTTCACCCTAATATAGCTTTTTCATGCTTCTCGTGCTTGTTTTTAACAAAACTTCGTGATATTGACGTAATATGTATCTAGATTCCAAATTAATACATGTTGTATACATAGGAAGATCTTCTTATGCAGTATATCCAGCGCTATTATTTTGTCTAGGCTCTCCAACGGCCTCAAAAGAGCCGTCTTCGTTTCTCATGATGCCCTGCACGGCGCTCAAGCCTGGCCAGACGGACGTGACGGAATGTCCCTTGGCACGGAGATATTGATGCACATTGTTAGCATCGGGGTACTCTCTCTCCATGGTGATGGTGTTTGGAATGAGCTGGTCGTGAACTCGACGGAATGTCATGGCCTCTGCCATAGTCATGTTGTGCTCGATTAAGTGCCACATGGTTTGCGCTGTGGCCGAGATGATGCGCGAACCACCACCAGCACCGGCGGTAGCGAAGAATGTTCCATCTGGGAGCTCGGCTATCAACGGTGTCATTGAAGAGAGTGGACGCTTAAAGGGGCGGATGAAGTTTGCCTCTGATGGCGCGAAGCCAAACTCATTGCTGACACCCGGGATGGAAAAATCGTTCATTTCATCGTTACTGGAATGAGGTTAGTTTATGTAGAAATTCGAAATGGTAGAGAAACTTACAGGATAATGCCCGTGTTTGGTTCCATGATTCTGGCGCCAAAGTTCAAGTTGACCGTAGTCGTCAGCGAGATGACGAGACCAGATCGATCAGCAGCCACCATGTGTGACGTGCCGTGGCTATCTACAGCCAATAGCTTCTCATCATCATACTCTGTGGGGAACTTCGTCTCGTTATCTGACATGCGCTTTTGGGTGGAAGCAATGTTCTCGTCCGAGAGCATGTGACGTTCAAACTCCAACACATCAGTGCTCTGGCCGAAACCAGGGTCGCCAAGGTGTCCTCTTGCAGCGTATGCAAAACGCATCGCTTCGGACAAGCGGTGGATTGTCAACTTTTTGTCTGTATTCCAATCATTCATCTTATATTGCTCCATCAGCTTCAGGATGTACAGCGCCACAGGACCACCGGATGGGGCACCGAGCGCCTTCACCTTTAGCCCACGGTAGTCAAGGGAGAGAACTGGGCGATGCGCGATCTTGTACTGTTGAAGATCTTCGAGAGTCATGACTCCACCAGTTTCACGGATAAAGCTGATCAAATCGTTTGCTACTTACAGATTAGTATTTGTCCTGCGCTGGGCGATATGGCAACCTACCAGTCTTGCCTTGATAAAGCGCGGCAGATCCTTCGTTGGCAATTCGCTCCAAAGTACTATGTACACTGTTAACAGTCTATTGGCAGCAGCACATATATGTTACTCACTCTGCATATCTCTTGCGAGTCATGATGTCGCCTTCCTGAAGCAACGTACCTAGAAGGAGTCAGTACGTTGGCATAGATTGGTTTTAAATAGGACGTACCATTAGGTGCAAAGTCGAGTGCCCAGTTTGGATCATCCACGAGATATGTTCTATTACCAGAAACTTCATCGTTCATCTTTCTAACAAGGTCCTTGGACACTGTAATTGTGTTAGTAGGGGCAACGGTGCTGCATACTTAGGTGGACTTGCCTACGAAACCATCACGCGCAACTCTTATGGCGCCTGCGACAACAGTTTTCCAAGGAAGAGCCTGTATAAAGTTAGCTTCTCATCACAACCGGGCTAGGAGGTATACAAACTCCGTATTTCTTATGCAGGTACTCCAGGCCATACACCTCGCTGGGCACTCCCACTGAGAGACCGCCACGAATGCTCTTTTGCTTGTGATTTTTGTACATGTCTTCAGAGGCAGCAGCGGGCGCCGTTTCTCTAAAATCGACAGCTTCATATTCGCCGTCGGGCCTGCGGACCAAAGCGAAGCCACCTCCTCCTATGCCGGAATGGTACATGCCTACAGTACCGACACAAAGAATCGTGCCGACTATGGCATCTGCGGCCGTTCCCTGGTTCTTTAATTAGCATTCGGTAAAATTAAATAGGGCGCAAGTATGCGTTAGACTTACGCCCTTAGCAAGCAGATCTTGACCGATGGCGCTACATTCCTTCGCCTCACAGGCTACAGCGCCTTTGTGATTGCCAGCGACTGGATCTAGTACGACTTGCGGTATCGTCGACGCACCGACTACATCTTGCAGGCAAGCCAGCAGAAGTAGCTGCAAGCTGCCAAATGCATGCTCTGTATGCGCAGATCTAGGTTAGTACTGTGGTTTGCCACAACGTGCGTGCAGGATGCAGGTCTCAGCTGGAAGGCTCTTACTCATGCTTGCTTAGTGGTAGACAGCGAGCTTAGTGGGCTTCGTTTTCACAATAGGGAAATATCACCGCAAAGAGCGTAACTTGGAAAGGCAACGATTTTGTGTGCTTGAATTTGTAAAAGTTTAGTAGTAGCAGCAGCAGCACTAGTAGATCCGACTTGTCCGCAAATCGGTCACATCCGCCCTGCTTTACTAATGCGCCGCTAACAACATTCTTCCATGCGGAGCCCCGGAGGTCAGTCGGAGCCTAACAAGGAAGGCGCGTGACGGCGCCGCTCCTTCCTTCGCAGTGGCACCAGACACAACCTGGGCCACACGCTCGGCTGTACTGTAGAAGGCGTTCCAGGTGCCAGCACAGGGCATTCACAGTGTGCTAAAAGTGCCACTACAGTGGTGCTGTTCAGCACACTCGGGTCCCACTAAACCGGCCCAAAACCCGCTAACAGAACTGCTTTACATTTTGCTCGTCGCTTATTGGACAGAAGCTCGTTGCCTTTTCCAGAAGATTTCTTTTTTTTTTTTTAATTCAACGTCAACTTTTCGATTTGCGATCATTACAAACAGACGCCCACAACCCAACCAATCAAGGAATTTAGCCAAACACTGGCTAATGAATCGAGTTGCCTATCGACTTGCATTCACCCTCCGAAGACAGATAATAATACCACGAGCAGCTTTCAGCGCCATGTCTTCGCCTGGTGCTCCCGTGGCCCCGGCCCACCAGCCTCAGTCTGAAAAGGCCAATGGCAATGGTCAGCAGAAGAGATCCTTCTCTGGTCCTCAAAATCGCAAATGGAAGCAAAAGAAGACCAAACGAGAGAAGAATATCACAGAGGGATCTTCTGAGGAAGTGTTGCGCAACGATATCCAAGCCCTCATCCAATCGCGACGACCCGAAGCCACGGCCGACTCTGAGCAAGACACAGACACTGCCAAAGAAGAGACTTTACCCCAAGAAGGAACTGAGATTGATGTCGAAATCCTGGAGCTCTCCTCGACGGGCGATGGCCTCGGTATGAAGGATGGATCTGACCAAGTATACGTGGTGCCATTTACCGTCCCTGGCGACATCGCCAAGATCAAGGTCTATAGGCATTTGCGACATGAAAACCAGACCATATCCGACTTCATTTCCATCACCAAGCCCTCTCCTCTGCGAGACGACACCCGCATTCAGTGCAAATACTTTAACACTTGCGGCGGCTGCCAGTTCCAAATGCTCGACTACAAGGAGCAACTCAAACTAAAGAAGCGCGTCTTGGAGAAGGCGTACTTGAACTTCTCAAACCTTGCTGGGGAACTTGTCCCTGCTATCCAGGATACTATCGGCAGCCCCCTCCAGTACGGATACCGAACAAAGCTTACGCCGCACTTTGACGGCCCCCCTGGCTTCCGACCCAGCAAGAGAAAGAACCAGAACGCTTCCTTTTCCAAGTGCCCTGAGATTGGATTCATGCGCAAAGGACAGCGCAAGGTCCTTGATATCGAGGACTGCCCAATTGGTACTGAGGCTGTGCGTCTGGGTATGGGAAGAGAGCGACAGCGCATGGAGAAGGAGTATACCAACTACCACCGCGGTGCTACCATTCTTCTTCGCGAAAACACAAAGCGTTACCAAAAGGGCGACGCTGCCATTCCAGAAACTCTACCACCCTTCACTTCAAAAACGGAAACCGATACTGTCGTAGACATCAAGTCGTGCGAAACAGACTCCAAGACTACAACGACAGAATATATTGGAGACCACGTCTTCACCAACCCCGCCGGCTCCTTCTTTCAAAACAACAACTCCATTCTTCCCGTCTTCACCGAATATGTGAAGCAACGCATTCTTCCTTCTTCCGGGGATATCAAGTATCTCATTGATGCGTACTCCGGCTCCGGTCTTTTCACCATCACACTCGCTTCAGTCTTCCAACACTCCACCGGCATTGATATCGCCGCCGACTCGATCAACTCAGCGCGCCAGAATGCACAGCTCAATGGCCTTGGTGAGGATCGCTGCAAGTTCATCGCGGCCGACGCTGGCGAGCTGTTCAAGTCTGTCTCGTACAACGCCGACGAGACCGTCGTTGTTCTCGATCCTCCTCGCAAAGGTTGTGATGCGTCCTTCTTGTCTCAGCTGCGCAACTTTGGTCCTAAGAGAGTCCTCTACGTCTCTTGCAACGTCCACACGCAAGCTCGCGATGTTGGCGTTCTCGTACGTGGTGAGGGCGAAGGAAAGAGATATGAAATTGAGAGTCTAGTTGGGTTTGACTTCTTCCCTCAGACTGGTCATGTTGAGGGAGTTGCTATCTTGAATAGGGTCGACGAATAGGCGTTATATATCTTGTACAAACCGTTACACTGAATAATTAATGAAAAGAAATATCATAACAACATGTGTGGTCTATTTAATGCCGCGATGCAAGTATAAGCAATGCTGTCTATGTAAAATATATGCTGAAGGCGATCCGGATTTATTTCGTCTCCTATTCAAGTAATTTTGTGTTTTCCTTTGATGCCAAGAATATCTTCAGTGCCTGTACAGTAGTATGTATTACCTCAGGTCGTCTGGTCGATTTCAAACACTCCTTCAACACATTGACACCGTCTTCCTCCTCGATCTTTCTGCGTGCTTCCTCGCCAATCTCGCCTTCTGTTGAAGCCATGTTCAGGATAATGACAACACCACGGTGTCGGAGGCCTTCGTCTGAGTCGCTGCACAGGCCAAGGACAACCTTCACACCCCGTTCGCGATGCACGATGCCCCTTACAACAGTCTCAAATCCGATTAACGAGGCAATGGCACCACCAGCTGCACTGCGGGTTGCTTCATCTTCAGCATCAGAAAGAGCTAATAAGATGTGAAGGCGCTGCGAAGCTTGATGCGAACCATCTGCATATAATGCGACTCCCTCAGGAGACTGCACTAGGTTGCAGACCAGTTCGACTGCGGCTTTTGAAACAAGGTGGTTGGAGGAAAGAAGCTGCTCTTCAATATGAGACCATGCTGTACGGATAATGGTTTGTCGTGTCTCCTCATCATTCATTGACGCCAGGTTCGTCAACGCCATGAGCGATTCAAATGTTGGCAAAAGGTCTTGCCTATCGGCGGCGGGATCAGTAGGTAGAATAGAGATTAGAGGTCTTATAGCTGCATTCACAGGAGTCGGACGATTACCACCAAACACCAAATTTGGATCGATGCTGATCAAAATCCGAGCAAGTGCCTGCGACGCCGTCCTAGCTGCTGAAGTATTTGTATCCTGCAGGGCAGCCCATGCCCCAATGAGAAGTGGAACAGCACCCTGCTGAGCAAGCTTTCCGCGAATAGTCTTGTCAATGGATAACGAAAGGATAATAGTCACAATAATCACCAGTGCTCCTGGAGAACTGGATTTGCTCTGTGCTACAAGGACTGGTACAAGATCAAGATCAAAGATGGTCTTGCATCGTTTTGCAACATGCGCGTCGTCGTCTAATTCATCCGGTGTAGCTAGCTTTCCAGCTGCATCAGCGTAGGCCTTGAGTTGTGTCATTTTCTTTTCTTCTTCAGTAAACGCTGGGCGGTATCGTGTTAGGTTCAGAAAGATGCTAAGGGCTCCATAGGTGGTAGGGGATCGAGACGGTGTGTTTTCCAGAGTCTTGATGAGCTTTTTGAGCAGCTCGGGATTGCGAATTATATTTTCTTTGATTTTTGGTTGCAGGGATGCATATGCCAAGCCCTCTATCGAGTGCTGACGGCCGTGGTCTTCATCTCGAATGATCATCTTTGTGAAGAGGCCGGATAGCTCTTCGATTCCCGTGACAGCCGATTCGATTCTAGGCCGGCTTCCGTCTTCGGCTGTGGGTTGTGAGGGAACAGCCTACGGTTTGTCAGTCTCCATTTCAACTATTATCACAACACGCTTATACATACTCGGAGCTTGGCCAGAATAACAGCGGCCAGGTACTGGACCTGTTCAGAGTGCTGTCGCATAGATATCGAGCCTTCGTCGCCCTGTTTCTTCGGCAATTCGCTTCCCGGGCTTTTTGTGTATTTGGTATCTTGGTCGACAATCTCCTCCAGCCAGTCCACGCAGTACTTTTCTATGGCCTGCCGACACTTCGAATCCATGCAGGCTGTGTTAAGCATCTCGAGACACGCCGTTTCAACTTTCTTACTTTTCCATTCCCGTCGCATCAAAGAGCCAAGTGATCCTAAGAAACCTTCTCCTAGAAAGAGTTCCGATGCCAGGTCCGGAACAATGGGGAACGCTACTGATGCAACACAAAAGGCGACAATGTAGTCGTCATAAGTTCCACGACCTATTCTGTCGAGAAAGAATTTGGTCAAAGCTTTGGCTCCATCAACTCCTGCAGCCTTCATGTAGGCCGAAGTGGTAAGCGTGGCATGGCCTCGTACTACCGCAGGCTGGCGCATATCGAGGTAGCAGAGCACGGTATCGACGCAGTCGCCGTCAATCACCTTGCAAATGCTGGTGTGGCTTTTAGCTTTTGTTTGGAGTTCGGCATCATCGTTTAGAAGTTTTGTAAGCTGGTCCAGTTCCTTGCAAGTATCTTCGTCCTCTTGTCCGCCCTCCATCAGACTTGCAAAGATAAGCAGCGTCTGGTCTTGGAGGGACGCGACAGGAGCCGTTGGTTTGGCGGTTTCTGTGCTGTCGGTCATGTTGGGCAGGCCGTACTCAGTACAGACAGCTAGTGATATTACTGTTGTGGCTTTCCATATATAAAGTGATATGAGAAAAGGGAGAAACCGGGCGGCAGAAGCAGATTGCGCCGAATGATAGGTGATGGCAAAAGTCAAGTTCTCTGACGTTGATAAGCTGCGTGCTGTTTGATAACGAACTACCCCACTATAGACGAGTCGCTAGAAACCGTTGTGGCGGCCATGTTTATCGAGCAGTAGCTTTGATGGAACCGATCACTAGTATAAAATACCGATTATTCTTCATTGATAAAATAAAGGAAGAAAGCTTTATTCCTTCACAATAGATTTTCATGAAAAGCATCGGCTGGGTCAAATAATTCAAACAGCAATGCAACCTGTTACTTATAGACTGTAGCATGCAGGGTGGCCACCAATATACTCTGATGCCCCGCTACAGCACTACCTACAGTAGCGCTACACCCTTCAGTATCAGGCATCACGTGCGGTGCTGTTTTACTGATGCGTGCATCGACAAAGAAGCGTCACACCTCCCGCAAGACAGCAACAGCATCCCAACGCCTGCTTCAAATTGAAAATATATACCGGAGACACAGAGATATAAATCCTAAATCTTTGTGTCCCGAACCCCTATTCCTAATAAAGCCTACAACGCGCCTGCACCCTCCAGCTGCTCAACCAATTCAGCCATCGCTTTTAACAATCTGTTCGTACCGTGAGCTAGCAATATCAGAGACGACTCTACTGCCCATCGACTATATAGCTCGTGCCTCCTGGCATCATAGCTGCTCACAATGGATGCGGTCGACCAATCCGAGCACTATGAGGTCAGGACTGCCGAGGAAGCACCCTCGCTGCTCTCCGTCATCATCGACACAAACCCTCGTGCCTGGGCTGCCCTGGAGAACGACCTGCCGCTTTTCAAAGCAATATCTAGCATATTGGTCTTTATCAATGCACATTTGGCTTTCAATGGCGCCAATCAGGTGGCCGTCGTTGCGGCGCATGTCAACAAGGCAGTCTGGCTCTATCCGTCACTACCAACATCAGCGCAATCTGACGGTGGCGATGTTGCCATGCACGACGCACCAACGGATGCTTCAAAGGCGGCATCGGCAAATAAATTCCCCCAATTCGCACAGATCGAATCCACAGTCGTATCATCAATTCGAAAGCTCATGAAAGAAACCACATCGGCCGAGCTCGACACAACAACGACACAACTTTCCGGAGCTTTAACGCTGGCGCTCTGTCATCTGAACAAAGCTGGCCAGGCATTAAGTACATCGAATTCTACACTTGGAGATGGACCAACTGCTGCAGGAAATGCGCCACCGCCTATGAAAGGCCGTATTGTCGTCATCTCCGTTTCCGATTCGGAACCGTCTCAGTACATCCCGACAATGAATGCCGTGTTTGCAGCCGCTCATGCCCAGATTGCTATCGATACTCTGGCACTTGCTGGAAACGCTACGTTTCTGCAACAAGCCTGCTTCAATACCAATGGAACATTTCTTAAAGCCGCACACCCTAAAGGACTGCTGTCTTACCTGATGTTTGGCCTCATCTCTGATACAGAGGCGCGCCAGGCGCTTATCACACCGACCCATGACACAGTGGATTTTAGGGCAGCCTGTTTCTGCCATGGAAAAGTGGTTGATACTGGATTTGTATGCTCTATTTGTCTGTCAATCTTCTGTGAACTACCCGAAGATTCGCAGTGTTTTACTTGTGGCAACAAACTGGCCCTGGGCAACTATGGCGCCAAACCCGCTGTCATACCAAAGAAAAAGAAAAAGAAGAAGAGAGTCATAAACGGCTCTAGTCGGGAAGAAACCTCTAGCGCTACCGGTACCCCTCGGCCGTAGGGTCTCTTAATTTCGGGCGACACGCATGGAATGGCGTTTTGCAATCATACCCATGTAATTTACAACGTTTCTGTTTATGCACACACACGCCATAGAGTAGCGACCAATACACTTGTATTATTAGGATCTAATGTATTACCTAAGTAACATGTGAAGATTATGGTAAGAACTAATACGCAGAGTATGTAGGTTATAGGAAGACGTGATCTATTCTTGTAGGGGTATATCCTGGAGTGCCAACCGTGGACGACGGTGAACATCTAGTTTAGCTTCAGCTTTCGTGCTCCCGTCGCAATACCACTAGTACTATTCAAGCGAGACATCACGCAGCGCGGTGCTTTTTCATAGCCGCCCATAGATGCCAGAGCAAAGGAGTCGGTGTTGTGGGCAAAATAGAAATAAATACCACCACGACACTTTTTTACTGCCATGACGCCAATGGCACCAACTGAAGGGCAGTTTTGGACACCTTTGTGTTCCATAAAGTCATCCAATATGAAAGATTGCATTATAGCATCCTCATCGTCTTCGTTGACAAGCTTTCCGTCACGGCCCAGCCGAATGCCGTGATATAACCGCTCTGCACAACGTTGGGAGGCTGTCGTGGTTGCCATATGTTCTCCCGTACCACTCGTAACCGTTGCCACGGTTAAAAAGTCTCTATCGCCTTTAGCTTCCGGAACAACCGCTGTTCCTACTCCAACTAGCGCAGCAGGTCCTAGTCGGCCACGATGTTTCATACCAATTCCACCTGAGGACGAACCTGCGGCTATCAGACCATTTGAATCAATCGCAATGGCACCGATAGTGTCAGTGATTCTATCATGATTTTCCGGGCTCTTCATTAAACGTTTCTTGGTTTCGATGCCCTCTACTTGATTCGTATCCGCCTTTCGATCTAGCTGTCGTTTTCGACTACGCGTTGGCGAATCTTGATCGACTCTGTTCGCTACTTCGGCGTATGACTTAACAGGCGAGATTTTCCGGCGCTGTCGTAAACTATGCTCTTGCATGGCCCTCGTGTCGGCTCTAAGGCTATCAATCCGTGCCTCATCCTTAGACCGTCCAAGGCTATAGAGGCTGGCTCCTTTGAATGAAAGATATCCTGGGGCAGTGTCACAAGTTTCGGCTGGTGTTCCCGGAAGTGGTGAGTCTGTTTGGCCTTCATTCCATGTGCCTGTTAGAACTGCCGCCGCATGATCTCTAGAAAACCGAGTACGTGACTCGGCGGGTGGTGAGGTGCGATAATCGCATGGCGTACAGTTCTGGGGGCTTGACGATGCCCCAGTAGCATGGCCGGCTTTCTCCTTTTCCTGAGCCAGCAAGAGGTCTTCTCTCCATCGTAGAAATCGATTTCTTGAACTCTTCGAAATCAAAGCTTCGTTGGGGTATAATGGGATACCATGCTCTTCGGCAAACGCACGTGCGCCGTTACTAACAAGTATATTTGGTGGGACTCGACGAAGGCTGAGGGGCTGGCTGCTTTTGTCTAGAATTAATTTTGCCAGAGATATTGGATTCTTGATATCTATATCGTGGAATTCGGTTAGCCTTTGGTTTTCTGTGTTGGCTACTGTGAACAACGTACTTGGGACTGCACCACAAGCGCCGCTTCGCCCGAAATGATCGACAATAGTCGCATCGCATTCAACAGTACCGTCAATAGATAAATTGGAACCATATCCCGCATTTGTAATCTCTTCATCTTCAAGAACCTTTAGCGCAGCTTCAACTGCTTCGGTGGCAGTAGCCCCAGACTTGAGAAATTTCATTCCCATTTCGGCCGCGCTGGAGAATCATTAGCATCATTGTAATCATGATAAGGCTTGGCATCATACATACGATACACATGCTTTCAAGTGGACGTGTTCATTTTGTTGGCTATGAAATCCAGCGCCAGCGTGCACAAAGATCGCAGGAATACATGGCCTAGCATGATCCATCAGTGGCGATGCGTCTTCGCAAGAATCGCTGGCTCCCCTGATGCTGGCAAGCTCGGGGGAGGATGAACCTCCACGAATGTCTTCCGTCATAGCGAACAGACAAAGTCATGAGCTGGGCAAAAACAGGATTCGATAACTATGTAATTCAAACAAGCTGTTGCTCAATCGATACAACCTATAGGTGGTGATGGAAGGGTGAATATATGTTTAGATTACTTGGCTGTTAAAAGATGACTCTACAGCGAATTTCTTGGGGTTGCTCTGTGTAATAGCCGAATCGGACTGAAGTGAAGGAACCACGCGTCGGTAGGTGTTTGATCTGTAGGCAGTGCTCTTGCGTACCGAACATCAGCGATTGCGAAGCGGCAAGAGCGCGTGTTTCGAATCGAGTTTAGATACCAGAAATGTCGTCTCTGTCGATTATCTAGTTTTATGTGTCAACATATATAACACAAGTTAAACAGGATATTTTCGCGATTGCTAGAAGGTGAACAGAGGTGGGCGGTGGTGAATCTTCATTGTGTTCGTCACATAATATAGCTTATGTACTGTGGGACATTTCCGTTGTCGTTTCAACTCTTCCCAATTAAAGAGCATCTGGGGGCTGCCATTTTTGGATTTTTCAAAATAAATAGAGAAGAAGCAGCGTGATCAATTAAATCCGAGCGTGTAAATCAGAGACAGAAAACGGGTGTCTGGCTTGCCCTCCCAATGACGTCGGCCCGGAACAAGCCCAAACCCGAACGAGGCAGCTCAGCCAACTTGCCCCACTTGCGCAGACAGCCAACCTGGAGAGCTACGCAACCTCCTCACAACCCCCACATCATCATCGCCATCACCGAACGTTGCAACTCGCCCATTGTACCTGGCGACTGCTGCCGTATCTACCTTTTGCTGATCTTGACACCTGAATTGCGTGCCAAGCGGCGCTTCACAAATTGCCATGGCTAACCAAACTCCCGCCGTTGTCATGGACAAGTATGTTACTCGTAGCCCCGCCATTGCCGCGTCACACTTTCTAACTCAACGTCTTTCTATAGCGGTACCGGCTTTTCTAAGCTTGGTACGCTTCATACGTCTATGATGCTATTGCGCAGAACATATTCTCTAATACGATCTTGTTTCTAGGTTTTGCCGGTAACGACTCGCCTTCCTTCGTCTTCCCGACCGCAATCGCTACAAAAGCCCCTGCTGGTGGCAGTGGGGGAACAGGATCTGGCCGACCGGCAGTTGCTAATAAGCCATCATTCTTGACTGGCGGCGCCGGCCCTTCTGGCCATCTCAGCTCTAAGCGAGGAACCGAGGACCTCGATTTCTTCATTGGCGACGAGGCGCTATCTGCAGCGTCCGGTCCAGGTAGGTCCCGCCAAATGCTGATAACATTATTCATTATTAACAAGAGCAGGTTACGGCATTCATTATCCTATTCGCCACGGTCAAATTGAAAACTGGGTACGAAATTCCGAGCTGGCCGATAATGATACACACTCTAATACAATATAGGACCACATGGAACGTTTCTGGTCGAACTCCATTTTTAAGTACCTCCGCGTTGAGCCCGAAGACCACTACTTCTTGCTCACTGAACCCGTATGTGTTAGCTATCTTGCCTTCGCACCAATTCTAACAATATTAGCCTTTGAACCCCCCCGAGAACCGCGAAAACACCGCCGAAATCTTCTTCGAATCCTTCAACTGTGCTGGCATGTACATTGCAGTTCAGGCCGTCTTGGCTTTGGCTGCCTCGTGGACTTCTTCCAAGGTTACCGACCGATCACTTACGGGTACAGTTATTGACTCGGGTGATGGTGTTACTCACGTCATTCCTGTTGCTGAAGGTTACGTCATTGGCTCTTCCATTAAGTCTATCCCAATTGCCGGCCGCGACATCACCTACTTTATCCAGTCCATGCTTCGCGACCGCGGCGAGGCCGACTCATCGTTGAAGACTGCTCAAGAGATCAAGGAGGAGCACTGCTATGTCTGCCCTGATATTGTAAAGGAATTCGCCCGCTACGATCGCGACAGAAGCCGATTCGCCAAACATGTTGTCAGCCAGCCCGGTGGTCGCCAGGTTAGCGTAGATGTTGGCTATGAAAGATTCCTTGCTCCCGAAGTATTTTTCAACCCCGAAATATTCAGCTCAGACTTCCTTACTCCACTGCCTGTTGTTGTCGACGGCGTGATTCAGCAATCGCCAATTGACGTTCGACGTGGTCTCTACAAGAACATTGTTCTCTCTGGTGGTAGCACGTTATACAAGGATTTCGGTAGAAGACTCCAGCGAGATATCAAGAACTTGGTGGACGACAGAATCCGCGCCAGCGAAGCTCGCAGTGGAGGTGCTCGCAGTGGCGGTCTTGACGTCCAGGTCATCACTCACAAGAGACAGCGCCACGGCCCGTGGTTCGGTGGTAGCTTGCTCGGCCAGACACCGGAATTCCGTTCCTACTGTCACACAAAGGCGGAGGTAAGTTTTCTAATTGGCATCATAGCCCTGTTTCATTTGCTAACCAAGCTTAATAGTACCAAGAGTACGGTCCCAGCATCGTGCGACGATTTGCTCTTTTGGGCGGCCCTGGTGGCTCATGAGTATGATAGAAGAATCTCCCAGTTTTGTTATCAAATAAGCGTACAGCTAATGCCAACGGAAAAAATGTCGACAACGTTGGGTGGAGAGCATCTTAGATCAGGTAGTTGGTTTCAGCAGCAATTGAATTCTAGTTTAAACCATATCCGACTTTCGAAAGCTATACTTTTACGACGTGATAATTCAATCCAGTTGCTTAGGTCAAATAGCGATCGCAGAGCTTTTATAAATGCATAAAGTTAGCCTAGTGCTGTCTTAGTTCACGGTGCCGGTCGCCCGGAACTGTGGTTGGTCGAGACACCCCCCATCCCATTGCCTCCATCATGCAGTGCTTCGAGAGGCGCATTAGAGGCGTTTTAGAATCTAGCCATAAAGGTTCTTTCTCATAAGGGTTCTCATAATTCTCTGAAGATATAAGGAACTCATCCTTTCTCAAACTATAACTCAATTTTGTTACTGATTCTTCAACGCTATCAATAGGTACACTATCTTCCTTTTTTTTTTGTACAACCCGTTTTCTTTGCATCTAACAATTACAAGAACCTTAACCCTCTTGGCAAATATTTAGCGGCTGGTATCAACAACATATCGTCCTGCAATCTTGCCAGCATGCATAAGCTCGTACACACTTTGCAGCTCACTAAGACCGACAGTCTTGAAGGGAACCTTGACAAGTCCACGGCGATAGAATTCAATGGCCTCGGCAGAGTCTAGGCGGTTACCAACATAACTACCCTTGATGTTGATCATGCGCAGGACAGTGTCAAAGACAGGCGCACTCAGCTGAGCGTTGGGTGGCAGACCGATGCAGACGACGGTGCCGCGAGAGCGGACATACTGAGTGGCCTGCTGGAATGGTTTCTCTTGGACGGCCACCAGGATGGCGGCATGAGGGCCTTGGCCATCTTGGGTAGCAGCCTTGACCTCCTTGACGATATCGGGGGAGGTAGCAAAGTCGACAAAGGCGGTGGCGCCTAGCTTGAGCACCATGTCCTTCTTCTCGGCACCAGTATCAATACCGATGGGATGAAGACCCATAGCCTTGGCATACTGAACAGCCAAGCTACCCAAGCCACCACCGGCACCAACGATGGCAACAAACTGGCCCGGCTTGGCTCCAGACTCCTTTAAGCCCTTGTATACAGTGATACCGGCGCAGAGAATGGGGGAGATTTCTTCAAGGTCGCACTCCTTTGGGATTCTGGCAACATGGGCGGCCTTGCCGATACAATATTGCTGGAACGAACCATCGACTGTGTAGCCAGAGAGATCGGGAGTACCGCAGAGGGGCTCATCGGACTGCTGGCAGTATGTGCAGCTGAGGCAGGAGCCGTTGAGCCACTTGATACCGACGTGGTCGCCGATCTGCACGTCCTTGACAAGTTCTCCTCGAGCCACGACGACACCGGCACCCTCATGGCCACCAACGAGGGGCATCTTTGGTGCAATGGGCCAATCACCCAACATGGCGTGGAGATCAGTGTGGCAAACACCAGAGAATTTAATGTTGACAAGAACCTCATCAGGGCCAGGCTTGGGAACGGGGATCTTCTTGTAAACGGTGGCTTGCTTTCACGTTAGCTAAGAGTCCGGAGCGATATGATTCTGATGCCAAACTCACGTCCACCTGTCTTCTCGACGACAGACGCCCATTGCTCAGTGGGAACTTGTGGTGCGGCCATGGTGGCTAGATGTATACCTATTGGTTGATCCTTGTAAGTGTAAGATTGTTGTGCTTCAAGCTGAATGAACTACTAATTCGTGTAGGGAACAATCGAACCAGGCTATGTATTCCCAGATGAGGGCCAAAGGACTCCTTATATAGTTGTTCCATCTTCTTGAACAACAACCCCTCTTTCTCAATTGATACTGCAACACCGGAATAGGTGGTCCCGAGACGCTCGGTAAAGAGGAGCTTGAGGCGTCTACGGCGTTCATGGCATTCTAGAGACACGTCGAGGCGTGCCTTGGCCCATCGTTTCCTTGCTCTTTCTTCTTCAGCCCCTTCAGTATATCAACCAATAGGAAAGTCAATACGGACTTCAAACGCCAGGAAAGAGAGGTGGGACGGCAAATGTGGGGGATGCGGCCTACCAAGTTCCCGTGGCGGCCTGGCCGATGACAGTTGCGCCGTGTTGTGCGAGGCGTTTCCTCACAATTGCGATTGCAGTGCATGATTATGTTTACAGACTTCCTCCCGGAGCTAGGATATCTTAACAAGGAAAAGCCTTTGCTATTACTGGGCGATTTTCTTCTCATACCAGAACCACAAGGACGAGGGCTTCGGATCCGTGTAAGTGGTTGGAGAGGCAAAGAACGACTACCATCTCTGCATCGTCTCTCTCAGTATGAGCAGATCATTTCCCCGGGCGGGTTATTTCCTGGTGTACACCACCCGCACAAATTCCATCGAGTCCAACCAAGCTAAACAGTCGATCTCCAAATCGGGGTCGTCAACGGTCGGACGGACCCCGCCAGCCGCATAACGCGGGGGCAACCAATTCATAGCACCCAAACGCCACCTCCACACTCATTCTCCGGAGCGCAGACGCACGACAGCTAGTCAGAAGCAAGTTCAGGTGTTGATGCGGACGCAATCTGGGCCCTGAGCGGCGACGCGGCTGTGTGGACTAGTGGCTGTTTGATGGATGAGCGGATGCAAAAAGCCCACCGAGACGGAGTGCTTGCATCAAGAGGGGGCTAGCAAGGCGGCAACCACATTTGGGTTTGCAGGAGAGTCATGTCCAATTTGCTGGCAGGCTCTCAGAATCCAAAATTTCGTGGGGTGAGTCGAGGGGAAAACCATTCTGCCCGTGGTGCCTTTGGGCCGTGGGAATAAGAGCAGATGAAGAGGACTCCAGATAAGTTCTTGCTGAGTCTTGAAGCTTGCCTCTCGAACCTGATCTATATTCTTGCCATGTAGTTTTCCAGTCGGAAGTAAAAGTTCTGAAGAATTTCACAGCCATTAGGAGTAAGGGAGGAGAGACAGTCCCCATCAGTGCCTCCGGTAGGTCGACCACGATGCATAACTCAGTAAGCCGTAACCAGCATTTTGCTTTGCATCTGCATCTGCAAACATGCGCCTGTTCACACTAACTTAGAAAGAGTGCGGCCAATACGCTACCAGCGTCCCTTGTTTCCGGAAATGACAGCCTTTCGCTCGAAGGGAATCAATGCGCCGCCAAACCCCGCATTAGGCTCAAGAACATGGCTGTGTCGTGGTAAAGTGAAGCCATTTCTCCAATTTTGTAAACGCCACGCGCCAGCTACCAGCTACTACTGCCATGTGTTTGATTTAGGATTTTAGTCACCTTTGTTGAGATTCCAGCAGCGTCCAATAAACGTAGTCGTGTCATTTGACTAGGGTTGGGTTGCTTGACGGCAGCATACCGACGTAAGAGGCCGGCCTGGCGGAAGTTCTTCATCAGCCCGCATTCTGCAGCTTCCAATCTTGCTACAAGCTCTGTCAGTCTACAAGCGATTGTATCAATCACTCCCTAAACATACCTGTGAATGTAGCCAGCTCGTGATATGTCGGAAGCGGCGGGTCACTTATTGCTGCACGAATCTGTGGTACACTGTCACAACCTACTGAACCAGTCCTACATCAGCAGCACATTAGTACTTTCCGTTTCAGTTGAACAACACTGTTAAAACAAACACCAAAAACATATTCAACCGTGTATCACCCACAAAACTGTTCTTGACAAGTCGGCCATTGTCGTTTCTACAATCATTACCAGATGGGTGCACATCACGCCGGCGCAGAAGTGGCAGTATGGTGAGTAAAATGTGATGTCATTAACGCTATGTATGAACCGGTATATCCTCTCATGTCTTTTCATCTCGCCTTGATCGTCTCGTCATCTCGAATTAAGCGGCAGCGGGAACCTCAATGGATTGGGTGACACCGTCGGCAGTAGCGGATGTAATCTTCTTGCCCGTCTTGGCGATCTTTGCGAGGACGGTCTCGTAAGGTAGCGAGGTGACGACCTTGGCGTTCTGGTTCTCGAGAGAGACTTCGTAGCTCTCAACACCTAGTGTTACAGTGTTAGCTGGTAGCAGTCTCATGGCCACGCAGGCCCCTTGACCAAAGGCCGCAGAGGTGGCGGAAACGTACCTTCAAGCTTCTTGAGGACACGGTCGACGGCGCCGGAGCAGCCACCGCAGGTCATGGTGATGTTGAACTCGTAAGTGTGCGACATTTTGGTTATTGTGGTTTGTGGGTGGAAGGTAGAGAGATGTGAGTTTGATGCGCGGGGGTTGTTCTTTGTGTTTGGAGGGGCACGAAGATCTGAGAGGGGGATCTGGTGGGCGGTAGGGGTTCGGTGTAGCGCTGTTGGTGCCTGGCCTGGATAGTGGAGGAAGAGTGTGTTGGTGGAAGATAAATAAAATAGAAATCGAGATGTAAATTCTTGGGGGGAAAAGTCTTCTTTATAATTTCTTGAATCTGGAAAAGAAAAGAAGAAAAAGGAAAGTACAAGAATACACCGTTAGCTGGCACCAGGTTTTTAATTATTAATTGCAACAAATCCGCAAAAAAGACGCATCAGCCTGGTGCTATGGCGCAACTTGCGACACGCCGAGTATCAGCGCTTGTACCACTGGCGGTTATCTGGCTACATCGCCACAAGGCCAACCAGGGGCGCGGGGAAAAGAAATGAAAAAAATAATCATAAAACTTGCTCAAATGAAACAGAATGAAATTAGTTCTTTTATTATTGTTTTATAAACTTGCTCAGCCTGTGCAGATGACACTAGGAAAATGCACCCGCCAAGTCGTAAAGAAGCCCCCATAATACAACATTAGTCTTGCAGTCAGTCGCCCGTCAACTAACACCTCCAAGCATCTACTGTAGTTACAGGTGCTCTAGCGTTTATTAGGGGTGCTGTAGGCAGTATTCTCGTCCGCCAGCTGGCATCTGGCAGCTGGTCTCGTGTCCGTCAGATGAGCATGTTTCTCACTGTCGGCCACTACAAAGCACCAGCTCCACGTTGCTGAAACCTGACCTTGTCACCAACTCTTCTAAACACAGGTCAGTGTTGCAGTGCCCCGAATCACGACTTTGCCTCTGCTGGCTTAGGCTGGCACTAACGCAGTCTCGGATCACGCATCGCGGGAGCTTCCGTGCTCCGTTTAGCTCCCGTCTCCATTCTGATACACGCCACTGGCTATTACATTTTTACAGTCTATGTTCTAATCTATCCGCCCATATTTACAAATCCACGCCATTTGATATTTACTTCTGGGAGGGCTTGGCAGAGCAGCCAGGCTCTATTACATGGTTAGCTGCGCGGTGTACTCCTTATCCTTTTCTGCCCAATAACGCAGCTGATCCATCAACGCCGTGTCATCCTTGTCGTCGGCAAAGTTGTCGTCATCAACTTCTGACGATTGGCTAGACAAGACAACAAACTTAGCAGCCGCAGCAGCATCTGAATCTGCACGGCAACTTGACATTGGCACCAGGTAGTGGGAATGAGCTCGAATGTCAAGTCCGAAGGTGCCGCTGTTGCAAGCAAGGTTGATGTATCCATTGCATTTTTCAATGTCCGAGATATGGTAATCATTTTGGGTTGATTCGCCGTTGTGCAGCCAGTATTCTGGCGATATGTGTCGATAACCGAGTAAAAGAGGTGGAAGTCTCGGGACCGGATCGCCTTCATGCGTCACACGGTATGTGGTGCCGTTTTGTGAAGAGGCATATTGAGCAAAGATGATGTTTCCAACTCGAGGCGATCCGAATGTGAATTCAGCAACCGCACATCCGTTAGATCGAAAGTGTGTTGCTACCAGGGTCGCCACAGCTCCGCCGAGCGAGTGCCCAGTAACGACAATGTCATAGTTTGGGTTTTGGTTCAGAGCGGTGTTGACGGCTTCATCGATAGCGTCCATGACCTCTTTCCACGCAACATCGAATCCCACATGTACCAGACAGCCCACTCCGTAAGGACAAGGAACATATGGAAACGCCGCGTCCGTAAGGAAATTTCGCAAGTTTGAGCTGCCTCGGATGGCCACCACGATTTCTTCTCGACGCTGGTCGACCGCAACGTACATGCCGATGCCGGTAAGCAGACCACTATGGAATTCCAAGTTGTTTAGTCGAGAGCCACGGATAGGTCGCTCAAATAGTTCTCTACTTACACCTTCGAGGCTACAATGGTCGTATCTTCATGTCCCAACTCTGGACAGTCGGCGCACTGCACTTTTGAACCGACCTTGGCGTTGTAGTTACAGTACGCTGCCGAAGCGTGCTGTGCGTAAAATTTCATGAGGTCATATTCTTGAGGGGTTACGGCTGCACGTGGAAACACGTTAACGCGTCTGCATATGGGTATGCAGGATTTTGGATCGTTGTTGCATACCTGGCGCATTATCTCTGGACACCGAGCTGGCTGCAGCAAGGGCTACGAGACCAAGTATAAAGCCAAACTGCATATTAGTCGAACTACTAGTTGCGGGATACCGAATTCGTGTTGTTTTGGAGGTTCCATTTCTTCCAGACCTGGGCTTGAAGCCCCTTTTCATATCCGCCCTCAACTCAGCCTTTCAACCCTGTCTTGTTTGCGTCGTGTCTTAGGCTCGCAGCCAACACCTTGGTTTCTTGCTGCCATACAGACGGGGCGATGAATGGACCGCCCTGCACGAGGCTCCGCCGTACGTTGCATCGCATTCCAGTGGTCAGCCGCCTCACCGGTCGCCCAGCCCAGCCTTAGGTCAGACACCCAAAGGCTAAATTTGGGAATATACGAGCTGGTAGGGCTGGGTGTCGAGGCAGTGTCGGCCTTCTCCCTCAGCCTGAACTCTTTCCTGCTGACATGGAGAGGGAACGGATGCAGTATAGCCCGTTCGAATAAACACGAGTGCCCAGGCGCAAACTTGGAAGAACTGTCTTCTATACCGAACCTAGTCGGTCACTGACGTCGCCCTGAGGTGGGTTTTAGGCCTAAACTTGGCTCACACGTTGCCATTCTGACGGCGACGCAACCCAAAGTGATCCAGCCGGATACAAGACCACATGTTAAATCTGCAACAGCCGTTGTGCCTCTCAGCTTTCTAAATATATGCAGGATCAGCCGCTGCGTTGAAAACTAAATTCTCCGAGTGGCTTGCTTGCCTAACCCAAGGCTGGGGGGCTGAGGCGTTTCGGCATCGGAACCGCCGCGCGATTACCCAGTTGGGTAATTTCTTTCATCGAGTCAGCAGCGTGACAGTTCATCTGAGCGTCTACGTAGCATACATTTTCGGAACTCTACAACGCAGAATGGGCATATGTCACATTATACCGGGCAGAGGACTTGAAAAAAGTTCATGCGTTAAAAAAGCGTGCGGCGTCTCATAATTCTACCCATCACAGCCAACACAACACTATGGCTCATTGCATCATTTGTTTAACCCTATTATCGCGGGATATTCAAACCTTATCAACGCGGGAGACCAACTTAGCATCGTCTGCATGCGGTGTCTGGGCAATAGCCGTGGCTGCAGGAGTACATGCACAGGCCCTTGTAGCTGTCGTCCTCGCCTTGGAGAGGGCAACCACCGTAGCCAGATTGAGGAGGCTCAGGCTTAGGCGCGCCGTGTGAGGTACACTTGCACGGCCCGGGAGGGCAGTAGCCATGGCTGCACGAGAACTGGCAAAGGCCAATGTAGTTACCGGACTGTCCATCCGCGTTGGTTCCGTCGTTGCATTGATCTGTTCCTTGTTAGTTTCTTATCGCTAAATGGTGGGGAAGGTATGCTATAACTTACCACCGCTACCAGGAGAGGAGGTAGGAGGAGGGGTCATGCTAGTCGTGGTAGTTGAAGGTTTGGGGGTAGTCGTTGTCTTCAAAGTCGTGGTTGTAGAAGACAGCTTGCTGGAAGTACTAGAGGGAGGAGGGGGTGCGCTGCTGGTGCTCACAGGAGGAGGAGGAGGAACGGTACCTCCAGAACTTGGGAACGAGCCAACAAACGCATTGTAGTTGTAAGCCACACAAGTGTCCTTGATCTGGAGGCCTGCAGTGCCGCCAAAGAGGGTTTGGCCGTTGCGGCTGACAGAGAATTTTTGGTCGCCCACACCCATAGTAAAGTTAAAGGTGTGGATGCCAGCAGGAACATCGATGGTGACGGGGCCGCGGCTACCACTGGTTACGGTAAGCTGGGCAGGCTGAGTGAGCATGGTGCTTGCAAAGACGACATCCTCAAGGAGCTCGACGCCGCGGGGAAGACCGATGTTATCGTTGGTGCACTTGGTGTCCTTGGGCGTAGGACGGTACCAGTAGACGACCTTTTCAGACTCGACGGTGGGGGTGCTTGCGCCAGACTTGTACGCAAGAATGTAGGGCTTCATGAGGTCTCTCCAGGCATCGTGAGGGAAGCCGGCTGCCCACTGAGAGGAGCCATCGTCGCTGTGGTTGGGCTCGGGGCCGCTATACCAACTTGTTAGACCTCCAAGGCTGAGGAATTCGAGGATGTATGAAGTACCTAATGTAGTGGCTCTCACCAAAGTCGTTCCAGGTGATGATTTCGACAAGCTCAGGCTGCATTGTGAGCATCTGCTCCCACCGGATAGTGGGCTGCTCCTCGCAGATGAAGACCCAGTTCTTGGTGTTGAAGTGGGTAGAAAACCACGGCGAAACAGCTGCAAATTACGTCTTGGTCAGTAAAGTTTGTCTGGATGTGCATTGAAATCAAACTTACGAGCCATGTAGATCTTGTTGCCCTTATTCTTAAGGTAGCGATCGTCCCAAATGGTCGTCATGGGGCCCTTGATGACGCTGTTGCCACCATCGGTAGGCCATCCGTACCACGAGAGAGCACCATCGATTCCAGTAGTGAGAGAGCTCAAGGCATTGGGGTCCTGAAGCATAGGAACAGCAGTGAGCTTCTGTGGAGCAAGTCTGTCCTTTATGGTATTCCAGTTGAATGAATCGCCGACGAAAGTGCTAACGAGAGCACCATCGCCATAGTAGGCCTGGGCCGGGTGGGCGCTGTAGTTGCTCAGGATGCCGTAGATGGTGTCAGTATCACCGTTGCTCCAGTAGGCAAAGTCAAAAGAGACAAAGACGTGGAAACCGAGCTGCTTGGCTGCCTCGTAGGCATTTGCCAGCTGCTTTGGGGTGTAGCTATCGACTCGGGGAGGGGCACAGTTGAGAGCGAAGCCGTCAATGCCAATAGCCTGAGCCTGGACAATGTCGGCCTTCCAGTCATCAACGGTGTAGTGTTCGACGATGCCGACCTAGAGCCCCGTGTCAGAATGCATATCAATAAAACGCGAGATTTGAAAGTGGTCTACCATAAAGTGGGCATAGACGGCCTTGTTGGCGGCCCCGGCTGTCGAGACAGATGCGAGCAGCGCCGAAACGGCTAGTTTGAAGCTAACCATGGTGTCTTGTTTCTTTAGTGTAGCAAACGAAAAGAGACAATGACAAAAAATCAAACTATCTGTTTCAGAGCAAGAAATGGCATGGGTTCTACGACGACTATTTATTCCGGGTCGGCCTTGAAGACCAGCGTGTATCGAGGTTGCATGCAACGCTGCCGGATATTCGGCGCTTCTCCGGATTCAATCGCGGAAGCGGACCATTATTGGTGGACACGCCAAACAATGCGTCCCTTTTTGGTCGAAACACTATGAGGAACACATGTGGTGGATTATGCTTAGCTTCATGCCTTGCTTATGGCTTGGTTGTTCCTTTTGGGAGTGAGCAGCGGCATTGATCTTAATGCCTGGTTGGTGGCAAAGACTGGAACAGCTCCTTGCACGCGTACATGGCTTTTGCTGCCGCTCGACATTAATCATACAAGGTAAGAAAGGCGGTAGGCTCAAGAGATGTTGGTAATTATTTAGGAAAGACGAAGCACTCGATAAACGAACTGGCGTCGGCGGCATAGGCAAACGTTCATCGTGGTCTCGCATCGCAGATGCGATCGACGGTATATTGGCTTCCACGACGCTCCACACCAGACTCTGCTGTACCGAGTGCTAGCGGCGTAGAAATAATTCATCCTTCGGCGGTTTATTCGGGCCAAAATGGTTTCCCTCGGGCCAAGTGCACGGGCCGTCGATGGGAATGCGGGGGGCTGTTCGTCTTAATTCAACGCTACTATTACTCCGGAAGTGATGGGCACTGACTGACTGCATAAAGAGTGGTGCCGCATATACGGATATACTACGATTCTCCCTTAGAATTCAAAAGGCAAGGCAAGAGAAGAGAGAAGAGAAATCATTGGGAAGATATTGAATCAAATTGAATTTGCTAGGACTACATGATGTAAAAAGAAATAGAGAAAAATGTCATATACATTGACAAGCCAAGTCCCAAAGAGCACATTATGTGACCATTATGAACTGGGTTGTCGTTTTGTTTTCATTATTCAAAGAAGAGTCATTTTGTATTGTGGCAAGCGTCCGGCGCTTCTTAGAAACGAGACTGGACCTTCTCCTGGGTATCCTGAAGAGCCCATTCGCTGGGTGACTTCTTGCTTCGGGCAGCAATAGCCTGCTCGGCAGTGAAGCCCTTGGCAACAACGGCAGGGTTGTAACCAAGCTTGTTCTGGCGGCCAACCTCTTCGTTGGAGACGTCCTTGGCCTCCTGGCCATCAGCACGCGAGTAAACGGTGACGACGACAGCGCCACCGAGGCCAAGGTTGTGCTGCAGGCAGTACTTGGTACCGGGGGCACTGCGGTTGTTGGCCCAGCCACGGAGGTGCCAGACTAGCTCAGCGCACTGGGCGATACCAGTGGCACCAAGAGGGTGGCCCTTGGAGATGAGGCCGCCCGAGGGGTTGACAATGTACTTGCCACCGTAGGTGATGTCGCCGTTGCGGACAAGCTCGTGGGCCTTGCCGGGCTCCGAGAGACCGAGAGAGTCGAGGACGACCATCTGGTTGGCACTGAAGCAATCGTGAAGCTCAACAATCTTGACATCCTTGGGAGTGATGCCGGCTTGGCCCATGGCCTCCTTGACGGCAAAGGTGGTCATGTCCTTGCCGACGAGGTCGATGGAGCTGCGGGAGAAGAGACTGGGAGAGTCGGTGGCGATGCACTGTCCGGCAATGAGAACAGCCTGGGACTTGAGGTGAGGGCGGGCGTCGAGGAAGGCCTGGGAGACGAGAATGGCGGCAGCACCACCGTCGGAGGTAGGGCAGCACTGAAGCTTAGTGAGAGGCTCAAAGATCATGGGCGACTGAGAGATTTGCTCGCGGGTGTAGACCTGCTGGAACTGGGAGTAAGGATTGTTGGGGGAGTGAGCGTGGTTGACGCGGGCAATCTCGGCAAAGTCGTCGAGGGTAGCGCCAAACTTCTCCATGTATTCACGGCCGGCATTGCCAAACATCTGGGCGGCGCCAGGGGCAGCCTCGAAGCCTCTGGTCTCGGCCATCATGGTGACGGTCGTGCCAATGGGGTTCTCGCGGTCGTTGAAGAAGCTCTGGAGAGAGCCGGGCATCATCTTCTCGAAACCAACAACCATGACACAGTCAGCGGCGCCAGAGGCGATGAAGGTGCGGCCCATGGCGAGGCCGGTCGAGCCGGTCGAGCAGTTGTTGTTGACGTTGTAGAGGGGGATCTGGGTCATGCCGAACTGGTAGAAGACGCGCTGGCCGCAGGTGGAATCGCCGTAGCAGTAGCAGGCGACGCCCTGGTCGACATCGTCGTAGTTGATCTGGGCGTCAAGGAGGGCCTTGACACCGGCTTCGAAGCCGAGCTCGGTGTAGTCGACGGTGCCGCGGGGCTTGATGAACTTGGTCATGCCCACGCCGAGGACGTAGACAGGCGCATTAGCTTTGGAAGGCATTTTGAGGAAGATGTGAGGGGGAATCGAAATGGGAAAATGATGCAAATGGATGGGATTGATGGGGAGAGGAAGAAAATAAAAAAAAGTGGTGAAGCAGGAGACAAGGTTTTAAGATGGGCAAAACGAAAGAGGAAAACCCCGAAGTGACATCTGCCAGCAGCGAAGAATTGCCTGCATTGAGATGCCGAGGCCCAGGTGGGGGAATTTGGGGAGGTCGGCTATATACGGCCAGCAGACATCTACAAGCTGGATTGTTGACGCAGAAGGTGGCTTTAAAATTATAGAAAAGTGATAATTATAAAGAGAAAATATATATAATTTATTTGGAATTTTCATTATATTTTTAAATTGTCTTGAATGCTCATATATGCCACATCTACGCATTCTGCCATCCACATTCCCCGAGGCAACCATTTCCCAGCACCAGATTCCCAATGCGGGGAGGAGGCGAGCCGCTCTCGCTTCCCCAGACCCGCCACTGTGAGCCACTTCCCAGTATAACCGTCCAGTGAATGCGTACACTGTTCACTGTTCGGCTCCCACTGTAACAGTGAGTTTACAGGCGCCCTTTTGGTCACTGGCCCTTACTACCGTATCAGTAGCCTGTGTCTGTCTGCACCTCTGGCACCTGTACCACCTGTCACAGCCGGCACACCTGGCCACTCTGCCCAAGCCATCAAAAACCATCACGGAACAGCAAACCAAGACAAATCTTACCAATCACACTCTCTCCCAAGCCGTAAATGCTCGCTAAATTCACCTCCGGCCATTTTTCTCCCCAATTAATAAACACGTGCCTCGGCCGACCGCCCCGTCACCGACTCCGACAGGCCCGCCGCGGAGCCGGCCCAATTCATGATTCGAGGTTGGCCGGTCCGGCGCAGGCACGTCGTCTACTCCAACCACTTGCCATCTACACCAACAAGGAAAAAAGAATACACTATCAAAAACACTACAAGAAAGAAGTTCCCTTTATAAATATTTCTCTCTCTCCCCCTTCTTTGTACCTTTTCTGTATATCAGGCCTTCCTCGCTCGCCAAGCTCACGCTTCTCCGTCCGCACACACGCCAATCGGCCGAAACCCAAAACCACCACACCCATTTCTCACCACTCGGCCGAACGGTCGGCAGCGTGTCCCTCCGCAAAACACTGTATTCATCAGCAATGCTGCAAATTTTGCATTTGTAACGTAATTCTAGATTTTTCCAAGAGCCTGGTCTGTAGTTGTAATCATGCTATTTCCAAAACTATATAATTCCACCTACCCGCCGTAGTTGTCCATCATTCATCCCATCCAGAGCATTCATCACAACCACCGCCACAGCCTTCTCCAAAAAGCACAAACTCACCACCACTCCCACTCTCTACTTCATACACTTTATCTTCCTTCAAACCTATTCAATATGCACTTCTACATTGCTGGCGCCACTGGCCGCAACGGCTCCATTGCCCTCGACACTGCCCTCGCCAACGGCCACAGCGTCACCATCCTCGCGCGCAACCCAGCCTCCGTCAAGCAGCAACAACACCCCAACCTCACCATCATCAAAGGCACCGTGACCTCCCAAAAGGATGTCGAGACGGCCCTCTCCACACCCATCAAGCCCCAAGTGGTCATCACCACCATCAACCCACGCCGCACTAGCGAGAGCCCGTTCGCACCACTTGCCCCAGAGTCACCTGAGGACCTGCTCGAGTCGACGGCCAGAATCCTCCTTGACGCTATCCGCAACGTCTATGGCACTCAGAACCGTCCCAAAATTGTCGTCAACTCTTCGCTCGGCGTCGGCTCGTCGTGGTCGTACATGCCACTGCCCTTCAAGCTCATCTTCCGCATGAGCACCATGATCCTCACCATTCGTGACCACGACAACATGGACAAACTCATTCGCGAAAGCGGCCTTATCTTTGTTCTTGCTCGCCCCGCTAGACTCACCGAGACTCCCTCAAAGGGCGTAACGGTTCTTCCAGACAACGGCAAGGGCTTGTCCTGGTCCGCAGCTATTGGCAGACAAGATGTTGGCGAGTGGCTTGTACGTGCTGCCGAATCTCACGAATGGGATGGCAAGTCGCCTGTCCTCGTCAACTAAGTTTTGATATGTTATGTTTTGCTGCGCGTTTTGGAATTTCACAATAGAATATAAATTGTACAATCATGTCTTTTTTTACTTAGAAAACAATGAAACATAATATTGATATAATATTACAGCCATGTCTAAAAGCTCCCAACCGTTTCCTATGTCAGCTTGGTATTTTTCTGCAAAATAGAAAAAGATAAAGCTCTCAAATACGCCCCCATGAAGAAAATAGTCTATCGGATATAATATCAGACCTAGCAACGCCACCAGTCCCCACGGTAAAAACAAAAGGCACGGCAACACAGAAAGAACAAAGAAAAACAGAACTGAGAGAACGTTTTGTTAGCGAATGAGTTAGGCATCATCACTCCCAACCGTCCCAGATGATCCAGCTTCCAAAGTCGGTAATCATGGTAGGGTCTTTGATGCCACTGGGATCCAGTCCGCGCATATGAGCATCTCGCTGCATCGTGTCGACTCGGATTCGCGAGGCAGTGTGGATGCGGTCTTGCGTCAGGTTGGCTCCTCGCAGACAAAGGTCAAACACAGCAAAGAGGCCAGCAACAATCTCTTCGCTGCGCGGATCACCACGTCTGGAACACTCAAGAGCGAGAGCGGCGCTCATAATGGCTTTGGTATCACTGCCGCTGTTGTGGTTGGCCAGCAGGTCAATCGTCTTCTCCACGGTATGGATAAGTGTAGTTGTGGACCAGAGGGGCAATGGTTCCTGTACCTGGTGCGTGACGTCTTCGGGAATATCCGGCGACATTCTCATTGCGTGCTGCGTAAGTGCAACATTATCAACACTCGGCCGTGTGGCAAGCTGAATGTAATAGCACACGCTGATGCTACACTGGATAATATCCACCTTGAGCATTTGGTGATACATCGAGGCAACAGCTGCAAAGTGCGGCAGCCGCGGGTCGATCTCGTCGAGGTACTTGAGAATGACCATACAGGATCGGAGGTATGCGCGGAAGATTTGACGCGGCACGTCCACGACACCCAATGCCAGAGGTCGATATAGAGCCAGCAGTGGTCTTCGAACATGCATGTCGAGAACAACGCGCCGGCGCCACATCTTACTTCGTTGTGCATCGTCGAGGTCGCCCTTTCGCGGGTAGATGAAATTGATGTCCTCCAGATACCGGTCTAGCTTAGCGCCAACTTCGAGAACCTCAGAGTAGTCTTTGATAGAGTCTATGCGATTGATCAAATGGGCAACCTTCATTCGTGTTAGTAGCGTGGTTGCGGCATGCACCTGCATCTGGTTATCGGTGACTTGGTCGATTGGCCGGGATGGGGGAAGCTCCGTCATGCTTTCATAGAGCTCAACGTCGTCAATGTTTCGGGGCGGCTTAGTTGTAAAGTCGCCTTCGCGGAGGACACACGGAAGGCCGGTAGCAATGGACATGTGCACGTCAACATCCAAGATGGTGTACCACAGGCGCCTTCGCATCTCGCCCTGGAAGACGGACAGCCGGGGTTCGGACTCTGAGGGGTCACGATGCAGGCCCATGGTCATGGCTAGGCGGACGTTTTGGCCAGCACCAAACCAGACGTCTTGATACTGCTGGGTAAACATCCTCTTTGCGTGAACCAATAGGACTTCAACCTGCAAAGCCTCAAAGTCCACCCGCTGCTTGCTCTTGCGCCCGTCGAGCCATGCCCTGACCAAGGCACAGGCAGTTGGGATATGCACACCCTCCACGCGCTCATGGCCAAGGCCCCTAGACTTTGTGTCGAATCGCGAGGCCGTGGACAAGATGGAGAGCAGTTTGGGGAGAAAGGTTTCGGACTGCAGCCGCCCATCCCAGTACGTAGTATACTCCTTCATAAACGTCGGCAGGTGGACAATACGGTAGAGGGTTTCCGATGTGTCGATATATGTCTTGACTAGCCTGTCGCAAACGTCCTTTTTAGGGAGAATGTCACGCATTCGCGTCTGGATGGGCATCATGGAGTCGACAAAGACGGTAATAGGCGCCAGCGCACTCTCGTACTCGTCCTTGATGCAAGCGTTCAACGCGCGAAAATTCATCAGAACCTCTTGGGCTCCGGGGATTGCTTTGTGGTGGGCGAGGAAAGCTTTGGCGTCGTAAAACTACATCTACAGTTAACACATGAAGGTCTTTGTTACTCGGCGATGGTCCTCGTCACCGCAGTTGGATGGCACTTACCAAGTTTAACATGACACGCGGCGCATTCTGTCCAAAGTAGCGGGTTCGGGTGCCCTTGTTCTTGATGCTGAGACCACGAATGGTGCTGCTTGGGGCAGCCGAGACTCGACCAATGCTTAGTTCCGTGGCAGCTGGACTACGGCCCATCATCTGCTTCTCCAGCCGTTCCATACGGCTTGTAAGTTCCTCCAGCGTGCCCTGGCCATCACCATTCTTGGTCGGATATGAAGTATGCGGACCGTCTGGGGCAAATATTATCGGCGTTATCGTGGTGCCTGGTGGGCAATTGCGCTTCATGGGCCGGTTCGGATCGGCAACTTCAGTGTCGGAGACATCCGAGAGGTTATTCGAGTCTTGGTCAGCGGCATATCGGCAGTGTCGACTGGACTTTTGGCATTGGGAGCAGGGCAGCAAGCGATCGCATCGCAGCTTTCGCTTACGGCACTCTGTGCACGACTTGACGGGTCGAGGGCGTTTGACGCTTCGCTGATTCGACGGGGTAATGATTTGATTGGTGTGCATGGAGGCCGAAGCCGGCAAAACGTGCGACGAGGGCGACGGATGTGTTGGTAGTTGGTGATGAGGCAGCTGTGGTGTTGAGTCGAGTCCGCGAGCAGGAGGCGCGAGACCAGCTAGCGGTCCCAATGCCGGCGAGGCAGACGGCGATGTATGGCCGCGGCTACCGTCGTTGGACGCCATGGTACGGCGCTCTTTATAGCAAGCAGTAGAGTTTTGTTGTGGTTGGCGTCTAGGCGCTACGTCGTGAGTGGCGAGTTGGCCAGCGGATCCATTCGAGAGCGGTGCCGGAGATGGTTGGGTTGTGAGGAAGGAGATGTAAGCTCCAAACGCGCAGCGCTAGAGCGGAGGACTACGAGACGAATTGCACGCGGCGCGCAGAGACTGTAGTGCGAGCAACGGCTGGAGGCAGTGGCAGGCAACGTCGGTTATCGGTTGTCGTGAGCGTATACGAAGCTGAGAGCAGCGGGAAGGCGATGTCCCGGCCGAGTCGCAGTTCTTTGAACACGGTTAATCGTATCGTCCAGGCGGTGGAACACGGCTGCTGCACCAGAAACGAGGGATACTCAGCCTCACAAGCAGCAGCAAAAAGAAAAGAAGTCGTCGCAATAAGAGGGAATGACACACGACGCCTCCTGTGCGAGTTGCAGAAACGACCAGTAGCGCTTTCTCCGTTTGGATGTTGTGGTGGTACGGGACATGGGCGAAGGCAGCCAGGGTACGTGGGTGGGCAGGAGCTTAATACGGCCGGCAGGGAAATGACAGGGAGCGACCCAGCGCCTGTCGGGTGCCGCTACAGCGCCCACAGAGCCGCTGTAATCTGTTTTTTTTTTCTTGTTAGGGCGAGAGCGGCGCTGCGGGGGGGCGGGGAGCACAGCGATGGGCGGGCTCTCCACAGTACACTCACTACAGCAATAAGTACATTAGAACCCCCCCCCCCCCCAGTCCAGCCCAGCAGCGGCTTGCCCGGCGGCTTGCCCAAGCCTGCCGGAAAGGCAAAGGCCCTGTATTTTGCCCCCCTCCCCTACAATGTACTGTAACTGTTTTAGCCTGCGGTGTGTTTACTGCCCAGCAGCGCTACAACGACAGAGGACCTGGCCCTCTTTTTAGTGGGTGGGACGCTGGCCAAGTCCGGTGTCCGCCGCTGATGCTGATGACGAGAGCGTGCAAAAAGCGACAAAATAAAATAAATAAAAAACAAAGCCCCAAGTAGCAGAGTGCGGTCAGAACAAACGCCGGTGAAACATGAAACGAAGCTAATTTTCCTCTTTTCGGAGAGGGGCCAGGGTCGGCGCCCAGCAGCAGCAACAGCAGCGTATTTAGGCTGTGTTTGCCATGTGTGCTTCGCTTGCGGCTTTCAGCATCGTCATCCATCGTCGTCAGCAGATTCTTTCGTTCCTCGGATCCGGGCAACTTGGCCCAAGTCGGGCGGAGACTGTGCTCAAAGCCCGCTTTCTCCGTTGCCCTTGCAGCCAATGCAACGAGATTGGCTGATGCTGCCGTCCGACGACACGACTGACCTTTCTCCGGCAGTCAAGCGCAAGGCAACGCTACGAGATCGGCAGCTAAAGGGCGGTGATACCCAAAGGGGCAATATGGCGGAGGTGAAAGCAGCAGGGGGGGATGAAGAAGCCATTGTTCTCTTTTTTCTTATTTGCACACAAACGAACACGTTATTCACACGATGCATGGTGAAGTATGTCGATGTGCACGGGATCACCACCATCCAGAGCGGCACGCATGTACTGTACAGTACACACACACACACCTATAACAGCTGCAACCCAATAAGACGGAGACAAGACACGCAAAGCAGAGCAGCACCCGTGGCATGATATGGCATCATCCATCCTGCTGCTGCTTCAGCTTGTCGTTCCCCCCATCTATTTTCCAGGACTGGATGAAAAGCCGAAATTTCAGTGGCGGGATGCTCGTGATACGTAGAGCATTGGGCTCGCTTCACGCCCGTTGTTCAGCTCACTCACCATCAAACATCCACAAGCCTCCCCCTCGGATAGCCGAACTCCCAAGACTTTTCCCATCGTCCTTGCTCCGTCGTTGTCAAGATCGTTTTTTCCTTCTTCTACTAGCGCCAGCAATCTCCACCACAGCGTCACTCGCTGCCACGTCGAAATGCGAAAGCCGCTTTACAGAAAATGGGCCGACCCAGCAAGTGGCGAGGACCTCAAGTCCCATCTTCTGAAACGTACGCTGCCCACTTAGTTCCGTTTCTCGCGCTTTTCCCTCTTCTTTTTTGAATGCCGACTCCCGCCCTGCAGCGGCCCCCAAACTCTTTTTTTTTAACGAGCCTGTCGGCCGCTGCACCTGCTACGGAGCCGAAGCAGCCGTCCAGCCAGCCAGTAAAATGCGCTGTTACCCACTAGAACCACCCAGCCGGAGCGACCTAGCCAGCGCCACAACGCGCAGGTGTCGGCCGAGACGCAGCTAAGACTCCGAGTAGGGCCAGCGAAGCAAGGGCTTTGAGGGGCCGGTTAAAGAAATAAATTGCGAGGGAACGAGGAGGTACTTAGCCCAGAAAGCGAAAAATCAGCAAAAATTAAAAAGACGGCGAAGATCAAAAGTCGGCGCAACCGCTTTTTCCTTTGCTTGTTTTCTTCGTCGGCGTTTCCCACCGCAGCACACACACACAGAGCAATAATAGCCAGACGCTGCGTTTTTCGCTAGTGCTAAATTCAATTGGCCGACTTCGGTTCCGACTCGGCCAACCACAGCGCGTGCTGCACTCGCTTTTAGGCAGCAGTATTTTTGTACCGTGGTTTCAGCGCTCCAGCGAGCCCCCAGAGGGCCTGCGCTAAGCACGCTGGAGCCGTGAGCAAGTTACCCACTGTACTGGAGATGCGGGTGCCCACTACAGCGCTGTTCAGTTGCGAGATACAGCACTACAATCTCCGTTCAATACGTCATGATCCTCCTCATACTTCTCCTCTCTAAGCAAACAAACTACCACGCACCTTGTTCAGCTGCTCTTTTTGCAAATAATAGCCGGAAAAAGCATCAACGCGACACAAACAAACAACGTGTCCCCTCATCGAACCACCCATCAGCCAATTTTCCACCTTCTTCCTTTTTTTTGTAAAGCCCACGTTCCCATTTACTGGCTTTGTATTATTGCCCATAGTTCCAGCGCCTCTACTCCACACACAATCCTCCCAAACGCAACCGTACGACACACGGCCCGGGCATCTGGCCTTTATGAACGGCGACCTCAAAAAAAGCTAAGTCCAGTGTTCGGTCCCAGATAACCCATCCATCGTGATTAGCGTAATCTCCCGAAACCTTAACCCTACCCCAGTACGCGCACCAAAACCGACCCTGGGACACCTCTTCGCTGCTCGGCTCTCCTCTCAGCTCAACCTCTCTAATTTCGTCGTCGGCGGCTCTCTCAGTTCATTCGCTTGGCACGCGGGCTCTGCGCTAAGCGAAATTTCCATCTGTGTGCGCCCCGAGAAGCCACCATGGATCGTCATAACAGCACGTAAAAATAATGTCAAGCAGGTGAGGGAGAGAGGGGGCTTCGGCCGCGCTGCAAGGGCCGAGAAGCGCACGCAAATCCGATGCTAATAACAAAGTGCCGAACAATGCAAACCATGGTGGAGTAATTGCCCGATCCCACTTTGCATTTCTTGACTCGTAGTCCAAAAACTCATTGCTCGGGCGAATCTTACCGGCCGAGATGGGTCGGGAAAAAGAACCTCGCTAGCTTGCTTTCCTGCGGCCTTTGTTCCGTTGGCCTCTGTACTCGGATCCCGAAAAGCGAATCTGATTGTCGTCTGATGCCGTGCAAATCCCCATCCAATACTACTTTGTTAGTCGGAGTTATACGTATAGTAGAATCTTTGTCCCGGTTAGACCGCCCATTTGCGACAGCGGCAACTAGTCCGGCTCATCATTTCTACAATAGGCAACGTCTAACTGAATGGTAATGTATATCAACTCCAGCATGCAAACTGGCAACCCAGGGGTCCAACTACCGTTGCTAATCAGGTAATTACCCTTATTCACATACACATGACTCGGAACTTGCTCATAGTAAAAAAACGCCAATGGCATGTATATTCAAGTTATTCTGTGCCCTTCCAGAGCCAGCACCCTTGGTTAGTGAGTTTCTTCTACATGGTCATCCTCTGCATAGTCACCGTCAAAAGCGTCATCCTCTACATCGTAGTCTTCTGGCCATGCACCAGGGGTAGGGCCGCCTTCAATAATCATTTCGCTGGCAGCTTGCTGCTCTGCGCCTCGCATACCAAGCATCTGCCACAACGCATCAAACATCCCAGGTTCATTTGCGCGTCGCGCATGCTCCTCAAGATCTCGCCTTAGCTCCTCGTCTGATTCGTAGTCTGCGTCAGAGTTGTCTGGGTCCGCGGCTGCCTGCATCGCACCGCGTGCGACACGGGGGCCTCCGCCCTGCCTCATACCCATCGCTTGGAGACGAGCAAGCATATCGTTGACGCCTGCTTGCGATGAGGTGCGGCTCGCAGTCCATGGCAATCTTGTTCCCTCTCCAGTAAACACATTGTCCTCTTCTTTTGGAGGCAATGGATCGAATTCGTAATTCGGCTGCTGGTCAAGCAGTGCTCGTGGCGCCACCGCTAGCAGGCCGGTCTGCCCTTCGAGATATGCCAAACGTGTAGCATCGAGACCCGGTGAGCTATCATCAGCCGGTAAAGTAGATACGTCAACCTTTTCCATGCTCTTGGCAACCTGTTGCAACAGAGACGTAGCCCCAGTATTGTTCCAGATGTCTTTGGCCAAGTATATGTACAGCTTAACCCAAAACTGCCTCGAGTCGGATTCTGCATTCATACCCCAGATTGATGGTGGTGCATCTAGGCCGAGCTCTTGGAATAGTGCACAGTAAAGCCAAGGTAGAGTTTTAATACCGACCTCCAAATCCGCCCGTGCGCCGGCAGTGTCTCCCAGTTGCAACTTTGCTAGTACTCGGCTTTGTTCGATATACACCGAGTCTTCATGCTCTCCATTATCTCTCAAGTCATCCAAGAATTTTAGTAGCCATTGGCCTTCGTAAGATCGTACCGCAAGGAAGTGCAGATAGTGACGCATAGCAAACGGATCTGTCGTGTCGAGAGCATACAGAAGCTTAGACCATTCCAGCGCTGTTCGGAATGTTCCCTTTCGTAGAAGGCTTCGAATATAATGATAACCTGCAAGCCAGAATTGTCTATTCTCCGGTCGTCGGAAATCAAGCCGTGCTCTGCCTTGCTCTACATCCTGGCGAAAGGCTGATGTGGTCACGCGACCAAAAGTGAAAAGGGCTCGTTCGCAGAGCTCAGAAGAGAGTGCCATGTTTTGGTCTTGCTTCGCCACAAAGCTGACTTGCAGAAGTGTCGAAACATGATATGCTGTAAGTACTGAATTAGACAAATATTGGTAAACGATAAACTCAATGGCCACTTACGAACTCGCTTGAGCATGTGAACCATCCTCATCGGGTCACCAAGCTGAACACAGCCGAAAAAGACAGACTGAATCTCGTCATATGCCTTTTCATGAATGTATGCATACTCTGTAGATGATCCATCTTCAGCTTTGCCCACTTCCTTCATAGTTAAGCCACCAGCAGATTGCTTCGGCCAATGCTCCTTGCCTTGGATAAACAGGTTTCGTCGGAGCGACACCTCCGGCAGCTTAGGGGCGCCAGGGGGTTCTCTTAGAAATGTTTCCAAGTCGACTTGCTGTCGCATGGCTTGCATCTGTTGACGACGGCTGCCACCCATACGCCTGGCTTGTTCCTGGTCTTCTTCGGCCTGTGCCGATTCAATCACCTCACGGCCAAAGAGATTGCGCATCTCGTTCATAGCCTTGAGATGGTAGGGGTTGATTCCAAACAGCTCAGCTTGTAAAGCGAAATTGCGCTTCGGAGCTCCGGCAGCGCCAGTCTGTTCTTGCGAGGAAACTTTTAAATCCTTCAAAGCCTTATCAATCTCATCTTCAGAGTCCTTTGCGACCTCATTGTTTGCAGCACTGGCCTTCTTTGCCTTCTTTTTCTTTTTCTTCCTTTTGTTTTTGCTCGATATTGTCGGTGTCGCTTCAATCTTCTCGTCTGCCATAACCTCATCAGGCTGATCCTCTTCATCCTCAGTGGGAGGCTCTTCTTCGTCCTCTCCTCCCAAAGCTGCGAACAGATTCGGCCGGGCAGGTGATGCGCGAACAGCAGCACCATCACTATTATCCGCAGAATCGCTTCCTTCATCAGCAGCAATACTAGAGGCTTGTGCCTCATCGCGCTGCTTCTGAAGCTTGCGGAGCTGTCTGGACGACATGTTGCTCTGTACAACTCCTCACACGTCCGCAACCGAAGTTTCTCCTGCAAAGCTTCTGTTCTTGTGCTTTTTATTTCTTAATCGTTTTTTGCTGGTAGTCCTCGTGTAGTGGACGGCACTGGTGTGTTGAGAATCTGAAAAAAAAAAAAAAAAAAAAAACAGTTGAAGTGTTGGACGTTGGTGTGGTTGGATGATGTGGAGGGGCAACTTTGCTCTGCGTCACACCGGCGCCACGACGTTTACGGCGGGCCACGCTTACCAAAGACCACCAAGTCTTGAGTGTTCAACATAGCACACGTGAAGCAGGGACAAAATAGTTTAGACAATCAGTCCAAAAAAAAAGGGGGGGACTGCGCTTTTGTTTGGATTTGAAAAAAAGACATGAAACTCCTTTTAGCCCTCCATTCCAATTGCCTCATCCTACAAAATGAGCAGCCCAAGCCTCATTCTTGCCTGTTCCAAGGGAAATCCGCAATCCTATAAACATGCTATAAAAATCGACAATGTCGTGAATCATCATATCCACCCCCATCGAAATCCATCCAAACTCCAGTATAATACTTCAGTAACTCGTAATCGATGTAAAATAAAAGAAACATAACCATGTTCTTCAAGTCAAACGCTGTCGGTAGGACCTGCTTCCGAAATCACCCAAATCACCATTTCCATAAACAAAGAAATCAAAGTTCAGTCGTCTGATATTGAGGTCGGCCACCGCCACGGCCACCACGGTTGTAGCCTCTGCCACGGCCACCACGGCCGCGGCCACGGTAGTTGCGGTAGCCGCCATCAACGCTGCCCTGGCCAAACGTCTCCATGTTCTTACGCTGCTCCTCGCCACGCCATTCACGGCCACCAGGTCTTTGACCACCAGTTTCGGCACGATCTTTGGCTTCACTGGAGATGTTGTCAAAGAAGGATGACGCCTTGCTGTAAGCAGGAGGAGGAGCATCGGCTGCCTGCTCGGGAGCCTCAGCTTCTTCCGCCGTTGCACCAGTCTGGCCATCGGCTTCCTTGACAATCTCGTCCTTGTTGAACTTGGCGTTTGATTGCGCAAAGTCGAAATCAGAGTCTGGGACTTCAACTTTGCTAACAGGAGGTCTTCCTCCACGGCCACGACCACGGCCAGAGTGGCCGCCACGACCAGCGTTTACCCGCATTTCGTTGACCTTGTTTGTAAGGTTATCCATGGGGTTTGCGGTAGGGTTTCCGAGCTGGGCCATAGCCACTGCAACAGCAGCTCTAGCTGCATTGGTCGCGTCCTGTACCGAGTTCGGTGCAGCTCTGCCAGCAGGGAGTGGCATAACTGGCTTAACACGGTTGTCCACAGGAGCAGGCTTGCCGGCATCTTGGGCGCCCTTTGCGGCAGCCTTAACAGCTTCAGCAGAAGGCTTCGATTCCACGGGTGGTGTTGGTGCTTCGACAGGTTGGCGCGCATTCTGTGCCTGCTGCTTCGGCTCGTTGGCAGCTTGGCCAGCGCCTGGCTGTGCCTTGTTGTTTGCCGGAGCCTGAGGAGGAGGTCCGTTTCTGGGTCCGCCTTGAGGGAACTGCGGCTGGTTTTGCCATTGTCCAGGACCGCCCGGGCCGCCTTGTGGGAAGCCTTGGCCTGGAGGATACCATCCTGGAGGAGGGGGGTAAGGCATGTTGCCGAACTGAGGAGGTCCATGAGGAGGCCCGGCCATTGGACCAGGTCCTCCGCGACCCCATTGGCCTTGTCCGGGAGGAGGTGCTCCGCCGTAAAAGTTGTTGGGAGGTTGTCCTGGGGGGAATTGTCCAGGACCAGGAGGCTGGTTGTTTTGGTTAGGTCCAGGACCAGGGGGGGCGCGTCCTCGAGCCTAATGCAGTGTTAGAACCATCGTCATTCCAAACGTGTGCTAACTAGAACAAATATTAAAAGGTTCAAGTGGTATCAGAAGGAAGGCAACGGAAATCTCGACATCGTTTTTGCGCTTTTCCGACGTGACAAAATTTTACATCCGAAATACTTCATCATATACCGAATCAGAGAGGTGTGGAGGGGGAGACTTAGTACTTACGCCTACAATCGCAGGGTCATCGGGAACGGGGGGCTTGTTCTCTTTGATGCTAGGGTGGTCCTCAATTCGGAGATCCTTAACGTCGCTGCCGCGGAAAACGATATATTCGTAGACCTGGTCAGATGCGGGAATCTCTTCATCGGGCTTGCCCTTTCGTCCTTCTGTGCCAAAGGAGCGAACGTTTTCGAGAGAAACGGTAGATTCTTCCGAGTTGATCTCGTGCAGAGTTCCAACGTAACTGTGAGGGGATTATATGAGCATGATGCGCGCAGGCCATTGGACATATATAATAAACCTACCGGATGTCGCTTTTGGAGATAAGGGAGATACGGGATCTGACGCAATGTTAGCTGTTTGGCATCTTGACGAGCTGGACATGACGACGTACCCAAGAAATTCAGACATGGCGAGGGGAATGTGAGCTGCGATAAGCACGCAGTATGCTATAGTTCAGAAATATGAATTAAAGAAGAGAATAATACATGCGTGCCAAAGGCACCAGGGATGAAGGGGATAAGTGGGTGGCGGGAGAAGGGATTGCGGTGGTTGGATATTGAGGGAAGGGTTTTGAACTGGACAGGTTTTGTGAAGCTTCAGCCACCGCAGCCTGCGCAAAAGGTGTGGTGGGCTAGCGGATTATTCTCGGTTCCGGCGATAGCCCCGCTCTGTTGGTGGGCGGGCAACCAAGCACCCAAAGCCCTCTCAAGGAGCTATTGCTACCCTGCAAGGCTAACAGCAGAGAAAGGCTGTAAAAATTGATGACATGAGTCTTTCCATGTTAGGTATTAATTAAATTTCTCAATGTAGTGTTAAAATCTGACTCTGTATGTTTCTCTTTGTTCGTTATCATGAACATTCCCTTACTCCAACAGGTGGACCTCGATCGTAAGTGATATTTGACAGACCTGGAGTCACTTTAAAGATTAGGAGTGTCAGAGAACGGTATTATAAAGTCTATTCATAAATACATAAAGATGGATCCGAATCAATCAACGATATTCCCGGACGGAAAGAATACACCATAACTCCAGTGATTAGAAGGACAAAGACCAAAGCGCGCTAAGCTAAAAGAACTTGTTGAAAATGACGGCCACAATGAGGATCACAAGAACTGTGATGATGGCGATTGTGATTAGCCGATTCGTAGCCATCCTGTATATGCGTTAGCAATGACTCTCGCTAGTGCAAAAGGGAGTGTGTCATGGTATTTACCTACGCGCCATACCGCGCAGAGTCTTGACACTGCGGTCGACGTAACCCTCACTTTGCAAGAGGGTATCATGCGTATGGGTGATCATTTCTCGCTGTCTGCTAAGATCAGCCAACGTACTGGCTCCAATAGCCTCCGTTTCATTGGCAAGGGCCTGACTGGCCTTCAACCGTTGCGAGCTTCGCTCCAGGCGATCGGTTCCGGAGAGGAGCTGTTGACGTTGCTCAAGGTGGATATCGGAAGCACCTCCAGGCTCGTCAGTATAACGAGCACCGAATAGTTGAGCTCTGTCTGAAGCTAGAGAATCCAGCTTTCGGCGGTTGGCGTCGACATCTGATTCGTGGTTGCGGAAACGCTGGTTTACTTCGGCTCGGGAGGAGGTAGGGATATTCTGCTTCTCAAGTCGCATCTGGCCAAGCTATACAAAAGATTAGTATTAGAAAACGTCGCCTTGCTAGGTTATTGTTCAGAGCGAGGCACGTACCAGCTCATCTGCCTCCTCCAGTGCCCTCTTGGCCTGAGTAACTGCACTCTTGCGTTCCTCGCCGGTGAGTTCGGGAATCTGATCCAGCTTCTGTTGAAGGTCTGCCTGAACCAGCTTAATTTCCGCCTCGTACGAGCCGAAGAGTTCGGAGCCCGCTGCCGAGTCGAGAGGGTTAGACATGATGTCGGAGAGCGCGAGAAAGGAGACGTCGGTTGGTTCGGTCGCGCGCGTGGCCTAGCTGAGTACAGAGCAAGTGACAGAGAAGCGCGAGAATATTGTCCGATGCAGTATTACGACTAAGAAGTGTGACAAAACGTAGATGCAGTCGCGCTTGCTGGTGTTTGGTTGTTGAGGAGAATAAGAACAGCCAGAGTCAACGCCAGCCTCGGAGATGCAAGTGGTTACGACGCAATGGGCACGCCAAGGCTGCTACAGTGGGCTGGCCGCTGGCTGCTGGGTGCTGTTGGGGCCTGCCGCGCTGCCAGCCACCCACTAAGACTGTCTGAAGCCGGACTGGCAGTCCATCCCCCAAACACGTGATTGCATTGTTACGGCCTGAGGACGAGGCGGCTGCCCCACCTGCCTACCATTTCTCCCGCCAGCGGCGCCGAAACTTTTCAGTCTTTTCTTCTTCTTCTTCAAAGTTGATCACCCGGTGGAAGAATATATAATTGGCTCGACGTCTATAGTTCCTACATGGCGTATAGTTGAACGATCCGGGGAGATAATATGCGGTCTTGGAATTCGGAATTTATTCTATTTTTCAAGGCTGCTCGGCGCTTCTAAGAATTGGCGGCTCGTATTCCAACGTTGCCCGATCCCGTTGAGTGCTCGACATGCCAGCATCACAAGCTCATTTGGATGATCCGTGATGAAAAGGCACCGGTACTTTGGCTACCTTTTTGAGTCGGTGCCGTGCTTGGTGAAGAAACCGTAGAAACTTTATATGCACCGGGCTGCTGCCAACCCAACATCGCCAACTGTTGAGAGTGTGTGTTGGGGCAGACACAATATGCCCGCTTACAGCGCTCTGTGACGTGCCGGCCTCCTGGCAAACGCCATGGTCTCTACGCTAAACAGTATGGGGAATTCTATTTATTGCCCCTGCGGAATTGACTTTTGCGCATAAGAGTGCTACGTAGTTGAGACTCGAGCTAGGCTCCTGTGTGGATGCTGCGTGGAACAATGTCCGATCTGGCTGGTCACGCTGGTGCGTCATCCATCAACCATTTCCTTAGCCTATCGGTTGACGCAGCAAAATAAACCACGGGACCCTCGTCTGACAGTTCTCTCCATCCATCCATCCATCCTTCACCTCCCGGGCCGTTCCTCTTTTTTTTTTTTTTTGCTTTTTCCAATTTCATTTCAACGCTGTGGTTCAGCCGATCGTGGCTGTCTGTTCACGCAATGGTGGAATCGAGACACGAGTGAGTTGACTTGCATATTCCTTCCCCCGTGCCGTCGAATCAGCGTCGGATCCCGCCATCCTGCCAAAAGCCCATTCCTTTTGCACATGCTGCGCTGCCCACCCTTTGAGAGCTTCCCCTCTTCTTGCGCAGCGTCTTGCATTTCCTCTTCATGTCTTCGCCCAAGGTCATGACGCCTTCATTTTGAGTCAATTCTGTGTACCCCAACCATTAGATCCCGGTCTCCATTGATTGCCCCCAAACCCCAAAGTCGCCCCAAGCACTACTTAGGCCCTGGCAGCCCTCTAAGCGCATTCATAGAGTATGGCACCCGTATCTAACACCTTTACCAGGAAAAAGGTAGCCATTGTTGGCAGTGGCAGCGCTGGCATCGCTGCGCTCTGGGCCCTCAACAGAACATACCATGACGTCTATCTCTATGAGGCGGCGGATCGCCTCGGTGGCCACACCAACACCGTGCAATGGAAGGCAGGAAAATATCAAACGGCGGTTGATACTGGCTTCATTGTGTTAAACACGGCAACATACCGTAAGTCATATTTGTGACCTGTTTTCATCGTAGCTCTTAGCTCACTAGGCTGATTCGCGCCACAGCAAACTTCATCAACTTTCTGCAAAGGATCGGAGTAGAAGCAGAAGAAACTGAAATGACATTCAGCGTTTCGCGCGACCAGGGCGCTTTTGAATGGGCTGGAACAAATTTAGCCACAGTCTTTTGTCAGAAACGCCGTCTCTTTTCGCCGCGCATGTGGAGGATGGTCTTTGACATTATTCGATTCAACCAGTTTGCTCTCGACTTGCTTCTTAACGAAAGCGACGACCCTAATCATGACTCTAACAACGAAACAATCGGTTCCTACCTTGAACGAGAAGGCTACTCAGATGCCTTCCGCGACGACTATTTGCTTCCCATGACCGCAGCTGTTTGGAGTACTAGTCCTGACAAGTGCTCTCTGGAGTTCCCGGCAGTCACCCTTGTCCGATTTTTGTAAGCTTTGCACCTAAAAATTGATTGTGCAGCATTGTCACTAATACAAATCAGGTGGAACCATCATCTTCTATCCACAGTGTCAGCTAGACCTCAGTGGCTGACTGTCAAGAACGGCTCCAAGACTTACATCGACACAGTCATGAAAGGATTCCCACCAAACCATCTCCATCTGAAATCGCCTGTTCGCTCCGTCTCCAACGATGTTGACGGCCGTGTACTGTTGCACCTGGAGAGTGGCAAGACAGAACTATTCGACCATGTTATCCTTGCTACACATGGTGACGAGGCTCTATCTATTCTTGGTCGTAGTGCGACACCGCAAGAGCGCTCGATTCTTTCCGGCTTCCAAACGTCGCAAAATGAGGCGATTTTGCACTCCGATACTGCATTCATGCCGCGAACAAAGTCGGCATGGACCAGTTGGAACTACCTCACAATGTCTGCTCCTGGCAAAGCCAATGTCGACAAGGTCTCTCTAACATACAACATGAATATCTTGCAGCATATTCCCACAAATCCATTCGGTAATGTTCTTGTTACGCTAAACCCTCTCCAACGCCCCCGACCAGAGACAATCCAAGGAAAGTTCTGGTACTCTCATCCCCTCTACACACCTGAGGCGATTCGCGCCCAGAAGCTGTTGCATCTCATCCAAAACAAGCGCGGCATCAGCTTTGCTGGAGCTTGGACGAAATACGGATTCCACGAAGATGGTTTCAGCAGCGGTTTGGCCGTGGCACAAAACCATCTTGGCGCTAAGCTCCCATTTGAGTTTAAGGACTCGACATACAGCAGAGGCAAGAAGCCACAATTGGGCATCTTGGATCACCTACTGCGCTTGATCATCCTTGTTATCCAGGTGTTTGTTATTCAGGTCCTCGAACGCCTACTCACCAGCAAACGCCACAAGTCACGGGTAATCACGAATGCTAACGGTGTTGACACGAAAAGCAAAAAATTGAACTGATAGAGTCTCATTGGCACGACATCATCTGCATATTTGGATTCACGGCCCTGTATTCAGGCTTTCCATTTATCCCTTATCATCTGCATGCTCCTTGCATTTACAAATTTGAAGGTCATAGTCACCGTCGACTGAATTTACTATCAAGTATTGTATTAAATAGTTTTTTTTGAGTAAATTGAAACCATACCTTATACACTCCCGTCATGAAATCAGACCATCGCAGTTGGCTATACAACAGCACACCCACGCTCGCCCCACTTAAATTTCGCAACATCGTCTCTCGAAGCAGAGCTCCTTTGCAACTCGACGATTTCCTCTCGGTGCATCGGTATCCGCTAAAATGCAGTCGATATCTCGTTCAATGCATAGCCTAGCGAGGGCATCGCAATGGGCTTGCTCTGCCTGCAAGCACACCGCAACACCACACAGCCGAAACGTCAATGGCGCTGTCTTGCGCCGAGCGCTGCACAGCTCGCGATCTCGACTAGCTCAACCGCGATTGCCACAGTCCCCGAACTCGCCAGAAATGGAGCAGCTTAGAGCCTACTATAGAAGGAAAAACCAAACTGTTCTGTGCGTCAATTACATCCGACACGGCCAACACAATCGCGAGCGATGCATACTAATAGGGGTTCAACAGATACTACACAATGAGTCTTATCCTAGGCACAGTCGCCTTTTCCTATGGCTCAGTGCCCATGTACAAAATGGTACATCTTCAGCTCGATATTCATCGCCCAATAACCTTGCGGATTGCTAACTACAAGACAGATTTGCCAAACAACCGGTTGGGGCGGCCAGCCTGTCCGACATAACGGCGACGACGCTGACGTCGCGAGAAAACTTGTCCCTGTTACGTCTGCGCACCGGATCAAAGTCAACTTCAGCTCCTCCGTTTCCGATGTCCTACCGTGGAAGTTCGTTCCTCAGCAACGCGAAGTCAGCGTGCTTCCTGGCGAGACTGCGCTCGCCTTTTACACGGCTACCAATAACGGCGACAAGGACATTATTGGTGTAGCCACCTACAGTGTTACCCCTGCGCAATGCGCTCCGTATTTCAGCAAGATTCAATGCTTCTGCTTCGAAGAGCAGCGTCTCAATGCTGGCGAGACTGTTGATATGCCCGTCTTTTTCTACCTGGACCCAGATCTGCTCAACGACTTGAACATGAAAGGTGTTGAAACTGTCACACTAAACTATACCTTCTTCAGTAAGTCCTTTTATCGAATGCTCGATTAAGCGCAAGAGGTATTCTAACAGCCTCAACAGAAGCCAGATACGACGACAACGGTCGTTTCAAGCCGCCAGCATCATCATTTATCCAGGCTTGAAGTGTAAAATAATCTATGTAAAATATACAACTCCTAGCATCAAATCTCTATTTTCTTTTCAACCTGTATCATACATATACTATCAAATAGAGACACATTCTCCTTCACGGTCTGTCATGGCGTTCAATGCCATGTAATTATTACACAGAAGCGTCCACTACCGCATGACACCACAAATAACAACCAACCTTCATGTAGCTATTCTTTTTGTAAATATTTCTCTGAATTTATTTTCCATAGCTAGCAACTACTATATCTCCTAACACTGACATGAAGATGTCGCTCAACCGCAAAGGTACCAGTGACCTTGCTTAAAATTCAAAACGCCGCCAAGTGGGTACAGAAAATGCTCCTTAACGATGTAGCCGATACCTCTCCACCAACGCTCAAACTCTTTGGTAGGGTACACTTACCTGTCACGTGCGTCCCACAACTCGTCTAAAGTTCGCCCACAATTTGGTCTACACAGGATTTGATCTTTTTTTTGCTCCCCATCCCGCAGTCAAAGTCGTATCTTCCACCGACAAATCACCCCCCAAATCCGTCAAAATGGTCAAGGTTAACGCTTGTATGTTCTATTCAAAGGCTACAATTCGAAATCGACAAAATTGCTAACCAATTTCCAGCCATCCACGACTCTCGTCGCAAGAGCCGCGCCGCTCACTTCAAGGCCCCCTCTTCCCAGCGCCGTGTCATCATGAGCGCTCCTCTCTCCAAGGAGCTCCGTGAGCAGTACAACGTTCGTCGACTCTATATCTCCTACCGAAATTCCGTCTGGATAATCTAACACTCTACTAGGTCCGCTCCATCCCCATCCGCAAGGACGACGAGGTCACCATTGTCCGTGGCTCCAACAAGGGCCGTGAGGGCAAGGTCACCTCCGTCTACCGTCTCAAGTACGTGATCCACGTTGAGCGTGTCACCCGCGACAAGGCCTCTGGCCAGTCCGTCCCTCTCGGCCTCCACCCCTCCAACGTTGTCATCACCAAGCTCAAGCTTGACAAGGACCGTGAGGAGATCCTCGCCCGCTCCAAGCGCGGACGTGAGCTCGCCACCAACACCAAGGTCTCTGCTTAGGCGTTTCCTTTGAAAATGGGGTAACGAAAAGCTTTGACGTCTTATTATATTTTTTTCGGATAAACGTGTCCAAGGAACAACATCAGGAAGTGTGGAATGGGCATACACTCAGGCGTTTTGATATCTTTTGATACCCTTTGCTGCCCAAGAGGCGCATAGGATTTCGGCAGGGTAGAAGAATGAGAATTTTATGGTTCTCAATGGCCATTTCACCTATTTGTGAAGTGCTCCATGGGAGGCGTTTCCCGAAGTCTTGTGCCCCAGCCGCGATGCAGTGATCCATTCGTCGGTGGCATTGATTTTGTGCCAACCATGAGTGCAACAAATGTTTACCTCGTAATCTCTAACAACCAGCTCGTAGCCAACGACAAAACTGTAATCTTCTTTTTCCCCGCCAACTATCACCTCGTTGACCAATTTAGATGGTCTCCGAGATAAACGACTGGCGAAGAGCGACCCAGTAGGAGATACTATTACAATCATGAATCCTCCTACTCTCTTCTGAAGAATTTCCACCGAGAAGCAATTTAATGATGTAGAAATTTTGATGGAGAGGCACATTTTTGTATACACTACAAGAACTATTATGACGCCAAATCCATGAACCAAACCAGAAAGATACTATGGCAAGTACCATATCAATATCAATATACATATGATATAACTATAACACAAACACACAAATTGGTGAAGGGTCCAGTATTTGACGCAGAGCCTTGACTTTCGGTAGCCGTACCGCCCTGAAGTATCTCTCCTTCCCGAGCCATAAATATTCCTAGTGTCGGCTTTGCTGCGCCCAGTTACAATAGAAAACAATGAAGGATAATTCCATCTAATTTGTATGTATGGCTGTTTAATGCGTGACAATACATCTCCATTGCCATTGCCGAGATAGAATACGGCGCAGCATGCTGTAAAACGTCTTCTCTAGAGATGATACAAAGGGTTAGGAGCTTAGTCTCGAATGCCAAGAGGAGGTGTATTCTCATTATGTATCTCCTGACTGAACTTCGTAAGAGCCTCAAACTTCGCCGTTCCTGAAGGTCGTTGGTTGGGAGTAGAGGCAGCGTTTGCCAACGTTGGGGCTAGACAAGCGCTCGCATGTCCAGAATATTGTGGGAGGACGCCTTGGATAGTTGTAGAGGATACTGTCCCGGGGATAATACCGGCATTGCTTTTGCTTTTGCGTAGCATACTCTGCCAAATTGCATTTCGCGTTTTACTAAATATTTTAGACTCATCAACGTTTGGAATTGCAAGTGCTCTCCTAGACGTACCTGGCAGTAGCAACTTTGCGTCTAATGTTGGGGACGACAGTGGCAACACCAGTCTCCAAGCTTTCCATTCCTTCTTTACCTATCGACCCATCACCAGTTTTACCAGTTTCATTCGAGAGATCGAGCACACTCGCCATGCATGAATCAGCTTTTGGGGAAGGTATACTAGATATGTCGGTTGCGGATGAGTCTCGTGCAGGTAAATATTCGGACTGCGTTGTTGCTTCCAAATGAGCAATATTCGCTCCGTGTCGCGGGCGCTTAAATGTATCAACAGAATCGACTTCTTGTTTCGCTGTCAGGCTTCCGGCCTTTACTGCGTTGTCACCGGCCAGACTTCCATGAGCTTCAACGGTTGGCTTACACCATGCATAATAGCCTTGGCTGTCAAAGCTTTGCATAACTGATGAGAGGTTATGGGGGGAGTTTCCCCAATACATATGACGTGCTCTCAGTTCCCCTTCAGTAAGCTCTCTATCATATTTGTACTGATAATGCGGGAGAATTGGGGGAGTGAAGTTGGATGGTAAGTGGCCAACTAGGTAGGGCATCATAGCTCGCTGATAGTTACCATGCTCTGCTAAGTCACCCTTGATCAGATCTAGACCAACAATTTGGTCCGTGTTATTCTCGAAAGAATCCTCGGTCGTACTTTGCCACACTTGGCCAGCCTGTGGACGAAATGGAGGTGCCATGGCTGCTTTCGAAGGTAAAGTAGAATACTTGCGGGCCACTGGGACTGATCTAACCTCGGGTTCTCCCTTTTCAGCCACAGTACTTTCTTTAGAAGACGAACGTCGATTTCGTAGCATATGATCATCAGTAGACGATCCACCCAGTTCATGGCGTCGGCTTTGTACTAAAGAAACTTTCTCAGACTGGTCTCGTTCCGATGGGTGACTTGGCTTTATAGAAGTAGCTGCTTTTTTGGACAAATCGGAGGACGAAATGGTTTCCTTGAGTTTTTCTTCCTTTGGATAATGAGATTCCTCAAAGATCCTTTGTGCTTCGAAATTCTGTTCAAACTGCTGTATCTGTTGACAAACCATCTTGGCTTGATGCTCAATCAACTTCTCGTCAATTTGATGTTTATTATACTGTAACTGATCTTCCAGATAACGGAGTGATGATCTCAGGACATCAATTTGCTTTTTTGTAATTTGACTTGGACGGATAGACGAAATAGGCGGTATGGAGTCTTTGATTGGCTGACTGTTGTCCGGGGAAGATAGAGTAGCCTCCGACTTTAACGGGGTTATGTCCTTCTCGGTTGTACTCAACGGGGATTCGACTGGTTGTACCTCAGGCTTTCTTTGAATTGATTGAGACTTCACCAAGTTTGGCGCAGCAAGGGGATGTTGCAAAAGTGGCTTTTCTTTCGGTAGAGTACTCCCGATTTTGGATTCCATAAGTGGCAGGCCGGTTCCATGGTACGAATGGATATCCAAACGACCGGTTTGGAGTGAATTATTCCTTAATTTTGCATTACTTGTATCCATTTCAATAGTCGTTGGATTGTTTTGACTCGTTGCCAGTCCATCTGTCGAGGGCGGCATCACTGGTGACGGGAACGGTGCGCATACTCCAAAGCCGAACGGCCATCCGGCCCAAGAAAACATGGCATCTGGTGGCAATCCGGGGCTAATAGCAGGTGAAAAGGTGTGGAATATTGGCGGTAGTGTGGCATAACCTGACATTTGAATTGGGACGCCTGAATATGGATGTGCCGCATGAGCAGTATCCCGATTAGCCGAACCAGTATCGGTTACGACCTTATCACGGTTCCATTTTCCGGTAGGTGAAGAACATCCCCGTGTATTTGGCACTATACGCCCACCAGCAGTCACCCTGACATGAGTTGGAGAGACGACGGCTTTGTAAAACCTTTGGAAGCCCTCACTCTTTTGAGCCGGCAGACCAGTCGGGGCAGAAATGGGTTCCAACTCAGCGTGCTCAGAATTAGAACGGCCACGGTACTGCCACTCGGAATCGGCTCCGTCCAACTGACGAACAGAAGTGTCTCTTTCCATGTTTGTAGCTTTGATCGAGCCTTCTGATGGATTCTGGGCGATGCGTGTGTCGAGAGAGACACGGAGGATGCCACCTTAGTCACGTTAGTCTGGGATTATGGGATGATCACGGGTTATGGGCTCCTCGTTTACCTAATGAGAAGTCTCTCTGCAGTGTTCTTTGAAGCCCTTTGTACACGGCTGCGGGTACTGGGCCGCCTTGCAAGCTCAAGAGCTTGTCTTTTTCGTAAGTGCATTTGCTCATAGTAGTACTAATGAAGTATCTGCAGCGTCAGGTAGGTTTTGAAACACTCCACTCAGTTCAAAGTGGTTGATTGTAGGAGAGAGCAAGATTCTTTGAAACGAAATTAAGGAGTCCAAGTGACGAAGAAGCGAGGATGATGATCGAAGCATCACAAAACTGCTCGCTTTCGGGAACGGGGAGCAAGTCTTAGAGGTGGACAAATCAAAGGAAGGTACGCCTTACTGTACAGATGAAGTAGGCAGCAACCAGTCATCAATTTAGCACACAATCTATAACCATACTTGGAAATGAGGCTGGTCGCAAGTAGTCGTTTAATTAACTAAGACCGATGTGGCGTCGGAGGGATTCGAAGATTATAGAAATGTTGCAGCGCACCAAGTATCCCCTCATTTGAACTATGAGATTTCTGACTAATTATCAAGAGCTACAATACATGCCGACTGACTGCCAGCTGGCAGCCAGTTGACATTCGCAGACCATAGTGCATCTGCTGGCCGGGGCAGGTCTGCTAGATCGGTGAAGCGTTGGGCCCACAGCCTGATCAAACTTCACGGTTGCGCTGGAGCGCCGTGCTCTACCTACATTACAATAACTACACATCAGTGGAGATTGCGGCCTGTATAGAATGCGAAAAGCACCTTCTGTTCGAATCGTTCACTTCAATGATGTGGTAAGCAAGCAGTACAAGATAATAGTGTCACAATACGTTAACCATGTGTCCAGTACCACGTAACCAACGAGCTTCTCATTTCCCGCTTTGCCAGCGTGTTGCACGCGCCGCATACTCTCCAGGATCCGAATCTAAAATCCGAGGAAGACATTCCAACCTTGCGTGTTTTCAGTGGAGATGCTTTTTCTCCATCATTAGAAGCTGCGGTGCTGAGAGGAGAGCATATGACAGACTTGCTAAACGCTCTCAATATCGACGTTGCTTGCTACGGGAACCATGACTTTGACTTTGGAGAAGACCGGCTATCGTATCTATCCAAACTTACAAATTTTCCATGGCTACTAAGGAATGCCCATAAAGATGGAGGCCTTCTTGCTGATGCGAAACCATTTGTAGTGAAGGAGGTTGCCGGTCACAGGTTTGGATTTTTCGGCCTAGCTGGAACGTAAGTACTCAATTATCCTCCTGTAAAGCAGTACAAACTTACAGGCTTACAAACTTACAGCGATTGGCCATCAAATTGCCAGCACTTGCCCGATTGCGAAATATCGAATCCTTCACTATGTGCCCGAAGTACAGCTCGCCAACTGCGCATTCAAGAACACTGTGACTTTGTTATAGCCGTGACGCATATGAGATATGAGGAAGACTTAACAATCCTTTCAGGGCCTGAAGATGGTCCGGAGAGGGTTGATTTTATTCTTGGTGGTCACGACCACAATATCCTCGTCTATCCATCAGACAACTGTGGCTCTGATACTGGTAGAGACGATCACGACCAAACAAGGCAACCTTGTACCACTACAGACTATCCAGGGTCCCTGAGATTGGTTAAAAGCGGTACAGATTGGCGATCGCTTTCTATCTTAGATTTACATATAGAACCAAAATCCAGCCAACACGACGTCGCCAAAATCGTGCAACAACGATGTACGTTTAAAGCAAGCCTATCCTTTTTCATTTTACTCACCTGACTAGTATTTCAAATTCATGACCTAGAATCGCATCCCAATTATCACGCTATTCAAGGTCATTCTACGATTCCGCCCATTCTCGCGGCGGTGCAAGAGCACGTGGCTCATCTAGTCACCAAACCTCTGTTCCGCACCGCAGTTGCCTTGGAAGGACGGTCTACCATTATCCGCAGCCGAGAGACAAATCTCGGCAACATGCTCGCGGACATAGTCCGTGCTTTCTATGACTGCGATATTGCACTGGTTAACAGTGGCTCTATACGCTGTGACAAAGTACTTGGGCCCAGCACAAACGGCCATCATCTCAGTATTCGTGATGCGATTGATATATTACCCTTTAACAACGCATTTGTCTTGAGAAGTGTTTCTGGCTCACAGCTTTTGCAAGCACTTGAAAACGCTGTGTCGGATGACCACACTGATGGGCGATTTCTACAAGTGTCTGGAATGCGGTTTGCATTTTCTTGGAGGCTCCCTAACAAGCGGCGAGTTACTAGAGCAAGCATTGTAGATGATTCCGGGATGGTGACCCCAATAATTCCAGGTGTTTCTTACAAGACAGCCATGGTAGACTTTATTGCGACAGGGTTCGACGGCTACTCCTGCTTCAAAGATACAACTGCCATTGTTGATGCCGAGGGAGCTGTGACCGACACCAAGCTACTCATGGAAATCCTTTCAAGCGACGACGACAACAGTGTAGCCTCGGATCAAACAGCTGCGAGCATAGAACGAGCGAGAAATGTTATAATTAGCAGATATCACGAAGATGGATTGCCGGAGGTGGAGCCTCAATGTGACAATCGAATCCACATAGAAGAGCATTAACGTATCGCAGCCTATGAACGCCGCTTCGTACTATCGTTGCATTTTACTACGTGTCTGTGCGTCGAGTCAGTAGACAGTGGGTAGGCAATAGCTTGCTCGCTGCTCAGCCTGCCGATGTCAACACGCTGGAAAAGGTGCGAAGAAAGGACGGGGCTTGTTGCAGTGGGATATAAATTGGTTTATTATTAAATAGACACCATGAGCATAATATAAAAGTTCCCCCGACTTTTGTTTTTACAAACCACAACCTGGAGCCGGCGTGGCGTGGTCATTCGTCGGTATATGTTAATCGAACTATACGCTTCCCCGAACCCAACCATACTACATTCTGGGTTGACTGTCGGTTAGTCCAGGATTGCGTGATATCGAACGATGGATGCCCTTTTTTGGCCAAGGTCGCATCCAAAAACGCAACGCTATCGGCGTTTGTTAGCTCCTCTCACAGGTGTTTCCCCGGCTGACATCTCCATTTTCCATCGCGCAAACACATGCTAAAAAAAATCAGCCCGGCCAAACCGGCCCTGTTGCTGCAAGGCACAGACGCCTGCGCTAACAATTGGTGGCTGATACACAGGCGCAATGCATGGTGAATAGACCAACACGGGTGCAATTTCCAGGGTTTATCCACATCTTCATGCACAATTTCTCAGAAGAGTGACATCGCCGAAGCAGCCCAAAGCAAGTATTTATACGGCCATGTCCAGGTGGATTGTAATGTTTGCCCACCATTCTGGCTGGCTTAGCAGCACCACCAGTAGTAGCCGTCATCCACCATGAAGATTTCCAGCATTGCTCGTTTCTTTGCTTCGGCGCTCTTCACAGGGGCAGCCATCGCAGCACCATCTCAAGAGATCAGATCTTCGGGTCCGGCCCCTCCCAGTCAAGACTCGTTTTACACGGTGCCTGACAACATCGCCACCTACGCCCCTGGCGCCATCATCAAACACCGCCAGCCACCGTCTGAGATTGCTGCGTTTGGTATTTCCAAGGTGAACCTGCAATCTACATATCAAATCCTCTACCGCACAACGGACAACCACGGCAATGCTACAGCGACAGTCGTCTCTGTTCTTGTCCCGCACAACGCCGACATGGGCAAGGTGCTGTCCTATCAAGTCGCCGAGGATGCAGCCTCTATTGACTGCGCCCCTTCATACGCCTTCCAGTTCCGGTCTGCTACCGGTCCTTTGCTCGGTACAATTGTTACGCAACTCGAGCTTCTATTGATTGAAGCCGCCTTGGAGCAGGGTTGGGTTGTTATTGTTCCTGATTTTCTGGGCCCCAAGGCATCCTATCTTGCCAACAAGCTAGCTGGCCATGCCACACTTGATGGCATCCGCGCCACCATCTCGTCCACCTCTTTTACGGGCGTCAGATCCGATCCCAATATCGTCATGTGGGGTTACTCTGGAGGCTCGGTCGCAACAAATTGGGCTGCCGAGCTGCAACCTACGTATGCGCCTGAGCTGCGCATCCTTGGAGCTGCTGTGGGTGGCACAGTGCCCAAGGTCAGCAGCGTCGTCAGGACCATCAACAAGGGCCCGCTGGCAGGCTTCATCCCCGCAGGCATCATGGGCATGATTTCTCAGTACCCCGAGTTGAGGGATATTATTGAGTCGCATTTGAAGCCATCGTACTCGGAAAAGTTCCACACTGTCCTGCACCAATGCCTGGCGGCGACTGCTGCTCGCTTTGCGTTTGACGACGTTCTCAGCGAGTTCACTGTGCCCAATCTCATCTTGACAGATCCCACAGCGACGCGCATTCTTAACGAGAACGATTTGGGACTCAACACTCCCGCCATTCCATTTTTCTGGTACAAATCCATCTTTGACGAGGTCTCTCCTATTGATGACACGGATGACCTGGTGGACTCTTACTGCAACCGTGGCGTGTCTATTGAGTACTGGCGCGATCTGCTCTCTGAGCACGGCGCTGCTGCAGCGACGGGTGCTCCCAAGGCTTTGTCGTGGTTAAAGGAGCGCCTGGATGGAAAGGCTCCGGCTACTGGCTGCAGCACAAAATCCAAGGCGAGCAGCCTGTTGGATCTTTCTACGGCAAAAATTCTGCCCAAGTTCATTTTAGATGCTGTTCTGGATCTGCTCGCCCATAAGCCTGTTGGTCCTCTTATTGGCTAATGCAAGGTGTGCAAAGGCGGCTGGTGCGGCCCATTAGAAAGACATGTTATCCTAGATATCATTCCTAATTCTAATCGATGACAACATAAATAGTGAACCACAATTAATTAAAAAAAAAAGAACTATGCATTAATAACTAAGCCCGTAAATTTTCCCTTCAACATAAAGGATAGCCATATTCATGCAGTGTTCGCAAAATTTCCTTTCTGGGAACTGCCGGACGGATAAAGCGGGGTTTCCTAAAGGGGAATTTTACGCGTGATGTAGCGTAGATTTGGTTAAAGTCCAGCCGGGATGCGGGGGAAATTAACACAAGGCGTCCATGGAAAACAGGCAAAACTCCACTGAAAGGAAGACGAAGAAGAAGAAATGGAAGAAATCCGCGCGTCGCTGGGACTTGCTTGCATTTGCTTGGCAAAAGACAAGCCCTCTTCCCTTTTGCCCCCCCAATCATGTGCTGACGCCCAGCAGTAGTAAGCCCATCACGGGCCTTGGCCGGTTCATGACTCTAGTCTATTGAGGCGGAATGTTTCCTTTAGCCAAGGCTCCCCAAGCCACAATAAACGAGGCATCAGCTGGCCCCCCGGAACAAAATGCACTCATCCTGTTATCTCTGGGGCATTTTCTTAAAAGGCGCTCGTTAGTGTCAAGCGAGACCGCAGCTGCTAGAGGGGCACAAGGTAAGGCGAAGTGGAGGAAAAGCAAGCCTCGTACGCCACGGCACCGGTTCAGCCGTCCGTAGTAAGCTCTAGTGCTTGCAGTATTTGTGCAAAATACCAGAGCTAGAGGCGTGTAGCTGAGAGCGAGGCTTAACACCGGCGGGCGCCATCCAAGGGCTGGACTCGACCGCTAGTTCCCTCATGGATCCATCAGATAGGGTCATGCTACGGGCCTGAAATTGTATTGTACTTAAAAGGCTCGTCATGCCCAGCCTTTACCAGTCTTGGGTGACATACACACGTTCACGTACTGCATCGCTGTAGCGGAACGCTCGGCACCACACTTTTACCATCAACAAGCTTTCTACAAACAACCGCCCCGCCCAAGTGACGTCGACTAAGCTAAACGCTCGTTCGTTGCAACCCTACTTCGGCATTGGGAGCAGATTGTAGCAGTCATCGGCCTGTTTTTTTTTACTCACGTTCTAAAGTGGTGCACAAAGTTTCACGTTTTTTAAAGCGTTACACCTGCTGCTACTACTTCTCCGCTTCATCTTCTCTTGCTGGATCTCTCTCTTGTCGCATCTCTGCCTGTACGGTCTCACGAATCAGGCTACGTCAACCTCGCACTCGTTCAGCAAGGCTCTCTTTTTTTTGGGTGACTTCATTTTGTTACAAGGCTTGCCAGCGTCGCAAAGCTCGAAGATGCCGCTGTTCCGCGAAAAGAAACGCCACGGCGTCTACACCATCCCGCATGCCAACTGGTCCTACAACAGCATTGCTTCGGACGACTCCAATGTCAGGCTGATCCGTGAGAAGCCTGCTAAGAAAACGACAAAACAGACCAAGCCTAGTGCTCCAGCTCCAGCGCCGGTACGGTCCGAGTCACCCGCAGAGCCGGCTCCAATCCGTGACCCCTACGAGGAGCTTGCGCGTGTGCTCCAGGCCGAATTCTACCGCCCGATGCACTGTGCCTACGACCTCTACGGTCCTCGATCGCGGTGTCTGATGGAGCCGGTCGACTACGAAGTCTATTCGGAGCTGTGGCAGCGTCTCAAGACCAAGATTATGAAGTCTCGGGAGCCCTCAGAATGACGACGTGAATTTCACACGAGCGCGCGTCTCTTTTTATGACATTTTTACGTTCTGAAGCTGGTTTAGGGGTTTGGTTTACAGGTTTACATGGAGCATTACAACGGCACGGATGCTTTTCTTTGCTTTGAGGGCAAAAGGGCCCATGCTACGACGCGGCGTTACAATTTGTTTTACCAGGTGTTATCGTCTTTTCAGGTTGTGGCATCTCAATAGCCCCTCCATAGTCGTTTTAGCGGGACTTTTATTTAATGCTATATTTCTTCTTCTGCAAGTCGCGCTTATCAATACAGCTACAGTTAACAGCACAAACGAAATTTACCCTTGTCCTCATACAAAGAACTTGTTGAGCTTCTGTACCAGATCCTGTTCATCATCGTTAAAGAGGTCCGTCAGATTTTGCTTCAGTCTGCTGCGTTGTTCGCAGTTCTGTCCTTGATTCTTCTGGGCCTGGTAATCTGTAAGATGCTGAAGAAACTTATTGTATCGGTCTTCGTCCAGCGTTGACTACTCTAGTGTTAGCGATCGTCTCTACGTCACAGCTGTGGATGTCATCGCACCTTGACCTGGTGCACAAATTCAAGCTGGTCCTTCATGTCATCCATCGTCATAGAAAATGACGCACAGGCGCCAGTAGCTGCAGTATACGCCATACTCTTCTTTTCTATCTGCTTGTTATTTTAGTGTTGATGCAAAAATGAAAATGAGGGGTCGAGGGGTAGCAAAGTTTGAGTCGAAAATGTTGCACCTGGCGCACCTGGTGGGTTTGCGTCATAGCGCTACAGCCTTGTTCTGAAGGTAGCACAACAAGCTTTACTAGTAGAACGCACCACTCTTCAGTTTTCTTCAACTTGCATTTTCATCAACGCATAGTCATAAGCTAAATAACAAAAACAAAAACAAAAATTCTGGTCCCGCGGTTAAAAAGAATGTCCTGCATCGCTATAATTCTCCGGCCATGGGAGTTCTCGGCTTCAAGCCGGCACATATAAACTTGGTTCCAACACACAAAACGCCTCGCTCGTCAAAATATCACTTTTCCCTTCGATACCTCAAGCATCTCCCTTTTTCGCCGAATACAGGGGCATGTAGCGGTGCCCTGTCATACCAAGTCTTGCCCTGCGCTTTTTGATCATCTTCCAGATGGTGCTTACAGCAAGAGCTAGAGCTCCAGTCGATACCAGGGTACAACAGACGATGCCCTTGATGGCAGTACGACGTTTGCGCTCCATGACGAGAGCAGGTGCTCTATTGCGTAGCAAAACATCCTTGGACCATCCCAGAACAGAACCGCCCTCACCAAGCGCCGTCACTCTGATCATCGGCCCGGCCGACACAGGCAGCTTCACGCGGGTTTCAAACCCGTCACTTCCAAGCACTTCATGCAACTGATAGCCAGTCCATTTGCTGCCTGTCCAGCTCGCGGATTCCAGCTTCCACGAAATCACATCCGTCGCTCCGTTCCAGCTCACATATACCGCATCTTGCTCTTCAGCATCTGCGTCATCCACTACCACATCGGGCACAGTCTGCGGACGACCTTTCCAAGGGAACTTGTACGCACGGTAATTCTGTACCCAACCGCTTCTAAGAGGGCCGAATCGAGTGTCACAGAGCAGCTCGCCTTCAGCAGAGTATTCCGTCACCACCGGCACAGTTCCCCAGCCAACAAGGACATTGCCGCTGTCAAGAACTTGCACGGATCCTCGCGACGCCGACAGTGCCATGTGCTCCGGTGCCTTGTATTCCTGTACAAGCATCGCTGTTCTTGTACTAACATCGACAGCAAGCATCTTGGCGCTATGACTTCCTTGGTCAAATAACGTTATGATACCGTCCGACGACCATTTGGCATGGTGATTACGTCGAAACTGTGTCGCAGCACCGCCTGATAAGTCCGCAAAGTCGTTCTTGGCTCCGCCCAGTCGCCAGCGAATTGAACCATCTGTCTGACTTACAGAAAGCACAGTGTCAAGATGATGCGCTGAGACAAGGTAGTCGTTCTCAGGGCCGCGTTGCACGCTGTCAATATGGAAAAAGTCAAAGGGCAGGTCGCTTGGTGACGGCTTCGCCATGCTCTCTTCAACCTTGATATGGTCAGATGCTCTCCACTCGAACACAAGCTCGCCTGTCGACAAATCGACCTCTTGGAAAATGCTATCAAGGATGCGTCCATTGGGAATGCCAAACGCTGACAGGTCTGCTTCCTTTTGTTGATATATCGTAAAAAGTGCGGTATTGTTATCGGTCAGTTCAAACTCATGGAAGTCGCCCGATAACTTTCCTACTGGCCGAATCTCTCTCACTAGTCGGTATGAGTCGTCCAGCTTTTCGTCGTGTTAGTTGATCACAGCACGCCATCATACACCATTTTAGGCGACTTACAATCACATATGAGCCATTTCCTGACTTCCAACCATCTTCACCATGCCAAAATGTAATGTATGGCTTCCCCATGTACATTTGCACTCGGAAATCCGTCGCCTTGCCCCAGAAGAGCTCCATCCAAACAATCTCGCCCTCAGCGTCTAGAAGCATCGGTCCAGGCATATCAACGAGCTCTCCTCGCGGTGCAATAAACATGTGGCCCTTATCACAGCGGTCATCTACTTTTGTGAGGCTCGGCCTTACCGCCCGACCCTCGACTGTGACAAACTCGCGCTGAGGATACGAGCCATACCACCCAACGTCGTAGAGCCGGCTGCGTATGGTGCTGCCCGAGATGGCGCCATGGTATTTTGAAATAGATGGCGGTTGTGAAATAAACGAGGCTATTGTGCCTTGACAAAGCAATAAAATGTTAATGAGCTTTACCATCGCGATGATGGCCTTATAAGTCGCGTTTAAGTGAACCAGCGCATGGAACGACGAAACCAGGTTAAACAGAAAGGACTGACTGAAAACGACAAAGAAAAAGAGTGAAAATGAGTGAAGGGCCTAAAAATCAATTAAGCGGGATCAATTAAGAAGGGAAATTAAAACTACTTTAAACCATCATACCCGCGTAGCATCAACCCATGGACCCAAGTCGTGACGGACGGTTCCTCATTCCAGCGCGCCCATCACCAAAACGTCCCACCAACGTTAAGGTGAACCGGTGTCTCAGTTGCTCCAGTGCACCGCGGCTGTAGTGCAAATCGCGACCGTAATTGCCTGAATACAGAGCTCACGCATTTTCGGCTAGCCTTGCGCATTTCATTGACTGTAGACCCATTGGCTGGCGCGTCCTTGCTGGATTGCGGGACGCTCCAAGATATACCCTTTTCAACAAACGCATCGCCGGCTTTAAGTAAAGAAGACACATAAGGCTTCCGTTGCGACTTTTAATGCATCTTTTCACGTAAACGACTAGGTGGGTGATAGTAAAGTAGTTACATACATATATTACATACAATGAAAGGGTTCTAATATAGTGTACAAGCAAACAGAGCAGCACCAGGGCTGCCGTCTCCCGCCTTTTTTGGCATGCATCTCCTGTCCGTTCCGATTTATTGTTTAAATCTTGCCCAAGAGTCTGTCCATCTCCTTGTTGCGGCCAAGGCCTCCAGAGCCGGTAGATGGCAGGCCTCTCTTGGCCAACTCCTCCTCGATGACCTTCCATCGGCCAACGGCAACCTCCTTGTCGATTGTTGTAATTCGGCGGCTGTGCAGCGACACATTGGCGAGGTTGTCCAGTCTGCCAGTCAGTTCAAGCTCCTCAGCGAGGCTCTTAGGCTTGGGTGCCTTTGTCGCAAGGACCAAAATGTCGTTAATCGTCTTCGCCGCGCCAAGCTTCGCGTCGGGAATGGGCTTGCCGGTTAATTGGTAGAGACGCTTGTTAATCTGCATGTAAACTGTCAGCACGTATTCCACATCAGACCAAGCGTTCAATGATTCAAACATACCGCAAACTTTGTCTGCTCGTTGAGTTGTGTCTGCTTCCACGAAGCGTCCCAACCAGCGACAAGCTGCTCTGCTTCCTCCACGGAGACGCGCTCAACAACTGCATCTTCTACATCGCTCGTAATGTTATCAGCAATGGCAGCGGCATCTCCCTTGATTGAGGCTACACCGTCCTGAACAGTAATCTCTGCGGCCAAAGTGGAATCCAGATCAGCACGCGATCCCTCGCGCCACTTCTGTGTAGCCCACTCGGACAAAGCGCCAGTCTCTTGAAGAGCCAGCACTTCAACAAAGGCTCGTCGAAGATACACCTCAACAGGCGCACCTTCAACCACCTTCTCAGCGCTGGCAAAGGCTCGGAATATGCTCTCTTCGCCCCAGTTTCCAGGTTGATCCCACCACTGCTTCAGCGTGGGGATATCTTCGAGGCCGTCAACTGTCGTCGCAGGCACATATGTAGGCTCCAGGCCGGCAACATCGCGCTCGGCCGTGGCTTCGGTTCGCTGCGGCGGCAGAGCAATGCTAGAGTCGAGCAGAGCTTCGGGCAACTCTTCGTAGTTGACTTCGAGTGCCTCGTCGGGGAGATTTGACGTCTCCTCAGGCTCCGGACGTTGTGTGTAGGGATCGGCAGCACCAGGGGCTTCGCCCTTCCAGAGCTTCTTGCGCAGCCACTCGGTATTCTTGCTGCGAGCAACGCATGTCGACGAGATGGCTCGCCTCGTGACGGCGAACGAGGGTCGTGCAGTCGAGGGGATGGCGGACTGTGAGAGGGCGAGGTGCAAGGACGAGAGTCTCTGCACCCTGTGTATTCGCGGCATGGCAGGATTCATGCTTGCAAAATCGCAAAAAATAATCCAATTGCGGTGATGAAGCGAGTCGTTGTCGTGGTGGTTGAAGGGCCCAGGAGAGTGGAAAAGGGACTTTTTTCCTACTGAGCGCACAAGGCCTGGCCAACCAGAGCACGCGACGGCAGACCCACCTCCAAGACTCTCCAACGGGACACCTTGGACCAGGCGACATCGTCACTTCTTACAAAGCTTCGCTCTCTGTCAGCACACGGAAGAAATAAAATCGAAAATATGGCGCGGATACATGTCTGGATTCTCCTCGTGGGAATTCTGGTATCGCTCGCATCAGCGGGTACGAAACAGCCCCACGGTTCCCTTGTTGCTGCAGCCCTCAGCTAACCTCCCTGCTCTGTAGGCGCCCCTACATTTTGTAAATGCACATGCTTTAAAAATAGCACGATTATTGCCCTTGGGCCGCAACATCAAACCGAATCTCGATCCTTGCCGCTATCCGATCCAGTATCGCTAGGTTCAGCAGACGCTGGCCTCAATGCTCGAACGCCATCGACATCATGCTCAGATTGCACCAAAGCCTTTTGTCTGAATCAGGGTCTCGCGATTTGCAAGAAAGCGACCGAGGAGGATGTCTTCACTCTTTGTTTCCAGCGCGACAGTAATAAGGATAAGATTATGGTTTGGGGCTTCATTATCGGCACGCTCGGCCTGCTTGGATATGCTGCGTTCAAAAGAGTGTTGGAACACCGCGAAGGCAGGGCCTCTACACTGCAGGCAGGTGTTGGCTATGCTCCAGTAGCAGTTCAATGATGTTAATGTATATTTATCGGTTGCACGGCGTTCGGTTAAAGATTTACAAGATTTGTTAGAGGACTCCTTTTTTTAATGAAGAGGGTGGTATAAAATTGACACAAGAAAGTCGTTATGTTTGCTCATTCAAAAAGACACAAATGCCCTATGATTCTATACCCGAAACATCCCATCGACAGATACAAACCCCTCCAACTGTCGGGGCCAAATGCTCATTTTAGACGTCAACTTTTGTCTTCTTTTTCTCATTACCCAGGTCGGCACCGCCACCCGCTGCGCTTCAAAATCCCGGAAATTGGGATTCTCACGTAAAATAGTACACCGCTTAGTCCTCTTCAATAGAAGTGACCTGAGCGTCTTCATTGGGGGAGTCGCCGTTGATGGCTCTGCGAGCGCGAACAGCGTCGGCAAGGTCCTCAAGAACAGTGACAGTGGTCTCCCAGTTAACACAGGCATCAGTAATACTGACACCGCGCTTGAGGCCAGCAGGGCCTTCAGCAGGGACCTTTTGGTTGCCCTCGTTGATGTTGGACTCAATCATGACACCAATGATAGCCTTCTCGCCCTCACGGAGTTGGTCACCAACCACCTTGGAAACCTTGGGCTGGTTGTTGTGGTTCTTTTGAGAGTTGCCTAGTAGTTTTGTTAGTTTACATATGATTCATTCAAAATATTTAGAGCATATAAAGCTTACCATGCGAGCAGTCAATCATGATAGCGCTCTTCTGGCCCTTGTCCTGGAGGGTCTTCTTCGCAGCCTGGACGCTCTCCTTGTCAAAGTTGGGGCCGCGAGTTCCACCACGGAGGATAACGAAACCATGGGGGTTACCCTTTGTGCGTGTGATGGCAGCAAGACCCTGCTTTGTTACACCGAGGAAGTGGTGCTTAGAGGAGGCAGCGCCGATGGCATCAATGGCGACGCCGAGGTTGCCATCAGTGCCGTTCTTGAAGCCAACGGGGAAAGAAAGGCCAGAGGCAAGCTCACGGTGCAGCTGGGACTCGGTAGTGCGGGCACCAATAGCACCGACGGAAATGCAGTCGGCCAAGAACTGAGGAGAGATGGTATCAAGCATCTCGCTAGCAATGGGCATGCCAGCGGTGGTAAGGTCGACAAAGAGCTGGCGCGACACACGCAGACCCTTGTTGATCTGGAAAGAAGAGTCGATATCGGGGTCGTTGATCAGACCCTTCCAGCCGACAGTAGTTCTAGGCTTCTCCAAGTAGGCGCGCATAACAATGCAGAGATCGTCGCCGAGCTTGTCAGCGAGAACCTTGAGCTTAGCGGCGTACTCGTGGGCAGCTTCGGGGTCGTGGATGGAGCAGGGACCGACGACAACGAGCAGACGGTCGCTGCGGCCCATGATGATATCGGCGGCGTCATTTCTTCCCTTGATCACTGTGTCGACAGCCTTTTGCGTCATGGGAATCTCCGCAGTGAGCAAGGCGGGGGGGATGAGGGGATCCTGGCCGAGGACTAGGCCGGTGTTAGTGGGAGAGTTCTCATCAATCGGTTGCGATTTCCAGGCAATCCTGCTACGGCTAGAGGAAAGACTCTGGAGTTGCTTGATTTGGCGGTGAAGGTTTCGCGAGAGCACGATGCTCTGCTTGCAGGCGGAAACGAGCATAAAAGAAAGAGGCATTGTTGCGATGCAAAAGACTTACCGCGAACGTCGTCAGCCTGGAGAGCAGAAGCATCAGGCGTGGACATGATTGCAATTTTATGGACGATGGGCTGAGGATGAAAGTCGGTTGCTTGATAAATTTGGCGAGGTTGAAGTTCAAGACAAACTTCAACGCTTCACGTAAAGAAATGACACACAGGCACTTGGCCGCAATCGGAAGTGGTACTGAGATGAAGGTACCTGCTTGGCAGGAGGAGGCGTTCTGTTTCGGGCGCTTACGGGTTTTGGACAGGAGAGACTCTGGGGTAGCTGAGGCGATTGGCTTGGGAAAAAATATCGTGAGAATTAATTAGTGGCAGAAACGTACGATGCATCTACGTTAAAACAGAGGCTTTTGCCGTCTTGGTGACTCAGGCTTGTAGCAAAAATCGGAACCCTCCAATTTTTTTCCCTCTTTATCTCGTTATCTCGCCTAGCAGCCAGTAATTGGCAGCCGCTGTTTGGTGGAAAGTCTATGTTTGGCGGGCCTGTAGCAGGAAAAGTGGACAGCTACCGACGTCACAAGCCAAAAAATTTACAGTGCATGTACAAGCGCTACCGGCCGTCGGGGATTTCGAGACTTTGGTACTAAACGAAGCTGTCAATCTAGCAGTCAAGCTGAGAGTATTGTTTCATTGGTAGCAATGGGCCACGGTTCCTAGGGGCCTCGTCTGGTTGGCAGGGCTTGGGCAGCTTGCCGGAAGCAAACTGCATGCTTCCCGGGCTGAGTCTCGAATCCGAGACATCGTCTTGTCAGCGGTCAACCGTAGTAATTCTGCTTGGTCAAGTTGCCTGGGTGGTCGCTCAACTCGCATCTCCCGATTTGGTCCCTTTTTGTGCCTCTAATGGTATGACTGCGGCAGCATTGGCTGCTGTGACATGGTTGTATCGGGGTGCTCGCTGACGTATAAGAGGGTGTTGGTGGGTGGCATGCTAGAGGTGGTAGCTGGCGACGTGAAAGGGAATGATTAGCCAGCATCGATGCGGTCCCATGCCATGTAACAGAACTAGAATAGCCAAATAAAGATAGTATGAGATATTCCTGGCACGTCAGTTCGCATTAAATGGAGACCATTGTTTTTATAGGAATTTTGCTGCTATTCTTTGCTTCACGCCTATAAGACTTCAGGGTAGGCCCACAGCCAATGCTTCGAAGCGAGAGACAAGTTTGTCGCAATTGCCACAATGATATGGCATTTTGCTTGGAAAGCCCCGTGTTATGACTGTGAGCCCACCGAGGGATATTACAATGGCCCTTTGCTCTAAATAAACGGCAACGCGCTGCCGTGAGCGAAGCTACCACGGCGGTCATGTGAAATGAAGAGCCATCAACCTATGCAACAACTCTATACCCGATTCAATCGAGCCAAATTGCATCATGGAGAGTCGCAACGTCAAAGTACAACTTTGTACCTGGAGTACCCGCACAGGTATCGAGGTGCTGTAACATAATCTGCCCATAGCGAAACAGTGTTGTGTTGAGCCAGAGCGCGTTACCCCTGCCGCGCACCACCCGTTGCCGTCCCGCGCCGGCGCTACGCCAGGGACTCCAGTACAGCGGTGGTGCATACGCTGAAGCCACAGGGCCAACGTCACGCCTGGGGCCGGGCGCCAGTTGGCTTTCCTTGCGTGCACAAACTTACCAAGGTCCCTTCCCCAGCCACACCCTGGCCGCATCCACCAATCAGGTGCTTGCACCCGCCACATAAAGACGCAGTCGGACGATGTCTGCCCCCACCTTTTTTCCGCTTACGGCCAGCCGCTTTTGCTTTTGCACCGCTCTGACTGCCTGGGGCGCTCGCCGCACTGCCTGGTCTCCTCCTCCTTCGTCCTTTTGCTCGTCCGCTGTTTCAGACATCCCGCCAGATTCATAACACTCCGTCCATCCTCTTTGTTTCCTTTCTTCCCACACAATCTCCACCTGCTCCCGCGGAACTATCGCTCCTCATTACTATCGGCAACTGTATTTTATTTTCTCCTTTGTAATAGCACCACACGACCGACGTCGTCTTTGTACACCCTTTATCCGACTTCGCTGTGCCTGGTGCACAGAAGAGACCGAACACAGACGTCACCGCCGATTATCGAGGCCTACCTTCGCATTTCCCGACACGGCGTCATCTGCCAGCGCCGAGCCTAAATATATATACACTGTAATTTATACTCACCACCACTGCCGCACACAATGTTTGCCACACAACACCACATGGATCTCAGCCTAGACACCCGCAAGCGACAACGGGATGACCCTGACGTTGGCCCGACTTCAACCAGCTTTGCTGAGCACCGCAACGTAAGTTTTGACCCGATTCTGATTAAAGGCCATCAATAATACTAACGCCATGTAGAAACGAGTGCAATGCCTCCCTCTACGAACATCGTCCAGCCAAATGCCCGAGCAATGGCCGCCCGCTACCGAAACACATGTCAATGGCGTTCAGCCGGATCAATCGGTGCCTCGCTCGCATGCTGCAACATGGCCTGCAGACTGTATGCAAACATCACAAGATTGTGGGTTAGAGACGGCGGATGCAATGGAAACTGCCAACTCGACGTCATTTGATCGCACAGAATCGTCATCCTACGACGCTTCGGGACGCATGCCGACCCCTATCCAAGCAAACTTCTCTACCAACCTGCGTGCTACGGGTCAATACTGGGCTGAGGTGGCTGGCCGTAATGGCCTGGTCAATATGGGCCATCAGCAGACAAGCCTTACCCAAAACTCTGACGGCACATGGCAAACCGTGCAACACAACCACACACTACCTTCACCAATCTCGGAAAACGACAACGCATCTCCAGATCAGGCCCACATGGTCATTGATGGTTGCCAGGCGCATTCGACGCAATATCCCGAGATGCAGCACTCCAATGCCATGATGGATGTCGAGAGGCTGCCCATTCCGGAAGAGGTCGGCGACGTTGCTTCGCCTAGCCCTCCTCGCAAAAGCCACACGCGCAACCTTCACACTGTCAACAGTTGGACGTGGCAACCAGGAATGAAGAAGAGCTTCAGCATTGGCTTCCGCGCTGACTGTGACAAGTGCCGGGATAAAGTTCCTGGCCACTTCAACCACATTGTCATCTCGTAGACTATGTGTCGAAGGCTATCCCTCAATATTTTGCTGCTGATGTAGCACACGCCATTCTTTACGCCTAATACGCGATTTCCTTTTCTGTCAAACAATTATGCATTCTTATAGACCGGAGCGATGGGACTTTACACTTTGATATTTTTTTGATTTTACACAGGCTTGGCTTTCTTTCTTGTACAAATACCCAACTGCAGCCTACACACTCTTTTCTTCTACCAACGTTAATTACTTTTCGCTATCTTCACCCTGTGGGTGGAAGAACTACATTTTGCACTTTTTCGACAGCTTTGATACTTTCTGAGAAGGATAATACTAGGAGGCGTTTTTACTCTTTTCGTTATATATACAATGACAGGCTCACTAGAGCTATAATTAAATTGATTCGGGTTAACCTCGCATATGATTGTTTTTGATAATGAGAGTTGTATTGAGGTGATTTTTAAATGATGTTCGCATTGTACCACAGGTAGTAGCTCGTACTCAGTACAATAGTTTGGCCAGGGGATGAAAAGTATCCCCAGAGCATGCTTAATGAACAAGAAAAGAACCAGAAAAAAAAAAGAAAACTCCTAGGCGCCATCTAAATGCTCCCACCCAAAGAACTTATGATACAACATATGTCTGCTCTCCCTCCCCCGCAGATAAATATTTCAACAGCCATTTTAGTCCTCCACACCCTTCTGCGTATATATCATGTACAATGTTGATCAGATTTTCTTTCTCGATGCCAATTTTGCAATCTACCATGGCCACCAGCTCTTCTTGGCGGGCTGAGCGGCGCCAGCTGTGGCAAGGCCAAGCTGGTCAAGGCTACCGCCTCGACGCTGGTTCTCAAGCTCGCGGTCCCATGCTTGCTGAGCGTTGTTCTGAACAGCAACACTGGCAGACTCAACAGCTGCGGGAACGCTCTTTGCAGATCTTTCCTCCTGCTTGCTACCACCAAAGAGACCAGAGAAGATGCCGAGGACGCCCTTGCCAGCAGCCTGGTTGACGGCATCAGCGGAACCTTGGAAAGCCGACTGAACGTGTTCTTCGAAATGGGTTCGGTGCTCAGCAGGTGCCATCAGAGGAGGCAGCTTGACGCCCTTGGCCTCGGCCTCAAGGTTGGCGGCCTCAACGAGAGCAACCTGTTCGGGGGTCGCCTTGTCCTTGAGATAGGCGATACGGGCGACGGCGAGTTCATCGTTTTCGAGCTTGCGCTGGGTTTCGTTCCACTCGTTGCGACGAGCGCGGTTGTAACGGAGCATGTCCCATACCGAGTATATACTGACAATGGCGGCGACGACTAAAGAGTACGTATGTTAGCTGACAGTTGCTTTCTGACAGACGAAAGAAAGTCTTACCAGTGAAGAGGACGAGACCACCAACAGTCCACTTATGGGCGACGTCGAAGAATCGTCTCGAGGCATCGATGATTTTATCCGTTTGGCTGATCTGGGCTCGCTGCGCAGCCAAATGCGCCATTCTCAGGCGCTGGACGCGCTGCTCGGGGGTTTCGCCGGGAACACGGGAGGACTGCTTTGCAGCGGCAGCAGCATTCTGGGCTGGGCTAGCCTTGGGAACTGCAGCAGAGGTAGCAGCCTTGGAGGCAGCGTGAGGAATTGTCGATGTAAATCGCGTTGCGTCCTTGACGGAGCGAGGGCCGACCTTGGAAGCCATTGTTGGATCGGTTCGCACGGACTGCGGCGGATGAGGATTTTCGAATATTAAAAAGGGTATAGTTTTGAAGAGGAGCGATTAAAGAACAGTATAATGCAAGTAAATGTAGTTTTGCGATGCTGCCCTCGCAATGAGATGCGCCTTGACTAAGGAGACTTTTTTCGCCAACGTTGGAAATTGGCTCCAAAATCTTTTGGCGAAGCTGTCGGGGGGCGAATTGGTGGGTCGCGATTGGACACGGAGTAATGCCGGCCTGAGCAGCGAAAGGGGCCTTGTGATTTTGGCTTCAGATCAGAAATGGAAGAGAGGACTGTAAAAATAGTTGGCATTTTGATTTTAGAATCTAGGACTACAAGCTATCGTATTATTCGATTGATATGCTTAACTACGATATGAGTGGTGTGGCGACTTCAATTGCAAACCAAGGCGAACTCTGACGCTTTGCTGGACACGACGCGGACGTTGGGTTCGATGTATGACAGATGAATCACTGGCAATTGCAATTGACAATGATGACTGGTAGAGTTATTAAATGTCTAGATATTTATTACGAGGCATTGTGGTGAATCTGTCTTGTGTGCTGTCACTACACAACGGGTGAAGGCGCAAACCGCCGGTTGACGCGTCGTGATGTCGAGTTACACGTCGCTTGTTTTCATTGTATCGGCATATCGGGATCATTCCTTTGATGAGCATCAATTATTTATCGTTACAAGCTTATTTCATCTGGGTTACTTCACTATTCTTGTTTACGTTTCCATCGCTACTACAGCCTCTAGTCTTCTTCATGACACTGTCAAGCAGCATACACAATGAAAACAAAGCGGTGGAAGAAAACAAAAATTACGCCCCCTATGGCCCCGAAGGACAATAGAGTGCAGGGCGACACCACGATGTGCAATGCAGGCCTCCCACACTGAAACCCCCAAATGTTGAGCTGGGAAGTTCGGAACAAGGTAAGTATGAAGAAGAAAGGAAAAGAAAAAGCCTAAAGACAGGTGAAGCTGGACGGGTAATTTATAGCTGTTGTCACAGAGTGGCAGCCTGGCGCCAATCAGCGTTCAGGCAACAACTTGGGGCGAGAGTCGCACATAAGATCACGTGATATGTCTGCATTGGGACGCATCCAATTTCAACCCCCTTCGCTTCGTTTGCTCGTTTTGTGGGCCCACGCACAGAAAGCGCAGCGGAGCCAGCGGTGCACACAAAACTTGTATAGGCCAACCCAGACCCCACCTTTTGGTACGTACCAGTTTTTTTCTTGTAGGGCACGAAAACCCTTCCGACAAATTCGTGCAAGGAAGACCGCTCTCCATCTTCAGGTTTGACCTACAACGCCTCTCATTCTATCACGACAACACAGATCGGTTGATCGCAGGCAGACACAATGGTACGAGAATCCCGAATATGCAGGCGATTCTGTCGTCTTAAATATATCAAGCGTCCGAATTGCTAACTTTTGTTTCCCTCCAGGCGATCAAGCACAACCAAAAGATCGTTAACAACCGTGAGCACCAACCCAACCCCCAATCCAAGACGACGACCTTTGCGACCCGAACAAGGACTCGACTTGAAATAATTACCTACGAACAAATCGACTGACCAGAATGAAATTATAGATCTCCGCAAGGATTGGCAACGCCGGGTTCGCACCCACTTCGACCAGGTATGCGACTTTTGCATGTCCCCAGGATATTTTTTTTTCAAGCGTTGAACGGAACATCAAATTGCGATGGAACGCACGCCTACGAAAACTTCCTGAGGACTACTTTGCCCCCGTCATGAGGAAATGGTTTATTAACAGTTGGATTCTACAGGCTGGCAAGAAGGCTTCCCGCAGAGTCGCTCGTCAGGCCAAGGCTGCTGCCGCTGCCCCCCGCCCCGTCGACAAGCTTCGCCCTATCGTCCGATGCCCTACCATCAAGTACAACCGCAAGGTCCGTGCTGGCCGTGGTTTCACCCTCACTGAGCTCAAGGTACGAATTTTCAGCGCAGACATGGCATCACGATGAGAGACCGGCCCTCGTTCCTCGCTCCACGATGTCCGTGTCTTCAGCACCTACAGACTACTAACAACTTCTCTACAGGAGGCCGGTATCCCCCGTCTCGTTGCTCCCACCATCGGTATCTCCGTCGACTTCCGCCGCCAGAACCTCTCCGAGGAGGGTCTTGCCCTGAACGTCGCCCGCCTCAAGGCCTACAAGGAGCGTCTCATTCTCCTCCCCCGCAAGTCCAACGCCCCCAAGAAGGGTGACACCAAGACCGACGCCTCCAAGCTCGCCCAGACTTCCATCTCCTCCGTTCTCCCCATCACTCAGCTCGACCGCGCCGTCAAGGAGATCAAGAAGGCTGACATGCCTGCTGAGGTTGAGGGTGGTGCTTACCGCGCCCTCCGCAACGCTCGCGCCATTGCCCGCTACGCCGGTGCCCGCGAGAAGCGTGCGAAGGATGCGGCTGAGGCCGAGGCTGCCAAGAAATAAGTGTAAATCAATTATTTTTGGTGATCGGTATGAAGCGGAATGGATACGCATGGGATGGCAAGATGGGATGAAAAAATCAAACATCTGGTGTTTTGAGGGTTTTTGTTTGCTCTTTGCGTATTGCCTGCTTCCAAGGGAGCGGCGTACAGTACTTGACCCGGTTCAGGAGCAGAGTACCTCTAGTTCCAGGTTTAAGAATTATTTGCATGACCAAAAAACATTTTCTAAATTCAAACTACGTGCCCCAATCTGATCATGTCAACCAATCTAAACAGTATATGCAAGCAGGTGTCCCACATTTCTAGTAAAGAATGGATATTATCTAACGGCAAGTTTATGTATTAACAACCTCTGTCTAAGTTGTATAGCATGCTATCTATTGTTTGGCTTTGTATGCAGCCACCAACTCCGTGCCTTCTTTTACAAGCACTTGAATCTCGCTCTTATCCAAGCCTACAAATTCTTCCTTCTTCCAATTATTTTCCAACTCAGTGCACATAACCAGCGCATTTTCCTGATCAACAGGCCCGGTATCTGCCTTGGGACCAGCAGGCACTTGTTGAGGCCCCAGTCCAAGACTTTGAGGCGTAGCCAACTCTCCCTTATTTTCGCCATCTGCTTCATCGGTTACATCCTGTACTATCTCGGAGGATGGCTTGCACCCAGTAATTGTTGTGCTCAACACTGCTAGTGCGCCGTCTTGCTTCAAAACGTCTGCCACCACCAGAGCACCGTCAGCTGATCGAGCCATTAGAGCAAAGACGAACCATGCTTCTGAGCGCAGGACAGGCCACTTGTCTTGCGTAATTAAGAATGCAAGTAGCTTTATAATACCAGTATGGCTTTGGTAAAACGCATGCCTCAACAGGCTGTCTTCATTGCCGCTAGTGGTGATGCTCTCAACTAAGTCTTTGTTATCTGTGACCGATGATGAACTCGACAGCATCTCCTTCACAGGGAGTGAGTGTAGTCCGCGGCAAATAGTACCCGCCGAACGAGCGGCTTCCATCTTGGTAGGCTCAGCATCAGAGCGACCAAATAGAGCGACGGCAGTCTCTAGAGGTGTTTCACCACTCTGTCCTCTGCGACACATCTTGGCAATATTTTCTGCGCAGTTGAGAAGTAGTAATCTCGTTAAAGATATGGCGGCAAATTGCACTTGGGGAACTGTGTCCAAAGCGTAAATGCGTGGCAATCCATTAGGTTCAAGAAGGCCTGAGAGCTTCGCTTTATTCTGTGCAGGGATGGCAAGGTTCTTCAGAAAAGACATGCTGGCATGAAGAAGTTGTCCATCACGAGTAGAGGAATTAGTCAAAATATCGACGAGGGCCTCATGAGCGTTGTACTTGGAAACCAGAGCAGTGGAGGCTTCGTCTGACCGGGAGAGGTTGCCCAGAGCTAGGCATGCTGCTGCCCGTAGCATGGGTAGGTCATGGTGTAGCCACGCGAGAAATGTCTGACTGACTGCAGACTCCAAGTTGTGAGACTCGGAGAAGCTGTCCTGTGAAGTAATATCTGCCAGTACATTCATCAAGGAAGTGTTGAGTTGCTTGAGCGCTTCAGCGGAGTCTTCCTCCTCCTCCTCGATCTTAAAGTTGGTTTGTGCGTGGTAAAAGGCTTCGAGAAACAAGTCTAGCTCAGGGTCGGCGATTGGATGTGCTTTTGATTCGTCTTCAGTGGCTAGATATGCCAATGCAACAGAAACAACTGACGAAAACTCCTCGCCATCGTCTCGAGTCTCCGCTCCAAGGGCAAGCTTGAGCAAAACATTAGCAGCCTGGCTATCCTCCTCACTGGCAGATGATGGAGATGGTTGCTGTCCGACAACCAGGGCCAGAATCTTGCAGACATAGGGCACAACCGGCATATAGGATTTGATGGTGGAAGCGGAGAGTAGTTTGAGGAGTCTAGCACTAAGACCAGATTCTGACGCAAGCTTTTGAGCAGGCTCTATGCGTTTGTTAGCCTATTGTATGAAGAAAAGAGAAACCGTGTAACTATACCATAATCAATCATGATGTTATATAAGACTGGGACAGCAAATTTGACGAGATTAAGGTCGTCCAGCTGCTTGGCTATGTTGGAGAGCTTGTTGCCATCGACCACTCGTGCACGATTGGAGTCCGTGTCTGCACATGAATTTCCAGAGATGCGAAGCGCTTGAGTCTTCAGAGTGGTACTGCTGCTATCCTCTCCGAGGATGTCCAAGAAGAAGGCGAGGATTCCAGATTCACCGTACGGCTTTCGCCAATTGACTAGAGGGTATCAGTCTATGAATTACATCCGTAGCTTTTATAGAGGTACATACCGGTTCTGCTTCCATCCCCCAACTTCTCTGCAAGAATCTCTAGGTCTGGCGAAGCTGTGTCCTTTGCAGTATTGCAAGCTTCAAGGACATCCTTAAGCAATGCCACGCGGCGCTCTACTCCAACATCGACATTGTCTTTTTCATCAGGCAGAGTTTCCCCTTCTCGTTTCAGCAACAGCTCCAAATCATTGGGCGTCATTGTGCCTTTTTATCCCAAAGACCTCACTGTGATGCAATGGCAAGAAATCTATATGAGAAGGAGTGGCTCTTGACGTTGGAGAGGAGGGGTGTAGTAAAGCACGAAACCCGCAACAGTGGTGTTGGTGACGCAGCGTAGACGGGGCTGCAATACGCAAAATAAATTATGGGAAAAATTGTTTACTACTATTTATACGGGTTAGATAATATTTAAACTATGATCAATAATTTTATAATTATTATTGTCCACATAAGCCATGCCAAAAGTTCCTCGCCGTTAGGCTTGGGCAAGTCCGTGGCGGGTGAGTCTCGGCTAATTATTCCAGCGGTCCGCCGTACCTGTGTGTCCCCTAACAAAAGCCGTGCCGGAGGCGAGAAAAAAAGATTCCGCGATGTTCCTCGGATCTCCCGCATTAAACCGCTTTGGCAACCAACGCTCGGCATCGCCATTTTCATAGCGAAGCTTTGCCGCATTCTCATCAGTCGCTGCTGAATAGAGGAATTTATATACTCACGACTCCTTATTATATTTACCACCGGCAATCATGGTAAGCTAGACAGAAGCCGTCGCGACTTTTTTTCCTTGCGACAGCACCCTTTTCCCCTTGCCCTGCGTCGACGGGCTCTTCCCAGCACCCAAAGCAGAGGATGTTTTGCCGGGACTCGCTTAGCTAACATGTTATTCTTCTTCTCTTACAGGCGCACAAATTCGTCATCACCGCCTTCGTCACAGGCTCCCGTATCCTCGGCCGCTCCTTTATGGCCGCTTACAAGCAAGCCCAGGCCGCGTCCAACTACCAGCGTGCGCAGGCCAAGGCTGGTCTCGGAGGCTCTGGCGGCGCTTCGCTCTCTTCCGGCATGACGCTGGATGAGGCCTGCAAGATTCTCAACGTCAAGCCCCCTGCCGGCGGCCAGGCCAATGTCGAAGAAGTCCTCGAGCGTTACAAGCGACTGTTCGACGCCAACGACCCCCAGAAGGGCGGCAGCTTCTACCTCCAAAGCAAGATTCTCCGCGCTAAGGAGCGCTTCGAGCGAGAAATCGGCCCGATCCGAGAAAAAATGGAACAAGAAGCCGAAGTCAAAGAAGGCTGGAAGCCCAAGATGTACAAGGACAAATAAGTCCGCGCATCTTGGTAGCCATCTGTGGCAGAGGATCATACCTTGTCACAACATACTATACCACCCAATCTTGGCTGCAATATAGCCACACTGTACTTTAAAAGTCGCATGAATGAGCGCGAGACGGGAGGAGAAAAGGCACCGGAGGAGACGCCACATTCCATTTGTATACTGTACATCTTCACTCGACTTGCGGCATGGCACGGCGTTATTTATTCGGACATTTCATATTTGAGACGATAGGCGAGACGGAAGAAGAAGAAAAAACTTTAGAGTGACGACCCCTTAGAAGAGGGCTTCGTCAGGAAAACCACACCAAAACTGACTGCTGCGCATGAGGTCCTTTCGCATGACGCGGCGGCAACATATTTTGTATTTGTATTATAGACTAATGAGAGGACTTTTCTAACACATGTCATCTTTCTTGTATATTTGTTACTCTTTTCGTCTTACAAGGCCCCTCCAATAGTCGAAACTGTTCTCGTCGCTTTGGAGAGACCAGACACGGCCTGTAGCTCTGCCTGACCGATCTACCTCTTGGACTTTGAGCATACCCCAGTCTTTCGAAATGCCGATGACCTTGGCTTTCGCGCCTGCTTCTTGCTCTAGTGAAATCATTTGACCAGTGTGAAGCCAGTGTTGGTAGTAGCGAGCCTCCAGATCCGCCGAAAACCCTTCGCGCCGAAACTGTGCGTATATTGCTTCGATACGGGTCAGGATGCGCGCAAGAAGTGTCTCCAAGTGAAACGGCTCAGCTGTGGGAGGCAAAAGATCTGAAATCGACGTTGTAGGACGAGGGTTTGTAGCGTTGATGCCAATTCCGAGCACAATCTGATAGGCTCCGTCGGAGTATCCGCATTGCGATAACAAACCGCCAATCTTGACGTATGATTTGCTTTCAGCTGGCTTTGTGGGATCCAAGGCATCTGTAAGTGTTAGTACGTAGGGCAAATAACAAACGTAAATATGCAAGGTGGCTTACAGATGTCGTTGGGCCATTTGAGCTTCACAGGCAGATTCTCGTATCCCTTCCCGTAGGACTGGATCGCCTCTACTGTAGCAATAGCAGCAATGTATTGTAAAAAGACAATCGGTCGTGAAGCGGCAAGGTGAGCAGGGTGGTTAATAATGGTCGAGAAGAGTAATGAGCCTGGTGGCGCAACCCAAACGTTGGTGCCTCGACCACGTCCTGCTACCTGTGTTGACGCTGTAAATGTAAAGCCAGTAGGAAGTTTCGACATGAATTTAGGGTTTCTGAGCCTGATTAGTAGACTGCTGGGCTCATCACTGCCACCACTTACTTTTCAAGCAGAGAGTTGGTGCTCGTCACAACATCTCCGTAGAGCAACACGCTTCCCCAGTCCTCCGCCTCACGCTCAACTGACCGGTACTTGCGCAAACTCGAGTAAAAGAGACTGTGATTGAAACGGGGAGTAATTGCCGTATCAGGAAGAGCATTTTCGTGTGCTACAATGTCTTTGATGATTTTGGTGTAGTCTGGAATACCCTGAGCTACAGTATATGATGTTCGTCTGGACAGGGCATCCTTGAGATCGTTCAAATCCCAAGCGGAATCTTTGCAGCGGATGCGGAAGGTATCAACTTCGGCCTTGATAAATTCTTGCCCATCTTCTTTGTCGATGGCCTCCTGCCAGGAAAACAGAATCTCGTCTACAATCTTGTTGTCGTCGGCTGTAAGATGTAGGCTAGATAGTGACGGCAAGATAAAATCTGCGTCTTTGTTGACTTCTAAACCAAGCAATTCCAAGCAGGCGGCAAGAAACTCTGTGCGAGTACGGTTATCTGCAGCAAGTCGGTCAATCAGATTGTCATAGTTGGGAATATCTGGCTGTCGGTGCAAATTCTCCGCAGCAAATCTTTTTAAAGTTGTTAGCCAGAAACAAACATACACCCTGCAGATCTAAACTTACTCTGGATGAGTGCCACTGAGGATAGCGGTACCATCTCCCACCTTGCATAGAACTACGGCAGCTTTACCGCCGTCCACATCGAGATCGTCTTCGTACGAGGCCAAAACTTGAACTTTGCGGGCTTGCATATCGTCCGAAGCCGCATCCACGTAGACACCACCACCATTAAAGTAGTTGACGACATTGGCTGGGAGCTTGTCTTTGAAGGCCTCCTGTGCAAGCTTGAGCGTCACTGCTCTTGCGCCCTTTTCGCTGCTGTACTCGAAGCCTTTGAATGCGCCGCCACGGCATGTGCCAGGGAAGAAGCCCAACTCTCGGCTGCCTACAACCTCCATAGGCTTGTTGTCTACTTCGAATTCGCATCTCTTGGAGCCGTAGTAGCCACCAGCGCAGAGGCCCAAGTACGAACCGCCGCGACGGACGAAATCGCTAATCCGACGGTTTCCCTCGCCATTGAGGACCCGACAGTAGCCAAGGTCACCTCCACCGGGGAAAACGAGGAGAGCACAGGTAGATGCCCATGGTTCCTTGAGAATCACAGACTCGGAGATGGGGATAACGGCGTAGTTTGGCGAGAGCAGCCGACGCAGGGAGAAGATGCAGTGGCGGACAGATTCTCCAGTGGTTCCAGTGCCTGCAGCGATGTTAATTTCTAAAGCGTACAATTATTTTCAATCTTAATATTACCTGTGTAAACAAGCACATTCAGCCGCTTCTGTGCCATGATTGGCGGTTTGTGCTCTGCACTGATGTTGTGAGGTTGAGAAGGTTTCTGAGCGAGGTTGTCAGCGGCTTTGCCGCACTTGGCGGTTGGTTGATTTCGCCCGCTGCAGCGCCAAACACTTCCCTTCAACCACCTACAGCCGCTTATAGTCATCACAACAAAGAGACATAATGGGGCTATGGTCAAAGTCTACGACGAAAGCAGACGAGAAACCTCAAGAAACTGTTGAAAAAAGAAATGAAGCAGTAGACGATGACGAGCCTGATGAGTGGTAAGTTCCCTCAAAGTCTGACACTGTTCGCGACCTTCCTATGCTAACAGCGACCCTAATGCAGGGACAAGCGTATTTTCAGCACAGGATGCTCAGGTAAGAGCATTACATGCAAATACACCATACCTACTGTCCTTTTTAGTGTAGTGGGCGGTGCTGTTTGCCGACATATCGCTAGCTCCAATTGCTAACATGGCTCAGATGAGAACGCCAAGATGACGGACTGTTACTTTGAGAAGAAGGACTGGAGAGCTTGCACAAAGGAGGTAAGTTAACTGTAGACTTTAAGTCAATGCCCTGCTCTACGTCGGATATACTAACCGCCCCAAAGATGCAGGATTTCAAAGAGTGTTGGAAGCGTCAGGGCAACGAAGAGCGAACCTCGTCCAAAGACGCGTAACTAACCTCTCCCAAATTGTATATTATTATGTATTATAGACCCATCTATGACCAATTTCCAATCATCAAATTTCCTTTCAATTTTTTTTTAAACGATCTTCGCTCTCCATGTGCACTTTGACCGTTGCGCCTCCACGCTGGCCCATATTTTCACACCTGCCCTCCAATTTCACGGAGCCAGAAAGCCTAACCTCCCTTTCACGACTCTCTAAACCACAACCCGACGTGCCGCACCACCGAATCTACCATGATTGCACCGCGCACTGCCCTTAGCCTTGCCTCGCGGCGTCTTGTCTGCCGCGCATGCACCCCATCAGCCGCGCGCTTCTACGCGACACCCTCATCGTCCGCGAAATCGAACCCAACCCAGACCAAAGCTGCTGCCCCAGCAAAGGCCGGCTACTCGAGCATTGCAGGAAACGGCAACAGCAATATCCCCAAGAACGCAACGTACGAGGCGACCACCATTGCCCACAGCGACGCTGATGCCGGCGCGCCAGGCCCCGAGATTGACAATGTCGACTGGGCGGCGAGCTACCACGGCATTGCGTCGCGCCCCGTCACCAAGGCGCAGTTCAAGGTCCTCATGAAGCCCCTCGAAGTCACAGAGATTGAAGTCAAGCCCGACGGCATCGTATATCTGCCCGAGATCAAGTACCGTCGCCGACTGAACGAGGCATTTGGTCCTATGGGCTGGGGCATGATCCCGAAGAGCGAGACGCAGGTTGGCGAGAACATTGTCACGAGGGAATATGCACTTATCGTCAATGGCCGGTACGTAACGAGACGAATATAACCTCTCTTAGGTTGGACATGGACTAACTCTGGTTATCTTACAGCTTTGTTGCCCAGGCACAGGGTGAAAACTCCTACTTTGGCGCCGACCAACTCCCTGCCGCCGTCGAGGGCTGCAAGTCCAACGCCTTGATGCGATGCTGCAAGGATTTGGGCATTGCTTCCGAGCTTTGGGACCCGACTTTCCTTCGATGGTTCAAAAAGACACACATGGAGACTGCTTGGGTCGAGCACACCACGACAAAGAAGAAGCGACAACACTGGTTCCGCCGTGGCGAAGTCGACGTCGCCTACCCATACAAGCTGACGAAATAGAGCTTGGCCTGACGAGCCAAAGAAACTTTGACGATTTACCAATACGTCCCTATTGTAATATATCAAGCTCCATGCCATCGTTCTCGTCATTCGGGAATGAACCTGTACAAGTAGTAGTCAAATAAAGACCCAATAACACCACCGTGATTAATTTCGGTTCCATGTACTAGTGTATATTGTCTATCAATTGGAGGTAGTATTCGCGTACGGAAAGGTCAAGTGCACTCAGTAATAGTAATAGTAGTCTAAGTATCCACGTCTAGGTCCTGATTTAAGGACTCTACGAGGTCCACCATCAGCTGCCGTCAATGATGCAGCAGACGCAGCCTACGAGTCCTTTGGATCAGCTTCAGCGCTTACAGATGAGCCTCCTAGGCCCCAGGGAACCCAAGATCCGCCTTGGTTGCTTGTTGACCCCGAAACATGTCTCCTCCGCAACGCGGCGTTGTCATCTTCAGCGCCGCTCTCCGCCTCAATCTTTTCAAAGTCGGCTTCACTTCGGCTCTTGCTGAGGGCGCTAAACATGCTCAACCCGCTAGGTGGTCGTTGAGTCGGCTCTTCGTCGTTATCGTGAGTACCGTCAAATCCAGAAGGGCCAGAATCGCCAGTCTGTATCTGCTGCGCTTCACGGTCAAGCGCTGCCATTACGGCGTTGAGTCTCTCGCGCTGCGTCGAAATGAAGCTCATCTTTTCCTTGGAGTTGCTTAGATTGGGCGGGATCAACGTGCCAGAGGCGGATATATCCCTTGTCGCACCGCTTCCCGTAGAAGCTCCAGCGCCGGTGGCGGCCGACATGGCTCCAGCCAAAAAGTTGTAAAAGTCGGCGCCGGAGTTAGCGGCGCCAGCCCATCTAGGAGCCGGAACACTAAACCGGGCCAGCAGAGACTGGGTGTAGGTTTGGGCGTTGGGGAACGACGAGGGATCGGGAGTTGGCTGCCGGTCGCTGGGAGGCAGATTCAGGATGTGTTCCTTAATATATTCGACAGCCTGGCGGAAATAGGACAGACCGGCGGCCTTTAGTCGGCTGTGGGAAGTGGCGATAAAGTCATCGATGGCCCCTTCATTTTCTTGAAGGAACGGGTGAACTCTCTCCTCGTACAATACTCGTGCGCCTTGAGTTTGGGGTAGAATAAGATACAGAAGAAATAGCAACCGGATGTAGCCATAGAAAGGGACCCTATAGACCGTATCAGTTAGATCCATCTACGCAATCGCTGGGTAAGGGAAGCGCACCAGGTAAGAATGAAGTTGAACCAAGACTCGACTAGCAAGCAGCAACTAAATACGACCCAGTACATGAGCCATGGTGTCAGCTGAGCCGGATCGGAGGTTTTGAGGGCTTTATAAGAGGCGAATATCGGAAACAAGAAGGATGCGACGGAGCTGCCCCAAGATGCCGTGTTAGTGAGCGATCGACGATGACAGGCGTGAGCAGGGGAACTTGCCAGAGTAGCATAGCAAAAAAGTCGAACATGGTGAGCAGATTTGCGCCGGTAGCGAGCCTCTTCTTAGATCTGTTTGTAAAGTAGAAGGGGATACAGTGTTGTTGGAGAGCTTGCCGACTTTCGCGTTTGTGTCGTCACCAGCAGATTGGCACGAGCTTCGAGTCACGGGTCGCTTCCGACGGGATTTACAAGCGGCAAAAGGGGGGATAGCAATAACAGCGACAGAGAGGATATTGAAAAGTATTTGAGAGTGTAGCGCAGAGGTAGAAACCGGAGGGAGAGAAGCCAGTAAAGCCGAGCCAAAAGGGAAGAAAGGCGGAAGAAGAAGGAAGAAAAGGCGAGGAGCCTCACTGCAGCTAGCGTGACGTTTGCTCCCCCGCCACTGCAAATCCGCACGCGGACGCCCTGTGGCAGGAGCTCTGAGGTGCCATCGGCAGGGAACAAAGGCGGGGGAGGGGACCACCTAAGGCACGCGTCCAGCGGGAGGGTTTCAGCGGATACAGGCGCTAAAAGGACGCAAGGCTCCCCGCTGCGGATTTCGTACAGCGACCCTTTTTAGCGTGGAAGGGTCGGTGTTACGGGGGGCGGGGATCCCTGCAGCAGGCGACGGGTGAGGCTCGCGTGACCTGCGTCATCCGCCGTTTTGGAGGGCGGGAAGACGACTAGTGGTTGTCTTGCGTAACGAGTAATGTGAGAAATATAAAAATAGCATGGAGAAGTAGATCAATGTGGCTGCTAGGTGATATTTTCAGAATATTTGGTTTGATAGTGATGCTTCGTACAAAAATCATCAAAGAGCCTCTACGAAAGGACAAACGCAGTATACAAACAGAGTCTCTTTGGCAGACGCCAACTCAACAGCTTCACCAAACACACCGACAATCAGACTCCCAAACCACCTCGCTTTCCAAACACCCGACAGATACGCGCTTGACCTCACCTCTACGGCCACAGTTCCTTGGCAACATCTCGAACCAGTGCCAGCTTGGCAAACATCTTCTCCTCTGTCATGCCATCAGCACCCACAGCCACGCTGGCAAATCCGCACTGCGGGCTGATACCGATACTCTGCATAGCCTCTTCTACGCTACAGCCTTGTCCTGCTGCGATTATGCCTGCAGCCTCTCTAATCTTTGCTTTCAAAAGCTCTGAGTCTTCAAGCTCAGGTTCCTTGGTCGTCACTACGCCTAGTACCACATTCTTGCCCTTGGGGAGAAACCGCAGTGGTTCAAAGCCCCCAGACCTCTCGTTGTCATATTCTAACAAGAATGTATCATAGTTGAGCGTGGTAAAGAAGCGTTCTGCTATCCGCTCGTACGAACCCTCGCTGAAATGCATCGACTTGGCAAAGTTCCCGCGGCAAATATGCAGCCCAACGTGCATATCAGCTGGCTTCCCAGCAATGCAATCATTGTGTGCCTTAATGTACTGAGAAAACAGTGCTTCAGGATCTATGCCGTCATTCTTTAGAGACTCAATCATCGCATCGGAGCAAAAGTATGCCAGCGTAGGGTCGTCAATTTGCAGATTGCGCAAGCCGGCATCGTAGAGCGTCTGCACCTCCTTGCGATACGCCTTTGAGAGGTCATCAAAGAAGACATCATCATTTTCATAAGCAGCAGAGCTGTAGCATTTCCCTGGAGCAAGACGAAGATGGAAGTAGCACGGCGGCGGCATTGTAAACTTGCAATCCGTCCACTGGTCCTTCGGGACGCTGTCTCGAAGCATAGTCCAATTGCCGAGATACGGACTCTCGTCGTAGGTTATATTTCCATCGCAGACTGCTGCCATAGGATATTGCTTGCCTACTTTCTTGAGAGCGGCAACCGGCGGCGCAGAGATGCGAGCAAGATCCCACGGCACTGGGCTCACTTCGCGGAAGCCGCCCAGTTTCTCAAAGAATCCGGAAAAGTAGTACTTGCGATCGAATTCGCCCGATGATATGCATTTGACGCCATTCAGCTGCTGTTTTCTCACAATGTCGGCAATTGTTTCGCGCTGGACAAGCTGTAGCTCTTCCTGTGAGAGCTGGCCCTTGTCAACCTGATCCTGGGCTGCAGCAAGGCTGGCCGGCCGGATCAAAGAGCCGATATGGTCTGCGTGGAAGGGCAACTTTACAGCCGTCATTATGAATTGTAGCTCAAAGACCAAAAGAATAAAGATATCAAAGAGGATACATAAATCATTGCCATAGTTGGAGGGGGAGGAGATTTGCCTCTTTACATGGTAGGATTCCCCCGCAAGCCACAATTGCCAAATCAGAACACTCACCCCGCTCTCAGGTTTATCTTGCTACATAAAAACCCGATGTAAATGTCTGTTCAGTAGAGGCGTTGTTGCAGCCGGGTAATTCCCCACGCAGCATAGTCGGATCCTCGCTTCGGCAGATACACCCTCGTAGAGCTCCCCGCCCGCCAAACGAGATGTTACCGGGTCATGCTAACTCAATTTATGTTTTATGTATGGCGCATGATAGATTAAATACCATCGGTGAACATGTTGTGTAGTTTTGCCTCTAAAATAATATTCATATCATATACAATATAAACTCTGTTTCAGGAACCACCATCCAACGAGTAGTTGCGATTACACCAAAAACGCAACGCCCAGAATAAACGCAGCCAGACCAATACGGCTTGTATCCGCCGATTCCTGTGTAATATCATCCATCGGTGCTGTCTTTAGCATTACACGCATCATATCTCCGCTGATTGCTTGCGTAGACTGATTTTGCTCTCGGCCATGTTGAGAATCCGCATGCACAATAGCTGGGCTTGCCAGCGTGATTGGTTTATCGCTAACCAGCAAAGAGGCCGCGTTATTGAGTTTGAATATAAACGACATTTCGCTCGCAAATGCGAAATGGGATGCGCACGCGACCAGCATATAAAAGCGGCTATGCATCTCTGTGTGTGTTTTAATGTGTGGATGTCTTGTAATTGAAGAAGAGAAAGCATCGTCTACATGCTTAAGTACGGCGAGCCGAGAAAACTACGCATTGAACCGTTAGTCGTTGCCAAGCCCAAAGGATTATTGCCAAATTCTTTACCCAATCCTCACTGCAAGCGACGACGTTTTCTCGCTCGGTTCGTCGCTGGCGAAGAATGTAAAGCTAACCACATCAGGGCGGCGCATGTCTCTGACCAGGCACAAGCCATTGAGTCTAACAGCCAAAAGTTTAATTAACGACGATGAGGCTTGCGGCTCTTCGGCAGACGCCACTAACGCCAGGCTTAGCTTCCTTGTTTTCTGGAGATTGTTGGGGTCTGTCTCTTGATGTTTTTGTTCTGGCGTAATTGAGTCGCGTGCCGGCTGTGCCTCGGCGCACTTTTGCCGGCGGGTCGCGGCCGGTCATTACTCTACCATATTTGGTGGTTATTCCAGTAATTGTAGCAGGGTGTGTGATTCATTCACATGCTTAAGACGCGTTCTTTGGATCGAAAAACCGGCGCTGGAGTATTCGAGGGTGGAGATGTCGCGTCCTAGGAAGATTGCCTATTTGGGAAACTACCCTGAAGAGAACTATACTCTGAGTTGTAACCTCTAATTTGGCCTTTTTAATTGTATTATATTACAAATATGCGCCAGTATTGTTAGATATATTTAATTGAGTCGTATTTTGTAATTATAAGTGCTGTGGGGGCTATCCTGGACAGGAAGTTGGTGTAAACAATAGAACATCTGTTGCCAAAGTGGTAATCAACCACAGTGTTTTAGAACGAGTGACATATAAAAAATCCGTAGTTAGAATTACAGGTTTCGAAATAATTGAAATATATTCCATGGATAATTATTTACCAAGACTTGAAAATTACTGCAGAGTGACTATACGCCCCCTCCGTTTCTGATCCAGGCATCTACGTTGTGTTCCCCACGACGCCACATTTATTCCCCGACATAAATAATTTACCAGCCGCAGAATACTGTTTAAACAATTTATACTGTGCAAGAGAAGAAATAGAATCAACCTATTGAAAAGAAGAGTCAAAGGGGGTATCGTTAACAGTGTCTGAGGCGGCGACTTTCCTTCAAGACGCGGGGACCAGCCGTGAATCTGGGGAACGCGACATCTTGGTTGCCTATCGAGCTAGGGATGCTACAGCCTCACACAAGACGGGCCGCCTCTCTCTCCACGGGTCAATTGGTGGCCGAGGATACCATTTGACACGCGCCCTGACGAGGTCGAGTCACCTACCACAAGACGTATACGTGAGTCACGCAAATGGTTCGCATGCTACGACCGGACTACACGGGCAAGGGTGTACAGGCTTCCTACATCACTCAACTGCGGCTGAAAAGAGGCAGTATGCAATTTGTGCTGCAATTGGTTGCGTGGAAAACCCCCCTTTCAAGCGACGATATCGGGTCGCCACTGTAGGCAGGCGTTGAGGCTTGTGACATGGATTCGTGCTAGCTCGCCACACCCAATTCGCCGACCACGACACTGTAATAGGCTGAGTCAATGGAAACATGCGCCTCCATTTGGAATCGCATCGAAAAGTAGAGGGCTGTCACACCCCCCAAAACAACGTTGTTCCTGAAAAGCAGTGAGGTTGCAGTGGCGATATTTCGCGTGTGCAGGCCGCTGACGTCGGCGTGCAGCTACCCGACCCGGCCGTTTGGTACAGCTTGTCTGATGCGGCGCAGGCTGTCAGCACCGCCACCCGGGATGCGACTTTCAAGAGGACGCACGCTATCTAGTTGTCCTGCGTGTGGTGGCTGATGCACGATGCCGAACAGCAGCTAGCCTTTGGGCGCGGCAAGCGCTCAGAGTCGTGGCTCTTGTCTCGCCCCCAATCCAGTAAGCCAGCATGCACGGCCATCCTTGGCTGCAACAGTCGGTGTAGGCGGCATTGAGAGCGTGTCATCCCGGCCAGGATGTCTCTTAGGGAACGCTTACACTTATACCCTATCTCATGCAATATGCATGATCATAGGAACTCGAGGGGCAGCCGGGAGCAAAAGACGCAATTGCGCAGATGCAGTCTTGCCGGCTTTGAGTGTTATATATCGATCAAACGGCGGCGGTGGCTCGTATATTCCCGAGACGTATCTCTTCCCACCCCAGCCAGCGGCTGTTAATTTGCAGCTTGATTTCATATTATCTTTCAAAATATGAACTGAGTATCGTTTGTCCCAAGTATTCGTGTATTTACGTGTATATACACCGTCTCGTTGGCGTCTCAGACCGGGTGAACTGGCAAGCGCAAGGGCGTGCATATAGAGATCAGCTTTCCGCCTTGGGCGCATGCCTGCATCTGCCTTTTTTTTGTCCGAGTGTTAACTAAACGAAATTCTAAATTCAAGAGTACACACCCTAGAATAAATCTGCCCTTGCTTCGACAGCTCATACTTTCCAAGCACCTGCAGTGTGGAAGATGGGCTCGGGACCCATGTAAGGCAGCACCGGTGGCCTGCGTTGGGACCCAAAGCCCTCAATTGCTGTGGCTACGGCCAACGCACACACCATCTTTGCATGAAAAGGCAGATTTTTCTGGCATATCTTGAATAAAAACGATAAAAGAGTAAAATAGAAATATTAAAACATATATGTATATTTCAAAGCGAGAGAGCCGGGTGACTTTCCTAGCCGGGCGGGGTGTGGCGTGTAAGTCGGCAGAGGTTCGTTGGCTAGCAGAGGTAGTCTATTTTGTGCGCAGTACTACGTTCACGATGGTTAGAAAAGACCAAGTTAGGTAAGACTGCTCCAGTTTGGATGTAATCTTTGCTAGCTCCATTTCTCGGATGATACTGCTGTCGAACAGCTGTTTGGTAAACTGTCACTGTTAAACGCTCGCTCTTTAAACAGACATGATTACGCTCACCACGCTCCTCATCATCATCGCAGGTGCATAGTTTTGGGCTGCCATGCACCGGTATAGCATCTGCATTTGACGTGGTGTCTGTCCGCCATTGGGTTGCATATTACGCCTCAACGCTGTTGTTGTCGTGCGAAGGCGGCGGCACCAGTTTGACCATTTTACCAGGCCACTACTACTATGTATTTTTGATGCTCCAACCAACCTTGAGAGCACTCCCAGATAATCACATGTTTTCAGTCAGCAAAAGGCGAAATAAAGTCGGTGAAGAGGAGCGCTGTGTGAGGTGCTTGCAAAACCTCAGGGATGTGTCCTGGCTCTGTGTCAGATGTATGAGACGCTGGCCCAGGGACCGGCGGGCAGAGTAGCGCTCAAGACGCAAGACGTAGCGTTTGCAGGGTTCGCCAGGATACCAACGGACTGACGGAGGTTGTGCATCCTTGTCCATCAACCTCCACCGTGTCTCTTTGCTGCATCCAGCCTGTGGCCCGATTCGACAGCATGGCTTCTCTTTGGGACGCTGGCGCCTGCATCCCGGCCCTATATGCTCCCACATTGGGAGCAAACACGCCCACCTGCTGCAAAGAAGAGGATATTTTGGTGAGGCAAGAGGAGTGCTGTATTGCATTTTGCGCGCCCGCGTGAGCTTCGTTTCCAATGAGTCACATTCCCAGTGTCTATTTGCTGGCATTAGGCAAGGGAGCACGAGGGGGGATGTGCTGATGCCTTCACTGTATTGGGCGATATCCTTGGGCGCCAGTGTCAAAGCAGGCAGGCGAGCGCACAATACGGGCGACAATCGTCATGGTGGTGGTCGTTGAGGCAAAATTTTCTCGCATTATTCCTTGGTTGCCGCTGCATTGTTGACAGGCTTCCTTTTTGTTTACTTTTGCCAGGGGCCAATTGGCCTTTTGACGACATTAAGATTCGCAGGGCGTGTCCCCTGGAGCAAGGCTTGGTCACAGAACGAGCCAGGGACCCATGAGAAGGGCCGGACCAGGCGCCATTTACCGTAACCGGACGGCTGGGTTGGAAAGGTTGCGGGCGGTTCTTCACGTTGGACCAAGCGTTAGTGGCTTTCTAGAAGTCAGCCCGGGGACGCAGCCGGTTGTAATTTATTCGGGGCCAGGGTGGCAAGCTTGATGAACTTTTGGAGCCGGAGCAGTTAGGCCTGGTTTGTTTTGGTGGGAGGGTGTGTGGGAATTGGAATGATCCAGGGTTGTTTGTCTGCGAGCAGGGCACACACAATTTCTTTTGTCTTTTTTATCTCGTCATCGTATACTTGGGTCGGAGTAGCCTGGAAGACAAAGAGGTTCGAACAGAATCTCTTTCCACAGCAGAAAGATGGTAGTGTAGTGTGTTTATGGCGTCTAACGCGCTGTGGGTAGCGTGGCGGCTACCTCGCGAGAATATTCATGTGCTCCATTGCCCAAAGCCGGCAAGTGGACAAAAAAAAAGAAACAAATCGAGAAAATGAAGAGTCGGAGCTCAGAGCTAAGACAACGCCATCGGCTCTCGAGTGTCTGGGGTGTTGATTTGATGAGGCGTCTGTCATTTCAAGTTGCGTGAGTGGGCAGAAGGACATGGTATGATTTTTTTGGTGCGTCCAGTTGCAGCACAGTGCGGCGCCGCGTCCCACGATTTCTGCAGGACCACAGTAAAGCTAAGCTGCGGGCGGCCCGTTGTGATGCGGGTTCCCGTCAGCGGAGCGCCATTTAGCTTTATCCACCCGGCGCGACAGCCCGTTTCTGAGTTGGGAAAGAAGACGTGCCGAGTTGGACTCTAGTTGGCGGATCCCAATTCAAATCCACGTTGCGGGTGGATCGGAAGCGGGCAGACAGTCGGAGCGATGATGTCGTTTGCACAGGCTGTCAACTTTGGGACTGCGGACTCAACATGCAACCTCAAACTCGGCCAGCTGCTTGTTATTGCTCTGGAAAATGTTGCTATTTTTTTTTCTTTTCAGTTCGCAAACTGAAGTCATTTCTTCAGTATACCCTCGACATAAGGCTGGAGCCGCCGCTGCCATGTGTCGTCGTTATGCACTAACCCCTCCAAAAAGCAGCAGCAGCAACCAGGCTTCTGTCGACGTCAGCATATAATGCATAATGGCGCAGCCCAGTCCTTTCCTTGACCAACGCGAACGCTAAACAGCCAGTTCTGTACAAGGCTGCATTGACAGGCTCTACATATTCCACGTTAATGGAGGAAGCCGCCATAGGCAAAATCCGAGGTACGGACAGATACGACAAGTAAACTGTCGCGAAGATGCGAGCGGGGCGTTGCGTCTGCTGAGCGAGGTCTCAGCCTAGAATCATTGGGTATCTCACTTCAGCTTCGCCCACTACGCGACCCAATCACATCGACAGCAACAGGAACGAAATCGAGCATGACAGCAGCCTTGTAAAGATACATACCAATCTGGAGGGTAGGCGTGGCCTTGTCCGGACGGCGCCCGGCGAATAACGTAGTAGTTCATGTGACGGTGCGCATCCGTGCTGTTTGTGCTCAGCCTAGCACCACCAGATCTCACCATGAGGAGGTGAGGCGTCGAGTGATGCTATTGGCAAACGATCCAAGGCTCTCGGATGCAGCTGCATGGAAGGTCAGTCATGTTTAGGCTGGACAGGCGTGTGCGGGCGCTCGTGATTTTCCAAATATAGGTAACCACTACGAGCAAGTTTGGGTGCTGCTGCATTTTACTAGATGACGCACAACGAAGAACATCGCTGAGCGTCGACCAACAGTGTGTCGGGCGTTTATTATCCACCGACCTGTCAAAAGGAACATGTGCCAAGTAAGGGGATAAAATACTGTGTCTGGGCAGGATTATCGTGAAACAGCACATGAATAATGTAGCAGTGAATCATCGTAGTTCATTGGCGAGAGCCGTTCGGCAACTTTGAATGCTTACCCATCAGCACTATTGGGCTTAGTAGGCGAGAAGGGAGCCGCATCGCAACTCGGGACCCTGATGTGCATGAGCTAAGACGCTGCTGGCGATGTCATGGCTGAGGGCGTGCCATGTGGACTTGAGGCTATGGTTGAAATTCCTCGTCCTAAAAAAAAGAAGAGATCATGACGCTGCGGCTGGATGGCCGTTGAACCAAAATGTCTCTGGTGACTCTGAACAGGAGTAGGCTGGACGGAGTCGACGAGCCCAAGATTCAGGAGAAACAGGACGAGTCATTCGCTTGTATGGCGGGGAGAGCGACACCCAAAAAAACGTGGTGGTGAGCACGCAGTACAACAGCCAGCCACCACTAAACTAGCTGCCGCAAGGTCAGGTCAGCGTGGCCTGGGCGAAAGATAGCGGCGTCATTCACTGGGTGTCAGCGAGTGCCAGTGTGGATGAATGACTCTGCTTGGTTGGCTACATCAGAGGGGCAAAAGAATAAGAAAGAATAATGGGTAGCGGGAAGACATAGCCAAACTAGGGCATGGTGCTTTTACGCTTCACTTTTTTTTTAAACCAACGTTTGACGTGTTCGGAATGCCGTAATACGCGGTGCAGCTGTATTACAACTAATACCAGGTCTGTCCGACAGCCTGCAGTGAGGAACGAGTTACTGTACGAGGTTCTAGTAGTGGGTGGAGCAAAAGTCCAGGAGGCCAGTGCCCACGAGTGCGTGTTCACACGGTATGGCGTTGAACGGAACCTTTTTATTTTGTTAATTGCCAGGCACAGGAAGCGACGCCATAGGTGGCGAGACCATGTTGCCGCAAATGAGGAAAAAAAAAAAGAGACGCTGAAATAAATCCATACTGTCTAGAGGCTGTGTCCTTTTTGTATAGCAGTTTAATCGAAATATGTATTAAATTTATTTTATTTCCTCTCGGCCGCTCTTCTACACGCTGCATTCCCATTTTCTCGTCGCCCAATATTTCCCTTTTCTTGTTTTGCCTACCGCGTTTGCGCCCACCCCCCTCTACCCCTTTTTTGACTTTTTGCTGCCTTCTCCGAGGACGTCAGTGGACGGTGGCCCCTATCATCCCAGCGCTTCCGGGCGGCCCCAGTGGCTCAACCCCTGCAAAAGTGCCACTGAGTGCCCTGTTCCTCTCGGTCGCAGGGGATAAGTTATAGTGGTGGTCGTGCGCCGGCGGTGGGTGGTAGTGGGTGGTGCTCTCCAAAAAAAAAAAAAAAAAAGAGGCACAGGAAAAGGAAATAACAAAATGGAAGAGGTTGCACAAAAGCACACACCCCAGCCACCCACGCCCCCATCCCTGTTATGCTGTGAATGGCATTCGCCCACACCCACACCCCAAATTTCCTACTTGTATATCTCCTTTGCCCAACCTCTTCTCTCATGCTTCTGACTTGACTCTTCACCATTTTGGCTTTCTGCCAACGGAACAGCATATTCATCACCACTTTGCCACTCAGCCCTATCACAGGCACACTCTTTTCTAAAAAGACGTGCCTTGTTGTTTTTGCCCACTTCAGCCTGCACTGCTCCTTGCACTTGTTCTGCGAGGCGTCACCTGATTTACACGACCATCCTCACGACGACACTTGAAGTCGCCACGCTGGTTCAAACGTTACCAGCACCACAGCAAATCTACTAATAGCCCAAGTTCTAGCTCCTAGGACCTGGTCTAATCATTCAACTTGATATAGATCTTCCTCGCCACTCCGTTCGAGGAAAATCTATATAACAATTCACCACACACCCGGTCATGTTTAACAGAGCAAGCTTTTTCCCACATCCATCAACATCAGACCAACCACCGCGGTGAATAACCAACACCCACTGCCATTTTGGCTCGCTACTGCGCATGACTACAACCGCTACTGAATAGCCACTCGCACCATTTCTCTACTACCTCAAGGTTCCGACGGGGAGCCAACCACCAGTCCGATTTTGATTTCCAACTCGGCTTTGATGTCACAGCGACATCCCACAACATTTCACATATATCACCAATAAAAAATCACCACAATCCACCACCACATCATATACAATCATGAGCTTCTCACCACGAACTCCTGGATCTACTCCCGGCCGTGACTGGGAGTACTCTCGCATGACTTCCGCCACCCCGACTCCTTCTCCCCGTCAAACCTGGCTCGACTCGACCCCTCGACGATCTTCCACACGCGCAGGGCACACCAGATCTTCCAGCTACTCCCAGCAGTCCACCTACACACCCCGGCCTGCTAGAGATTCTCCACGCTACAACAGTTCCGGGGAGTATGCCACGGTAGATGTGAGTGCTAATGATTTCCCGTCGTCGTCGTCGTCTCGCCGCCTTTTCCACCCGTCGCAGTCCGATTCCAACAGCGCTCGGCGCAGTCGCCGCAACTCGTATGCCTCCTACGTTCGCTCTTCGACCCCATACGGAGAATCCGACGAGGACGAAATCATCGAGACGCAGGCAGGCACATTTGTCTTGCTAGCTCAGTCGCGTTCCAGTGGTCGCCAGGCTAGGCATTCTCTTGGTCATCAACATGAGGGAGGATGGAGCACTAATCATGATGGTCACAAGCAGACGTCTTACTATCCTTACGACTACGACTATCCCGCCTATGCACCCAACTTTGCCCCAGCTCCTGCTTCGGTAGCCACTACCCCCAGCAAGCCTGCTGCCAAGGTTCACCAGTCTCCACGTGTTCACCAGTCTCCTCGTGCGCAGGTACAGCAGGAGTCGCGAACTGAGTCTAGACCACCAAACTCCTCCAAGGCTCGCCCACCCACGGCCAACCAGACTCGATCTCGCCGTGCTTCTACTTCTGGACCCCAGCGCCCCTCCACGGCCCGTCCCGCATCTAGCTCCAAACCTGCCAAGGTTGAACCTGTCAAGCCCGCACCTGCACCGACTGCGACTCCTCGCAAGGCCACTGAAGAGGATGCTAAGCTCCACAAGATCCCAACGGGTTATTCACTCAAGAACTGGGACCCTAATGAGCAGCCAATCCTTCTTTTGGGAAGTGTCTTTGATGCCAACAGCCTCGGGAAGTGGATCTATGACTGGACCGTTTATAGTGAAGGCCCTGTCGCCCCCATTTCCGAAATGGCTGGCGAGCTATGGCTTCTGCTTATCCAACTTTCAGGCAAGGTAAAGCGTGCTGAAGAAATCCTAGGCGTTGTCCGCTCCAAAGAAAACAAAGAGATAATGCTCACTTTTGTCGAGGCTGGTGAGCGTCTGATGGAGAAGCTCCGCGCCATTCTTCGATCTTGCGAGGCCCCCATGCTCAAGGTTGCCAAGAAGCGTCAGACCGGCCTCGGTAAGACGTCTGGTGTTGAGTTTGTCGACACCCTCTTTGGGCGAGAGCGCGAAGGGCCCCGTACAGACAAGTTCATGCAGGGCGTCCGCCTCTTCAACTTCCGCTTTGATGCCAACTGTGAGGACATCCTTCAGAACCCAACCATCTAGAAGGACAATGCCCCTCGTAGTCTGATCGGATCTTTCTCCGTGCCCATTTTGGACAACCATCCCGAGGATCTGGACCAATTTCTATTATTTATTATCTTTTCCTATGTTATTTCCTATGTCATCTCTTACCGGTTCCAGCCCAAGGACCCGAGAGCCCAACCCCGCGGAACGGCCCATTCGGACTGTACATTACCTAGTGTTTTGATTCTTCGTTTTCCGACTTGCCGATTCCCCTGACCCACGGATGTTCCATGGATACCCTTTTTTGCCTTTGGATTTGGAGTTTATGCTTTCTCATTTCCTTATTTGTTACGCAGTGTGATTTGAAATTTGGAATGTCTCCCACAGCAAAAATTAGACGGGCGACGGGTCAACAAAAGTTATGTTTGACATTTTGTTTTCAGGATTTTAATGGGCAAGAGAAAAAAAAAGGGGATGGACGGTTATAATTATTACTATCAACAAGGGCGACCTGTATTATCAGAGGCTTGTGCGAGGCGCGAGCTGTTTACGCAATGCAAGCAACACCAAAAAGGGGACTAGGAGAGCAGATGAATGCTTTTTTGATTTGCTTCTGTTTACCGATACCGCGCATGATACCCAGATGGAAAGTCTTTTGCTGGCTGATGCCGACAATGAGGCTCCTCCATCTTGAATGTTGCTTTTTGGTTTATTTTTGTATAGACTTTTTTTGTTTCTGCTTTTCGATTTGGACACCCATTAATGCAATCTTTCTATATACCTCTTTGTTCTCTCTCTCCTGCTATTAATTTGTATCAAAGTGCCGCGCATACATGAAATGCACACGCCTCTGGAATGTCATTCGATCTCCCCCAAAACAAAGTCGCATCCAAGCTGTCGGGGGGCTCCAGGACCCTGATGATCCCTCGTCTCTAAACAATCGGCCAGGCTGTAACCTGTCTAGTTTACCTTTTTTCTCTTCCGCCAGCCGTTGCGAAATGAGAAACGCGTCCTGGTCGCGTCACAGACAGCCCTACACACCGTTTAAAGCCCATGTCATGTCGCCCTTGTGATGTCAAGTCGCGCCGAGACAGGATCTGCCCGGCCGAGCCCCCTCTCCTCCCTTCTCTCTCGTTTTTGGGAACACAAAGTGAGTGAGAAAAGAGGCTTGATTGAGCCATTGTCTTACTTTCTTTTGCGGCTGGGTAGAGGGAGTTTGCTTTTTTCCCCTTTAGCGCTCGTCGCAAAAGGTGGAAGAAAGGCAAGCCGGAATGATAGAGGGGGCGTGTAAATGGCTTCTAGTTTTAACTTCTCAATAGCGTCATGGAAAAGAAGGCAGCCTCCAGGAACACGGCGCCGTTCGCTCACTGTTCGGGGCGCATGTGTGGTCAGACCGGGGAAGCATCTGGGCTTTTCAGGAGTGGCTTGCATGTTTTGGTTTGGCTACCCAGGCCATAAGCTAAGTGGAATAAGGAGGCTGTACGGTGGTTATGCAGGTGATTGCTGCAGCCACTTTAGCAGATTTTTTCTGAATGGTCGGGGCTTACATGGACCGAACCGATGGCTTGGGGCACGAGGTAGGCGAGAGGGGTTTATTGTTTCATGCTACGGCAGGCTATGCGAGGGATTATTGGCAACAGAGAATGTAACGTTCAAGGTATACGCATTTTGTTTTTTGAAAGTGTCAATCTTTTATTACGCAGTTACATGCGTGCTATAATGCATTGTATGTAAAATGAATAGGAAACGAGGTAGATAGACCAAAAAATGAAATAAACAAATGTAAATGAGATGCACAATCTATTGTAAAAATGACGGCTTTTATATCGTAAACTTTTAGCGTCTGTTAAAGTTGAGGAATCGACTCTGGAAATAAATGTTAGTAGGCTGGATTCGGGCCAAGGGAAGCCGTCACTTACACCAAGGAAAATAATAGCCAAGTTGCTTAGAATGTACACGGCATAGATACCCATGTCGCGCCACCTATTGTTAAACGTCATGCCCAGGCGGTTATAAAACTCGTCGCCAATCTTATAAGCACAGTAGGAGCAGTCCTGCGTACTGTTATCAGCTAGGTAGCCAGGGCCGCCGCTGGCGAAAAAGTCCATCATGTAGTCGCCGCAAGTAGTGCCGTTGGGGCTTGTGAAGCGATTAAACTCGCTCGGTGTACATTTGACAGGAAGCTCATGTAGAGCCGTCGTCACCATGCCAGCAATGAGGCGGGTGAAGGGGTTCAGTTGGTAGAGCCATGAACTGAAGAACTTGGGCATCTGCGGGGGAGGAATTGTTACACCACAAAATAGCGCAAAGACAATGATGATGAATGGGTCGAACTGTGACGAAATGCGAGTCGATGGGGTGAGAGCCGCAAGACCCTGACCAAGAGTTATAGAGAAGATCTCAGTGATGAGCACAATGAGGAATTGATAACCAGCCCGAGACGGTTCGTGCTGCAGACCAGGGATAAAGTACAGCGGCAGGAAGAAAAACACGGCGCAAAGAATCGAGTACGGCATCTCAGCGAGCACAATAGCGCTTGCAAAGGTCAATGGTGAGTACATCTTGGCAGAAGCCTCGCGGAAGAAGAGAGCGCGCTTGATGTGGAACATGATTTCGACTTGGCTGATAATCAGGGGCGGCAAAACTGTAACTTGGAACATGATGAAGACCTTGTACTGTAGTGAGGAGCGCGAGTCGTCAAGATTCAAGTACGTGAGACCATTGATAAGTGCAACAACAACGTGGTTGAAGAGGCGAGTAAAGAGGTAGTTGGGGGAGCGCCAGTACGAGCGGAACATGCGGCGACATACGACCTTTAGCTGATGGGTCATGGGCGACGCATACTCCTTTTCATCTCGTGTCGCAGTTGAGGAAGAGACAGCATGTCTAGACTCTCGTAATTGACGAATAGACACCTTTGCGGCGGCACACTCGGGGCTTTCATCCCACAAGTCGGCCCAGTCCCGGTCGCCAATGCGAGGCGTGCTACCGGCTCCAATAGCCTCGAGCATAAACTCGGCAACGTTGTCGGTAGGAAGGGCCTCGGCGCCATGGCGTTTAAAGTAGTCACGGAGAATGCTGGCATCCTCACCAACGTCGCCAAAATAGACTGTACGACCACCGTGCTGCAGCAGAAGTAGTCGATCAAAATGATCAAACAAGGCGGCATTGGGCTGATGAATGGTGCAAAGAATAGCCTGGCCAGCAGCAGCAAGTTTCTTGAGGAAGCGAACAATATTGTAAGCACTCTGGCTGTCGAGACCAGAGGTAGGTTCATCAAGGAAAAGCAGCAATTCCGGTTTGGCAGCAAGCTCGACACCAATGGTAACGCGCTTGCTCTGCTCAACAGTGAGACCATCCTCACGGGTGCCAATGATGCAATCAGCAATGGATTCCATCTCCAGAAGGGCAATGATTTCTTCGACATAAGCATATCGCTCCTCTACTGGTGTACCAAAGCGTTGTCTGAGATCAGCGGAGAACCTCAAAGCTTCGCGAACGGTTTGCGTAGGTTCGTGAAGATCAAGCTGTTCGGCGTAGGATGTCGAGCGCTGGAATTGCTTGCCTGGTTTGAAGCCATCAACGAGGATATCACCCGTGATGACACCAATATTCTTTCGTGCAGCTAGAACATCGAGGAGAGTAGTCTTTCCTGCTCCCGAAGCACCCATCAGAGCTGTCAGCTCACCAGGCTTAACATAGCCATCAACGTGATTGAGAAGACGTCTTGTACCTCCAGGAACCGGGACATCGTAATTGAGGTTTTCCCAAGTAAGGATACTTTCTGATTCCATCCTGATGTCTGAGCCAGCTTCGTTTGAACGGTCCTTGCGTCGCGCTTCTTTGCGTTCCTTGAGTTTCTCATTCAGTTCCGTTAATTCCTTGGTAGGCTTGGCGTACACCTTGAACGAGTTACCACCCATGCCGTACTTGATGACTTCTCCCAAAGCGACGTTTAGGGCGAGGAAGAAGAAAATGAGAACGATGACAATGCCCCAATTGCGCCAAAGATCACCCTTTGAGTAAGAATAACCTTGGTACAGGTAGGCATCGCCCGAAACAAATGTAGTACCTGGCGTGGAACCGGCCAGAGTGCACACTTGGTGTTGGATGTCGTTGTACGTCGGTCCTGAGGGAATCAGAGAATCGGCTGTGCAAGTCATGTCGATACGACTGAATTCATTTTGCATGAGAGCACTGAAGATGAGACCCAAAACGTTGACCCAGAAGATCCAGCGCAGCCAGACGTGCTCTGATTGATACTGTATCAGGTATCCGGAGGTTGTAATGAGGAAACTGATGAGCAGCACAGCAAACTTGATGGCCGTGTTAAAGTCAGGGCTGACACATCCAATGATGCGGAAGAAAAGGGTCATGGCTATATTACCCGACAGAATCATGAGATAGAAGGTGAAAAATGCACCTGCATCACGGACAAGACCCGTCATGAAGTAGACAATGATGGAAAATACCAAGATTCGAGACGCGGCAAATGCTTGATCGACAAATACCTGACCAATCCATAGGGCAGAAGGCCGATGGAATGCGTAAGCCCTGTGCTTGTTGACAATAGCACGGCCGGTCATAGTGCTACCAAGTTCGGCAAATGCTTCAAAGGCGTTGAATAGGAGCGAGACGAAGAGCAAACCACCCTTGCTGAAGGCACTTGCAGAATTCTTGCCCAGGTTCAGGTATAAAGTGCCGAGGACAATTGCGATGATAATGCTTCGGATCCAGGAAAGGGTCAAGTTGAAGCGATCCTGGAGTTTTAAGATGAACTGGCGTTTCATTAGGGCCCATACCTGCAAGTGGAAGCCGACCTGATAAACGGAGCGTCTAGATGTTCCACGTTTGCCTTCCTTGAAAGCCGTAACAAAGTCGTCATGGGCCTCTTTCTGCTTCTCGAGGCCATTCTTGTAATCGGCCATTTCTTTATCCAACTGTGTTTGAAACGTGGAGCTTCGGAAGGCTGCGGCAAGCGACTCGGGACTGCTTGGAGAATTCTGCTCAGAATGACCATCAGCATACTGTCTTTCGAATTCATCGGTACAGCCAGTAACATAATCGGGTGTCGTTTGGCGAGGCCGGGGAGCAAATCCAAGACTTTCAAAGTATGCGCGAGCCTCAGTTGTTTTGCCAAAGAAGACTTGACGACCCTGGTCGATAACCAGCACCTTATCAAACAGTTTGTAGATATTTTCCGAGGCTTGATAAAGAGAGACGAAAGTAGTGGTTTTGTACAGATTGGTCTGGATGCGCAGTGACTTTGCAAAGTCTAGTGCAGTACTCGCGTCGAGTCCACGAGTGCTGTTATCCCACGACAGGATGCAAGCGTTGGTAATCATCATTTCGGCAATGGAGACTCGCTTTCGTTCGCCGCCTGAGATGCCTCGCACAAAGTGATCGCCAACAACCGTGTTTCGAGTGTGCACAATGTTGAACATTTTTAACAATGTGTTGATGACGTGCTCCTTGAACGCGGTCTTGGTCATATTGCCAGGGCGCTTGGCAGCCATCTTTGTATCCAGTGCGAAACCTAGAGTCTGCTCTACCGTGAGAGTAGGGTGATGGATGTCGTCTTCGCCGTTGTAAACAGCCTCCGAACGGTATCTGTTGAATTCTTTGGCGGTCCAGGGACCGTATCGAACGTCGCCGGTGACGCTAGTGTATCCATATCTCTGGTTGGCGATTGTTTTGAGAAAGGTTGTGCATCCCGAACCTGGCTTGCCAAGGACAAGAATCATCTCTCCAGGCTGACAGACGCCTTGGAATTCATCGAGGAGGGTAGCCTCTGCAGGCTTTAGACCAAGGCCCAACCACTTGATGACAGGAGTGACAACGTCAAAGAAGTTGATGAAGGCGTTGGGGAAGGTCTCGACATAATTGGCAGTACCTCCAACGCCCTTGACAGTCAATTTATCCCAGTAGGCGCCAATGTGTTTGGAGTGAATGCCAGCTTGGACTTCAGCGTCGAGGTCTCCGCGCAGGGCAGCCTCGAGATCAAAGGCAGCCTCTGAACGCACGTTGGAGGCTACGGGGACGATCTTTTCCAGATCGCCATGCTGTTTGCTGTTGCGTCGACTAACATTCGAGAGTTCCCGTTGCAAGTGGGCAAACTCTGCTTCCGCTCTGGAGACAGACACACCGTGCTTGCCATCTTGGTCCTGGTTGTCGGAGGAAGCTATCGATTCGCGGGCTGTAGATGCACCGCCCGGCGTGTCTGCCGAACCACTCGGTACGTTGTCGACCATATTGGGCTATCGCTTAAAAAATGTCTTGGGTGGGATTGTCTCGCTTAGAAGCCGTGTGCACCAGGGCGCGGCGCAGACAGTTTTGGGAATGTCGTATGCCCGGGGTGCTTCTCGATATTTAGGCGATATTCCGGGGATATCAATAAGAGACGATGCACAAAACCAGGAAGGACGGGATGATTTAAACAACCATTGCTTCTGCTGTCTGCCCTTGGTGACGTCTCGTCCCAGTGCGTAGTGGTGTTGGTGACTGAGGAGAAAGTGAAAGTCGGCCAGGCTATAAACGGCAGGAGCGAGAAAAACGGGCGACAGGTATGTTATGCAGAAACCGTAACCGCGTTAAACCCTGTAAAACGCTCTGGAAAATTAAAAAAAATCGAACCACAAGGGGGCAAGGCTCCCGGCAATAGAACAAGCATGGCCCGTATGAATCATAGTTTGCGGGCCTAACATTTAGCGGCAGTGGGCTGTACAGCAGTCCATGTGGGGAAGTTTGGGGGGAATGCCTTCGGTGCTCGGCGGAATGCAGGTGGAAGGCTTACCAACCATCTAGAAGCCGAAGCCGCGAGCGCCTTTTCTTCTCAACGCCAAGCATCTGAGGCAACCAGGATGGCAATATAAGTTATAAGAATCGGCAGATGAGCTTGTTGCCTTTCCATCTTTTAAACTTCACCAGATTACCTCCTCGTAATCCTCACCGAACTCGTCCCATCTTCCTCTAGCGGCCCTCCCAAAAAGTATGACTCTCACCATATAATCCACGTTGCAATCCGCGCATCTCCGTTTACAGTTACATTCGGGTCCCGACAAACTCATAACAAGAAAAGGAGAAACAAAATCACAATGATATGTATGACCAACACCGCTGCCAAGGACATCGTCGCGAAATGCTCGCTGTTCGCTGCCTCTTCGGAAAGAATTCCGTTGAACGCCAGGAGCCATAATTAACCCACCTTGTCAGGAACAAGACCCTCCATCTCCCCGCTGACTTTAATCAATCAACAAGGCGTTGAGGGTATCTCCGCCATTCGCAGAATTCACTCCTAGGCTGCATTCTCTTTCGTCATCTTGCTGTTGATGCTCGCTCACCTCCGTGACTCAGTAACAGTGATGCAAGCCACTGACGCGAATACCACCAACACAATGACTGACCGCCTCGTGTAGAGACAAGAGTCTTCAGGCTTGGACTGAGCCTAAGCTGCCTATTCCAGCAAGCCAGCCCCAAGCCGGGTGGAGCGCCGCGCAAGCCTCGCCGTGACCTTGTCTTAACGCCGCTCGTTCAACCATGTTTACCAGAACAATAGTCATCGATGTCTCATATCACGAAAAATGACAGTAATTTCGGAGGAAAAAAGTCACACCAAGATTACACCGATTTCAACAGGATCTATGTAGTCATGCGTACCCCATTTGCTCAGGCGGGCGCAGAAATCGCTGTACAACATCGCCGCCCAAAAATAATTACAGTGGTGTTTCTGAAAATGTACGTATATAATTTAAAATAAGTTGACTGACTACCAATCGGCTTAATGCTCCCTCTTCAGAGGGCGGAGTGTCGGAGTGGTTATCGAGATAGACTAGAAATCTATTGCCTTCGGGCGCGCAGGTTCGAATCCTGTCTCCGTCGATTACTTTTTTTGCCTTTTTTTTTTCGATCCGGCGCTTTGTGTGGGTAACACCGTTTTTGTTGGACGCTGTCACTTCACAACTCTTTTTTTTTTCTCATTCTGGAACCTGCGTCTCTATTTCGTGTTGCTATGACCTTTATGGTGTCCAGCAAACTCTTCGCATGAGTGAAGATGCACTACATTCGTCTGCTCCGCTCACCACAGCTGGTCCGCGTGCCTGGTGCTCTACGTCTAGAACTGCTGGTCACAATCACCACTGATCTTGGTGATAGCTTTTTGCAGACAGCTGATACTGTAATTCTCCAAGTCACGGCATTTGTCAAGACACCAACGGGGACTGCAGGCTATGTTCTCGGTGCAAAAGATGCCACACTGCAATGGCGGCCCTCAGCTCGAGTCGCCAAGCCGGTGCTAGACATACCCAAGCCAGTTCTGCAGGCATTGGTAGCTAAGCAGCAAGTCGAAATTTGTGTTGCACCTTCAGATTCATCATTCATAGCTTCTAGTATCGGCAATATACTGGCAGCGCCGACCCACGGCCAGATTATGCCTGCGTGGACAACCTTGGCTGCCAAACCGATAGGTCCATCAGCTTTGAGACGAAGAATTATCATCACACACTCCCAGAACGACTACATTGAGGTGGAGGAAGAGATTGGTGAGAGTATTGCGCGGCATATTTGGGATGCAGGCGTCCTCTCACTTTGCAGTATTGTCTCCTCGATCGCAGTCCCGTCACTACCTGCTGCCAGAGACCCATGTATGAAGGCGGTTTATAAAACATTGCAAGCCGGTGCAAATATTCTGGAACTGGGATGTGGTGTTGGAATCTTGGGCATTGGTATTGCCCAGGTATTGCGGCAATCACATATGAAGCACTCTTCTACACTGCTCATGACGGATCTCGACGAGGCGCAAGAGAGGGCGGAGTCCAACATTCATATGCTGTCGCAACGAAATTCCGGAAAGACAAATGTTTGTGTCGAGTACGAGAACTTGGACTGGGAAAAGGGAAGAATTGGCGATTTCACGGACAAGGTTCGTGCGTCTGCATGGGATCTGATTATTCTCAGCGACTGCACCTACAATGCCGACATGCTCCCGGCGTTAGTTGAGACGCTGTCCGCCATTCACGAATCAAATCAAAGAGTCAAGGGGTCAGCAAAGACACAGGTCTTCATGGCAACTAAGCCAAGGCACGATTCAGAGCGAGCATTCTTCTCGTTGCTGGATAAGGAGCATTGGAAGGCTGTACACAAGCAGATTATTCCGCTACCCGTAATCGAGGCGGAGGCTCAAACTATAGAAATGTATCTATTTGAAAAGATATAAGATAGAATTAATGACTGAGTGACTTCTAAAGATTTCGTGACTTGCGAGACAGCAGGCAAAAGACAGAAGTGAGCTTTTGCACCGATTTCAGTCTTTTCGATATCCATGCACATGTTGTAAAGGTTACAAAAATTTAATTCAGGTCGTCTAACAGATGATAGTAGGGCCAGCCGTAGCGTGAGACATGTATAAGGAAATATAAGAGGGCCACTTGCAACAAGATCACCTGATCACGGCGGAGTGTCGGAGTGGTTATCGAGATAGACTAGAAATCTATTGCCTTCGGGCGCGCAGGTTCGAATCCTGTCTCCGTCGATTACTTTTTTTTGCCACTTTTTAGCTCTACTCTGCTTTCCTCTTCTCTTCTGTTACACAGAGACAGTGTTTGGGACAATTTTTTGTTCCGTTGTAGTGAAACTTGGGTTGGGCAGCTATTGGCACCCGGCCGTTGTGTGGGCGTACCTGGCGCTTCTGGACGAAACTAAGACTTTGGCTAAAATTATTGGAAAATAGACAGTAGTACATGTGCAGTTGTTATTGATTTTCAGCCTATATAGGAGCATTGGTAACTGTACCGGTTGATTGCTTTGAATATATGGCGAATGATTTTGCCTTTATGACTCGCTGTAGAGCACCTGAGCGGATGGACGCCACCTTAATGTCAACGGCTGGCTTGTCCCACCTTGGCTCAACATACTTCACCCTTACACACTTATTAATACCATAAATTCGACATGTGTATTGCTCTATTTACTACGGCACACCCCGATTATAGCTTAATATGCATCGATAATCGGGATGAATACATTTTACGCCCAACATCAAGACCGCATTGGTGGACACATCCTGTTACTGGCAAGCAGATACTATCCTCGCGAGATCTGCACAGAGCTGAGCAGGGCACGTGGATTGGTGTAAACAAGCAGGGTGACTTTGCCGTGTTGACAAACTACAGAGAATCGGCACTGGATGATGTCGATCAGAATATATCTGGCATCAAGAGCAGAGGCGGCATGGTGACGTCGTGGGTAGGAGGGCTCGCGGATAATGGCGTCGCGCAGGGTGTCGACACCATGGTGCATGATGACAGAGTCAAGGGTGTTGGAGGCTTCTCCATGACTTGTGGCAAGCTTCGTAAGAAGGACACAGAAGGGGTCGCTATTATCAGCAACCGTGCCACATCCGCGGGTGATGTACCGATAGTTGGCCGAGCGCGGGGTGAGACGTGGGGTCTCAGCAACACCACCTTTGCCGACCCAAACCACTGGCCAAAGATATCTATGGGCCGAGAGCTGTTAAAGACTACGATTGAAGAGGCTATCAGTAAAAAGCATTCCCCGGAAGAGCTTGTTGAAGCGCTCTTCAAGCTGCTGGACCATGATACGCTACCAGTTCTTGGTGACGATGCGCCATTAGTGGAATATTTAAACAAGCTTCGACATAGCATATATGTTCCCGCTGTCGGGGGATCGAAACAAAAGCAGGAAATGGCCGAGGCGAGATCACGGGGTCGACAAGAATGGGATACAGCTGGTTCAACATCAACCATGGAAGCATCGGCCTCAGGAAGCACCGCATTCGATACTGGTATGTATGGGACGCAGAGACAAACCGTGATACTGGTGGATTTGGATGGAAATGTAACATTTTCGGAAAGGGCGCTCTATGATCCTAACGGCAATGAGATTCCCCGTGGAGAAGGCGATGTCCATGTTCGATTCAGAATAGACAACTGGGATAAATGGGGGCACGAATTGATACAATAGGAAAGATAATATTACTAGGAGTTAAATAATTTATGATTTGCTTTTACATATTTCTGGGAGCACCTTTGTTTACAACGTGGGAGAGGTTCTGGCCAGCAAAAGAGTCCACCTGTCGGTTGACAGCTGGCAAGGTATCAAAACAAACAAGGTAGGCACCTGGCAGGCGTCTACGAATCAGAAACCGAGACTCGCCTATGCTAAGCGAGGTCAAAGCCGACCTTCGCCGACTGGTAAGGTAGACCCAACGCGTTCGGTGGGATATTCCAACGCGCTGCCTAGACAGATGCTAGTTCTCCTTTCTCACCAGCTTGCTTGAACATGGCCGGGAGACTAGATTAATTGGATTTCAAATTTTGGACTTTTTGGAAGTGGCTTTCGTTAGGAGCGGCCATAACGTTATAATCAGACAAACTTCTTGTTGAAGGAGCCCATCGAACAATTACGATTCATTCATTCTTGGTCTTGCCTAGCCATTACAGTCTCGAAATGGCCAAGGGGAAGTTTTCATTTGGCTTTAAGAAGTCTTTTATATCGAAGGACATTCAAACTGAGCCAAGAAAACCACGGCCGAACATATCTGAACCTGTCGGCCCTATCAAAAGCTCTAGGGGCCCGGACTTTACACGAAGCGAAAGCTTGATTGTTGTGGAGGGCATACAAGATTGCCAATTAGCAGGAAAAAGAGATGTCAAAGCTTCAACAAAGATGGGGCGGAAAATTTCATCCTCTCTAGTCAAAGAAGGCATTCTATCGCCCAATGTAGCTGCAGCGAACGCCAGGCTGCCGTCCGAATCAACCGAAGAGACCAAGCACGAGGGCAGAAGGCTATCTATTTCGTCACTGATATCAAAACCAAAGATACCCGTATCTGTTTCAACAAACATGCTTCAAATAAGGCGCAAACCAGTCGCTCGCGCCGATGGTGACCAAAGGACAGGACACCAAATTCATTCGAAGCCCCCGGTTGCTCTCAAAAGCTTTGTCACTAGGTTACCGCGATCACAGACTACAAGGGACGTATCAAACTTGACGTTTCATACAAAATCAGTATCAGATATCCAAATCAATAACAATACTGAAGATGTACCTCTGCAAAGATTTTGTGTCTCTCAGATCAACGTCGATGCCTCCTCAACAACCTCGACCTTGGAATCCCCGACGGACTCACGTACTCAGATATCACAATCGTCCATGTCATCGATTGATATAAGCATGCCGAATACTCCACAAGGGAGCTACTTCAACGAGATTGATATTGCTCAGCCGTCTAAGTACTGGACTGGTCGCTTTGTGTCGCTTGAAGATCGCCTTTACGCGGAGGGGCTATCTACTTCTCTACGAGGCAAACCAAGGCGACCGATTCATTCAAGCACTACTTTGAGTGGAAGCATACATCAAACTGGAACTACGCAACGCTCCAAGCGAGATGAGGATGGAGATGTTGAACGTCGCCAACGAGTCTTTGAGTATCTGGAATCGTTATGTACGTCAACCGAGGCAAAGTTATCTTTAAGATCATGGCAGGAAATGTACGCAACAAGAACCAATCAGCCAGAACTTCATCCAAATTACGTGGCAAGTGCAAGACGCGGACTTGTATCACGCATGCTTCCCAAGAATACCAACAAGAAGAGCCAGGTCGACAGACGCAGTAGAGACTTCTTGGATGAGATTTACTACGGGAATGCTTCCAACGCATTTGGCTTAACGAATGCTTATGGAATAAACGGACGATATCTCACTTTCCGATGAAGGAAAGACATTAAAAAGAATTCGCGGTTTGGTTTTATCCGCGTTTCACTACACTAATGTTGGCTGTGACATTTCACAGGAAGTGCACAGATGCCTTATTTGCTTGTGTTTGCTTTTGCGGCTTGAACCTTGAAAAGAACAGGCAATTGCGTCGATCATAGGGTTTGGAGATGAACAGTAACGAGATTTCATTGAGCTCCTGATTTCCCTTTGGGTACTACATGCGTTGTGGCTGGATATTAAGCGGAACAGGTCTTGGGGACATGGATGACGCTACCAATTAGAAACATAACATCTTTCATGAGGTGCTACGCGCTGTTTTTTTTTTTTTTTGCTTTTTGAGAAAGAAAGAATCATTTTGGTGGCAAACACTTAAGGAGGGCTTACAGTTGATACCTTATTTAAAGAAATTGTTTAATATCTACATGCTGTCTCTCTGTCTCTACCTGTGCCTTGTGGCTTAGAGAAGCTATAATATCAATGTCATGATCCCTTGAACTCCAGAAATACAAGAAAAACGCCGTTTAATGATGGGAAACTTTTACTTTTACTCGGCTCTTCTGCGGCTTTTGAGATAGTCACGAATCTGCTCGTGCTTGCTTGCAAAGAACATGCCTGTCTTTTCGTTGCTCCAAACAAGCACACCAATCTCTTCCGCAAACCGTGCCGTGTCGACAAACTCTTCGCGGTCATCAAAGTCACGGAATAAGAAGCCAGCCGTGGTCTTCATACGCTCATTCTCGAGCTGCCACAGGCGAATTTGGTCGACCACCGTGGGTGGTAAAACTGGCTTGTTTGTCAGGGTGGCAGTGCGGTGCATCTGCTCGTGGGCATGAGCCGCAAGATATGCGATAATCTGATCAGCCGTGATACCAAAGTTAATGGCCTGCCGAATAGATGCGCGGGTGAGGCGGCCAGCAACCATGTCTGGAAATCGCATGTTGAGCTTTGCGAAGAGCGCAAGGACGGCAATTTGGAGGGTGGATTGTGTGTACGCGTAGAGTCTGTAGTTTGTCTCAATAACCACGCTGCCCTTCTGTTCGGGAGCACCTCCCAACGGGCCCTGAGCTGCAGTACTATTTGAGCTGGCGCCATTGAGGGCGGCGGATGTTGCAGCTACAACACCGTCAGAAATGCTACGTAGGCTGCTACCGCCGTTCGTCAGTGTAGTGGCAAGTCTGGTAGGGAAGAACATGGAGCGCTTTTGCGGTGGGATATACACCAGACCAAAGTCGGTGAGATAAGGGAGCATATCTCTGCGACTCTCCGTCAGCGCGTCGGTATCGTACGCCTTGCCAAGCTCTAGACTGGCCAGCATGAAGATGAAGGAGAGCATATCAACTGCTTCAGAGCCGGCTTCTAGCCAAAGGAGCAGAAGCGTCCAGACCTGGGCATTGGCTTCTTGCAAGAGGAAAGTGAAGCCTGATTGCGTGATGCCTACGCTCCCGTTTGGTCGTCGGTCAACAAGTCGGCCGGCAGCAAGGAGATCTTTAACGCTCTTGTTGGGACCGATATTATCGCTGACATTCTTGTAGCCGACGCTGGAGACGACGTAGTGTAGAATCTCGTCCCACTTGCGGCGGGCATATCGGTCGAGGAATCCGCCGTCGATCTCGGGAGGGATGAGCAGCGTGGACGGGACGCCGAAGGAGTTGTGGTTTCCGCCGCCGGTAAGAGCTAGTCGTAACGATGTTTTGAAGTTATTTGTCAACTGGACCTCTTGCGGCTGATCTCGCGATGGGAATGTGATTTGGATAATGTGGTATAGCTTGAGGGTCGCGAGGGAATGGTCTTTCTGACTGTTTCGTCTGTTAGCACACGCAAGGAGCGGGCGGAGTTTGTAGAAGTCGACACGTACGACTTGGATTCTGGCTTGACCCAAGCGTCCAGATCCGTTAATGTCATAGGATCGGGCATATATAGCATGCGCATCACGAGTGTTTTCGCTTTGCAGAACCGGTTAGCAGCGCGATTGTAGGTCGTGTGCTGTGGCAGTTTTGGCGCTTACCAAGGTGAGGCAGCATCCTCCTGAAGATGGCAAAGGCCGTTGACGGTTGCTGATAGAGCTTTCTAAACGTCGTACCGGGCAGCTTCTCCAAGTAGTCGCCTAGCTGGAGCGACGGCATGGGCGCGGCAGCCATGGTGGCGGCGTGTGCACGATAATTTTGTTCGCGAGGCTAGAAGGTCGTGAGGGCGGCCGTGTAGATGGTATTTTATCTCATAGCTATCAAGACGGTTGAACGGGACAGTATGGTCTTAGTACCGTTCCGAATTGTCGCTTTATAATACTATTGTGCCCGTAAGGATGGTGGGAATGAGTAAAGTTTGCAGTTCTGCCACCGTGAACAATCTTGATGTCGAAGCTGCCGGTTGATGATCGGGTAATCGCTGCGCCGTGCGCTGTGGCCACTGACAAGGCCGCTAGTGAGAGATGGTACTGTAGCCTGGTCCCCGCTGTGGCCGAAGCTGGGGAGCCGCTGGCCAGTGACGTTTTAGTAGCGCTGAGCGTCGGCTTCGGCTATGTCGCAACAGCTTCCGCATCCACGCCGCGAAAACAACGCTCAGAGCAATAACCGCGACAATGGCCAAAAAACTGTCTCCTTCTGTTTTCACAAAAGCCGTAAGTGGTAATTGTTGCGGAAACGATGGGCGAACTGTGCTAATTGAAGTAGGTCCTGCGGTCCTTCATGCTCGACTCAGGTCTTGAGCCGACGTAAGTTTCTCTACACAAAGTCAGCGACGGGTATCTAACAACTGGACGAAAAGATTGGTAGGAGCAAACCGAGTAAGTCATTGTGACGCCAAACTAGCAACAGACGAGATCTAACATGCACCAGTTTCGTCTGACTGGCGCCACGAATGGGCAGGTCAGTTTCGAGCTCGACATCCACAAGGACCATACCGTATGTTGCGAGAATCTCGTGCGCGTATAAGCTACTAATGAGTTTAGAATCGTCTTGGTACAATCCATGGCGGTACCTTGGCCAGCTTGGTTGACTTTGGAGGATCCCTCGCTGTTGCATCGACGGGACGGTTCTTGACTGGCGTTTCTACTGATTTAAACAGTACGTTTTGTCTGCAGGTTTGACGGCAGCCCATTCACGCTTTACAGTTACATATTTAAGCCCTGGTGGCAAGCCTGGAGATTTGCTCAAGGGCACTGCTACTTGTGAGAAAAGTGAGCCAAACTTCCTGCTGGGACTCTTATGCACAGAGCTAACCATGACCGTAGTTGGCAAGACCTTGGCCTATACCAGCGTAGTTTTCCACAACAGCAAAGGACAGCTTGCAGCTAGAGGAAGCCACACCAAGTAAGTCGCCCCCGAGAGAGTCTACTGTATCAATATGACTAACCCTGCATGTAGATATGTCGCTGGCGCAGAAGGCCCTGATGGGCTGTTTGCGCCACCTGAAGGAACCAAGGTGGACGATTTAGATTAGGAGCCCCTTTTAGAGTCTTCAAGTTAAATAATTATAGACATGATGAATTACAGAATCTTATAGATCTTTATACAGTTCTAATACAGTATCCCAAGCTGAATCAAACGCCAATGCTCGTAAACAAAAACCAATAGTAACGCCGTGCCTTTCCCACACAAAGCCTGATTGGCTAATTTTTCTTCATACCATGCTTCCAATCCTCGGGTAGCGAGTTTCGTCGAGGCCGCAAACCATCGGCTTGGTGATTTAAGCCCATGGCTTCGTTATGATCAGGCAGCGCCGGGTCCTCATTTTCGTCCGTGTTGTGAGAGGCAATGTTCGGGTTTCGAGGAGGTATCTCCAAGTGACCCAGCGGTCGTTGAGGGAGAGAATACTCTGGCGGAGCCTCATCAATCGGGACTGGCCATGCAAATGCGTTGGCCTCGTACTGCGGCATGCTGGTAGCCGCGGCACTTCCTGCTGCGGGTGTCGGCAGTGACGATGACGCCAAGGGGTCGCTAGTTGTGGCGACGGCACTGGTCTCAGAGGCATCTGGCACCGTTGAGTTGGATGTGGGAGCTAGGCCTGCGCTGCTTTCGACCTCCTGCATCAATGGGGCTTCTGTGATTGTCGCCAATGTGTTGCGCTTTTTGAGTCCTTCGGCAAAAAAGATGGTCAAGATGATAAAGTATGGCCACAGGACCATCACGCAGTGAATCAAATCCGATAACCCTTCTGAGTCTCCACTAGTATACGAGATAATGCTGAAATTGGTAAAAGGTGACTGGATTAATCCGCCTAGGGGTGTGTAAAGAACTGTAAGGATCATGAGGCAAGCATTCACAACGTAGTAGTTGGTAAGCTGGGGACAGGAATTGTTAGTTTCAGTGTATGTCAAGTTCACTGGCTGGGAAACTTACTCGACGAACATGTCGAATTCGGCGGGTGCGGATGCGGAGGTAAATCGACCGTATAACAACGAAAAGGACTGCCGCGGCCATCAACGCATAATCGACAATCCCCAGATAAGTGATAGCGCCTCGAACCTGGGGAACTCTATTATCGATGATGATATCATAGTCGGGACCTGACGAATAGACGGTCCTAGTGCTTCGAATCACAAAAATCCATGCTGAAAACGTGACCAAAGTTATGAGTATCGTTACCGTGCACCAAGCATATGCAATCCGGTGTGGTAGTCTGCTGACTTTTGCTGCACTATTCAGGCGTATTATGCGGATACCTTCGTCAAATAGGACAAGCGTTACGATAATCAGAGACGGTACCACATCGAGGAAGAATGTTGCGATTTGCGCGAGTACCTTCACATCAAAGACAAACCCAGAGTAGGAACTACCCCCAAACCCGGCTGTCGCCACTGTTTTCATAATAAGACCAGCGGCGTGCATAGTCATAGCACTGTCGAACGTTAGCCTCTGACATTCCCTCTCAATAGCGATATTCAACCTACACAGCGAATAGTGCATATGTGCACTTGAGCCAGAGAAATGAGATTCTGGCCGGATCCTTACGTCTCCGAATGCGACACAGCGCAGTGATGGCGAGTCCAAATGCTACTGCGTCAGTAACAACGACGAGGACATCGGCAATAACGCGTGTTGTGCTCAAGGGAGAGTAGTTATAGCGGTCGTAGCTCGACATGGTTACGGTACGATGGATCCGACTGGCTGTAGGGTTTGGTTTCGGGAGAAGGATGACGGTCGTTCCAAGTTCAATCGAGGGTTGGCGATGTTGCCCGCCGTTCGTGTGCGAACGGTTCTAAGCTGGACCGAATTGAAGGCGATATGACTAGAGTTGTAGTTGGATTGTGTAATCTATCAAAAAAGCACTTGATAGTTCAGTCGCAAATACCCAGAAGAGCGAAGTTGGGAGTCACCCAAAGCGGAATGCAGAGGTTTGCAAAGCCTTGGGCAGCCTGCGTCTCGATGAAGCCGTTGCGCCAGCTCAAATTCTAGTTTCCATCAAGTAGTCGGCCGCAGGGTGAGTTCGCAATCGTCGAGGATAGTAGAGCTCGGATTCCAGTAGACAAACGGGTATTTTTGATGCGATTGACGAGATTGTGAAGGAAGCAGAAAGGCTGGCGACCGACCGACAGGCAATTGGATTCTGCGGCTGGCTCTCGCACGGCCCGACAGTAGGCTCTGGGGCGGTTTGGCGACTGGGGAGGGGGAAAGAAGGTAGGTAACCTTTAGCGTAAAGAGGGGCTGCAGGCGCCAAGAAGCCTGCCAATTGGGTTTGGTGCAGTGGAGCTGGCCCGCTACAACGCGTGGCCTAGCGGTGCTTCAGTGCACGGGCTGGCCGCTGAACGTAAAGTAAAGCCCCGTAGCGTCGTGGGAACGCAGCCTGATTTTGTGGCAGACGGTGCGTGGATGAGGATGATCGACAAAAGAATACTGTGCGCAGCTGAGGTGGTGTGACGGATTGAATTGAGATGGAAGAGGAGCAAACGCTAACTTAATTGTGTACGATCGCGCATCCCTTCTAGAAACTGCGGAATACAGTGAGACTTTTGCGCCATTCTACAGTATATTGGATCCGTGCGCAGCGTACAGTGCCGTATTGGCTTGTCCACAAGGCTTGCCAACCCTGCGCAAATTAAACCACCCTGATGCTGCGGATGGCTTTACTTGGGCGGTCCACGCAGTTTACAATATGGTGATCCAGTTTAAAGTTATATGCGCCTCCCCCCGCTATCCCATCTTATTTACGACGAGCCGTCGTGTGTTGGGCTGGTTCACGGAACGCTCTCATGATGCATGCACTTGACGTTGCGATGCTTTCTAGCTGCCATGTTTAAAAATAACCCGAAGAGAGATCCAATGATTACCATTCTCCATCTCGTATTCATCAACCAATCATGAATACAGCTACGCCATCACTAGCTGCCCCTGCATCTAGTGTGGAGGTGCGTAGTGAGGCGAAGCAAAGCCGCTCACCACCACAGGGAGCTGTTGAGTCCTGGGCCCCAGAATAGTTGCTGAAATAATGACAAAGATCGCGATTTGAGGTGGATAGTCCCCCCTTTAAAGGTTCCAAATATGGAAACTCGGGAGTTTCATGTTCTTTGTTCCTGAATAGCGAGGCTGTGCAAAGTATGCTCATGGGGTTACGCTGTTCAAGCATAACTCAACCATGACCATGAAGGATATCAGAGTTTCACAGTGGATGCAGAGTAATTTGTGAATTAGAGTAAAAAGATGTCATTATATGATACTATCAATGATCGCCCGGATCAAAAGGATGTAAACAGAGTGGTATTTCGCAATAAAAACAAAAGACAAAGTCAAATCCCAAGGATATCCCAACATTTAAAGAGAGTCGTTATTTTCCCGTGCGCATCAACCTCTAAAAGACAAATCATTGCGAGTAAAAGCAGCACCTAAGAAGCAGTGACAGAGTGCTTGAGGTTAGCGAAGCCTGACTGGCCCTCTTCGGCATCCTTTTCTTTGTTGTAGTGCTGAGGAGGCCATGCGCGCTGGGGAGCCGCCTGCGACGAAGAGGCGTCTGGAGTAACATGACCGTTTCCGGTTCCGCTGCTATCGCTGTGGTGCTTGTGTTTGTGGTGATGGTGCTCCTCATCAGACATCCAGCTCTGGCGCTTAGAGAAGAGCCCTTCCTGCTTGAGGAAGCCGATGGAGAAGAGAAGGGTCAGAATGATGAACAATGGCCACCAGTTGAAGAGGATTTCCAAAATATCAGAGTACGCCTGGTATTCTCTGCCAGCGGTTTGTCCAGAGAAGTCAGTGTAGTAGGCGTAGTTGCACATGTCGTAGGCAGTCTGGAGCACCCAGAGGATAGCAGAGACGAGCAGATAGTTGGAAGCAGGCAGAGGAACCTTGGGAGCCCTGGTGGCGTCGACGGCAACACGAATGGAGAATCCTAGCAGAGCGAGAGCGGCAGCGAAGAAGACGACGGTAGTGGCAAATGTCATCTGGCGCGTCTGGAGGAGGCGCGAAAGGAACTCGTCAGAGCTGAGATAGGTCGGCGAGATGCCATGGGAAAGCGACTCGCTATAAAAGTTGCAGCTGAGAGCGAAGCTGACAACAGCCAGGATAAAGAGAACAGCAGCGATGGCGTAGGTGGCGAGTTTGTACCATTTCGTCATGGTGATGGAGCTCTTGTGCTTGCGTGCAATGGCGATGCCACCGGCGTAGCGGGTCAAGGTCAAGAAGATGAAGACCTCGCACCAGAACTTGGTGAAGGTTGTGCCGCTGGCGAGATATGAAGAGGTCTGGGCAACGACGTCATAGCCGTCCATGCTGTTTTGGAGGTCGCCGTTGATGATGTTGTACCAGTAGATGAGGAAGCTGTAGTAGGCGACCTGGAGGAAGAGGGAGCTGTGAATAGAGAAAGAATGGGTTAGCTTTACTGGTTCTAATAGTGACAGAGTGACTGGAGTGTAAATATTTGAGGTACTCACATGCAAAGGAAGAGATAGGCACCGCGCAGCCATGCAATCCAGCCACGAGCGGGATCAAAGTAGCGGGACATGCAGCACAGCGACATGGAGGCACAGACGAAAGCAACCACGAGGGTGATGGTGTAGAGCGGAAGCAGGCCATAGTAGTAGCTCAGCGACTCGTTGACGATGAGGGGGGCCGAATTGGCCATGATGGGCAGTAGAAGAGTATTCTTTTTTGCTTGTGACGAGGTGCGAGGTTGGTGAAGTTGGCTGGTTGACCTTATTGGGTTGAGTGACAGCTGGTGTCTAGGTTGGCAGCTGGCAGTAGTAGAAAGTAGTCTTGCAATCTAAGCAATGTATAGGAGAAGAGAGGACGACGGTGATGTTGATGGAAAGATTACGAGGGAGAGACATCATCACGCACGACGGGGGAGCAAGGTATTCTTATTTAGCGTGTCATTTTAAGATTTTTTGCCTTGCCCGTGCCAACAGGCCTAGCGTTTGCCCATCAATTTCCGTCCCAGAGCAATCATGAGCCAGAGCGCGCCGCTTCGGGCACGGAGACACGGGGATACTTTGGCGGCGCAGGGCCCCATCGAAAAACACCGGCAAAGTGAGTGACACCTGCTTTTTTATTTTTTTGCTCCTTTTTATTTTTTTTCGGGCTGTTAGTGCAAGGCTAGCCCACAGTAGCGTCGATTCGACGCCTAAAGAGGACGAGGCATGACGCAACGGGCCTAGCTCGGCACTTGTTGGGCCGCCTGCAGCGCTGAAATACAGCAGCCACAAACAGCAACGCAGCACACTACTGGACGGAGCGGATAGCGGCAGACCACATAAGAAAACGATAGGGAGAAAAATGAGAGGTCAAAAGGTGCCCCGTTCATAGACTGATAGGCAATTGATACTGGTAAAACGATATCACAAGTGCCACACAGACACAGCCTTATCCTGCAGAAACAAAATAAAAAAAACAGAGCGACCCAGATTACAAGGATAGTGGGCTAGCCAAGGTTGGGTGTATCCACGCATAGTCATGCTGCGTACGCCGCGAAGCAGCACAAGACCTGCGCCGCAATCAATGCCCGCGGTGTAGATTTACCAGCTATTGTTTTGTATTAGCTGCTACTCTCAGACACCTCAAGGAACAATTGTTATGTCCAACGCCAGCTGCAAGGTACATCTTTCTTTGTTGGCGCACCCAAATTAGGCAGTGGTGGCGGACGCCTGGTGACGACACCCGTCTCGATGGAAGCGAGTGGTGCAAGCCACTACTGTCACCTGAAGTCTTAGCGTATTATACACCGCGAGTGCCGCTATTAGCCTCTACCGTACAAAGTACTTTCTAGCGCTAAGACCCAAAAAAGGTGAGCAGAATAGAGGGTCAGGCTGATTTGCCTTGTGATTATGGGGCTTGCTTGTGACAGTCCCCCCAAAGAGCCTCCAAGACAAAGTCAGTCAGCTGTTTGTTGAGCGCTCTCCATTTTTTTTCTTTTTGAAAAATTCGCAATTAATTCGGAACCATGCGCTTTGTCCCTGCATGATTCATACATTCTGGGAATATGCACGTTTTTCCTATTCTTTCTCGTCGTAGTCGTTTTCTTTGTTCCGTTTCCGTTTTCAAAAAAGTTCGATGTCACTTGTGGAGCCACCCACTGCGCGCAAACAGCACCTTAGCGGAGAGATACTGATTTTCCGTTTGTTTGTATAGACAAAAACATTGTTATATTTTAGAATATTTGAGATAATCACACGTACTCTACAAGATTACACGTTTTTTGTAGCACGGAACGTACCTTAATAAATAAATATGTTTTTACGAGTTTGTTTGGGCTGTATTTGGAGCGTCGGGAAAATCTGACGCTTTCCGCTCAGGCAGTAACCTGCCAGAAGCTGCCACTGTGGCCACTGACGTTTTACACTTTCTTCAATACCACAGGCTAGCTTTCTTGGTCTGCGGGCGACGTCACAACAATACAAAAATAGCCTGCAAATATGACCAGTAGCGTCAAATGCATCAATTTAGAGCCAGGCTTATTTTTGGAAGAGGATTGACGCTTGATTACTTCCCCGGAATGTGCAGCTGCATCGACTCGAGGAACAGCAAACATAGCTCAGGTACTAGCTGCAAACTCGACTTTGTTTAACGTCTGAGACAGAGACTCTCGACAATCGACTTCAGCTTTAGAAATAAAAAAAGGCTCTCCATGATGGATTACAGAGGCGGATTCCCCAGATTATCCGTTGGTGCAACGGTTGTATTTCTCGGTAGTAGGTTGCTGTGCGCGACTTGACTAACCAATGCCACTCGCCAAGTATACCAAGACTCTGTTCTCTGCCAACTCGGAGTAGTAGAATTTCATAAACATGCGCTACAACTGCAAGTCAACGGCCGCTGGTTTGTACTAGATTCGTACGTGAGGTAGTATGGCTTCCAACGCTGGATACTGTTAATCAGCTTTGTATAAGAAGCTGGAGTCCTCGCAATGTTTCAGATAATATCTCTCCGATTTCGTTTTTGGCACAAGCTTGACCCAAAATGAAGGCTTACGCAGTTGTTCTCGGCCTCATCGCCACGGCATCCGCCCTACCTCAGCAGCAGCAGCAGCCCAGCCCAAATCATGGCGCCTTGGAAGTGGGCAAGACGTATGCCGTCTCGAGTGACTGGATGATCCGTGAGCTCCCCAAGCCGAGACTTTGTAAGTACCGCTTTGTTCCGATATTGGAATCCTCATCACTTCCTACTAACACGGCACCACGTGTACAGTTGAGGGCGTAGCCAAGGGAAAAAAAGGAAAAGGCAGACCCAAGGGAACGAAAAAGGATGCCCCATGTGTCACCAAGAACTCGCTAGATGCTATGCTCAGAAACTGCGCAGCCATTACAGAGCTTGCAGCACAGAGTATCCTTGCAGCTAGTGACGCAGATATGGAGAGATATTGGTTTGACAAGGGAGACGCTGCTATGCGTCAAAAGATTGCAGCCGCTTACAACTTCCTTGGCCAGCAATGTGCCCAGTCCAACGAGACGTCGATCCGCTTCCCTTGCTCCGACAACGAAGGCCGCTGCGAGTCTGGCAGCGACATTGTGTTCATGACGCCGCGCGAAAAGACCTTTGAGATTCTGCTGTGTCCTCACTACTTCTCTGTGACTGACTTTGAAGAGCCGCGCCAGTGCGACGTCCGATCGACATCGCGACAACTCCCGCTGCTGCTGACTTACATGACCAAGGACCCCCACGGCCTCAACTTCAACGACGCCGACGACGACGTTACCAAGAATAGCGTTGCTTACTACATGTGGTCCCAGTCCTTTGCTTCTCTTGGTTGCCAAGGCAGAATTCCAGAGCAGTTTGCTGCCATGTCGCAGGCAAAGGCGCCTGTGCTGCAATAGGAGCGATAACACACCAAACAGCCAGCGGGTACCTGGAACGTGCCTGAACATACGACTAGTCAACCACAAGTTGCGTCAGTCCCAAGTGTGTGTGAGTGGGCAGATAGCTAGCCAGGGACCTCTGCGTCAATCACATTCGCAGTGGGTCGGCGAGTTTAGGGCAAAAGAGAGATGTACAACGAGCTGTGCCGTTGATAAACGTGGCGCCACTCTTGGAAACCTTCTAGATTTTGGGCTAACACGGAGGGCTATCGGGGTTCCGGTCTCCCCGGGGCGGCGGCACGGCGACATGTGGGAAAAACGGTCTGTGGTGTGTACGTGCTCTAGACTGAGTGCGCTTTGGTAAAAGCACATGTCAGAGAGAGGTGGTTTCAACTGCAGCATTAAGCGTCTGGATATTAGCCCTGTTTCTTTTTTCTTAACTTTCATATGTAATTATAAACCATGAACGATATGAAATTAATTTTTAAATTATTTTTCTGAGGAGAGATGCGATGCCGCGTCATCAATTTTTGGTATGTACAGCTTTCCACCAAAGAACCCTTTAAGCACATGTCAGCGCCACAATTTCAACTGGTGTAAGTTGGTGACGTGGTGCGCTGCAGCCTTCGCAAGCATGGCCCCTGCAATCGGCTATCGCCTTGGCTTCTATTATGTTTATTTTTATTTCTTTTTCGCTTAATGCCATTATTATTATTTTCTCTTTGCGCCACAACCGGCGTCTCAGACACCCTCCTGCGGCGCCTTTGTCTCGCCGTGCTCCTTTTCCGCCTTGTTCACATTCTTCCACTCCAGCCCTAAGGCCCCCAACCCGGCCGCCGACGCCAATCCGGCCGCCATGAGGAAGATTTGGCGGATGGCGTCATTATACACGTTTAGGAGGGCATCTAGCTGGTCCGGTACAACAAGGTTGCGCAGCTCAACCGCTCCGAGGTTGCCAACCGTCCGCGCGTCAAGCCCGGGTACGAGCGGCGCAAGGCCCGCGGCAAGACTGGAAGTCAACAGGTTCTGACCGACGGCAATGAAGACGGTTCCGCCGAGAAGCTGGCAGAATTGGACAATGGAGGCTCCGGTTGGTACGTCACGTCGCCTCAGGACAGTCTGGGCGGCCATGTTGGCTTGGGAGAAACCGATACCGTTGCCAAAACCAACGACAATCTGATAGCCAATCCACATGCCTTTGGAAGTGTCTGGTTTCCATGTGGCCATTAGTCCTATACCGATGGGAGCAATGATAGAAGCCGCATAGGCGAGGGGGGTGTAGTAGCCAATCTTGCCAGTCAAAACACCAGACGCAATGATACCGACAACCATGCTCAAGATTAGAGGGAATGTTCGGATGCCAGAGTCGATGGCGTTGACGTTTTGAATGACTTGGAACCAGAGAGGAACGTAAAAGACGACGACGTTGAAGGAGCCGTTGAGACAGAAGACGTACAGCTGCGCAGCAAGAATGCTGCGGTTCTTGATGATGTGGAGGGGAATGGTTGCGTTCTCGCGCATAAAGACCTGGACCAGGCAGAATGCGACAAATAAAACGGCAAAGACGACGAGGAGTGCAATCACACGGCCGCTGGTCCAGTCATACTTTGCGCCGCCCCATTGCAGCGCAAGAAGCAGACAGATCAACGACGGGATGATGAGGAGTGCGCCGAGGGGATCCAGCTGGAGAAACTTTTGCTTCAGCGGCATTCCCTTATTCTCGCCTGGCATAGCCTTCATAGCCACGGCAATGACGGCAATCGCGACAGCACCAATGGGGAGATTGACTGCAGCGCGTTAGAGAACGTAGAGGTGCGAGACTCGGTAGGAGTAACTTACTGTAGAAGCACCATCTCCAAGTAACTTTTGTAGTAAAGACACCGCCGAGTAACGGTCCAACTACACTGGCAAGGCCGAATGCTGCACCAAACATGCCCTGATACTTGGCGCGCTTAGCCAACGGTACGGTACACGAGAGAAGCGTGACGGCGCCGTTCATGACACCAGCACCACCGATGCCGGCAATAGCACGTCCGACAATGAAGACTGTGGAATTCGGAGCAGTTGCGCAGATGAGAGATCCAATCTCGAAAATGACGATAACAATGAGGAAGACCATCTTGGGTGAGTAGTAGGTGTAGATGCGGCCGGCGAGCAGGAGAAGACAGCAAGATGTGAGGAGGAAGGCAGAGCCGTACCAGCCAATATCATCTAGGGAGTGGAATTCATTGGTCATTTGAGGAATGGCCGTGGCCACGATTAATCGATCCTAAGAAAAGTTAGATGTGGCGCTCGATGGGTGGGAGATCATGGTGGCGTACCAAGGCGGAGAGGAAGATGACAATGCATAGGGCTAGGATGACCGCATTGGCAGACTTTGCTGACGGATATTGAAATCCATCTTCGCTTTGAGTAGTATTGTCTGCAGATTTATCGCTTTGGCTAGTCTTTTCAATGTCGGTAGGAGTGCTACCGTTGGACGTTGTTGTAGGTGGAGGCATAGTGGAAGTAGTAGGAGAAGTCATTGTCGATGTCGGTGATCCGATGACTTGTTGTTGTTTTTATTGATGATGAAAGAAATCATTTTTGAATGGATTATTCGATGATATATATATTCAAAAGTGTTTAAGATTGTATTTACTAGTTCAAATAGATTTTCATATAGCGCCTGAGACTGCAAGACAGCTCGGGCCCGAAGACGAACGCTGATTGGCTGAGGGAAACTAGCAGTGCTGTTTTGGGCAGCCGCCTCGGACGATAGAAATGGCCGAGTAGATGTGACGGAGAACAGAAGACGTCTTTGGAGGCTCTTGTTAAATTTCCTTGGAAAATTAAGTAGAAAATAGGAGAATGAGAACAAGGTTATGTCTGTTGTAATACATACATTGTGTATGCCTTATTCTCCTTTTTCCTTATTTTGGAGATTCTGCGTCCACCCATTACACGCATGAAGCCAGACACGACTATATCTACGGGCACTGTTGGAATAGAAACTACACCAACAGAAGCGTCTTATCATTTTGCTTTTTATTTAAAGGTTCTAAATTGGTCAAATTATAGCCTGAAACGTTTTTTATCCCTTTACTGGATACTTATTTCGATCAACCACGTCTGGCAGTTGGCACCTGGCAAACCGACACACAGTGCCCCAACTCTCACACTGTACGACTCATCCACCAACTTCTGGTAAACTCGCCGACCATGACGCTCTTCTTTTCCACACCAAACAATCCCCCGCCGCTGATAATCCTCGCAGACTTCTACTTGTCATTTGCAAAACGAGAATCGTCGATAATGCCTGACTCGGCGTCGCCTGAATCCGCTGATGCTGGCGGCACCGCCTCAGGTCGGGTCCTTGCTTGCATCCAGTGCCAACAGCGCAAGGTCAAATGCGATCGCAAGTTTCCTTGCGCCAGATGCGTCAAAGGTGACATTTCGTGTGTTCCAGGTACAGCAGTGGGAAAGCAGCGCAAGAAGAGATTTGCAGAGCGAGACCTCCTGGAGCGGCTGAGGAGATATGAGCGCCTCATGGCGGAGCATAATATTGCCTTTGAGCCAATGCACAGTGGCGGCTCCGAGCAGCGTCAACTCCCTCCAGTGCGCCAATCAGAATCACTGGCCAAGGAATCTCCTTCAGAATCACAGGCAGAGTCTCCCTTTGCTACGCGGTATGTACACCATCAAACAGCGTCATCACCCAACTGCGCTAACAGGTATCATCAGCGACCTTTGGACAGCCATCAACACAGTAGTTAGTACTATTCATATCCACCATCCTTTGCCATAGCCCGGCTAACACAATCCAGGCGCGCCCAGAATACTCTGACGACGATGCTGAAGACTATGATTCCGAAGATAATGGCCTCAGCTTCCCCGCAGAAGACGTGCGCGACTCCATCTTTTACCAAATTTGGGACTTTACCACATCGCAGGATCTGCTCTTTGGCTTAGGCAACTCTTCCAGCGTAGAACTGGCCACATTGCATCCGAATCAACTACAGCGATTCCAACTATGGCAACTGTATCTCGATAATGCCAACCCGCTACTCAAGGTGTCCCATGCGCCGACGCTGCAGACTAGGCTAATCCAGTCGACAGCCAGCCTTGCCACCATAAAGCCAGAATTAGAAGCGCTGTTGTTTAGCATATACTGCATTGCGCTAACAACGATTGACGAGGATACATGTATGGCATCCTTTTCTACCCCAAAGGCCGACATGCTCCGCATATACCGATTTGCATGCCAGCAAGCACTGTTCAACTGTAACTACATGCGCACCAGCGATATGGACTGCTTAACGGCACTCTTTCTATACCTTGTATGTGTTCCAAGACTCATCTTCAACAAAATAAATACTGACTGGAAGCAGCTATCTGTCAGAGAACATGCCGACCCTCGAGCCATGGCATCCCACTTGGGCGCCACCATCCGCATCGCGCAACGCATGCGCCTCGACAACGAAAGCCACCTGTCTAAACTTACGCCCTTTGCAGCCGAGATGCGCCGCCGTCTCTGGTGGGCAATCGTAATATTTGACCAGCGCATAGCAGAGATGACTGGAGGCAAAAACAGCATCCTTGCCCCCATCTGGGATTGCCTACCAGTGCACAACCTCAACGATGTCGACTTACACCAAGAGGCGAAAACACTACCCGCATCAGCAGCAGACAGTAATACAACGACTGAGGCGCTCTTCTGTGTATTGAAGAGCAAAATTGCTAATTTCACCCGATTCACAATATCATACATCAACTTTGCCACGCCTGTATGGAAGGAAATAGCAAAAGCAACCTCGCACGGCTTAGTTGAGACCATGGACGGCGTGGTCGCATTCGGAGACATGATTGAAGAAAAGTATCTCTCAAAATGCAATCCAGATATCCCGCTACAATTCTACACTCTCTGGCATACCCGCGCCAGCCTCGGCCGACTCCGCATCATGAGCTATTTCAATCTGCTGTGGCACAGCACACCCGAAGACATGCCGCTGCATCATCGAGACCTCGCCTTTCGCAGCGCCGTACTCGCTCTGCAAGCCGACACTAAGCTTCTCACCGCGCCGTCTGTAAAACATTTCTCGTGGCTATCCGATTTCCACTTTCTCTTCCTCGCGTACGTGCTTATAGTGCAGGAGCTGCGGCGCCGGCCGACACATGCCTTTACAGAGGAAGCATGGGAAGTGTTCCTTGCGGATGTCGAGGCTCGATGGCTCGCCAAGGGCAGTGGCACGGTAATCTTCCTCAGGATCTTCTCCAAAGCTCTATCGAAGGCATGGGATGCAAGAGAGGCTGTTGCTCGCAAGCGGGGCATCACGCTGACGCGGCCCGACATCATCATTGAGACTATAAATTACTATCAAAGCTCATCAGGCGCTCGTAGCAGCGCCTCTAATACGCCGGCGCCAGATGGTGGCGACATGGACATGGACCAGATGTTTGGGCCCGGCGGCATGTTTGACATGAGCGGCGCGGATAAGATACCACCGTCGACACTATTTACAGATACACTTGGTGCTGGCATGTACGATGATACAGTATTGAACCAGATGGCTGCCGAGGGCCTTTTTGATACCCAAACTTGGTAGAGGACATTGACTACATACATTTGTTACATAGATACGTAGGCTTTAGCAAAGCCAGCTTAGAAATGCCACTCCCCATCCATCCATTTCTCGAGAATATCCAACGTGCCGGGTCGCAGATCACCGGGTACCAAATGTCCCGCCTTATCCAGAGCCATAAAGACCAATCTACCATCGCGTGTTGCCTTCCACTCACCAGTGGTTTCTGGCACACCCTCGAGTGGGCGGAACTTGGCAGCTCTGTACTCGGCCTGCTTGCTCCATCGCAAATTGTCGTAGACTCGCTTGTTGCCCGCCGTGTTGACGATCCAGTCATCATTTCCGTTGAAGATGAGCAGCTTGATATCGGCGAGGCCATTGCGCAGGGCAGGCTGGGGCACCATTGGCTCCGTGTGGATAGCGTCGAGAATGGACGCTACCATTCTTGTGGTTGGTCGCATCATCTCGAATCTCTCGGCATATCGAGTGTTTAGGTCAAAGTTAGTGTCTTTATATTCAAATGCCGGCGAGTATCCCAAGGCTTCTTTCACTTCCGGCTTGTTGAAGTAAATGCTGATGAAGCCGGTATCTGGTCTGCCACACTGTTCTGGGTTCTTGCACCTAAGATGAACTGTAAAGGCTTTGGTTAGCGTCGTGCCCGAAAAACAGAAAAGCAAAAGGGGGGGGGAGTGTCATGTTTGATGCAAACTTACTGTTATATGGTGTGCCGTGGCCTTTGTCCACTCGTTTCTGATAGGGGGCCCAGATGTCCATGCCATGCTCAAAAGCCACGGCGCAGTCATGGCTGTTCTGGGTCACGGTGCAGTAGTCGCCTAGCGCCTCGTTTGCCGGGACCAAGCGCTGCATATCTTTGCACTCTTCGTGAGTCAGGATACCCTTTCCAGTTTCTGACTCGCAAAGCAGGTCGTATGTTCCGGCAACAAGAGGCTGGAATTCAAGCAGGGCATCGACGAGCACCATACCTGTAATATTGCCCCGGAATGCCGTGCTGGAGTCGTAGCTGCGTGCGTTGAGAATATGGTTAACGTATGTAGGGATGTAATGGCCACCGTACGATTCTCCTGCAAGAATGATTGGAAGGTTTTTCTTTTCGGGGAAAGCTTTATCAAAGAAGAGGTTGAGGAAGGTTTGGAAGTCCTCAGCGCCCTCGACATCACGGTTGGAGCCCTTACCACCCTCTGCGACTGTCGAGAATCCCACTCCGGCTGGCTGGTCGAGGATGATGACGGTGGCTCGGTTGTTCCAGCCCCATGGGTTTGGCTCGGTAGAGTTGGAGTCGTTTCGGAGCCAGCATGCACCCATCTCGTTGAAGCCTCCCATGAGCGATGATCCGCCAGGACCGCCGTTCATCCAGAGAAGGACAGGGTCGTTTTCAGGGTCATTGCGGCTTTCGAAAGCCCAGTAGAATAGTCGATGTGTGTCTGTTACGTCAATTGTTCCGGTCCAATGCTCTTCACCCGAAGTTGCACAAGTCTGGTTGGTTTGCTTTCGGCGCGTAAACTGGCCAGCTTTGTATGGCATCTGATCAAGATACGCTCCATCACCCTTTACGCTTCCAAGAGGAACTTGGTGCTTGGATGACCCGATGGATTGGTAATTGGATGTAAAGGCCGATTCATCCCGCTGTGCGGACGCTGCTGGCTGGAGCTGAGGAAGAATAAGTTGGGCAGACGCGCTGTGAGCTATCAGAGCGACAGCGGCGATCGCAGATTTCAACAACATTTTTACAGAGACGGTGTTGCAATCGCGGCAGGATTGAATTAATTTTTGGTAACAGAGGCTGTCAACACAAGAGGAACGGCAGCTGAAACCTATAAACTAGTTTTATGGGTTTCTCGGGAAGTAAACGAACGGCGAGCGGGACCCCTGCGGGGGTGCAAGCTGGTGACGCGGCGGTGTTCGTTTAGTGGCACTTTTGTGAACAGTGATGGCTTTTTTGTTACCAAATAAGCAATACTCGGTCATTTCCTCATTTAGTGACTCATACTACGGACGGAAAAGGAAACCCAGATATCCAGAAGATAAATAACAAAAAAAGGAAAAGAATAAACAAACAGCTAAAGGCCTTGTATAGCGGCATGGGGCTGGCAAACAAAAGTGGTCATCATATATGTATGTTCCGGCAATCATTTTCCAATCATAATAAATCGTGCCAAAAATGCAATCGCAAAAGCAAACCGTAATTCATCAGGTGAGAGTCGTCAACATTGCTTTGAGAAGTCCTGGAGGAGGGCCTACATTGAAGAAAGAAAAACAGTTAGAATACCAGCAACATTGGCATCGCGTGGAGCGGCATGGCTTTGCACCTTTATCAGCGCGCCGGCAAGCTAATTGTGATCCTACCTTTCTTGTCCTTTTCAATTCGGGCTGGCTTGTGCGTGTGTGCTCGTTCGATGCGCTCTTCGTAGACAACAAGCTGGCCGTCTTCCATTCTCTCGGATCGCACAATGTCATAGTCTTCGACGACTCTGGGGCGGTGGACCAGCTCTCTCTCTAGAGCTTTGATTTCGGCACGAATTTCACGACCGGATCGAGAGCGTGAGCGAGAGCGGCGACGGTCAATAATGAGCTCGTCATGGTGGTGGTGGTGGTGTCGGCGGTGAGGAGAAGACGTGCGGATAACCGTTTCTTCCACAATATCAAGGTCGTCACTTGGTCTTGCGTCGATGATGATCGGTCCCTCAGCTACGGGAGGCGGAGCAATGACAACTGGAGGTGGTGGAGGAGGCGCAGGTGCGACTACAGGTACGGGTACCTGTACTGGTACCTGTACGGGTGCAACAACAACCTCTTCCTTGTGTTCAATCTTCTCCTCGATAATTTCACCGCCCTTGCCGTCGGTAATATGAACTTCAGCTGCAGTTCGTGTTAGTATACAAAACATATTACGGCGACCTAAAAAAAAAGAAAAGCAGCTTACTCTTCTTATACTCGTCGCTCAGTCGTAAAACCTCGTCAATGTGCTCTTGTGCGAGTGCCTTTCCAATGATGATGGAATTGCCCTAATACATCTGTTAGCATAGCGCCCGTCTCACTAGCAGATATGGTCTGTTGTTACTCACCTCGATAATAAAGGGGTACCCGAGGTCGACAATGGCTCGGGTAGAGACAAGGTGCATGGGAATCTTTGTCTTGCCGCGCTTGGGATATTCACTCCTGACAGATGTGCCAGCATGGCTGCGTGTTCGGCTGCTCGAAGATGAACGGCTGCTCGGAGGTGAATGCTTGGAGGATTTATGAGTGCGCGCTCCACGGGATTCACGGCTCCGATCCCGCTCATCATGAGTGTGAATGACTTCCCGTTCACGGATGATGTCTGGGCGGCCATCGTTGGCGTAGTACTCTCTGTCAATAATTCGTTCATCGTCATAGTACTCGCGGTCATGCTCGCCTCTTCTGGGTGGCGGCATACCCTCTGTTCTTGGGAGTGGGATTGGCGTGTAAGCGGGAGCGCGGAAATCTTCACGGCGAATATCCTCTCGGCGCACTGGCACGGGGTACTCTTCGCGTGGCTCGAACCCACGGAGAGGACGGCGATCATAGGTGTCAAGAGAAGACTGGCGTCGGACGAGAACAGGAGGGCGCCTGGGAGACGGCTCTCGCTGATACTCCCGGTCGCGCTCTCTATCAAAGATGACTCTACGATCGTATTCAGCGCTTCCCGATCGATCAGTGCGGCGCTCGTAGCGGTCGTCCTCGTAGTATCGGCGGTCGCGAATGATGTCATCGTCATATCCCCGGGGCGGGGGTCGGCGGTCGTAACCACGGTCGTAGCTGGATCTGTCAGGCGAAGGACCGCGGCCTCCTCCACGGCCACCGCTCATCCAAGCACGATCATCCTCATAATACTGCTCGCGCTCACTGCCCCGAGGGCCTCTTTCGCGGGAGTAGTAGGTGCGGTCGTCTTCGTATCTAGACATGGTGTTGGGTTGAAGCGTCGCACCAAAGGCCACGAGGGCAGCAGTAGGACTATTGTTCTGGGTTTGTTGTCGACCCAAGTAGAAAGGCTATCTATGCCAAACGGCGTGGCGCCGGTGATGTAATGCAGGCAAAGTATAAAAATGCGGGCAGCTGCGGGCGGGAAGGGCCGTCGGTTAGCTCTGAGCGTAGCCGCAAAGAAAAGAGGGTTCGCTGTTGATAGAGTTGTGCGGTAACGTAAAAAGCACGAAGAAGTGTTGGTGACGGAGAAAGAGAACAAGAAGAAGAGGAGAAGGCGGGAGAAGGAGGTGGAGAGGATAAAAATATCAAGCTCGAGGCGAAGCTGGTGGGGGAGTACGACAACACCAGGTGGGCGGTACGTGCGTGTGGCACAGAGTCAGTCACAGCAGCGCTGACTTTTGGTTGCACCAGCAGCACTGGCGGGTAAGGCAGCTGGTCTTATTGTTAGGCCAAGGGCCCTGTAAATTGGGCGGAAACACAGCAGTGGGACACAAATGCCGCTGATAGGGCGCAGACCGTGTCGTTGCGTGAGCTGAAGAGTGAGGCGGTGCTGCTGCTGCTGATGGAGCTGCTGATTCTAGAAGAGTTGTGTTTGATGTATGTGAGATGGGGGGCCAAGGCATCCAAAGGAGTACCGTAGCTGCAGATAATATAAATTATCAATGCAGAAAAGCAGGTAGGCGGCTTGGGCAACCCGCACATCAGCCACTGGACAGCTAGAGATAATAGAGGGCGGCCGCCTATGACGTCGAGCGTTTTTCTGCTGCAGGCCGCAACCCCGCCAGACTACTGCGGGAGAGGCTGCGCTTCCAGGGTTTGGCATCCGCTGGGTTCCAGGCGTTGGTGGTACGCCTCGTGACCTCATTCGTCAGCTGCTGGTCCCTTGGTGGCTGAATGACTTGGACATGGGCGCTGAGCAGTTATCTTGCGAAAAACGGCTGCCAAAAATCAAGATGATGGAAGATGGCGATCGTTGCTTAGTGGGTTGTGCGTTGTTTAGTCTGCTTCCAAGGCATGTGTGGTCGCAGGGTTATGGTGATGGCCCTACACATCGGTTCGTTCGCCTCATCGTCGCTGCCTTTTACCTAAAGAGCTGTATGAAGCCTGCATTCACGGAATACAGATGGACGCCTGTTCTCTCACCGAAGTGTGTTAGACGCCTGAGAGCGAGTGAAAGGCTTCACCGAAGCAGGCTTGTATAACACACACTGGTGCATGCCAAGCAAGATCAAGGCAACCATGATCGGCATACACAGCAATTCGCACATGCGTACGTATCTTAATCTTAGAATAAAGTATTTCGAATAGCATATTGTCTTGAATTCCAATAAGAGTGATGTGTAGCCCCGTCATCGTGTAGTTCGTATGTCTCGCTACTACCCCGAGGCGTGGTGTGCTCTGAACGATTAGTTTATAAACCGTTATAAGTTGCCAAGCTATCATCTCTTACTTACGTAAAATAGACAAAGATATTAAAATCCAGCTTTTCCCGCTTTTGCTGTGTAAAAAACAAAAGAGTACACCGAGAATACTCGTCTGCAGCTGGCAGCTTGTCGCGACGTAACACAAAGAAGTGTCAGTCAATGGTAGTGAGCCCCACATTCACCAACGTCAGACTGAACTCTCAACACATAGACGGTAAAATATTATACATTTTTTTATGTATTAAGTTTAAATATTTTATTTCCTATATACACTATACGGGTAGTTTTTCGTTCTAGTTGGAGCGGACGAAAGAGAGCTGGCCACCAGCACCCTGGTTGTCAAGAACAAAGGTACCCTTAGCCTGGGCGCAGATAGAGCCGTCGCCATTGTGGACAGTCTTGGTACCGCACTGGGCGAGGGCCTGGTACTGGACGGCGCCAGACTGACCAGGGCTGACGGTGAAGGTCTCGGAGTCACCGTTGGTGACGGCAATGGAGTGGTCCACGGTGACAGAGGCGCTGAAGACATCGGCAGCACCAACGCTCATGCTGAAGGAGTCAGTAATGGTGACGGAGTGCTGAAGCTGGACGGAGCAAGACTGGCCCTGGCCGGGGCAGCTAATGAAGGGGGAGACACGGGCGCCCTGGGCAAAGCAGCTGACGCAGTCGTCGCAAGTGACAGAGGTTGAGCCGCTGCAGCCATCACGCTTCTCAAGGGCATCCTTAGCGGTGGCTTCCTCGAGCTTGAGGGCACGGCGGGCACGGCGGGCTTGGAACTCGGATTCTTCCCCACGCTTGGCAATGATGGCGCCGGAATCAGCCATGTCGGCGACAACACTACCGGAGGGGATGCCGACGAGGTTGTTGCAGCCGGTCTGGTCGCACTCAGCAGTGACAACATCCAGGGCGGGAGTAACGGAATCGTAGCATCCGCTCTGGTGGAAGACACCCTGCAAAGAACCGCACTGAATGTGCTGGTTCTCTTGGCTCTGGGGGAGCTGGAAGATGGCAACGCCGTTGACGGTGTCCTTGACGGTGACCTGGATATGGCCACGAGGGTCATCGTTGGGGAAGAAGTTGTACAGGGTGCAAGTGTTGACACCCTCGGGGCTGATGTCAATGGTAGGACCAGTAGGCTTATCGCATGATCCGCCCTGCCAGACGACAGTGATCTTGGCCTGAGCGGCAGCAATGAGCGCAGCAGCGCCGATGAGAGTCTTGGAAACCATGGTGGGCGATAGGAAAAGAGGGTATCACTTGGATTAAGGGATCAGTGCTGGCATCTTAAACCTTAATTCCGGCTGGGGATCGGCACCATTATATACTTTGTACATCTGCAACACGTTAGAAATACAATTACAATGTCGGTCGAAATATCCATCCGAGTCATACAATGGTGAAAAAAAGTTGAGATGGATAAAAGGAAAAGTTCCGTGAGTTGTGTTGATCTATGACGTAGACATCCCACTTGCCAAGACGCTTCGACTATCGAGCCTCCGCATCTACTTCAAAAGGTTGACTCGAGACGGCATCATGAGTGGTGGAACGGGCAATTCTCCTGTAAGCCTGTCCACAATGTGGATGCAAGGCCCCGGCTGCGGCGCCGATCGGCAGAGACTGATGCAGAACACGCCTGCAGTTGATGGTGATGCACCCCACAAGATAGGGACTCACATAGACTTAGGCTTTCCACGCTTACACGCTTAGGGCGCCGTATTGAACGGCGGCACCCTGCTGGCTAAACCTGCCCTGTGGCACCGCTAAATACGTTTCCACGAGTCAGCGACTGCCGAAAGCGCCCAAAAACGACGATCCCAAGGGAATAATCGATGCGCGCAAAGAAGGACTAATCCCGAGGACGAAATTGGACCCGGCAGGCAAGCAAACCTCGTCCTGAGAAGGTATTAACAATAATATATCCGAGAGCATTCATCCGGCATAGCCTCTCAACGCTCAATTTGGCGGGCGCATCCGCCTTGCGGCACGCCTACCTGCTCTAGTCTACTGAGTCGCCAGACCCAGTGTTGAATCCTCTTTATAGAATTCTGCAGAATCTTATCAAGCAACCTAATAACAGAAGCAGATTTTGGCGAGTAATTCAGGTTCCGTGGAGTATACTAGAATCAAGGCAAAAATTCCCACGTGCTAAAGCTCCGGAGATTAACGATAATGGTTGTGGGTAGAAAGATCTCGATGAACCGACCCAAAGACAAGGAGGACTGGGACACATCGCAATGTAACATTCTGCACTGTATTATCCACAGCTTGTAGTCTCTTTTCTCTATTACTGGGGATGGGTGAACATACTTTTCGAACAATTTTGTATTGCATTTCGAAATCAAAAGGGACGAGACGATGAAGGACGATGAATTGCTGCGGCGCGTTTGCAGGGTCGAGAATGCTGCAGTCGTTTGCTGGTTGTGCGGCAGCACTCGTGACCGAGTGGTCACCCCCTCTCCCACCCGCAAACACCAACCTTCTGGTGACGACAGCTTCTACAAAGCGCCATGCGATGCAAAAAAGCGAAGCAACAGTCAGCTCATCGACGCCAATACCAAAAGGCTATGGGTTTTTGCGCAAAGGCAACCCTTTTCTAACGTCACTGTGCAGACGCAAAACAATCACGTCGAAGAAGACTCTGTATATTGTCAAGGACAAGTCGCGTATCCAAGGCCTGCGGGCACCAAAATATATCCTTGCGCAGGTATTCGCTGAGGAAAAGCAGACAAGAAGTCAGAGACAGGCGCAGGTTCGACGCAAAGATGGCACCGCTACAGACAGCTTTCTCAAGGCCATTCAGGCGCAATTTCCGAAGATCCCGGCTCCTGAGGCAGAAATAGTAGCCAGCAAAGCGACAAAGAAACGTAGCGGACGCGTTGGGAGAACAGGCACGCTTGATATGGACACAAAAGTTCGCCTAGCAGTTGCTGCTCACATACGACACTGCCACACCGGCTATGATGTGATGATGGAGCGTGGAGACACGCGGGAAGAATCTAGAGCAGCAGTGCAGCAGACCATTTTGGATAAGCTGAACGAATGGCGAGGGAAGGCGAATTTTACAGCACAGAAAGATCAAAGGAACAGAACTTCACGCCTGTCAAAAAGTACTGGACGGACAACGACGACACGAATAAAGACTCGAGCAGCTGGGTACCAGGACAGGCAACCATCACCAGAAGTCATTTCCTTGCTAAGCAGCGATGAATCCGAAGCCAAAAGCCCGGAACGATTGGACTTGGATACTCTATCAGACTTTTTCGCCACGGATGACGAAGACGAAGACGAAGTTGACGACGAAGGAACAGGAAGCGATGTTATGTTGGACTCACTCTGATAAAATATAGTGGCTGCGGCTGGCATGTATTATATTGTAGATTTATAATTGTAATTCTGTATAAAATACTTGGGAGTTATGCTTTTTCAACTCACATTTCTTTTATTAATTTTTTTTGGCAAACCTATCCCTCTGTATGAAGTTGCTTGGGCGGTTGGATCAAGGTGCTGATTGATGATGATGCTGGCAATGTACTCTGTCGCCCAGTTGTCATAGTAAGTGTACTTTTCTACGGCAGCTTGCCTACTGAAAATGTACTGTAGCATTCGCTGTTTTGGTTCCTGGCTCCGCGACGTTAGCGCACTTCCGTGGAGGGGGCCGCCTAGAAACGCCAATTGGTTGGCAACCCCTGCCCGATCAGGCACGACAGGGGAAGCTGGTAAATGAGCCAAACACCATTTCGGGGGGCAAAGGTGTCTCTTGCCTGGCTCCTCTAACTGGCATCGCGTGCTGCTTCGCCAATTCCAGCCCGTGCAATATCACAATTGCTGTTTTGCTGACCAGCTTGGCCTCGCCATCAAGATATAGCAGCATTTCCTTGTTTACAATCTGCATAAACTACAACTACCCCGCGTCAAGCTTCCAAGACATTGACGTAGCTAGCTTCATCCCTCACACGCCTAGCTCGAGTGCAACGACTACCGATTCACGTGTCCCTTTCGAAAACTACATCGTACAGAAACTTCTGCACGCCATTGGCTCGACATGGACGGCACACCAAGTCGACCAAGCGGTCTGCCTCGCCCATCGAGGCTACCACAGCCAAAAGCTAGCTCTGGGATCCCACGGCCAGCATTCGCTTCTACTCCGCTATCTCGCCCGAGAGCAACCCAGGAGCAACCACCAACCAACACCTTTGCTGGCCCAGGCCAAGATTTACACAGCCCAAAGCTACGGGGAGCGCCTAGCGCTGCTGGCCGGTCATTGACATCAAGCAAGAGTGCCTCACTGCGTCAGTCATTGTCAAGAGATGCGCCACCAGCCGCTGCTCTCCGGACCCCATCAAAGCCCGGCACCCCCCGTGTTTCATCTACAACAACCCGCCGCACGAGCACATATGTAGATCGATCTTTCGGCCGATTATCACAAGGTCCCGCTGTCCCGCCACTTCCTAGCCCATCGAGACTGGATGCATCCGATCAGTTCATAAGCGCAGACACAATCTCTCAAGCCGATGAAGGATCAATATCGCCCATTGACTATGGAAGCAACGATCAGGCAATAGATTTGACCTACGATGAGGCACCTTTAGGAACACCACAACAGCGCTCTACCAAGCCAAGGCCATCGCTGTCTGAACGAACCATCGAAACCCTTGCCCGATTACCCTCATCGCCAGCAATTAGAAAGAAGTCATCCACAAACTTCTATGAAGCAAGACCAGCATCTCGGTCTGGCAGTGCTGGGTCGCGGCCAGGATCCAGCTACAACTCGGATGGCTCTGCAAAGGCTGCTTCTGGATCGTCCAGCCGGCCTCAGTCTAGGGGAGAGCCAGATGACAGATCCTCGGCCATGGGCTACAAATCAGCGCTTCCCACCATCGATGGCACCCCTGATGGCCAAGCAGCGTGGACTCCGAGCATGCGTAAAACGAGCGCTCGGCCTTCTCTAAACTCTCCTTCCAAGCTAACGTTCTCGTCAATCCCCGATGTACGCAGCCCCAGCCCGGAAAAGACCATCGGTATGGTAGCAAATAAGGCATTATCTGCCCGACCATTGAAACCCAAGTCCTCTGTAAACGACATGCGGAAGAAGGCTTCGCAAGCATCGCTTAGAGCGCAAGAGGATATTGGAATGCCTGAAGGGGATGGTAATGGGTGGGATGGAAGCATCGCGTCAATCGAGAAGCCTGTTCGAAAGAGCTCAGAGCGAATAATTACGGCTAGAAAGTCCTCAGCAGCTCTGAGGGAGCAGATTGCAAAAGCAAAAGCTTCAAAACGGGCTGTATCTGGAACATCAAACATGGATTCCTTTGGGGGTGCTGATGACGTTTCAATCATGCAATCCGGCAGTGGATTTGATTTTGACATCAACAACTCAGATCCCTTTGGGCAACAGAACAATGAAGCAGTTGGTGCTAAAGTTCTGCTGCAACGAATTGCTGCAGCGCGAGGTAGTGGCAAGCTCAACATTTCGGCACTTGGACTTCCGGCAATGCCTGAAGATGTCCTAAAGATGTATGAAATGGAAAGCATTGGAACAAATGGAGGGTCTTGGTCCGAAAGCGTGGATTTAACGAGACTTGTTGCGGCGGACAACGAGTTTGAAACATTGGACGCTGCCATGTTTCCAGATATAAGCCTCGAAGACTATAGTATTGATGACGACGACACACCTGCCAACATTTTTGGTGGTCTTGAAACAATGGACCTCCATGGTAATAAACTGGTAGCGGTGCCCCTGGGATTCCGAAGACTGGGTCAGCTTACGTCTCTGAATCTGTCTTCCAACCGCCTCTCGATGGACTCTTTCGATATACTCGCTGAGATGACAACTTTACGAGATCTTAAGCTAGCCAACAACAGTCTATCTGGTACCTTGCACTCGGCCATTTCAAATCTCACGAGTTTGGAGATTCTCGACCTCAGAGGCAATGCCCTAACGGCGCTACCCAACGAGATTGTGCATATGAAGCGGCTACGAATTTTAAATGTTGCTGAAAACGCGCTTGAAAGTGTACCCTTCGCAGAACTAGCCCAATTGCCATTGACGGAATTGGTATTGCGAAAGAACAAGTTGTCTGGAACATTGATGGAGCCACCTGTGGCGTCCTTTGGGAGCCTTCAGACACTCGATATTTCTGCGAACCAAATTAAGCTTTTGGTACCCAGTGGATCTATGATTGAGCTCCCAGTGCTCCATACATTGTCCATGTCGATGAATCGAATGCAAGAGCTGCCCGATATGAGCAGCTGGACAAGCCTCTTGACCCTGACCGCTGATGAGAATACTATTTCTGTTATCCCACAGAGTTTCTGTAGCCTAATGAAGCTCCGACAAGCCGACTTTTCAGGAAATGACATTCGAGTTGTGCCTCCAGAGATCTCTAGAATGGATAATCTGTCTATGATTCGATTGAGTGGAAATCCACTCCGCGACAAGAAGTTTGTTACTGCAACAACCGATGAGATTAAGGAGGTGCTCTCTGCTCGTCTTGAGCCACCGCCACCGTACCAAGAGCAGAACAACGCTGATACGATTCAGACACTTGTGACAGGAAATTCAGATCGCGATGCGAAGAAGAGTGAAATGGTCCAGGGCTTTGACGAAGACTACGACAGCCAATCTGACGGTGAGGATCGGTTTGCCACACCACCCACATCCTCTCAACATACGCCATCGCACTCGCGAAGCAACACAGAACAGACCATTGCTGGTCAGATGCGAGGCATGGAGATTGATCGATGGGAGGTCACGCCGGGAGGAATACTTGATCGCTCTAGAACAGACATTGCGTCACTCTCTCGGTCCAGATCGTCGACGATTGCATCTAACCACCAAGTACGACAAGTCCAGCTCCATCACAACTTGTTTACATCGATGCCAGTTGCCTTGAGCGAGTTTGGATCTACACTTACGTCTATCTCACTGGCGTTTAATCAGATTGCGGGTGATGGATATCTGGTAGAGACGCTTGAGTTGCCCGCCTTGAGGGAGCTCAACCTAGCGTCGAACCGCATCTCCAGCATGGCGCCGCTGCTTGAAAATCTACGGGCGCCAAATCTGGAAAAGATGGATGTTTCCCTAAACCGCATCACTGTCCTGCCTGAGGGCTTGAACGCAACCTTCCCAAAGATGACTGTTTTGCTGGCTGCGAACAATTTGATTTCTGAGCTCAATCCCGACGCTGTCAAGGGGCTTAGAATTGTTGAGGTGTCTAACAATGATATTGGGGCTCTTGATCCACGACTTGGCCTGCTGGCTGGTGAAGGAGGCTTAGAGAGACTTGAAGTATCAGGCAATCGATTCAAGGTCCCGAGATGGAACATCTTGGAACAAGGAACCCATGCAACGCTGCGCTGGCTCCGTGGTCGTCTGCCAGTCGAACAGGTGGAACAGTGGGAGCGCGAGAACGGGGAAGAAGGTGATGATGGTGTTTTGTAATGGGTTGTATAGAGTCTGCAACGAAGCCTTGCAGTGTTTTGTACGGAATGTACCAGTAATGTATAATGTGTTTATATCGTAATTGTACTAGTATTGGAGGAAGTTGCGTCGCTCTTGCCTGTGTAAACAATGCGCTGATTGAAGCAAACAGCCAGCGAATAGACTGACACTGTGGAAACAAAGCTGCATCATATATTGCATACACTAGATCTATCATCGCATTACAATCACACGCAGTCAGCATTTTGTCATTTACGAGTTTTCGTCCGACGTGAGCCCGTCTGCCACAAGCCCGTTATTGCCTACGACTCGGTGTGGCGCTGCATCGACGGCCATCCAGCTCTTTATTCCTAGCCGAGATATATTTCAAATGACGCACCAGGGCAGAGATACTGCGACCTACATGGCGAATCCAATATCTAGTCCCCTGCGCAACAACAGCAGCGTTATCGCCAGTGCGCCTCCAGCAAGGCAGACGTTCCAGCCCAACGTGCTGAAGCCAAACTACACCGGTAGCCCACTTCTTGGGGTCCTGGAAATCTTGATTCCTGTTACAGTCATAGCCTGGGTTCTCGTTGGTGCCGTGTGCATCGTACATATCAACGGGCGGCGACTTGGGGCAGGCCGTTGGCTGCCGGAATGGTACCGGAAGTCTAGGGGCACGGCAGGGGACAAGGTGCTAGTGGTGTGTTGGTGGGCAGGGACCATTGTGGCCTGGCCAGCGATAGTTGTAGGGATCTTGATTGGTAAAGCGGTCCATTCTGCAAGGGGTTTGTTTGTGAAGAGGAAACAAGAGGCTAAGATGTTGAGCGACGATGATGATTCTGTGACGGAGTCGGCATAAGGGTAACTTTGAGAGAACGGCTACGATGGAAGGGTTACTGTTTATTTCGGGGTTTCTGTTATGTTAATGATGATTATTCACTATCAGGGTACACGTAACGCCATTTATATTTTCCGGTGTTTGTGACTGATAGCATAGTGAATTGAACCTGGAGGGCTGTTTGTTGTAAGTTGGGGTGCTGCGCGGCTAAGTTGCAGCGTCGCGTTACAGGGCTTGTAGGGGGTGTAATGGTGTTAGCGCAGCGCCACTTCAATTTTTATTTTTCTGCTGACGCCGCAAGCAGACAGATGCTGCACAGTAGGGGAATTAGGCGGGTGGCTGGTAAAACATGGGCTTCTGCCACCTCCCGATCCAGGGTCCCCACAGCGTGGTTAGTGCAAACAATGGGGCAGGACAGGCAGCATCAGCCCTGAAGAACAGTGTCTCTAGCGGTGCACACAGGGTCTGCTTTCAGGGGACAGGCCACCGCTAGCGGCAGTCGGGCTCCACTGAAGCGGGCGCTAGCAGCCAGAAGGGGAAACGGGATTTCAGCCATCTCTCTTTACAGCGGTTTGTTCCCAGCCTCCCCTGTTTTTCACTGCAGCACCAGTTTTGTGTTTTCTATTGTTTTTATTTTAAAGCTGGACTGGTGCGCAGTAAGAAAAAAAAGGAAATTTGAGTGAAGCACAGTTTTTATTGTTTCCCTTTTTTTATTTTTTACAATAATTCTTTATTCACTAATTAATTATTCCATTCTGCTCCAGTAACAACAGCAGCTACTGCTTTTGTTTGTTCTGACCGTTAACGGCCATCGTGAAAGTCACGTTTTGTCTCACCTCTCTGCCGGCGCCCGTCCGTGAACCTCCACCACCAAAAACACCACCTACTCTGCTCCTCATCCCACCATCACCATCGCACTCCCCGCCCGCAACAAATTAACACTCCATACTCTCAACACGTCGATCTACCACCGTCAGAAACACAGCAGCAAAACTACCACATCCAGAGAACCCGCACAGCACAGTCCAGCCATGGCTTCAGCTCGCGCCGCACAGGCCGACCGCTTGAACAGCTCGCCCATGGACGACCAAGACGATGCACCCACCGCTCCCGCCACACCCAGAGACTCTGGTCCCAACGATATTCCCCTCTCACAAGTCACCATGCCTTCCACAGAACCCCCTGGATCGCCGCTTCACCCCAATTCCTCCTTCAAGACCGAGTACAACGACGACAGACCTTCCGCGACCGTTATCCCATCTTCCATGACGCCGCCGCCGTCCACACAAGCAGACACTGCTGCTGTCGCTGCTACCAGCGCTGCAGCTCGTCGCGGAGTCTTTACGCAACCTTCACAACACTCGACGCTCTGCTCGCCGCCAGCCACAGTACCAAACACGGCGCGCATAAGAGACGCTGCATCCGAGTTTGTCACACCCACCGCCCAGCAGATTGACGACGCTTCGGCCGATGAGCTGCGCACGTTGCTGCACGCCTGCACCGCCGAGAACCAGCGACTCAAGATGGAGACGGCGCACCACAAGTTGCAGTTCAACTTGTTTAGGATGCAAGCTGAGGAAGAGTCCATGCGCGCCGCCGTCGAGCACGACATGGTCCGTCGCGAAGTCGATGCTCTGCGCATGGCTGAACACTCTCGCCAAGCTCGTCGCGAATTGAGCTCCTCGTCAGATTCCATGCAGTCCAAGTATCTGCAAATCAAGGTCTGGTACGACGGCGCCATGGACGACAACGAGCTCCTACAGCGCCGCCTAAAGGTGGCCAAAAAGGTCATCCAGCAAAAGGAGGAAGAGACTATTAGCCTGACGGAAGAGAGAGATATGCTGCTCAACCGCATCCGGGAAAACAGAGAGCATTTCCACATGCTCTGTAGCCCTGGCGGCATCTTCCACGCTGCCATTGCCCCTCGAAACCAGAACCTGGCTACCCCGGCTCAGGTTCACCGAGCATCTAGCAGCCAGCAGTCACAGCAGAGGCTAGCGCGCGACGGCCCAAGAGAAGAGAACCAGCATGGTCTATCGGCTCTGCTCCAGGCTATGAGCCAGGACAGTCACGGCCACTCGCAATCTGCCAGCCAGGCGGTCGTCAACAGCACACCTACAACCCCGACACAGCTTCAGCAGCACCAGCAGCTCGGCTCTGGACGTCGCCTAAGCAAGCACAGCCGCAACGCGCAGTCCATGTCTTCGCTGCCTACTACGCCTACACACCGCGCTCGGGGCGAGCACGCCGCCCTGCTCCCATCTGTAGACCTCGTGCCTCAGACGGAGCCGCGCATGCGATATGCAGACCGTTATTTCGAAGCGTCCGCGTCTTCTAGATCGCACATGCGCCGCAAGAGCCGCGAAAGCACCATTTCCGCAGAAGACACAGACGATGCACCATACGGCAGCCAAGCTAGCCAAGCTGCCGCGCAGATGCTCCGCCTGCATCCCGGCAAGAGCTTCGACGGGCCACCTTCACACGACAACGCGGATGGCCGTATCCAAGCAAAGCTGTCCAACATTGGCCGGGGCGATAAGCGCAAGTTTAGCAGCAGCGACGAGCACGAGAGTGGCTCACCAAAGAGAGTGAGAACAGAGGAGGTTGGCCTGGGCATACAGTACCAGCGATGAAAGAAGGGAGTGAGTGGGACCTTATGTGTGTGCCCTAGATTTTGGTTGATTTCTTCCATGTAAAACTTTTTTGAACATGACGACTCATGAACATGAACTGTAACTTATTGAATGGCATACGAAAACTATGGGATGACGGCGTTTGGGGGGGGGGATTTTAGGTAGCGTGCAAAAACAAAAGCACAGCACAACATGTAATGACGACTGTTTTGTCTCTTTTCGCGCAACCTGTTCGCCGTGTATGTGACGTAACAATATGATTTTAAACAAGTAACAATATGTATCTTCCAAACGGCATTATGCGGGTAAACAATTAGCCATGGCGTTGTTCCGAGAGCCGGCCCGCAACTGCCGGTGATGCTATCCGAACAGCTGTGGGGGACGAGATTCCGCCCCGAAGAAACCTCCCGATCCCCCCGGCGGCCCGACTCCACCCCAACTCTCTCTTCTCTTCTTCAACACACAGCCTAGCTCACTTGTTCTTCTTCTTTTCTCATGATTTGCATTTGAGCGTCTTCTCACAAATACGGCCCCAGCATGTACACTCTCCCAAAAGGCAAGGCCGCCGTGCTAGCCAAGCAAGCTTCCGACGTAGTCATCCTCTCTTCCCTCCGCACGCCGATATGCCGATCCTACAAGGGCCAATTGAAAGACGCATACCCCGAGCAGCTGCTGGCCGCAGTTCTCGAGGCCACACGTAAAGCACTATCGAACATGGACCCGGCTGCCGTTGAAGACGTTGCTGTCGGCGTCGTCCTCTCGGAGCTGGGAGGCTCCAAGGCCGCTCGCATGGCCCTCAACCACGTCGGATATCCCAACACAACAACCCTGCACACGGTCAACCGCGCATGCGCTTCAAGTTTGCAGGCCGTCGCTGCCATCACGGCGCAGATTCGCACGGGTACCATCTCGACAGGTATCGCGGCCGGCATGGAGAGCATGACGCGCAACTACGGCAGCAGAGCCGTGCCCGTCGATGTCTGGCCAGAGCTCAAGGAGTCCCCGAACAAGCACGCCCGCGACTGTATCATGCCCATGGGCCTTACTTCAGAAAACGTGGCTAAGCGGTATGGCGTGTCCCGAGCCGACCAGGACGAGTTTGCCGCGCAGTCGCATCACCGAGCCTCGGCAGCCCGCGCGGCTGGCCACTTTGACGCGCAGATTGTGCCAGTGACAACACCGTTTCAAGCGGTGGATAAGCAGGGCCAGCCAGTCGGCGATGTGCAGACCATTACTGTGACGAGGGACGATGGTGTCCGCGACTCCATTAGCGCAGAGTCCATGGCAAAGCTGAAGCCTGCGTTTGCTGCCGACGGGGCCTCGACGGCCGGCAACTCGAGTCAAGTGTCGGATGGCGCTGCTGCGACACTGCTGATGAGAAGAAGCACGGCGACCCAGCTTGGTCTAACAGATAGTATTATTGGCAAAGTCGTGGCGGCTGTCACTGTGGGCTGTGATCCGGACGAGATGGGCATTGGACCAGCGCTCGCTATTCCAAAGTTGCTGAGCGATGTTGGACTGAGTGTGGCAGATATCGACCGATGGGAGATTAACGAGGCGTTTGCGTCACAAGCGCTGTATTGTGTGCGGGAACTGGGGCTCGAGAATGCGAATGTGAACCCAGATGGAGGTGCTATTGCGCTGGGTCATCCACTGGGAGCAACGGGTGCGCGTATGGTCTCTACACTCATGCATGGTATGGGTAGAGAAGGCAATGAGCTGGGTGTTGTTAGCATGTGTGTTGGTACGGGTATGGGAAGTGCAGCATTATTTGCTAGAGAGTGAGCAAAGGCATTGTACAATAGCACGTTCAGAGTAGATAGATTGGAAAATTATGTACACACGAACTGCATACTAGGGGGGCAAGAGACAATTATAGACCGTTAAACAAGACGACAGATGCTTCTGTTGATCATTTACATTTCTTTTTCATATACATACGTGACTTATCTACAGGGATGTTCAAATTAACTCCATGTGCTTCCAGGTTGCTAAATTCACAAAGAAAGGTACGAGCTTGATGTATTTTCCATCTTACTGACGGATTCGTGGACCAATCTCTGCGAAAAAGTCACACGCCTTCTGCAAATTGGCGGCAATAGGCTCCATGGCAGTCTCGCCACCAGTGTTAAACAGCATCCTCTCCTTTTCGCAGCTCCAAGTCGTCCACTCTGCTGCTCCATCAGCCTTGTGCGTGTTGGGATCAAGTGTCTTGATGAAGCTCGTCCAGTAAGCCTGTGCCACCGTAACAGCATGTGCATTCTTTTGGCCACTGTAGTAGCTCTTGGGGGCACCATTGTTGGTGTTTGTTGGGCCAAAGATGGCATGGACCTCGACAGTGTGTGGAACGCCGATACCGTCGTCCATCTGGGCAGGATCTTCGACATTCCAGCGGTATGCCCAAGACGAGTTGATGCCAGATAGGGCATAGTGGTCATTAACAGTGAGACCAGGGCACATGTAGCGCATCTGGCCGTAGGCATCGCTCAGCTGGCGCCAGCGGCAGCCCTCATCAGGGCAGTCTGATTCGTCAGGGTTGGGGTAGAGATCATCGATAACTGCGAGGTCATCGTCTGTGAGAAGTGGGAACTGGTCATGAAGGAACGTGTTCACCTGGTCAATGGTGGTTGTTTTGCGCGGTGTGAAGACTGTGCCACCGTTGGTATCGTCGCCAATGATGACGGGAACCTTTACGAAGTGGCCATTGCGGAAAGCGTCATATGGCACCTCAGTGATGAAATCGTTGTCAATGACGGGGTTCCAAGCGAACAGCTGCGGATTCTTTGCTCCAGGTAGAGGAGTGACGTTGACATTGGCGGCTTGCAGCTCCTTGGAAGTCTTGGATCGCAGACAGGCTAGGCTATCTTGACCAGTGCATCCGACACGGCTTGCGTAGCCATCGTACAGGTACTGGGACTGTGGGATATCGAGGACTGTAGAGAAAGAAACAGACTCGGCAGCCGCGCCAACAAACAACCCGTAGTCTTTGCCGCCGCCTCTAGTAAGGTGGTAGGCAACACTGGCTGCACCAGCAGAGTCACCACCAATGACTACATGACGAGGGTCGCCGCCAAACTTGGCAATGTTGTTCTGTACCCACTCGAGCGCCTTGACTTGGTCCCAGAGGCCGTTGTTAGCAGTGATGTTGTCTCCATTGGTGAGAAAGCCAAAGACTCCCACTCGGTAGTTGAAGTTTACGACAATCATGCCATTGTCCGCAGCGTGGATAAGACCAGTGCCGTTGTAGTTGGCATTCGAGTTGGACACGAAGCCGCCACCTTGGATGAAAAAGAAGACGGGCAGCTTCGATTTTGAGGTCGCAGACGACGGGGCGTAGACGTCGAGGAATAGACAGTCTTCGGAGTGTGACTTGAAGGTATCGTTGTTTGGTGCTTGGCCGGTGCCGAGACAAACTTTGCCATGCTGTGGCAATCACCAGTTAGCAGCGGCCTCTCTGTAAGGGTTCCATTTGTCAGCCTAGACATACTTTATTGGCAGCTTGGACAGTCGTCGTCTTGGCTGGATCAGCGGGCTTCTTGAATCGCAAGTCACTTAGCGGCGCAGCAGCATAGCGGATTCCTAGCCACTGTGTGACATCTCCCGTCTTGACTCCTTTGTATTTGGAGTATCCTAGATCGACAGTAGGATCGACAGCGACAGCAGCCGTCAACAAACAAGCCAAGGTTGATAAGTACTTCATTGTGATGGTTGGTTGACTGCACTCAAACCAAATGGCGAGATGGGCATCAGAGTAGAGGCGGGCGGACGGACGGGACTATAAACTGGTGCCCGGGAGAATGGGCTTCTTACCCCACAGGCATACTGGGCTTGCAGACGCTACCGATTTTAATACAAATACAGTAAGCAGAAAGGCGCCGGTTCCTATTTCTGATGGGCGATGTAACTGTAAGGCTGCGGTGACTTGTTCCAGGCGGATGGGGCGGGGGGGAGGCACTGCTGAAAGAATGCGTCCGTCCACTAAAACGCCCTGTCAGCGGCAACATGTAAATCCGCCGTGGGCTCCATACGCGCATTTAGTTTATGCGGCAAAACAAACAGGCATACGTACGCATATACAGAATTTCTTTTATCTTTAATTTCTTTTGAATCTCTATAATAGCCGCTGCAAATGAAGTACATCAATTCTTATGCACAACCAGAACCGACATATGTGGATGCTCACGTCTCACATCCCAATCCGCCCCTGTCATCCAGCTCGCATACCGCTTCTTCAGATCCTCATCCTTCCAAATCTCAGGACGCCATTCCAACTTTCCCTTGAACCCGCCTAGGTGTGCTGCTTCTTCATAAATCTCCTTTGTCAAGTGAAACGTCATAAACGTGGTATCACCGGGCAGCGTGACCTTGAACAGCCAGCCCTCGCCAGATGCCAGCTTCTCCAGATACGTGTGTCGAGGCATCACTTTGGTCAATGGTGACTTCTCATGCGCCGCTACTCTCTCTTCAAGATTGTCGGTAGGATGCAAAGCCACTGTACAAAAGACACCGTTGTCTTTCAAGTTGAGCGCAGCCGTCTCAAACATCTTGGTCAGCTGCTCTTTGCTCTCTGCATAGTTAAGCAACCAAACACCTAGCGCAATATCAAAGTATCCCTCTGTGCCATCAGGAGCCAGTGATCTAGGCTTTGTAGCGTCTCCCACCACAAATCGAGCCTTTCCTTCCGCTACAGCCTCTGATAGACGCTGCTTAGCGCCATCAACCATTGCTGGTGATATGTCGCTGCCGGTTATTGACTTGCACCCCCATTCCAATATCTTTTGAGAGTAGAATCCCGATCCGCATGCAAATTCAACGACATTCATATCTGGGCTCAACATAGGACCGATCGCAGTCCGAAAGCTGTGGGCTTCTGTTTCGCGCCATGGAAGTCGGTCAAGCACATCGTAGCCGTCCGCAATCTCGTCGTATTGTGTCTTGTTGTAACTCGTCATCTTTGGAGATTCTGCGTAAACCAGAGCTGCCTCAAGCCTGTTTTGGGTGCAATCAACTATGAAAACACTGCAGAGGAAAATAGTAAAAGGAAACCCCCCAGATAGATTAGCTATAGACCGGCAGTCGCTGCAGCGCAAATTTGCTATAGTGCGGCACGGCTCGGCAATGTATCCCTGCCACAATCAATCTGTGCGCCGCTATCTAGTGCGCCAACGATTATCCAGCTGACCGATCAGCTGGTCCCTGCCGCTTTCATCTAAAATTCGGCTTAAGGCTAATACCACATTCTATTAAGACTAAATATTAAGCAAGACTACGCTCGAATAAGTCTTCGAAGCTTTAGCTCCGAAGATATTGTGCAGGGTGATGATGATATGCCGAGCGCATCTCGACCAACAAACCCGCATATTAAACCTGTGTAAGGGTCCTTTACGACTCCACTACCAATAACGACCCCTCTCCTGTCCATTCCAATATTGGCCAGACCCTTCCCAACCAATGCGTAGTCTCCTAGAAATGCATGCGCTCGCGCATCGCTACCGGTGGTGATGCCGTGCCCGAGAGTCACTCCCCACATGGAACCAAAGCGCAGTGCATGTGCCTCTGGATTGCCATCCATCTGTAGCATAATCGAATAAATGGCGCCAGTGTATCGCACCGTCTTCTTGGTCATCTGTTCTGGGAATTGCCAATTCTTTCCGTCTCGTGTCATTGGATGCCATGGAGTAACAAGAACGTTGCCCATTCTGCAAAGCTTTGCTTCGCAGACTGGTGTCTTGAGCACTGCAGCTACCTTCCTCATGCCTGCTGGCGTTCTGACCTTCATACCACGGCGCAAGCGTTTGATTTCAACAACTCTGCCTGATGCAAGTTCGACGGGAGAAGACGCTGCAAAGCACGGGCCAGCGACATTACGGAACTGCTTCATGGACCTCATAGGCTGAAAGTTACCGCCGCTGTTGAATGAATTAACCGGGACTAGAGATGGCTGTGGCGGTGGTAGATTATCGAATGCGGTATCCAGGCGATCACGACATTCTATAAAGAGCGGTGATCCAGTGCAATATTGCAATGGCCCCGGGTCTTTGAAGGAGTTGCAAACTTGTCGAGTATGTGCATTCAAAAGTGACGGCAGGAAGTGCTGACCCCAGCGGCTAAAGTGCGAATTGTCATCGATAGCCATCGAAATCTGACCTTTCGGGTCTTGGCCGATCAGATCTTCCATCAAAGACGCATTCAAAGGGTCTTGCCACGATCTAGCGGGAAGCGTATCGACAAGCTCTTTCAACGCGCGCGATGACTTTCCTAGCAAGTCGATGCTAATGGCAGTGTGCTCTTCCTTATCATCGCAGGGAAATAGAGACGATAAATATGCACAAATTCTGGATCGTGACTCGTGGTAGGCCACAACGGCATCATCTACCGGAGACACCTCCATAATACTCTGCGAGCATGCGACGCTGTCAAATTGGTCCGAGGTTCTATATTCCACAGGCTTGAATACAAGTCGTGCCTCTACAACAGAGGCAGTTGTGATTCCAGATGAAAATACGTCGGCAGCAAGCGTCGAGTTTTGTAGTTGAAGAAAGATATCTCGCGACTGGCCGTATTGCAGGTTTCCCAGTGCAATAGACAACTCGTGAGCCGGTATGCCGTCTCGAGACACCTCTGTGGGTTTTTGTCTGATAACCGAATCTCCAGTTGACTCTGTAATTTCAAGAGGTGCAGCGTATCGAAGTGTGAGTGTGGCTTCAGTTGCATAGGTTGACTGCAGATTGGCCACGGCGTGCACGAAAACAGTTCCAATCATACCCGCATCAGGAATGAAAGCATAGTTTCCGTTTCCAATCTCTGCTATAGACTTTAGCAGTCCAGATCGGAGGTGGTATCCAAATCCAAAGGTATGGATCGAAGCTGGTAGAGGCAGCCTGGTGCGAAGCTTGGGCACATAACCTTGTGGTGGACACCTATAGTTTGATATTAGCCTAACACAGCCATTGCCCATGATACTGTAAAATACTTACATATGATTTGGCATTCCATCAGTCAACACCATGATTGCTGGGACCTTACCGTTGGACGGGGAATTTGTAAATAGATTGATACCCGCGAGGATGCCATGCCACAGGTTAGTAGCGTCTTTGGGAACCATGGATTTGATATTTGCGCGGGCCGCCTCTTTCTTTTCGTCAGTCATAACTTCCAGTTCTTGCAGAACCTCAATACTGCTAGCGAAAGTAACAATTCCGAGACGATCTCGTTCATCGAGGGTTTCGATGATTGTCAGCGAAGCGTGCTTTACAACATCCAAGACGGACAACCCAGATGCCTCGTTGTCCCCTGGAACCGGTGCAGAACAACCCATGCTGCCAGACACATCGATAACAAGAACAATATCACATGGGACATGGTGGCTCTGGTTGGTAGGTGCCTTGGGCGGCACCACTGTTGCTAGGAGTGCAGGCGACCCATCTGCGGCCCTGACTGGATTTAGCGACATCTGTATATCCCCAGTCCTGGGCTCCCCTGAAGCATCAGAGGCCCCATGTTGAACTGGCCTGCTTTGTAGGATTGGTACACGCTATCAAAGCACGGTTAGCTTAGAGGATCCAATATGACGATACCGGAGGTCAGTACAAACCATTTTGATATTGCTGTGAGAGCCCAACAGGAAGAGTGTTCACAAAAATAGCGACTTGCTGAGCGTGACTCGGTAGGGGATACAAGGTCGTTTAATAATAAAAGCCACCCCTCATCTGTTTTCTGCCGGCTGATGCTCTCCGCTTTTGAGCCCTGGCTCTCGCGATGGCGTCGTCTACAACTGTGGCTCGGCCGCTGGATATCACCTGGAACAGACCAGGCTAGGCGCTGTATTCAGCTGTGCCTCCTTCGGATCCAAGCACTTTTCTAGCCAATAGCGTGGATTCCAAGACAGCGACTGTCAGGCTCGGCGCCAATCTCCACTGCCATGGCTTCGACAGGCAGTCTCGGTGGCAGACTCGTGCTCGTTCTCTCAAGCCCAGGTGGCGCACTGCAAGGCTGCCTGCGCCATCTGACTAGTACACATAGCATAGCGGACCCCAGCTTTCAGCTCATTATCGTGAGGCGCCTTCTCAAATTGAGCCCATCGGAAGTTGTAGCAATCCAAACGATGCTAATAGGCGTATCTGGATTATTATGAAGACTCACATTAAAAAAGCCTGTAAATGTTGGTTTAGCCTAGCAATCTTGCCGCCCGATTAGCCAAGTGCTTGCGTGTTGGATGTCAGCGATACGCCCGGCTAGAGAGCACAGCCCCAATGCCCGTGTTGTAGGCAAACCTGGGGCATCTCACGAAGATGACTTCTATACAAGACAGTGGTCTCTGCCTCGTTGGAGGTTTATGAAAGTTGTGAGCAGTTGCCAGCTGCAGTCCGCTTCAAGGGCAGCTTTGGTCTGAGTGACTCCTCCTGTGCAGCTCCGCCAGCTCCGCCAGATGGCGCCAGCTGCGAGGTTGCCACTCGGCAGTCGTCACTACTGGAGCGGCTCCCAGAACTCCAAGCAAGCAAGCGAAGCAACCCGTCGTGGAAACTAGTGTAGATTATCTCCATTTGGGTGCGCCTTGGACCTTGGGGCGACCTATGAGGAACTGGAGCAGCGCCCCGCGGCTTGTTCCAAGGTGGTGCAGAAGCTATGAACAAGACACACAGCGTTTCTACTGTAGCTCTCTGCGCTCCCCAGAATACTTGCACTGGTTTAACGCATCAAGCGACGCACAACAGAGATGTTGGACTTCTAATATGTCAAACAGACCCATCCTAATACGCTCCACTTGAGTAATACACTGATTATTCAATACAGTTGTCTTCAACGCATCGCTCATAACGTGTCGCGGCGTGCTGTCGGCTAGAAATGCTCTTCGCACTGAGGATGTCGTGGGCTTGCGTGGCGCCAGGATCTGTATGCAAAGCCAACTCGCGTGCGGCAGAGACAGGCAACCACCAGCTAGACGACGGTGGCAAAGATCGGCAATTCTTGGAGCTCTCCGCCAAAGCTTGACCGACACTCAAATCCCAACGTCTGGGTCCGGGAAGTCAATAGCCCAAAGTTTAGCTTTGGCTTTGGAGGACTAGGGAAGTAACCACTGCCTTGAGGATCGCCAACCGCGGCAGCAAAGCGATGCTCACTACGCAATTGTGCATAAGCACGCTTTAGCTGACTGGGGCAATACAACGAGCTGGCTGCCCAGGCATGGTCTTTTTTACGGCTGCATGCAGTTCTGCCACAAGTGCAATCTTGGATAGGTGGCAGATTTGCATTTCCACCGCGGACGAAATCCAGACTTCGCGAACCACACGAATTTACGCTAGAGCAGAAAGGCGGCACAGCGTGGACGTTGCGTCTAGCCAACCAGCTTTCATCGTCCGCCTCCATCAAGTTTTGCGTGGTGCTCGCTGGCTTGCCCTAGGCTCTGACTCCTCCATTCCGTCGTCATCCCCCGTGCAGAAGCCCCCAGGCGTAGGAGCAGCCCGTTCCCCACAGACGCCGGAAACTCTCAGTAAGTCCACTACCATAGCAGATCCCCTACCAGGCGCGAATGCGCTAGCCCCATGACAGCGCGAAATGCGTCATTGCTTGCCCATGCGCGCGCTCTCATTGGTCCACAGGAGCACATCCAGACAGAGATAAAGCAAAGGTGGTAAAGTTTGAGCGCAAGGGTCCAAATCTTAACCTGCATACGGTCGGATGTAAATGACGTCCTTAGGTCACCTTCCCCCGGAGTCTCAGCGCGACGGTCCCGCAACCCTGATTTCAGCCAGCCAGGCTACAAGGGCATCAATAGATGACTTCGCTACGCTGGTGCTGAGAGGTCACCGGATCTTGTAGCGATGAGCTCGTAGCACCTCGTCAACTCTGTAACAAGAACGGAGTGGTTACAGGGCGCGATGGCCAATGCTCACCGTAGCTTGGTGCGCAATGCATTGCACTGAGACAAGCCTAAGTCCGGGCTCACCACTAAAGAAGGACTGACAGAGAGTAGAGGACTGACAGAGAGCAGAGCACACTTTGCCACACTGGCGTCGAGCACCACGGGCCCCAAACCCACATGCTAAATGGTGTTGCCGCTAAGGCCCAAGTTTGCCTCCCTATCTGCTTTAGCGCACTACCCCGTAGCCCATTCCCGGCTCCACTGTCCAACGCGGGGCGTTCAGTCTGTCTGGTGTTTTGGCGCCCGGCCGTCCGTTATCTCTGCGCTCGCTCTTTGGCAAAAAGGGATTGCCTGAAACTATAAAGTAGCGATAGCCCGCGCACCTTATCCCTTAGCTCCCTTGCCATTGTTTCTATATCAAGATCTCTACTAGCTCAAGATCCAGCTCCAGAAAGCTCACTCATCACTTGGCACTTACAACTTGCCTCACTTACAACCACAACTACACCACTACCACCACCAACCTCTCTCACAATGCCTGCCTACGAATACTGCTGCAAGTGCGGTGGCATGATTGTCATCAGCACCACCTGCTCCAGCTGCGGCCACAAGCAGTGCACTGATTGCCCTGCTTCCTAAGGGTGTTCCTTGTTCTGTTACAGAGGCCTTCTTCCCATCGCCGCTTGCGTGTGGTGAGGATCCTCTTTTTTTCATGAGAGCATGCAAGACAACGACTAGTGCAACGTTTATTCCTCCTACTTCCTTCAGACGTATGACGTCGTGAAGATGTGTAAGGCTCTCTTTTTCTCGCTATTATCCTTCATTTTTCATGCTAATACTGTCAATCAGACACTCTTGGCATTATTGGCGACTGATACAATAGCGATTTCCAAGCCTGTTTTTTCTGCTTTCTCTAGTCGCGGCGCGACTACCACGATACCACCTATACCTCGCGTCTCACTTTTTTTTTTCTCTTTTTATTTTTCTACTCCGCTTCCGGCAGCTTTATTACTATTCGATTTCTACTTTCTTAGGCAGCCCGCTCCCCTGGCTTACGCTCTCGCCTTCCGGCCTCTTCCGACCAAAGCACAGCGAACGCGCTGGCCTTTCTCGGCGAAATGCGAATTATGGGCGATTTCTTATCTTTGCCTCCCTGCGAGTTCCTATTGGACAACCGGGCCACCGGTGGTCGGGAGAGGCAAGTGGGGGACTGGTGAGGCTTATTAGGCCGTCGACCTCGTTAGCGTGCGTAGGCGGCTCAAGGACGCCCTACAGCCGCTGTGAGCCGCTGGAACTCGGCCGGCCTGTCTTCGCGTCTGCACAGTGGTTTGCTTCAGTGCTGCAGCTTGCGCTTACGGCGACTCCATCCGTGCGGACCCAGGAGCGATTTTTACTTTGGGTTACGGCGCTATTTCTGATGTTGGTTTTTTTTCCCTTGGTAGACCAAGAAAATTGTACGGGACTGAGATTCTTCTCCTTCGATTGTATGATACGTTACGCCCACTAGGGCTTGTTTCTTTGGATCTCCGTTTTTAAGGCCGACTTCGATTCCGGCCCGAGAGGAACATCGGAGTTAGTAGATTGACAGCCTCCCAATATAATGAAACAAAAAAAATGCATATAATCTAAACTGCCGGTACCTTGTCCAGGTTTCACGTGAACTACGTATGTATGCGCGTCTGGTGCCCAACCAACCGCCGCGGCTCACTCATGACGTATGGTGCGGTGGGTAGACAAAAGTTACAAGTAGTCCATATTTCAACACTAGCATTCCGAATATATTTACACAAACTTTATATGTAATAGTCATATAAAACCTCGATACATATAACGTACTTATACCATACATAATATTTTACAAAGATTGATAAAAGGGGTAATTTTAAAATATATATCAAAGAATACTTCCTCGGTAGCTGTGAATCGCATGTAAGCGTTGACAGACGGGCTGAGAATTACATGACGATTAGGCTGAGAAGACAACCCACACCGGTCTGTTAACATCTATTCACGTGGTCGACCTTGTAATACTCAGACTACGTTTACTTTCAAGTCGCTGAAAAATGTCAATATGCCTTAATTCACCGGCCAAGAGTGCAAGCATGATGCCCAAGATAACTCAATGTAAAAAGGCCATAGGCCGCATCCCAAACATATTCATCCCTTCCATACTCTCTACCCAGTAAAATCAAGTTTCTCATTTAAATCCCTTCAATCAACCCTTTTAAGCAATGCTCTTCAAATCGGCCTTTTCAGCTGGTAGATATCGTCTTGACCTCTGCCAAATCATCTGGGGCCGCCGCCAAGCGCAATACGAGTTCGAATTCAGTGTAAACGATGGCAACCTGTACACGGTGTACATTAGACGTGAAGATGACCACCCCCTAGATAATCCTCTATACGCCGTTCGAAACTGCGCTACGGCAGCCGCAGCCTGGGACTTGATAGATGAGCAGTTGACGCAAATGGCTACGGAAATCATGTCTCGAGAGTGGGAACTCACTCCAGAGGAAATCTCGCAAATCTACGATGGTCCAAGCGGCGGGCTTTTGGCCCGGTTTGACTTTGTGTTGGAAGAGCGGAATAGAAGGCAACTCTAGGCGAAACGAGGCAGGCGAGGTAAGAAGTACGATAACGGAAGGCGAGGTCCCGGAGCCGGCGCATCAGGATCACGATCCGCGATGACATCGTGATTTCATATATGATCTTGATTTTTCATGCGACATTGATCGCTGGAGTAGTATTTGACATTATTTTGATTTTCAAGTAGTAGTAGCAAAGGGTTACGCCGATGCTGAATGTATTGATGCGAATTACGACCTCTCTACGCAACTACCTCCCTAATAGTCTCTAACCATGATAATAGTCGTAGAGGTCTGCTGCCTCTCCACCACTCTAAACCCGAGTCTTTCATAAAACGGCACAACTTTGGCATTCTCACCACCCACGCCAAGCCATACACCCTTAGCTGTCCCCTTTTCATCAGGAGCCTGCATCTCGACCTCCTTCATGCTCCCAACAACCTTCTCCAGCAGTTTTCTTCCCCAGCCCTTGCCTTGAAACTCATCCAGCAAATCAATATGCATGGTTGCTCTGTAGCCCTGCTGGTAAAGATCATCATAACCACGCAGGAGCAGGAGATCGGCAGAAAAAGCCAGCTGGGACAAGCACAGTTCGCTAATGCGGCCCGTGTCTGGGTCAATCCAGGGAGCGCGTGTCTCTAGCTGCTCATCGGTTGGGAAGAGACGAATGTCTCCGATATCTTTGCCACGTCCCTCCAAAATGTCCTTTACGTAGCGGGGATACGCTTCGCAAAATGCCGTAATGTCGGGGGCGCCGATGCAGTAGCCGACGGCTCGACCGTTGCCATCGTCCAAGACAAAGCAAGTTGAGGGCGATAAGAGAGTGAATTGATGTGTCCATATATATGGCGCTAGTCGCACAGCATCTGGAGAGCCTTTGGCTGACGGTTGGAGAGTCTCTCTACACTGAATGTACCGATTAGCATCAACCTGAACTGAGAGTGGCCTGTACGCCAGACTTACGATGTGTGCTGTAGCATCGAAATCGGTATCAGCATAGGGTCGAATGAAAGCCATGGTAAATGTAGTTCACTTTGTTCTTCGTTTGTTTGCGCATACAAAACGCCAACAATGTGGGAGAGATGCAAACTGGCGTTGGTTGACTGGTCGCTGTGACTTGGAGAGTTCCCCCACCAATCTCATCTCTACCCCACCTAGACATCATTGCCACACAAGCGACGATGCGTGGGGGATCAAACAAAACACGTACAAATTGGTTCTGATGGAAAATTCAAGTCATTAGTTGTATTGTGTGTAAATACTAGAGGCCGTTTGCGTTTCTTGGGTATTGAGCTCTGACAAGCGTCCAAATTCGAAATCTGTCTCGCTTCCCGCCACCATCTGCCATGCTATCGCTAAGATATGTTGTAAAATCGATCCCTGTCCCTTCCATTACCAAAGTACCCTTGCTTGAATAATGCTGAAATCAAAGACCGGCATGATTCTGCATTTATTTTAAATCAACAACCAAGCATGTGGTGCCATATATGCCTCCCACTTCGCAAAACAAGTACAAGATCAAAAAGAAAAATGTGACATAGAAGGAAGAATAGAATGACCGTAGAGAGCAGTTCAAGTAAACTGGTTAAAAAAAGAAAAGGCCGTGTCGAGGACGTGTGTGTAATAGAAAGACAAGCAAGCAAGTTGCTTAAAGAGAAATCAAATCATGAGTTTGACCGTAATCAAATGTTCACTCCGGCTGAGCCTGGTGATATGGCAAGAAGTGAAGGAAGCTGGTTGAGTCGTACAACACAGCCTAGAAAATATATACTGTGAAAGAAGTGCCTGCTCAACGTGACGTTACCCGTCTTAAAACATGCCGCCTGGCATACTAGCGCTTGAGACGTTGGCATGAGGCAGAGGAGGTCGACGTGTTGGTGGGCTCATGTGGATTCGGTCTGCGTTGTTGTCGCTGATAACTCGACGCATACCTTGACGGCGCGGGTCTGCGTGCATATCGCTAGGCGGAGGAGGGAGCGTCATGCCCTCACCCGATTGTAGCATGCGGGGTGATGGCAAAGGCGATGATTCGGCACTTTGGCGACCCATTCCGTATGCTGTTTTGCGTCGAGGGTTGATGGGTGGCAGTGGAGGAGCGCCAACAGGTGCGTGCAAGTTGGGGGTTGAAGCAGCAGCTGCAAGCAAACTACCGTTGCGAGGGCGGCCCATGCGAGCACTGTCAAATGGACCGTCAATATAATCGCCTCGTGGTCTGGAGAGCGCTCTGGGCCTCGTAAACTTTTGCTCCTCTCCTGCTCTGAAACCGTCATGGTTGTGTTCTGACGGATCGCTAGACCTGCTCCTAGCAATGCGGTCTTGTCCCATCATAGGATCGTTAGAGACGGCTCTGTGCATGTGCATAGCAGGGCGGTCCATAGCGGAATCGGGAGCAGCTGGGGGTCCTTGGTGGCGCTGACGGGATTCATTCTCTTTGAGCTTTTGCAGTTCGCGGCGGGCTTGTCTAAAGGCTCTAAGACCGGCGTGAATTCCACCGTCTGGGGAGCTCTTTGTTTCTTCCTTTTGCTCAGGAGACTCAGTCGGCAGCTTTGGGACCTTTTCGGTGACGCTCTCAACAGTATCCCTATCGCGGTTACGGTCAAAAATAGAGCCACGGCTGGACTTGCTTCTCAAAATCCCTAGGGGATTAGTGCGCGGTGTTGGCGGTTCTTTCGATTCCGAGGTTGGGCGTGACGAGGAAGCCTGCTCACTATCGGAGTCAACAAAAGACGTGAGCTTTTCTCGCACTCTGCGAGCACCATCAGCCAGATGACGGGCGAACTCGGGGTCGTTCTCATCTTGCTGCTCCTGTACATCCTCATTCAACGCGGGGTGAGGAGGCAAAAAGGATCCTGGGCGGCTATCAGGGTTGTACTCAGACTCGGTCAACGACCAAGCACTCGTAGCAGCAGCAATTCGCGAAGACAAAGGTCGTGATCTTGCTGGTGAGTTCTGTTCAGTCTCATCCGCCGCATCATAGATGGACGAGGTGTTGCTCTCGTGTCTCAGATGTTGCCTTACCATACCGCTGAGACCAGATGGTGCGGGTGGTGCAGGGGCAGCCAGTAAGTTTGAGGTCTTGGTCTCAGCGTTGGCATCAGTGTTGGTATCAGCGGGAGGGGCAACGGCGGCTTCATTGGAGTGAGCCGAGCCGTCTGAGTTGCGAGATGATAGAGTGAGAGGCGTAGGTAGGGCGGATTGTCTGAAAGCTGGGTGGTCTTCGTCATTAGGACGCTCCATGGAGTGGCCACCAAGACCAGTAGCAAGGTTGACCAGATTGTTGCGGGCATCAGCTTCCTCTGCAAAGAAGGAGGATTCATCGCCCCCGGTGGATGATCGCGTAGGGTCGGGATGCAGAGCGGCAGCATCGGAGCGATCGGATGTCGTTCGTAGGCTCGATGCAATAGAGCTTGAGCGAGGGAATTGGAGTGAGCTGCCAGAGTCAGATGTCGCAAGCTCACCGGATTCTCGTCCCCTCAATAGATCACGTTGTCGTTGAGCGAATTTCGAGTCATCATACTGTTGAGGTCTGCTGAATACACCAAGCGATGTTGCCTTTCCACGGTCGTTGGGCTGAATAGGCAGAACAGGATGCTCCTCGGCTTCGCTGATTGGAGGACTCAATGGGGGGTTAACACCAAAGTTTGCCTTTTCAGGAGAGCCTCGCATAGGGAGAGGCTCAGAAGGCGGGATTGGTGAAGATCCCGTTGTAGGAGGAGTAAAGGACCTCAAATTAGGCGCGCTAGCCTTGGACAGGAGGCCGCGCTTCTCAAATGTACGATCCATGTAAGCCGCCAACGTCGGTGATGGCGTCGATGGGCCAACATCGCCAGCCCGAGGGGTGACAATTCTAGGGCGTGAAAGAGTGTCCATGCGAGAGAGAGCTGAGCTCTGCTGGTCCTTGAGTTCTTTGTTAAGACCCTGCTCATACAGTCGACGGGTACGTGTAACGCTTCGTTCGAGGTTGCTGCTTGAGGCCGAGGGTGTAACAGTCGTCGACGGTCCGTCTTTGATCGAACTGGCGTATTGAGAGGTCAAAGAGGAGGATGTCGAATCACGGGTGGCGGCAAAAGAGGATAGTGTGGAGGCTGTGTCATATTGGCTGACTTGGCCAAATGAACCAGCATCTGGCAACTCAGGACTCTTCTCACCGTGAGAGGTCTTGGCCCGCTCAGCTTGACGCCATTTTTGGAAGGAAGATTTAGCAACATCATCATCATAAACGGCTCGACCGCCCATGGCTCCAGGTTTGGATCCTGCAGCAATCTTGTAGATTTTTTGCCTGCCGCCAAACAGGTTGTTGCCATCGTTTGGTCTAGAGCGGTTCATAATGCTGCCCGTTTGACCGTCATCAGACAGCTGAGATGGGTCACGTTCAAGGAACGATGGTCGGATAGACTCGACTTCAGAAATGTCACCCAATCCGGCGTAATGGTTATTAAAATCCATTATACGAGATTGTCTGTTGGGGTGCAAAACACTGTCGTCGCTTGCCTTACCAATCTTGGACAATGGATCGTCTTGCTCTCGCAACATGGAGAATCGCGCTGAGAGTCCCGTCATCAATAAACTGGTTCTGAAGTCGTCGGTGACAGGTAATGTGGATGTGATTTGTACAGGTCGGTTATAGTCGCTTTCCACCGACTTCTTGCTCTTGGCGAATCTTCGAAAGGGACTGGAAGCATCCGAGTCGATAGAAGGGCGTGGCACAGAGGCATCTTCCTTGCCGCGCTTCTTAGTCAAAAATCTGTTCATGTTGAAAAATTCGTTTTGGTTTCAGGAACAAAATCTGGTTGGCAAAGACTCGCTGAGCGGTGACACTTTTGTCACTTTCAAACGGAAATGGTGACGAGATTCACAAGGAGCTCTAGAAGAGGCAGTATTACGATTAGCATTTCGCTCAAGTTGACGAGAACCCAATTTTCTACCCGAGCAGCAAACTGCATCTCTAAGTAGTCACTCATGGTCACTTTGGGCAAGGAGCGTGGGGTCACGGTGTGGCTGACCACGCGAAGCGAGTAAATTACATACCTGTCAACGCGCCGTCTCAAGTCAGACCTCTTTACCAGCAAATGAGGTTTTCGGCACAGATTGAAGAGAGACCAAGGCTCCTCTACAGTATTGGGCAACTGGTGTGACAGCCCTTTGGGTTTTAATCACCGCTGTCCGCGTGTGTCTCCTCAGCCGAAGAAGGTAGGAATGACACGCCGTTCCAAGGCTGAAGAATGGGTGGCTTTAGCTGTATATGGTGTTTCCGTAACGGATGATGCGGTTGATAGCATTCGATACGGGTGTGCAAACGTCGAAAATGCAGTTTGTAGTTGTCGAGGGCAAAGAGTTGTGCCTGCGGGTTGTACCGTTTTGTGGAGGTGTATCGTCGAGCTTGGTTGGGGAGAACGTATGGAGATGGGTTGTCGGTTAATGCGCAGGATTATCTGCTTTAATAAAGGCAAATGGTTGATTTGGGGTATTGAAGAGCGCAAGATGGGAAAAAAGACAAGAAAAGAAGAGAAGGTAGGGGGAAGAAGCAGAAGAGAAGAAGTCCGGAGATAGTGGCCAGCCAGGAGAGAATAAAGGGTGGAGGAGAGCGATTGGGCGTGTTTGGAAGTGCTGCTAGAACAGGGACAGAAATTATTCGATCAGGCACGGTACAGGACAGGTTAGCGAGAAGCGTGGGCGCGTATAGGGGGGGGCACGCCGCTTAGCGCACAGTGCAACAGCTTTTTCTTTTTTTTTCGGAGTAGCACTTGCCGCTAAAAGCACACTAGAACCCGCTGGGACGGAGGAGAGCCAGCAGGTGGAGCAGGGCATCGGGTCAAAGGTGGCCTGCATCCACGGCAGGGGTGCCTGGTTGGGCTTGGGCGCCAGGGGTAAGTGGCTTTCCAGACGCTGCTGTGTGGCCCCCTAGTTCCTCACAGTGCCAGGGGTGGACGTACCATGATCCATAATGGCTGGCAACACTTCAGGTGGAGGGTGAGAAAAAAATTAATAAAGAGGAAACATGAAAAAGAAAAAAGGAAAAAAGGCAGCTGGGTGTTTTGGGGAACGCAGCAGCCGCCGCCGCCGGGGGCCAGGAATAGCAAACAAACACACAAAGTACGAAAAAGCAGGGTGATGAATGGCTGGATGGTGCGTTTCATCCTTTAGCCAGTGAGAAAGAGAGACCACACGCAATGAGAGCTGCAGTCGGAGGATTAGCCATGAGAAACGCAACTTGTGGCTGCTGCTATGGCGTTGGACCTCCATGTCCATTCAGCTCGGGAACATGCCGCCTTCGGCCCCCCAGGAGCCATCTTGCAGCTGTCCAGTCTGCAAAGGATGCCGTGCCGCTGGTGCTCGCATCGCAGCAAGCCCGTGATAACAGCAACCCTACCAGACGGTACAGCGCAGCAGCAGAATGTGGTCGAGTGACATTATCCGCGCAGCATCCTCGCATGACGGTGCATCGAGAGGGGGACTGCAAAAAGCAGGAAGCAGCAGCGGCAACGCATGTCAAGATCGATTAATTTGGGCTCGAGCCGCCCATGATTCACCTCGATCTCCGCTTAGTGCTTGTGGCCCCCGCCGAGCCTTGATGCTTGCACTGCGCACAATCTTTGCTTTTTTCTCGTCCGGTGCCTATCATACAGCCTGTCACTTTTCATATGGGAGCCGAGATTGTATCTGTCATTGCTGTCATTGCTGTCATTGCGCTATAAGCGAGGCCAAGGGCGCAAGATTACAGGCATAATTTCACCAAGTTGCGTAGGCGCTATCATCCTTCGAGAGCATGTAAGGCGATGAAGGACCCAATCATGACGCATTTGGCAAAATAAAATAAAAAAAATAACAAGGGTCTGCTCTACCATTTTTACAAATTATTTTCCTGCCAAGGCTACCTACATGCAGCATCATGCTGTGTGCCTTGTTGGAAACAGTTTCTCAAACGCTTGTGTCTTTAAACGCCTCATCCGAAGACCAGGCGGGATGCGGGCCGTTCCTCTCGAGCCAACCATAATTTCGAAAAGATGAGAAAACGATTCCCTCAAAAGCACGCAAGTGATATGTTTGTTTACTTTGACTGTCCACTTGTCCCGTTTTGTTTTTTCCTGTGGCAATATGCAGCTATGGCGCGCAGTGTGCCCACGCTACATGCAGGCTCACCCATAGTTTTGCTTTTGGCTCCTGCTGCTCCAGCATATGGGATGGGAAACAACAGCGCCAGGTCGGGAGATGATATCACGAAATTAAAGCTCTCCCTTTGAAAAGTCTGTGTTTAAGTCTAAATTGAAATGAGAAAAAGTCAACCACGACGATCTGTCGTGGAGAATTGTAATAATGATTTTAGACAGACGAGGTACCAAATGGACGGTACCTGAGAGAGTCGATCTTTGGTAACAGGTAGAATGTATACCATATCTGGGTATTTTACATTTTGTTTCAAGTAGAAGTATATGTCTAGAGCAGAAGTAAGCACATCCTTTTCTCCCGGTACATACGCTCGACTATCCGTTTGATATTGAGCAAAGACAGTTTTGCTTTTTCTACAGTCGCAAGTTTTCCCCAGATGTCGTTCTCCATGCGGCTCTCTCAAGCGGTTGAGTTAGGGATGTCGGTTAAGTCATAATCTATGGTTTCAAAGTTGCTTCTGATCCATGCTCTTCGACGAGGAAAAATTCAACATAGCAAACAAGACTCAGCCATTCCCGAATCACAGGCGGTGCAACAGCGGCCCCGACTGCCCAGCACCTGGTACATGGTACAGTGTACTGTACATCGACAGGGCGTGCAGGGGGGGCAAACGGTGGTGCTCACGCTGTGCAGGGGGATGTTCCCCAGTTACGGCTCCATTCTCGTCACGCCGCGTGCCAATGAGAATGCAGTACCTGACGCTTACCTTGTTCGGTACTAGCAGCGCCCCTAATCTAACTACCCAGAGGGGTTAGCCTAGCCACGTTAAGGGCGCCCACTGGGGAAAGAGAGAAAAAAAAAAAGAGTGAGAGAGAGTGAGAGACAGATAGAGCAAGAGTCGCGACAGAGAAAGGATGGATGGATGGATGAATGGGCATCACCTGGCTGTATCAAGAGGAAAACTCAAGGGCGTCAGCCACTTTTCCTCCAGGCGGCATTCGCTTACAAGCCATGTCCCTACTCCAGGCGGAGTGTACTGTACATTCAGGTTTCTCGCAAACAACACCTTCAGAAGAACTATCGGGCTTTAGCTTCGGCAAGGATTCTGGATAGAGTCTAGCCAGGGCTCCGCCGCCGTCAGCCAAACTGTTGGGTCTTTAGCCACGCTTCCGCCAAAGCCAGGTCCCAGCTCCGCCCTAGGGCGTAATATCAGTGCTTCGCAGCTACGAAACGTTTCCAAGGCGTTCCTTTTCGAACATGGGTTTGCGTGCATTTGGGGGCGCTGGCCATCGCTGTACGTTTGCTCACGTATCATGTTCTGCAGGTCCGTGTTTCAACTACACCAAGCGGCGGAGGGGTTGGACAACCGGCTAGCTCGCTGACGACGATCTCCTTTTTTTTCTCTTTGCTAACAAAAAAGTGGTTAGCTTAGCTGTCGACTCTCTTTCTTCGACAAGGCTCCGTCGCCGACACACAGTATCAATTAACAATTGTCCGCTGGGGGCGTTAGTTTTTGGCTAGTGAAACGAGCACACCCATCTTGGTACGCTAATTTTGCACCGTCTTGTGCACAGAGGTGTCTGATTGGCAGACACTCTGGATCACCAATTACAAAACGGCGGAGGACCACCCATCGGCCGCAAGCTAACTATCCCAAGCTCGGTATGGCTCCGTCACGTCTGTCGCGCCACCATGCTTGCCCGCAAGCGGGTTTTTTGACGTGATTGGTACCGCGAAATCTAAAGAGCGTTAAGTCCTTCCGCCCATCGTGCGATGGATGGTAAAGATGTTTTTTTTTCCGGCGCCACGGGGTCTGCACCATGGGCCGCGCTGTGCAGTAGGAAGTGAGTCCCAGGCTGCATGTCTTACAAGACTACACTCAACTCCAAGACAATTCCACAGACACCACACACGAGAGGAGAAACGGAGTGTCATGATGCAACACAGTTAGACCGAGTCACTCAACCGCACAGAAAATAGTCCGGCGCTATTCGCGACGCGTCAGTCGCGTCGCTTGCGCAAGTGCGGGGTTCGGCAGCTGGCGCGACTTGGAGATCGCGAACACCTCATCAAATTTGCCCGGCGCATGACAAAGAAAGCCCACTGCGAAAGTTGCTTTCTGCAGAGAGAGAGGGGCATCAGCTTCAACTGGAGATGCTACTTTCGGTAGATATACCCTCGTTGGCTTGCTCCGCCAGCTCAATCCTCGGGGCCCTCCAATATCAAAGCGTCATGAAGGCAACGTGCTGACCGACCTCGTTCCCATCGACACTATAGTCTGGAGCGGCCTCAATTGTTTAATCAAACAAATGTGCCCATCGATTCGCCGATGTGATTATGCAAAATGTCCTGCCCGCAAGAATGAGGACCGGTCTTTACCTCTTTGGTGTGTAGAAATTTACACCCCGCGTCACGCGACTTATGTTGTCTTGGAATTACAACCCCCAACCCTTGCGAACAAAAGTAGCATCCGTTGGACTATTTGATCATGCGTAGTAGCCTTGTTATTTCCAAGCCGTCTTAGCGAGACATGCTGTTGTCGCACGAGGCAAGATAGAGTCGTGCTGCCTTGAAAAAAAAAACGACCCAGGATCAGGGTCCAGCTGAACCAGTTGAGAGCTGAGCAAAGCGCCGGCCACCGCAAATGTAAAGAACAATGTAACGATAACTGTGAGATGTTTTGCAATCCCAGCTCGCGATCTGGGGAAACATCTCGCTTTCTCGGTGATGTGATTTGTCAAGCGCATAATATCAAGATATGATCGTCGCGCGTTGTGTCTAGCCCCAGCCAAAAACATACCGAGAAATTGGCCAGGCAAGGCTAGAAACCAAAAGGGAGACTAAACCTTGGTACTTGGTAGCCTTGGGTAGCATCGCCCACGACGCAAAGTATTTGTAGAGGCAATGGTTGGGAGTTGGAACAAAAAAAAGCAAAAAGATACTCCCCCAGATAGGTTCGAACTATCGACCTCCTGATTAACAGTCAGACGCTCTAACCAACTGAGCTATAGGGGAGGAGTACTTGTAACTGGCGTCGGAGGACGCTAATTAGGGTTCATGAAGGCCGATCGATCGGGATCCAAATATTTGAAATAGCCGTTCACCACCACGTATACAAAATAGAGCCAAAAATTAAGAAGGCTACTTGCTTAGTTATAAGGACGAGCATTTGAATGCATTTTTTAAGAAAGAAAGGGGTATCAATTCATCAAAGATCAATCTCGCTATAGCCTGGTCCTTGGATTAACCACCACACAACCCGCGCAGTAGCCATAAGAGCACGACAAACAAGCATTTGACGGCCCTCAAAAAATGAATAGCTAAACCTGTACTGTGTGCCCATGTGCAAAAGAGGGCGTTCGTCACTCGAGAGCTGCTCCCAAAAGTCTCCCAAGGAAAAAAACAGAAATGCAGATAAAAACAAAAACACCGGTGCCCAAGCGCCATACATAAGAGGCACAAATTCATGCTAACATATATTTCATATCAGATGCAATGGCAAATGCATCAAGTGACTTGTGTCGTTGCCGACATACATCTCAGTCTTCCCAGATCGTTTCCAAGTCCAGGTCGCTTCTCCTTTCGGCACCACAGACACTCCACCGCTTTCGCTTATCACGAGAGCCGAAGCCGAGGGTTCGGCCGCGAGCAGGAACATCGAGACTGCTTTTGCCTTTGGACTCGGATCCAGAGTCGCTTCCTTCTGCAGCTTCGATGGCAGCCTGTCGCTCGGCTTCCAGGGCAGCCTCTTCGGCATCAGGCGTGTCAGGAATGGTCTCAAGACTAGATATGCTCGGACTTCGAGATCTAGTAGATGTCGGAGTAGACGGGATTGATGACAGGCTGCTACCATAGCTGCTGAGAGACGAGTCATATGGACGATAAAGTGGTGAAGATGCGGTTGAAGTAGGGGTGGTAGGGATGATGGCGGAGCTGCTGTTGGAGGGCGGAATAGATCGGAAAGGGGATGATGTCCTCCGTAGACGTGATGAAGAGGATGAGCTCGTCAGACCCAAATTGGGAGATCGACTACGCTCCGAGGATGACCGACGTTCGCCGTCAAGCACCGATGACCGAACCGGTGAAGTCAGCGGGAAGCCCTCATCCGCCGGTTTCCGAGGCGTGCGTACACGGCTTGGTGAAGCCGACGGGCTCGCCGGCCGTAGTTGTGGCGAGTATAGCAGATGCCCGGAGCCGTTGACTCCTGGCATTGACTGTGTACGGGACATGCCAGTAGCGGAGAGGTTGCTGGTCGAGAAAGATCGAGCGTGTCCGCCTGAGAGAGGCGAGGCGGTGCGAGGACGATAGGGGATGGTGGTGGAGTTATACCAGGCAGAGTTTGTCGGCAGCGGTGGGCTAGGATCCGTGCCTCTTCGAATAACGGGCAGTTTGCGGATGATATCAAAGTCGTTGGTGAGAAGCGCCGGACTGTTCAACGAGAGAGCCGGAATTGGGGAGGAGCGAAACTCCTCCATCCGCTCGGTTTCCGGAACTGGTTCCATTGCTGTTACTGCTACTACTGGTGTTGCAGATTGTGAAGCACGCCGCGTGGATCACAGTGCAGCATGCACTTTTGAGCGTTTCGGACACGCTGCAGCGTTTGTCAGCAAAGCAGTGCTGCTGTCGTTGTTCCTGATGTCGATATAACCGAGTCGGTCGGTTACGTGGCGACGGTGACCAAAAAAAGTTTCTCGCCTCTTCTGCGTACAGTGTAGGTCTGGCGGCTGTAGTCACCGAGTTACAGGCCAGGTGCGGTGGCGATCAGCTAAGCAGCAAGGCAGACCCTAACAATGGGGAGGGACGCCGAGATGCAGGGACCTGAGTTGCAGCCTGTGTGGTGGGACGCCTCGTACGCCTACGCGCAATATATTTGCTTCGGCGCAGTTTGTTTAACAACAACAATGGCCGCTGGATATGCTTATTTGTCTAAGCAGGTGTCTTGCAAGCCTTCGATGGGCAGTGCATGGGGGGTGAATGCCGGGCTGTGGTGGATTGCCGATGTCTCTAACGGTTCCGCGTCGTCGTGTTGTCTCGTCGCGTTTTGGAAAGCGGCCCAGCTATGCGCAGCGTAATAGACGGGATTGTCTCTGCACACGAGAAGACGAAACTGGCACACGCAGGCGAAGGGATCGAGGTCGGGCCGCTGCGGCCAAAGGCGTTGGTGCAGAGAGAACAAAGCACCGGCGAGTGGGCAGCAGGCGGAAACCGCTACTAATGAGGGTTGAGTCCAAGATGGGGAACAGTGGGCGGGCGGCGGGCGGCGTGTCAGGCGCGGTCAGCAGGCAAGCGGGGAAATCGGGATTGGTTTGTGATGGCGCGGCGATGGAGGCGAAGAAGCCAGCAAACGAACAGCGGCGGTGATTTTGAAAAGAAGAAAATAAAAAAGAGAAGAAGGAGGAGAAGGCGGACCAGCAATGCAGACGAAACTTGAAGTCGGCTTTGGTCTAGCGTCGTCTGGCTTGCTTCGGCGGTCAGTAGGTAAGCTTTGTTAGTGGCAGTCTTGGCTGGCGATGCTACAGTGAGTGGCGTAGTGAGATGAGGAGGACGAGCGGGTGGTGGTGTAAGCCTGAGCTAGCGATGGCTGTCGTTGCAGTAGGATTGGTAGCGCCCGCTTGAAGGGTTGCAGCCGCTACCTCGCTTTCTTTTTTGACTCTTCTTTTTTGCCTTGTTTGTTTTGACCAGGATTGGTGTATGGGACAGGCCCTGCCAAATCACCTACACAACAGACGAAGCGGGAGAAAAAACAGACAGGGTGTTGCAGTGCAGCCTCGTTGGCAACTGGCACTGTGGTTGATGGCACGCAGTAGAGCTCCTGTAACGCTGCTACGGCTGCTAACCACTCACTAGTTCAGCCGTAGTGGGTAGGCTTAGGGGCGGGCTCTGCAAGTGCTGCAGCCACAGCAAATAGTGACACGCCGGGAAGATAATATAGCGGGGGAGCACAAAAGCAATGGGCGTAGTAAATGAACTGATGGCGTCGATCTGGATTCAAATAGTCTCTTGCGCCTTCTTCTTTCCTCCATCCTCCTTATATACTATGTACAATTGGTCTTGTCTTGTGTTTTTTTTTTGCGTGGTCACGGTATTGGCCCCTGACTCGTTAGCAGTACAGATGCGTCTGCTACCAGCACCTAACACTCCCTGTCCGGCGACACCGGGGAGCCCAGGTCTCTTTGCACGAATAAGGTCAAACACTAATGCTACCCAGGGCAAGTCAGAGCTGGCGTAGAGCCAAGAAGCTTTCCGAGGACCAACCAAAAGAACCTTCCATTATCGTCAATCCCCTCCTCGGTCGGCACTGTTCTACTTGGTGTATGCCGGTTTCGCAGCACGCCCAGTCCGTGGCGTTTGGTTGGCTGCCGCATCACGTTGCAACGGCCACGCTTCCACTAACAGCCGCTCGCTCTAGAGCCAACAAAAAAAGAGGGTTTCCACCACGAGCATCCCCTATTGGAGAGCACGCTCAACTTAGCCGTAGCGTCGCAGGCGCCAAGCAAGCTCCGCGGGAAGGACAACGGGAGGGGAGAACCAAGCACATACGTTCGGCACATGGCCGCACTGTGTACGACCGCACAAGGCACGATGAGGTACAATACAGCGCACGGCCAGACGCTGATCGATCCCCTAGCAACGGCTACAGTCCAGGGCCTATGCATGCAGCAGGCATGGTTGGACAAGATGTTACCGCTGGAGGTTCTAGTTGGGCCAGACCCTAGCCTAGCCTAGTTCCCGCAGCCGGAAGGCTTCCTGGTGCAGCCCCGGGTGTGGCCGTTGCGTGATCGCCCATACGCTCTCAGCTTGCGGCTATTTAGCGCATGTCACTGTGGCACAGATGCAAGCACGCAACAAATTTCTCTCCTGTGATGTGCCAACTTGAGCTTTTGTCTCTCGACTTGGCAGAGACAGTCCAGAAGCATGGACTCCTCCACGAGACATAGTCCCTCTTACGAGACTTGATAATTGGAAACTGCACGCTCGAAGTTTAATCTTAAAGGCCAATCATTTGACAAAGGATAAAAATCAGGCTTGCTATTTTCATTAATGCTCTTGCTTCACATCCTCCTGCCGTATGGGCAGCTCGCCGCCAATATGCCCATTCGTCGCCGGCTCGCCTTGCTTGCCATGCCTATACACTTTTACAATATTGTCCTGACCTGCGCTTACCATGGTCTCGCCGTGCACATCCACCCAGAAGCAGACGCCTTTGTGGCAATCGCTAAGCTTCTGTACGACTACCTTGCTTTTCACGTCCCAGAGCACGATGCTGCCATCCTCGCTCGCTGAGACAATGAAAGGCACGCCATTCAACACTCCAAAGCAACCGCCAACTGCAAACTTTTCGTTCTTGTGACCCTGATATGTTTTCTTTACACTTCCCTGCACGTAGTCCCACATTCGAATGCAGTTGTCGAGATTGAAGGCGAGCACAAATCGGCCGTTTGGCGAGAAGCAGACGTTTGTAACAGCTGGATTATCTTCGTGAACCAGCGTTCGTAGACATTGGCCCGTGGACATGTCCCATATACGGCTATCCAGCATGTTAGCATATGCCTTTTGTTTCGGCAGGCTGCTAGCCACGAGATACAACTTACGTGAGACCATCTGTAGAGCAGCTAACTACCAACGTCCCATCTGGGGAAACATCAATTCCGCTGACAGGATCACTGTGAGCAGGCAAGCTTCGCATCAGCCTTCCTGCGCGGACATCCCACAAGAAAACGGCCTCGTCATATGAGCCGCTGGCCAGGATGTTGCCCTTTGGCGAAAATGCCAGACAGTGTATATAATTATGATGCCCTCTGAGGGGAGCCATGTCCCGCGCGACTACCGATCGTCTTGTTGTCGTCTTGGGCCGGCCCGTGACTCGATCCCAGAGACGGATCGCCTTGTCGTCAGACCCCGATGCAAGGGTGTTGCTATCTGGCGCCCATGCCACACAGCTCACACCGGCCATATGACCAACTAGAGTATCCAGATGTGCTCCCGTAGCTGCATCCCAGATTTTAACAGTCGCATCGGCCGAAGCGGATGCTATGTAGCGGCCATTAGGCGACAATCGAACTTGCGATACAGGCTTAGTGTGCCCATGCAGCGCCAGCACCGGCCGGTAGTCTGGTTTGAGGAGGTCGAGGGGTGGTGTGAGCGGCGGTTGGTCTGACGGTATTGATTCTGATCTTGTTCGGTTGGTAGAGGTGGGTGAGCGCGATGATCGTCGAGGCGCCCGCGACCTCGATGGAGGTCGGGAGTCGGTGACGGTGCTGGAGTTTGACGTCGGGGGCGATCTTGAACGTCTTCTGGCAGGCGATCTTGACGATTCCCTGGTTTTGCTATAATAATCATGGCGATCGTCGCCACGTCTAGGGCTGGCGCTCGCGCGTCGCCCGTCTGGTGAGTATCTGTGGCTGCCACGCGCATCGCCGTCGCGATGGCCGTCATCCCTCGTCATGCGCGACGAGTGGGCAGCACCATGCGAGTTATCATCAGATCGCCGGCGTTTATGCGTCGGTGTAGCCCCCGGTGTGTTATCTGTGGAAGCCATTGCCGCTGCAGAATGGGGTTTGCGTTGTGAAGGCAGCGGCGATAAATTTCATGACTTGGCGCGACAGGTGAAGCAAGCAAAGGTTGGTTAAGGTCGAAAATAGTTGTGGGGTCGCGCGCGTGGGGTGGTCGCATGTCAACGGGCAATCGTACGGCGCTTGTCGATGGAACAGGACGGCTTGTTCAAAGATGAACTATACAAGACTTGCACTAATTAGAATGTTTTCTTTTAGTTGATAGTTTTCTCGGTTTAATACAGGTTCTATCATTGAAATGAGAGTCGTTGTCATAATAGAGAGCGCCGTTCGATCTAAGATGCTACCCTGTATAAAATATTGGATTAGATGAGGGGGCATAATATAGGGATAAGAATGTTATTAATTATATTTTAATGGCATTATAGAGCCCTTCTTTTCACAGAGTATGGTTTTTGTGCGTGAATCAGTCCTTCTCTAGTGGATCTAGTTGGCTTCTCATCTGTTTAGTATACTTCGTAATCATGATATTGGAGTTACAGATCGAGAAGAAAAAATTCATCAAAAATTACACGAATAAAATAGTATTAATTCAGTATCATCAGTTACATTTGTCATGTCCCATAGAGAACCAACCTAAAGAATGTTTCGACCGAGAGACATGGGCAAGGTCGAGTCGAACTCGAATTAGTGTAGTGTTAGATTCATCGGCTCTGACATCGACTTGGCAATGCATTGTATCGAAAACCAACCGACACTCCCAGTTTCTGGAATCCGACAGCCTCTATATGTAATACCACTTAAGTATTGCGCTTCCTCAGCTACGTTATACCGGCCATTGGCCATTGCCATCCAGCTAGTATATCGGGCGTCAACCATCTCAGTCGGACGTCATACACGACACCCTCACTTCAATAGCGCCATGCAGCAGATTTTTCTATATTACTCATTCTCACCTACAGAAAAGCGCCTACGCGAACCAGATTGCGGGTCGTCAAATACAGATCCAGCCATGGCAGCATGCCACGGATCACCAAACAATGCACAGTTGGGGCTTGCATGTAGGGTTGCTTCTGCCGCCACCAAGACGCTATTTCTGGCTACAGCGTGGCCCGATTCGGACGCACCAGGCTCCCGGTGGACCTCGTGGCGTGTGGTGCGCATATTGTGTGTCTTAGGTACTTTTCCTCCTAAGCTGGTGGTAGAAGCGAGCTCTGCTGTGACGTGAAGCATGGTTCCAAAATAAGAAACGCAGTTGGTGAACGCACTGCGCAAAACAGCCTGTTAGCCAACCATTGTCATCAAGACGGTGATGATAGCCCGGTCCATGCACAGCAAGACGCAACGGGCACCGTCGGTTAGATAATGTTTACTTGACTCGCATCCCTGGGAAGGTCTTCGAAAGCGACGAAATAGGCAGAAGCTGAGCCCAGCTTGCGTTTCAAGGCGACATCTCTGATCAGAATTTTTCTAGTCACAGCATATCGAAGAAACAGTTGGAGTGCAGCACTGTAGGCTGAGCAATGCCCACTATTCCAAACAGGTTTCTGCTGCCCATCTGGAACTCTCTGTATCTTTTGGCTTGGTGCGCTCGGTTCCTCATCGCCCACAAAGTAAGGCTACGCAGCGTCTTGGGTGGGCGGAGATGAAAGAGTGGCAACGGTGATGGTGGGGAGGGAGGTATCTGTCCCATTGGGCGGCGCGCATTGCTCTAGCTCCCTGGCCTGTTGTTTTGTAATTTGACGGACCCCTGACAAGTGTGCGCTGTGACGAGAACCGACGCTTGCGTGAGGGAAATTTGAACAAGGGCATTTTTACTTAAAATTTTGCTGCGTCCGTTGGAGCCGCCGGCAAAATGCCAGCCGGCCAAATCGCCCATCTGTCGTCGTCCGGTGCGCCAAACCATGTCTCTGATTTTTTCTTCCGTCGTGTCTCGCTGGGTTTCTGCGGCTGCGTTCCTGAAAATCTGCACCGGCCGACGGTGAGCCCCACTGAACCGCCAGTTCTTGCGAAGCCCAGCTCCCAGTGGTGCGTGCTACACAAGTGCAGTACAGGGCCCGTGGGGCGCCACTCCACTGGGGCTTGCCGCCTGTAATTATGTACTTTTTCCCCTGCATTTAGGTACATAGAGCCATCCACAACGGGGCGGCCCCGAAGCACCTTGGCGGGCGTGCTCCAGCTGTGGCGCCATGTCCGTCAGTCAGCGAGCGTGCTCAGCCTGGTTCGCGGATTGCGCTAGGCTGCCTGCGCCGTTGCCCACGTCGAATCCTTTTTTTCCTGCTCTTGTCTTTGCTTGGCCCATACCAGTTCACTCTCTTTGCCGGTAGCCATTGCTCGGACAATCCAGCTCCATCCCACCCACTCCTTTCGCTTTAAATATCCCACAGCCTTCCCTCACCTGCCTCCACCTGCTCCTCCGTCACCTTACTCTACCCAGCTACTACTACTACTACTACTACTACTACTCCATCTTCGTCTCACTACAAATACCCTCTCTAGACAACAATGAAGTTCTCTCTTGCTACCGTTCTGGCTTTCGCCGCTACCGTCGCCATGGGCGCAGAGATCCTGGACGATAAGTTTGACTCCGTCTCCAGCCCTCCCAAGGGCACTACCGTCAAGGGCGGCGATATCGTTGTCATCAGCTGGACCTTCTCCGATCCCAAGTATGCTAAGGGCAACGTCAAGATCGACGTGCTCGGCGGTGCTGACCAGGGCAGCCTTCAGAAGGTTGGAACCGTCGCTGGTAAGTATCAGTAAATGCAATCCATTTCAGCCATGACGATTACTAACTCTCGTCAACAGCCAGCGTTGCCAACAACGACAAGAAGCTCATCTGGAACGTTCCCGCTGACCTCGGCGCCGACGCCGTCTACGGCTTGAAGTTCACTTCCCTCGAATTCGACGATATTATCCAGTTCTCTCAGCCATTCCACATCACGGCTTCCGCCATCATCTCCCAGAGCGGCTCCTCCGCCAGCACCCTCTCTGCTACTGGCAGCAGCTCTGCCACCAAGAGCGACTCTTCTATGGTTAGCGCTGTCCCTAGCGCTACAACTACTCATTCCAAGTCCCACAACGCTACAACCTCTGCTCCTACTGGCATGACCACTCAGCCCTCTGGTACTTCTACCGACAAGACCACCAGCGCCAGCAAGTCCGCCCCCGCCTCCACCAGCTCCAGCGCCGCCGCCGCCATGGTTGGCAGCACTGTCGCTGCCGTCGGTGGCATCGTCGCTGCCCTCCTTGCCCTGTAAATTCAGCTGGCAGGCTAGACGACACCGTGGATACGCCAACCGTGGGTATATAATTGGCCAGTGTACGCATTTACAACATTGAAATTTGCTTTTGAAAACGCCGGCGCGCGCTTCTTCCGCTGCGACGGAATCGCAGAAGATACCAACGTCTAAAAATTTAGATCAGCCCCTTGTGTATTAATTGAAATAATATCTCTTTCATCTTTAATCCTGTATGTCTCTACCATCTCAGCCGATGTGACCATGATTAATCCTGTGCGCCGTTGCCCGATATCAGGGACTGATGGCAGCGTCGATCATGCCGATCCCATGATGGAATATAGGAATGGGCAACTTCTGTTACAGGGTCACCCAGGGCCCGCAGTGAGACACAGTTTTGGGTTTTAATGCGATTGTTCGTAGGGTGACGTAGAATACCGCTCGTTTTCTGTCGCACAATCTGCACCAAAGGCACAAGTTGATAACAGAACATCGATTACCTTGGAATCACAAGCATGGCGGACTACCAATCGCCGGCTAAACCGATTTCAGCTTCCAATTAGTATACTTTTGGCTTTCTCACCATTAGTACATATGAAAATTGTGCGCAGCTCATCTATGTGGCCGCAGTTCTAGGCAGTGTCTCAGATGGATGCCCTGTGAAGAAGTCCATCTTCACCGCGACTGGCGTGTGGGCCAGTCTCCTGGACAACACCAACAGCTCTACTAACGTATGGTGTTGACGAGGCAAGGCTCACATCTCTTAATTCTGCCATCTTATTTGACTGAGGCTAATTTTGTGATATTCAGCTACGCCAGTTTTGTACACCACATGCATTTTCCCTCGTATTGTGTAGGAAACGCCCTAAGAGGCGTATTTAGAGCTGAAGACAGCTGTGGCGACTGACAGCTCACGGACAGACAGACGAGCCAATGTGGCATTGCGCAACACCAAGCCTCCATTGACGATGGTTAAAAAAAGAAACTAAATTTGTCATGTGTTTTTTTTTTTCTTTTAATCTTGTAGCATTTTTTTTCTTACGCGCTTTGGGTGCTGCCGTCTCTAGCCAACTATACTCAAGCTGATGCACTGCACTGTACCTTGCAGAACAGAGCCTCCCACGATATGCCGTTGCGCTAAACCAGACTGGGCAGGAGGGGCAGCCCTGCAAGCGGTACGTACTCGTGTGCTACTGCGAGGCTTGCCGGGCGCGGTTTTTTTCCTGATGTCGTGACGGCAGAAAAAAAAAAGTTGCCCCTCCATTTCGACAACGCCTTGCTTCGCTTTCAGCCAACCAAGCACCTTCATCTGTTGATTTTGTCGCACACACAATCGTCACAATGGCTTCCGCTGCTCCCTCTGACGCCCCCAAGACCTGCAGGGTCATTACCGCAGACACCATTGCCAAGGGCTACCTCGCCGAAGTCAAGGAGACCCTTGCTGCCCTACAGGGCGAGAACCCCTCCGAGCCTACTCTGGCTGCATTTCTTGCCAACGACGACCCTGCGGCTGTCAAGTATGCTGAATGGTCCAAGAAGACCTGTGAAGAAAAGTAAGATTGGCCTTTACCTAACACCTGGTACGAGGCAGCCTGAAATGACTAACCGCTTGTCCAGTGGCTTCAAGTTTGATCTCCGCGTGGTCGACAAGGACGATCTTGAGGAGGAGATCATGAAGGCCAACGAAGACAAGGCTGTCGACGGCATGATTGTCTACTATCCCATCTTCCACAAGAACCCCACCCACGACAAGTACGTTCAGGAGACTGTTGCTCTGTCTAAAGATGTCGAGGGCCTCCGCCACCAGTACCTCCAGAACATGTACCACAACATTCGTTTCCTCGACGCCCCCGAAAACAAGCAAAAGTCCATCTTGCCTTGCACGCCCTTGGCTGTTGTCAAGATTCTCGAGCACCTCCAAATCTACAACAAGATTCTGGCCTCTGGTAACCGCCTCTTTGGCAAGACCATTACCGTCATCAACCGATCCGAGGTCAACGGCCGCCCGCTGGCCGCCCTTCTTGCCAATGATGGTGCCACTGTCTACTCTGTGGACATCACTGGCGTGCAAGTCTTTACTCGTGGCCAGGGTATCAAGAAGCAGCGCCACCAGGTCGAAGACAAGGAGGGCTGGGGTCTCGAGCAGTGCTTGCCCTTGAGTGACGTCGTCATTGGCGGTGTCCCCGTCGAGTCCTTCAAGGTCCCTACCGAGCTCCTCCGTGAAGGTGCTGTATGCATCAACTTTTCGTCTTACAAGAACTTTGACGGCCCTGCCATCAAGGAGAAGGCCGCCATCTACGTCCCTTCCGTTGGCAAGGTCACTATTGCCATCCTCTTGCGCAACTTGGTTGTAAGTATTGTCATGTATCACTTCTTAAAGAAAACAACAGCTAACCAAATTGTAGCGCCTGATTGGTAACCGTATGGCTACTGAGACCAAGAACTAGAACATTACCACGTGGAGCGACAAGCGAGAGTGCGAGAGAGCTAGAAGAAAAGATACACAACGAGCATTTGATACTTTAGAATATTTGGGATATATGAGCTAGAGAAGAAATCACGGCTTACACGGCGTTATATTTAAGATGGGTCCCGGGTGGCCTTTTTAACACTGAAATACAATCTATTATGGGAGCTCCCTTTGTTACTGTCGTCGTGTGTCGTCATCTCACTCGTATTTAGCAGCTGTTTTCACGCATATCCTCAGGTCATGGGATAAGAAGGGGCCATACAATGGAACCCATCTACCTATCAACGATTTACGTATGTGCATATATCTGCAAATTATGTTTGTCTGTAATTACAATTATACGCACTTTCGACTGAGTAGGTGACGAAACATTCGATACTGGGGACGAGATCACACCATGGTAGCACTTGCAGGCAATTCGGCCCGCTGACGTGACGCCCAGCGTAATCTTATCCTAGGCTAAAACTGATTAGAAACGATGGATTTCTATTTTCTGGGAAGAGACACCAATCTATCAAATATGTATTTGCAGAGAGATATGGGCAGCGTGAGCAGATACGAGAATCTAGAGTCCAGCCAGTAAGAGTTGTTCTATTTGCATTGGCCAAGTCGGTCGTCCACAGAACATTCCCCCTTTCTCTCTTTGCAATACCTTAATGCACTGCCTTTATTGTATCTGCTGCAGCATGTTGATCACTACTGTTACTGTTACGAGACTCAGCACTGCGTCCGGCCTGGCGTGCGGCGTGTCTGCCCCTGAAAAGAGTTTAGCTGGAAGAAGGGGGCCTAGTGGAGGTGTGTCCAGTGGTGATAATTAGAGCCTTGAAATTAGCAGTCCGATGGTCATTGGGACGCGATTGACTGATGTGTGCCATTGTGTACGGCATCATGCTAAAGAATAAAAAAAAGTCCAGAAATACCGTACATGTGATTGTTCAAGGACTAACGGCTAAATGGAAGACACTACGCAATGTATACTCGATGATTTGCTTAATGCGGCAGTCATCCCCGCGGCGCGCATCTTGCGTCCACCACTTTGGTACGCGGCAGCGCGTAAGACCCGGCTACAGCGCTCCGCCCAGCGCCAACAGGCCTCCACTTCCCCCATCTGTTACAGTGCCCTTCGCGCTATCGGCCCACCGCTCAGGCCTCCTTGTGGTACTGTAGCTGTACCTGCTGTCGACTTTTCCTGCTCGTGTTCCCGCCCCTGCAGCAGCACCGCAAAAGCAAAGCCCCCGATTCGTCCCATTGCTACTGCTGCGTCCGCGATCTCGCCTTTTTTTTCTTTTCTTCTTCTCCTGCTCTGCATCATCTGTGCGGCTTCACCGCGGTGCCCGTCCTTCATCCGCCGTGCTTCTTATTCCCAGCAAACACGCACAAACCCAAGTCACTCGCTATTTTACGCCATCCATCCTGCTTGCCCATTGCCAGCCCATTGTGGCGGCCCGCCTCGTGCTCCAGCATCGCTCATCATCTGACCTTCGATCGCAAAATTTACCAACCATCCATTGACCGCTAACTGGTACTTCCATCTGTTTGAATTCCATCTTTATAGGCCTAGATTTCGTCCCTTGATACATCAGCACATGAGAGGAAGCACATAAGCTGCGCGGGGCGGCTTGGAAGAGACTACCATCAGGGAGCCGACAGGCGTCCTGGACGACGATCAATTGCCCCGCGACCGAGACATCCTGAGGAGGTACAAAGAATCCTGAGGACACTCTACGATACACAACACATTACCTGGGGCCAGCACGCATCGCAGGTGCGACATTTGCTGCCCGACTACATAGCTGCCTCCCGTTGATTTCCTCCCGTCATGGCTGCAGAAACTGTCTCGGCAAGCCGCCGCCATGGGCGGACCGACTCGACGGGCACAACCGTACCCTATCGACCACAGCCATCGTCTCCAACGCTGACGAATCCCGATATGATCCTTCCCGACTACGACGAACCTGACTTGGGTGGCTCGCACACGCTATCTCCTGTTATGGCGTGGAACGGGTCTGCCGAAGACTTCCATATCAGCGATGTCTTGCAGTCAGGCGGTATTGAACTCAACACCCCTATCATCTACGGAAACGGCACCATGCTATCTGATATTGGTGAGGTGACTGAAGTGGAAAGCAATGTTGGTGGTCCCATCGGACGCATGGCGTCGCAGCGCTCTATTGGATCGAGGCTGAGTGATGGCACGCTGGGCACCTCGCCGCCGCTGGGGACGACACCGACATTTATAAGGAGACAAGAAAAAACTGTGCGACCTGTGTCTACCGAGCCGTTGGGCGTAGATAAACACCACGCATTCCCCGATTTCGACGATACCGTCAGCATCGATGACACCAACTTTCAGGGAGACGACGAGGAGAGTGTTGCTGGCTCGTTTATGGATGATCCATCAGCGAGCAACCTTTCTCTTAACATAATACCACAATCTGCTGATCAAATCACGGAGAACCGCTACTCTACTACATTCATCAGCAGACGAGCGGAGAAGATTCTTGCTAATGCTAAGCGACGATTAACTGTAAGTCTGCTACCGGTTCCGCCTTAGAGGGATGTGCGCTGATAGTGGCCATAGACAATGGAAGACAACCTTACGAGAGCGAGAACCTTGAGCTATTCGTCTGTTTCCGAAGAAGCCTTACAATCACCGCAAAACGGCCGACCAAGTGCCGTGCGACCTCCAACCTCTGGACTCAAGTCACCTAGCCATTCCCGAAACGTTAGCCAAGATAGCATCAACGGTACACCTCGCGCGATTAGTATGCCTCAGAGATCGGCCAGTGCCCTGGGAGCGGCGGGAGGATACAGACAACTGCCTACTTCAAGGAGCGATAATCTTATTGTGGTTAATGCTACCGATCACCTACAAAATGGCTTGTCGCAACATGCCCTGGACACGCCACTCGAGCCACTCAGCGAGGACGATGCCACATCTACAACAAGCAGTGTTCGCCATAGCTACGGAAGTCTTGCGCCCGTGGACCCTTCGACTATTGTTCGATCAGCATCGGTAGCGCAAGTACGCGATCTTCAGGATCAAATGAAGGGCCTGAAAGGAAAAATCCATTCATTGAGAGAACAGGCAGCGGCAGACAGCATGAAGCGACGAAGTTTACAAAGTCTACGTACCCCCAGCCCGTTTACGCATGCGCGATGGGATCCCGAGTTTACAGAGCCGAAGCCGTCTCCGGCACCAACTCCCGAACCTATTGGACCGACCTTGGGCAGCCCATTTCGACCTGAATTCGAGCCCATGGACAGGCCTCAGTCACAACAGTCCACATCAGATATTGACGCGAGCCCTCCATCTAATGGAAAAGAGCCCAGCGTGTACCGCCACAGCCCGGTCCAAAATCTACACCAAGCATATATCGAAGATGGCCAGCCTGGAAACGAAGGGGCCCGACAAGCACGCCGAAGATCGATAGACGATGCATCGGTTAGCGAAAGTGGCGAGTCTATTTATGAAGAGGCGCTGTCTACACCAGTCTCTCACGAAGACCGAGAAGATGCCTTTGATTACCAAAACTTCTTCCTTCACTCAGCTATGGGCACCATGAGCCGTCAGGGATATAATGAAGAAGACGGTTCAGTGGCCTCTGATGATTCCACAGAAACAACGCGAGCGCCTCCTATCCGTCTTGAACGTCGCGCTAGTGCTGATACGTTGACATCTACCGACAGTTTCGCGACGGCCACAGAAGGTCGTGAGAGCCGCTCTTCAGAATTGGAGGATGAGGAAGATCAGGAGAACACTGTCATTCTAAACCCAGATACACTACCGGAGATTGACCAGGCTCTTGCTAGGAACAGCGCAGTCTACGACATGGCAGCTGCTAACAGCAGCGCCGAAGACTCGTCCTCATCGCGTGATTCTCACCGAAGAACGCTCTCCTATAAGCGAATCGCTATGGTGACGCCCGTATCTCGCCACGGCCTGCATCGTCCTTCCACATCCTCGTTCGAATCAACAGGAACCAACAGAAGCTTTCCCTTGGTAAACAAGTCACGTCTAAGTGGTAGCGCTGGCAGCGGCTCACCGCTCCGAGACTCACCTGACGGCCCTTACAAAGTTTCCAAGGAGTCCTCGTTACGCAATAGTGCTCATGAAGACGAACTGCTCAATGGAGGCGCTTCACCAACAGTGGTGCCACTATCTACCGAAGATCAATATTCAGTAGACCGTCTCGTGTCGTGTTTTAACAAATGCGTGGAGGGGTTGACTGACTTTAAACAGACAACGGCCATGCGTGATACATACCGACGACGCTTGGAAGCAGCCCGTCGCATATTGGAAGGGGAAGATGCCCTGTACTAACAAAAGATTACCACTGCATTTCGAGGCAAACCAATGATGGAAAAACAAGGTGTATATCATGTACTTGACGAATGGAGTTGGGCACCTGTTCTTTTTTCTTTTTGGCGCCTGCTATACCCACTTTCCTTACTCTTATTTTTTGATTTCCTATCAGTTTCTATTACCGCTGGTTTGACGATGAAAAGGATAGAGGGCGACGAGAACGACGCAATCCATCGTGACAACAGCGACAAACACATTTTATTGATGGGCTTTTCATATAGTTTTTATTTTTATTTTGCAGCGCGTAATGCCCAACTGTGGGAGCACTGCTATTGTATAATGAACAAAATAATGTATATCTCTTTCTGTCGTTTGCCTACAAGGCTTGATTGACGTGCTTGACAGTGAACATCACGCGCCCATTTGCGCCATTAGGATGGATCTGTCACATGCCACGGCGCCGCCGTAGCGTCTTGGCTGGCACTGCCTTACTTGCCTTGTAAAATAATTTTGCTACCAAAAACGGAACTATCCATCTCGATACGATCGGTGGGTATGCTATAAACAATTTTTTTCGTAGACTGAAAGGAGTGTAGATTGCGGGCATGTGAAAGAAACACTGCACCAACTACAGTGAAGCAGCATTGTTTACCTCCGCAAACGTTTCAACGCGCCCACCCCTAAGATCCCACCGTTTTTGCACCCAAACCCATCATGGCCGCCCCCGGCCCCACTGCTCGGCCCGGCCGCCCAGCGCCTGTCGTCCACTGAAAAAGGCCCCCATTCAGGCGCTGTGCTGTGCACTACTACTGCCGTGGTGCTCTCGCGTTTTTTCTTCCTCTTCCTTTGGAGCGCAGCCAAGTTACGAAAGTACGTACAACCACCTGACATCCCAACACGTTACCACTTGCAAACACACGCGCAAAATCGCTAAGGCCTTGCCATTTTCCCGCCTTCATCGTCCACGCACTAGAGCAGGCTCGAACGCGCGACCGACCGCTACGATTACGATATAACCTTTTTTTTATTTGCCGCCACGGCGCGACCGTTGCAACCAACGACGCACCGCTACGATGGACGCTTCCACTCTGGTTAGGCTGCTGAGCATGCTGCTGCCCGCCAACGTCGTCGAATACGTCAACAAGCATGCGCTGCGCGCCGACGCGCCGCTGCAAATCTACATGACACAGGCCCGGTCGCAGGCCTCGCGCGCCGCCGAGCGAGCATACCCCTATGTCCAGCCGCGCGTGGAGCGTCTCGTGTCGGCCATGTCGTCGGCAGCCGAGAGCTCGCCGGCCGCAGGGGCCCTGGGCAGCTTGCTGGTGCCGCTGGCCATCTTGGCCGTGTCGGTGATTGTGATGAACTGGATCAGGAGGATGGTGGTGTGGTGGACAAAGCTGGCTTTTCGGGCCGTGTTCTGGGCGACTGTTTTTGCGCTGGCCGCATGGGTCTGGAACCGTGGTGTCGAGGAGAGTGTGAGAGATGTGGTTGTTCTCGGCGGCAAGGTTGCTGGTTATTTGGCGGTGGTGAAGGATATCTGGATCGAGGAATATAACAGATACGAGGGCCAGCAGAATGGCAGATTCGAGCCCCAGCGCGTCATGAGCAAGGGCAGAAGGTCGGGAAGATAGATGTATATCGAAATTCCTCTTTTATTATGGGGGCTCTGCGGAGCGAGGGCGGCGGGTGTATGTGAAATGAGATCTACGGTTATTTTTGTGTTATATATTACTTCTGGGTGCAGGTTTCGCGTGACGATGATGATGATGATAACGATGATGAGGAGAATGAGAGAGAGAGTTTAATTATAATGGCTTGAATTTTTATTTTGGGAGAACCATATATGTATATGGTGAATAGATATCATCCAAGAACGCCTACGCTATGCATGTAAAATAAGCAAAAGAAACATCATAAGAAGCAGTGCCCAAGGAGGGAGACGACGCCTTCTGTGGTTTAATCGTCGTCCTCTTCATCGAGCTCGTTCTCATCGTCGGGTTCTTTGGGATCCTGTGCCTCGTGGTATTGAATACAGTCGTCGATGTAGCTGAGAATGGCAGCGACACTGTCCTCGTTGGTCACGTCCAGCTTTAGGTAGTTTACCATGCTGAAGCTCTCAATCAAGCTAGCCACAGCGCGGTTCAAGCGTCGGAAGCTGGCGCCCTTCATGACTTGTTCGCGGTCGTCGGGTCGCTTCGACTCGTCGTCTTCCGGCACGTCTTCAGTGAGGCGCTTGCGCTCAAGCGGATCGTCTTCGAGGAGCGCGAGATCGGGTGTCAGGAAGTTCTTGAGGTCTTTGTTCTTCACTTGGCCCTTGACAAGGTCCATCTTGGAGAGCACGTTGATGTGCGGAACCTCAAGCATCAGCATGGCACTCATGGCGCTCAGTGTTCCAGAGAAGAACTTGGCACGGTCGACGACAAACGTCGCCTCGAGAAGGTAGACAGCTGCCATACGGATGTCCAATGCGCCGGATTGAGATAGGAACCTCATAAGTGTCGGCAGGATGGGAATGTGAGTGTACAGCTCGATCTGGCCAGGCATGTCGAAGATGATGAGGTACTCTTCTGTCAAAGAGTCCAGAGCTTCAGTCAACCAATCCAAGTTTTCCATAAGAAACTCGAAGCAGTAAATGAGACCGCCGTTGGGCCCGAGGCCGACCTCTTCCATGGCATCCTTAAGAGAGATGAGCTCCTTGATGTCCAGGTCGGGCGTGTGCTCAAACGACTCGGCAGCCGGGTCGAGGTTCACGTAAAAGGTAGACCGGCGGTTGAGCTGGAGATGAGTGATGAGGGCGGCACAAAAGGTCGACTGCAAAACATGGTTGAAGCTGTTAGCGGCGATCCCGATACAGTTAAAGCCATCGCGACACTTGACCGTGGATGGTTGAACGACACACTCACCTTGCCCGCCCCCGCAGGGCCCATGATCATGGCGCCAAACTTGCTCATGGTGGAGGATTTGGCAAGTTACAGGTGACGAGATGCAGAAGGAGCGTATGCGGCCGGAATGTCGACGAGCACGTGAATCAAGCCAGCGGTAACGTTGAGTCGCGGCAATGACGAGCAGCTTTCACGGCTCAAGCAAAAAAAGATTTCCACTAGGTGTTTTGGAGGTGGGGGCCCCGCGCCACTGTAGCACGGCATGCAATGGGATCAGCCTAATGGAGCAGGCGGTGAGGGCCACTATGGAGGGGCGGCGGCTTAGCGTAGTGGGCGATTGGCCGTATCAACAGCGCACGTTGGTGCTACCGGCGACGATGAGTGGCCGATGATGGCGGCATGGGACAATGCGCGGGGAGTGTTAACTTGGGCTATTTTGGAGGGGTTGTTGGTCTTGAGGAGCAATTGATCAAGTCAAGGCGGGGTTCATGCAAGCGGCAACGGCAGCAGCCAGCGAGAGCTCACTAGCTAACCCATGCTTTAAGCGGCATAGGGGGAATGGCTCGTTGCGTGTCCCATTGGCTGGCTGCAGCAGCACATGTCGCTGTTGAGCAGCACCTTGTTATATTGGCCTCAACGAATTGTGTAAATAGCGGGGAAGAGCGGTGGAAATTGCAGGTCAAGACGATTTGATGATGTGTCTTTTTCTGCTTTTAGTTGCCTTTACGGGTCGTCTTGGTGAACGCAGAGAAGGACACTCCCTGTAGCAAGAAAGAGTAGTTGTCCTGTAGTTGGCAAGCCGAATACGGTGTATTGTCTCTGGCGGCACACCGGTCAAGGGTCTAGCAGTAAGGCCAACAGGCATTCAAGATGAATGGAAGAGCTATGCAGGGTTTAAGAAAACCACTATACTCCTTAAAAAGAAACAATTGGACACAGAGAGTAGCACACCGGAGTTAGAGATACGCCGGAAGTAAAATAAGCATCCCATGTCGCGGTATTTTAGACATTCGGCGTGCGAATCGGGCTCTCAGCCTCACCCCCAACGCCGGCGCTTTTACAGAACTCGGTACCTGGACCATAGGTGCTGAGTAGGCCGAGGTGACAAGTATTACCGACCCCGAGTGATGTGCACCTAACTCCGAGTTGTGAATGGTTGCGTGACTGCTTTCCGCTGCCTCGTCTTGGTCATGGTAAGAAGATTACCGGCGTAATAATATAATGCGTGAGCGTATGCGCACGGCTTTCGAGAGACGGCGAGTAAAGCACTGGCGTGTTTGCTGGCTGCAATGACGAAGCGCTCGTAGTCGTATTACACCGCCTATGGCCCAAGGATGCAAGCCGCCTAGAGCCAGCCTAGAAGCCAGGCTAGGGGGGGCTTGCCAGCAAGTAGACGACTATAGTTTCAAAAAAACAAGTACCGAGTTGAGGGTTGGCAAGATGGGTTCTGTTTCGTTTGCCAATTGGGATTACAGTCTGCAAACAAAATGGGAAACCGATGCAGAAGAAATGCCCTGTTACACCATTCACCGAGTTACTCCGATTCGCTGCTGCGTTTCCCTTTTCCTACAGTACCCAACGGGCTATCATCAGCAGGTCCTGTAAGCAAGCCCAGCAAACTTACAGTAGCTGCATGCGCCGCCCAGAAATTACCCATGGGGACAACCCGAATGAGAGACCCCAGCACGCCGATTGCGCCATTCGCTGGCTGCGCCTAACTGACCCGATACAATCCACTGTGTACCTGTTTCCACTGCGGCAGCCGTCGCCCGCTAGGTACCACGCCCCCCGACCAACCGGCCCCCGACAGAAGGCCAGAGAAGAAAAAAACTCTACCGCCTGCCCGCCGCCCTCATTTTTTTTCTGCCGCTTTTCTGCCCATTTTCCTCATCTCCCCCCATCCCCGCCCTCCTCTCGACCTTTTTCTTGCCCGCTACTCTCGTCTTTCTTCCCTCTACACTTTTTCTTCTTTTTTACCAAAGAATCTTTCCCCCCCCTCTCCCCCCCTATAATCCTCTTCACACATCTCCATCACAATGACTGCCAACTCGCACAACGAGGGTACCTTCCTCTTCACTGTAAGCAAATTCCCTGCCCCGCCATCACTGCCGCAGTCTCTGCGTCTGTTATCGCGCGCTTTTCCCTCAACCCCGTCCATTCACCAGAAGCTAACCAATGCTGGTTTGTCTCATTAGTCCGAGTCCGTCGGTGAGGGTCACCCCGATAAGATTGCCGATCAGGTTTCCGATGCTATCCTCGACGCCTGCTTGGCTGAGGACCCCCTCTCCAAGGTTGCTTGTGAGACTGCCACCAAGACCGGCATGGTCATGGTTTTCGGTGAAATCACCACCAAGGCCAAGCTTGACTACCAGAAGGTCGTCCGTGACGCCATCCAGGACATTGGCTACGATGACTCCTCCAAGGGTTTCGACTACAAGACCCTGAACTTGCTCGTTGCCATTGAGCAGCAGTCCCCTGATATCGCTCAGGGTCTCCACTACGAGGAAGCTCTCGAGAAGCTTGGTGCTGGTGACCAGGGTATCATGTTCGGTTATGCCACCGACGAGACCCCCGAGCTCTTCCCCCTCACCCTCATGCTCGCCCACAAGCTCAACGCTGCCATGTCTGCTGCCCGCCGCGACGGCTCCCTCCCCTGGTTGCGCCCTGACACCAAGACTCAGGTTACTGTTGAGTACAAGCACGACAACGGTGCCGTTGTCCCCATTCGCGTCGACACTGTCGTCGTTTCCGCCCAGCACTCTCCCGATATCACCACCGAGGAGCTCCGCAAGGAGATCCTTGAGAAGATCATCAAGACCACCATCCCCGCTCAGTACCTTGATGACAAGACCGTCTACCACATCCAGCCCTCTGGTCTCTTCATCATTGGTGGTCCCCAGGGTGATGCCGGTCTCACTGGCCGCAAGATCATCGTCGACACCTACGGTGGCTGGGGTGCCCACGGTGGTGGTGCTTTCTCCGGCAAGGATTTCTCCAAGGTCGACCGTTCTGCTGCCTACGTCGGCCGCTGGATCGCCAAGTCCCTTGTCGCTGCTGGTCTCGCCCGCCGTGCCCTCGTCCAGCTCTCCTACGCCATTGGTGTTGCTGAGCCCCTCTCCATCTACGTCGACACCTACGGCACCTCCGAGAAGACCTCTGCCCAGCTCGTTGAGATCATCCGCAACAACTTTGATCTCCGCCCTGGTGTCATTGTTCGCGAGCTCAGCCTCGACCGCCCCATCTACCGCCAGACCGCCAAGAACGGTCACTTCGGTACCAACCAGAGCTTCACCTGGGAGCAGGTTAAGAAGCTCAACTTCTAAGCGCTGTGTGATGGCAGTACTTTGAAGGATGATGTGGAGAGCTTTCAACAGCGCTCTCTTTACGATTCATTATTAAAAAATCTGGAATGATAGACGTGTTTAATGTCCATTTTTGTCAGGAAACGACAGGCGGCGTACGGTTCTCAACGACCTCTTTTTTATTTGCTTTTACATATTACCCACAAGGATGTGGGCGAAGTAACGGGCGGTCTTTGGCATATTTTGATTTTGATTTTTCCTTTTTTTGTTCATAATTACTGAAGAAGCCGATAGGAAGAGCTTTCTTCTTTTTCTTTTTTTAACATATACCAGGCATATGGAGTGAGACGGCGTCTTTCAACAAAGACAACTCAACGCGGGCAATCGCGGTTTTGATTTTATTACGACTTCTCCATTGCGTGAGAGAAAAAGCGTGTTGGTTACACGCTCCAAACGATATTTGCATTAACAAGGGAACACTAGCCGCCGGGTGCGCGCCGACCTTTCGATCGAGAGCGAACGAGTGCCGGCGGCGACGTGTGTTTCGGCGTTTTACGGGGAACATGAAAGAAGTTCAACATTTTCTTTTGCTTTTCTCGGCATTCTCTGACCGAATACAAAACAAAGTCTTGGTTTTGGACGATGCAAAATCGGTGATCGGCAGGGTGGATAGAAAATGGGGAATACATAGTTAGCAAGGGCTTCTTGCCCGTCAGGAAGCTCTTTAATTCATTGATTTTAACCCCCAACACAGACGTCTTTGATTTTAGTGAATCTTATATGTACCATGACTTGATAGTCTTTACTTGGCCCGTCGTGCGTTGGTAGATGGGAGGTTGTGCGTGGCGTTGCGCCTACAATGTGTCTATTCAGTATGGATTCTCTTCTTATATGCTATTAAGAGCTGGCAGAAATCTATGGGCTATATTGAAACCAAAGTAAAGCAAAATCCGGCATATAGCAACAGTAGTTTAAATTTAATCATATAAACTAGCATCATTATCTTCTTCAGGCTTGAACGCTGGCCCCAAAGCATGGCGATATATCCCATCACCCAGTGTCAGCCTCCACAGTTGCGGCATCGTTTCCGCCCTCATCAACTGCATTGGCATAAAGTCGTCCCAAAATAGATTTCCCGGCACTCGCAGCCAACCTTGGTAAGGATGTGGCAGTACAGGAGGCTCCATTTGGCTCGCAAACCGCCGACCTTCTGCGCTACTTGTCGATTCGCCAAGGACGATGTGACGACTCTCATGTTTCGACGGGTCCAGGTATGAATTGATCACCACATGATTTGCAACAACAAAGGCATCCGTTTGGAACCCTACCATGGTCTTCTGTGACTCGCCAAAGTGACTGTGATGTTCGTTCTTGTTAGCTTAGAGCGACATTGAACACCCAGGTTACGTGTTTCATACCGTAGAATCGATAACAGCCCATCTGAAGCGCCTTCTTGTTCGGATACGATGTCCCTTGCGTCTATCCATTCGATTATGCACTTTTCCCGAATTTCATCGACTCCGACAAGCCCCGATTCCCAGCCTGACATATCTTCCTCAAGTTTCGCCTTGAACTTCTCCCACTCTTCATCATCGTGTTCTGGGCTAATCCGGTATCCTTTATATTTGACCTGGGGATTGTTCCTTTGCTTGGCGGCCGTCACCCAGAGCTCTTGTTCTGGGTCCTGCCTCTGCGGGCCACGAAGCTCATTTCGAGCTATTTCTTGTGCTTTTGCCTGGTCTAGAGCCTGTTCTTGTGCGCTCTTGCTTCCTGTTGCTTTTGGGTCAGGCTTGGTCTCAATTCGAAATATGTACTTGACGCGCGCAAAATAATCCGCTTCTCGAACTTTAGCATTGGCAGAGAATCGAATCGGCTCCATGCGATACTTGTTTTCTGTGTCTGGCTCTAAGTGATCCTGTGAGGGTAAAGTCTCGCCGTGGTACCCATCCATGGGGATGCAGATGTCGGTATCAGCTTGAGCAACACTCATTCCGAGATCATGGATCCTGTCAGCTAGCACAAAATCCAACACGGCGCGGGCTGTGGGGGCATATGTTAGGATTCTATCGCTTAACAGTGGTAGAACCAGGGCGCGCAGGCGCTCTATGTGTTCAATCACCCATCGATGGGCGCGTCGCGCGATGAATTCGTAGTAGTCCTTGATGTACTCGTGCCATAACCCTGCTAACGAAATATCCGAGCTGTAGATAGCCTTGCCTGCTGCCCGGAGAGCCTTGTCCAATGTGTCCATGGATTCCCAAACAAAGTTGAAGCTCTCACGCAAGATGCGTTTTACACCAGGGGTGTTCAAGTAGTGAAATACATCGATGACGCTACAAATGTATGAGCATGCTTCGTCGAATTTGTCCTGGCCATCTAGTCCAAGCTCAACCCAGCGTCTCTCCGAGATGGGCATGATGCCCGCCATGATTCTCCTCTTCATAGTGATTAGCTCTTGCGACGCAGTAATTTGCCTCTTTTTCCGCATGCCTTCCCTGATTTCAAGAAACGACACATTTGTATCTCGAAATGGCTCAGGAGCCCAGCTGAAAGTCGGGTTAAGAAAGTAGATCATCAAAGGATCCCAATCAGGCAGCGGCAGATCGGTTCGTCTTCCAGAGGGAAGTACACCGCTATACATGAAGGAATCACCGAAGCGGATAACGAGATTCTCTGGAAATACAATATCTGCCACCCAGTATCGGCGCTCCTTGTGGAAGTCGGGTGTCTCGCGGCCCAGGATATGCCATCTGGCTCCTTTTGGTATGTTCTGTCGCTGCACCAGCGCCTGTCGCATTTTGTAGCCATACGATGAGCTAACGAGGCCGAAGACGAGTTCAAGTGCTATGAGCGCCAGCACTTGATCTGGGGGGCGGGAGGCATCGTCCATCATCAGCCGATTATAATTTATAACGAGTAAAATAGAAGAGCGTTGAGGATGTATGCGACGCCGAGTCCCTGAACGCAGGCCATATATGGCGCTCCTTCGTTCACACTAACCATTGTAAGCTCGGACACGAGTTAGACCGCAGGCAACCACAGGCATTCAGACTAACACCTGTGCCTGCGCCACATGTGGCTAATGGACAGCATGTTACTACTTGTTACTGTATATCCGCAGTGTGCGGACATTCTTTCGGCCGATCCCGTATGACTAAGATGAGGTGAGTTAAAGTTTACCGTTTTTCTATTGATACCCTATCAAGAAGAGGAACGCTCGCCTTTGGGCAAACTTCGCAGTGTGGTCTTACGGCCGTTGGCTGTTGGCGGTTGGTGGCTGTTGGCGCTAGGCCACTTTTGGGGTTCAATAAGGCGGGCGCCCGAACAACAATGCTAAGCCGCCTGAGAGACAATACTAAGGATGGAAATCCGAAATGATCCATGTTATGCCAAAGGTTCTAAGTAAATGATTGTGACCTTGTTGGCTAGCTCGGTTAGCAGGTCTTGGCTAATAGAAGTAAGTTTACCAACCAGCCGTAACCTAGCACAGTCTCTTATATATGAGATAGAAACGGAGAGTATATGGTTAACAGGGGCACTACGTTTAAGGACAATTGATAAAGTACAGGGTTTCATATTTTTTATTTGGATAAAAAGGGCGGAAAGATCATTGTGAAACCGCAAGATTCCGGCAACTGTATGGTGTGCATGCCCAATCCATAGTGTTGGGTCCGTCTGTTCTGTTGGTGGCTTGCGATTCACGGCACACGCCCCTCCCACCCTGACAGGGCTCCTTGCATATTGAGAAGATTTTGAATATGTCTCAAATTATGGGAAAATGGAGAGACAGCTTGGATAAATGGTGATTTGAGCCTCTCTAACGTGACTATATGCAGGGTGTCGCCCCTCTTTGGTTCACATATTGTCAGATGTCACTTCCCTCTGCAAGGATACGAGTAGTAGCAGTAGTAGCCGCCCCTAATGAATGATGCATATGATGATCAATGACATCAGTTTGTCAATTGTTCACTCCTTTGCTTCGATAGAGACTGCGGCCGCTGGTGTTGGCCTCAGGGCGGCGATAATGGAGCCATTCGACCTTGACAATGGGATCAAGGTGTATTGAACAATGAATAACCTAGTCACATTAACACGGGGGCAACCTACTGGATACCAATTCTGTAGTGTATATAAACATCAAGGTCAACCAGCTGACTTTCCTTGGTGGAATGGTGGCACCAAGGTTCGTCTCTTGCAACCATCAGGCTGTGATTAGTTTTCCATTTTCGATTTTCTACCAACAATACTGGTCCAAATCTATTTATAAGCGGCGTTTACAGGGAAGTTGTAATTCTCGTCCGTCCGCCCTCCATCTTGCATTAGCGGCGCTTCTCAGCCCACACCTTGTCGCGCCTGGCCATCACCTTTGGTTCGGCGAACACTTCCCCGGACCCGGCACAGGCGATACGCCTCCAAGTCCTGACGGGATATACCGTGTTTGCTACACCCACAGACTGCTGGCTGCAGGTCACTCTGCATATACTGACCCGCAGAATACCGGCTGAACCGAGTGGTCGGTACAAGTTAGCCCAGGGCTGGCGGGTGGAAACCGGAGTCTTGGGTCCTGGGGATCAACACCCCCTTTGCCCGTCTCGTGTCTACATCCGCATTGGGTGGTTCAAGTGCAAAATCTACTCATGCAGACGGCTCGGTTTCGTTCTTGTGCGCCCCCTGTTGTTATAAAAGTCGACTTGGCGCCAGCTGCGGCTCTGGTTACACGGGGCTGACCCAGTGCTAGCCGTACTCTCTTATTTCCACGTTTTACTTCTTCCCAACGGACGTTACGTCTTTCACGTTTTATACCACCAACAAAATGGACAGTCACATGAATACAAGCGAGTGGCAGCATGAGGATATTGCTGGCAACGCTTTGCCGTTCTTTACTAAGCACATGACGTTGCAGCGAAACCTGCAAACCATTTCCAGTTTACATCCGTCGAGCATACCGACACCGATATCAGAGCCGCGACTTTTCGATGATGATATTGAAAGTGAGGAGAAGGTGCAATCACCAATCAATCTACGCATCAACGCATCACTCAAGGTGACCAACAGCAACAATGTCATTTGTCTCGCGGCCAGCCCTGCAGATGATGCCAATGCTATTGCACGAGCAGTCATCCGGGCTATGGAGGAACACAGCTCTGGACGTTGTGGCATTCCCATGATCGATGAGGACGGTGCCCCGCGACCTATCAATATTGAGATCGATGCTGGCATCACAGTCGAGGGTGAAGGGAATCTGATAACAGGGCGAGAAGTGGATGTGGTTCGGCATTTACAAGAGCAGATCTCGAAACGCGACGGCGTTGCCGTGAAGCGGGAAAAGAGCGATAGCCGGGAAAGCAGCCCTTGTCGAAAGAGACGGCAGAGTTGAGAGAGGTGTTGGTTGGTTGGCTTCGGGCGTTCTTCTGCATGAAAGAGAAGAATTGATGATAAAAATGAAGGAAGAAAGCGGTTGTTAGCTTGTATTCAATACAGAAAAAAAAGAAAACTCTCCAAAAAGCCGGGATAATTCTATCCATCACCACCTCAATCCATCACGACTGATGACCCTTATAAAATATAATCCACAGGAGTATCCATACAGTACTTACACAACCTTTTCCTTCTCTTTGCCGCTCCCTCCCACCCGCTGATCGTCTCATTCGCCGTGTTGTGCTGTATTCGGTTTAGTGTATCTTCTTCGTTTGCGGCTGGCTGTGTCCAGCTGTACAGGGCCTTGATGGGCACCACACCCGCTGTGCGCCCACCCACACTGCGCCACGCCCGCTAAACGTGAATCGACAGTTGGCAGCTCATTGGCTCCTCCGATCTGCTTCGCCCGTAAAAAAAAGCTTAAGCTAGGCTGCGTTGGCTTCTCTTTCGGAGCTTCCCCTCTTCCTTGGCCGAGCTCGGTTTTTTCTTTTCTTCCTCTTTCCTTTCCTTTGCTTCTTAATCAAAATTGTTGCACACCCATCCATTGACGTCTTTCTGGAACAAACTTACAAGATTCGCAACTAAAAATAAAATACCCCGTTAGTACTGAACCGTTTCCTTCTATCCCCCCTGCTTAGCTTGTTCCTAGCTTGCTGCTGTAACCCCTCACTGTGACGTGGGTGGTGCACAGCATACAAGGCATTGAATGACTGCTAAAGCTGCTGTAATTAATTTACCAGTCCAAGCCCTGGAAAAATTGCCATCTTCACAAAGAACTGCTTTGTACCACTGCTAACATGATGAATCTCTTCTGCTGTTGTAGTACCAATCGTACACAGAATAACGCCAAGATGCCCAATCTCAGCATTCGTAACTTGACCAACCGTCCCATTGAGCTCCAGTCCGTCGAGCGCTTTGAGGCCGAAAAGGTCTCTACGGGCAATCTACTCACCAACTTGATCAATTCCACTGCCAACACCGAATTTCACGCCAAGGGCGACTCCAGAAGCAGAGATGACGTCAATGTTAACATTGATCCCTTTGCCACGCAGCGCACTGAGATTGGCATCGCAGATAACAACGAGGAGATCCTCCGCCTGACCTTCAAGACCGAGGACCACCGCTACGAGACCGATATTCCCTGCCCTTCTCGTCGCTCCGCCACTATGAAGAAGCTCGACGATGGCCCCCACGAGCTTACTGTCGTCTATATTCCCCAGGACGCCTTCGTGGCCATCTACTCTAGCGCCCGTCTCAACTCTTGGATGGGTGAGCTCAACAATGACTGGCCCCTGCCTGTCCTCTCCATCCCTGGCACCCACAACTCGCCCACCTGCTACACTGCCCTGCCCTCGGTTAGATGCCAGGCTGTTGGTGTTCCCGAGCAGCTCGAGAACGGTATTAGATTCATGGATATCCGTGTATCTGCCAACCCCGATGACGACAAGCTCGCCCTTGTCCACAGCGCATTCCCCATCTCGCTGACCGGCACCAAGTACTTCTCCGACATGCTCGAGGAGGTCTACCAGTTTTTGGACAGAAACCCAAGCGAGACAGTCCTCATGAGCATTAAGCGTGAAGGTACCGGCAAGGGCAGCGACCAGGATGCCAGCCGTTACCTCAAGGGCATGGTTGACAGGCGCCAAGACCGCTGGTTCACCGAGCCCGTCATCCCTACTCTTGGTCAGACTCGCGGCCGTATTGTCCTCATCCGTCGTCTCAACATTGATGACTCTCTCCGTGGTGAGCACGACGGCCGCGGCTGGGGCATTGATGCCGCTGCTTGGCCTGATAACTGCGAGGATGGTGAGGTCGGCGGCGGCCAGTTCCGCGTCCAGGACTTCTATGAGGTTAGCGAGAGTCAAAACATTGAAAAGAAGGTCAACTTCAGCCACGGCCACCTTGAGCGTGCCGCCGAGAAGCGTTTCCTGCTTCCCGGTATGCCTGACTACCGCGACGAGGACAACAAGAACGTTCCCCCCTTCTTCGTCAACTTCCTGAGTGCTAGTAACTTCTTCAACGCTAGCTGCTGGCCCGAGCGAATTGCCGCCAAGGTCAACCCTTCCATTGTTCAGTACCTCTGCACTACGCACGGTGAAGCTGGCCGCGGCCCCTCTGGACTGCCTGTCGGTACTGCTGGTGCTGGTATCGTTGTTACTGACTGGGTTGGTCACGACGGCGATTGGGACTTGGTTCGTTGCATTGTCGGTATGAATGCTCGCTTGCTGCAGTAATAGTTCACACCTGCATACGACGTTCATGATCACGGGCTTAATGCACCGCTTCAAGACACAATGATTACAGTACATTGGGCACAGGATACTTGCGTATATTGTAGATTTTTTGTATTGATTTTCTTTTCTATTTTGGATAACGCTACTGATAGAGTATGTTAGCACGTAGTCTTTAGCTCAATTGTACGTGAATCGAAAGCATGGCAAGTGCAAGGATTTCAGTTCTCCAAGGTGAAACAAAAGTTTATTCATCACAGTGATTCAGCGATAGAACAAAATAGGATAGAAAGTCATCATGAAAGATGCGTGGGCAGTGACAGGATAAGATGATACGTACTGTGAGAGCCAAAGCTGGGGAAGCTGTCATGTCATACTACAATTCATCTGATGCATCGTGTTAGCGCTGAACAAAAGAAGTCCAAATCAAGCAACAAGTGCATAGGAAACGATCTGCAGATTTCGTTAGCAATTGGAATAGAGGTCGTGGACGAGTAAAGCACGTACTATCAGAAGGTGTTAACTCTGTTCATTTCCCGCAATACCACAAGGGCATGCAGATCAAACAGTGTGAATACAATTTTGGAAACATCTCATCAGGATCGTAGGTGCTTAGGGAAAAGAGAGAAATGTTTATCAGTACCTATCGACAGAGCATGTTAGCCGACATAATCATCCACTTGCAGCTGCAAAATCTAGCGAATGTAAAGGATAGCAACAGTCAGGTGACGAGATGTCATCCGGAGTTCTCGCCAGTCCCCCACCACAAGGTTTTGTACGACCTCGCTTTCTAGGGCGGGAGGTGACGAGGCTCAATATGTCCGCCCGTTCGTTCAAATCTTCATCATATGGTTGCATATAAGGATGGCTGGGATTCATGGGAAGTAGTATATTGAAATTTACCTAAATTGCCATCTATGTTAGCCATTGTGCCATACTCAAAGCATGAGAATTGAAATAGAAGCAAGATTGATCTCCAGTCAGACAAGGCTGAAACTTATAACAACGTTATCCACATTATGTATTAAGCATGAGGAATCCCTAAGGTGTCGGTTTGATCATCACTCGGAGAGGGGGTACATGGTGCAAAAGAAACAGAGGTTGACAAAAGCAGGCGATACTAACCTTTTACAAATTCGTTACGTCGTGACGGGTCATGATATTTTGGAGAGAAATACACATCTATTATTCTTTTTGTATGTTAGCAAGGATATCCTCAAAGGAAAGGCAGCAAACAATGATGAGGTGCTGTGTTTCGTGGCTCAGGGATGTTTTTCACCATGGGTTTGGTATGAATTGGATTGTTCGTTTGTTATGTTTTGATTCATCAATGCAGATGGTGTGGGAAAGGAGTGAATAACGCGAATGCTTACCTTACAAATTGGCCAGACTTAGGCAAGCCCTCAGCATCGCAGCAAAGTTGCCGTCGACTAGAGCTTGCCCAAGCTGTTGATGAGGAAGAAAATGTGAAAGAAAATTTCGTGTGCAGTGCTGGAATAAATTGGCCCATAGAAAGCGCGCTAGTCCAAATTAAGCTAACGTGGCTAGGGGTGGCTAGGGGTACTGTGGCGGTGTTTTCCGACCGGTTCATCCCGCAGTGGCAAATCGCGGGAGTCGTCACCTGCCTTAGCTGTCCCGCCCGTGAGGCCTCAGGTACGCAAGGGACCTTAGGCTTCTGCATCCCCCAACTTTTGGGATTTGGGAATCCAAATCAACGACTTTTTAATCATGGCGTCCGTGGGGGGAATATTGGTACCTGCTACCTTTCGTTTCCTCCGCGTAGCCGCTACGAAGGCAACTAATGCCCTTCGAAATCGACTTACAACCTTGGGGAAATACGAAGTCCAGTATATCCCAATCCGATCTGGCCGACAACCCGTTCACCCTGCCGCCTTGCTCCGACAGAGCAGATCCCAATCACGATGGTTCTCTGGTTCTGCTGCACAGACAGCTGAGCGAGCTCTTCGTCGACTGTTTACCACCGACGCTTCAGGCGCCAGCCGATTCAACCGCTTCGACTTCCCTGTCTCCAAAACATCACGCCGCGTTGCGCAGTTTTCTGGAAGAGCTCCCTTTGCAAACACCCTCCGTCCCAACTTGACTGGCGGCGCCATGCCCCGATCAGCTGGTGGCTATAGTCTGGGTGGTGGTGCCCGATACTTCTCTCACACACCCGCAGCTCCCGCCCAAGTGGTTCAGAACGTTTCTCAGGCGATGAGAGCATTCTTTCTATCAGGACAGCGTCTTCAGTATGATGGCGTTGGCCCTCGTGGACAGGCCAAGTATAGATCTATCTCCGTCTTGGAAGACAAGACTATTCGCAAAATGGCATCTGTTCCCCGCACCACGCCTGGTGCCTATGTCGACTTCCAGCTGAACCCAACCATCACCGCTCTCAGCCCTCTCGCAGCTGCCATCGCTTCTGCTTCTGAGGATGCTTTTAACGCCAAACCCGCCACCGGACTGGCTACCCTTAACACCGAAGGCCTTCTTGATGTTCTGTCTGCTGATTTTGGACGAGCATTGAAGGATTTGACCGCCACATACGCCGATCTAGGACGACTTTCAAGTCTAGGGGATCTTCCCATCACACTTGAACCAAATCATACCTTGCGTGTGCGATTCCCAGGTCTAGACAATGTTACACTGGAGCAGATCTGTGACGACATTGGCATTACCCGTGGCCGTGTTGGTCTTGATCCTGGCTTTGATGAAGCCATTGGTGTGCCCGTTGCGCTCAGGTTCCCATTTGCCCCAGAGTCTTCAAAAGAACTTTCATCTCCTGGAGGCTCCGCGCGTTCTTTAGGCAGCTATAACATTGACAACCAGTCCATGCTCTCAGATGATTCTTTCGTCCAAGAAGCGTTTGATGCACACCTAGCTGACAACCCTTGGCTCTCTGACCCTGAAGGATATGAGAGCATGTCGCCACCTCTGAGTTCAGGAGAACATTGTTCAGATGAGTTTGAAGGACTTGAAGGTATTTATCGCTTCATTGAAGAATGCGATAAAGGCCCAGGCCGCTTTCGTTAAGCGGCTCCATCTCGTGTTTTAGTGTTGATTCATGGCAGCTTGCCACTAGCGCATACCGTAAAACGTTCATTACCCGGCATACAAGTGATTAGCACTTGCTCAGGGCCACTATTATTTCCTAGCGTTCAATCTGTAACAAATGTAGCCAAATTGATTATTTTAGAGATCTTCCCTGTGTATTCTGCTTGTTATTAAACGACGATTGGTAATTCTTTCGCCGCAACGATGATTGGTTAGTATGGCTTTTCTTCGCATCGAGGTGTGTGGTCTCGTGCGATAGGTGCTGAAGAAATATGCCAAAAGAAATAAGGTTTGCACACTGTGCTTCGCAACTGGCAGGGTTTGATGCCATTTTCTGACTGCTTAGCTGTTGTCCGAAGCTGATCTGTGCCTGTGCATGATTTTCCAGGACCGGAGATTTGGGTGGCCATCAAAAATCCGGGGTTGGCGTGGTGGCGCCAATCGTTCCAAGCAGCAACCAGTAGGAGCTGTGGGGTTTCTACCTCGGCAGCCGGCCGGGTCCTGAGCTGTCGCAAAGTCCGATCACGCCAACCGCCGTCTTTTGTCCAGTTTGGAGTTCCCCTCTTTCACATCTCTTTCAACCTCTTTCAACCTCTTTCATCTCTATCCCATTCTATCAATATAACCCATCTTCTAGCAATCATGTCTGGTCCCGGCGTTGGCTTCGAATACCCTGTCCAGAAGGTGTCTTGGCTCAAGCGTGATGCTCTTCTCTTCGCCAACTCCATTGGAGCTACTGCTGATGAGCTTCACTTCCTCTACGTAAGGCAGATATAGTTGACGCAATTGAATTCGGCTGACGCAATCTCTATAGGAACTTCACCCAGACTTTGCAGTCTTCCCTACATACCCCATTATCCTCAGTAAGACCGATTTGGTACTTGCTTGCTGCTAATGCCATACTGACAGCATCACACAGCTTTCAAGGGCCAAAAGAATGAAGTAATCGACTTCTACGCCGCCCAAAAGGCCATCAAAATCCCCGGTGTTCCCGAATTCGATGCCCGCCGTGTTGTCGATGGCCAGCGCAAGATGGAGTTCTTCAAGCCCCTCCCTACAACCTCTGAAGGCAAGAACTTCGAAGTCCGCACAAAGGTTCTCGGTGTCTACGACAAGGGCCGCCCCGGCAGTGTTGTGGAGACACAGACTGATCTCGTCGAGACCACCAGCGGCGATATCTACAGCCGCATCGTTAGCAGCTCGTTTTACGTTGCTCAGGGTAACTGGCACGGTCCCAAGGGCCCTGCGACCGTTAACTTCCCTCCTCCCGAGAACAAGAAGCCCGATGTCGTCTTGGAGAACCAGACCACTGATGAGACTGCCTTGTTGTACCGCCTCAACGGCGACTACAACCCTCTCCACGCTACCCCAGAGCCTGGAAAGAAGATGGGCTTCGGCGGTGCCATCATTCACGGCCTCTACTCCTACAACTCGACCTGCCATGCTCTGCTTAAGGCCGTTGGTGGCAGCAACCCCGCCAACATTAAGGAGTACCAGGCAAGATTCGCCAGCCCCGTTCGCCCTGGCGATAAGCTCATTACCAGCATCTGGCGTACTGGCGATAAGCAGGGCGAGTGGGAGGATATCCGATTCTCTACCCAAATTGAGGGCGGCAAGGTCTGCCTCAGCAATGGTCGCGCTCTGATCAAGGTCCCTGGTGATGCTAAGAGCAAGCTGTAGGGCGGCGACTAGTAGCTGGAGATGGGAAGGATGTATTCAATGTATTTATGACAGAAGCGACTGATGTAAAAATGGGAAATAAATATAAGGTGATCTTTATCAAATAAATCAGATTTTGAGGAAATATTCTACGATCCTTAGCTCCTTTGGTCCTGTTTCTATAATTTGTATACTAGGCTTCTACGCCGAAAGCTCAACCCCACCACAGCTTCACCCACCGAAATTATGGCGCTGCTCAATATCGTCCTTCATCACCAACGGCATGTGGACGGTACTTTCTTCCAGGGCACCATCATCATAAAATTCACCAATACTAATGGCTACAACATACAGTATTGGACAGCGCATCTCATTTGACAGCGTATTATGTACAGTCAGATACATTGGAGAGGTGGCTGCTGCCAGCGGCTCCTGGCTCGGTGTTGAGTGGGATGATAGCACCCGTGGCAAACACGACGGATCGCATAAGGGGGTCCGTTACTTTACCTGTAAGTGTCATAATGGTAGAGTGATATGGATTCTCACTAACTCACTTGCCAAATAGGTCTCTCAGCATCATCAACAGCAGCCTCCTTTGTCCGCCCAACCCGCCCAGCAGATTCACCGCAGAGCTTTCTTGCTGCTTTAAAAGGCAAATATGTCGAACAAGTCAGTCCGGAGGATGATAAAACTACTAAAAAGCAAATTATTATCTCCGGCAAGGTAGCTGAGGAGATGGGCTTCGACAAGATCCGTAACCAGATTGCCCAACTTGGTGAACTAAAAATTGTCATCCTGGACGGTCTGCGTATAGCTTCCGCCACAAGCGGCCCGTCCGAATCTATAAATGCAACTTGTCCAAAGATTACGCAACTAGATATAAGCCGCAACCTCTTCACAACGATGCAACCTGTTGTCGACATTTGCAAGGACCTTCCAGTCCTCCACAAACTTGCTATCAAGTAAGGCTTAGCCTAGCTCACTCGCACCAGAAAACTGACAGATGGTCAATAGTGGAAACCGATTCAGCAATGTTCTTGGTGATTCGGCCTTAAGGGACAGCCAATCCACATTCTCAAACGTTGTCGATCTGGGCATTGGCGACACACTGCTGACTTGGCCAGAAATTTGCCATGTGGCAAACGGCTTCCCACAGCTGAGCATTCTAGCGGCTGGAGCAAATCATTTATCCGTTTTCCCAGATGTGGAATTTGGCGCGCTGGCAACCACTCTAACAACTCTCAATCTTGAATTCAATGACGTATCATCGATTGACGAGCTCGCCAGCTTAACTCAGCTGAACGCACTGCGGAACCTTCACTTGAAAGGAAACAACATATCGACACTCTCATCGTCGGGAAAGAGCGCGCCTATTTTTACAAAAGGCCTCAAATATTTAGACGTCTCATACAACAATATCACCGATTGGGACTTCGTGGACAAAGTTACCACGTCCTTCCCTGGATTGAACGGCCTTCGCATCTCTCACAATCCGATATACACAGCACAAACCAATGATACACAGGGAACAACGTCAGAAGAGGCCTATATGTTCATCGTGGCTCGAATCGGTCAACTATCAGCGCTAAACTTCTCCCCAATCACAGCGACGGACAGGAATAACGCCGAAATGTTTTATTTGTCTCGTATTGGAAAGCAAATAGCAAACGTGCCTGAAGGCGCAAAACAGCAAGTAATCGATCTACATCCACGGTATGCCGAATTATGCGAGGAGTATGGGGAGCCAGATATTATTCGACACGAGGAAGTCAATCCAGCTTTCCTAGAAGCACGTCTGATGAGCGTGAGTTTTCAATACGAGGATAAAGGAGAAGCCACAAAGATACCAAAGTCTTTCGATATCTATGCGGTGAAGAGCATTGCTGGGAAACTTTTTAACATATCACCGTTAAAATTATCACTGGTATGGGAGACTGGGGAGTGGGATCCGGTAGCGGGATTCTACGAGGATGATGGCGATAGCAGTGACGACGACGTCGACGAGAACGCTGACAAAGATGGCGCACCCTCTAAACCTGAAGAGCAGAATACAACCCAGACTGGGCGCTGGCTCAAAAGAGAAGTTGAACTGAGAGATGGCCCGCGACAACTCGGATATTGCGTCGAAGGCAGCGACGCCCGAATCCGAGTTGAGCTGATGGCTTAAATATCAGGCTTTATAAAATCTTCCTCGTTTAACATTTTACATACAATCAACGGCTGGAGCGGGCGCTCTTAATAATCGCAGCCTTTTCTTGCCTTTCGTCTGTTTAAATACGTTATTGGCTCGCCGACTTACAGAGCGTTGCAACGACTCGTGGCGGCACGATCCCAACCCTGTTGGTTAAGCGATGTGGGGTCCGACATTGGACGGAATAAGAGACACCAAGGACGCGTTATCTCCGGTCCGCCATTTGAACCCATAAACCCGACTGCGGATTTTACAGTTTCTTACAAAGCTCCGCTAAATCGTTCAGTTATAAATAAGAAAGCCATCGGTTACCTCAAATCAACCAGACGTGGCCTAGTCCTCATCCTATCCTAGCCAACACTCTGCAACATCAGCTACAGTCAACCAAGATAGCTACCCCGCAATCCACCAAACTAAAGAGACTCCAATTGACCACAATGACGGAAATCCTCGGCAAGAAAGTCGGCGCCACTGGCTACGGCCTTATGGGTATGGTGAATTGGAGCGGATTGGCTGGTACTGGTGCTAACACGGTAGAATAGGCTTCACTTGGCGACCTAACCCCATCCCTACGGAAGATGCCATTGTTGCCATGAAGGCTGCTCTCGAGAGCGGCTGCAACCTCTGGAGTGGTGCTGAATTTTACGGAACACCGGAGTACAACTCCATGACCTTGCTCAATGCCTACTTTACTAAGTATCCTGAGGATGCTGATAGAGTTGTCCTCAGTATGAAGGGCTGCATGGATCTCGCAACACATGCTCTCGACGGATCGCCCGAAGGTGTCCGCCGATCCATGGACAATATTCTGAAGCAGCTCGATGGCAAGAAGAAGGTCGATTTGTTCAGCTGCTCGCGCAGAGACGCCAAGACGCCTCTTGAGGTCACTATTGGCGTATTGCAGAAGGAGTACATCGATACTGGCAAGCTCGGCGGCTTTGCCCTCTCTGAATGCTCGGCCGCGACGGTTCGAGAGGCTGCGAAGCTCACCAAAGTGCACATTGCTGAGGTTGAACTGAGCATGTTCTCCCCTGACATTCTCAACAACGATATCGCAGAGGCGTGCGGTGAGAACAACATTCCCATCGAGGCATACTCTCCCATCGGCCGAGGCGTACGTTTCCGTTCACTTTGAAACATGATGACAATTTGCTAATGATTCCCAGATTCTGACAGGCCGCTTCAAAGAGGCAACTGACTTCAAGAACAACGGCATTGTTTCCATCTTTCCTAGGTTCCAAGAGGATTCTTTTGCGGACAACTTGAAGCTTACTCAGAGAGTCGAGGAGATTGCAAAGAACAAGGGGTGCACATCAGCACAGCTTGCTCTAGCCTGGGTGCGGGCCCAGAGCCGTCGCAACGGTCTCCCAGACGTTGTCCCTCTGCCTGGAGCTACAACAGTTTCACGTGTCCAGGAGAATGCTACTGCTATTTCACTCACCAATGAGGAACTTGCTGTGCTGGATGACATCGTCGCCAGCTTCAAGCCCGTTGGCGACCGTTACCCTAGCTTCGTTCCTACCAACACCTAAATTCCGAATCGAGCCGCGGGGATATACCTATAGAACGAGATCATTGGTTAGAAATTTCATCTCAATATAATGTTTATAATGATTGGAAAGAAGAGATTGCTCGTGAGATCAGCTAGAAGTTATCCGCATTGAGCCAGGAACAGAGTTCCCGGCTCTCAGAATTGCAGAATTCAAAGTAAATTGAATCCATCATATTGAGCACGATTGGGTAGGAAAGGGGAAATATGCATACGTACCAGTCAAAATTTGCTTTCAAAGAGGCAATTAACAACCCAGATAACAATCACATTTTGCGATATAGCCCAATTGTATTTGAAGCGGATGGAGGTAGCTGGGAAGGGGAGACGTGAAAACCGTCGGCGCAAAATAAATGTTTCAGGTCAACCACCGCCACGTGATTCAGCGGGCCCAGTACTGGACGACTTGCCTGACCATATGCAAAATAATACGTACAGGTCATGGGAATTTTTCTTAATTAATGTATATCTATGTCCAAATATTAATTACATGGCGATTGGGGTATACGTTTTTTCAAAGTAAAACAATGTCGCCTGGTGCTTGCAAACCACCAGTCTTGCGTTGTAGACGCTTATACTACGACAGCTCCATTTACACCAACAGCCTCTACGCGGTTGACAAGCTTCTTCATGTTTGTCCACTCTTCGTTCTTTAGTCCTTCTTTTCCACCGAGTCCCTGGGAGACCTCAAAGACCGTCAGAGCACCATCAATACCACCAGTTGCGATTCTCTTGCCATCATTGGGCTCCCAAGCAACCTTGTTCAAGCTCTTTGAAAGCATAGCGCGGCCATCCTGTCGCTGGCTTGGGGTGATTCTTGAAATAGGCTCCTCCGTCTCGACAGCAATGTCCCACAGCTCGAGCCAACCAGCTCCATCAACCAGCGCAAACACACTAGGCTTAACGGGAGACCATTTGGCATCGTAGACGACGTCTTCTCTGACAAAGTCGATCAAAGGGGAGATGTTGCCATCGCCGGCTCCGATAGTTGATGTTGCGGCAGGGGCACGAACCTTCCAAAGTTTGACACTCCAGTCCAAGGATGACGAGATGACAAGATCACCAAGATCAACAGGCCCTCGCGATGGGTGGAAGTCAACAGACATTACCGGTGCAGTGTGACCCTTGTAGCAGATTTTCTTGTCGACACCAGCCTTGGCGCCGGCACGGTCATATCTGTGGCATGGGAATATAGTGCCCTCTTCACTGCCAACTAGGAAAAATGTGGGATCCGTCTGTGGGAACGACATGCAGGTAGGGCTGACGTCTTCAACCGCAACCTTAGCCTGTGCTGGGTTCTTGAGTTCCAGAAGCTCCTGTGGTTGAGCGAAAACATCCATACTCCAGCCACATACGACACCATCCGTTGAGCAGGAGATAATGTTGTTGGCATTCTGTGTACCGACAATGTCAACAGCATAGATGGGATGCGCATGGCCAAATCCAGTTAGTGGCGTCTTCTGAACTGGTGCTGCTTTTGCTCTCGTATCCCACAGTAGCACTTGGCCACCGTAGGAACCGCCGACAATCAGGTTCGGGTGGTACGGCGAGAATTTTGCTGCCAAAATGTCTGATTGTGCTGTAAAGACGTATTCTGGACGGTCGTGCATATGCGTATTCCATACTTGGACGATTCCATCGGGTTCGTGGGGTGCCGTTGGGTTTTTTGTGTAGGATGCTAAGAGTAGTTCGCTAAATTTGGGCGAAAAGTCGATTCCGCTAATCATACGTTTCTTTGACCACCGGTCATCGTAGAACTGAGCCACTTCCTTAATCCTGTATTGACCTCGGCCTCCAGTATTTCCTGTTTCATCGTCTTCCTCGTCCAAGTCCTTTCCGTGCAGGGCGTAGTCAGTCAAAATATCATAGGTTTCTTGGTCGATAGCTCTTTCGATAACTTTGGTAGACTGTTCTAGGAAGTCAACAAAGTCGTCTGAGCGAGTAACAGCCTCTAATTCTTCCGACGTTAACTCTCGAACAGGATAATTTGTAGATGTAGTGGCTTGGGCGGCGTCGCCTCCTTCGTCTGCCAATCTGTCGCGAGCAGCTCGAAGCTCTTCTTCAACCTCTTCTCTGATTTTCTGTCGCAACTCTTCTTCCTTGTCTCGTTCGCGTCGGCTAAGCTTTTTACTAGGAGTTACCACCGGCCCGAGAGCATCCTCTTGGTCTGATGGAACAGAATGTGCTCGCTGGCGAGTTGGCGAAGTGAAAGAATCGGTCGTTTGTACTCCTTTGCTGTAGGAGTAAACTTCTTTGACTGGAGATGGCGGGCATGCGTAGACGGTGGTTAATGGCACAGTAGACAATACTAAAGGTGCGGGCGGAACAGAGTGGCTGCTGGGAGGTGGTGCGAGCTCTGATGTTTCGTTGCTAACCTCTCCAGCGCTGAGAACACTGTTTGGTCGACTGCTACGATGGGCTGGCGAGCCTGCTCCTGGGGTCGAGCCAGGTCTGCTTTCTCCAACTAGACTGTTTATAAGAGTTTCGATTTCGCGACGGCTGTCTGCTCGACCGGACGGCGGGGTATGAAGCTGTTGTTCCAGAAGTTAGACATGCAATCGGGAGAGGCACACGAGATATACTTACATCACCGGCACCCCCTAAGCTTGATCGTCCAGCTGAAGCTTGGCTAGCTCTGAGTTCTCTCTGCTTCTTCAGCTCTGCGAGCTTGGCTTTCTTTGCTAAGATTTCATCTCGACGTTGTTGCATCTTGACCTCTCAGCTGGGACTGCCCATGAACTTGGCTCTTTGCGGTGTCTGTATACGAAACAGGCTGGGCCAAATGTATTTTTGACAAAACACAATGCGATCGTCTGCTGGTATGTACAGTATTCTGTCTCGTTTGGTGGCAAAATAATTGCTGCAAAGGGACGCTATTTGGTCACGCCTGAGAGCTTCCGCCGTTGTTTTATTATACAGGCGCGTCACCTAACTGTTAGCTCTAGAGCACTGATTAACTAATCGCCCCTGGATTCGTTGCGTGGGTCGCTGCGCTGGAGCGCGCAACCAATTGCACGTGACGTGATTGTGCCTTGCTGGGCCTTGCGGAGGCGCTGGACAGCTTGGCGCAAGGTCGCTGGGGCCGTTTTCTCATGAGGTTGGAAAAACTGCGACTTTTCCCGAGGCCATAATAAATCTTGAATCGCCGACCGCCAAACAACATCATCCGCAGCAGCTCGAAACGATCCAATTGGCATCTGCTGCACAGTTAATACATATATAATCCTTTAACGAATAATACTTTCCGCCTTCCCGCATCCTCCAACACCCCAGCACAATGGCTTCGACAGGAGTTAACGTAAGTTACATTTCCACAACCACGAAGCAGCCGACGCCAATTCGACAACAACTTGAACATATGTCCCATTCGATGGCTTGATAATTGTTTCGTGGAAGTCTGTGCAGGAAATTGACAAGGAAATAGGTCCTCCGATGGTCCGCCCTCGCCGTCGGTGTCTTCTACGGTTTCTCTCACCAGCGCGGCATCACCGCCACCCAGCGCGCCAACCACGAGCACCACGAGTACGAGAAGAAGCAGAAGCTGATAGATCAGGCCAAGTTGGAATATGCCAAGCAGAAGAACCCTGCTCCCGCTTCCAAGGATGATGGTATGTTGCGGCATTACTTTACCCCTGCTTGCCAATTGCAAGACGTCGGCCATACTGGATAGAATTTACAGTTCTAACGATATACTACAGTTATTACCGACGCCTCGGACCCCAAGTTTGACCTTGAGAAGCTGTTGTTGAAGGTTGCGAAGGAGAACCCTTAAATCGAAAGGCTGGGTAGGCGATATGGGTGGAGGATAGACGACCAGAAAAGGCGACGGTTGTCTCTGCATATCTTGGGGAGTTCAGACCAAACGAGAGCTTTCTCATTCCCCCCAAAGATCAAAACGGTCGGTGTATGATTGTGGTTGCACGTGGCGATGCTGCATAGAGGTTTCCTTGGGTCCGCGTTTACTTCAACGTACAGATGTACAAATATGCTTCGTTAGATGGCACTGCAGGAACGAATTCAAAAGTTTCTATTCCCTTTAATCTTTCAATAAAGAACATCCAATTTCGATAATGGTGCTGTTGCTCGTGATCGCTCTCTGCCTTCTGCCACGGTTGCGTGCTATTGCGTGCAACTCTGTTGGTGGCGCGACGCAACTCGTAGAAATTCCTAACTCTTTGGATACAATCAATTGTAAAATAAATACTATGAATTGTTTATTTACTGGTTTCTTTTTTCAATTTACCTGGTGTCTGATCGATCTTCATGCTAGGCCATGTAGCGGAAAAATCCCGGCTCAATCAGACCCACTACTCCTTGCTCTCCCGGCCCGCACTACGCAAGTGGCCTAAAGCTCCAAGCTGTCCTCAATCGTGACAGCACGTACTACCCTCTCATCCACGGTTATCACAGCCAATTCATTGATAACCATGGCTGCCAAAACCCAAAGCCCTGTGATGGGCGTTGCTACGGCCCAGAGTACAAGAACTCTTTTGCGAGTTGTCATTCTTTCTCTCATTGCCGGCGCTGCGATTGCCAGTCGCCTTTTCTCCGTCATTCGTAAGTCAACCCCATGATCCACGATCGCAATCAAGGCATTGCGAACTGCCATTGAGCTTTGCTCCCATTTGAATTATGACTAATATATCTTAGGATTCGAAAGTATTATTCACGAATGTGAGTTGTTTGGATTTAATACGACGATTGACGGCACTGCGAATAATCTACTAACGCCTCGTAGTCGACCCCTGGTTCAACTTCCGAGCCACCAAGTATCTCGTCGCGAACGGCTTTTACAAATTCTGGGACTGGTTTGATGACAGAACATGGCATCCCCTTGGTCGTGTCACCGGTGGCACGCTCTATCCTGGACTGATGGTTACCAGCGGTGCCATCTATCACTTCCTCAAGGCCCTTACCATCCCCGTCGATATTCGAAACATTTGCGTCCTTCTCGCCCCTGCCTGCTCTGGATTGACTGCTATCGCCGCCTATCTTCTTACTAATGAGATGACGACCTCGCCCTCCGCCGGTCTGCTCGCTGCCATTTTCATGGGCATCGCCCCCGGCTACATCTCTCGTTCCGTCGCCGGTAGTTACGACAATGAAGCTATCGCTATTTTCCTTCTTGTTTTCACCTTCTACCTTTGGATCAAGGCATTGAAGCTTGGATCTATGCTCTGGGGTGCCCTCTGTGCGCTGTTCTACGGCTACATGGTGTCTTCTTGGGGTGGTTATGCCTTCATTACCTGTCTTCTTCCTCTGCACGCCTTCGTGCTCATCTGCATGGGCCGCTACAGCACCAGACTCTATGTCAGCTACACGACCTGGTACGCTCTTGGAACGTTGGCTAGTATGCAGATCCCTTTCGTCGGTTTCTTGCCGGTCAAGACCAGCGAACACATGCCTGCTCTCGGTATTTTCGGTTTCCTTCAGCTCATTGGTTTCATCCAGTATGTGCGCTCTGCCATTTCAGGACGCCAGTTCCAAACGTTCCTTGTCACTGTCCTCATCGCTACTTTCGGACTTGGTGTTGTCGCTCTCGTTGGACTGACTTCCATGGGCGTCATTGCTCCCTGGAACGGTCGCTTTTACTCACTGTGGGATACTAGCTACGCCAAGATTCACATCCCCATTATTGCCTCCGTATCTGAGCATCAGCCCACAGCCTGGCCCGCTTTCTTCTTCGATTTGAGCATGCTCATCTGGTTGTTCCCTGCCGGTGTTTACCTCTGCTTCAGCGACTTGCGCGATGAGCACGTTTTCGTCGTTGTCTATTCCATTTTCGGCAGTTACTTTGCAGGTGTCATGGTTCGTCTCATGCTCACTCTCACCCCCATTGTCTGTGTGGCCGCCGCTATGGCTGCATCACACATCTTGGATGCTTATCTTCTTGTTGACTGCCCTGCTGAGGGTGCTCAGCCTGAAGCTACCGAGAAGGATTCGAACAAGGCCAAGGACGGTGGTCTCCGCAGCGAATCCAAGCCATACATTGGTATCTTTAGCAATGTCTCCAAGATGACTGTCGTCACTTCCATGACTGTCTATCTCATGATGTTCGTCACACACTGTACTTGGGTCACCTCCAACGCCTACTCCTCCCCCTCCGTCGTGCTGGCTAGCCGAATGCCCGATGGTAGCCAGCACATCATCGATGATTACCGTGAGGCCTATCAGTGGCTCCGCCAGAACACCAAGGAGGACGCCAAGATCATGTCGTGGTGGGATTACGGTTATCAAATCGGAGGTATGGCTGACCGCCCTACACTGGTTGATAACAACACTTGGAACAACACTCACATTGCCACTGTTGGCAAGGCCATGAGCTCTAACGAGGAAGTCAGCTATGAGATCATGAGACAGCACGAAGTAGACTACGTTCTTGTTGTTTTCGGAGGTCTTCTTGGATACTCTGGTGACGATATCAACAAGTTCTTGTGGATGGTCCGTATTGCTGAAGGCATCTGGCCCGATGAGGTCAAGGAGCGTGACTTCTTTACCGCCCGTGGCGAGTACCGTGTTGACGGCGAAGCTACCGACACCATGAAGAACAGTTTGATGTAAGTTTTCCCAAAATTGCATTGTTGTAAGCAAAGCTAATACGCGACTACAGGTACAAGATGTCATACTACAACTACCACACTCTCTTCCCTCCTGGTCAGGTTGTCGACCGCGTTCGCGGCTCCAGATTACCTGATACCGGCCCTGTTCTCAACACAGTTGAGGAAGCCTTTACCAGTGAGAACTGGATCATCCGTATTTACAAGGTCAAGGATCTTGACAACATTGGCCGTGACCACACGTCTGCCGCTGCATTCGAGCGTGGCCAGAAGAAGAAGAAGGCTGCCAAGAAGGCTGGTCCCCGCGTTTTGCGCGTTGACTAATTGGTGCAAGGAAAGAGTTAAAAAAAAGTTCATGGGGATAGACCCCTTTAAAATGTAGTTTTTCTGTTTACTTGCCAGGTAGCTGCAATGTATATCACTGTATTGTTATTTTTTATGTTCGTTCCTGTGACCGCCCTCCGGGATCCAAGGACGCTGACGTACGGTTTGCCCTGTCGACAGTCACTGCTGCCAGCTGGCAGCTGCCACGCAGTCAAGTCGTGTTCACTTTTCTTCCAAAACAAATGCAGACTCGTCGCTAAAAAAAAAAATTTCTTCAATCCATCAACCTCTCAACTTCCCGTATTAGTTTTTGGTTTGCTGTCTGTGTGCTTTCTTCTACTGTTGATGGTGTAGCATGGTGTAAGTCCGCCCTTTTTGCTGTTGTATGTGCTAGCCAAACGATTGTCAATAACACTACACTCTGTCATTCACGGCATACAATGGTGTTTGAAGCAAACTGATCGATCATGAATGTACGGGCATCACGCAGGCATTCATCGGCGGGTGTTGAGCATTGTGTGCGGGTTGCTACATGGGACGCCAAGGGCAGACGGCGAGAGCACGAAGTTCATCTGTCGCCAACATCATCAAAACGAGAAAAAAGACATGGGAAGAAAAGAGAATCAAGAACAAGGTCCTCGCAGTTGAGTTTAAACAGCATCTTTGTTGGAGAACTCAAGTCAAAGACGGCAAAATTGCTACGAAGTCCGTTTACGAGAACTAAGAAGAGCGGAAAGAAAACACAGAAACGTGAGAGACCTCACACAAAAATACAACGCCAACCATCTTCAAGAGACACTATGTCTCTAGATCATCAACAATACCGGGAAAGAGAATATCAAGAAACATCTGTGACAGCTGAGGCACCTTTGCTCTTCAACCCGGCCATCACAGATAGCCAGAGCCGCAAGATTTCTTGCCCTGCACCTCTTCTCAATTTGACAACGCCTCTACCTACCCCTCAACTTAAGTCAGGTAATGAGAATTCAAACTCGGTTCACGTCCCTGGACATGCGCCAGTCGCTCGGAAATTATACGAGCTCCATCAAGTCATTTCTCGAAAAGAGCTTCAACTAGCAAATGGCAATATGGACCAGCGTATCAAGGATGAGATAGTTGAGCTACGAGCACAACTCAACGGCATCTTAAACACATTTGCAAATCAACAGTCGCACAAAGCCCAACCTCCTATCTTGAGACCAACAACAAACACCAGGGTTAAAAGTGGTAGCTACGAGTCTCCGCTCGGAAGTCCCAAGCCTACGAACACTGACTTTGAGACACTTGGTCCGTCATCTAGGCGGAAATGTGATGAACAGTTGGATCACGTCGAGATTAATCACCATCTCTGCTCTGATTGTGGAAAAGTGCGTGGTCTCGATTTTCATGCTTCTTATCCAAAGCTACAAACGAGTCCAAATGTGCAAAATCTCTGTGGTGTTTGCAGACAAAAGCCAATTGCAGTTGCCAACCTTTCAGATCGTCACTTCTGTACTGGATGTGGAATAGTTCGGTCAAAGGCCTACCAAAAAGAACACCCAAAGATGGCTGATGAGGCTTCTCAGCCGAATTATTGCAGACATTGCCAGAGACTGGCTGCTAAAGCTGCTGATATATACGAACAATCTGTTATCAGCTCGGTAAGTAGTCTGATTCGAATAGGCATGAGATGTACTAACCTTACATAGCTGCCAAACAAGATGGCGAAAACAACTCTTGAGGATCCTTCTCGACTCACAAGGGAAGAAGCTGAATATCGCCGCCCCTATGTTGAAGATTCCAAATCTGCCTCGTCCTCTGTCGCCGCCAGCGTCACAGCTGAGCAACATGGAGTAGATGTACACCCAGAAGCTCCGATCGATGACAACCCGAGTCCTGCCCCAAAGAACACATCATCTGGCTTCTGGAACGGTGCCTATGGTAGGCCAGGCCCGTCCTTCCGAGGTGCCTTTAGCAATGCATCGTTTGCTTCTAGTACCAAGAGTATTCCTCTAGAAAATCGGGAACCTGAGCCTCTGCGATCTGATCCTTGGTCTGCAGACCGAGTCGGCAGTCGCTAGAGAAGATCTGCTACCAACAGTGCTCAAACCGAAGATACGAAACCAAAGAGAAAAACTGGTATATTTTCCTCTCCCCATTGGATGCCTTCAGGCCAAGAATACTACAGCAATCCCTCCAGCCCAACTGGCGAAACATGGGCAACAGAGAACTCTTACAAAACTTACAGCCACAGAGACAGCTGGCGTAACACTTGCAAATCGCCCAGAGGTGCTTGGAACTTCGCCAATTCTACTCGTTCCAACTCGCCTGATAGAGACAGCCAACCAATCCCCATCATTGAAGAGCCACCTTCGCCGATTCTCTCAGCTATTCAGAGCCCTCTTCTTCTTGGTAAGCTCAAGTCAACGCGTTCTTATATCATCAACTAATTAGAGCTATGTAGAATTTAGCACTTTATACAGTACCTCGGCGACAGATGCTGACTCTCTTGCAGAGTCTCTGTCCGATAACACTGAATCTTCAAGTTTGGCGTCTTTTTGTTCACAATCAAAGTAACGGAAACATCTACACCTGTCGAATACAACAAGCAGAAAAAGAAAAAGAAAAAACCAAAAAAGAAGGGAAACGGAAAAGAGATGCACATCATCACGCTTTGCTGAGTTAACATTATCAACACAACGAAGCCCAACTGTCGGTCCTATCATTACTTTTAGGTCGGACTTTTTGATGACCTTTTGCATTTCGGCATGATTGTAGAGCACATTCTTACCCGCCCCGTGGCAAATCATGTAACTTAGCATTCCTAACCTGAACAGAACAACAAGATTGCTTGTTGAAGTTGCACTTTACACTACTGTCGGCTATACAAAGGGGCTCGATCTTACAGTACAAGGATGAAAAGAAGAATGGACGACACGATCACAGACTATGTAGCTCAGATATGGTTTAAGGTGGTTTGTTTTGTGCAATGATTGATTCTATTTTATTTATATGCAATATGCTTCGTAAGAATGGGCAGAACAGCCTTGTGACTAGCAGCACCAGGTGTAAACATAACCAACCATGCGCTTACAAATCCAATAAACAACAGCCATAACTATATGTTTGCTGTAATAAAAACAAAATGCATAGAAAGCAGCTTTTGGGGATTCGGGTATCAACGACATCTCATCTGTCTACAAGATGTATAGCACTAGGCAATCAGAAGTCTCAGTGGCGATACTGAGTCGGCGGTTCACTAACAGTCAACCGTCTCCCTGTCGATGATTTCCTGGTTGCAAGTGGCTGTCTTTCGTTAAGAAACTTGATAGCCTCCAGGCGCTTCTTTTGAAAGGCGTCACTGCGCGCTCTTTCGATGTGGGCAATGCTTTGGCGAAGGGTGGTGTCCACCTCGGCCTCTCGTTCTCTCTGGAGCTTCTTTTCCTGTTGCGCTCTGCGTTCTGCTATGTTTATGCAGCACATGTCCAGATTCTTGGCCTCTTCAGCCGTCGCTAGCTGGAGACTGGTGCGGTCTAATCCCGGTACTTCGGAGCGAGAGCGACTTGAGCCTCCCCATGTGCACTTAAAGATGGCACGGTTCTGGAGAGGGTCACTAGGTCTGCCAGAAATGCAGATGACATCGTTGTTGTAAATCTTGGTCCAATAGCGAGAGGAGCTTCCGGGGCTGGTGCTATTATAAGACGGCAGGTTGGCGCCGTTAATCATAATGCCTCTGGTGGCCTTTGTTGAGATCCAGAAGTGGTAGGACTCGGCGTCAATAGGGCCTTCTGTTTGCCATGGTCCTGGCGTCTTGCTGAAGTTTGCTGCTGGGTTGAAACCTTCCTTCCACAGCATAATCTTGAATGCATACTTGGGGACCTGCGCTTCCATCTTATTATGATATTTGCACGTATTTTCGGGCCCACGGCCAAAGGAGATAAAGGAATCTGTGATGGTCATGGTAACGTCCTTGATGGACGACCCATCATTGGACTCGATTACTGCAAGCTCACGTTTGCCTTGGGTCTCATGTGTAAGAATAGGGAGACCTCTTGGCTCTTGGATGGGTATAGAAAATGCGCTTCCTGCAGTTGATGTCGGTTCGGTCTTGATAGGTCGAGATGAGCTAACGACAGGCACGACACGTCCAGGGGAGCGAGCAAGCTCCTGTTTTTGAGCCACAGTAGTAGGAGGGAAGTACTTCATGGCCAGCCCCCACAGAGGTGAGTTTGTGTTTTCAAACTCTTCGCCTCTGTCTTGTGCTGCCTGTTTAAAAACGTTGTACTGCAAAAGAGTAAATTCCGGGTAGTCGAGGTGCCATGTAGAACTGTCGCCAGTCCAGAATTGGGTCTTCTTGAGCGGTGCATCCATCTGACGGCCTGTAGACAGGCGTCTGATTTCAGGAACGGTGCTCATAAGCTTATACTCCTCAATCATCTCATCCGATACTGTTCCCTCCATGTTGGTTTCGGACTTGAGCCTTTTGATCATTGGGTTTCCTGGTGGTGTGTTTTCGTCCCACTCCTCACTATTATCTTGCGAGGGCGGTTTGCGCTTGCTAGTATTAGGGTCAAGCGAGAAAATCGATGCCATGGAAGCACTAGGGTCAACCAGCTCCGGCTTAGGGGCTGCCCCATTGCCTAGACTCTGTGAAGCAACTTCTTCTACCAGGCTTGCCAGCTGATCCATAGATTGGCGTTGATACATGGAGGGCTCTTGCTGATTCAAAAAGTGACGGGGAGGCCGCGATACTTCGGCCGAATCAGAGGAGTTGTAAGCCTCATCTTCCATCACTTCATCCAGAATCTCCGTTTCGCCCATGCTGGGATCGTCAATAGGAAGGTTCAGATAGGAGGAGGGTATGGCACCAGAGCTTCCGATGGCTGACGAGCCTACTTCTCCAAATAGGCGAGGCTTGGGAGCCACAGCCCTGGTCATTGTGTTGTTTTCATGATCTGAGTCTTCCCCCAAGGATTCGCTGACATGGTCGCCGAACTCATCGTCCTGCAATGCAGAATTCGGATACTCCTCGTCATCCGTCAGCTGTTCGTAAGACTGCGACATCTGAACCTCCTCTTCAAACTCCTTAAGCCACACATGCTCCTGGAGATTTAATACTGTAGCACGATATTCCGGTCGCCGCTGCAGCATTCGGGTGATAAAGTCTACACCTCGCGCAGTGATATTCTTATTTTCCAGCGGCAGGATGTTGAGCGGCGTGGTCATGACGCGATGCAGCAACGCAGAGTAGCTGACCGCACCAGTAACAGGATATGGCGGTGCGCCAGTCATGCAGTAGAAAAGGACTCCTCCTAGTGACCAGATATCAACGGCATGGCTATAGCGCTGGCCAACCTGCTTCCTAACTTGTTTTCCTCGCGTGCGGTAGCCATTGTCGTCATATTCGGTAAACTCGTTGTACACTTCCGGAGCACAGTACAACAGGGTGCCGCAAAAGGTTCGGAGAAAGGTTTGCTCACTATCAATAACCTTGGACAAACCGAAATCCGTTAGTTTGAATTCATATGGGTTAGAATTACTGATGAGTATGTTGTCTGGCTTGACATCACGATGAGTGATGTTGTTGGAGTGAAGATATCCAAGCGCGCTGAGAAGCTGCACCGAGAAGATTTTGGCATCCTGTTCGCTCAGTGGACCGGTATCATGGATGAGCTTTCCCAGGTCGCCCCCAGGGATGTATTCCATAATAATAATAAACAATCGATCGTCCCACTCGAAATTTTCCATATATTTGACGATATTGGGCTATTCCATTGGAGTCAGTCAACAAGAAGGAAGCGGTCAGCTTGGTAAACAGCACTTACATGATTGATTCGCTGCATAATCTTCATTTCATTTTCCACCTTTTGGTCCAAGACTCCGTTCTTGATGAGCCGGCGCTTCTCGAGCTCCTTTGCGGCGTAGGGTCTTCCGTCATACTTTGAAGTCACCTTGTACACCACCGCAAATGCACCCTTGCCGATGGCCCGGATCTTGTTGTACTTGCCGGAGCCTGTCCACTCGCGTGACACAATGCTTGTGTTTTCCCGGCGCGGAGCAGCAGCTCTATTTTGCACGTCGCCGGGGTGGGCAAAGCCGCCGTTCTTAGCAGGCGTTGTTTGCCCATTGGGGCGCCCACCAAAGAGATCTGGATGCGCAGCCGTTGCGCCGTCTTCTCTGGGGATGTTGTGCCGTGTGAAGAAGTCCATGACTTTAGCAAGGTGGGCAGCTTCGTAGCGTTCGTCGCGCATGGGAATTCGCACTCGAAAGGTAATGTCGTACTCTACCTCATGAAGACACAGTCTGATCTTGGTACCCGACGACAAAACCCGCCTCTGCTCAACGGTGGGCTTGCCCCGGGATGCCAGTAGGGTGTCGTCGACAAAGGTGCCATTTGTCGATTGGTCCTGTATCATGACGGTTCCATACTCGTTGACGTAGATGCGGAAGTGTACATTACTAACTCTATGCATCGGGTCGTTGCCAAAGACTACATCGCATCTGGCTACATTACGGCCAAAGGAGAAGCCAGCGGCAGGGTTTTTGAGGTCGCTCGATAGCCGTAGCATCAAGGCGTAGTTGCCTTGAGGCATGCTGAGGGATTCGAATCGGCTGGCATCGTCTTCGGTCTTGTAGTTGGGTTCCAACGTGTCGGCCTCGTCTCTACCGATGACGTACGGTGAGTTGGAAAACGCCATACGCTGGACCTCTTGCCTTGCAGACTTAGAATGAGGGTAGAGGACGCATATTATGTCGGAGACGTCCTCATCGCGAAAACCTGTGTTCTGCTGGCCTAGACGGCGGGGGTCGACAGCATTTTGCGTTGCTGGTTAGTCCTGGCGGTTAGCAAGCGGCCTCCCTGAGGTAGCCCACAAGGGCGGCTCGGAAAGACGACTTACGCTGTGTCAACTGCTCAGTATCCATTGGAAAGGGGCCGGACAGAGCGCTGTCCCTGGATTGTAACGACAGACAAGGCGAAGCTAGCTGGTTGCAAGATTATGTAAAGCTGGGACAGAGAGCCGTGAGGTGCGGATTGGGAGGGGGAGGGGAACCCCTCGCCTAGATTGTAGAGGCCGTCGTGGTTGGGGGAGCGCAAGAGTATGGGATAATCGTACGGATTTATGCTTCACCAAGTAGAGGCGTAGTCGCAGTAAGCTTAGGATATCGGTATTTATGTCGTGGGAGGAAAGGAAGAGTGAATTGCGTTTCGGCGGTCGTTGCGGTGGTGGTGAAGATGATTAAGGAAGACAAACGCCACTGTTGCAAGCACCGCTGTGCATTTGGCAGGACGACGGGCCGAAGCGCTGGGCTGTGTTGTGTTGGAGAAGGAAGATTAGCGCCGCCGCCGGAAATGGCAAAAAGTTCACAAGGAGGGAAGCAGGCTGCAGTAACGTGCAAGTCGCTCGAATTAGGAAAAAAAAAGCAAGTAAAGAATGCTGGATGGTTCTCAAGGCAGAGAGACACCGCATACACCAGGGCCAGGCAGCAGCGGGTGCAGTGAAGAACGGGTGCGTTTACAGCATGCGCAGCCAGTAAAACAGGGTGCTGAGACAGCAAAAAAAGAGAAAAAGAAAAAAAAAAAAAAAGGCGGAGGCCCGTTCCGCAACAGGTGGTGTGTTTCAGCGGGGTACAGTGCTGTAAGCGAATGCTGCTGCCGTATGCCAACCAGAGAAGTGCAACAAGCAGACTCAAAATACAAGAATGACAGGACAAGAAAAAATAAACTCGAAAGAAATCGCGAAAATCAAACGTCATTCCCATTACTGTGACGAAATTGAAAATCACGCACAAGAACGCGCGCCGCTCCCACCAGCCCAGGTCACCAGGAACAATTGGCCATGAGGCCCCCAACCAAGAAACCCACTGGGCGGCCACCGTGATGCGACAGCCAACCATTTCCCACTAACGTTGCAGTTCCCAGCTGACTGAGTCGCCAGCCTTCTCACCCCCCAGGCGCCGTGTGCTTTCTGTTCTTGTAATGTTCGTATTTTAATTTTTTATCTTGTGCTTTTTAATCAGAGATACCAAATCCCTTGTTTTCTTAACGTCATCGAATCTTATTTACACATTTTGCCCCCCCTACTCAGCTCGTCCACAAAGTCACGCTACCAACAGCATCCCCGTATCCAACATGGGTTCACGTATGCGGCGTCGTCATTCGTGAAGCTGCTACTTCGCCTCGATGGCGGCCTCTCCCGAACCCCGGATCCTAGCTTCCTATTCCCCGTCGACGATCAACTCGGGCCAGGCACCAGCCAGCCATCCCAACCCATCATCACCCACATACGGAACCAACCAACCTACCTACCTACTTGCTTTCACGCACACAGTTAAGCATCCAGGAGCATTCATGAAAATCGAGACGTGTAAAGCATGTAAACAGATTCTATTGTAAATAAAGGGTCTACCTACAGCAGACGAAACGAGAAACCGCGGCTAGAGGAAGAGGAACAAACAACAACAAAAGGCATACTTAGTTCCGTCTTGGAGCCTCCTCTCCTGCATGCTGCTTCCCCAAAACAAACCCAGCTAGTAAACTAAGCCCCCACGCCTCCAAACGCCAAGCTGTATGTGTATTATGTGTGCGCACGTCGTTTAGTAGTGTGTTTTGCAGTTGCAAATAAAAAAGAAACAAAAAAGAAAAAGCGTTATATGTGCATCGGCCATGGGTCACTCCATGTACCACTCCGAATATTTCCATCATCTTGCCATATCAGGCTGCTTGGCTTGCACCAAATCACCAACTCTAGTAGGCTTGCCCTTGGTACGGAGCGTGAGGGCTGCCTCCGTACTGGCCTTGAGGAGGGGGGGCTGCACCTCGGTGCGCTCCTCCTGGTCCTTGACCTTGTCTCGGCACCATTTGGCGCGGATCTTGCTGCATTCCCGGACCAGGCATCGGCTTGCGAACAACCTCATCAGAGCTATATTGTCTGCCAGGTGGTCCTTGACCACCCATACCTGGGCGTCCGCCTGTTGGTGTGTACGGGCGCTGGCCAGGAGGCCCAGGAGGACCCGGTGGGGGATGAGGTCTACCATGAGGAGGAGGCATCGGGCCACGGCCAGGAGGAGGACCGCCAGCATCCGAGTACGAATCAATAATGTCATCAGCGGATGGGGGAGGTCCACGCATGGGAATTGCTCGGCGATATTGGTCGTTGCCTGGGCCTGGACGTCCCTGTGGTCCGGGACCTCCGGGGCCTCCTGGACCTAGTGGAGGTCCACGACGATAACCGTCAGGGCCGGGTCCGTGGCCCGGAGGAGGTGGAGGTCGCTGTCCGGGGCCGCCAGGAGGTCCTTGGGGTCCAGGTCCTCCGGGATATGGGCGGCCGCCGTCTTGAGGAGGGCGAGATGGTGAGCCTTGCATGCCAGCGTTGGGCGAGTTGAATCCACCAGGTGGCATAGGAGAACGGGGGCCTTGGCTAGGGCCGGGAGATGGTTGCTGGTTGCCAGGCATACGATTTGGCCCGGGGCCGTTTAGACCTGGACGAGGTCCATTCGTGTTAGCGTACGAATCAGACAGAGCAGCATTTGAATGTACCGAAGGACCAGACCCTGCCATCACCTCTCCGGGTCGGCCTTGGGTAGCGGTTGGGTCGTTTTGCTGAGAAAAGTTGTTGAGTCCGTTGGCGCTGGCACCCGCCATTTGTGCCAGTGTGTTTTGCGACAGGCGGCTGTTAGCGCGGCGGAGCTCTGGCGAATGGTAGGCCTTGTTTGCGCGATCACCAGGGGCAAAGCGAGATGTGCTGTCAGGTCCGGGGCCAGCGAGGGGCGAAGGTCCACGAAGAGGCGGCTGGCCGGCAGCGGCTAGGTTGGGATCCGAAGCGTTGCGGCCGGCGCCACCCATGACGGGGGATTGCCAGTTGCCAGTGTTGGGTGGTGCAGAGTCGGTTCTGGCGGGTTGGTCGTCAGCAAAGCCAACCTTGCTTCGGGCAGGAGGCGAAGCCGGGCCATGGCCGCTGGTGCGGCTCGCAGATCGCGATTGAGGGCGGCTTCCGTCTTCAATGGCATTCATTCTCACGCCAGTGGAGTCCTTGAGCTTCTTTCGCCAGTCTCGCTCTGACCAGGCTGGGCTCATCTTGTCGTTGATAAGCTCAGTGACATCTGACATGTCGAGATAGCCATAGCGCTTGTGCTTGGGCATGGCAAACATGAGAGAACGCTGGTCGAGAGTGCTAGCTACCAGCTTGCCGGGTCGTCCGTAGAGCGCAAATGTGTCCCATGTAGGGAACAAGAAGCGGAGGAGCATCTCGAAACCTGTAACCATGGGGTGGGTTTCGGGCATGATAAAAACGAAGCCTTCCGAGGATGATGGGGGATCTGTGTGAATTCCAACGTTGCCCTCGACCTTGATAAGCGTAGAAGCGTCAACAAGCGCCTTGGCCTCGGGGTAGACTGCATAGGCAGCAAAGGCATCGGTAATGGTGGCAATGGGTTGCATTTTCTTCTGCTTCTTGCCCTCCACCTTTGTGTCGTAAAACTTGATGTCACCCTTAAGATTGGGGACAGCAGAACGGTCATACGCGGATCTCTTCTTGAGATCCTTCTGCTGCTTGGCATACTCCTTCTCGTCAGGTGGGGAAATGACACACCAGCATCGTCTCCAGGGGACGCCAGCGCCGAAGCGGACTCTAACCCAAGCTTCGGTCTTGAATCGGGCTCTCTCCATGATGACATTGATGTTGTTAAGCGTCTTACCCTTACCGGCGATAAGAGAGCCAGTGTAGGCTTCCTGCAGGATCGAGTGTTCGTACATGGCAAGGCGGATGCCAGCAGTCCACTGGACGAGGGAGTGATGGGAGTTGAAGTGGAGGAGGTAGCGGTTCTTTCCAGCCGTCGAAATGCTCAGAATATTTTGCAACGGTTGCTCTCCCTGTGCGCGGGTAGGAAGCGACTCAATCTGCAGCTAGGTGTAAGCATGTGCCCTCCCTGTGTTGTGAGTGCGGCAATGAATGACGTACCATTTTGATAGAGGCATCTGTGAGGTTAATGAACTTGGGCAAGACTTCGCCGTCCTCGCCGGCAGCATCAAGCTCGGCAGCATCCCAAAGGGACAAGACGGTACCAACAAGCTGGGCAAAGCATTCGGTCCATGTTCTATCGGCGTTGGGGCGGCCCTCTATAATTTGGGAAGCGCATGGGTTAGCGAGAGGTGGGGCAAGCGGTGACGACGATGCTTTGACATACGAGTGTTTTGATCTTCCAGCTTGAGGAAGTAGCCCTCTTGGTAGAGCTTATTGGCATGGCTGTTGAGAAAGGAGAAGATGGGAAGCAGCTCGGGGACGACGTCCTCGGTGGTGGTGGGCTCCATGAGGGGCGGTTGACGCTCGTCGGTGGGCGAGAAGGATCGAGAAGAAGAGCTGCGGTGGTGTCGGTGAGTGCTTGATCGGGGCGAGCTATTTACTGAGCTGCCATAATATTCTGCCTGCTTGGGAGGTAAAGGGGTCTGCTGGTGCGAGATCTCGTGGTCTGGGAAAGGATCCGAGGGCGTTCGCTTGTGGGTGGTGACAGGTGACTCTGGAGGTGAGGACGCGGCAGTCGACGGAGATCGTGAGCGCGCAGAAAATAGAGACGTAAACGAAAAAACTTTTAGGTACGCGTTGTCAGCAACTAGGATCTGTGGTTGTAGAAAACAAGAGAATGGCCGGGCAAACAAAAACGAGCGAGAGTCGAGGCGTGATGAGGGAAGGCGGAGATGGTGATGACAGGTGACGGCGGGCTGTGTGTATTAAAGGGCATGTGGGTGTGGCCGCCTTGATTTGGATTTTTTTCTACCACTTTTGGTAGCGGGGGGGTGCGGCGGAGCACTGCTGTGCCGTGTGCTGTGCTTCGCTGCGGCGAGTGGTGGGTGCTGTGGTGCTTGCTGCGACTGCTATTGCTGCTCGCTGGGGCACTGCGGCGCAGAGTGGAACACGGAATGGGGAGGGGAAAAGAGGCCTTTCTGGGGTGGAAAGAAGACGAAAGGTGTTCTAAACGGTAGCGTCGGCGCGAGGGTGGGCGCTGTATGGCTGCGTGCTGCAGAATAGCGACTTTTTTGACCTCAGCGCGGTGCAGCGCAGATGGGGGAGATGGGGGCCGCCTGTGCCAGGCTGGAAAGAGGCTTGGCGCTGGCCCCAATAGCGCTAGTAGCGCTGGGGAGGGGTGTGTAGACAGCGGGACGATACGCTCGACCGCCCTCTGCACTTCTCTGCTAAACTGACTTTTGTTTCCTTTGCTTTCAGGCGAACCTTTTTTTTTTTTTGCTGGAAAAACTTGTCACATAGCAAGCGTGTCTATAGATTCCCTCCAGAGCACAAGACAGGACTTCAGAGCAGCTGCAGGCACCAAAATGTGCAATCCCGGCGCGTCCGACTGGGGGAGGGTCAGGCCATAAAGAGCCACGGCGCTCATATGACGACAGAATAGCATTCACTGGAATGCAGCATAAATGGACAGGGGCAAAGCGGGCAGACAAAAGACAAAAAGTATAAAAATACACACCTCTGTTTCGACCCATGGCAGCGTTGGGGTATGCGTCGAAGAGTCCTACCGTGTTTAGGCAAGACAAGAATGCGCCGGGGAGCGTGTCTTGTGAGGCGTATGCGATGAGATTGCTTCTGGAATGGAAGCAAACGGGGTTCCTTGACGCTTTTTCTTTCCCTCCGAGGGTATGTATGTTTCTTTTTCCTTTTTTTCCTTTTTAGCTGCAGTCTCTGCTTGCCTAGATAGACTCAGTCAGCAATCTAATTTTGTCTTTGAAATCTCGCGCACGGCGCCGCAAGTACCGCCAGCCGGGCCCGGATACGATGTGAGGGCCCTTGTAAGCCCAGCTAGCGCACCCCGGTGGCCGCCGTATCCGTTCCCACAGTGGACGCGCAATGGGAATCAAATGGCTGGGGACAGGGCCGCTTGGCACCCGTTTAGACGAACAAGCCAGTCAGACGCCGCTTCTCGTACATTGGGCTGCCAAAATTAAAACCTCGTGAAATAGACGGCCGAAGCCAAATCATTTCCAAAGCAAAATTTCGGTGTCCCTCTATACACAATGCGTCTGTCTTGCTGGCTGTCTGTGCTCTGCCGGGCCGGCCGTCACAGCGCCGCCGTAAACGCTAACGCGCAAGAGTAAGCATACGGTAGCGCATGCGGCGCAGGCAAACGCAAAACCAAGGCCAACCAAACCTCAGGCCACTGGGGCTTGGCATCCACTAACCAAGGCTCTGGCCGCGCATTTGACTTTCTTGCTTTTGCCGGCCTGGCAGAAGACGGCTGGCAAATTGCGCTTCCAACTAGAAAACAAGTTTCTTGGAAAATGAAGGCAATTTGATTCCAGGGAGAGTTTTGTAGCCATCGCCAGGGCAGATGTTCGAATGGACAAGAGTTGCGGGGGAGGGACATAACGTACTGTGCTGTGGTTAGGCGGAGTCTGGGCTCTTCGCTTCGCTTCGCAGTAGGTTGATCAAGGTTGTATATCGGCACAAAGTCGTTTGCTGCGAGGTAGCGGAAAAGGTGAGAATTTGTAGATTCGCAGAGAAACAAGCGTTCGTCGGGGATAAATACAATTCTTCCTAGATTTTAAGTTTGTTGATCGTGCCGCTAAGGTCTTGCGCGGATGAGTATTGTTACTCTAAACGATGGCCGGGAACAGCGTTTCTGTTTGCGGAGCCTCGGGCGTCGCAAAGGCAGAGTCGGGCTGAAGAGCAGAGAAAAGATAGAGTTTTGTTCAATTGGATAACCAAGTGGCACGATTGGCGAGCGTGGCCAAAATAAAAGTAAAGGTAACGACAGGTATGGTGTGTCTCTTCACTTCAACAAGATACGGGGAACTTAGTATTTAGATATACCAGTGGGCTACGGGCACGTTGTCTGTTAGTACAGCCATGGGCATCCCGGAAGCGCCAGCCTCTTGAAATTCACCCCAGCAGGCTCTTGGTACACTTGGCCTGTTTTGTCATGTCACAATCATTAATCTGACATTCTCCAGAGCGCAGTCCAGCCCGAACCTGCCGGCGATTCGCTACTCCATGGGCATTATGCAAACGCCCTGGGAGGGGCGCCAACACATCGCTGTGGAGAGGCGTGCAGTGAATGCGCTAGCGACTGGACACTATCGACCCAAGCCAGATGTCACCTTACTCGTATGGCCTTCTGGAACCGGCGCTAGCTGCGAGACGAGGACGACGTCATGCAAGAGTCGTTGGTCAGCGTGGTTAAACGGAGAACTGGGCTTGGGCATTACTGTACTAGGCGAGAAACGCCCAATGGATGTTCCCAGACAGACAAAGCAGACATAGCCTCCTCGCAAGCGCCGCCAGTTGCTGCTGTGAAACTTGGCTTTTCTCCATCGCCCTGCGTTGAGAAACCTGGTCCCGTTTCATCGGCGGTAGATCTAGCCCAATCGATTGTCGTGTCCAGCACGGTCTTTGCTGGTCAGCGGCTCCTCAAAGCATGGCAGCGTCCCGCAAGCAACATTGCAAGCTTGCGACGGCGGGGCCGCTAGCCGCTGGATGCTGGGCTTCTCTACTCATGGCTCGCTCCCAGAGCGGAGCGTATTTCCTAATCTTGGCCTCTGAGCCAAGAGTTCCGAGATACGGGCAATAAAAATCAGGCTACAACGACCTTGGCCGCTGCTCGTGTGGCTTGGCTGTTGGGTTCGGCGTAAGCGCACAAGCCACGGCCACTTTCTCGGGCAGCGTTGCGCGTATTTTAACCAGCTCGCTCTTTTTTGCCTATATCCGCTGAGGCATACGGTGTCTCGCGTCTTGCCGTAGCTTCCGCCCGCATCGCTCAATTAAGGCCTCTAATAATGCCAGAACCCGAGATGCCGTTGTTAGCGCCGCCAGAGTCTTGGCGACGTTTCTGACGGGCAAAGGATCCTCGAGAATGCGTGGCCTATGGCTCACGAAGTTCGTTTTCTGTATGCAGCCTCCTGCGCCCTCTCCGCTTGGCACTTGCTGGTCGTCTTCCTCATCGTTACAAGAATTGGGCCTTCCAAAAACGTGTTAGACTTGGAGCACCGTCAATATTGTCCACTGCAGCCGTTGTGGCGCTGGGAATCCATGACGAACAGTTGCAGAAGTGGCTTTTCACAGGCTCTAAACCCTCAAATTCTGGACCGCGGTTCCTTTCTGCAGACAATGGGACTTTTGATGGCTGGTAAAATAATAGCCATCCATTCTAGACTTGCATATCCCCGCGGCATCTCCCATCTGATTCCATGCCCACTTCCAGCTCCTCCACAATCTGATTATCTACGTACACTACACACCTTTCCCATCTAGTGAGGCAGGGTTCGCTCTAAAGAGTGAGACGCTAAGGCTTAACATGTACCAGCAAATTCTCCTTCCGTAATAAAGGTCCCGCTAAGACTAGTAAATCGCTTCTTCCATTTATAATTAGACTCTTTCGTATCCTTGTTACAGGTATAGTCATCCTGTGGGTGTCTAGGGTAGCCTCTGGCTGAACGCGACGAGCATGAGTCCTACAGTTGGCAAGATGGGTATTAGTAGAAGCAATCCTGTTAATGATAGTCTTCTTAATTGACAATTATCCTGGTGCCTTGGTATATCGTTGCACAGGGTTATTAAGATCTTGTTTGTAGGTCAGCTAGCCTACAGATGCGTTATGGGTAACAACTACTAAGATCCACCATCTTTTCATACGTAGTAATGTTTAGAAAGCTGTGTCGTGATTCACTAATTAGAAAATTTGTGCATCTTTAACAACACGTAAACATTATAATTATAATTATCCCATAAAACCAAAATTACAGATTTTTTTATGAGCTAATGGTGTCGTCTGCGCCTAGACTTGTGATCTGTTGCCTCTTTCAACTAGGGCCAACGTCCAGGAGAAATGTTGCTGCCTTACTGCCTGAAAATCATCGGACGCGGCTGGTCCTCGAGCTCCAACCTCCAACACATTAGCACAACTGTATTTCCAGAGCTAATCAACGACATCGCATCGCACGCTCAACAAAGCGGCACTAATTTCGACTCTTGGAGTGCATCTGGAAGCAGTATTAAAACGATATTATCAGGCGCTCGCCCAACGCTCTTCATCTTCTCGCCCAACAGGCTACCAGTTAGGCGCCGGCGCTCCATGAGCTCGACCAATTGAATTTTGGCGTGCTGTAATGGGCCCAAATGCTGGGAATGGTATGGGAGGCATGGACCCGGGCGGTATGATGCAGGGCAATGTCTCCAATGTTCCTCCTGCGACTGAATACACTCTCCAAGGTGTGATGCGATTCCTGCAAACCGAATGGCATCGCTACGAACGAGAACGCAATGCGTGGGAGATTGAGAACCAAGAAATGAGAGGAAGAATAGCGCAGCTTGAAGGGCAAGCACGACGAGCAGATGCGACGCAAAAAGCATTGAGAAAATATGTGTCTATTTTGGAACGAAAAGTCAAGCAGCAAGCCACAATCATCAGGGGCGAGGCTGCAGAGCCTGACGCTACCAAGACCGCCGCCGCGGATCGTGATGCTAAAATCCAAGAAAAGCTTCAAGGTAAGTTGGAAGAGATGACTGTGTGATATTGAGCTCTGCTAACCCGGCATGTCTAGCGGCGACGGAAAAGTATACAGTGCCTGGTGTCGAAGGCATCGAAGTCGAGCGATCCGATGACGAAACACAAAGACAAGAACTAAAGCTATTTCTTGACCAATGCCAATCGGAATTCATGTATCTCATGATTGCACCGGCAAACCCACAACCCCCTCGCGATTCACCACCTTTGCCGGTAATCGAGGATTTACGCGAGGTTGATGCATACGGTGTCCCGATTCAGCATCAATTCGAGCGTCAATTCCAACTGCCTCAACGACCCGGTATTTCACAAGCACAGGAAATCAACCAAAGACAACACCCAGGTGCTATTGCTGGCATGCCACCATCACAGCAGAACGCAGGTTACGAAACGAACAAGATGCCAGAATTGCAACCCCAGGCCATGGCACGGTCGGTAAACGAAGCTCAACAAGGGTCATACTCTAATGCGAGCGATTGGTCTCTCCCAACATCGGTCAACTCCGCGCCGGCAGAGGATAATGTGACCGACGATAGCCAACGCTCTGGAGACCTCAACAGTGGTGAAACTGACCCGACACAACGTGACCAATCTAATGCAACCCCCGTACAAGATGGCTGGGATTTCCCAGACAGTGCCCTTGCTGAGAGTGGTCCTATGCAGCACCCAAATCTTTCATCCAACAGACCTGACACTGACATGTTCCCAAATGCAGAGTACATGCCCAAGTCACCAGGACGCCTGCCGGGTGGCCGACGCAAGGGATCAATGTCAAGGCGACGAAGCGGTGAACACGATCTCGGGCTTGCAGCATCACCGAAGATTGATGATGGAAACTTCAAATTGCGATTTGGATTACGGGGACACCTCGATACAATTCGCACTGTCATCTTCTCTGGTGGTGGCAGCCCTGCCGAACCAGAGATTTGCACTGCTGGCGACGACGGTATGATCAAGCGTTTCCATATTCCCCGAGTTGATGGCCATGGTCTCCCCCATGGAGCTTCCGATTTGGATGTTATTGCGAACTTTACTCATCGCGGACACCGTGGCGCCGTACTTGCGCTCACTTCATGGATGCCATCACGAAACTTTGCTACTGGCGGTCGTGCCCAAGGTGATGGCTGGATCTTCTCTGGTGGTCAGGATTCGACAATCCGTGTTTGGGAACGAGGCAGAATCGATCCTAAGGCGACCCTTGATGGCCACACCGATGCTGTATGGGCCTTGTGTGTTTTGCCGACAACTCTAGGTGCTATTTTTGGCTCATCCAGCCAGTATGGTACCTCCGACCGTATCCTGCTAGCGTCTGGTGCGGCTGACGGAACTGTTCGACTATGGTCTGTGAGCGCACCGCCGCAGTTGAGCTCCCCACAGCCTGGATCCCACAGGGGCATGCGAGGTGGCCGCGTTCGAGGTAACTCGATGAGCTCCGGCAGCGGCTTCTCCAACTCTCCTCAGCCAAACGTTGCCTCAAACTCTCCTTTCCACTACACTCTTATCCACGTCATTAACAGATCAGACGAGTCGACTGCCAGCCCAACATGTATTACACCCCTTGACCCATCTGGAGAAACATTTGTGGTCTCGTATGCGGATGCTGCCGTCATTGTATTTGACACGAAGACTGGTGAGCAGGTCGGATCCATGGATAGCCTAGAAACCTATGACGGCTCTCTCAAGACCAGTGTCAACGCAGTTGCTGCCACAACCGCAGGGCTTGATCAGGGAGCGCACCATGGTAATGCAATGGGCGAAGAAGACACAAGCGCCCCAACCGGAGGTCGTTCTATGGCTGGATCTGGAGTGGAGGGAACTATTATCACTGGCCACGAAGATCGTTTTGTACGATTCTTCGACGCTAACAGCGGTATGTGTCTATATTAGCGAAAGTGTTTATGCCAAGTTACTAACTATTCTTTGTAGGCCAATGTACATACAACATGGTTGCCCACCCAGATGCCATCTCTAGCTTGTCGTTGAGCCCTGACGGCCGTGAGCTTGTTAGTGCCGGTCATGATGCCTCACTCAGGTTCTGGAGTCTGGAGAAGCGCGCATGCGTACAAGAAATCACTAGCCATCGCGTCATGCGCGGTGAAGGTATCTGCGCTTGCGTCTGGAGCCAGGACGGCAAGTGGGTGGTGAGCGGTGGCGGCGACGGCGTCGTCAAAGTGTTTGCGCGATGAAGTGATTTTGACTAAGCGACGAGCGGTTCATATCAGCAATGACGTTTTCTGCTGCCGAATTTGATGAAGGACATATTGTTACAGCATGGGACCGGAGAATGTTGTGTTTACATAAGGCTTTTCTTTTTTGAGCGGGACGAGTCGGCGGTTGCGAGAATGGCTAAAACCCAGCATTTTGGTAGGCCCGGCGAGGGATAGGGCCACATGGCACGGTAATGTCTTGCATTACTACTCCTGAAGAGGGTATGCCTTTTGTATCATCACATTGAGAGAGAATATATATTTTTTTCAGTCTATAAGCCGTGGCACTCGTTGTTTTCGTACCAAAAATCAACACACAATGGATGTTGCAGTTAAATTTTAGGTGGAGACATGTGGATTTAGCTTTATAAGGGCCAATAAGACCACGCACTTCAACCAAATCCGCTACAACAGGTGCTCAACACCTGCCATCTTCCGTAGTATAGTGGTCAGTATGCGAGCTTGTCACGCTCGAGACCCGGGTTCAATTCCCGGCGGGAGAGATCCGCCACCACTCTAAAGAGTGGTTGTCTTTTTTTGATTCTTTTTTTTATTTTGCTAAATAATATTTGCATTGTCTATACATGATTTTTTATTGGCCTACACATAAAAATCAAACCATTTCTAACACTTGAAACTTGCGTCGTAAGTTTAGTCTCACATCCTAGGCGGCGACTAACACCTCGCTTCGCGCACCGGTCTCAGACTTACTCCCATCGTCGTCTTGTTGACTGGTGGTGGCTGCCACTGGACTAAGAGGCTTGATTCTATACTTTTCCTCATCAATCTTGGCTAACTGAGATGTTCCCAGTTTACCAGATTTTATGCCGTAAAGCTCCTGAAACGACATGATCATCGGCTTCCACTTGTCAGGGTCAATGCGGTTCGCGTAGCCTGCCATGCGAAGGGTGTTGTGCACATGGACCTGGCGCACTCTGAGCTCGACAATGATGAGATTTCCCGCCATAGTAGGTTCGTCTTTCATCAAAGCATGACTGTCTGCAAACTCGCATTCCATCTGTACCGGGCACTCCAGCACTCGAGGGGGTCGGACTGAGATAGATTGCTGTTGTGTAAGTGCGGCGACCGACCACTTGTCTTTGACGAAACGGTAACCTCTATTGAGCTTTGAGGCGGACGGTGAGGGTGTCCCAGTAGTTGTGGCCAATGCATTTATACACGCAGTCATGGATTCGTCAGGCAAATTGACGGTGCACTGGCCTGTTCGACGAATGTTGTGAATAGTGTGGCCGCTGGCACCGAAGCCAAGGATGCAACGATCACCGAGCCAAAATGCAGAGGATATGGCGCAGAGGTTGTGTGAGCCGTCCTCATTTTCGGAGGCGATAAGAGCTACTGGCGTGCCCCAGTAGAGAATAGCAGGAGAAATGGTAGTGTGAGCCATTGTAAAGGTGAGATGTCGAGGTGCGATAGTGACTCTACGAAGCAGGTGGTGAAGCGCTTGCTTATATACCCATAATGATGCTCGAGGGGAATTGCACGATTACAAATGAAATTAAAACGAAACTGTGAATATAATTCATGTTGCTCTTGAAGTTGTTTGCGATGCTGTTGAGCTGAGGTGTTGCACGCCCGTCGCGGATTGGCCAGTTTGGCAGCAACAGCGTTTGTGTAAGTGCGCTTACTCGGTGCTCGTTTGCACCACACAACTGCCACGAGTCAGTAGTTTAGCAGCCGCCACCTTTCGGCACCTGGCAGGCAACCGTGCTTTTCCACGACCAAAAATTGCAAAGGCTCATTTTCATCATCTTTGCATCTATTCATTTGTTCATGCTTTTAGAAGATGCAATGAATTTAGACATGTGCCATCTCGGCTGATCGTCGCTCCCCCGCCAAACGCCGGCTCGGCACCCATTGGGGCGAGATTCCGAACGGCACCATACCCAAAGAGTGACAAGCTAAGTTAGCATGACCTTAGCGCTCTACAAAACTTGCGGGTTAATTTTCCTACCAAAGATGCCTGTTTATGGGGAACGTTGCATTGTATTGCGTCCTCCCCGTCATTGTGCATATCCCTGTTGATAGCGAAAGCACAGCTCGGTAGTCTTTGCGACGAAGCATTCTGGATTTAAAGTTGTCTCACTTCCCCAGGGTTTGACGACTCAGCGACAAGCGACAAGCGACAAGTATAGATAAGAGACAAGACAATTGCGCTACATAATGACGAGCCTACGAAACGCTGTGTTCTTCGCCATGGCGGGTGGTGCCTTGGCGATGCCTCGCGGCACTGATGCTTCCAATCCAAGCTGGTACAAGTACGTAAGGTCTCCAGCCTCGAGCACCGTTGTTCCGGCGAGAATTGTTGCTGGCCAGACAAAGGGCAATGTGGCCAACGCCGACGGTCTTATTACGGGCAAAGGACCTACGGTGCTGAACCGGCCTTCGAAGAGCGATCCTGCGCCGTCAATTGTGGTGGACTTTGGCCAAAATGTGGTTGGATTGCTTGGTATTTCTTTTGCAGGTTCTAAGAACGGAACGGATGCCCTTCCTGGATTGAAGCTGGCATTTTCAGAATCCATGCAGTTTCTGGGCGACTCGAGTGACTTTACCAGGTCCTATAATGCCGGCGGTGTAAGTGAAAATGGCTGTTAGCTACGATTGATGATTGTAATACTGACTGTGTTTTATTATAGGACCAGAAAATCACCGACGGTACCGATCATATCGCTGTTGCTAATGCACCGTATCAGTGGAGGGACCATTTTGGATGCGCCCATGACGGAAAGGTCTGCTCAGATGGACTTCATGGTTTTCGCTACGTCCGCATCACGCTCGATGCAATTGACAAGGACGCGCCGTATACATCCGCAGCTGGCTCTGTATCTATTGCATCTGTGGATCTAGAATGGTCAGGATACCTGGGAACGCCGGACACTTTTACTGGCTGGTTCGAATGCTCTGATAAAGACCTTACCCAGTGGTGGTATGATGGTGTCTATACCGTCGATATGGGAACCGATTTGTTCCTCGCCAATGAGACGGAGCCCCGAGGAGCATCCAGTCCGACACTGGAAGGCAAACAGGTCCTATTTGATGGTGCTAAAAGAGACCGTGATCCATATGTTGGTGACCTTGCTGTTGCATCACTAACTTCGTACTTATCTCACGCCTTTTCCGAGTCGACTCGCAACGTGCTGGAAGATTTGGCGTTGCACCAACGCAGTGATGGCTGGATCCCACCCGCTAGCATGTAAGTGATATTAGCACTCTGTTTTGTGATTTATTTCTCGACCACTAATGAGACAATAGCAATTCTTATACTCTGCCACTTTTTGACTACCCTCTTTGGTGGGTAGTTTGCAGCGTCGACTACGTTCTTTATACCGGCGACAAGGATTACGCTGCAAAGCATTGGGGTGTGCTAACCAAGGCTCTTGATGGCTACTACACCCAATACATCAGCAAGGATACTGGACTGCTCGTAAAAGCAGGCTCCATGGGCTATGGTGACTATGCTTTCCTTCCCAGGTCCGGCCCTATTACCTACTACAATGCTCTGTACATCCACGCATTGAGATATGCTGCCGACCTCTCAAAGTCTCTCAACATGGATGCATCAATATCTGAAAAGTGGCAAGCCCGTGCTCAGTCATTATCTGACGCTCTCCAGAAACACAATCTCGACTCTTCCGTCGGTGCCTTCTACGATGGCGGCCCTTGCCCTGGTCAGCCAGAGGGAACGTACTGCAACGTACATGCTCAGGATGGCAATTCGATTGCAATTCTAGCCGGTGTCACCAATGCAGCGGCGTCACAGAAAATCCTCGACTACTGGAACAAGGCGGCCAAGCAACCGTACGGCAACGCCTTTTACGACAGCACGGTGCTGAGCCCCGGCGACCACTTCTCGGAGCGTGTGTATGCGTTCATCTCCTATTTTGAGCTGGCAGCACGCATGTCGACCAAGGATCGTGCCGAGTCTGGCTTTGAAGAGCTGCGTAGGCTGTACGGCTGGATGGCGTCTCACGACCCCCAGATTACCATGTGGGAGGGCATTGGACCAGGAGGCAGTCTCTACGAGGGAGGGTTCACTTCGCTCGCCCACGGCTGGTCCACCGGCGTTGTCCCCATCCTCAGCAACTTCGTCCTCGGTGTCAAGCCTCTGGCTCCTGGATTTAGCGAGTGGCAAGTCTGCCCGATAGTCGATGCAGGCGGCTTGACTTGGGCCAAGGGGCGCGTACCAACTCCCAACGGCGGCATTGATGTGTCATGGAATAAGAATAGCAGCAGATCTGCCATTGCCTTTACCATGACCATTACGGCACCCAAGGGAACCAAGGGCAAAGTGTGCGTGCCGACCTTTGGCAAGAAGCAGTCGGACGTACGCGTCAACGGCAAGAAGATTGAGGGCTCTGGAATCGTAGCTGTTATCTTGGATGGAGGATCTCCACATGTGATTTCTGTTGCTTCCTCTTGAACACACAGATCTTTTAACAACACTATTCTAGTAGCTATAAGCCGGCTCAGTTCCCATTCTGTATCCATTGTTGCAAACAGTACATACATGTAAATAGCAGGCAACCTCTTCAGATTCTCACAATTAACGAAATTTTAATTAAAATAAAGATATAAATAAATCTTTCACCTCGATTTCGCCATGTAGCACTTTTCACCCGACAAATATGGCCAATCCGCCGCTAGCGCTCAATAAAGATTAGTTTTGTTTGTTCCGGCGCCGGCGAACTCCACCCCTCTTCCCTAACCTTTACGAGGTGAGATCTCACCAACTGCAACAACAACAATAAAAAAACAGCACCGGCTGTTCACCCAGGACCGCTCCTTAGCATTGCTTTGCTCTGCTTCCAATCGCAGATTTTACTCTGCCCATAATGGACCACGATCCCGAAAAAGGCTCCCCCGGCGCCATCGCCGAGAAGCCCCGGTCCGGCGGCGCCGAAGACTCATCGTCCAACGACGACCGCGATGCGCCCAGACAATCAACTGGCATCCTCGCGCAGATGCGCAACTTCGAAGCGCGCATGGACCGCAAACTCGGCGTCGAGTCTGAGGCCATTGTGCGCAAGCGCGCCGAGGACAAGAAGCCCGTGCCGTGGACGGAGGAACTCAACATGGCGCTCCTCTGGGCATCGGGCACCATGAACACGTCGTGCTTTGCGACGGGCTTCTTGGGATGGCAGTTTGGCCTCAGCCTGAAGCAGTCTATCCTAATCACTATCTTCATGTCTATCCTCGGCGGCGCAACGACCGGCTATTGCGCTACGTTTGGCGCCGCGACGGGGTTGCGCCAGATCAGCGCTGGCCGATTCAGCTTTGGTTGGTGGCCTAGCGGTATGATTGCCCTGCTCAACTGCATTCAGCAGATGGGATGGTCGGCTGTGTCGTGCATTACGGGCGGGTTGGCGCTGACGGCGGTGTCGGATGGGCGGGTGTCGCTGATTCTGGGTATTGTCATTCTGGCGGTAGTCGCGCTGATCATCTCGCTGATTGGTTTGAATGCGATTCTTGTGTATGAGCGTTTTGCGTGGGTTATTTTCCTAGTGATTTTCCTCATCATTTTTGGAGAGACGGGCGGATATGCAAACACTGCGGATCCAGTGAAGCCGCTTGAGGGGGCGGATCTTGCTGGTGCTGTGCTCAGCTTCATGGCGATCGTGTACGGCTCGAGCGCGTCGTGGGCGGTCATTGCGAGTGACTACTACGTCCATTATCCGGCCAATGTCAGCAGAGTCAAGGTGTTCCTCATGACTACTTTTGGCATTGCTATCCCCACTGCAATCGGCATGGTTGCTGGCTGCGTCGTGGCATCGACGCTCGACAAGCAGCCGGATTGGAGTGCGGCCTATGATCGTGGCCTAGGCTATGCAATTGATGCGGTGCTGTACCCGGACGGCTTTGCCAAGTTTTTGCTGGCGGTGCTTGTTTTGTCCGGCATCAACACTAATGTGTTGAGCATCTACAGTGCCGCGCTCTCGTTCCAACAACTGGCTAAGCCGCTTGCCCAGGTCCCGCGCTTTATCTGGACGCTGGTGTCCTTTGTTTGCATCTTGGCTCTGGCTGTCGGCGGGCGTGAAGAACTCAATGCGTATCTGCAAAACTTTTTGAGTCTCTTGGGATACTGGTGCACCAGCTACGCCGTCATCTTGTTTGAGGAACACTTCATCTTCCGCAAGGGCAGCTTTGACAATTATGATTTGGACGGCTGGAATGATCCCAAGAGACTCCCACATGGCATTGGAGCGGCTGTCGCCTTTCTCCTCGGCGTTGTTGCTTGGGTGATGGGCATGAAGCAGACTTGGTTCACGGGTCCTTTGGCTGCGGTGATTGGAAGTTCTGGAGGCGATGTTGCAAATGAGCTTACATTTGTGGTAACGGCTATGGCATATATTCCTGCCCGTTACTTGGAGCTGCTATATTTCAAGCGTTGATATTGGAGCGAGCCTTGCTTTTATGTTTTGATTTTATTATACCTAGCATGAAATCTTTCACAAAAGATGCGTCTTGTAAATTTGAATACTATTTTGTACATTTCAATCTTGTTACTCATAAGTGTAAAACATGCCGACGCCGTGCTCCCATGAAAATAAAAATGATACTCCTGAGCAGATGGACAAAGAGAGAGAGGGCTAGAATTTTTACGCCACCTCTGATGGCTCAACGTCGTACTCAATGTCCGTTCGGATGATATACTTGGCTCCCTTGGTAACGCTTGTTCCTTCGTGCAGTAGAGCACCTTTGCTCTCACCGTGAGGAAAGACTGCAATGGCTCCCATGACAGGACGGACGGGATATGCGTTTAATGTGCCTTCACGAGCGGCAGGGAGGAAGAATGTAGTTTCGCCGCCTTCGAATTCGTCGTTGAGGTAGAGCAAAAACGTAAATAGTGAACTCTGCTTCTTGTCGACAGGCGAGTCATCATACACATATGTGTCGTCGGGGCGAATGCCGGATGGCGGCCAAGCTCCGTCAATGTGGCATCTGTATTCGGCACCAGGGACGTAGCGATACACTCGGAAGCGTCTGTTGATACCGCGGGCTAAACGCCCATTGACAGAGGCGGGTACAAATGGCGCCATACGAGCCCACAGAAGGTCGTGGAGTTGGGTGTCGACGATCCAGTAGAAGTTGTGTGCCAGGACGCTGTTGTCACCACCCTCACGAATCGGCGTGTCGGGAATGAAGCCGACACTTTCGCCGGCCGCAATGATGGATCGGCATTCATCAACAGAGAGGGCATTCATGGCAATGCCAAGGTTGGGAACGTGAGGGTGTTTATGGAAAGTAATATCGCGCTTTTCGGGTGAGAGAGCGACGGCGTTGGGGGATGTTGTGTATAGAATGGCGGGGTGCTCATTTGGCGGTTTTCTTTGAAGGCCGGGAATTGTCTCGAGGATGCGCAGGGCTGTTTCGGGGTTCTTTGGCGCATATGAGAGAATAGACTTGTCCTTGACAGACTCCCAGATTTGGAGAGGTTCTGATGATGGCCGCATGTTCCAAGTCTCTTGATAGGCAAAGTGGCGCGGTGCACCAATGCCAGGGCCAATGTTGGCATCTACCGGGCAGCTAACTCTGAGGACCGCATCCAGAACGTTGACGAGTTCCTGTTCCTTGATGCTGCGCTCTTCGTCGTCAAAGTTGGTTCCATTTGGTCTGGTGACAACATCGAGGTCGCGCACCCAGCGGCAGAGGGCACCGAGTTTGGGTTCCTCGCCACGGAGGCGCATTTCGGCAAGGAGGATTTTGGCATCGAGGTATTTTTCATCGGTAATGGCTGCAGTAACACGGGCGGTCAAGTTTGCACCTTCTGCGGATCGTTAGCATTGGTAATGATATATGCAACCATATCTAGTATAGCAACCTACCAGCTGCGGCGAGACCTGTAGTGCACGACTGACGAAAGTCATATACGGCTGCTCGGAGATCTTTGCAGAGTTTTGATTTGGTAAGGTTGGGATATTGTGCGAGTGTCTGTAGCGTCTCTACTGTGATTTCTAATTCCTCATCAGAGATGACGGTCTGCAGGGATTTTGGCTCGAAGGTAGGCGTCGAGGCGCCGTTGGAGGGCGGTGAGGGCAGGGCATTGGCGGCGGTTTTATTGGATTTGTTTGGCTGATTCTGCTGCGCCTGAGCGTTCCTCTTGCGTTTGGCCGACTTGGATTGCGCCATGCTGGGCGAATGTGATGACGGAATGGAATTGTTGGTGATGGTGACGATTTACTAATGGCAGGCAAAAAAGTTTTGTTCTACAGTGCGGGGTGTCCCTGTGGCAGTGGGGTTGAGTGGCGGGAGTCGGTGCGGCATAGTGGGCATTGCACTGTGCCAACTTGGCTTGCACGGGGTATGTCACTACCAGCGTCACTGTCTACACAGTTAAAGCCAACGGTGTGAGTAAGTATTTTGGGCTGTTAGATACATGAAAAGGAGCTGTAAGAGGGAAATACTAAGGAAACAGGAGGAGACAACTGTAGCTGAAAACGAGAGCCGGGGTGGCCTTGTGGCACACAATTCAAGGCACCAGATATGCCGAGGAGGCATTAACTAACCACCAGTATCCTCAAGTCTATGGAAAACTTTGCAAACCTTTTCTAATTCACACGTGTGCAGCAAAGTACGACGTCGATCGTTTTAAGCAATACGAGGCGCAGTAAAAGCTTATAAGCCGAGATATATGGGCGCCGGGCGGGCCGAATCGGAATCATGGCCCTGCGCTTTTGCTCGCAAGATTGTACAATTTTGGAAATAGAGTGGCTCCCAGGGAAACCTTGAGTGCAACTCTGCGATCCTTGCGTTGTCGCTTCTAACATTAGTTTCAAGCTCTGCACCAACGAGCGCCTCTCGATTTCGGAGGTAGATCCACCTGCAAGTTAGTGGACCAGGGCAGTGGATCGGCCACTAAAGACTTCGCCGTCAGCGCGTGTCAGTGGTAGAGTAAAGACGCAATCCCGACGAATGTACAGCCAAAATTAGAGAAAGGAGAGACTAAAGATGAAAAGAAACAAAGAGAGGAGAAGGCAGTAGCAGTATAATAGAAGAAGTATGCCCTTCCCTGTTGTTCTGTGTTGCAGTTCTGCATCTCGTCTCCGTGTTTATAGCAGCTGTCTACAATGTCATCGTCCTTTTTCCACTGCCAAACGCACAAAGTGCCTGGCCAGCACATCCGCCACTACGCCCACAGCACTGCCCACGATCAACATGCCACCTTTTACATCCACGTTAAGCAATACACGCCTTTGGACAACTTGAAGCCCGAAGCTGGCGATGTTACCATCATTGCTACACACGCCAGCGGCGTCCCTAAAGAGGCCTACGAGCCGGTCTGGGATGAACTGCTGGCTAGCTCGCGCCGCTGTGGTAAGTACAAGATACGCAATATCTTTATTGTCGACTCCCACAACCAGGGTGCCAGTGGTCGTTTGAACAAGGATATCATGGGGAACGACCGTAAGAAGAGATTCCCCCCCAAGCTACTGCTACTGTATGATGATGGCCGTACTAACTTTCTCTGAAAATAGCTTCCTGGTTTGACAGCGCTCGAGACTTGCTCGCCGTTGTCAACCACCTTCGTGATGACATGGTGCAACCAATCTTTGGTAAGTATACAATAGTTTGTTGGAATTTACTTAGTTGCTCTCGAACCTTGCATGCTAATCTCCTTCTCTCTCGCGGTCTAGGCTTCGGTCATAGCTTTGGCGGCAACGTTCTTGTTCAAACAGCCCTCCTCCATCCTCGACTCTTTAGCGCCCTAGCTCTCGCAGACCCTACACTCATATACGATCCCGCTCAATCCGACTTTTCTCCTGTAACCTACATTGCCCAGCGAAGGGAAACCTGGCCGTCTCGAGATGCAGCTCGCGCGTCTTTCTCCAAGAAGAGCATATATGCACTATGGGATCCTCGCGCTTTTGAGAACTGGATCACTTACGGCCTCATCGAGAACGACGATGGGAGTGTTAGTCTCGCTACATCAGCATCTCAAGAAGTTCTGATGTATGGTAGAGCCAGTCACCCAGCGGCTGGAGAACCTCTATCATCATTTTGCGCGGCGTCTGGTCGACATTCAGAAATGAAGCCAGAACTAGAAGGCAAGTTGCCGTTTTACAGACCGGAGGGGTACCTGGTCTTTAATAATCTCCCGCACCTGCAACCGGGTGTCAATTACATATACCCGCTGAAAAAGACGACCGTTGTATGTAAGCCAGAGCACCAGATTATCCGCCACAAGATTACAGGAACTGGACTTGGTGGTAGTGGCGGCTTAAATGCCGGCAGGGTCGACTTCCACAACGTTGATGGCGGCCACTTCTTCCCGCTTGAGAAGCCAGCTGAAACCGCAGAGATTGTCAACGAGTACTACGCCGCTGAGGTGTCGAACTTTAAGAGGCTGCAAATGGAGAACGAACGACTGTGGAAAAATCGCCCCGTCGAGCAACGGTCAACGATTGATAACGACTATGTGTACTTTGCGAAAAACTACAAGCAGTACAAGCCTGGCCAACGAGTCCAGGCTAAGATTTGAGCAATGGACCAACTCAAGTCGTTTGTTTGATACTGGAAGTGAGTATATTCTACAGAGTGCATATTCTGCACGGAACGATATTAGAAATTAACAGCACGAACTGGCTGTCGAAATGCAGTCGTATATATGATTAGATGATAATGTGAATATGAAGAAATTTTGATATATGCCGGGAAGCTCACGGTACCATGGCTTTTTCTTTTCAATACTAAGTTAGTCTATATTTGGAATACGGGAAAGAAAACGCCGCAATTGGTCTAGATCCTCCACAACTATGGATGCTGCGCTGCACCATCTAATACAATGGCAATCAACCGTCTCAGCCGCATGTATAAACAGATGACTGCATTACAGCCCTGGGTTTTCATCTCCAGCCATTGGTCGACATCTCAGCTGAAGCGACACAGATTGAATTCCCCGACCAACCAAGACCCTTGATTATACACGATGCCGCTGTGCATCGGCCCCACTGGAGTTGCACCATTCGCGTAGTCGTCCCAGTTGAGTTAGTATTGCTGAGATGCATGTAACGTCAAGTTTTTATATAAACATCGTCAGCTCATCCCATCCTCCCTTCAGCGCCGCTATCCACACAACCTCTTGTTTTTATACAACATACGTACGTTTCATCCTTTACCGAATTGGCAATCGCAATGCTTTTTTCTACTTTTGTTTGGGGAGCCACCGCCCTCGTCAGCACTGCGGCGGCTGAAGCAGCGACCAAGCCAAAGCTGTCGACATCGACGGGTTTCTACATCCGCGTTCACGTCAACCAGAAAATCACTGATGGCGACCCTTATGATGTGGACAAGTCATATGTGTCACTTTTCAGACAGCCGTCCGACTTCGATCGCCAGATGGCCCAGTGCAGCGTGCAAGATGACACAGACGCCGCAATCTTCTACTTGAACGGCACGGCGGCCGAGGTCAAGGCGAACAAGGCAACGCTGGTGACGGACTTCAAGCACAATCAGCCCAACGGTGCCGGTACTATCCAAGAGCCGTTCTCACTTAACTGGTATAATGAGTCGACGACCACGTCGGAAGCCAGAGTCTACTTCACCTATCAGTATAAGTACGGCGTCCCGGGCTATGCTACCATCTCGGCGGTGCGTCCTGGCGTAGTGGTGATTGGCCCGCAGCGCTTCTACCAGACCTTTTGGAGCCATGCACACCATGCCACAGCAGTTCTTGGCCGCATTGATGTCAAGGATGGAAAGGCCGACGACGAGCAATACAAGGTCGTCTTGATTCCCGAGTGCGCCGACCTGCCTCCGCCCAAGGCGCCTACGGGGTCGAGCCACAAATATGCCGTCGAGGTACAATGCTATGAGGATCTCGACAAGGGAGACTGGAGTATTTTTAATATCTGAAGGCAGCATCGCATGATGAAACGATGTATCGATTGGCCGCAGGGCGTGTGTTTTATATAGTTGGTGGTGCAACATGTAAATAACCGGCGCCTTTGCCGTATACAGAGAACGGGAATGCCATGACAGACTCCGACTCCTGTGTGAAACTGCCTCGGTCAGTTGCCAAGCACGAGGCCATGAAAATAAGAAAGCATAGTTGTTTTTTTGTCCCCTTTGATGGACCATCATCACTGAGCATCCTTTGCTGTGAGCCAAGAAAATAGTGTACCCACAAACCAAGATGCTTAAAAATAAGGCTTTAATGCATGGCCCAGGTTCGCCGAAAGGGAACATAGGTCGTGTGTCAGAGCCCTTCTCTTGCGTCTGCAAATACGAGCCGCGTCCGCTTTGTGCCTGATGTCTGTCAAACAAGCATCCTACTAAGCCCCCAAGCAGCCATTTCACATACTAAATAGCCTTGAAAGAGACGAGGCTAACATGGAAGATGGTGTTCGCGTTCGCTGACGAGGCTGGAGGGGGGCTTTATAACCAGATGGTCCGATGGAGAAAGATTGGTTCGGGCCAATCTATTTTATCCCACACACCAGACCAATCATCGACCGAGCACCGTCTTCTCGAAACAAGGAGCTTTGGCTAAAACGCGGGCCTCAGGTCATGGCAAGCACCGTGGCCCAGATGAAGCGGTTGTGGAAGAATTGCTGGCAAAAGGGCAACGTCAGCGTTTTTCTGTATTTACCCGCCCGCACTTTTGCTTTGCCTGCCCCAGGCGTTGGCATTTTTGGCGGGGCGTCCTGTTGCAGCACCACTGGCCAGCAGAGCGCTCATTTGGTGGCGCCAGGCTAGCGTTTCCAGCGTTCCAGCAGAGCAACTCGTCTGTCGTTTTTGCGAGTTAGCGCCCAGCTGGGGTTTCCTTTTGGGGGGCTGTCGCGTGCTATCAGTGGCCTGTGAGAGGGGGCGTGGGGGAGAAGCCTGTAGCGCTGGCCATTTATGGGGGTGTGTCGTGTAGTGCGGGTATCCGGCACGCGACACCGTTATTTTGGGCAGCTCGGCCGAACACACACAGCGCCAGCCAGCACCTCGCACACCGGGTGAAATGGGCAACGGGCATTATCCAGGGGCGACGCTCAGCATCACGAGAAACCTGCAAGGCTAAACTCGCGAGACGAATATAGATTATGCCACCCGGATACAATGCTCAGGAGGCGGGTGCCGGCCATCCGAGTTGCGTGGCCGATGGCCCTACTCGACCTTATATCTACCTTGCTGCGTCCACGAGCCTGTTTCTTCGCAGCAAATCTCTATCGGACGGAAGATCGACGTCTTTCTTTTAAGCAAAACACGTCAATCTTTGCTGTTTGTCGAACACATCCCCATCTCCACTTAAACGATCCCGAACACACGCTTCCTTGGAACAAACGGTCCACCACGCAGGCCAACCACACCAAATCCTGCTGCTCATCTTGTGCCCGGCGTTTAATACTTTGGATTCCTTTCAGCAGCGTTCTTGGCGTCATACGTATTAGACTGCCTCCCCCTAAGCCTTGACAGGTTCTTGGCAAAAACGCCTTCTTTTTCGCTCCTCGGATAGTCGCCGCCTCTCCACTGTTATTTCCGTCTACTCCTCCCCAACGGGTAAAAAGGCACACGACTAAACAAAAATACCGCCTATTCCATCCGTTTTTGTTTACTTCTTGTCTTGTTCAATATCGGCAGTCTTTCTCTGTTTACACAGAATTCGCTCTCTATCGCCCATATTTGAGAAAAAGAGCAACATGAGACTACAGTGGACAGCCCTTGCCGCTCTCCTCCCTACTCTAGCCTTTGGTGTCCCCCACGAGCGCCGTGGTGAGCCTAGTAGAAAGCATTTCGAAGAGGCTGGAGGGTCCCTCGAACTGCTGCACTACGATGTTCGCTTCTTCAAAAACGAGATCGGATACCAAGAGCACCGCTACGTCCTGCGAGATGCCATCCGCTCATACCTCGAAGTCCTCAACTCCCACAACGTCGAGACCTGGCTGGCCCATGGTACTCTGCTCGGATGGTGGTGGAACGGCCAGATTATGCCCTGGGATTACGATCTCGATGTCCAGCTTTCACATACAGCCATGCAGTGGCTTGCTGATAACCTCAATAACACGAAGCATGACTACAACGGCACCGCCATGAACGGCGACCCAGTGAATAGAACATATCTGCTCGACATAAACCCTCACCACTCGGATATGACAGTTGGCGACGGCCAAAATATTATTGACGCCCGTTGGATAGACACCTCCAACGGCATGTTCATCGACCTCACAGTCGTCCGAGAGCGCGACACCAACAGGCCAGGCGTCTGGAGCTGCAAGAATTACCATTATTACAACACCGAGGATCTCTGGCCCATGCGCCTTACGGACTTCGAAGGTGTTACTGTCAAGATTCCCTACAATTTTGAGAAAATTCTCATTGACGAGTACTCTACCGGAGCACTTACCAATGAAGACTATCACGAGTAAGTCGCTGGTCCAGCTACCACCTAATCTACTAAGTACTTGTGCTAACGTTTTCTCTTTTTACAGACACAAATGGGATAAAGACATCAAAGAATGGGTCAAGTCTAGCCCAGACGACCAGGATGCCAAGGACCAGCGCCAGGCTGCGCTCCAACGAAAGAAAACACAACTCAAGGCCCAGGGCCGCCTCTAAGATACCCCCTTCCTCTCGAATTAAGCGCTGCTGCCACCTTTTTCGCACGTTACGTCATTCAACGGCCGTTTCTTTATCATTGTATCAATGAATTGTATATTTACCAACTGCACTATCGGGCGTTTTATCTCTACATGGTCTTTCTATTGCGACCGCTCGGCCTATGCTTCTGTATTTAGCTGGGGAGCGCTTACACACCGGCGTTTGAGCTTCAATGGGTACCAAAATCCCGTTTTGATTATTAGATTTATATAAATGCACATAGAATCCAATATTATTCTATAAAAAAAGAACCCAGTATACAAAATATTCTATTTTGTTAGCCAACGTTTCCACGCCTCTATGTGACTGCTCTCATTCTCGGAGAGTAATGTTCGTCTGCCTAGGGTTTGGCGCCGGCCCAGATCTAACAGAGGGGCCATACTTGGCCTTCCATGAGCGCATTGGAATGGGAAAGCACATTTGGCTAGCCTCTGGATCAAATCACAGCATTCGTCATGAGTCAGCACGTCGTTGAACATGATTGCGCCTATTGATGTTAGTTTCATGTTCTCGGCGAGATTCGAACGCGATACCTACTACGACAAGATCTGGATTGCAATAGCTCAAGAATCCCGCGTGGGCAGGCTTGGAAGTTTGGCAAATGTCCATTCATCGGTTCCCCCATACACTGACTAGACGATGGTGGTGCCGTGCTGCCTTCTTTCCATGCTTCGCTGCGGAGGATTCCAACGAGCAAATTGGCTTCCGACCTACAGCGTGCGAGGATGGCTGGCGAGATTGCTGTGACTCTGATAATAGTGGATTTTGGGGATTCGGTATTTGTGCTTGTATCCATAATGTCTTCCGTATCTACGTTGTCAATTTCAAACGATATACCCCAAGACGCGAGATAGTGCTGTCGCCGAGCCAGAAGTCTCGCCTCGCTTGCGGATATCTCGATAGTTATTGGAGTCTCCAGCTTTTCTAATATTGCGGTTATGGGTTCTCCGTCAGATGACGAAAAGTATGAAGCCATAAGGTCTTCGAGACGAAACCGCTCGTCCGCTGCATGTTGATCAACAAGGACCAGTGTCGACGCTCCGGATCTTATCGCACCAAAACCATCGACCTCTAACGGCAGCTTCACAAGGATAAACTTTTCATCGACTTGAGCTATAACGGTTGCTGTTGCCAATGCCGACTTCGATAGTTGTCCGTTCAAGCCCAGAGCTCCAATGTCATGGTCAAACCCACAAGCATCTTTCCCATCAGACCGAACCAGCCCTCTTGCAGTCTCAGTTGCTGGAATTTGTAATCCCGTCAAGTCAAAAATTGGGTTCTTCCAGGTATCCAACGCCCGCTGTATCCACGAACCGGGTTGGCTGGTTGGCATTTCACTGGAAGAAAGCGCCGCTTCAGAGCTTCCGGCTAAAGAAACGTCAAAGGGGAGTCTTAGCAATCGCCCGTCAGTGTCAACAAGCTTCTCTGAAGACTTATTACTGTCATAATGTTTCTCGTTTTTCCCGACGGGTACTGTTGAAGTAGCGTTTCCCACTATCCAATGACTCCAACGAGACAATGAAGGCTCTTTTGTACTCTCAAGCTGCTTCGCCTCAGCCAGTCGCACAGATCTGCGAGGGTTTTCCTGCTCCAAGAGTCTTTTGATCGGTTTCCGAGGAGCTTTCGGTCGAAAGTGGTGCTTTTTTAAGAACCCGTAGCACATAGCTCGTAAAAGCTGCAACAATGAACCAAGTCTCCAGTCGCCTTCAATTAAACTGTCACAGCTGTTCCCTAACCTTGGGTTGGTGAATGTGACTTGCAAAAAGAACACTGGCCACTTGTCCAAGCTCTTCCTGTTTGTGACCTTTTCCAACCCATCTGTTCCGGCGTCATTCTTATTCATGCCAAAATCAGAGCTGGCAAAGGCCTTGTTGATTTCTTCGAATAGGACATTGTAGCCATATTCGTTGATAACGGGCAATATTCCCACAGTTATGATCTGGAAGAGTCGGCTGGCACTTGGTTCCAGGGATATACAACCGGAAATAGCGATGCCATCTGATTGAGCTCGCGTAGGGACCATGGTAGTAGAATTAATATATGATGGAAGTCCAATCTGGGGAAGAAGGCTTGCTAACCGCCTCTCAAGAGAAATATTCGTAGTCGACCTTAGTCGGAAATCTTTCTCATGCCGTAAATCTCGGAGTGTTACGTCGACAGACATCGGTAAAGCGAGAAGGGTTGCAATAAGTCTGTACGCAAGGCGTCGGATTTCTTTTTCAACGTCTGCTTTAGCAGAGAGCATTACAGCTCGATGCTTCGCTCTCACGGGCATCGACCCAAACAAATCACTAACTGCGACTCGGGTGCCATGATCGTGTGCGGAAGACGTTTGCCCAGGATGTGCTGGGACGTGTCTCGCAAGAAGTTCTCCATTGCGAACGATGAGAGAACAGTGAGAAGTAGCGTTCTTTGGCTTCGATGTAATTTCTAAAAGGGATAACGCAGCAACGGAATATAGAAACATGCCCATTTTGCCGTAAATCTGCGGATCTGGAGGATAGCGTGATGTATCTACAGGAGAACAGTCAACCACGTTGTATTCTCATTGTCTTCAAGAAGGATACCTACGGTGCGGTTTCAGGAGCTTTCCCGTCTCCTCAAACTCCCCACGCTCGATGCCATGGCCATCATCTTCAACTGTGGCGTTCCCACGAACATAATCAAGCTGAATCACGATTCTAGACGCCCTTGCATCCAGTGCGTTCCAGACCAGCCCGATGATGGCATCGTTGAGACACGAGATTGTAGCTGAGGATTGGATCTTATCGACAGCTTCATCTGGCAGGCGCCTGATAGACATGGCGCCAAGCTGACATACTGCTCTGGTGCTGTTGTCCTACAGGCGTCGGGTTGTGCAGCGTTTGATGGCGATGTTTCCGCGACTAAATTCCTGCGGGTGACGTTTAGCGGTCCTAGTAGCACTGTAATCGTGCTATCAAGCCTGGGGTCCAGTCACGTGGGGGTGATGGACAGTCCGCTGTGGGACCCTGAGCGACCCCTGTAGTATGCTGTATGTAATTGCCAGTGCTGCGAATGGCGAGCAGGAGCCCCAAGCTGCGGATTGACAGCTGCAACTCTACAACATTGTCTTGACACCTTCATCAACACGTCTAAAAAAGCGCCCTAATAGCCCTCGCCCTGCCCGGATTTCCTTTTTCCTCAACAAACGCCCGAATACGCAACGCTCTCAGCGATACAAACGTGTTCCTCTCCACACCCGATAGCAGCCTCCAGCTCCGACTGCCGAACACATCCGATCGACGTCTTTGCCCATGGCTACGACAGACTTTATAACCGAAAATCACGGTATATTTCGCCTAAAGTCCAGTTTCATGCTGCTTTATGCTGCTTGGGCTATCCATTCGCGACAAATGGCAAGCTAACAATCAACTAGACGATCGCGCCCATAGACGAAGACCGTTTTCCACTTGGGTCAAGAAGCTGACAAGCTTCAAAAACTCCTCAGATAACGACCGAACAAAACGATACAATAAAGTTAAGCGTGGCCAGAAACTCAACAACCCATATCCAGAATCCGGCGTTGTTAGCAGGAATCATGGCCAGCATCTCGCACACAGTGTAACGTCATTTGGTACCCAGCAAACCGGCTTCCAGTCTGTTGGCCAGTCCACACGATACTCGGTCGAGGATCTTGTGCCTCCTACTACCGGAGGCCGGAGTATAGCTGGAACTTTTTCATCAGAGGGCGAGCGGCCCGTATCTCTTACCGCACCAAGTCATGGTGCCAGCTCGCTGACAGGCACAGCGCGGACCGTCGGGGGAGGTTTGGACTCGCGGCATGGAGGCGACAGCACATTTTCCAGCCCGGCGCCTTCGGTTCGATCCTTGGCCACGACTTTGACAACCATTCAGTCCATTGCGCCCAACGGGCCACCAGCTGCGTCTTCGCATAACACACATTCCGTCCAGTTCAGTCAGCCGTTTCCAACCACATCACCTGCTTCGGCCGTCCCTCCCCACCTGGTTCCTACCACGCATCCAACCACATACAACAGCGCTACAGCAAACAATCTCCTGACTGATAATGCGTCCATATTGACCCTGGCCTCGTCGAGCAAGAGACGTCGACGTCGGTCAATGGATACGGACGCCTCGGTTCGAGCTTTAGCCCCATCATCACTGTGGGGAGGTAGCCGAGAGAGTCTGCCACTCAGTGTTCTAAGTTCCAACATTGAAGCGACTACCCCAGGCATTCAGTCCAATGCCAGCAGATTAGGAATGGAGAGAAGCAGCATATACTCTACAACGGGAGTCACACCAGCCCTACCGAGTGAGCGCAACAGCTTATATACGAAACAAGTCCAAGGCGATGGTGCCAGCGTTAGAAGTGGTTTCCATGGTCATGGGCGGCCAGGGAGCATCAGTGGAAGTCTTGCGGGCGTGACTGGTACGCTAGCAAGCCCTCGTGAAGCCCATGACGAGAAACAGTTGGGAGAATCCAGCCAGGGCGACAACCTCTAGAGCAGGAGAACTTGCATGAGCCTATGGATTTAGATGAAGAAAGGGGTTATTCCGGTTATTATAATCAACATTGGAGACGGTTTTTTTTAATATTGATAAACATCGCCATGGTCATTATTCGGCGACTTGACATTTGGCCTCATGGCTCTTTTTTTTAGTACGGTACAGGGCTATTTCTACTTGCTTGCGTTATTTTCTGATTTTTATATTCCCATTACACATTATTTGCATACCCAGGTACAATTGCCATCAATGAGGAATACAATATTATATTACTACAATATCATGTCTGGAATATAGGCTGGCACACTGCGTATAACGACAACCCACTCGTTATAAACGTGTGCGTGCGAGCTACATTGGAACCGGTCCCTCAGATAACTGGGGTTCTGAACACCTATATAAAATAGAAGATTTTATTCTTTATCAATTCTCAACCGTGAATTCTAGTCGTCAATACCAGGCTCCAAAGTCGGTTGCGGTGTGAATCAGACCCACCAGTGAAAGGCCTGGCAGCCTAGTCACAAAACTAGTATTTAAGATGAACAGCATAGCCTTATACGAAATAGCAAGACTGTATCTTACGCAACTTTAACGAAAATAGTGTGGCATCCAACGCACACGCTGCTAGCTAATATGTCTGCACCATACTCTGCGGAGAAATTGGTGGAAATCATCACCGACTTCTTTAAGTTCTTGGCAACTCTACATCTTGATCCAGCAGAGCTCGAGTATCCCCCGCCTGGTGGTTGGCCAAACGTTATTAATAACAATGGCGGCCGCTGGAAACACAAAGATGTTATCTATATTATGAGCCACATTCCTTGCTTCACCGGGCCCGAGGCCACAGTTCACTACAAGAGCAAGCTCGTCGACTATTCGACTGTCGATATAGATGAATTGAAAGAAGACATGGCATCGTCGGCCGAGAGCACTGCCTTTGAATCATCTGAAGGCGAAGAACGTTCCCCCCGCTACTTCTTTTACATCGCCCTGGGCAGAGAATCCGGAGGTTGCCAAATGCTCGTGAACATCAAGGATGGCGAAGTGATTGAGGAAGCGCTGGCATATGGTGACGAAGGGCCGGTGGATATCCAGGACTATTTCGAGGATCTCAAACTTAAATATCGGGACATGCACCTCATCTCCTGCCGCGGGTACATCACCCTTGAACCAAAGGACGTGGATGAGCGGGAAGACACAATCGACGAGGACGAGGTACTGAGCCAGACCGAGAATTGGGGCACTGATTTGGATATTCAGTATATACGCCAAATTTACCGCGAGCATGGCTGGCCTGATAAGTTCCGTCGTTCCGACGCAGAAGCAACCGTGAATTGTCACATGGAGAGATGCCAGGAGCGCCGTGGTGAAACGTGGGAACACAATGATGATACAACCGTGTGGGACTAAGTAACGGAACTCATGGGGTTATATAGCGAATATGTTCATCATCTGGTACATACGACCATAGGTGGTAGAGAACTCCGGGTCCCGTTTGCTCCCCTGTAGATAAGCTACCAACCGGCAGATTAGTAGTTGGGTCGGTGACGACCAGCGAATACCGGCTGTTGTATGTTTTTTTTGTTTCTTATCTTCAATTTTTGTTGATTTAAACGTCTGGCTTTCTTCGTGTTGTGCTTGAGGGAAAGTGGTTGAGTTTTGAGCCCCAGCTTATTCCAGCGTGGTTTAGTCGTCATAGACCTCCCACAGTCCATCAATTCCTCACTCATACATCCTTGGCAAAAAGAAACCCCTCCGTGTCCGTATGAGTTCGGAATTCATACAGATAATTGAATTATGTTAATACTAGCCAAGACGTAAATCACTCCTAGCGTAGTGCGTAAATGGAACCATGATATCACGATTTCACAATTAGCGCCAGTTCGAGTCAAGATTCGCTAGCAATAACAGTATAAGTCTCCGATCCATCTATTGGCTACACATTCCACTGTGGACAATATACCGAGAAAATAGGTAATTATATTGGCGGGTCTATGTATTTTTGAGAAGCCAGTCTGAAGCTCTGAAGTGGTGTCCTAAAGTATAAAATCCCACGTCTACCGTTCTACTCTTTCCGTGATATCATGATTCTTCCATCAATCAATTCAAAATTCAGATTTTCAACCAAGCCATATCCTTGCTTTAATTAGCTCCGTCGCCGGCAAGACCATTCAAGTCGCCGTTACGGGTTACTACAATGGCATTGATACCATTGGCGGTTCTGGTATGTCGTGACCAAATCTCCATCTTCAAAGTTCATGCCATGATAATACTACTAAAGAAACTACCCCAAGGTTCAGCTGCTCATTTCCAGGGTGTTAAAGCCAATTGTGTTGGGGGTGACAAGAAAATGCTCTGTGAAGACAAGAGTGGCGATGGCATCAGCTGCAAAGGAGACAAGGAGGTCTTCCTGGCTTGCAACGGCCTTCCCATGTGGTACAAGTCAAAACTGAACTGCGTCAAGGAAAAGCTTGAAAAATGCCATGCCAGAGCCACGGAGGGCTTTGGAAAAACCATGAAAGATGATGAGCTCAAGGGCGGTTACAGCAACATTGGCATCGGTTCTTCCGAGGTTTCCCAGTGTGTTTCTGTCCTCGAGTTTGAAATTGATGATAGTGCCGAGTCCCCTTGTTAAATTACAGCATCTAAGACCAATAAAATTCAATCTTGTTATTTCTAGTAACTGTAAGTGTATGAATCAGAGGAGCTGAACACAGACAGAAGCGCTAGCGTTCCGTGAATTTTAAGATGTAATATTAAATTTTATGTTTATACGAAGTTTTTGCATAATGAAATAGGAGAACTATGGCGAAACTTGAAATTATGTGACAATTATGATGTTATGTTGGAAGTCAAATTATGGGAGCAGTCTCTAGGGTAGGTCGGCACCGGAGCTGGGCAAAGCTTCCCCGGCTTTAGTCGCGGCCCACCGTCGTCATCACCGACCAGCCTCAACCTCCACCAGACATCATCTTGAACAGCTCAACTGCGGATGCTACGCCATGGCTCTGTCTGTAAGTATCGCGTTCGAAGATAATGAAAGTGTCTATTGTATGGGATACAAGCTAATGAGAATGTTTGCGACAGTGGAAGTCATTCGACTTCTTCGAAGCGTCTCAGGTTAACCTACCCGAAGGCGACAGCAAGCAGCTATTCGACCATAACGAAGTATCGGCTGTTTGCTCTGGTTCCGACAACCTGTTCCTAGGCTCGAGCGATGGCCTTGTTCGGATAATCGGAAAGAGCTGGAATGTCGTCAACACGTTTCAAGCTCACGAGTCGGGCGCGATCACGCAGATTCGACAGGTTGAAGGAACGAGCTTGCTTGTGACGGTCGCGGTATGTTTATACCTACCAATAGCATCCCCCAACGTTGTTATATCGGCTAATAAATTTTGCAGGAGGACCTGAGCAGCGAACCTGTGCTCAAAGCTTGGGCGTTGGACAAGCTGGTAAAGAAGACGAACATGCCGACATGCCTCAGCACAGTTACCATTAACAACGGTCGACGACAATTCCCGGTAAGCATTTCAAGCGACATTCTTGTAATGTATATGCCCTGTAGTGTTAACCTGTTGACTAGATTTCCGCTTTCACGACTGCTGACGACCTCTCACAAATTGCTGTGGGCTTCGCCAACGGCTCCGTTACGGTCCTCCGGGGCGATCTTATCCACGACCTCGGCACGAGACAACGAATCGTGTACGAATCAGAAGAACCGGTGACTGGCCTGGAGCTCATGATAGATGAAAAACTCACGACCCTCTTTGTATCAACAACGTCACGGATACTCAAACTTGGCTTGTCAAAGAAGGGGCAAGGCATGCCTCCCAAGACTGTTGAAGATACTGGCTGTGACGTCGACTGCATGACGCTTGATCCACGGACAGGAGATGTGGTTGTTGCGCGCCGAGATGCCATCTATACATACAGGATCGACGGCCGTGGTCCACCAAGAGCATATGAGTCACCAAAGAAGAAGCTTGCAATGTATCAGGATTACATGGCTCTAGCCTGTCCACCGTCAGCAGCGAATGGTAACGACCCAGAAGAATTACGACGCCGCTTCGGCAGTAGCACCGACGGTCTTTTTGTAGCGTCGACGTTTGTGCTGCTTCAAGCGGATCTTCGCGTCATTGCGCATACAGAGACTTTGCTCTCTCCAGTGAAGTTCATTTTTGAGGCGTGGGGGGATCTTCTCACGGTAACTGAGGATGGAAAGGTAAGAAGACTACCACAGACTAAAATTGACCGTTGCTAACGGTGAATTCTAGATCTATCGATACCACGAGCGAGGTTTGCAACAACGCCTGGAGATGCTCTATCAGAGAAACATGTTCACTCTGGCACTCGAGCTAGGACGCAACGCTGGCCTTGACAGCAAAGAACAGAGTGTAATATATCGCAAATTTGGTGACCATTTATATCAAAAAGGCGACTTTGATGGCGCCATGGTGCAGTACATACGTGCCATTGATACGACAGAGCCGTCTCAAGTTATTCGAAAGGTAATATATGTCGTGATTTCTTGCAATGACCTAAGCTTACAATTTGTAGTTCCTCGACACACAACAAATCCAAAACCTGATCCAATACCTCGAACGGCTTCACGAGCACAGAAAGGCGACATCTGATCACACAACGCTGCTGTTGAACTGCTACGCCAAGCTTAAAGACAAAAAGAAGCTCGAAAAATTCATCGAATCACAAGAGGATCTCAAATTCGATCTGGACACAGCTATCTCAATGTGTAGACAAGGCGGCTATTACGAACAAGCAGCGTATCTTGCTAAACAGCATGGCGAGACCGAGCTTGTTGTTGACATTCTAATTGAAGACTCAAAAAGCTATGCCGCTGCTTTGGAATACATCTGGCATCAAGATCCATCAATTGTACGTCCTTAATGAACGAAATCTGCAGGCAACTCTCCTAACATTGTACAAGGCTTATCCCTGTTTGAACAAATACGCTAGAGTCTTGATCGAACATTGCCCAGCAGAGACGACAAAGCTTTTCATCGATTATTATACCGGAAAATACCGTCCCAAGCGAACTCCAATGCTGGCAGTGGCATCCGAAGGTAATAACTCGAATTCATTTGCGTCCGGAGCAGCCAGTGCGGTTCAAAATCTCTCCAGTCTCTTCGCCCTCCCTTACATGAGCCCAGCATCAGCAATAACGCCAACAGGCATTAGCAGTCGAGGCGAGGCTGGCGAGAATGTTCTTCCTGTACATGAGGACGACATCCCCGCACCCAAATATACACCACCGGCTCCCAAAACTGCCTTTTCATCCTTCATCGACCACCCAAACGAGTTTATTGTGTTCCTGGAGACATGTTTGGAGGAGCCAGATGTCAGCGACTCTGATAAGACAGATCTTTACACAACACTCTTCGAAATGTACTTGTACAAGTCGACTGAGAAGAAGAACCAGGATCATCGTGATGAATGGGAGGCAAAAGCCAAGAAGCTCATCGAAGGTGAACACGTGCCGATGGAAAGCTCAAACGTGCTACTTCTCTCCGACTTATCCAACTTTAAGGACGGCAGTACGCTTGTTAAAGAACAGGCTGGCCTGCTCTCTGACATCTTTCGGTCGTACACATCGGCAAAAGATACGCAAGGAGCTCTCAAAGCTCTACGGAAATACGGGCCTGACGAACCACAGCTGTACCCTGCAGCACTATCGTATCTCACATCGGATCCCAAGATTTTAGACGAAGCTGGGCACGATGAATTGTCATCTATTCTTACCAAGATTGACAAGAATAACCTGATGGCACCGCTCCAAGTTATACAAACCCTTGTCGGCCAGTCATCCGGGGGCGGTGTTGCTACCATGGGTATGATCAAGCCGTATTTGCAGGAGACAATTGCCAGAGAACGCCGCGAAATCGCCGCCAATAGAGCTAGCATTGCCAACCTTCGGACGAATACGGACAAGCGACGTGAGGAATTGGAAGAGCTTGGATCTAAGCCTGCTGTTTTCCAATCATCTCGTTGCGAAGACTGCAACCAGACGTTAGATCTACCCACGGTACACTTTTTGTGTAAGCATAGCTTCCACCAGCGGTGCCTGCGAAGTACGAGTGACGAAGCGGCTGAATGTCCCAAGTGTGCTGGTGAGAATGATATGATACGCAAGTTGCGCCAAGGACAGCGTGAAAGAGCCGAGAAGCATGATTTGTTCAAGACTGATTTGGCAGCGAGCGATAACAAGTTTGGCACTATTGCCGAATGGCTTAGCAGAGGAGTTATGGAGGCGTCGAAGAGTGTAGACCATTCGCTGTAGACTTTTGGGTGGGGTGACGATGATTCATAAAAATATTGTATAGAAATAGCCGGCGAAATATACTCGTGTAATGTTTTATGATTGTATTTGCTACTTTAGTTCTTAAACTGCTTTGTGTCTGACGCTAGTACTTCTATGGCGAATGCAAATTACGAAAAGGAGGCTACAATCGTCTCTTAGAGCGTCGAACACGGCTACTTAAACCCATGTACGCGTAAATCATGCAAGCTGCAATGTCGAGACAAACTTTACCCGGGGTCTTTCAGCATGTGTGAGGTTGTGTCGGATCGCGCGCTACTTTTACGTGGATCTCTTTGTTTGGTTGGTGCAGAGGGAATTTATCTAGCGGGCATGCTTCTGCACTTTGCATAGACAGCCCAAGCAAGCACCAATGAAACACAATCCGAAAATAGTGGCGGACTTTTTCAGCAACAGCCTGGAATCCTTCCTTGCTTCCAGAGACGCATTCCGCATTCTCTGCACGCTACCGCATGGGGATCCAGTGCTGGTGCCGCGGGCACCCGTGCGCCCAGTACACCAGCTCATTGTGCTCGACTCGAGCTTTAACCCGCCGACTAAAGCCCATGCGCAAATGGCCCGGTCGGCCATATTAAACGCCAATACAGAGATTGCCAATACGAGATTACTGCTGCTGCTGGCGGTCAATAACGCGGACAAGGCGCCCACACCGGCCAGCATCCCCTCGCGCTTAAACATGATGGATGGGTTTGGCCGGGGATTGCTGGAGCAATTTGGACCGCATGGATTGGAGATTGATGTAGCGGTCACAACGATGCCGTACTTTCACACAAAGTCCCGGCTGATTTCACAGTCGTTCGCGCAGCAGATAAACACGGAACAGGTCTTTCTGACGGGCTTTGACACCGTCATCCGCGTCTTCAACCCAAAGTACTATGGCGATGGATACTCTACGGTCTCGACGTCAACAGGCATGACGCCCATGCAAGTGGCTCTGGGCCCGTTGTTTAATCGAGCGCGGCTACGGGTCACTATGCGGCCAGACGACGGCTGGGGCTCGGCGGAGGACCAGCGCGAGTATATTGGGAGACTTGGCCGAGGCGAGCTTGATCATTTAGGTGTGGACAGGGGCTGGATAAGCAGGATTGAGCTTGTCGATGGAGCCAATGGTGCCGGGATAAGCAGCTCCAAGGTCCGTGAAGCTGTGTTGAATGGAAATGCTGCCGTCGTGGATTACAGCGTTGACCCAGAGGTGAGAGAGTGGATTGGTCTAGAAGGATTGTATCGGCAATAACCCTAGCTGAGCTATTATGAATACGAATGAAACAAACCTTGTCATGATGAACCAAAGAGAAAATTTTTCTCCTTGTTGACTAGGTGAATGTCATGGATATGGGCTTTTGGATGCAAAGTGAAGGCAGGGTGAGAGTTGCAGGGTTTTTGGTTTTACAGTGGACGTCCAGCGTATAATGGCACAGTGGACAATGGCCTTGACAGCTGTATCTTTCACAGCAAAACACACCGCCTGGTGAGCCAATATGAAATGACTCGCAACATTAGATTACGGAGCAGAAAATATTATGAAAAAATCCAGACAAACACGCTCAACCATGCCCAATTCCAGCATTTTGATTCATCTTTTCCCATGGCCCATGCATTTGACACCACAGGGGTCCCGGAGCGCTAAGCGGGTCGCCGCAGGCAAAGAAAAGAAAAAATTCTGCCGCCAAAACTTTTAGGCGGTGACGAGCACTGATTGCACGCCCCACCCAACCTGTATAAAATCCTGCGGCTCCCGCCTCCATTTCCTCTTCTTTTTCTTTCTTCTTTAGTCGACAATACTTCAGTACGTGGCCACCCCTAGCTTTGGAGCCTCTGAATAGTCCCCTCGTGGCTATTTGGAGCATCAGCTTCAAGCGAACATGCCCCTTTTTGCATAACACGCGTTGCTAACAACCTTTTGCAGGAGAATCATTTCTATAGTTAATCGACCTCTCTTGGTTCCTTAAAAGAGCCAGTTGACCTACCCTGGTTGATGATGGTATATCCTCGGCACCCCAGAGTGAAAATCTGCTTTCTGGTCCTCTCGAACTGTCCGCAAGGATGGCGGCACTGGCTCTCGGGCCTTTGCTGTATAGAGAGTTGCTTGAGATGGAGTTGCCTCACGGCGACGGCGATGTCTCTATTCACTTGATGATCTCGACCCTTTCCGCGGTCTGCCTTCGGGCGCGCAGTTGGGGTGGGTGCCGATGGACGTCTGACAGGTTTCCTTTTCTTTTTTCATTGCTGTCTTAAGGCTTGACCTTGGACGTGAGGAAGAAAAATCTTTCCCACTTCGGTGTTTCACTTCGGACACTGTACCAACTACACATAATTGATTGAGCGTAGAGTTCTTGTAGAAATTGACAAACTTTTTCCATTGAATTCTAAATATGAGAGGCTGTCACGCTATGAAGCCTAACCTACGGAACAGCAAACTAGCACCGCTAAACACTGCTGTAATACCAGTGAAGACAATCAGTGTGCCATAACCAGACCCGTACCCAGCCATTGCGCCCTTCCAGACTGATCCTTGAACAAGGACTTCGCTCAGAGGGCCTGAAACGACGTTGCCCACGCCACGGCCCGTCGCTAGAAAGCTGCACACCATGGTCGGATCAAAGCTGCGGCCACCACTTTTATCAGGAAGCATTGAGATTTGTCGCATAATGCCAGGCCAAGCAGAGGTGTACGATCCCGCAAAGAATCCGTAGACGATGCAAAAGAAGTACAGCGTCACCAAATTCTGCCCAAGACCCCAGAGTAGAAATGTGCCAATTGCCGTGCCGACTGCTGATAGCGCAAGACAACTTGTAACGTGCATTCTATCCGTCAGCCAGCCCATGGCTACGCATCCTATGACAGAGCCAATATTGACAACAAGTAGTGTCAGCGCAGACGGAAATGGACCTGCACCCAGCGTCTCACGAGCATACGAGGGTAGGTAAATGCCAGGCAGGAAGTATCCCAGCGCCTCAACAATGTTGGTGATCTGATAGAGCATGAATGTCTTGGAGAAGACAAATCCCAGGTTCAGCGACTTGTAAGCACCCGCACCGGCTGGCAGACGGGGTTTTAAGAAATACACCAACGGCATGGTGGCGGCAAACAAAACGGCAGCCCAGATGCGCAGCGTCGTTCGAAAGCCATACTTGCCGAGAAAAAACTCGAGAAGGAGAGGCAGCGTCACGCCGCCTAGCCCAGTGCCAGACCACATGATACCATATGCAAGACCCTTACGCTTAACAAACCACTCGTCGAGGTAGAGCAGCGTAGGACCGTACGAGATTGATCCGCCAATGGCGTAGAAGATTCCTTGGGTGATGATGAGGTGCACTGTGTTTTGTGAAAAGGATGACAATGCGAGCGACACGCACATGAGGAGAATGCCAAATGCCGGTGCATATCTCCCTTGTTTAGGATATAGTCGTAGAAGACCTGTGATAAGCGGAAGATCCAAGTACATGATTCCCTGACGCAGTGTTAGCAGCTATGCAAGATACGCATAAAAAAGCTAGTGGGTTTGCTTACCATGGCACATGTTCCAATGACAGCAATTTGCGAAGAGCCCGCGAATGGCTCGTGAGTGCTGTAGTAATTCTGAAAAACACCAAAGGCAAAAGGAAAGCCTACGTAAATGGCATTAGCATATGCAATGCGGAGAGAAAACTTGTTGTTCGACGTACCCCAAACTAGAGCCTCGAGCGTGAAGCACGCAGCTAAGAACAGCCATGCATCTTTTCCTCGATCTGTAGGTGGCAGAGAAAACTCATGCTCTGTTATATGGTCATCATCGATTTGCATTTCTTCAACTGGCCGATCTACATCGGCCGTGGCTTGCTGAGATAAAGCATGCAGTGCTGTGGTGCTGTCGAATGGTGTGCGCGGAGGCGGCGATGCCGTTGCAGGCGTCTGCAACTCAGTTGCCAATTCGCTCATGATCCCAAAGATGTATTAAACTGCTCTTGCGGACTTATCAATAGATCACAGTTGTATTTCCGGAAATGTAGGAATACCATCGTCTTATGTAGCCAGAAGTTTACGGCCGTAGTCGGCGTAGTGGGCGTAGCAGTGGAGCCCGCCACCGCATCTTAGCGTACGCCTTTGCATGACATGCATGGGTCGATGGGGGCGCCGCCCTTTAAGGCGCGGATCTCGACTACGGTCAGACGACGGCACATGAAATACGAGAACTGACGGGGGAGGATGAACAAGCGTAAAGATCAAATAAAATATACTGTTAATTAGGAGAGATAGCAACGGTGCCAACGCTAGAACCAGCTACCAAGAAAAAAAGTGAAGGAAAAGGAAAAAAGACGAGAAATGTAAGAAAGTGAAAGGAAAAGAGAGTCGAACCAGTGAAGAAACAAAAAACACAACCTAACAATGCAATGCCCAAAACAAAAAAACACCGCCCACCACCTTTTCCGTCTCCCCTAGAACCTGGATGTCCGCCTCATTCTCAAACGTTTGCTCATGCTTGGTATGCCCTGCCTTTGACGGAGCGGCCAATGGTCTTGAACTTCTGATATGTACCGTCAGAGCCCATGACATCGAACCTTTCCATGCCCATAGCATCGGCCGTGTAGCCGCTAAAGTAGTAGCCAATCACAACAACAAGATACGTGAGCACAAGGATGCTACCCTTAAAATAGTTGCTCTTTCCTTCGCCGTAGACGTAGCTCAGGAGGAACACGCACAGAATCACCGTCACCATGTCCCACTGAGGGAAAAGCAGTGAGAATGTGTACATGGCAACGTCGCCAGGGTTGGTGTTGGGCGGGATTTGCGGGTAGATGGCCGAGTAGAGCACGAGAGCGGGGATCTGCAACAGACACACTTGAAGAGCGTAAGCGGAACCGATTTCCATGGACAAGGCAATGTTGCCGTTCATGGCGAAGGAGATGGCGTTCTGTGTGTACATGGTTAGAATGGGCGGATCTATAGGATACACAGCCGGCAGAGTGAGAAGAGACAAAAGACTTACCAGGAATTCAGTGGTGTTGGGTACCAGTGCAAAGAGCGTGATGCCCAGGAACTTTTGGTCAATAGCAAAGCTTTCAAGGACAACATCGACAGTGTCGACTAGGATTTCAGCAATAATGGCATAGAGGAGTGTGGCGCCGAGCAAGATGACGGAACTCTTGGTACGGCTCCAGTTTGGTGCATCATGGCCCCCTCCACCGTGCGCCGTGGTGTTTTCAGCAGCGGTAACATCGTCCTCGGCCTCAGGAAAGCTTCGAGAGTGAGATTGTTGAGACTTGGAGACGATTGCGCTTGACTTTCGTGAGTGGTGTCTGTCTCGGGAGGCAATCGTTGCTGCTGCGGCCGCAATCTCGGCCACTTCGCGCACAAGACTGTTGTTCTCTGCCTGGCTCAATCCGGGTACGCCTCTCAGATTACCACGGGAGCCATCACTGCCACCAGCCTTGGGTGGGACAACATGAGGCGTAGTAGGGCTCTCTTGAGAGGACGAGCCTTGTCTCGACACATCTGGGGGAAGCCCGACCTGCTTAAGCGACTGTCCGAGTACGCGTTTGTACATGTGAGTGTCTCGAATATCAGTGGAACTGGTATCAGCAACAGACGGCTGAGAAGCGCGCATGGGCGCTGAAACATGATCATCATGGCGCTTTTCTTCTACCTCTGCGTTCCAGATGACGGCAGCGTGGGTGCGAAGAGTAAACCACAAACCAATGAGGTAGGACAAGAAAAGCATAGCTGCAGCCATGTAGCAGTATGGGCGAACGGCTTCCAAGTAAAATCGGTCGTCCAATGCTGGCGCCTGGGAGAAATAGCAACGTCGGCAGTCGCGGCCCTCTGTTGCGCCATATTCGTCGCAGTCAAGGCAGTTCAACTCGTGAGTACCGTAGATTTGATAAAAGAGTGTTGGTCCAAAGGCACCGACCACGGCAAAGAGTAGCATGGTCGAGGTAACACCAGCAGACTTGGCGTTGAAGCGTTGGGTTTTGCGCTTAAGAGCACCAAAGCACATGGAAATGCCTGGAAGGAAGAGAATACCAGCAAAAATACTACCGACAATGCTGCCTTCGACAAGCTGGCCTTTGCCTTCGTTGAGAGCAACACAGTAGAGGAAAACTTCCACTACCGTTGCGAAGAAGGCGTTAATAGCGGCACCCAAGCCCATTGATGACTGTGCTGAGATGGAGGCAACGGCTTGTCCGATGAAGTACGCCAGCGGAATGATCGACACAAGACTTGCTCCGAACAAGAAGGCAGGAGACGCAATAAACGAGTCGGGTCCTAAAACGTGGTCCAACAGGAGCCAGTCCGCAATAACAAAGAAGACGACAGCCATTAGATTGATGAGGAAAATGTTGGTACCGTCAATCGTGTACTTCCAGTACTTTGAACCGACAGCACGGTATGTACACAAAAGAATGGAAGAGTCCGGGCCGTCATCATTTCGAGCGTAGCCAACGTGGGACTCAAAAGATAGGGCCAAAGGATGACGGCGCAAGTGGTCAAAGAGCAGCATCGTCACTTTACCCATGGGAATCCAGAAGACCAAGAACCAGCAGATGAGCGAGACCACAATAAGCGACGGGGAGATGAGACAGTAGAAGAATACAAAGAAGATAACTCGTCCAATGTTCCACTCACCACGGCCGAATAGACGGCGCTTCAATCGTTGCTGGGCCTCGTTTTCTCCGCGTCGATGGCGGCCAAGGAGACTTTCCGTTTCGCTACGCTCAGAGTCAATGCTGCGTCGGGAGCGGCCGACAATGGATCGATTGCCATCGGGTCCAAAGAAGAGGCGACCGTACTCTAGATCGCCATTCTGCCACTGCTCGTATTCTGAGATACTGCGACCTTCGTTACCGTCTTCATGCAAGTACTGCTCGTCCTTTTCCAAGCGGACAAATTTGCCAAACGGGTAGAATAAGTAGCCTGACAGGCCCCATAGGACTCTACCGTACTCTCGGCCACTTGGTGCGGCTGCGAAGAGCAAGCAGATGATGGCACCAAAGGCAGCAAAGAGTGCCATCCACCATCCAAAACAGACAGTCCAAACGACGTTGAAGAGCAATAGCCATGGGCTAACACTACGCCCTGGACTGGAGTGAATATCTCCCTCTGCAAACTTTTGAATAGAACGGTCCTTCTTGTACAAGGCGGGCTTCCAGACTCGAATACCGAAAGGATGGGTTTGGTTGATGGCCTGTTGGCGGTCTTTGAGAGTGAAGCTCTCTGCATCGCTGATTTCACCGTCCGTGTCACAATCAACGTGTTCCTCCAGAGGAAGCTCATCGCTCTCCTCCTCTTCTCGCTCGCTCTCGATTCCGTCTTCTTCGCGTATCGAGCTAGCGCGGGTGTCTGGCTCGTCGGCGTCTCGTACTCGTGAGCGTGAAACGCTGCCTAGAGGACCTTGGCGCCGACGTGGGGTGTAGGCCCTTCCGACGGCATCAGCTTCTACTTCGTGTGTATCATCGTCGGCGGAAAATACGCTTCCACGATGCGGGGTGGTGGACGATGTGCGCCGGGAGATTGGCGGCTTTCTGTTGCGAGGGATCGACTTTGTTCGGGTGTCAGCAGATGTTCGCTGGGGGGTTCGGATTGGTTGTATTTCGGGGAGAACATCGGGGGCAATGCCTTCTGGAGGGGTGTTTTGAATCGTTCCTAAAGATGGTGAGCATGGTTGGCGACTCGAGGCGGGAAAAGTATTACAAACCGTAGGATACGTTCTCAGGTCGACGTCTGATGGTGTCGGTAGATTGGAAGCTCTCCGACAGGCCTTGATCTGGACGGTTATCAGTGTGTCTGCCAGTGAAACCACGATCAGTCGTTGGTGAGGCCATGGCGGATGATTGACTCGATCGTTGGCCTGACTGAGGTTGGCCCGTTCGATCCGAGGGATCCATGGCGAAGGGACCACGAGGGATGGGATTGAGGGACGTGACGCTCCTTAGGCGGCCATAGAGCGTGTAGCGAGAGACTGTAGGCTATGCAGAATGAATCGAAAATCACCAGAAGAACAAGGACAGGCACACAATGCGATGGCGAAGCTGTGTTAGGATGGCGCTGTGTCGAGAATGCAAAAGCAAAAGGAATAGCAATCTAGGTGAACCTTGACGTCGAGAGTTGACGTGATGGCCCGACGCTAGCAGCCTGGTGGGTGGAGTTGGGAAAAAGAGGCTGGGCGTAGTAGTGGTGCTGGGGGCAGGGTGACGGTAACTACAGCAAGCAGAGCAAGCCCAGAGTATCCCTGGCGATGGGCGACGGACAAACAACAGACAATCTCAGACAACGGCTCTGCAGGGATAAATTTGGCACCGGGGGAAAGTCGTGCACTAGACGGGGATTTCTTTGTTCACAGGGAATTTGGACAAAATGTCTCTGAAAGAATGAACAGAAAAGACGGGCGACGGGTGCTGGATAGTTCGTACGGCGCTAGCTAAACAGAGCGTCAGTTCGTGGTGCCACGCGGCGATGCTAGTGGCTGGCGTCAGTGGGTGTGGCAGATGCTGCAGGTAGCGTACGATGGCATACAGCACTGCAGACAGCGATATATCAGAGCAGCTTGGCGGGCTCACCAGGCCGAAATACGTGCAACGCAAGATATTCAAAAGGAGAACGAAAAGTGTTTCTGGGCAGAAATTAGCCCGACAGCGGGTGCTTCCAATATTAGGCCGCCGTTGCAACTCTGCAGCTTGACGACTGTGGTCACTTGGCGGGCATGTCATCTGGTCCATGCCCCGTTGCACTGTACGTCGCATGTACGTCCATTGTGGTGTGGGTGCGCGCCGATTACATAGCTTGCTTGTTGCTGTGTCGACTAATCGAATTTATATGGGTGCTAACGGTGGTTGGGAGCAGTGTAAAGATGGTGCGGCGCAGGAAAATTGGCAAAAATTATTCGCTATATAAATAAAATATAATTGATAATAGGCAGGCAATCCTTTTGAATAATTTAATAATATATTTACTGACTGTGCTCGCTTCCCTTTGCTATTCCATTCACACCAGCACCCACTACTAAGACCAACAGCGCCCGGAGTCCGGCAGAACGCATCTTCCGCGCATGTGGGGTGCCTCTCAGCTTCCCTAGCTGCTCCCACCAAAGGGAGCCCAGACGGACTGGCCACGCAGGCTTACGAGCGTAGCTGTAGCCTTGTGCTCACCAAAAAGACGTACCGCCACCACCACCACCACTACACACGTCGCCGCACCAGGCACGAGCGCTTTCATCATCATCTCCGCCAGCGTCTTACATCACCCTCACCATCGCGACCCGAATCCCACGCGCGCATCCGTGGCGAACAAACCCATCAATCCACGATTGCGTATTTTGATCCGTTGAATTAATCCTCCGCCCTTGCCCGCATTGCCTGCATTGCCCGCATCGGAGCACCACCGTCCACCACCATGGCGCTCGACGAATACTACCACAACAAGATCGAGGCGATGAAGCTCGAGATCCTCAAGGGTCAAGCAGCTCTTCGCCGCCTCGAGGCACAAAGAAACGATTACAATTCTCGCGTACGATTGCTGCGCGAGGAACTCGGTCTCCTGCAGCAGCCGGGCTCCTACGTCGGCGAGGTCGTCAAGGTCATGGGCACCAAGAAGGTCCTTGTCAAGGTCCATCCCGAGGGCAAATACGGTGCGTCACTTTGCTCTATACACTTACTGTCTTTCCGTTTGATTTGCTAACTAATTTTCTGCAGTCGTCGATATTGCCGACAGCGTCGATGTTTCAAAGCTCACCGCCGGCAAGCGCGTAACCCTCCTCTCCGACAGCTACAAGCTTGAAAAGATGCTCCCTTCTTCTGTCGACCCCCTCGTTTCTCTCATGATGGTCGAAAAGGTCCCCGACAGCACATACGACATGATTGGTGGTCTGGATCAGCAGATCAAGGAAATCAAGGAAGTCATCGAACTAGGTCTCAAGCACCCCGAACTCTTCGAATCGCTCGGTATTGCTCAGCCAAAGGGTGTATTGCTCTACGGCCCTCCCGGTACCGGAAAGACGCTGCTTGCGCGAGCCGTCGCCCATCACACAGCCTGTAAATTCATCAGGGTGTCGGGTTCTGAACTGGTCCAAAAATACATTGGTGAGGGAAGCCGAATGGTTCGTGAGCTCTTCATCATGGCCCGAGAACACGCCCCGTCAATTATATTCATGGATGAAATCGACAGCATTGGTTCTTCGCGTGTCGAAGGCTCGTCAGGCGGCGACTCTGAAGTCCAGCGTACCATGTTGGAGCTGCTGAACCAGCTCGACGGCTTTGAGCCCACAAAGAACATCAAGATTATTATGGCGACCAACCGTCTCGACATTCTCGACCCTGCCTTGTTGCGACCTGGACGTATCGACCGCAAAATCGAATTCCCTCCCCCAAGTGTCGAAGCCCGAGCCGATATCTTGCGCATTCACAGCCGCAAGATGAACCTGACAAGAGGAATCAACCTGACCAAGATTGCTGAGAAGATGAACGGATGCTCTGGTGCCGAACTCAAGGGTGTCTGCACGGAAGCTGGTATGTATGCTTTGCGTGAGCGCCGTGTCCATGTCACACAAGAAGACTTTGAGCTTGCGACGGCAAAGATTCTCAACAAGCATGACGACAAAGAAGTGTCGCTGGGCAAGTTGTGGAAGTAAAATAGAAATATGTTGCAAAGAATAAGGATGGAAAGCATAGGATACGATGGCGGCGTCAGCGTCGTGAAAATAGAAATTGTATCAATATTGATATCCGTGACTCCCCCATTTTCTAAAGACTTCATTAATCTACGTGATATTTTCTGACGAGTAAGACATCAGCCAGCGCTCGTATAAACCGCATTCATCTTTCAGTGTGTTATTTACGTTGGTCAGGTTCGCCGACTGGGGAAAAGACGCCATGCATGCCACGGTATGGCGCTGGCTTTGCTGGAGACCAGCCTACGTTGTTCAGAATACTTTCATCAGCAAGACGATATACTTGCACATGCAGAGGACGGCAGCATTTAATCATCTCCTCGGCACTGTCGCTACCGAAACCCCACTTGGAGAGATCTCCTCCTGGGCAAGTACCTGCACACAAAGAATAAAATGTTAGTCTAGGCCACATAGATGGGGTGTTTCAGGAAACCTACTTAGAGCCATCAAAAGGTCTTGCTCCGCTAGGAACTCAAGCGATTCGCCTTTGGCAGCAGGTGACGGATTCATGAAATATCTGCCCTGGTCGTCTAGACCCGTCACCTGGAAGATGTTGATGACGTCGTGGACATCGCTCTCGTGAAAGCCAAAAGGTGCAACCGCACGCACCAAGTTTGAGTGACAGTGGAAATCGTACTGCGCTCCATCGTCGAGAACAGCATTGATGTACGGGTCGCATCGAGTACCTAACAGATCGTGAGCGCGGCCACCGTGCTCGTCTTTGCCGTACCAGGCCAGGCTATCGTGGATGATGGTGGCCAGTGGGCGCATGTACGGTAGGCAGGACCATAGTCTATCATGTGTAGACAAGTGGGTAGCGTGTAGCTGGCGGGTACGGGATGCCCAAAAGCGCTCGCGAGGATTGTGTCTGTTCCAGAGGTTGAGATCACCTGTGGTTTATATGTGTTAACGCGGGGACAACATGCAACTAAACGGATGATAAACATACCGACTTGAGGACCGTCGGGAGTCGTGATGCGTACAATACTTCCAGCAGGGGCCTCCCATGCTTTGCCAGATCGAATTGGGATGGTGAATTCCTCTATCAAGATGCGGGGAGCAGACTGGATAGTGCTGTATGCCGTCTGGTCCACGGTCAGTGGCGAACCAGCCTTGGGGAGGTAAGCGGGGAATGGCTTTGGGATGGGTTGCCTTGCCCGCAGGCGCTCCTCAGGAGTAGCTTCAATACCGGGCGAATCCATTGCTGATGACGTCTAACCGCTAGATAGATAGATGCGATGTAGTTCTGTTTTCGGGCGTCAGGCTTTTTTGATAGGTGGGGTTCGAAGCTTTTGGTGGACAGGGCGTCGATGACAATGAGGAGCACAGCGTCGATGCCAACTATTGATCCTTGATTTAGGTAATTGTGCTTCTCAATTAATGCTACCAATCACTTGGCCTATAATTTGCTCATAGGATATGAATGGATATACATTTGGTTTCTGGTGGAGGTGCAACGGACTTTGGTCTCCGCGATGGCGTCTGAAAGCCCTAGCAAGTTCGGCAGCTTCCGTCGCCGTTGTCGGCGCCGATTCATTATTACCGAGAATGTAAATGCCGTGTATATCCAGAGAAGAGCAGGCCACCCGAAGCGTTTTACGGTTCAGCTACAGAACCGTGTAAAGACAATCGGTAGTGTAGTACACACTACAGGCTGACGATACCTAACGTTAGTGGCACATAGTCGGCGCAGGAGGCGATGGACGCTAATGATAGGCTAAGGTATAAGACTTGGAGTCGATATTCGCCAACTCCAGGTCCGGACCAAATAGACCGGTGCTGCCAATGCTGGTAGTGACAGCTCATCAATTACACAAAAAATTACTGGAAACGAGGGTGGCAATGCGCACGGCCGAGTCCCCTACGGATTTTGTCCGCATCAGGCGATGTGACACCACCACCAGAGACGAATCCTCCAGTGGACTCTCTGTTGCCAAGTTGCCCAGTTAGGGAATGGGGGCACTTGTCGAGAACATGAAACAGGGAATGGAGCTTCAGAATGGTACTCAAATCTTGTATGCCTTCATTCTACCGCCCGGACTGTGAGTAGATCGGCGCCAGTGCAAGTAAGCCCAGCCTTGTTTAGCTGCCAAGTTTTTGTTTTCTGGCGGCAAGATAGTGTGCAAGGCCAATTATCTGCCATATAGCTTGGCTTGAGCAGCTAGGACAAGGACACAAATATTGTTGGTCAGTCTTTACGGGGAATTTGGTCCGTCTTAAGCGGGTAGCTGGAAATAACTCTTCTGAGGTGGTCAAAACCGAGGAGCATCGCGTGCCGTCGCTGTTACTGGTGGCTTTCAGTGAACATCAACCCCAGCCTTGCTGCTCCAGAGCGCTATTCCCGCTATTTCTTATTTCTTACTACCGGAAGCAAGCAGCATCCGAGGGTCTCCGGCGGTCTAGACTCTGAGCCAAGTGGAAATAGGGGTCCCAGTGACGTCCATGGCCGCTAAAACAAGACGCTTTGTCGGGTCCACAGGGCGCTGGCCACTGACGTTTGGTGGGCAGCTTTGGGGGGGAACAGGGCCAAAAGGTACATGGATGTACTTACATTGCTTCATGCCTGCAAAGCGGACAACTCCTCCCCCAAAATAACGGGGGTGGTTCTTCCCAGGCACCGTTTAGGGGCCAGGCCCCCCTTGGACCTGCAATGGGATCTGATATATAGCGTTAGGGCCAAGTTTGGTTATGCAAAAGGGCGCTTGGTTCATTTACAGAGAACAATGGCAATTTGCTTCAATTTATCATACCGCATGAGAGGCGCTCTCTGCATCACGCAAATCAGACCGCTCCTTGCGCGTGAGCAACAAAAACATCCCCTTCACGTGAATCCGGTCGACATGCCGGGGCTGGTGGCAGAACCACCAGCGCAACGTTAAAGGTGTCGTCTGTGACGGTGTCTGCAGCAGACGAAGAACACGGCCGCTATTTCGCTAGACGTTCCAAACGGTCTGGACCGCAAATCTTTGCCCCATTGCTTCAACCTCACCGCAAAAAGCGGAGGGGGCTGCATGGTCGATGTGTAGCGTTGTGGCCCCGATTGTGTCATAGGCACCTTCAGCCCTCTCTCAGGTGGCCGTATTGAACGGGCGCCCTATAGCACTGCCGCAGGACTCTGTGTGTGCCCTGAGTTGCCGTCAAGCGTAGAGAACCACCATAATTAAACAGAAATTAGTGTAAATGAACCCGTAAATCCATTCATGCCTGAAAATTAATCATCTTATTTTTTGTATCTTTAGCAAGGAATTTTCTTCACTGTTTATCCTGACTCAAAAACTACCAGCACTAGAATTTTAAGGTAAGCCGACCATGACGTACAGTGGGGTACTTAGAGGTACTTGCATCCTTTCTGCCCGAAAAAGGATGAGAAAACCTGTTGCACCAGCGTAACCGTTCCCGAGCAAACCCACCTGGCTCCTCCCCCAAATCAGGGCCAGTGCAAGCATGCAACAGGTTGCTACTTGGCGATTAAACAGGCGCAGCGACAATGGATTTATTTACTTGATTGTGTAGTTCTTTTAATGCCTTGTTGTAGTTGTTCATCGTTTTGGTTTTATTATTTCTTGGTCCATCTTGGCGCATCTCTTTTTCTCCATTTTCTCTATCGTGTGCTAGTTATCAGCACCAGCAGCCCACCCCCTCTGACGTCGTTCCCTCTGACGTCTGTTTTCCCCTCGCTGTAAGTAAACCTGCCACGCCCCCCAACCCGGTCTCGTGCCCACCCACACACGATCTCTCCCTGCCTTCCATCGACGTCTAGACCTTTTTGTTCTCGCGCCTCCTGCACTTCCCACCTCTTCTTCATTCTCCAGCCTGCGTCTTGATTGTTGCTTCCAGAACCGTTTTCATCCCTGCTCAGCCAATCTTTCGTTTATTGCATCTAGTTCCTCAATCTTGCCCGGACTGGTTCCCACTGACATCACTTCGTCCCAACCAGCGCTCTTTCTTGAATCTCGCCTCGTGTTCACTGTTTGCCACTGGGCTCCGGACTTGCAAACTTACCGCGCACCGAGACCGCCAACTTCGCCTCCGGTATATAAGCCACGCCTTTGTCGATCGAAACGCTCTTGGTTCTTATAATTCATACCCTAATACTCTACCTTGCTACGTAATTCGATCTCTGCATACTAGCAACTGCGCATTCGACTTTGCGCACCTTTGTTATACGTCGTCGAATCGAATCTCCGCAGAACGGCAAACGATCGATTGTGCAGAAGAGACAGAGTTATAGACTTTGACTACTTGCGTCTTCGACTACCGAGCAATACACTGTCAACCTAAAGTAGGCAGCATCACATCAAATCTCACAAACTCTAGGACCATGTGTTTGTAGCTGAACTGCGAATACTCGATATCCTGTTTTCGTCCTTTGGCTTGATTTGATTGCAGACTTTCTAGGTTTCAGCCAAGGATAGTGTGCAATCGCTTCAAGCACCATGACGGCGCAGACAGCCCGAACGCCGGGCCCGCAAAGCCCATATCATATTTCCATGCCTCATACGATAGTGAACTTGTCGAGTACCCCAACTACCTCGCCGCAAGGGCCATTCTCTGTTGGCCAAAATTATCCACCTAGGGTTTCGTCTCCGAACCGAGTGCCAAATGCTCGCGCTCCGAGTCCCAACTACTTTGGGTTGGTCATTGATGGCGCTAATGAATCCCAGGACTCGACGTTGCCTGTCAACCACAACTGGAGTCCAGCTTCGTCTTCGATAAAGTCGTTTACGGCAGCCTTACCAAAGCCCATCTCATTAGATGGCCGCCCTGAGCTCGAGGCTTTCAGACGTCAAGCTGATAGAAATCGAGGCGGTGGCCCAGCCGCTCTGCCAACTGTCGCCAACATGCAGCCCTCATCTTCAGTAGCGCCAGTACGCCCGAGACCAACAAGATGGCACACTCATCATCATGATCGGTCCGCTCCACAGGCTTCACCAACCTCACAAACCTCATCCTTCCAACTAGCACTCAACAAAACCCGAGCCCTTCTCAAGGCTGAACAGGAGCAAACTGGCGAACAAATGGCTGCCAACATTGCGCCGCCACCTATATCCAAGAGCACAAAGCGAAACTCGGATTCTTTACTTATCCCTGGACAGCTTACCGCTCTGGCTCCTATGGGCTCACCATTGCCCATTGATGAAGAAGCACCACCAGCTGTGCCGCCTGTTACAAACACCCCCGACCCTCGACTTACTCTAATGGAACGCCGACTAGCCATGCCACTCTCGTTGAGCAGTGCGGCCGCCAGAGCCACTACACTACCACCCAAATTAGACCACAATCAAATAAATATGCTGAATACCGATGAATTCAAGCTACTGTTGGACAGCATAGACTCCGACAAGCTCCTGCTGCTGGATATCCGATCAGCTCAAAATTACTCCGAGTCTCGAATCACAGGGGCTCTCAACCTGTGTATCCCAACGACATTGCTTAAGCGAGCCACATTCAACATTGAGAAATTGCAACAAACCTTCCAAGGCAACAAAGCTTCGGGAAAATTCTCACGTTGGCAGGAAATGGAATGGATTATCGTTTACGATTCCCGCGCGAATGACAGCCGTGACGCAGTTACAGCGCAAAACATGGTCAAAAAGTTCACATCTGCAGGCTTTTCAGGTAATACAGCAATTCTTCGAGGAGGATTTACCCTGTTCCGCGACTCCTTTCCGAACTACGTGGATTGTGAATCCACCACCTCACAAGCACAGCAGTCTGCTTCAACTAGTAACGGTATTGGAAATGGCGGCCTGGCACCAGTGATTGGCGGCGTACAGCTTCCAAGCGGCAAGAATGATCACAATCCATTCTTCTCCAACATTCGGCAGAATATGGATCTGGCAGATGGCGTAGGACAGTATGAAGCCACAAGGCCAGAAGGACTGCTCTCAACTTCATTACCGGCGTGGCTGCAACGGGCAACTTCGCCCGAGAATCACGGAAAGGAGATGGCACAAAAGTTTCTCAAGATTGAATTGGAGGAGCAATCTCGAATGCGCGGAGCCTACGCAGCTTTTAACCCGCAACATGATAAGAGTGGTACCAAGGTGCAGCTCTGTGGTGTGGAGAAGGGAGTGAAGAATCGCTACAAGGATATTTTGCCCTTTGAACATGCACGAGTTCGACTAGAGGGTCGCTCCGGAAGTACTTGTGACTACATCAACGCAAGTCACTTGCGTGCCTCGGGGAGTAATAAGAAGTATATTGCCACGCAAGGACCTCTCCCTGCAACATTTGAGGACTTTTGGTCTGTCGTCTGGGAGCAGGATGTGCGCGTCATTGTCATGCTAACGGCCATGTCTGAGGGCGGGCAGTTGAAATGCCATCCTTACTGGGAGAGCAAAGAGTTTGGTCCGCTGCGATTACGACTACTATCAGAGAGGAAGGCATCCTTGGATATGGATCGCCAACGATCTGACTCGCATGGCGCACCAGAGACACAAACTGGATCCGAACAAAAGCGCAGACGTGCCAACACCACCACAACATTCGAAACTCGAAGCCAGGCTGCTGCCGCGACGGATTCCAACTATGTCATTGTACGCAAATTTGCGCTCTCGCACACGGCTCACCCATTTGCACCCATCCGTGAGATTACACATTTGTACTTCCCTGGATGGCCCGACTTTGGTACGCCAGCACAGCCCTCCCACCTGCTGGCACTTGTGGAACTTGCCAACGTCATGCAGCGCGCCGCTTTACCGGTGGAAACGAATGCAATTGTCGAAGCACACAAATCCAACGGAGAATCACTGCCTAGCGCGTGGTTTGAAGAGCCTGATAACGACGCCAATTCGCGCCCCATGTTGGTGCACTGCTCCGCTGGCTGTGGTCGAACTGGTTCATTTTGCACTGTCGACACTGTCATTGACATGATGAAGCGACAGAAACATGCTGAATACGCGGCTTCTCGCGCAACGGACTGTGAAGGAGACATCAATATGGATGCAGGCGCCGATGGCAACTCAACTTCTACCGCAACAGCGGGTGAATCATACTTTATGCAGAGTGCGCAATCTCTAGACAGCGTTGTCAAATTGCAGAGCCAGCAGCAGGGCTCTAATCTCGATCTCTCATGGATCGATGATGGCGATGCCGATTTGATTCAGCGAACAGTCCATGACTTTCGCGAGCAGCGGCTTAGCATGGTGCAGAGCCTTCGCCAGTATGTGCTCTGCTATGAGTCGATGTTGGAATGGATCCATCGATCGGAGGAAAGGCACCGCGCGTTGCCTGCTACGAGGACGAGGAAGCGAAGTGGGAGCTCGAGTCAATGAGGATATCATATAAATGGCGCCCGGACATGATGGGATAAAAGTCTTGTTCCCTTGCTTTTTTGGAATATTTGGCCTTGAGACATGGATGTCTCTGCTGAATATATGGCGTTTATTGAGTTTTAGCGTCTGCATACACCCGGTTAGATGATGGTCGTCTATATCTGGCACTCTTAGAAACGTATAGTTTCTAAAGTCATCGGTATTATGCCGACTGCATCAAGGAGCTGAGGTTACAGCAGCAAAGGGCCTGCGTTTATAGCGGCATGTACATTAGTTTTTAATGAAGAAGCCATAACGGTTATTAATGTGTTTGATACTTGATGGCTTTCTGTTTCCAGTAAAGGCAACAAGGGTTGCCTCAGTCAACGCCTTGCAATTTGTAAGGCGATCCAGTTCATCTACAACGCAGGGCCAGCCAGCCAGTGACGTGCTTCCGCTGGTGGTGGCGCCAGGCGTTTGGCCACAGTGGACCTCAGCACTGCTTGCGGGGGAAGTTAATTGGGAGACCCACCACACCGAAACTGCAAAGGCCCGCTGGAAGCTTCGAGGCGTTCTGCACGCATCCAGCCGCTAAAGCCTGGGCATACAGTGGTCCAATTCGCCCCTTTGGCGCCTAAAGCCGGTGTGATGAGCGCTGGAAGCTCACTACCAGTAGCCCTGTTTTGTCAGCCCGCAACCAAAAAAAAACAACCCGACCCAAGGAAACCTTCTTTTTGCCGCGCAGCCCTGCCTCACTCCTTCCTTCTTCCGCAAGCAAGCAAAAGCCCACCCATCGCCGGAGGCTAAGCTCGTTGGCTTCAACTCTAACTTGTCCATATTCCTTCTCTAATCTTTCTCTTCTTTCGGCCTACCGTCTGTCTCTTTTTTACATTCGTTTTCGGGAGACATATCTCTTTCTTACTTGGCCTCTTCTTTCTACTACCACCAAATCCGTGCCATCCGCTCCCCTCCTCAAGATCGCCTGAGTCATTGCTTTTTCTACCAGCTTGAACGGAATCTAGAAACATCACGAGACCGACATAAACCTTGCGATTCACTACGTCTTCCTGTATACAATTATTGCATAGGCCTTTTCAGAGCATTGCTCCGCCATAGACACGACCCAACCAGCATTATATTTAGACAAACGCGCGCCCGCCCTATACGTTCACAACGCCGACTTCTCTTCGATCGCAACTCTGAGCACGACATCCTGACTGGAGACAGGTCATACCTCGATCTACACTATAGAAGCTTACGGCCCTGTATGCCGGTGCCTCGAACAGACGTTGGCAACATGCGTCGTCCATCAGCAGACTTGAGCGAGCCTTCTCGCAACCTTGAGGAGTCCAACGCGAAGCCCTCTGACGGTGACATGGACGTTGAAATAGATCTTACCATGCCTCCGAACGAAGAAGACATGTTAGAACAGGAAACCCGAATCTACACGCCGCCTCCTCGCATCGCCGCTCGCTTTTATCGCCCAACGCAAGCGCGACGACGCGATTCTGCAGCCTCGTCTCGTCGCAACTCCATGTCCTCCATCCACTCCATTCATTCGCGATGCTCATCTGTCCATGATGAAGACCAGAGCAAGCATGGTGCACACCACCTTCGCCGGAAGTCATTTCTTGAGGACAGGCGCGCCAGACTCGCCGACCGCGCTGCCCATGCTGAAAAGGTGCGCGTGAGAGCCGCGCTAGCCAAGGCTGCGCCTCGTGGCCAGCAGTCAGAGGAGAGAGCTCTCGCTGCACACCAAGCTCGCGAGCGGAATTTGGCTGAGATTGTAGCAAACTGCGCTGAAGAGGTGCGCAAGGCAAAGCAGGTTGCGGAGCAAACCAAGGAGAAACGGGAGCAAGAGGTAGCAAGGATGAAGGCCAAGTTGGAGGAACGCATGGCGGCCGCTCAGAAGCGTAGAGAAGAATTACTATCCAAGAGTGTCTCAAGGCGCTCTCGCGGTAGCAGCGGCTCTTTGCGCAAACCCTTGGATCTCGTCAGCGAGCAGGAGCGGGCTCCTCTTACTGAAGACCAAGCCGCAAAGATTATCCAGTCTGGTGTCCGCAAGCTTCTAGGACGCAGACGCAAGGAAGTCATTATTGACTTCAACACGTTTGGTTTGAATGTTGACATGGTCAAGTCTTCGCCTTTTGACTATCTTGTGATGCTCTTCCGCCACGAGAAACTTCTCGAGGCAACGGCAAAGGTCTTGCGCATTTGTGGACTTCAGGAAGGAGAGGAGGGTTCTGTTACCGAAATGGCAGCAGTGCGCACGTTCCTGAGCGCCTACATGATTCTCGGTCATCCTCATCAAGTCTTGAGCAGCAAGACTGACGATGAACTGGTTGCAGACGACGACAGCACAACTCCTGGGGCACAGCGTTTGCCATCTCTGGACCTAAGCAATCCGCAGATACAGGAACTAATCACCAAGGCTACTGAAGTTGTACGCAACTTTGAGACAGCCATTGCAAGTTTGGAGGATAGTCAGCCTTGCACCGTTGCACAGAGCAAGAAACGAGCTGTGTCGGAATCATACGCCGCATTCTTCAACGCTTTCATTGCATGGAAATCGCGGGATTCAAACGCACTCATTGAAGTCATGCTCATGCAGTTTGTGGAGCTGGATGCTATCTATCAAACCGTCAAAGATAGCACCGATGATGCGGCTGCTGCATTGTACAAGCAGAGCATCCAAGACAGCCAGCTGATGCTGATTGTACGCATCAAGAAGTTGGCCGGGCAGGAGAAGGGCAAAAAGATGATTTTCAAGGCTGTTAGCGAAGCAAGAAAGGCTCGCAAAGCTGTTAAGCAAACTGGTGATCCTCGGCCCCGAGTCGCGGAAAACACACCGGATGATACAGCCGCAGCATCCAGCCTCGTTTCCTCCGAGTCTCACACGCTTACACCCCCAGCAACACCGCTTAATCGCACTGAGAGCAAACCTGTCGTCTATAAGTCTGGGCTCAACGGATTGCTTCCCGATAATCGCGTGGTTGTTCATGAGCTTGCACTGAACAAGGAATATCAAATTCCGGCCTCCGAGTATGTTGAACAGCAATCGCTGCTCTCTGCTCCCTTGTATGCTCAAATGAGAGCTGCTCTGGAGAGCGATGATGAGGAAGCTAGATTCCGTTTCTTCTTAATTATGGCAGCAAATATCAAGGAGAAGCTACAGAGGCTAGTTACCAAAGGTAACTCACTGTATAACTTTATTGGCGAAGTTCTGGATTCGGAACTCGCTGAACGCCAGTTCATCCTCGGCAACTTTTCGTATGAGAAGTTTTTCGCCGCAATGGCATCCCTTCTTCCTAAGCTGTGTGCTCCCATGCGTGACGATGAGGTCAAGAATCTTGTCGAGACACGATTTGCCAATGGGACCCTTGTTGACCGAGTTCAAGCCTTGAATGAATTTATTGATACGATGCTCTGCGATTACATCAATTACCTATTGAGGACAGCCGCTCCCAAGCTGATTGAGTCAGCTGCTCAGTACGAAGCAAAACGATTCACTCAGGATGTTGAACAGTTGGGCATGAAGCTTACAGCCGCAGAAGCGGCGTGGAAAGCTGCTGTGGCCAAGGTTACCGCGGAGGTTCAGAAACGCGATCCTGAGGGTATTAACCATCCCAAGGCGCAACCAACCGCTTCCAGATTCTACGCACAGCTGCTTGTTGATGTATTTACTCAGCCGACGCCTATTGATGTCGAGACTATACCCGAGATGCTGAGACTAGATGTGAGTCGCGCCCAGCAAGTCTCGGTTATGATCCAGCGGATTATCACTGCTGGCGCAGTGCTGCTCCAGTGCAAGAACCTATTGAAGCGAGATGTGCGATCCCAATGGAAAACGGAAGCGTCTCGGATCATGCAGGTGCTTGAAGCAAACCACGCCTCTATTGATACTACCATTTCCGGTACTATGGCTGCTCTTGAGGCCGGTCGTGCTATGCCCACAGCTACCAAGACTCATTTAAAGGCGCTTGTGAGCAAGGTTTTGCATGCCAGCGTTGACATGGCCAAGCAGGGCACTGAGCCACGTGAGCCTGTTCTCCGGCTGCTTCTGACCCGACTACGAGGCAACATCTTGGTTCGACTGGCTCCTGGCTCGGCCAGTGACAAAGTCAAGGCAGCCAACAACGCCGGTGAGAAGCTTGCTGCGCTTGGTCTTTCCGAATTTGTGGACAGGGTACGCCAGATATCAGACTTGTTGGACAAGATTGGTGGTGTTGACAGGGCTGCCCACAGCGAATGGTGGGACGCTGTAGCCACCAACGTTCAACAAGACTCCATGGAGGTGGCATGAAATTGTCCCTCTTTCTTTTTATAACTATTGTTTGTTTTATATTTTTACGAGGATGAGACTTATTCTGATGGGCTGGGAAATCGGCGTTTTTGTTTATAACAAGATTGTTCACGTAACGAGATGTGGGAATATGAGATTATCAGAGATAATGGCGTTTGGATACGGGTAGCTTTGGGTCTGTATTTTGTTTTCTCTTTAACTGATGACTAGCAATTATGTTCATCAAATGCATATTCTTCAACTTTGATTGACTCTGCTTTTCCTCTTTGCCCTTTTTCTCTGACTTATGAAAGCGTCTATGAACCAATACGAGGGCTGTTGTTTTATTATTTTTCGGTTGAGCGCATTAGTGCAAGCGGTCCTCGCCTAGGAAATACGCAAGATGTTCATAGTCCCAGACAGCATCGTGGAGACGACTATGCTTGCTGCAAATTGACATGCCCACATGTGCGCGGCCATAGATCTTTTTCTGCTTTGACATCTCAACCCATCCTGGGCGGAACTCACCACAGCGCATGTCCAGCCAGTGGAATTCTGCCCACTGGAACTCTGGTTTACTGCACACGCGCAGCTCTTTGGAGTAATTGCACACATAGGCAGCTGCCGTTCCGTGCTTGGACACGGTGATGTGGCGCGTGCGCGCGGGAACAAGAAACTTGTCGCAGTATTCATACATGTAGTGGCGCGCCTGGTTCCAATCGTCTCGATTCATCGGTCGCATGTTATAGTTACAGTCATGATCGGAGACGGTCAATGGATACTCCTTGGTTCTTTCTTCGTGGCTTGCGTGGGTATAGAGATACATGAGATCATCCCGTAGAGGAGGCTTTAGCCGGCTCAGGTCTGCGTCAGACGGGGTTTGGAATTCCTTGGGAACCTGGTTGTGCGGAGGGATTCTTCCTGGTACGCGACGAACAATGGGATTTTTGAAATCGAGAGCAGAGTTGTTGGATGAGTCGATGGGGAAGTGGACGTTGTATGTGCCGTCTGGGAGGTGGGCTGGGATGGTGTAGACGGCGAGGGCAGGGCCAGCGCAGAGGAGCGCAGTGGAGATGAGATTGGTGAGAAACATTTCTAGTCTTAATTTGTATGGATAACACTGTGATGTGAAAGAGTGTAGTGTATTGGGTTTAGAGAGGGAAGTGCTGTGGTGGGCGGATGGTTTTATACAGGGAAGTTGCAATAGAGTTGGTTGAGTGGCAGAAAAGTCTAACCATGGCCTTAACAGTACAAGGATAACTTTATTTTTACAGTATTCACACGTTTTAAAGTAGAATTTTAACAAAAAAAGCAGAGAGAGTACAAAACTATAACACTGTAAACTCTAAGCATATGCGTTGTAGTGGTGGTATATGAGTTGATGGAAATTCCCAATTAGGAAATGTTGAGAGAGCCGGTGCTGGCCGAACATCCGTTGCGGCTTTCGGATATTAACAGCGCCCCGAAGAAAAAAAAAGGACAATATCGCTTATAGCATTGCCCACTGCGCCGTTTAGTGGTGCAACTTTTACAAGAACTTTTGTACAGACGGCGCACCACCTGAGCACCAAAATCTTTTCCTTAGTGCCAGCTGGCTTACCCCGCCCCCACCACTGGTACCTGTAGGTGCCCCGCCAACATTGTCTCGTCTTGTCTGCTTCTTCGTTCGTCATCTTCCATCTTTTTTTTGTTTGGTCTGTAACAAGTTTCAGCATCCATCATGGAAGACCGCGATATCCTCCCCGATAACTTCAAGCCCGTCCACTATTCCCTGTCCGTCAAGGACTTGGATCTGACCAACTGGACTTTTGGTGGCGTTGTAGCGTAAGAATTCTGTCCTTTGATCTGGCTGTCACCGTCTTGCTAACAGTATTTCCCATGTGCAGAATCGATTGCAAGATTGTCAAGCCCACCAAGCAGATTGTCATCAACACTCTGTTCCTCAAGCTCACCAACGCCAAGGTCACCTTTGACCAGACCAAGTCGAGCCAAACTTTCGAGTCCACCACCTTCTCCTACGATGACGTCGCCCAGCGCTGCACCATTGACTTTGACCAGGAGTTCCCTGTCACAGACAAGGCCTGCATTACCATTGAGTACACTGGCGAGATCAACAACGACATGGCCGGCTTCTACCGCAGCAAATATCTCCCCGCCGTCCCCGCCGTCGCTTCTACCCCACGCGATGCAGAGTACCACTACATGCTGAGCACACAATTCGAGGCCTGCGATGCCCGCCGAGCCTTCCCTTGCTTCGACGAGCCTAACCTCAAGGCCACCTTTGACTTTGAGATCGAAGTTCCCACCGACCTTGTCGCTCTCAGCAACATGCCCGTCAAGAGCACGACTCCTTCCAAGGAAGGATGGCACGTGGTCGCCTTTGACCGCACGCCTGTCATGTCTACTTACATTCTTGCCTGGGCCCTTGGTGACTTTACTTATATCGAAGCCTTCACTGACCGCCTCTACAACGGCAAGCGCCTCCCTGTCCGCGTCTACACCACCCGCGGCCTCGAGGAGCAGGGTCGCTGGGCCTTGGAGCACGCCCCCAAGACTATCGACTACTTTTCCGAAATCTTCGACATTGACTACCCCCTGCCCAAGTCCGACTTGCTCTGCGCTCACGAGTTCACCCACGGTGCCATGGAGAACTGGGGTCTTGTTACCTACAGAACCACCCGCATTCTGTACGACGAGAAGACCTCTTCTCCCAAGCTCAAGAACGATATCGCCTACGTTGTTGCCCACGAGCTTGCTCACCAGTGGTTCGGTAACCTGGTCACCATGGACTGGTGGGATGAGCTCTGGCTCAACGAGGGTTTCGCCACTTGGGTTGGTTGGATTGCCGTCGACCACTTCCACCCCGACTGGAACGTCTGGGTTCAGTACATTCTCGAGGGCATGGAGCAGGCTTTTACCCTCGATGGCCTTCGCAACAGTCACCCCATTCACGTCCCTGTTCGTGATGCCCTTGACGTGAACCAGGTCTTCGATTACATCAGCTACCACAAGGGATGCTCTTCTATTCGCATGTTGGCTAACCACCTCGGCGTCGAGACCTTCCTCAAGGGTGTTTCCAACTACCTCAAGGCGCACGCCTATGGAAACGCCAAGACCAAGGCTCTTTGGGATGCTATTAGCGAAGCCTCTGGTCAGAACGTCAATGCTCTTATGGAGCCTTGGATCTCCAAGATTGGCCACCCGGTCCTCAAGGTTGAAGAAGAGGGTGATAAGCTGGCTCTTCAGCAATCGCGCTTCCTGTCCTCTGGCGATGTTAAGGCCGAGGAAGACAACACCACTTGGTGGCTTCCTCTGCGTCTTGAAGGCAAGACGGATCAGCCTGGCGTTGCGACCATTTCGCTCAACGAGAGACAGAGCAACGTTGACGGCGTCAGCCTCGAATTCTACAAGGTCAACTCCGGAGCGTCCGGCTTCTACCGCCTCAACTACCCCGAGTCGCGCCTTGATAAGCTGAGCAAGCAGCTTGACAAACTTTCTTTCGAAGAGAAGGTTTACACCATCAGCTCTGCGTCTGCCCTGGCCTTCTCTGGCCACTCCTCTCCCGCTGCCCTCCTTACCTTCCTGCAGGGTTTCGAGGACGAGGAGCACCCTCTTGTCCTGGAGAGAATCCTTGTTTCCATTGATACTCTCAAGAGCGTGTTTGGCAATGACACCGCCATTGAGGCCAGCTTGGCCAAGTTCACCAACAAGCTGCTTGCAAAGCAGGTTGCCAGACTCGGCTGGGCTTCCACTCCCAACGAGCACTACCAAACCACCATTGTCCGCGGTCTTATTCTCCGAAGCGCCGTTGCCGACAACGCCCCTGGGTAAGTTTAACACAATACACTCGTTGGATTTACATGTACTAATCACATTGCATAGTGCCCGCGACGAGGCCGTGAAGCGCTTCAACGCTTGGGTCGAGAACCCTGTGGCCAATGCCATTGAGCCTTCTCTTCGCAGCGCAGTTTGGCTTGCCGGTATCCTTGAGAACCCTACCCACGCTGTCACCATCTTGAAGAAGGAATGGTACGAGAGCAGAAGCGTTGACACTAAGCAGGAGGTGCTTGAGGCCCTTGGTCGTGTGCAAGACCTTGAGGTCATCAAGAGCTCCATCTTGACCTTCTTGTTCAATACTACACCCCCTACCGATGCTGTTGCATCTGCAGACGTGCACATCATGTCTGTCGTCATGGGTGACAACACGGCAGTTCGCGATCATCTGTGGGATCATGTCAAGAACAACTGGGATATTGTCAACACCAAGTTAGGCAACCCCATCGTCATGGACCGCTTCGTTGGCCGTACCTTCCAGTACTTTGTCGACACGGCCAAGATTGATGAGATTGCGGCCTTCTTCAGCGACAAGGATACCAAGGCTTACAACCGCTCGCTTAACACTGTGTTAGATCACATTGCTGCCCGTGCTGCATACCGCCAGCGCGGAAGCGCTGCTCTCCAGGAGTGGCTTACCGGCAACGGATATTAAAAAAAAAGTGGACGATAAAAAAGGGAAAAATACAGGGGATGCCATACAGAACCGGGGAATAGTCATGAGAAAACGAAAGACGAAGATGTTGAGCATGGCATTAGGCTTAAAAAATAAAAAAATAAAAAATAGACTTAGTACAGAAGTCGTCGTATAGCTATCCATAACACAGAAATACACCATGTAACAAATGCTAACGGTGCACCACAGTAAGCCGTCAGACATGCTGGACTGGTCTTCGTCCGATCCACATGTGACGACGAACGATGTTACGCTGCTGGCGAGCCCCTGAAGCCGCTATAGACAAAACAACAACCCTGCTAAAGAGCCGCCAAGGGGCACTAACGATGCGCTAAAGAAGGGCGGATCCCTCCTGTATCCACAGACCGAACCACTGAACGGACGACCGCTAACCGTCTTTGAAAAAAACGTGGCAAGGGTCCCGCGGAAATCTCTCCCCCACCGGCTTCGCCTTCTCGAACTTCTAAAATCTTCCGTTGCCCGTCCTATTTTTACCGCCTCTTTGCCAGCTTCATCTTCCTTCTTACTCGCCTTCCCCGCGTTCAATTGCTTATCCCTGCCTCTTCCCCATACTCCTCCGAGTCATAACTTTTTAATTTTTTTCAGATTCAATGTCGACCTTCATCACCGTCACGCCTGCTACGCCAAACGAGGGCCCTCTGCTGGCCCAGCTCATGCACGACAGCTTCACAGAACCCTTCTACGCCAACATCTTCCCCACGGAAAATGGTACCGATGTCAAGTACTACACCCGCGCCTGGACGGGATTCTGCTCCCAGACGGAGCTTGGCAATCCTGTCCCCGAGGGTGTCCCTACCAGCATGATTTCGCAGCTCGGCCTTCGCTCCGTCATCGCTACCATTCGTCACGAGGGCAAGATTGTCTCGGGTGGTCTCTTCTGGATCATTCCCGCCGGCAAGTCGGTTTCCCAGGAGCCTCCTGCTAAGCGCTGGGGTGCTGCCTTGGAGGGTATGAGTGATGAGGTTATCGAGAGTTTCTTCAATGGCATGAGCATCCAGCACTCTGCCACCATGGGCACGGAGCCACACGTCTGTAAGTAGTAGAGAAAAGAGGAGAATAAGGCGAAGTTGTGCATATACTAACACGAGGGTCTTACACAGTCGTCGAGGTCATGATGACACACCCTGACCACCGTGGCAAGGGATATGCCTCGGCCCTCTTAAACCACGCCTCCTCCCTCGCCGACAAGGACGACATTGCCTGCTACCTCGACGCCGATCCTGCTGCTGTTCAGCTCTACAAGAAGCATTTTTACGAGATCCCTAGCGTCTCTCTTGAGAACAGCGAGATGACGCCTATGCGACGACCAACCAAGTCTCAGCGATCTGCTGCTACTGTTGCCCAATAAATTTCCATGTTGATCGGTTGATTGTTAGGACGAACAGAAAAAGGAGAACGAGGTTTGGATATAGATGTACAGGTGTAAAAACAGGATTAGATGGCATGGTCCAAGTCACGGGTTTAGAAGTTGAAAGTGACGCGGCGTATGAGCTATGAACAATGATTTTATTTTCATCAAGTTTGGCAAAGGCTTAACTATATATAGAATGAAGCATATATACATTTCTTGTGAGGTTGGTTTGTACATGTGCCACTATGGCGTTGCACCCCTCGTTCAAGTGCAAAAGTGAATTGAAAAAACAGAAAGACAAGAAAGAGACCTCTCATGACGGCATGACTTCGTTAAATGGCAATGTCCTCGCGGTACTTGTAGATAACATCCTCTGCATCCTTGCGGAAGTCATCCTTGAGCAGCGAGTTGCTAAAGGCCGACTTGAACCACATGAGTGTGCGTGACGGTCCCCACTCAGGCCAGTTATCTACAGGATAGCCCTTGTTGGGATCCAGGTTGTAGACAAAGTTGAAGTAGTAAGCGCGGATGCTTCTGCTGGCGTTGTTGGGCAGGACACCGTAGAAGGCCTGCAGGATGTCGGAAGCGTGGAATGTGCCCAGGATTGGCGTTCCGTAGTCGTATGACGACAGGTACGACCAGGCCTTGAAGGTTGGGTCAATCTCGTGAACGAGTCTCAAAGTCACGCGGCGAGTGATGGTAAAAGTTATGTCGCCGAGCAGGGCGGCAAGACGCTTGAAGCCGGGGTACAGCTCGTTGAAGATGCCCGTTCTAAACGGACTGCCGGCACTGATGTCTTCGGGATACACGTTAACGATCTCGCGGAGGATGCTCACGTCAGTCCTCGGGAAGAACAAGTCCTTCAAGTAGCTGACGATGTCGTTGGTCGTTGTGACGTTGTTCTGGAACAGCGAGAACAGCGTTCCCTCGTCCTCTTGGTCTCCGATAATCACGGGGACCTTTTTGAACTTTCCAGACTTGGCTGCCACAAGCGGGTTGGCGGGAAGAGTCTTGCCATCAGGGCGCGGGAGGTAGGAGAGGGCCACAGAGTTGTAAGACAGAGCGCCTGGCACGGAGGTGGCGGCCTTGTAGAAGACGTCGTACGGAGCCTTGCGGAGACAGGCCAGAGTGTCGGAGCTACCTGCACAACCACTCCTTGCGACAACGGTGTCGTAGATGGCTTGGGGTTTGCTGGAGTCGACAGGTTCGGCTGGAACAGCACTTCCGGAGTCCATGATGCCAGCTCGGAAAAGGTCCTTGCCCTTGTATGTAGCATTGCCACCATAGAGCATAAACTGGTCAAAGATGGAGATGGCGCCGGCCGATTCGCCCCATAGAGTGACCTTGGATGGGTCGCCGCCAAAGGCATCGATGTTGTCTGCTACCCATTCCATAGCCATGCGCTGGTCCAGCAGACCCAGATTGGCAGCACCATCTTTGAGGATCTCCTTGCCTCCAAGGAATCCGAAGCCACCTACACGATAGTTAATGGCCACAAAGACAAAGGGTTGGTTGTTGCCAACAGCTTCCGTCAGAAGGCTTGTAGCATCGTATGTGTTGGAGCCTCCCAAGTGGAAGGCGCCTCCGAAGATCCAAAAGACAACTGGAAGCTTGTCGCCAGCCTTGGTGCCAGCTGGGCGCTGAATATCAAGCGTCAGGCAGTCTTCCTGGCCATTGAGCTTGTCGAGCAAAGGCAGGGAGAGGACGCCAGTCAAAAGCTTGCTAAGAATGTCGTGACTCTCGTTCGAGACGTACATCTGTGGGCACGCGGGTGCAACAAGCTTGGTGCCGTCGACATTTTCAGCCTTGCCGCTAAGACGCTGGGGAGGGCGAAGGCGCAGGTCACCAACTGGTGGCTTTGCAAAGGGGATTCCCTTGAAAGAGTCTGCGATCAAGCCGGCATTGCCAATGACACTTCCCTCGGGGTAGGAAACCTTAACTTGCGAGAAGCGCTTCTCTGGGGTATCGGCGGCTGGGGCACCAAAAACAGTGGTGCTCAAGCACAGGGCCGACGCGACAGCCTGGGCGGAGAATTTCATAGTGCGTAGGGTCCTAACAGTAGAGCGTGGCGGCACGTATAATCGCAGCCTTGGGACAGATATCGTAAGCCACCTCGTTTTGCACCCCAGCCAAGATGGAGGCAGTCCTTCGGTCTTATAATCCGTTAAGCTAAACGAGTCCGCATGGCCATAATGACTTGGTTCAATACAGCGACCCTTGTGCGCGTATGCCCCGCCGCTTAGCGCTTGTTGACTTAACCATTTTGGAGCATCCACTGTCGGAATGGAGCGCGAGCGGCGTCGGCATCTAGGGCATCGGCCGCAGGATTGCTACTAAGGAACGGAGTAATTAGCTTGGCAATGAGGCAGGATGCGCTAGTCTATGCGGCTGCAAGGCATATGTGTAGTCAAATATAGCGGTGCTGACCTCTTTCTGTCCGGATAAGGCAGTTTCCCCCGGTGCATGTTGCATAATGGCGGGGAGCAGAAAGATTTCTTGCTTGGGTTCGCATGGGGCTGTACCCCGGACACTAGCCCGCTTTGTGGGTTGGGGGGAAGAATATGAAGGTTAGATTATGCCGGGTGCCGTTTTGTATTTTATTTCACCGCCGTTCTTACTGGCCAGGCTGGAAAACAGCGACTCTAGTCAAACAGCATCTCCTTTTCCAGAGAACGAACAGCGCCTTGAGCTGGCGATGTCAAGCGAACTCATCTAACGCGTTCTATCAAAAGTCGCGATGTCACAAGGGGAAATCCATCGGGCGGATGAGACAGTGCCGAGGTAGTGTGCGATCGAGGAAACACTTAGGCGATGTAGGCTCGTGGCGGCCCTGGGTTCGGAGAGTTGTTTGACCGCGGGGTGGCCACGAGTACTGTAGATGCAAGCCGCACTGCGGCCGCTGAACGTTATGTGGCGTCGTATGCGGGGGATCTAGGAGTGGCGTGCATCCTTTGACATACGTACGATGCTGGATAAGGAAGCACGGTCCGTGTAAAGTAGCAAAAAGAGCCAATATAGAGAGTTGGGTATTTGGAATGGTGAAAGAAAGCCACACAATATACTTTACATGCTTTGGCTCCTTCGCACACCACTGCGCCAGCTGTCGGCATATGTGCCGGATGTGCCAGCTGCGACGGCCGCTACACCTGGCGCAGCTGGCTGGTTGGTGTAACGACAACACCTGGCGGGCGAGACAAATGGCGCGACTATAACAAAAAGTCTAAAACTATATCATTTACATCTCAATGTCCGTTCCATAAATGAAAAAGTCCGTTCAAACGGAAGGATAGCCTTGCTCGCCCAGTTCCATCATGCCAAAGCCAGAAATACGGTCTCTCCCAGGTGGCCCTCTACACAGTTCATGTTGCCAAGGGCAATGGGCGATCCAGGAGTCTCTACGATTTATGGTCAGTTACAAGTTAACCCTGGTACCTATTTTAATGTCGTATGTCATCTCTAGCTCGCATCACAGTCCCGATCACAGACGCCGCGAGATACGATCCACTGCCGTGGCCCTTGTTCGATTACCGCTTCTGGCCATCTAGTGCGAGGTTGGCCGATGACCTCGCAGAGAGCAAGGCGCAGCAGCACGGCTTTGATATTCCGAGAAAGCGATTTCTCCAAAATTTGCTGGCAAAATATAACGTAGTGTAGAAAGATAAATCCCTGATTTTCTCGCTCTTTGCGTAATATATAAAGTTAAGGGCACATTGCCTTACGTCTCTTTTCCTCACAACCACAGAAAGTGTATTCTATTCACCTACTATTACGAACATCGTCATGATGCATTTGTTTACTTCAACGGCATTCAAAGCCATCACTGTACTGGCTTCGGCGTCCTCCATTGTTGCCGCTCCCACAAACAACACTGCCCCTAGCAGCACAAATGTCGCTGTCCACAACAACTTCAACTGCAAAAGCATACAACACCCCAATCCTGTCGTTCTTCTACACGGCATGGGGGGTAACTACACCAGTGGTCTAGAAAAGCTTGAGCTATTCCTCCAACAGCAAAATTATTGCACATACTCCCTCACATATGGCGCCCATCCTGACAAACCTGAGGCTGGCGGTATCCTGCCTATCGACATTTCTGCGTTTCAAATCGCCAGCTTCATTGAAGAAGTCAAACTCAGAACAGGAGCCAACAAGATAGACCTTGTTGGCCACTCAGAAGGGGCCTTCATGTCTCTCTACGTGCCCAAAACGACTGGGGTCTCCTACCTTATTGATAATATCGTCGCCACGGCTCCTCCGACACATGGAACAGACCTTGATGGCAAATTCTCAAAAGCCTTCTTCTGGGGACAATTCAGTCGTGACATTGTCGGTCTCATATTGGATCTTAAGGGCTGTCCGGTTTGTAACGAGCTTGGAGTTGGCGGGCCCGGCGTCCGTCGACTGGATCGCGGCAACATTGTCCAGCCAGGCAACACTGTTACCATTCTTCAATCCCTCACAGATGGTGTTGTCACACCAACAAACACCTCGTTTGTGTACGAAGCAGGTGTGACCAATTACTACGTCCAAGACTTCTGCCCCGATGACAAAGTGACGCATCTGCAGGAGGCTTACGATAAAAACATGTGGAATTTGCTCATTAATGCACTGGAAAAGAAGAACGGCCGCTCGTTTGCCTGCGATTCGGCCTTCAATTGAGCTTCCAAGTTAGCTTCAATTTTTACTCTCATCTCTCGACCGACATACTTCCCTTCCTATCACAAAGCACGTGCAAACTGTCTTACTCTATCACAAAAGGTTGTGCTCCCGTCAGCTGGTTTCAGCAAAAAATTAATTTGTGATCTCAGTCATTTATTATTCATATCTCATTAAACAAGCCCATCGTTCCTCAGTAGTTATTCAGCATAGCAAAGCCATACAACAGTTGCAATTCTCCTCTATATATTTCATCAAACGCTCATTCTCATTCCATGTCACTCGTTGCCAAGTAAAGTCTAACAGAAAGCAAGGGTGTATAACACCCGAGGGTATCAGTGGGTATCTCTCACCCAACGCCGTAAAATGCAATGATAGTCTGGGATGTCTTTAGGCGACTACTCCCAGAAGCGGCCCTTCCTGTAGGCGCTGTCGTTTGTTGTTCGCCGTTTGAGATGAGCTAACTTCCTGTTCCGAGTCGAAGCTTCCATTAAGCACTTCAGACAAGGCTTCTCGTTTGCGCTTGTTCTTGCTGCTAGAGCAAGGAATCTCTGTCTCCTCCTCATTCCAGGTTTCCATGACAGTAGGGTCAAATGGGCCAACCACATCCTCGCCAAAGGCTCGACCAAGTCTCTCTCTTAGCCCAAGTATGGGCCAGATAGGGACTCGTGTGTAGTCAATCTCGAGGCCATCTATCTCGCCAATCTGGTTCTTGGGTGCCTTGTGGGGATAATGGAATCGTTCCAGAAACTTGGCGCTAACGTGGCCAGTATACACAATAAACTCTGATGTCTCGCTGTCGTGTGTCAAGATCCGCAGCGTCAAGTCAGTGAACTTGGGGCAAGGCTTTGGTTTTTGAAAGACAGAGCTGTAAATGTCTCTGCGTAGCTTCGATGTCATGGTACTGTAGAAGTGCTTCTGTGCCATACCAAGGAAGATACCCGCCAGGTGAATATCTTCGTCCGGGTTCGCGGGGCATAGAGCTTTGGAACGGAGTTGCTGGAGCCGGTATACTGGCTCGTTCAATGTTTTACCTGGGCCGTGAGCCACACGAAACATGTTGCGCCGAATAGATGCCATTTGAGCTTTGCTCATGTAACACATCATAGGCAGATTGACTGGATTGTGCGGCTGCGTGTCCTGGGACATGTAGTCATGAGAGCTAGCAACATTGGTTGAAGCTGTAACAAAGGAGCACTGAGACGTGGCGATGGTGTCTGGGTAATTCCACAGCAGCTGAGCACGGACAGCATCGCGGTAGACCTTGTCGCCGTAAAATAGATGCATCTCGGGCAGAAGCTTTGGTTTGCGGAAGGCGTCAGGCCACAGGGTGCCGAGCACAGTTCGGATTGCGCTGGTTACCATGACGGGGTGACCCGAGGATGGCGAAAGCAGCTCGGAGAGGGCAGTGCTCAACTCGCTAATGGTAGGAGAAGGGTGAAGGTGCCCTTTGGATGGAGGCGTTCCAGGCTCATTCAGTGGGAGTGGTTCCGTGCAGGGCGGAAGTTCTGTGAATTTGACGCTTAGTGCCTTTGCGTGTACCTCAGACCAGCAAATAGGGCGGACAAACAGCGACGCGCCAGAGTTGCACTTCATAATGTCAACCAGAGAGCCCCTTTGGGAAGTAGCACGTCTCTTCTTTTTCGTTTCTGGTTGTGATGGAGGATGAGATGACGGCTGTGATGAGAGAGACACCTGAGAGGCTGCCATGTCTGGTGAGGATTGCAGGATCATCGGTGAAGCTGGGCTTGATACCACCATCTTGACGATCCCGTTGCGACGCGTTAGCCGCGAGTTCGGTTCTGTGAGTGGGAGTGTTGTTTTGGCACAAGAGGCTCAGTCCGATGGCGTGAAGGTGCAGCAGCGGAGGCTAAATAAAGAAAGCTATCGCGTGGCGAGCAGGGTGGTCGACTGCCTAAGAGGCAAAACTGGTGGCTTTGTTCAGGGCCGTGACAGCCTTCTTTATTCTGCTAGTGCTTGTGGGTACGCCTCAAGTGGCCAGCTGAAGGGCTGTGCCTATGACGCGCGTGGAAGGGACAGGGATAGATTTGGGGTAAGGTAATCTTGCGTTGGATATCAAAAGCAACAAGGGGAGAGGGGAAGCGGCGCGTGTTTGTTGTGTGCTGAGATGCAGAGTGAGCAGCCCTGGTGTCGGCGGCGCACGCTGGTTCTTGTGTGTTTGAACGGGGGGGACAAGCTTCAGTCGGTAACTTTGTGTGTATGAGGCTTCCGGAGGGACCGCAGTTTGCGCAAACGAAATGGGTCAAAGCTAAGACCAGATGCGGCCGTGACAAAGAGGGAGGGGTGCGAGATACGCCACCCTTGCGGCGCGTTTGCGGTGGGCGACTGGTGCGCGAGGGGGATGCGTGGTCACGTGAACCAGTTCTGACTAGGCAGCCACAATTTCCAGGCTCCACTGCTTTTTGGGTGGCGGTCATGCGCTGTATTTAACCTCTCTGGTGCAGTAACCTTGGGCAGGATGAGCGCTGTAGCTGAACAAGACGTAAAGAGAGCTAAAGAGTCATCACCGTACACATTTTTGGGTTTACGAAAATGTTTTTGATTTGCTTGATGATTCACGCAGTTGAGCTTAAAAATTCAAATTAGTCATTATAGATTTAATTTTATTTCTAGGGCCTTTTCTTTTAGGACATGTCCAGCTGCCAACAAGATCTCACTCAGTGCCATCAGCATCTTTCTCGTGGTGGAAAGAGCTACGGAGGATGCTGTAAGCCAGTGCTGAGCCAACACTCACCATGGCCCAGTAGGTACCAGTAGTCGGCGAATGCACGCTACCACAGCCAATATACGCTGGGCCGCCGTGCAGCTACAACTGGACTTCCACAGCAGCCGATTCCAACCACAACGCTCCAACAGTTGTCCCAAAACAGCGCCCATTCAATTAGCAGTGTCCGTCACATTACGATTGGGATAGACTAGCCGACTTGCAAACGACGCTGTCGCTTTCGCCCTCATTATTGTATTGTCCTAACAGATTGTAAAGGCGCCGCCTGTGTATCCCAAGAAACAGCTCATTTCTTTGAGATATCTCACCTATAATAAGCCCATCATTATCAGCATTATAGTTTCAAAGGTTCCAAAAACTGACCAACAAGATGCCGAGCGAATACGCAACGAGGGGCTTGCCGCCCGCACCAGCAGTGTCTATGCACACTATGCACATGGTGGGCTTCCTCGTCGACGTGTACGGCCTAGACGAGCTCCCCGCTTCTGGTCCAGTGACCTGCTTATGGCTACTCCATCCTAGAACAAGAGATCGTTCCATCATGAAGGACATTGCCAGCCGTGCGGTGGCTGCTTGGAACGCGAGCCCAGGAGGCCAGAGACGGCAGCGCGGACTAGTTGCTTTGGCGGCTGATATGCCCAATCACGGCACCAGGCTCGTTCAGGACATGGCAAACCAGGACTGGCTTAAGGGTAACAAAACCCACGCCATTGATATGGTAGGTATTGTCCAGGGAGGCGTCACCAATACGGCGTCACTCATGGACCTGGTCTCGGGATACTTGCAACGCCAGGTCGATGCACATATTAGTCTAGGCTGGAGTCTTGGTGGCCACATGGCTTGGCAGCAATGGATCGGCGAAGACCGCATAGATGCTTCGGTATCCATTGTAGGATGTCCAGATATGATGGGTAAGCGCTGAAGTTCTGCCAGCTAAAACCGGATGCGTAATGTACTAATGTGCCACCACGCAGGTCTGCTGAGCAGCCGGGCTGCATACAGCAACATGAATTACGACCCAAAAACGTTTTTGGGAGGCACACACTTTCCTAACGATGTTGTCAACAACTGTTTGGCGCATGACCCCAAAGGTATTCTCTTCGGTGTCCAAGCTGTTCCACAGGCGCCATTGTCAAAGCAGGATCAGGACCGCCTGCGACCTATCTTGGAATCAAGAGTCCAGGGTAAGCGCTTGCTTCTTTGCTTTGGTTCGGAAGACAAACTCGTACCGCCTGCAAACAGCATGCCGTTGCTTGCTGTGCTGAAGGACGCCGCTACAGGTTGGTACGACGGTGGCAAGGGCGGTATCACTGTGATCGATAAAGTATATGAGGGCGTCGGCCATGCCTTTAGCAAGGATATGGTCACGGACTCTGTTGAATTTATCGTGGATGCCGTTGCGCGGGGGCCACGAACAACGCAGCACAAGGCCAGGTTTTAAAGAGTAAAAAATACATTTAGAATAGCCCTTACATCCAAGGACGGGGCGCATCCTCGTCAAGCGTTTCTCCCCCATTCAAATGACGAATCATTAAACCACAGTTATCATTTAGTTCGCTTTCTTGTGGGAAAACACCCTGGGACACATGCCATGGATTCCTGCGTTCTCGTTTACAAGCCAAACTTGCATCCCTGCCATGAGGATCAAGTGTCCATTCATCCTTTGCTTGCTCAACGCCTGCAACGGAGAAATTCGAAGCATCTTCCATTCCAGGAGGATCGATTCCAACGTAGTGAATGCGGTCTAGGGGATATCCAATAGCAACGCAGTGTCCATGAAGCACCCGTAGCCGCTTGAAGCCGTGACTAACGATTGTGATGCGTTGCGGCCAGACTGAAAAGCGGCTATAAAACAGAGTTATGCTGAATAGAATGTTATGGTACGAGTCCAGCGCGCGATCTTCTATCAAAATATTTGGCGGTACTTCTTCTGCCAGACCCCAATATTGGTTGGCGTGGGCGAGATTGGCATAACTCTGTGCTTCCGACAGCTTCGTCTCCTTTCTTGTCGCCGCTCTGCAATAGAGTTAGATTCATTTTTCTGCTCCAAATATACTCAATCGACTCACCCTGAAAATGCCAGCGCCGAGTCAGGTTCTCGGACCAGGCACTCTATTCCCGCGCGGGCGTGAGCGGCAAATGTGTCCGTCTCGCCTTTTTGAAAGTCAGCGATTAGCCATTCGTGTTCGCCTTTGCCCTTGGACGGACCACCGGTCCAAATTCCATGGCAACATACGATGATCAGACTGGTTGGCACTGACATGACCAAAATGAACGTGCTGTGGTGAATGCCAACGTCTACGTTGTCTGGCTGATGGTGGAGAAATTGGATACGAAGCCAGTGTCGGTGCGAGTGGTATTAAAATGACGAAAGCAACACCAAAGCCGAGATTGTTTATATCAGCAATATTATTATAGTACAAATGATGATACATGGCGCATATTGCTTATATCTACATTACGGTCCCCTTTACCGTCTTTATTTATCTTTTGGTCCGCCGCTCGACGATTCAGATGCGGGAGCGGACGTTGTCTTCTCCAAGCTTGGGCTGCGCACCACAGTCTTTTTCGATGCCTTGTTCTTGGGCGTTATACCGAAGATTTGTTTATAAGACATATACTTCTTATTCGGGTCTGCTGCACGTCCTCGGACTTTGGTCATGGCAGCGTGGGCTTGCGCTTCGTGATACTTTCGACGCTTCTGGAGCTCCTCGATACCCGTTTCGGTACCGGTCACTCGGTTGGGCTGCATCAAATCGTTCTTCATGCTGTTAATTCCTTTCGCATACCCCTCAGCCTGGTTTCGGTGATAGCTCGCTTCGGCCTGCAAGGCCTTCAGATCTTGGCTTGGCGTGGTAGATGTCCTATCTTTGTCGTCTTCAATTTCTCGGAGCTTGGCCTGTCGCGATGGGTTCTGGTGCCAGTGGCGACGAGCTTGCTTAAATTCTCGCTCTTCTTCGGGTGTCAAGGTTCGCTCCTGGGCTAGCCTTGTATAGTACCAAAGTTGTGACAACCCCGGTCTGTGTGTCTTCATTTTGCGGTGCCGCTCAACACCATCCAGACTGTAAAACTGGCGAATAAGATATAAACTTCCAGTAACGATAATGGGTCCACCAGCAGCCTTTTGGCTGGCCCACTGCATGGAAGATGTGATACTTGGGGCTCCTTCGTAAACCTGATCGTCCTTGGCTACAATAGCACGACCGATATCTCGGCCCAACTCAGCGGGTACCGCCTCAGGGTCGTTTGGGCCGCGGATGTACTCAACAAAAGCAAAGTTATCTTGAGGTCGTATCAGAGTCTCCAACAGTTGAGCAAACGGTTTGGACTTGCTAGCGGAGAGTCCCATAATCCAAGTGACTGGTGCGTCTCCTTCGCGAAGCTTCGAATCAACAAAGTTGGCCAGGTTGGTTACCCCAAGCATATTGTGAGCACCATCCACAAATACAGGCTCTTCACGGACACCGTGTGTCAAATCTGTAACGTGAACTAGCTCCTTTCTGCCTGGCAAATATGGCTTCGTAGCAAGTAGACGGTTGACGTCGATAGTAAGATCTGGGAAGAGGGACTTGAACGCCAACGACGCACAAAGAAGGTTCTGTCGCTCATACTGTTCCAGCTGAAATCGGTCGGTATCAATGGAGGAGAGAACTAGCTCAGCCTTCCGTGACAAGGTAACTTGTGTGCCGACTTCGTCTGCATGCTTTCGCAGAATATCCAGAACAGATACTTCATTAGTATAGTCCACTACGCAAGGGACTCCCGGACGCATAATACCAGCTTTAACTTTGGCAATTTCCTCCACCGTGTTGCCCAGATACTCCTGATGATCCAGGCCAATCTTGGAGATGACGGTAACACCCTTTTGTCGCATAACATTGGTGGCATCAGTAGCGCCACCCATTCCAACTTCGACGATGCCATAATCGACATGCATTTTGTCAAAAACACGGAAAGCTGTAGCTGTTTCAACTTCAAAGGGGGTCAATTCACCGGGGTCCTCTCCGGTTTGAAAGGTCCATCTAGTTGAGAGCTTGCTATATGCTTGCTGCACATGCTTCAGTTCCATTTCGTACATTCTCTTATTGACATACAGGCCATTGATGGTGATACCGTGATGTCGCTCAGGAATAGCAGGAGATGTATATGTTCCATGGCTAATTCCAGCCTGCTTGAACATGGCAGCCAGCAGAGCACAGATGGACCCCTTGCCATTGGTTCCGCCAACATGAATTCCTTTCCATGGTTGCGATTTGGGAACTATGCGTTCTATGCGTTCTAGCCCCAAGCGGATGTTTCTATGGTCCGCGGCAAGCTTCTTTTGGGCCGGGATTGCGGCATTGATGCGGGCCAGGGCACGCTTGATATCCCTTGCGGCCGGCATGGCGATAGAGTGGCCCTGCTTCCCCAGGTGCCGCCAATGTGGGAGCACAGGTGGTGAAATGGGGCGAATTGACGACTAAAAATGCCTCAAGTTGCCATGCGAATTGGCCCCGGGGTTCGGACGATGAAGCAGCGCGTGGTGGTAGCGGAGTCTTAAAATGACGATGCACCTATGCCGTGCTAAAATTCACGGTTACACCAGCCACAACCTGCGCCACAGCAACGCTCAGGGATTTTTTCAGCCACACGGGGTTGCCGCTTTCCAGGTTTTTGTCGTTGGCTGCTCCTTCCCACCCCCATTTTCGGCTCCGTTTTTACACTTTCTCTCCACCATAGTCGCCCGACAACCGCGACGAAGCGCTATTCCAGATCGCGGAATCCATCTCGATTCATCGCATTGTCGCGTTTGGTTATCGATTCCAGCAATTATACTAGCGCTACAAGATTATCGCGAGGATTGTTTCTGATCTTATCGCGACCTCTGCGCCTGTCGATTAGCCTGTTCTGCGACCACTGGACATCATCATGGGTCTTCCGTGAGTACTGCCGCCCCAGAGTTTATCCCCATGCAGCAGTGATTTTTGCATGCAGATGTTCGTCGCGCATATACTGCAGCCATCGGTTATGCTTTCAGATGGCCCCAACTGGCCCCAGAACCGCGAACTCTGCTGCACCGACGATTGCCGAGCTAGAGACATACTTTAAGCCTGTGCGCTAACCCGGTGCTTCTTTCAGTTTGTTCGGCGTAAAGACCGAGACGGAGCAGTCTCGCAAATTCCCTGCCAAAACCTCGTCAACGTTAAACTCAGGCATCCGAAGAGCCTACCGAGACGACTCACAGGAAAGACGCCATTCCCTTCGACGCGCTGCCTCCCGACTCTATGGCGCTGGAGCCCGCGAAGGACATCCGACGATACCAGATACGCCAACACGATGGCTAGAACAGGCTGCTGCAGGGCTGTCTAATTCTACTGGATCATCGCGTCGGCCGATGCGCGAAGCGTTGCGCGAGTTTGGAAGATACGAAACCGGCCGCGGAGAGAGTACTCGCCGACCCAACATCCCCGATCAACTGGGTGAGATTTTCGGGCCGCCCACATGGCCTGAAGCCACGCACTCTCGGCAGACGCCACACGATGATAGCTATGAAACAGATTTGGGTTGGTGGTCTATCGAGTCTGGAAATGCAGCGCGCAATGCGCGAATGGTAAGCCTCGGTCTTTGTCATTGCGTGAGAGCTCTTGCTAACTTGCTCCGCTAGCTATCGTCCAACTTTTCCCCGCAGCCACGAATTGCAGACGCTGTGAGCCAAAGACGAAGCCGACCCGGCGCACCCACGTCAGACGTAGAAGCTGCACGCCTCAGAGCAATTGCTGATGTTGGTGCATCACAACGCCGTACTGGTGCCTCGTCAGCGTCCCGTTCTAGAGAGTCTCGCACACGTGGTTTTGATGGCCTCGGCGACAGAGAACGTAGTCTCAGCCCAGAAGGCTGGGATACACTGCTGTCCACTCTCACACCAGACCCTCAAGCTCCTAGCGCCAATTCCTCGTTTGCTTCCGGAGCACAGACACAAGGCGCGAGCCAAGGCAACGGAGCCGTCTCGGAACCCGCTGCCGGTGCGGCTGGGCTCAGAGGAGACTCGTTGCTTGATGGACCCTGCGACTATGAGAATTCCGATGGAGAGAGAATTGAGTACGAGCATCCAGACTACGCAAGAATCCGTCGTCGCCGTGAGGAACGACGACTAAACCGCTCGCGTGTGCCCGACTTCAATCTAGATGGGCCTGGCGATCGGGACATTGGCTTCGGTCTCCGCGTCTTAGGAGGCGTTGACAATCGACGGGGCACCGTCAATGCTAGGCTTACTGGTCGGTCACGCCAGGATACCGACGAGATCCCCGGACCGCAAGTCACCAACAACAGTAGCTCTGACGACGCCAGCACGTTACGAAACGGTTGGGTTGGTCGCTTCTTGATTGGTGTTGCGGAGGAACGTGAACCCGAGCCATCGTCGGTGCCTCAACCAGAGGGCAACGAGGCCCCTAGCTCTAATGCGCGGTCTGACGAGGATTGGGTCGGCATGCAACGAATCGTCCGCCGTCTTGCTCACCGTCAGGACATTCCTGATGAGTGGTGGGCAGAGGTCGGATTAAGCCGCAACGTCGTGAACTACGAGCCCTCTCAAGCCAGCTAGCCATGACGCCTCGAAGCAAGATGTCATTTCTCAGGTGTTTCTTCTCTTTTTTTGGATCCTTTCGGCCCCGGAGGTCTTTTGGTAGCGATGTGCCATTTGCTATGATTCGGCGTATTTGTAGCATATATGTGGTTTTTTTTATGATTTGGGTGCATTGGAATTTCAGCACAATCGGCGTTTGAGCGGCTGGTTTGTCATTGTCCATTTTTTTTTGGTTTCTGAATTATATGTTTCAAAAAGTCTTACACTTTACGAATAATTAACAACAGCCCATGATGGCTGGCCCTTTTTATCGTTTTCTCCAACTCTGTACGCTTCTCTATGATGTGACACATGGCAGCCAGCGCATAAACTTCCACCACCAAGAATAAAAAAAAACATGCCATGCCTAGCCTATGGGAATTTAAGCAGCTGGTTTGTAAAATCCCTATTTGGCCCAGTGTCTCAAATCTCACACCACTGAGACGCGGGGGAACCAAGCACGGCTCTATTGGCTGTCGTCCTCCCTCGAGGTTGCAAGAAAAAGCCACTAATTTACAGCGGCTCCACTGCCGCTCAGCGAGTCCAATGCAGGGCTACAGCGCTCTGGGGCTTGCACGCGGCCACTGTGGGTGGCCCATTTGCACACTAAGCCTGCCAGGGAGGAGGAGAGAGTTGGCCCATTGTTTATGCGCCGGTGCACTGAGCCGGCCGTCTTCACCTTGATGCGTGTTGTTGTCTTTGATCATCTTCCCTTTTTTGGTTGCTCATCGTCTTGCTTGCTTGTGTGCGTGCATCAGGCTGCTGCTTCTACGCCAAGCTCACCACCGTTCATTGCATCTCGACATTTCGCATCCTTTGCTACAGAATGACGCGGTAGCTTAGCTCTCGACACTTCCACATCCCGCTCAACCCCTCCGACAAACAATCTCGCCGCTGCTTCCATCACCCCTATCACAACACCTGCCGTCATCCTGCCAGCGAAGTCACGATACCTATGTTTATGGGAATGCCGCTCCCCTTCATCTGCCGTCTTACCCAACATTTCCCTGTGCCCAACCCGCCCCAGACTTGGACGTGCCTCGCACAGGTCGACTGACCACGGAAATCTTCCCCGATCGACCCTCGACTCTCTCCGAATTACATGATATAGACTCTCTACACAATATTCAGCAGGCTCTGTGCCTTTTCTCTCTTATTCCAGCATGCCGACGGAAAGGCATCCGCCTAGCGAGGCCGGTCGTCCGGCTGCCCTTGTTGCAGCTCGTGAACGAGGCGGTACAGCACCTGGTACACCCTCACGGCGCGACAGAGTACGCGAGAGCTCTGCTGTGCAGGATCCCGGACTCAAGGATTATGTGCGTAGTTGATTTTACCAGCAATTGGTCACAGAACCACTGAATCTAGCTAACACGATGCTTCTACAGCGACTTGGCGAATGCCTGGGTAAAGGTGCCTTTGGGTCTGTATATAAAGCCTTCAACTGGAATACAGGAGAAGCTGTTGCTGTCAAACAAATTAAGCTCTCCGATCTACCAAAGAGCGAGCTACGTATGATTGAGGTACGCAGTGTCGCATCACTTGACAAACAGCAAAACGCAGCGCTAACGGCTTCCTATAGAGCGAAATCGATCTCCTTAAAAACCTTCGACATGATAATATTGTCAAGTATGTCGGGTTTGTCAAGTCCAAGGACTGCCTGAACATCATTCTAGAGTAAGAAGCCTTAAACATTTGAGCACCGGATATGAGACTAACGCTGGACTAGATACTGCGAGAATGGCTCTTTACACTCTATTTGCAAAGCATACGGAAAATTCCCCGAAAATCTCGTCGGAGTATACATGACGCAGGTGCTTCAGGGTCTACAGTATCTTCATGACCAAGGTGTCATTCATAGAGATATTAAAGGCGCCAATATTCTCACAACCAAGGACGGCACCGTCAAACTCGCAGACTTTGGCGTTTCTACGAGTACATTGGCCAACGGCCAAGACAAAGAGGCACAAGTCGTGGGTACACCATACTGGATGGCCCCTGAAATCATTCAATTGTCCGGAGCCAACTCTTCTTCGGATATCTGGAGCGTTGGTTGCACAGTCATTGAATTGCTACAGGGAAAGCCACCATACCACAACCTGGCCGCGATGCCGGCATTATTTGCGATTGTAAATGACGACCATCCCCCTCTTCCAGAAGGGATATCTGCGGTATGTGGCAAATACAGCTTAGCTAACACCGGACTGGAAACTAACTGGAGTAGGCCGCGCGTGACTTTCTTATGCAATGTTTCCAAAAGGATCCCAACCTAAGAGTTTCGGCAAAGAAACTTCTGAAACATGCGTGGATAGTAAGCTGCAGAAGAGCGGCCGATGCTCCTGTAGCCAAAGCCCCCGCCAACTTCAGCCAAGCTGTTGAAGAGGTCAAGCAATGGAACAAGGCCCTTAACTCATCCGATCCCCATGTTCGAATGTCTTCTGGGTCCGATATGCACCCTTCCGCTCGAGTTCCAAGTGGAACGCCAGCGAAAGGCCCTCTCAGTCTCAAACCGCGGGCTGCTGTTGAGGCTTTCACCGCTGCAGAACTCGATGACGACAACTGGGATAATGACTTCGCAACAGCAATTTCGCCTAATGCTTTACAGTTGCCCCATTTACGTCCGCAAGACAACTTCGGAGGCCTACTGTCTGGCGATCGCTTGAAGGCGTTTGCATCAAATAACGACCACAAGACCGATAAATTGTCATACGATGATGACTTTGAAGGCGAATTACTAACCATCAAGGGTCACAACCATAATCAAACCCACGACGATGTTCAAGACCGAACTATACGTCCAATTACAAGAAAGCCACCGAAACTCCCGGAACAACAGCACCGAGGCCACCAACGTGCGAAATCAATCCCAAATAAAATTAATACCAACGTCGGCCAATCGTATACACAATCTCCTGCTAAGCCAGCGCTTGGAAACAAGTTTGAACTGCCAATCTCCAACAATGTTATCCATAGAGAGCGGAGTATTGAAGACTACTCGGACCTCTTTGTTGATAACGAGAATGTCTTTAACCAAAAGTTTGGTCAGGTATGCAATCGTTATAACCCCAACATCTTTGCTACAAACTAACATAGCAATAGGATACTCGTGGTTTAGACTCACCGCAATTATTCCATCCTTCTGACCTGACGAGCTTGCCAAGATCTATGCAAACCAGCGACGGCGGAAGCATGCGAAAGCGGCCACCATCTCGTCCCTCTGTCCTGCCTGACCGCCCCATGCGTAGGACGCGGTCGTCAGTTGAAATTCAGAAATTTGCTGAAAATGACGACGAAGACTTTTCCGATGTATTCGGCGTTGAGGGCTCGCACGCCTCCAAGGTTGAAAGTGATCGTGGATCTGAAGATGGTGCTCTTATGCTCATGTCTAAAATGTCCAGCAACTCATGGCTTGCAGATGAGGAAGACGAGGACGACCCATTTGCAGCTATGGATCAAGGCTGGGACGAGATGGATCTTGAAGCAAATATTGCCCGAGACAGGCACGCTAGACTCGCTGAGAAGGTTGAGGAACTAGTAGTCTGTCTCAAATCCGAAGAAGGCGAGGCGATTCTCACCGAAGTAGCAGAAGACCTCGTAAGTGAACATGGCATCATTTTCGGACAACGTACTAATTTGTCTTGCTTAGCTGGCCATGCTCTGGGAGAATCCCGAAACGAAGAACCTAATCATCGCGTCCCATGGGTTGCTCCCAATTCTTGAAATTTTAGAGCCATGTACGGTTAAAAGCAGACAATACATGATCCTGCAGCTGCTCAAAGTTGTCAATGCGGTATGTGACACGCCTTTCTATTGTCGGTTAAAACTGAAATGCTAATCAAACTTTTAGATTATCCTGGACGATGTCGAGATTCAAGAAAACTTGTGTTTCGTGGGTGGTATACCAATTATTACAAAGTTCGCGGCTCGTCAATACTCTGATGAAATCCGACTGGAAGCTGCTGCATTTGTGCGACAAATGTACCAAACTTCGACTCTCACACTCCAAATGTTCGTCTCAGCAGGCGGTCTCAACGTCTTGGTCGAGTTTCTGGACGAAGACTACGACAACGCTAGGGACCTGGTTCTCATCGGCGTCAACGGCATCTGGAATGTCTTTGAACTACAAGGGCCAACACCCAAGAACGACTTTTGCCGTATCTTCTCTCGAAGCAAGATTCTCTACCCCCTTGCCCTTGTTCTCCATCGAGTCTTGGACGAAGAAGGGGAAGATAACCTTGGTGAGCTGATTGAAGGGCGTATCGTCAACATCTTTTATCTCTTCAGCCAAGCCGAGAATTACGTCAAGGAAATGGTGGCTGATCGACTTGTCCTTAAGAGCGTGTTGAAGGACTTGCGTCGCATGACTGCTGTCCATCAGATTACAATGCTCAAGTTTATCAAAAACTTGTCCATGTTATCCACCACCATTGAGACTCTCCATTCCGCTGACGCCATCGAAGTTCTCATCGATCTTCTCAGCTACGGCATGAAGAGGAATCAGCCCCAATTCCGCGAAATGTCGAACCAAGTATTAAACACGTTATTTAACCTTTGTCGACTAAGCAAAGAACGACAAGAGGACGCGGCTGTCGGTGGCATTATCCCGTTGCTTTTACGCATCATGCGCACCGATCGCCCTCCAAAGGAGTTTGTGCTCCCCATTCTTTGCGACATGGCTCACTCTGGATCCAAAGGACGTCGATATCTGTGGCAAAATCGAGGTCTTGAGTTTTACGTCTCGCTTCTTACGGACCAATACTGGCAGGTTACTGCATTGGACGCCATCTTGATTTGGCTGCAAGAGGAAACTGCCAATGTTGAAAACCACCTGATTGACGGGAGCTTTACGCGGGCCATTATCAGCGGCTTTAACACGAACAAGCTCAATTCGTTTGACTCCAACTTGCTTGAGCCCCTTCTCAAGCTTCTCCGTCTCAGCCCAGGAGTAGCTGCATCCCTCGCCAAGCCTGAGATGTTTGCTGGCATTGCTCAGCGTCTTGGCCACAAAAAGGCCGTTGTTCGCCTCAACTTGCTGAGACTGGTGAGGGCCATTACTGATGCTTCAGACCCTGACCTAGGGTCTGGTGACGGAACAAGCACTGTCAACAGTGCTCAGGTCCGATCTCTTATGGAAGCTATCCAAACGCTGGCGGAGATGGACTCGGCACTTCTTGTTCGCAATCTTGCCTCTGAGCTCGTGCGCTCTCATACCGAAGGAAGACCGTCCCCTGCTGCGGTGATGCTGATGCGCCACGACTCCGTAGCGGCACTCTCGTCACAGCCAGGCTCGGCGTCTTCGCAACGTCGCTCAGGCACCCGCCGCAACACGAGTTTCACTCCCCCCAATCTCCCCGGATCCATGTCGTTCCCACAAACCCCGACACACCGCAGCCGCGCCAGCTTAGCAGGCAACACGCTCATCGAGATTGCTGCTAGCCCGCGTCGAGGCCCCCCAGCTGACCGAATCGCCCAAGAAGCCATGTACCGCCCACGAAGCCGGGACGGGCCATCATTGATAACCAACATCCCGCGCCGCGTCAGCGGTGATGCCAGCTCCATCAGTAGCGCCACCAGCAGCGTCTCGTCCAACGCAAGCTCGATGCTTCCGCCGTCGTCAAAGAGCCGTCTCCCGCGGACCTCGCTTGCGAACCTAACAACATCCCGCGGCGCCGGTGCCATTGGCGTTCGATCCGAGCTCGCTCCGCCCATGGTTGTGCGGACAGAAAGCAACACGCCAAGTAACAGAGACGTCACAACACCAAACTCTAGTCGTCTCCCACACTGGGCATCTGCCTTCTCGCGCGAGAGTAGCGTCGGCAGCAGTACGCCGGGCAGCGCAAATAGCTCACGAGATGGCCCTGGACGAAGACGGGCCCGAGGGGCATCTACGGATATTCGGTGGTAGCTGCGTCAACAGGACAGAATAGGCCGAAAAGACTTTTAATGTACATAATAGAGGAGCAGCAATAGCAGCAGCGTACTCTGAAAAAAGCATATTAGCAAAGACAATACACTCATCATATGTATACTTCCCCATCTTTTGTACCGTGATAATACATCGACAGTATGTCAGGCTCCTGTTTACGTAGTAGTTGATTAAACATTGTCACTGATAATGAAAAGAGCCAGTTTTTGAAACGAAGTTTTGTTGTTTACTATATATTGCGGTGTTGGCAAGGCGGCTTGGGCCAGAAGCCAAAGGCGCGCCAGAATCAAACAAGAATGCCAGTACAAATAAATCGATACAAAAACCAATCATCATAATGGAGGCTAGCCTCGCATTTGTTGCTAAAAAAGCTTGCATAAAAATTATTATCTTGATAAAGGAGTGACGTTGAAGTGAATTAAAAGACTCGATTCGTAAACAGCGTTCGTCTTGGCCGCATCCATCCGGGGAGTGAAATCAACAATGGCCAGAGCAGACAACAGACTGCAAGTAATAAACGCGCTGAGTCGAAGAGTTCCATGTAAAAGTTGTGGTCAAATGGGGAAAGATGCAATCCGGCAATCCAAGCAATCGTATCACAAGTATCCGGGCGTAAAGTCGTAAAGGTGAAACATGTAAAAAATAAAACAGGGTGAAGTGAAAAAAGTTTGTCCCTCAGGCAAATGGTGATCTAAGCAGCATTGGCCTTGCGCTTGTCGGCGCTGGTAAGGACAAGGCGAGCAGCCTTGCGGTTATCCAAAGCCTCCTGCTCCTTGGCGGCTCGCAGAGCACTGTTCTTGAAAACGTTGGCGAAGGAGCTATTGTCAGCTTCGAGCACCGGGGAGGCATCACCACCAGAGGCAGTCTTCTGAGCAGAGCTGGGACGGTCAGAGCCAATAGCACCCCAGCTGCCACTGGCAGATGTGCGAGAGCTGCCGCACTCCAAATCACCAATGAGGCTGCCCGAGCCGCTGCGGCCAGAGTCAGATTCGTTGTCAGTGATGGGGGAAGCAGAATCCTCGGCAGTTTCGGAGACGGGGCTCATGCTACCTGCGGAGCTGCCAGTGCCCTTTCTGCGGACCAAGCCAGCTCTCACGAGGTTGTGAACGGCAGAGCGACGTGTGCGTGTAGCAAAGTTCTTGCTTCCCTCGTGCTTGGCAGTGGGCTTAGACTTGAGCTCATCAAGAGAAGGAGGGCCACGGGGCTGACGAATGGGGTGTTCACCAGCGCGAGCTTGGCCAGGTCCATAGCCTCCAGTCATGGGAGTCAACGGGAAAGTCGCAGTCTTGGGACCGGCGGACTTGGGGCCGTCGCAGGACATTGCAGAAGCCAAGATGCTGTTAACGGGAGCAAGAGACGAGGCTTTCTTATGGCCGCGTCGGAAGGCGTTGGCAGATGGAGGGGGCAGAGGCGCAGCGTCCTGGGGAGAGTCAAATCTCTTGGGAGGAGAGATGCTGCGAAGACCGTTCTGGGCTAAGTGCTCAGGAGGGGGAGACACTTGGAGACGAGGTCCAGCACCGCCTTGCTGATAAGCGTCAAAGCTGGGGGGCATGGGCTGCTCAGCATAACCAGCAGGAGAAGCAGAAGCGGCGTTGTCAACATAGTACTGGCCAGTGACAGGGCTGTAGTACACTTGTTGGCCTTGGCTGATGGCAGCCTGGATACTGCGTTGCTGGAGCTGACGCTGCTGCTGTTCGTAAAGGGCTGCTTGCTGCTGCTGATGGGAGAGCTGAGGGCTGTTGATGTTCATCTGCTGAAACTGCTGGGCGGCGGCCTGCACACTGCGGAGCTGCTGCTGAAGTTGCTGCTGCTGCTGAGCAAGATACATGTTGGTTGCCACTAGCTGAGCATACAGGTTGGGGTCCATCTGATCGCGGTACTGATCATCCATAGCCAGCTCAGGAGGAGCAAGAACTTGGTCGACGGTATATTGCTGCTGCTGTTGTTGATGCTGGTGCTGTTGCTGTTGCTGAGGCTGGTTCATCATGGAAGCAAAGCTGTTCTGCTGGTTGCCATAGTGAGGGAGAGCAGTCTTGGGCGGGTTGTAAAGGCTGTCCTGGGCGTGGCCATGCAGACTGGCAGCCATGCTGTTTCTAGCATAGTGCTGCTGCACAGTAGGCGAGGTTGGGCCAAATGAAGCCGCAGTTGCCGACTTGGGGGCAGTCCTTAAGCCAGCAAGAAGGTGGGAGCGGCTAGTTCTGGGGGTGGGAGCACCAGTGTCTCTAGCAGCGTTGCCACGGTTAATGGCATCAAAAGAAAGAGGCTTGATGTTCTGACCACCTCTGCGGGAGGAGAGGCCACCAGACGGCGTGGGTAAGCCGTTGGAGTGAGAAAAGTTGGAAGACATTTGAGCAAGACCACCAGTGTCCATGGCTCAAAATTCAAACAATGATGATGTTGTGAAATGCAGGTCTATAATGCAAGAATAAAACGAAACGGGGTGAGCGGCTGGCGCAGGAGAGCGAGGCCGTGCAAGAGGATTAAAAGAAGTAAAATCCGGAACAGTGCTTGTCTGAGGCAGGTGAGGATGCTGGTAGACGCTAAATATGGGTGATGGATGATAGAAAACTGTGGTTCAAAGAAGAAGAAAGATGCGTCGATAGAATGCACTGGGCAAAACCAAGGTCGAGCGCGGGTTCTCAAATCCAAGAAAGGCAAAAGATGGGAGTTTGAGAGGTGTCTTGCGGAAACGTGTGTCTGTCAAGGATACCACACAACTGATTCTCCTGGGAAACCAAAACACAGGCCTGGTGGTGATGGGCAGGAGCGAGTTTGACGAGATGAGTCGCTGTGGTTGCTGTGACGGATGAATTAAAAAGATGACTGGGGTTGTGATGCTGTAGCTGAACTTGATGCTGTCGACAAGTAGGTATCGTTGAAAAGGAGTATAAAGTACAGATGATTAGGATATGGTGCTAATCGCGGATGAAAGACGGTTCCAAACGGGAGCAGAGGCGATATCGAAGAGTAGGCAGTGGTGCAAACGAAGGAGTTTGCGTTGTCGGTTCTGGGGAGTTACGCGGAAAAGGGTAGCCGAGATGAACGTCTTGACAAAAGTTTTCGTAACTAGCACCACTGTCCTTTTTTTGGTATTTTTCAAAACAAAAGTTGCTTGTTTTTTTTATCGGGTTGAGTCGATCCTAGTTGGGTCACGATGGTGATTTGCGAGCGTCGGAAAAACGGGTGACAGGCGGCGGACGATGCAGTGCAAAGAAAACAGAGGCGAGCGAGAAAATTGCAGCAGCTGGAAGAGATGGAACCGGAAGAGTCGAACGAAAACGCGTCGAGACCAAAGGAGGAGGAGTTGGAGGAGGGAGGTGGGAGGGAGATGCGAAGAGAGAGAGGAAGATGAGGGTGGTGATGATTTGGGGGAAGAGAGAGAAAGAGAGAGGAGAAGAGCGGGCAGACCAAATGAGGTGAGCGCGCGCTGTAGCAGCAAAAACTGGGGGCGGAGGGCCAGCGGAAAAGGAGACGAGCGGGCACCAGACCACCAAACAGCAGTAGAGCCAGTGGGCACCAGCAGGCACACACGCTGAGAGGGGGGGCGGCGCTGCGCTGAGGTCCACTAAAAGCGAATGAAAAGAAGACCCCTGGAAGAGCGGGCTTGTGGTTCGCTGGCGGGTTGACTTGTGGGGGGGCAGGGACGAAATACCCGCTGAGGAGAAAAAACGCCGCTATTTTTTTCCTTTAATTACAGGGCCGAGGCGGCAAAGCAGAACAAAGGAATAGGCGACCACGGTAGACGAAGGAGAAAAGAAGACGAATGGAGAAATTTCAAGCAAGTGTAAATGTAACAAACTATCATTTCTATATTTTCCAAAGAGTTTTCGCGAGGTATATACACCTGGCAACTCTCTAAACCGCGCACCAACCCAAAACCAGAGTCACGGGCAGCCACCCAATCACAGCCAAGGCAGTTTCTAGCGTCCATTTCCCTCATTTTATTTACAGGTGAGATGGGGACCGGTGCAGCCAATGATGCGCCGAGACGTCCCTGCAGCATGGCTCCCCTGTCATCAGCGCCAGCGGCACTAGCCAGCAACCAGCTGCAACTATTACTCGTCTTTTTTAGTGTGTGGAGGGGCCGCCTGCTGCCGCCAATGCTGTGTTACACTGTATTTAGCACGCTAGGGACCGCCAGGGGGGGAACCATGGAAAAAGGAAACAAAAAACGCATGGAAAAAGAAAAACGAAAAAACAAACTTCGAAAAAAAGAACAATAGATACATGCAAACTGTGAAGAGACGACTAGTCAATACATCTAATAATAATAAACCCACCGTATATTGGACGCCCAAAAAATACAAATGCCCAATACGATAATTTCAAACATGCCCTGCCCAGGCACTGCTCCGTAGGTACCTAAGCTACCGTACTGTACCTACTTTGTGCAGAGAACCATAATTTCCATACGGCGACAGGTGACTGGGCGGCTGCTGGCGTTTTTTCAGGGGGTGGCTCGGTTGCCGCACAGGGTACCTTATCTGCCCACCAAAACCCCATACATATCGCAGGTACCATCTGCACCTCCCATGCACCTCCAAATGTTACAGCTGCAGCCACTCAACAGCACCCCTCTCTCTTTTGTTTTTCCCACTGTACTGGAAGCAGGGTTCCCATACTTTGTATGTAAGAAAACGATGCAGGAGGGCACTGCGCTGTGGCTGTTCGTTCATACTGTGCTGTGCTGTGCTGTGCTGTGCAGGTTTTGGATTTTCGCCCCGCAGCTCGTGCGGCAACAGCGCCTTATTGTCTGCCTGCACACAAGCACGCGATGCCTCCGTAGAAAAACCTTGGAATCGATATTGCCACCCGAACACTACGAACAAAGGATATCAGTTTGGCAGTCATACGGGCCAAAAAAATATTCATCCCCAGTTTTCTAGCTCGTACCCGAATCAACACGAAAATTAAAATAATAATAAAAGAAATACGAAGAGACCAACAGGCAGTCAACCGCCACCATCCATTCCAACGTTACCATTCTTCCTCGCTCCTCACCACACGTCTCAGTCCCACGCTCGCTTCCCCTCTCGTCGCTTTGGGCCGTCCCGAGTGATGTGACTGGTCAGCCTCGATCCCACGGCGCTGTCTGACACCTTTCTTGGTTGCTGCACGCGGAGATGGAGGGGGGCAGAGACGTCTTGGAGGGGGCTAATTGGATGCCATTATGCATAGCTGCGACACCACCCACCATGCCTTGTCTGTTACTGGCTGTTCTTGCTGTCTGTATGCATGCATGCTTTGCCATTTCCCGCATATCGAACACGCGCTGAACCCCCTGGCTGAATCACACTGGATGTCCGCCGAAACCACGCACGGCATCAAAAGAAGACGCCCGCCGATCCCGGCATGTGCCAAAGCGTAAAAATAGAACGTGTGCTCTCCCCTTACTAACCTTGATCGCATACATGGGCCCTTTATTTTATACATGTGGCAGTTTTATGTAGTGATGTGTGCTGTATAACTTGGCACGTTGTTGCACTGTACGTACTGACCCAGCAAACGATCTGCTCTTCGGGTCTCAAGTCTTTGCAGCACTTCGCATAAACTTGGCATGCTCGGCCCTTCTTCACCTTTCATCTTTTTGTCTTTTGTTACGCCGTGGCGCTGCAGGACAGTAAGCCGGGCTCGACCACCCGCTTCTTTAGGCTCGCGCGCGAGCAAGGCATTCCTCGCTCAGCCTGTCTTAGCACACCGGGTCTTAAGCGCATGGCCATCACGCCCAATCACGCTTGGCCAATGCCTCCAACTGCGTGCACCAAAGACAAAGGACACTTTATACCAGTTCGTTCGGCGGCGTCCAATAACGCGCCTGCCCGCTCCCCAGTGTCGATCCACCAACGCAACCACTTGCAACGAATCGCTGCGTCTGAAGCCCCCCGGGCAGTGGGATTGCCCAGCATCGCCGGGCGCTTAGCGTGCATGCGCCCAGTAGCCAATCACGATGCAAGACGCCGTGTCGCTACTTTGGACGGTATTAGTTCCCTCCACCTGATGCCTGCCCCTAGTGCTGTTTCCCAAGCGGCCGTTGCCTAGCGTGATCCTGCCGGTTGAACGAAAAAAACGGGCTGCTTTTTACTATATTTACTCTTTGGGCACTAAATCGCATCTGGCATCTACCGCCGAAAAACCCTGTCCGGGGTCGAGTTCGCCAACGTACACTGTGTTGCTGCTCGTCCACCCCGCATGCATATACATACATCCAGCCTCGGCGCTTGCAGCTGCATGCAACTCCTTTTTTACACTTTTGTATAATTGACATACTGGCTGACCAGGCATATTGCCTGTCAGCCTAAGCAGAATGCCTGTAAATGGCGCAGCCAATCGATCAGCCTATCCGCAGCATCGGGCGGGTACTACTACGGTAGTACCCTGCATTGGAATCACTCTACACTAAACCCATGGACTTAGGTGGCCAGCCAAGGGCGGGAATCGATTTGCAAATACAATGTAGAGCGATATATTTTCGCTGAGTACGTAATTCTGTAACTGAGGTCAGTATGGCTCACCCAGTGTTGCATGCCTCGCCGTTTGATGTGCTGTGGCGTCGCACTCTACATTGTTCTAGCTACCCTCCAATGGTTAATGTTGACTAACAAGCTGCCGACGTTTATCTAGAGAAAACCACACATTCGCGGGTACGGCTACCACTACGACATACAAATCAAAAGCAAGGCTAAGCAAGGCCCCAGCCAACTAACCCCCATTCGTTTAGTCGCTTCATCACACACGCTCCAGAAAGCCTGGCCGCGTCGTGACGTGGTCCCTCCCCCCAACATCATGCAACATGCCAAGCAGGAGATATATGCCCAATTATCCAGCTTCTTCGGCGAGCCTTCTAATCGGGCTCCTGATAGCCCCGAGCCATCCGAGCACTAACTATGGGCCGAGGAACCCCCCCGAGAGCAAGTACTAAAAAACACTTCCACTTTGGGACCGCAGCCGAACGCTGCGGCAGCATCAGCACCAACCACCTACGGACAAAGGTAAAAGATGAAACGCCAGGCTCGGCCCTACTTGCGAGACAGCTGCCTGCCCTCATCGGGTGGCTGGCAGCAAAAAAGCTTACTAGCTTTCGATTTTCGTTCGGCGAGCCTATTCCAAAACAGACGTAGGGCCGGCTCGGGCGATGACGACTTGAGAAACCCACCTGGAGGGCGGCGTCATCTTGAGCCAGCCAGCCTCACAGGGCTGAAAAGAAGGAGTCGGACGTTTTGCCTCTCGGGAACTTACGTCAGATGCCTCCTCTTTCTTCTGAAAGTTCTCGCGAACGTGTTTTTCAGGAAAATGAAGTCTGGTCCGCGTGGTTTGCTATTGGTCCCATCCGACGGCAGCAACAACAGTGGCCAGCCAGCCAGCCAGCCAGCCAGCCCTTTTTTTTTTCGGGCGATTTTGTGCAACATACTTCTTTCCATGTAATTCGCTGCTCGTAGGGCGGCTGAAGTCAACTGGGGTGTGCTGCTGCTGTTTGGCGTTTCAGGGTTGCAGCCGCTCCAGAGCCTGATGATGAATGATTTCCAAAAGAGCCGTTGTCAATTTCTCCCTCGGCAGTTGAGTAAGACGACCAAACTCTGTGTGGCTTTTGTTGTCTCGTCGTAAACGAGGCGAATACTCCCGAGCGTCGGCTTTTTTTTCCCCTACTGTTCGTAAACTGACTGATGTTGAACGAGAAACATACACACATAGAGGGGGTCAAAAGTAAAGGGAAGATCTTTCCTGTTTTTTCTAAAGGATACCGCGTATTAGACTAAAGATCATGAGAGAGAAAAAAAACACACGCATTGCCTCCCGTCATTTCCTTTTGTGCTCTTGCAACAAAAAAAAACATGGTATGCCAGCACAGAATGAGGCTGCTGCTGCCCATAAGTCGTCATTAGTCGTGAGAAGGAAAGGGAAAAAACAAAGACCGAGAAAATAGTGTTCCAAACGGGTAAATCCGACCAAGCCAATAAAAGCAGCCCAATTCTATTTACAGATTTTCATGGCCCAAGGTGGGCAATGTGACCGGCTATCAAACAGTCTAGAAGGGAAAAGACGACACGCCCATTTCCAAGAATGGAAAGCCGTGTAAGATGTACGCTGGGGAAACCCAAAAAAAAAAGAGAACCTGGCTCACCAGCCCGGAAACCGCTGAAAGACACAACAAAAATGCGACAAAATGCGAGAAATTTTGAAAAGAAAACAACGTATTTGACGAAAAATATGTCGATTCATCAGGGGGGGTGTTTTGTCCATGTCGTTTCATTGCTGCGTCTGACATGGAACGTGCGTTCATTCATTCAGCCTTGGTGTAGTATACGGCGTCGTCGGGCAATCGAGCTAGGCAGCCGATACTGTAGAACAGTCCTGGTGGACAGTGGCAAAGTGGAAACAGAACCAAGGTTTCTTTTTTTTTTCAGCGGCGCATCTCCTCTGGTCGCACATTGGCGCCGTAGAATCCGCCGTGGCCGTGCTGTGCGCCCGACGACTGACAGGCTAAGCATACTCCGCCACCATAGACCCGCGTATGGCGAGTCCACCCTGCTCCTTGGCCGTCGACGGCGGAAATAATCTCGCCCTTGATGTCGATGTTTCGGCGAGGTGAGGCATCATGACCAGGAGTGCTAGGCGCAGCGCCGGGGGGAGCTGGTGGCAAGACGGGGCTCCTGGGCGGATACGAGCTGGGCGAGAAGGCCGTGGCGGCGGCGCCCTCGTTGCTGATGAAGAGCTGCTCGGCGTCGGGGGCCGTGGACATGGTCGATGTCTGCGGCGTAGGGATGCTGATGGGCAGCGTTTTTGTGTAAGAGCGGCGCGTGGGCTGCGACATCACCAGGGAATCGGACTCGGCCGTCTCGGCCATGTAGTCGGGATTGGGCTGGTGCATGAAGCTCTCGAGGTTCTGGCGGCGGTCTTCACTGGTGAAGATGGTCGAGCTCAGCTCCGGAGGCGTCAGAGGCGGCGCCGGGGGAAGGCGTGTGATGAAGTGCCGTTGGATGATGTCGCTGTCTGTCTGGAGCGAGAGGGCAGGCTGCTGTTGTTGGTGCTGCTGCTTGCTGCTTCGCAGCGACTCGGTCGACTTGGTAGCCGGTGATGAGGAAGTAGAACCAGGGCCTTGAAGGCCGAGTTGGCTGTGCATTGTGAATGCTGTGTAAGAGCGAAAGGAGATGGGAGAAGAAGAAGAGAGAGAGGGAGCCTTTTCGTCAACCTGGCAGCCAGAGGCATCCAACGACCACGATGAGAGCGGTGAAGCGCGGCGACGACGATGGTTATGAATGGAGCAGTAGCGGCTCGAGAGATATTTGAGTACGCCGCGGGTGCTGATGAGTGTGTATTGAAGAAAGACGAGGAAGCCAAGCAGCGCAAAAGCCGTATGGACAATGGCGACGGCGGGATGCTGAGTATTGAAGTACTTGGCCGGGGCCCATGCGTGGCCGTCGGTGCTTGGACGGCGGTCAGCCATTGGTGCGTATCGAGATGCGTAGGGTGTGCCAGCCAATGTCGCGATTCAAACACCCGGGTTCGGGTTCAGCCTTCTTTTTTTTGGTGCTGGTGCCCTTGTATGTTAGTCTGGGCCGGCGGCGTATGGGTATGGTTGGTTGGCTGTGGATCGCAGTGGTGTAGTAGTCGGGCCTTAAAAGCGTCTAAAAATGGACATAATCCGCGGGGGCGCGGCGGCCTTTCTCACGCGACGTAGAGCGAGCGTCAAGTGGGATGGGATGGAATTTGTTCAGCCGAGGGACGAGAGCCGGATAATGCGAATGGCGTTGTCGTGGGCTTGGGCTGGGCTGTGTAAGGTTGCCGTAGGGCAGAGGTGAATGTGTCGGGATGTTCTTTGTTCACAGCGATGATCTAAGATTTGTTGCATATAGGATATCGTGGCTTTTCCTATAAGGTCGCTTTCTCTGTTGCAGATTCTCTTGCTGCAAGCAGGTAGTGAAAGAAAAAAACTAATGTTTGCTGCAATGTTGGGCGAATCGGGCAAGCAAGCAAAGTACCAAGAAAATTAATAGTATTATTCGCGATGGGCTCCGTAAAATGCTTCGTTTAACACTCGTGTGTATCGCCGCTCCCCCCCAAAAAAATGAGTAAGTTGACAATGAAACAAGAGTCAGTCGAGGCTGAATGGGCCGATGGCGCCAGCCGTGGACTGATGATGGATGGAGGAGCGAGAGGGCGACGTGTGTAAGGCGATTTTTGCGCTAGGATGTTGATTTGGCTGGTGTGACTGGCTGAAGGAGCGAGGAAACCGAGGACGATAGCGGCGGAAGGAATACGGCGGAGTGGATGTACGCGCGCTGTTTGGTGGTACTTGCAGTGGTGACTATAGCGGCAGCTGTAGCTGTAAGGCGCTGTAACGGCGTGGCAGGTGCTGGGTACTGTACGGGGAAGTCAAAGCCAAAAACACAAGAGGGGATGGCAGTGGTGGTGGTGCGGCAGCTGGACGTATATGAAGAAAAGGGAAGCACCCGGAAAAGGAAAGCAAATAAAACGAGGATATGCAAAGCAAGCGCAAAACAACACACTAGCAAAAGACACAAAAGACCGGTGTGTGATTAAATTTCTTAAGCAGAAACGTGCTGTGCTCACTACGGACAAGACACCTAAAAGACCCGGTGGTGGTGAAGCCGGATTCATCTCGCGTCATGCACCCAAGCCAACCACTAAAGGACCCCACGCAACGGGCCCAACCCATGCTGGAAGCTCAGCTGTGAAGTGCAAAGCTAGCGCAGTTTTTTTGGTTTTTCGGAGGGGCGTGGGCCAGCGCACGGCAGAGGCTCAGCGCTGCTGGGCTGCCGTGTGGAGCCTTGCTCCGATCTGACAATGGGCGTTGCGCTCTGGAACGGGGGGTGAGTGGGCAGCAAAGCAGTACCAACTGTAAGCAGTAGACATCGAAAGTAATCACAGCGAGGAGAACCAGATTTCCGGAATCAGACCTTTCCGTTTTCTATTGCCCACGATCCCTGTAGCACTAGCAGCAGCCGCTGTAAATTGCTTTTTCTGAGGCTCGTCTCCTTTCGATCTGGCACCGTGTCTCGCTTCTTTCTCTGCACTTCGCATTACTTGGCTCGGGTGGGTAATATGTCATGTTCAACTGACAGGTGAGCATGGCGCAGGTCGTGCGATGCTTTGGACTAGCCTGACGGAAGGATGGCACTAAAAAAAATACTAGATAATAAAAAGTCAACAGACATATAATCCGTCGAATCCTTCTTATCACAACCGCCAGCCCAGCCAGTCGCAAACACCGCCCCTGTGGGCATTCATCCCCCCCGTCATCGGCGATGCTGTAGCAGCAGCAGCGGCGCAGGGCGGGTGACGCGCCGAGGCGGCTGCTTCAGAGCCTGTTCTGTGGGCGAGCCAAAGGGTTTCAGCTGATGTCTGCTGCTTGACGCAGCGCTAACGAACGGGCCCGTAGAAACTCTATTGGCTGGGGTGGTTGCGTGATGCGGCCGATCGCACCACGACCACCCGGCACCGCAGCCTATAATTCATTTTTATTTTGTTTTTGTTGTCGTCTTGTGTCTCTCTTTGTATTATAGACGTCTTTTTTCATGTTTCTGCGCCAGCTGCTGCTGCATGCATACCACCACCCGCAACAAGGAGGCGAGCCCAGTCCCTACGTACAGTACCAGTACCTACAGTACATGCTGCTCTAGCAAAAACGTACATGCCAAACCCCACCACTTGACTCAACCAAGCTTTTGCTGCGCTGAGCCTGCAGGGGGGGCGCGAGTTCTAGCCTAGCCACAGGCAGGGTTTCCACTAAAAAACTTCCCGATTAGGCCGCCCTGGGTTGCTTTTCAGCTGCGATGCCCCTCCACGCGTCCCAGGGGGTGTTCCAGGAGGCACACCACACGGCTCCAAGCATTTTACCAGCAAGCAAGCAGCGCTGTTTAATACTGCTTTTCTACTAGTACGTACTCTATACTAGACTACCAGCCGGCCAAGGTTGGGCAGCACCAATTCCTGGAAATAAACAGAAAAAAAAAACACGGCATCGACCCTGCATCGCATCGCAAGCGTCAATGTTGATCCCGACTTGCATTTAAATTAGCACGGCTCGGGACGGGAGCGAAGATGCAAAAGTCACTACTGCCTTGCTTCGCTTTGCCTTGAACGCCACCACCGCCTTGATTGCGCCGTTGTTGGACTGTGCTGTAGATAATGCCACCTAGTATTCACGGCGGTGATGGACCCGCGCCATCGTTTACCGGGGGGCTTCCTTTTGAGTGTGTTCCAGTGACAGCCAGGTGCTGCACGATGTGCAAGATGCTGCTGCTGCTCTGTAATTTAGAGGGCGCCCCGCCGAGATGTGTGCAGCAAGCCAGCCAGCCAGCCAGCCCAGCGTTGTTACCGTCTTTTCACGCACACACAATGTCGCCGGAATCCAATGGATCCCGAAAACTCAAAGCCAGCCTCCTAGCATCACGCGAGCGAAGATTCACTCGTACAATACGGCGTGTCCTTTTGCTTGCATTCATTTTCAGCAGTGCTGGTTGCAGGCTGGCGTCCAACCAAGCTGAGCACACGGCGTCTTGCGGGCGGCCCTCGTAGTCGGCCGAGACAGGGCCCTGTAGCGACTGTACGGGGTGCGCGCAATACCCAGTAAAAATCCTTCTAGAAGCGTTCCTGGCAGGCGATGCCCAGCTGAACGTGGAGATGGGCGCCTGCACTGACCAAGACGGCAAGCAGAATTGCCTGACTGGATGCATGAAAAACGGTCCCATTTTGGGCGTAAAAGGTGTCAAATGCCTGAATAATACGACGGACGGCCTGAAAGGAAAAAATACAATAGAATGTAACATGCCACCAGCTGCCGGTTTGTGCGCACGACCGTTTTCAATCCGTCCAGTTTTGCGCAATCCGTGTTCAACTTACTCGTACTGATGCGACGGGCGTCTCCGAAGCAGAAGACAAGGAAAGAATTTTAGCAAAATGACAACTTTATAAATTTATGCGCTGGAATAAGGGTAAATTAACAAAAGTTAATGCCCAATCTGCGCATCGCAAATCGGGAAAACAATGGTATTGTGTTGACAAATACACCCTACCAGGTCGGTCACACCTTAATTTCGCCCCCAAAAAAAGGTAAAATTACCTGCTGTAACCCGTTCTCACGCTGCCCAAAAAACCATGCCAGCTGAGCCTGCGTGCGCCGACTGCCTATTCTGGACTACGGCTCGTCGGCTGCATGCATGGCGTTGCATTAGTTAGACGGCGACATGCAGCACCAGGCAGGGCAAGGCCAAGCGCCGATATACACACCCCGCAGCCTCTAGGAATATCACATCATGAGTGAGCATTGCACAATACATAAATGTGCACAAATGGCTTTTTTATGGTAGTGCTGCCCATGCACGCATATGCAGGTATTGCACAGTATAATAAACATTGTATACATAACTTATACTCTCTCTCTTTGTAAATAGACTTGGCGCTGTGGTTGAATGAAACGCAAGACAACAACACTTTCGAGCTATCCCATTCATACTCCCAACAGTAAAATAAAATAAAAGGCACAGGTTCCCGAAACGCCGCCCAACAATTTTTCAAGCTTTGTAAAGAACACGAGGAAAAAGAAACAGTATGTGACGGTTGGTCAAGCGTGGGAGAGGACGAAGGAGGGGGAGTGGACGCGAACCAAACTAGTGCCATCTACATGCCGGCGGTAATGTCCATGGGATCGGCGCTGACGGGAACCGAGCCGTCCATATCCCGTGGATCCCGCTCCTCCTCCATCATCTCAATCACACTGTCCAGGTTGCTGTCCAGGCTCTCGCCGTCCTTAGGGTCGAGGCACCGCTTCAGCAGCTTGCGGTACTTTTCAATGTTGTCGCCGACCCCCATCATGCTCAGTGCGTCCACATACTCATTCTCCGCCTGACGCTGCTCCGCAAGTATCTGGCTCAGCTGCCGTGCTAGCTGTACCCGCTCCTCGTACGTTTCGTTCTGCCCGCTAACGTCGCCGTTCATCCGCGCCAGCTCGCCGTCCACTTCTTGGTGGACGTGCAGCCTGTTTTGGTGTGTCACAAGTGACAGCACTTGGTGCTTGGCTAGGTTGGCTTCGTTCATGATTTGGTTAGCCACTTCTTCCGGCTCCAGCTGGGCCTCAAGCTCGGCAATCTGTTGGTGTGCAAGGGTAAGCTCAGATTGCGTAGTGCCTAGTATACGGCGAGCTTCCGTCTCCGCCACATCCTTCTCAAGCCACTCCTCGTCGTAGCTCTTTGCCAAATCCTGAAACTTTTCCAAAATAAGCGGCGAGATACGAGACTGCACTGTCGTGGCAGCCGCCGATTGGAATGATGGGCCTGCCTTTCGCGATGACTTGTCTGCAAACGCATCCCGGAACGATGCATGTTTTTGTGAGTCTGGCGCAAATGGTGACGACGAACGTTGGGGCCCCCTCTCCTTCTTAGAGGCGTTGAGCTCCATAATCAGATCCTCGGCGCGAACTCCCTCGTGGTTGGGGATGTCAGTGGCAGCGTTTCTACCAAGCAGAGCGCGAACGCATTTCCTAGCGCTACGCTGTGCCGCAAGATGAAGTGCTGTGTTTCCTTCGCTATCTTGCAAATCTAGCAGCTGTTGGAACGCCGCAGGCTCAAGCACTTCTTGAAGCCTGTTTAGGATGTTGTCTAGATAGTAACGCGAACAGGATGAGCTAAACACTCTACCGTTTTTCATCACCGCAGCGTGGTGGATAACTGTGCATCCCATATTGTCGCGGGCTTCAACCGTCTCAAACAGCTCCTTCATGACAGCAGGGAACGTTTGCTTCTCGTAACAATTGGTAAAGTTGACAGAGCGCATGAAGGGGGTTTCGCCACGCACGTTCTTAACAGCAATAGCGGCATTGAATCTCTTGAGCTGTCTGATCACATCAACATCGCCCATAGCCGAGGCCCAATGCAAAGCAGTGTGGTTCTCAGCATCAATGAGCCAGTTTGGCTGGAAGTTGGGAGGGGGATCGGGCTTAACAGTGGGCTGCTCGTTCCTAGAGAGGAGGAAATAGTCCAAAAGCTCGTCACCATAGACAGAGTGTTGCTGCTCAGTAAGATCCTGCATTTGCTCTTCTCGCTTCCGCTTGCGATGACCTGTCGACATGTGGCCCAGGTCAAATCGGTCGTCTTCCGCCATATACGATGCCGAGGCAATGGTCAGATTGTCTGGTGTGTCATCCTCGCCCATCATGGTATCGCCGTGATCGAAATCATCGTGCATGGGTGCGGGATTGGCGTTCCAGCGAGGTGGCGGAGGCTTAGCCTTGGGGGCCTTGGGCTTGCTGGCATGTCTGGGAGCCGGGGGAGGGCTTTCGTTGCCAGCAACATATTCAAAGATTGGGGCGAGGCGGTCGTACACGCTGTGTCGTTTTGCCAGGGCTTCACCTGCTTCTAACGGAATCCAAGTACCTGGCGCAAGTTAGCTACATATTGAGGTGTAGAGAAATGGGGTATCAAACCTTGGTATTTTCCGTAACCTCCCTGGATCTTTTCATGGACGTCTTTTTGGACATCTCGCTCCAGAATTCGGGTTCGGGCCGGCTTGTCGAAAGCTGCAGCTTTTAAGATATGTGTAGCGTTGATCCAGTCATCGTGTCGTCGTCTCATAACATGTTCTTTTAGGTCGGCTCCGAATTGATATTCGTAGACGGGAATCTGTGTGAGAGTATGCGTTAGCTAGCAAGCTCAATGACCACGGCACTAGATTCCATCGCTTCCATATCTCGCATCCAGTCACACCAAACACAGCGCAAGAAGCATAAATCAGAACACAAAGAAGGAATTCTTACACCACTGTACGTGGCACTGTAGATGCCGGGCCCAGTAGGCGCGGGCGCGGTCGCCTTAACCATTTTGTGGGCTCAAGATGTTCAATGCCCGAGGATAAAAAGCATTAGCCAAGAAAAGATGATAGAGTCGATTATCTCCCCGACAAGATAAAATGCCAATCGGTAGAGCTTTATAACGTTGAATGTCGCGGCGACGAGTCGAGAATTGGGAAATATGCCAACCAGCGGCGTGCACTTGCTTCGTCTTTGCAGGGTTCAAGATTGGTCGTGGAAATGGCGGGCAGACGCGAAGCGACGCGCCTGGTACGCGCAGCACTTTAAGAAAAGTGGCTCCCTAGCTAAGTGCTGCTTTTGCTGGGGAGTGACCGCTTCACGTGATGTGGCTGCTTGGTTGGCCCATGGCCTCCTGAATCACAGCGGGTCGCTGGTTGGCGGACAACGCGTGTTACGGTAAACCAAGGGAGCTCCCTTTGAACGATATCACACGCAACCAATTCCTATCCTGTCGCAAGGGCAGATCGCCGATTTCCCCGACTCTGCTGTCCACGAGCTATACGCAAGCTTGTAGAGCATACCGCCGTTGCTACAGCTGCTTCCGTCCTTCGCATGCTGTAAGCTCCTAAGAGCTTGGGCAAGCCGGTTTGAAGGTTGGAGGAGAACATCTTCAGCAGCATAGCGTTCTGTTGCATAATAACTACGACCATTTCCACCTTTTTTACACGCGCCATCACATTAACAACCTGAGAAAATGACGGAAAATCTTCATAATGCCCCCATTGTCCTTGACAATGGCTCAGGCACCATTCGCGCTGGCTTTGCTGGTGAAGATCTTCCCAAGTGCTTCTTTCCGTCGTGGGTTGGACGTCCAAAGCACATGAGAGTTCTAGCTGGTGCTCTAGAGGGAGATGTGTTTATTGGTCAAAAGGCTGCTGAGCTGAGAGGTCTCTTAAAGATTCATTATCCGCTTGAGCATGGCATTGTCACGGACTGGGACGACATGGAGCGAATCTGGGAATACGTCTATGGAGAAGGCTTAAAAACGCTGAGCGAAGAGGTAATTCCATGTGACGAGAGCATTTCTTCAGCAGCCAAACTAACTGCGAGGTAGCATCCAGTATTGTTGACCGAGCCGCCTTTGAACCCCCGAAGCAACCGCGACACGGCTGCACAGATCCTCTTCGAAACCTTCAACGTCCCCGCCCTTCACACATCGATACAAGCAGTCTTGTCGTTATATGCCAGTGGCCGAACGACCGGTATCGTCCTCGATTCCGGTGACGGCGTGTCGCACGCAGTCCCAGTTTATGAAGGCTTCGCCATGCCCAGCAGCATCCGGCGCATTGACGTCGCTGGCCGCGATGTCACCGAATACTTGCAGACGCTGCTACGAAAGAGCGGCTATGTGTTTCACACGAGCGCAGAAAAGGAGGTCGTCCGACTCATCAAGGAAAGCGTTTCGTACGTTGCGCACGACCCGAGAAAAGAAGAGCGTGACTGGCTCGGCGTCAAGACCAATGATGCCAAATATGCCGAATATGTCCTTCCGGATGGACACAAGCTCAAGGTATGTCGAAGAACACATATAACTTGCTTTGCCTGTCTGCTAACAAACATCAATAGGTTGGCGCTGAGCGATTCCGTGCCCCCGAAATCCTCTTTGATCCCGAAATTATTGGCCTGGAATATCCTGGCGTACACCAAATTGTCGTGGATGCTATTAACCGCACAGATCTTGACCTGCGCAAGTCTCTATACAGTAACATTGTGCTGTCTGGTGGCAGCACACTGACCAAGGGCTTTGGTGACCGACTCCTGACTGAGCTCCAGAAGCTAGCTGTCAAGGACATGAGAATCAAGATTTTTGCGCCTCCCGAGCGTAAATACTCTACATGGATCGGTGGCAGTATTCTTGCTGGTCTAAGCACCTTCCGCAAGGTATGTAATTGGCTGCATGGTGGGATTGCGAACTTGGGCTAACTGGTGATGTGATAGATGTGGGTCAGCATTGACGACTGGCACGAGAATCCCGATATTATTCACACGAAATTCACATAAAAAACGGACTCGGCTCTGCATAGCGATGGTCGAGGGAGACTTAAGCTTGACGTATTTTCTTCGTTGGGGCTATGGGTTTTGTTCCTTCAATACCATGTGTTACATATGGCATACAATACTACATATGGGCTTATAGTAATTAAAAGAGGCCAGGAGGAAGAGATTGGTTTGACATGTACGATGGCGGAAACTGGGCAGTGGATGAGAATTAAGGAGCGAGCATGAAGGATCTTGTCTTGTAGAGCAAGCCTAATGATACCCTAATGATTGAACTGGTAGCGTGCTGCATGAACCAAGTCGTGATCAAAACGTGCTCGGTGGGACCGTACCGGTTCGACATCACGCCCCCAAATGAAGCGATATACACTCACGAGGCATCAAAATTTTGGATACAGGCTATTAGAAAGAAGAGTAATATATGTGATTCATTATCGTTCAATACGGTGATGCCGCCCCCCCTGTAGAGAGGTCAGTCATCAAGATAGTGCTCTACCAGATGGTAGTCCAGTCAGAGTCGTAGTACAATTAGTATCCCAGTTAAGAATAACACAAAACTTTTTTTGGATTTTCCATCCCAAACGCCGTAAAAAGAAGAAGAAAGTAGAGTCGCTCAAGTGAATGCCGGTTAATGCAAAGGTTTTTGTCGTCGAAGAAGCACGTCATCGGCCGCGGGCTCCCGCTGGGTAGCTGGTGAAGGCTTATGATCGACCAAAGGCAGACGATGCCCACGCCTTTGCCTTGGAGCTCATGGAAGACGAGCTGCTCGCAGCACTGTAGACGCTAGAGCCAGCAGACGATGTCGAGGACTGTCGAGAGCGGTAGACGTTGCCAGCGCCGCCGCGGCCAGTGTACGCAGCAGGCGCCGGGCGGGACGCAGCCTCAGCAGCAGTGCGCATGTCGTTCTGTGCGGCAGCATGGGCAGCAGCAGACGAGGAGACGTGGATGTTTCCAGCGCCGCCAATGCCGCTGGACATGTAGCGTGGTGTTGTTGAGTATGAAGTAGCAGAGGGCTGCTTAGCGGGAGCTGCGGTGGTCTGCGAAGTGCGGGCGTTGCCAGCGCCGCCACGGCCGGTGAGGATGTAAGAGGGCATTATGTATTATAGGTGATGGTAGGATTTGAAGATGTATAGGAAGCAAGAACAAGGTTTTGTTCTTGTTTTCAACGGTTTGTCGGTATAGAAGCTCGCACAGTGTAAGTGGTTGGAGTAGCAGAGATGCTAGCTCGATCTTCGCAATGTAGCCGATTCGTGTTCAAAGCTGGTGTAAAAATATTCGATTCTGTTAAACAGGGCTTAAAAGCAATCGATTGGGCCGTGTAGAGTAATAGCTTGTATGAATGGACAGCTTTCTTGGAGGTGGTGGTGGAGGGCAGCAGACACCTTCTTATTCCCCCAACCAAGGCAAAACGTAACATGGCGGCGTCCTGCGGCGCCAAGAGGGCCGAGTTTGTAGGCGGCGGGGTCCGAAGGGGTGCCTGCGACCAGCAAATTTTTCTGGGCTACAGCGTGCTGTTAGGCGCTGGAAAGAATTTTTTAACTAGGTGACTGGAGTGGAGCACGGCAGACAGAGGGGGAGGGGCCAGAAAATACAGAAGGGTCAGCTGGACACGTTGGCTGGGCTGGGCTAGTCAGAAACCAGAACAGGCATGGCGTGGCTTTTCCTGTGGTTTGCGTGAGAGAGATGAGCCTGTAAATTGCTAGCAGCATGGCTTGGGGAGATGTAACGTCTACTGGCTGGTGTTCAAAACAGAACATCAGCAGGGGCATACATAGTGTAATGCAGTACTGTGTGGCTGGTCATGCTGTTGGTGATGACAAAGATGAAAGAAGAAGACGACGATGATGAATTAGAAGAAATATAAACAATACCACCAGGGAAGCAAAAACAATGTCGTCTTTGCCGCCAAATCTCCTCTTCGCTGCTCACCCACGATCTCCCATAACCCATCAAAAAAAAACTTCTCCTCCCCCGCAAAAACGCCTTCGCCTGGGTGTCCCACTCAACGTCACGCGGGCCACTTTGCCCATGCCACCGCATTGCTCCCCTCACCCAAGATGAGGCGTTGCGCAGGACGCTAGCCCCGATCCAGAGCCCCTTTCTCCCGTGGACGGTACTTTGGGATGGCGCTGGTTTCAGGCGCGTCTTACGTCCTCCTCAAGCTGACACTACGTGTTTGCTGCTCAAGAGGAATTGGAAGAGACGGAATGAATTTGGTAGATAGACTGGATTGAATGCACTGAATTGAGTGTACACATAGAATTTCTCACTCTAAAATACAGGGGATCCGACGAGCGTCCAAAGCGATAAATATCCATGCTAGACATAAGATCCGTACAAGTAATAACCCGTATAAACAACCAGGGGAAATAAAGTAAAAACGACAAAAAGCAATTCCTGCTCCAAACTCCTGTCCCCGGGACTACAACCCAGATATGCAAGCAAACCCACGCCAAGACACTAGAAACCAAAGCTCATCCAGCCGAAAACACCGCCCGCTATAGCAATTAGCAGGAAGGTGACAATGCCAGCACCAGCCTTGTCCGCTGTTGTAATGGGCTTGGGCTTCCTCTCGAAACTGTTAGGATCCTGTCCGGCATTAGGGTCGCCCTCTGAGATGCCGCCAGTCTTGGCTGTGACTGGTCCGTCGACCTGTGTAACTAGCAACGAAGACGTGGCGCCGAGCACGTTCATCTGCTGTCCGCATCCAGTGCCAACAGATTTGCCGCCAGCCCAATTGAATCCGCACTGTCGGCCATAATCAACCAGATTGCATGTCGCAATGGCGGCTCTGGCTGACGACTGGAGAAGCGGCAGGACCTTGGGGGCGATGTACGGAGCCACCTGGGCGGCTTGAGCATACCACCGGTGAACATATCCTTTGAACGAAAGCATGTCTGTTGTACAAGTGCCGGCGCCCTCACACGCTGGTTCGTAGGCGACTCCGTTTTTGAAGAACATCTTCATACCATGGTCAAGCAGACCGTCGATCCTTGCCTTCCATTGGGCTTGCACGTCGGGTTGGCCTTCGGTCTTCAGATACTGGTTAGCTATCCCATATCGGTCTACCGCGAGAGAAATCAAGACTCACAAAATTGTACATGAATGCGGCGCCTTGCAGATAGATGGCATTGTTGAATGAAAATTCGGCCTTGTTAATCTCCTTGCACCCAGTATCAACAGTAGCACCGTCGTAAACAGCATATGTGTTGTGGTCCATGAAGCCAATTTTCCAGATCCAGTCGAATGTTTGATTCGCTACATCGGCGTAGGTCTGGTTACCAGTGTATCTCGCAAGCCGGGCACCCAGGTTGAATAAACAGCCGTTGGCAATAGCTGCATAAAATGTTAGCTGTTATGTACGCGATACCTAGTCCATCTCACATACAGTTCTTGTAACCGTAGCCGGCGTTAGCAAAGGGAATCTGCCAACGAATACCTCCACCACATGTACCATCATGTCTGTCAGGGCTAGCTTGTGTATTGAAAACTGCTTGCGCCAGCGCGAGCCATTGAGGTTTATCCTTGGGTGGGTTGGGGAACTTGGTTTCGGCTGCGAGCATAGCGGACATGCCCCAGAATCCCTGGTCATCATTGCCGAGGGACTTTGTTTCGTTGGCAGGCATGTAATTGTTGTCATCGCCAGTCTGGAAGAGCATCGATGCCATAATCTCGGAATTGTAGGAGGCATCACCCGTGAAGTGCCAGTAATCGATCAGTGTCCCCCACATGGCACCGGCCTCCCACCAGTAGTAGTCACCCACAGGGGGAGGCCCTGGCAGCATACCCAGAATTTGGCCAGTCTGGTTTCCTCGATAGTATATTTTCAGCATGTCCCATGCCACTTGGGCACTAGTCTTCTTGATGGCATCTGTAGAGAAGTCAATAGCATGGTCTAGCGGCACGTGGAGGTTAACGCTAACCTGGCGTGTCGATGGAATATGGCGACACCTGAGCGTTGGCAACACTGGCAACAGCCAAAACTGCACCGACAGCTTGAGCTGCTGTCAATGACGGCTTCATGATGTGTGGAATGAAAAATATGTGATTTTGGGGGGGTTTATTCCCGTATCGGTTCGATCGAGTGTCGTGTGTTTACTACAATAGGCACACTGTTGTTGTAGCAGTAGCTGTTGGCTATATTCAGCTACAGCCAGTTGTATTCAAAGATGATATAGTGCGGTTGATTGTAGAAAAGATCGATACCAGATCGACGATTCTAAAGAATGAATGTGATGAAAGAACGAGGGAGCGAACAAAAAGTTTGTGTAAAGAGCAAAGAAGTGAACCAGCCAGACACCCAAGGAGCAAGCTACCTTTCAGAAACATGGGACCAAGTACGGTGGCTTGCGGTACCTGAGCGTCTCTGGTAAAAAGAAAAATGGTTTTGGTGGCGATCCATACTGTACCCTACTGTACACGAACATCTTGGTACGTGTCGAGCAGGAATGAAGGGCGGATGAGACGGTGCAGCAAGCACTACAGTGGCGTGTCCCACCTTTGAAAGCTGGGGCCGCCAGCGCCGATTATCCGTTATAGCCAGTATCAGCCTGCGGCGGCGTGTCGTTTTTCTATAATGATTGGCAGAAGGATAAACCGGTGATGCAAGATTCAGGTGGAAGGGGAAGCTACTTTGTGTAGTTTTAACAACACTTTTCGCAGCTGTCACGCCCGACAGCTGCCCTATTATTGACAGTGCACGTCCGAGACGCCCCTGGTACACACTCGCCAAGAGATGCTGCACGCCTACAACGCGTTGCATCCGATTCCCGAACAGATGCCCTGCGCTACACTATAACCACCTGCCACAGGTGCATGCAGCATGCCCTTTCAGCGGGCTTCCCTCGCTGAAGTTGGCAGTGGGGGCGGGCGCTGGGGACTGCTGAGTGGCCTGTAAATTGCCGAAAAAGGGGGCGTGCCTGGTTGGGGCTTAGCGTTCAGTGGCTCCGATCCCATTCAGGGGCACGACAGCTGTTCTCCACAGTTTTCCAGGTTTGTCCGCCCTCGTTTAGAAACCTGGAACAGACACAATATGGGGAACCCAGGGAAATGATTTATATCCGTAGTATGTAGCAATGTGCTCTCACACGTGTGAATGATTGGGTTTAAGGCAAACAATACGTTCAAGTTTGATGCCAGTATACAGTTGTGGTTCATGGTCCGCCGTCCATGCGTGTGCATACAAACGCCAGCCTCATACAACGCCATGTTTCAACGTCACTAAACACATGGATCAAAATGTAGTAAACAAGAAAAATATGTCATGTAAATTTCATCCCAAAACTCCTAGGTACCTAAACAGATGCTAAAAACTTTGAATGCACTGGCATCATCATCGCCCACATCCCCTTTGCCTGTCCACACGCCTTCAAATGCAATCGTAAATCACAGAAGCACTTTGTACTACTACTTTTCTTTGTGTTTTTTTTTCGATTTTACGCCATGTAGGCACCCTTGGTGCCAAGCATTCCCTCACTGCCAGTATGGCTTCGTGATTTCTTGCCTCTGACCTCATTAGACCATTCAAATAGCGTGAATCCCCAGTGTCCGGCAACGAGAACACCACTGACAACGTTGATAAGCTTCAGCAGGAAGACGATAAATGTGTCGCGACTCTCGCGGACGCGCAGCAAAATCGGCTCAATGTCGTACTTGACAAAAATGCCGGGGATACCGGTGTGAGGGCTGATAGCTTTGCTCTGCTCGGTAACCGCGTACTGGTTGGTCATAATGGTGCTGCTACCAACAGTGTACACAGTTGGTACAACAGACAAGTAGTACTGGAATCTGTGGAAGTTGTCGTCGGCCAAGTTCACTGTCTGATCGAGCGGGTTGATGAGCGATGGGTAGAAAGAGCCAAAGGACAGCTCCGAAACAATGTGTGAAAAGTTAAACTCTGTGAAAAATGGGTTAGTACTAGGAACAGGACGCACAGATCATATATGACATACGAGAGTGGTCGAGATGCTCGCCGCTCATTTCTAGATAACCATGGCCACGAGCGGTAATGTGGAAATCGCCCTGGACCTTGTTCAGATCAAGGCTGCCGTAGATGCGGCAGCTGTCTGGTGTGCCTCGGAGGCGAGGGGTGCGGCTCCATTTGGCGCGCTTCTTTCCAAGAGCAACAATGTCGTGAACGTGCTCCTCTCCAAAGCCTTCCTCGGTGGCTTCGGCATTGAGCCAACCAGCTCCAGTGTCGATTCGGCCGTTCTTATCGTGGTTGAGCTTATGGACACCTTTAGCGTCTGCCCAATGTTGCCAAATCGTGGGGTCGTGCTTCAGAGTCTGGCCAGCGAGAATACGGTCGCCAGAAGAATCTTGGACATTGATATGAAGGTCGTCGCACTGCATCTTTACCACGGCATCGAGGTTAATCTGCATCGTGTGCGAGACACCCTTCTCAACAGCAAACGTGTGCTCTTCGCTGCCACGCCACCAGCGAGCTGTCTCGCTCCAGAGAAGAAAGAAGGATACGACGAACACCACTACCGTCCATTTTCCACCACCCTCGGTCCTTGTTACGAATTCGGGTTTTGATTTGGCTGTGAAAAGCTTCCTGTTAGTATACTCTCCTTGTCAGTCCCATTCGGCCGCCCATGTGCGCTTACGGAAAGCATCAAATGCTTGTACGACGTTGCCCTTGGCCCCGAAATCGTCTTCGTTGAAGCCATGTTTCTCGAATGAGTTCATCTTCGCAACGTATGGCTCTGCGGGCCAGTTCGTGGAATTTGGTGTGCTGTCGACGGGCAATTGCACGGAGCAGGAATAGGACAAGATTGCTTCGATAAATGGCTTAGAGCATGCCCAAATTATATTCACGCTTCCGAACTTGTTGTTACTTCTGGTGGATTGCCGCCCGTATACCCAATTGTCGGGTGCGAAGCGATTGGGTCGTTGCGAAGCGGACAAATGATAATCTGTCCTGGCGTCTGTCGCAAAGAGGACAGCTTGACTCCAATTGCGGTCCCTGCGCCCTTGCCTGTCTGGGCTGGTCTGGCCACTCTTGGCGCGCGGGCGGCCGGGCCAGAGTTGTTCCGCTCCGTTAACCTGGAGAGTGCTCTGTAAATAGGCTATTGTGTAGTACTGTGGGTAATATGATCTATATAATTATTATAATGTTTTTTTTAGTCGTAAGATTCCATATAAGTTTGTGTGTAGTTGAACTTGTTGTCGAATTTATAAAAAAAAAAAAGGTGTAAAGAAGGATTTGAAGTATGCGTGTATCCGGATCTAGGTAGCCATACAGTATTGTACGATATCCGTGATAGAGCTCCACTTGAACCCCCCCCAAAATACAAGGACAGCGAGATCAGTTAAACTAAGATTGTCACAAAGACGAAAAAAGAAGCAGTGAATCAATAAATGTATTGAATACGTCATCGGCCGTCCATACGTTTAAGCACGCGTCGCGTGGTGGCGGATCTCAACGGGCGATCCTATAGTGACGGTTGCCACTCACTGGGTCCTACGAGATTCAACTGCCGGTTCCTCGTAGCCGGGTTGAAAATAAAAAATAAATAAAAAGAAATTGCCAAATGGCAGTCTGCAAGGCATCTTTCCGCATCAAGGCTATGCAGCCATCAGACGGAGTCGAGTCAACAATCCTACGCAGTCTCCCTTGCTACTCAATGCCGCCTGCGCGTGGCGTCACAGCACCACCACGGTGCACTCCACGCAGCAATTCAAGTTGGCCGTGTCAACGCGCAGCAGCCCTGTACAAACTACTGCACCGCTGAATAGAACTGCACTACAGCTCGCAGCGCGATGATATCATGCTGTTTGACAGGCTGGTTTCTCTACGCCTATCTCACGCGGGACAGCTTATCGCTGGCGAGGCTGGTGGGCTGACCTACTCGGATGAAACCTGGCGGGTGTTGCTATGTGCTGCTGGGAGTCCACGTTGAAGCTCATTGGCTTGTGAGAAGTCGCCGTGACCTACTGAAAAGTGTCAGCGTGACGAGGCAGAAAAAAAAAAGAGGCTCGCGGGCAATGATGAGGAGGGGTGGCTGAGGAGCGAGATGGGCACAGCCGGGCGGGGCCCACTTGTTCTTTCGCAGCTCTGGCAGTGCTTGCCATCTGGCTGTAGGCGTCCACCAGCTGCCCGCCAGCTGCCCACTCTAGCCCAGCCACTCCCATTGTTCGCCCCCCGCTTTGCCGTATACTTTCCCACTAGCTGCCCTAGCGGTGGCCCGCTGAGGCGCGGCCCTGTCCGCCCGCATGGTGCTGCCTTTTCCAGTCGTCATCCAGCTGCCTCATCGTCATCTGCCCCCTCCAAGGCTTCAGCTTTTATTACCTCTTTCCAAGTTGGCACGCCAAGATTTCAAGTGAAAGACGACCGAAGCAGAGGTGACTGCCATATTTCCAGACTGGTATTCAGCCTCGATCCTTTTCTTCAACCCACATAGCCCACCTCGACTTATACACCCCGCACTACGTCTACCTGGCGTTTTAGCAACCATGGGCGACGGATACCGGTCTACCCGGGTTTACCGTGATGAGGACGACGACGGTGGTTATCGAAGCACTACAGTAACTCGCTACAAAGTCGGCCCAGGACGCGATGACCGCTATGTTGAAGTAGAGGAAGACCGCCGCTCCCGTTACTCTCGGCGCACTTCAAATGATCTCCTGGACGCTGATAGACGCTGGCCCGGGGACCGCCCTCGCTCAGCATTTGAACCGGGAACAGAACGATCTCGAACCTACATTTACGAGCGCGATATTGAGCGCGACCAACGCCAAACTCCAGATCGCACTCGATTTGTGACCCAAGAGTCTCGCGAGAGCGACAACTGGGATAAACGCTCACGCAATGAGGAGCAAGTCAAAGTCGAACGCAAAGTGGAAGAGACTGTCGAGGACTCACGAGGCAACGAGATAGACCGTGTGCGCAAGGAGACAGAATACTACACCCAAGCAGACCCAAATCCTGCTCCGTTGGTAGTCCGCCAACGAGCGCCCGAATCTCAGAAAATCATTGTTTCGGAAGCTCCTTCTCAAGCGTCATATGGAAACTACCGCCAAGATCCCGGAGTGGTTGTTTTGCGTGAGCGTGAAATGGATAGAGAGGTTGTGCGCAGCAGGGACCCTTACGAAGATGACTACTATTACCGAAATGACCGGCGCGATCTTGGCCCATACAGAGGCGAGAGAGACTATGCCATGGCCCGCTACGATCCCCGCCGTGATAGGGAACAGTGGTATTACAGCGATGAGGACGATTACTACCATCATCGCCGACATCGTCGCCGAAGTCGAAGCCGCAGCCGCAGCCGCTCCAGCAGTGGCGGACGCCATCACAAGCTGCATCTAGCTGAAGGAGCCCTTGCTGGTGCTGGTGTGACTGCTCTCATGCAAAGCAAGCGCAATGAATATGGCGAACTCCCCGAAAACCGAGGCCGTAAGATCATTGCCGGTGCTGCACTTGGCGCTCTTGGAACAGAAGTCCTGAAACGGGCTCACAGCGCCTACGAGGAACGATGGGGTGACGGGCGCGAGTCACCCGACGCACACTCGAGGCTGAAGACGGGTTTCGGTATCGCCGCCGTTGCTTTAGCAGCAGCTGGTGCCGCCAAATACCTTCAGTCAGACAAGATTGAAAAGGAAGAGGCTCATCGTGGCCGAAGCCGCACGCGCGGTCACTACTCCGGTGATGAAGGCTCTCGTTCTCGCTCGCGAGCCAAGAGTGGCAAACGAAGCCTCTCAACCGCAGCCAAGGCTGCTCTGGGTACTGCAGCCACCGCTGGAATCATTCGTCATTTCAGCAAATCCCGATCCAGAAAGGGCTCTCGCAGCAAGTCCAAGCTGCGCCGTGGTGCTGAAATTGCTGGTGCCGCTGCCGCCGCTGGAATCGCTGGAAAGATGTGGAAGAACCACCAAGAAAAGAAGGAGCGCTCTCGTTCACAGTCCAGAGCTGCTAGTAGAGATGTCGATGACCGGGACCACTACGGGCGGCGAGACTATAGCAGAAGCCGCAGCCGCAGCAGGTCGATTGCCCGATCCCACCAATCTGATCGCGACGCTGATCGTGAGCTAGGCTTAGTTGAATATGGAGATGCGCCTCTTTCTCCGGATCGCGAACGAGAGGACCGACGACGCCGACGCCGAGACCGAGACCGATCGGCGTCACGATCAGACTCTGATGAGGGCAGGGACCGTAGCAGAAGCAGAAGTAGGCTTAGAAACATGGCTGCTGCCGGCGCAGCTGCCGGCGCTGCCGCGATGGGGATCAAAGAGTATAAGAACAGGAAGGATAGAAAGAAGAGAGACGAAGACAGACACTCGCGGGAAAGAAGCCAAGAGAGTAGGTCACCGTAACTTTGTGCTGCAATGAGGTCTCATCTAACATTGAACAGGATATGAGGATGAAAGACGCCATGAAAGACGATATGATGAGCACGATGAGCGTCCGCAATCACCACCAACTGCATCAGGTGGCGCATACTATCCCCCATACCCGCCAACACCTGGAGCGCCATATGGCAGTCCTTCTGCAGCCCAGTCTTACGATAACCAACAATACTACGTTCCTCAAGATATGGGATATGCGCCACCTCCACCACCTGGTCCCCCTCCTGCTCCCAATACGGGACCTGCCAACTATGGTCCTCCACCCCCTCCAGGTCCTCCTCCTGGGCCACCACCTGGTTCTAACCAAGCTCCTGAACATGTAAGTCCAGCTGCCCGCCGTGATCTTTACCAATCACAGCATGCGGATGGTGCGTCAGCCGTCTCCTCATGAAGCATAGAAGACCATTAGGAAATTGTCTTGCTGACTGTTCGATTTAAGTAGGGTCTGTAAATAATGTCAGTCGTGGACAAGGGGTACAAGGCAATCCCAGCGGCTCTAAATCTGTCACTTTCATCCCCATGTCGCCCAAGAGTACGAAAACGATGGAGCGACATAAACGCGGACAAGAAGCAGCGCAGAGCCGCGCTGAAAACGAAGAGATTGAGTCATCCGATGAAGACGACGGTCGGTTTGAACATGACCCAAGATCGTTTGGTGGTCCTTCTCATCATCGCTCGCTGTCTGATTCTGATTCTGATGATGTTGAGGAACTACCCAGACGGTTCAACCGACAAGGGGAGTCACTTGATGGCCAACAAGTCAAGCAAAAGCGGTGGACTAGCCGATCTGGCAATTCGAACGGCAACCAACAAAGCCAGGTGACTGGAGCATGAAGGGGGCATGGCATATTGGAGGCACCAACGAAGCAGCTGTTGAAAAGCTGACAAAGGACTTTACGGATGCCTTGGATGGACGAAAGAGCTGGATGAACGTCGTTGGCGAAGTCTTGAATGGCTCCCTCGGAGCGCCTGAAAGCTCGCAGCGAATTGGCAACGGAGAAGAGGACAGACCGGCTGATGAGAATAGCGGCTCGCGAAGGAAGCGGAGATCGCGTCTGGAAGATTGATATGTTTTTGCTGCTTTATGAGAAACTTTTATGGATTTATGAGAAACGCTGTCTACGGATAGATATGTTTTGTTTTATGATTTTGAGTTATGTCTGCTTCTCTTATGAACGTGGAATATGTTTGCAATAAATAATATGACGATTTGTGCTTTCACCATGAGTAACACGGAGGTTGACTTGAAAAGTATTTGTTGTGAAAATGATGTTACATGTGCTATCTGCAAGCACTGCTTGTGTAAATCTATCATTTATATATACCCTACGCCATTCTAATGCGTCAATACATGCGCCCCCTTACACCGCCAAAAAGTAATTCATGCTTTTCTGTTTTGTTCACAAACGCTACTCACAGCTCGTCTCTTATCGGCCGGCCGCTGTCCTTTTGCAAATCAACGCCCTTCTTGAGGCGCCACTTCTCCCAAAGCTCCCAGAACTCCTTCTCCATGCCCTTTTCCATTTGGTCGGGCAGGATGACTTCATAGGTAACATAGAGATTGCCAAATTCGTGCTTGTGGTAGACGCTGTCGCCGTCCTCGTGCCACTTGGGCATACCTTCGCCAGGTACCGTCTCGATGTGTCCGCTTTGAATAACCTGCCCTCTTTCGCGTCCAAGGCGGACGACGTGGGCATCCAAATGTGTCAGGTTTCTGGTCCAGCCTCCCATCCAGGCCTCTCGGAGGGACAGGACTTCGGTCCAGTAGAGGTCATCGCCCTTGCGGCGGAAGAATGCGCCGTCAACGCCGTCGGGGTTGTTGTCTCGGGAAGGAGCTTGTTCAGCAAGGGTTACAAGGAGGTCACCGGCAACCCAGTCGGGGCTTTCGTCGGCTTCGTTTTCGTACGTCACGCGCGAGTCGCGGCCAGCGCCACGGTCAATCTTGAGAGTCACAGCTGTCGGCTTCTTCTCAACACGGGCGCCGCCACAGGTTGTGCAGAGCTTCTGAATAGTCTTGCCGCGGCCACCACAGGCATCGCAGCGCATCTGCATCTGCTGGAACATGCCTGGAGCGAGCTGCTGCTTAACGATGCGAACACCGTGACCACCGCAAGTCTTGCAGTGATCAACCTTTTTATCGGCGCTGCCTGTACCTTCACAAGCCTCGCAGATGTGCTGCCTGTTCCAGTGGAATTCAGTAGTGGCGCCGTTATAGAAATCGCGGAGAGAAATTTCGACCTTGACCTCCACGTTGTGACCACGAGGCTCGCGAGACGAGTGGCCAAAGTGGCCGTGACCACCAAAGAATCGGCTAAACATATCAAAGGGATCGTGGCCACCGTTTCCACCACCATTGCGGCTGTTCTGTACTCCCTCGTGGCCGTATCGATCGTAGATCTGTCGTGTTTCGGAGTTGCTTAGAACATCGTATGCTTCGGAGACGGCGACAAACTTTTCGTGAGCTGATTCGTCTCCTCTATAGATATTGGTTAGTGGAATGTACTAATACAACTAAGAGTGCCGATAGGCTAGGCTGGAGGACAACTCACGGGTTCTTGTCGGGGTGGAATTTCTTGGAAAGCTGTCGGTATGCTGTCTTGAGTTGCTTGTCGGTAGCAGCCTTGTCTACACCAAGGACCTGGGCGATGATACGTTAGCATATTGCTAATGCATAGCGATGAGAATGACAGGGCATACCTTGTAATAATCTTCAGCGCAAAGCGCCAACTGCGCAAAGGCGACAAACACCAGCAGCAACAGAGACTGAAGCAACATGGTGATGACTTTGGACACAGAGCCCGGATTTGCCGAGTCAGGAGAAAACACAAAATTCTAAACGGGTATCTAGATATCTAGATGCTCGAAAAGGAAACGAAGACCAATACGCGATGCAGATACTATCTCATGATCCTGCGGAGAGAAGCGAATGACGACAGATTGGCAGAGGCGAGTTGCCGCTTTGATGCAAAGTTACAGCGTGTTCTCAACTTTTAGCGGGGCGGCGATTTCCCCTTGCAGAGCCTGTAGCGTAGCGCTCAGCAGCCTGGTCTTAGCGTCCATTTTTAGCGCTCTGGGGTCGTGTCAACGCCTGTAATTTTTGCTGCGCTGTGATTGGCTGGCGCGCCAGATGCTACTTCAAGGCAGCCACTGGCAGAAAATCGACGAAACATCACGAGCTCGGTTTTCTTTGCCGACGCAGCGTCTTTATTTTCGTCCGACGGGTTATATTGGAGAATTTGAGGGAATTGGAATTAGCGGTCGACATGAGTTCCAAGAAATACGCCTTCCTTCCTATGGAAGACAGCGAGGTCGGCCCTCAAAAGGTTTCCAAAGACAAGAAGCATCGCAGACGACACCGAGATCGTGATCACGATAGAGACCAAGACCGAGACCGAGATGATCGAAGGCATAGAGACCGAAGCCGTGAACGGAGTGATCGCCCCTCGAAATCATCAAGACATCATCGCGACGACAGCCGTTCAAGGTCTCCACGACATAACACCTCTAGCCGACACACGTCTTCCAAGTCGTATCGCAAACGCGACAACGACGCTGCCTTTGAAGATCGCTGGGCAGACGAAGAACAAGAAGAAGAGCAACAAATGGACGAATCAGACAGACAAGAGTCGGCCAACAAACGAATCAAAATCGACCACGAAGAAACGCCCGACGATGAGCTTTCCGATGGCGCGCGAGAGGAGCGCAATCGACAAAAGGATATTGAAGAGCGAGAGGCCTTTGCGAAGCGACTTAGGGAAAAAGACGGTGGCAAATCGAAAAAGGATCACCGAGATGGTGAGGCGTCTGCTCGTCGACAACTAGCCGATGATGCCGTCGCCCGAGAAGCTGCCATGCCTGGCTTGCGCGAACGCGCGCGTCAAGAATATCTTAAGAAGCGAGAGGTCGAACGATTGGCGTTGCTGCGAAAGCAAGTTGCCGACGAAACCGCCGAACTGGAAAGTGGTGTACGCTTGTCAGAAAGGGAAAAAGCAGATTTTGCCCAAAATAGAGAGATTCTGCGACTAGCAGAGGAGAGATTACGAATTGACGACCACCGCGATGGCTACGTAATGCCAGAGGATTACATCACTGAAAAAGGAAAGCTGGATCGCAGAAAGAAGGAGGACGCCATGTACAAACGATATGTTGACCGCGATGAGCAAGGCCAAGAGAGGTTTCTCACAGAGCACGACGAATGGGAGCGTGACCAAGCATCCAAGATCAAATCTCAGATTAGCCGACCCGAGTTGGTAAACGAAGACTACGACTATGTCATGGACGATACACAATACATTCAGTGGACCTTGGACTCGAGAATGGCTGGCGAGAATCCCGATGGCCTTACCAAAGAACAGCGGTTCTTGAAGGAGCAGATCGACGCCGCCGAGAAGAAGGCACTAAGCATTCAAGAGACGCGAAATAGTTTGCCCATTTACCAGTATAGGGACGAATTCTTGGCTGCGCTTGAAGACCATCAAATCATTGTCATTGTCGGTGAAACCGGCAGTGGTAAAACAACACAGCTTCCCCAATATTTACACGAAGCAGGCTACACTAAGAATGGCCAAAAGGTCGGATGTACTCAACCCCGTCGAGTTGCCGCCATGAGTGTTGCTACCCGTGTTGCAGAAGAAATGGGCGTCAAGGTCGGAAACGAAGTCGGCTATTCAGTACGATTTGATGACAACACGAGTGACAAGACAATAGTCAAGTACATGACTGACGGTATGCTTCTTCGAGAATTCATGACTGAGCCTGACTTGGCAGGCTACTCAGCTCTGATGATTGACGAAGCCCACGAACGTACTGTCCATACTGATATTCTACTTGCGCTCGTCAAAGATCTTGCAAGAGAACGCAAAGATCTCAAGCTACTGATTTCCTCCGCCACCATGAATGCAGAGAAGTTTGCAGCGTATTTTGATGATGCGCCCATTTTCAATATCCCTGGCCGAAGATACCCAGTCGACATTTACTACACGCCAGCACCCGAAGCAAACTATCTGGCTGCCGCCATCACCACTGTCTTTCAAATACACACTACCCAAGGCAAGGGTGACATTCTCATCTTTTTGACTGGTCAGGATGAGATTGAGGCAGCAGAACAGGAGATTGCTGAAACAGCCAAAAAGCTCGGTAACAGAGTCAAGGAGCTAGTGATTTGCCCGATTTATGCAAACCTGCCTTCTGAGCTACAAGCGAAAATCTTTGAACCGACTCCAGAAGGAGCCCGCAAAGTAGTCTTGGCGACAAACATTGCCGAAACCAGTTTGACTATTGACGGCATCGTCTACGTTATCGATCCTGGCTACGTCAAGGAGAACGTGTATAACCCGGCCACTGGCATGTCGAATCTCATTGTTGTGCCATGCTCGAGAGCTTCTGCAAACCAGCGAAGTGGTCGTGCTGGCCGTGTCGGACCGGGTAAATGCTTCCGCTTGTACACCAAGTTTGCGTATATGAACGAAATGGACGAGTCGCCAACGCCAGAAATTCAGCGAACCAACTTGAATAGTGTTGTGCTTCAGCTAAAGTCTCTTGGCATCAACGAGTTACTCGATTTTGAATTCATGGACCCGCCGCCCACAGAGTCTCTCATCGGAGCTCTGAACCAACTGTTTGCCTTGCAGGCACTGAACCACAAGGGCGAACTGACGAAACTGGGGCGCCAAATGGCTGAATTTCCGACTGAGCCGACGCTGGCCAAGGCTGTTTTGGCGGCTGATAAGGAGGGCTGTGTCGAAGAGGTGCTATCTATTGTTTCTATGCTCGGAGAGGCATCTGCGCTATTCTTCCGACCAAAGGACAAGAAGATTCATGCCGACAGTGCAAGGAACCGCTTTACCATCAAGGATGGAGGCGACCATATCACACTACTTAACATCTGGAATCAGTGGGTTGACAGCGACTTCTCCCCTGTATGGTCAAAGGAGAACTTCCTGCAGCAGAGATCATTGACCCGTGCTAGAGATGTGCGTGATCAACTTTCGAAGCTTTGCGAGCGCGTGGAAGTTGCGCCATCAACATGCGGCGCTACAAACATCATCCCTATCAAGCGAGCCATTACGGCTGGCTTCTTCCCCAACGCAGCTAGACTGCAGCGAAGTGGTGACAGCTACCGCACGGTCAAGAGCAATGCCACCGTATGGGTCCATCCCAGCAGTGTCTTGATGTCTGTTAACCCGCCAGAGAAAATGGTGGTGTACTTTGAACTGGTGCAGACTACAAAGGAGTATATGCGCAGCGTTATGCCTATTGAAGCGAAATGGCTTGCGGAACTAGCGCCGCATTTCCATAAAAAGAAGGATATCGAAGAACTCGAAGAAAAGAAGATGCCAAAGAGGAGATAGCCTATTAGTAGCGACATTACTTGAATATACCCCGAATCAGTACACACATGCCACAAATCACACAGTCTATTCCCAGGACCGGCTCGCACGGCGCTGAGACCCACACCGGGCCGGAGCGGGGGACCCGACCCGAATGACCCGACCCGGGGCTCAGCCATCCGTAACGTGATTGATACGTTATGCGCTTAGTCAAAGGAGTATATAAATCCGACTGAGGTAGCACCTATGATAGCTATGTGAATCAAACAACAAAGACTCGCATATCAAAATGAAGGCCGTACAAATCTTAGGCTCCGCCGAGAGCCACACCATCTCTCTCACCTCCGACATGGCGAAGCCAACAGCCGCCGCAAATGAAGTTGTTGTCCAAGTCAAAGCCGCTGGAATCACCGCAGACGAAGTCTCTTGGCCAGAACTTTACGCTTCTGAAGACCAAGTACCTGGCCACGACATCTCGGGTGTTGTCGACAGCCTCGGCCCTGGCTACAACGGTCCGCTCCGGGTTGGCGATGAAGTCTTTGGTATGATTGCTGCTTCAGCAAGACAGGGAGGCCAGGCCGAATACGCTCCCGTTATGGCGTCAGAGCTTTCAATCAAACCAAAGACGATTTCTCATGAGAGCGCTGCTGCGCTTCCTATCCCTGTACTCACTGCCTGGGAAGGAGTGTTTACCCACGCTAAGCTGCAACGGGGAGCAAAGGTGTTTGTCACTGGTGCATCTGGTGCCGTGGGAAGCATGGTTGTTCAAATGGCTAGCAAGCTCTTGGACGCACATGTGATTGGACTGGCTTCGGGTACGAAACAGGCCGATGTGGTAGCCCTTGGCGCGAAGGAATGCATCGACTACAGCGCTCCTGACTGGCATCAGAAGGTCAAAGATATGGATCTTGTGTTTGATACAGTTGGCGGTGAAACGCTTGACAGGTGTTGGCAAACACTGAAAAGTGATGGTCACCTTGTTACTGTCGGAGACCCTATTCCAGAATGGGCGTTTGGCCGCGGTGAACCAAAGGAGTTGGCGACTTATCCGAATGTGAAGTGGACATTCTTTATAGTATCGCCAGATGCTGAAATGCTTCGCCATATCGGAAGCCTCATAGAGGAAAATGTCTTGAAGCCTCTAGCTATTGAGGAGTTCGGAGTTGATGACGCGAAAGCTGCATGGGAACATGCCGCCAAGCGTGGTAGGAAGGGCAAGGTTGTGATCCAGTTTTAAGTATGTACTATTATTATTCTAAAAATGAAATGATTAATTTGTATATATTCATATCGGCGGATACGATTCGGTCGATTCGGTTGCTGTTGTGTCAAAATATACATTGAGATCTTCCACTCTATCCTTGTCTAAAATATCCATGCTGATGTTTCCCACGGTTTGGCTAGAACGCGAGGGCAATCCTTGCGAGTCTTTCACCTCGAAAACAGCCTTGGCCATGAACTTGACTTCGCTTGACCACTTCGTAGCTTGTGGCCAGATGCCTTCGAAAGCCTTGAGAATGCCTAGGAAGACGCGGACACGATCCTTGGCATGCGCATACTCATGTCCCTTGAGCATGTATTCACACGCCGATAGATGCGTGGCCATGGCTAGCGAACCCATGCACATAACGAATGGGGAATGAGAAATAGGAGGCGCTGGAACAGATAGTAAATCGACGAATGCTTTGGCAGCTAGTATGGCTTTGGAGGTGTGCCGGTCACTTTGGCGCTCTTCTCGTGAAAGGACCTCAGCCGGCAGAGGAGGTGCGTATCTTGAACACAAAAGTTCCATTGTACTGTATTCGAGCACAGATCGTGGCCGGTGGAGGTGAGTTGCTACGCTGAAGGGAATGTTAGCTTCGTAAAGGGGGGCGCCATCGGAATTATGACTTACGTTTGGATCATTAGATGGCCCCTAAAGAGTACTTCATCTACAAAATTGTTTTGTTGAACAGGGTCTCGCTTGCTTGCAGGAAGGTGAAGATGCCAGCTCATGACGTTGGCCTCGGCATTCTTGACAAGATCCAGCGGATTTTTGCCAGCAACATCGCCCGCTGCTAGACAAGTGCCTAGAATTCGAGCACCATCGATTAGATATGTATAGGAAGAAAAAGTTGTTTCGCCATATTCAAATTCGCGGTTGTCGTATTCCGCCAGTGAACGAGGCGTGGGGATGGTCTAGGGAGTTAAGTTAGTACAAAGAGATTGCCCTTGGGACTTTGCGCCTGTGAGTTTGTTTACAAGTGAGGTGTAGTCGGATTCTTCGCAAGGCAAGTCCACGTCAAAGTCGACACTGTGGAGCTCGAAAGTGGGCAGATGACGGATTCCGGCAAAAAGGCTGTCCAGTATATACAATTCGTACCAGGTTCTGCGCATACTCTCTTGCAGGACACTGTCCCCGCGTCCATGTTTGTCGGTGAACATGCGCCAATGTAGACCCATATCTAATGCCATAGATTTTGATTTGCTCAATATTTGCTCAGCATCAGGACAGTCGCCGCTCCATTCAAGTATCAACGCATATAACATTAGCGCCTGGACCTGAAAAACAGATGGAGCGAGCCGTTTGCTCAAGCACTGTTCCAAGGCTAGCCGGCTGCTCTTATCCAACACTCTATGTTCATAATGTGAACCAATCAATTCCATGGCTGACTTAAGCGATGCTATAGCGCCTGGATCTTTCTGACAGTATGATTCGAACCTTGATCTGGGCAGGACGAAAGGATGCGCTGGGAAGAACCATGAGTAGAATGAGTCCAAGAGTCGATTTGGCGTTGATGAGAGCGTTTCTGGTTGACTCAAAGGTTGTAAAGGCATTGAATTTGAAGTTGATTGCTGCAGTGTCACCGATGCTGGGGTCAACGGGAACGTTGTGACTGGTTCCAGAGTGATTGTCGAGCTCAATGGGATCGCCTCAGCCACCTCGTCCAATACGGAGGAACGGCAGGCTGCTGTCTTGGTGCGCCGTAAATCTTTATAGACGCATTTTTTCTCTAAGAAAGTACAGCGAGAGCATTTTGGCATTTTGGCATCGCATCGTAAATGCTGAGCACGACAGTTGGTGCATGCAATGGACACTCGAGGCTTCTTGCGAACAGCACCAGAACTGGTGCTTGGAGAGGAATCCATGCCGTATTGTGAGTATCATAAGGAAACGAGATTGATTTGATTCATATTTGAGTGGAAGCCATTGAGCTGATAGAATTACAACGGATGATAACAGAACACCGATGAATACAAAGACAGTCCTTATGACGTTAGGTTGCCCACTCGATCGGGTCGGCTTTTCTCTGGCTGCGTGGGTCAGACGGATTGCGCACTGTGTGTCACTGCCCGCCAGGTGGCAAAACTGCTAAACTGACATGTGCCAGCTGGCATCATGATAAAATAAGAATTAAACTTGAGATATTACTTTTCCCAGGCTTCCAATTCTTTAGCAACAACTCGGTTCTCTAACTGGCGATCTCCAATGCAGAGTTCGGACAAGGTGAGCCGGAGGGCTTGGCTCTAACCACCAATGACACATTCCAACGCTTTGCTGTTGAGTCAAGTTTAAGCCACTGCTAAGTTGTAGCACACACGCCTTGTTTTCCTTGCAGCCTCGACCTTAGTACTAGTTTGTGTAGAGAAACACCCTTTTCGTCGAAGATATAAAGGCTATATATCCAGTCGGAGGATTCTACTTCGGCAACTGATGGGATGAAATATAAAGAAAAAGGTATGAGACTACAGGAAGGTGAGCACTACTGAGAACAAGTCGAGGAAGCCAGCCGTCATTAGTTCCGCGACGCGATACCGCAATAATCAACCAGTAACGAGCCCGCCTATCCATTCCACAGTTCGCTTCAAGCTTAGACTGGACATTCAAACTCAGGTGCCCACGTCCGGCATCCTGTCATGCTTTCCCGGCAGACACACCCCCACTGCACGGCATGTCGGACGGGTTGATGAGTACCCGCATGAATATCTCTCTTCTATCACATCTGTTCTCCTGTCTGGGGGGCACTGATTGGAACTGTCTGAGATTTGGAGGTTTCGAAATTGGGCACAGCAGTGTGCAGACGCGAGCGTGCCTCTACATTCCCACTTGGGTGAGACACACAAAATAAGGATGGACCTTCACACGCGCCTAGGATTGGCCCGTAGTGCGTCCTAGGCTTTAAGCGATAAACACACTGCAGGGAATAGCCATTCTTTTGAATGACTATTTTCAAATTGGACCCATTGCTTGCCCCGGCCCTATGATTCACGCACCAAGACATGCCAGGCCTTCCCTACCACCTGCAAGCCTATGTTCGCCGTGTTGGGCTTGACGGCAATGCACCGTTTTGTTCCCAGCGCGTTCCCTAGTCCAAGCACAATTACTGGATGGAGAATTGTACCTAGAGATCCATCGGCACAGCATACATCCCATTCTTAGGCTTAGTCTGGTCTTGGGGGTCTGCTGCCAAGCTACTGTCTTTAGATGCAGCGCCTGGAGATGCCCTCTAGCCTTGGCGCAAGATCCCGACCAACGTCGCCAACGTCGAAACACCCAGTGTACTCTCTTATTCAGGAGAAGTTAAAAAAAGTTTGCTGCACATTTTTAGGTTGCTTTTTTGCTCTACCGCCCCTGACGAAAAACGCCACTTTGTGCCACTCTAATGCCAAAGTAAATGACGACGCGCCGACTGGCGCGAGGATTCGGTTTGTGGATGTCTCACATCACGGCCCGTTTATTTTGATATCGCAGCTCACCACCAATGCCGCTGAAATTCAACCAACGCGGTAGGAGGGCCTGTATTTTGATTAGGAGACCATATGGAATTACTATATAGGCACCGAAAAGCCACCGCTAGTGTGCAGTCTTGGCTTCTTCCATCAACCACTCTCATTTACCTTTATTGATATCTCTAGTTCCTCGGGACGTTCCATTCTTTTTTACATCTCAGCACTTTGCTTTGTCTCTTTCAACATGAAGTTCATCAACACTCTTGTCTTCGCCGCTGCGGCCTCTGCTGCCCCCACTGGCCTCCCTCTCAACATCAACTCTGATGACAAGCTCGTTCAGCAGCTTGACCGCATGCTTGAGCTTGTCGACAACATTGACCTCACCGCTGAGTCCTTTGACAAGGGCGCTGCTAAGGTCATCAGTGAAATCGACACCACTGGTGTCCTGACCGGCACTCCTGCCAAGGTCAACGCCCGCAGCGCCATTAAGCTCAACCTCAAGGACCTCCTCGGCGAGAACAAGGAGACTGACTTCGAGTTCAACCCCAATGAGCTTATCAGCTCCGAGGGCATGTTGACTATTGTCAAGCGTGAGATCATCCCCGATAACTTCGACCCCAATGCCATCACCAAGCTTGGCCCCAACCCCACTGTCCAACAGATCGTTGATGCTCTGCACCTTGATCTTCCCGACAAGGCCAAGCCCTACCTTAACGGCAAACGTCAGCTTGGTGGCACCCTCGGTGCCGCTGGCTCTGCCAACATGCAGACCGTCGGTGCTCTCAACAAGCTCGGCGATGATGCCACTGTCAAGGACATTCTTACCGCCTTGAACGTTCCCATTGACCCCAAGGCCGCTCCTTACCTCAACGGCAAGCGCCAGCTTGGCCCCGTTGATCTTGATGCTGTTAGCAAAATCGGTGACAACGCCACTGTTAAGCAGATTCTTGATATCCTCCACGTCGGTGTTGACCCCAAGGCTGCCCCCTACCTCAGCGGCAGCAAGCGTGAGGTTTCTGTTGATGACGGCTCTGTCAAGGATATCGTTGCCGATTACGTCGACAAGATCACCAAGGAGTCTGTTGATAACACCGCCATCCACATTGCCGGCGGCGCTCTTGACGTCTAAGGAATTCAAGATGGACGAGGTTGAACTTTTGAGCATGGTTGCCACCTAATGGGCACTAAGCCATTTTGCAAGTGGGTTTGGAAAGCAATAGTAAATAAAAATAGTACAAGACAGTGCGAGAGTAAATAGAAGCGGATTGTTTGTCTCCCTCTAATCTCATCACAATGGGAGTTAGTTCAATTTAACAAATGTTCTGCTGTAATCTCATTGTATGATTGCTTCATTGCGAGTTCGTTATTGCCGGCCGTTATATAAGTGGTATAGTAGTCTACAAGAGTTCGCATTCGATGATGCAGTCATTTAAGCTTTTGGTGTACTGGTGGAACTGTTTGATCTTGAGTCCCGCCGACGCCATGAGAGTTTCCCATTGTGACTGGGATCGTTCGCAAGCACCAAGAACAGACATCATCATCATGTCGAGCTGCGTGGCTTGCCAGTGAGCCCCTGTCTTTGGTACGACCATTTCGTCAATGAGAAGGACCGAGTCAGGACCCATGGCGTCTCTGGTGTGGCGAAGGATTATCGCAGCCTTGTCGTCCGGCCAGTCGTGCATAATATTCCTCATATAGTACATGCGGGCGCCCTTTATAGGCTGCGGTTGCCAAAAGTCGTGTGCCATGTGCTGAACTCCTGTATCTGGGGGTGCCTGCGCTACCACAGCCTCCAAATCTTGCACGATAATGGGGTTGGTAATGCTGTCGGGGAGCGCTTCACGTAAAAGTGCACTTTGATGGCCAACGCCTCCACCAATATCTACAAAGACTGGGCGGTCGTTTGCCACCCCCGTTGCATAGTTAATGTAAGGGAATTTATCCAGCCACTTGGGCATACCATCACGCTGTATGGTCATGTACTGGTTAAATTTGGGGAACAAGCTGGGCTGCTGCGGCAGCCACTCAAATGCAGACTTGTCCGAGTTGTGGCCTTTGTTAAACGGGCAGTGGGTCGGGTCGTTAATATCCTTGTAGCCCGTCTCCTTGAGGAACTCAGGGAGAGCGAGGAAACAAGGCCATGCGAAATCAAAGCTATGAACAGTGCGTCAGCATATGATTGGGTGTCTGAGAAAGAGGCTTGCAGTGGCCCTTTAAGCGCTTACTTGTGGTAAATGGCGCCTTGCCAAGCGGGGTTGGCCAGGGTCTTGGTTGTCTTGTTGGCCGTGTAAGTGTCCTCCTGCGTCTCGGTCAAAGCCCCTACAGACGCCAAATAGCGTAGTATGCGGGCTGCCAAACGAGTGAGAAAAAAAATTAGCCTTGCGCCGGAGAGTAGGCTGCGATGGTGGGGGACCTTACCAACTAAGTTGGGAGCAGCGCCCGTGCGTGCCGCAATGTCGCTGGCGGCAATGGGTACCGGGCTGTCGACCACGTGGTTGAATATTTGAAGGTCGCAGGCAACTCTTGCAACAGAAATGTAAACGTGCTGTTGACAGTAATGTTAGTATCGTGTTGCTGAAGTGGTCTATAGACCAACTAATCATACCAGATAGAGTAACCGTTGCATCATGTCTTGTGGGCTTTCAATGGATAAGGCTAAGCCGTTGAGTGTATCGATGAGCTTCTTGCGCTGTGCCTCATCTGCCTGTTCAGCTAGCTGCTGAACAGATGATATGAGAGGCTCCATTGTTGATATGGCACCGGGGGGATACGGCTGGCTTGATCTAGCAAGATTGACGAAGAAAGGCGTCGGATCATGACGGGGAGTGAGAAGCGAGGGATGCCACAGAGATCCGGGAGGTGGGTGATAATAAATACAGAGACGTACCAAGCCGCCACTAATTCCGTGAAGTAGCCTGATTGAGTAAGTGGCGGCTTCAGACGCCCAATTCAGTGGTTATTGTAGGCTGCGAACCAATTAGCCAGAGGGGCGGAGAGCGGGATAACGACGGACCAAGGAGGAACTCAAGCCACCGCCGTAGTGCATAAATGAATAGTTGCACTTTGGTCTACCTTCTAATCCTGGTCATATCATGCTCCATAGGTGGCGCGCAATTAGACGAGCTTTGCAGCCTTATTCTCCCTTGCCATAGCGAGGCTGACCCCGTCACTCGGTGACTTTAAAGCTAGTAGAGGAGGCACTTCGCACACAGCTGGAGGAATTTCCTTGAAGTGAACAAGATGACGTTGTGACTAGGCAGCCACTTGTAGTACTTGTGGTTGGTGCTGCATATCGTCACAGTGATGCAGAACCAGTAATGTGCAGCCGCCACAAGACTGTGTGCGAACCACTGCGAGCTGCTATTGGCCTCCTGTGTAACGAGTATGGATGCGACGATCCTTCAGCTGTTAGAAAATAAGGCTAGAGCAGAGGTGCGTGTGCCGCGGAACTAGGATCAACATGAGAGGTGGGCTACTGGACTCACGAGTCACATTAGCTCCGTGGAATGGGGGATACGTCCAAGCCTTTTTGTCCGAGATTATTGATCATACATTAAAACACAAGTCATGTGTCCAAGACTAAGTTTCTTGCGGTACCATAGACATTGATTGACCTTAAAGTGAAAATGCCTGGTCTCCCTACCGAGGAGATGCCACAAGGCTTCTTGTTGCATGTCGTGTGTTGAGGAGGACGCCACCGCTTTCTCATTCTATTTCCGTGTCATGCAATTGAAGACAGTATTTGGAAATGTCGCTTTCAACCAACAAAATAATTGAGTATCGACGAGAGGAAGGCTATGGGAGTGTACAACGGCAGCAACTAGAGCAGGGCGACAGTCTGTTGTGCAAGTTGGGGGTCAAGAGAAACCGGTGAGAAAGGCGACTGTTGGCGGCTGCCAGGTGCCAACGCATGCACAGGCACTGCCACGGCAATGCCAACTTACACTTGAGAACCACTGAGAGTGTGCCTTAATCTATTTATCCGCCGGTGGCTCTGGTGCTAGTGTGTGGCGGCAGCAGTGAACATACAAAGTGCCCGTTTGGATTTGAGATTCAAACAGGGGCGAGGAAAGACGGCGGCTGCAGCCATCTCAAGACCAGTCGATGAATTCTTGGCGCATGTAACCCAGCGCATATCTTGGGTGACATTTTTTTTTTCATTTGTTTGCTTGCTAAGGCGCATCTCAAACCCTGACACACTCAATCTCTAACAAACTTCGGCACTGGAGCGGGGCCGGCTGTAGGGCGCTGGACGCACGCTTGCAGGGGCTACAATGCTACGTCGGCCCCAATTTCTAGGCGGCACGCCGGCACCGAACCCGTGGATCCGCCCGGTCGTAGTGTGGTGTTGGTCGGCCGTGTTCACATTGCTTCGCAGGACAGCCTCATTATCTATGTCTTGCTCGTATCTACTAAACTCGGACTATGTATTTCTGCGCAACTGCGTCTATCCTAACAAAAAAAATATCTTAAAAATCCGCATCCATTACTTGCGCTTGAAGAAGCCAAGCACCTTCTTCTTCGCATCGCGCAGTTTGTCCTTTTGGTCGGGAGCCTCGCGGCTTGCGTTAGCTTGCTCTTGGGTATCAAGTTGGTTAGTGTATTTGTTCATGAGGTTTTGAGCAAACGACACGATGTTGCCATCATTCTTCTTTTCGTCATCGTCCTTCTTTTCTTCGTTTGTCTTGTCATCATCCTTCTTTTCCTCTGTCTTATCATCGTCCTTCTTTTCTTCGTTTGTCTTGTCGTCATCCTTCTTCTCTGGAGGTACCGGAGGGTTCTCGCCTTCTGCCACTGGTGCTGGAGGAACACCGTCTGCTGGCGGTACAGCAGCAACGGGCACACCAGTCTCGGGATCCTCGAATAAATCCATGACTTTGCCTTCGCCAAATACACGCTCATAGACAGCAAGGGTCGTGCCAAACTCCTGTTTTCCACCCGCCTTGATAGCATCAAGAAGCTGCAGGGCGTATGTTTGACAATTGTTGGAGATTAGGTTATATCCAGGCTGTTTCTCACGGATGGTGGCAATCACGGCCTCGCCTGTACTGCATATTAGCACTCCCTGGTAGAAAATGGTATGTATCATGGTCCACATACCGGCACGGCGGACGGCATCATCATTGAGATGGGTCTGGCCGACCTCAAAGGTAGTCCATTCCTCCCGTTTAATCTTCTCGTTGATGTAAATGACATCAAAGTTCTCATCCTGTTACCAGTCAGCAGCTGTCTGTTTTAGCCAACGGAGTAAAGAGCTCACCATCCACAGCTGGTGTACAAAGTCGCCGACCAAAACTGCCCAATGCTGGGTAGGATCGGGATATTTGTTGATCTTCTCGGTAATAAGCTTGCCAAGACCAGTCCGCTCCGCAAACCACTTGCCTGCTAGACCGCCGACTGGGTGCCAGCCAATCTCAACGTTACGCGCCTCGCCGCGACCGGGTTCCCCTACGGGCACGACGTTGGGCGTCTGGCCAAGACCAATAGCATGCTTTAAGGCTAGCTCTCCTTTGTTTAGGTTTTTCTGTCTTAATTGAGGTGTGTGTCTTAGTAGGCGAAAGCATAACATGATTAGTCGGTGAGCTTACAGAAATGCGCCAATCTTGCCAGCGGAGCTGGTTTCTGTCTTTTCTGATTCAGCCTTGGTCGACATGGTGCTTCAGCCACAGTGGCAGTCCGCCAATCAATAAATAGGAGCAGTAAATGGGAACTCGGGGGGTTCTAATTTTGCTATCATCACTGCGCTGTAAACAAGAATCCATCAGTGCATGATACCAAACTTGGCTGGTGCGTCTTTGCGGGGCCGATCAGATCACGTGCGGGCAGCTGGCGCAGCTGGCTAAATGAGTTGGCATCTTTGCAATGTAGCTGGCAAAGAAACTTTGTAGGTCCAACAACATTTCCATTGAAACCATGAATACTATAGAGAGCAACTAAGGATCATAGCGCATCTATGGTGTACTTTAGGCAACCTTTGGTGGCAAAGACAAGGATGCCACCACTCAAGTCCCACAGAATGGCCTGTGTGCCGAGTTGCTCTTACAGGGGACGAGCCGCACAACAGTGATCGACTAAAGAACCCATTGTGCCATTAGTTGCGGCTCTGAAGAAATTCCACAGAGCTTCGCCTGCTCTGTACCTGCACCACGATCGCCAGTGCCTCGTGGCCGTTGCAGGCACACACCAAAAGCGAGGCCGACAGGGGACTTTCCCGGGCTGTGGAGGATGCGGCGCGGACTTATTGGAAACGAACCATTACTCAGCTTGTACCGAGTGCTCTGTTATCGTCTTGTTAAAGTAATACACCAAAGTCAGCAAATTCAGCCCATTGTCGGGCGACCTACAGTTCGATCATGGAATGCTTGCAACTTTCACGTCCATCGCCACCACTCAGACGCTACCCTGATCGCTGATCCCTTTGCACATGAGGGTACAATAGAACGTTTACCTGGTTCCGATCTCCAGCAAGAAAAAACGATTGTGGTCGGGCTACTTGCCTGGGAAAGTCGCTTGTCTGAGGCCGTTTTGCAAGAATAGAACCACGTTTCAGGAGCGGGATTCATGCCCTGTCGTGCAGCTAATTTGTCTTATGTCAGGCCAGATGCCGCTATAAGATGCCCAAAAGGGCAAAAAGCTGGTGTAATCCCGCTCCCCGGTTAGCGCGGAAGCTCCGCCAAAGAAGACGCTAGTGCCTCCAGTGACCCAAGACAGTGCTGTTGAGCCTCTGTAAGCCCCTAAGCCAGCGCCCCAAATGGATGGGCCTTTTCCGAACCCCGGCGCTCGATCTGCACCATGTCAAAGAGGTGCACGAATCCCGCCTCTGGAACCCATCATCCTGACGTGATGTCAGAATCTAGTTCCCAGGCGGCGCGGGAAATTGTGTGAGCTATGTACCATGGGCTGATCCAGCATATATAATAAGTGGCCGGCAAATCAACCGTTGCCTTACGGTCAGCGTACCCTTGGGAGCTCGAACTTTGCTCACTTTGTTTTCTCTGTCTGTCTTTCCCTTTTACACCAACAGTTTTGTAAGGTCTACACCAAGCCGAGAAGCCAGCATCTGAGAGAGAAGCACAACGCTCTTTAGACACTATGGCTTTGACACAGCTAGCCCTTGCCCTCGTCGGCGCATCGGTCATTGTCAACGTCATTCACACATCATGGCGTCACCGACAAAAGGCCAAGCAACTGGGTTGTAAGCCGCTCCCAGCGGCCCCGATTAGAGACCCTCTCGCCATCACCAACATTTTGGAGATGGTAAAAGCAGACAAGGAAAAGCGAGTACCAGAGCTCCTCGAGGAGCGTGTCGATACAGTGGAAAAGACTTACGGAAAATACCTGACCACCTACCGCCTGAAGCAAGGTCTTGGTGAAAGCATTGTTACCTTTGAGCCTAAGAACATCCAGGCTCTTCTTGCCAACCAATTCAAGGATTTCTGTATCGGATCTACTAGAGAAGGCTGCATGGGCCCCCTTTTGGGACGCGGCATTGTACGTTTTCCTGTTTTTATTGCCGAGCCTGTTGACCAATGTGCTAACATGAAGTCTATAGTTCACCACCGATGGAGCCGAATGGGCACACTCGCGCACCATGTTGAGACCTCAGTTTACTCGCGACCAGATTAGCGACCTCGGCCTTGAGGAAGCTCACGTACAAAACGCCATGCGAGTCATCGCGCAGCCCAACAAGGAGGGCTGGACTGAAGCTGACGTTCAGACCATCTTCTTCCGCCTCACTCTGGATTCCGCTACCGAGATGCTCTTCGGAGAGTCTTGCAACTGCCAACTTACTGCCTTTGAGAGTGAAACCTCTGGTTCCCTCGCCGCCGATTTCTCCAAGTACTTTGACTACGCCCAGTGGAACCTTGCCCAGCGTGTCCGTGTCCCTGGTCTCAGCTTCCTGTACGATACCAAGGAGTTCAAGGACTGCTGCAAGCAGGTTCACCGATTCGTCGATGAGCGTGTTGCCAGTGCCCTTGAACCCGAGAACAAGAAGAAGGCTGAAGATCCCAATGCGCCCTACGTCTTCCTCCACGCCCTCGCTACCACCACCCAAGACCCCCTCGAACTTCGCTCGCAGCTCCTCAACGTTCTCCTCGCCGGCCGCGACACCACCGCCTCTCTTCTGTCCTGGACCATGCTTCTTCTCGCCCGCAACCCTGAAATCTTTGCCAGACTCCGCCGCGACATCATCGAGGCCTTTGGCACCTACGAAAACCCCCACAGCCTCAGCTTCTCCAACCTCAAGTCGTGTCAATTCCTCCAGCACGTCATGAGCGAGAGTCTCCGTCTTTTCCCTCCTCTGCCTGTCAATGCCCGCTACGCTACCAAGGACACTAGCCTGCCTGTTGGTGGTGGCCCTGATGCCCAGGACCCTATCTACGTCAAGAAGGGCCAGGCCGTTCTCTACAGCACCCACGTCCTGCACCGTCGCAAGGACATCTGGGGTGAGGATGCCGCCGAGTTCAAGCCTGACCGCTGGGTCGGCCGCCGTGTCGGATGGGAATTCCTTCCCTTTAACGGTGGTCCTCGTATCTGCATTGGCCAGCAGTTCGCCTTGACTGAGGCTGGCTACGTCCTGGCTCGTTTCCTCCAGCGCTTCGACAAGGTTGAAGAAGTCTACCCCGAACGCAAGTTCACTTGGCAGTTGGCCCTTGTTAGCGCCCCTGGTGAGAACGTCACTGTTCGCTTCCACGAAGCTGCGGCCTCGGCTTAAAAAATGTACATGCTCCTTGAAGCATACTGCTGAGACCCGACGTATATGATCAAATTTCCCATGTGTAATTAGAGTTTTTGTTTTTAAATTAGAATATCTAAGCAACTATTTTACCGTCAATGATAAAATCTTCCACCCAGCCAATGTTTATACTACAACGGTTTAGCAGCGAGACCTCGTAAAGAAACGGTCGGCATGCACTTACAAAACACGGTCGGGATTGGTGAAACGATGATGATCGGGAGCTACTTTTTCTTTATAGAAGGGATCATTCTGAAAATTGATCCAGCATTGTACATCTGGGAAGCGAACCTGTGTGATAATGTCGTAATTGGTTTCATTCGTGAAGAACTGTTGTCCGCCCATCACTTGGTCGAGCAGACCCTTGGTCGTCGAATCGAAAAAGCACTGGTTACAATGAGTTGCGAATTAATTTATATCGTATCGGATGCTTACCATGGTATAGCCAGTAATGCCATGTCGTGCGAGCGCTTCTCTTACGAGTGGTGCGTGTACGTTAGTCATATAATGGCGAAATTCCTCCTCGCTCATGCCGTCACGGCGAGAGCCACATACCGTCCAGGCAAGTGACCTTTTGGTGGTAGCAGTTGTATCGGACATTGGAACGATAAAATCAGAAGATGGAAAGTTTGAAAAACTGAAAGGAAGAAATGCGGCTCATCATACGAGACGTAGGAGCGTTGGCGTTGTGGCGGGCTGTGAATAAGCACCGAACCAGGCTGTGGGAGCTGCAGATCACCAATTTATCCTGACCTCAGTCCCGAGGGTGTATTAATGATGAAAATGCATCAAATATGTATAAAAGATTAACAAAGAAATACAAACAGTCATAACAAGTTTCCACGTGAAAAGTGCTCATCTGACTACACAAAGTAAAATCTTAGGGCAAAACGTAGCCACCATCAATCAGAACATCACTACCCGTTTGGTACGATGACGCGTCGCTGGCAAGATACAGATAGAGACCCTTGATCTCTTTGACATGGCCTTGTCTACCCAATACGGACATGCGATATGCTTCGTTAAGGGCAAGCGGGCCGGCACCCATCTTGGTATCGAAGAAGCCTGGCGAGACGATGTTGACTCTAGCGAACTCCCGCCACTCCCGGGCCAATGATTTGCCGAAATGCGTGACATATGCCTTTGTAGCGTTATAGACGGGCTGGTCGACCGGCACATTGACGATTTGTGCGCTCATGCTGGAAGTGATGATGAGGTTGCCGAAACCTTGGTCCTTGAACACTTGGCCTACATATTTGGCACAGTAAACGACGCCGTCCACTGCTAAAAGTTAGAAGAGCCGGCGTTAAGCGGGCATTTTCTTTGTAAACGTACCATTTACAGACATTTGCTTTTTGTATTCGTCCAACGTCTGTTCTAGAATCGGCTTGGAGATGGCCATTCCTTTTTGTTTGTCAGTCCATGCGTGAGTAATTGGGAGTAAGGTCAGGAATGGCGTACCGGCGTTGGCGACAAAGACATCAATCTTGCCAAACTCTACCACGACTTTTTGAATAACATCCTGAACTTGGTTCGGATCGGAAACTACCCTGATTCAGTATCCATATATTCCTTTTACGGCAACTCAGACTTACCATCAGCCTTGAAGGCAGCTGCCTTGATGTTGTGTGCTAAGGCGAGCCCTTGCGCTCTCACAATCGCCTTGTCATTCCTAGGCCGAATAAATTAGTGAAAATTTCACGGTTTGTTTTTGGCTGAACGCACGAATTGTAAAGAAGAGCAACATCACCACCAGCCTCAGCCATGGCCTCCGCGACCGCAAATCCGATGCCGTCTGCGCCGCCGGTGACGACGACGACCTTGCCGTTCATGCGGAGCTGCTCGAGGACGTTGGACGGAGTGTTGGGGAACGGGCGGGGAAATCCATCACGGACTTTGCCGGTATCTTCAATGGACATGGACATGATTAGTATGTAGAATAGAATGAAGCTGTTAATTAAATAGAGAGAGGGGGAATTATGGCGACGATGGGAATAAAGATACAAATTGAAAAAGCTCTATAAATGACCTGTGATCTCGGACCGATGCCGGTGCGGGGCAGCGCCCGGAGAGAACACCGAGCCGCCAAGAATAGCCTAATGGAATCTTGTAAACGGAAGGAGCCGAATATAATTTTATTCATGCAATGTTTATATTATATATATATATATGTGTGTGTGTGTGTGCGTGTGCGTGTGTATATGTGTATGTGTCCCGTTGTCCGGGTGTTGGTTCAAGGCTCAATAACACGTGTTATCGAAAGGTGAGAGGTTGTAGGGTTAAATCATTGTTGTTTTCTTCAAGTTCCATGGTCGGAACTGCTCTAGCTAAATACACCGAATACATCCTGTATTCACTTCCTTTTCCTATGCCATCCACTTCCAGTGACTTAACTGTTCCTTCACTCATCTGCTAAAGTGACATACGTCCAATGTCACAATAGTCACAACACCGGGTGCTTGTGTGTTACTCATACACAACGTTTACAACTCGAGAGCTTTCAAGTAGCCTGCCTGATCGAAGTCGAATTTTGCCGAAAATAATACGAGGGATCAGATTATTATGAGCGTGCGTCTTTTCTGGTGCAAGCATGTCTAACTTCCAGTCGCTATCAACATTCATAAGTCGAGTAATGGCTTTGCTGGTCTTGGGCAATAAACGGAGTTAAACAGATACAACCCAAATAGAATCAGGTTTGCAAACTTGATGCCATAGTAGTCCTAACTAGTCTATACATACACACAGGGCTTAATTAATAGCTTTATCTAGCACTAAATAAGAGCTAAAGTTGTCCAAGACAAGTTCCGTCCTACCGAGTTTTGAGATAGCTCCCTTCTAGAAAAGTCCTAGATCAGCATGATCGTATAGTTTGCGAAGATTGGCATCCATGCTAAGAATATTGGCTGGAATCTCAAAGGACCTAGCATCATTCTCAAGCCGTGATTGAAGTTGCCCAAGCCGGATAGGATCCACGAATTGGTGCATAGCTTGCAAGCAGATATTCCTCCGTTCAGTTAAATAAGCTGTTTGTGTGTTTGTGTGTGTGCATGGGCATGGGCATGCGTGTGTTTGTGTATATGTATATATATGTGTATGTGTATATGTTTATTGTGTTATTTATACGAAACTTTTACAGCTTGAGAGCCATCCACATTGGTGGTATATGCTGTAGGCGAATGCTCGTTCGTCCTCCCAAGGCAACGTAAATCGATGTACCATACAAGGCTGGGTATCAATAAAGTTAGCTCCGACGAGGCTGATAGCTTGTGAGTACAAACCACGGTAGTACACCTCGGTCGAGTAGGCACGTACAGTTCTTATGCTGCTGGCCACAACAGAGCCAATAGCCCACTAGGCCATTCGGGTACTAACTCCCATCGAGTAAACCTCGCTGAGATAACCAATTATGCTCGAATCTATATCCTCATTCACATAGACATAATCTAGGCTATTACGGATTTGAGCAGTGTGACTAGTCGTAGCATCGGGATTGGGAACAAGTAAGCACGGCGTCATACTGTCGCTTACAGCCTTGATCTCGTGGCATAGTATGCATAAAATGACTTACTTGGTGCCGCGGCTTCATAGAAACAATTAAATATCACGAATAAGCGAAGATTGTAACGAAACAGGTTTTGGTATCATGTCTATTAATTGGTAAATCCAACGCCAATGTCATAATGCTTCCTAAACTCCATAATACAAAAAAGACCAATCGCTCCGCCATTATCTAAAAAGTCTATAAAATCAAGAAACAGAAGAAAAATACGAAAATCCATGAAACAGTCATCCGTGTAGCTTAGTAACCAGCCTTGGTCATTCTGGGCTTGTCATAGCCGCCATATTGCTGGCCATGCTGTCCTGGAGAGTACATGGGAGGCTGGTCGTAGGATTGCTGGCCGCCATATGGTGTCTGCTGCTGGTACTGAGGCTGACCGTACTGGGGCTGGCCATATTGGGGCTGACTATATTGAGGTTGGCCATACCGGGGCTGTTGACCGTACTGAGGCTGGCCCTGAGGAGCATGGGTGTACTGAGACTGACCATACTGAGGCTGCTGGCCATACTGAGGCTGGCCCTTGTAGTCAGGAGGAGGCATGAAGTGATCAGTGCCGCCAGGAGATGTGCGACCAACCTGGGACTGGACGTAGGCGGGCTGACCATACTGAGCAGCCTGGTCCATCTTGGCGGTGGCAGCAGCAATCTCAGCATCGGTAGGCTTGTTGACAATGGTGAGGTAGAGAACGTCCTTGACACCACGCTGGTCCTTCTCAACATCCTTGTGCTGGTCACGGAAGACAGCAAGACGGGGCTGGTAGTCCTCGTCGAGGCGCTTAAGCTGGCGCTCGATTTCGCGCTGGCTCTGGTTCTGGTTGAGGATCTGGTCGCGGCGATCGTTGTACTCGTCCTGGACGCGCTTGGCCTCCTCGTCAATGCGCGCGTGCTTCTTCATTCTGCGGGTCTCGGGGTCCTGGGCCATGGCGCCACCAGTGATGAAACCAAGGAAGCCGCCGTTGTTGGTGGTGCTGTTGGGGTCGAGGAAGCGGTTGCTGAAGGGCTTGGAGACGGGTGTGCTGAGGATGTCGCCCTGGTTCTCGGCGGCGTACTTGGCGCGGGCGCGGCGATCGAGGTAGTCGTTGAAGTTGTCAAAGGCCTTCTTAGCCTTGCCCTTCATGTTCTGGGGCTGCTCCTGTTCGGGAGAGCGGGTGGAAGAGCCGGTAGCGAGGAACTGCTTGTGATCCTCGCGGCCTTCGAGGTAGACAAGAGGAGCAACGGCAGAGGGAAGACCATGCTGGCCCTCAACCTTGCCAGAGACGGGGTCGCGCATCCACGACTTTTGGCCCATGCCACCGAAGCCGTTGGACTTCTTCTCCTTCTTGGGGTCGTCAGGGTCGGGCATGTTGGGGTCGTACTTCATGATCATGCAGTAGAGACCGCGGGGCCCAAAGAGCTCTTCGTTGTACTTGTCGAGCATGCTGTTTGTCCTATGTGATAATGTTGGTTAGAACGGATTTGTTTCCAATTAGAAGAGGGGTAAAAACTCACTTGTGCTTGACGAAGCCCTTGTTGGCCATGTGCGCACCGAGCTGGACTGCCGTGGAAACACCCATAACGATGATTTCGGGAGTGAAACCAACACCGAAAGAGACGACCTGGACACCGGCAAGGTACTTGTTTCCCTGCATGGCGGTGTTGCACTCGTCAATAAAATGCAGGAAGGTCTTGCGGTCAATGCCAACAGCCTCCAGAGACGGGGCATAGGCGGCCATGAAGCCACGCTCCTGAGCGCCAGGGCGCTGCTGAGGAATGACAACGGGTAATTGGAGAGGACCGTTCATTGTGACTGCTGAAGATGTGTGATTTTTTGTGATTATTTTGCAAAGTGCAAATTGCGAGGAGGGGTTAAGTAGAGGCGACCGGTGTTCAGCGGGGAACAGCACGGATGTAAGATGGGACAATGAGAAAAAAAAAGTGGACTGTCCCCTCAAGGTTGAGATGAGCAAAGCTGATTGTGATGATTGCAGACTTGTCAGACGGAACCAAGTAAAGACTTGATTAAAAAGTGATGATGTCTGAAGAGTTAAGTAAGAAGTAGAGTAGAGTAGAGTAGAAGCTTATGATGATTGATGATGAGAGCAAATGGACTTGAGAGGAGCGGGAATCGGCATTTAAAAAGTAAATGGACAGCGGCAAACAGTTTACGGAACGGGATTGAATCCCGGTCGCATACGTAACCAACGGGAAGAGGCGTGGCGCAGGAGGGGGGGAGGGAAAAGCTATCGAATGGCGCGTCTCGGATGTTCCTGCCGTAGGCACGGTTGCATCACATCAAAAACCGCAATTAAAACAGGTCCAACCGCTGTGAGCGAGGGGAAAATCCCAAGCCAACGGGGGGAAAACGGGCCCAACAGGGCTGCCTGTGGGAGGTGCGGGCGGCGGCGCAGCCTGATCGATGCGGCTTGTGTGCGGGATAACCAATGGTTTCCTATTTGGGTGGCTTTTCCCATTCACCGCTGTGCAAGTAGTGGTACTTGTAAACGAGGACCCTAACCCTGGAGTTGTGTGGTTGTCTACACTGTAGAGCTGCCCTTGAGCCCCACAGTCTGATGTACTGGTTACACGGATCGACGTCAGCCGGCTCAAGGTGGGGCAAAGGGCTGGATTGCCTATTTGGGAAACAGTTGTGCTGCACCCTTTTTTTTGCTTGCTTCCCTTGTGCCTTGCAGCGCTCCATGAAAGCCGTTTGGCGCTTGTGTGAGGTAAGCAGCGCGTCGGAGGGTAAGCGTGGGAGCGTAAGAGTAAGAAATGAGGCCCAAATCATGCTATGCTACGGGGATATCATGACCTTTGCGGAAAGCAAGGCAAGCTGGGTCACAAGCAAAAATCTGTATATATAACCCGCGGGTCGTGGGCTTTTCAGACGAGGCGGAAAAAGGCAGCAAGACAGATATCAAATCCCAAAATATAATCATTCGATAGCCCGAAGCTTAGAATATAGCAAAGCCCCAATTATACACCCATTACTACCACACTCTTCCACACACCACCACCAATCATGGCTGCCCCCGCCGAGAAGACCGTCCAAGACCTCAACGGCAAATGGACCATTGTAAGTCGCTGCATACCACCATGCCATTACACAGCCCGGTATACTGACGCGTCACCCTTTTTCTCCCCATGTTTAGAACAGCTCCCTCTCTGGCTCTTCTGATGCCATTCTCAAGATGCAGGGCGTCAACTGGTTGACCCGCAAGGTCATCGGCATGGCCACCATCACCATGAACATCAAGCAGAGCATCGACGAGGATACCAAGGACATGAAGCTCAACATTGAGAACCAGCCCAGCGGTGGTATGCCTGCTTCCCAGGAGAACCGCGTCCTCAACTGGACTCCCGTGGAGCTCAACCACCCCTTGTTCGGTAACATCCGCGGCAAGTCGCGCCAGATCAAGCTTGCCGATCTCGACGACGCGTACCTCAAGTCAGGCTGGGAGGAGGGTACTGAGGATCTCCTCCAGTTCTACACTGAGCACCTTGACAAGGCTGGCGTTGTTACCCAGCAGATTGTCGGTTTCATGATTGTCGATGGCGTCAGACGCCAGGCCAGACAGGTCCTCGTCACTAGCGGCGACGACAGACTTGAGATCAGACTTGTCTACGACTACCTTGGCTCCGAGTAAATTTTTCTAAAAGAAGAACAAGACAGATTCGTTGCATGAAAATAGCGAGCGCCTTGTTTGTATAATTCTTTTTTTTTTACTTCATATTTTTTTATATTTAGATTTCGTTGGAAATACTCATTTGATGAATTAGCATGATACTACATACACCATACCCAAAATACAATGTCCTCGTTATTTCCAGCCTTCATCAATGACTATTTTTTGAACTCCGTATATTGAAGAAAAGTAACACGTAAAATCTAGAGTAAAAAAAGGAGTCTTATACGTCGTTGGAGTTTTTCCGGACTCGAAACACCGACGGGATTTCCAAGATGGTGTGCGTATGTGCGTGTGTGTGTATGTGCCGCACCCTTGGCCGATTTGACGGCGAAACACTCATCAAGGAGATCATTCATCTGCTAACAGCTGAAATTAGCTGTTTCAGAAACAGGCCTTGGTCGCTAAAGCATGTGCCCGGCCGCCGCCCGCGCCCAGGGAGACAAGGGAAATTCGCTTCACCAACACCGATGGCCTCACCGAAGCAATGCTCAGCCACCTGACGGGCCGATAGCGGTATGACGCCGAGAGTAAAGTCCGATGCCAAATCGACAGATCGTCGATATAAATCGCGCCCAAAATGACCAATTCTGCCCCACTGCATTGCGTGGTGGTTACGCGGCCGCTCCGGAAACACCGTAATCCCGATCCTGAATCCCGCGCTCGGCCGTGCCGCGGAGGCAGCAGCGAAAATTTGCAAACAAAAACAAAGAAAAACTTTTCATGGGTGGAACTTTGTGCCAGATATATAATGTCACGGTATCTTCTCTCCTCTTTCTTTACACTTTTCATTACAATACCGTTTTCTTCTCCCCATCGTTGGTAGACTATGCTCGGTGATAGCATTCCACTGCTCTCTTACACCGTTTATAAGTCATACAACTTCACCCTACCACCAGCTCTTCTATACTTATAGGAAATATAGGGAGAAAGTTTACTAACAATCGCCAATTAACAGCCACATATTAACACATTCAGGATACAATCTCACCGTTTCTCGATTTACCATAGACAGCCCCGGTCTAACTCTTACACAAACACCTCCTACACCAAAGAGTCTTTGTCGATTCGACATTTTTACTTGCAAGGCAAATTTACAATTTGCTTGCAATGAAAAAGTTTTCATTGAATCTTGAGACAAGCAAAAGAAACAAGAAACAAGTACAGTACAGTTCATTTGCAAAGAACAATCACAGACACGAGCGAAAGAGAACAAAAAGATTGGAATCAAAATATGCCACTTATTTGATACCTAATATTCTATGGGAGACAAAGGAAAGAAGAAGCTTTTTGAGCAATTTATGCTCAAGTCCAAATCAAAATCAGAAAAATCATCGCAATGCAAAGCGCATCAGAGCATGTAAGCGTCTATAACATGAAAGAGCCAAGGAAAAAAACCGAAAAGAGGAAACGGCCACGCCACATGACCAAGACCAATCTGGTAAGAGAAATATAGATGAGTGAAATGAAAAGACCCAAATGTAAAAGGCAAAAACTCCACGTAAAAGCAATGTACAAAAGTAGAGAAAGTGCGAGCATAAATGACCGGACTGGTTATTTATCGCGTCAGCATGGCCATGGACTTGCCTTCACCGTCAGTGAGAGACATAGCCATGGTGCTGAACTGGTAGCGGAAACCCTCAATCTTAGCCTTGCCAATCCAGACGTGAGCGGGGATTCTGGGGCGGTCGCTGTCAGTGTACTCAGGAATGGTCTCGAGACGCTTGAGGACCTTGGCAATGTCCATGCGGACGGAGCTGTAGTGAGAGTGCTGGTGGGTGGTGTCATCGTTGGTCTTGAGACCACCCATGGCCTGGTCGATCACGTCTTCAGCAAGACGGTCGGCAGGGATGAGGTCGTAGTGACCGCGCCAGGCGTTGGAGTCGGGGAGCTCAGGCATTCTGGCGGCAACATCGACAAACTCCTGGAGGATGTCATCGAGTTCCTGGTCGACAGCCTCGCGGCCGCCGGGAACTGGGAGCTGACGGTGCATGTGGACGGGGAGAGCGAAGTGCTTGGAGAACTTCTCGAGGAAGCGCTCACTGGCCCACTTGGAAGCAACGTAACCGTTGGATCCGTCGTTCTCGGGGTCAGAAGCAAGGGCTTCAGAACCAGAGAGGAAGTGGAAAGGAACAACGCGCTTGTGATCGCGGAGGGCGACGGCAGCGAGACGGGCAAGTTCCTTGGTGGACTGAACGTTGGCGGCACGAACAGATTCGTAGGCAGTCCAGAAAGAGCGGTTAGCACCGCTGTGGATGATCAAGTCGGCTTCTCCGGCAAGGTTGGCGAATTCAGCCTCAGAGAGACCGAGGAGAGGAGCCTCAAGGTCACCGCCGTGGACAGTAACCTTAGAGGTGGCGTTGAGAACGGCGTTGAGCTTCTGGCGGGTGGGGAGCTCAGCGGGAAGATCGCGGTGGGCTACGCAGTGGATGCGAGTGACGTTCTTGTCGGCAATCAGGCGCTGGAGGATGTGACGGCCAATGAAGCCAGAGGCACCGGTAAGGACAACAGTGAGATTGGAGGTCTTGGTAGGAGTGCTGGAATGCTTGGTGGACATGCTGATCATGTCGCTGGGGATAGCAGTCTCAGCCTCCCAGTCGATCTCAGTGTCGGACATGAGGGCATCGAGGGTGGAAGCCAGGCGGGAGAGGGTGCTGGACTCGATGATGCGGACAAGAGGGATGAAGAGACCAAAGCTGTCGCGGATGCGGGCCTGGAGTCTAACAGTGAGGAGAGAGTTACCACCGAGCTGGAAGAAGTCGCTGTTGGCGTTGGCGGAAGCATTGCGCATGACAGACTCAGGCAAGATCTCCTTCCAAAGCTTCCAGACAGTATCCTCGGTAGCAGTGCGCTCAGTGGAATCGGTCTCCTCGGTAGAGGATTCGGAGTGGACGGGGAAGGTAGCGATAACAAGGCGGTTGACCTTGTTGTGAGAGTTCAAGGGGATGCGGTCGACAGGAAGCATCATGTTGGGCTTCATGTACTGGGGAAGAGGGACGGTGGAGAGGAGCTTGTTGAGGTAAGCTTGCTGCTTCTCAGCAGGGAAGCCTTCAGCAAACTCGGCAAAGGCAGCGAGGAAGCTAGACTGGCCTTCACCACGGACACTGGCGACGACGCGGGTAAGAACGCCGTCGGAAGCGCGAGTGATGGTGTTCTCGATATCTTCAAGCTCAATGCGGAAACCACGAAGCTTGATCTGGGTGTCACCGGTAATACGGCCCTGGACAACAAGGTTTCCGTTATCCATCAGATAACCCTTGTCACCAGTACGGTAGGCGCGGTTCCATCCCTTGGCAACGTGAGCGGGAGAGGCGTTCTTGTCGAGAATGAACTTCTCCTGGGTAAGCTCAGTGTTCTTGTAGTAGCCGACAGCGGTACCAGCACCGCCGATGAGAATCTCACCGGTAACACCAGCAGGGACGACGTTGGACTGGTTATCCAGAATGTAGAGGGAGTAGTTGGCAAGCGCGGGACCAGCGGGGATCAGAGTGGTCTCGGCAGGGTACTCAATGTTGAGGCGGGTGGTCCAAACGGAGCTCTCGGCAGGGCCGTAGCAGTTTTGGATCTTGAGGTTGGGGAGGTTGAGGGTAGCGAAGGAGTCGCGGAGGGTGCTGTTCCAGCCTTCACCACCAATGTTGGCCAGGCGCCAGCTGGTGCCCTTGGACATGGTGGGAGCGGCGTAGTTGATCCAGTTGGAGTATTCGGAGGGGGTAGCCATGGTGTAGGTGATGTTGTTGTTGGCAATGATGTTGGCAATGCCCTCAGGGTGAGAGCGCTGCTCTTCGGAAGCAACGTAGAGGGTACCACCGTTGACGAGACCAGTGAAGATCTGATCCATGGAGATATCAAAGGAGTATGCGGACTGCTGGAGAGCGTTGGGGCGGCCGAGGGTCCAGTTCTTGCTGTCACCCTCGAAAAGGTTGAGCAAGCTGTTGTGGCGGACCTCAATGCACTTGGGGACACCAGTGGATCCAGAGGAGGAAACGATGATGGCGGAACCATCGCGAGTGGCGAGGTTAGGGCGGCGGGTGACAGTGGCGTTAGCCTTGCGGACCTGGTCAACGTTGATCACCTGGGCGGTGGAGGAGATGTCGCTGACATCCTTGGCAACAGAGTCGTCGCAGATGATGGCGGCGGGCTCAACAACCGAAGCGGTAGCGCCGAGACGGGCGAGACCGTTGCGGGGGTCGAGAGGGACGTAGACGGCGCCAGATCTCCAGGTAGCGAGGAGAGAGCAGATCCAAGGAGCACCGGGCTGCTGGAAGATTCCAACCTTGTCGCCAGCCTTGACGTTGGCGTTGACGAGCTCCTCAGAGATCTGGTCGATGGTGCGGTTCATGGCAGCGTAGGTAAGCTCGTTGCCGAGACCATCACGAAGGGCAATGTCCTGAGGGAACTGGGCAGAGACCTGGTCGACCTTCTGGGAGAGGGTCTCGGTCCACTCAGAGTCAAACTGAGGGCCGCGTCCAAGGTCAACAGCGGACTTGATGTCCTCAGGGCGGTAGAGGGTGACACCGTCGACGGGGGCGGAGAAGTCCTTGATGAACTGGCGGATGAGGTGCATGTAGCTGTTCATCATGGTCTCGGTGTGGCGCTTAGAGTAGAGCGACTTCTGAGTCTGCCACTTGATGGTCAGATCAGCAGAGGCAACATCAGTGACATCGAGGACGACATCGTAGGCGGTGGCACCGAAGTTGCTCTCACCCTCGGCCTTGGACTGCAACAGAGGAGGGGTCTTGACAGCAAGCTGGCGGTAGTCGAGGAAGGCCTGGAAGAGAGGGCTGTGAGAAGAAGAGCGGGGCATGTTGAGCTCCTCGAGGAGGAGATCGAAGGGAAGAGCGGAGTGAGAGAGAGCGCTGTAGGCGTTCTGCTTGGCGGCAGCCAAAACGGTAGCGAAGGAAGCCTTCTTAGGCAGAGCACCGAAGCGGAGAGGGATCAGGTTAAGGAGGAAACCGACAGTGGAGAGAGTCTTGAGATCCTTGCGGTTGGCATCAGCGATACCAATGCAGAAGTCATCGACAGACAACCATCGGGAGAGGAAGACCTGGAAAGAGGCCAGGAAGAAGTGGAAGGCAGTGCAGCGGTTCTTGCGGCAGAGCTCGCGGATCTGCTTGGAGGTAGCGTTGTCAAGAACAAGCTCAACTTCCTCATGCTCGTACTTGACGAGGGCGTTGCGAGCGCCAACATCAGCAAGAGGGAAGAGGGGAAGAGGATCAGGAAGAGAAGCAAAGGCCTTCTTCCAGAATGTTACATCGCTACGCATGCGGCCAGCCTCAATGTCCTTGCGCTGCTGGATAGCGAAGTCGGTGAACTGCAGAGGGATCTGAGGAACAGGCTTGCCCTGGTAGAGCATGTCGAGGTCGCGCAGCATCAAGTTGAAGGAGAAGCCGTCCATGGCAATGTGGTGGACAGCGAACATGATGATGTGGTCGTTGGGGGCGAGAGTGACAAGACGGACGCGGATAACCTCACCACGCTCAATGTCAAAGTCGTGGGCGGAGAGCTTCTTGAAAGCTTCCTTGGCCTCAGCCTCGCTGGAAGCATTCTGGAGCTCAAGGCGAAGGAGGGAGTCAGACAAGACACCCATCATGGCATTGCCCTTGTCATCAGAGTAGTAGGCAGTGCGGAGGGATTCGTGGCGAAGACCGACCTTGCGGACGGCTTCCTGAACACGAGTGACATCAACGTTGCCGGAAAGGCGGCTCTGGACTAGAACGTTGAAGCAGTTAGGCTCCTCGAGGTACTGGCGGAGGAACCAGAAGCGAGAGCAACCATGGGTCATCTTGGCGGTGCGGACGAACTTGAGAGCAGGGACGGCCGGCTGAGCGGCGACAACAGCCTTCTCAACGGCCTTTGACTGAGTCTGGACCTGAGGCTTCTGGGAAGAGGAAGGCTCAGCGGGCTCATCAAGATCGGTGGAGATGGTAGCATCATCGGGAGTGTCGGAGTCGGTAGAGTCACCTTCATCCTCAACAATGTAGGTAGGGGACTCGTTGTCGTTGGGGACCTCGGCCTCAGCGGCAGCAGGCTCAGCAGCCTCTTCGGGGGCAGCGCCGGCCAAGTTGGGGCAAATGTCGGCAGACAAGTTGTCAACGGTGTCCTCAACCAGGTCAGCGAGAGTAGCACCACCAAGAATCTTGATGATAGGGATGTCGTGGTCGAACTGGTTGCTAAACCAGGATCTCATGTCGACAGCGACAAGAGAGTCGACACCCATCTCAACAATAGCAACATCGGAGTGGATGCTCTCAGTGGGGGGAAGATCAAGCTTCTTAGCAAGCATGACCATGAGGGCACCGAGAATGATGTTGAAGGCGTCCTTGGGAGTGGCGGCTTCGAGAAGCTGGGCCTTGGTGGACAAGGCACCGTCGCCACCCTTCTCACCACTGTCACGGCCGCTGCGGTCGAGAACGTAGTGGTTGAACTTGGGATCCTCAACCCACTTGGGAGGAGACTTCTCGGTCTTGGGGTTGACGAAGCGAAGACCGGCAGAAACCTCAGGGTCGCGGCCAGAGTCAGGGCCACCAGCCATGACGGACTCGGCAAAGAAGTACTTGTAGTCGAGCTCGGACATGATACCGTAACCAAGAATGTCAAGACGGCTGAGAATGTTGTGGTCGGTTCTGGTAATGTAACCAATACCGTTGATACCACCCAAGTTCATGACACTGCCAACAAGGCCGCGCTGGCGACGGCCATGGCACAGAGATACCATGAAACCGTTACCGGCAGCGTAAGAAGTCTGACCGATGTTACCAGTGATGTAGACGAGGGAAGAGTAGAGAATGAAGAAGTCGAGGTCAGGCTTGCAGAAGAGCTCATCAAGGTAGATGGAACCATCAATCTTGGGAGCAAGAGCCTGGTTCATGGTCTCAGCAGTAGACTCCATGAACAGACCATCGCGCATGATAAGGGCAGCGTTGGCAACACCAGCGATAGGAGGCATGCTATCGCAAATCTCCTTGTGGACGCGGTGAAGGTCAGCGCGGCTGGTAATATCGAGAGCAAAGCCGCGGATATCAGCACCGAAGTTCTCCTCAGCCTGAGCAACGAAGATCTTGTCAAGGTTGGGGCGACGAGAAGACAGAGCAAAGTGACGAGCACCACGCTCCATCATGTACTGGACGGTGGAGAGACCGAGAGAACCAGTCATACCAATGAGGAAGTAGGTACGGTCAGAGCGGAAAGTAACTTCTTCCATGGCAAGGGTGACACTGGCATCGAAAGAAGTAGAGTCAGTCCAGTCCATGGTGGTAAGAGGAGCGCCCAGTGAGCTATCGGCAGCGAGCTCGTGGATCATGGTTTGCTCAACGGCGCCGAAGTTGACAGCGCTCTTAGCCTCAGCAGCCTTGGTGTTAGCAGCGTTGAGAGCACCAACAATCTGCTCTTCAGTAGTGTCAGAGAAGACAATGGACTGAGTAGGGAAGTACTCAGCAGCAGTGTGGCGACGAGCGCGGAAAGGCAAGAAAGAGACCAGGCGGTCAGCAACATCACCGGCCTCGCTGGTAGCAGCAAAGTTGGCAAAGAGGGTGGTGTTGGGGGTGATGATGCGGTTGAGGTCACGGCTAACGGAGAAAGCGTGAACATGCTTCCAGCCTTGCACCTCAGCAGTAGCCTTGTCGGTGGTAGTGAAAACAGCCTGGGCACCGATCTTGGCAGTCTGTTCAGTAATAAGCTGGGCAAGGACAGTAGCAGGCTCGTGAAGGACAATCTTGTCACCAGCGCTGCACTTCTGGAGGATGGCAGAAGCAGTGAGCTGAGTGGCGACAGACATGAGGAGAGCACGCTCGTTGGCCTCAGTGACATCAACGGTAACAAGACGAGTCTTGGGGACGATGACGACGGACTGGTGGTGCTCAGAGAAGACAAGGGCGGTAGCACCAGTCTCCTTAACAGTACCAATGCTGAGGAAGAAGCAGCCGATGTCGCCAACCTTGAGGGCAGTGGAAGCAGAGTGCTTGACAACGACGGTGGCGCTCTCAGCAGGGTCAGCCTCGGGCTTGATGTGGGGAGTAAGGCGGTACTGCTGGAGGTTCTTGGTAGCAGTGATGGCGATGACGTTGTCCTTGGTGGAAGTCTTGGAAACAACGTTGCGGCGGAGAGCGTTGTAGTGGTCATTGAGGGTCTTCTCGGGGTCGTAACGAGTCACAAAGAGCTTGTCGTTCTCAAGCATGAGCTCACGCTCGCTTGTCCAGAGAGGGCTGTAAGCAGGGACCTTGTCCTTCCAGCCATCAGCAATGTGAAGACGGAGGAGAGACTCGGCGAGCTCCTGGGCGTGCTGCTCAGGCTTGAGGCGGCCCTCGATGTTGAACATCTGGCCGTGCAAGTGAGGAATTTCAACAATCAAGCAGCGGACAACACCCTTCATAACGTTGGCGTAAGGGTTGGCACCGTTGGCACCGTGGTTGGCCCAAACGATGTAGCGGGAGCGGAAGAAGAGAGTCTGCAGAGCCTTGAACTTGTGCTCAGTGAGGTTCTGGAAGAAGGGCTCATCCAGTTCAGTGAGGGAGAGGACAAGAGGTCTGGCAGCGAGCATAGAGCCATCGAGGTCATCGATAGACTTGATAGCAGTGATCTTGTCGCAGAAAGGAGCAAGAGTGGACTTGATAGTTTCGATCATGCGAGAGATCTGGAATCGCTGACCACCGATCAGGAGGATCTGGTCAATACTGGTGTTGCTAGTCAGAGGAGCGCGGATAGCGTTCATCTGCTGGTCAACAGCCTGGGAAACGAAAACGCTGAAAGGGTTAGCAGAATCAGGAGTAACAGTGTCAATACCAGAGAAGCCAGTCGACTGAAGAAGCTGGTCGTACTCGCCAAGAGCGGGAACGGCCTGGCTAACATCGTCGGCTTCGATGAGAGTGCCAGCAACGAGGCCAACGTGAACAGATTCAGCGTTGGTAAGCTGCTGGACAAGGAGGAAACCACCAGGGCGGAGGAGCCAGCGGAGCTTGTTCAAGCCAGCTTCGCGATCCTTCAGCATGTGAAGACCGGCACCAGCAACAATGAGGTCGACGCTAGCGGCAGTAAAGCCCTGCTCTTCAAGGTCTTGCTCAAAGTCAATGGTCTCGGTGAAGATGTTGTCACCATGCTCGTGGGTAAGGGCCTCAAAGTTGTCGCTAGTAGCATCTGTGCAAGTGTAGGAGTTGAACAGAGCACCAAGACCAGGCAGAACAGCCTTGGTAGTGCTACCAGAGCCAGTGCCAAGCTCCATGATGCGCATGTGAGGGTAGCGCTGGGACATCTGGCGAGTCAGAGCAGCAAGAGTCTGGCGAGCCTCAGCAGCACCAATAGCAGATTCGTAGAACTTGCTAAGGAGCGAGGCGTTGTCGGTACCATCCTCGGAGACAATGGAGTAGTCAATGCTGTCACCAACAGACTTGAGGATATCCAAAGTAGGCTGGCAGATAGAGTTGGCCTCCAGGGAGACGTCCTCAGCATCTTCAATGGCCTCCTTAGCCCAGCTCTTGGAGCCAATGCTAGTGAGGACATTCTGAGCCCACAGGCGAAGGTGGGCCTGTTCAGCACTGCTGGAGTTGAAGATCTTGCGGAGGTAGTTGACGGCGAGACGATCAAGCTGCTGCTTCTCCTGCTCCTGCTTGGCGGAAAGCTCCAGGGGAGTAGCGAACGCATCAGCGTCGGGAGAGCTCAACCAGCGAGTGGTCTTACCGAACATACCGCGGTCATCCTTCTCAGTGGGAGGAGAGACGGGGCTGACCTCAAGGCCTTCAACCTGGCACAGAGAGTGCTCGCTATCAGCAGGGAAGATGTCAACACAGCCAGAGAAAGAACCATCATCAGATCGGTTGGAAGTCGCAGAGAAGCGAACCTTCTGGTCAATACCACCGTTGAAGGGGCAAATGGCGGGATTGAGGACGATGCGGCGGATGGTGGTGGGAATGTGAAGAGCCCAAAGAGCGTTATCACCGGGGTAGGAGATAGCAGCGAAGATAGCCTGGAAAGCAACGTCGAGAGTAGAAGGGTGGAGGAGGAAAGCGTCCTTGGAAAGGTTCTCTTCCTCGGGCAGGCTGGTGCAGATCTCACCCTGGGCCAAGCTGGTAGTACGCTGCATGGAGGTAATACCCTTGAAGAGGCCATCGTAGTTGTAACCAATGCTGGCGAGGTAAGCGTAGAAGAGCTCAGTGTCGACATCCAACATTCCGTGGCCAGCGTCAACGGGGAACTTGACGAGGGCAGTGGAAGAAGGAGTGCCGTAAGTCATAACCAGCTTACCACTTGCGATGGAAACGAAAGTCTCAGACTTTCCAAGGCAGGCATCGCAAGAGAAGGTAGCGGAAAGGACAGAGGTCTCTTCGCCAGTCTCGGTAATGGAGACGTTGGACAGAGCGAACAGAGTCTCAATGCCCTTATCATCAGCGATAGCCAGAGCACGGTGGATAGCAGAGTCGTGGAGCTCAATGGCCTGGATAGCCTCGGCGCGGCCGACAAAGCGAGCAGCTTCAATGGCCATAGCCAAGAAACCGGCAGCAGGGAAAAGAGTCTGACCCTGGATCTTGTGACCCTGGAGCCAAGGAATTTCACCTGCATGGATGTAGTTGCGCCAGCGGTACTCACGCTCGTTGGCAGTGTCGGTGCGGGTACCCAAAAGGATATGGGCAGGGTCCTCACGAAGACGGTTAACACGAGACTTGCGAGATTCGTACCAGAACACACGGTCGTGGTTGAAGGGGTAGCTAGGAAGCTCGCGGAGAGGAGTAGGAGTAGCCTTGTTGAAGAGCTGAGCGTAAGCCTTGAGATCAGCGGCGCTGCGACCAAAGCGAGACCAGAGGTAACCGAAGGTGGAAGCAACAGCGTCGACATCGTTCTGGCCACGAGCGAGGGTTCCAGTGTAGGGAAGAGCAGACTTGAGGGTCTCCTCGATAACACTGGAAGCGGGACCCTTGAGGGCGGCGTGGGGACCGACTTCAATGGCCTGGGTAGGGTTGGGCTCGCTAGAGTTCAAGTCGGACTCAAGAGCAGTAGCAAAGAGGACAATGTTGACCATGTTGTCGACCCAGTACTGGTGTTTGAGGGCGTCGCACTGCTCCATAACCTTGCCATCGTAGACAGAGGAGAACCACTTGGTCTCACCAGAAGGCTTCAAGATCTCGATCTTACAAGCATCAAGAGCCTCGTAGTACTTCTTGGAGCAAGGGATCATGTGGTGAGAGTGGTAAGCAGTGTCAACCTTGAGCTGACGGTTGAACTTCTTCTCATCCTCAAGAACATCCTTAACGTGCTCGATAGCATCGAGGTCACCAGAGAGGGTAACAGACGAGGAGGAGTTGTAGGCAGCGACGCTAACACGTCCCTCGAATGCAGGCAGAGCGCAAAGCTCGCGAGCATCCTCGAGAGTGGTACCGGCAGCCAACATACCACCTCGCTGACCAGCGGGGCCGCGGGCCAAGTAGGCGTAGCGACCACGGTAGAAGGCAATGCGAATAGCATCGTGAGCGCTGATGAATCCCGCAGCGTAAGCAGCACCAATTTCACCGGAAGAGTGTCCAACAACAGTGTCGAAGACAATACCGGCAGCCTTGAGCATGTCAACTAGCATAACCTGAACGGCAGTGCAGAGGGGCTGGGACAGCTCACCCTCGCCAATGCGAGATTCAGCAGCGTCGATCATCATCTGGGCCTTGAGAGACCAAGATGGGCGATCTTCAGCAGGAAGCTCGTTGAGCGACTGCTCAAGCTTGTCAATAATGTCCTCGGCGAACTTGGAAGCAGCAATAATGTCGCGACCCATGGTAGCCCACTGGGCACCCTGACCAGAGAAGACACCAAGGAGGTTCTTCTTGGCAGTCAGGCCACGAACGTGCTGGGGATCCTCAACGGCCTTCTGAAGCTTGGCGATGAGATCCTCTCGGGTCTGGCCAACCACGGAGTTGCGGTACGTGAAAGTAGAGCGACGGTCGTGGAGAGTCCAGGCGAGACGGTTCAAATCAACCTCGCTGTTCTCAGTGATGAAGTCAAGGAAGTTGGACATGAGGTTGGTAAGAGTCTTCTCAGAGGTGGCAGAGAAGGTCAGGGGAAGAGGAAGGGAGTTAGCCTGCTCAACAGCCTGAGCAGGAGCATCATTGGGCTCGTAAGCCTCAATAATGGCGTGGGCGTTGGTTCCACCAAAACCGAAAGAGTTGATGGAAGCACGACGAACACCACCCTCGGGGAGAGCAGGCCAGTCCTGAGCGCTTTGGGCAATCTGGACCTTGCCGTAGAAGGGAGCAATCTCAGGGTTGAGGTTGTGGAGATGCAAGTTGGGAGGAATGGTCTTGTTCTGAATGGCAAGAGAAGCCTTCATGACACCAGCAATACCGGCGGTACCCTCAGTGTGACCAATGACGGTCTTGATGGAACCGACCCAGAGGTTGGAGTGAGTCTCAGCGTCCTTGTCGCCGAAGAAGGCCTTGTAGATGGCCTTGGACTCGACGCCATCACCAGCCTTAGTACCAGTACCGTGGGCCTCGAAGTACTGAGGACGGTCCTTGGCAACGGAGAGGTCAAGGCCAGCGCGGCGGTAGGTGTCGTGAATGAGACGAGTCTGCGCTTCCTGGCTAGGCATAGTGATACCAGGAGTGTGGCCATCCTGGTTAACACCGGTCTCGCGGATAATGCACTCGATGTGATCGCCGTCAGCAATGGCGTCGGAGAGACGCTTCATGATGACAGCAGCCATACCCTCACCACGGGCATAGCCATCAGCGTTGGCATCCCACATCTGGGACTTGCCAGAGGGGGACAACATGTTGAGGTTGGACTCAGCGATGAACATGTTAGGGCTAAAGATCAAGTTGGCGCCGGCGGCAACGGCGACGTTTGAGCTTCCAGAGCGCAAAACCTGGACACCTTGGTGAAGGGCGACCAAACTGGAGGAGCAGGCAGTGTCGATGGTCATAGAAGGGCCTCTCCAGTCGAAGACGAAAGAGACTCTGTTGGAGAGGATACTGCGAGCAGTACCAGTGGCGGCGTAGGTAGGGATAGCTTCGGGGTCAACATAGCAGATGTTTCCGTAATCATCGCACATGACACCGACGTAGACGGCAGTGTTGGAACCCTTGAGGTTCTCAAGGGCGAGACCGGAGGACTCAATGGCCTCGTAGACAGTCTCGAGGAGGATTCGCTGCTGGGGGTCGATGGACTCGGCCTCACCAGGAGGGATGTTGAAGAACTGAGCATCGAAGAGGCGAGGGTCCTCGGAAAGCAAGTAAGAATCTTGGACGTTGCTGGCACCGTGGTAGTGGCCGTCCTTGTTGAACCAACCAGCGTATTCGAAGCGGTCGATCTGGCGAGAAACCTCACGAGGATCCTTCAACAACTCCCACAGCTTCGAAGGAGATGTGGCGTCTCCAGGGAATCTGCAGGCGTTGCCGATGATGGCAATGGGCTCGTTGTGTGTAGGCGACATTTTGGCTGTGGCGTAGCTGTGGATGTCGACAAAAGGGGACGAGGAAGGATGGTCGTTTCGAAGAGAAGAGAGAAGAGAGAGAGAGAGAAGGAGGAGGAGGAGTATGAGAGAGAATAGAGAAGTAAGGTTAAGGTTGGATGGGATGAGTGGCGATGGTTCGAGCTCTTGGGAAGAGGGCTGATGATTTGGTATATATAGAATTGCTTTACAATAAGACAATAAGACAAGAGCTTGTAGTTGTCCGATACCAGCCCCACGAACCGGCAACTAACGGTGCAATACGACGGAGCATCAGCATACACTGTCGGCCCCGGTGCGGATAAGGTGCCGTGCAAGCAGGAAAAGATGTCGTGAGACGGCTCTGATGCCTGCAACATCATGCTGGTTGAGGCGAGAGTGGTTCGTCTAGCCAGTAGCCTCTGACGCCCTGCGTTGTAGCCGCAGATGATGACTGACCAATCCCTCCGACCTATCTTGAACGACTTCTCCGCTATGGCTGTCAGGGACCAAACGGCACCACGCTTATGCCTCATGGCAGGGTGCCACAACGCCATGTGGTTCTCAACCCCAAGGGGAAGAGAAGGTTAGTGTGTGTGCTGATCATGAAAGGAGCCAATCAGAATGGTAGGAGCACCCTCGCGATGGCAAGCTGCCATGCTTGTTAGCCATGTCCGGCACGAGAGGCAATGTCGTTGTGCTGATGTTAGCATAGGAACGAAGATTACAATGGGTTGAGGTGGTATAGAATACCAAAATAGGCAATCGATGAGCTGCCCGATCGACCCTTGTGCAGGTGGACGCCACGTTTCGAAAGCTTCCAGACGTCAAATCGAAGGAGAGACTGTACGTTTTGGGCAACATTTGCCGGATTACATACTGTGCTCTTGGGGCTGATGAGCTAACAGCACCACGGCTGTCGCTGGCGAGGGGGGGGGGGGGGGGCAGTAGGTAAGCAGGGAGTGGAGCTGGCGCGCGCGCACGATGTCGGTCCTCCGCTCATGCACTATGGCAATTGGACGAGACTTCGATGATGGGTGGTGGATTAGGCCCCGGCATACAATAGGGTGCGATGGCGGGGAGTGGAGCGCAGAGGCGTGTGGTGATGGGAAGCAGTGTGTGTGGTGGTGGTGATAGTTAGTGGGCGAACAGGGCCCTGTGAGGAGTGGGGGAAGGCGTCTCTGTCTCCCGACGGCTGCCAGGTGCCCGCCAGGTGCGTGGTGCGTTGCCAGTGCACTGCCAGCCCTTGTCAGTGTCAGCAAGTGTCAGGGTTTAGGCGGGTGCACTAGTTTAGCGCATCACGCCTGGCTGAGACGCCTCGTGGTGGTTGAAACGCTTAAGCCACGGCCCATTATTGCCGAAACAAATGGGCCATTGCATAATCAGCATGGGCACAGCACCCATAGTCACTGCAAAAACCCATTCTTTGGTGGCTGGATCGACTGGCCGGGGTGTCCCGGCTTGGCCGCTAGCCTCGTTCGGCATGGCTCACCATGCGCAGAGAGCACGTATTGCTGATACTGCTTTGGGCGATAATGTAAGCACAGAACGTAATCCTGGGCCCTTCGCTGCCCTATTCCCCCGCCATGAGGGCATCACGGGCCAATATGCGGCCAATACTGCAACATTGCATCCTGCGCACTGGTTCCCTGAAGCGATCGCGCCGCGTTATACCGAACTCTACTACCGGGGGTGTGGGCTGTATGGCAAATTAAGTCAGCTTGAGCTTCGTACTGGCGGAAGATCCTAATGTTTTATTTGTCGAATTTCCCTTTCGGGACACCACGTTTTCCTTGCTGCCAACACGCGACCTCGCCACACTGACCGCTAATACCGGATGGTAGCTTCGAACGAAGCAATTAAGCTAATTTATAAAGTATAATGAGAAATGAATGAGGCCTTCATTCAAATGGAGGTTAAGCAGCATGGCTCGTGAGCACCTTGCTAGGTGTGTATTAAGACAATCGGATTGTAATGCTGTTTATCATAGCAGATCAGTCTGACAAGCTGAACAGGAGACGCCAAACAGCGTGCGATTTTGCCTGAATTGTAATTGCAAGTAAAACGAAGTGTCACTAGTTGTTTATCAGTTTATCAGTTTAACCGTAATAAATATATGTATTTTCATTTTTATTTTTTATTTGTTATATTTGCAGTGTATATATGTATATAGAAAAGGTGTAGCTGCTTTAAGCTGATCACCATGTGTAGCCGCCCTGCCGCTGATGGAGGGTAGTTTAGAAGGACTAAACGCGCACGCGAAGCCCGTAAATGACGTAAAAAGAAGAAGCTAAAAAAGACAAAAAGATACCAAAATACCGTACATGAATCCCATCGTAAGATTTCCCCTTACTGGGGAAAGAAGGAAAGGGGACAAGAGATCAGGCTTGGGATGAGATCCAGCCACAGACCCCTTGTCATCGCGTTTTCACACTGTACCATCGCCGCTAAGTAGACCTGGCCACCGCAGCGCATGTAAGCACAGCGGACATTTTACTGATCCACTTCGTACACTAGCTTGAAACCGCTGACTTCCTTGCGGCGAATCATTTCGATTCCTTCCAAGATTCCGGCGAAGCCGCCCTCCATCTTCTTGGAGGGGTGGTTTCTAAGCTCGCCCGCATCGAGGCGCTTCTGAGCCTGGGCGTAGAGCTCCTCGCAGAACGAACGCGCGCTAGCGTCGGGCTCGCGGCCATAGGGCGCAGGCCATCCACTGCCACGGCCCTTGACGGTGGAACCGAGAATCCAGTCAGGCTTCACGACCCGACGAGTAGCCTGCGCCTCGGGGAAGGGGTCGAGGGCAGTGTAGCGACCACCAGCACGGCCAATGGCTTCGTAGCAGAGCTTCATAGTAGAAGCAACAGTGATGCAGTCAATGGCGTAGGTAAGGGTGTTCTTGGTGTACTCCTTGATATCCTTGGCAGCGGTGGGAGAGCGGTAGTCAAAGACCTTCTCAGCACCATAAGAAAGAACCAGCTCATCGTGGGCGGGAGAGCAGGTGGCAATGGTGCGGAAACCCGACATGTTGAGAAGTTGGATGGCCATAGTACCGGTAGAGGTACTACCACCGCTAACGAGAGCGAAAGGCTTGTTCTCAGCGGGCTTGGCCAAAGTTCCAGGAATATCCATGGAAAAGTACAGGGCCATGCCGGCGGAGGCGAGCGACGTGCTCATGCAAGCAGCATCAGCGAAGGACATGCTGTCAGGCAGCTTCAGGGTGAGACTCGCAGGAGTGGAAGCGTACTGAGCGAAACCACCTCCGCAGGGTCGCTTGTGGTCCATGCTGTCAGCACTGCCCAAGACCCTGTCGCCAACCTTGACGTCCTTGGTGATGGCGGAGCCAACAGCAACAACAGTGCCGGCGAAATCGAAGCCGAGGATAGCGCCGGGGACGGCAAAGCCCTTGAACATCTTGGAGTCGACAGGGTTGAGAGCGAGAGCAGCAGTCTTGACCAAAACTGCGTCGGGCTCGAGCTCCATGACACCGACGTCATGGGCAACCTCTAGCGTGCCTTCGGCATCTGTGGCGATAATCGCAGTTTGTGTCTTGGGGATGGCGGCGGCAGACATTGTGATTGATGTAAAAGGATGTGTTTTAGAAGAAAGAAGAGAAGAAATGTTTTAAATGGCGAGGTCGAAAGGGAGAGGTGAGAGGATGTTGATAGAAGCGGCTGTCGTGTCGGGCGTATAGGGTAAGGTGGTGATGGTGCCGTCTAAGTGTATGAGAGTATAGGTGGGTTTTGAGGGGATAGGAAGGATGTAAAGAGAAGATGTCTTCTTTTAAGAAATGGATAAGAGTGTTTGAGGCTGAGTAGTTGCTTCTCGAACACTTTGTCTACGGAATCGTTGCGTCTAAGTAGTCTTCGAATCCCGTTCCGTCCTGCCATGTTCGCCGCAGGCGTATTACTCTTGCTCATCCGCTCTGCTCTCATCAGAACATCTTCTGGAGTGCGGGAAATGGGCATCTGAGAGTTTCCCGTGCCATAAGACGCCGAAGATGAGAGCAGCGACGTAGACGTTACTGAAAGCAGACAGAGAGCAGGGTGGAAGGTCGACAGAAGCTTTGCGGAAAACTGTACCTTGATGACAGGACCGGCTCGACCATCATCTCTCAGTCACATTCGCTTCCGTAATCCCGCGTTGAGGGCAGAGCGCATTGAGTGTAGAGAGCATGCTAGAAGTTCCATGATTATGGCATCGTCCCAATGCGGAGCCATTCGTCCTGGAGAGACCATGCCATAAAACACCCATTTTAGGAAACTATAGCCATTCTCACCAGTTGCTGTTCTGCACCCACACGCTGGAGAGACGGCCAAAGCAGTGATTCGCCCAATATGGGACCTTGATAAGATCAGGGCACATGGGGCCACGCTAAAAGCTGATGAGAGTGCGCATCCATTTGCCCCTCCCAGCATTGCTATGTCATCCTAGCCCCCAGGTTGTCCCAGCCCGCCTTCGGCTACCGGGAGAGGAAGAGGCGCTGTGAAGCGCCTTGGCTGGCTGCTATTATCGTATGTGTCGCATCGTACCGGGTCAGATTGGGGCAAGCTAGAGGATGACAAAGGGCAGGGAAGGGTGTGTGGCCCGTCATCTTTAGCACTACACCACCATCTCCACAGTGCAACCCCTGATCTGGCGCCGCTTGCCCGAAAATGGAAGCAAGGTTGTAAACGCAGCGAGTGAGCGGTCGGCATTCTGCTGGGCGCTATGCTAGCACACTTCTGACGAATAGTCGACACGGGGAGCTGCCCGTTGTTTTTGGCGTAGCGTAGTGGTTACGTGGTGTCAGAGGCACGTTTTCAGGTATGAGCAGGCCGTGCCAGGCCACATGGCAGATCCGGGTTAAAGGGGTGCTAAGGTAAGCATACGACGAGAACTGGATCAGGGTGTTTGATTAACGTTGAACGAAGGCCCTATATTCCTTCGAGCCAACGTTTGGGAGCACGCTCCGGGAATGGCGATAACGGTGCACGTTGCGTCGACATGCGGCATGTATCGGCACTGTCTGTTGGCATGGCCATTCTGTTCGGTTCTAGCCTTCGTTCCTCTACAGTAGTTTTTGTAGCATCTTTTTGTTCGATAGACGCTGTTGCCGCACCTGTCTTGCTTAGCCTTGCTGTTTATCTGTGGCCAACTGAAAACCGTACTGGCTTAACGGGCGCGCAACAGCCCAATTCCTGTCACCATTCAGCTTCAAACCAGCCAATCAATGTCGGACCAAGACCAGGCTGTCCAAAAATAAATGGACTACAGTACGTTAAGCTAGCGTTTATTGCAGAACCCACCAACCACTGTCCGTCGTTTACAGTGGGCAAAAAAAGCCACTGGCGTAGTTGCAAGCCTGATTTTGCTGCACATCTCCCCACTTCACCACAAACTAGCAAACTTGACAGCAGCCAGAGCATCAACGGCGCCCACGTGACTGGACACCGGGCGCTGCTTACTGTTGGCTGCCGTCTTATCCGCCCATCGCCGGCAGCCTGGCCACCCAACCAACTCCATCCTTGCTGCTCGCATCTCACGCCGCTCCCCTGCGTGCTATTTTATTATTTTTATTATCCTTTTTCTTTGTAACCCGCTTCTTATTCCCCTGCTCCTCACAGCTACCGCCATCAGACGCCCCATCTCACTTCTTACTGTCGACCCCGACACTTATAGAGACCGCGTTTTCCGTCCTGGTCTGTCGTAATGCTTTCTATTTCAGTCCGACTTTCCCGCACGACACTCTCCATCTAGCTGCTGCTGCTCAGACCCTTGATGCACAGCATACTCGCAGGGAACAATTTGAGAAGCAGAATAGAAGCCCGCCTTCCATTTACGTCTCTCTGAGCACAAGCCTGCCAGCCAGCCCGCCAGCAAGCCAGCCTACCGTTGGCCCCCTCCTGCCCCTCCTCCTCTAACCCCCCCTCCATACCTATCACCATGGTCTACTACGGCCGTCCATCGACTAGCTGCCACAACTGCAGAGCCAAGAAGCGACGAGTAAGTGTGTGATTGTGACTCGTGCAGAGTGGAATGGAAACTCTCCATGACCTGGGGGATCCTCCGTTGTTTATATGTCCCACGTCGACGGCATACGCGTTCTCTTACGCAAGCATGTCACGAGCCCAATTGCTGGGCAAAAGACTGTAACATACGGAATGGAGACCACAGGTACGGGGATGGGAACGGGATTCAACACCAAGATTCCAGTCTGCGATGCACGAACCAACTCGACCCTCCCTAGGCAATCCGTAACGCAACGCTAACTTGAATCTGATTGTAGTGCGACAAGGCTGTACCTGAATGTGGACAATGCCGTCGTCTCAAGCAACCATGCCCTGGTTACAGAGACCCCTCTGGCCTCATCTTCCGCGATGAGAGCAGTCAGGTCATCGACAAGGCCAGATCGAAGGTATCGAAGAAGACATCGGCCCCAGCATCATCCTCAACGGCGGCTGCTGTCAAGCGTCAATTGTCTGCAGAGCCTACCAAGCTCCGGACCTCGAGCCAGGGCGAGTCATCACCGCACATCTCCACAGTGGAAGAGCTGTTGAGCGAGGCTGGTGACAATGTCTTTTCGAATAACACATTTGATCTCGATCTGCTTGGATTCCTCAGCCCCTTCAACGCCGACCCGGATTTATTCCCTGTCAACCAAGGCTCCGATCCTATCCTTGGTCCTGGCGATAGTGCTACAGCAACCTCATCAACGGCAGCCGGCCTCGATGAGGTTACCATCCAAGACATTGCTGACGACATGAGCAGCCGCCGTCCAGGTTCTAATGCAGGATCAACAACCGTTGTGCAACAGCAACGGATGCCCAACCAGCAACAAATCACGCCGCAACAAGAGGCCATTTCAAGGCCATTCTCCTTGCCGCTTGACATGATGGGTCTTAACTACTTCTTATCTCACTATGTCGTTCGCCAGTCTGGCCCATCATCCGGCTTTCTTGACTACACATTTAACATCCTCTCCAGAGAAGACGGTAATGACTTGCTGGAGGGTGCTATTTTAGCGCTTGGATTCAGCGGTCTTGCCCACACGACAAGGCAGGGCGACTTGATGGCACGCTCTGTAATGATGTATACACGCACTATGGAGCGGGTCAACCGTGCCCTGACCGACCCTCAGGCAGCGCGACGAGACAGCACAATTGCTACTGTGCTTATTCTCTCGCTCTACGACTTTGCCAAATCCTCCCTCGAGGGTTGGAAGCTCCACATTGAGGGAGCCACCTCACTTCTGACGCTTCGCGGCAAATCCCAATTTTCACACCCCATTGGCCTTCAGATCTTCAAGGATGTATTTGGTCAACTCTTGGTCAACTGCCTTCGAGTGGGTTGCCCTATGCCTGGTGCATTGCGCATGTTGCGCATCGAGGCTGCCAAGGCGATTAGTGTTTCCGATCCGTACTGGGTTGCAAGCAGCGCCATGGTTGAGCTACTGGATCTCTATCAGCACATTTCTCCGGGCGGGTACACCTATGTGGCCAACAACTTTCCCCCACCATCCACGTCTGGGGCGGCGGGCCCCAAGCCGCATATGCCCGTACAGGATTTGGAGCGATACTTGTCGCAAGCTCTGGAAATTGACCACCGCCTCCAGAGCACGTTCAGCGAAGTCGGGCCGGAATGGCAGTACACTGTCATGCCAACGTCCCCTGGCGCCGTTGCGGGTGCTCGCGTGCTAGGAGACATCCAATACATTTACCCTGATGTTGGCGTTGCCAGCGTATGGAACAGCATGAGAACCTGCCGCATCCTGGCCAATCACGCCATCAGTCATCTGTTGCTCCGCGGAGCAAACACTGACAGCAACTGGTTCTTCTCCAACAGCTATGCTGAGCGCCTGCAGCAGGTCACCAAGAACATGCAATCTTTGCGCGACGATCTTATCTCGACCGTTCCACAGCTGATGGGCTATGTCAGCGCGCCATCACAGCCCCAACACCAGGGTTCAGCACACCAGGCACGAAACAAAGGATCGACACCAGTGGCGTCTGACTCTGGAATTGACATTGCGGATAACTCTTCTGCTTCGTCCCCTTCCTATTTTCCCGCGTCTGTCTTCTTTGGCGAGCAGGTTACGTATTCCGGATCTGCTATTGGTGGCTATTTGTCTTGCTGGGTGCTGCTTATGATTGGGTGCATGCACAGTCTTACCGATGAGACACGTGCATGGACTGTTGCTCAGCTCCGCCATGTCAGCACGCAACATGGTCTGACCCAGGCTGAGCATTTTGCTACCGCTATCGAGACAAACAACTTCCGCCCGCCTCTGAGGTAACCTAGACGGGAGCTCCTATTTTACCCATTTTTTATTTGATTCTTTTTGGCGTTTTTCTTTTTCGGGTTGGGTGGGTAAATTCAAGCATTCAAGGATATTATGTACTAGGTTCTACAATTGTTTTCTATTTTCCCGGAAAATTTTCCGTCTTGCATAAAAAGAGGCAGGATTTGGGCAACCAATTGGTTTAATGTTATTCATTTCATGGAGTTTATGTTATTTACAAGATACCCTTTTTTGTGTCCCGATCACCACATGACTCCTCCTACTAAATTGCAACTTGTGTCTATTACTGCCCCATGCGCTAAACTTAAATTCGTCTTACAGTCAGCACGGCACAACGCTACAAATGAAGGGCGCGGTTTCAAGATTGAATAGCTATTTGCATGAAAATACAATCATAAAGGAAATGATGTAGGAAGACGTAAAAAAATAAACCCATCATACTATATATACCAGTGTCAATGTTAAGTTAGCATCCGTGCTAACTTATTACTCTGTCATATCCATCGCGTCAGCAGGCTGCACAAGCTGCTTAGCGGGGTTGAATTCGCCATCCGGGTTGGTGAGAATCTGAACAATGCTCTCATTGAAAGCAACTGTCAAGCCTCGAACCCACTCCGGGGTCATGAACTCGTAGCCGACCCAGCTCTGGCTGTAGGAGCAGCGGAGCCGAAGCTTCTCGCTGGACAATTCCTTGCCTGGCCATAGCTCCAGCAAGATGGGGGTGCCGGCATTGGTCTCTCTCCATGGCTTGAGCATATTTTCTTCACGGTTAAAGCCAGGCATAGCATCCGGGTCCTCGTTGCCCGTGGGGGTCTCCTTGGGGAATGCTTGAAGGATGAGTGTAGAGTCGAAGCGTCTCGTAGACTTGGCGAACAAGACGCTCGGGCAGGGCATCTCGGTAAATCCAAGACATTCTGTGTACTGCGTAAAGAGGCGCGAGCAGATTTCTCGGTGAGTGAGACGCTTGGCACCATCAAAAACGATGCGCGTAGGCAGAGCGTCAAGCATCAGAGCATAGACTTGTAGGGAGTCTGGGGTATGGCGGCCGTGGAAAATGCTGCCAAACTGAACGTCCAAGTCTCTGGCTGCATCATCGTTTGTCTTGACTAGAGTCTGGCACAATGCCATGGCCCAAGCACCCTGCAGAACAGCCATGGGCGTGTAGAGACCCTGTGTGTTGCAGAGCGTGAAGAGTTCGTCGATGCTAAAAGCACACACTAGCTGCTCGCTGGCAACTCCAACACCAGTGTCGTTCGAGATGAACTCGGCATTACCAGAGGGAAGCAGCTCCTGGCCAGTGACGAAGTTGGGCTGTCCAGCCATTTGCTTCATCCAGAAGAGTGTCGTGCTCAGCCAGTCGGTGCCAAAGTGCTCTTCGACAGGAATGCGGACGCCGCCGCTGGGGTGCTCGGGAGCCGGCTTGCCTGCATAGATCTGTGCGACATCGCGGCGCCAGTTCTCAATGCTCATGCCGTCGTAGGTGAGATGAAACATAGAGAAGATGATGACGCAGTGCTTGTTGTCAGCAGAGCGTACAAATGTGGTTACTGAGCCAAGGTTGTACATCCCAAAGAACTCTTCGGCTGCCTTTTGGGCATTGTTAATGGTTCTCATCCATAGGCTGTTGGGGCGAGTATCGTAGACGGGCACTGTAGTCTTAACAATAGGAAGAGTTGCAGCCTTGGAATTCTTAGATAGCACTACGCCAGCAAAAGGTGCCAATGGGTGTTCAACGGGAACCCAGACGGTGCGGAAGGCATCGCGAGTCTCCATAGCAGCTATCACCGCCTTTTCTAGACGGTCTGCGTCAATAGCCTCCGGTACCTCATATGGGAAATGCTCAACCCAGGCTTTGGTATACTTAAATACCTTAGCCTCTTCAATCATAGCCAGCATGCGAGTTTGAATACCCGTAGCGGGAAGGACATCTTCAATCTCCTCATCGGAGACACCGAGAGCCTCAGCACAAACGGGACGGCAGTGGAAGTTGAAGTGCTTGAGCTTAGCACCGACGGGGAATGTGAGAAACTCCTCCTCATCCTCAAACTGAACAACTTCGTCGTCAACGGCAGTTTCAGCAGCAGCCTCAGCAACTTCCTGGGCATGCGCATCCACGATAGACTTGACCACACTGTCGAGTGTCTTGCCTCCAAGGACATCCTTCATAGCTAGGCCGTAGACATCATGGGCGCGAAGAGTAGACAAGAACTTCATGGCACGCAGACTGTCAAGACCCCATGAGTTAAGCGGTTGAGTAACATCGTTGTTGACAACATGCTCTCCAATGACAATCTTGAGAGTCTCCATGACGAGACTGCGAACGCTATCAGCATTTGCCAAGTCAACTGTGAGCTCGTGGATCGAGGCAGTCGGAGTAGGTTCCTTTCGCATGCTGGAGGCACCAAACTGTTCCAGCGCAGTCTGCTGCAGCGCTTTTCGGTTGACCTTGCCGTTGGGTGTGCGAGGAATGACGGGGAGAACTGTGTACTCTCTGGGACGCATCCAATCCGGGAGGTTTTGCTCAGCCATGGCGCGGCACTGAGCAATGACCTGTTCGGTATATGCAGCGTCGGTGTGGTCACCAGTTAAAGACATGTAGGCGGCAAGGAAGCTTCCGTCAAGAACAACGGTGGAAATCTCTCGGATGTCCTCGACGCGGGCAATGGTAGACTCGATCTCACCGAGTTCTACACGTTTGCTGTTGAGCTTGACCTGTTCCATGTTGAGACGGCCAAGGATTTCCAGCTTAGCGGCACCGTCGGGGCCCCAGACAATGCGGCCCTTGTCGCCAGTTCGGTATAGTTCACCCATGCCGAGGCCGTTGGTGAAGGCCTTTTCTGTCTCCTCGGGTCGGTTCAGATAGCCGTAGCCAACCATGGGGCCACCAAAGGCAATCTCACCAGTCAGGCCAACAGGAACCTCCTTAAGCTCATCCGAGTTGGAGTCAATGATGACTCCAGATGCGCAAGAAAAGATGTTGCCGACAATGGAACCGCGGGAGCCAAGTCCGGCTGTCTCAGCCGTCAGGCACATTGTAGTCTCGGTCGGGCCGTAAATGTTGATGACACGCTTGGGGGTCTCGCCGGGAGGGCAAGGTCTGTCGTAGGCAAAGTTTTCGATGGCATATTTGTTGAGATACTCGCCGCCGGAAATAATGGTGGTCAAGGTCGGTAGCTTGGAAGGACGCAGCAGAGTGGCCAAACTAGCCACTGTAAACAAGCTAGTGGCTTTGAATGTGTTGATGGTGCGCTCAATGTCGCCGAGCATAATCTGGCGCTCAGCAACACAGACGGTACCACCGTAGCCTAGTGTGAGGGTAAGTTCGAGCAGGCAAAGATCAAAGGTAGGCATGCCAAACTGCAGCCAGCGGAGCTCAGTTCCGGTTGGAAGGTCAAAGACTTCGGCGTGGCCATTCACACCACAGGTGCCAGAAAGATGAGAGATGAGGACACCCTTAGGCTTTCCAGTTGAGCCACTGGTGTAGAGAATGTAAGCAAGATCTTGCTCAGTAGGGGGGTGTCGCTGGATGCTGGAGGGATCCGTGTTAATCTCCGGTCGGTTGGCGCGCCATCCGGTGATGTTGCGGATGTTGAACCACGTCTTTTCCTTGAGAGCTCTGTTTACTTCGTTATCCTCAGAAAGATCGACCCCAGGGAAGGGGACGTCTCCAACACCAAGAACGACAGAAGCCTTGGAGTCATCGAGGACATCAAGAAGACGTTGAGGGGGCGCATCGAGAGGAAGCGGGCTAAATGCAAAACCAGCCTTCATAATACCAAAGATACCAATGTAGAGGTCAGGCGACGAGCCGGCAAAGATTGGAACCGCTCGCTGGTTGCGGAAAGCTGGCGTCCAGGCAATCTCACGCTCAATGAGGGTGAGCTCATCGGCAACGACTTCAGCCTTGGCATTGAGCTCGGCATATGTGATCTTTTCAATTGGTCCATTCTCCTCTGCCATCCATTCAACAGCGATTCTGTCAGGGAACTCGGCTGCGCGACGTTCAAACCCAGAGTGCATTAGCGCAGGCTGCTCGACAGCGGGCTCACCATCCTTGGGTCGGTCGGATTTGAGCATAGGCGGGCGCCAGAGATTGAGCGGCGAATTCATGTAAGACATCTTGGGAGCCGGCCATGTTGCATTTTGCTGCGCCTCTGGGAGCTCTGCAGTCTTTTCGGGGGCTAAGTAGAGGGCAACGAGATCCAGCAGATGAACCCCAGCAGGCTCAGGGCCGTTTCTAGCATCAATGGCTAGCTCCAGATCGGCAACAGTGCCGTCTTGCGATGGAACCACAGAGAGAACAAATGGCTGTGAGAGTGGAGCGATTAGCGGCTTGGCTGGGCTTACGGATGGTGACGAGGCTTGCTTACCCGAGGGGTTGTGTGGAGAGGCGCATCAAGCTGGGGGCCAATCTTGATTTCAAAGTCGAACTCGGCGCCGTCTATGGCACTCGACTTGAATGTTGCAACCTGTGCATTTTGCGACGAGAATGTCCGGGGCTTGTCAAGACCAGTGACTGTGGCAGTAGCAAGGCGGCGCTCAGTAACACCCTCCACCCCGTACTGGGCAACAAAAGCAAGTTCTTCAAGCTCAGTTACTGCGCTAACAAAAGCAGCGAAACCTTGGAGAATAGCCTCTGTAGAAGGTAAAACAGGAGATGCTGTGATTGTGTTCTTGTAAAAGTGTGACGGGGCAGAGACGATGCTGTCATGTCCGCGAGCCGTGACATCGTAGAAAGGCAGCTTCGTGTTGGGGGCATTGGGTAGCCGTTGTCGATTCTCAACTTGGGCATCCATAGTGCGCCACTCTATTGCATGCGGTATTTGATTAGTAGATTGACGAGGGTGGGTGGGAGACTGCGCTGAGGGAACAGCCACTTGGACACCGTGCTCAAAGGCTCAGCCGAGGATAGGTCGATATGGTAGTCTGTATCGCAAGTTCCTCGGATAGAAGAGCGGGTATATTTAGAGTAGTATAGTAAATTCAAACAGAGCAAAAGGAAGAGCAAGATTCGTCAAGCACTGCTGTACGACTACAGAGAAAGGACGAGAACAGCTTCGGTTTGCATCGAGATTGGCGACAGCTGCTCTTTTAATCCTCCTCAAAAATGGCACTGATTTGACACAGACCAGACGGCAACTCGGCCGGCATCTTTGTCGATTTGTTCATCAACTCCTCTCTGCTGCGGTGCCGAACTTCCTTGATCTAGGCCAACAAATACACCAGAAGTGCAGCGACCACACGCACGCGGTGCATTGCGCGACGCTATCACCTTTGCTTACTCGCTAGTCTGGCGACGATGCACCGCAACCGAGGGCGTCAGACGGCATTGGTGCCGAAGTTGACATAAACCAACTCCGCCGCTACAAGAGATGCGCCACGAGGAGATGCACCATTGGGTCCAGCTGGTCGGGCAGATCAGGTTTGTCTTCAGCCGCGTCGAGGGATCCGATAGGATGGGGGGAGTAATAGAGGGGGGATTCGGCAGAATTGTTACCATAATATCGATGTAACCGATGTGCGCGATGCGGCCCTGCACCACGTTGCTCGACAATCGGAGCGGGGGGTAGCTCCACGAGGGCGTAAGTCGGCAAGACACCTTGCCATCAACCCGACGGAAGTCAACGGTGTCCAGGGCATGAAGGCATGGCTCTATGGGCTCACTACCACCCACCCTTCAGTGTACGTCTTTCCAAGGGAGAGCTTGGCAGCCCTTCTAGAAACCGCCCAGGGCAACGCGTGATGCCCGCGTGATGCTGTGGCTGATCGTCATTGTCCTGCTGTGCGCCGGTAGAACCACCGCAGCGCCCCCCGGACCGGGAAATTCTTCCCAATTGGGAAAGCCAGACCTCGATTCCGGCCGCTAAACCGTTTTGGGCGCAAGACTCCGGTCCAGTGTCGGGGAGCGATCGGAACCGGTGCCGAAACACCAAAAGAACAGCGGCGTGTAGAGGCGCAAGTCCTGGATTACATATGCATGTCCTTGCTTGGACCTTTTTCCTTTTCCCTTGCGTACGTAACCCATTTTCCCTGTCGTGCGCGGCCTCCCACGTTTCATCTTTTAGCGCGGGCGCTTGACGCTTCAACGGGCATACTAAAGGAGACTTGGGGACGACTTGCTGCTGCGTTGCATTGGCTGAAAAGGTCATTGCGCTTATTAGACTTAATTTTTTTTCTTTTCGAGCGTCTTTTTCCTCCTGCATCTTTTTGTCTTTTTGGTATCGACTTTTGTTCTCCACCATCAGACGTTAACATCACCGAAAGCTTGCGGTCCATCGATTCCCCTCCACATCGTATCACTCTCCGAAACCCGAATTGAAAGAAACAAACAAAAAAAGGCTTCACAATGACAACATTCACCTACAGAGATGGAATTGCCGTTCTGCAGCTTGTCGCCTTTTTCCCATGCTTGGTTTTGTCCCTTCTCCTCTGCTTCCGCCAGGGCCTCAAGGCCGTCGCGGCGTGCTGGAGATTCCTCATCATCCTCGCTGCGCTGCGTGTCGCAGGCTCCATCTGCCAACTTCTCTTGATTCACGACCCTCAGAACATTCACATCATTACTGCCAAGCTTATCTGCGACTTGTTGGGTATTGCGCCGCTCACTCTTGCCGCCGTTGGTCTTCTGCAGCGAGTGTACGTAGAAACCGCTCGATTGCTCGCCACTCTTCGCTAACCATGAATAATAGTGACGGTACCGTTGAAAAGGTCCCTGCCAATGCTTTCCGCATCATTAGTCTCATCAGTCTCGTCGGCCTTGCACTCGGTATCTACGGCGCTACCCAAGTCATCGACAGCGCCACTAGCCCGGGCAGCGATGGCGTCGGAAAAGTCAGCGACATGCTTGTTGCGGCCCTTGCCATGTTCGTCGCCTGCCTTGGTCTCATGCTGTGCCTCTTGGTCTTCTTGACGTCGTTCCTATCTCTCATGCCCCGAGCCGAAAAGGTCATCATGTACTCCATCTACGCTTGCGCACCCTTCCTCATTGTGCGCATGGTCTACGCGTGCCTCGGCGACTTTGGCCATTTGCAGGATTTCAGCATCTTTGGTGATGGCAACGACACCATTTATCTCATCATGAGTGTCCTCATGGAAATCATCGTCATGGTTATTTGCCTCGTCATTGGTTTCAAGTGCCCACCAACCCCTGTCGAGCCAGCCAAGAGTAAGCCGCGCTTTGATGCTAAAAAAGGAAACTCCGTGCTAACATTTTAACCAGGTGAGTTCGAGAGCTATAACCGCTACAATGCCTAGATCTGCTTCAGTCGCTGGATTTTGACGACTAAGAACCTTTCTATTTTTTAATACGTATTGCGATGAAGGTCATGCTATACAGGACTGCTTTCCAGGCGTTGGAGTTGTTTGCTGTAGAAATTTGATACTTTTTTAAGTTGCTCCATGATAAATTTGAATATGATTTTTAATTAAGACTCGATTGTATTTCGCATCTCCCGCAAGAGAAGTGAGTTTTGTTGGTGTACGTCCGCCCATGTAAAAAGAAAAGATAACCTTTGAAAAAGAAATATGAAAAAATTGAAAAATTGAAAACACCTCGGTTGTAGTATGATCTTCGGTTGAATAGTTTCCGGAACAAAATGCTGGGTATAGGTATAGGGTAGGTTATAGTCAAACACCTAGGTAAATGCTTAGTTTCGCTGGCAATGTCAAAGACTGAGTCTGTCCCAGTGTCGGCATATCGCTAATCAATTCAGCCGTAATAAATATTCTGTAAATTTCAGTGCGCTTTGGCAATGGCTGCCTGGGCCAGTTGGACCAATTCAGCAATAATAGCATCCGTCTGCTTCAGGTATGCAGCGGCAAAGGGCTGTGCGTCCTGGTGTCGGGGCATACTGTGCACTAGGTTGGATGAGGTGCGCAGGATTTCGACGTCATGGCGAGCGTTTTCATGACGCGGGTTACGCAGAATGCTCATAAACAATGTCATCATGGCCGACAAGGGGTAGAAAATAAATACGCTAAAACGGGACTAGGGTCAGCAATCGTGCATCAATATCGTCTTAGGTCAGCATCAAAGTCTTACCAAAATGCGCTTCCAACGAGACGATGTGTTGCACCGTTTAAATAGATCAGTGTCGATCGACTGGCTTCGACAGACATATCTAAACTCGACTGGATACCAGAGTCGATATTCTCTTCAGCCCCCACAACACCGGCAGAGATGCGGTTGCTCGCGGTGTGGATGGAGTGCAGCAGATGGTGATACTCAAGATGAAGTTCAATGTGGAGCATAGTTGCCGACTCTCCTAGGTGATCTGCAAACTTCATATCTTTTCGGACTGATAACGCGGGCGAGTACTCGGGCGGGATTGATTGACGCCAAATTTCAACATCTTCGTCCAGTTCCCGAATGGTGCGTAAGATCTCGGCATCTTTTTTATTGATAGACCGATATGTGTAGAGAGATTTCAGTACTTTGGATTTTAGAAAACAAAGATACAAATCTCCGGGTAGAAAGGGCGTCTGGCAGTCGTCGCTGGGATCCCGCGTGCGATTTCCGAAGCGCACTTCATCGTAGCCCACTGGAAGCGTGAGGTCGCAAAAGTCGTCGTCAAAAACGGGCGGGAAGCCTGTTCGGAGCGCCATATTTTTATCAAAGTAATAGCAAAACCAAAATAATATTCGAAGCTGTCGGTCCTCTCGTTCGTGTCGAGTCAGTCGGCCGTCTTTGGGGACTGGCATTTCGATAAGATGCCCACCAAGCGCCATCACCGATCTACAGGCTATGCCGTGGTAAGCCTGTAGGATATTTTCCAGACCGCTAAGGGTGCCATGAAGAAACTTTGATAATTTAGCATGGCATCGAAGTCGACAGAAGAAATGTACTTACCAGCATGCAGGTGGCCTGCAGACTATTTAACGAGAATTCTCGCACCGAAAGCAGCAGTCTGTGCGCCTCGCGCGCGCAGGCCATGTCATCAACATACGCCGATTCCTTCTTAGATGCAAAATAGCACCTGGAAATTGCTAAAAACGCGAAGACGCACGCTTTGGCAATGGTATGATCCGTACTAGCAGGGACGGAGGCGTCGTATGCTAGCTCTATGGTATCAGGGAATAAGACCAAGTCAATGACGGGAAAGACAAGGATGAGTTCCGATGATGTATAGAGGTCAAATAACGCCTTCATGACCCATCTAGACGGAAGAGTGGTGCCACTATGGCTGCCTAGATAGTTCTCGTTCCGACTGGGTTGGAATTCTGGGAGAACTTCAAATCGTGGCCACTCGCCCGTCTTCATATGAATCCAATCCTCAAACTCTGCCGTCAGATGTGTCAAGCCCGTTCTCGGACAAATGAGGCCAAAGTTGCGACCCATGTGAAACACCAGTCCGAGAGGTGCCATCTTGGATTGCTGCTGCGGATTAACAGACCCGGATCGGAAGCGACATGTCGAGCACCAGTTTGCCTCTGGTGGTCCACGTGGTGGCGAAATAGGTGTCACATATGCAGAGGCTGGCGCACCTTCTGGAGATGTTGACACCATAGAAGTGAGCCTCTCTGGGGAGTCTTCGGGGAGCTTGGCCTCGAGCATCTCTATGCGTCGGACAAGGCTCTCGCGTGACATGTTGGCCAAGCTGTTACTGCGTTGAATGTCAGTGCCAAGATTCATACAGGGGTTTTACCTAGACAAAGTATATACCTTTTATTCACTTTGGTCGTCTTCTTCTTACGATTGCTAAAGACGCACTGGAGATCATGGTGCTGGCACCAGTTGCAGGTGCCGCCAACATCGGCAGCATCACATCGGATCTAGAGATCCAACCGTTAGAGACAGGGATTCAATTGGGCTGCAGGAGAGCACAGGTTCGCATTTGTTTCTAGAAACATGCTGCAGTGTACGTACCTTGCGCTTATGGCATGCATCGCAGGAGCGTCGCTTATATTCTGGCATCTCGAAGCGACAGCCTCAAGCAGGCGCCCTGTCACTTGCGCTGAGGAGAACCACTTGGGGGCGGCGAAATGCCAGCGCACAAGGGACGTGGAAATCCGAGGGGCGCCGAGTCTGGGTAGCACGGCGGACGATGGATACAGTGACAGCCGATGCAGATGGTGCAGTCTGTCAGTCTATTTTGCTTTTCTCTTAATTAAGCGGCGTCGAGAGAGCTGGGGGAGGGCGTCGAGGGGACTGCATGGACGCCGTTTCCCGATTATGTCAGCGGCATTTGTCTCCGCATGCGGCAGGGAGTGTTGGGCAGCCCACGCTTAACCCACCAAAATCCCACCTTAAATCCATCTGCCACCGGTACTAGCGCCGGGAGATGGCCTGATGGGCGGGGAATCATGCCGTTACTCAGCGCTTGTTTGTTTCTCTGCAGTTATCCGTCAGTCTGTCGTGAGTGCGTTTGGTCGGCGATCTTTGTGGACTGGCGGCGCCATCTGGGTTGATCGATGGTTAAATCCGGTCGTTGGCTTAGTTTTGGCTATTTTTACAGGGCTTGATGGCTAACAATACGCGGCTTTTAGAAAGCAACTAGGGAAGCTAGGGGGCGGGAAGCCGTTTTACTTCGTTGAGCCCGGTAATCTCCAGAAGCCCCTTACACCATCTACCCCCTTGTCAATCTGGAATAGCCAGCACCATACTAATTCTCTCGCGCTGAATTCAGGTGCCAAAATCGCTCAAGATGGCATTACTTCGATAAAAACTGTTTTTAATAAAAAAGTCTCGACATAAAATGTCATTGTTGCCCTAACTATTCACCTCGTCACTTTCGCCTTTTGCGATATACCAAACGGTGGGTTCATATATCACTGCGCCAGTTGCTTTGAATATACCAGACGAGACGTTAGCGAGTCATGTCAGGATATATAATACATTAATTTACCCGTATACATAGGCACAAATTTCTCCAACGTGGGTGCGCTTTTTTACACCTTTTAGGTCATTTCGGTTGCTATTTACATGGTTCTTGGTAATCAAGTAGCCTATGTACAGTCTACTTTTCGTTAAAAATAAACATGGAACGGAAAAGCCCTTCATCTTCCAGCTTTAGGGCTTCTTGGTTTGATTCCGTCAGAAACTCTTGGATATCCTTGCCGGCTCTCTCAAAATACCATCCCGCGATAGCCATGATTTCGTCACGCTCTTTATCATCGTCGCATGCATATCCAGCATACACAGCCATATCTCGGCCTGCCAGGAGTAGAGAAGACCTGTACAGATGAGAAACCAAATCGTCCTGTTCCATCTTGCACCTTAGCTGAGCCTTGTCCCGATAGGCCATGGCGAAGCTGTTGCAGAGAGTGCGAAGCAAGGTTGCGTACGAGCCGTCTGTGGAACTGCGCTCGATCACAATTCGGCAATGTAGTAAAGATAGGAACTCAGAAACATCCCCATTGATACCCCGACCTTTGCCTGATGCAAACTCCCAATCTAAAACGAACGGACCGTTTGGCGTGCTGTCCGAGTCTGGATCCGCCACAACCACATTGCCAAAATTGAAATCACCGTGAACAACACACGGCGGGTACGTCATCTCAGGTTGCTTGATATCGTTGAGCAGGTGGTCGTAGTATGCCGAGCCAGGAAAATACTTGGTAAACAGCTCCAGAAGAGGTTCCATAGCCAGGTACCAAACGACCTCATCTGTCAAGGGAAGCTGTAGGAGCTCAGCCGTCTCATCATTTGCCATTACTTTGTCGTACGCTTCTTTGGAATGCATCTTGGCCAGGTTGTGGCCAAGCACTGAACCAACCTGTGACACGGCGGTAATTGCTTCTTGTATATTTGAAGATTTTGAAAGGTGCTCAGTCCATTTTCTCAGGTTCAAGACCTTGCCAAAATCTTCCGTCAGTAATATAGATGCTTCTTGAGACTTAGGTGAGATGCCCAGACTTGTTTCCGTGCCATCCTGCTGGCTCCAGCACTTGGCCAGTGTCCAGCATTGGCCCTCACTAGCCTTTGGATACAGAGGTCCACCTTCTTCCCATAGTCTCATCATAGTTGCCTCGACTTGCTGCTGGAATTAGCGTATGTCATCTATGGGATCGCTTTGGTGGGAACGTACCTGTCGTTTGATGGAAAAGGGTTGCACATGGTCTTCATCTTCGAAGAAAGGCGCTGCGTGTTTGAGAATCACAGATGACGGGCCAGCATCACCTGAGAGCTTTGTCGCCCGCAAGGTAGCGTTCGTTGAGCCTTGGATCGTCTTTTCGATTGACCAAGTTGTGCCTGGGAAGACAGATCCCAGATGATGCTCATAGTTAGCGTCCATTGTGATGCTGGGATGCGGTCAATATAGCCTAGCGACTCTTATGGTCCTTCGATAACTCTATTCAGGTGCATTTCGTTGTGGTTTATATATTCGATCGCATTTTGTTTTTCATCTCCACGATCTCGTCCTGCCCCCATCGTTCTCAACGGCGAATGACTCACTAAGATGAGCAAGTCTAGTATCCACAGCCAGCTGAAGCTCGCGTTCTTTAGGGAACACGAAATCTTGACCCTTCATTTTTCTCTTCGCCTTGGCCAAATAAAGGAACCTTTGTTTACTTTTTAACAGTCATAGCTTGGCATCTTGTTCCTAGGTTGTTGAAAGCATGAATGGTGGACGTGTCAGAATCCTCCAGTGCGCCAGTTTGCCAGCTGTGCCACCTGGTTTGGTACTTTGCCAGCTGGCAAGAATTTAGAAGCAATGCAGCTGGCAGCATTTCTACCCCTCTCCATCATCGCCTTTCTATTCCTTCGTAGCAAAAATGCAAATAAATGAAATGCCATCTTTTGCAACACCTATCGCGCACCTTAAGAGTCGTGAGTGGCGTCGAATGGGATTGTTACAGAAGGACCTAGCGCCAGTTAATGTTGTGCTGCCCACTAACCAGCAGCGCCTGTGGGGAGGTTGATCGCCATGAACAACCACACTGGTTGCGCACCTTATCGGCTGCGCTAAGCCGGAACAGAGCGACTGTAACAAGAGGCGATGGTTGGTCTCCACAAACATCCTCTCGTCCGAAAGGCACCCAAAACCCCTCGGTCATTAGCAAGCACAGCGTCATCGCCATAGTCCAGTCCTCCTAGCGCGTGAGGATTACGGGTCGTCCATTCTTGGGTATCAGATTGCCCATTGCCCCTGGCTTCCGAGTCTCCATGTTCCCGGGCTGACGGTTATTTTATTCAAAAAATAATATTTGCTCTGCATCCTCTTCTGCATTAGTCCAGGTATTACGCCGCCCAACAACGACTTCTTCCATCTCACCTCACCTGGCCGGCTCAGCGTCACGCATCGAGCATACCGCGCAAGTCCCGCGAAGCTTCCGTCCACCATCCACACTGCCGGTACGTTTGCCCGCCCATTGCCGCCACCTTCTGCACCTTTTGCCCCTATTGCGCATCTTTCGTCTGGTGCATCCTGCATCGCGCCTCGTTTCTTGTCGCTGCTCAGCTACCAAGCTGGTCACTCTCAACGTTGCGTGTGGCGTACCGCCGGTGACTTGATACCACCATGTGAGAGATGCAGCACGGCTTGGCTCAGTACGGTACCGAGTGTGCCTGGGTTCGTCTCTTTTGTTCGCTTTAATCTATTTTAAACGGGTTGCAAGAGATCTCCCTGCCCATCCTATTACACCCGTGCGACATTGTGCAGCCTGGCCTGGGCGGTGTTCACTCGGGCCACATGTCAAAGACTCACCACCTCTCGTCATCTGCTGACCACTGGTTTTTGATTGACAGGCAGTTTCCAGCAAATACCTCTCTTCGTTATTGCCAGTAAAAACTAGACACAAAATCGCTTCGATAGACGTTTTCTTTCAGTGCCTTTGTCGCCAGCTTTTTACGATTTTTGGCACGGTTGCTTTTTGAACTTAACAAGACTTTCTAGACTATTTTCACACGCGCGCGACGTTGGCTCCGTTGCCCAAGCGCATCACAGAGCCTCTAGCATTTGACGCCGAGGCATTGAGGTGAGCAAGCATCGTTATTCGCATTATCTTTCTGCTATAGCGCACAGCCCTCCCCTACCCATATACCCATCCGTCAAACACTACCCTTTTATCATATGCTTTGCCCTTGACCTTATCTGCTTTCCTGCTTTGGGAAGCATGGTCCGGCCCTGCTGCAAGCCCCGTTCCTCGGTGGTGCTGACATCGGCCGGACATGCGGAGCGCTACCCTTACCCTTTCGGCACTCCACCGTATTACGCTTCTTACTACTCCCTTCTCGGTACAATCTGATCTATTTGATTGGTTTGCTTGGCCAATTACTCAACCCGAAAGCATGACAGCCTTCTTATTTCATGAGCCGCTCCATCGGCCCACCCCTCCATGCCCAAAGCCTCCCATCTGACAGTCTTATATATATCCCTTGCACCTACACTCTCCCGCATTCTCGTCCAACGGTCATCTGTACCCCAGATTTTACCTACACTATTCTGCAACCACACATATACACGTCACCACTCTTCCTTCATACATTCTCCTCACGACAAGTGTCCCAGGTTTTCTCCGACTTTCCAGTTGTGCCTTGCTACGCTACCGTCTTGTTCTCATAAACAAGGCCATGTGGTAGACAACAACTCACCCGAGACCTAATGCCAGCCTACTATTTGCAAGACTGCCACTACTTTTACCGCACAGCTTTGCGCGGCCTAAACATCTCCACCACCGTTTCACCTTTACACGCATAAAGCCGAATCGCCATTGCTCTGTCTTCATACTAACGTCAAAATGACTTCCGAAGTTCGACAATTCAGCGCGTCAGCATCTTTGGCTGAGGCCCTTGCCGCACCACCACCTTATTCTGCGATTCCACGCATTGTCCCAGAGATTCAAAACAAGCTCAGCTTTCCACCAGTCGCAGCTGACGCCGAAAACGCTCAAAACACTCACAAGCCAAGACAGCCTTCTGTCTACAACAGGGTACCAATGGATAGTGAGCCCAAGATCCAAAATGGCATCACCTTTGCCGGCCAGGAATCACTGCCCAAGCTTCCCATCCCTGAGCTTGCTTCTACATGCAAAAAGTACCTCGAATCTTTGAAGCCGCTTCAAACGCCTCGAGAGCATGCCGAAACACAATTTGCTGTTCAGGAGTTCCTGAACCAAGATGGCCCAGAGCTGCAAGAAAAGCTCAAGAGCTACGCTCAAGGCAAGACAAGCTATATTGAACAGTTTTGTAAGTCTGATATATTACACAACACGAGATAAACTAGACTAATCTTCACTCAGGGTACGATTCTTATCTCAACTACGATAATCCAGTTGTGCTCAATCTGAATCCTTTCTTCCTGCTCGAAGATGATCCTACTCCTGCTCGAAACAATCAAGTCACTCGTGCTGCATCTCTAGTTGCATCAGCTCTAGAGTTTATTAGGGCAGTCCGCAAAGAGGAACTTCCCCCCGACATGTTTAAGGGTAACCCTCTATGCATGTACCAGTTTTCGCGCCTTTTCGGTACTGCTCGCGTCCCTACTGAGTCAGGATGCCAGATCGAACAAGACCCCAGTTCAAAGCACATGATTGTCATGTGCCATGGTCAAATCTACTGGTTTGATGTTCTGGACGACAACTCAGATGTCATCATGACCGAACGGGATATCGCAGTCAACCTCCAGACTATTATTGACGACGCTGTCCAAACACCCATCCAAGAAGCTGCCAAGGGTGCGGTTGGTGTCCTCAGCACAGAGAACCGCAAGGTTTGGTCGGGTCTGCGTGAGGTGCTCACAAGAGAGGCCGAGTCCAACAACGCAGACTGTCTCAACATTGTTGATTCAGCTCTTTTCGCTCTGTGCCTTGATTACAGTGAGCCTACCAACGTCGCCGATCTCTGCCAGAACATGCTCTGTGGCACAAGTGAGGTTAAGAACGGTGTCCAGATTGGCACTTGCACCAATCGCTGGTATGATAAGCTTCAAATCATTGTCTGCAAAAACGGCAGCGCCGGTATCAACTTCGAACACACTGGTGTTGATGGCCATACGGTCTTGCGCTTTGCTAGCGATGTTTACACAGATACTATTCTCCGCTTTGCTCGCTCCATCAACGGCCAGGCGCCCACTCTCTGGACATCTACAAGCCCTGATCCCTCTAAGCGCGACCCTGAGAGTTTTGGTGATGTCACTACGACACCACGCAAGCTTACCTGGGATATGATTCCAGAACTCACTATTGCCGTCCGCTTCGCTGAAACTCGCTTGGCTGATCTTATTGAACAAAACGAGTTCCAGTGTCTCGATTTCAGCACCTATGGCAAGAACTTTATCACTTCTATGGGCTTCTCTCCTGATGCCTTTGTCCAAATGGCCTTCCAGGCTGCTTACTACGGTCTTTACGGCCGAGTCGAATGCACCTATGAACCTGCCATGACCAAGTTTTACCTCCACGGTCGCACAGAGGCCATCCGTTCCGTAACGGACGAATCTGTCAAGTTTGTGCAGACTTTCTGGGGTGATAACCCTGTTGACACAAAGATCGAGGCCTTAAAGGCCGCCTGCCAACGCCATACTGGCAATACCAGAGAATGTTCCAAGGCCCAGGGCTACGACCGTCACCTGTATGCTCTCTTTTGCGTCTGGCAAAAGTACATGGACGGCATGGACAGCGGAGCCAGCAGCACTGGTAGTTCCATTGATGCCTCCAGCCCTGGCGACTACTCCTTCTCTGATCGCAGCACTGCATCTCCTGGAGTGGAATCCCCCTCTGACCACGTTGAAGTACGCCCAAGTCGCGAACGTGGCGACAGCACAAACTCGAGAAACCGAGAAAGCCGTCACCTCCCTCTGATTTTCGCTGATGGCGGTTGGGATAAGATCAACACGACCATTCTTTCCACTTCCAACTGCGGCAACCCGGCGCTTCGCCACTTTGGCTTCGGCCCAACCTCTGGTGACGGCTTTGGCATTGGTTACATTATCAAAGATGAGTCTATCTCGGTTTGTGTTTCTAGCAAACATCGACAAACCAAGAGATTCATTGCCACCATGGAAAGCTATCTGCTTGAAATCCGCCGCATCCTGCGTCTTTCCAACCGCAAGTCGTCTACCGCAAAGAGCAGCCGTGCTCGTGAAGTTGAATCCAACCCGAGCACGGCCCCTAACAGACTCAAGTCTCGTGGTCGCCCTCTGACCGGTGCCGAGGCGGTCAAATCTAGCTCCTCTGTTGCTGTGATTGCCCCCGTCATTGACGATAGCCCTGTCGCAAGCGACGATGATGAACTGGGCGGATGTAAGTCAATTCTCGCCCCATCGATACCTATACTCCCCATTCGAACGAGCCTCATGTTTCTTTCGCCTCCTCCTCCTGTTTCTTATATACACTTATTGCCCACATCAACTCCTATGGATAGCTCCCCTCCTAGTCGAATATCTTCCCCCATCCTCCCTCCCTGGCTCGTGTATACCGCATCATATCATCGGACACAAGCATTACAGTTACTAACCTCTATTCGAAAATTTACAGACGGATTCTTTGATGCTGGAATGTTGCTACAGGCACTCAAAGCTCGCGCTGAAGGAAGTGGAGGTGATGCTGAGGCGGTCGACGCAACGAAGCCCTCTGAACGTGCTGCTGTGCAGGCACGCCGAAGAGAAGTTGGCAAGAAGTTGCGATTAGCTGTTGATTAATGATGGGATGAATACGTGCTGCGAGTATTTCGTGTCGTCCGTTTTGTTAGTACGTAGAGTGTGACGTCGATTTTCAAATAGCCAGAAGATCTCAAACTGTCTTATTATAGCATATATTATAGCGTGTAAATTCGATATATCGTCTTGTTAAACCTATGTAAAATACAAAATATACTCCTGGATATGTATCAAGTGCTTCGTAACCAACTATTACCACGGCGTCTTAACCCAGCTCATGCATCTCGCCTCGGTGCTGATCCGCCATGCTCGTAGGAGCTTCATGGGCGTTGTTCTGAGGCGGATAGCCGTACATATGCTGCTGCTGCTGAACAGGCATACCAACAGGTGGGCTCTGAGATGGCGATATTTGCTGATGAGATGAAGGAACGTTTGAATAACGGGGATCGGTCGGTGATACCGAGTGCTGTTGCTGAGGGGACGCAGGGTTCGAGTAGCGAGGGTCAACAGGCGATGCAGAATTAGGAAACTGGGAAGAAGCCATTGTTGGCGGGTATCCTGAGACTGAGGGCGAAATCTGATCGTAGTGTTCCATTGGCTTCTGGTAGTCCTGTCCATACTGCCCAGCATAGAGATTAGTCTCTCCAGGGTGCGGGCCGTTCTGTTGCATAGGTGCAGGAGGTGGTGCGGTGGTAGATGTCGGTTCCGCGTCGTTCTTCTTCTTCTTATTGCGAATGAATAGGAAAGCCACTAATCCAATGAGACCCAAGGCTCCAACTCCGCCTACAACTCCTCCAACAATAGCTCCGATAGGGGGGCCGCTCGATTTGTTGTCGTTGTTGCCGTTAGAGTCTCCGTTGGAGTTTCCATTGGAGTTGCCGTTTGAATTGCCGTTCGAGTTTCCGTTGTTTCCATCACCGCCCGAATTTGGCCCGGTGGAAGAAGCTGACGGTGCGGCCTTTCCGCCAGCGCCTCCAGATGCAGCGCTAGACTGGAGAGCAAACTGCGAGGTCGAAGACGATGGGTGCACGGTCAATACGCTAAACGGAGAGCCGGCCTGTCCCTTGTAGGTTGTCTGCATGGATTGGATGCCAGAGTAGATCTGGCTGTCACAGAAATAATCGACAATGTTGCCAGGCCAGATGGCAGAATTGCAATGCATGGCGGCAATGTTTGTGCTGTTGAACGATTAGTACTCGCGGGCTATAATGTCGTTGCTCATGTATTTGTTGCACATACCATTTGAGGAGGAAGCCGTCGGCTTTGCATGAATTTCCACATAGGCTTGAGGTATAGATGGCATTGTAATCAATGCATCCAGTTTTAGCATAACATCCACTGGGCTCACAGCAGGCAACACGGCCCGGCCCAGCGGCGCTTGAGGTGTATAGAACGCAGTGGGCGAGTGTGTTATAGCACCTGTACGGTGCCCCAGGAAGACCAGAGATGTAGCCGCAAGTGTTATCTTGTCCATACAAAACTTGAAAGGAGGTGGCGGCGTCCTTAGCTGCTCGTCGCAGCAACTCCATGGCTGGCGGGTTCGTTGGCTTTGGTGAGAACCCTTCGGCCGCTAGATCAGTCGCCTCGGACGGAGTTGGCGTAGGGAGCGACATTTTGAGACATTGGGCAGTAGAAGCTAGCGCTGTGAGCAGCGCATAGCTCTGTGTGAAAGACTTCATGGCAATCTTGTTGCTCTAGCGTGCGAATTGTCTTCTCTTGCAGCTGTAAATGGCGAGCTTCAATGGTGACGTTCAGCAAAGAAACAGACGAACGAGAGGAGCAGCTCCAATGGAAATATTCCGTCCTGTCAGGGACGGCGCTCAGTTTTATTCAGCTCTCTTTTCTGCATGCCTGGTCACTGCCCGACTCCACGTTGATGTGCCATCTTTTCACCACTATTTGCGCATCCTTGCCGCTTACACGACAGTCTTGAGAGCGCCTTGTGGAGGCGCCAGGCATATTTTCCCAATGATACAGGGTGTTACTGCGGGACTGTCAACCCATTTGGTTGGCTATGGCGCTGTGGCTGACATTCAGCTGAAAGAAAAGTAGCGGAGCTGTGTGGGCGACCCTGGGCGACCAGCATCGATTCAGCTCTTCAGCCCTGGAAGACTATAGGAGTGAGGCTTCTGTGGTATGTCATGCAGCTTCGTTCCTTTTTATTTATGTCGGCGCCGGCGAGTCAGTAGCAGCTCAAGAGCCTGTCTTTGTCTGCCATGAACAAACTAGCAATTGCATCGATATATAGAGACCGTTCTTTCAATAGCTGGTCAAGCGATCAGCAGCCGCATTTGTTAGGGTTGCTTACCATGCTATCGGAGTCTCCATAACACGAGCCAAGGCGAAATTGCGTCCCCCAAAGCGGTTGGAGATTGCGCGGAACCAGCGCCCGACCCATGGCGGCTCTACTTTCGTGCTGCAAGTCTCCGGCGTGGCTATCTTCCAGAGGCAGTGTTTCCTTTTTTATCTGCATTTAGGCTGCTGTGGCTCCAATATCACACATTCGCCCCATGACAGCTTCCGATGCCGCTTGGAAGCCGAGACGAGTGTTAGATGTGTCGCTATAGGAAGTGAATCTTTTCTTCAAATTATCAAGGCTAGTTCGTGCCAACCAAGTTAGCTAGCATTATGCTGCATCACAATGATTCCATCAGCCTTGTAAACTCTCCGTGAGCTGCGCCCCTCGGCCACAAGGAGACCGCCACGGCTATTGAACGGTGCGGGTGCAGGTGCGGCTGGCATCTCTTTGGTCCAAATCGCGATGACACGTGATCTGGCATCAGAAGCTTTAGGGTAGCTGGATGCGTCTGAAGCTCAGAGTTATACAGACGCGATATACTTTCAGGATAATATATTAAAATTATACAATAATTTTGGCTGAATATTTATCTTGTTTATTACGTATTTTAATGCATTTTACGCTTTATGGCTGGAATTGTACCATGTGATGTAATACTTGGCTTTCTTCTGCCACTCACGTCTCCCTGCCTGTACCCAACCTGGTCACTCTTTTGCACCGCCCCAATTCAAAGTAACTTCAATGCACTGAGGGCCAAATAACGAAAGAGAAGAAATAACAACACCCTTAATTTGCCATACGCGACCAAACACACCAGAAAATGATATAAAACGCGTCAAGGAACAACCAGGTACTGCTGCATTGGCCACATCGCGACTTGGCTCCTACACATCACTTCTGCCACAAACGAAACCACAACTCCATTGCTGCCTTTAATGACGCGGCAGACGACGATAAATGACCGACTTGCTTCATATCATACCCTCATTCCCTGCCGGACCGTTTGCGAAAATACTAAATGCTGTTGAGCAGCACAACTTCTCGACAACTGACCTCCTCGCCCTCCACCCCGCCGATATCGCCAAACAGACACGTGTGCCGTTGCTCGACCTCAAACGATTTATAGCTGCGATCCAAGTATCACTATCTGATGATGTCACCGTCGATACAGACTTTTTAGGCGATACCGCTGGCTCGGCAGAGCAAGAGCTACCGAAACCAAGCGTAATAAGCACACTGGACGATGAGTTGGACGCGGCTCTCGGTGGCGGGATCCCCGTCGGGTGCATTTCAGAATTTGCCGGCGAAAGCGGTGCTGCAAAGACACAGTTCTTGCTCTCGCTCAGCTTAGCTGTACAGCTTCCCCAGCCTCGCGGGCTCGGAAAGAACGCCCTCTACATCTCGACGGAATCTAGCTTGGCCACGCGTCGGCTTGCGCAGATGCTCGCCAACCACCCCTTGTTGAAGGACCTCGAGGGTGGCGCAAAGCCGTCACTCGACAATATACTTAGTACTATCACACCGGACCTCGAATCCCAAGACCATATTATCGAATACCAGGTTCCAGTCCTGGTTGAGCGACACAATGTTGGCCTGATCATTCTGGACTCGGTGGCTGCCAACTACCGCGCCGAATTCGAGCATAAGGGCTCAAGAGGATCAGTAATGGCTGCAAGAAGCGCGCAGCTTGTCAAACTTGGCGCAGTACTCCGTGATTTGGCGAGAATCCATGGCCTGGCTGTCGTTGTTGCGAACCAGGTGGCAGACAGGTTCGACTCGGGGCCGTCGACCAATATGCTGCGGCATGCTCCGCCTAGAATGAATCCAATGGTACCACCGGAGAGTCCATTGGCTTCCAGGAGCAATCCGATGCCCCCGCCATCAACATTTTCAAGCACACCGAGCTCATCTATGCCGTTTCCCCCATCAGAAGAGGAGGTTGTTCCTCCAACGCTGCATCTGGACCACCAACAACGATGGTTCACAGGCTGGGGTGACGAACCTTACTCCTCGCACTCGCTAAAGACGCCTAGCTTGGGATTGGTATGGTCTACGCAGATATCGTGCCGTGTAGCGTTGTTCAAGCGGCCTGTATATGGTCGACCCAGACGCGTCGCTGCCCCGTTGCAAGCGGGCGACGATGACGATGCTGATCTTGCGCCAACACTGAAATCATGGCGGAGGTGGATGAAGGTCATCTTTGCACCGCACGCTGGCGCTTCTGGCCAGGGAATTTCAGACGCTACCGAATTCGAAGTCACAGCTGCCGGACTAAAGGCGGTCCACCGGCCAGTGAAGGCAGAACAGGCGGCATGATGTGGCTAGACTCTTATGTTGGTATACCCCATCCTTCTTGTATAATACTTAGAGCGCATACAATGTAGATAGATGGCGCGTTGAAACATGTATAAACAATTACGGCACGACTCATAATGACTCTGAGTTTTAAAGAGAAGAAATCATTTTTATGACGTTATATTGAGCATCTATTTATTCCGTTACAAGTATATTTACATTTCTTCATTTCGGATGAGGGAACTCATCCTCGAGCTGCAGTCGCACGCCGACATTCATACTGATGAGTTCCTGTACGAGGAGCTTGGCAGCGTAGGGCATAGTCATCTTGGTTACTTCGCGGGTACTCTTGCAAGTCTGGCAGTAGCCCTTGTAGCCAAATAGACCACACTGCTGGCAGATATCAATAACGACACCATCAGAGCTAATCATCAGACGCTCAAGAAGTAGCTGAGAAGCACCATACGCGATCAAACAATCACGTTCCATTTCACCCAGACGCAGACCACCGTCTCGCGAACGACCTTCTGTCGGCTGACGAGTCAGGATGGCGCGAGGACCGCGGGATCTAGAATGCATCTTATCTTGCACCATGTGCTTCAGGCGCTGGTAGTAGATGGGGCCGTTGAAGATGTACGCTTCCAAGGGCTCGCCGGTAAGACCAGAGGTGAAGTAGTCTTTGCCTTCCCAGGAAAAGCCGTGGTTCAGGAGAACCTGACTGACCTCCTCAACTGGATGGGAGCGGAAAGCATCACCAAAACCATAGTCCTTGCGGCCGTCCAGAACAGACGCCTTTCCGGTAAGACATTCAAGAAGCTTGCCGACCGTCATTCGCGACGGGAAACCGTGAGGGTTCATGATAATGTCTGGGGTTAGGCCGTTATCAGCAAAGGGCATGTCTTCCTGGTCGACAATGATACCGACGACACCCTTTTGACCGTGTCTGGAAGAAAACTTGTCGCCAAGCTCGGGGCGACGAGTCTGTCTGGTTTGAACCTTGATGACGGTTGTGTCTTTTTCTGTTTGCGAAATCATAACTTTGTCAATGTATGCAGGGTCGGGGATACGGTAGGATACAGCCGAGTCGCGGTACTCGCTGGGTCCGCGGTCCAAGCCAATACCGGTAGTGGTGAGATCCAGTGGAGTTTCCTTTTTGACCATGGCCTCGCCAGCCTTGATTCGGTGGCCGACTCTTGCGAGGCCGTCGTCATCCAAAGCCTCGTGTTTGGCGGTTCGGACCAGTCGTTCGCCGTCATTCTCATTCACGGGATCGCCAATTCGTTCGCGACGACCGTTAGGGTACTTTTGCAGCTCGGTTGTGTATTTTCGGAAGACTTGGCAGCGGCCAAAGCCACGGTCGATGGATGCCTTGTTCAGAACTAAGGCATCTTCGATATCGTAACCAGAGTATGACATGACGACGACAGTAGCATTCTGACCGGCCGGCAGCTTGTCGTAATGTACGAGTTGAATGGTTTTCGTAATGACCATCGGCCGCTGTGGATAAACGAGGGTGTAAAGCAGGGTATCAATGCGGTTAAACTGGTTGTAGGCAATGGCTCCAATGGCTTGCTTACCCATGGCGCATTGATAAGTGTTACGGGGGGACTGGTTGTGGTGAGGGAAGGGGATGAGGCCGGCAACAGCGCCGAGGATGGTGAAGGGCTCGATTTCCAAATGTGTTGTGCTTTGGGTGACTTGGTGCTCGTAGATGGTAACGAGCGCGTCGTTTTCTTCGTTGACGTCGAGGTACTCAACCACTCCGTTGGTGAGGAAGTCGTCAAAGGTGACCTTGCCAAGCTGAAGAAGCTTCAAGTGCTCTGCTTTGAGTCTTTGTACACCATTCTTAACGATAATGTACGGTCTGCAAATACGGCCTTCGTCGGTAGCAATGTGTACCGCGTTGAAATGGTTGTTGATGCTGACACTGACAAAGGGAGAAATCCAACCTTTTCGACGCATGGTGCGGAACTTTGCACAGAAGCGTTTTGGGTACCGTGTCAAAGCAAACGGCGTACCGTTGACGTGAATAATAAAGGAGCCTTCACGATGCATCTCGGCACCAGAGAAGTTGCGGATAGGCTGCACACCTACATCGAGTGTGAAGATCCAGCGCTTCACTGGTTCCTCATCGACGTTGGTGGTAATATGCGTCATGAGAGCCAAATTCTTGACGAGACCACAGGCTTCACCTTCTGGAGTATCAGATGGGCACAGCATACCCCACTGAGAAGGCTGGAGAGCACGAGGACCAGACACCTTTCTTGTCTTTTCAAACTGACTGCTAATTCTGGTCATCATACCTAGCGCGCTGATGTAGCTCAGTCGGCTCAGAACATGCGTCACACCGGCTCGGTTCATGTTGAAACGCTTGACGTTCCAGTTACCAGTTTGGATGGCGCGGTTGATGCCGATTCCGATGTTGTTGGCATGATTGCTAATCATGTGCACAGCATCGAGGGGCACTGCTCTGTTGTTCTTTTTCAGAAACTTGTCAATGGACATCTTGACCTCGCTCATGAATCTCTTGAACAAATCTTCAAAGAGAAGTGACAGAAGCTGACCAGCCAATTCCAGACGCTTGTTTCCGACAAAGTCACGATCGTCGACAAGCTTGCTGTCCTGGGAAGCCATGAGGACCTTTCTCGTCATCATGGCGACGTAAATTGCCTTGGGATAGAAGTCAAGACCTTCAATAGGAACGTGAGCGATGATGAGGTTTGCCAACGCATCCAGACCCTCTTCCACGTTGTTGCGACGGATCTGAGGGCCAAATTGACCCCGTCTTGAGCCCATCTTTACTCTTGCACCAATGTAATCGAGAGCCTGATGCTGTGTATAGACACCAGCCTTGGCAGCCTCATCAAAGTTGACAATGAATTCGTCTTGATAACGGCCATCTCCACCAGCTACCAATTGGATGATTTCGAAATCAGACAATCCACCCAGCGCCTTGAGAACGATAACAATGGGAATGCCTTCGACAAGGATGTTGTGCGTCAAAACAATACGATCCTTCTTGAGTGTAACGTTCGTCTTGGACTTTCGTTCGTGCGTAGAACTGGTGACAGTTGCGGAGATGACGTGGTTCTTCTCGTCAGCCTCGACAATAACACGGTTCTTGCTGAGCTGTTCCTGGATAAGAATAACCTTTTCGGTACCATTGATGATGAAGTAACCACCAGGATCGAGCGGGCATTCGTTCATCATGTCCATCTGGGCATTTGTAGCACCGTGCAGTCTGCATCTCGAACTTCGCAGCATGACGGGCATGCGACCAAGCGGAACGCCGCGACGAACAATCTTTTGCTTGTCTCGGATGTATACAATATCGGCTAATATAGGGGCGGCATAGGTCATGTCTCGCAGACGGCACTCCATAGGAGTAACCTCTGATCTTGATTTGGCATCGTTGTAGTCTTGTCGTCGGGGTTGGTCGACTCTGATATCAGTGAATCTACGAGGGCTGTTAGCATTGCGGCAAGGATTGTAATTGCGAGGCTGGTGGAAGCATACTCTAGCCAAAAGTTGCTGTCAACATCACTTCGAATTGTGCGATTGGCGCGTACAATCTCCTTGATCTCGTGCTCGACGAAGAAGTTGTAGGAATCAATGTGCCTGTGGGATGAGTCAGTGGCCGAAGCGTTGGTGTAGTTGTATGTTTGGAAGCGACATACTGTTTAACGAGACCTGGTGACAGAACATAAATTAGTATGCCGGTATTTTTAACCATTTCCAAGACAAATAAACATACCTTTGACCTTTAGAAATGCGGGCAAGAGCTGAAACTTGTCGTCCTTTGTCGAGACGGGATCCGTCAGCTTTTTGCCGTTGTAAAAGGGCTCGAGCAGGGCCTCGAAGCCGTCGTCAATGAGAGGCATCGTGGGCGTTACCGGCAGAAATGCATCTAAAGAAAACAACCAATCCTCTCCCGGAGAGCAACAGCTGCAGCGGTGCACGGATGCAGGTTAGCGATAACTGGCGATGTCGTCAAACGTTGGGCTGCTGGCACGAAAAAAAGTTGACGCCGACGCGATAAGGCGGCAAAAGGTGGGGCGACCGCGACGATAAGGGAAGCTCTGGGTATGCCTTTGCGGTGGGGGACGAGGAGCGTTTATTCTGTTTAAGCTATGTAAATAATATGAGGATAATTTTAAAGTATTAAATATTTATCTAAGGCATTCAAAAAGTAATTCTGCTCAAATATTAATATCTATCTTAATAAATTAGACTCGCTTGGTGCTTTAATGGTTGTAGCTTTGCTCCGCCCGTATAAGCAACATCAACATCAGCTACAACAAACCACCTACACCAACACCAACCAGCCCACTTAGTATCAAGCCCAAGACATAGCCCAACCAGTAACCGGCGGCAAACCTGCAGACTGCCCTGCCGGGAACTAGTGAATTGATTTAGTATCATTGGCACGCATCTACTGCAGCGGACCTCCAGCGAGCATGGGATAGGGATGCAAGCCCTAATTGCCATTGGGTTTCCTGGGTTTCGGCAAATCGTAGCTGCATGCAAGCGATTCGATCACTTCGTCAGACCTACTCTAGCGAATTTGCATTGTGCAGAGCTGGTGTGCTTGTTTCCGCCACTAAAACAAGTTTTTTTCCACGCAGCAGTGGCGGAAACTCATGCAGACCCCTCTCCTCATCACGCTTCTGGACCGTTCTAACTCCAACGCAAACCCCCACCATGCCAACCCTCTCGGCTTTTAATGCGCTACCCCAACTGAGCCAGCGTATCAGCGCCTACAAAATACAGAGAGGCAAAGACATAGGGCCAGCCATCCAGCGTGGGTGAAGATCCACCCCGCTGCCAGAAGGGCAACCCGCCGTCAACGCCATCTTAATGCTCAAAAGTCGGTGAGCTGATGTGCGGCTCGCGTTTCATAACCTACGGTTGTAAGTTAGTGCTGTGCTGTGAGGTTGCAAAATTATGAAAACGTAGATGCCCAGTCTGGTATGAGTGAAGAACAGGGTCCTCATCCAACATCTCGGCTGACTCTACCAAAACCGAAGCCATCGTGCTAAAATCAGATGCAGAATCGACTTGGGACCCCTTGCTTGAACCCTGCAGGATGAGCCTGCAGCCGTCAAGTAGGCAAGGCGCCGCCCGAGGTCACGCTTCGATTCTCTCTATTCGTATCACCGCTGTAGCTTAGCTCTAACACCCTAACAATCTGTCTGGGTGTAGTAGGGTTATACCTGGTAGTAACTTACATTCTGAACGCTGCGCCGTCCGGTCATTGCGCGGGTCCAATTGATATCCGCTATCCACAGACCTAGCAGTCGCGCTGACCTTTGTTAGTTGGGTTTACGCACAGTAGATCTGGTTTCCACTTTCACCTGCATGCTAGGCCTGTCGCTCTTCACATTAGCGCTCTACGATATAATGCTAGAGCAGGCTCGTCGCTTGAATCGTTTGCGAATTGGTGAGGCCGCTGGCTGCTATTTTCTCACCAGAACATCGGATGCTTTAGCTGACGAGGGTAGACATAGGCTATGAGGGTAGCCTTTTATTTTCCAATCAATTTGTTAACAGGCTGTTGGAACGCCGCAATGACGTGATGCCAAACGCTGAAGCAGTCCACTTGTCGTTCCTCTGATGATGCTGCTGCGACGTTGTCCACAGCAAAGCTGCTCCGCTGGTTCATTGCCCCTCCCCCCGCCACTGCAAGGAAGTTGAGCGAAGGTCGAGGAAGCGCTCACGATGATTTCACTGCTTTAAGCCCTGCTTCAAGGCTAGTTGAAGACGAAACATCCCAGATAGTCGTGTAGATTGGGATGGCAATTATCGGAAAGCTACGGCTGAAGAATGAGAAATGTTTGTGCTGGTTGGTTTTAATTATACCATATCAGTGAGCCTGAGAGTAAACTTAGCATCACTAATTTAGGTACCCGGGCCGGTAGAAGAAAACGACAGCAGCAAGCCATCCGTTTTGGTGCCCGCCCCCGGGTTACATGAGAGTCGAGCAACTGCAACCTTGCAGATTCTTTGCGGCCATGTTGTCTCCATATCCCGCCTATGTTACGGCACAGCCGATGGGCCATGCAAGCCTGCTCATGTGCATGCCCTCCCTGCACGTAGTGAAAGAAAACCAGAGGTGCCGAGCGCAGCATGTAAACAAGCCCCAAGGCAATTTGTGCCACTGCGATTCTATCACCCAGCTTCAACCATCTCTAGAATTGACCTACAGAAGCTGGCGAGGGAGAGGGCATCGAGGTTGGCGCTCTGGCCACCGAGCGTCTGGGGTAAGCTTTTGACCGCCAGTTTGTCTGTTGGGTGCCCCGATTAAAAAACCCTTCTTTCACAGCCCACCGCGCAACAGACGAGAGGGACAGTTCGGTTCAGGCAGGCGGTTAGTGGGTTTCACACTGCGCGGCCTCGATGAGCCGGACTTTTCTTTGTTGGGCTTGGTGGTGATTGGGGGCGCTAGGAGCTACAACTCTTAGCGCGGTTCCTTTCTTCAGGGGTGCGCCCCGCCCCCTCCCACTGTAACCAACAGAGCCTGAACGGATTTGGGCGCTGGTGAAGAGAGAGATGGGCAAGGATTGGCCCACTGGTTGCCCCAAGCAAGTTCTGGCTGTCTGCAACCGCTGGTCCTCTATGACCATCTTTTTGTGGGAGTTGCTGTTGCCCGTCCTGATTGGGGTTTAATCGAGACCGATAGTTGAGGCCTTTTGCTGCCGAAGGATCTGTTTAAACAAGTAGATAACCGTCGAAGAAAGTGACTGCGAACCGAATTTGTCCGGTTACTGCCCGTAACTCATGGATCGAACGTGTTTCTGAAATGCTGACTCTTTCACAGCACTAAAAGCTCTTATCCGTGTCAGATCTTCGTTTGCCCGGCCCTTTCCTCCCCGCGTGCCGCCGCCGCTTTTTTCTTCCTCTCCACCCGTGTGCGTGGCCACCAGCGACCGTTCGCCCGCCCCTCGGTGTTATTTGTTATCAAATTTGAGCTAGGGCATATAGGCGAGTGCCAGGCAGTTTTTTTCGGGCAAGTGAGGAAAAAACGTGCTGGTCCTCTTGAACATATCATTGTTCATCTCGTAAACTACTCTTTTCAACTGAAAACCTTGTGCGACTAGATTCCCGTCAGTCAAACTCAGTTCAACCAACAGATCCCAACGTTAGCGGACGAGTTTCTCGGTACGTACTAGACACCCAAGCGTGCACAGCACCAAACCGAACAATCCCATCAATCTTTCGCGTCCAGCGACGCATTTGTTGTATACAGCAGCATAATTGCTGCGCAGAGAATCCCCAATTGTCGCGCCCACTCAAGCGAATGGTGGCTGCCAGGGCCTCAATCAGGCTCCTTGCACGAGTAGGTCGCTGTGGCCTGGAGCCAATGGGGGATGGAGCCTAGGCCTCTGTTCTGAGCCCTTCCAACCACCGAACGAGCATTCCCCCCTGTCCCCGAGACACACCCACGGACCAATCCATCTCTGGTCACCCCGCCTCAACATCGTCCATCTTTTCTGCATCCTGATTTTTCTCTCTTTCCATCCTCCACACCCGCAGAGGCGCTTGCTGACCTTGCTTCCATGCACACAGTCGATTAGGCTTGCGTCAGTGGTGCCAATTCTACTCCGCGTACTTGGATTGCTCCTGTGCCTGATTTGCCCAGCATGGACTTCCGTTCCCAACAACCGCCGAGGACAGAAGCGCCGATGTCGTCCTTGGTTTCGCCTCCTCGCAATGGAGGTACTCGTATGGGACAGCAGCAGCCTATGCATGATATCCGCTCCAACTTGCCCAGACGATTCACCACCGATTCCGGTCGTGTGCCAACCTTATCATCCTTGACTTCGCCTACGCGTGGCCCTGACTCCATCACTGACTTTGGCAACGTAAGTTCAGACGACAGCTTCTGTGGCCCACCCCAACCACAATATTTAAATTCATCTGGATTCCTAACATTTTCGCTTTAGAATGCAATGCACAAGGTGCAATTGGTACGTACCTGGCGATGAAATTGCGATGACTAGCCGTCATTTGCGGATGACTGCGCACGTGCAAATCGCGCCTCCATGCTAACCTGACATGACAGATTGAGAAGAAGAAGATGGAATATGAGAGGATTCGCGAGCAGCGCCGCCGCTTTGAGCTGGAAATGCAGAAGCTTGACCAGCAGCAGCGACGAGAGGCTCAAGAGCTCGCGCAGATGGAAGAAGAAATTGTGCGGCTCAATGGCCACCAGTCCGAGCCCACGACTCCGCCCGAATACCGAGACACATCCTCTGGCTTTCCATCCATGTTTTCGCGACCAAACCGATACTCAACTTCCAGCCTGACGTCCCCGCCTGGCCTCTTCAACAGACCTCAGCGATCCGGCTCCCAGATCACCTCCCCACCATCTGGTCTGATGCAGCAGCGATACGGCTACGACGAGCCTCTCCCATCTCGTTCGATGCCGGGCACCCGCCGAAACAGCGATGATGAGAAGGAAGATGCTGCTCGCAAAGATTCCACCAGCCAGAGGAGCGTAAATGCGTAAGTGCTCTGCAGACAACCACGCCGCGATGTTTGGCGGATTTGAGCAATGATTGCTGACAATTTTCTCTGCTTCAGTATGCACCGATACTCGATGCCCGCTACCAAGACCAGAGTCGGACCATATGAGTCCAACTTGGACCAGACCAACACTGCTCGATTCCTTTTTGGCGAAGATGAACCTAACGCAATGCCTCATCGTCATACCCCCGACCACACTTTCCCGACTCTTGTGAGACGCGATGACCAAATTGTAAGTCTTGATTTCGTTCTGCTTGGATTTCTTTGCAACGTGGTTATTATGGTAGAGGGGAAACGGCGAGACTCGATGCATGGAATGGTGAAGAAAATTCTCTCTTGCAGTGCTGCACCAGCTGCCTGCCAGCTGTCACAGCTGTCCTATGCATTTACCTGCCTGTTGACGTGGCCTGCGAGCAACTTCACGTTTCGTTTTGCATTTTTTCTTTTGGAACTGTCATTTTGCCCGCGATTGATTTCTGACCTTGCATGCCTTTTCACTTAGCTCTCTGCTTCTTCCGCTGCACTTGACCTTGCATTATCGCCATCCCCCAAACCCGAATTGCAAACCAGATCTTGGGCCAGTGTTAACCGTCATCGCCCACAGCAGAGCCTCTCATCTCTAAACGGATCATCATCAACTCAGTTTGGCGATCTCAATACCATCGGCAGCCGACCCGCGTCCCTCCGCCACTCCCTCGACCTGAAGTACATGTCCGATACTGCCAACGATTCTGGGCTCGTATCACCAAAGGGAAGCCACGTCATGACCACTCCTCCTAAGCTTCAGAGCTCGTTCTCTGCTAATGATGTATCGACCACGAAGGCTGGCAACGGAGCTTCTATGATGAATGCCAACAACCACGCCCAGCAGCATTTCCACAACCATAATGCCAGCATGGGACGTATCCCCGCCAGCGCCTTCCCTCCTCGCCATAGCCGTGAGCTTTCTGCTGATACCTCCAGGGAGCAAAACGGAGCCTTTCCCTCGTTCCAATCTGCTCTTCAGGGCAATGCTGCTCCATTTGGTCCTCCAATGACGACTGCTCCTTTCACGTCGAGCATTGGAGCTCCTCAGATCCCCAACAATGGCATGAATGCGTTCCAAAACTTTTATCCTGGAGCCAACTACCAGGTTATTGGTCCCAACGTAGCTGCACCTGTCAACCCGGCTATGCTTCAGTCTAGCATGCAGCAGCTGAACCTAAACGGATTGGGCTCCTCCAACCAGTTTTCTAACCAAAACTTCAACAACTTTGGTGCGATGCCTTTTAACCAGGGTAATCAGCAGCGTGATAGCCAAGCTCGCGTCATCCAAAACCGTCGTCAAGTTGACAATGATGGTAAGTGTCTTATGAATAAACGGCCAAGACCCCTATTGCTAATATTCAACAGCTATGAGCCGCTACCAGAACACGACTCTTGAATCTGTGAGAACACAAATCTATCAATTGTGCAAGGACCAGCACGGTTGTAGATTTTTACAGAAGAAACTCGAAGAGGGCAAGCCTGATCAGGTTCACATGATTTGGCAAGAGACGAACCCCCATGTCGTCGAGCTTATGACGGATCCTTTTGGAAATTATTTGTGCCAGAAGCTTCTCGAATACTGCAACGACGATGAGCGCACTGTCTTGATTCAGAACGCATCGCAAGACATGGTCCGTATTGCTCTCAACCAGCATGGCACCCGTGCTTTACAGAAGATGATTGAATACGTCAGCACCCCCCAGCAGGTGTCTCTTATCATGGAAGCCTTGCGTTATCGCGTTGTCGAGTTAATCCAGGACCTCAATGGCAACCACGTCATCCAGAAATGCCTGAACAAGCTCAGCTCCGTCGATGCTCAGTTTATCTTTGATGCCGTTGGCAACCACTCTGTCGAGGTTGGCACCCACAAGCATGGCTGCTGTGTCTTGCAGCGATGCATTGACCATGCCTCTGGTGATCAGAAGCGCTGGCTTGTGCAAAAGATCACCCAGGAGGCACGCCGACTGGTGCAAGATCCCTTTGGCAACTACGTCATTCAGTACATTATTGACCTGAATGAGCCAACCTTCACGGAACCTCTGGTTTCCATGTTCCAGGGCTGCATTGGGCACCTGTCTCGCCAGAAGTTTAGTTCCAATGTCATCGAGAAGTGCCTTCGCTGTGCCCAGGCCCCATCAAAGGACTTGATCGTTGAGGAAATGCTTTCTCCCACAGAGATTGAAAACCTTTTGCGTGACAACTATGCAAACTACGTCATCCAGACAGCTCTTGAATTTGCTACCCCTCACCAGAAGTATCGCCTTGTTGAAGCCATCCGCCCTATTCTTCCTCAGATCCGAACCACTCCATATGGTCGACGTATTCAGGCCAAGGTCTCTGCTTATGATAACCGAGGAAGCGCGTCGTCAAGTGGGCAGGTTACCCCGGCTGACAACACCCAAGGCCAGATCCCCCTTCGTCCTGGACATGCTCGTGGAGTGTCTAGCACTTCCTCCATTGCACCAATTGCGGCGCCCTCAGTCGCCCCTGCCGGCCTGAACAACCAGGTTAACCCTTCTGCCGTTGGAGGCTTTCAAGTCGGCCCTGGCTTGCCCGCCGCACCTGGAGCTCCTGGAGCTCCTGGAGCCATTCAACAGCCGCCATTTGGCCAACGTGTTGGCCCAAACACCGGCAACGGTGTGGAATCAGAAGAGGCTCGATGGCTCTGATTTCATAACTTTGTACATTGCTGCCATCTTGAATACATGTGTATTATATTATGCGCTGGTGGTTGCGTTCTGTTCGAGTTGCAGAATGAGCACCGATCATCCGCATACAATTACGATTTTTGGCATGACCTTCACGATAACTCAACCATGTTTGAATATTTACAGCACGCAAGGCCGACTAGTCGGCGACGACATGCGACATTCAGAGAAACACAGTATCTTGCAAGATACTTTGTGTGTACAACTACAAAAAAAGATTTCATGACTACTTGGCCAATGCATATTGAGTGTTCAGTCCTGCCAAGCTTTTGAATTATTCTTGCACACGCCAGTGCATCATTTGCATGACAACCATCGTTTTGTGTGCAAAGGTTTGTAATCTAAGGAAGATGATGCTCAGGGCATCCTAGGCTGTCAATGGAGTGGTAGCAGCCTCCCAGGAAGCTTGCTCTGCTCTCTGGAGCCAAGATTTTCGGAGGTATGAGTTGAGATTTCAGTTGCGTATTTTTTGACTTTTTAAGTGTTTTATTTTGTATGATTGCGTAAGATAAGAAAGATAAAATGAATTTGAAGAAATGTACTTTCTATAATTGTGTGCTAGTATCGTTGTAGTGGCAAGCATGCATCATGTGCGTGGTCGGCCTGTTGAACAAATTAGCCGCCACATACGTCTACGCACTACATCAGTCAGGAGTTAGGGTATCCATGGGCCCATGTGTTTTTATAAGAGACGTCAATTCATTGAATGCTCTACGTCGTATTTAAACTAGTCATAACGAACTATTTCATTTTATTTTTAAAAGAGGTTTCTCCACCTACACCACACTGCACATTCGTCCTGCACACACCTGCAGAGATGAGGGTAGTGAGGAGTATATGGAGTGATGCAAAGTCGACCAATGCCTCCAGCATACATCCCACAAGGCAAGCAAGCAGTAGTACATCACAGACAGAAGCGAGCTCGCAAGGCCACCCACAACCACGCAGTGCCAATCGATAAGACTGGCGTTACGAGCCTGTGAGCGAACCAAGATTGGGTTAAACCCTTTACCTGTAGCGCCACAGGGAGAGGGTGTTGTGGCGCTTCCAGGTCTTTCTGCGGCCAGCAGTGGTCTTGTTGTAGCGGTGACCCTTGTTGAGACCACGGGAGCGCTTGCCGGTGGAGGTAAGGCCACGAGCCTCGCGGTGCTTGTGGACGGGGTTGACGATCCAGTTGATGCGGGGGTCGATGCGGATGGCCTTGTGCTGGGGGTCGACAAGGATGACCTCGAAGTACTTGTAGGTAGAGTCCTGGTTGATCCAGTAGGAGTTGAGGACGCGCAAGTTGGCGCAGCGGCGGCCGACACGCTCCTCGGCGGTGGCGCGGAGGGAGCGCTGGTACTTGAGCTGGTTGATACCCTGGTTGGTGGGCTTGCCGTAGGTGGCACCCTTGCGAGCAGGCTTCTTGCGGCCACCACGGCGGACACGGACGCGGTAGACGACGTAGCCCTGCTTGGCCTTGTAGCCAAGGCGGCGGGCCTTGTCGGGGCGGGAGGGACGGCTGGCACGGTGGATGACGTTCAGCTGACGAAGCTATAGACGGGGGACAGTGGTTAGCATTCTGCGTTTTTGTGTTTGGTGGTGTAGCCCTGTGCTGCTACTGCTGAAGAGGACAAGAAAAGAAAAGAAAAGTTCTGGCGGGGTTTGTGAGGGGAGCAGCAATTCGACAAGCAGAGACTGATGTCAACGCAAGCGCTCGATTCCTTCCAATCTTCTCTGGCAGAACCGTCAAAGCCTTTCCTTTCTTTCCCTCAAGAGCAGCAGTAGCAAGCAGCAGTGCAAATCGAACGGTATATTCGTCTCGAAATTGGCCAGAGAGTCGGTGGTCGTAACATACCTCCCAGCAGCGAACGCGGAGAAGGAAGCGCATCACATCGGACTGCTTCTTCTTCTGAAGTTCCTCGACATACTTAAGGGCACCCATTTTGGCTATGAAGAGAGTTAGCACAGGCTGTTTTAAAGGTTGGTGATGTTTGGCTCGACGATTGGAAGGTTGGCTGTAGAAATTTGTTCGTCGGCACGAGGCGTAAATAAAAAAAAAAAAAGGCCGTCGTGGTATAAATCCAAACGAGTCGTTCCAATTCCAATCGTATCGAGCAAACAGTGAGCGACGTACCGGCTCAGATGTCGTGATATCTGTTATGGTTAGTATGGTGAAGGGGAAAACTGAACAAGAAGCCCGTAGGAAATTTCACCTTTGGACCGCCCACAAACCCTGGGCCACAGCAAAAATTCGAGCGCAGTTTGTGGGTTAAGCGACGCGCTAGCCCTATTTGGGACGACTTGTCTCTGTGGATGAGCCCCGCTGGTGCCCTCGTTTTTGTGGTTGTGTGGAAAAATCTGTGTTATGTAAGCACGCTTTTGCTGTGTCGTACCGGAGCCACAGTACTGTACATTTTGCTAACCGCACAGCACCCCAAAATGACTAAGCATGATTTCGGCGTGTCCAGGTGCACTAACTGGGAATACACTGCAGTTAAGGGAATATCGTCGTCAACAGAAATCTGGAATTTATTTTTAAAAATATATAGTGTGAATGAGACGCTAAAAATGTTTGATAATTTACTCTGGAGGCTCTGGCAGTGGCTTCAGAATCCCAGCTAGCCCTTTGAGCATGTCGTATGCACAGGAACCCCATGTATGTTCCATGTCTGCTGGTTGAATCTCACCAACTATATCCTTGGCGATGCTATTTAATTCGAGCCGTTCAGTCTCATTGCTGGCAAAGGTTGCCCTCTGGCGAGCATCAGGTACCACATAAGTGTTGATCACGTCCACCAAGCCGTGATGGACTATCTTGTTCAATTCATGTAGATCTTTGCTATCCTGCTGCCACCTCGCTTTTTCTGTTTGCCTTTTGGTCAAGGGCTGGTTATTGATGTACCGGTACCTCTCTGTCGTGTCACGTAGCTCCTTTAGCATAGATTGGGCTTGTGTAAAGACGGAATTTTCCTCTACCGATGGCACTGGCTGTGGCGTCTTGTTGGGTGCTTCTTGGGCCCTAGCTGTATTAGTGTATTTCTCCTACTCTGAGAATAATCACGCTTAACTGGAAGCCTTTAAACTCCTTTCTCAGTTCGTTGGTTTTTCTTCTAATCTGCGCTTTGGCGTCGCTAAAGGACGACCCAGAAGACTTTGTAGGGATGGTTCGACTCTTTGTTGGGTTTCTGGTTGACTTGTTAGAGTATATCAGATAAGTATTGCAACCAGAAGGCCACAAACGATTTAACCGCTCTAGGACTGTTGGCCTTGGAAGTCTTTGACTTTGTTGAAGTTTTAGCCTGTTGGCGATTTGTCCCAATGTCTGCAAGTGGACGACGCTTCTTCGAGGGCTCTGCATCCGAGTCCGAGGCTATTGATATTAGTGGTAGTCTTTAATCACAGAGACTTGAATAGCATTACTTTGCTTTCTTTTATTTCTAGAACGAGCCATGTTTGCAAGAGCTGGTATCTTTTTGAAGACTTGCTTCAGTGTAGTCTTATAACATTCTGGGAACAGACAGCGGACAGATATATATCAGCTGGCCGCCAGCTGGCGACACCTGGCGAGTGTCAAACACGTGTCTATCAATTGCGGCTTGCTACAGGTGGACAAGGACTCATCTACAGCGTTTATTCATCACAATCACAGGACAGACCAATGTATCAAATAGTTATATTACGTTACGTGTATGAGCAATGGGCGACGAAAAACAAGTGTCCAGACTTGATAGCAAATAAAACAAACAGACAAACAAATCTCATTCTATCCTTGTAAGCAAATTGGGCTATCAAACCATACACACCAAAAGTGGTTTCTCAAAATCAAAGTCGTGACTGTGCTCCGTTCTTAGAGTCTTCAAGAATAAAACAGCATCCCTCGCCAACCAGTCTATCGACCAGTAGTCTAGCAAGGTACAAAAAGCAGCAAAACGAGGCCAGTTTGTGCGCCAGAAGAATGAGTTAAATCAAAAGCCATGCCCACGAGGCAGCCGCAGTCTGGGAACAACTCCTGGCGAAGAAAAGGAAAAAAAGAAAAAGCAGATCTTATCAAACGCTCAACAGATATTGCATCGCAAAGTGCCGAAAGGTGCCGCCCGAAATAACAACAAAAAGTTGTGCCGAATCTTTACAAGAAAAATCAAAAAATACCATCTTTATCAAATTCATTCCGAATCCCTGTGTCTATCTTATTCTCTCTTTGGGCCGAAGTTTCTCTCTTATTTTTTTTATTTCTTTTCGTCGTCGTTAACATTGGAGTCGTGATGTCTGCCGTCAGCTTTGCTGGGCAGACCTGTTGATAGTCAGTGTGTGTTTAAGGATAGCCCCTGGAATGCCGGATTCCAGTCGCCCTGAGGGGAGATGGGCGAGAGTCGTTGGGCATGAGGGTGAGGATTGCCTGGGCCAGCTTGGCCTGGGCCGAACCTCTGGCGCATGGCATGGAAGTCACCGCCGTGTTGGAAGCCTTGAGGTGAGTATGGGTCGGTTGGCGATGGATTAGCACCGTATGGCCCTTGGTGTCTGGGGCCTGGACCGCCATATCCGGCTCCAGGGCCAAAGGCATAGTTGGACGGAGGAAAGGGTGGTCCCGATACTGGGGATACAGCGTTTCTCTCAGCTGACATGGGCTGCTGAAAGCCCTGACGATAGCCACGGCCACCATTGTTGGGAGCGAATCCGGGCCCAGGGTTTCCTTGATGCTCTTGCGGGGTGGCATTCTGGCGACGTTCGCCGCCAGAGCCGCGAACACCAACAGCACCAGGGCCAACACCACTCGGAGCCTGGATGCCCAGCGTTGGGCTGGCAAATGATGCCGGGTTGATGGCTGACATCCAGATTCTCGTCTTGTAGATTTTGAAGAGGTCAGTCACAAGCGAGTTGAAATTGATGTAGGCATCGGCAAAGTAGTAAAAGGTGAGCTTCTTCCAGTCCCTGTGAAAATATGTTAGCTAGAGAGCGCAAGAGAGAGTTGCTGTTAAATAAGCACTTACATTTGGAATTCGGCATCAAGAATCTCCATGTTCAAGCCATGTTCCTTGACCTTTTGCATGCACATGCGCTTTGCCTTGGCCTCTTGGCCTTCCTTGTCACGCAACGCTTGAATTTCATGCTGCTGCGCCAGGCGCTTGATCATTTTCGGACGTAGCTCCCCGTTGGCCGGTTCCTGCATATGCTGCTGGTTAGCTGGGCCCATGCCGCCAATGGCACTTCCAGGAAGGCTTGCCGCAGCAAGGAGCCCGCTACCAGGACCGTCTTGGGCAGCCGCAGCTCCTTGGGAGTACATCATGAGCCATTTGTATTGTTCCTCGGCGTAATGCTCCTTCAGATCCTTTGCAGTCTGCCAGTCCACGTTGTCCTTTGCAACTGTTCCCAGATCGGTACCGCGGTCCGCTTCGACGATGACCAGGTCTCCAGGCTTGACGGTGAGTCCGGTACCTTCGTGAATGTAAAAGACGTCAGCGCGGGCGCACTTGAATAGCACGACATGGAGAAGCTGGTTAGGTCGGGGTTGCGTGAGACCATATGCTCCGCGATGAGGCGAGGCAGGGCGGTTAGTGAACTGGGGCTGTGCGCCGTAGTTTGGCGGGAGGGTGTTGGCAAGGTGCTGGGGGTTGCTGGCAACGCTTCCAGGGTTGAAGTATGCTGCATTGGCTGCGCTCAGGTTAGGAACCTCTGGGTATCCTCCTGGTCCATAAGACTGAGGCGATTGCGAATCCTCCGATATATTAAGATTGGCAACAGAGTCGGCAACAGAACTGATGGAACCCTGGCGAGTGGGCATGTTGGCAAACGAGTGTCGGCGACTTTGCGAAGCATCACCTCCAAAGAGTCCTGGAGAGCTAGACCAGAGAGCCTTCTTCAGATTTGGATTGTCCGCAATTTTGGTCTTGTCCATGCCCAGGGGCGTTCGATAATGGCTCGCACCGTATTCGCTCATGCGTCGCTGGGATCCGCGTCTAGCGAGGTAATCCGCGCCGTCGTGATTCTCGTCGAGCTCATCAACAGCATAGTCTGACTCTTCCGGAACCGTAGGGTATCCATTGCCAACAAAGGACGAACCGGTAGCAGCGCGGGGTCGTATGCGTGCATTGAGCTGCTGTTGCTGTTGGCGCAACATGGCGTTTTCTCGGGTGAGCATTTCAATCGTCTTGGACTCTGCTGACTGGTGGAAGGAATTATGCATAGAGCCAGAAGGGCTCTCTTCCTCGTCTTCGTCGTCCTCGACTTCCTTGACCTTGCCCAACATGGATCCTTCGTTGGCCATTTCGCTTAGCATACTGGGCCGAGATGGGCGATGCTGTAGAGCAGGGTATCTGGCTCGTCCTGGAACGGCTGCCGAGGTCATGCCGCCTGGTGGCGGAAGCTCGGCCTCCATTTGGCCAACAGAGTATGACTGGGATCGGTATGTTTTGGGTGTCGGATGGAGAGGAATGGCAAATGGGATCTGGGCATTGTTTCCGGATTCTCGAGAAGGCGACGTCTGGGTACCAGCTGCATCAGAACCGAAGAAGGAGTTGCCAGCGCCGCCTGGGGGAACAAGCGAGGTTGGAGAGGGCAGCACTTCGCCCAGTCTTGCTGGAGCGTCTCTGCGATCATTGTTCCAGATACCGGTTCCCCAGGAGAAACCAGGGGCTTGGTTGCGGTTCATGGTGGACGATGTATTCCAGTGCACTGGGCCGTTTTCTCCAGAGGGAGTGCTTGGGTGAGATGTGGTTGGGGAGGAGACGGAGTTGCTCGCAAATGAACCCTTTCTAGGTCGTGGAACGGGATGGATGGAGGTATCGTTGAGCCACGAAGATCGTCGAACTGGCTTTGGTGGCTGAGGGGCGGCAGAGGAGGCTTCTTGGCGATGCTCTCCTTCGTCGTCAGAGCTGACAAGCGCCTCGGAGTCGGGGGTTGATGTTCTGATGCCTAGTTTTTCGAGGTGGAGGTTTGGGTTTCCTGTGGCAACCGCGAGCAAGGAGCCCGAAGCGGATTTAGACGGTTGCGATCTCTTTGCGGGATCAAAACTCATGTTCAGTAGACTGTGCTCTGGGGATCAATTTGCGGTGCACAAATGGCGGATTCTTGTGTTGGGTAGTGTGTGTGTGTGTTGTTGAATATGGTTGAGGTGGGCGATGAAGTCTCGAGAGAGATGGCGCCTTTGCTGGCTAAGATACACGATGATCTAAAAGGGTTGCAAAAAACAAAGTCGGATGTGACGAATCTATAACGCGAACAGAGGGGAATGGTACAGGCGAGGAGAGACGTATAAGCTGCTGTATGTAGAGTGAAGTCTAGAGGTGTGATTGGAATCGGGAGTCGGGAGGCGAGAGGAGGAGGAGCATGAGCAGCAGGCGTCTCGGCGACAGCACTGGCGGAGATTATACGGCGGAGGAGGATCGAATCTCGATGGCGAATTGTTTTGCGCGCCGACAGGGAACCTCAGCACACAAACCTACTACAAATCGAGGCGTAGGCGAAGCAGAGGCAGACGATCCCGAGAGCGCATGCGCAAAGGCCAGCTCGATCGGGAGTGGAGATGAGGAGCGCGGTAGACTTGGAGAGATGCGAGCAGAGCGCCGGGCTATTCGAGGCTCATATTCCGGTGCTGTATATTGGATGGTAGCAAGGGAGAAGTGTGAGGAAGCTCTCCTCGACCGGGTTGGATGGTGGATGAAGGAAGAATGGCGGCCGGCGTGAATGCGGGCAGCGGGCAGGTTGGTTGCTTTGTATTGGGGGCGTGTGGTGTGGTGTGGTGCAACAGGCAGGGGCGCCAAAACCCGCGCAAGGCGATGGGGCAGCAGCAGCAGCAGCGGTGACAGAACACCAGTAGTGGCAGTGGCAGCTCCAGCAGCAACAGCAGTGCACTGGGGCAGACAGCAAGCAGCACAAGAGCGAGAGAGAGAGGGGGGCGCGCAAGCGTGACAGCAGCGCAGAGAGGACAATGAAGCCTAGATAATAAAAGAGGCGGCCAAACGGGGAATGAAGATGGACAAAAGACTAAAAACCACAGGATGGCCTGGTTTTGGTGGTGAGAAAGGGAAGAGGAGAAGGGGAGCAGAGGCAGCTCGCAAGTAAGAAAAGAAAGGCGACAGGGCCGTTGTAGCGGCAGAATCCAGGTTGACGGAGGCTTCCTGTTGCTGGAGATGCGTCTGGGGGGGGGGGGAGAAAGAGGGAAAGCGGGGGAGGGCGGCCACTAAACGAATGAACGGGGTGGCGGGTTGTTCAGGTGAGGTTTGGTGTCGTGTGTGCGGTGTTTTAGCGGCATGCGCAGGCAAGTTACAGCAGAAGCAGAAGCAGAAGCACAGCGCCAACACCAGTAGAATGGCTGCAGCACGCACCCAGCAGCTGCACGGCGCCCGCCCTGGCGCTGGGAGCTGTTTGGGGTACAGGCTCCGTAACAACGCACGCGGTGGGTGGCCAACAGCAAAAACAAGCGCTGGGATTGGTTCGGACAGTGGACGGCAAGTGGACTTTTTTTGGCTGGGCCACTTTCGGGGAAGAAGGGGGCTAGTGCGTGCTGCTACTGGTGCTGGGCTGGTGCTGCAGCAGCAGTGCTCCAGTTGCTGCTGATGGGGTGTGGGCCAACTAGACAGGCCTGGCTGACGATGGCTGATGGATGGATGGATGGGATGAGATCTCTTTCTGGTGTTATTGTAAGGTACTTGCTCGCTACATACAAACAAGGCTCCCCGCCAATGGAATGGATAACCCAGTCAATGGGGTTTACAAACATGGGAAAGAATGCCTTTTTCCCCATCCGTAAGCGGGAATAAACAAAAGCAGAGAGCAGCCCGCAGACCAGGTGAGAAGACGAGGGGAATGCTACAGTACAAGGCGCTGGCTGGGCGCAACAGCTGCTGTTGCCTACTGGAGAAACGCCAGTGGAGACGCGGAGTGGGAAAAAGAGGGGACGGCCGACCGGCCAGGGGACCTTTCAGCGGCCGAAACACTCGACAATAGCGGCAGCCGCTAATAATACCAGCACAAGTATTACAGGAGGCAGACAGGCCCCCAGAACGCAAAAAAAGATACAAGGGCGGCTCGGGCTGGGGACAAACTGGGGCCGCTAAGGCAGGCAAAAGAGAGACACTGCAGGAGAGATGAGGAGCATCAAATAATTAGCGGCAGGTAGACGATGTAGTGTGTGAGACATATACTCCGTATGTTCGTTTGCTTAGAAGTATGGAGGTACAGTTAGGGCAGAGTGAGAAACACGCGGCATACCTGTCTACAGCCAACAATGAAGCTAGTGCTTTTGGATATCACACCACCACCACTACAACCACAACCGCCGAGCTTCCGGAAGGGCATCCCGTGAGGGGGGAGAGATATTCAGTGCTGCTGCTACTATTGTAACTACTGCAACTACAGTTGATGTCTAGATACAATGTACAGTACACCACACAGGGGGGCCAACAGAGAAGATCACAAGCACGAGACGAAAGGACCCCCTCTCTCAAGCTCGTAGCTGCGCCCAATTTCAACCAGATCTGTAAAAAAAGGCAAAAACAATTTCCCCAGTTTTCTTCTCTTTTTATGGTTTGGGATTATCCCACAGGACGCTAAAGCTTGCTAGCTCCATCAAAAAAATGCAGCCGTTTTCTTCTCCTCCCTCGTCGTCCCCTCCCTCCCCGCCGCCACAACCTGTCGCCAAGCTCCACTCCAACTCGAGGCTAGCGTGCTGGGCTGGGTGTTTTAGTGCTTGGAGCTTGCAGAGGCGACGTCAACAAGGGCCACCAACCAACCAAATCTCTTTTATTTTATTCCTTCGTTTATTTGGTGCTGAGTGTTATCTGCCTATCTGCCTGACAAATATCGTAGCGCAAGATACAAATAATAAAATTGACAGTGAATAATAGACGCTTACGCCCATCTCTCTTTTTTCTCTCAATTTGTGGTTTATGCAAGGGTACTACACTTACTGCAACGTCAATGTCCAGTGCTGACCGTGTTCCAAAAGAATAGCCAAATAGAGGCACAGCCGGGAAATGGCGGTGGTGGGCGCTGGTGGTGGGTGCACCAGGCTGGCTGGCGGCGCGACGATGGCTTCTGGAGCTGCATGCTTTTCTGGCTTCATTGCTGCGCGTCCCTGCAGCTGCTGGTTGCTGATGCTGGTGCTGGTGCACCAGAGGACGCACAATTGTTTTTCAGTGGTGGTTAAAAAAAAAAAAGCCACACAACGCGACGCAATGAGTGAAAGTGTAAGCATATGCAAGCTGCAAGTGGCCTGCACTCGGTCAAACTCCATGTGCTGCAGCAGTACCAGCAGCATCAGCAACAACAGTTGCTAGGATCCGCTCCGTGCATCCCGGCGCCACGACCAGCGCTGTTTCGAGCTGGTCTACGAAAGAAGGGAAAAAAAGACAGACGTTACATTTCAATACTAGAGCAAAGGATCCCGCTGGAGCCGTGAAGATTTGAAAATACAGAACCATACGAAGCACAATCACAACAAGCAGGTGGTGACGCGAATCCCATCTCCCAACACAAGACAGCACAGTACAACAATCGACTTGTCCGTAATACCAGCAAGCAGGGAAAGAGAAGCGGGGAGCAAGACCAAATCTTTCCCGCATGTCGATCGGCATTCCCCGGTCCATCATTGATCAAAATCCAATGCGTGCGTGCAACAAAACATCAGCCTCCAGCTGGACAATGCTTATATGTACCTTGTCACGCATAGACGAGCATGGTGTTCGGAAAGGAGTCCCTTTGAATCTTTGTCCGATAAACAGAGCGCAGTATCAAAATGAATTGGACATCTGTGATGCCCCCATTTCCAACAGCTTATGCGGATGATTCTACAACTCCTTCTGTCGTAGCCTGCGCTACTCGCATCGGTCCAAAACAGCACGGCTACCGTCACTCGACAATACACCTCCTGTCCCGTCCCACGCAACGCACGCGACCACCACCCACCACCAAGTTGCTTTTAGCATTGCTACTGTGGGGCGGTATAACACCCTAAAAAACCGTTCAGGTGCCGAACTCTATGCTACAGCGATGCTAATTCGCTAGCAACAAAGGGCGCGCGTCTGCCGCACACACACATTGCGACGAGACAAGAAAGCCCAGGATTGTGCAGACCATCTCCGTGCGGAAGCCTCCAACTGCCGTACGCTACGGTATGTGCGTTTGACAAGTTGCCCGATGGCCGGGTTCGCCAATCACAGCCATCAATGGCTTGTGGTGACGACAAAGGAGGGTGGTGGTCTTAATGGCGAAATCAACAAAAGAGCTGCAGCAGCAGCAACTCGTACGCATCATAGATCCCTTTCATGTTGAATTGGATAAATCCCACAAATTGCACGATCTGCGCAGCACAGCAAACCAATCCCACCAACCACCGGGCTTCTTTGTCCGCCGTTGCACGCCATCCATTCGGCAGATTTGTTAGGATTGGTCTTCGAATGCACCAAACGGCTCAACGGTCCACTAAGTGAGAATCGGGCAACGCAAATCGAAGCAGACAAACATGGAAACAGATGGGAAATGGAGATTACTGAACCGTAGCTCGCGCTTCGGTCTCTCAATTCTGAGCTAGGGCTACGAGCGTGTGTTTGCCGAACGAAGCAACAAGCCCATGTGAACCAGCATCGGTTTTCCAGTAGTACACCGCGGCTGCCGCTTTGTTCTTTGCGATGAATGTCGATCAGCAGCAGCACTGTTCACAGTAAGCCTGACCAGCCTCTACGAGAGTATCCCCAACACCATCCGCTGTGCTTTGAGACTGGTGTTTTTTCTCAGCCGACTGAACAAGGCAACTATTTCCGGCAACCGCATTGTTGGCGGTGGTCTTCAGCCTCTCAGCTACGCAAACCAACACAACAACAGCATTTTGCAAAGTAGCTTTTGCGCGTGGCGGCATGCCTTTTTGTCTCTGTGGCGGCGTGTGGTAAGGATCGGCTGTTCCCCCGCAAAATCGAGTCCGTCTTCCAGCGCCCCACTGCCGCCAAGCTGGAGTCAGGTGTTCGGCGCCGAGTCCGCCCTCTTTTTTTTGCTCGTCTACTCAACGCGAAGCGGGACGGGGGGGTCCTGTGACGCAGCGTGGATAAAAAAGCAAAAACGAAAGAAGAAGCGCTGAAACTTTGATGTCCAATAAAAAGTACATTGGTACGAAAGAGTGCTAGCGTTGCGCCACTGGCAGCTTGGTAGGTATCAACAGCAATGTACCAGTGAGGCGTGAATGTCGTTGCTGTTGGTGTAGCCATAGCTGTAGCTGGCTAGCTGCACAGAGCTTGCGTGAGGCGTCGATGCGTTTGTGAATGGTGTTGCGTCTAGGCAGTCCATGCGCACGAGCAAAGTAGCAAAGGGTCTAGACAACATTCACCGTGAGTCCTATCACGAAAGACTGCTCAAACGACAGAGCTATGCAAGGAAGGAAAGCTGTAGCGAGAAAAGACTCTTCTGCGTCAACAAAGCGACTGTCATTGGGGTATCCTCCTTGTCATTCTAGCATCTATTATAACGATGTGTCTTTTTAAAGTGTAGTAGTAGTGTACAGCGGCCACCGAACCGGCCGAAATCTAATCGTCAAGAAAAATTATACATCCAGTCCCTATCAAACTGCCTCGCCTTAGGCAGATGCCTTTTGCTGCTTGAGCTTTTCCTCAAACTTGGCAAACTCGGACAGAGCAATCTCCTCTTCCTGGTCGAGGACCTGTTCGACGCCCTTGACTTCCTCAATCTATAACCCACGTAGTCAGTAAACACGATTCTCCCCTACCCCCCAAAAAAAACCCCTACTACAAAAGTAGACAAGGGACAAAAGAAAAAACTCACGTAATGCATCAGCATGCCCTCGATGCCATTCTTGAGGGTCACCGCGCTAGAATCGCACGTTCGGCACGCACCGCGCAGCTTCAACTTGACCATACCGTCCTCGAAGCCGCGAAACTCGATATCGCCACCATCCTCCTGGATCGCCGGCCGGATTCTCGTCTCGAGCAACTCCTTAATCATACCGACCACCTCGTCGTCGTCCTCATTGTACGCCAGACTATCCATCTCCTCAGGGGGCCCGCCATCGCGCTCGACCACACTGACAATCGTCTCGCCCGAGGTAATCGCCTCGGTAATCAGGGCAAAGATCTCCGGACGTACATGCGCCCAGTTAGCATCGGCCGCCTTGGTCACCGTGATGAAGTCGGCGCCGTAAAATACTGATGTGATGCCGTCAATGTTCATCAGCTTGGCGGCCAGCGGCGACGGGTACGGCGGCGCAATCGTCGCCCGCGGGCTCATGTACTCGACAAACGGCACGGGCAGGTCGGCCGGCAGCACGGCGTGGTTGGGCAGGAACTTGAGCGCATCGGCGTTGGGCGTCGACTCGGTCTGGATGAAGATGGTTCGGCGCTGCGTCATGGCGGCCGGGCGAGCGGCCAATTGGGGCCGCAGCGAGGCCGAGGACATGCGTTGCGTGCTGAGGCATCGTGCGAAAGTTCGGGAGGTCGTCACGCGTATTTGGCATCTTGCTGCGGCGGCGGCAGATAGGGAGCGGACGAGGGCCCGTGACGACGCTGAAGCCATGATGGGATGTGTATGTTTTGATTCCGGAGAGAAATCAAAAAGGCATTGGCGATGCGTGAGAGAGAGATTGGATAGAAAAAGGCCCGCTTGTGAGGTTTGGTGGCGACCGTTGGGAGCACAGCAATTACTAATGAAATTTTTCCTGCGTGGTGGTGCCAATGATGCAACCGCACAGCGCGGGCGGGTCCCTCCCTACAGTAGGGAAGCAAAAGGTATAGGTACACTCGTTTCAAGTATTCTTTATTATATATTGTAAAATTATCTTTTTTTTTTTTCATCAATTTTTGTAGAATATCATGTATAGCATAAGTACATCATATGTATCAACTTTTTATATATAAAGTTTGTGTAAATATATTCGCAATGCTTCTGTTGGAATATGGAGTACCTGTACCTTTAGCGTACCCACTGTATGCCGAGCGAGCAGCTCTTTGTAGCGACAAGCTCAAGTCAACTTTTTTTCTCTGACTGCTTCACACTCTCTGCTCAACCTCCGACATCTCCGACTGCACCACCGAGAGCCGAAGAACGAAAGCCAGCGAGGCTTGCAGTACACTAGGATTGGGATTCTTTTGTTTTTATTTCTTTCTTCATTTAGCGAGCGGATTCTTTTTCATTGACGACACCATGGACGCCGGCCGAGCCGAAGCAGCACAGCCTGCAAACAAAGACAGCGCAGCCGCAACGTGCGGCGTTTGCGCTACAAATACACCAAAATATAAATGCCCAAAGTGCTACTTGCCTTAGTAAGTCGTTATTATTTCATAATCTATCTAAAATATAAGAGGGTATAAACTGGTAGAAACAAAAAGAAGAGAGTTCAGTCTTTGTGCCACGCTAAAGAAAATGGTATCGTGTGGAAGACGACAACAGCCTGTGTTGCCGTCTTGAGGGGGGAAATCAAAAATAAATTAATGTGTATGCACCAGTGGTCAGCAGTTGCTAACATGTCCCTCATCAGCTGCTCCGTTGCATGCAACAAAGTGCATCGCGAAATGCACCCGCCGGAAGATCCCAACGCTCCTAAGCCGAGCAGACCGCAGGAGCAGCAACAACCAGCTGACGCTGCTGCTGCACCGACACACAAGCACGACCCGACAAATCCGTTTGCCGCGCTCGACATGTCGTCCGACCGATTCGAACAGCTATTCAAAAAGTACCCCGGCCTGCCCAACCAGTTGCTTGAGATACACACGGCAACGCAGCCACCAGTGGACGGCGACGAGCCGGACCGCAAAGGCATCCCGGCATCTCTGCTGAAAGGATTGCCAAAAAAACACACTTGGAACCATGATATTGGCATCAAGCAAGGAAAGGACGCCTTGCGGAAGGCTAGGAGGGCGGACGGCGAGCAGGGCGAGGGTATCCGAGAATACTGCGAGCTGATTACATATCTGATGAATAGCGGCGAGGGTGCCAATGATGTGTCTCTCGCACTGCAGCGTCAAGCCACGGCGCAGGATACACAGCTGGTTGAGCGACTCTTGGCGGAAGAAAAGCGTTGAAGAACTACAAGTCCGTTTGGAGTGCAACGTGTTTTATCAGGTTGAGCTTCCTTCATCGTTTGAAGCGAGCGAAGAAGCCAGTCTTGGGAGACAGTGCAGCTGCTCCGGCCTTTTCCTCGCTTGCTGCTGGTGCTGGTGCCGGTATTGGTGCAGCAGTAGTGGTAGTGGTAATAGTAGTAGTTGCTGGAATGGCAGAAGCTACAGGAGCCACAGGGGCTACAGGAGCTGCTACTGGGAGAGTAGCGCCCTGCGACAAAGTTGGGGATGCAACAAGTGCAACACCTGATGTGATTGGTGGTGGAATGGCAAGCGCCGGGGCCTTGTCGTCCTTTGCATTCTTGGTGAAGCTTCCCAGCCGTCCGCGGATGGACCAGCGCGATTCTGGCTTACGCAGCGACAGCGATGTTCGTCGGTGCTCAAAGGCCGATTCATCGCTTTGGGTCCAGTCGACACGGTGAGACTCGGTGGTAGCAGCCAGCTCGGCGTGGTCAACAGTGGCCTGCTTGTCGAAGCCAAAATCACTGCGGAAGCTGACGGTGGGAATTCGCCCTTCCGACTTGCCGAGCATGCTTCCAGTGCTCTTTCTGCGATCCTCCTTGAGCTGCTTGTCTATATCGGCAATGGTGAAGTGGGCGGGAGACGCTGTCAGAGGGCTGGAGGCATTGGCGCCCTCACCGGCAAGGAGAGACGACGGGTGCTGGAACTGGTTGCGGGTATAGTTGCGCTCCCGCGTGCTCTGGGCTCTTCGAATGGCCGCGGCCTGGGATGCCGGGTTGGAGTTGGCGCTAGATGCCGGGGCCTCTTTGCTGGTGCCCGGACCCTGCATGTGGAATTTCATGGCTACTTTGGAGAGCTTGTGGACAAGGTTCTTCTCGGGAGGGGAATCGCCTATGGTAGTGTTGGCAAATTGCGATGCCGCGACTTGTGGTATATAGTGACCGTCCTCACCAAAGACATCACTGTCTTCGTTGGACCAAGAATCTCTAGGCTTGCTCGCCTTGCGGGCTTCCTTTCTCCTCAACCTGTCCTTGTCCGACTCACGGGTCTCGTGATGTAATGCGCGTAGCTTTGTTTTAGAATGCTTGAGAACAGGGGCTTTGCTCTCCTTGTGCTTTTGCAGGCCCACAGAAACGTCTGCCTTCTTGGCGTGGCTGTTGCTGCTGGCGCCGTGAGAGACCTTTTCTGTAGTTGAGCTCTTTACGCGGCGCTTCTTGTCTGTGCCGGCTTTCTGCTCGGCGAGCACCTTGTTAAGCCGCTTGGTGAGCTCGTTGGGGTCAAAAGACCTTGGCTCACTAGATTTAGTCTGTGGCTTTTGTCGAATAGAGGGTTTGGGCATCATCTTGAACTTTTGCGTCGCGGGCTGCTCAGCAGGATAGCCGAGGCTAGGATAATGCATTGTCTATAGTCGTGAAAAAAGCACCAAAGTTCCAATTTCGGTAAGGCCCTCAAGTTGTTGTAAACGAGTATACCAGCTGTGGGAACAGGACGCAATAGCTATATATACGACTCTCGGTTGTCATAAAAAAGTTGCGGGCAGGTGACGCTGTGCCACTGGCTTAGCAGTATAGTGGCTTGCTTGTTTGCTTGCTAGCTGGCTCAAGCAGGAGTCAGTCGAAGGGGGGGCGGCGCCACTGTTGTGCGTCTCGTGGTGTATATGCAGGCGAGACTATTGGCGACGGGTAGCAGGGGGGAGGGTGTATTTGGTGTTGTAGTAGCTGGAAGAATAGCAAAGGGCGGCTGTATAGTACTGTATGGGTAAAAACAGTGGCTAATGCACGATATAGCCTCCCTGTATGTACGTATGCCGCACGGCGTGTCGAGATCGCAAGATTTGTCGTACGATGCTGCTGATGCCGCAGACGGGCGAGAGTGTGAGCCTGGACCCCAGCGATATATAGGCAAACCCAGCCAAGCGCGGGGAAGGACGACCGCAGCAGGAAACCCCGGTTTGGGGGTTAAGTTAGTTCCTTGTCGCAGATGCAGAGACAGTCTCTTGACCGGGGTTTGGAGCGGCCCGGGCAAGGGTTCATGCGGTGTCCCAGAGGCAAGGAGTAGCAAGAAGAAAAAAAATACTTGCAGAGGCACGCGATCCCCGTGTGTCGATCATGCAGCAGCAGTACAGCAATGTACAGCAACAGCAGCAGCAAACAGATAGGGCATAGGCGGCATAAGAAATGAGAAAGAAAGAAAAACCATTACACGTCTTAAAGCACAGCGGAAGGGGCAAGGGGTGCGAAGAGCAAAAAAAAAAATATGACAAAAACTAAATGGCAGCGTAACACTAGCACAGCCAGCAGACGTCGCCAATCGCCTGGGGGCATTTTGCGGGCGAGATTTTGCGCAGACCGACTGCTGGGGAGGGGGCCCAAAGGGGCGGGGGCCTGGCGCCCGCACTCTTCAGTGGCCGCCCCCGCTACTTTTCATGTCCTGAGGGCCCATTCCAGAGCCTTGGCCACCAGTGTTCACACGGCGCTTGCCCCATTCAGGCGCTGCGCCCGCCGGCAGAAACAAGGTGTACACCCAGTAGGGTACAGTACTGTAGGTAAATTGACAGTACGTGCATGGTGGGGGCCAATGCGCTATAACCTTTGTAGAAATGGCGCTGTGAGTCGTGCCAACGCCCTGGGTCAGGTCAGGTCAGTGCCTCAGTAACAGTGGTGGCGGTGGCTACTGTGGCACTCGCCCATTCATTTGTGTCTACTCACTCGCACAAGAAAAAAGGAAAAAGAAAAAAAGCCCAGGCCGCCTCAGGTCCAGCGCGATCGTTGCACTCTTGGGACTGTCTGGGCGGCGGGCAGTGCAGTGCTCTCCAGCGAGGTGAACAGTGGGAGAGAAAAAAAGGGGTGAACAGAGCGCACGGCACTACGTCTGCGTACTTTTTGCTCGCAGAAAATGTATAATAAAATAAAAAAAAAAGACTATATGCTTTGTCATGTACAGCGGCACCAAGTACATACACAGACAGTACAACGGATGCAAGGCAATTTGCATTTACAAGGGATGCACTGTGGCACACAGTTGATACATACAGCCGAGCCGCGGCCGGCTAGTGCGTCGGTCTTTCGGAGCAGACGCCCAGTTGCTTAATCCAGCAATTTTAAGTTGCTTTGTTTCTATTGTGCAGCTTGCTCTACAGAGATTTGACAGGTGCAAGGGTCTCTTCTTTTCTCACCCGCTGCCGTTCAAGACATGCACTGCCCAGTATGCCTCCATCTATTTAAAGTGCCCCCTTTTTGTTTTTCTCTCTCGTTTCGACTCGACGTAAGTACTAGCAGTGGCAAATCCACTAGCTCGAGCAAGATAAAAGGAAACCCGCGAGACTCTGTGGTGGTATTTGCTGAGATCAATGTAACCCTCTGTGTCCGGCGCTTACACGCTAAAGTGGCCCTAGTCCAGCATACGTTCCTCTTCAGAGATTGGGCACACAGGCAAACTCTCTGTCACGCGGCATGCCACCAAGTCCACCCGCTGTATTAGTGGATGCTGCTAAGGGGGGCTGGCGCTGGCGTACAGTGTCTACAGTAGCATCCCGTGCTTCTCTGGCTGGTTGGCTCCAGGCGAGATTAAGTTACCCTGTCTGTCAGGCATCCCGACAGAAGTTCTAGACGCCACAAGATGCAACAAAAAGGTTTGATAAAATACCTCATTTCAGCCCTGCCGCTGTCAACTCGTCCGTCTTGGCTGGTCCGCTGTTCCTCGGGTTTCTAGTATGCACACTAAATTCCTAGCTTTAATACCACGACACACAATGGTGTTGTGAGGCGCGGAAGGAAAAGTCTGTTTGGGCGGGGAGACCCGCACCAGATCGCGTGCAGAGATCGTTTTTTCCCAAGTCTACTTGTCGGTGTGTGTGGTGGGTAGGCAGACATGGCCCAAACCAAGTATATTGCGGTGCGTGGAGCATCGCGCCCACTGACAGCATTGGCCTGAGCAGAATATTTGCATCACCAAAAAACACCTCTGACAAGCAATTGGTCTGGTCGGGTCTGGTCCTTCTGCGCCGCAAACGATGTAACTGTTCGCACTCACGACCACCAGACAAACAGACAGGCCGTTTGTGCCCTGCACAGCAACATCAACAGCCAGCCAGCCAGCACCATCGTGATTTCTTAGCGCCGCGGGCGGGGCGTGCTACGGTTTCGGAGGATTTCGCAAAAAAAGGCTTCAGGGGCAAAGACGTAAGGGCTGCGGCGCTCGCCCACTCGGCAAGGTGTAGCAGTAGTATTACAAAAAGCCTGTTGGCAGCGTAGCTGTGAGCGCGAGGCATTCCTTCGGCTGTTGCTGGATAGGCAGATTTAGAGATGCGCTCGCAACTCAGCAAAACGGCCAATACAACTCTGCCCGGGCCACTTTGCGAACATTGCTTACCCTCTCTAAGCTCTTGTCGTGTTCAACGATAATGCTGCTGCTGGTACTGCTAATGCATATGGCCTGTCAGTCTTGAAAACAAGTGCCGAGTATCCATCCAGTCATTGTCCCCTGCAACCAACTTTCTCATGCTACTGGTACTGCTGTTGCTGCTACTGCTGCTATTAATGCACGAATAATGGGCAGCAGCAGCATTGGTGGTTTTAGTGGTGTAGCCGTGCAGATAGAACAGACCATCAGCGACTCCGCCAGGCTCGGGACGGTGGCCGTAGGTCCCCCGGCGACTGACCGTTCACGCTATTGAAGCCAGTCAGAGCCAAGCAGACGGCCACCAAACAATAGTGTGCGGATATCTGGCAGCACTAGCAACGGATGAATCAGCTCACCTGGGTTATTTTTTGCTCCCAAGACGCAAGGTCTTTTGTTTTGCTCTAGTCTATTTTTATATTTTTTTGTACTTGTTAGGTGCTAGTGGTGAACCTTGCGGCTGATGTTGATCACTTGTAGCTCATCTTGTCTCTGCTACCCTATGAGAGTAACGCCTCGTTTAGAGGAAGATAACCCGCCAAGCTGGGCATGTTAATCAAGTTCTGCAGCTATCCTTGACGCCGTAGATATACAAAATCGGAGTTTGGCCGTCAATTATACTGTGTCATTATTTTTCTGCATGGTAAAGAAAGCCATCTTACTCGCATCACATCACCCCCCTACATTAGAATGGGTAAGATAGCAAGTCTCGCTAAGAGTCCGAGTCACTCTCGTCACAAAGAAGCCCCCTGCAGCAACCACAAAACTTGGGTTCTTTGGAACCCTGCATAGAACAAAGCTGCACCCATTAGGTGGATGATGCACCCGCCGCCACCAAACTGGTGGCTCCAACAGGCTGCATGAACGCTTGACTCGGCTGCGCAAGAGAGCAACGGCGCATCGTAGAGGATACAGGTGACAGGTTCGTTTCCCACTGCCCAACGCGGCGAACAAGCCATTGCATTATTCAAACATGGGGAGGAGGACAAAAGAGCCTTACTTGATAGTCGCCCGTCCAGTGATATTCTGCGGCACCATCTGAAGAAACTAGCGACTCGCGGCTAAGACGCCATCCTGGCTGGCCTGGCTGGCTGTGCACCACTCACTCCATCCAGCCCTCTTTGTGGCAAGGACCCTTTTCAAACATAAGAGGAGAAGACCGCGGCCACATGTCGTGGGCCACGCGTAAAAGAAAAGACGTTGACAAACAGAAGGGAATGGAATAGTAAAAGAGGGAACCGAGGAATTTATCCTTGACCGTTGATCATCGCTTCCCACCCCTGTTCTATTTTCAGCATCAGCAACTACAGTACAAACTACAACAAAGTCCATCCGGTGTCTGCTGCTGTTCCCCCTCCTCTCGTTCCCCTCGTCTCTTTGCCCCCGCTGTACCTTTCTGCTAACGCTCAAGGGGAAACGATAAGCCGGCAGGGCTTTAAGCATCTGCATCTGCATCTTCCTTCAAGTTCTCTTGGGTGCCGCCCCCGTGGAACATTGGCATGCGTCTCTGACCTTACCTTCTTCACAATCCTTCTTTGCGCGCGGAAAATGGCTGCTCTCGCCACGACGATATCCGCTGTATAGGGTTCTCCGAAAAGACACCACCGCTCTTTTGTTGCTTAGCGCCCGCCAATCCGCCTAACTACAAAGGCGGTACAGTAACTAACTAACTTTAGTTGCTCTCAGCGCCTGTGCTGTGCTGGTGCTGCTGCGCTGTACGCCAGCCTGCCAGGAACAAAAAAAAAACGTCACCAAGCATTACGTACCTGACTGAGGCGGGGAGGGGAATCTATATCTCTCTTGGGCGGATAAAATCTACCAGAAATACTTCCCGCTTACTGCCCTGCCTGCAGCTTGGCAGCAACAAAAACCATTCTTCCATTAGCGGCCATGCCTCACACACGACATAGCCGCGACGGCGCCTCTTCAGGCTCGTCCCATTCTGACGAACACCGCTCAGTCCATCCCCGCCGGTCCTCCTCCCGCACCACCGCCAGCACCGCCGCCGCCGCCGCAAAAAGCAGCTCGTCCGCCGGCAGCAGGCGTCCCAGCCTGCAACAGCGCTCGTCAGCCACTGACCACCACCCCTCAGGCATCCCCTCGTATCCGCATCATCACCAAAATCAACAGCATCAGCGTCATTCAGCAGCCTCCAAGCAGCAGCAGCAGCAGCCTGCAGCGCTCGCTCCCCCGCCCCAAGACCACAATAACCGCGACTCCTTTGCCTCCATTGTCGACGACCCCTTCTTCCTCCGCTACGACCCCGCAATCTCCCATACCTCTCCTGCTGCTCTTGCTGCTGCCGATCTCGACCCTAGCCACCACCCAAACGCTCTGGCTACAACCTATTACGAGGAAGCACAGACCGACAGCGATGAGAGCGATGAAGCTGAGCCTTGGCAGACTTCCTACCGCGAATCTCTAATCATTGGCCGCAACCCGCCTGTTGTAAGTTTTACCTCAGCCTCAATGCGACTTTTTGCCCTCTACCCACCCAACCTTGCTTCTACTCCTCCTGCCGTTGCTTGCTCATGATATTTACAAGAATATCATTGACGCGCTCTTCTCTCCGCCGCGGCTACGCTCGAGAAACCTTCCGATCCGTGCGTATCTAGTAGATATGCACACGCGTCAGCACGGCCGAAGCTTATTCCCCCGTCCCGTCCCGCTCTTGACCTTGACCTTGTTGTTGCCCGCCCCTCTCTCTCTCTCTCTCGCTCGCTTCGGCGCTCGTGCTAACGTCTTCTTCCTCGTCTGTTCCAGTCCTATCCCCTGTCGACTATGGACGGATTTAATATCGCCGTTATTGGCGCCACGGGCGTCGGCAAATCAACCTTTATCCAGCGAGTGCTCGGCCTACCTCGTCCCACCACCTCCGGCACATCTACCGTCCGACTCGTTGTCGACAACGTCACACATACTGTTACACTCCTCGAGCTGGATCTCGAGCACTTTGACCTGACCTCCTCCCAACCAATACAGTGGCCAAAGCATATAAATGGCCACTCCGTCCCTTCTGTGGACGGAGCCTTGATTTTATACGACGTCCTCTCCAAAGAATCTGTCAGGATGCTGCCGCAAACAATGACTGCCCTGACGAGGTCTGGGCTACCTTCCATCCTGGTTGCCAATAAATGTGAACAACCAGACGACGAATGGGAGGTAGATCCGGATGGCATGGCCGGACACAAGTTCTTTACACAATGCTTGGCAAGCTACAAAATCTCCGAGACGAATCCAGAAGCCGGCAGAGCTTGTCTGCAGGCCATGCTGCGTGGTGCTGTTTCCCACCGAAAAGGTAACGCGACCTGTTGGACTATTGTTGTCGATTGTCTCTGGCTAACATGTTGTGTATGAGTAGCAGACCCAGCAGACCCGGTACTACGAAAGCGAGCCCAATCTGCCGTCAACCTCGAGGCACCCGAAGCCAATGCAGGCCGCCCAACCAGCCAACAAAGCAAGCATAGTCGTGCTAGCTCAGAGCTCTCAGTTCTGCGTCCATATCCCAATCAGCAAGGCTCGGAAAGCTACCGTACAAGAGTATCTAGAAGCCCCAGGAAGGGAGTTCGAACGTCCGATAAACCCGGGACAGACTACTTCCTCGATGTGGACGGGTCCGATGGCGAGACACAAGTCAACTCTGATGACGGATCTGTGGTACTTCGTCCAGACGAAACACAACAAAAGCTGGGTGGGGTGCTATTTGACGATCTTGTCGACCGTCTTCTGGCTCTGCGGCTATCAAGAGCCGACAATAACTTTTCCGACATCTTTCTATGCCTCTATCGCAAATTTGCTACACCTGGCGACCTGTTTGCTGCCATTATGATTCGTCTGGATCGAGTAAAGGAAGACAAGAGCTCTCATTATTTGGCAACGACGGCTACACAACTCCGCATAATTGAAATCATTGCCAAATGGGTGTCACTATATCCTGGCGACTTTGCAAGGGTATCCAAGAGAAAGAGCCTGCAAGAGTTTGTCAACCAGCTATCAACAGAACCCATCTTCTGCATAGCCTCGCAGCAAATGCGACGCAGCCTATCAAGATGTGTTATGGAAGACGATGATACGGGATGGGCAGCTGCCGATGATGAGGATATTGCTACGGAAAAGCTAGCCAAAGATGTTGGAGCCGTCACTGGCAATATCGGCAAGCTCGTTATTGACGACGAATTGGACGAAGAGTCGGAGAGAGCACGCATGCAAAACGGGTCCGGAGGATATATTCAATTCCACTCATACGACGAGTATGAGAAGGAAGCCAGTCTGCTAGAGCCGACCGACTACCTACCGATGGACAAAGAACGCTATCACTCGTTGATGGAGTTTTCCGACGACGAAATTGCTGAGGAGTTGACGCGCATCGACTGGATCATGTATTCTTCCATCAGAATACGTGATTTTGTGCGCTACGTCAGCCTCTCTGCTAGCAAAAAGGAAAAATGCAAGAGTCTCCGAAACGTCAACCGGATGATCAACCACTTTAACCATGTTGCAAAATGGGTTGCCAACTTGATTTTGCTGCGAGACAAGGCTAAACACCGTGCTAGTATGCTGGAGCGCTTCATGAACATTTCGATCAAACTCCGCCAACTAAACAATTACAACGGACTGGCGGCTGTCTTGGCTGGAATTAACGGAACTGCTATTCACAGACTTGCCCAAACAAGGGCATTAGTGCCTGCCGATGTGCAGAAGCGCTTTGCCCGCACTGTCATCTTGATGGGAACACAAAAGAGTCACTTTGCATACCGCCTTGCCTGGGAGAACTCGCCTCTGCCACGTATTCCTTTTATCCCCCTCCATCTGCGAGATTTGGTATCCGCCGAGGAGGGTAGCAAGACGTTTGTCGGACCTAGTGAGAATCGCGTCAATTGGAAGAAGTTTGAAGTATTGGGAGAAGTGCTTTTGCCACTCATGCGCAGCCAAGGCACTGCTTACCCTAATTTGAATCCTAATATGGCTATACGAGAGTTGATTCTAGCCTGCAAGATGCCGACAGACGACGAAGTACGATGAACCGATAGGAATGATGAAACGTTTACTAACCGTCCTTGATAGGAGATTTACCAACGAAGCGTAGAAGTGGAAAGCGCAAACTCGAGTGTTTTCGATCCCACCAAAAAGAAATTCCCTTGGTTTGCGAAATAGACACAAGAGATATTACATGACCACGAGGAACACGACGATAACGACTGCATCAGCATTACGAACAAGTTGATTTTTCTTATTCTTTTTTTGTGCATATTGCTACATACCATGTTTGCCGATTAGCGACCACCAATTTATGCATGCATATATATACATACATATTTAACATTTGGGCATTTACAAATTTATTTATTCTTATTTGATATAAAGCAAACGCTGTTCAAACTGACCTCGGTGCAAACGGCTACCTGCATTGCCAAGACAAACGTGGCCAGCTGTTGGCAACTCTGGCAGCTGGCGCACAGCTGTCAACGCGATACAACGTATAACCACAACTCACAATGAATGCAACAGAACACTAACCTTACAATGACACAAACTGTGCATATTGCCTGCACTGGAACTGCCAACTGCCAAAGTCTCGTTGGAGATGCCGTCCTGGAACCGAAGCCTCCGACCTATTAGTGTCACAAGTAAGAAGTATAATCTAGTGGCGCAGTTACAGGGATCAATGAGGCTGTGTCTGGGAGAGAAAAATGTCCAAACGCTACAAGATGTTGACATTGTAGATGCCGTCAGGGATCGTGGCGTGTGGATTACCAAGGCTGGACTCTGTCATGTCCGATTCTCTGTTTGCCTCAATGGAGAGTTGCTGTGCGGCAAGGACGATGTGCGATGTTTTATTGAAACCATAAGAGATTGCGATGTAAGGAGAAGCATACTCCATAAGCCTGGGTACTCTTTCTCTAACACAGCTCTACAGATTTGGATACGGCTTGGTCTGCGATTACGATACGCAGGCGAACCAGATCCGCTCATCGCATCTGACCTTGCTTTCTCTATACATCACCCGGACATCTCCTCCACGCTAATCACACCAACCAGTGTGATAAAGGCAGAATTGCAAAGTCTCAGCTACACTCTGGTACTGACCAAGGGCAAAGCCAAGAGCAGCAATAGAAAACGGCACAGTTCGACGGCAAAAGCCAAATTAGCCAATAAAACTCGCAAGATCGAAAGAAAACAAGCGGAGCCAGACCGGTTTTATGACGGATTGGACTTGGTTGATAAACAGGCTATAGACGAGATTGTACAGAGCTTGGGACTTGGCCAACCCTCTGACGGAGTGCAAGAGACTGACGAAGACCTGGATCTGGGACAGGCGACGCAAGCCTTGGTGATGGAAAATGCTGTGACTTTGGTATCTATGCTTCTAAATCTTGCTGCCATCGGCACAACGAGACCCACCAGCGGGTTTGTGCCAGACTATCGCATAAGCCCCGGCCAAACACTCTGCAACTTGGCACCTGGTGTATTTCACTACGACCATCTTCAGGTGAGTCTTGTATACGTAGTGGTCTGGGAACAAACTATGGCACTGACAGTTCTATAGAAATTACGCGAAGGCGCAGAGCTTATACCAACAATTGCGCGCTCTTTAGAGGCTATGCGAAGCGCAGAGTCCATCTCTCTTCGCAAGAAACTGCTGAACCAAGATCAACAAGAACAGACAGGACAAGCTTCAAATACTCAAGAAGAGGCGGAGATGGGTCCTTTATGCAAAAATTTACAACGTCGACTATGGGAAACCATGCTAAGACATATGAAGGCGCCTCCACTGAAAAGCAAAGAAGCCATTATGGCGACAATGAGTAGCCCTAATCCGGTCCAAGCGACTTGCGAAGACCAAAGAACCCCAAACACATCTCGAACGATAACAACGAACCAGGTGGAGGAGAACATCGGTCCATGGCCAGAACTTGCAATGCATTCTATGCCGATGAACCCGCTCACGGATCTCGCACCGACGCCAGACCCAACATCTATACCAATTAATGCAGCATGTCTCCCTCCCACCGGATTTCCCGTCTCTGGCCACCAATGCCATCAAGTCTTTGCTTATCCCCATCTATATACTCCGCAAAATATTCAACCTTTCCCGCTGCCTAACCCGGTCCATTACTACGGTTACCAGGCACCGGTGCCTCTACCCACGCCACAAGCTGAGTTTTATCAACGAGAGGCAAGCGAGCAGCAATACCAATCTTTTGAAGACATGTTGTTTGATATGTAAAACGTGGCTGAGGCGGCTGCCAGTTAAAAGCTGTGCTTGAGATAAGAAAGGAAATGATATATTAATTTTTGCTACACTGAGCTTGTGGTATCTTTAAGATCGGGCCGGCGATCATCCCATAGGGTCAACAGATAGAATAGTAATACAGCCATGACAAGTTGCTTTGAAGATGAAAATCATTTCTTTTTCAAGCTCTATAATCTTGGATTGTCGTACTTTGGCGCCTCCTTGGCAGCACCACCACCTCCTCCAGCAGCAGCAGAAGCAGCGGGCTTCGCAGCAGCGCCACCCTTCTTTGTATCCTTCTTCTTTCTTTGAGACGGCTTAAGCGTAGCGTAATGTATGTACCAGATGAGAAGGCACTGCAGTCCGAGGCCAACGAGTACGAGAATGAGCTTGACGAACAGATCTGGCTGGTCGTTGAGTGTCGCTACGGCCTGCGGTGTCGCGCCGACTTTTGAGAGCCAGTCAAAGCTACCCATTTTCAGGACGGCGGTGTTTTATAATTGTGAGACTTTTTGCGGGAGCAGAGTTTCTGGTCCGTGAGAGGAACGCCTGATGTTGATGTTTCGTTTGGTGGTCGTGTGAATAGTGCAGAAAGACAACGGCGATTTCTGCTTTTGTTAGGTTGGAGAGTAATGAGAGGTTGAAAAGTGATGATGAAGAAAGGAAAAAGGGATTTGGGCTTGGGGCAGATGATAGGAGCATTTGTTTGAAGCCGTAGTGAAACGCCTGATGTTGAGACTACGGGCGTTTCAGATTGATTCTCTCGCGGCCGTGCATAACGCCGGTTAGCTGCAGCCGCTATAAATGGTTCAACTACACGGCGAATTGAATTTAAAAATAAAAGGAGAATCGAGTTTTACGATTCGTCTTCTTCTTTTTTTCTGTTGAGCAATGCTGTTGAGATCATGTTCACCAGTTTGTACGGTGTTGGCCGGTGGGCGCAAGTAGCGGCAGAGTCGCAGCATGGCTCGATAGCCAAGACGAAACAATACAGTTGAATGGCCAGAGGACAAAATGGCACGAGTTAGAAATCACAATTACTGACAAAAGACAGCCATCGAGCGTCGAATGAGAAGCCGGACAAAGGGCAGCAGATACGCGTATCCAGACACTCTTTTGCGTGGCTGCCATAGGCTATGTTTCTTTTATAAAAATAAAAATCCGCTAAATTCCAAGCTACTCAGATCCGCGACATGCGGAGCTTGCTAGCGGCATCAAATTGCATAAGACGTTTGCGCTGGCCGAACGTTGCACCGGTAGGCGTCTCACTCTCGCGCGGTAGCATCGGCGCTTTGGGACCGAACAAGTTATTGTGTAAGAGACGGGAGCTATGTCTTTGCATGCTGGCGCGGATAGTATTTGAGAAGCCCTGAGAGAGCCGCGGAGTTTTCGCCCGGCGTCTTATTCCCTGCTTGCTATAGCGGGTTTGTCTGAGGGAGGTTTATTAATAAACTTGCGTTTGTAGGGAAGAATCATACGACGTAGGAGTCCGCTCTGTTGTGTATGGATCTATGTGTTGCGTATTTATAAACATTTGGATTTGTACATATACTAGGAACGCTGCGACGCCCGAAAGAAGGTTTTGGTTGAGTGTAAAAGGTTGTGTGTAGACAACCACGATGCAAATTCACCAAACTATAACCTGACCGTTCGAAACTTATTCCGTATTACGAAGATACGAATTAGCAGTTACCTTAACGAGAAGCGTAGAAACGAAGAGGTTTTGATTGCGAAAAGCTGTCTCTATAAACACCATCTGTTTGAACATTTGTCGCCATGGGAGTCACTCACACGACGGATCCCGAGGCGCGGGATGCAAAGCGAGATCTCAAAGTCGTTTTGAACAGCCAAGATACCTTTTCAGGTTCGGAAAAGACGGAGCCAGACGCCAAAGAGTCCGAAGACACACAAGAGGGTAACACGGAAATCACCACCGTCTGGAACAAGAAGCTCATCACCATTGCGTACCTGATGATCTGGGTCATCTACTTCTTCGAGCTGATGCAGCGTGGTGTAGAAGCCTCGCTAGCCCCATACGTGCTGTCCGAGTTTGCCAACCACTCCCTGACGCCCGTCGTGCTCATCATGAGCTCCGTGTTTGGCGGTGTCTTCAAGCTTGCTCTAGCAAAAGTGCTCGATCTGTTTGGTCGCCCGCTGGGATGTCTAGTGTCTGTGATTGTGGCAACGTTTGGTCTTGCCATGATGGCCGCATGCAACAGTGTTGAGATGTACTCTGTGGCGCAAATCTTCTACAGCTTGGGCAACCACGGTCTCATGTACTGTCTTGGTGTCTTTATCGCGGATACCTCGTCTCTTCGCAATCGTGGGTTGATGTGGGCATTTGCCTACTCACCTAATCTCATCACCTCTTTCATGGCCGGTCCCATCTCGGAGAGCTTCTTCAACGGGCCTGGATGGCGGTGGTTCTTTGGCTCGTTTGCATTGATGCTGCCGCTGGTCAATCTGCCGCTGTTCTTCCTCTTCATGTATACCTCGCGAAAGGCCAAGAAATTGGGCTTGAAGACAAAAGAGGTCGTCGATAGAACCATGTGGCAGTCTATAAAGCACTATATTTGCGAGTTTGACGCCCTTGGGTTGATTCTTCTGACTGTTGGCCTCGCTTTTGTGCTGCTTCCTATCAATATTTACCGTCTGCAGCCCGACGGATGGGCTAGTCCGCTGATTATCGTCATGATGGTGCTTGGAGTCGTCTCATTAGTAGCCTTTGTTATTTGGGAGCGATACTTTACCCCCGTTACCTTTATTCCTTACGAGCTGCTCTTGGACCGTACCATCATAGGAGCCTGTATTCTGGCGGGTGTCTTGCTCATCAGTATCTACTGCTGGATGAGCTACTTTATCTCCTGGTTGCAAGTAGCCATGGACCTCAGCATTCGCACCTCAAGCTATATTGCACAAATCTATGGCCTTGGTGCTGTCTTCTGGTGCGTCGTCATGGGCTTCTTTATCCGATACACCGGCCGGTACAAAGCGCCCACGCTGTACTTTGGTGTGCCGGGAAGTATTCTCGGTCTCGGTCTTATGATTTACTTCCGCCAACCCGATGTACATGTCGGCTGGATCATCATGTGCCAAATCATCATGTGTCTTACTGGCGGTACTATCTTTGTCTGCGTCCCTGTCGCCATCATGGCTGCCGCTTCAGACAAACACGTTAGTGTCCTTTTGGCCATTGAAGGCATGTTTGCTGAGCTCGGAGGCGCTATTGGACTGAGCATAGCGTCGACGATTTGGCAAGCATCGTTCCCAGCCAAGCTGGCCGAGTATCTCCCCGAAAAGGACCAGCCAAATCTGATGAAGATATATAGCAGTCTTCAAACACAGCTATCATACCCAGTCGGAACAGACACACGCACAGCTATTCAGCAAGCCTATAGTGACTCTCAGCAACTTTTATCGATTACAGGCACGGCCATTTGGGCGATTGGCCTGATTGCCACCATTGGATGGAAGGATATCAATGTGAAAAACGTCAAGAAAGCAACCGGAAGTCACTGAAAAAACTCCTTCTCTTCTTTACTGTCTGACCTCGCAAGGGGCACGTCCATTTTCTCCTTGTTGTATTTTTAGTTTCCTTGAATAATTCCATTCTGTTAGCATTTAATTACTTTGAACTATGAAACAATACCAATCACGCATCTCTTCCTTCACTCAGGTTGAATAATGTAGCTAGCTGACTTTTCATGCCGAGCAACTCCTTTGGTGAGCCGCTTTCAATCAGGCGGCCCTCTGAGAAAACGGCAGCCTGATCATAGGATTCAATGTGTTTTAAACGGTGAATGATAGCCAACACGGTGCTATCTTTGAATTCCTCTTTAATAAGACGTTGCATTAGAGCCTCCGTGTTAGCATCGACGCTAATCGGAATAATGTTAGTGGAATCTCGGAGTTGATCAAACTGTCATGTTAACTTACCTGCTTGCAGCCTCGTCCAAAATCAACACTTTGCCTCCTCGGATGATCGCTCTGGCAAAGCACAGCATTTGCTTCTGACCAGCTGACCAGGTATCGGTGTCGATATCAGCTCCGATACCACCTTTACTTTGAACCGCCGCAGACAGATCGACACGCTCCAAAACAGAAGCAATGGCTTCATCAGTAGCAGTGCCGAACGGATCAATGTTGTCGCGAATGGTACCCGGAAAGAGGAAAGGATCTTGAGTCACTACATTCAGTCGCTGCCGAAGATCATCACCAGATAAATGAACCGTGTCTTGGCCATCAATCACAATCTTTGTGCTTTTGTCAAGATTAATCATGCGTAACAAACTCAAAACCAGAGAGCTTTTCCCGCTGCCTGATCGACCAACAATGGCAAAATGCTCTCCTGGCTTTATGTCCAAGGAAACATTCTTGATGACTGGGGCTCCTTCTTGACTATATACAGTTCAGTAGGGGATTGGGAGGTGCTTTAAATATTATTAGTAACTTACTCATAGGAAGCCACGAGGTCTTTGATCTGTATCGATCCGCTTTCTGGCCAGGATGGAGCTAACGCTGCAAGGTCGGGGGTCGTGAATTCTGTGGGTGTGTTTGCAAGATAGTTCTTTACGCGCGAAACCGCTCCAATGCTGGTCTCGAGCTTTGTCCACGAACTGATCAGGCGGACCAAGATCTCACTGAAGCCAACTACCATGACAAGACTAACACCGACGCTTCCAGGTGTAAACTTGTCCGGAAGCTTGACCACAATTGCAACAAGGGCAGTCGCAACACCGGCTGTCAACATTTCCAGAACAAAACGAAGGCATGACTGAAGACAGGCCAGCATGTATTGCGGCCTCTGCGCTTCGTTGATCAAGGTATAGCTGCGCTCTTCATACTGCTCTTGCCAGGCAAAGGATCGAATGGTATCAATGCCAGCCACAGTTTCAGAGAAGAGTGTATACAGGGGCTCTTTCGCCTCAATCGCAAGAAGCCTGACCTGGCGCGATGTTTGCAGATAGAAATTTTGGAGGAAATATAACCCGATGATGATGAAGGGGGCAGTGATGCCGAGGTATTTGGAGAAGACGGCGAGAATGACGACTTTCGCTACGCAAGCAACCAAGGCTAGATACGGTTAGCAACCATCTATTGCGAGTAAAGCTTACTTATGCAACTTACTAGTAGCATAGTTTGTGAGAATGACAGGAAGTTCCATTCCGATCAGTTCCATATCTTGACTGAATCTAATATGCATACTGTAATCAGCAAGTGTCATCCATGGTGAAGATTGTATCGATAGTACCTGTTCAGGATGGAGCCACTATCTGTTTTGGAGAAGAAGCTAAGAGGCGCCCTACAGACGTTTGTTTAGTTAGAGTATACTCGGGCGTGTTTCAGTCAACAAACCTGAGCGTGGCTGTTAGGAGATCTGAATGCAGCCTCAGGGCCGAATTGGATATCATATTGACCAATGCAACCCTTTCAGAGCAGTTAGCAATCAGTAAATCTTTAGCGATTTTCGTTATGAGCCTTACCATGCAGTAGCAGCTGCAGCTACCATAGCAACAACACATAGCAGTGAATATACGCCGATGTTTTCCCCAATATTCTTGTTTGGGTCCTCAACATTGGCCTCAGCCCACCACTTCATCCAGATGGCTTTGCAGCGCGATGTTAGTACCAGGGTGTAGTACCTATCTGAACCGCGTTACTTACTTGAGAATTCCTGACACACAGTCCAGATAATACTGAGAAGTACAGCAGTCAAACAGGTCCAGTTCCCGGCTCGAGAAAAGTAATAAGCGTAAACCGACCAGTCGCCTGTCTTACGCCGCAAGTCATCCAGAGTATCGTCTGCTTTACCCTTGTTGGTTGAAGTCTTCTCTCTGGTACTCTGTGAGGTCGTGTCGGCGTCATTTGGTAAAGATGCATCGCTGTCTGACTGGCCTTCCTTAGTGCTCATGTTGAGTGATCCGACATAATCCGACGTTTGGAGCAGATCCGACACGCTGCCACAAGCGGATATCTTTCCCTCATCCATGACTACGAGGTTGGTAGCGCGACGCATAACCACCGCTAATAAACTTGTTAGTATTGTCATGCAAAACGGCAAACCCTTAGCTTACGATTATGAGTGACTAGAATAACAGTAGCCTTGTCCTCTGTCAGTATTCCATTAGGACCAAAAAGGCGATCTGTTATGATACTAATGGACGCCGCATCAATGCTACTGAACACGTCGTCTAGAAGAAGAACTTTTTCTTTGGCATAAATAGCTCGAGCAAGAGCCTAGTAGTTGCTGTTAGGATTATGCATGGAAAATTAAAAGATATGGCAAAACTTACTATACGCTGCTTTTGGCCGCCACTTAGGTTTAGTCCATCGCTCCCTATCTTGGACTCATCTTGGTCCGGCATCGCGCTGATGTCGAGATCGAGGACACAGGCACTCTTGACTTGGTTATACCATTCGGAGTTGTAGGGCAGTGGACCAGTTATACATCTCTGTATCGATACATTCTCAAGCCAAGGTTGCTGAGAGCAGTATGCCATGGCACTGGCAAGTTTGGTGTACTTTTGTGAACCCTTGGCCGACATTTCTCCAAGGAGACACTGAATTAGGGCCGACTTCCCGCTTCCCACAGGTCCCACAACAATGTTGATGCCATTTTCCACAATACAAAGGCCATCACAGTGAAGAAGTGCTTCATCCTCATTGTTCCAGGAGAAGGTTTGTTCCTTGGGGACATTCAGTCCAGTCGGCTCCATAGTGTTAGGGGCTTTGACGTCTCCATTAGTAGGCGACTGGTCTTCATTATTGAGTTTGCTGTCGATGGAATAGCAGAAGTATTCCTGAAGCCGGTCAAAGCATCCGACACATTGTAGAATCTCGGGAAGCGTTTGTATGAGGTTAATGAAGGGGGAAGTAAGAAGGATGACCAGGGCAATGGATGTAAAAGCCTGCGAGACGACTAGCGTGCCACCCTTCCAATACAATGCTATTAGCACATATGTTCCAAATGTAACGACTGGGGCGAGGACCGATGGGGAGATGGCTGTTCTCAGATTAGAAACAGCACAGTATAAAAGTTTGCGATGAGCTTACACAGGAAGACGGTTACGGTCAGAATGATTCGGAATCCGCGCGAAGCCTTGATCTCGCTCAGCCTAACCCTCGTGATGGTACTGGAGAGAATAGAAGAGAGCCCTAGCATCTTGACAGCCTTGATGTCGCTCAGCGTAACTGACGTGATTTTGAGTCTGGCTTGAACTTGTTCAATCCACAGCCGCTGCGTTGGACCAGCGGCTGCCGATATCTTCGAAGAGATCGCAAAGACGACTATTGTAGACAATATTAGTATATAGCCAGTGACCCTAAGCAGTGAAAAAGATATTACATACCAACGACAAGAACGAGAGGGGCCAGGGCTGCAAGTGACAGTTGCTGGCTGAGTAGCCAACAAGCGACACCAACTTCTAACAGGGACGTCCAATAAACATTGATCAGACTCAATGCAGTCGATATTCTCTTGACATCAGTCCCCATTAGGGACACTCCGGTCACATCACCCATGTCGACTCGTCTAGCAGCCAGTGTTCGCTGGTAGATCAGCGCTGTGAGCGCATTTTCCACTCTGGTGCTGAAGCGGACATTTTGGTAGCTGAAAATTGAGTTCGAAGCCTATATTATATATACTGATGAGCAATGCGTGATCGTTGAAGCACAGATTTCATTACGTACCGCGATGCCAATGTACAATAACGCCCAGGCGCCAATCAAGCCTTTGCCGTCATTACTGTCCGGAGACTGAGGATTGCTTACAAAGTCGATAGTTGAGGTGATCAAAAGCGGCTGGCTCAATTTGAATGCTGATACAATGAGGCTCGAGAGTGCAACAGTCAAGATGGAAGGCAAGAATGCGGTAAAGGTTGCCTTCAAAAGAGAATGTCGCTTGTGAGGGTCATCTAAATGAGTAAGTAATGCAATGGGGAGCAAGGAGAAGAATATAGTCTCTTACAAGTTGACCAACGCAAATCCAGCTGCTTCGCCAGCATTTGACTGTGCAATTTGTTGTCAAGATGGGGAAGATCCTGCGTCGTAATGATCTTGGTGTATCCCGAGCGAAATGTACCTGCAAGCCATACAAAGGCAGTTCTGTTCCACACGTTGGCGTAGATTTCATATGAGTTGGGCAATGCGGAGAATTCTGAACGCACTTTCTTTCCTGCATACGATTCTAGGACCAAGACAATGACATTGAGGATGAACCATGTTGTGAAAACGATGGCAAGGGGGCCATCTGGTTGCAGAGCCCACACAGTCCTCACCCGGGCGATACCGAGAAGTGAGATGCTAGCAAAGTAGAAGCTAAGCAGAGTTGATGGGCGTAGTGACTGCCGATGAGTGGTAAAGGATAACGGAACACTCAGCAAGGCCGCCACTGTGGTTAAGAGGTCTGCGGCGACGGAGGCTGAAGTTTGAGCAGAGGCTGTTTTAGTGCGCATTGCTAGAAACGCAACAGAAAGGATGACGTTTATACCCAATGTCGCCTTTGAATATCAGTCGTTGGCTCTACATTAACTGGTGGGCTACGATACTCACAAGCTTGGCCAAGGCCACGATGTTGGTCTGCCTAAGGGCAGGCTTCCGCGTCTTGGCTGTGGCTATAAGCTGAATGCATGATAGCAAAATGAATAGCCCCGATGGTAGACATACAAAGAATACGTCTTCAAAAAAGACGGTGAAATCGAATGGGCGACAGTCAGCCTCGACGCGCGGGCCAAACGACGAGTCGTTTCTACACGACATTGTCTCCAATGCGTTGTCGTCCGTTCCACAATGTGTTTAGCGTAGTATGCCGGTTCTAAGGGCGATGGATATGCAAAGATACAAAATTATAGCTGATGCTAAATATTCAGAAGACCGCCGTGCTCGAGATTCGGAGGGATCACCCATTATAAGGGCGGCTCTCGAAAATCAGGCTGTGAGGTATGCGTACCAATTGCTCCAGGCGACAACCGACGACGCAAGGGGCGCCAAAGTGACCCTAAGCCTATGGTGGATCACATTTCACAACCACAGATGCAATCAGGCTCTGCAAATTGTATCCGAAAGGGCAAACCACCGAGATGCTGATTTGAAGACGGACCAAAAACCAGGCAGACGAAGGCTGACGTGGTGCTCAGGGTTGCTAAATGGATGTGAGTAGCGTCAATGTCGTCTTTGGCGCTCAGTGTTGATGCAATGAGAGAGTTTGCCCACAGCGGGACTCACAATTCCAATTGCAGGACGAAGGTGCACGTTCCAATTTATCAGTCTATGTTCATCCCATATGACATATGCAGGTCATAATAACCTTGATTAGGACAGTAATGATCTAGTCTGTCAGGGTTAGACATCATAAAAAGTAGCTTCTCCGACCGTCAGTTATCGGCCGTGGATCTACGGAGATCTGGGTGTCGACAAATGCCCCCTGTTGTGTTGACCAGATTGCTGGTATATGAGCCCACGACGATTGCGACGTATTGCGCCTTGGTTCTCAATACCTAGACTGCTGCATGGCGCGAATTGTAACCGCGCGCTGGTTTGACATGCAGTCCGATCATCCATTAATCCGCAGCATGTTACATTAGGTAGTGACAGAGGCGCAGTCTTCCCGTCTTCCGTAGCTTGAAACAACCTGAGCTGACCCCTGCGCCGTGTGAAGCACCACAGAATGGGTATTCCCACGCAAGGCTAAAGGCAGCGCTAATGAGTTTTGGGCCCTTCATGTAACCCTCTCCCATGGATTGAACCCACGATGTAATAGGACGCGCCGCAAAATTCAGTGGCCAACGGGATCCATGCTACCATGACGTTGACTAGTCGAGGATGAACAAAGGGATGCGATTCGTTCAGCCCGACAAATCTTCCGTCGTCATTGAGAACCATAGTATTATTTTCACATGTCCCTCTGCTTTTGACTTTTTTAACTATCGAGTATTTGGTTATTCCTCGGGGCTTGTCTGTGTGTGTTGAAATAGCCAGCGACTGCAATTGTTGCAAAGTCGAACCTTTGCCATTGCAGCAAGATGGTCTTCACGAATCTTTCACAGCTTTCGCTTAGCCAATTGCGAAGTGCTCTTGAAGGCCCTGCTATGCCGCCCCCGGAAGGCAAGACGCCAGACTTTGTCCATCCTGATAGTCAGACAATACCTGCAACCGGCATCATATCGATGCTTGTTTTCATTTCCACAGTAGCCTTCTTCATCAGATTTAGCGCGCGAATCATGATAAACTGGCGCCGTCGGTGGCTGCATATGGAAGATGGTACGTTTTCCACTCCGATACGTGACCTGCACGAGCCGACAAGAGGCTAACAACGGGACTCACCCTACAGTTTTGAATATTATAGGATATGTAAGGTGCCTGACTCACGATGGCACAGACTCGTTGCTAATCATTTTCGTCTCAAGTGCCTGTACTTGGCGATGGTTGTGGTCTTGTATCAGCAAGCAGCCTTGTCCGGCCTATTCGTACACCAATGGGACGTACAAGCAAAGACAATCCCAAATTATCTCCATGTTAGTCTTTTCTTCTCTTTTTGAACCATAAAAATCTTTTCTCTCTGTGCTGACTGCAGATAGCGCATCCATATTATAGTCAACTTGTACGGCTTCACCATGCTCTTTCTGAAGCCCGCGATTCTGATGGAATGGATACGAATTTTCGTTCCCAACACCAGAAATTGCTTCTACTGGGTTTCCATGGCTCTTATATGGCTGAATGTAATGTTTTATATTTCATTTCTACTCTCAGAAAATCTTGGTTGCACACCATACAGAGGAATATGGGACACGACTGTCTCCTCCTTTTGCTGGGATAGCAGGATATACAACATTGTTTCTGCGATTAACAATGTCCTTATAGACGTTGGCATATTACTGCTACCCCAAAAAGTAATATGGGGGCTACACCTTTCGAGGTCCCAAAGACTTGGTCTTTCAGCTGTTTTTGCCATTGGGTCAATGTAAGACGCGTGTTGATTACATTGAACACGCAGGCTGTCGGGTTGCTAACGCATTCTCTAGTGCTATTGTAGCCAGCATAATGCGCCTATGCTTTGCCATAATATATTATCGTGCGGAAGATTCGACGTATTGGCTAAGCAGATTTATGATGTGGACTGTTACCGAGGTAACATGCATCTTCGTTGTCCTAGGCACACCATCAGTTCCGCAGTTTTGGAAGAGCTCATCTGTGGCGGTATTTATTCGGCAGATGGCAAGCAAGGCAAATAGACTCTCTCAGCTTTCGCGAGCAAGTCTTTTGATAGTCGGGCGTTCTAAGTCGAGCTGTGTCACAGATCAGTCCAGTTCGGTAAGCTTGGAGATGGGTGCTGATCAGAGGAGGCAGAAGGGATCCTTTTCGAAATCTGCACATACGGAATATGGCTCAGACCAGGACTCTCTACCACCTATGGTAGAGTCATTTCAGGACGACAGCAAATTTGCACCGTCATTGGCGGGAATGGTTAACACTTCTTGACTGCAGGTAGAAGTAACACCTGCAAATGTCGCGAAGCATTTGTAGCACCATAGAGACGCTAAATCTTGAACATCTAAACATTCCAAGTTTAGCAGGGTCATGCGAGATGCGGCCATGAATTAATTATCTTTCAATTATCTCGCGTGCACTATTTCAAGCAAACGTTCCAGTGTTTACTAGGCTGGAGTTCTTCGGTCGTTTGGGCGTTTGGGCGGTGGCTGCTACAGCCATGATTTTCACGAACGTCGTGGTTGATAGGTTCTGCTTCCATAACAGTCATATCAAGTGCGGTACGAGTGTATTTTGAGTGAACATCGCCTCATGTATATTCTAGTTTAGGCTAACCCGGGCGAATAATAGCCGTAGACAGTTGAAGCTGACGCAACATGTCTGGTCTAGATTTGGGGAAACCGAGGTCATGACTCGCCTACCCCGGATGGGGTAAATTGGAGGTTGAGAGCCGCCAGGTGTGGGGGTGCACTCGCAACAACGGACGTCTATCCGCTTTGGGTCACATTGTTCTCGCCCTGTCAGAATGCCAGCCTCGGTTGCATCCCGTATTTTTGTTGGTCTGATGGCGAATGCTGGTGGATGACTGTAGTACCTTAAAGTCAACAGTTTTTGCTATGTATTGCCTGGCTCCCAGTGGCAAGTGGCGATGTTTGTCCACCGGACGGCTCTACAGCGCTGCGTGGTGTGGATGAAAGCCGCCGTTGATGCGCCGAAGGGACAAGCCCGCCACGCCAGGATCGGCAGGAGCTGGAAATTTTGCTAGCTCGTTCTCATACCGCCTCAAAATGTGATCGGAAAACGGCGGCCTTCCAGGTCTTGGCGGTAGCAACATCACCGTACTAGCACGCACTCGAACAAGCATGAAGGTGCAAGCCATCTCGCGCTCGGACGATGGAGTGTCCTGTAATGGCCGGGCTCCCAGGCTCAAAGCGCTGCGCGTCTTGTTTCTCATGCCATTGGCGGGGATAACGAAACCCCCGGTAAGAGATGCGAGCTGAGATTTTCCGCCTGCAGCCTTCTTACTCAACAGCTAAAAGTTATGCTAAATGCGGATGGTGACCCGAGAACATGCACGCCACGAGACATGGCTGGGCCAGCCTGACGGTAAGACTGCCCAAATGGTGGGACAAACCTGGGGTTTAATGGATCCAGCGGGTGGACAACGTTGAGGCTGCGTTTGTGATTGGCCGTCTGGCCGCTTCAAGTGCGTCCGGATGGGCACCCCCTCGAACAGATATTGGAACTACTGTCAAGCGTGCTGTCGGTGTGTGTTGGCTCGTCTGCACCACGGCGGTAGCCTGTCCATTTCGTTTATTCGACCGAAGCATGTGGTTTCGATAGTCGGCCTTTAGCGTGGTTGCATTGGCGCTTACCGTTTGAGCATGTTACAGGCGCGGGGCACACGGCGATAAACACGCATTGTTGTCGTCACGTCGTTTGACTGTATTGCTAGCCTGTCTGTTGCGTGTAGTAGTTTTGGGAGAGGTTTTGCATCGCAATATCGCCTTGCAAGCCTGGTGGCGGCGGCCAAAAAGGCGCTCGCATGTTTCGGGGCGAAAAAGTGCATGAGGGGAGAAGGAGTCTAACAGTAGGTTCAACCAGATGATTTGGTGGGAGGCTTGAGTTGGTCTGTGAACCAAACAGGACACTGTTATTAGCAACAAGATTGCCTGCATGCATATGCCTGGTTAGCTTCAACGCCACCACACGAACAGAGGGGCAGCGCGGCGTGGCTTTGTGAGCGGGCACGCAGAATTTGACGAGGATGGCGACTGGATGAAAGCCACCGTGCCGTTAGCCACTGGGCCAAGAATTGTTGCGATGAAGCCTTCCGCTGCGCCAGGAAATCGCCAAGGGGCTCGTCCATCTCTTGGTATTCTTGTCCCGTCGCGGCGGACTGAAGCTAGCGGACGGGACAAGCCTGAGGTCTGCGCACATGCAGCTGGTGGCTTGCAGCAGATAAAAGCGATTTAATGTCGTTGGTTGCTGCTGATGCCCCCTTTTTGACGCCTATTTTCAAATTGGCAGCATTTAGTCGGCGGCAGAAGGGACTTTCGTGTGGCACGACGCCTCGTGCCTGTACGAGTAATGGGGTCCCTGTCCATCCTCATCAGACCCCGTCTTGCTAGGCGAGCGGGGTGGGTGACAGGACATCACCCGCCTTGCTCGCATGGTAGCCCACTGAAAATGCAAATGCAATTGTGGATAGAACCTGGGGAAGCACGTAATAGTCACTTTTAATGGAGACGAGAGATTACAGGGCTCAAGATAGCAGTGGGCAGGCGTTTGCGCGAGATAGAGACGGGGCAAAATAGATGCACCTGAGTCGAGGCCTTATCAATTAGCATGCTGACCGGAGAGATTTGGAATATGGCGCCGCACACACTCACTAGAAAATACAGAAAAGAAAGAAAAGAAAGAAGAAAATTTTTACAAAGGTGTCAGAGAAAAAGTGTGAGAACGTAATGGTGGTTGCCCAATGGCTGAAAAAAAAGCTTTGTCGAGGCGATCTGCGGCGTGGCTAGAAACACTGTGTTTCGTGGTCTTTTTGGTGGTGAGGCGAGCGCACCCATACGCAGCCAGCTGGCACCGGTGCCGAGAAGAGCAACAGTTGCAGCAAAATGTTGGCGGCCGACAGGTGCCTGGCAGTGCTAAATTACAGCGCTGCCAGGTGCTGCCAGGTGCTGCGAGTGTCAAGCGAGTCAATGCCCGGCCATGCCGTCGTACCCGGTTCGAGGCCAGCTGTGTGGCGGCGTGAACTAGTCCGCAAGAGGAAGTTACGCCATGGCTAGAACCTGCCCGTTTTTACGTTGGCCGCTCCCAAGATTACGGAACGAGAACCAACTGGACCCCAACACGGCCTCCCCCCGCGGCGCAAGCACGCAAGTCTATCAACTCTTCGATGGATCCTTCGGTGCGGGGAGTGGCTGGAGACACACGGCGCCGTTGGCTGAAAGTCGCCCCAACTTAGACACCATGGCTTGCCTCGTTCTCCACATAGCGCCCCTCTACTGGCACCACCACTCGCCTCAAAGGACCCTTTGTTGGAGAAGCCCAGTGCGCTTCCGTTGCTCATGTGAGAAGATAGTCTCCAAAAGGTCGTTCTCGTTCTGGAGGGCCGTTGGTTGTACCCCGGTCGACGCTTTCCCCCCCACGCTCTGCTCCGTCGATACTGCGACCAACCAACCAATATCCGAGTCGCCTCCAAAAGTACAAAAACTCCCCCAAGCCCACGCCCTCACTATTCTCGTCGTTTCCCTTCATCCCGTCTTCAGTTCTTTCAATTCCTCCTCATTGTTAGTATTCGGATCTTGTGCTTGCAGTGCCAAGAATCAAACAACGATGTGTAAGCCACCACTCTCCTATGCACCCAATGACAACTCAATCTCCTAACACAGTCTACCTTCATAGCGAGCATTACTCCCGACACTCACGCCGCCGCGCCGGCTGAGAAGGTCGCCCTTGAAAAGTCGGATGCTAGCCCCAACGTTCACATCGCTAGTGACGAACACCCTGCCACCAACCACGTCAAGGGCCATGAGCATGCTGACATTGCCATCCTCAACACTGACTATGAGGGCAAGCCTACCGACGAGGAGATGGCCACTCTCCGCCGTATCCCTGGTGCACTTCCTACAACTGCATACCTCCTCTGCGCTGTAGAGTTCTGCGAGAGAGCTTCCTACTACGGTTGTGCCCAGATTTGGACCAACTACATCAACCGTCCTCTTCCCAAGGAAGGCAATGGCTACGGTGCTGTGGCCCCCGGTACCCAGTACACCCAAGGTGCTCTCGGCCTCGGCGAAAAGGTCGCCAACGCCACCTCCCAGTCTTTCAACTTGCTTGCCTACTGTCTCCCCATGCTCTTTGCCTACCTCGCCGATGCCCGCTACGGTCGCTACCCTCTCATCTTCTGGGGTGTCATCCTGTGCGGTGTTGGCCACGTCCTCATCGTCGCTGGTGGTGCCAAGTCTCTCCTTGACAACGGAACTGCCAAAATCCCCTTTTTCATCGGTGTCTATATTCTCGCCATTGGTGCTGCCATGTTCAAGCCCAATGTCAGCCCTATCCTTCTCGATCAGCTCAAGACCCACGTTCCCAAGGTTGTGACTCTCAAGTCTGGCGAGCGCGTCATTGAGTGCCCCGAGCACAGCGCCGAACGCGCCATGCTGTGGTTCTACCTCCTCATCAACATTGGTGGCTTCATGTCCACCGCTACCTCCTACTCTGCCAAGTACGTTGGCTGGTGGCTCGCTTTCCTGCTTCCTCTCATCCTCTACATTCCCCTTCCTCTCCTCCTCGTCTGGCTCAAGCCCCGCCTCGTCCTCCACAAGCCCAAGGGCTCCGAATACCCCAACTTCTTCCGCGTCATTGGCCGCTGCTTGGCTGGTGGTGGCATCTTCAGAATCGGCCGCAAGGGCTGGTGGGATGCAGCCAAGCCCTCCGTTCGCGCTTCCAAGGGTCTTCCTCTCGAGGACCGCTACACTGACCAGTTTGTCGACGATGTCAAGCGTACCATGCAAGCCACTGGCATGTTCTGCTTCTTCCCCGTCCAGTTCTGGAACGACAACGGTATTGCCAGCTCTGCCAACTTCTTGTCCACCATGCTCCGAAGCGACGGTGTCCCCAACGATGTTATTGGCAACTTCAACACTCTCTCCATCATTGTCCTTGGACCTATCCTAAACGTAAGTTTGAAGCTGTCTGATACTTTATCACTTTGCTCCTGCTAACAATTCCTGTTCAGTATGGTCTTTACCCCATGCTCCGCAAGCTCCGCATCCACTACGGCCCCGTTTCTCGTATGACGACTGGCTTCTTCCTCTCTACCCTTGCTGGTATCGGATACGCCATTGTCGCCTGGAAGGCCTACGAGATTAACCCTTGCGGTTACTACGGCACGACCGATCCCAGATGCATTGACGAAGGTCTTGTGTCCGACATCTCTCTGTGGTGGGAGGCCATTCCCTATGCACTTGGTGGTTTCTCTGAGCTCTTCATCAACGTCCCCGCCTACGGTATTGCCTACTCTCGTGCTCCTCCCAACATGAGAGGTATGGTCTCTGCCATCAACCTGCTCAGTGTTGGATTCTCCTACATTGTCAACTTGGCCGTTTCCGATGTCGTCACTGATCCTCACCTGGTGTGGGACTTTGTCGCTCCCGCGTGTGTTGGAGCAGTTGTCACTGTTGGCTTCTACTTCCTCTTCCGTCACATTGACAAGGAAGAGTTTGTCTTGTCTACATCTCAGATCAGCGAGGCCGAGGAGGTTGAGTACGAGGACAAGAAGGACCACGACATTGCCAACAAGGTTTAAAAATATTTCTACCTCGTATGATCGTTGGTGGTTTTGTATGCTATTTTGGATTTCTAGCAGCGATGGACGGTGTTTTTTCTAGTGCACTATGATACCTATGTAACGTGCTTCAGGCAAGGTGCACATTGCCCTGAAACGTACAAAAATAAATTTGGATTATATATTCAAAAAAATGAAAACTGGTCAAATCAAAATAAATCCTAAGTGAAATAAGTAATTCCATTCTGTGATAAATCGATGCTAGTATTGGCCTTTGTTGCCACCACACAGCCACCTACGGGTGCTGTAGTGACCCTTGCCCAGGAAAGGTGGGTTTTGCTCAAGTGAAATTCTCTGCAAACGACGTCTGCTCACTTCCATTCTCAGAACAATCAAAGCCATTGCGCAAAATCCAGAGCACGCGCATCAGTTTGGCACTGGAATTTTTATTCAAATACAAAATTACTACTACTCGGAAATAAAAAATAGCAAGATGCCAGATCGCTTCAGGGGCCGGCGGCCAGACAATCGCCGCGGCGGCGGTCGTGGTGGAAGAGGTCGTGGTGGTGGTGGTGGCGGCAGAGGCCAAGGTCAAGGATTCCGCCCAAACGCGCCGAGACATCATCAGGATGAAGACGGAGATACGGCCATGTCATCGCCGGCAGACTACACCGATGTGCAGACACCACCTGAGGACTTCAAGCCGCCATTGTCGGAGGCGGTACCCAAGGATACGCCTCGCTTCGCCGAGCTGGCCAACCAGAACCTCATCCACCCTCTCATCGTCAAGACCATCACTGAAGATCTCAAATTCGACCACATGATGCCGGTGCAAGCCGCGACTCTGTGGGAACTGTTGCCGCCGAGCCGAAGCGATTGCTTGGTCCAGGCCAAGACGGGCACGGGCAAGACTGTGGCCTTTTTGCTGCCTGCGCTGCAGACCATGATTACCAACAACCGCGGCGGAAGCGACGCCATCTCGCTACTCGTCATCTCACCGACGCGCGAGTTGGCCATGCAGATTGCACAAGAGGCGAACAACCTGCTGCAGAGACTGCCCAAGTACCGCGTGCGTGTCGCCATTGGCGGCACCAACAAGGACAAGGAGGAAAAGGCCATTCTGGGAGGCTGCGACGTGTTGATTGCCACCCCTGGCCGTCTTATTGACCACATGTCCAACGAGGAGATCATCTATGCCTTCCGACAGCTCGATACGCTGGTGCTCGATGAGGCTGATAGACTGCTGGACATGGGCTTTATGCCTGCGCTACGCGACATTGTCAGCCGCCTGCCAGACCGCAAGGTAGTCAACCGCCAGGGCATGCTCTTCTCTGCCACTATTGCGGAGCACGTCAACAAGGTTGCCGGCCTTGTCCTGGAGCCTGGATACAAGTTCATCTCGACGATCCCCAAGGGCGAGGCCAACACGCACGAGCGCGTTCCCCAGTCTCTGATCAAGGTTCCCACGTTTGGCCAGGTCGTTCCCGCCATGATCGGCGCTATCAAGAAGGAGGCGTCCCAGAACCCGTCGTTCAAGGGCATTGTGTTTGCACCTACAGCTGCCCTGGCCAGCTTGTACTGCGATATCCTGTGCCTGATCCCCGGCTTACCTCCCGTTTCCACGCTGCACAGCCGCATGTCGCAAAACAAGCGCACCAAGACAACCAACGACTACCGCGACGCTGCTACGGCCCTGCTTGTCGCTACCGACGTCATTGCGCGCGGCATGGATTTCCCTGGTGTTACGACAGTTTTCCAGGTCGGTATTCCGGCTGACAAGCAAAGCTACATTCATCGCTTGGGCCGAACCGCCCGCGCCGACGCCGACGGCCGAGGCACGTTTATTGTCACAGAAGCAGAGGCATTCTTCCCCAAGTGGACCCTCAAGGAGATCAACTTTATCCCCGAGGACGCTGATGTGAGCTCGGCACAGCTCGTCTACGATATCGTAGCGAAGATGCCCGAGGATGAGCGCGGCCAGGTCTACAAGGCATGGCTCGGATATTACAACAATCACCTCAAGGGTCTTCGATGGGACAAGGAGGAGCTTGTCAGCCAGGCCAACGTTTACGCAAGCGAGGGCCTCGCTTGTCCTGAGACACCTGCCATTCAGCGCAGCACTGTGGGCAAGATGGGACTCCGTGGCGTCAAGGGCCTCAATGTTGTGCCTGATCGACCTAAGCAGGGTCGTGGAGGCCAGGGCGGTGCTGGTGGTGGTGGCGGTGGTCGCAGCGCAGGCAATGGCGGAGGCAGAGGAGGCCGCGAAGGTGGAGGAGGTGGTGGTAGGCGTCGCTAAGAAAATGAAAAGTGTTTGGTATTTGGAGGTTCTTGTACGATAGTCGGATGCAACTTGGAGACTTGATAATAATACCCCGCAGGCAGAAAATGGGCAAAGGTAGCCCTTTGAGTAAGAATAGGCATGTAAGGATATAGACAAATGCATTCATTATATTCATAATCAAAAAAAATGGCTCGAGTAGGCTATGTTTCTTAGCAGGGGCATGGAATGATGCAGCAGTTGATAGGGATTGGGCAGGGGATAATGAAACAGAATCGGCCGGGACACGCGCCGCCCTCGTTGTGGCCACCGCGGAGTCTGGGTTGTTCTGACTCAGGATGAGGAGCTGTCGGATCTACATTGTGTATTATATAGAGTTAGCGAGTTCCGTGTTGTCTATAGGGGTGATATGCAAGATAGAGATGTCGTTTGGAGATATGACGTACCCATGGCCATATGAGGCGCCGGAGGCTGCTGCGCGCTGGCTTGGCCGTTTTCCATGGTGGACGCGTGGTCCGAGCTGGACTTGTTCAATGGGATTTCGTTGGTCATTATTAATATTGTATTTTAATGCAAATTCGTTTGAAATGAGAAATAAGGATGTTGCTGGTGAGAAAATGTAGTGGACGAGACAGTGGCAGTGGCAGTGCACGCTGCCAGGTGGCGTGGCGGGGATTATTCTTTGCAGCCACCGCCTCATTTAGCCGCCATTGGCGATGATCATCAACCTAAAAGCCAACATTTTTCTACCACATCAATCATCTCGATTATTATGAAAAAGAATTGGTAGGAGAAATATAGGCAATTATTTACTGATATTGATTTCACAATGCTAATACAGCGAGTGCATTTAGATGCCTCTCCAATTATCGCTGACTCCTACAACTCCCCGCCAAAATCACGACTACCAGCAATACACCAATAAATCAACAAATCATCATCATCGCCATCATTGTCACCAAATCAAAACTCCTTTAATGACTTCTCCCTTTTTCATCTTCTCTCTAGCCTCCTCAAATTCAGCCACAGGATACTGAGTCAACATTCTGTGGACCGGTAAGATCCCCTCCTTCACCCACTGCACAAGCTCTGGCAGTGCTTCCGCCGGGTCTCGATCACCTTCAATTACACCGACAAGCTTTCTTCCACGAACCATGTGCATCAACGTGTCTACTTCCAGCTTCGCTCCTACAGGTTTGACGCCGACCTGCAAGACTGTACCGTTGTGTTGGAGAGCTTCCAGGCAGGCTGAGAGCACCGCTACCGATGGCGAAGTATCAAGAATATGTGTACAGCCCAAGCTTCCTGGAGTCGCTTCCCTAAGAGCCGTAGCCAAATCTTTGTCTCCTAATGCTTTGCGAGATGTCAGGAGCCCTGCCGTAGCACCCACTGACAAGGCCAAATCGATGCGCGACTGTAGCAAATCTACAGCCAGGATGTTGCGTACACCGAGCTTCTTTGCAGCGCAGATACCAGCGAGGCCAACACCACCAAGGCCAACCACGGCCACCACATCGTCGGGAGCGCATTTTCCAACGTGTGTGATAGACCCGGCACCGGTCATAATGCCACAGCCCAGCGGCGCATACATTTTGAGCTCCTCGGCATCTTTGATTAACTCGGTAACGTTGGCAGCGCACGATACTTTAACTGGCGTCACGCTGGCAAAGCTCGATTGGCCAAAGTATCCACCCCCAATCACTTTGGATGGATCGCTCGCAAGTACAAAATTCGGTTCGTTGGCGTGAAGTGTGACGGCGGCGTGGTTCGCGCAGTACGCTGGATGGCCGGTGTTGCAGTAGTGACAGTCTTGACAGGATGCTGCCGAGAGGATAACCAGGTCGCCTTCTTGGTATTTGGACTTGAGTGTATCGCTTCCCAGTCGCAGAACTCTGCCGGCGCCTGTGCTTTGTTAGTGAGGACAGTCCGTGTGTGGTTTGATTCGTTGCTTATTACCTTCGTGCCCCAGAACACGGGGGTATATTCCGCCATATCCCGAAATGTCAGTATGGCATACGCCAGTGGCAATCATTTCAATCAGAAATTCATCTTCAAGAGGTTCCCGCGTCAAGAGATCAACGTATTTCCAGTCATGTTGGTCGTATGCCACGATGCCCTTGCATGGAATCGTGTACTGGTATGCTGCCATTGTGGTGGCGTTGGTGTTGTTATGATATCGGTTCCCGTTCTTTTATCGTTTGTATTTACGACGGTACAGTAAGCCTACAAATCATGCGAGTGAAACAAACAGAAACGACACTGATGAAGCGCTTGGTGGCGGACGGCGGCTACTTACCCCAGATTTTGATGAACACCGTGACGTCGTTCTGTGTGGGGTAGGTAGGTGACTTATAACCGACTACAGTGCATTTTTGGGGGCATCCGCCTCTAGCCAATCGCATATTAGCGGAATACACAGCCTGGGAAATTTCCGTATAGCCGGATTGCAGTCCACTACTGAGACCACCATTGCCAGGTACATGTATTATACGTTGCCTAGCATTGTTTTATTCAACAAACTACACTGTATTCAGCTTAATTTATCTGCAAGCCACAGCTGCCTTCAAATTCGATACAAGCCGACCAATGAGGGCGCCAACGTTAAGTCCGAGCCGTGCATACTGGCCTCGGACATGTCTAGCACACCTCGCAGGAAAGTATGCATTATTCCGATGATTATATAGACACTCTTAGCTTGTACTATATGAAGGGCAACAAAAAAGGAGCGCCAAAAAGAAAAGCCAGATCTTGATACGCTACTCCAATTAAGCTCCCAACAACAATCCGCCATGTCATCACCAGACAATAACAGCACAGCATTGCTGCAGCGTATCAAGGCTCTTGATCCAGTCATTGAATCAATTGGCAAGGTCGCTGGCGCTCCTGGCATCTCCGTGTCAGTGATTCACAATGGCAAGCGAATTCATCAAGCAAACTTTGGTTTTGCGAACGTTGAAGCAAAGAAGCCTGTGACTGGACAAACCCAGTTTCCAATTGGAACTATGGCCAAGACATTTACGGCTTCTGCCATCAGTGCACTCGTGGCCGAGGGAAAGCTGAAGTGGAATACACCGATAAAAACTATAATCCCAGAGCTAAAGACAGCTTCCAGCGTCATCACAGACAACCTGACCATTGTCGATCTGCTGAGCCACCGATCAGGTCTGGGCCGCTCCAACTTTTGGTGGCAAGGCGCCGAGGCAAAATTGCTTCTGGAAAAGGACCAGTTTCTTACCTACTACAACGCGTTGCCCGTCACTAGTCAGTTCCGCACCGACTGGGCCTATAGCAACTGGGGCTATGCGCTGGCCGGTGAGGTGATTGAGCGACTGAGTGGCATGTCCTATGGCGAGTACTTGAAGAAGGCAGTCTACGAGCCTCTCCAGTTACAGCATACCACTGCCCAACCTATAGACCCGTCTCACGGCGCCAACGTTGCTAAGCCATACGCTGCACTGGACGATGCATCGCTTCACTTGATGCCACAGCCTCCCATCAACGATACGACAGTCATGGCGGCTGCCCTTGGTGGTGTAAGCAGCGCGGATGATCTGACGGCGTATAGCATTGCTCTTTTACAAAGCTTCCGTGACGAGGCCGGTCTACAGAAGAGCGAGTCGCCCAGTGCTATCCACCACGGCCTACAGCAGTTGTCTGGGCATATCTTTACGGCGAAAGCGCTACTGGAAAAGTCGTACGCAATGGGATGGTACCGCACACAGCTTCCGAATACTGTGCTTGGAATGGGCTGGAACAGTCTCTATGTCAAGAAGATGCCGACTATTGTCCCACGAACACACGCAGGACCGCTGGTTGCACACGGCGGCAGTCTGCCCGGGTACCATGTCTCCATGGCTCTACTTCCAGAAAGCAATAGCGGTGTCGTCATTTGCACTAACTCGATTGCACTGGGCGATGTGTCTGGCTGGGTCAGCATGGCGGTGATTGAAGCGCTTGTTGATACCCCGGAGCCGTCCGACTATCTAACATTGGCTAAAGAGGCTGCTGCCAACGCATCGCTGAATGTGAAACGGCTACAGCAGAAGCTTGACGCAGAACGGACCGTGGATACGACGACTCGGAGCGCAGACGAATATGTTGGGCGGTACAAGGATTCAAAACGTGACTGGTATATCGAAGTCAGAAAATGTGGCGAAAAGTCTTCGTCTGGATTAGAAGTCGCCTTTCAAGGGCTTGATAGCCAGGCGTGGTCTCTGTCTCATTACCAGCATGATACGTTTCTTTGGCTTGCTTCACGCGAAGAGCAGGCGAAACGCGGGCGCATGGTGACCTATCCGTTGGTGGCGGATCATTTCAAGCTAACATTTGAGGCTGGTCCTGGAAGTGATGGCAAGATTGACCGATTGTTATGGAAGAACGAAGCGGGAGCGTCTCTGGAAGAGCAGTATTTTATAAAGCAGCAATCCTGATCAATATGGTAGCATAATTCTATGACATTCTTCGCCTTTCAATCTTTTGAATTCTTTATATAGGATTAAGCAAAGTTTAACGTAACAATAGCAATTGGTCTTCTATATTCCTTTACTCTTCTCCGTCTTCGCAGCTAATTTTCTACTCGATAATAGGCGTCCATTCCTTTCTAACCTCCTCTACCGTTGTCATCAGCCCACGTCGTCCGTGCTTCGACTCAACCAACAGTACAGACGTAAAGCAGTTTTCGGTGTCATCTGGTGGCACCACTTCTTGACCAACCTTGAAATAGTTGAGGCATAGCGGCACACAGACGGCTAGCTCGGGGTTCTCTTGCTTAAGCCGTGGCATGGGATCCCCAGACTTGAGAATGCCTCGCTTGTCAGGCATAATAAGCAACAGAGCGCTATCGTGCTGTGGTCCGTTGGTATAGGTTTTGGATAGCAGCCGAAATCGGGCCTCGTCGCCGATGCAGCTGAGACTGTGCAGCGCCCACATGTCCACGCCGTAGTTCCAGCTAGACGCATACAGGCCGACATAGCCTGGCGCACGGGCGTTGATCTCCAGAAGAAATACACTTGGCTTCCCGCCGATGGTATCCGCTTTGGAATTTGTTTCCAGGTCTACGATGCCTGTGTTAGGGTCTGTAGTGTAGTGCATTGCTGAGTTCCAAATGCGTGCTTCGCAGTGGAACACGCCGTAGGTAAAGCCCATACCCAGAATACACTGGTGAATGTAGTCACGGACCATGATTTGCTCAGACTGTGGAAGCTGGGATGGATACATGAACATGGTTTCTTGAAAGTCCTTGCGGCCGGTGCTGCTAACTTGGTTGAGATCACCAGGCGTCGGCGCATTGTCGCAGACCTCGAAAAAGGTCACTTCACCGTCCCACAGAGCCAGATTGATGTCTACTTCAGGTCCGTCGCAGTACGGTTCGATCATGACACGTGAGTTCACAAATCCAATAATATAACCGGCCGCCCACTCCACAGCGGCCAGTAGCTCCTCCTTATTGATGGCCTTGGCGACGCCATAGCTGCCCCAGCCGTTGGTGGGCTTAACAACGACGGGATACGGGATGTTGAGGGGATTCACGGGGTCTCGGAGACGTTCTTCGAGCTCTGTCCTGTTGCGGACCTGAATAGCGGGGCTCTGTGCCTTGTCGTAGTCTGGCTGTGTGATGCGTGTAAGATACTTGTCCGTGGCAATCTTGAGAGCAGATGGAGGGCTCGTAGGGAGCTTCAAGAGCTGGGCCACATGTGCCACCTTGTCCAAGATGGCATCGAATCTTGTGGTGAGGCCATCTAGGCGAAGGTCGTGAGCTGCAGCGTACAGACGCTCTGTGAAAGTCTCGTCGGGGTTCAGATCAATGAGGTGGAAAGAGTCTCGCAGATATGCCAGTGGACCATTGGGGTCTTCAAAGAGCGTCCCAGGCTCATCGAATACAACAAGATGAATGTTGAGATGCTGTAGCAGCTCGAGAGACATCTGGTAGTTTAGGCATTGCACGATACCCAGGCGTGTGCGAGGGACAGGCTCCGCTTGGAGAAAGCGAATATCGAGACGATTGCGCAGCTCTGTATCCAAGTTGTCCAAACCCGTCTGTGATGATTCCGAGTCGTTGATTATGCAGTGGGCAGCTCCAATAGCCGCAGAAAGAAGGTCGTTAAGTTGCGTGACGCGACTCACAGATGGAGTTTGGGGCTCGATATACTCGCCAGGTTGAAGGAAGCCAGCGACTGATATCACACCCGGACAAGCATGCAGCCTTGTCTGAATAATGTTGGATTGCGCAACATAGCCAGCTGTTGCGGGCAGAATCAACTTGATAGCAACCTCGGCAGCCGGTGCCGTGTTGGAATTGGCTGTTGCGAGAGCATTTTCCAGAAACGTACGAATATCAAATACATCGTACCCGACGGGCAAGCCGGAGCGAATCGACTCAGGCCATTCAAACTTGGATGCCTGATTGTTGTTGTTGCTGTCAAGCTTGGTGATGACCAAGTCGACGGTTTGAATTACAAACGACTTGGGGAACAAGTTTTCGCGCCACGAGAACGAGTACGTGTGAACATTATTATCGTTGGGAAGTGCATAGAGCGCAACCAATTCGTTCATATCTGTTGTTGAACCCATCTTTAGCCCAAGAGAAGAGACGATAACAGCAATTGGCTATAGGCTTGGGTGATTGCGGCAGAAATTCATAAAATTAATTCAGAACATGGCTATAACATATGCAACCGTAACACAAGTTTACTCAAAAAATCACCATAGGCTTTTTTTTCTCCGCGTATTTCCTCATCTGTTCTCCTATCGCAAGGCTGAGGCCTCGGCCGAGAGCGATTTCCTTTTCTGGCGTGGGGTTCAGCTTCGGGGGCCGGCCTCGGGTCTCGCTTCTCGGTCTTAAGATCGGCAGCCTCGCTGGAAACTAGTCCGCTCTTGTTCACGGCAAAATTGTAATTGACGTCGGAAATAATGTATTGGGATGCATGGTGTTTTGTTGGGTCTCCGATTTGGCGGGCATGTGGTGCTGTAGTCACAAACATACAACGCGCAGGGTAGCCATGCTGAGATGCATACCAAATGGCATGTAAGACAACGACTAGTAGATATATAAAACATATGATGATATTTACAAGTAAATGTATTATTGTATATATAATTTATATTGTAGCTTTAAATGTTAAAAGTCCAAAAATACAGCTAATGGCTACCACCTACTTGGAGGCCGCACCAGCGTCCAAAGTATACTGCAGCGAGGTTTCATTGCGTTCACGGATCCAATCTTCCAAGTACCCAGGAACCCCAGGAAACAAATTCGTCGGCGCAGGCATTGGTGTGCCATACACTGTCCTAGTTGGAACCACACCGGCCCATACATTGCGCCTCATCTCTTCATCGGCAATATCTTCCTTCGCCTCACCAGTAGAGCCCGTGCGGACCTTTGCGCTGGCCGAGTGAATCTCGACACGCAGAATCCCGGTGCTTTTTAGTTCAGTCTTGTTTGGGTAGCGTGTGTGCTGCCAACGCTCGGGGACCAAGTTATTGGTGATGAGTTCCATGGCGTAGAGCCGCTCCGCCTCGTCTTCGACCACTTGCGCATGGCCAAATGCTACTGCAGAGCGGTAGTTGCAGCTATGGTGATTGGGCGTCAAGGCCAAGACAATGCCGTCCATAAGTGTGGCGGAAACACAAACAGGAATACCTGACGGTTCATCATTGGTGCCCGCTTTGGACAATCTCATGATGCGGGCCGACACATATCCATGGAGGTAGATGTATCGGCGCCCATCATCTTCGTCCTCTGTGACATCCTCTTGTCCAAAGATACCGGTACAGCCTAACATGGGCAAGATGACGGGAAACCCAAAGTTGTCCTGGTCAGGAGAGGTTTGAAAGGCAACATGGACGACGGGTGTCTCGTCAAAGATAGGATAGACTTGTTGGTATTCATATTGGCCTAAGGATAGAATTTAGTTTACTATTTTTTGGTATTTTTCTAGTGAGGTGTTCTTCTCCTATCAAGAGACTTACCTCGACCACGGTATCTGTTAACGCTATTGAGTTTGGATTTGGCGTAGGAGCCATTCTCGCTTTCGCTGGAGGCACTCGGAGACATTGTGATGAGTACTTTTCAAATTAATTATAAATATAACGACTTTACTATATGGGAATCCCCAAAGTATGTAGTCTCTCGTGGTGTTTATAAACTAGATGAATCTTGTATCGTTCCTACAAATCTGTGTCTAGCTCTTCGGCCGAGCTCATGGTGCTTGTGCAGTACGTACTGCTACTGCGTCTTGTCACTGTTTTGCCGGCTATGCTCAACTTGTCTCTGTTTTTATGTCCGATCCGAACGGCTGACCACGGCTGACCGATCAATTCATACCATGTCCGAACTACAAAGACCAACATCATCATAATACTGCCGACGACCCGACTTATAGTACAACAAGAGTCTTTGCCTATCTTGTTATTGGTCATTTTACTAGCCCGCAACCAAGTAAACTGCCATGCTTCCATTGTTACCCATCCAGCCTGCTTTGGGGCCACTCTCTAAGCGACTATCGCACCATGCTCCTACTGGAAAATCTCTCCCAACTCCCCCTTCACTAGGAAGCCCCGTTCCAGATGATCGCCATGCAGTCTCGGTGCAGCTTCCTATGTGGCAGGATATGCTGGGAATGGTCACGCAGGATCCCCGAGTGATCAAGGTGCAGCAGATTGGCTATCCACGATCCTTTCTCAACCAGGCTATTGTCAAGGTACACTACACACCAAAGGATTTATCTTGCATTTTATATGATATTTACTAACAATCATTTGGATAGGTAAACACGGCCTGCATGGACCGTTTCGGGCTTCCTGATGAAAAATGCCTGGTTTTCACAGCATTGAATCATGCAATTGCATGTCAAATGAAAATCATCAGCCAGGTTCCCGATGCTGGGGGTCAAGTTCGCATTATGGCAGTGGATTTTGTATTGGATGAAAGTGCTGATTCATCCTCATCACCACCATCATCTCTTACACCTCGGCGCTACTATCTCGTCTTCTTCGCCGCCAAGTATAACCCCAACGCCATGATTTTCTGGCGCCTTACGGGCACCGGTATCTCGTCTCGCCTCGCAGAAAGTATGCATAAGCATCTTGACAAGATGTCTACTGCGACTGATGCCGGCGACGGAATTTTACAGACAAACCCGGATCTCTGTCGCAGTCTCGTAGATGCCGAGGCCAACAATGCGGTGCAATCTCGTATCGTCGAACTTTTGCAGCGTGCAACCAAAAACAAAGAGGTTTCTTCTCGTATCGCATCAACAGATGTCTTTCTCTATCCCACGGGCATGGCGGCCATTTACAACACCAACAAGCTGCTCCGAGCCTGGCGGACAGGGGAAACTGTTGTCTTTGGATTCCCATACGAGCTCACACTCAAGATGATGCAAGACTACGCGTTCCAGTGCAAGTTTTACGGCTTTGGTACGCCAGACGAGCTGGATGACTTTGAAGCCTACCTTGCTAGCGAACGAGCGCAGCAACGCAGCATCCAGTCTGTCTGGTGCGAGGCGGCATCCAACCCGCTGTTGAGAACAGTCGATTTGCCGCGGATCCGTCGTCTTGCAAATGAATATGGCTTTGTGATTGTAGTTGACGAAACCATTGGCAGCTTTGCCAATGTTGATCTTGCCGGTGTGGCCGATATCCTCGTGACATCCTTGACCAAGAGTTTCAGCGGCAAGGCCAATGTCATGGCGGGCAGTGTGGTGTTGGTTCCTACTATGCCGTACTATTCCCAGCTGAGAGATATGATGCCCCAAGTCTATGTCAACGAGCTGTTTGGTGCGGATGCCCGTGTTCTGGAACGCAACAGCCGCGACTTTCTTTCCACTGCCAGCACAATGAACCAGAATGCCCAGCGTCTTGTGACTGCGCTCGCCCATTTTGTCAACCTGCCTTCAAGCGTTCTCACTCATGTCTATTATCCTTCTACGTGCTGGTCTCGCGCAAACTATGAGGGGCTGATGCGCCATCCCACACCAGACTTTAGCCCTGGCTATGGTGGTCTGTTCACGCTGGAGTTTGAGACCGTCATTGCTGCCGCTACCTTTTTTGATGCGCTGAATGTGCACAAGGGGCCATCATTGGGAGCATCTGTAACCCTGGCGCAGCCATATGTCCAGACGGTGTTTATGCGCGAGAAGGCATGGGCGGCTTCGTATGGCCTCAAGGAGTCGATTGTGCGTATCTCGGTTGGTCTGGAGGATGGACAGGCCTTGGAGCGTGAATTTCTCAGGGCATTGCGTGTTGCCAGCCGATTCAAGGCGGGACGAGAGTTAAAGGAACACCGGGAGTATTGCTTTTGATTTGTCGTGTCCATATGCTGACTCACACGCTGCTCTGCCAGTAGGATAGTTTCGGCCAAATTTAGTTACGCCTCACAAAATTAAATATCCATAAAATCGTATTATTTTAATAAATGTCTAATAATGGCTCTTGAGCTCTCTATTGTTTAGTTATGTCTTATCCATGATGTTTTCATCATCGCCGAGGTCTCTCGGTCAACGATAACATGTCTCGGCCGAAGGAGTCCATAGCTTTACATTCACTACAATACTCAAAATTTCTTCTGCCCGGTTTAGAGATAGGTCTGTATCGACGAACCACTGTGTAACAACTCTATGTTCTATTTCTGCTGCAGACAACAAAATGCCACACCCTTTTGCCAATATCCCGGTTGGAAAGCTTGGTATGTGCATTTCTTTTTCTTTGGTAAAAATACGCCTTGCTTAATTATACTAATTTCCTACTACAAAAGAGAGCCTCAATGCATTGCAAGCTCAGTTTACAGCAGATACTCGCCCGGAGAAGGCTGATCTCATGTGTGGTGTGTATCAGACGGAACAGGGAACTCCCTATGTCTTTCCATCCGTTAAACTGGTATATCTGTTATTCTTTATATACCTTATTTCCCGTGGTTCTATCTAACTTGTCTTGATAGGCACGACAAATGATGTCTGATGATCCTGAATGGGAGCATGAATACCCGTCCTCTCATCTCGGCGAGGCTGCCTTTCGGGATTTGAGTGCGCGGCTTCTCTTTGGTGAAGATAGTACTGTATTAAAAGAAAACAGGCAAGTCCAGTTATACTGCTATGGAAAGTCTTGCGTAGCTACAAGAATGCTAACATTTATATTTGCTTCTTTATGTACAGACTTGCATCTATGCAGTCTCTGGGTGCTAGTGGTGCATGCCATATGGGCGCCAAGTTCCTTCGGCTACATTATGAGCCTTACAAGGCCAATACGAAAGCCAAGATATACATTCCCGCAGAATCATGGGGTAAGTATGACAGCGATGTCTCATCAGACCTTGTGCGATTTCACCCGTTGAGAAAAACGTCTAATACTGACATGTTAAACTTTACCTCCCAGCCAACCATGTGAATGTGTTTCAATACGTTGGTTTTGAAGTGGAAACCATTCCATATTACAACGCAGTAAATCACTCCTTTGATATGGAGGCGTTTACCGCGTTCATCACGGATATTCCCGATCAATCCATTGTCGTACTCCAAGTCTGCGGAAACAATCCCACGGGCTGTGACCCAACACCACAGGAATGGCAAGCTCTTGCACAAACATTCAAGGCAAAGAGCCATTTTGCCTTTTTAGATCTATCATATCCTGGTTTTGGCTCTGGCAACGTGTATGACGACTGCGTCCCCATCAGGCTGTTTACGACGCTAGAGATCCCATTAGCACTTGCTGTAACCTATGGAAAGTCATTTGGGCTATACGGCGAACGAGTCGGACATCTTTGTCTGCCTTTGCCTACCGAGGAACTGACGAAACGAGCTGAAACACACATGAAGCTGCTAGCGAGAGCCGAGACTGGTGCGCAGCCACGATTCGGAGCCAAAATTATTGTTAATATTCTGAAAACACCGCACTTGAAGGCCGTGTGGGAGGAGGACTTGCGTGGTCTGGCAATAGACTTGCATAAGCGACGAAGTCTATTACAGAAAACGCTGACGAAGAATACCACCACACCAGACTGGAGCTTCGTCACAGACCAAAGAGGCATGTTTTTGTAAGTAAAATTCCACTGCTGCTTTAAAAAAATCAAAACTAATCATTTTTATTTTCACTAGGTTTACATCATTTGACGCTCAGCAAATTACCTACTTGAGAGAAGAATGCGCAGTGTATCTTCAAGATACTGGAAGGCTGTCTATAGCGTAAGTTTGGCCGATTCCACTCCATGTACAATCACAAATACTAATTAAAATTTTGTTTTATCTTTTTAGAGGACTGAACTCGAAAAATATCCCACATGTTGCCAAGAGTATGGCAGATGCTGTTGAGCTTCATAAGGACTAACTTAAGCTAAAGTACCATGGCTACCTAAAGACCTATAAACATATCTAGAGAGAGTCAAGAATATCTTTCAGAGCCAGTTTTCTTTTTCTATAATCAAATTCCATTGCATTTAAATTGTTTTAGAAAAGCTTTTGTCCTATTCTATAAGCCACATCTCAACTCTGGATAGTAGGAGGCTTCGCATTCGGTGGCTCGACATCCACCATTTCAAAGTGTGGAATCACTCGTGCCACTGGTTCCCATTGCTTAATCTTCTCAAAGTGTTTCATACAAGCTGGGTGCGAAGCTCGCCATTTTCCATCCAGAACCCATTGCAAACCTCGGCTCAACACCACCGCAATGAAGATGTCTGCAAGCGTGGGACCATTACCCACAAGCCACTCTACCTTGGCAAGGATCGCTTCCAAGTTGTCTAAAAGTGACAAGCTAGCCTTCTTTCCTTGTTCAATTGCGTCAAAATTGTAGGGAGCAGGATCTGTAAACCCGGGGATCAGAGGTAGAAACCAGCGAGCGAGGGTCTGTAGCAGCTCCTGGTTTGCAAAGCTGACATAGCTTAGAACCTGTGCTTCTTGGGCCACAGATCCCTCTGAGCCTAAGAGTTGACATTTCGAGTGTAGTTTAGAGAGGTACTTTTGAACTGTTAGATTGAAACGACGGTATAGAGAAAGTGAGAGGGGATAAACTTGCATAGGTGATGGCGATAGTCTCGGTAATCTCGATCCCAGGCCCTCGGAGACCAGGAATCTTGCCCTGAGACAAAGGGAAGATTTGCATATAGGCCGTTTTATTGATGTTCTTGCGCGGGTTTACTAGACATTGAGTGATAGTGATGCCTTCAGCGGCCGCCTATCCGCATATTAGCGATGGCCGAAACGCATGCAGTCGCATTATAGAATGGCGTACAACTATTTTAATAATACGAGTTCTTGGATTGTCCTATTAAAGTTCCATTAGTCTATGAATTCATCTTTGAAAGCCGAAGAATACATACATCGTAGCCGTAAATTGTGAGTTCAGACGCCATGTTGCTTGTAGTTGTGAGATGAGAGTACACAATAGTATAGACGATATTCGGCGTACTGGGGTTATATATAAATGAATATGGGGCTATTGCCTATAATCTCGGATTTAAATAGCCTGACTATTTGTCTTTCTTTTGTATTAAGTCCGAGGAAACGGCTTTGCCGGATGCCAGACTAAAGCCCGACACGGGTATACATATATACGGAAGGTTCGTATGATTTATAAACTTGTGTTCCAAATTATTCTATAGAATCTATAGACTCATCCACTACTTTATATCTCGGAACAGGCACCTCGCTAGAAAAATTGGTGAAAAATGCGGCGTGTAAAAGCGCAACTGCTCTTCCAGCGTCTTGTTCCCGAACAACACATGAGATGCTGATTGCGCTGGCTCCTGCAGAGCGTTCATTCAGTTAGCAGGTTAGAAATTTGTGCTGAGTTATAGAAAAGTTTGCTTACCGTGGGCAATCATTTCTATGTTTATATGATTATCGTTGAGTATTGAAAACATGCGTCCCGTCGCCGTGAGAGCCCGCGCCAACTGTCTTCCCACCAAGCTAATGATGGTCCGTTTATACAAGATTTCGACATCTCCATGCTTCTGTAGTTGTTTAATAGCACTACCAAACTCTTGCCGTCGTGCCAACTCGGACTCATCCTCATCTTGGCCGCTAAGAAGAGCCACGTGGGAATGCAAGGCCATAGATACTTGTGTGTCACTGGTGCAGACCAAATCAAACGAGAGATTGCAGCCGTCCAAGACGGTAAACACACCAGCAAGAAATCTGTGGGCCTTAAGCCGCTGTGTCGATCGAATGTTAATCAGAAGGATCCCATCCTTGGACGTTACAGCCGTCGGTGTGCCCGGGACACCAGCATAAGAGTATAAGATGGAATCATATCTCGGATATCCGCTATCCATACAAACTAGCGGCGTTAATACAGGGGTTTCTTTACTCCAGTCATCGAGTACAAGCGTTCCAAGAGCTCGAGGGTTCAAAACATTCTTTATACGCATGGAAATCCTCTCGCGCATCGCCAAGCGCATCGCCTCGTAGTGGATGACTTCGGAGCCGTGAAATGTCAGTTCAGAAGCCTCTTCGGAGCTAATAATGGGTATCATTTTGGCACTGGGAACCTTGCTTGGATTAGCAGTGAAGATACCTTCGACTTCTTTCCAGATCTGCAGCTCCTGGGCCCGGAGTCCCACGGAGATCATGGATGCGCAAAAGTCGGTATACCCTCGCCCAACCTGGTGAATCAGACCGCCTTCAATCGGTCCAAAGAAGCCTGTAACAACTGCAACCTTGGACCGGCATAGGCTGATTCTTTTGGCCATCATGGCCGATATGCCATCGAGAAAGGATTGGTCAACAGAGGTGTACACAGATGTTGGTACAATCTCGGACAAATCCACAACTTGTGCGGCAACTCGTCGATCTTGTAATAGCGCGCTAAGAAAAAGACAGGCAAGTCTCTCTCCTGTGCCAATAACTTTATCCATGAGAAGAGCTGTTCTGTAGTTGGAGTGGAAGAGCCGTATGACTTGCCCACACTCACGCTCTATGCCCTCGACGAGGCCCATGACCAGCTGGGGCGTTTTGATGTACGCATAGGCTGAATCAATGTGTTCTGTTCGGATCCCCTTGACAATGGTCTTTGCCTGCTCCAAATCAGAGATCAACCAGTGTCTGTAAGCTTGTAGAAGGCGGTTTGTTGTACCGCCGTTCTTGCTGCTGGTGCTCAAAGCCGAGCAAACAACCACAACATTACAGAAGTTGGTCGCAGGCCTATACTCTGTATTAAGTAGGTGTTTAAATTTAAGATGATATCCGAGGATATCATGTAAAAAGAGAAAAAGAACATACTTGATGACGTTTTCCACTACATTCAGTGGATATTTTCCAATGCTAGTGCCTCCAAACTTTTGCACAATCCAGGATTTGTCGTCGACTCGAACTGATTCCTCATCACTGATGTTCATGGCTGTAATCTGCTATAAAGAAAGAGTATAAAATTTCACTAAACTTTTGTCATCAAATGTGCCGCTGTCTTAGAGAGACTCTCTCTTGGCTATACGTTGTCCATATCGCCAAAAGGTGCATCGATATATACCTGATTTCTGTAGAACTTGGGCACTAGGCATGCTCCAAACATTGTCAGCGCGTATGCGGCTGCCGCCACTATTGGTTCAGCATGGCAGCCAAATGTATTGGCCCCTCGGCCGAGTGGTGCCAATGTGTTATCAGGCTAACACTGCTTATGTCCGATTTTTTGCCTTATTTGAGACAAAGATATAATCTGCAAAAAGATAAAGAGATGGATGAAAGAACTGTACTCAACATGGAAGAATATTGAGGTTGTATTGAGTGAGTCTGTTTTGCATCAACGACACTGGTTGTCCCTCTACAAATAGACTTACGCCATCATTTCCGCTATCCATATACGGAGAAGTACATCTTACTCATTTTCATACGCATTTTATCCCGCTTTGGCTCTAATATAATAAATGGAACTTGTAAAGTTTCCTGATTAAAAGAAGAACATTATCTGGAAATTACCTACCTAGTGCAACCGCTGTCCACTGGAGCTACATATCAATGCCCATTAGTCGAACCATTAGTCGAACCATTACCATTCAACGCAGAAATACCGTTGACAATAATCTTGGCCTGGGAAGTACTGTCCTCAAAGGCCTTCATGCCAGACTTAAAGACACCAGCGCCGTCCGAGTGCACAATAAATGCCCGCCATCCCAATTTTAGCCTTCTCTCCAAAATCTCGGGCGTCATGGCAAACCCCAGAACAGCAAGACCATTCTTGTCTGCTGCGCGCTGGATCTTTTCCATAGCTTCAAGGAAGACAGGCTCATCGCCATCCTGGCTGCCGACTTCGAGGCCCATGGAACAGCGCAAATCGCCAGCTCCCACCATCAATGCATCGACTAGAGCGCTGCTGTTAGCGATATGTATGGATAATGATTAAGGAGGGATATTATAGTCGTTGTTGTGACTTACTTCCGGGAACAGCTGCAATCTCTTCGACATTGGCAACGCCCTCCACGTCCTCAATTTGCGCAAACACTGCTGCGTGATTGTTCCAGACGTCGTAGACGGTCTCTCCGGGCTTTGTAGACGTTTGCTTCCCGAAAAGCGCCAGTGGTGGATAACTACGCGAACCCAGTGGGGGAAACTTGGCCAAACTTACGAGTTGCCTCGCCTGCTCTGCGTTTTGCACGTGTGGTTGGACGATACCTCCAGCTCCAGCTAATAGAACATAATTGATTAGATCCGGCATATTGGGTGCCAACCGAATATAAGGCACCATGGAACCATTTGAAGTGTACTGAATAGTCTTGATCAGACTAGCAAGCAGCGTCGGGTTCAGAGGACTGTGTTCCTAAACACCACAAGAAGAGACACATTGTTAGCCTGTGATTCCTTTTATTTCTTTTTCAATTTCGCCAATTGAAAGACATAGAAAACTTACAGAGTCAAGAAAACAAAACTGATGCGGCAGAGTTGCTACAACACGAGCGGCCTCTTCATGAGGAATTCTGCAGCTTGTGCCCCAGAGTAGCTCGCCACTCTTCAGCATCGCCCTAAAGTTAGTTGGCTGAGCCAAATCCAATGCGTTGTAGTCTCTTGCATTTAGCATCTTGTAAGATTTTCTCTTCTATTCTTGTCTTTATTCAGAAAACACAAATGACGAAGAAGAAACGTTGAGGGCCGTCGTCTCCGTATTCCTATACGCAGAGAAGGAAAAAGCACAACATTCTACCATACACGCTTCAAAAGTTATAAGAGACCTATTACATCATCGCCATCAACATCATCATTCACACTGAGAATATGCCGAGGGCCGCGGCCGCATCCTCGCTTCCGTCCAGACTCGGATTTCCGTATTGGTGCTCTCGGCCGAAACATTCGGCCCCCAAATATAAAGACCGAATAACAAAAGCCCGGCAGGCCATGTCCGACAGCCTCGTGAAAATCTTTTTGCCGGAACTTAATATCGCCAAGTCTTTACTTGCTCGGCCGACACGTGGTAGGAATACCAACTTCCAGCCTCTTGGCCGCAAATGGGCTGTGTACGTATACGACGAGCGTAAGGGATGACAAGAACGGGAACACGGCGGGCTCAAGATGCAAATGCCGGCCTCCTAATAACCGTTTCTTGTAATATAAATATCTGGGCAAAAGTTGGCTATAGATTATACTCTTGCCATCGTATAATCTGACCAAACCCTAAGACAAAGGTCGCGAAAAATAAAAAGAGATATCTGACTTATAACACATTCACCATGGCTATTGAGAAGTTTTGGGCTGTTGCCAACAAGGACTACCAGAAGCAGATTCAAATCATTGAAGGATCTGATGAGCCTGCCATTAACTTCCCTCTGATTCTCCAACCTCAAACTGAGGATCTCACCAAGGAGCAGATTCTCGAGCAAGCTCGCCTTCTCGCAGCGCAGCCCTCGGACAAGACGCTCGCAAGCCCTATCCGCAAGCTACTTGACGCCAATGGCGGCGCTATCCACTTCAAGAAGCTGCCTCTCAAGACGGCCGACGATTTTTCTGAATTCATGCACGCCCTTGCTGGCACCGGTCCTCACGCCTGGACACCTCATGGCCACACTGGCATGGAAGTTCTGCGCCGTCCTCAGGCCAAGAACGTCTTGACTGCCAATGAAGGCCCCCCAAGCCACTTCATCGGCTGGCACAATGAGTACGCTGTGTCACCTGTTCACCCACACTATCTTGCTCTCTACTGCAACGTCGCCCCTGCTGTCGGTGGTGAGACGTCCGTCTGCAACTCGATTGCCTTGTACGATCGTCTGAACAAGGATGTGCCCGGCTTCATTAAGGGCTGCAGCGAAAAGGGCCTCGTCTACCAGATCCTACACAATGCCGAGCAGGTCGGCGGTATTGTCGGTGGCAATGGCCTCTACAAGGAATCCGCGTTTGGACCCTCCGGCGACGAGGTCATGCCCGAGACAGAGGAGGGCAAGCAGGCCATGGTTGAGGGCAAGATTCTCAAGTTGGCCCATGCTGGAGGTTGGCACGAGAAAATCGACCAAAACGACAACTCTCTGCCTACCTGGCAGCGCCGCGGCTTCGACTGGACCTGGAATGACAATGGTGATCTCGAGGTTGTCCACCGTGTCGCTGGTACCAGACAGCACCCAACTTTGGACAAGCCCGCCATCTTTAACGTAAGTAGCTCGAACCTAAGAAATACAAGAGCTGGTGATCTAACCACAAGACGTATAGGCCATGTCTACTCGATACACCAACGCCGTTGCCAACGATACCTTCGAACCCCCATTTACTTTCAAGAAAGACGATGGTACCGAGGGCATCTCCATTCCTCCTCATGTAAGTTGCCTTTTTCTCTATTTATGTGCTGAGACTAATATGTGTCTGCAGTTTGCTGGACTTGAGAAAGATGAGCCCATCCCTCGTGAGTGGCTTCAGAAGATGGACGAATGGCAGCACAAGCTTGAATCTAGCATTATCTGGGATGCTGGAGATGTGCTCCTTGTCGACGTAAGTTTTTTACATTCTGATTGTATCTGAGAAACAAAAGCTAACTCTATTGCTCCTTTTTTAGAACTTTGCTGCACAGCACGCTCGCTGGGCCTGGGAGGGAGATCGCAAGGTCATGGCCAGCTTCTGGGATCAGCCCGGAATTAAGGGCGTCCCTGTCAAGGTGTAAAAGACTTGGGGTATTTTAGATCCGGCTGATATAGCAATTGTGTCGCAGTATATGTAGTCTAAATTGTTGCGAAACGCCTAGAGTAGAAACTTTAACTTTCTTCTATGACCCACGAGTTCTCCGTCACTTCATGTGTACACGTTTTAGTGATAGATATATGATGACTCTGAAAACTCACAAGAAGAAACCAATGCAGCAAGTCAGCAGAGACATGAAGATACTTTATTCTGTAGACATATCCACATGTTCAGGACTGCAGGTTCAAAACACATAAATTGCATACCACCTAACTGCACTAAACTTTCCCTCTTGCTCCTTTTGCTTTATGCACAATTACTCGGCGGCGAACAGGGCGACCAGGGCTCCATTACGACTCTCGGTGAGGTTTCGATCCAGCTCAACATACTCAAGCACCGGATCCCGGTTCTCAATATGTCGAAACTCTTGCGCAAGTCGTATAATGACATATGCAGACTGCAGATACACCTGGTGATATGCCGGACATATTCTACGCCCGCCGCCAAAAGGAACAAACTCGGGGGGGATCTGCTTCAGCTGATTCCATCGATCCGGCTCAAAGTCAAAGGCATCGCTGCCCCAAACCGATTCAATATGATTACAGACCCAGCCACAGACGCACACTTGATCACCCTTTGCCATAAAGATGGGAGACTTTCCATCTGGGCCTCCGCCACTGGGCAGTATAGTGTCTTGGAAGGCAGTTCGCGTGATGGTGGCGCTGGGGCCTGTAGAGCGAATCGTCTCGTAAATGAGGTTTCGAAAACGTCGCAGAGGCTTGCTGTCCAAGTCGAGCTCGGCGTCGGCGTCTAGGTCGAGAGCTACCTCGCGGAGAGCCTGCCACAGGCCGGGCTTGCGCACGATGCAGAAGAGTGCGTTGGCTACCAGCACGGCGACGCCGTCTCTACCGCCGGCAAACAAGTTGAGTGTTTCATAGCGCAGCGTCAATGGGTCTTGCACGTGTTTTGCAATCTCGTCAAGCAAGACATAGTGCGAAGACGGCTTGTCTAGCTGATCGGCAGGTGAATGTAGCTCCTTGAGAACACGCTTGACTTCGTCATCGACAAACTGATGCACCATTTTCACAGACTTGGGATACTCTGTGTCCAGCATGTGCACAAATGCAAGTCGGCCAGCCTTTCTTCGCTTCAAAGACCCGGCATTGGCGTAGTTGAAGGCTTCAATGAACTCGCCGTTGCTATACTGCGTGCCTGGGACCAGCGAGTCTGTAGATCGGCCAAAGATGAATTCAGCGACGGCATCAAAGTTCATCTTCTTCAGCAGTGGCTGCACATCAATAGTTGTGCCGTCTCGGGGCAGCTGTTCAATGAGGCGATCGACGTGCCGCTTAAACATGGCATTGGAACGCACCTGGGCTCTGTTGAACAAGGGCTTAATCATATCTCGAGACGCCTTCCATCGAGGTCCATCCGATGAGAATATGCCTGGGCCAAGAAAATCATTCTTGTGAAAAGCACCAGCTCGGCCCAGTGTAGCCATGTCGGCATTGAAGACGACGCGGACGTTGGCAAAGTCCACGGTGTTGATCAGCCGCTGGCCGCCAATAGTCTCTTCCCAGGTGTCTCCAAGCTTGGCAAACCAATCGTCGTAGTGGCCTAGCGAGCGGCCATTGTCGCTTGCGATCTTGCGCTCCTTCAGCAAATCAAAGCCGAACCAGCCTTTATGTGGGTAGCTGGGCGGCTGCTGACAAGCATGTTGGATCTGTGCACTTCGAAAGGCGAGACAACGGCGGATGAACGAATAGACCGTGCGTGTCAGCAGCGAAAGAGGCCATAGCACAACTAACGCAATAACCAATTGTGTGGTGATGGTTGTATTAGTGGCGTCGCCATTGACACGCCACCACGATTTGGCCACTACCATGGAGAATCAGATAACTTTTGGTTATAATGAGGGTAGAAGAAAGCTTGCTTCTATTGATCAAAGAAGCAACAATGCAAAATTTCTGTTATGAAAGACAAATTGAAAGGGGGGGACTAAAGAGAGGAGGTGACAAACAATGTAGCTGTTGTATGCAATGCTCCGTTCCTCATTCGCTCGCTTTCTCGCTCTTCTCAACTGTCCGTCTTCAGCCTTGGGCGTATCAATCTGTGGAGAAGGTCTTGTTGCATTTCTCCGTTGCGCGAGCCGAGCCTTGGGAAGACCGCCGCCGTCTCATGTCCGACGCTAAGGACCTCGGCCGAGCATAGTAATTCGTCTCTTGGCAGCTGGGGATTCGATTACGACGCGCGCAGGCTCGCCTACCAGAAGTAGACAGACCCCAACAAACAATTAGTCGCCGATGCGGCGGCCCCATCGTCGCCCGCACGTTGATCAGCCGGGAACGGTCTCTTTCGGCAGTTGCCAGAATAGGCAAACGGCCGTAGGATTAGTGTGAGCCAATCGACTCCTGCCTATATTGGCTTAGAATGTATTGGTTGTCATTCATTCTGGATAAACGAGAGCCTGGGGGAGAAAAGCCACACTGTAAATCATCTTCTTTTGGTCAGCCCAGTAGCAAGCAGGAGAGGTTCCAGTAGCGAGATGGAGCGCACACGGAACGGTGACTTTTGCTCGTCCAAGATAACGTTTGATTTACACTGTGTATACAGCTTTGAGGCTGCGGTGTGTGTCGCACTACATATAGAGAGAGGCGCGATGACGGCAGCAAAGCTGAGCGAAGCTGAATTTTTGGCCACGCAAACTGGTTGAAAGGAGAAAGGCCAATATAGACGGCCCTGGGTTAACACTGGCGCGGCAGTGCTCCGGCAGTGCCTGGCACCTGGCACCTGGCAAAATAACGTAACGCCGGTGGCGTAAGACCAGGTGGCGTGCAACGGGATGGCGCGACGCCCACAAACCTACAGTGCCGCAGGGGAGGCGTGCATCTGCACAGCTTATCCTTTTCTTCTTGCCTCGAAAAATCTTCGCTTCTGTTAGATCGGCTACGAGAAGAAATGGTATGGTGTAGTACATCAACTTCGGTCGTGTCCAGCCCCGATTGGACCGCAATCACCAAAAAGCCGCCGAAGATGTCTGCATATCTGGAGGCGAGGATAGCTACCAGGCTGCTGAGTTGCCCCTCCACCAGCTAATACTCCTCCCCGCTTTTACGATAGATAATCTATCCTGCACTGATCTGATTACGCGGTGCGCTTTTGGCTAGCTGTCTGGAGCTGGACCTTGTCTGCGAATGCTGCTGGATGGGATGGCGATAATGGGGAAGCGGCCGTGTTGCCCACCTTGTGTCTCGTCTCCTCCTTTTCTTTTGCGGATCTTATTTTTTTTTTATTCTGCTATGATGTCAAGCTACATTGATATGCTCCTGGAAGATGACTCCTATGGGTTGCTTCGGCTGTCGTTCGAGGCCGCATAACGAGGCTCTCCCTCACGGGCAACATGCATCAATATTAGTCTGCCGGCCAGCCTACTTAGCTGCCGGCCGTGCTAGATGCATCTCTGCAGATGCAATCCATTCCTGCGCAAATTACACAATTGTGCAAATCCCATCTACAAAGGATCCTATTCGTCGCACGGTCAATACACACTTTCCCACCCAAGCCAGTCCGTTTCCCACCACTCTCAGCTGAACCCCCAACCCGTTTGCCGGAGTTTTTTTTAGCCCATTTTGTTTCTGTTTCCTTTTTACTAAAAAAAGCAAAATAGAAATACAGGGTTTGAAACTGTTTGGTCATCACTCTAGAAAGGCAAAGTCTAGATTCGGCCATGTCGGATTCACGAACAAAACGAAGACGCCTAGTATTGGCCTGTTTTGAATGCAAGCGCCGCAAGCTAAAGTGCGGACGCGAAACTCCCATATGTCGGAGGTGCATTGCCGCAGGAAGCCCCCATGTCTGCCAATACGACTCTCGCTTTACAATGGCAGCAGATATAGACTTGAATGACCATAGTTGTCTTGAAGCTTCTTGGTCCCCCGTCGACTCTGCTGGTGAGCTTTCGTCAACAACGACTACTACTACAACCACAACTACAAACTCAACAGCGGACCTTCGCAATCTAGACCCAACACTCATAGCAGATGACTATGATCAAGACGCCTGGTCCTTGTTCCCCATTCAGTTGGACCACCTAGCTGAGTCCCCTTCCAACATCTTACAAAACAACGCCTGCATTGACGCTGCTAAAATAGATATGCGCCATCATCAACAGCACACGATGCCCAACCCACTACCACCGCCGCCAGTAGCAGCGTCAGCAGCTGTCAATGTCCAATTCCGTGGGCCTAGCCACCCATCAAGCATCATTGGGCTCTTTCCTGATCTCCGAAATTTCATGAAGGAGATTGTACAGCGCCATCCAGTGCTTGGATCAGCACAATGGACGACTACAGCCTTGCTTCCAGCTGATCAGGCCATGCCTGCGTACGCTGAGGCAGACATGTTGCAGTCCATGAGACGGCTACTACCAGATGAGAATCGCTGCCATGGTCTTGTCGAGCTATACTTTACACATTTCACGGGTATATACACAGTGTTCCATGTCCCTTCCTTTTGGCGCGACTACAAGAGCTTCTGGCGCGGAACACACGAGAACCCGAGCCGGTTTGTAGCAATGCTTCTAGCTCTCATTGCATGCTCTCGGTGTCTCTTTTCAGAGGATACGCTATCTCTCAATGGTGATAGTTCAACGGCAAGAACTGAGGCGGCTCGCTGGCTACATGCTGCCGAATCATGGCACGGCCATCAGGCAGGCAAGAGCGCCGCCCTGGAATCCATTAGCCTTGGGTGCCTGGTTCAACATGCGAAATGGCTGAATGATATAGATCAGGATAGCCATTATACCCAGTCACAGCGCCTTTTGGCCGACGCCATATCGAGCGGCATCCACCGGGACTGGAAGGTCCTTGGAGAAGAAGAGTCCATCTACGACCAGGAGCTGCGTCAGAAGGTGTGGTTTGTAGTAACCGAGTTGGAAATCGCGGCCTGCATGGAGCGCGGTCTGCCATCAGTAATCCCGACGCTGTTTTCCGACATGCCGCCCCCGAAAAACTGTAATGATTGTGATTACAATCAAACGACGAGCACCGAGCCTACCGACCGTCCAGACGGCGAACTTACCGACGGGTCGTTTGTGCGAATGGCCCAGTCCATCAAGCCTCTACGATACAAGATTGGCAATCTAGTCAACGACCCCCAAGCGCACAAGGCATTGGACCACACACAACTAGCAGAACTGAGAATTCAGGTGACGGAAATGCTAGAGCGTGTGGCTACCTGGCTACCGCCTGTATCGGAGGCCAAAGCGCAACACACACAACGGGCTATGTACCGATCTTTGTTGCAAATCTACCTACATGAGCTGCTTCTATTGCTGCATCTTCCGTTTGCGCTCTTGAGCAGTAGCAAAGTCATCTCATCCACTATAGATACTGACTACCAGCGATTCATCTGCACCAGGTCCGCTAGTGCGATTATCAAGATACATGATGACATGAGAATGCAAGGCCTGAGCCCCAATACGTGTGGCAAAGTCCATCTTTTGCGAGCCGGGCTGTGCCTTTGTCTCCTCGAAGGTGACGTGTTGTATCCAGGTAAGAAGTGTATTTGGCGACAGTTCATTTACAAAGTTGTATTTTCTAATGCCTTGTTGTATTCTCAGGCTTGTCATCTCTTCCTACATGCTCAGAGAGTCGTAGCAAATTGGTCAAGTCGGCGCTCGCCATGATGACCGAGAGACTTCTGAGCTTAGGCACAGACCTCCAATCTGTCTGGCTTCTGTCTACTGCCGATTGCTACTTGGAAAATCAACAAGTTCCGGACACGAACAGTGTTTCGAAAAACCAATACGCCGACAGCATTGTTGCCCTATTGAGCAAAATGTGCCTTGCACAGGAGCAAAAGAATGACAGCAACCCGGCCTTCAACAGCCACTTTGCTCGATACATTTGTCAAGTCCGCCAAGCATCCGACGTCGTAGGCAGAAGGTGGTGATCGGCGTTGTCTTCTTGTCTATACTACATATTTGCCACTGCAGAGCCTAAAATACATGCTTCACAGCTTACAACGCTTTAGAAAATGGAGACGGACATAGTCGACACAAAAATGGTATGAGAAGACGCCAATGTTAGCTAGATGCATTGGTCATTTGGATACGCTTATAGCTGCATATATTTCCGTGTTCATAGTCGCTTTGGATTGCGGTTTCGAAACCGACTCGCGCTGTGGCTGCCATATCATACAAGATGTCGGAATCGGCGTGGAAACGAGCTTGCACCAACACGAATAAGCTTTTCAAAAGGCCAGAATTGTTTTTGTTTTATTTTTTGTATAATCGCTTACATTGTCATGAATATTCTCAAGCGTCTCACGAAGAGCGGTGGCGGCCCCTGAGTTTGTCTCAGCCCGAGGTGGCTGGCTGGCTTGCATGTTTTGTTGGTCACACCTCACATTAAGCATCAAGCCATACACGAGTGAAGCGAAAAAAACGAGAAGACGCTGTGCCAACTATTTATCACTGGCATTCTTGTTATGCGAACACCAGTTGGCCACAGAACAGTTAAGCACTCTGCAGATGCACATATGCAAACTCATGTTTGGCAGCACACTCACAGCCTGATCGACGGGCGCCCAGAAGCCAAGAGATCGCATCATGACGCCTATCGGATTTAAAAGTTGCCAAACCAAGGCAGACACAAAACGGCTCGGACTTAGTTTGGGGGAAAAGCGGGCTGCGGCTGGGACCTTTTGTCGGCCGGATATGACGGCACCACCGCACTCCATGCTGTTTGCGTTATCAATCAGCGCGCATCCCCGCTAATCAATCAGCAGCCTTGTTTCCGCATCACAAGGACTGCAGCTTTCCGTCGGACAAACATGGGGCCAGAGCCGGCGGTAGACGTTTTTGCGGTGACTAACTTGTTTGCTTTGCTTCACAGCCCGGTTCATCAGCCCCCTCCCCCTCTTTCTTCTTTCTCTTTTTCTTTTTATTTTCCTCCTATTGTTGCTTCTTCATGGTGCTACTGAACACAAACACCGTCATTATCTAACACATCTTTCCCAAAGAGGATTTTGTGTGATTTGCTTTTCTTTCTAGAGTTTCCTCGGAAACTATAACTTGTTGCATTCTTAAAAAATGCAAACACACGACGATTCTTCGACCGACGTCGAAAAGACGGCCGCTGATGTGGCGCCTGTCGTTCCTGGTACTCAGTCCCAGTCTGAGAAATCACCAACAATTGACAGTGCTTTTCTTGTCCAGTTTGAGCCCAACGACCCTGAAAACCCGCTCAACTGGTCCAAAAAATGGAAATGGGGCGTCACTGCAGCCGTTGCAGGCACTGGATTTACACGAATCATGGTCTCAACTGTAAGTTTGTCTCGTCTCTCTTCTTATCCGTCTTTCTTACCCTCCTCTCGCAATAAATACTATGTGAAGAGTATAACATTTGCTAATGTATCATCCCTCCAACTCTAGATGATGGCGCCTGCCATTGATACCATTGCGCTGGAACTCTCCATGACCGCCACCGAGTCCACCATGGCCCTGTCCGTCTACCTGCTTGCCACCGCCTTTGGTCCTCTCATCATCGGCCCTCTTTCCGAAGTCTATGGTCGCAGCGTCATTTTCCATGTAACTAGTCTCTGGTTTCTGGTATGGAATTTGGTATGCGGCTTTGCAAACTCCAAGGGTATCCTCATTGCTGCCCGTCTGCTTGCTGGATTTGGCGCCAGCGCCGTCTACAGCATGGCGTATGGCGTCCTGGGCGATGTCTGGTCTAAGGAACAACGAGGCCGTTCACTTAGCATGTACCTTCTTATTCCCTTGACAGGATCTGCCGTTGGCCCCATTGTGGCCGCCTTCATTGTGCAGTATACGACGTGGAGATGGATGTTCTGGGCCACCGCCATCCTTCAAGTCATTCTCGAGCTGGCGTCCATGCTTCTCTTCCAAGAATCGTATGCACCTGTTCTTCTGCGCCGCCGCGCTGCAAAGCTCCGTAAAGAAACCGGCGACAACCGATACCATGCCGAAATCGAGACGCGCGAGGACGGCCGCTCTGCGATGTGGAAAATCCACCGAGCGCTCTCTCGCCCTCTCCGTCTTCTTGCTTTCCACCCCATCATCCAGCTGCAGGCCATCCTTGAGGGTATCAACTACGGTCTGCTCTACTTTGCGCTGGCCAGTTTCTCGTCACTTTACGTTTCTGCGTATGGAGAATCCATTGCCACTTCTGGACTCCACTACATTGCCATTTGCATTGGTACCATCTCAGGATCCCAGATCTGCGGGCCGCTGATGGACTATGCGTACAAGAGACTGACTTCACGCACTGGCGAGTCCGATGTCCCTGAGCTGCGAGTGCCGCTGCTCATTCCTGGTGCTCTCATCACGCCCATTGGCATGCTTCTGTATGGTTGGGCGGCCAGATATCACCTCTCGTGGGTTGCTGTAGATGTCGGTGCTGCTCTTTTATCTCTCGGCATGCAGATCTTCGACACCACACTCAGCGCATACGTTATGGATGCCTATCCAGAACACATCAGCTCCGCGGCGGCAGCGACCCAAGTGCTGCGCAGTCTGATGGCCTTTGCCTTCCCCTTGTTCTCGTCAAATCTCTATGACAGACTCGGATACGGTTGGGGCAACAGTCTGCTGGCCTTTTTGTCTATTGGCATTGCCCTTCCCGCCACTGGCATTCTTTGGCACTGGGGAGCGTCACTCCGCGGTAGACGAGAGTCTTCGTATTAGACGGTTTCAGTGGCTAGTGCCACAAAATTTTAGAAGTAGATGGATTCGCAAGTCTGTTAGGATAGCACGTTTCACCAACTTCCATGGGAACACCAACCAACTAGCTGGCATATGGAAAGCCCTGCTTGACCCATGTACTTAGAAGAAGAGGCCATGCAGGCCAACTTATATAAAAGAAAAAGAAAAGAGTTCTATTTGTAATACATGTCGCTATTAATATTAAAGGAATCAAGAGTAAACTGTGACCCAAGATCCAAATCTCAACGTATCCACGACTCGTCACCAGGCAATTCTGAGAGAGTTACTTCCACCCCATTAGACAGCTCTACTCTGCTATCTTCTCTCAGCGCCGGATGCTGCCACAGATCCGGAGACATCGCCGGCTTCCCTGCGAATATTGACGTCGTAATATCACTTGGGGTTCCTTGAGTAGCGCAGGTTCCAGTTTCAGACCAAGGCGTTGCAGGTGAAACCGCAGAAAACGCTCGCGAATCCTTAAAGTCCATCCGCGCTGGCGTATTTTCTTCGCTCGGTGGCTCAGGAGTAGCCGCCTCGGCCTCGCTATCTGGTGGTTCGATATGGCGCCGCTTATTTCGAGCGTACAGCAGATACCCTGAGAGTGCTGCAAAGATACTCGCCAGCACTACAGATATGGCGATGCCTGCTTTAGCACCCGCTGAAAGTTGCGTCTGTTCAGGTGATGCCTGGGGTGGTTTGTGTGTTTCTCCAGAAGTAGATAGCGATGCATCATTGCTGCTGGAGGCTGATACTGGTGGCTTGGAATCTGCAGACGTTTGAATATACACAATCTGTGCAGCTGTGATTCGGGCCTGGATGGAAGGCGGCAGCATCCAACTCCCAGTCCCCCGCTGGGACTCAGTGCTGTTGCATATCAACTTGTTGTCAAAAGTTACCGTTTGTGAAGAAGCAATGCTGGATAGACAAAAGTGCTGTCGTGTCGTATCACACGTAAATCCACTATTACCAGTTAGTTAGTCTCTTAGTTAGGAATTACACCAAAGACATTAGTGACTTACGAGGGACAACACCCTATAGCGGTCTCGTTTGCTGCAAGCAAATCCCACTGTCGTAGAGATCCAGTTGTATAGCCTTGTCCCTTGGACATTGTGCATCCTGGAACATATCCTTCGGGGCACCGCGCTCCTGGCGAGAATACCGGGAACCTTCCTGTGCGCGGATCAACCGCTTTCTGAAGGACATTCATGTAGTCTGCATATCCAGACGGCGCACAGCCTGGGTCTGGGGCTGCTGACCCAGCGATACAGGTATAAGCATAGAACATATCAATCGAGTACGTGTACTGAGGATCCGGCGTCGTGAGACTACCCTTGGAAGCCAATGTGATACCAGCGCATCGTGCGGGCGGTACAAAAGCAGTCGGCAACGGCCCGAGATTCTGTGTTGTTGGAGTTTCGTATACAAATGCTTGTGCACGGCTCATGATTTCTGAAGATTGATACATGGCTCTCGAGAGTTAGGTGCGGTTATGTTTTTTGTTTTAGAGCTATTTTGGAAATCCGAGTGAATTGGGAGCCCCCTTTTGTACTTATTCACCCGTAGAACCCATCATCACTGCTGAATCGACGCCCGACAAAATTTCTAGCAGACAGTCGTCTTTGTTGTTCTGGCAGCCACTCCAGAGTCAAACCGGGCAAGGCGATTGGTCGGCGGTCGAAGCAAACATGCTGCGCCCGCTGGCATGAAAGAGCCTTATAAAAATAGTACCACCTCAGTGTGATTGCATTGTGTTTTTAGGAATAATATGTATTTGTAACTCTCGAAATTGACGTCCGCTCGCTTTGCATACTGATCTTATAAAATGCCGGTCTAGTGTGGCTGAGTGAAAGTTGCTATCTATGTATCTTGGCGGTGACTCTGCCTACACATGATCACTGGTGAATTGTATAGTTTGAGGTGTCTAAATTGCTAGCAACATTTGTAAAGAAATAAGAAGATCCTTAATTCTATACAGCATTTCAACACCCACCCTTGTTGGGATCAGCTCTGTACATAGACGTCGTTAGAAGCGGTCCGGAGCTTATACTAGGAATACTTGAGGGGGTGTACGGACCGATAATACCAGTTTCCATAGGTTGTTTCTCCTCCTTTACCGCAGTTTATCACCTCCTTCTGCATGCCGTTAGAGCACTCGGTGGCGCCAATTGTCCGGGTAGGGCCAGCATTTGGCCCAAGTAGACCAAGCGTGAAGACGACACTGTGCCCGCCACTCGTGTTGTAGCAAATAGAACGCTTGTTACCCCTGATCCATTCGCCCGCAAACACCTGGGAACAAACTTGATCAGCCAGGTGAAGTGCCTCGTTATACTGGTCGCCATAGTCTTGGCCTGTAGCAAAGCACTTGCGCTTCTGCAACTGGTGCGTTCCAGCAGTCTCGGGCAAGGTCAGGGCAGCCGTGTAGCCAAGTATGGCTGGGATAACAAAGGTTGTCAGGAAATGCATATTGAATTAAAGATAAGTGTTGGAGAGGAGTTTTCAGCTACGTCAGATGTAGTGTCTTGTTGTAACGAGAACGGCTGTTTGCTGGCGACGATGCGATATTTATACCTGTAGGTAACAAATTTTATCATTGTACATTTCTTCGAAATGTTGGAATCAATGTGCAAGGCTAGTTAGTATGATTGTTAAACGACGACTTTGCAAACACAAGGCTGCGGTACGAACGGAGCATCCAATCAGGCTCGTGGTGATGTCAAACGAAGTCTTTGTGAACGCTTACACATCATTATAACTTTCAATCAGGCTCACGGAGATGCCAAATCAAGTCTCCGTCAACACGAGCGTGACACTGGCACGCAGGTATGCTTTTTAATCAGACGTATTTTGAAGAAAAAAACATCCGCTGCTCCCGAGGCCGTACAAGACTCAGGATGGAAGTCCTATGGACAAAGTGTGAGCTGGATACGCCATAACTAGCCAAAACATTATGCTTTTATGATAGCAGTTGAGTACACTTATTTCGCAGCTTATAGTATTTGTACTTGGATATGATTGCTGCTATGTACGGTCTAGCTTCATGCTAAGAGTGAATATCAACCCGGTCCGTGGATATTGGAAAATCAAACGCCTGGATTCGCCGTCGCCATGCTGTTGAGAAGTGGAAGAAATTTTGTTGGAAAAATCACAAATGAAAACGTCTAATCTTGGTAGGAATACTTTCGTGCCTTGGAAATGTCTTTTGCCAGCGCCTCTATTCGAGAGAGCCGAGGTTGTCGGGTATCCGCCGACGTCGTCCCAGCTGTGTCGTGGCTGGGATCAGGCTTTGGAGTGTCTCCCCCTGCTGTCGTATCTGGTGCCGTTGGGCTATGTAGCTCCATGCTAATATGTTTCGTCTTGGAGTTCGTTCGTCGGTGGGCTTTTGTAGAGCTGGCGTCGAGCTCTGCTGGAGGGAAGGAATTCTCCGCTAGCTCGTAGACGTCTGGGCCAGACATTTCATAAACGCCAGGTTGGGCATCAAGCTCGCCTCGCATTGTTCCAGTTCTGGACTGGTTGTTGAGATTTGGTGTATCCCAAGCGTCTAGTTCCGCCTTGAGCTGAATGGTATCATCGTGATCACCTGGATCCTGCTCCTTCATCTGTTTTTGTTTTCTGCGTCGCCGATCGTAAACAATGTATCCAATAACACCGCAAAGGATAAGCCCTAATACAATGGAAATGGCAATCGCAATTGTTGCAGCCGTTGTCAACGGTGACGACGACGACGCAGGCGATGACGACGAGCTGCTGCCGGGCACACCGGAGGACTTTGTCTCGGATGGGTCCTGAACATAGATCATTCGCAAAGCCGTTACAATCGCCCTGTCATTTCCTTGTAACGGCCTGGTGCCCATGGGGCCTTTATTTAATGCTGCATTGCAAAATGCTTGGGGAAAGAAGGAAATCGCAGTTTCGCCAGTGACGGCCGACACAGTCGACACACAGTCTGTGAAGGATTGGCCGCAAGCGTAGTTCCTAGACAAATATATTAGCACTCTTTAAGAAAAAAAACAGTAGGATGGTGTGTTTTAGCGTACTTGGGGCAGCACCCAATAGCTGTCTCGGAAGCCTTGAGAACAGGCCATGCCTGAATAGAGCCAGGGTGGAATTGGGTGACAGAACTCTGCATGGTGCAGTTTGCGACATAACCGGCCGGGCAAGCGTTTCCTGGTGAGAATACAGGATACCTTGTTGAGATGTCTGTTCCGACACTTTCATATGCGGAAGAAAAGGCAGTCGGTAGACAGTCCGGCATTAACTTGCTTGTTTCGCATTGCAGCATCTGGCGATAGTTGAAGACGGCCGTCAACTCCGTCCTGCCGTCCTTTGTCACTGTATATGTCGTATCTCCCACATTGACTGGATCGGTGCATTGGCCGTTAGGTGTGAAGGTCGTGGTCAGAGGCCCAACAGCGATCGTCTGAATGGCCGCAGGCGCATCGGGCTTGACCGTTGTCGAAGCGAGATTCGGGTTAGTGGTTGACATTTTGTCTGGTACTGAGACACCGGTCATGCATCGCAAGCCAGCCGGATGGCCAGGATGCAGAGTATCAAGTGAGGTTGAGAATTCAAGGAGTTGCGCCCCAGGCGAGAGCGAAAGGTTGTGACGGAATTCCAAGTTTAGATTCTCGGGAACATGAAAATCCAGACATGGGAGGGGCTGTCACCGTGCCTGGAAAGGAGGGAGCGTGCGAGGCTGTGTGTGGTGGAACCCCTGGCTAGTTCGCTCTGGGAATAGCGTCGAAGCACCAGTGGGCTGATAAACTGGTTTGATGATGCGCGGGGATCCATTTTGTGGATGTTTAAAGCACAGGTGAAGCTTGATTGCTGATTTATAGAATATAATTGAGCGTGTTTAAAACCAAGTAAAAGTATCACTGGGTTATCCTGGGAACTCATGATTTCTTTCTCTCGTCACCATCCATCATGTAGTCGTTAACGGAGTATGACGCCACGACATCTGCCTCGGCCCGTGACTGAATATCTTCCAAGGCTGGCTGGGCAGACATCCAGGCCGCCACAAGCATGCTGGTCAGGGTCCAGCTGGACTGGAAACGTCTTGGCGTGTACCACTCAACCTTGTTCTGAGTAAACTCGCTCCTGTACGGAAAGTTGGAAATCAGATGCAGTCGCATCAAGGTCGGGTAGCGATGCAAGTCCAGCATGGCGCCCTTGGAAGCAGACAGGTACCATCGTAGACTACCCACCGCGAAACCAATCGATGATCCTGCGACAAAGGGCAAGGCAGCTGTTCCCCAGATGGAGCTTGCGACGATCGCTGAGCCAATACCTACCACAACAGCGGTATATGTGCCCGCCAGGAGGCTACGAAACATTCTATAGGTGTGTGAGTGCTTGTTGCCGCTGTTGGTTTCATCCTACGTTGCGATAACTACTTACAGCAATCCCGGGCCACTGTAAAGACGATATAAATTAGTGACCATCACCAGTTCGTGGCATCTTTTGGTACTTACCTGACGTTTCCCCAGCCGCCAATGACGCGCAGCATGCTGAACGGGTGCTGGGAGTTACCTGTAAAGTCGGCGACCTAAACGGTAAAACGGTCACTTTAGCCGCTATATTGCATTGTAATTGTTCATTTTCATGGGATTCTTACATTCATCTCGTGCATTTTGATGAAAAAACGACTGAAGGGGTATCTTGTTACGTCGATGTCACTGCCGTGTTTTGGCTCCAACTGGAATTGGCACTGGCAAGTGGTACGCCACCAGCTGGCGCCGGCTGCTGCCAACTGCTAGCGCGCCTTTTGGCACTGCGTTCTGTGGCACCCGCCAAAAAACCGCCATCCATCCCTCGGACAGTGAACGATTGCCGAACTACGAGCGCTGTAACTCGCTAGCTCAGGTGCTGACGACGCGCTGGCGTGGCCCCTCTTCCAGCTGAACTCCCCTGTGACTGTGTCTGGACACCTACAGCGTCACGGTAGCCACTAACACTTCAACCGTCAGCACTGTCTTGCCCAAACAGGAACTCGTGGAATTCAAGGGAGACACACCAAAGACAAAGGAGACGACGTATTTCGTTTGATGAGCGTTTCCCTTTTTTTGTCACGGGATATAAAGTCTCCCTGCGCCCTCTGCCATCATGGATTCAAGCATCTCGTAATTCTTCCCGTTGCGAAACCTGTTCAATTCAGCTTTTGACGTATAAACCAAGCCCCCCGACATACATAACCGAGACTGATAACCCGTAACAATGACTGCCAATTCGCTACACTTCCTCTCCGGCAAGAAGATTGTCGTTGCCGGCGCTGGAATCGGCGGCCTTGCGTTCGTCATCTCCCTCAAGAAAGTCTGGAACCCCGACTTGCCGTTCCCCGAGCTCCTTATCTACGACCGCGATCCCCGAGAGTTACCCGCCGATCGCGCGGGCTACTCACTATCTTTCAATGGCGTGGACGAAAATGGAGGCATGGTAGCCTGCAGAGATATGGGAATCCTGCAAAAGATTCTAGACAGAGCCCTGGTTGGTCTCCCCAAAGAGGCTGGCTTTCACATCTGGGATAACGACTGGAGCGTCATCATCGGCATGAAGTTGAAGCCGTTTGAGGATCTGCCCAGCATCTCGGTCCGTGTCCGCAGAAGCGACCTGAGAGAAGTCTTGGTGGAGGAGGCTGAGAAGATTGCCACCATCCACTGGGCTACCCGCGTTACTTCTGCTGAGCATCTCGAGGACGGCAGCGTCCGTGTACACGTTACACCTGAAGACGGGTCACCTGCTAGCACCCAGGACTGCCAGCTTCTTGTTGCGGCCGATGGTGCTCACAGCAAGGTCCGCGCCAGCTTCCGTCCCGAAGATGAGCTCAAGTACAGAGACTGTGTGCAGTTTGGTGGTCTGAGCCGCTTCCCCGAGGGCGGCATTCCATCTCCTCTCAACAAGGACTGGGGCATGATTGTTACCGGCCATGGCGCGGGCTGCTTCTTCTCCCCAGTTGACCAGGAATCCGTCGTTTGGGCAATCAGCCGATGGGAGAAGGATGGGCCCCGTGATGGATATAAGAAGGATGACGCTGAAGCATTTGAAGCCTTGAAGAAGGATGCCCTTCAGCTCGGTAAGAGCATGGCCGAGCCCTTCACTAGCATCGTCAACAGCACAGTCCAGGAGCAGTCCTTCGTCACCCCCACCAGAGACAAGGAGCCCTTTGCTCACGATGCCGCTTTGAAGAATGTCATCTTTATCGGCGATGCCAACCACTGTGTAAGCTCGTTTGCTGGCAACGGTGCCAACCTTGCTCTCAAAGACGGCTGGGATCTGGCCAAGCAGCTCACAGAAGCTGACTCTGCTGAAGATGCCGTTGCCGCATATGATGCTTTGGCATTGCCTCGTGCCCAAAAGACGCTCAAGGATAGCCATGACCGCATGAACCAGTCTCACTACTCTGGATTCAAGTGGACGCTTCTCAAAGGCACTCTCAAGGCGAGCAACGCAGTAATGTCCATTGGCAAATAATTACCGTGGCTTTCTTTTTTAATATGTATTTATATATTTTTATGATAGCGCCGAACTCCTTTCCCAATAAAACAATGAAATCAAGCTAAACCCAGAGGTCTAATGCTATTCCTATGCCCATATGCGCCGGTTACCAGTACGCCGAAATCCGAATTGAGTAGAGTCGTTTCATAAGAAGATGCATGTATGCCACCATTCCCTAAATCCAGCCAGCCGTCTTTAAAATATCTCCGGCAACCGTCCTGACCGTCTCGTTATCCGTATGTACTCTTCTGGCCCAGCCGCCCACATCCTCTTCCAGCACCTTTGCCATCTTACGGCCGCTTTTCACCAAAGAGTCCAGTTCGCTCCCGACTTCTCTTTTTCGAAGCCTCTCAGCAGCCACTGTGTCTGGCACGACTAGAATAAAGGCTCTCCCATCCACTAGCGCCGGCGGCATAACGTTGGTTTTCCATAAGAGGACACCCTGCGGGTGATATGTCTCGCGACAAGCCCACTCAATAGCCTTTTTAACCCGTTCCATTTCCAGTACAACTGCTGTACCTGAAAGAATAAGCCGTGTGACTCCGCGCAAATGGTAGTAGTTTGCCCACATCGCCGCAAGGTTAGGTAGCAGCATGTCCGCCGCAGGCTCTTCTGGGTACATTGCGTCCAGATTGTCGCCGTCAATGTGAGCGTGGCTGATATTTTGGCGCTTCAGCATTTGTGACATTTCATTTGCTACAGATGTTTTCCCAGAGCCTGCACGGCCCGATATAACAATGAGTTGTACTGCCATGTTGGCGTAGATGGCGGATGTTGGAGTGGTGATGTTGGTTAAGGGTGTTCAGTTTTATCAGATTGATAAGATCCAGGGGGCGCAGCTCGCGGCTCTCACGGGTATATATCCGGGGGATTGTAAGCCTTGTTCCGGAAGGCGCGGCAAAGCGACGTTCACGCTTCGTCTAGTTCGTTGTATTGTGTGGTGTGCGAGGTGACTCATACGCAGTGGTACGTAAGAGGCGTCGTCTGTGCAATTACCACTTGACGTCGTATGCAAATCTTTGTTATTGGGAGCCTTGTAATGTGAAAAGATACCTCGTATCACTGTCTACCCATGGTTTGCATGCGGACGGAATGGTGAAGGAGGGAAACGATGAGGTGTACCCAACAGAAGCCATGTCTACTGGCGTTGCAGGGATACTTATGAACAGAAAAAACACAACTACCGCTCGCGAATGCCGTAATGTGGTATTCGCATCTTACGATGGAGATAAATTACTCTAGGCGGCGTTAGTATAACATTACCTCCGACACTAAATATATTTTTTAGTCTTTTTTTGTCATTAACAATCGTTGCTCGGCTTGCCAACTTCGCTTCTCGGCGTTAGGTGTGGCTCGATTCAAGCTGAGCCACATTTTTACGAGTGGATCCCGAGCCACTTTTGCCGCCTATATTTGCAGCATAATTTTTTTTCTTCCAAACTTCTTCCTCTTCGCTACACACATCTGCGTCCGCATCACCAACATGCATCTGTTTGGCATTGCTGGGCGGCTAACGATTGATGATCTCTAATGAGACAATGAGAATCTAACGAATGCTACGATATCTAGAAACAAGAAAAACAATACAATCACTATTCGATTCCCTCTTCAACGACCACCTCATGCGACTGCATCCCGACGCTCTGCGTCCCTATGATTTGACATGTTTGGCACTTTCGAAGCTTTGGCGATCTTTTTTTCTTCCGTGGTCGCTAGAGTCAATATGTTTGCCTAGAGAAAACCCCATAATGTCCGCCCGGACATTTCTCTGTCGTGTTACAAACTCCTCGCGTTTATCGCCATGAGGAAATTTGCGTCAAATTTCAAACGAGATACATCTCAATTCCCATACTATAATGTAGACTGCTGTGATGTATTGTAATGTATTGGTATTTTCAGCTACAGACGTACTCCTAGAACTACCAACTTTTGCAACCGTCTTCGCAGACTTTGGTCTCAGAGCTCCTTCTCGTCAGAAGCTGCAGCCTTCTTTCGCTGCTTAACCTTGCTCTCCTTCTCGCCCTCGGCCTTTTCTGTCTTTGTGCTAGAAGCAGCCTTTATGGGGGCTTCCTTTTGCTTTGGCTTTTGTGCTGTGGCCGAGACGACAAGCGAAAACAGACCACGGAGGACGTCGCTAATTAATGTAATCATGCCTGTGCAGGCCAACTGCCATGAAGCAATGCTCACGCTGCCCAACGGCGCCCGAGGGAATGAAATAATCCACTCGGCGTAGTAAGGGAACCAGCCGTGAGGAAGCCAGAACATGGGCTCCCTGGAGTACCAAAATGGGATGATATATTGTGGTGCTCTCGTCAACAGAATGCGCACGGCGTTGAGATACTTGTCGAAGCTGGCTCGAGATGCCTCCTGTCCCTTTTCTGCAGTCACCGCGTTAGTATATATTCAATTATGAAGCCAAGTCTTGTTATGGATGTCAACATACTGGCATTCTCAAGCTGTTCGAGGAGCTTATCGTGTTGTCGGCGGAGCTTTGCCCACTTGGCAAATTCATCCTGACTGCTGGTCGCATTCAACTCGTTTCGGGCTTTGAGATATGTTGCCTGTAGCTTACGCTGCTCGCTCGCAGCTTTGGCCGTGGGTACCGGGAGGTAGTTGATTGCTGTCCATATCTAGAGACCATATTAGCAGTGCTCATTGTCTTTCAACGCAAAGGTCAGATAGCCTGTACGCACCAGGTTGTTCAACGTCGCAGCGCCGACTAGGTTGATAATATGAACGGCCGCTTCAACGACAAGGACAATTAATAGAAGAGACGGCATTTTTTAAAATGCTTCGACGCGTAGTAGCAGCGCAGTTTGTGATTGTGGCGGGCGGTGGCCGTCGGCGGTGGGCTGCTGGTTTTGGTCGAGGTGGCAGCATATGTCATGATCCGCACCTTCAAGATTTCTTAGTCACCCAAACTGCCCACCTCACCTCCAACCTCTACCCTGTATCAGAAACGATCTACTAAACACACCTACTATTTCAACCAGAACCATGTCAAGGGCATTGGATAATGATGTTAAGAAATTATTAATGAAAGATGATCATGGCAAGATTTTTTCTAGAATATCAGAAGCTCTGGCACAGCAATGCGGCCAGGTACTAGAAATAGAACTCTTGGGTCGAAGCCATCCCCTCTCGGATAACAATTACTTTATACAGGATGAGAATGCAATTGCAATTCCCAAGCTTCGCTTAGTACAGGCATTTGTATACGCTCTACAACGATTAAAACGACATCAACAACAGCCAGAGGCGGCATCACCAGATGAGATTCTTCGGACTACAGGCGTCATGCTCCTCATGGACCCGGAGCATTTGACAGCAGCCAACGCAAGAAAAAGGATAATATTGCAAGACACAGATTCTGGACGACAAAGACTTTTATCCCAAGACAAATATTACCTAGACAGCCTATTGACGAGCCGTCTGCATCGCCATACAAAATCACCAACGCTCTGGAGCCATCGGGAATGGCTGATTAACCAATGCGAAACAGATGGTGTTGAGGTCGACTTCAAACAAGACTTTATAAACGTGGTGCTGGTGTCAGCAGAGAGACATCCACGGAACTATTATGCATGGAGTCATGCGAGGTTTATGGCCAAGAAGCTCGGAAGCAGTGCCGTACAAGACTTGATCAGTCTCACCAACCAGTGGTGTTTCAAACACCACGATGATATTTCAGGGTGGGCTTTTCTCAGCGTCTTATTGCAAGGCCGTCCTGAAGAGACAGACGCCGTTCTACAGCAGACGCTTCAGTTTGTCTCATCGTTTCAGTGGCGCAACGAATCTGTCTGGCACTTCCTGAAATGTGTTAGACCAAGCGAGGCGGCCAAAGAAACTAGTGAATATCGGCAAAAGCTTCATGCTATTAAGCAAAAGCTAATGGATGATGAGGATGAAAGCATACAAGAAAAATCATTTACCAATATTGTGCTTGATCGTACAGAGTCCTGGATGGACGATTACTGGCAGGCCCGGTAAACATTAGATATCAAAATAAACAAGCTTATTTTCACAACAGTACCGAACCATAGCATAATAGAGCAGGAAAGGCTGAGACGCAATAAGACAGAAGCCAGCGTGACATGCAGGAAAATTGTCACTGTAGATCTGTTTTTGATTCAGGCCTAATATCATCTCCGAATGCCATATCCGGGGTTGTGGTGGGATGTAAACAAAACACAAGCGCAAGAAACTCCCGATGGAGACACTGGTTATCGGCAGATGGCCGATAAGAACAACAATCACTTTACAGGTTATCGGAAAATATTGGCTATTGCATAGATCAAGGCTCCGATTGTGTCTCAGAAGGGGCATTCCTGCGTGTGTGGGCGGGAAGAGTAGGGGAGGCGGCGAAAGTGCGATTTTGCATTCCATCCGAAAATTGACCACCGCAGAGCCTAGACGGCTATCCAAGGCAGCTAGCTAGTTATTCGCTTGGCGCTTTGTATTGTTCTTGACAAGGGACGGCTGGAGAATGCTAATCCCGCTTGAAAACAAGTGTTTTGGCGCAACGAGGGTCAACCCAGCCAGCCGCTCATGGGGATAGCGCTGCCTAAGCATGGACCACGACAGGCATACCCTTTCCCAGCAGAAGGATCGATGATCACGGGTGGCAGTGCAATTCGAGCTTGATTTACCCATGTATTGGTTGATGAGGATAGTCGGGTTGAAGACATGGATGCAACGAAACAAGCTATCTGTTAGTCCATAGATCGGATAGCAAGTGCGCTTTGAGATTTGTTGTTGGTTTGCAATACCAATAGAGCAAGCTCGAAAGGGGTAAAATTGCCTTATACATCCGTCCCGTTGTTAGTCTGAAACAACTGCCTTGTGAGATTACCTATTGGGTAGAGTTACCCTAGGCAGTTGTAAACACTTCTGCAATAGCTTGAGCCCGTCCTTATTGCCAAATTTTGAAGTCTGGCAAATAGAAACTACCAATTGGGCTCGCTTCGATGTGGCAGCGTTTTGTTACACCCAATTCTGGTTCCGTTAACGAGCTGCTTGACAGGGACCCCGGACCAAGTAAGCTTGGAAACAATCTCACTATCTTTTTGCTAGTCTCCACTAGCCGACATGGGGCTAAAAAGGAGACCATGGCTGCTGGCGCTGCGCTGGCGATGCTGCCAATCAGACGAGGATAGTGTCAAGGTCAGGCCATGGAGAACCTTGGCTCTGGCCATTATTCCCAGCACATGAGGAAAAATTCCCAGCCAAATTGTGTTTTTTGCTTTCCAAGCTTGCAATATTAACAGATATTTTACTTCGAATTTCTTTTGCGTCCTTTGCAGTTAGGAAAACCTTGGCGGACACAGACGTGTCATATCCTTGCCCGGCGTAATTTCCCAGCTCCCTGCTCGTCCGCCATGTTCCAACTCCAACTTGCAAGCTGTTTTGGGCGACGGTTCACGTCCGTCGGAAGCATGTCTCAAGCGAGCACGTTGCTCATACGTCGTTGGAAAATAAAGAATAAAAAGTTTTGTTCCACAGCGTCATGCGGCTGCTGCAGTCCAAGCTCCGCAGACGAACAACATTGATGTTGGAAAATCTCCGCGAGAAATGCAAAGAGTCTCAGATGCACCAAACTTGGGTAGATGCCGCTATTGCAGTAGATTGTGAGCAGCGCCAATACTCTAGTAACCACAGCCAGAACGGCTGCTGCCCCGGACAGCTTGTGTTGTTGATCAACAGGGGAGCGGCATATCCAACAACACTCAGCACAGCGCGGCAAATGCTGGTACTGCAAAAGCCAGCAACAAGCGTCTGAGCTTGGATCGTCTAATCCAGCGTAGATCGGGTTTCATAAAAAAGACCGCAAAACATTGGCACCGACCAGCCGTGGGTCTTCCCGGAGCCCAGTCCACATTAGGAGGCCAGCCACGGACTCTCTGGGACAGTTAGCCAAAGGTGAAAAAAAAAGAGGAGCAAACGGCCAAGGGTTCACCCCAGGGGCTAGGCCACAAGCTGGATGGGCCGAATCTCAGGCCTTTCGTCATTGCGGACCTGACATCCCGGTCCTGTAGCATGGGGGTTTGGGTGCTTCTGGCCAACTTTCCCCATGTTGGCGAGCATCGAGGATCGAGTTAATTTCTTCAAGCTTGCAATCTAGCAAGAAATTAGCTGCATCCTGATCGTCCAGCACGTTTATCGGGACCTTGACCACATTTTGAACGGACGCTCTCCGCTTTGTCCAGGAACAATGGCCCCTAGCGACATGGCACGCGGACAAAGACAGCGTAGGCAAGCAGCGAGCCAAAAAAAAAGGAAAACGGTTCAGTTCAGTCTAGACCTGACTGGCCCAGGCCGTGTCGTCCAGCAAATCGACACACTAGCGCTGCAAGTAAGCTCCAGTGGCCGAGAGCGCCACGGGGCCACTTTCACGAGCGAGCAGCTCGCGCCATGTCTTGGACTGTCGCGGGGCAATGAGGTTGGCGCTGGCATTCACTATGTGCAGTATTGAAGGGCAGTTACAAGGCATATGCAAATATATGGCAATGGCGGGAGGGGGATGATCTGCAGCAGGAGAAAAAAGGAGGAGAGAATGGGGAAGAACAGGAGGAGGATTATAGGTTTTTCTTCGGCAGTGCCAAAAAGGAAGAAGGATTTTGTCCGCGTGCTACGGGTGGCTGTCCACTACGGTGAGTTAAGCTTAGCCTGCGCTATAACAGCCCCGTTTGGACCGCCATCAGTGCATTGGTTTAGCGGGGTTTACTACTGGCGTTGTGCTATGGAAGAGCCGCCAAGGTTTCGCCCAGGAGCACTTTTTAGCGTGTTCCTGCGGCGTTGGGCGGTGGAGCCGGGTGGCCCGAGTCGAGAGATCTGCGCATGCAATTGGCTGCAGCTGGTGGGCTCTAGCGCCAAACAGCCTCCAGTTATTGTTTCTACCAGGTCGTCCGTCCACCGACTGGCACCGACTGGCACCGACTGGCACCCACTGAGCGCCCATCCGTGCCTGTGGTGTCTCTGAGCCCTTTCCCTGTTTCTACCGTCAGGCCACACACCGAACTGGCCTGAGCAGCCCCGCCGTCTCCACGCTGTAGGCGTCTAACCAACTTACGGTGGTAGTGGCCCCCCGTCCCATAACCCAGCGCCTCCAGATAGCCTACCTAGGCCCATGAGTAGCGTGAGCTCCGGTGCGTGCAGGCCAAGGGGGCCCCGTCCCATACCACATGGTGTTCGCCTGCCCTTGCGGCTTCTGCTCCTCCTCCTCCGCCTCTCTTTATTCATCGCATCTGCATTCCTCTCAAAATCCTTACCTCTCCTCTCCACTTCTTCTCTTTCCTACTTCCTCCTCCGTTTCGTCCTTCTCTATCCTTTCCTTTTTCCTTTCCATCTCTCTCCCGACCAACCATCTCGACATTGGCCAGCCTGGAAGTCTAGCGTTATCCCACGACTAACTTCCCACCCAACAGGCTGATTCCTTCTTTAGTTGCTTTCTGTATTTCCTTCTTTGCGACATCTAGCGTTGTGTTTGCTCTTGACTTCTACGTAATTTGCTCTTCGGCATTGCTTCTTCGATATCCCGACTTTTGTCTCTCGCCAAGGAACAGCCATCCACCTCCCAGTTTTTGCTTCTCGGCTTCGCTTTTGTCTATACCAATCCCTCCGAATGCTTTCTTGCTGTCGATTCTAAGCACACCACCCTACTTGTGCTTGTCGTTACCTAGTACGATCTTGCTTCGACGACCTACCCACTCGTCGACCTTCTATCGTTTGGCTTGTTAGTCAATCGATAGCCCCTGTGCATCCGTCCTTGTTCCCTCCCCTCGAAAGAGATACTGGGAACGACGACGCTGCACTCCATCACATCCACCACACATCATGCGTTTCAACGCCCCATTGGTGCAGTTGGCGTTCTTTGCGTCCTGCACTGATGCCTTCTACCCCTACAAGCCTGGATGGCTTGAAGAGCTGGAGACCGGCAAGGCTGTTGAGAATGTTCTGGACAACGTCAAGGATCTCACCGCCGGTGTAGCCTTCCAGATTAAGCAAAGAGGAACCGAGGTAGGACCAAGTCTATTTTCTCCGTCACACGTTACCCAGACTAACAATGCGTTTATAGCAAGCCGGTGTGTCCAATGCCGAGAGAGCGGCCCAACAAGCGGCTCGTTTACGATTCAAGTACGATCGCTACGGCTATGCTGCTGAGGCCAGAGCCACAAACAACCGCTTTCTTCGCCGAGCCAACCAATACAAGGTTCTGCCCGCAGCCGCCCCTCCTGCTGGTAGCAATGCAGCTGGTATTGCCCAGGATGGAACCGACTATTCCTACTTTGTGCAGGTCCAGCTCGGATCCAAGAAGCAGCCCATGTACATGCTGGTCGATACCGGTGCAGGTTCTTCCTGGGTTATGGGCAAGTCTTGTACCTCGGACTCGTGCAAGAAGCACGGCTTGTTTGGACCCGAAGATTCCGACACACTGGAGATGACATCGGACGACTTTTCCATTGCTTACGGCACTGGCCAAGTCAAGGGCAAGCTTTCTGTCGACACGATTTCAGTGGCCGACATGAGCCTCAAATACCGATTCGGTCTTGCATCGGAGACGTCGCAGGAGTTTGCGTCGTTTGCCTTTGACGGCATCCTCGGCCTATCCATGGGCAAGGGAGCCAGCGACAACTTTTTGGAGACGGTCAGCAAGGGAGCCAAGCTCCCTCACAATGTCTTTGCCATTGCGCTCAACCGCGCAAGCGACGGCGCCAACAATGGCGAAATCAAGTTTGGCGGAATCAACCCTGCCAAGTTTACGGGCGAGTTGAAGTACACCAAAGTGGGAACTGATACTGGCGAATGGGCCATTCCCATGGACGACCTGGGCTTTGACGGCAAGAAGGCCGGCATTGGTGCTCTGGCATACATTGACACTGGCACGTCGTTCATGTTTGGACCCGATGCCATGGTCAAGAAGCTGCACGACTCCATCCCCGGTGCTGCGTCTGCCGGCCAAGGCGCCTACACCGTTCCCTGCGACACCTCCAAGTCGCTCTTCATCACCTTTTCTGGTGTTGACTACGAAATCCCACCCAAAGACTTTGTGTCCCCCAAGGACAACGCTGGCAAGTGCACTAGCAACGTGTACGGCCACGAGGTTGTCAAGGGCGCCTGGCTCATGGGCGACACGTTCCTCAAGAACGTCTACACTGTGTTTGACAAGGACAACAAGCAGGTCGGCTTTGCACGAGCCTCTGGCGCCGCCTCCAGCGGCAGCCCTCCTCCTCCCTCACCGGCGGCGACAACCCCCAACTCGCCTTCGGGCACTACCAGCAACTCGCCCAATGGCGTTCCCCCAGGCACTACGCCGCCACCCTCATCATCCATGACCACCACGGAAAGCAAGCCGGGAATGGGCTTGACGGGCCATGAGTCCAAGAGCGGGTCTGACAGTGCGTCGGCCACAGCTGCGCCGGCTAAGTCGGAGAATGCTGCCACCGGGTTGCATGCTGGTCATGCCTCAATGGTCTCTTTGGTTGCTATTGTGACCTCGCTCGCCTTGTTGGCGTAGTGGTCTAAGTAGTCCCCCATGCGTGATGGAATAGAATCCATTGATCTGGGGTCTCCTTTTTTTGGAAAGAAAAGTGCTTTTTTCATTCTCGTTCAAGGCGCCGAGAACAGACAAAACTGTATCTCTACCCTTGGTATACAACTTTTTCAGGATATATAGGTATAATAACTGTGCGAATACTACTACCGAGCGGAAATAATACACGCTACCGACTGTATACTTGTTCTCTCTCTCTCTTTGCTTGTCTCTCCTTGTGAACCTCAATGCGTAATCTGTAGCCGTATCACCAACTACTTTCTTTCTTAACCATTCTAATACAACCTCCACCACTATGGCCCCCCGCTCTCCCTTCCTCTCTCCTCTTTTCTTCTTGTTGCAACGGGCGTCTGCAGTGACAGTGGAACCGCCACTCTCCCGCGCTCCCCACAGCCTGAAAGCTGCTGTGGCTGCTTAACGCCAAAGTTACATCATCTCCTGAAATCAAGATTCAGGTGTCCCTCCTTTTCAGCTACCACGCTCCTTTTTCCCAATCTACCACCATAAAAAACGCGACGCCGACGCGAGAACCGACGTTACAGAGCATTTTAATTGGGTTGCAAATTCAATTAAACAGCCACTGCCACCGTAACCTATCGCCTCACGCTTACACTCTTTTTTTCTTGTTGTTTTACAGCGTTACTACCAATTTCCCGTATCTCTTTGCCCGGCGCAACATGTCCACGACGCAACGCCTGCTCTAAGACGAACCAACGAAACACAAAGATGGCGGCCAAAGCAGATGCCGATGGCGACGACCAGCGCGGTCTCCTGGCAGCCGGCGAACACGACTACAACACGCCCGACGACAAGATGCGGTCCCCCTCCCGGGTGCAGTTTGACATGACGCCGCAAGTCATGGGCGACACTGTTGGCGCAGGCGATGGCCCCCTTCCCCGACACTCCGACCAGTACTCGTACAGCGACGACGATGACGACGACGCACTACACATGCAAGATCCGCTGAGTCGGGACTCGCGCCACCGCGTGCCGCTGCTGACGGATCTCGAGGCGCCGAGCGTCCGAGTTGCCAACGAATGGGGCGGTGATGGCGGCGACGAGGAGCTTGCGGCCGAGCTGAGACGGCCCAAGTCGGGCCTCAAGTCGGCCTTTATGAACATGGCCAACTCCATTATTGGCGCGGGTATCATTGGCCAGCCGTATGCGATGCGCCAGGCCGGCCTGCTGGCGGGCATTGCGCTGCTAGTTGGTCTGACGGTCGTGGTCGACTGGACGATTTGCCTGATTGTCATTAATAGCAAGCTCAGTGGTACTAGTAGCTTCCAGGGCACCGTGGAGCACTGCTTCGGCAGGCCCGGTTTGATTGCTATTAGTTTGGCGCAGTGGGTGTTTGCGTTTGGCGGCATGGTTGCGTTCGGTGTCATTGTTGGCGATACGATCCCGCACGTCCTGGTGGCTGTGTGGTCGGATCTTGGGAACGTGCCTGTGCTGGGCTTACTTACGGACCGAAGAGTCGTCATTTTCATCTTTGTCATGGGCATCAGTCTGCCCTTGACGCTGTACCGTGACATTGCGAAGTTAGCCAAGGCGAGCACCTTTGCGCTGGTTGGCATGGCGGTGATTGTGTCGACGGTTTTGATCCAGGGCTTCTTTGTGCCCAGTGACCACCGGGGCTCGTTCAGCTTACCACTTCTGACGGTAAACACTGGCATATTCCAAGCGATTGGCGTTATTTCTTTTGGTACGTAGTGTCTTGCTCCTGGTTTCTGTTTTGGGGGTTCTAACCGAGATATGCTCTTAGCATTTGTCTGCCACCACAACTCGCTCCTTATTTACGGATCTCTCAAGACGCCCACCATTGACAACTTTTCCCGCGTTACGCACTATTCGACAGGCGTGTCTATGCTGGCATGCTTGGCTATGGGCCTCGCCGGCTTCATCACTTTTGGCGACAAGACGCTAGGCAATGTGCTCAACAACTTCCCTTCTGACAACGTCATGGTCAACGTGGCCCGTCTGTTCTTCGGGCTCAACATGCTGACCACGCTTCCCCTGGAGGGCTTTGTCTGCCGCGAAGTCATGATGACCTACTGGTGGCCTGACGAGCCGTTCAACCTGCGCCGCCATGTAATTATTAGTGTCGGCCTTGTCGGAAGCAGTTGTCTGCTGAGTCTGATGACTTGCGATCTCGGCGCCGTGTTTGAGCTCGTCGGAGCAACCAGCGCCGTGGCCATGGCATATATCCTGCCTCCCATGTGCTACATCAAGCTGGCGACCCCGAGCTGGCGAACCTATGTCGCATATGCCATTGTTGTCTTTGGTGGTCTGGTCATGGTCATCAGCGTGATCCAAGCCATTGGGTCGTTAACCAACAGTACGTATTGCACGCTGGCATATCCTAATAGAACACGCTAATAACATCTACAGGCTCTGGAGAACCGGTCAAGTGCCACTGAATGGAAAGAGAGAAGGAGAGACAGTCATACACCGGCGTTTAATGATTTTATGGCATTCACAACAAAAACACATATACACAGAGTGTACGGGCTACACACACGCTTTACAATGTAATACTACCACAGCTACTGCAGCTTTCATAGAAGTTTGAACAAAATATCCATAATATACAGGGCCAACACCATGGCCCAATCTTTTTATGCAACCGTTTGTATTCTCTTATATGGTTATCTTTATGCGTCCAACATCACAACCAGCCACGCCGCCACGCCTCACCCTCACCTCTTCCACGGTATATATCTCCTAGTGCCTATACTCCCACCACTAGAACAGATCATCCATTTACCGCTAGGCACTATTCTTCAGCACTAGCAGCACACCACACGTTAACTTGCAGGCGGCAAAAAAAGCCACCGCTCAAGTGACAGCCCCGCACTGCAGCCTTCGCTGGACGAATGACACCTGAGCCCTTACCAAGCCCCTCCTCCCCGCCCTGTCACCCGCCTATGAACCCCAACTGCTTGCTGCCTTGTCTTCTGCATTAGCCCATCTCTCTCCTTTTCACACAAGATCTTTCAACTCAGACAATAGTATTTCATCTTCTTTTTCAAAATGCAGCCCATCAACGCCCACTCTACTTGCCCCAAGTGCAGCTCCGCCATTGCTGGTGGCTCCAAGACCTGCGATAGCTGCGGCGCTGTATGTGACTATCCTGCTCTGTCTTTTTACATCCTCTATCCTGATTTAGTTGCCGATTTTGCTAACTTCTGCACCTCTCATTTGCCATGCAGACCTGCCCCAACTAGACGAGGACGTCGCCTCATTTGGCTGCTGCGAGACAAAAGAGCGGGGGAGTTTGGGATAATGGTCGCCGAGTGACGTGGCCCACGACGATTATGAGGAGATGAGAAACAGTAGCATGGGTACGGAGTTGATGGTTTGATTCATACGGTGCTAGTTGGTGTTGAAGCGATTGATAGGCATTTTTGGAGTTGAGATGTGTGCAGTGTAGCTAGTAGAGAAATGACATCACCCTTTTGGAACACAAGCATGACTCGCCTTGCTCAACCTCCGAGCTAGACGACATCTGTGTCTAGAGCTTTGTGTGCGATTATCACGTTTGTAAAAAAGGCGTACGAGCTACATCGCCTACATCGAATATTCACTGTTCACATCACCGTTGACCATATTGGATACCAAACATTGTCTTCTAGTAAAAATCAGTGCTAAACAACACATTAGAATCGGCGAGCCACGTGTAGCAGCAGTAATAAACAGCAGCTACAATATCCTGCTGCCACCAACCGAGTACAATAACGATAAAAGAAACCACGGCCACTTTGCAGCTCTCACAGGGTTGGTAACAAGCTACTCCAACCAAAACATATGGCGGGAGGACTTGATGCCTACGCCTGCCGAGAACCGAGCATCTCGATGCCACCTTGGACAATGCGACTCATCTCCTCTTCCCCATCCTAGACCAGCTTCAAAAGCCTCCCACATACCACACAAGAGCTCAACACACCAGACCGTTGCTCCCTCCCTCGCCAGAAACGAAACCATGGATCCCGAATCCGGCAAAGGCAGCCCCAGCCCATGCGCTCACTGCTGAGACCATGTAAAAGCAATAAACTCGCACCCTGAATCTTGGCGCGTAGAGACGAGATATTTCGTTTTGTTACCATTTACCAATCAACAAAGAACAAGAACCTTTGCACAATGCAAACAAGCGTCGAAAATAGGATTGTATTATAGCGTAAGACGGTGCCGAAAAATAGGGATATGTAGTGGCGGTCGTAATCTGGTGGGCGGCTCGCCGCACGACGAAACAGCTTACAGGATAAGACACTTCTTGCCGCTCTTGGTCTTTTTGCGGGACATGAGCGCAGCGCGAGTAGCGTGCTCGAAAACTTCACGGACACCCTCGCTGGTTCTGGCAGAGCATTCCAAGTACTTGTATGCACCAATCTTCTTGCGGACCTCCTCACCCTACAAAAGACAAAAGTGGTTAGCATATGATTACAGTTGTGAGCATGGAGCTGCCATCGTTGATGAAGCGGCTGGGGGGCTCAGTGAGCTTCCGTGACGGCACGCGGCCGCACGGAAGTTGCTACAAACATACCTCTTCGGGGAGGACGGGCTTCTGGCTGGTCTTGCGGAGCTCCTCGATAACCTTGTTCTCATATCGCAAATCCTTCTTGCAACCAACAAGGATGATGGGGAGACCCTGGCAGAAGTGCAGAACCTCGGAAATCCACTAAATAAACAGGTTAGTACGCTAGGCGGTACACAAGACGGCTCGTTCGCAAGGGGTTCGTACCTTCTCCTGGACGTTGTCAAGAGAGTCGGGGGAGTCAACGGCGAAGCAGATCAAGATAACGTGGGAGTCGGGGTAAGAGAGAGGGCGGAGACGGTCGTAATCTTCCTGGCCAGCAGTATCCCAGAGGGCGAGCTCGACGTGCTTGCCGTCAACCTCGACATCAGCGACATAGTTCTCGAAAACGGTGGGGACGTAGACCTAGAAGTGTAGTTAGCGACCGGGCGTCCGGGAAGAGGATTTCAGCGTGAAGCTATGTTGGGGGGTGTGTGGGTGTCGTGGTGTTGTGTTGGCCAGGCTAGCGCCGCCGATACGTTGACAGCCTCTACAAAAAAACGACGCAAGACTACAGCTGGTCGGGATAGCTCGTGATAAAACGGCAATTTTGCGACTTGAAGATATATTTCTTTTTTTCATCGGCAGACGCATCGTGCACCGCGTGTTTTGTGAGGCTCGTAGGCGGCGCTGAAAAGGGCGGGAGAGGGTGGCGGGATTCGACAGGAGGCTTACCTCGGGGAAAGTGCCCTTGGAGAAGACGCTGTAGAAAATACGTCAGTAACTCAAGCTGTGACGAAAGCCAGCCAGCGTGCAGCAGTCTGCGCTGCGTTTTATCATCATCGACGATGTCGTTGGCGATGCAGCGGTGAGCGCAGCAAGAGCAGCAGCACCAGCAGCAACAGACAACAAAGCACGGCTGGCGGTGGGCGAGACGAGGCTCACATCAACAAGCAGGTTTTGCCGCAGGCACCATCACCAACGATGACAAGCTTTCGGCGGATCTCAGCCATGGTGTCGGATTGTTTATGTGGATGTTAAAGTGAGGAGAAAAAAAGCGAGATGCGATGGCGGCTGGCGAAAGGACGAGGCGAGACGGCGTCGGTGCAGCAGGTGGATTGAATGTGGTTGATGAAAGGGGGTTTGCTCGGCGTAAACCAAGTAAATGCGGTGATGGCGAAGCTAAGTGCGTGTTGAGCGGACGATGCTGGGAGGAGACGACCAGGAACTGGGGCGGGAGGTGCGTGGCCTGTGGCTAGGCGCAACGTCAGAAGGCGGCCAGAGGCAGAAACGGGGGGGAGGGACCCCCAGTGCTAGGCGGACGGCTTGGTGCAAAGCAAGGCCAGGGCAGGGCCCCAGGGGAATAATCCGTCACGCTCAGCGGCCTGTTAGCGCACACGGCGATGGGCGAGACATGGCCAACCCAGCTGAAGCAGGCACACACTGACTGAGTGCACTGTACGCTGAGTGCTCTGTACAGTACTGAACAGCGCTGTACCAGGCTCCGTCAGGCTAGCGTCCCCCCAGCTCAGCGGCCATAGATAGCGGGTGCCAGAAAAAGAGGCGGCGGTGGGGGGGCAACGCGAGACAAAATTTCCATTGAGGCGAAGCTTGTGTGGAGCAAGCTGGCACCACCCTCTGTGTACCTTTACTGCGGGCGTTCCCGACAAAAGGTACCTGGGCCAGTGCGGGAGCGAGCCCAATCAGACAAACCAGCCAAGCCTCCGCCTTGCACAGTGCCTTTGCCTCAGGCCACCACGCCATGACGACAGGGTTTTTGATTCACTTTCTGCAACGGGCCCCCCAGCACCAGCAGCAGCCATAGCGGTTTGGGGGAGGCGCTACAGCTCCAACTTACAGCAGCTACATCCACTCTTCTGCTGCACAGTGGAAGAGGCGGCGGCGGTGGCCAGGGGCAGTCGCCCATACAGTACAGTACATACAGTACGCAGCGCACCGCAGCACAGCACCGCATGCCAGGCACAGCGCACCGCCACCAACGCTCGCGCCGCCCTTGTCACAGATGCTGCGGGTGCCGCTATGCTGTAACGCACATGTTTTTAGCGGCCCCTAACCGTGGAGCTGGCGACAGGAATAGTCGTACGTGGCTTTTGGCATCAGAATTTCATCACACTGCATGGATTGTGTAAAAGACATGCTCTCTTGCTTGAGCATCATTTTTTTTTTATAAAAGTAAATTACAACCAGGAGAGCAGCCAATGACCCAGATGAAATGCTTGCTTGCTTGTCTGCCCAGCCTGTCCAATACGAAGCAGCGCGGTTGCACATGTCGCTAAAGCGAGACGCTCCATGGCGCATATTGGCCCGCGACAGGAATACGACATGGGCTGCTTGCAAGGGCCTGGCAAGTCCACGCCATTGGATTGAATGGCTGTCGTTTGGCCGAGAGTTGAAAAAAAGAATACTAAAATGTAGGCAAGCATGCTGTGCCCCCAAGAGGCAGCCAGTCCAATGCAATGCAGTGCAGTAATGGTATGACCTTCGGCGGCGCCTTGATCGACAAGTTTCTGCCCCAGTGACTTTTAATAACCCGTGCATCCGTGACTGTGCAATATATTCCATTTCCTGTACCTGGGCATGGTGATCCAGGCAGAGTGACCCCTGCACTAGCTGTAAAAAGGCATCGTAGAATCAGGCTGTTTGCTAAAGGATGATGCCACTCATATCCAAGGAACACGGCGACCGTTTGTGGCGATGAATTAATTATCCGGCCCTATGGACCTTGTATACGCGCTCTAGACAGTAAGCGAAGGCCTAATTGGACTAACCGATACCATAGTGGTGTCTTATCAAGACGATGCAGCTCTATCTGAATGTCATGGAGACAGTGCGCAGAACGAAGGGCACTTCACGACAACTTTCGCTCCAAGACTTGCTGTCGAACAATAATAAAATATACAATCACTCCCTAAATACACAATATCACTACTTTAAATATTGATAATATTTATCATTGATAGCACAGCCACGTTCAGCGCAACCTTACGAATGTTCCTGCGTACAGTGCGGATCTCAATCCGCACCACATCCTTCGCTAGGCCTAAAGGAGAAATTCTTCTACGGCTGGATCCCTAATCGCATCAAAATTATTGCACGCGACGCCCTCGAAACCCCCGAATCCACGGTCGAAATTCGGCACCCGCCACCATCAATTGGCCCTGCATTTCACCGGGAGCATCGACAAACACCTTCGAAGCACTCCAATATATACCGCCATGCAGCGTCTCCTGAAGCGTACGGCCCAGGCCCAGCGCCAGGCGGCTCGCCGGGCTCGCCAGCATGCTAAGCGCATGGAAGTCGGCAACCAGGCACAAACCAGAGATTCCATCCGTCAAGCTGTCAATGAAGTCAAAGAGAACGCAAAGGAGGCTCGTGCCGCTCTGCGAGATGCCTGGGAGATGGGCCCCATTGCCCCCAAGCGAGACGCATTCCGTGACTACGGCGTCATCAAGTCGAGATTAAGACAGGACTGGTCCAACTTTGGCACAAGGTCGACCAACCCCAAGGTCGTTGAGCAGCGATGCGCATGGGCCGGCTCGCCCAAGCAGCTCAATCTTGCAGCGGGTGACCGTGTGGTGATCCTCGACGGCCCGGACCAGGGCAAGATTGATACCATCAAGGAGGTGAATGTCGAGACGGGCACTCTCCAGCTTGAGAAATACAACCAGGTACGACACCGAACACGCAATTGATCTCTCATACTCTATTGTAATTTGACTAACAGAGACGTAATCTAGGGCCTCATGGAAGGCATGTTCAACAGCCCCCCTCGATCCGCCGCCATGCCCATCAGCATCGACGCTGTCCGACTCGTATACCCTCTGACGAACCCCGAAACCGGCGTCACCCGCGACGTTGTCATCCACCAGCTCAAGGCCGTCAAGCCCAACATGCAGTCTGACAACATGACCTTCGACCGCTGGCACCACGGCAAGCGCTGGGACCGCGTCGTCCCGGCCCTCAACACTGTGATTCCCTGGCCCGAGGTCAAGGCGCCCGAGTACGAGGCACAGCTTGCCGATACCGTCCGCGAGCAGGTCGAGCAGCGCACATTCTACTATGGTCTTTTGTCGCCGCCCATGCCCGAGGACGTCATCGACGAGCTCCGCAACAAGTACTCGCGATTCCGTACAAGACATGAGGACTGGTACGTCGAGCAGAAGGAGCAGGAAGCCTTTACCAAGGAGAGACGACACGAGCTCCTGCGCGCCATGCAGACGCCGCTGGACGAGTTCCACGAGAAGCGCAGAGCAGACCGCGACGCTGCTGGCGAGCCGGAGCTTACCGACGAGATGCTGGCCAAGCTGGGCGAGCTCATGTCGGAGAAGAAGGCTGCTGTGTTGGAGCAGGCTGGTGTTAGCGAGGTGTCTTCGAAACAATAAGTCTGCATTTTATGATGGAAGTAATTGAGGATAGGGTCAAAAACAGCATGAGGAAGACCAGAAACCCGGGCAATTGTACTATTTCCATGGCGCCCATTGTATATTATGAAACAATAGAATCCACATCATACCAGTAAGGTCTTATTTTTTATGTTCTCAGTATCTTGTCAAACTGTAATACCTGTCTATTTCATTCTATTGTTCAAGTTGAACTCTTTTTCTTTATCGCGTATTCTTGGCGTCGGCCGTTGTCGCCGCCATCGGATGGTGCCGAGGCGTCTGTTATCTATCGACCCCTCCCCCACCCGCGCGATCCATCTAGACCACAGGTACTCTTGTACACTTGCCAGAACGAGTCTCCCGCAGCTGCAGCTTTCCCCCTCTTTCACTAACAGCTGCGTTCTTTTTAGCCGTAGTAAATCTTCAATCCCCGAATTCCCCCAGCGCACTCGAGCATCATGTCTCATTCTCACGAGGGCGTCTCACACTCACACGACGGCGGCTTCAATGCCCAAGAGCACGGCCACTCGCACGAAATCCTCGACGGCCCAGGAAGCTACGTCGGCAGAGAGATGCCTATTGTCGAGGGCCGTGAATGGTCCGACAGAGCCTTTACGGTTGGCATTGGCGGGTATGTTTTGATCTATTGGGGATTTACCCATTGCACCAGTTGCTTGTCTAACACAGAGACAGACCCGTCGGCTCAGGCAAGACGGCGCTGATGCTCCAGCTCTGCCTAACCCTGCGAAAGGAATACTCACTCGCCGCTGTAACAAACGACATCTTTACCCGCGAGGATGCCGAGTTCCTCACTCGCCATGCGGCCCTGCCTCCCGAGCGCATCCGAGCCATCGAGACCGGCGGCTGCCCCCACGCCGCTGTCCGCGAAGATATATCCGCTAACCTGGCTGCTCTGGAAGACCTACACCGTGAGTTCTCGGCCGATATTCTTCTTATTGAATCCGGTGGCGACAATCTGGCTGCCAACTACAGCCGCGAGCTGGCCGACTTTATCATCTACGTTATCGATGTCAGCGGCGGCGACAAGGTCCCTCGTAAGGGTGGCCCTGGTATCACACAGAGCGACTTGCTTATTGTAAACAAGACGGATCTTGCGGAGGCTGTTGGCGCCGACCTCAGTGTTATGGAGCGAGACGCCAGGAAGATGCGAGAGGGCGGCCCTACAGTCTTTGCCCAGGTTAAGAAGGGTGTCGGCATGGATCACATTGTCAACTTGATCCTGAGCGCATGGAAGGCCAGCGGCGCTGAAGAGGAGAGAAGAACACAAGGCGGACCGAGACCTACCGAGGGAATTGAGAAGCTGGAGAACCCCAGTGCCTAGTCAAAAATTCACAGTCTCCATGGCGTTATGTTCCAAAGGAAAGCGGAAAGGTGAACTGAAAAAGAAGAAAGAAATGCATTTTGTGCCCTCATCATACTGCGTAAACAAAATCTATATAAACTTTTCGTTTGATCATGAAATTTCCATATCCTGAGTGCCATCCTCGGCCTGAGCCTGAGTCTGCTCCTCGATTTCCAAAAGAGGTCCTTGCACCGGCACAGCATTGCGCGGCCAGACACGCTTGTACAGACTGACACCGATAGAATCCTGGGGGTTAATCTTGCCGTCAAATGTGGCCTTGAAGTAACCGTGCGTACCAAGAGCCTCCTTGACGTAACCGCTGCGGCCGCGTCTCGTCCAGAGCGGCATGGCCTTGAACCACTCGACATCCTCTCTGCTGAAGAACATGTAGCGGATAGTGACAACCTTCTTGTGGATGTGGTACGGGTGGCCAGTAAGGATGATTCGCTTGGCAATGACACGGGAAGTAGACGGGGGCAGTGCTGTACCAGTAGCAACAAGCGTCAGACCGGCGCTAGGCAAGTCACCTTCGCTGAGGACCTCACCCGGCGCAGTTCTTTTGAAGAACAAAACGGGCACAGAACCCCATGTTACAGGGCCCATGAAGGTAGCAATGGCCGAGCTGCCAGGGTGCAGGTAGCGAGCGTACTTGTGGACGTTGTTGGGCGTCGTGCCCATGTTGGAGAAGAGAGGGTTGATGACGAAGCGGCGAGGGCCGCACTGGACAATGAGCTCCTCCTTGGACTTGATGGCCTTGGCATAGTCGGTGCCCATGTTGATGAGGTAGTTGACGGCCGTCTTCTTGTTCTCGTGGCGGAACAGCGAGAAGAGTGTGACGGGCATCTCGGGCTTGTAAGACGCCGCTGTCTCGGCAGGGATGCCCTTGATGAACACCTGCACTCTGGTGCCGGGCTCGACACCGCCGACAAGAGCCTCACGAGTAGCGCGAGACTTGGACGCGGCGTAGTCGGGAATCTGGAGAAGTCTGCGCCACTCCTCGGGCTCGTGGGCGCGGTCTTCATCTTCCTGCCAGACACTGGTGCGCAGACTCTTGAGACCACGGTAGCGGGCGAGGCGCTCGCGGGCGGACACGTTGGGGTGCAGCTCAATCTCATCGGGGAATTCGAGATCGTCGAGGGCCTCGTCGCGTTTGCGGGCACGGTATTCGGCAAGCTGGGCGGCGTCGTCTTCCTCATCGAGCTCCTGCATCATCTCGGACTGGGGGTATTCGGAGGGCGCGCCTTCGGTGGGCTCGGGCTGGGCACGGCCTTCAAGGCCATCTTCGGGAGCGGCAACATCCTCGGTGTCGTCTCCCATTTCCACGTCGTCCTCCATATCGGAGCCAGAGTCGGATACGTCGTCGAGGTACCAGGCAGACTGGTAGGCGGATGTGCCCTTGGGGAGCTTCTTCTTGGGCTGCTTGGCGGGGTCGTTGTCGTCGGAGAAGTAGTGGTGGTCGTCCAAGAGAACACCCTTCTTTGCGGATGCCTCCTCGGCCATGGCATCGTCGTCCTCATCTCCCATCATGATTTCTTCGGGGGCAAGCTCGTCAAGGTCATCGAGATCCTCCGTGGCTTGGTCCAAGACTTCTTCGGCCTCCTCAGTAGCCATATCATCGGCCTTCTTGGCATGTGTAGGCACTGGCGCTGCGACAATCTTTTCAATCTGAAAGGTACCCCAGTCTCCAACCTGAATCAGTCTGTCGGCCTTGAGTCCACGGCCACGGACAACACCAGTGATGACAGTGGACTCGGAGTCGTTTGTGGCAAACTTGACGTCCTCAGCGAGCATCCAGCTGCGCTCGTCTCTCCATCGGACACCTCTGGGTGTTGTGCTGCAAAGGGAGCGCATGAGGTTGGCGCATTCTTGTCTGTTGTCGAGGCTGTAGAGCTTGTCTTGTTCGGGGTGGAAGTGAGTAATGAAGGACTTGAGCGAGCTGACAACTCCAGGGCGCTGCTTGACAGACTCAATCTTGTCCAGTCCCTGAATAACAGTAAACAGAGTAGACAGACCCTGGCTTTCAACACCACGGAGGATCAAATCACCTAGAGCGTCGACTTCCACGGTGGCTGAGAGAACAACCATGACAAAGTCGGCCACACGGGCAGCGTCCATGCAGGCATTAAGGTCTCGCTTGACAGGAACGTATTGGAGCTTCTGTTTAAATCGGTCGATGGATACTTTGAAGTTTCCGGGCCGAATCTCGGCATCGATATCGACACTCTCGTTGAGCTGCTTGATGGCGGCACCAGCGTCTCCGTCTTCGCAGAGAGGGATGACAGCGACGATTCTGGGAGCACCTTCTCTTCCGGTGAATACAGAGGTACCCTTGAGGTGTTCCTTGTGCTTGGTGATACGGGCCTGCTTGGCCTGGTTGCGACGGTCGAGTTTCGACATGACTTGTTGGTGCGGTGTCTTGCGCTGGCCTCGCTCGTTGGGAACCTTGCCTGTGAACAAATATGTTAGTCGAGCCCAAGAAACAGAATGAGTGCTATTTGTATACCTTTGGCACGGTCTCTCAGCTCATGCTTGGAGGCAGCCTTGGACTTGAAAGCCTTGTGGGAAACCTTGGTGGTAGGCCGATGGGAATGTGTTGCAGGGGCAGGCATCTTGCCTTGGCCACCAGCTTTAAAGCGGAAAGGTAATGACTCCAGGATTGCCGATGAAAATTACGGCTGTTAAGCAAGCGAAAGTTTCGGAAAAATAATTTCTGGAGAAATTTGCTGGAGTTTACAAGTCAAGTTCGGCGTGTAGGCGACAGTCGACCGAAAAGTTTGGCGGGGTTCTTAGGTGGATGGCGGGCGCTAAGAAATTTTTGTGCGGCACTGTATAATCGATAAGCGTAGTGCTGGAAGTGTGTATTTGGTGGTGGTGGGCCAGTAGTAACAGCAGTAGAAAGGTCCATCAGGGTGTGGTAGAGGGGGTCCTGGGTTTATAGTGCCTTTTCTTTTTGTTAAAAATACTACGGAATACTTTTGGAAAATATTATAGAATCCTTATTCATCTTGGATATTAGGAAATATGAGTTGAAATACAGATGGTCATTGGATACATCCTCTATATGTAGCGGTCTCCTTCATGATATACAAACCATATTACCTTTTACCTCACAAATAAATAAAATAATTCAGATAAACGTCAATCATATATGGGCTATTCTTCATTTTTAATTATTTCACAATTACAGTCTATTATTTCGCATTTCACTTGCCCTTCATCATTTTCATCGGCTACCGTCCACCGAGTCTCCGCTATCGATTAACTTTTGACGGCGCCGCTCCACTAAATTTTTTCGTCGCCGCCTGCTCTGCTTCTAGCAAAATCCTAACCTCTGCTCTATAACCAAATTTCCCAACAACCCTTTCCCTCTCCATTAATTTCTTCTTGCAGCCATGGAAGTTGAAACGGTTGAGAAGCCGCGCTCGAAAGGGCAAGGCAATGGCGCTACTCCCGTCGAACGAACTACACAATCCATGGATCTCGTCCCTCGACAAGAGAGACTGCAGATGAAGAGACTGCGCGAAGCAGAAAAGGCATACGGCCGCGGAAAGAAGATCAACACAAAGAACATCAAAGACAAGAAGCTGCGAACAAACCTGAAGCGACTGGAAAACAAGTACCAAGATGCCACCGTCAAGGCCAAGGATGCCGAGATTCTCTTGGAAAACACCGCCGGCTACCTCGAGGCCGAAACCGAACTCGAGCGCACATACAAAGTACGACAGGACGACCTGACGGAAGACTTGTCGGTAGAGACAGCAAGCAAGAGGTTCGACCTCAAGCTGGATGCTCTCGGTCCGTACATCTTCGACTACTCGCGAAACGGACGAGAACTGCTGCTTGCTGGCCGTAAGGGCCATATCGCTAGCATGGACTGGAGAGAGGGTAAGCTCGGCTTCGAACGACAACTTGGCGAGACGATACGAGACATCAAGTGGCTCCATAACAACCAGTACTTTGCCGCGGCGCAGAAAAAGTATGTCTACATCTACGACAGCGACGGTGTTGAGCTGCACTGCCTCCGAAAGCTCACCGACGTTACCCACATGGAATTCCTCCCCTACCACTTCTTGCTCGGCACTATTGGCAACAGCGGCGTGCTCAAGTACCAAGACACTTCCACCGGCCAATTGGTCGCCGAGTTGCCAACCCGCCTGGGCCCTGCCGTGTCCATGGGACAAAACAGATACAACGCCATCCTCCACGTCGGCCACCAAAACGGAACAGTCACACTGTGGTCTCCCAACTCCAGCGAGCCGCACGTCAAGCTTCTCGCTCACAAGGGTCCCGTGCGTGCACTAGCCATGGACCGTATCGGCCGATACATGGTCTCTGCCGGCCAGGACCAGCGCATGGCCGTCTGGGATATCCGCATGTTCAAGGAAGTCAACAACTACTTTACCCGCGCCCCCGCCTCCTCCTTAGCCATCTCCGACACTGGTCTTACAGCTCTATCATGGGGCACACAATCTACCATCTGGAAGGGTCTCTACGACACCAACGCCCCCGTTCAGCAAAAGGTCCAGAGCCCGTATATGCGCTGGGGTGGTGAGGGCAAGCGCATCGAGCGTGTCCAGTGGTGTCCGTTTGAAGATGTGCTCGGTCTCGGCCACGAGGAAGGATTTTCCTCTATCATCGTCCCTGGCGCTGGTGAGGCCAACTTTGACGCCATGGAGCTCAACCCCTTCGAGACGAACCAGCAGCGCAAGGAGACTGAAGTCCGCAGCTTGCTCAACAAGCTCAAGCCTGAGATGATTGCCATTGATCCCAACTTTGTTGGTAACCTGGATCTCCGCTCTGATGCCCAGCGCAAGGCCGACCGCGATCTCGATACACCGCAGACTTCCGTCGAAGAGGAGATTCGCAAGAGGGCTCGTGGTAAGAACGGCGCGCTGAGCAAGTACCTGCGCAAGCAAAGAAAGAAGAACATTATCGACGAGAAGAGAATGAAGGTCGACGAGCTGTGGAAAGAGCAGCAAGCAAAGAGGGAGAAGAAGAAGGAAGAGGTCCAAGCAGACCTTGGGCCGGCGCTTGGCAGATTTGCGCGACGAGAGTAAATAGTCTTTTTGAATTGTTTTGGTCTACACTGGCGTTTCTGTAGCTATATACATTTGCATGACACCTTGAATCAATCACTTTATAGAACCTTTTTTGTTTCTCAATGGGGACAACCTTGTGAGCTTGTGTCTAATTCCTCGTCTATCAAACTTTTATTTCCTATACGCACAAAATACGCCGTCTTCCAAACTTCCAAGACATTACAACAAAAATATAATCATAACTGGTTTACAGGAGTTTCAGGTGGCTTGTGACCTGGTCGACAAGGCTTTTCGGCGCAGGGCCAACACCCAAGACGGTGATGCTGCCAGCCTCAATCTGTGTTCTGCCAGCATCCTGAATAATCTCGGCTGTGATACCCAGCGATCTAGCCTTGCGGCGCAGCTCCATCATCTCATCCTGACTCTTAATCTGTACGGCAATCTTGGCCTGGCCGTACTTTTCCCAGCGGCTGAGCATGCGGCGCTCGGGGGACTTGGAATCGCTGTTTCGAGAGAGGGCCTTGTAGCAGGCGAGTGTTGCGTGCGAGCACTGAGCGGCGATTTTACCTGGAAAAGAAAAAAAGAGCAGGTTAGCATCCATTGGAGCCGGCAAGCAATCGCGCTTGTAAGAGCAGGCTGCGAGACGTACCCTTTGTCATGCCCAGGTCCGTGCGGACAACCAGGACGAGCTTGCACTCCTCATTCGAGTTGAGATCAACGGCTTTCTGAGCTGCAGAAGCTGCGGAAGCAAAGGTATTGGCCCCAGCAGGCGCATTGGGGCCGCGAGCGCGCAGGCCCTGTCGTCTATCGGCAGCGTCGCCGTTGAACCAGTTTGGCGCGTGGTCGAGAATGGTTGCGTCCTCGTCAATGTCCTCCTCCTCGCTCTCGACGGGGTCGTTCAGATTGCGACGGCGCTCCTCGGCGAGTTCCGGGGAGATGAGGTAGCCGCGGTTTGTGAAGATGCCAAAGGCGTAGCCGGCGATAAAGGTCGCGAAGGCGGTGGTGAGGAGGACGCCCGTCTGGGTGTGTTGGTCCATTGCGGCGGTTGCTGCAGCGGCAGAGACGCTTTGGTTATTTGTAGAGAATGCGGAGTTGATAAGCTACCGTAATTTATGATTTGCGGCGAATTGCAAACAAAGGTTATGGGTGATTGCTGGGATTCGCAGCGTTCAAGGCAGAAGCGGTGATGTCAGAAGGGAAGAAAAAAAGAAGCTGCTGGCGAGCTTTGGCCGCTGTGACGTGGTGGGTGCTGCGCAAGTTTCCACTGATAGCCGCGCTAAGAGCTGCAGCAGCCCCTCCATCTCCATCTCACTTGCGGCGACATTGCTAGTTTACTCTCCTCAAACATACTGTCTTTGTGCGAAAAATAAAATATACAGAAAAAATGTCAGACAAACGAGCACTCGTTATTGCACTCTCGGGGTGTTCTTCTAGCGGAAAGACTACCTTGGCGAGAATTCTACGCGACATCTTTCCCAATACATTCATTCTTCACGAAGATGACTTCTACAGACCAGAGGAGGAGTAAGCAGAGCCAAGGATAGCAACAATTACAACGTATATACCTGCTAATTCGATGCACAGGCTGCCCTCAAAGCACGGTCTACTAGATTGGGACTGTGCCGGATCCTTGGACATTCCCGCTATGGCTGAGTCGCTGGCTTATATCCGCGAGAATGCGTCTTTCCCGGTGCGTCTCAAGACACCGCCATTATGTCAAACTGGCTGCTAACTACGCCGAAAACTAGCCGACACTAGAGTCTAAAGAGGACCAAAACTCTGTGGGCAAGTGTCCTGTTCCACAGACTCTCATTGACTCTCTAAAACAAAAGGTTACTGCCGAACTCCCATGGGACCATGCGCTAGCTACATCTGCTCTCAAACTCTGCGTGCTAGACGGCTTTCTGCTCTTTTCTCCTTCCATGGCAGCCATTCAATCGGCTCTTGATGTCAAGGTCTTTCTTCGTGCATCCTACCAACGAGCCAAGTCACGTCGAGAATCCCGTGATGGATACGTTACCCTGGAGGGCTTTTGGGCTGACCCCCCCGGCTATGTCGACAAGATTGTCTGGCCAAACTACGTGGAAGAGCACAAGTGGATGTTTGAGGACGGTAATGTAGAAGGCAAGTATAAAAAGGATGTCCTGGCAAGAGAATGCATCTACGTCCCCAAGGGTGAGCCTCTGGATGCTGATTTGTCCGAGACGCTTGAGTGGCTGGTATCACTGATTCTGGATGAGCTAAATAAAAGGCATCAATAGATGTTCATATCGTTTCCAATACTATTAAATTGCCAATGTTTCGAGTTATTTATATACTCTTACACTTTGCAACTACTTCATCTAAGCGGGCCAACGCTCGACGGACCGGATCCATGGAGGGCAGTGTATCCTCTAGATACAAGGAGCTCTCAAAGAGGTGATCTTGTCCTTCTGCAATAAAGATGTCAACCTTGTCTTTTCCAAGCTTTTGTTGCATCATGACGCTGATATCGTGTGGAACAGCAATATCAGCATTGCCGTGAAAAATGACAGTCGGCGGCCATAGTTTTCTCTTCTGCTCATCCGTTCCGACCCACTCAAAACCGTCGTCAATTGCTTGTACAAGGCCTGGATATTTATTCGTGCGGATGTAGTGTTCGTACATGAGTCCACCTCGACGATCCAGGTGTTCCTCTGCAACAACTAGTGCCGGTTGTTTGAAGTCCGGGTTGCGGCTCCCGTCAGGCAGAAGCATTTCGATGTGGAAGATGCCCGTAGTTTCTGTCGTAATGCGGCATGTTTGGACTGGTTCCGCATCAAATTCTTCAAAATCAGCGTCCGTCTTATGGTCATCAGTGATGCTAATGCTGGAGCTATAAAATGGATGCTGGAAGGTTGTGATGCCACTGATGGAGAAGAGCGCGATAGGTGGTTGTTCGAGGTGCCGCGCGAGGGTTGTAGCTAGGAAAAAGCCAGCGCTTGCACCAAACACAATAACTCTGCGCCTTGCTTCACCTGTCGTGTTCCACCTCTGAGCATATTCGTAAGCTGCCATGGCATCTTGGAGCAGATCGCTGGCGGTTGCCTGCGGCATGAGCCGGTAGTCGGCGGTGATAAGAGGCCATTTGCGACCGATACAGGCCTAGCGGATATCTTTAGTATTAAAGGGGATTAATATGGGATAGAGATGTACTTGGACTAGCCATGGGGGCATGCGTTCTTTGACCCAGCCGCTCAAGGCACCAGCGTGAAAGAAGAGCGCAACGGGAGCATCATCAGCGATGTCCGGCCCAGCGTAGATGGTGCATTCCAGTGGGATCTTGTGGTGAGCGTATACCTCTGTCGTTTTGAAACTCATTTTCTGCTTAACTTTGTTTGAGGGAAAAAAATTACCAACCAAGCTATCTGTATCTTTATGCCATGTTCCCAGTTCAGCCACAGCCTGCACCTAGGATCGACATGAAGGGCGTGGCCTCGGCTGCCTGGATGTGACCATATGCCTCACGCTCTTGGAAACAGTGCTCGCAATTTTGCGATATCCTCAAGGCACCATTCCAGTATCGTTTCAGCGTTATGAATGCTATAGGTTACCTTCATCGCTTCGTTAACAAACAGCCCGTTACCGAGCTGGTAGCATCCTGGGACCTCTCTTGCGTGATGCTCGCTAGCTGGATCATGCAACCCCACGCCTCCACCAGCTCCAAAGGGAACTCTAATAGTACCGAAGCGCACATCTGCAAGGGTTGCATGCTCGAGGCAAGTGAAAATCTGCTTTGCTCCTTCAAGTATTGGCTGCCCCAAAGCCATTCTTTCATCATGACTGACGGTCCCAAAGATCAGTTTATCGTATTCTGGGGGCAAGGCTTCGTTGTCCATGCTAATCATCTTATTCGTTATAATGGCTAATGTGCAAGCGATTCGGCAGAGAATGGTACCGCTAGGCGTCATGATACATTCCTGAGGCGAAATCATAGAATAGGCACCTGACGCAACGAATATGGGACGAATCATATCCAGGTCCTGGGCCTTTACCTCGAGCTCAAGAATAGCGAGTACCTTGAGCCTATTATATGTAGGATCGCATGCAGGTTTGCCGAGTTGCTGGCGGAAGAGTCCCACCCGTTCCCAACATGCCAGTGTAAGCAACTGCACTACCTCGGTCTGTTCAATGCCATCCGGACCCTTCTTAAACCCGACGCTGTAGCCAGACCATTGCGCTGAGAAGATTGGCTCTATATGCGTAACTTTGGCTTCTGTAACAACTGTAATATTTGTGTACGTTTTGAGCTTCTGGCGCAGAAAGGTGCAGATATAAGGCATATTGAACGTCTTTTCTGTGGTTTCGTAGCAGGCGCCGAGACCGGTTTGAAACTCGGCGGTGATGAACCGATTATACTCTGCTTTTGTTAGCTCTCGACATATTTGGTCAGGAGAGCCGAAATGTTTGTTGAAATAGTCATCGTTGGAGTACTTTTTGACGGCATGGCACCTAATTTGCTCGAAAATGGGCTTTATATCATCCGAGTCATATACTGGACGAATTGTCTCGCCCAGAATTTGTACGGCGCCTTTCATCAAAACGTATATTCCGTGTTGCGGTGCTTGGGCGAAGACATGCTTGCACCCAATACCATGAAGGAACTTGGCGAAGTTGATGGTATTCTCTTGGCAGAAAAGAGCCGTGTCTAAATGGTGATAGTGAAAGCCAAAAGTCGGTCGTCCGGGGTTCATGCTGCTCGTTCCATTCAAGGCTTCTTTTCTCTGCTCGAAAATTCGAATATTGAGCCAGGGATACCTTTCTGCAAGGTGGATGGCTTGAATTGAGCCCGCAATGCCACCGCCAATAATAGCAAACACAGGACCATTAGCTGAGGCTGTTGAAGTGTTGGGTGCTGTCATGACTGTTGATGGTAGGAAGTATATGGTTAATATTCCATGAGCTGGTTTTGACGACCTTTAGACGTTCTTGTGGGTTTCTCTTGTAGTCCAAACACTGCAAGCCCAAGCGTGAAGAGGGGAAAACAATCACAATAAAGCTTTTGTCTTGTGAGACGGGCATCTAAGACATCGTGACGTGTCCAGCAGTGTGTAACGTTAGAGGACGTTTGGGGACTCTAAGCGAGCAGAGTATACCACGTAGTCAAAATAATAAAGGAAAGCGGCTCAAAACTCCCGGGACCGGAGCTTACCCAAATGCCATGTCATTGCCGGGACTCATTGAGATAACATCTGAGACATCGCCCCGTCCCGTCCCGTAGAGCTGAGATTTTGAGTCTAACTGCCTTTACCGCCAACAGCACACCGACGCGCCACAGCCCCTGGCCTGCATCCTGGCGACCCGGTTAGTCTCGTGATTGAGAGTGTCTTAAAAACGAGACGCATTAAACAAGATGGGGCCAAAGTGAAGCTATGTACTATGGTACAATAATACAGAGTTAGTTACCCACTATCTATCGCCATCTGTTTCCGCGTTCACACTCCTCACACCACCCCAACTCTCTAGCCGTTATCATGGAGAGCATATCTACAGCCCCTCTCTGGGGTACTTGGAAGCTCGTATCTTGCCGTCTACGAACCATATCTAACGAAGGGGTTGAGTCTTTCCATGTTGGTCCTTTTGGAAGTGACCCTTTAGGCAGGATTACAATGACCCCTGATGGCTACTTTAGCGTCCTATCTACATCCACCGAAGCAACTTCACAAGGACATATTTCAAACTGGTCGACCGGCCTGGCTGAAGATATTGCGACCGTAGCTAGACCCATGGTAACTTATTGCGGACCATTCTCAGCATGGAAGGAGGGTCAGGATTCGATACTTGGTATTGACGTTGAGGTAGCACTGAACCCAACTCTAATTGGGGTGACTATGAAACGTATTTGGACTATTCAGCAAGAGAATAACAGAATACTGTTGGCTCTGAAGGGAAAGGAACAGCATACCATGCCAGTAAGCCCCAGCCTTTCATCGTTTCGTACAGCATCCTAGTGTTAACAAGTGTGTACCTGATAGAATGGTGTGACAGGTCAACTAGAACTACTCTGGGAAAAGATTCTATAAATATAGCTTAGTAAAGGCTAGGGTTTTATAATTTCATCACCGAGATTATTATTTCTCTATAGTTGTCTCTTTATAGTCTCCTGTATACCAAACTATGCTGTTGTAACTATTGTGACATTGGACGTGTGTTACTTTACCAGAGAAGTGAAGGAACAGTTAAGTCACTGGAAATGGCCAAGGAAGGGGAAAGAGGTGGAAGACACAGGAAAGGGAAGTGAATACAGGATGTATTCGGTGTATTTAGCTAGAGCAGTGCCGACCATGGAACTGGAAGAAAACAACGAATTTTACCACAACCTCTTACCTTTTGATAACACGTGTTATTAATCCTTGAACCAACAAATACTATAGATCTGTAATTTATTGAGCAGAACTTGTTTATTATTAATTACTAGTAATATAAAGGCTCGAATTGGATGTCCTTTCTACTAGCAGGCCCTAATGATTCGAGGGTACTGTTCTCGTGCGACTGTTACGTCGACAATGACCATTTTGGGGCTGTGGATCGAATAATGTAGCTGCTTAGGGCTGTCAACAAGCAAATATAATGAACGTGGCGTTTTGCTATAAAGGGCACACTATAGTTGACAAAGCCTACACATCTTACATACTAGCTACATATGCTTTGGGTGCAACGCAGTACACTATGACTTTCACTCCTAGAATGCAACAGGTTCACCTGGGACTCGGTCTATCCGACTACTTGGCCACTGAACATACCGCCACTACAAAAGGCACTCTCTGCAAGCTGGAGCACGCTGCCTACGAATTTATCCTTCTGGAACAATGCCCGGCTAGCGTGTGGCCAGGCCACTCATACACTCACGGATGTCCTCGACCAATGCTCATCGACCAAGGTCACGATAAGCAGCTAGTGGAATTTCACGAGGCACTCATCATCGCAATTACCGACATTGTCCGGCGCTGGCTATCTGACAAGGATGCCAACTTTCCTGGTCGCATGCCTTTGGAACCAGATGAAGAGCAGTTGCTACAAGTATGTTCCATCTTGGGGTTGAAGAAGTTTTATAAATTAATCATTTTTGGAGTGGTTGGACGAGCAGGTATCTCTGGGGACCTTGGCTCCTTACTCGCCATTGCAGATGGGATCGTGGCGGCCGGATTTCCTCGTTGAAGATACCAATGGCGGCCATGAAAACTTTCGACTTAGCGAGATCAATGCCAGATTTTGCTTTAACGGGTTTATGCATGGATACTACGGCCAGACAGCGCTTGAGAAGATGGGCATGACGCGGGCTGGGCTTATCGGCGCAGCGGATGGGGAGCAGGTACAGTAACCCGACTTGTACATGGTATGGTTCTAACGCTCACAATTAGTTCTTTGAAGGTTTGCTTGATCTCTTCGATCCTAACCTGCCCCTGCACTTGCTCAAGGGCGACGAGAAAGGCATTGACATCACCATGTTTATCCATGCCGTGCGAAAGCGACTCGGTTTCAGCCCTCGGCTGATCACTCCAGCGGAACTCCGGCTGTTTTCTGACCCTCAGCAACCCGGTAGAGCAAAGCTGGGTTGTCTAGCGGACCCGTCAAACGCAACAGGACCAACATTTACCACTGCCCAAGGAGAAGTTGTTGAAGAGATCCACCGCGTTGGCCTGGAGCTGCACCAGCGAGAGCTGTCTGCATTAGATCCCGCCATTTTACAGCAAGTCAGCCTGCGATGCTTCAACGACATGCGGACGATTCTGCTGGTCCACGACAAACGCATGCTCGGCATCATCAAACAGGAATTGGCGCTGCTGGTGAGCCGACGGGTTTTGTCGCCAGCGCAGGCGGTAGCTCTCGACAAGGGAATTGCGGACACGTATCTCGCTGGCTCCCAGGATCTGCATCATCTATTGCAGATTTCGCTGCTGCAGCCTTCGGTTGACCTGAAAAACGACTTCCTTCTTAAGCCGGTCCGCGGCGGCAAGGGAGCCGGCATCGTGTTCTGCGAGGATATTACTCGTGCAGAATGGCTTGCAGCTGTGCAGCAGCTGCAAAACCCGAACCTTGTGCATGGGTCTAGCATGGTTGTTCAACGCTGCGTCAAGCAGAATTTGTATAGTCTGATACTCAGGCAATCAGACGGTCAAGAGCGGTATCCCATTGTGGGCACATACCATACGGTCCACGGCAAATATCTCGGCCTCGGTACTTGGAGAAGCAGCAGTGAGCGTATCTGCGCAGTGAGCAGCGGAGGTGCCTGGTTTTGCTCGGTAATGAAGCCTACTGCAACTCGTGATTGTTGAAAGTGGCTGTAGGCACGGGCCGCTTTGAGGTCTGCAGGAGACAGCAACTTCAAGCTCACAATGCTTTTATGGGGATCCGAGAGAGAAATTTAGGATTGCAGCTGAGCAGAAAAATTTGCCAAATTGACTCTTTGTTCGCCCGCTGTATGTATGCAGGTCCGGATTGACGTGCAGCAAGCTCCGTATTTTTACATGCCGAGGGACCGAGAAAAACAGAATATAGTGGTTCTTCATATAGATGATGATATTATAGCATCAAGACATGCATCTGGCATCTGCAGTGCAAATTTAAAAAAAATGGGCACGAATTAATTCGTTCATGTACATGTCAATATATCAAGTCTTGCCCCATCCAGCCCTACTCATAGACATCTGAGCATCGTATAATGCGTCAAGTTTCTCACAGTATGGGAGAATGGCTTTTGTAGTACACTCGACCAACTATGATTCGTCGCAGAATACAAAAGTACGCAATGTAATCATAACCATAGATAGAGATAGGTGTATGCTGACTACCGATAGACTTGCTTCTCAACCGCCACGTCCCGTCGCAGCGCCGTTAGCCCCGTGCCGATTTCTGAATCGCGCACTAAGCTTCACTAGCGCACATGCTGCGGTGCCTCAGATCAACGCTAGCCAAGTTGGGCTCGCTGGAGACGGCAGGCATGTCCGGGCCATCGCCGCGCAGCTAGAGGCAGAGGGCATTCTCAAGATCAATCTCGGCTTCCAAGACCCAAGTAGCAGGTATCTCGAGCACATGCTGGCCAGTCTACACAAATTTCACAACCACCGGCTTCCCATCTCGCACAGCGCAACCCGCGGCTGGTTCTGGGATGTGCGGCCGGCAAAGACGGACTTCCAAGGCAGCCAGCAAGCGCGGTCCGAGACAATGGAGGATTTTCCGTGGCATACAGACTGCAGTTACGAAGACCCGCCGCCGCGATACTTTGCGCTGCACGTTCTTGCGGCGGACCGCTTTGGTGGCGGCACATTGTCCGTGGTGCCCGTGCATCGTGTCGTTGAAAGTCTCGACGATGCTACAATTGCGCAGTTGATGCGGCCCGAATACCGCATACGCATCCCGGTGGAGTTTCTCAAGAACGCCGAGTGCCGGCACATTGACAAGCCGCTGCTACTGCGGTCCGCAACAAAAGCCAGCGCGGTGATGATGAGATTCCGAGCAGATATTGTGACGCCACTCAACGCCACGGCTGCACGGGCCTTGGAGGACCTGCAGAAGCAGCTGAAATACAAGGCTGCAGATGCTGCTATCCACTTGACAGCGGACAGGCTACCATCTAACAGTATTATTTTGATTGATAACCGCAGGTGGCTACATGCGCGTAGCGCCGTGACGGACCCGTGCCGCCATCTGCGCCGTGTGCGCTGGGATGCGACTCCGGTTTGGTGAAAAGAAAAGAAAAGAAGACGAAGAAGAAGAAGAAGAAGAAGACGAAGAAGAAGAAGAAGAAGAAGAAGAAGAAGAAGGAAAAGTTATGGTAGCAGAACTATTTATGTAGATTTTTTTCTTTTCCTTTTTTGGTGATTGGTAGTCTATTTCTGTGGATATAGAGGATGACAACTGGAGTAAAGCTTTGACTCCAAGCAGCGTCTTTTTCACACCAATAACATGCACCACCTTAATATGACCACTTATAGAATTAGGTTAGATTTAATTATCTCAGTGGAGGCTTCGTATAGCCCCTAATCTCGTTTAATGATGTGGCGAACTATATGCCGGTCTTGCAGCTACGCTTCGGAAGCAACAATGCCATGTGTTAATCTATCTTCTAGTTTGCCAATACATAAGCCCGAGTCTTGATAGTAATATGATTTACTCTTGTATGAGAACTTGAGGACCTGTGGGATGCAGAGATAGAATCTGCTTGTGCTGATATACCAAACTTCCGTTTTCGCCGCATCAAGATGGAATATTCGCTGTATTCCCTTCAAAATGTTCTCTCTGTTGCTAAAGTCCACCCATACTACAACAACAGCATAGAATATCCGCTTAGTAGAGATGCTTTGCGGGAACATATCAAGAAGGAAGCAGCAGATACGTCGTCTGATATTGCAGAATGGCCACTGCTTCGGAAGAAAACACTGTACGCATATTTCCAGCTTCCAAATACCCAAAGTGCTAACAAATTCCAGCTACAACACCATTGCACGACTTGTAGACGATATACGACCGGAAAACACCTACCGGCACGCCATGTACACCAGCATCACTGGCGGTGGATCTGGTTCAAAGCCGCTCTTCTTCGCCACGGATGCCGACGAAAACAGAAACCAAAGAAAACAATTCGGCGGACTAATAAAAGCCTGCGGCATTATTAGAGACGGTGATTGGGCCCTCACCATACATACGACCGGCGAACTCTACCGAGCCCTAGATCTAACGCTGGAGGTTTTGGAAAATGCTGGCGCATGCGTGCTCGGCGCTGCCAATCGGATGGGCCTTGACGATGTTGTGAAGTTGCTTATCCAATATAATGTCAACATCTTGACAGGAAATAGCAGCCAGATGGTGCATCTAGCAGGGTTCATCTCCACACATCCAGACCGCGCCAAGCTCAAATTGAACAAGATTATCTACACATCGGAAGTCCTCACAGTATCACAGAGAAGGTTTATCAAAGCTGTACTTGGAGACATCAAGATATGCTCGCTCCTGGCTAGTGCAGAAGCCGGTCCATGGGCAGTTTGCAACCCAGACATCACTGGCGAAGCCACAGAGAGTGCCGCCGACTTTATTTACGATAAGAGAAGCATGCTGTTGCAAGTACTTCCTATGTCTGCGGCAGTGGAAGACTCCAAGGACCAAACGCCTTTGTTGCAGGGCGAGCGCGGCATCATCGTGCAGACATCCCTTGCTCGCCTGCGTAATCCGCTTGTGCGCTACGTAACTGGTGATATTGGGTCTCTTCACCCACTGCCAGAAGCGGCACGGCACTTGATCCCCGCGTCTGAATGGCCTCATCTCCAAGTTGTGCGTCTCGAAGGTCGTGACAAGAGGTTCAGTTTCGACTGGGACGGCAAGTATTTTGATTTTGAAGAGTTGACCGCCATTATGAATGAGCCCAAGTATTCTCTGTTGCACTGGCAAGTTATTCTCGACGTGGCACAAACCGGTGGATGCGAGTCTTTGCTTGAGATACGTCTACTGAGCGCAGCAAGTAGCCATCTTCGCCAGGAGCTTGCTGCCAGAGTAAAAGCTTTTGTTCACGCCGTGGAGACCAACGAATACAAATTCAAGTTGTTTTTTGTAACAGACGTGGATGAGTTGGAGAGAAGTGATACTGGTGGAAAGGTTATCAAGTTTGTCAATAGATGTAGCTAGACAACATAGCTACAGAGTATATTTTAACTAGAGACTGTCCATTTTAGTCAGATTAATACAAAGATGGTCAAAATCTGTGCTCATTTAGTATGTAATGTATCATTCCGAACAAGGGCTATTTGAAACTGTTGGTTCAAGGATTAATAACACGTGTTATCAAAAGGTAAGAGGTTGTGGTAAAATTCGTTGTTTTCTTCAAGTTCCATGGTCGGAACTGCTCTAGCTAAATACAGCGAATACATCCTGTATTCACTTCCTTTTCCTGTGTCTTCCACCTCTTTCTCCTTCCTTGGCCACTTCCAGTGACCTATCTGTTCCTTCACTTCTCTGGTAAAGTAACACACGTCCAATGTCACAATAGTCACAACAGAAACAATAGGTAAAAAACAAAAAGTAGCTGTAAAGTCTAAGATACATCTGTGCTTTCGGAGAAATAGCTATACCTCAAGCCCCCATGGATGACTCCAGCAGGGACGGCAACGCTCATTAGACTCATGATGTTGATGTTCACGCGTCAATTGGCATCTGTGGAAGTGAAATGAGGGATTGACAATGACAAACAAGAGCTTTCCTTTTCAGCTGCAAGCCATTACACATTACACACCCAATTAGACGAGCACAGGATGCGGCCACCTGGAGCGGCCACCCTGCACCCTGCAGCCACAAAACAATGACATACTACATTATATATATTAACAGCTCATGGTCCATATACGAAGCAAAAAAATACATCATCATTATCATTATTATTATTATTAGGCTAATAGAAGCTATCTAGCTTATCTAGCTCTAACTATGTATATTATAGGGGAAAAACAAAGAAAACCCTATATTTGGGTTGGCCGCGGTGGGTCCAGGTCGGGCATCGTGGGCCTGGTACGCTGCTGTGAGGTAGCTGATTCGGCCCGTGTCTAGTAGCCATCGTGCTAGTCGCGCGGCGCTGTCGGGCGAGTCGTGCCTGTCCCGCGGCCGCGATAAGGTCCGAGGAGTCCTGGGTTTCGCGGCCGAAGAAATCCTAGCTCGGGTGGTGGGTGTTGAAGTCGCCGACGATAACGTGTGGGGTGTTAGTGGGGAGATTGTTGAAGAGGGTAATTACGTCGAGGACAGAGATGGCTCCGGATCGGTACAGGTTCGTGATCGAGACGGAGCCGAAGTGGATAGTGGTTGAGAATGCTGTGGATAACGAGCTCCAGGAGTGTATAGGGTGGCGTTTGTGTATGTATGTGGCTGTACCATTGTCAGTGAAAACGACGTTGTAGTTCAAAAGGGCCGACGCGGGGATGTGACTGGTCCGGGTCGGCTCCTGGAGAGCGACGATGTCGAAGGCCTCAGGGCAATAGAGTGCGATGTCGATATTGGCTGGGCTGTTCTGTGTATTCCAGCTAAGAATACTAAGCATCTAGTTAGTCGGGCATGGTTATGTCGGTCGTCGGGCCTGGGGTGACTGCTGGCTCTGGGGGAGGCGCCATAGGATTCTTCTGGGTGCCCCCCGGGGCCTGGGAGGACCCGAACGGCGGGTTGGGGGTGTCCGGGCAAAAGTTGATCTTGTTGGTCTGGGGGGGGGGGAAGGGATTTGCGTGGTCGACCACGTTGTCGCTTGCGGTCTGGGCCCGGCGTGTCGTCCGGGTGCATATAGATAACGGTTGGTGGTGGTGGTGGCGGTAGGTTGGCTACGGGTGCGTCCTGGAACCGGCGCGGGCGCGTGCTGTAGGCGGCACGCGCTCGCTCCCATTCCCGATCGGCGACACGACAGGATCGTGCCCAAGCCGGGTGGTCCTTATTGCAATTCGGGCACTTCGGTGCCGTGGAGGGGCAGGGAAGGGACCGCTTTGTACCCTCGACGAAGCCGTGGTGGTCCCCAGAGCAGGAGCCGCAGATCGCAGGTTTGGCGCACTGGCGAGATTGGTGGCCGAACTGAAAGTAGTTGTAGCACTGGAGGGGCCGGGCCGCAGCCGTGTAGGGCTCGTAGTCGAAGAGCTGGCCGTCGATACCAAAGCCTCGGTCGCAGAGCTTATTGGCGGTCTCTATGTCTGTTACATACATGATGAAACTGCGCTTGGTGGCTCCGGGTCGGGCCCGGGCAGGGATCACCCTTTGGAAGGAAATAACGTTCTGCGCAGCTACGCCGTGGATATCGAAATCGGGATTGATGACCGCGGGCGGTACGCCTCTTACGATGACAGCGTGTTCAGTTCGGAGCCGAGTCGCTCCCGTGCCGAATACATGTAGCAGCCAAGCCTCGTCGATCTGGGAACTAACAGCTGCGGCCGCGAAAGTGAGGCGTACGTCGCCAGAAGGGAGTGTTCGGGCAGCTATTACCGTGTTATTTCGAAGCACTGAGTTGGCGCGCTGGATAGTATCGTGGCTGGACCGGCGCCGGGTCGCCTCCAGGCAGTTCGCAACGCGGACGGTGACTTCATAAGGTTCGGCTTTGTTTAGGGCTTTAGTATTAGTCTTGTCGGTAGTAGATGGCTTGGTGGTGGAGGCGACTTGGGCCCAGGTCGGTTGGGATTTGGACTGGAGGAGGGTTTCCTTAACGACCTCCCGGATGACATCCCGGGTAAAGGTCGGGTCCGCCGTGGCCCCGTGTAGGGGGTGATAGTCGAGGGAACCTAGTGATGTCCTGGCGAAGGTGTCGATAGCGTCTACCGCTTCGGGCTTATTGGTGTCTCCTACCAGCCGGAGCAGTTTCGTTTTAAGAGTAGATATATAGGAAAGAACCTTTTCCTTCGTCGGGTCTGTTGCGGCTTCGGCGCGCGCCCGTGCCTTCTTCGGGGAGTTTCCCTGGGAGGCTCGTTTTGTTGGCGAAAAGACCGATTGACTCAACGCTCCTGCCGCGGAGCCTGCGCGGCTACGTGGAGGGCCCATAGAGCTATATTGCTATGTTATCGATAATATAAAGGGTCGTTTAGCAATTTTAGTAAACAATGAAGCAAGCAATAGTCGATTTCAGGAATCTTCAAAGTCGATGATTGCTTAAAATACATATATATTTTATTTCAATCTGAATTATTTTGTAAAAATATTAGACATACCTGCTTATGTGATGCGATGTATATAACTTACAAGGTGCTGGCTCTGTAGCCTCTTCCACCAACGGCTTAGCTTCGCACTCTACAGTAAGACTCCCGGCATCACCATGCATAACCTTACCTCATTAGTTTCACCATCTTGAAATCGCCTCACCTCACATTACGTCACTGCCCATCTTTTCACATCAATCCCGCGGCATCATGTCCCATGACGATGGTGATGTCGTTCCAGAAGCAGACCAGCTCTGCCTCGATATCCTCGCTGGCACTGCCGTGCCCACCGCTTCACAATGCACCAAGACCAAGGGCTATAATGAGCTTAATCCAACCCACCTCTGTTTCATTTCCTCTGTCCGGCGCCGCCTCGAATATGGCCCGCGGCCTGATGTGGTCTTGCTGTGCACTTCGCCAGGCACCGACCCCGCGCTGGCACGAGCTTACTATGCCCGTCTCATTATGAGCAACACCGTACCCGATATCCCTGAAGCCAGTTTCCCCTCGGCGCCTCCATACAGCATTTGTTATCCAGATATCGCTTCTGAAGACACCTATCGTGCCGTGGCGAAGCGGTACCCGGGTCTTCGATACCAGGTGGGCAGGGCGTGTGCGGTTGCGGGATATGCCACGCTCTATGAAGAGCTAGATCTACTTCCTGATGTTTAAATTGCGGAGGAGGCGCGAGCAGCCGCATCTTCTTTGGGTTCAGATTTATCTACCCTAACAACTGCGTATCCCACCTCCTCAGACATTATCCTCAAGGCCATCATGCGCCAACCTACGCGCTACCGTGTAATGGACGACTACACGGCCAGCATCTTCCCATCGCCGCAGCCCGGTGCATTCATTAATAACGATACAGCACTCTTCAAATCTCTATCATTCCGCACTGACTTTCGAGAGGCGGACAGGAGCTTTCAGACTCAGCTATTGGAACATTGCCGAGGACTGGTCCGTCGGCCCGGAGGCATCTGGCTCACTCGAAGATGCGGAAGGCGGAAGCGATATCCTACGTGGTGAAGAAAACGCAACCTTATTATATATGCCTCTTGGGGATCTCCCTGCACGCATCAACAAGAACACCCTCATGGCGTGTATTAAGCTGGTGGTGAACTACGCAGTCTAAAACAGGTAAGGATAAATATTGTAAAGAAGCTAGAGTATATGTAAAGGAAAGACTATGCTACTTCTACGCTCTAGATCCATTTCATAGCTTATATGGCCATAAAATATTAGCAACTTTTTTTAATTGTTACAATTATTGTAGCTTGCTTGACAGAAAGTTACCATGCAACAGCATCTTAGTTCGTAGGGCCGGTGTAACTGATCTTGACCGAGTTGCTGGTGAGGGCAGAGGTTGTGCAAAGCGCCTTCGTGCCGGGCTCCATGATCCATCTTTCAGAACCAGTCAGACCATAGTTAGCACCGCTGGCGTCCGAAGCATGAGCCTTGGTGAAGCTGAAGGTAGAGAAGGGGGCGAATGTGTTGGGGTCGCCGCCAGAGTTATCCTGGATCCATTCAGCAGTCGACTGGCAAAGCTGGGAACCAGAAGGAGCTTCCATATCGTAAGAAAAGTCCTTACCAGTGGAAAGATTTTTCATGTAGCTATTAAAAAAAAGTACTGTTAGTAACATAGTTAAAGAGAAAGATGGCTCCGTAGAGAGGAACTAGCGACTCACACGTTGCCGGTGGTAGTCGAGGTGGCCGTCACTTTGACATAGACCGAGTCACCGGGGTTCACTGCAAAAAGCTCAGTATCACTGTTAATACATATAAGTTAAGCATTACTTACCAGCCGGCTCAGTAAGCAACCAAGAGCCCCTAGGGTAGAACTCATACCAGAAACCATATGCCGGCTGATTGTTTGTCAACTGTACGCCCGGAGGCTTTAGTTAGCTGGAGGTTCTCATGGGACTTTAATACATGGGAGTGAACAAACCGTGTAGTAGGTACCAGCCTGGAGAATGGTTTGGCAGTTGGAAGAGGCACCGTCAAATCCAACCCACTGATAGTTATAAATAGGCTGGTTGGCATAGTTGGTTTTGGTGGGAGTGGACTTTGGCATGACCCAGGTGGCATCAACTTCAGTAAAGTTGCTTCCGCTGAGGACTTGGCCACACCAATTGTTGGAGTATCGATCTCTCTTGTGAAGAATTCGTCCCTCAGCCATACCCGAGGGAGTAGCGGCAGCCAGAGCGGCGAACAGGGAGGGGATGATAGTAGAGAAGTGCATTTTGGTGTGGAGGTGGAATGAGAGAGTAGAAGAATGAATAAATGGCTTTCGCTGCAGAGCTACTGAGATTATTTTCCAGAACCGGCAGAAAACTCATAGGACTTTATAGTTTTCCATGACCTCTATGATACTAAGAGCTGCTTGATCTCCGTTGTCGCACCCACGATGTCGTTGCTTCAACATCGCATAGCCAAGGAAGGACTAGCCGGCTTCCTTGTACAGAAATAGCATCCGTATTCCGATTATAGCCGCCAAGAAAGGCTAAGGTTAGCGCCATGACATACCCGACACTGCCCTGAATGTGAAGCACCTAGGTGTAGGTGGGGAAGCGGGGCTCTTGGGCCATCCGATGCGCGGAGATAATAGGGGATATGTTTTGTCCCAAAGAAGTAGGTGGCAATGTACTTGGTCACTGGGGTCGCCAATAATACGGGCCGAGTATGACAGTCTGGGGCAACTGCCGACATTATAGGAGAATAACAACTTACTGCCGCTTCTGTAAAGGCATCGTCGGATCACCCACCTAGTCGACGATTACAACTTGCCCAAGGTGGTTAGTCCGCGACCGAAAAAGAAGGTTAACACTAGGGGGGCGTTGTTTGTAGTTAGTACTGCGTAGTGCTAAGCTGAAATAGACCCTGGGGATGATCGCCGTCCTGGCTCCACCACACTCAACGCCGATAGGAGCCGCGCACCAATGAATCTGGTGCAATGGGGGACTGTGGCTTCTAGAAGAGGCAAAGGGTAGACCTGTAGCAGCCATGGGCTGCGAATTTCCACTTTCGGCATCCGCTAAACTACAAGCAGTTTGCTCGTCGCTTTCGCTCTCACAGCTACCAAGTACCGAGTGCGTGACCAGCAATCATGGCAATCCGAGCAATCACGAAGAACTGGACTTGTATATAAGTAGATAGTTACAGTAGATACCAGTAGTCCTAAGACAGGTCTTCAATGATCAATCTAAGCAATTACACTTGTTAGTTGAGGATAAGTCCTTAATGACCGCTTAACAAGATCTTTGTTACTACTGTTGACAGGCGTGGTCCACTTACAACATGGTTAACTATAGTTATAAGAGTAGCTGTAATAAAAGTATTGCTAACGTGGTTCACGAGTATGCGCCGCTCACTCGTGAAGTTTTGATAGCGGCATGATGGGAAAATGATAACATTGATGCAATATGGGTTTCGAGCGGGAATACCACTTCGTCCATCTCCATGTTGATGTGGGCGTTGTGGGCAGTGGATAGCGGCGTGCGTATCCAATTGGTACATTATTTTACAGTGGAAATTTTCTCCACACTATTTAGTGGCTTATTAAACAAACTGTGAGAAATAAGCGTTTCACAGGTGTCTGCGGGAGTGCTGAATGCCGTCCGATGTCGGCCGCAAGTACCATACGCTGTTTAAACAGCAGTCGGCATCGTGACTGTCGAATGTAGTAAAAGGACCCTAGAACACAGAGCATCTACCGAAATGAGGCTGGACAGGGCTTCTTGTCAGCACGTTCAGCTGTTGTGACAGCGTTACCGTTGTAGTCCACAGAACGTGTTAATACGACGTTGACGCTAGTGTCGGCCAACTCTGACCCTCTTTTGTGGGGTTCTTCACGCGGCTGCCATTGGACCAGAAAACAGAACAATGCTTATCAAGTTGGAGCAAACTAGGGGTAAAGACAAGCTGCCGCGGAGATCACTCAAGCTGGCCACTGATGGACTATGCTTAAGGTTGTAAGTGGCCCCCTATGTGGAGGCGTCTACTGTTGCTACTGTACGTTATCTGGCTGGAGGGCCAAGATAGCTGTTCACTGGTGGTCAACGGGGTCCCTACGACATCAACGTTGATTTGCACCCTCTTGACTCGTGCGTGTTTGAGAAGTGCCTTGTTGTTCGACTTAGTCTTGATGTCTGCCAACGTATACCATCGCCTTAATTTCATCTTTGTAGTTGTATGTTCACGACAACAAAATCGCTGCGCCGTGGTAAGATGCAGATGCCACGGCCAGTTGGCTGCGCAGCCCGCTGGAGTGCCAGGCGCGTGATCTGGCCGACAGTATGCGCGCTCAGGATAAGCTTACAATCTTATCATATGACGGACAGTTGCTAGCGTCCTCCTGCTTCTGGAAGGTCGCAGCTCGGCGTGGCACAACCGAAGCTCGCTTGAGAGTCGTGGCAGCAGGGCATTTGGACGGCAATAAGCGGAGTCCAGAGAAGCTTGCGCGCGCTGAGAGCCTAGATGGAGAACGAGGGGGGTGTTCTCAGAGCGGACTAGGCTTCGGGGTAGCCGCGCAAGAAGGTTTACTACGACGTAATGGGAAGTTGAGGAAGGGGGCTGGATATGGGAAAGAGGAGAGAAGAGAGGAATTGGAGTTTGTAGATGGTTGATATACAGGGTGAAAAGAGCGTAAATAAGAAGGGACAGGGGATAGAAGGGGACGTTTCAAGGTTAACATGCAATCCAATATTCGCTGGAATTGCGCAATTCTAACAAGGGCTACCAGCAGTTTGGCCGGCCTCGCCCCCACAGCAACCTATCAACGAAGCCGGAAAAGGGTGTCATCAAGCAAAAGTGTGGGGATTGGTGGTGATGGCAGCTAGTCCAATAGACAAGCGTGTCCGGGGCAGGAGAAGTCAAGTGTATAAGAACCATCCCCGTCTCTCTTATGTTTGGCCGCGAATAGTATCATCCAGTAGCCTCTTACACACACACCCGCCACCACACACAATGCACGCTGCCTTGCTCACCTTTGCCAGTCTGGCTGCTTCAGCTATAGCCGTTATCCCTCCTACCAAGATGGGGTGTCTGACTACGCCGCCTAGCACCATTCAGAAGGAAGTTCACCAGAACCTTGCATTGATGGAAGCTGCTGCGGCCAGCTCCGTCAATGCTCTGGTGGCCCGGGCCACCGTCTACGTCCCGACGTATGTGCACGTTGTGTCTGCCTCGAACCAGGCCAGCGATGGTTACCTGAGCGTAAGTTACCTTGTGTTATGGCCCCTTATACGACCGTTGTACAATATGTGATTGTAGCCAACTGTCTGTAGTCCTCTACCATCACCAAGCAAATGGAGATGCTTAACCAGTACTTCCAAGGTACCGGATTCCAATTCACCCTCGAGAATACCGACTGGAACGTCAACTCCAACTGGGCCTATAACAACGACGAGTACGGCATGAAGAAGACTCTGCGCAAGGGAGACTATCGATCCCTCAATCTCTACTACATCTCGGACATTGGCAATGGTAACACTGGTTTCTGCAAGTACCCAGTGACAACCTCCACTGGCAGCGACGACTTTTACTACGACGGCTGCGTCATGAGCGCGTGGACCGCGCCAGGTGGCGTCTCTCCTAGCGGCAGCACCATCTACAGCACAGGCAAGATCACCGTCCACGAGGTCGGCCACTGGAGCAACTTGATCCACACGTTTGAAGGCAACGACTGCAACGGCTACGGTGATTATGTTGATGATACGCCTGCTGAGGCCAGCGCTGCTTATGGCTGCCAGACGTCCAGAGATAGCTGCCCGGACCTACCAGGCAACGACCCCGTCACTAACCATATGGACTATTCTGACGAGTGAGTTTCTTTTTCCCTCCTGGTAAAGAAATAATGATGACAACTTGCTGACTGTCTTTAAAATAGTAACTGCAAAACCCAGTTTACACCAGGTCAGATTGACCGCATGGTTTCAAGCTACAACTATTACCGCCTCAATTCACAGTAGGCGATTGGAGGTGGGCATATGAGTAGTTTTGACACATAGTGTCATGTTAAAGTGTTGAAGCATTGAAGCGTTAGGAGCAAGAATCATTTGTCTGTAACTGTTGTGACTATTGTGACATTGGACGTGTGTTACTTTACCAGAGAAGTGAAGGAACAGTTAAGTCACTGGAAGTGGCCAAGGAAGGAGAAAGAAGTGGAAGACACAGGAAAAGGAAGTGAATACAGGATGTATTCGGTGTATTTAGCTAGAGCAATTCCGACCATGGAACTTGAAGAAAACAACAACGAATTTTACCACAACCTCTTACCTTTTGATAACACGTGTTATTGACCCTTGAACCAACACTATCCTTGGGCTGCCTATGAATCAGAATTTCGGGTATTCATATGCGCAAGATGTTCTGGGTGATGCTTCCCACGAGTTTGCCGCAACAGCTTCTCGGAAATTCTACGGCCTGCAATAAACAGTCTGCAACAAGTTAATGGTATTGAGGACGAGTTAGCAAGCTACTTATCACGCATATCCTATAAAACTCGCCTCTTCTTTACCAATGAAGGCTATATAGGTACAGCACCAGCGTGTGTAGAAGTTGGTGATGAAGTTATAGTATCCAATCATTGTCGGGTACCATTGCTTCTACATAAGCATGGATCAATTTATCGGTTTGTTGGGCCATGCTTTGTACTTGGTATTATGAATGGTGAGCAATTTCAAACAAGTCAAGAGCTTGAAGAATTTACAATCTGCTAGCAATTGTTACGCGTAAAGGGGGCATAAAACAGGAAATTGTAACAACATTGGCTAAGTATATTCACAATTATCTATGCAACTGTTACGAGCAGCCGCAAGCAGAGAGAGCAAGAGCAAGCGAATGACTAGCTTAGCTTACTAGAGCACGTCGATTCTCAGATGTGATATAGTTTAATTAGTTATGGCTCTTTTTAGATGCCTACACGAATACATCACGGTACATCAATTGAATTCACATTGTCCTCCCTGTTAATGGATACAACCTAGTGCGCTGATTGCCATCCATCAGCCCTGGGCTAATTGGCAGAGATGTGACGAATACCCTTTTTAACGTCACCAAATACGGCGCAATATTGCAAATATGAGGCTAGTCAAAATTAACTATTACAACAAATAGCGGAAGTGGCTCCGGAAACTGGGGCTCCGGGATCAAAAAAAGGAGGATCGCACCACCTTTGCCTTATCTCCATCATTTGATTTTGTTTGTTAAGTTTTAAGGGTGCCATATGGGGTTAGGAAGAGAATGAGACATGTCGCAAGGCTGCGTTTGCGTTTTTGGGTCCAAGTGGATGAGTCCGCAGGTATCCAACAGCGCTCAGTCACTATGTGTTACATAAAACAAGAGAACAGATGTTCGATAGTCGAGTTAAACTGAATCGTACCCTAGGCTTCAAATTTTGAAACCGCCATGTTTTCAAATATGCGGTTCATCCAATAGCGTGTTTGAGGGTCCAATAGGAATGCGTCAAACGACAGTTTACATGTGAGGGTTGAAACCTTATCGCAGACATGTAATTAATCGCCGTGATTAATTGAAACTGAATCCGGCCGCCAGATTCATAATCTGAATCGTTCCTCTCCAGGATTAATTAGGTTTCAATGATTAATTAAAGTGGAGAGGCACCTCAGATAAGATATATATTATTTGCTGGCTTTTTACGTTACCCCTTGCTGGTGTTCTTGGCCGACACTTCCAATTGGTAACTCTTCGGCCTTTTCTTGGTGGCTGGAACCAACGCAGCAGACTTCGTACCCTTCCCTCTACCGGCTCGCTATCAATATTTTTTCGATACCTGCAATGTCAGCAGAGGCGGAGCGAGTATTTAGCGGAGCGCGGCGGACAATCTCTTGGAACAGGAGCCGGCTATCTGCGCAGGTGGTGGAGTACACGGAGTGCTTAAAACACTGGACCAAGAATGGGCTTCTGGATCGGTCGTGGGTGACACCAGATATCATGGATGCGAATTTAGCTGATACAGAAGCCGAAGTGTAATCTGAGTGGAAAGAAGGCTAATACGACGCTTTCGGAATGGCCGTTTAGGGATGGTTTACTTCTTAAAGATAATTGAATCGCTGAATCCGATAATTAATCTGAATCCTCTGTTGGATTCAAATTAATCGGATTAATTACATGTCTGATATAGTCGCTATCTACTCTCTTAACGGGGCTGACTAGAGGTATGGCTACGCAGGCGATACAGCTATGCTATTTATAGGCAAGACACTGGAAGAAACCTCCCGTAGAGCAGCGGAGGCTATCGCCTCCATGGAAGACTAGAGCCGTACTTCAGCTATTACCTTCGACCCCTCCAAGACCGAGATCATGCATTTCTCTCGCAAGAACAACCAGGGGTCACCATCCGTCACCCACGGGACTAAGACTATCATAGCAGCGACATCCATACGCTGGCTCGGAGTCCTCTAGACAGGAAACTCACATTCCGAGACCAGGTTATGTTCTGGAAGCAAAAGGCTGCTCGTATCGCCGGTCTTCTTCGCAGCTTGAGTAATACTATCTCTGGTATAAACCCAGCTGCGGTCAGACACGCGGTTAATACCGCCATTATCCCTGTGATCCTACATGGGATCGAGACTTGGCTTAACGACGACCCCCCTCTATCTGGAAGAGGTACAATACACCAGATCCCTCGGGGCAGACTCGATCTAATCTAGCTATGCCTTAATATTGCTTGTAGAGCAGTTCTACCTGTTTGGAAGACTACCCCAACTACCTACCTATGGAAGGAAGCGGGCATCCCTCCTGCTAGCGAACTAGTGAAGGCAGCCCGTTCTCGTATCTCCCTCCGGACCGCTACACTAGATGAACAACACCCTCTTCGGGTCCGACTTGATGACCTCAACCGACGCCTATCCCTCGAACAGCTCCCGGCGGCCAGCACTATAGTTGCGCGGAGATATGTCCGACTCTTACGAATCGCACGGCTACACGAGGATATCACGAGCTCCTAATTAATTCCAGACTGTTTTAACACTCGGCCGTAGTTAGAGGTATTGGAGGCACGGCCCCTATGTCGTCCAGGTCTGAATTACTCGACTTCCAGGCGATCGGCGATAGACTACCTGGCAGAGTGACTGTTAGATGGACACCTGGACACAAAGACATACCTGGTAACAAGGCAGCAGACGGCCTCGCCAAGAAAGGCGCTGCGAAGCCCCTCCGCGAGCTCCCCCCCTCTATCGCGCAACGCAAACGGGAGGTAAAAGGCCTACTACTCAACCCGTACAAGGATTAAAAGCCACACGTCTTATGCTACTCTATAGCGCTAGATAGACGTAAATATACTACTACTACTATAGCTACAAATGTGAACACTCTAGCAGATCCTATAATATTCAGTGGATAATCACTTGCTTCGTTTCGTAAAAGTCTTGTCCCAGGCGGGGGGGATTCAATGCAATGGCGCTGGAATTCGGAAAATACACCCAAACTAGTCCAGATTAGGTACTGAGCAAGGACGATGAAGTCCAATATTTACCCACCACCTATGACTATGAAGAACGTGTGCCATTTATTAATTGGGTATAGGACGGATTTGTTAATTGCACTTATGCACAATCGCAGATCATGATTTAGATCCTCCCCCAGCTATTGAATATTTATATTACAGATACAATAAATTGCCATGGGCACGATCCCGTTGAGCAAAACTCTAGCTGCAACCCCCACCTCGAGGTGCTAAAGCACACTTGAACCGCGCAAGAAAAGACATGCCTCGCTGAACTCGCCTTAGCAGGGCACCTTTTAAACAAAAGAGCCTACAGAGGTACAGCAGAGGCTTAACTAAAGTATAATTTGAAAGCACCTATTCCCTTTCTCTTTTTTTTTTCGTCCTTTTTCTTCGTACATTTATCGCACCTATTCCGCACCTTGGTCGCACTTTGTGCCCCCTTTGTGCCCCCTTTGTGCCTCAGTCTAGCCCTCTTCCCGAACAAGCACACAGGCCAGCTAATTTACCATAAAACGGCAGCAAGCAAGCATAGCCTTTTCGCAAATTTGTTGTGCCTGTAGCAATCTACTAGAGTGCGCCATACCAACGAGAGGCTTGCTGTGACCGCGAGGGTCTAGCCCGAGTAAGCTGTCTCGGCGCGTCCAGAGGATGACCGTTGCGCACGCATAAGTCAGCACCTTGTTGAGATTAGCGCAAGCCCTCCACTTACTCAGATTGCTGGTGACAGTGATGGGGGCGCTGAGAGTGGCAGCGCAAAGCTTGATTGTTTGTTTTGTTCGGCGGCCGACCCACCTCGCCGCCCGTTGACGACCCCACCTTTCTGTTTCGACCGTCGCGCTAGGGGAGATCATTGCGCTAGGGAGGACCAACCAGCCACGCCCCATCTTGTCCAAATACATATCCTGAGCCTGCTGGCAGGCAGTACATGTACCGACAACGGGTACGAACGTCGTTATTAATCAACAAAATTCCATTTTATTCCATTTATATTTAGCTCTAGTTTGATTATATTCGGTGCAGAGTCTTATTCAGAGAACAGGAATTTACATCACCTGTAGCCATTGCTGCTCCGACGTAACTGTTGAATTTGTGTTGTTAGTCCCTCCAGCGCCTATGTATTTTTTTTGACATTGATGTTAGCGTTAAAAAACTTGGTGTGGCAAAAAATTGTTTTCCACCCTCTGGCGGTTCATCCAGCGGGGCCAGGTGGTATCCCTGCGCGATGCTTCCTCCAAGTCGCACTGTGGTGGGTGGTGCAGCTGTACGATGTTGCCGTCGTTTAGGCGGAGATTTGTTTGCTTAACCTTGTACTGGAGCAGCGCAATAGACCGACCAAGAGAGCTACAATGCAGCTAGTCTTGGTCGTGCTCTCAACGCCCGGTAAAGTAACGTAGTTGACTCCGCAGTGCATGCAGTCGACTTCCTGGAGAGTAGCCAGCTCCCTGTAGTTCCAGCTTGCGGGCGCTACCGTCAATGACTTCGGCTGGGGCTCTCGTTGCTACCTTGATTATGTAGTTGCTGTAGAATCATCTAGCTGCTGTCGCCACCGACGCCGGGACACAAAGCCGTATTAGCATATACAGTTCCTTTGGCACAGAGGATTGAAGCGACGACGGTGACATTGCGGTTAGCCGAAGAGCTGTCGTCGCTACGAGTGCGAGCTTCTACGTCTACTCCTTTTCTTGCGGAAAACTAGGTTACCAATAGCTCTGGTAGAAACAACGGAGACCACCAAAAGAAGCCCAAAGGGGTTTTGAGGGTCCGCCGTGGTACAAAAACCACGTCCCTCCATTTTTGGTTTAGCGTCCAACTTTCACCAAGAGACAGCCGCGTACCTGAGGTCCTCCGACCCGGTCCCACAATTTCTGTTGCTTTTTTGTCGCCTTTTTTTTTTGGAGGGGGAGGGGAGGGGCATCAAACTCTCCCCGCACTTCTCCAACATTGCCAAAAAAAAAAAAATCCGCCTTGTGTATTAAACCCCCCCCTCAGCGTTCCACAGCAAGCCTTTAGCTTGCAATCCCCCCGAAAAGGGAATCGAGGTGGTGGCCTTGGTACTTTCTACTGTCTCTCTCCTGCGTGTTTTTTTTTTAATTGCAGCCAGCCACAGCACTAGATTTGGTAGAAGTGGCCGGGACTGTAATCCGTTTCTGTAACCAGCAGCAGCGTACGCCATCATATTAGTGGTAGGTAGAGCTGAACCTCTCCTGGGCAACGTTTGGACACGCTACATGGCAAATAGTGGTTGCAAATGAACAACGTCGAGGGGCAACCCGCTAAATTGGACAAGTGCTTTTGTATTTTTGGTGCTTGCGGTTTTGCTCGATGCATTTTGTCTACCATGCAGGTTATGCTCGTGAGATTAGCCTTGACCAAAAGCCATGTCATCGGCGTTTTTCACCAACGTCAGACGTCGAGCCATGAGCCAATGGCAGAGCCCTGACAAAAGCCGGCGGCCCTATCAGTCGCAGCTATGACGGCACCCGGAACACCTTAACTAGGAGGGACATCTGCGCTGGCCGAGCAATCTTAGGCGTGCGTCTCAGTTCATATGCACCCCCCAAAAAAGGGTTCCTTCATACCACCACCTGCGTGACCTATGTGTTGAAAACAGCCACCTCGAATTGTTCGGTACATGGAAGAATAGCGGCTAGAAAAAAAAGCGCACTGGTTGCTTCCGGGCGATACATACAATGTTACCTAGTCTAAATAGACCAAAGACGATCTTTTTGGACTTTTTCCTTGGCGTCTCATTCGTGACGGACGGGACGGCCCAGGGGCCCGTTGTCTGGCGCCAGTCGTCAAAGCCAGCCATGCAACGATTGGTGCTCAAACGTCATGGTCGATGAGCTCCGTTGCACAGTGCGTGCGTTTTTGGGTTAATCTCTAGCCGGGACGCTGAACTCCAAAAATTTGGCGCCTCTTTTGACCCTCACCACCTCTACCTCTGGGCACAAGGCACAGACTTAAAAACTGCAGCTTCCGCCCTCCCCACAATGTTGTGCAAGGCAACACAACAGGTTCCAAGAACCCGAATCGCTCATTCGCCCCTTTTTGTTCCTTTCTTTGATCCTTTCCTACATTCTACCTTGAAATAACGTACGACTTGCTGCGACGCTATGAACCGGTTTGCTGCCGACACATTCCTTTCCCCCAGTGGCCCACGCACACCACTCGGTCAGTCTCCCTCAACAAGCAACGCCGAGTCCGCGTGTCACACACCGTCATCCTGGGCGGCCGACTCCTCTCTCTACACTGCACCATCCAACCAACCATCGCTTATTCAACCTAATAAAACACAAGAAATCAGTCCGGGCACAAGCATCAGCACCTTTCAAGCCCCCCCAAATCTTCATCGTGCTCCCACTTTCCCCACGTCTGCCCCGCGACAAAACACACCTCAATCGCCAACCAAGAAAGACTGGGATCGTCTAAAACCCGAGATTATTTCGCTCTACCGAGATCATGGCAAATCGCCCAGCGCTATAAGAGCAATATTGATCAGAGACCACGCCATTGATGCAAGGTAGCTGAATCCTACACGCCTCCTTCTCCATTTGTCCCACTAACGCACAACAGTCCTCGGCAAATAAGCTACCGTCTTCAAAAGTGTTGGAATATCCCGCTAAATACAAAGACAAACAAGCATTCCAGCGCGGTGCCGCACTCGCTCCGACAAACAGCACAAGGCAATGAGGCAGCCATTTCCCTGGGCGGGAAGCTTGTCCCAGTGGAAAGAACCAACAGCCTCCAGAGTAGCACAGGTGGCTGCATGACGAGCAACAGCCTTCCGGGTAAGATTCATGATACACTCCTCTATCAACTACGCTGACCACCACTGGTTTCAACTCCCTCAGGCATCACCAATGATACTCCTTCCATGTCTGTCGTTGGAATTGCATCGGAGCAGGAGCAGCAAACGACGCAGAGCTCATGTCCTGATCCACTACATCCCAATGCGTCATGGATACTATCAGAATTCGAAGGCACTTTTGACGAGCAGTTACTGGCTGCAACTCACATCCCATACACTTCACAGCCGCCCATGTCTGAGCCATTCACATCAATGTATAACTTCCCCCCTGGCATGACTGCCAACGGCACCTCGGATGCAACAGAAGCACAAGACCACTATGGCCTTGGTGCTAGCTCGAGCATCGATAGTATTGAGGAAAAAAACTTCAAAGCTAAATTCCCTTCGGACGAGCTGCGCAAAGCAATCGATGCCGAGGACAACAACCGCTTTAAAGCTCTTGTGCGGCTTGTCATACAGGAAGACGAACAGCGCAATTATACCAAAAAGTTGGCGATGCTTGCACAAAAGGAGTTGACACCTCTTGTGCTTAGCATTATACAGTGCGGCAATGCTGGACTATTCAAATTCTTAGCCAACCGCGAAATGATTGACTTACAGCAGAGCAAGGACATATACTTCATGGTGGCTCTTGTTAATGGGCAGTATACAATGGTGCGCGACATTATCAAGCGCCATAGGCTCAATCTGCTAGATCTGGACAAAATTTTTCATCAGGCCCCTCACATTCGCAAGGCATATGATACGCAGGGCCGAGGGGCCGTGAATTTTGTCTTTGATCAGGTTTTTAAACTACATCTCAAATCTCCGAATAACGTGTCCGCCGTGCATATTGCTACAGCACTACTCCTCGACGAAAAGGTCTATGAGCTGGTCGCCCGTGGGTCAAAAATCAACGCGACAATGGCCAACAAGCAGACGGCGCTGCACATACTCTCTGTTCAAGACTTTAGCCAGCATTGTGAACGGGCCACTCGCATTGCCAAACTGCTCCTAGGTCACGGTTCAATTATCAACAACGTGGACGCAGCCGGGAATACTTGCTTACATACGGCAGCCTCACAATACTACTCCAGCTGGACACCGGCCTTTATTGAGATGCTTGTCCACTATGGAATTAATTTGAATGTACGTAACAACGCTAATCAAACGGCGTTGGAGTTAATGGCGCTCAACCTCCCGCCGGACAAGACGACGTTGAAACTGAGGCGACGTATTGCGCTTAAAGCAGCCGAGTCCCAGTGACAAGGTCTTTTTCTCCCTTTCTTCTTTGGGGAGTTCCAATTGTTTTTTTCTTTTTCTATTAATTTTACATTCTACATCGGGCGTGGGCATGGCTGTGAATCCGGCTGCCTGACTGGTCTCAAGAAAGCGGGAGTGTAGAGCGACAAGAGGATTAAAAAGCGACGATATGATGAGATACGGATTGTGACGGGAAACAGCATATACACACGACAGGGTTTTGTTTTTTTATACTAGACACTTTCTTTTTGTTTAAAATAGATTTCTTTCCATTGATTTCTTTTGATTAACTCATTTTCAAACGTCTTTTATACGCTACTCTGCTGCATTTGTACTTATAGCTAAAGCGGCTGAACATTCAAGCGCACTCACCTAAACACCACTGGCATATGCGTCCCGCAAAAACGAACAGTAACAAAAATATTCTAGTAGCCAATATTGCCTTTGGCTCTAATTTGAAAAAGGAGCTACTGTATCTTGGATACACCCATGGTTCTTAATATAATTTACTGCTTTTTGTGTAACGTGGTGCATCAAGCACCAGGCTGACGGCAGCTTTAGCTTTGGCTTCATCGACGAGTCCAAGTCTACTGGCAACATTATATACACTGATGTTGACTTATCTGATGGCTTCTGTATTATTATTTCTACTAGATATGCTATTGGTAACGGCAAATTCATCCCACTGCAATACAGCAGCATTGTCGACACCGGCGGCTCCGGCTTTGAGGTTCCTACCGAGGCTTACAACGCATGGAAGAGCCAGATCTCTGACAAGACCATCACTGCCAACACTGTCCTTCCTGACTTCTCTTTCGGCATTGGTAGCTCAGTCATTAGAGTTCCCGGTGCCAACCTCAAGGAGAAGAAGCCAGATGGTTCTTTCCGTCTTACCATTTACGATGGTGGCGACGCTACTGACTGGCTTTATATATATCGCTGTTGAAATTTTCCTCAAACTTTTCCCTCCCTGCGGCATTGCGCATTACCCAAACGCTCACGCTGCACTGTCCGCACGTAAAGTCGCCCCAGCCGTCGTCGTTGATGACGACGGTCGCCTCGGACCAACCCAAAATGTCCGTCCACTCCTCACCCGCGTGCATCTCGCCGACGTGCATGTTCTTGATGCCGGGCCCGGCGTTGCTGACCACGACGGCCATGCCGGCGGGCCGGTCGTGGGTGCCGTACCGAACCCAGCCCAGGCACGTGGCGAAGTCGAAGTAGTCGACTTGCTTGCCATACGCGTACAGCTTGCGAGCGAGCGCTAGACGCGGTAGCATGCCACCGCATGAAGGGGGGAATTCGTGCTCTCCCTTGATGCCGTACAGGTCGCCGTACCAGACGCACGGGTAGCCCTGTTCGCGCAGCAGAATGAGTGAGTAGGCGATGGGCTTGAACCAGTCTGCGATGGGGGCCTCGAGCGCCTGGTACGGCTGCGTGTCGTGGTTCATGACGAGCGTCACGGCGTTGATCGGCCTGCTCTGCACGAGCGTGTTTTCGAACACCTGGCGCAGGTCGGCAGCCTCGGCCTGGCTGATGGCGCTGAAGTTGTGCACGAGTGGCGCATCGAAGAGCGAGAACTTCTGGTCCATGTGGTCGAGGTAGTTGTTCATGTCCTCGAGGCTGTCCTTCCAGAACTCGCCGACAAAGAACCATCCACTGCCGTGCATCTCATCCATCTGCTGCACAAACTTCTTCAGAAAGTTGGCGCTAAAGTGCTTGATCGCGTCGAAACGAATACCCTTGAGCGGAAGCGTGTTCGTGATCCATTTCCCCCACGCGAGAACGTCCGACACGACTTCCGGATGGTCATAATCCAGGTCAGATCCCATGAGAAAGTCGAAGTTGCCCTTCTCGCCGTCCACGTCCGGCACAGCAGCCCAGAGACCGTCAGACTTTTCGCCTTGAATTTTGAAAATGGCTGTCTTGTCGTCAACGGCGTTGTAGTCGACGCCGCTGAAGTGGTACCAGTGGTACTTTTGCTTGCTATACGCGTTGTCTCTGGCTTTGTAGTCGAACCCGACCCAGGCGTCGATCTCGTACTGATCGCTGACAACCTTGTTTCGGTCCTCCTCGTCAACCTCGACAGCCTGGCACCTTTCTTTGTGATCGGCTCCAAAGCGATGGTTCAAGACAGCGTCCCAGTAAATGCCAACGCCGTGATCATTGGCCGTCTTGCACAGCGCCACCAGCTCCTCCCTGGTGCCCCATTTGGTGCCAACGGTGCCTTTTTGATCAAACTCGCCGATGTCGTAGAGATCGTAGATGTCGTAGCCATTGCCCTCTTTGCTGGAGCCTTTGCATCCAGGAGGCACCCAGATGTTGTCGATGCCCCATGCCTTGAGCTGAGGGACGTGGTCCTTTAGGCGTTTCCAGTGCTTCTGGTCCGCCGGGACGTACCACTCGAAGCCCTGCATCATCGTCATGTTCTCCGGCGTCGCATCTTGCTGCGCCATGATATCACGCTTTCAGTTCTCGGAACTGCTCAAAGATTATTTACGCAATTAGATAATGATACGGCACAGCCCGCGGGGGAACTTACTAATAAAAATCAAGCAGCCCCTCCGCCTCTCACAATCGACAATGACGACATTGATTACGGCGTTGTCCCACGTGGGCCCATCAGCGTGCAACGGCGCCGTTTCTGATAACAAGCAGATGGGCCGACAATCTAGAAGAAACCTCATTCTTTGCTTTAGTCGTCTCCATTGTGACCTGATGCATGCTGCATATCTTTATATCTATGCTGGCTACTACGGTGTTATTGTTTTCAGCTCGTGACGCACTCGGAGCCAGTAGGCGGCCACAACATGGCACCGTTGCTACCATGATGCTCGCACTTGAGAGAGATTCACTAGGCATACCTCTAATACAGTATTGCATAAGCTATGTTGATGCATGGGTAATATGGACGGACTAGCGTTTCTTTGGCTACCCCCTGAATATCGACTGAGTGAGGTTGCTGTAAAATCAACAAATTTGGCGCTTGGTTATACATCAGGTCAAGTCATTGAGCCAGCTCAAGGCTAATTTCAGAAACAACTTTTATGCTTTAGTAAGGGCAGTCGAGCTCTTGAAGCACGTGGTTAGGATACAAGACATAATGCTAGCGGCGAGTAAGCCACATCGACTGGGTTGGGCTCACAACATGTGCTCGCGGAAGCTTACCAAAATGATGGCCAGTTCGAGAAGGCAATTACGGTCAATTGCAACTATCAGTAGGGGTACCATTAGCAGCACTTGCCTAACCAATGTAATTATATATCAATCGATTACGGAAGACTTGACGATGTGCTAGGCCATTAACAGCAAACCATAGCTTGCACAACAGCCCGCCTAATACCTCATGATGAGTTTAATTGGCTGACAACGGTTAAGGCTTAGAAAAATACCACGCCCTCATGGGCGTGCGTTTAGGAGCTAGGGCGAAATCAGACTTATACTGCTGAGACCGTCTTTTACGGCGGGTCATATTAAGATGCCATCTGAAACCACGCTTAAGACTAAATATGAATATTAATGGACTTACCGCCATCATAATTAACGGTTGAAAGTCCTCCGAAGTTGGAACCTAAATCTCCAAAATCGGAGGAATGGACCAGCAAATCCAGAGGAAGTCCAACCGTGGACAAGAACTGGACGGGATCCCGAATTCTCCTGTATCTATGGTCGTATGTACTAGTCGGTGCACTATTATAGATTATAGGTAATATTGAACTTCGATCGTTGGTTTATTTGGGTTGAGCTGCCTTTTGTGTTGGAGGCGCCGAGAATGCTTGAGATTCGAGTGTAATTGCCGGATACATTCTACCTCAAAATTTATTTAGAACCGAAATTACATAAATACAGCTCCATTGCGGTCTACAGTCTTTCTAAACTGTATTAACTGGCAGCAATAACCTCCCTGAACCACTTCTTGATGTTCTTTGTAGACTGACCGACCTCTCCAACAAGAGCTTCCAACAAGATGCCACTGTGCGGCTGGCCAACAACCTCGTCCAAGGCAACAATGACATCAGGGGCTTGCTTCTTCACAAGACCCGCCATGAAGCGCGCGTGATCAGCGAGCAGCTCGCGGTCGCCCGTCATGAAATAAATCTTAACCGTCACTTCTGCAAGCCTGCTGTAAACCGCAGGATCAGAGTCTAGCGGACGTGCCCATGGGTTATCAACCAACTCCAGCTTCTCTGTCTCCCCCTCTGACAGCATACCGACCGCCAATTTGCGAACAGGAGGCTCCGTGATCATGTCGTACTTTTCGTTCTCCTGAAACGACCTGGTGGTGCCGTTGGATCCGAGAGCAGGCGACATCGACACCACTCCCGCCAACGGCTCACCAAGGGTCACCCGCGGCACATCCGGGTGCGCCTTCAGCAGGTGGCCAACGAGCTGCATCGTTAGGTTACCGCCACCAGATTCCTCGCCGACAATGATATCCCGAGGAGCGAAACCTTGGCTGCGTATCTCGTTGAACGCGGCAACGACCTGGCTCAGTTGCGTGGGCATCCTGCCGCGCGGTACTAGCGTGTACTGCAGCAGCGCCACGGCGACCTCGACGCCCGTTTCGGCTCCAGTGGAGACAAAGCTCTCCCAGCAGAGATCCAGGTGGCCGGGCATCATGGGCATGACGTACCCTCCGCCGTGGTTGTACAGGACAACCTTCTTGGCGCGGCGCCTGTCCCCGAGCCAGAGGATGGCTGAATCCTTCCCAGTGGGGAGGAGTTGGATATCATGAATGGCTCTGCCCTGGAAGGCGCGCTTGCGGGACTTGGATGCGATCCAGCGTGTGTATGTAGTTCGTTTGGATGGGATAATGGCTTGCACCTCTTGCGGTTCAAGGAGCGTGAATGTAGTCTTGACGACGGCGCACACCAAACTGTACCGCAGGCCCATGCGTGCCAGCGCGGCAGCAGGAACCATACACAATATGTTGTAGGTCAGATATACTGGGACTAGGCGTGTCAGAGAAGAGAGACATTAGATATATGTCCCATTTTGCCCTTCAAGTGCTGCGTTGCGCCAGATGAGAGCTTACAGAGTACAAGAAGCTTGAACACAAGTTTTAATCGATCAAATATACTTAGAGACGGCGAGCTAGCAAAATGCGGTGCCTGTGGATATTAGTATTTGGGTTCTATTGTTACATTACGAAATTACTTGCCATTGTGACTAGGACTGCGTGGTAGGATGTTGACACTGCACACGCCGTTTGCGGGTTGGTCGAGCACTTAAAATGCAGAAGTTGCAGCAGTAGCCGAGGTTGGTTTGCCTGTATCGCTGCAAGCGTTTAAAGACCTCGGCAAATAGGTTCTTCCAAGATACTAAATCCGAGAATGTGTAATTCGAGTGTGGAGAGCGTCAGTTTGCATGGCGGGTGCCGCCGTCTACGGCTTGGGCAACGCTAGCTCGACGTTTGATGTTGTTCATTTCCTGGTCTAACCCTTTAAAGAGGCTAGAAATCCCAAATTCACAAGAAAAGATAAATCAAGCCCGTGTGACAGCACACCCAATCACGATGCCTAATATTGATTTACAGCAAACACTCCGCCGTCGCTAGAGCTCATGTCATTCTGCTAATGCTAGTGCCGTAGAAACAACCGAACCACTTGGACTAACAAAGTTACCAGCCATCACGACCATTCCATATCGGTAGTTATGTCACCCACCCAGACACTCCTCATTTCGCTCCAATACGACTGTCTCGGCCTCCATTGCGGCGAAGTGCCAGCTTTTGGAATAATGCTGTCAGCAGCCGTGACATAAGTCGAGTTCAGGTACATGAAAGGAACCGGCTTCATGTCCGACTTGCTCCGAGGCACCATGACCTTGTTTTTGAACTTGCATGCTCTGTTTATCAGACGACAAGCCATCTTAGCCGAGATGTCTGTACCTAGGGTCCAGCTCGCGTCGTAGTAACCCAGTATCGCGACGCAATTGGGTAAACCATTGAGCATGCATCCCTTCCAGACAAAGTTCTCACCAATAACGAATGGCTGCTCGTCAATCGTGATACGAATGTCGCCGCCAAAGCGCAATTTCAGCCCCGTGGCAGTGACGATGATGTCCGGTTGTAGTTCAGGCCCCGTACAGAGCTTGATGCCCGCCTCCGTCACCGTATCAATGTAACCTGTTATGATGGAAGTCTTTCCCTTGCGGAGCATTTCGTAAAAGTCCGAATCAGGTGTAAGACACAGGCTCTGGTCAAAGGGTTGATACCTTGGAGTAAAATTGGGCTTGAGGGACTCGTCCAGAGGGAGCTCGGTGCGCGTACGGGCAAGCAACAAAGCCCAACTTAGCGCCGGAAACGCGCGGCAGAAGCGCACAAAAGCGAGCATGAATATGATCCACTGCATCCGGATCACGCGAGATGCCAAGTCTGCTGGTAGGCATGCCTTGGTCACTACTTGCATGGCGCTCTCGCCTGGCACAGAGGCAATGTATGAAGGTGAGCGCTGCAGCATGGTGACGTGAGTGGCGCCTTGCCGCGCAAGCGACGGTACCAAAGTGATTGCTGTCGCCCCAGAGCCGATTACGACAACCGTTTTGTCCTCGATGTCTAGGTCCTTGGGCCAGAACTGAGGGTGAACAACGGTTCCTTGGAAGCTGTCAATGCCAGGAATGTTGGCCTGAAGCGGCGTGTCGTAGTCGTAGTACCCAGTAGCCAGGAGCATGAAGCGGCATTGAAGACGTTCCGTCTTGATACTGCCGTTTTCTCCGGCGCTGGAAGTGTTTGTCATGTCCACGGTCCATGTTTTGGTGTCAGAGGACCAATTCATGCTGTCCACCTGGCGGTTGAATTTGGTGTGCTTCTCCATGCCGAACTCTGACACTGCTTCCTTAAGATACTTAAGAATCTGTGCACCTGACGCAATGGATTTGCCCCGCCAGGGGCGCCATGGGAAGCTGTACGTGTACAGATCTGAATCCGAGCGAATGCCTGCATAGGTTCATGTTAGCAATTGTAGGTGGTTGTATCGCATTGCACGTACCAGGATATTTAAAGAGGCTCCAGGTGCCACCGATCTCATGGCGACCCTCAAGGACGCAGTATGATAATTGAGGACATCGCTCCTGCAAACGGTAGGCAGCACAAATACCGGCAATGCCTCCGCCAACTACAATGACGTCGTAATCATATGCCTTGCTCATGTTTTCAAACGTTACCAGTTATTTCTTTCATTCCTCTGTTTCCGACCCTTCTTCCAGCAGCATCTTTAAATCATCGCGCAGGACGTACCCGGATTATAGCCTCGGCACAATCCGGTTCCTAGGTTTCGATGGCGGCGGAGATAAGGCGGGTAGTGTGTACATTGTGCTACACTATCAATCGGCATGATATCTAGGGTCATTATAATGTTACACGCTCGGGCTTAAGTCTAATCTCCATGGTGGCAGGTGAATAAGAGGTGGAGAAATAGTTCATGGTGCGATGATGTGCGATGAGGGGAACATGCAACAGCCGGGCGACAACCGCGGCATACAATTCCGTCGCATCAGACACCAGCTTCGCCACCATTGCCGCGCAAGTTCTCGCGTTGCCTTACAAGACAAGTATAAGCCACGGCATTAGCCTGGTTGGAATAGCTGTATTATAGTCCACTCCATTCTTTTTTGAATATATCCAGTAACGTGTGCTATAATCGATACCTTTCATTCTTTTTCTATCCGCCCCAACACACTCCTACAATGACAACCTCTCACCCACTGGACTTAGAGACGGCCAAGCCAATTACGCTGAAATGCGGACTCAAACTCCCAAACCGCCTAGTCAAGGCATCCATGGCAGAGGGCTGGGCCGACCGTGACGCGCTGCCACATGCTGACCTTATAGAGACATACCGCCTCTGGGCGGACGGCGGATGGGGTCTCCTACTCACGGGCAACGTCCACGTCGATGCAGCCTACATGGGTACGCCCGACGACGTTGCTGTCAACGATGCGCTGAGCAGCCAAGAGCATGTCTCTTCGTGGTCGCAATGGGTCAAAGCTGCGAGCTCGCACGGCACCCCGACCATCATGCAGATCAACCATCCCGGAAGGCAGTCGACCATTGGTGCCGGCACGCGGGCATACATGGCAAAGACGGTAGCCCCCAGCGCCGTACCCATGGACCTGGGCCCGGGACTCATCGCCAGAAGTTCTAGCGCCATCGTGTTTGGCACACCGAGAGTCCTGACGGAGCCTGAAATCCGCGACATCGTCTCGCGCTTTGCCGCTACCGCGCGCATGGCACACCAAGCGGGCTTCGCCGGCGTTCAAGTCCACGCAGCGCACGGCTACCTTCTGGCGCAGTTTCTGTCTTCCAAGACAAACATGCGTACAGATGAATACGGCGGCTCCCCAAAAAAGCGCGCCAAGTTCGTCGTGGACATTGTCAAGGCCGTGCGCGGCGTGGTGCCCAAAGACTTCTGCGTCAGCATCAAAGTCAATAGCGTCGACCATCAAAGCCCTGGCGAGCTGAGTGACTGTATTGAGCAGATACGCGACATTGTTGATGCAGGCGTAGATTTCTTGGAGATCAGCGGCGGCAACTATGAAGACCCAAAGGTACGGCCATTCTCTCTAACGTATCCCCGTTTCCAAAATGTCTCTTTTTGGGCTGACAAACTGCAACGCAGAACATGATTTCCACAACAAACACTACCCAGGCTAAGGTATCTGCCAGCAGTGCCGCCAGAGAGGCCTTCTTCCTCGAGTTTGCAACGAAAATCCGGAAGACCTTCCCCGACACCCATCTCATGGTAACGGGTGGCTTCCGCAGCAGGCTAGGCCTTGAAGCTGCCGTAAAGTCTGGCGCCTGTGACTTGGCGGGTATTGCACGACCTGCCGTAGTAGATCCCAAGCTACCAAAGACAGTAGTTTTCAACGCCAGTATCGCTGACGAGGATGCCAGGTTGGCAACCAAGTCATTTTCGGCATCCTGGCTCGCATGGGGCCTCGGCATCAAGGCCCTTGCGGGTGGCACAGAAACGGTATGCAAATTTTACTCTTTCCATCGCATATTTTGCGGGTCTGCATACTGATACACTATTTCTTTTTAGCTCGGATATGTCTCGGAGATCCATAAGATGCTCAAGGTGGCTAGGAAGAAGCAGGAGCTAGCTTAGACGTAGACGGGGCTGACTCGGGATCAGCAGTAGCATAGAGGGGAGGTAGTGGGAATTCGGTAGAAATCTTTCCGTGCGAGAAATTTTACTCTTCGTCTTGCAAGTGACGAGCCTCGCCCAATGTGCTTGTGTACGGCCGAGGCTGTCTTAGAGTCGAGTCGCAAGTTCCCATGCTGACGACAGTGTAGCTTAAGAGGCAGGAGAGTATCCATAGTGGCACCCGCTAGTACTGATTGAGAGTTGTCAATCCCGAATTCCCGAAGCTGAATATTTCCCAGAACGTTCCGGCTGTTCAATCTAATGTGCCGAGGTATCGCAGGCAAACGCGGTGATGCGTTGCGCAGTCTATATTTCTTAAGTCCGGAGCCCCGCCCGCACGGAGACGGAGGCCGGCCTGACTTGTGGGACTCGCCGGGCTGCATGTCAGGAGCCACCCCGGCTCCGGCCCCAGCCCGCGACCTACCAGCGTATAAGAGTGCGTATCTTGGTCCCAAAGCATAAAAAAGCGACTATACAGTACAATTAATCCTTCCTCCACCCTCTAAACACTCTACAAACACCGCTATCTAGCATGTCCGTGAACAGCGCCGGTTCCGCCGCACCACGCGGGACGGACGAAAAGGTCGACTTGGACCTGATTATCATTGGCGCGGGAATTGCAGGCATCAACGCTGCTTACCGCTACCAGGAGGGTGCATCGGTCGGACGATCGTACACCGTCCTTGAGGCTCGCGAGTCGATAGGCGGCACGTGGGACTTATTCCGGTACCCAGGAATCAGGTCCGATTCCGACATCTTTACATTTGCCTTTGAATGGAATCCCTGGCCTCGCAAAGAGGCCCTGGCGAATGGAGCTGATATAAAACAATATTTGATCGACTCCACCACAAAGGCGGGCATCAACAGGCATATCCGGCTGGGCCATAAGGTTATATCCATAAGCTGGCAGTCGGAGTATTTGCGATGGCGAGTCGTGTCCAACGTATCCAGCAACGATAAGCCTACTGTGCTTTACAGCCAGTTCATCTACCTCGCCACGGGATACTACGACTACGAGGAACCCATGAAGGCGACGATCCCTGGCATCGATCAGTTCCAGGGCAAAGTGCTCCATCCGCAATTTTGGCCGGAGGACTACGACTATTCCGACGATAATGTCGTCGTGATTGGGAGCGGCGCGACGGCCGTCACCATCGTACCTTCGATGGCGGAAAAGGCCAAGCATGTCACCATGCTACAGCGCAGCCCGACGTACATCTTCCCGCTGCCGTCTCGCGGTGCGCTGTCCGTCACGCTCTTTACCCTGTTACCCTGGGCCCTCGCGTACTCGCTGCACCGCATCGGCTGGATCCTCCAAACCATCTTCATGATTGCCGCCTGCCGCGCATGGCCAAACCTGTCGCGCAGGTATATCCGTTGGGAAAACTCACGGCTTCTACCCGCCGAGGTGTCTTGGGACCCGCACTTCAACCCACGCTACAACCCGTGGGAGCAGCGCCTCTGCGCGTCCAAGGATGGTGACATATTCGCGGCGTTACGCGCCGGCAAGGCTAGCGTTGTAACCGACACCATCATGGCCGTCAGAAAGGACAGTATCCAGCTGACGTCGGGTGCAACGCTCTACCCGGATACCATCGTCACTGCTACGGGTTCAAAGCTGCTCTTTGCTGGTGGCATGACGATTGATGTGGATGGTAAAGCCGTTGATTACGCCAATGCCTTCCTCTGGCATGGTACAATGCTCCAAGATGTGCCGAATCTGTTCTTCACAATTGGTTTCGAGAACGCTGCCTGGACGCTAGGCTGCGATTGCGCGGCGCGTTTGGCCGTCCGCGTGATGCGGGATATGAACACTAACGGGAATACGTCAGCGGTTGCTCGTCTTGACGCAGCTTCTGCCAAGACCATGGAACCAAGGCCACTCTTCAGCTTGTCCGCAACGTATCTCAAGAGTGTCAACGAGCAACTGCCAAAGGGTGGTACTGGCGTGTGGTCGCCCCGGTCGAACTATTTGGTAGATATGTGGAAAACCCAATATGGTGACATTACTACAGCGTTGGAAGTTAATTAGGCCAGTGCTTATCACTGAAAGTATTAATGTCAATCTGTGTTGCCGCGAGGCGAGGTTGCTAGAGTATGGGTGAGGCTCCTGGCTTTGGTCCAGGCTTTCCCGTTTAAATAAAATCGAGTAGGAAGACATGAGTATATATTATTATTATAAGCTTTATAAATTTATTCTTTACTTTCTAAAGTTAAACTTAAAAGTATAACGTAGTTCACGGGTGAGCGGCCCACACGGGTGAGTGGCCCACCTTCCTCGACCTTACACTACGAAAATATATATAGCACAACCAAATAATAATTAAAATTTAAAATCTAAACTGAGCTATCTGAAGAAATGGTTTCTACTTCATTTTCACATGTTCTAGAATTATGGCCTATTTCGCCGCATTTTCCACAGCGTCTGCGCCGTGTTTCCACCCGCTTCCGTCGACCTGTACTTTCAACTTCGTCGCGTTCTCTTTTTACCCTAGAAGAGGTTTGAGCAGCTAGATTTTTGCCAGAATCTACTGTAAGTGTTCCTCCACTTTGTAATTGTCTTTTTGTAACGCGTTTCCGTCGTGAGAGGCGGTTATTAGCCTCTTCAAGCTCATCGATTCGATGCTGCATTAGGACCATCTTCCGCATAGCACTAGTTGTACACTTTGACATTTGATTAAGATTCTCAATTAAATCGGATGCTGAGCTGCTTCGATGATTTCGGATTCTTTTTTCAATATATTCTGTTTGCGATAGAGCTTCGGTTGGGTTGCTAGGTGTTTTGGGAAGCCAAGGTAGCTCGAGCTCATCCGATGATCCAGGAGGTGAAGGTGTCGAGAATTTCGTATCCAATTCTGAAATCACATATTCTGGATTAAATGGGGCAAGCCCAGCGCCTCTAAACCCTCCCAGTATATTTGATTCAGTCATAGCAGCCTTATGTGCTGCGTAAAGAGCTGGGAAGAATTCTTCCTTGGTAATATGGGTGACGTATGCGCGCATAAGATCACTAATTACATTATTATATGCTTGTTTTAGAGGTCCGAAACAGGCCACATCGAGCGGTTGAAGCTTAT